GATGTACAACCGGTGAGAAACCAAGGGCTCGTCCGAGATGGATGTATCCAAGACTGCGCAACAATAACTTCAGCCCTCGGGTAACTCGCAGACACGACGTCTTGGACATGTAGGTGTCCAACTGGAGGAGGTGGGACGTAGAGAGTATTGATTGTAATTCTTTTTCATGAGAAACACAATGTACGCCTAATGTTTAGCTAAAGCCATCGATTCATCCTATAGTAGTTTGTATATTTGTACTGTCGTTATTTTGACGTCGTCTTCGCATTGTCTTACATATTTTTCTTCCACTATAGTATATGTTTGTGCACAACTGAGTGTGTACTCCAGTGTATCGAATAGTGTCCGGGCCATGCTCTATCACCAACCCCACCTGTCATTCCCGGGATTTGCTTTTGTCGCGACGGGCGAACTTCCCGTTAGTTACCGGTTTCGTTCTTAAGAGCCCCGTTGTGGGTTTTGCTATTTTAGTGTGGACATCAATAGTTCTAGCCCGATCGTTATGTTTTGCTGCTCGGCCGCGGCGCAACTCTCTCCAGTTCAATGCTTTCCGGAGGAGGCCGTCGGATGGATATTCCACCTGGCCAATTTCGATCTCAACTGCGATGACGAGAGCCACGGCTTCGTGACGACGTGGGAAGTTCCCCGTGCTGGCTCCCCGTGTAAAGCCATCCCGCTCTGCATGTCCCAGGGCCGGTACCTACAGCAACCGCACCTGAGGAGCAACCTGGTAAAGCTAGGCATATGCAGCCTAGCCAGGATGAGCCGATTGCGAGCCGGTTTCTGCTCGACGAACAGCATGGTTGACGGGTGGCGAGGCTAGGAGTGGGTGCAGAATCGTACTTTTTACCCCAGAAGACCTAGAAAAATAGCCGAGAGAAAATAGGAAATTCCAAATCCGCAAACCACAACATTCCCCTGACCCAAAACTTGAGGTTCCCACAAACAATGGAGCCATATCATGACTATAGTCTATGTACAGTACCTGTTTACCGGGTCCGAGCATCTAATCCAGAGCCGATATCTTTAGATCCGGGACGCGAACCGAGCGATAGATAGATCGGAGATGACCTGTCATGCTGCTGCGCCTAGGTAGATCATCCTCACAATACCCTTTGGGTTGAGCGCCCAGTGCCCAGTGCAAATTGTGGTGCGCCACTAGTCTCTAGCTCGACTCGCATCAGTGGGAGGTATTGGACGAGCCTAAGCGGTTGACGGGCACTAGATTTGTTAGTGGCGGGAGAGTCGGTCTAGTTAGCTTAGCTGGCGTTGGTCTTGCTTAGGGCTCGTCTGGTTTGTTCTAAATTTTGTTTAGTGGAATCGTAGAGCCGTCTGCCTCCACCGGAATCCCCCCATCTGAGTGGGCCATTCGAGCCTGACGATTCACCACTAATGTCGGCGCCATCCTGGCTTAGCCTTCCGCAGCCACCAAGCCCATCACCACTGATCAGTACCTATCCCCACTTCCTCGTCAGGCAGTTCGTGAGCTCATCCTGTTGACGAGCGGACCCGGTGGGTCGTATTATTCGACCTGGCACGGGCGTTCATCATCCCACTATCAAACGGCCAACCTGGCTGTCCTTAGACGAGCGGCATGTCTCCCCGGACAGTGATCAACAAGCCAGTCTCACGTCTGGATTCCACTTTGCGGCGGGTTAATGTCGTTCTCGTTATAAATACCAACGATAGGACTCTGAATTAGACGTTCTGGAACGTCATGCTTTGTTTGCTCCATTGACGATCACACGAAGCGGGTCGGTAATCATGATAAAATCAAGGAAATTGTACTCGAACCAGCAGGGGCAACCAACAACACAAAACTACGAAACTACCAGCCGCCGCACACATGGACGGAGAAATTCGCAGCGTATGACATTCTTTCACACAGAACCATGCTTTTGTCGCATCCATCGGAATGTTATGTGAAGAAGCAATGATACATAGGGATAGTAGATCCCTGGTAAGCGAGGCTTTGCGACCGGGGAGAAGAACTACTCCTGGCTGGGCTGGACGGAAGGTACCGCTGGTGACTTTCATGTAATCATCCTTGGTCGTTTTCCTTTCTACACAGCGCCTATACAAGCGGTCATTTGAGACCTCAAACTATAATTAATAATAGTTCATGGACCAGTTAAGTAGGGTGTAGTATAATGTGACCATTGTCCAGTCATTGGGATCCACTATAAGTTCTATTGACGGATGGCTAATCTGATGTGTAGTTCAAGGAGATCGGAGGAAAAGATGATACTGTAAAGGGATAACTAGTACTGAAAGTAGCTAGCAGTAGTCAGAAAACATGCGAGCCACTAAGAATAACTAAACAACAGGTATAGCTCAACACTCTCCACTACCATGGTACATTACTATTTACTGCTTCTCCTTCGCCAAGTTTACAGTTCCCACCTGATAGGTCGATCCAAACGGGCGGCCCCCATCGGATCGACCCGCGATGTTCCCTGTCTTGCTTTGATGTGTCTTTTTTTGCTTTTTCCCCTTGACCACCTCTGTCTTGGTAGGAATCCCTTGCAGAATTCCTAACTAGGAAAGACTGGGCGCTAAATAGTGAGCCAAGCCAGTGGCTTGAATCCCTCCCCTCCTCGTTTACGCCTGTGAGCGCCACGAATTGCCTTCATCTGCACACCAAGGCACCAATACTACTTGCCTCGAATCCTCGAATCCTTCGAGCTGCCGACAAAGGCGCCTGGTTATGTATTTCTAAGACAAAAAAAGCTGTCGATTTATTTGAGAACTCCCGTATGTGCATGAGCACTCTGTCCAGCACATTTTGTACCTTGTTTGGCCCGCCCGCGACCCGCCCGCGACCCGCCCTGCACGCTGTCTTGGCGTTCCGACCAATCGCATTCATTGCAGGGCCTGGGTTACTTCATCCTGATATACTTCTTTGCTCAATCGCTGATCACATTATCCGAGTAATCTTCCGACACGCTCACCAACCACTAGCCCTGCTCTCGCATCTACTTTTGTTGGGGTAAAGAAAGGCAGCACAGAGCTTCGGCACTCGCCCATCGAGGCCAATGGGATAAACATAGATCCCCTTGTGGAATGCACCAATAAGTAGAAAAAATCAAGAACATAAGCCCTGAGATCAAGGATTGACAAACAGAACCCATAATAAAAGAAGTGGCCGTTGATATTTGAGCCAAAACCGCGCACATATCATCTCATCTAAGCCATTGCAGCTTGTCCCCACCGACTCTTCACCGGTTCGCGGTCCGCACTGCAATTGCTCAGGCAGAAAGGAGAAAGAATGCGAGACAATATGTAGTCATCGGACGGAAGCCCCGATCCTGATCACTGTCAGCCCCTCTTAACCCGGAGACGTGGTGTAGTCCCTGAAATGCGCGGTAAATCGTCTAGCTGATCTCCCCATCCGCACACAAACCTTGCTGATTCTGATGAGCCTTATGCTTCGTGCACCGCACAGACTGCAGCCGCAGCCCCAGGACCTCTTGGGACTGAATGCCGCAGCCAAGAACAAAAGCGACTGGGAGAGCTCTGAACGGGTGGAGGCTCGCCATGTGTGCAGCAATGCACATTGGGGACTTCCACCCTGTCGGTGTAACTCTCCAGGGTCAAGACAATAGCCTCAAGAGAACTCGTGAGGCCCCTCGGTGGACCAACGGACTGCAATGCAAAGTCGACATCAGACCCTGCTGATCAGGACAGGATGAGGTTATCCCGTCTCAATCTCGATCCTGGAATGTTCCCCACGCCAAACCCTATATACTAGTTCGTTTGACATCGTCATCAGGATCAGCCGATCACTGAATGAGCGAATTGTTACTCAATTTTATGTAGAACTTACTATTAAACGAGAAGAGTTGAAGCAATTACACCAAAAATACCGCGCCCTTCCCCATAATCTTTACGATCTGGTCCTGATCGAAAGAGTGCAGCTTAGATGGTCTGGCAGCCACCTTACTGAACCACGTTCGAGACCACATCCGAGGGCATCTGGATCGGGAAATTGCAGATACACTTCACTTGATTGGATCATAGTGGCTTATTCAAAAGAAAAGAAAAAAAAACTGCAAAAGGATTCGGCGGTAAATATTAATCAGATTAGAGCAAGGCCGAGGAAAGAAGCAAGAATCTTTGCTAAGCGAGACAAATGGATCTGTCTCTGCATATTTGCTTCTTTGTCTTCTATACTCTTGTTTCAATTTTTCAGTCTAAGTCGAACGCTGTAATTAGCAGTATCATGAACAGAGGCCAGTTGAGGAATTACTTTTACAAAAAAAAATATGTTTAAAAAGGAGTAAGGCCGAGAGAGTCCGCTTTGGCAGTGTCTTACCTGGTTCCACAGGGGGGCCCAGGAGGACGAGATCCACTCAGCGTGGCGTCTCCAACCCTTCATCATCTAGATCCGAACCCATGCAAGGAAGATACATGGGGGATCCTGAAATTGCCAGTTGCCCCCAGCGGTGTCATACTATTGGGGCCAAATGGGGGTGATGTCTTGTCTGTATTACTGTAATCTTTCCCTCCTTTCGAGGTAATGTGCCCAATATGCAGCGTACCTATTGGTACCTACGGTACCTGTACGTCCATAGACTGCGCGACGAAGTTTGTGAACGAGCTGGAGCATGGCCATGCATCCGTAGTAGCCCCGATGACCGATGGCGTAACTATTTTGGTCGGCTGGGAAAAATAAACCCTTCTGCTCTTTTAAAATATCTCAGAATATCCGACTTCGCGGGCCACTCAGTGCGAGATACCCTTCGTCCTCTTGGATCTTCTCTCTTAATTGATTCTTCCCCAATCCAATCCTAATTGGAGGTACTCCACACGACCCTGTGTGCATCTGTCGATCCGACTCTCGTTCTTGATCGAACTACCGCGGCGACGCTCACATTATACAGCACTATTCTACAGTGAAAAGTCCAGACCGACCTCTAGCATTTTTGTCACTGTCGCATTCTTCTATCCGACAGCATAGCATTCAGCATTTATTATTACGACTATCAAAAACCACCATTATGGCTAATTCATCCCACTGCTATCTGCCTCGCTTTACTCCGGCGGTCGAAGGGCCTAGACGCCCGGTTTCGATGAAGACGAAACCGACACCTTCGCAACATGCGCAGTTATTAACCGCATGGCACGAAGGGAGACTGGAATCGGTATTGCAGGCCACTTGGGCCCTGGTCCTGCACTACTATATCCGTTCCGAGGATATCTGCTTCGGCTACCAACACATCGACGGCGACTCGATTTCCTCTCGATACCCTGTACAGCGGTCGAGTGTCGCCAACCTGTCAGCGTTTCGGCTGGCTATCAACGAGAACGACTCCATCCAGGGAATTGTAGATAAAGTTCGCGACCACGATGGAGTCGACTCGCAGATTGGGGGTGTGGGAAGCGACGAGGGCGCTTCCGAGGGAGGCTACTTGCCTTTCAACACCATCCTGATGCTGCGCACATATCGCAAGGCGAACGATTCACCCTCCTCGCCACTTTCTCAACAACCAATTCTGGCAACCGCTCTTCCCGACCAGGTTCGTGTCTTTTGTGTTTATCTCCCTGTTTCCTCCCTTTGTGGTCGGCTTCCTGCATATGCGGGCCCGATAGAATACTGGTTGGATTCTGTATGTTGCGTGTCAAAATATCATCTTTGCTAATCTTGGGTTGCATGGATTGCAGTGCCAGGTTCGCCTTCATGCGAAGGTGTTGCGCCGGGACATCAACATCTTCCTCGAATGGCGAAATGGGGACATGTCTGGAGAGCAGATGAAGAGTGTTGCCCACATCTTTGAGCAGATGCTCGCGCAAGTACTTTCACCGGGAAACGTTGCTATTAGCCAGCTTAATTTGTTCTCCGAAAACGACCTGCAGCGCATCCGCAAGTGGAACTCGCACACCCCTAAGCTGTACGATCGCACCATCCACGACGCTATCCGTGACCAGGCCTTAAGTGGCCCTGATCGAGAGGCCGTGAGCGCGTGGGATGGCAATTTGACCTACGCCGAGCTTGATGCGTTAGCCTCGAAGCTCGCGTGCCATTTGCGCATGCAGGGAGTTGGGCCAGAAGTGCGTGTTGCGCTTTGCTTTGATAAATCGGTGAGTTCTGCCCTGACTTGATGGTCGTCGTTGTCATTTTTCCAAAGGTACCGTGCACGTCCGTGCAGAAGTACATGATGGACTGGGGGGCAAATCTGTGTGTGATAATGTGATGACTCGGGCGCTGACAGCTGCAAGAAATGGAACATTGTTGCCATGCTCGGCGTGATGAAGGCGGGCGGTGCCTTCGTCCCATTGGATCCGACCCACCCGACATCGCGCTTGCAACGTTTAATCGAATCCGTCAAGGCTGTGCTGGTGTTATGCTCGCCATCGCGCGCCGAGACTCTGCGACCTATTGCGAGTACTTTGATCCCTCTATGCACCGAGACTCTGGAAGGACTATCGGACCCTGTGGAGGGCGTCGACCTTGCATCGGGTGTTACCAGCCAGAATGCCGCATATGTTCTGTTCACTTCCGGGTCCACGGGAGAGCCTAAGGTATGTTTTGAATTTGGTTTCCATGGTGGAACATGGAGTGAAAAAAATATGGAGTTCTCCATAGAAGAAACAATTTTGGGATATCACCAGTACTGACGTTCGTCCTCTAGGGCACCCTGTTGGAGCACCGTGCCTACTTGTCAAGCGCAATGGTGCATGGCCCTGGCCTGCGTGTCTTTTATGAGACACGAGCCCTCCAATTCGCAGCTCACACCTTCGATGCTAGCTTGGCCGAGTCGCTGACACCCCTGATCCACGGTGCCTGTGTGTGTATTCCTAGCGAGGAGCAGCGACTGAATGACATCGTCGGTTTCATCAATGAGCACCGTGTGAACCAAGCATGTTTCACCCCGTCTTTCATCGGCTTTATTGAAATCGACAGCGTGCCGGGATTGCAGAGTCTCGTTTTGGCCGGCGAGGCAATGTCGCAGTCCCAACTGGCCACATGGTCCAGAATCAAACTGGTCAATGGTTACGGCCCAACGGAGGCCAGTGTCGCATCCGTGCTGAATTCGAATGTCACACCTACCACCGATTGTAAAGATATCGGCCTGCCCATCGGAGTGCGCTCGTGGGTGGTCAATCCGGAAAATCATGACGAATTGGTTCCCGTTGGCTGCCCTGGTGAACTACTTCTTGAAGGGCCGACGCTCGCCCGTTGTTACGTGAATAACCCCGAGAAGACGAACGACTCTTTCATCTACGATCCTGCCTGGGTAAATCTTGATGCTGGACGAGGGTCTAACCGCAGATTCTACAAGACCGGGGACTTGGTGAGGTACAACTCCGACACGGGGGCGATGAACTACGTCGGTCGCAAAGACACCCAGGTCAAGGTTCATGGTCAGCGAATCGAACTGGGCGAAATCGAAAATCAATTGAACAAGGACACTCTCGTTACCCACTGTTCGGTTTTCTTTCCCAAGTCCGGTTTCTCCGAGGGTAGGCTCGCAGCTGTCATTTCCTCTGTGGGGCTTCTCGCAGAACAATCGGATTCAGACTTGAAGCCCTTACGTTTGATATCTCCAAGCCAAAAATCGCAGATTGTGCCGGGAATTCGCGAACGATTATCTGCACGTCTCCCGACTTATATGGTCCCTTCGGTTTGGCTGTGCGTAGAAGCCATGCCGCTGCTACCATCTGGCAAACTTGATCGAAAGGGAATTGCAGGTTGGGTGGTAAACATGGGGCAGGACCCTGATATCGCAGAGGCAACTTCCGGGTTCCAACCTACAGGCGAACAATCTCTGCCTGCTAATGAGAATGAGGAGGCTCTGGTCGCGGTGTACAGCCGTGTTCTGAATATTCCCCAGAAACATGTCAGCCTGAACGAGAGCTTCCTCGCGATGGGTGGTGATTCCATTGCTGCCATGACTTGCATCGGCATGTGCAAGAAGCGTGGCCTGGCTCTATCAGTGCAGGAAGTTTTGCGCAGCAAGTCCATTCGGGATCTGGCATCGCGGGCTCGAGCCATTGACCATGCGACTACTTACCAGGAAGCGGTTGACAAACCGTTTGAACTTTCTCCCATCCAGGTTTTGCACTTTGGTGTTCGGAAGGAGGGTCAGGGTCATTTCAACCAGGGAATTCTCACTCGCCTCAATAGGCCTGTTGATGAACCTACCCTACGCCAGGCGATTGAAACACTCGTCTCCCGTCACTCTATGCTCCGTGCTCGATTCGATGATTCCGGTTCTGCAACAGCTTCAAAGCAGCGAATCACTCCGGATGTGAAGAATTCCTTCCGTCTCCGAACAAACAGCGTTAACAGCATTAAAGAGACCAAGGCATTCATTGGTAGCAGTCAAGGTTGCATCAACGGATTCTCTGGGCCGCTGCTGGCTGCTGATTACTTCCGCGTCAAGGGTCAGGAGAAGTGCCACATCTTGTCCATGACTGCTCATCACTTAGTGGTTGACATTGTCTCGTGGAGAATTATTCTCGAAGATCTGGAGGACTTACTAGTCAACCCAGGCAAGACCTCGAGCGAGAATGGTTCTCTGCCTTTCCAGACTTGGTGCAAGTTGCAGGAGGAACAGTGCAAGAACTTGATCAAAGAGAAAAAGGCAGCCACCGATCAGCTTCCAGCAATTGATTTTGGCTATTGGGGACTAAGGAACAGCCAGACAACATATGGCGATGTGGACTGCGCATCGTTCGATATCGATGCTGTGCACTCTAACAGAATCATGATGGAATGCCACAAAGTCCTGAACACCGAGCCAATTGATTTGTTCCTTGCAGCGATGCTTCACTCGTTTGGAAAGTCTTTCACTGATAGATCCTTACCAACGATCTACAACGAGGGCCACGGTAGAGAAGTTTGGGACCCATCGATTGATATTTCTCACACTGTCGGCTGGTTCACCATTCTACATCCGATCTTTGTTTCCGACTACAAGCCAGACAGCGCCATCGACACGCTCATTCAGGTCAAGGATTTGCGTCGCCGCGTTTCTGATAATGGGCGCGCAGACTTCGCTAGCCGTGTCCTTCAACTCGGTGGCACAACAGGTAGTCGCCATCCCCACCCGTTCGAGATGTCCTTCAACTATGTCGGGCAGCACCGCGATCTTCAGAGAACTGACGGGCTGTTCCAGCTTGTGGATCAAATGGCCGGCGAAGCAGGTCAAGGCAGTGATGCTGCTGATTTCGGAAAGGACACTCCCCGTTTTGGCTTGTTCGAGATCTCGGCCATGGTCGTTGCTGGCAAGATCCGGTTCACATTCTCTTTCAACAAGTTTATGCAGCATCAGAACCGTATTCATGAATGGGTTTCTCAATGCCAGCAGCAGCTGGTTTCATTGTCTGAGCAGTTAACAGCGATGTCGCCTCGTTTGACGCTGAGCTCCTTCCCGATGCTCTCTTTGAATTACGAGAGCCTGGACAAGTTGCTCACGCAAAAGTTGCCAGCGATCGGTGTCAATTCGCCAGACATGATCGAAGACATCTATCCCTGCTCTCGTATGCAGCAAGGTATTCTGCTTGGCCGGACTCGGGACAGCTCGTACTATGCGGTGCACGATACCTTTGAGGTTCGCGGTACCGGGCCAACAAAGCCAAACCTGGATCGCTTGGTGGAGGCCTGGAGGCAGGTCATTTGTCACCATGCTATGTTCCGCACCGTCTTTGTTGAAAACCTCACTCCTCGAGACCCTTTCTGCCAAGTAGTGCTGAAGGATTATGACATTTCACCAGTCATCTTGCAGTCTTCCAGTGACAACGATGTCATGGCCACTTTTGATGCTCAGAAACCCAAGGAATACAGTGAGATCGCCCCTGCGTACAGGTTCAGCATTTGCCAGACCCCCAGTGGCAAGCTTTTCTGTCGCATCGAGCTCAGTCACGCGGCTATGGATGGCAACTCGATTTCTATTCTCATGCGTGATCTGCAGCTGGCTTATGCTGGCAGATTGGAGGAGAGTCGACGGCCCTTATTCAAGGATTATATGCGCTACCTGCTCGATGCGCCACAAGAGGCCAGTCTGCAGTATTGGTGCTCGTACCTTGCCGGCGCCAGACCCTGTCTCTTCCCGACTCTTACACATGGCCAGAAGTCTCCCGAGAAGAATCTACGATCTGTACCTGTCAACTTCGGCTCTCTGGCTCAATTGCAGGGTATTTGTGAGAAGAAGGGAATCACCTTGTCCAATGTATTCAATGCGGCCTGGGGTCTCACACTGCGTTTGTTCTGTGGCTCCGATGACGTGAGCTTCAGTTACATGGCTTCTCTCCGCGATGTTCCAGCGGATGGAGTTCAGTGGGTTGTCGGTCCTGCCATCAACCTCATGGTCTGCCGTATGAAGATGTCCGGCGAGACACTTCTCATGGATGCCCTGGAGCAGATCCAGAACGACTACATGGAGAGCATCCCACATCGACACACTTCTCTCATCGACATTCAGCACGCCCTCAAAATGTCCGATGCCAACCTGTTCAACTCTGGTGTCTCCTACCGACGTCTTCCTGGCGCTAAGGATGCAGTCAGCAGCGACATCGAGTGTGTGGAGGTTGGCTCTATCCACGATCCAGCCGAGTTCCCTGTTTTCATCAACATTGAGGCGATGGATACTCAAGCTCGGATCGAGCTGAACTACTGGACCACCAATCTTTCCGATGCCCAAGCGGCCAACGTTGCCAACACATATGTCCGTTTCCTCGAGAGCATTCTGACCAATGCCGATAGTCAGATCGGCCAGCTGGACTGCCTAAGTGATTCTAACAAGGCTCAAATTCAAGCTTGGAATAAGAAAAGTCCCAAAGCTGTCGATCGCTGTACCTATGAGGTCATTCAGAAGATGGCGAGCCAAAAGCCAGATGCTTTGGCCATCGCCGCTTGGGACGGAAATCTCACTTATTCAAAGTTGGATCAATACTCGTCCAGACTAGCCAGCTACCTAGTCACATTTGGGGTTGGGCCCGGAAGCTTGATTCCAACGTGCTTCGAGAAATCCGTCTGGAACACCGTGTCTATGCTGGCTGTCATGAAGGCCGGCGGTGGCTGCATTCCTGTTGAAGGCCTCAAGACCATGGGTTTGATTGAAAAGTGGGTTCTAGACAATGCCGTGCAGGTTGCCCTCGCTTCCCCTGAGAAGGCTCAGATCCTAGAGGAGACCATCCCTTATGTTATCCCCGTCAGCGAGTCTCTTCTCGAGTATCTCAACGACGAGCCGCTCCCATTGACGGCTGGCCCGTCCGACCCGGCCTATGTTGCCTTCACCTCTGGCACCTCGCGCCGTGCTCGTGGTGTTGTCCTCGAACATGGTACAATCATGACACGCGCCGAGGCCTTTGCCAACTCTCTGGGTATATGCGACTCTTCTAGGATCTTGCAGTCTGCTGCTCATACCTCCGACCTGTTTCTGCTGGAGAGTATCGGGACCTTGAGCCGTGGTGCGTGTCTCTGCATCCCAGCTGATGTCGAGCCAGCGAATCTTGCTGCCTCTATGAGTGTTCTGCACTGCAATATAGCCTGCATCACTCCAACAGTTGCCAGCTTCCTGACTCCCAAAGATGTGCCTACTCTCAAAACTGTGGCATTTTTCGGAGAAGCTGCATGTCAAACGCTGCTAGAAAACTGGACATCTGAGGATCTTCAGGTGCATCTTCTGTATGGCAACACCGAAGCTTCCACAGCGTCTATGCACTACAAGGTTGTCGGTAATGCCGCCGAGCCTCATATTGGATCGGCCATTTCATGCGCCCCATGGGTTGTTGATCCAAGCAACCACAATGCCCTTGTTCCTGTTGGTGCAATTGGTGAACTGGCAATTGAGGGCCCTGTTGTTGCTTGTGGCTACCTGTCTGGTACCAAGGATGGCGAGTCAGATTTCTTTGAGAAGCCTGCTTGGATTTCCGCCTTCCCCGGTGGTAAAAATCGCAAGTTCCTCAAGACTGGTGACCTTGTCCGGTACAACGCCGATGGCTCTTTGGTTTTCCTAGGGCGAAAGAGCTGCCGCATCATGTGCTCCGACACCATGTCCATCCAGCGACTCGTGAAGGATTTCCTTGGGCCAAAGCGAACGTCTGCCATCGACACTGTGAGGCTGACTGGGGACTGCTCAGACAGCATCGTTGCTTTCATTGGGTCGTCAAGGTCCGCAACCAGCAGTGCTGATGACCAAGTCATTCTGAAGTCTGCGCCCGAGTTGAAGTCTACTATCGCCTCGCTACACTCTCACCTGGCTAGCAAACTCCCTGCCAGCAAGGTTCCTAGTACATACGTCCCTCTTTCCTCCCTGCCCCTTAGTCCATTTGGCAAGCTAAACTACCAGGCCTTGGGAGCCGAGCTTGGAGCTCTACCTGACGCTCAGCTCCGATCGTTCGATTCCAAACACTGGACCGGCGCCAGGTCGGCTAATCGTGCATCCTTTGGATCGGGTGTCTCGAACAACCATCTCACCTTCTGGAAAGAGTATCTTGCCGATGCCGAACCTTGTAATTTCCCGCCCATCTCACACGACGCTACCACTCTTGAACGTTCGACCCGGACTCTCAACAAACAGACCCAGAAGTTGCATGCATTCAGCAAATTATCCAATGTTTCCGTCGAGACTTTGTTCCAGACCGCTTGGGGCATTGTATTGCGATGCTACACCGGGTGCGACGATGTCTGTTTTGGCTTCTCTACCGAAGCAGATGCGCAATGCATCTCTGTCTGCCGCCTACTTCTGAACAACGATCGCAACTTGGAAGAAACCCTTCAGCAGTCAAAAGCCCAATTTGATGAAGGCCGAGAGAACTTTACTGATCTTGCCGTTATCAAACACCACCTGGGCCTCGACGATGCTAGTCTCTTCAACACTCTCCTCACCTACCGCACTGCCTCTAAATTACCCCAAGGTGATGCTGGTGACTCCAATGCAACCAAGGGCTACAAGATCGCTGTTGCAGCCGTTGTTTCTAGCACTGTCGCAGAGATTCACTTCACCTACACCTCTGACACGGTCACATCCGCCCAAATCACCCACATCATTGATGCCTTTGACCATATTTTGAACGATATGATGTCCTCCAGTCCTCTACATCGCACTATAGGTGATCTTGATCTCTTCCCTGAGCGGTCTTGCCGCCAGATTCGTGACTGGAATGCCACCCTTCCTCCCAGAATGGACAAGTGCGCCGACGAGCTTATCCAACAACAAGCCCTCCTTAACCCCCGTGCTGAGGCCGTTTGCTCCTGGGACAAGAACTTTACCTATGGCCAACTAGAAATCGTTGCCAGTCGTCTTGGACGCTTCTTGACAAACTCCGGAGTGAAACCTGAAGTCTTTGTTGTTCTATGTTTCGAGAAATCAGCTTGGGCTGTTGTTGCTCAGCTAGCTGTGCTCAAGGCCGGAGGTGCTTTTGTCTCCATTGATCCCTCTCATCCCGACTCCCGTTTACAGATGCTGATCGATGAGATTGGTGCTGATCTCGTGCTCTGTTCCGCCTCCCTCCAGACGAAGCTCGCCAAGCTGTGCAAGAAGGCATTTGGTGTCTCTCAGAATTCTATCTCGCAGCTTCCCGAATCTCCTCTTGCCCTTTCTGGAGTTCGTCCAACGGCCGAAAATGCCGCCTATGCCATTTTTACGTCGGGAACAACCGGAAAGCCTAAAGCAACCGTTGTCGAGCATGTTGCCTTAAGCACCACTGCTATTGCCATGATGGATGCTCTCCACATGGACTCCGGGACCCGTGCACTTCAATTCTCCAACTATACCTTCGACGTCAGCGTGCTGGAGATTATGATGACCTTGATGACCGGTGGGTGTGTTTGTGTACCCAGTGAAGAAGAACGGATGAACAATCTTGGTGGTGCCATCCGGCGCATGGAAGCCAACTACATGTCCTCACCCCCTGCCATTGTCAATACCCTGGAGCCCAAGACCGTTCCAGCCCTGAAGACGATCATCACTGGTGGTGAGAAGATGCCTGCCAACCACATCGATCGCTGGCACGATCGGTTTGTTATCAACGCATATGGTCCTTCTGAAGCCACTGTTGTAGCCACAGTTGGCGTCAAGGTGGACTGGGAGGGTAATCGTGTTAATGATGACCCAACCTCTATTGGTACCGCCGCTAACTGCAGAGTTTGGATTGTCGATCCAAACAACTATAACCGCCTGCTTCCCGTCGGTGCTGTCGGCGAGATGCTCCTCGAAGGAAGCAACATTGCTCGTGAATACCTTGGAAACCCAGAAAAGACTAAAGCTGCTTTTGTGGACGATCCAGCTTGGAGCCACCACAATGGGCTACTTGGACTGTTCAAGCGCAAGGATCGCATGTACCGTACTGGTGATCTTGTTCGCTACAACAGCGATGGCACCCTTGCATTCATCTCCCGCAAAGACACTCAGATCAAGTTCAACGGACAGCGTATTGAACTTGAGGAGATTGAACACCAATGCGTTCGATGCTTGCCCGAGGGCTCCCAAGTTGCCGTGGATGTTGTTGTCCCCGAGGAGCGAACCGTTGCGAAGGGACTTGCAGCCTTCTTCACCGTTCATGATCAGGATTCCCAAGGCGGCAGTACCGATCAGTTCACTCCCACCATCCCCGGTGCTGATCCTCTGCTGCTGCCCATCTCCGTCTCAAACATGGATGCTGTTCAGAAGTTGAAGAGCTCCCTGCCAGATCTTTTGCCCCAGAGCATGATGCCTCGTCTCTTCTTTCCACTACGAAACCTACCGTTTACCTCGTCTGCCAAGATTGACCGCCGCAGACTTCGTGCCATGGTACGAACTTTGTCGAAAGAGTCCCTCAAGTCCTACATTACCTTCAACACCTCGGGCAAGAACGAGGAGATGTCCACGGATGGTCTCGATGCCAAGCTCCGTGACCTTTGGGAGAAGACCCTGGATCTCGAGGCCGGGTCCGTCACTAACGAAGACAGCTTCTTTGCCCTGGGTGGCGACTCCTTCTCTGCCATGAACCTCGTCGGTGCCGCCCAGTCTCAGGGTATTGCGCTCAACGTTGCAACTATTTTCAAGACGCCTGTTCTCATCGATATGGCAAAGAGCTGCTCTGAATCCATTCAGACTCTGCCCGCGGAGCCCATGCCTCTCAAGCCCTTCTCGCTCCTTCCATCCTCTGTTGACGTCGACAGCCTTCTGGATGAGGTGACTGAAAACTGCGCTGTGGCAAAGGATGAAGTCTGTGATATATACCCATGCAGTGCTGTTCAGGAGGGCCTTTTGACAATGTCCATCAAACATCACGGGGCATACGTTGCGCAACCGGCATTCCGCCTGGCCGATGGTGCCGACCTCAACCGCTTCAAGGCCGCCTGGCAGCAGACTGTGGCAGACATAGACATTCTTCGGACTCGAATCGTTCACACTGAAGCGATGAACTTCGCACAGGTCGTTCTCAAGGATACTTCTATTGACTGGGTGCATGCGGAGTCTTTCGATGATCTGCCCAATGACACCACCGAACTTCCCAAGCACAATGGGGCTCCTTTGGCAGGGTATGCAATCGTTCAGCCTCGTCAATCTTCAACTTTGTACTTTGTTTGGTCAGTTCATCACGCTCTCTACGACGGCTGGAGCATTCCTCTCGTCTATCGCAGACTCGAAGAAAATTACAACGCTTCGCAATCCAAGATGCCCGCCGCCTCATATGGTCTCTTCATTGAATACCTCAACACGAAGAACATGGAAGAATCCGACGCATTCTGGAAGAGCTATCTGGCCAACATGTCTGCCACTCCATTCCCTCAGAACAAGAACTCCGTTCCTGATGCCATTCGTGCTGGAAATACCCAGTATCACACCATGGAATTTACCCGACCGGCAAACAGCGTTGACTTCACTCTTCCTGTTCTTCTGCGTGCCGCTTGGGCCCTCGTGGTTTCGACTCACACCGCCACCGGTGATGTATGCTTTGGCGAGACCTTGTCCGGTCGCAACATCGATCTACCTGGTGTTGGTGACATTGCGGGGCCTGTACTATCAACTGTGCCCTCGCGCATCACGGTAGATCAGGAGATGTCCATCATTAAGTACCTTGGTCAGATTCACCAATCCACTACCGACATGATCCCTCATCTACATTCTGGCCTTCAGCGTATTCGCGCACTGAATGATGACACCTCTGCCAGCTGTGGTTTCCAGAACCTCCTGGTCATCCAGCCCACCGAAGGCGAACTGAACAGCAGTATTTGGATAGATGAGAAGCGTGAAACCAGCGAAGACTTCTTCACTCACCCACTCGTCATGGAATGTGGCATCTCCAAGACACGCATTACATTCACTGTTCATCATGATGAGCTCGTCATCAATGGATGGCAGAGCAAACACCTTGCGGAGCAATTTGGCCATGTGTTGAGCCAGCTCATGTCTACCCTGAAGACGAGCACTGCGAAGCTTGCGGATCTGGAGGTTGTCAGCCCCGAAGAGAAGATGGAAATTGCTCGATGGAACCAACGTGAAATTCCGTCTGTCGAGCGCTGCGTTCATGAGTTCATTCAGGACAAGTGTCTGGAGACACCGAATGCACCTGCAGTTTGTGCATGGGATGGCGAACTCACATACCGTGAATTCTGGGATCTCGCATCTTCCTTCGCCAACTATCTTGTCTCTCGTGGTGTTGGCCCGGAAGTATTTGTCCCTGTGTGTCTCGACAAGTCTGCTTGGGCAATGGTTACCCTCATCAGTATTCTGATCGCTGGCGGTGGCTACGTTCCGTTGGATCCTCACCATCCTGTTTCCCGGCATGAAGAGATTTTGAAGGACGTCGGTGCCAACATGATTCTGTGCACTCCCAACTACACCACCAGATACACCCGAGTTGTCAAGACCGTTATTCCAATCAGCAAGGACACTCTGAAAGCGTATGGATCTCTCAATCTTCCAGCCAAGAACCGCACCAAAGTCCAACCTTCGAACATGGCCTACACATTGTTCACATCTGGATCAACTGGACGTGCTAAGGGCATCGTGGTGGAGCATCGCAACGCAGTCAGCAGCATCATGGGCTTTGCTCCAATGACTTTGATGGGTCCTAAGTCTCGGGTCTTCCAGTTTGCTTCGCTGACATTCGACGCCGCCATCATGGAGACTTTGGCAATCTTGATGGTTGGCGGTTGCATTTGTGTCCCGAGTGAGGACGAGCGCCTCAACGACGTGGCTGGTGCCATCCGTCGTCTCAACGTTACATGGACCTTCCTCACTCCATCTATTGCGAGCATCATCGAACCGTCTTCCGTGCCTTCGCTGGAGATACTCATCGTCGGTGGCGAGAAGATGTCCCAAGAGGTCATCACCAAGTGGGCCAATGTCCTTCACCTGATGAATGGCTACGGTCCTACGGAAACAGTTGTCTTTGCCGTTGTTGATACTGCTGTCGCCACTAGCCGCGACCCAGCCCGCATCGGCTATGGTATCCCTTGCACCTTGACTTGGATTGTTGATGCCGAGAACCACGACCGCCTTGCACCACTTGGCGCTGTCGGCGAGCTTGCACTTGAAGGACCAGCATTGGCCCGGGAATATCTCAAGAATCCTGAGAAGAATGCAGAATCTTTCATCATGGATCCTGCTTGGGTCAAGGACTTTAAGTCCTCGATTCCATCGCCGCGACGGATCTACAAGACCGGCGATCTTTGTTACTACAACCCCGATGGTTCCATTGAGTACATCAGCCGCAAGGATCACCAGGTCAAACTTCATGGCCAGCGGATGGAGCTCGGCGAAATCGAGCACAGGCTTTCGGAACACGAAGCAGTTCGCCACGCAGTCGTCATTCTGCCCAAGACTGGTCCTTTGAAACAGCGTCTCGTCACCGTCATGTCGGCCAACAAGATCGCCGCCGACAACAAGCTGATTTCCGACAAGCCTTGCGAGCTCCTCGATGATGAAGAGTTTGACAACAAGGGTCTGGCTATTCTGGTTGACGTCCAGAAAAGTCTTGAAGCCCAATTGCCTGTCTACATGGTTCCTCAGACATGGGCTTTGGTCAAGAAGCTGCCGATGCTTGTCTCTGGCAAACTTGATCGGAAGAAGATCTCTGCCTGGCTCGAGAACATTGATAATGACTCTTATGAGCGCATAATGCAAGATTTCGACCGCATGAAGCGTGGCGTGACCGAGAAGCCGCAGCCCGAGCAGGAGAAGACTGGTTCTCTCAAGATCATTCGCGAGATTTTCGCGCAGGTTCTCAACATCTCCTTGCAAAAAGTTAATGTCGACCGCTCTTTTGTCAGCCTGGGTAAGTTTTCAACGTACCTAAGTTCCAATCCAAATTATCATTCATACTAACAAATTCATCCAGGCGGTGACAGTATTACCGGAATGGCCGTGATATCCAGAGCGCGAAAGCAAGGCCTTGTTGTCACATTGAATGACATCTTACAGTCCAAGTCTGTCAAAGAATTGGCCCAGACTGCCACTTCAAAGGCTCCTGCTGTCAGTCAGCGACAGGAGAAGTCTGGGGAAGGCTTTGGGCTTTCGCCGGTTCAAAAGTTGTACATGCAGTCTTCGACCTCCTTCAAGGGTGCCGCTCGATTCAACCAGAGCATTACTGTGCGCATTGCCCGACGAGTCGAAGGCGAAGTCCTCCGCAGGGCAATTAACGCTGTCACCAGCCAACACTCCATGTTGCAGGCCCGATTCAACAAGCCCAAAGACGGAATCTGGCAACAGAAGACCGCAGGGGTATGTACACCATCTGCCCTACCCCATTTGAAAAATGCTAACACCACACAGGAGGTTGAGGCATCATACCGTTTCCGCGTGCACTCTGTGAGCAACACTCGCGCAATGGTTCCAAAGATTGCCGAGAGCCAGTCCAGCCTGGATCCGCTCAATGGTCCTATCTTTGCTGCTGATCTTTTCAATCTTCGCAGTGGTGGGCAGGTCCTATTCCTTGTTGCACACCACTTGTGTGTCGACATGGTTTCTTGGCGGATCATCCTTCAAGACCTTGAGGAGCTCGTCGTCTCTGGCTCATTGTCCGATGAGAAGGCCTTGTCCTTCCAGAGCTGGTGCGCCATGCAGCTGGAACGCGCAAAGACGCACGATGCCGGTCTTACTCTTCCATTTACTCCAGAAACGCCAAACATGGGTTACTGGGGTATGAGTGGTATTGAAAACCAGTATGGCGACCTCAAAATGGAATCGTTCACACTGAGTGAAGATACCACACAGTTCCTCCTGAACGGTTGCCATGAAGTCTTTGGGACAGAGGCTGTCGACATTCTGCTTGCTGCAATTATTCACTCTTTCGGAATGATTTTCATCGATCGCAAAATTCCCACCATCTACAATGAAGGTCATGGTCGTGAGCCGTGGGACGCGAGCATCGACCTGTCCAGAACTGTTGGCTGGTTCACCACGATGACTCCGCTGCTTATTGACAGCAAACAAGGTAAGTCCTTTTTAAATTCCTCCCTCGAATTCAAAAAACCAACTTCTTACCACATTTGATAGGAACTATTCTTGACACCATCAAGCGTGTTAAAGACATACGTCGCAAGATCACCGAGAATGGCCGCCCCTACTTCGCCAAGAGTCTTCTTGCATCTGATCAACAATCATCTGATGATTTCGATGTTCCCCTGGAAATTCTCTTCAACTACCTTGGAAAGCTGCAGCAGCTGGAGCGGGCCGATTCCCTCTTCCGCCACCAGGGCAGTGTTTTCGACAGCTCAGATTTCGCGGTCGCGGGTGACATGGGCCCCGAGACACATCGATTTGCGCTATTCGAGCTGTCTGCGATTGTCGTGAAGGAGCGTCTCAACGTTTCATTCGCATATAACCGCAAGATGTCTCGAGAGCCTCAAATTCGCCGCTGGATTCTACAATGCAAGCAAACTCTTGAGAAAGAAATGTCTGTTCTCAGAAATGCCACCACAGAGCCCACCCTGAGCGACTATCCCCTGTTGCCCATCAACTACAACGGCCTCCAAATTCTCACCAACAGCACCTTCAAAAAGCTCAGCATTCGCAGCAAGACGGAGGTAGAGGATATTTACCCTTGCTCGCCAATGCAGGAGGGTCTCTTGCTGAGCCAGCTTCGCGATTCCAGCGCCTACATGTTCCACACCATTTTTGAGATCCAGGATGCGCGCACTGGAAAGGTTGATGCCGAGAGACTTGCTCGCTCATGGCAGATGCTCGTTGACCGACACCCAGTCCTCCGAACTGTCTTCATCGACAGCAACTACAGCGGCGGATCTTTTGATCAGCTTGTTTTCCAGAAGCTCAATGACAACGTACTTCGTGTTGAGTGCTTCGACTCGCAAGTCGATGACAAATTGAAAGCCATCTCACTTCACGACCTCAACGCCATGCGACCAGCCAAGCTGTCACACCAATTCACAGTCTGCAAAACTACGAGCGGACGCGTGCTGGTCAAACTTGAAATCAACCACGCTATCATCGATGGTGGTGGCGTCGATGTACTTCTCCGTGATTTGACCCTGGCTTATGATCGCCGGCTCGCCGAGGGCTCAGCTCCCAAATTCAGCGAATACATCCGCTACATCAGAACACAGAGCCAAGATGCCGCCCTTGACCACTGGAAAGAATATCTAGGTGGTGTCCGTCCATGCCATGTTTCCCCCGCGACGGATCTGCAAGCCAAGCGTGAGCTGAAGGGTATCTTGATGGAATTCACGCGATACCCCGAGCTCCTGAGCTTCTGCGAACAAGCTTCTGTTACTCTTGCCAATCTGACTTTGACGGCCTGGGCTATTGTTCTGCGGGAAGTCACTCACTCCGATGATGTCTGTTTCGGATACCTATCTGCCGGTCGCGATGCGCCCGTCAACGGTATCCAGGACATGGTTGGTATCTTTATCAACATGCTATGCTGCAGAGTCAAATTTTCTGGCTATCAGACCCTGTCCGATGTCTCGAAGAGAGTCAATGGCGATTACATTCGCAGCATTCCTCACCAAAGCTGTTCCCTCGCCAGCATTCAGCACGAACTTGGCTGGCAGGGACAGTCCCTATTCAACACTACCCTCTCCATTCAAAATCACACCGTTGCCGGTGGTAACAAGGAGAAAGGTCTTTGCTTCGACCTGCAACATGCTCACGACCCTAGTGAGGTAAGTACTGTGTAGATGTCAGATTTTTTCGATTTCAAGCCGCTAATTCTGGTCCAGTATGCCGTTACTGTGAATGTGGATATTTCTCGAGGCGCGGAAGGCATCATGCTGCGCTACTGGAATGACATGGTGAGCGATGACCAAGCACAGTGCTTGGTAGATAGCATTGCCAAGGTCTTCACTAGCTTCATCGAGTCCCCATCTTCGAAGATTCAATCCTTGAAGTTCGAGAGCAGTCTTGTGGAGGAACGAAACCCGGAATGGGCCAACTCCCAGTCCACTCTCAATGAGAAAGCGAAGCTGGGCATTGAAGCTTTGGATGGTGCCGCAATCCAGAAAATTATCGACAATCGTGTGCATGAGATTATTCGTCAGATGTTGAGGGATGGAAAGTTGATGGTGCCTCACATGCAGCCGGAGAGTCTGTCTGGCTATGGGCACCCTGATGACGGAGTGGATTCGCCGTACCCATTGGAGGGTATTCAAGGAGGAGCTGATGATTCTGGTGTTTGCTCTGCAACATCAAGATCCAGCGAGGAAGGGTTGATGGCGGATATTGAGAGAAGATTGTGGACTCTTTGGAGCACTGCTCTGGGCCTTTCGCCCAATGTCGTGCGACACCAGGACAGTTTCTTCAAGTTGGGTGGTGACAGTATCACCGCAATGAAGATGGTCAGCGCAGCTCGCGAGGATGGTTTGGTTCTTACTGTTGCGGATGTTTTCAACAACCCCGTTTTCGAGGACATGCTCGCAGCTGTTCGTGGTTCACATGCCACTCAGCAAATGTTGGATGTCGATCTGAAGCCTGCTCACAAGGACGTGGGTTCTTTCACTGACAGCAAGCCCACGACACTGGCACCAACTCCATCTTCTGAAAGCATTTCTGTCCTCAGGCCGATGCAGGCTGTGGATGATGCTTCAGTTCAAACCGGCATCTGCCCAAAGATCGGTGTCTTTAAGGGTGGCATCGCCGATGTCCTGCCAGTGACAGACTTCCAGGCCATGTCCCTGACTGCAACTCTTTTCAAGTCACGATGGATGTTGAATTATTTCTTCCTCGAAGGAAACGGACCTTTGGATCTGCGCCGACTCCGTGAGAGCTGCTTGAAGGTTGTCGATGCATTCGATATCCTGCGTACTGTTTTTGTCTGCTTCCACGACCAATTTTTCCAGGTCGTCCTTCGCAAGATTCGTCCCAGCATCTTTGTCTACGAGACTGATCGTGGAATGGACGAGTTTACTATGAATCTGCAGCAGCGCGACCGTGAATATGGCCCTCGCGAGGGTGAGCAGTACGTACAGTTCTACATCATCAAGAAGAAGAACAGTGACGAACACCGCATCATGATTCGCCTTTCTCACACCCAGTACGATGGCGTGTGTCTTTCGAAGATCATGTCCGCCATCAAGCATGGATATGAGGGTAGCCCTCTTCCTCCCGTAACCCCCTACGCTAGTTACCTCCGCCAACTTCCAGGTACCGTCGGTCCAGACCATTACAATCATTGGTCTAAGCTCTTGAAGGACTCGCAAATGACGCAGGTTGTCCGCCGCAAGGGCACTTCCATGTTCCAGAATGTTGGTGCTTTCACCGAAATTCGCAAGAACATCGAGATCCCTCCCACCGCTCTTGGAAACGTCACTGTCGCGACTGTTATGCAGGCTGCTTGGGCCATCACTCTGGCAAAGCTGTCCGCTCAGTCCGACGTGGTATTCGGCCTGACAATCAGCGGGCGCAACGCGACCGTTCCGGGCATTGAGACTACAGTTGGCCCTTGTGTCAACGTCATCCCAGTCCGTGTCAAGTTCGATGAGAAATGGACTGGTCTTGAGCTTTTCCGCTACCTTCAAGACCAGCAAGTCTCGAACATGCCGTACGAGTCCCTGGGCTTCCGGGAGATCATCAAGCAGTGCACCGACTGGCCTGCATGGACATATTTCACCACCTCTGTGTTCCATCAGAATGTTGACTACGAAGGCTCCCTGGAACTCGACAACACCAAGTACCGCATGGGTGGTGCCGGAGTGAACGACAACTTTGCAGACTTGACCATGGTTTCTCGTCCTGCGGATGATCGCAACCTAAGCGTCACTCTCGGGTACTCTGAAAAGGGCCCTATCATTCCTGCCTTTGCAACCAAGGTCCTTGATATGGTCTGCGAAATCGCGCTATCCCTGGTCGCAAACCCTTCCACTGCCTTGCCTTCGCCAAGCATGCTTCGCTCTCTTCCATCTCAGGTTGTGGATGACCTACCCCGATCATCAGATGAACACTTCCTCAGCGCTCATCTCAAGTCACGGTCCATTGCCGAGTTGCTTGTACACTCAGACATCCTGTCACGCTCGTGGCACCAGGTCCTGCCAAAGCGCGCCTCTACCACCACGACAGACCCAGACACCGGTGATAAATCTACCCACCAGGCTGCCTTCCAGCTTGATTCATCTTTCTTCGATCTCGGGGGCGACATCTTCAACATGGCCCAACTCACATGGATCCTTGAGCAAGAAGGCCTTAAAGTACGCCTTGAGGACCTTCTTGAGCATCCTTCTTTCCTTGGCCAGATGGCTGTCCTGGCTTTACACAATGCAAAGCACCAAGAAGACTTCCCTCCTGAGTTCGCTACCGGTGCTGTCTCGCCTGATCCTGTCGCTACTAGTCGCGTTGAGAAGAAGAAGACGTGGGAGAAGGCCATGATACTCGCTCGCAAGTTGACGCGCAGGAACACCATGGTTTCAAGCCATGCTTGATGCTGGATTGGACAACTTGATTTTCTTCCAAAGGATATCTCCACATCAAAGCCACATTCAACTCAACCCCAAAAAAAGAAAGAAAAAAGAAAGAAAAACCTCCTACGGGGAGATTGCAACCTTCCAAAGAGTCTATCATTGGATATTTCGTATTTTCCTTTGTCTCCTTCAATTTTCATGTGCCAAATTCTTGTCTCAAAAAATTTCTTATGTTTGCATTGCATTACAACGCTAGTTAACGATAATAAAACAAAATGGGCGCCAAAAATGGCTACTCATGACCCTATCTTCAGTGCCGGCCGTTATTATTGCCTTCCATGTACTACTCTTCAAACCTCTAGTCCCTGATCGATTGAGATAACCAGCCTCGGTATTTGCGGCATATTCACGTACGGCCCGAAGGCGGATCAGTAAACAGCATCTTTTATGTTCTTATCGTCGCAAGATTTAAGCTTCATGGCTCTTAAAAGCCTCGGCATCTCTTTGGATACCATATCTCGGATGAATGTCCACCCGATGATCTACAAATGGACACCCCTACATCTTAGTGAACTGGTTTTGTCGCGTGTGAAAAAGGTGCCAGTTAAGACCGTAGTTCTTGAGAATGCAGGCCATTATCCTATTGAGGATCCAGGACTTCGGCAAATGGTTGATGCGATCATCGACTTCCTCCGTGAAATTGTGCCATGATGCTACTGTAATTTTAACAAATTTGTTTGATTATGATTTCCCCGTTATTTCTTGTTCACTAACTGACCTCGTATTTTTATGACGAATAGTCAATATTTGGCTTTAATTTTATCCTACTCTACCATCTTAGTCAAAGGTCATTGAGAACTCTCTTCATCAGTAGCAATCTGAGCCTCTTTCCTTAGCTGGAAATATTCTGCTAGTTATAGAGAGACGGCCTGGCCTTTTGGCTATTCTTGTCGCTCCTAACCTTAAAGCAAAACACCCGCTTCCTAACCGGACACCTAGAATTTCAGGCACAATTAAGGCCTGACCCTCGTAGCAGTCCGTAATCGCGGGGCCTAATGATGATACGAACCCAAACATCATATAAAACGCCAAATGAAAGGCTCGAACGAATCTCGTTGTCACACCTGCCGCCGTCAACGGCTCCGCTGCGATGCCTCTAAGCCTACATGTAACAAATGCGCCACTCGCGGCGTCGAGTGCTTGGGATATGGAGCGCAGCCTATCCTTTGGGTCCAACCACAGACTCAGACGCCGGCAGAATCGCGGGGCAAGGCTCCAGCATACTATAACGAGCCAAAATACCGTGGTGATGGCAGTAGTAGCAGCAGCTCGACAGAAGATCACGCCATTAGGGTGGCTACGGGCAAAAAACGAGGTCGTCCCCGACTGGTGCTGATGGCCCAAGAAGCAGATGAACAGTGCACAGACAGGCAAATTCAGATTAGGCGACATCTGCCAAAGAGCAACGAGGCAACTGGGAGGATATGGACGCCCCAAACGCGGAATTTGAACCCAGCAGGGTACGATGCGGATCGGCTGGCCATCCATTGTATTAACTACTGTGAGTCTATCTAACAGTCTTCTACCTGCAGACTGCGACTCACTGACCATTTAGACAACTACTATATCTGCCCAGATCTAGTGCTCCTTGACAACCCGGCCAACCGGCATCGCCTGCCCGTCGAGTACTGGGCCTATTTCCCTGAGATGATGCTGAACATGATCATCGGTGCTGCCCTGACTACACAGGTCATCCGGTCCAAAGCAGGCCAGGGTTTGCTGACTTATAGAGACAAAAGAAATGCTGACGAGGAGCTCAAGCGCCATCACCTCGGCACTGTGAGCCATCCTTCCATGCCCACTATCTATAAGTGTCAGCGGAACACGCTCAAGTTTCTTAATGCGGAGCTAAAGAGCCCGCAAGCAAGGTATAGCGATGCCGTGCTCACTCTGGTCATCTCTTTAATGAGATGTGAGGTGCGTATATTATCTTAGCGCTGGAAGATGCATGTACTGATATTGCTTTTAGATCCAACAGTCGGCATTTGGGGCGTGGCCTGCCCACTTAGAGGCCGCACGTACGATCATTGCCCACCGAGGCGGGTTTACCGCGCTTGCAGACGCGGAGAGGGATGACTTGCACTATATCCTGTCGGATTTTATGCTGTACGCACAGAGTTCTCTAATGACCTACAAGGTGGGTTTTCTTACGTTTTGCTTACAATCCGCAGAGTCGATGTAATGAGCACCGCTATGACTCCGACGGGCTTGTTGGATGCCAAGACTGTCAACAAGCAGCTGGAATACATTCCAAAGCTGTCCACATTTTACAAAGATGGCCTGGAATCTGGCTTCCCCTGCCCTAACGAGCTAGTCGAGTGTCTCATCCGGATCAACTACGCGCGGTCCCTTAACTCGGTCCCTCTTGGCGATTCCAGCCATGTCAATGCACTTGCAGAGGAATTGATACATAAGATCGCGTCGTTCTGGCCGAAGGCCTGGGCAGATAAGCAATATCGGGACAGCACCAAGCACCTACCAATCTCGTCTCCGTCCCAGTGTTCATCAGACAGCGAGACAATAGTGAACGACGGATATAGCCCCTCAACAGACGTTGCCAATGCTACTCTGACGTTGCCAGTAATTACGTCTTCGTCCGCGGTATCTGCAAGTCTTGCGAGCGACCTGAAAGGAAGTTGGGAGGATCTGGCAAAGGCCTTCCAAGCAACTATACTTCTCCACTGCCTGCAAACTTTGTTCCTCTTCCGCGAGACGCCGCCCAGAGTTCCAGGTATAGTTCTCGGGCTCGAAATGAGGGACGAATTCGCCATCACCAACGCTGTGATGCTGCGCGACCACGCGCTGAAGATGCTCCTCAGTGCGATCCACCGACTGTGGGACGTTGAGCCTAAGGATCCGGCCTCCTGGTGCGGCAAGTTCCTCATGTGGCCCATGTTTGTGGCGGGCATGGAGCTCAACTCCAGTCCTGAGATGACCGGGGAGCGGCTGTTCCTGTGCAAATCTTTGAGCAAGTTGTGCGATTATCTCGGGGACCTGAGCCCCCTGGATGCGGCCGCCATGCTGGGGGCGACGTATTGTCGGAGCCAGAAGGCAGCCGCTATGGGATGCATAGAATATGGGCCGTGGGTCGATAGGATCAGCTGGGCGGGAGTGAAGGGGTTGTTTTTCATTTGATAGGTACTACATTTAGAGTGTGATGGTCCTTAGCTAGGATGCTTGATGACATATCATATCAAATTACAGACAATATCCAATTCTAAATAAAACACGCTCTCTCCATAAGAAACTAACACGATAGCATCCCTACTGATTCATAACAGCAAGATTCGAAGCATTCACAGCACCAGACCGCGACGAATTGCTTCGCCTCTGGTACTCAATCTTGGCCAGCCCCGTGATGATAATCGCATCCAGCATCTCCCACGTCGGCGTCCGCAAAAGTGTCAACGTTCCCTGCTTCTTTACGGAGAAGCTTGCATTCTCAAATCTCGCCAGCACCCCACCACCCAGGTTGTCGACTAGTCGGATATTGCTTGTCAATGCGCGATCTCTCTCCCACCGCCAACTCAGATCCTTGCCGTGAATTTCGTAGTTGCTCGACATCTTGCTCGTCTTCTGCATCGAGAGGGGCGCTTGTGGGACGTCGAGCTCGATGGCGGATGAGAAGTGGTGGAAGGAGACTTGGCCGATAATGAAGCCGCCAGAGGAGGGAGTGGGTGCTCGGAAGATGGTCAGGTGAGGCTTGGAGGAGGCGCGATGGACCACGTAGAGGACCGTTCGCTTGTTAGAATCTATGACCTCGAGGCGCGAGTGGCCATCGCGGTAGTAGATGTGTAGCTCGCGGGGACTGTCCATTGGGATGGGATGAAGATGTCAATGGTTGAATGATAGGTTGTTATATATGGTTGACTGTATTCTAACGAAGAAGATGTTCAAAACGTTGATTAATTCTCTCATGAAAGGCCATGGACGAAGGCCCCTTATATATACTCGAGAGCAAGCCGATCGTCAGGCTTCACGTGCCAGCTCTGAGCTGGCCGAGACCATGGTGATCCGTCCCTATTATTGGCCAGGAGTAGTTCTAGTTTGCCATTTGAAGGATCATTTGCCGCAGCAGCCTGGGGTGATTCTTAGAATGGCAGAGAAATCCATGCGACTGAGAAGCTTAGAATTGCCCGGATACGGTTAGTGCCATCTGCAGTGCCTAAAAATGACCCGATGCGGTTAGTGCGTCTACTTAAATAAGAACCTCGCCGATTTAAGGTTTGGGGCTGAGGACGGCCTCGTCCGGGTCACGTGCAGAACTCAAAACCCTGCCACACCCTGCCACGGCGAGGCACTCTCACATGATATATAGACATTCAAATACCATTATACACTACTGTAGAGATTCGTCTTCAATTGATGCATAATCTCACTGGGCTAGAAAATGTAATTTCTTGTGCCGCAAACAGTTTTATTTACACTATTCTTTTACTGCCAACCAACTGCTCTCAACATGAACAGTCTCTTTCAAAGACGTGATCCACGCAATGGCTTCTGGCCAACAACTCTCATCAATCTCAATGGCGGGGAATTCCCTTCCTGACAGAATCGACGATGCTCCTCAATCAACCTCTGAGCCTGCATCGACGCCGCATCTTCATCCGCAACCTGACCAGATCGCAATAACAGACTTGCATAAAGAGTTTCGATAATTGCTGCGAGTCTTTTCTCCGTATCAAGGCGGAGGCTACTATCATCTTCGGAGCTATACGCTAGCCTGATCACGTCCCAGAAGCCCGATGCAATGCATTCATCTCGAACTTTGGCAGATGCCCGGAAACATTTACCCTCGGCTTTGAGAGATGAATCGAAACATCTTCGGATTTCCCAGATAACGGGGTTGTTGTTGGATATGTATGTTTCTTCGTCGATTTCTTCCCATTGGAGATAGCCTCCGGGCTCTGAGCGAGGATTAGCTTAGTAGCATCACGAAGTTGCTGGGGGTACGAAAAGGAGTATTCAACTTACTCAAAATCGAATGGATGTTGGCGATGGCGGCCTGGTAATCAGATTCATCGATAGCAGCCACTAATAGCCGCACATGAACCAGATCATACCGGTTCCAGTGCTCTTTTGGAAAAGGCTTGGTGATATCATGAACGGAGAACTGGACGTGACCCGAATCTGTGGGGAATTGGTCGGGAGAGATGTCGAATCCATGATAATAACGCTGCGCTGAAGTTGACTTCTCCAACTCTCGCGCAACATCTTTGAGCCAGATGCTAGGTTGATTAGTTAGCTGTCAGAACTACCGGGAAAAAGACAGACCATTGGCTTACCCAGTTCCAGTCGCTATATCTGCAACTGAGAGAATACTTTCTCTAGGAATCGATGGGTGGATTAGATTGTTTTCGGTTATCTTCGTGAGTAGATCGTGCTGTTTATCGAGCCTAGATGTAGCAAAGAGCTATTGATTAGATGAATATTCATTACGTTCAGTTCAGACTGTGAAAATGGGATAATGTTTCTACCTTTCCGATTCCTTTGGACTTCTACCAAAAACGTATTTCTCATGGGTATGAAGCATGTTGAAGTGTTCCTCTAAAGAACGGAGTAATGAACACACAGAATTTAGTAGTAGTAAACAATTTGTAAACAATTTTCAAAATGTATACAAACTTCACGAAGATAGAGTTTGAATGAAAGAAATACAATCTCTGCAGGACATATTGAGATACTTATACAATCACCTGCAGGCTTCATCACACTTTTCGACATTCTCAGGAGAAATATCCGAGAAGATTCGATGATGTGGCACCCCCTCTTGCACGCTCAGATCGTCTAAAAAGTGCCGAGAGAGATCCTCGGCTTCCTCCTCTCAGTCATACCTAACAGCCAATTCAACCGGTGTGTCCAAATGCATATGAGATCAACCCTCAGCTGACAGCCGTACTGTTGAGGTATTAAGAATACCGACATGAGCCTAAGCAGGTCTATTCGTGGAACTCCTCCCCCGCTCCACTCTCAAGCATCGCATATACTCCGTGAACTACTCAGCTTCTCGGGGCAACGCCACATATTCGCGTTCGGGCTAGCGTTGTTACACTGCGTTATTCACATAAAGCCGTTTAGCCAGCCACATCACGTTTCTCACCGGGCTCGGGTGCCGTTCTTGGGGGCGTTTATCAATCATATTGGGGTTGGTTGGTAAATCGAGAGGTGATTGGACGTTTTCGTCGGAAGTCTGTACCATGCAATGTGGGGTGCTGAGATCTTACTACTTCGTGCATGGTGGCATGCAGTTTTGGTTTGAGGGGAATAGTCGGTCAGATGATGAGGGGAGCAAGTCAGGAAACAGGATAACTTTTTATTATTAATCGTGGATATGTAGAAACGATTATATACTGACGATCCAAATCAATCTTTCCAACGCGACCATTCTCAAATATGTAAAATAATGCAAGGGTATCTAATATCTGGCATGTATAACCGGACCAAAGAACACGGAAGTCATATGAAAATGCAGGAAAAATTATATGCAGTCAGAAACGAGGAGACATTCGTCGACTGCGACAGTCTAAAGAGAGTCACGCGACCACTGACCCCGTGCTCGAATCCGCCGTCCATACGTATAGAAAAGATACGGAATGGGGATCAGAGCAACGGAAATGAAGCCCAGGATGCTAGCCGCCCATGGCACGCCAAGGTTATGGAACATAGCGCTTGTGAAAAGCGGGAAGCAACCCGCGAAAACGGAGCGCAGGAAAGTGTTTGCTGCGATCGCGCTGGCGGAGGTTTTCTGGAAAGTGTCGATCAGGTAGTTGAGAGCAGCTTGGAAGATAGTGAAGAAGCCGAAGCCCATCATGACGGCGCCGATGATGGGGCCTATCCAGTGGATGTGCTTGGGACTTGTCCAGCCGAAGACGAACATGCCGGCTGCGAAGAGAACGGAGCCGAGCATCATCGGTGGAAGTCTTGCCTCGGGGACTGGGCGGTTGTTGTTTGCCTTGAAGCGCTTGAGATAGAAGCGCTGGTTGGAGAGGTTGATTACAGCGCCGATGAGGATACCCACTAGGTAGGCGAGGAAAGGTAGAGCGCCGACGACCTGGTTCCAGCCTCGAATTTCTTGGAAGACGATGGGGAATGCTGCTAGACTGAGGTAGAGGATGCCGTAGACGAAGGAGGCGTACAATGCCACAAGGAAGCAGATGGGGGTGGCGAGCAGTTGGAAGGGTCGCACGAGATACTTGTTGCCCAGTTCTTTGAGGGTTACGTCCCACTCTTCATGCCGAGCGTGGAGAGCCCAGTTGCCGCTTTCAAAGCGAAGTCTTCGTGCCTTGTAGACTAGAAGGACGGGCGGATAGCTCTCATCAATGAAGATGAGGTCAAGAAGAAGGAAGAACATCATCATGATACCAGTGATCTAGGGGATGTTAAAGAGGATGAGAAGAGACATGGGAGCAGGAATGGAACGCACATATTCAGTCCATCGCCAGTGGAGGTAGCTCTGAACAATCGCACCACCGACAATAGGACCCAGGACAGGTCCACCAACAACGGCCATGGCGTATCCGACAATCGCGGCACCGCGTTGCTCGGGTGTCCAAATATCACTCAGAACACCACCGGTATTGGTCACAGGTGCTGAGCCGAAAAAGCCCGTGAAGAATCGAGTCAACATGATCGTCTGCAGGTCCTTCGCAGTCGCAGTACCGAACGACATGATCGCAGCAATGAAATAAGGAGCGAGCACAGCCGGTTTGCGACCATACACCTCTGACAGAGGTGCCCATACAAGGGGACCCAAACCCAGACCGAATAGTAGCAGTGACGTTCCTAGCGTCGAAACCTCCAAGGAGACGCCGAATTCCGAAGAAACTTGCTCTTGGCCGGTAGAGTATCTATAGTTGTCTGATCAGTAATCCATCACCAATACTCTTCCAGGATCTCTTCTCTTACACAGAACTAGCCCAAGTGGCACCTATAGAAAACGAATTAGTACTTGCACGTTTTCCCCGCACGTAATAATTCAGGAGGAAATCCGATCCAACATACCCATCGTCGTCAATCCATACAACACGGTCGTCACAGCCTTCTTCCCAAAACTCCAATTCAACGGTCTATAAGGATCATCAGGACCCTCGAAATCAACGATCATATCCGGACTCGTCTTCGTATGGGTCAACGGATGCGTAAACTTGGCCGTCTGCCCGGGATCTCGACTGCGAATGCGCGAAACGACCGATTGCGCGCGCTGCTCGAACACGGATAACCCCGATGCTGCGGTCGTTTGTTTCTCTAACGGCAGGGACGCCTGTCCATTTTCCTCGTCGGCATGGTGCTCCGTGGAATTGCGCGACTCGATGTCGTCTGTTGAAGTGGTTGAGTGATAATCATTCTCGTGCTCGTGCTCGTGCTCTGTGTGCTCGGGCATAATAGCTTTATGCGCACGAATGCGACAACGAAAATATCGAAGATAGTTTAATTAAGAATTAAGAGAAATAAGGCGATAGAAAAAAAAAGGTCGACAATCAGAACTCCGGGCACCGAGGCCGGGGATAAGGAATTGCCCGCCGATGAAGAGCGCGGATTGGTACAATTGGGAAAACGTGGGCCCTAATCTAGACGTTTTAAGACGTCATGGGCTCCATATGCGATTTTCCAGTTGATGCTTGGCTTGATGATTCCACGGGGAGATGGGGTATATATTCTTTTCTTTTTTGTCGGGTGGCGCCGATTGATTAACTGGCGTTTTTCTCTTTTGTAAAGCTTTTTTGATCGGAGGTCCGATGTGGATGGCGAGCCGTCTTATCCGACGAGGAAGCTGGTTCGACGAGATCGCGAGATGTGGGGCATCTGGACTCGGGGCTAAAGCCGAGCTCGGCGTGTTTCAAGTCCATGCCGAGAGTTTAAGAGGAGACAGCTGTCGTTGGTGTGGAGGCTCGATGCTTATCTGGTGGGGATGTTGGATGGAATACTTCATACAAGTGGTTGCCAGTTTCCCGAATGCGAGTAATGACAATGTACTCATGAGTCACTTTGAAAGAAGGTAAGAATGAGAAAATTCATGTGAACCGTCCCGCCGTCTACGAAAATGCCATGTAGTAGTCTATTGATTTTATGATACATCATACCCTGGGCTTGCAATGAACAATCCACGCCCTGTATAACCCTCCAAGGGTCACGCCTCAGGCTGATGGGTGCACGTTCTCCCACTTGTGAACGGCCTCCAAGGCCGCAGTCACCTTCAATCCAATACGAGCATCCAATTCGTAACTCTCCCAGCGTGCGGCATGGTCCAGATGCTCCTTGCAAGTCCGCACCAGCTTCCGCTCTTGCTCCGGCTTCTCAGAGACATCGGACGAGAGCTTGTGCAGGGCTTGATAGGTAGGTCGCTCCATCCAGACATTCGCGGCCATTTCAAAATGCGCAGCGGGAAGGACCCAATCGTCCTTCAGATGACCCTTGAATAAAGACTTATCATGTGTCAGCACCTTGGTGTGGAGGATCTGTTTGGCCTCTTCGTGCTTGTGCAGGGACCGCAGCACGGCAGCCCGGAGAAGCTCCAAGATTGCTTTCTCCTCGGGGCCCTCGCGAGACCAAGTCTTATTCTCACTGCTTTCACACCATGCCAATCGGGTCAGAGATTCCTCGAGCTGGCTGCGGGTCATACGGCTATGTCCGTTCCAGAAGAAGATCATCTCCTCGATGGGGTCCACGCCAATGGCATCCACCAGCTCGACGTTCCATTCCTTGGCGCGGGCTTCCCACTTGGCAATCTTACGCGTGACAAACACGTCGAATGGCAGTTGGCGGGCCATGAATCGCTTCTTGCCGGCCAAGGGAGGAGCTTTGCGAATATACTCTGCGGCCTTGCTCGCGTGCTCTTTGGCCTTTTTGGGATCGTTTACGATGGATTGGCGGTAGAGCGCAACGTGGCAGGAGCCGGCGATATAGTAGTACAATGAGCGGGACCAGGAGTTGAGATCCACGCACTGACAAGTTAATTATGAGTCCTCATTAAAAAGAGATGAACGGGGATTCCAAACTTACCTCGATGAAAGCTGCCGAACATACGTCGTAATTATGCAAAAACAGCGCGTTCAGACTCTTCTCAAAAACACACAAAGCCTCCACCTGCTTAAGCGGGCTCTTGCTTTTCGAACTGAGGAGTTCCAAGGCACCCTCCAGATCCTTGTTAGCGCCCTTCATCCGCGACTCTTCCAAAAGCCAGAGTCGACTGTTCGGGAACCGGGATCGCATCTCGGTTAACAGTTCAGCCAGCCTCTCTTGCGGGTAGCCTTCGACGTCGTCCTCACCCGGGGTCGGGTCAGGCATGATATCGCAATAACGAACAAATCCGTTGTAGTAGCCAAGCAATGCCAAGGCTGCCATGGCACCGATAATGTTGTGGAATTTGCTGGCTTGCCAGAGCATCCGAAGTCCTCGCTGCTTGTCGCCATGGAATCCAATAATGGAGAGAAGCCTACTGAATGCAGGTGGAACCATGGAGATGAGGAGTAAGAGGATACCGAAGCAGAAGTTGGCGCCGGAGTGCACAAACACGTCGATCTCGTTCTGGAAGATGTCGGAGTCGGGGTCATGGTTGATGTTGTTGGAACCACCGGGCGTGGAAGCACCAGATGCGAGCTCCGGCTCTGGGCTGACTGTCAATCCGGACAAAGTCTGAGCGAGATCCTTTTCATCGGATAAAACTGGCTGAGCTGTTGCGGACGGCACTTTGTTGGCTGGCTCGCTGGATGAGTCCAGAGACTTGACATCTGTGCTGGCACTACTACTAGCCTTGGAGAGGTCACTCGAACTTGGAAGGAGAACTCGGCTGGGGTCTCTCAACTCCATAAATTTCTCTTCCATCTTCAAGATGGCATCCAGAGCGATGTAGGCCTTGCGCAGACGGTAAAAGGCCTTGATACTTTCCGTCAGACTCTCGTTGAGGACACCCACGACGGCGCCCATTAGCTGCGCGATCGCTTGGCACAGTGCATATTCACTGCCCGCAGCATATATCTCCGAGTGGAAGGCATTGGGGGCGTGGGCATTATGTTGGGCGCGGTGTTGATCAGTGGCTGCTGAGGTTTCCGCCTCGCTCAATCGTTCCGACGCTGTGGAAAGTTAGCGCGACGGGCATCTAATGGGTCAATCAAGCCATCGAACCTTGTCGCATAATCTCCTGTTCAAAGCCTAGGGTCGCCCGAACGAAAGCTACCATGCCTTTGCCCAACTATTGCCAATTGTCAGCATGCATTCCTCGTACCCTACGTCATCGCTCCTGGCATACGCACGTTGTGGAACGACGAGGATCCCTTGGCCAAGCCAGCTTCGGCGCTATCGACATCGTCATTGAGGATAAACGTCGCCGCTACATGATGGACAGATTAGTTTGCGGCTCGGGCAATTGAAGCATCGGGCACGGTGCCTTACCTTTCATCGCCTCATCCACTTCCCCGTTCGAAGAATCCACCGTCAGCACAAGGTACGATCAAGTAAGAAGGGGGTTGCGCCCGCGCAGTCCAGGTCGCACACGATATAACCAGGGCGCAACCACCCGCAGGGTCCAACATACAGTCTTTCAACTCGGCCAGCGAGTCCAGCGATTGCGTCGAGGCATTGGCGGGCTTCTTCCCGTACAACCAAGACCCCACTCGCAACATGGTGATAGTTGCGGCTCAACGCGAGAGATCGTGGAAAGATCTGGGAACCACAGGACCTAAAAAGACGACCGGAGTCGACGCTATCGAAACACTCTCCTCCGTCGCAATGACAGACCAAAACCAGAGAGACGGATCGGGAAGAATGTCAACGGTCCCATGCGCGGATCACAACGGATTACCGGGAACGGCCAGATAGCGGGGACAAGGGAAACCGGTAGAGAGAGAGGAAAATGAGGAGAGAGGGCGAAAATGGAAGACGGGGAGTCCAAGATTGTCTCAGATTCAGGGAACCATGATGACAATAAATCCGTGGGGCAGAATGAAGAAGTAATCAGCCGTGGAGATGGCCCCAAAATCAGCACTGCATTTCCATGGGCTTGAGTGGCGTGCCGATGGCTCCGAGAGGGGGGCGAAGCAGGTGGACTTTAGGAAGAGCATAAAACGGAGATATGCTCCTAATGAGGGTCAATGAGGAACTTGGAGTTGCCGAGAAAGGAAGCATAACTTTACGCTAATGATTGTATGAGCAAAGTGTCATGTTCTTATCTTGAAATTTACTAAAATAGTTATTGAATGAACTCATCGTCATCTCCTAACACTCTGTAGGTTATCTCCAATCACGCCGAACGGGAGCCTGAGGCCGCACCTCCGCCAAGGTGGGAAGCTCCCCGATCGAAACAACAGCATCACATTCCATCCTCCCCCACCACCATCACCGCCACTCTCTCCTCTCGCCTCCAACTTCCATCAATCTAGGAGAAACACCCACCTTCTCCAGACAAACATTAGCCGTCCACCTTCTCGACACCCATATTCTACATCTCACACCGCCAGACATACACCATGTCCAATTCCACCCAAACCCAGACCAAGGCCGATGCCTCCGAGCAGCCCCAACAACAGCAGAAGCCCCAAGTGCTCGAGGAAGACGATGAGTTCGAGGACTTCCCCGTCGAGGGTAAACTCCCCTCTGCCCCTACTCCCGGTCTAAATCCACCCTGTCAAGTCGTGGACATGCGCTGACCGTTTCTCCACCAGATTGGCCCCAGGAAGAAGCCGAGCAGAATGGATCAGCGGCCAACGGAGGCAACGAGCATCTTTGGGAGGAGAGCTGGGATGACGACGATGCCGCGGAGGACTTCTCCAAGCAGCTGAGGTACGTTGCCATCCCGCATCGATAGTTCATTGCCCTAGCCCGGCGCGAGATACCTAGCAGCTTTCCCAGCAGTGGGATTACAACGCCAACCCATCTCGAGCGATTTCTCTTTTACAATGCTATCTCGCGGACCTATAACTAACCACGTTCGCTTTACAGGGAGGAGCTCAAGAAGGTCGAAGCCTCGCACTAGACAAGAATAAGACAATGGAAAAGACAATATACGAAAAAGAGATTCCGCATTCCCACGTTACACCCCCCCCCCCCCCCCCCCTCGAACCCGCTGGACGTCTCTCGCGCTACACACATACTATACCCCCCTTGAGAAACGATGGAAGGATGAAGACCAAGACGATGAAAGAAGATGGGCCCCGATACAAGCAGAGATGCCCAGGACCTGCGGGGTGAGGCGAAACGAAACCAGGCGAGAGCATTATTATGACTACCACCACATCGGGTTCGCCTACTCGTGTGGTACGAGCGTACTGGTCCGATATTTGATTCATTCCTGGAACGTGGAGGACTGGACGGGTATATCCCCAGGAATAGCCAGCTGGTCATCATAATACAATTGGGCTCTTGTTTACCTACTATGCATTTGCATCCAGTAATCCTGCTCTTAATCGTATATCTCGCAAAGCTAGTTATGGCGCTATACGTAGTATCCAAATTGAGCTATCTACCAAGGGCCCCTCTACACTGCCCTCATCCCTAACATCTAGGCTCACACATCGCCCTCACAGCTTCGGTCTCGTATCTGACCAGAAACAGAACTTAGCTACCAAGCATACATAGCAAGACCCAAAATGAACGTAAAAGTTTTGTGATTTATATCGAAAAGGAAAATCTTGGCTGTGTACATTACAGTTTCGTGAAAACGTCCCAACTTGACATCAAAGGGGAGACGCAATTCTTTTCTCCTCCACTAACATGCCAATTTACTTACTGGACAGAGCGGCAACACCGGGCAGCTCCTTACCCTCGAGGAGCTCGAGGGAGGCACCGCCACCAGTGGAGACGTGAGAGAGCTTGTCCTCGACGCCGTACTTGGCAGCGACGGTGGCAGTGTCACCACCACCGATGATGACAATGGAGCCAGACTGGGCGGCCTTGACGGCGGCATCGAGGGTCTTCTCGGTACCGTTGGCGAAGGGCTTCAGCTCGAAGACACCGGGGGGACCGTTCCAGAGGATGGTCTTGGCCTGGCCGATAACCTCCTCGTACTTCTTGACGGACTCGGGGCCGACATCCAGACCCATGTAGCCGTCGGGAATGCCCTCGGAATCGGTGGCAGCGCCGACCTTGGCCTCGGCGGAGAACTTGTCAGCGGTGACGTAGTCGACGGGCAGGACGATCTCGACGTTGTTCTTCTTGGCCTTCTCGACGATATCGCCGACGATCTTGCTGCCGGCCTCATCGAAGAGGGAGTTACCGATCTTGACGTTCTCGAGGGTCTTCTTGAAGGTGAAGGCCATGCCACCGGTGATGATCAAGCTGTTGACCTTGGGGAGCAGGTTGTCGATCAGCTGGATCTTATCGGAGACCTTGGCACCGCCGAGGATGGCAAGGAAGGGGCGCTGGGGGTTCTCGAGAGCCTTGGCGAAGTACTCGAGCTCCTTCTTGACGAGGAAACCGGCGGCCTTCTGGGGAGAGGTCGACACCGACCATGGAGCTGTGGCCACGGTGGGCAGTGCCGAAGGCATCGTCTGAAGGAGATGGCAGTTAGTATAACAAAGAACTTCAAAGTTTAGCTCATAGAGGGCTCGTCACATACTGATGTAGATGTCACCAAGAGCAGTCAGGCCCTTGCGGAACTCAGCAACCTTCTCCTTATCGGCCTTGACCTTGTTGCCCTCGGCATCCTTGGAGGAACCCTCCTCCTCGGCGTGGAAGCGCAGGTTCTCCAGGAGGATGACCTGGCCACCGGTAGCCTTGTTGACGGTCTCCTCAACCTTGGGACCAACGCAGTCCTCGGTGAAGATAACGTTCTTGCCGTCGAGGAGCTTGGAGAGCTCAGCAACGACGGGCTTCAGGCTGTACTTGGGGTTGACCTTGCCATCGGGGCGGCCAAGGTGGGACATCAAGATGACGGCCTTAGCGCCGTTATCAATAGCATACTTGATGGTGGGCAGAGCACCGACAATGCGCTGGTTGTTGGTGATGTTCTTGTCCGCATCGAGGGGGACGTTGAAGTCGACCTATGGCGGGGTATAATGAGCCATTGAGATCTAAGGTCAAGGAAATCGGATCATTCAACATACCCGAATCAGGACACGCTTGTCCTTGAGGTCGACATCTGTGATGTTGAGCTTGTTGGAGAGAGACATTGTCGGCAAGATTCTATGTAAGTGATGTCAGCGGGGAGGCCGTCGTCAAGCTCACGAGAACGGTTTCAGCAGCAGTACCTCGACAATTGAAGACGATTGAAGCGAAGCAGAGAGAAGGCCAGAGAGAAGAGGGGGAAATACGACCAAGGAGAGGAGTCTTAATCAGGCCACGGTGAGTCGCGACAAGAAGGATGGAGGGGCTCGTGGAGGGACGTGGTGGGGCTCGCCGGTGAAGAGGGTGACTGCCGCATCGAGCTGGGTAGGAACGGGGTACGTACCGGTGATGTATTCGAGTGCTTCGAGTGACTTGTAAGGTCTATAGCATTTCCCTACAGCTTCGATGTATCTGTATAGCTCGCTCTACTTAACTCTTAGGTAACCCGACTTCCTCCGGACACATAAATCGGGCTGATGCGGGACTGATGTCAGAGCTTCCCGTTAACACGGAACAGGCCGGGCGTCCTGGGGTCCTCGATAGCCTCGGAGTCGGGGGATTCTGGGGAGATCGCTGGTCGCTGGTCCTCTGCCCGGATTCTCATTGGCTACGCTGGAATTGTCCATAGCCGCTACGCTGATGACCGCGGGTGTTGTGATACACTTCGTTCCATTTGTGAAAAAAAAAACAGAGCTTCGTTGCAAAACCCGAAGAGTTAACAGACATCAAAACATTCCTAACCAACATTAGGAGGTACCAAATACACTCCGTCGATGACAATGACCGAAAGAAAAAAAAAATATTGTACCCCGAGCGACTATTCCCAAATGCGAAAAACAAACCCAAGGTCCTTTTTTGAATGCAACCATGTCCTCCCCGCAAAACTTGATATCCCCTATACACAAAACCGGATATGCGGACTAACCGAGACCGAAACGCCGGAACAGATAGACCACGAGCAAAGACAAGTATGACAGGAGGGTAAATCGTTAACGTGACATTCGCTGTGTCGAGCGTACTCAAGACTCCTCGGTGGAGTTGGTGAGCGAGAGGTATGCGGTCCACGCAATACCAATAGACGAAACAAAAGGCTGGCATGCATGATTAGTCTGGAAAGTGACTGAATAGAAGGGACGGGGAGCTCACAATTTGGAACTGAATGGGAATGACTCGGAAGTTGAGGATTTGTACTGCCGGCCACAAGACAAAGTTGGCCTTCAACGTCGGCAAGTATACATCCCGGAACTTCTGGGTCAAGGCTCTCTTGCCTCCTCCTTCAGCGATGGTCATAAAGGTAAAGAAGCACGCCAGACCTAGAAGAACAATATCAGTACGAATTTCGACCAGAGGGGCAAGCAGACAAGCTCATACCGAAGGGCGCAAAGATCAACTGATCAAAAGCAACCCGCTTGAACACCGGAACACTTGGGTTCACTTTGGTGAGAGGGAATGCCCGAGACAAGAAGCCGAACCACTGGAATTGGACTGGTGCCATGAAGAAACCATATGCCATGAACCTCGTGACACGCTCAAAGTCGAACGGCGCCGGAGAGTGTGCCGCAGACCCAATCTCTCCAATAATGGGCGGTCTCCCCTTATCAAAATCATGAATCTCTATCGAGATAAAGTCGTTACTCTCATGGGATCGTTGAGCATTTCGAGCCCGGAAGGCAGTAATCAACTGCGCAACGGTATCCGCGACGCCACCAAGCACCTATATCAACCGTTCATTGTCAACCAGCGGATCCAAAGCATAGGGTATCGTGGATATCTCGGGAGCAGGGCGGGCTTACAGCGTTGGTGACCATCGTCGTGAGAACTATCGACCACAGATTGATTAGCATTCGAGCAGAGATTGGCCTCGGGACTCCACGGATTGACGCCTTACCCGGCTTCTCGGCATAGTAAGTGTTAAATTTGGTTGCGATCCGCGTAGCTACCGCCATTTCGATGAGGAAAATGATCGTGTGCAGGAGTGGCTATCAGTGGCGGAGCGGGTCAGCGCGGGCAACCTTGAAAAGAGGACACTCAAGCAAACACAAAGACGTACCACGCGACCGTAAATATATCTTCTATTCAGTCCATCAAGGACTTTCCGCTTTGCAGATGTAATCATGGCGGCAGAGGGCGAATGGGGGAACCGCTTTATGATCAATGAGGGTCGAAGGCAAGAAATCCGCCGGTGAGGTTCTAGGCTATCTCGCGTATGTATGACGCAAACTTCGGTGAGAACCAGGAGCCGGTATGTGCGTATGGACCGCCCGCTGGCCTTAGTATCGGAAAACCCCTGGAAGAATGCCGATGGTAGAGGAGCGGACGGGAATATATCAAGGACGAGGTTTACCCCAGATCGAAGTGGGCGAGTCGACTCCGCTCGACGGGAGGTTCATGACTAACGGGAACGGGGCCGAAGTCACGGGCGGCAGGAGTTCGGGGAAGCGGTGACGTCCGACTCGGTCGCAGACTCAGCCTTGCGCGGTTAGTTTCCACCCTATCATGGTCCATTGCTACCATATGTACGGAGCAGGGGGCCTGGAACAACCTGGGGGCAGATCTAACATCTAAGGCTTCGTTCTTTTTTTAGACTTATTTACAATCTTTGAATGAATGGTTTCAATTACTGTATATCGTACTCACTATACATACATACACCATATTTTATGTTCTTTTCAGTACAATCATGCACCTACTCGAGGCTGGTCATCGGCCAGAATGTCTGGCAGATCTCGAATATCAGTCGTTTCGTTCGTATTCACATCCACAAGGCGTACCGCTTCCAGATGGAGGGGGCCGGTTGCAAGGGGTAGGAGCTTGAGCTCGGTTGAGTGGCAGGTTCCAGGCAAGAGGGGGCTAATCGAGAGTGTTAGAAATGATCCTCCATAAATATTGGTGATCGCAGATTGATAAAAACTCACCCAACACGAATGTCAGTGCTCAAACTGATCAATTCAGCCTCCTGCCCAGCAACGCTCTTTTGCATCGCGTGCACGATATTGTCGTCCGTCACGGCCTCCGCCACATGATCCTCCTTCCGGCTCGAGATGGATGATGACGAGGGACGAGCCATATGGCCCCGCGGATCCACACGTTTGCGTCGAGGAATCGCAATCAAAGCGAATTTACGCGGTATGTTGGAACGATTTACAATAAACACGTCCCAAGAGAAAGGCGATCCAACTTGCACCCGAGAAGGACCGGAGAAGGAGATGGTAACTCCCACATCGGTGACCGAATAAGCTCGTTCTCGTAGAGACGGCCGGTTATTCAGAAGCGACCCGGTTTGAGCATGACCCTGGGGCATAGATAGGCTGGTAGGACGATTGCTTCTTTGAAGCGCCTGGCTGGGGCCGCCGAAAGTAGGGTTCAGAGGCAACGAAAAATCCACATTGGTCCGCCATTGCATCGTAATGCGAGGCTTGCAATCTTCGGACAGAACAATGACTGCTCCTAGCGAGATGTCCAGCATACTCATCATGGCAGTCGATGACGGGTTGGTCTCGGGACCATATTCAGGGGTAAGTTTATACATCAGGGTCACGTCGTCTCGAGGCCGACAGATTATGGGAAGCTCAAGACCTTGCACGGCCGATAAAGGCTCGAGCGTGCCCTCGGACAATTTGACATCCGCTTTATCAAAGCAGACCTCGCAGTTCAAAAAGGGAGTCACTTCGAAATCCAGACTGGCAACTGTAGTTGGGAGACCACTGTAAGAATTCAATCGTGAATAACGGATTCTGGCACTAGCTGCCGGGACCACACGAAAGGGGTGACCATGTTGCTGCTGGATGTTGTATATGGGATCCTCCTGATACGTTGTAGGTACGACCCGTAACAACCTTGACGCGGGGAGGAAGGGTTCTTTGTGGGCAAGAGCTTTATCTCCAGACAAGGGCTGGAACATGTTCGTTGACGCAGGTACAAGTGGAGGTAGGTAATCGTCTTCGGGGTCTTCCTGTCGGCTGGATTCCGAAGGATTGAGGCTCGCAGAAGCGATGAATAAGAGCGACGGGTTCGGAATGCGGTTTCGAGGGCGCTCTAAGGAATATTAGTCTGGGGATATTGCTTGCATCATCGTGGTGTGAACGCACTCAAGAATGTCTCCATGCTCCAAATGAGGTAGACATGGTTCCCAGTCCCATCTTCACCCTCGAACTCGTTGAAGATCACTAATGGTTCCTCTCTCGTGTCCACAATTCCAGAGAAGATTACCTCCCTAGCTGGAGTCGGGTTCTCCGCCACCGTCTCGGCAGGGTCGACCGCAAATACATCTAATCGGACTTCGAGACGAGGTAAATAATGTTTCAGTATGGTATCCGTGCAGTCTGAGAGTCGCAGTACAACTCGGATAGGGAGGGATTCGTCTAGAATATTTTTAGTAAAGTAAATTAAAAGTATAAGTAGGTGAGCAGGGCTGAGGCATACCAAAGAATAGAAGCGACCTCTGTGGAATAGAGGAAAGCACCGAGGGAAGATCGTCTGCCCCGTCCTCCAGGGCCGAGGTCAAGGCCCCTTCGATATCGATTGCTGGAGCATGAGGCACCACTGTGTCAAGGACAGCATGCCGTAGGAACTCGCCCGGGATTTCCAGGCCAGGCATTGCGACAGAGGTTGTCGCATGCAACAGTTGTCAAGTTCCCGTGTTCGGCGTGTTTGCGGGCAATAAGGAGATAGGGACCGCTGCCCTGATAAGATGGCAGGTGCAAACAGCACAAACATCCAAGCTTAATTCCACGCGCCTCTCTTTTTCACCTCGCCGACTCTTCACCGTCAACGTTCATCATGAATCCAATGACTGGTCCTTCGGGTGCGCCAGTTCTATGGCAGGAGGCACAAAATGCTGAAGGCAGAGTCTACTATTACAATGTGCAAACGAAGGTGACGCAGTGGGCCAAGCCGGCAGAGCTGATGACCCCCGTGGAGGTTTGTTCCCAACTACAATCAAACACATAGCTTTGAATTGGACTGACATTGCTCCTTTGATTATTTAGCGTGCCCTTTCCAATCAACCTTGGAAGGAATACACGGCAGAAGGAGGGCGCAAGTACTGGTACAACACGGAGACCAAGGAGAGCACGTGGGAGATCCCTGAGGTTTACAAAAATGCGCTCGCACAGGCTCCGGCTGCCCCAGCTTCAGTTGCTCCGGTGGCCCCTGTTGCGTAAGTGAAATTGCCTGCATATCAATCAATTTCAAGGCTAATGTCATTGCAGTGCCCCCGCCTTCGTAGCAGGCGGCGCCAGCTCTTTCGCACAACACCCCCATCGCGAGCGCGAGCGAGACCGTGACCGTGACCGCGATCGTGAACGTGACCGTGACCGCGACGACTATGATCGGGGATATAGAGACCGCCGAGGAGGATATGGATCCTACGATCCCAGCGAGATGATGGCTGCATCAGCTCTGGCGACCCAGACCGACCCCGAGTATGCCTCCCTTGAAGAAGCAGAAAGCGCCTTCATGAAAATGCTCAAGAGAAATAACGTTCAGCCCGATTGGTCCTGGGAGCAGACGATGCGCGCCACTATTAAAGATCCCCAATATCGTTCTCTGAGGAATCCGACCGATCGCAAGGCAGCTTTTGAAAAATACGCCGCCGAGGTTCGCATGCAGGAAAAGGATCGGGCGAAAGAACGATTCGCTAAGCTGCGTGCAGATTTCAATACTATGCTGAAGCGGCATCCTGAAATCAAGCACTACAGTCGTTGGAAGACCATCCGGCCCATTATCGAGGGCGAGACCACGTTCCGCGCTACCAACGATGAGAATGAGCGGCGCCAGCTCTTTGAGGAGTATGTGATTGAACTCAAGAAAGCTCACGTTGAACAAGAGTCTGCAACTCGCAAGGCAGCCATAGACGAGCTCATGACCATTCTCAACTCTCTCAAGCTTGAGCCGTATACGCGCTGGTCGGAGGCCGAGGCGGTCATAGAGTCTAATGATCAAGTCAAAGCCGATGATAAGTTCAAGACCCTCACCAAGTCTGACATTCTGACTGCCTTTGAAAATCATATCAAGTCTTTGGAGCGTGCATTCAATGATGCTCGGCAGCAACAAAAGGCTATCAGGACCAGAAAGGAGCGCCGTGGTCGTGAAGGCTACCTAGAGCTGTTGAAGGAGCTCAAGTCCCAAGGAAAAATCAAGGCTGGCAGCAAATGGATGGATATTCGTCCTATCATCCAAGATGACCCCCGGTATCAGGCAATTCTCGGCCAGTCCGGGTCAACCCCTCTTGACCTCTTCTGGGATGCGGTTGAGGAAGAGGAGCGCTCCCTTCGCGGCCCTCGTAATGACGTTTTGGACGTCCTTGACGTGAGTTTACCGAACTCTGAAATGATCTTACAAGCACTAACCATTTATTTAGGACAAACGCTACGAGGTTACTGCCAAAACTACGCTGGAGGAGTTCACCGAGGTTATGCTTTCTGATCGTCGGACTGCTAAGGTTGATTCCGACATCTTGAGTCTTCTTTTCCAGCGCATTCAAGAGAAAGCCGTTCGACGCGACGAGGAGGAGAAACATGCAGCTGATCGCCATCAGCGCCGCGCAGTTGACGCACTTCGCTCTCGGATTAAGCGTCTGGAGCCCCCTGTTCGTCTAACCGATACCTGGGACGAGGTTAAATCACGCCTGGAGAAGTACGAAGAGTACAAGGCTGTTGAATCCGACGAGCTCCGTGAATCCGCGTTCGAAAAGGTCATTCGTCGCCTAAAGGAGAAGGAAGAAGACGAGAAGGATCGTGATCTCCGGGATCGTGACCGGGATCGGGATCGCGAACGCGACCACAGCCGCCGTCGTGACTATGACCGAGGCGATCGCGATTATCGCAGCAGCCGTGGTGAACGACGTGGTGGCAGCCGAGTCAGCCGTACCCCCGAGCCTGATGCGTACGAGGCCGACCGCCGCAAGGCACAGGCAGACCGCGAACGATCCTACCGCAAGGTCAGCGCATTCTCCCCCTCTCGAGATCGTCGTGATGATCGTGAACGCGACAGAGGAGATCGCGATCGCGAGCGTGATCGTTACCGCGAGCGTGAGCGTGAACGTGATCGGGGAGATCGTGATTATGAACGACGTCCCGGCGACCGGCGGGAGGACGAGCGCGAGCGTCTCTATCGCACTCGTGGAGATCCCCGCGGTGGCCGCGACGAGCTTGATTACGGTGAAACTCGTAGCACTGCCACTCCGGATCGTCGACGCCGTCGGGAGAGCGACTCTGAGAGTGTGGCTAGCCGGTCAACGAAGCGATACCGCCGCGATAGCCGTGAGCGAGACCGGAGCAAGGGCCCTCGACGCGGCGGACGGGAACGCTCTGCGATCCCAGAAGCAGCAGAGAGCAAGAAGGACGAGAAGGCCATTCACTCTGGTAGCGAGGAGGGAGAGATCGAGGAGGATTAAACTGGGTCGTTTGTACATCGATGAACTCGGCGTTACTACTATATCTTGAATATTGGAGTACAGCACAGCTCGACCATCATTCAATCGTAATCTAAATATGCCCCTGTCTACGATACAGGCTGGCTTTCTCCTATTCCATGCCCCCTCTTTGCACAAACGATAGAATAAATGGCTGCCTGGCCCATTCTGAGGCTATCTGCGTAGTTTCAGACGGAAGAATATACTCCGCAGGGAAAAACCTCCGTCGAACCAGGTGGATCGTTTCAACGCGATCACCATCCTGTGCACAATAATTCCGAGACAAGGCTCCCTCATTGTGGGGCTCCAAGTCTTAGTGCTAACCTTGGTAACCTTAGTTCCGACCTAGTCAGGATATGGTGAAACGTGTAAATGCTGAAGATTCCCCTGCGCTAATATGCAAACCACCTTGCCGACGAACTAGACATCCTTGTCGAGCCCTGCATGCACGAGACCCCTTTTCTTGTTGTTTATTTCTCCGTCATGCGCCCCACGGAACGATTAATCCTCGACACAGTGCGGAGCATGGCCCCGTTCACCAAGATGAGCATGTCGATGGGAAAACAACCGATTGGCAGGCATTCAAACTTGCAGGACAAAGTTGGACCCTTTCTGATCCTGTTCAGGAATAACGTCCGGGCTATCATTTGTAGCTTGTTTCGAGCTATGAAGCTCGCATAAAAGGGAAGCGGTTTCCTCGATGGAACAGTTCCAAGAACTCAACAAAGCCTTTGACCATCAAGACAAGATTCTGGAAATCATCTTGAACATCACAATGCCTCAAATCTTCAACTATCTCGCCATTGGAGCTCTGGCAGCTTGCGCTGTGGCCACTCCCGTTGCTGAGCCTGCCATCACGGCCGCTCCCAGCCTTGAGAAGCGTGCTACCTGTACCTTCTCAGGCTCCAAGGGTGCTTCTTCTGCCAGCGCCTCGCAGAAGTCCTGCGCTACTATTGTCCTCTCCGACGTGGCCGTTCCCTCTGGAGTCGCATTGGATCTCAGCAGCCTGAACGATGGAACTCACGTAAGACCTCCTGCTACTCTCTAAGTTTCCTGTTTGTTTTCACTCATCCTCATTGTATTTGGTTTAGGTCATCTTCGAAGGCACCACTACTTGGGGCTACAAGGAGTGGGATGGTCCTATGCTCCAGATCAAGGGCAAGGATATCACCGTCACCGGTGCCAGCGGCGCTAAGCTCAACGCTGACGGAGCTCGCTGGTGGGACGGCGAGGGAAGCAATGGTGGCAAGACTAAGCCTAAGTTCTTCGCCGCTCACAGCCTGACTGGCTCGTCCAGTATCAACAACCTCTACATTGAGAACACTCCCGTCCAGGCCGTTAGCATCAACGGCTGCGATGGTTTGACTATCACCGACATGACCATCGACAACAAGGCTGGTGACAGCGCTGGTGGTCACAACACTGACGGTTTCGATATCGGCTCTAGCAGCAACGTTGTTATCAAGGGTGCTACCGTGTACAACCAAGACGACTGTGTTGCCGTCAACTCGGGAACTGTAGGAACCCCTTTATGAGAAATCTCGGACGCATGACTGCTAACTATCTCGCTAGGACATCACCTTCAGCGGCGGTTACTGCTCTGGGGGTCACGGTCTGTCCATTGGCAGCGTGGGAGGCCGTTCAGACAACACCGTCGATACTGTCACCTTCAAGGACTCTACGGTCACCAAGTCTGACAACGGTAACCAACCTTTCATCTGTTCCCGCAAACTCCAGGGCTAACTCGAGATATCTAGGTATCCGTATCAAGGCTACCGAGGGTACCACCGGTACCATCAAGGGCGTTACTTACTCTGGCATCACCCTTTCCTCCATTGCCAAGTAAGTTACACAATATTCCACGCCTATCGTTGTCGAATATTCTGACTAACAACCATTTATAGGTACGGTATCCTGATTGAGCAGAACTACAAGGGCGGCGACCTGAAGGGTGACCCTACCAGCGGTGTCCCCATCACCGACCTCACTATCTCTAGCATTTCCGGCTCTGGCGCCGTCGCCTCCAGCGGTTATGACATTGCTATTGTCTGTGGCAGCAGCGGCTGCTCCGACTGGATCTGGAGCAACGTCAAGGTCACCGGTGGTAAGACCTATGGCAGCTGCCAGAACGTTCCCAGCGTTGCTAGCTGCTAGATCCTTTGATTTCCCGTAAGTCTTTGGAACTGGTAGGTGTTGAACAGGAAAGATGGGATATTGTTGATCGTTGATGCTTTGTACTATCATTCGAGTTTCTATTCTTCTGTCACTTATTTTGAGACCATATTTAGTCACTTAAAGGGCGGGCTTTACCCTTTTTTGCCGTTTATTTGAATATTCGTATACCACCATCTGCACTTGCGGTACCAACCACGCATCGCAACCCTATTGTAGCACATTTTCCCTCGTTGGCTTCCGGATTAATCAATTCTGGAGCCCATCGAATGCAATTGACAAAGCGCCTGTGTGCCTTGTCTATAGTCTTCACCAACCTCCCATTCTGTGATAGATCCCAGCAGCGGACAGTACAGTCATCGCCCACGCTAAGCAAATATCTCCCTCCAGGATGAAACGTCAAATCCCGAACCCAGCTGTCATGACCAATTAAGGTCTTAATCAATCTCCCTCTCACATCCCAAAGATTCACACTGTTGTCTCTCGCACCTGTAGCCACAAATTCTGCATGACCTCCAACTGACGGAACAACTTTCAATCCACCCAGTGCAGCCAAGTATTTATAACTCGCCGGAGGAGCAAAAACACAACATTCAATGTGGTTATCATGGCCGCGTAAAAACGATCTAGCTTCGCCAGACGCAACATCCCATATTGTCGCAGCTTGACCGCGCCCACCTGTGACTAGATACCTTCCATCAATCGAGGGAGAGAGGCTGCATATCCAATCGCCATGCGAGTATATCGTCCTGGTGCAGTACCCCGTGGCTACATCCCATATGCGAATCGATGCGTCTCGACTAGCCGAAACAAGCCGGTTTCCGCCTGATCGTAGAAACCGTACAGCTGTGACGCAGCGGTCATGACCGGAAAGGGTTCGAATGTTAGTATAGTCGTTGGTTGGATCCCATATCTTAATTGTGAGATCGTCCGAGCTTGATGCGAGTAGTTCGTTGCCCTTTTGACCACCAAAGTCCAGGTCTGTCACGCTTCGGGAATGTCCCTTGAGCGTTCGTTCGAGTTCGCCATTTTCCCAATCCCAGATTTTGATGGTGCAGTCCTCCGATCCAGATGCTAATGTAGAGTACATCGGGTGGAAAGCAATGCATGTGACGGCTGCTCTATGGGACTCCAATGTATAGGCTGGGTCACTGGGAAGCCACTTATCTGGATCTCGATTTGGTCGTGTCATGGCTTTTGAAGAGGATTCTAGCTGCGACTGTAGACGATCTTTTTCTAACTCCAGCCTTATGATCTTATAACAATGGGTCAGTGTATCTGGCCTGAGCGCGCCGACACGGTATAGGCACCTGTTTTTGAAGCATGGAGACTTTCGTCCATTTTCGCTCTAATATCCTCGCATACTTTTTGACTTTCTCGTTCGGGAGCGGCTCTTTTAATTGTAGTTCTTCTTGTAAGACGGCGACGCATTTCGATGCATTGAGTAGTGATAGATAGCCTATCATTGCTTTATGGCTGTAAACCCACATTAGTAAAGGATCGGCGGTAAGGTGTGAAGCACCTACAGTTCCGTCGCTTGACTCTTAGTCAATACACTCATGACGGCGATAGAAGATGTTGTTGAAATATGCTTTTCAGCCTGAATCGAGGGGTTCAACTCCTTTTAAAGACGCATCCCTTTGTTACTCTCGGATTTGTGCATGGACATGATGCGGCTGCATGGAATCACATGATTAGAAGGCACAATGCGAGGAGAGACAGATATGTTAATCGCGCTATTGGAATATCTGCAATGAGACTATCATGTATGAAAGTGAGACGATTTCTAACAGACTGGCTAGATCCTTCCAGGATAAGGTTGCTTCCGCCAGTCTGGGTCTGTTGGTAGTGGGGGCGACCATCAAAGGGATAGCTCCCTATCATCCTGGGTGTGACTAAATTCTACGTTAATTATGGCCTCCTGTGGACTTCTCGCCGTAAATATGATACTAGGAATAATTATGTGGTAGTTTTAGTAGGATTCCACCGAGCTTCCATGACTTAGGTATTCGGGTGTTTTTTCTGTCTTGAAAGGTGGAGTAGGGGGGAAGATATATCGTTGCAGTAGATCCAACGCGCATAAGACCGATTTTGGCCAGCGGTCCATCTAGGCAGACTAAAATCTCTCTTTTAATGACAGGCGGATAATTCTCATTTGGAAATATTGTTTTTGCCTAAAATGATTTTTGTACGGGTGGTACAGCCTGAGACAGGAGTCTATATCCACTGGAGTACGACAAATTCAAGACTACAGACTCGTGCCGACCTCATTCCAAACCTTAAGGTTACCTTTTTTTCGCCGATCGCGTAACTGAACAATCTTTTGGGATGAAGCAGAGTCCTAGAGTAGGTAAATAGTTTACAAGGAATAAACCCGATTATTTGAAAGAATTGAATGTGCAAAAAACTAGCAGGCCTGAAACCATATACATGATGGATCGACCAGATGCAAGAAAAATCCAGCTGTTCAACAAATGACCATCCTTCGCTCTCCCTTGGCCTTCAAGCCACATCCTGAAAGATATCCACCTCTATCGATCATCAAGTCATAGAAAGCTTTTTGGTAACCGAACCCTCAGCCCAGAATACAAAAGAATTAACTCCGGTGAAACAACCATGCCAATCGAAAAATCCCCCATGTTATCGTAAAGGAAAAAGTGTTGGGTGAGTTCAGATGGCAGGTGTTCCCGTCTAAACACTAGAAATTTCGGACGTGCGACCGAATTCCCAGAGCCATGAGGGTATGGGCAGACAGACGATGACGAGTTGAGATGATTGATGGTCTCGGGATGTGGAGAAGTACAGCTGAAGCGAAGACCTAACGGAGCATGCCATTGTCTCCTAACCGATGTTCTCGTTCACACCCAATCATCTATCATCCGTCGTCATCCTCCTCGCCATCATTCAGAAAGTCCTCTCCTTTCCCAGGAGAAATCCCGATGGGGCGACGGAGCTTTCTACCCTGAACCGCTAGGGCCCTGCAAAGACCGGGAAACGCCATTCGCCAACTGACTCTTCCATTGCCGCGTCGCCATTTGTGCCGCTGCTTCGAATCGCGGCCATCATGATTGCGACGACGGCGTCGGTGTTTGTGAGGAAAGCCCTCTTCAGTTCTCTTCCTCGAGGAAGTAGAAGTTGCCGGCCAACTTCTGCTCCTGATCCATCTGACTGTTGTACTTGTTGATACGAGGGCGGTAACTGTTGGGGTCACGACGGAAAGTGACATCCAGGCTCTTGAGGAACTTGTTGCAACCAGTGACCAGAGACTCGGGAGTGTTGGCGTGAGCGTCGACGGAAGGCTGTCCGTCGAAGACGATAACGCGGTCAGCCAGGTAGGTGGCCATGATGAAATCGTGCTCAACGATGAAGGCAGTCTTCTTGGTGTGCATAATGAAACGCTTGATAACACGGGCAGCGATGATACGCTGCTCGGAGTCCAGGTAGGCACTGGGCTCGTCAATCAGGTAGATATCGGCGGGGATACCAAGGGCAAGAACGATGGCAACACGCTGCAACTCACCACCAGACAGGTTCTGAACCTCCTGGTCAATGAAGTCGTCGATCTTGAGCGGCTTGTAGACATCGGTCTGGAATTGCGGGGAAAGGAAAGCAGCCTTGATACGCTTGAAGAAGAGCTGGCGGACGGTACCCTGGAACTTGGGAGTGATCTTCTGGGGCTTCATGCTGATGTTCATCTTGGGAACAGAGCGGTTGCCGTCGGGCTTCTCGGCACCAGCAAGCATCTTACAGAAGGTGGTCTTTCCGGTTCCGTTCTCACCCATCATGACGATAATCTCGGAGTCGGTGAACTGACCCGCGTCGATCTTGAGGTGGAAGTTGCCGAGAGTCTTCTCCATGGCGGGATAACCGTATGCGTGGGCCTTGTCCGCAATGAAGTCGTCACCGGCCTCAGCCAGACGGAAAGTCAAGGACTCCTCACGGAAACGCAGGTTCTCAGTGGGGATGTTACCGTCAAGGAAGATGTTGATACCCTCACGAACGGAGGAAGGCAGAGTAACGACACCATAGACAGCAGGGCGACCGTAGAGAACGCAAATGAAATCGGAAAGATAATCAAGAACCGAAAGATCGTGCTCGACAACAATGACGTAGTCATCGGGACGGAGAAGGCCGCGGATAGTACGGGCAGCAGCCAGACGCTGCTTGACATCGAGATAAGAAGAGGGCTCGTCGAACATGTACCTAAAAATCTGGTAAGAGGAATGGTTCAATCTGTGATTCGAGTTTCCGGAAACTTACACGTCGGCCTTCTGGACACAGACGAGACCGATGGCGAAACGCTGCAGCTCACCACCAGAAAGGTGACCAATGTCACGGTCCGCAACCTGGTTCAGCTCTGAAGTTTTCAATTAGTCAATGTTTTCAACCAAGCCAAGACACTTGATGATGTTCCATACCAAGCACATCCATGATCTCCTTCATGTTATCCAGCTGGACACGAGCCTTGATGAGATCCTTCACGCCCTGGACGGGACCCTTGACGGCGCGGGGAATCTGATCGACATACTGAGGCTTGACGACAGCCTTCAGGTTGTCCTCCAAGACCTTGGTGAAGTAGTCTATTTTATTTGATCAGTCGTTGCCCCTCAATATGATTATCAGGTTTGCTTGGGTTTCACGCACTCTGCAGCTCGGAACCACGGAAGTACTTCAGAATCTCCTCCCAGTCAGGAGGGTTGTCGTAGCGGCCCAAGTTAGGCTTGAGCTTGCCACTCAGAATCTTCAACGCGGTACTCTTGCCGATACCGTTTGTTCCAACGAGACCGAGGACCTGACCGGGGCGAGGCATGGGCAGACGGTGAAGCTTGAAGCTGTTGGCGGAGTAACGGTGGGTGACCTGGCTCTCCAGGTTGGTGGGCAAGTTGATAATGTTGATAGCGCCGAAAGGGCACTTCTTGGGGCAGATACCACAACCGATGCAAAGGCTCTCGGAAATGAAGGCGATCTTCGAGTCGGAGGTGACTTCAATGCAAAGCTTACCCGTGCGGACGACGGGGCAAGACTTCTTGCACTCTTGACGACATTTCTATAGCAAGCTAGGTCAGCATCTTGTGAAATCGATGTCGACCATTTATCCAGATCCATACCTTCGGTTTGCACTGTAGATCGAGGAAATTTCAGGTAAGCCGGTCATGAACGAGGTATTCGACGCGCGAGTAACGCAAGGTTAGCGGGGTAGTTGGGGACGAACCTTGTCACTGTTGACAATGGCAATACTAGAGGCAAGATAAACGTTAGAAATGCGCAAATTTTCTTTTGAGAAGGCACCCAAACATACCGGGTAAGCTTGTCAGACATGGTGGCGGCGTTGGGTCTCGAAGAACCACGATCAAGTATCAAAGGCGGGTATCAAAAAAGTTTGACAGCGAATAGTTGTCGCGTGCAAGAGCTGTCAAATCAGGGCGAAGCAAAATGCCGGCGCAGGCAAAGCAATCAGGCGCGGATGAGCACCAAGTTTCTGCGCGGACTCGAACTGACGGATGAAAGACAGGACAATCGCGACGACGAGAGAGGGGCAGAATTGAACGCTTTCTTTCTTATTGTGGGCTGGGCTGCCTGAGGCTACGACGTAGTGACCGCCCTGAATGGACGCATTTCTTTCGGGTGACGCTGATTGGCGGGGCTGCGCGGAGCGGAAGAAAGGTTCTCCCGGGCCAACTCGAGTTAATCCGACCGCGTGATACACGGGAAGGTCACGGGACTGCCAGCTGGCCAAAGAAGCGAAGCCACTAGTCCCAAAGAAGACGAGGTACTGCTGCCTTGTTGCCTGAGGGCCGAGGCCGCCGAGCCGATCGTTCTGCAAACCAAACCAAACCGAATCAAACCTCCCCCAACTCTTCTCCCTCACTCGTCTCTACTTCCCACACCCGGATGCCCGTCATCACACCTCCCCACCCACCATTCCTTTCTCACGTTGATACGCTAGTCCCCCCTCTTGCGGGGTCACCACGCTATGGAGTGTAAGTGATTTTATTCTGCTTTCCCTCAAAGCGCGGACGTACTGCTTGACCGGGCTGCCCGCGTACTTCTCCGCGTTGCTCGACCCACAGTCAGAATCCCCGATTTCCGTACTGTCTCTCGGGATCGAGGCGTTTCTTGACTCGTTTGACGTATCTCGGATGGAATCATCCTCTGAGAGTGGGTTGTCGGTGCCAATCTCCTCGTGGCTGCTTCCCCCAGTCCTGCTCACGCCCATCCCACCCCGTTATCAAAAAACATCGATCATCATCAATCTTGATATACTGCATGACTGTACCGATATCAAGCTCAATTGCCCTGCGGGTTGAGTCGCGTATCATTACTCTACCGTCTCCCGTGTCTTCGGCGTGCCTCCTGACCGGAATCGAGCTTCAATGCTGACTGCCCCTCTCGTCATAGCCTCCAGCATGGTGATCCCATCGGGTCAAGAACCTCATATCTCCTCAACCGTACAAAACGGTTACTCGCATTCCTCTGTGGATGAAGACGCGCCCGCAGAGTTCGATATCCCTACCAAGCACGAGTCCAATCCGTCCGGGCTCGTCGAGTCGCATCCCGTCTCCGAGTCCTCATCCGAACCCGATGCCGCAGACGACTCATATGAGGCGGAGTCTCAGGCTTCAGATGGAGAAGATGAAGATGTTGTGATGGAAAACAGTGGTGATGAGTTCGCTCAGTCTAGCCGTGAAAACTCTTCATCGCCAGAACCAGACCGCGGCGTGAAGCGAAAATCATCGCCGCCAGACGAAGTCGAGTTCATGCGACAAAACCCAGATCTGTACGGCCTTCGCCGTAGTGGTCGCGCACGCCAGACACGTCATCTCGTCGACTCATCCGATTCCGATTCGGATGTTGTCGCGCCACGCTCCAAGCGCCGGCGCAAAGAGCCCTCGCAGCAACCCTCCAAGACCTCGCGATCGGCCACGAATTCCTCCTTCTCAGAAACCGATAGTGACGAGTATGGTGGCAAGGGTGCCCGAGCAAACAAGGCTCGGCGACGTCGTCTAAAACAAGCCGCCAGCACAGAACCATCCTTTGCCGAGGTCCGCTTCTCCACGCGAAACGCCTCGAAGATCTCCAATTACAACGAAGATGAAGATGACGAGATCTTTGAAGAAGATCCAGATGAGGTCATGGACAATTACTGGGCACAGAATTACGTGGAGGATACCCGCCCTGCAGTCGATGTCGTTCTAAACCATCGGTTAAAGGAAGGCTTGGATCCCAAAAACCCCGACGTCGATCGCCAAGACTTTGAGTTCTACATCAAGTGGCAAGACAAGTCGCATGTTCATGCCACTTGGGAATCAAACGGGTCTTTGGCCAACTATCGCAGCACACGTCGCGTGGACAACTACGTTCGTAAGGTGCTCAACGAGGAGCTCCGGCTGCTCCATGATCCCGATGCGCCCCCAGAGGACCGGGAGAAGTGGAACCTTGATCGGGAACGAGACGTCGAGGCCATTGAAGACTACAAACACGTTGAAAGGGTCATCGGTGTTCGAGAAGGCGAGGACGGTACGACCGAGTATCTCGTCAAGTGGAAACGACTGTTCTACGACTCATGTACCTGGGAAGCCGAGGACTTGGTCAGTGATATCGCACAGAGCGAGATTGACCGTTACATCGACCGCTCAGCTCGTGTGCCCGTCTCGGACAGGAACGAGTCGAACCCCGCTACGCGCCGGCCATTCGAACGTATTCAGTCTTCCCCCGACTTTCTGCAGAATGGTGAACTCAAGGACTTCCAGATTAAAGGTCTGAATTTCTTGGCGTTCAACTGGGTGAAAGATCGCAATGTGGTCTTGGCAGATGAAATGGGACTTGGAAAAACGGTCCAGACAGTCTCTTTCATCAATTGGCTGCGGCACGTTCGGCGTCAGCAAGGCCCATTCATTGTCATTGTCCCGCTGTCAACCATGCCGGCATGGGCTGATACCTTTGATAACTGGACACCAGACTTGAATTATGTCGTCTACAATGGTAGCGAGAAGGCGCGTGCTGTTCTCCGTGATTACGAGTTGATGGTGGATGGTAATCCCAAGCGGCCAAAGTTCCACGTCCTCCTTACCACCTATGAATACGCTATGAATGACTCTCCCTTCCTCGGCCAGTTCAAGTGGCAGTTCATGGGGGTTGATGAGGCCCATCGTCTCAAGAACCGTGATTCGCAGCTTTACGTTAAGCTCAGTGAGTGGAAGTGCCAGGCACGTCTTCTCATTACGGGCACTCCGATTCAGAACAATCTGGCTGAGCTATCCGCTCTCATGGACTTCCTCAATCCTGGCATGGTCCACGTGGATGTCGACATGGATCTCAACTCGGAACATGCATCACAGAAGCTGGCCGAATTGACCGATGCTATTCAACCGTTCATGCTGCGTCGCACCAAATCAAAGGTTGAGTCCGATCTTCCTCCCAAGACGGAGAAGATTATTCGTGTTGAGCTTTCTGATGTTCAGCTGGAGTACTACAAGAACATTCTGACGAAGAACTACGCTGCTTTGAATGATGGCGCCAAGGGCATGAAACAGTCGTTGTTGAATATCATGATGGAGTTGAAGAAAGCTAGTAATCACCCATTCATGTTCCCCAATGCAGAGGCGAGGATCTTGGAAGGTAGCACTCGGCGAGAGGACATCCTTCGTGCCATGATCACCAGCAGTGGCAAGATGATGTTGTTGGACCAACTGCTTCGCAAGCTGAAGACCGACGGTCATCGTGTTCTGATCTTCTGTCAGATGGTTGGCATGCTTAACATTCTCAGCGAATACATGGAATATCGTGGCTACAAGTACCAACGCCTCGATGGTACCATTCCTTCGGCTGCTCGTCGGCTGGCCATTGAGCACTACAATGCCCCAGAGAGCACAGATTTCGCTTTCCTCCTCTCCACAAGAGCCGGTGGTCTTGGAATCAACTTGATGACCGCTGATACTGTTGTTCTCTTTGATTCCGATTGGAACCCTCAAGCCGATTTGCAAGCCATGGCGCGAGCTCATCGAATTGGTCAAACCAGACCTGTCAGCGTCTACCGCCTTGTATCCAAGGATACTATTGAGGAAGAAGTCATCGAGAGAGCCCGGAACAAGCTCATGTTGGAATTCATCACAATCCAGCGTGGTGTGACTGACAAGGAAGCCACTGAGATGCAGAACAAGATGGCTCGTGTGGTCAACGAACCCAACTCCACGGAAGATATCTCCCGCATCCTTAAACGGCGTGGCCAGAAGATGTTCGAGCAAACTGATAACCAGAAGAAGCTAGAGCAGCTTGATATCGACTCCGTTCTCGCAAACGCAGAACTGCATCACACCGAGCAGGAGGAATCGATCCAGGCAGACGGTGGTGAGGAGTTCTTGAAAGCCTTTGACTTTGTTGACATCAAGGTCGATGATCTCACATGGGACGACATCATTCCTCAAGAGCAGCTGGAAGAGATTAAGGCGGAAGAGAAACGCAAGGCAGACGAGAAGTACCTTGCGGAGGTCATCGAGGAAAACAGGCCTCGGAAGCGCCACGCTCCCGCTGAATCCAAAGAGACACGTGGAGAGCGCCAAGCCAAGCGCCAGGCAAGGGCACAGGTCGCTATGGAAGACGACGAGGAAGATAGCAGCTCCCTGGATCCGAAGCGTCCACTGGAAGAGAAGGAGTACCGATCACTCTCGCGGGCCTTCCTACGTTACGGTGACTGGGCAGATTGTGAAGAGCTCATTGTCGAGGATGCCCGGTTGCAAAATCGTGACCGAGAAACGGTCCATGCGGCTCTCCGTGAAATCACAGACAAGGCTGCCTCGCTTGTCCAGGAGAATTTGGCCCAGATGGAGGCTATCAAGCAATCCGGCAAGAACTTGACGAAGAAAGAACAGAAGGCTGTTCTCTTTGACCATCACGGCGTCAAGCGCCTCAATGCTTGGACCATCGTCGACCGTCCGCCCGACATGCGTCTCGTGCGGAAGATTACAACCTCTCTCCCAGACTTCAAGACTTTCCGTCTTCCAGAAGCCACCAAACTGGCCGACTACAGCTGCCCATGGGGTGCTCGCGAGGATGGAATGCTTCTTGTTGGTATTGCACGCCATGGATTTGGAGCTTGGACGCAGATCCGGGACGATGTTGATCTGGGCCTGGGCGATAAGTTCTTCCTGGAGGAACACCGAGTGGAACGGAAGACTCAGCGTGCTCAAGGGGAGGAAAAGTCTACCAAGTCCCCCGGAGCTGTTCACCTGGTCCGTCGTGCAGAGTATTTGCTCTCCGTCATGAGGAACAAGCACAGCAACGGTAGCAACGTCAACGCGAAACGAGCCGTCGAAAACCATCATCGGAACAATAAGCGGACCTCGCGCGTTGGCAGTGGCAGCGTTTCTGCATCTCCCGCCCCCTCTGCTCGCAAGGGTCACCGTGAGGCTGACCGCTCACGACCTCGTTCCTACACGCATGGCAGCCGTGATTCCGGTGACCGTCACCACACTCCAAGCCATGACCGCCCCAGGTCGGGACAGGATGGTGACCGCCCTCGCCACCGTACCTCTGACGCAGCCAATGATGAGGCTCGTCGTCGCAAGAGTCACGAGAATGGCAGCTCAAGCAAGGAAGACATGGCGAAAGCGTTCTTCCGGCCTATCGTGCCGAACCTTAAGCAGGTCTCCATGATTACGGCGAAGAACTATCCCAACAAGCATGAGCGAGCTCTCAAGCTCCGCAACACGATTGTGAAGATTGGGAAATTCATCCGCAACACGCTGGAAGGCGAGCAGTCTATGCCTTCCCTTGAGAAACGTCTGTGGTAAGTACTGATTCATCTGGTGTTGCTGTTGCAAGTTATTAACATGAAATTTAGGGATTATGTTTCCGCCAACTATTGGCCCAATAAGGAGGCCAGCGGATCCAAACTCCAGCAGATGTTTGACAAGGTCATGGAAGCCAGCAAGGCCGACAAGGCTGACGGTGAGAAGAAATCGAACGGTTCATGATCCTAAAGGATCGTGCCGCTCGATACCTCAGTCGGGCTGGTTCTTTCTTTGTTTTCTCGTGGCGAAAAGCCACGACATTCGTGTTGAGCACGGTCCTTGACGCCTGGCACACCCGAGCCTCCAGATCTCCCTCCCCCCGTTTCCCCCCCCCTCCCCTTTCCCTCCCTTTCCCTCCCTTTCCCTCCCAGCTAGGCCGGTGTTAATCAACCAGATGAAATGTCAATGACTTTCTTTTTTTGATTAAAAAGTACAGTACATATGGATGCGAGGAGTTGCATGGCATTGCGAAGGCGTCGGAATGGATTGCGATTCACGCGTTCAAAAATGCTTACACAGCATGAATAGGAGAATTCCGATGCGACTTACCTTGAATATGATTCAAACGTCAAGACGATTATTTGCATGGCGTGTTTGGTGCACTTTTCTAAATTCCCTAGGAGTTGTTTCTTACTTTTGCTTTCTGTTGGTAGATCACCGTGGACCCTCGACGCCGGTCTCTACTGAGATCTTGCTGAATCGGGATACATGTGGTTTACTCTCAGTACTCTCTTGTTCTCATTTCGTTTTCTTTTTAAACATCTCTCACGTTTTCACGCATGGCCCCGGTCTCGTTTCTTGCCATTTTGGCCGCGGCCGTTTTTCTTTCGCGTTGTTAATTTCTGTTTTCGTTCTTGAGCACATGTATCCTATGGAGTGGCCATCATGGCGTTGATTGATTTGTTGCCTCTTTTCAGAAGATCATTCAACTAGTCGGGAGCACTAGTCTTGTCTTACATGTTACTTCTTTTCCATTTTCTTGTTAGATTGAATCGAATCGAGACTGGCCAGAGCCTTGCTAAGATCTCGGCTTGGAATATCACCTCTTTCGAGTTCCCTGCTAAAGTCGTAGCCAAGGGTGCAGTGTAGATTAGGGAATACAGTAGCTTCGATCGGTCATTTAGAAGATGCTTTTATTCATTGCTTTATGAATTAGATCGTGGGACCGGGCTATAGTAGGGTAGTCAGCGCTGTCTCGCAGTCAGAGAGTAAGCTCGTTCATGGAATCCCTCCTCGCTGCCTCGACGGCCTCTGGGGGCGGTCCAAGGCACAGTCGATGTAGAACTGGGTGTTTGCCGGTACTTATGGTTGACCAGGTAAGATACTGTGCTTTAAGAATCACATAAAGCGTGGGACGCGTTGTACACCGAAAACCAGAGCTTCCCAAGCGCCCAGACGATTATGATATTTAGTCCTGGGAGTCAAGAGTGACTTCCGAGCAGCGGTCATCCTCTCGGCTGATCTAGAGTGAGAATAGAGTTCACTTGGAAGTGATAGATAGAGTTGACCATATTGACATTGGTCTCGAATTTGAAAGCGATAAAGGCTGAACTATAAAGAGTCCGCGATCCAATGTTTCAAAAGAAAGGATATTCGATATTCCCCGAAAGAATATGGAGAGAAAATAGATGATATAGTCGTACAGATGTTCGTGCCGCCTTTCCCTTTCCAAACAGAAACAGATATACAAGGCTATCACAACGCCGATCACGCCAGAAAGGAACAAAAAAGGAATATAAATGTCACAGAAAGAAATAAGTCGAAGCCAGGGAAATTTAAGCAGCAGCATCGACCTCACCCTCAGCAACCTCAGCGGACTTGGCCTGTAATTGCTCCTGCTGTTGCTTAAAGTGCAATTGCTGGTGCTGGAGCTTTTCCAGACTAGTAGCCAGGTTTCCAGGTGCCGCTGGAGGAGCGTCGATATCACCAACGATGGCGCTAAAGAGCCGCAGCTCAGCGTCGATGACATCGTCGAAGATGGCTTCCTTCTCCAGCCAGGACTGCTCGCGCTTCGGTCGAAGCTCGTCCCATTCGGATTTTAGCTGTGTGGTTTCTTTCTCTGCCCAGAATATCTGGCGTCGGAGCAGGCGGTATAGATCGCGTGGGGCCATGGCGAGCTCGCGCTCGTCGAAGCCGAGCTCTGGTCCGAATTCCGGCATGCTTGTGTCTTCCGAGTCATCATGTGCGGTGATAGTGGTCAAGATAGGCTCGTTGGGATGGTCTGTCTCGCTACCGGGCTCTTTTGCTGGCTGTGAAAGCTTGAGGCGGATGCGTTGGAGCTTCGACACTGGGGTACCCGTCACGCTACCAGCGGCCGCGGCCTTGACCTCGGTAGGTCGCAGATTGTCGAGTTCGTGGACAGAGCGCATGTGCTTTGTTAGGGCGTCCGAGCGGGTAAAATTACGATCACACTCTGTAGGAAGGACGTTAGCAGGGCGATACGGGACGAAACCGAGGAGGTTGGTAGTAGGGAGTCCAAGAGAAAGAGGGGGAAATATGAACTTCCGGTGACGTACCAGGGAGGGTGCAGTAAAAGGGTTTCTCTCGAGTATGGCTCCTCATATGCGCACGCAGGGCATATGCGCTGGCATGCGTTTGACCTTTACGGGAGCAATCCATCCACTCGCACGAGTACCGCTTCTGCCGGGTCCCGATATGCTCGTTGTGGATATGTTGTACCAGGCCATCCATATTGCCGAGGTCACCTGCCGTGCATCCATCCCATAGACACACGGTTACTTGATCGCCGCTCTGGCCGCTATAATCATCCTCTTGGGTGTTGCCGCCCAGCGCAGCACCGAAGAGGAGAGGGGAGTTGGGGATTTCGCCGGAGGTGTCGGAGGAGATTGAAGCTGTTGGCGAAGGGGGAGGCGGGACTTCGTCTTGGAGAGAGGACATGGGGGTGTGGCGGTCCCAAGAAGCTACCCCTGTACGACGGCGCTTTGATGGGGGCATATTGGAAGCTGACGGCGATTGAGCGCGGCTCTCATGCTTAACGGAGTCGCGATCTGAGTCGTCGGCGGTGCCGATGGAGGACAGGGGGAAGCTTCACGGGAGGCCATGGTGACGGTAATTGACAAGGTATAGCCAAGTGACCCGACTTGGGACGAGTTTGGCGCTGTAACAATTGAAAGGAGACATTTCGCGCAGGTTGCCGGCGCAAGGCGAGGGTTGGCCGATGAAGCATCACGTGATGGTGCTCCTAGCTCGAGTTAGTTTTCCTTTTGGTTTTCCCTTTTCCTTCTTTACAACTCCCCACAACACTGCAATGGTTGCAAAAATGGAGGGAACTTGACTAACACACTCACATTGAGCTATAGCATCCATGCTATTTCACAAATATATTACTATGGTAAGCTATATCCCCTCCTCGATTACCTCATTATCCCACGACCTACCCTACTTGCATGATGAACGCAAAGAAGAATTCTGCAATTCAGACAATCTCCGTGCATTTCTTTCGGGTTCTGCATTGTGAGATTGCATGTTGACTCTTCTACACTTGATCTGATATCTGCAATACCCTTTTATATCATGCTATCAATTGCTATTATTTTCACCGCCAGAGTTGTCTCGCTAACAAACTCAAAGTATCTATTGAATTAGGTCCTATCCACTTAATACCGTGGTCCAGCGACCGTGTGCTGCTTCAAGATGGCATCGATTTCAGCCATCTCCTCATCCGTGAGCTTGTCGACTCCAGTCATGTTCTGAACCAGCTTGTCAACAGTGGTGCCGCCGGGAATTGGAATAATGGTGGGCATGCCAGGCTGGCCGCTAAGAGTGCGAATCCAGGCCAGGGCAATCTGAGAAGGAGCAACGTTCTTGCGAGAAGCCAGGCTGTTGACCTCGTTGATGAGCTTCAGATTCTGCTGGAAGTTCTCCTCTTGGAAGCGTGACATGTGTCGGCGGATGTCACCTTGGGGAATATCCTCCAGCGAGGTCACTGCACCTGTCAAGACACCGCGGCCAAGAGGCGAGTAGGCAACGACGGGGATATTAAGCTCAGCACAGGTCTTTGCAATGTCGTTCTCCAGGATGTCGGTCGACCAGAGCGACAGCTCCACCTCGACGGCGGCAATGGGATGGACCTTGTGTCTAGACACGTAGTTAGTATATAGATTTCAGTCACTAGACCGTTTCATTGCAACGTACGCTCTCCGGATAGTCGCCGCATCCACTTCACTCAAGCCAATGCCACCAATCTTGCCCTCCTTCACATACTGCGCAAGCACCTCCATAGTGTGCTCAACGGGGAAGGCAGAATCTTGTCGAGCAAGTTCGAAAATGTCAAGCTTCTTCTTCCCATCCAACAAGCGCAGAGTCTCGTCAACGCTGCGACGAATATTCGCTTCCGAGCCATCCGGAATCAGCTGGCCGGGCTTCAGTCCACCCTTGATGCTGAGAACGACCTTGTCTGCATTCTCGGGGTATTGGGTGAAATACTTGTTCAGCAGGTGCAAGGAGTTGTACTCGGGTGTGCCGTACAGCTCACCACCGTTCCAGAAGTTGGCACCAAGCTCCAGAGTCTTGTTAAGAGTCTCAAAGCAGACTTCCTGGCTTGGTGGCTGGGCCTGCCAGGTCATTCCTGAGCTGAAGTCAGTATCTATAGTGTCTTGAAGAGCCTTTGGAAGCTAGAAGAAGAGTCGTACTCATAGTGCCATAGCCGGTAGGGCCGACCTCTTTTCCAACGAGAGTAGGCATTTTGTGCGTCACAGTTGAGATGTAAATGCGGAATATATGGCGAAAAGGAGACTTGGGATGAAACGGAAGGCCTTCAGTTGTCAAGTTATGACGATTGAGGATAAACTTTTGTTGTGGCGGGCGGGCCTTTTTATACTTGGGCTCAGTCCCGCATTCGCTACTGCTTTTTGTGCCACACCCCCACCAACGAATAAGCACCTTAACCCCGGTCTCTGCAGAATCTCCGCGATGCGGTTCATGCATCTCATCGGCCGAAAATTGAATAGTTCCGTGCCGAGCTTGGTCTACGGGGTTATTGGATGCGATGTCCGTGACCAATGGCGGGGACGAGAGTGACGAAATCTCGTCCATCGGAGTTAAGATTGCGTAGACCGAAGACGGGTCCACGATCAAGTACCACCGTGGCGGAGATGCTATCTAGGTTTGGAGCTATAGGAGATACGGTGTGGATTTACTGGGAGCTTTCAGACGGAGATGTTCTTGACAATTCCATCTAACGGAGTATGCTAATGTCTCTTCTGCTTCTTGGAAGGCAGCCAAATATTACGTAGAAAGAGGAATAGTAGTTTCGGCGAAATGATTGGAGGTCTAGAATAGCCACTAGTAGCATCGAATAGGCAATCTACAGGAATTCAACAGGGCGATTTGTCGTGTCTGGTCTTCGTAAAGGGTCATGCTGCATGTACTCCTTACAGAACCTTCATGTCTTCGGCTTACCCAAGCAATTTCAATACCAAGCCACTCAAAGCAAGAGCCAAGCCAGATGCCTACTTCTAATTCTCCTCGCGAACAATACATCTTATTGAATCAATTCTTCCGGTGGTACGACTAGGCTATAAAGTACATCTCAAATAAAATCACATCACGTCATTCATCTTTTCCCTTTCCCCGGACCTCACAGCATGAAGTCCTCATCCAATCCAAGCTCATCAGAGCTATCAATCACATCCCGCCATCGAGACGCAATCGCCGTCTCCATAGCAGCAAAGATAATCGGCAGATCTGAAGCGGACAACTTCTTTTCACCATGGTAGCCTGATCCAATTTGGATGTTCTCGATCGGCTTCTGGTTTCCGTGCTTGATGGTAGCCGAATACGTGACGCCGCTGCCACTGATGACCGGTGTTGCGTCGAGGTTTATCGGTTCTCCGTGTTCGGCGTTGACGAGGGGGCTTGTGACGCCAGTGGAGGAGGGGGTTGCTAGAGGTGTCTCTGTGGGTGTTTCTATCGGAGTTGACTCTGTGGGTGTTGGGTATGAAACACCCAGTAGGTCGAAGACTTCGGCAAGGTAGTGTTCAGTATCGGGGATTAGTCTCTATAGTCTAGAGTTAGCATGCACTTTCGAGCATGTTTGCGTCTGGCATCGGGATATGACGAACCGGGTCGCGGGGCAGCACAGCAGGCATAGACTGGGCTTGTTCTTCCGTTGTTGACTCCTGAATTGGATGCGCGTAAACAGTGGAGACGGCTAGAAGTGCCAGGACTCCAATTGTAGTCCAGGAGTATTTAGAGGTTGATGGCGACATGTTGTAAAAAGTCTATGTATTCAGGCTTGAAGAGACGAGATTGTGACTTGATGAATTGTCTGGAGATGGGACACGGAGCAAATGCAAGAAGACTCAAGTATGATCTACCCACATGCGGCGAAGATCAGGATCCAAAAATGATTCATATACCTTATCCTGGAATTAGTGGGACAAGTTTATGCCCTGGTCTGGAATGAGCGCCTGCTAAGCTCGGATGCCAGTGTTCGGATAATTTCGCTGGAATCCAGCCCATTGGGTTTGAATCCGCTCTACTAGCCCATTTAAATTCACCAAGTAAGCCATACAATCTTCTGCAAGCCTCTTTGTTGCTACGGAATCATCCCAAGTTGGGTGGTCTTAAGCGGGCTCTTTGCTCGATCTAGGGATGTCCGTGTGTAGGGCGAATTCCTGGGATGACAGTCTAACATTCCAAAAGGGAAACACGGACCTGGACAAGGATAGCCCTTGCGAGGTCATAATGACAAGGTGTGAGACGCATCAAGGGAAATTATTGTCGATAGGACTGCTGCTCAAACAGACTAGGAATGGTGAACACGCTTGCCGGTATTGGCGATGCAATCTTGATAGTGCCGGTTCTTGAAAGCGATGGAATGGGCATCTCGTAGTGATGCCTTGTATTATCCCCTGGATATTTTTGTCGGCAGTTATTGCACCTGATTACGGACAAGTGTACTTTTGCATTCACATCATGCATCCAGGCAGAAAAGGTAATAAAAAGTAACTTGTACAATCTTGACTCTTCAAGCTATAAAAAATTATGCTTAAACCCCGTCATTGAAGCGGTAGTCATTCATCCATCTCTATAATGGAGTTAGTATCTCATCAAGGACATGATAAAGCCAACACAAGTTGGACGACTCTACCTTGTCAAATGGCTTTGAAGAATCACAGAAACGAAGATCCGTCGCGAGACGAATCACATTATCAGGATCATTGTTGATAGTGGACGCATGAATCTAGAACACAGATCCATCAGTGTATTTTCAACCAAATCATTACCCTAAGATACATACCATGTGAGGCTTGTGCAGGACAACATCGCCAGCCTCATAGGCCGAGACCAGCCAGCGCCGGCCATGTTCCCGGGCAAATTCAGCCGGGGTTTCTGACAGGAGGCCCGTTGCCATCATATTCGAGTTAAAAGCCGAGCGTGCCTCCTCATCTGTCAAACCAGATTGCTTGGCCTTGACGAAGAATGCTTCTTCCATCTCGACTCCGATGCGGTCGCCTGTGGCGCATAACTTAGTGACAGCGGTAAATGCCAGGTGCGAAAGCGGAACATACCATCTTCCAGATAAATTAATCCTCCACCATTAAGCTTAATGTCTCCCATGGGTACCCAGGCAGTAACACTGGTTGGGTCACCATAACGCAGGAAAATCTGATCATAGTGTACACCAATAGGCTTGGAGCCGGGGATGTTGTTTCTTAATAGCGTTCGGCGTAGACTGAGCGTGTTCTTGCCCCAGTCTGTGAACTTGGCGACGAAGTCGTAGAGCGCTGGGTGATTGCAGAACTTCTCGGCATACCAATCTTGATAATGGGCATCCAGGGCGAGGTTGACAAAGGCTGCTGCGCGATCTCCACCTGGCCTTCCATTGCCACCAATGTGTCCGGCCCCAATGCCGGGGTAGTCCTCGTGGGACTTGGCCGGGTCAAAAACGCCCTCGACGGGCTTGGTGCCTGGCTTGAGAACACCGGTTGACTCTAGAGAGGAGAAATATGACTCGCGGGCAGAGAGAACATCATCGCGAGGGAGGACCTGCTTGAGGAAGAGATATCCGTCTTCATCATACCTCTTCCGTAGTTGTTCTAGTGGGAGTGAAGGATCGGATGGGCGCAATAGCGCAGCATTCTCTGAGTTCAAAGGACCGTCATTGACGGCGAGCTGGTCTGCGATGAGAGCAACCATTTTCGATAGCTAAGATGATACCGAAAGAATAAAATGAAATGGGAGGACATGCCGCAGTTGACCAGGACGACCCGAAATTTATATCTCGTCTGTGATCAGGTCGCCACGATGGCGGGGTAAAGAACGACCGATCTGGAGGAATATCCAACCATATCAACACGATTGTCAGCTCTGCCCCGCATGTCTAAGATATTAGGCATTATTCGTGGGGCTTGTGAAGTTCATGGAACATCCGATGACTGCATTATGCCACCATGAATGGACGGATGAGGCGAAAGTAGTAATATTCCCCGCATCCACAGCGGAAAATATCTACCCTTCCGGGGAAGTGGGGTCGAGTGCTGGTCCACCTGCGGAAATTATTACTCTCTGGCTTCTTATAAAGGCAAAAGTGTTCCTTGTGTGCAACAATAGCGCGAAGATTATTAGCACATGACACCGTGGCAATTTTGGAGTGTGTAGCTTGAGATTGTGGTTCTAGTCATGTTGAAGACATCTCGTGAGGCGGGAACCAAGGAACCTTGCCCGAATGGGAAGATAAGTATAGCCGCATATTGGTATTGAGAAAGTCAAGTGAAGAGATTGGATGAAGAGAAAGTCGGCTCTTCGAAATGAAGTGGAATTAAGCTCTTTTATATCTGTAACTCGAAAATAGACTGGTTTTGAACTAATCCCAACGAGGAAGTATGCAGAAGTCAATCCTCTTCACCGAAAGAATGGAAATAGATTAGATCACAGATTACATTCTAACCCTGTAAAGTTTATCGCTGGCTTGAATGACATGCCTTAATATTAGGTTCTCGATCCCTACTAGAACGATGCGCGTTCAAGGAGGGAACCTAAAAATCGAAGACCATAGCCTCCCATCATTTCATCTGGCGGCGCAATCTTCAAGCTTAGAGAGAAGCTACAAATAATTACCCATTGCTCTCACTCTCTCAGAGATCTTAAGTACGTAAAGATTAATGGAGTATTGATCTGAAAGTTCAGTAGATTGGGAAGACCACGTTATATTCAGCCAGACGCTGCTGACGACGCCAATATATCTCAACAAAATGTGCGGCAAATGGCTCAATCGCTAACAAATGCATAAAAAAGGGAGACAAGGCTATTTTCATGCATTTCAATCCTTCCAATCACTGATATGCCAGGATTCGACACCATCCTCAATAACCAATTCCATCGTTGAGAAGACAATCGATTCATACAACTCCCTCGCCGCAGCTCTTGCCTTTGCATGCCAAGGTCCCCGGCCTCCAAGCCTGGCATCTTCTCTAGTGCGCCAGATACCTATTTCCAAGTTAGCATTTCTCAAGCACAAATCTTGAATCCATCAAGACGGGAATGCATACAAGTTGCCAGATTTTGCTCCTTCTCATTCTTCGTGCCGAACCAGTACTTCAACAAGCCTCCGCTAGCAATAGCTTCTTGATGCGAATATGCGTCCAGCGCATGTAAATGGTCTTGATCCACGCCGGGCTTGAGTCTGGAACGGAAGGATACCACATAAAAAGACTGCCTTGTCCAGGTGTGACCCTCTGCTTCTGCAAAAGCTTTTACAAGGTCAAAGACCTCGTTCCAGTTGAATGACTCCAGGTACTCCCCAGTTGCGTAGTCATCACGGACGGACTTGAAAAAGGAAAGTGCAAGTGCTAGAAGACGACTCTGGGTGTCCAGTGTCTCTAGATCCAGGAGGTGAGGGACGTCGTTATATGGTGAGGCAATGAGGCGTGTGTCTGATTGTTCCTCTTCCTGTCCCCATTGCAGTTGGAAGGATGCTGCGGCATTGAATTTGAGATCGTCAAAGTTTGTTGAGATTTGTGTATGAGGTCGAAGGTGCTTGAACACCCTTTTCGTTTTTAATTGGCCCTTGATAGGGCCGAAGATGGCGGATGCCTTCAGGGCAGGAGTAACCGTCTCGACGGTCATCTTTAAGGGCTGACAGAGACCAATTGATCTTTGAGTAGTCTATAATAGACAAATGCAAAATTTGTACGTGGTGGCGTGAATTGAGAGTATGCAATATAAAACAGAAATATCGCTCGACGTCAGGTATAGACCAATGCAAGATATGTATGAAGACGGACGGGACGAAAAAAGTCAGAAAAAAAAGCTCGCCACAGGGTAAGAGCTTCTTTATACTATGAATAGCGACAGAGAAATTCGTGCTCACCGCTACCACGGTCTCTCCTTTTTGTACCACATTCCTTGAGATTGCGAAAGAACCGCTGAGCAAAAGGTACGGCTGGAGCACGCCATATGGACCGAGTGCCACCGCCGGCCTCCCGAAGTTTGGGTCAATAGAAAAATTCGAGAAAAAAACCTAATCAACTTAATAAACGCCGGGTATCCATTGAAAATTGCCGTCCACTCAACGGCTACGGGGGAAAACTGTCTTCCGAAGGAAATTATTGTATTTGTTCTTGAATGAACGAAATGGACTTTCGTTGACGTGGTTCTCCACGTGTATGATACATAGCGTGTAAACCCTAAATTGGTTGGTGGCGCGGGGCGTGGATCAGGGGAACTAGTCGATCTTAATGACCAAATGCTACATCGATGGGGCAAGCTATGGCTTCTATGAGCAATTATACCCCTGGATAGACGACAGATGTGGTTTCTGTTACTTCAAATATCTTTTGATTGGTCCTCGGTGGCCGATCTACTGTACAATAAATGGTATCACGTGCTCGATGTAGTATGGCAGCGAAATCTGCCTCAACCTGCTCTCCCCCGATCGTCACTCCCTTTTGAACGCCCAGAATAAAAATATGCTCAGACCCGCAAATACATAGCAAATCAAAAATCATAATAATGGATGAAGGCAGCGCGCCTTATGGCTTGGGAGGTGGGCCCATCTTGCCATTCCCGGTGTCAACCTTCTTCTTGGGCGGAAGAGCCGGCACTTTGAAGCCGTCACGATCCTTTTGAGTGTTGATGCTGCTCTGGCCGCCACCAACCTGGGTGAATGTTCCAGAATTGAACCAGCGATCTTCATCGGCTTTGCGCTTGCGATTCATCTCAGCCTGAACCTTGGGGTCGACCAGCTCCAAGCCTTGGACGGGGGTGAAAGCAATCGTACTAGCGGTACCCGCGGTGGCCGACAAGGATCCGACACCAGATGAGCGGAGACCCTTGGACTGTAGGACACTCGCGGTGCCAGATGGGCCACCCTGACCAAACCCACGGAGGGATGACGCGGTACCGCTAACCGGGGTGGCAGCACCCCAGCCCTTGTTGTTCTTGCTAAGTTTGGCGCGAGTACGTTGGTCGATCTGTGTAGCGCGAATCCGGCCGTCGTTTTGTTGGCCGAGCATGCCGAGACCCACGGTGCCTTCGCCAGTGCCGTAGCCAACTTCTGCCTCCTCCTTGCCAAAAGCAACGCGGTTCTGGGCCTTCCGTAGCTCGGTCATAGCGACAGCCTCCTTGGCCTTGCGTGCACGTCGTCCACCTCGCTTTCGGGAAGGCTTGTCGTCCGGTGCAGGAAGAGCCTTGACTCCCGAGTTTGGAGCAGGCTCCGTCAATTTTTCTAACCGCTTGAAACATTGCTCTTTGAGTTCCTCGCCCAGCGAACCGTCCTTGTTGTAGTTGGCAATATCTGCACGGGTGGCCAAAACCATCTTAGCAGCGACAATCCGAATAGCTTGCTTCTTCAGGTCATTCGGCACCTCCTGGATGAGCGGAGAATCGTACAAGAAGCCCTGTGACCGGATACCAATGTTCGTAGCAAATCCAAGACCCTCTTGCCTCCGAGAGCCTTGTGCGCCCAAATTACAAGCGGGAATCTTGGCTAGTTCGCGCAAACCACCAGTCTGATTGAGGAACTGCGCAGCGGTATGGGCACCAATGAGTGCGGCCAAGTTCGGGGCGATCGAGTTCACACGAGACCGAATACTCTCCGTGAGGGCGGTGCGCTCGCGGTCAAGCTTGAGAATCCTTTCGCAGGTATCGAGGACGACTTTGAGCTCAGACTCGGTCATCTCCCGGCCACGAGTTGTTGTGCCCTCCACCGCAACGACCATGAGAGTAGGTCCGTCCAACACAGATTTGAGTGGTTCGCCGGCCATATTATCTGCCGAGGTCGAGATGGCTTTGATATCATCGAGAGGTCCATTTTTGAGGATCGCGACGGTTTTCGCATACTTGATCGAGTTCGTGACGAGGGTTTCTAGTTCCGGGAATCGAATAGAATAGTGATCGCGCAAGACTTTGTGTAGCCGGGTCAGTTCATCGGCAGTTTCGATGGAGAGATCGAACTCGTTGGACGGCTTTGCGCCTTCTTCTGGGGCTTGTTCCTCCACGAGGTCTTCCTGTTCCAACTGCTCCTCATCCTGGAAGTCTTCGTCTTCCTCAAAGTCGCGCAGCAGCTCGTCGGCGGCTGACATGGTGGCGGTCTGGCGGAATTATCGAAGTGATACAGGTAGTCAAATGTATCCAAGACGCCACCGAGCGAAACGCGAGTTCAGATAATAAATCAAGCAACGACCTTGAACCCGCGGCGGAAGAGCTGCGCTTAGTCAGTAGAGAGCTTGAAAGTTTGCGGGTGGCGAGTTGGACCACAAGCGCAGGCCCGTCGATTTCATCGGCGACTTGTGACGATCGCAACCGCAGCATCGACACTACTCAGTTCGGCTGGGAGGGGCCATTGTGAGTTTTTGAGACTAGGAGATTCCTGCGATACTATACTCTGGAGTTTCACTTGTCCTGACCGCGCTCTCCCACCTCGTCTCAGCTCGGAAGCAAATTCCAGCTAAATCTCCCCGACGCGGCCTCCAGACTACGACTCGTTCCTACGCAACCTTTCAAGTCGTCGACAACTACCTTCACCATGGAGGCATCACGAGGCCCTCCCCGGGTCAAGAACAAGGCCCCCGCGCCGATCCAGATCTCCGCAGAGCAGCTGCTGCGTGAGGCTGTTGATCGCCAGGAGCCCGGTCTTCAGGCGCCGACTCAGCGGTTCGCGGATCTGGAGGAATTGCACGAGTACCAAGGCCGAAAGCGCAAGGAATTCGAAGACTATGTGCGGCGGAACCGCATTAACATGAACAACTGGATGCGCTATGCCGCTTGGGAATTGGAACAGAAGGAATTCCGCCGGGCGCGCTCCATCTTTGAGCGCGCTCTGGACGTGGACTCGACCTCCGTCGTGCTATGGATTCGCTATATCGAAGCCGAAATGAAGACCCGCAACATTAATCACGCCCGCAACCTCCTCGACCGTGCCGTGACGATCCTGCCGCGCGTGGACAAGCTCTGGTACAAGTATGTGTATATGGAAGAGACGCTGGGCAATATTCCCGGTACCCGTCAGGTCTTTGAGCGATGGATGTCGTGGGAGCCAGAGGAAGCTGCATGGAGCGCATACATCAAGTTGGAGAAGCGATACAACGAGTTTGAGCGAGCTCGCGCGATCTTCCAGCGTTTCACCATTGTTCACCCCGAGCCGAAGAACTGGATCAAGTGGGCTCGGTTTGAGGAGGAGCTTGGCACGAGCGATCTGGTTCGCGAAGTCTACGGATTGGCCATTGAGACCCTGGGCGAGGACTTTATGGATGAGAAGCTCTTCGTGGCTTATGCCAAATTCGAGGCCAAGCTGAAAGAATATGAGCGCGCACGGGCAATTTACAAATACGCCCTAGATCGCCTCCCTCGGTCCAAGTCGATGACCCTACACAAGGCTTATACCACCTTTGAAAAACAATTCGGTGATCGGGAAGGCGTGGAGGATGTCATTCTATCCAAACGCCGTGTTCAATATGAAGAGCAGCTCAAGGAGAATCCCCGCAACTACGATATTTGGTTCGACTTTGCACGACTTGAAGAAACTGCTGGCGACCCAGAGCGTGTACGAGACATTTATGAGCGAGCGATTGCACAGATCCCACCTTCACAGGAAAAGCGACACTGGCGCCGATACATTTATCTTTGGATTTTCTACGCGGTGTGGGAGGAAATGGAGGCCAAGGACATGGACCGGGCACGACAGATCTACCAAGAATGTATCAAGCTGATCCCGCACAAGAAGTTCACCTTTGCTAAGGTGTGGCTTATGAAGGCGCAGTTTGAGATTCGCCAGATGGAGCTACAGACCGCGCGCAAGACGATGGGCCAGGCTATCGGTATGTGCCCGAAGGATAAGCTCTTCCGCGGCTACATCGACCTTGAGCGACAATTGTTCGAGTTCGTGCGGTGCCGGACCCTGTACGAGAAGCAGATCGAGTGGAATTCCTCCAACAGCCAGGCCTGGATTCAGTATGCGGAACTTGAACGCGGGCTGGACGATTTGGAGCGGGCGCGGGCGCTCTTCGAACTCGGTATCGACCAGCCGACGCTCGACATGCCCGAGCTTGTCTGGAAATCCTACATTGACTTTGAAGAGTACGAGGGTGAATATGACCGAGTTCGCGCGTTATACGAGCGCCTCCTCTCCAAGACGGATCATGTCAAGGTCTGGATCAACTACGCCCGATTTGAAATCAACGTACCCGAAGACGAGGACGAAGAGGAAGAGGACGAAGAAGCCCGTCCGGTCAGCGAAGAAGCCAAGCGTCGGGCCCGGGCAGTGTTCGAGCGGGCGCACAAGGTGTTCAAGGACAAGGAGCTCAAAGAAGAGGTATGTGGATTATATTTTCTTTTTTTTTCTTATTCTCTGTCATACATGCCGTATGATTCGTCTGGATCTAGACTAACCTTTTGAACACAGCGGGTGGAACTCCTCAATGCCTGGCGGTCATTCGAGAACACGCACGGATCTCCCGAGGACATCGACAAGATCGAGAAACAGATGCCACGGCGGGTCAAGAAGCGTCGCAAGTTGGAGGACGACCGGTACGAGGAGTACATGGACTACGTGTTCCCGGCCGACGACAAGTCCGCCGCGAACCTGTCTCGGCTGCTCCAACGGGCCCACCAGTGGAAGCAGACACAGGGTTGAAGAGCGGGGGACAGGGAGGAGTGTTTGTGTTCGATATGAATGTCTGGATTTGGGCCAGGATTTGTTGGCTTATTCCCGTGTGTTATACCAGAGAGTAATTTCCCACTGCTTGGCGGTGCTTCAAAATGCGACGGGTTCTTCCGTGTTACACTGTTGGGGATGATGATTTTTTACCTGATTGTAGGATCGAATCGGAGGATATTCATGGGCGTAGGCCGGTATTCAAGATTTGTAGGCTGAGATTTGTTGAATTCAGGATGGTATCTCCGATGCTGCTTGATTGTGCGACCGGGTCCTCCGGGGTAGACGTTGGCACGGAATACAACGGAGTACGGAGTACATTCATAGGTTAGGTACAAGTTCAAGAGGACTGTGCGAGGGTACTGATCTTAAAATACCTCGGACTGAAGGGTGTTCGTATAACTATCATAGATTATTCGCGGGTTCTCGTTGGCTGTTTTGCTCCTTCTGATATTTAATAGTCCCACCCTAGCAATCTAATTTGATACCTAAACTCCGTGCTGTAGATGTAGCATACGCAGGCATGGTACGATGCCCCCTCCACGCAATATTAATCTATACTCCATGATGCCTACGAATACTACCACTTCATTACTACGATAACTGCGTCCCTAGAATAAAAATAGCAAATCGATCGTGATACCCGATCGTACCTCATACGTAAAAGGCCTCCGTACGTCCAGAATGGCGTCTCCACCCGCGTAGCGTTTGCCCACGAGGCCCCATCCCCAAACGCCCGAACCGGGACCAAGTGGAGGCCTCGAAACCCTTTGTAGTTTGGGGCGAAACACGGGGGCTTGCTTCCATGAAAATTCTATGGGCCTCGCCTAGTGGCAGGCACGCTACGAAGGAGGAATAGTGGTGTCGTATAGAATAATGCTTCGAAGGGCATATACTATACTACGTAGTTGTGTATATGGGGATATACTTTATAGATCGTATTGAGATGTATGTAGGAGTAGTGAGTATCTCCCATACGATAGGACCATTATTAGCCGCCTATACCGATGTCATCACACCATAGGATCGAATATTCCAAGCTCCCAGCTCAGTTCGTCTTTTCCTCCGGTTTCCTTTGGTCGGGCGATCGGCGCACGAGCCAAGTGTGATGGATTTAATTCCAAGGTTCTTGCACTCCACCGGACCAACCGTGGATCGCGAGGGAGCGCAGATGGCTGGGAGATTGGAAAAAGGGGGGGGAGAAAGGGTTTGTTGACAAACAGATGATGGAGGTGTTATTTTGTTTTTGGTGTATCACCCGTAAGGAGGGTAGACCTTGCATGGGATACTTGGATTCGGGGGGTTCAGTCCTGCAGAGGGAATAGAAGAGGGGAGGATGAAGCAGTTGGGCTGTCGTTGGTTGTTTGGTTCCTGGCCCCACTGGACAAGGGGGTTCAGGAACAGGAACGGGAATAGCAATAGGATTACTATACTTTGTACAGTATACGGAGATCCCAAGAATCATTTACTCTGTAGTGTGTATATGCCTAACTATGGGTGGTATAGGATAGTTGCTATAGCGTAGAAATACTACCATAGTTAAGAACCACAATGATGTCAAAATTAATACACTATTAAACCGAATACTCGCAGATCCAGAGAGACCATGACGAAATGGGCCGTTCAGGGGGAAAGCGGAAAGGAGGCTAAACCGAGTCGAGCAAGTCAAGAGTCTTTGCAGTTGAACCTCTTTCCGGGAAGTCGCTGACTCGCTTCTGTGCCTTAGGGGGCTGTCTCACCCCATCTTCCTCCCTCTCTTCCCTGCCCTTCCCCCCCTCCCCTCCTTCTCTAGACTGCTGGCCTTGTTGTTGTCGTCGATTGTTTCCACTTTGTGCTGTGCACTCGTTCATTCGGTTAGTCCCTACGATTATCTCTGAAGACCCGGTTATACCGGTCCAATACTCATCTCCGTCCCCATACAGCTTCCTATTCACCGCGACCTGTCGCCCGCCTCGTTCTCTACTACCCGGTTTACTGCACCTGCGACAGCTCGTCTCCAATCCTTGACGCACCCGACCGTCGATATCGCTTGTCCGATTCAATTCTGTGACTTTCGATCGCTTCCTTCGACATCGTCCGCAGCCAACAGCCAACGTCAAGCATCCCCGATATTTCCGAGCTGGATGACTCGCGATAGCCCCAATATTTGACTTTTAACACCCCACACACCACATTCTTCCACCGTGGATTGACACCTGTCGGATCTTCAATCAACATACCACGCATCGATCATACTATCAGCCTCATCGAAACTGCGGCCCAAAACTCACCTCCAACTCCGAATGCCAGCAACTTCTCTACGACTATCCCCGGATGAAATGAGATAGTGCTCTGGTAGACACCTCTCCCATTCTCTACCCAGTGGTTATTGGTTTGATTCAAGGGCCCCCTTCCCCCTCTTCCCTGCCGGCTGGCCATCCGCATTCTCTCGTTGGTCTGGTATCACTCTCTTTCGTTCGTTTCACAACTTCACCATGACCGTCCCCGAGCCCCCGATCAAATTAGAAGGCCATTGCTCGGTGATTTCTGGAAACACTCTTTACGTGTATTCGTCCAATGGCTTCATTTCACTCCCGTTAAAGGCCAATAGCACGGGCTGGGCCACATTGAACGGCGGCGTGTCCGTCTCCAATCCCGTGTGTTTGAAAGGCGGGATAGATGGCAGTGAGAGTGACGATGAAGCCCTATACGTGGTTGGCGGGACCACCACCTCGGACGACACATATCCCGGCCTCCAGCGATACTCTTTCAAGGACCGAAGCTGGACGACGCTGGGAAATGGAGCAGCAACCTCTATGTCCGCCCGAACAGGCCATGGCGCCGCATTTGTCGCGTCTAACTCTTCGATTATTGTTTATGCTGGTAACCAAGGCTCTGGTGACAGCACCGCTCTCTCTGCTGAATCTTTCCTGATTTCAACAAAATCTCCCTGGGTCCCGACTTCCGTTAACTGCCAGGAAGCCCCAACTCTTAACAACCCCCAACTGCTCCCCTGGAACTCGACTCACGTTGGTATGTTTGGCGGTACTGGTGGGAGCCAAGCAGTTTACACATACAGTCTCTCAGAAGGATGGATTACCTCGCCCGTGAGCCTCCAGTCCGCTCTTTCAACGTCGAACCCACTCACTCTCCTTTCGGGCTCAGGAGATAGCAAGGTGTTGGAATTTTTCGACATGAGTGCCTCTCCCAACTCCGTGACCAATTACGAACTCGTCAGCTCCGACGGAAATCCCGATAGCCCTGCTGTGGCGGTGGGATCTTCCTCGAAGAAGCGGAGCACAGGGAGCTACCCAGCCTACAACGACACTCTTGCTCCCAGCTACACGTGGTCGGATTACGGTCTTGCTCAGGGAAGCAATGGTCTGGTTGTACTCTCCAGTGGCAAGAGCAATAACTCGCTCGCCATCTTCAACCAGACCTCGAATAGCTGGGTCAATGCGACAGAATTCTTCTATGGCAAGACTGTTCAGCACGTCTTGAAGACGAATACCACCACATCAACTACCATGACCCCTACAGCCACAGCCACTCCTTCGGCATCGATATCAGCTAGCGCTACTCCCAGCTCGACGACCACTGCCGCCGCTGCTGCCAGCGGTGGCTCTCACACGGATGTCAAGGTTATCATCGGTGCTGTCCTTGGCAGTGTATGCGGCGTGGGCATCATCCTGCTTCTGCTCCTCTGGCTGCTCAAGCGCGAGAGGACGAAGCGAGAGCGAAATGGCCAGGCCCGTGGCGGTGATAGCAAAGATCGACTGAGCTTCCAGGACCAGGGCATAGAACCCCTGGCAGGCGGTGCATACCCCATGGCTAAGAGTCCCGTGCCAGTTGCCTCGATGTCAGCCGATTCCCTCGCGATCATCTCGGGCAAGTATGCCGGAGAAAAGTCTCTCATGCCCCCTCCCACCAACGCTGGCTACGGTCTCTCTGCCACACCTCGCAAGAGTAGCCCACTTTCACCCATCCCGTCCAGCGGTCTCGCGCCATCAAGTATGTACTCTGAAGATGCCTACCGCCACAGCAACACCCCCTCAGAACTGGGCAACAAACCGGGTGACCGCACCACCGACGAAGGCTGGGGCAAGTACTTTGAAGATAATAACACGACAAATCTCGCGGGAATGGCTGCCGACCGCTCCACGACCAGCTCGATCTACACGAAATCCGACTACCGTGGTAGCGCCTGGCCTATGTCGAACTTGACTCCGCTGAATTTGGGCTTCCTCGACCAGCCCAAGCCATTGGGCCGTGTCTACAGTGGCAGCCCAACGACGGAGCACGCTTCGTCGAGTCGCAGTCTCGCAATCCCAGAGGGACAGAGTGCGCGGATATCCAGCGCCGACTCGATCAGTGTGACCAGCGATGATGACCCGCACGATACGAACTGGACAGGTGCGCATACTAGCTGGCTCGGCCGTCCGGCTAGCAGCAACTACAGTACGAGCTTCTACAACAGCAGTTCCCGCGACTTGCCTAGTTCAAATCCGCAGTTACCTCGACACTCGAACGGCCGCCGCTCGAGCATTGCGATCCCCGATGATATTGACGAATTGCCGGTGCCAGGGCGCAATAATGTTAATTCGGATATGAGTTGGCTGAATATTCATGCTGACCGATAACGGTGATCTCGGCTTTATTGCATTGCATTGCATTGAATTGCATTGCATTGACACATCATTCTCTATTCCATTCCCTACCTTGTCATCCATACACACTCCCTCCTCGATTTGTTCGACTCTCTCTCATTCATCAATTTCTCATTCCTTGCATGGCGTCCCGGTTACCGGTGTCTGTAAAAAGTTGCGTGGCTTCGGGCGTTGCATCTCTGCATATCGCTTTCTCGTCTTCGCATCTGTCCAATATCTAACTCTGTGTCCTGCCTGTCACATCTTTATTCTTGTCCCCTTCGAGTGCGAGTCATTCCATAGCGTCATCCCCGCATTGTCCATATTGGTATACCGTCTTGTCTTGTCTTGCTATGCGCGTGCGCTGTGCCTGTTTTGTCTCGTCGCTGCTTCGATTGGACTCTTGTCTGTGACTTGCGAGTGCTTTTGTACATATTCCAATTCATGTTGGTACCTGGGTGCCTTCATCCTGATCTAAGTCTACTTATTGTATCCACTGGGAGTAGATTAGCAATATTGTAGAAGTCTACAAGACCATCCGAGTCTAGACCGGCCTTTCTCGACTTGAGGCTTGGCGAAACCCCGGACCATTGCCCTTGTCACGTGTCATGCGGCGAAATGTCAAAAACCGGTTATTGGCCTCGACGACAAAAGCTGGGAATTTATTGCTGACCGGGATATAATGTGAGGTACACCTTCACGAAGTAGAAATAATGGCGTGCAGTACGCTCGATCCCAAGATATCCTTCTTCCCCAAAGCCGACGGGGCAATCTTGAGATCGAAACAACACGTACCGCCAAATTCCTACCCACAGACCGTTGGCCCGATCTTCGATCGCGACAACGTCGATCGCCCGATCGAGCCCTGGTCCCTGGAAATCAAATCAACATTCTACCCAGACTCACAGGAGACACATACAGTCTCTGTGACCCCGGAAAAACCACCCGATTTCGCGGAGCGATATCTGCGTGCATTCCTGGCGGAGAATGAAAGACTAAGACTCTCCGTGCTTTGGTATTACACGCGCGATATACTGAAAGAAGATGAGTTTTTGGCGGGACTTCAGGAGAAAGCCCAGTTAGCGCAGGAATCGGTTGGTTGGGAGTTTGTGGTTATTGGGATTTTGGATGTTGATGTTTATATTCGGTTGGCGACAGTGGGACTCGAGTTGGGCATTTTGCCCAGGGGGGAGACGCTTTGTGCGCATACAGTTACGCAACCTCCTGGTGTATGATATACTCCGGCTCCTGGGTATATTGAGTTTTACTGATACATTGTCTAGGATGTTTTCCTTTTGCCCAGTCTTATGGAAGACTGGAGGTTTCGAGAGTGCCCTTATCTCGAGAACGGTGGGCTTTATGCGTATGCTGGGGTGCCGCTGCGCTTGAAGACTGAATCTGGGCATACCGTTGGTCTTGGATCTCTCTGTGTGGCATCGAGCAAGAGCGAAGAACCTTTGACCAAAGCGCAGCATCAGGCGCTTGTTCGTCTAGCTGACTGGGTTGTTTCTGATCTCGTGCAATGCACGAGAGCGAGACGACAACGTGAAAGACATCGAATGTCTGAGCTTCTCGCTAAAGCGCAAAAAGAGACGGACCAGGAAACGACTGTCGAACCGGTCTTTGATATTTTGAAAACTATCTATCCCGATGCAATAATTCGCCTGCAACCATCGAGAGCGACACATGTCGAGTTTGAAGGATGCGAACCCATTCCAGTATCTGACTTAAAAGGCGGTCTTTGGGAAGACGTTCAATATCTTGACGACTTTATCACGAATTCAAATCACCTTCCGACTCCATCTAATAAACCAGTTCGCATCGTCGCCGCCCCATGCGAAAGTATATCAGGATCGTCACTACTCATTGTGGCAACCCAAGATTTCCACCTTATCTTCGACGACGCAGATGCGTGGTTCATTCAAGCCTGTGCGGACGTTATATCCCAAACATGGCGCAAAAGCCTGCTGGCAGAAGCAATGATAGCCAAAGAGAAGTTTCTTCGAGCATTCTCCCATCAACTACGGACGCCAATTCATGGAATCCTCGGCTCAGTGGAATTGTTGACCGAGGAACTAAAGTCAAGAAACTTGGGTGAAGGCACGAATTCGATTTCAACACTTGGGAAACTAAACGCTGAGTCCGAGATTAATTCGCGCGAGCCCTTTACGTACCTTAACATCATCAAGATGGCAGGTCGTGATCTCACTTCGATTATCAATAATTTGATTGCCCTGAACAAGTGGTCCGATATTGCTATGGCAGAACGGCATTATGCTATGCATACATTGCACGAACTGGAGACTGAGATCGTAAATGAGATAAATAAGGTTACGATGGGGGATACGCGGTATAAATGTTCCATCTTCTTTGCCCAGAACTCGTCGCCTGGATGTGGGAAGTTTTCTATTGATCTTGGGGTTCTGCGAGATACGTTGCTTCCATTGGTGATCAATTCCATTCAACATACGCCGCAAGGGGTTGTATCGATTACAGCATCGATTCAATCAGACCGGAAACAACTCGTTGTTGATATTGAAGATACAGGACGGGGAATTCATCCTGGTGATCAACGGCGCATTTTTGAGGCTTATGAGAAGGTTGATACACACTCGTCGGGTGCTGGATTGGGTCTTACGCTCGCTTCAAAATTCGCATCGCTCATTCACGGGTCAATTGAGTTGGTTTCCTCGGAGGTTGGCCGCGGTTCTCATTTCAGAGCAACGTTCCGCGAGGTTGAGTTTGATATCTCGTCTCAACTGCCGCAGCCTTTGCCTGTGAAGTTTGATAGCCTGCCCTCGCAGTTCTTCAAACAACCAACCGACTCTGATTCCTCATCACTGGGCGATCGCTTTGCGTCTTTCTTAATTCGCAACGGATACACTCACTCGGATAGCATAGAGGATTCCTTGGTCATTGTTGAGGTTGCGTTTGACCCGGATCAACACCGCACATTTCTGTCTGAGATTGCATCAGAGCAAGTCGCTATCTGCCTCGTCCCGACCTCTGAAGAGAAGCATTTTCTCCAGGACGAGGACAATATTATCTACATCAATGGTCCTTTCTTAACCTCAACATTCCATTCAGCTCTTGAACGAGCACAAACCTATCTCAAAACGAACGCCTCCAAAAACCATCTACAACTCGATACCCTCGACAACCCTATCATCATGCCCGTAACGATACAAAAAGACCCAATCACAAATGAATACCCTGATAAACATTCACCGACTATCACATCAAATAACCTCACCGCGAACACAACAATTCCCCCTCCACCCGAACCAAACACCCCAATTGCTCTCGACCTCAAAATGACCACCACAATGCCCACACAACCCCGAACATCCCCTCGCCCCGTCACCCTAATAGTCGACGACAACGCCGTCAACCTCCGCGTCCTGGAAACCTACTGCACAAAAAGAGGCCTCCCCTACCTCTCCGCCCTGAACGGCCGCCAAGCCATCGAACTATTCTCACAACACCAGGCCCAACACTCCGAAGATGGAGATGAAGCCTCCTCTATCCAACTGATATTCATGGACCTGCAAATGCCGGTTTGCGGTGGCATCGAAGCTACGCAGCAGATCCGAGCCCTGGAACGACGACATAAATGGAGGAAGAGCTTTTTGTTCGTTATGACTGGTCAAGATAGTCTGGCGGATAGGAATGCTGCGGAGGAGGCCGGGGCTGATGAGTATTTTGTGAAGCCGGTTGTTATTAAGCAGTTGGATCGGGTTGTGAAGCAGTATTTCCCTGCTTTTGAGAAAGGCTAGATCTAGCCAGCTTTGCTTTTGACTTGATGCAAGCTTGATCATGATGCCAGAGGTGGTGGCAGGACACCATTGCAACATGTATTTACTGATTCTCTTTCGCACGCCTCGACATAGGAGTGACGTCCGAAGCATTCACGAATCGGATACTCTTTTTTCTAAGTATTACTTTGTGCTCTTGGACTTGTAGGTATTGATATTAGAAAAGTCTAAATGCTATCTGAGTGTGGAGACGACACCGAGAAACTCCAGTTTTGCCACCATTGTCCACAATGCCCAAGTCTCTCTCCCATGGCATATGTATGAGGCCGCTAGTTTGAGGCCCGTTATTTTCAAGTTCGCCGAACATTTTGACTTGCATGTTTGGTGGAAAGTTTTTGAATGTTTCTCCGAAGGCCTTACAGACCTCTCCATGGACACCTTTGATCGTGATAATGCCCAGGACTCGCGGTGAGTTGGCATATCGACGGATGGAAATGGGAAGGCTGGAAGTGCTGGGAGTATAGGCGTTTTCGAAGGAGAAGGCAATGGGATTTGTCCCACCCATCGTCATGAGCACGGGCTCCGGGGCATTTCTTGGTGGAAGCACGACCTCTTGGAACAAGGATGCAGTTGTGACATTGCTTCCCTGAGAGTGGAGAGATTGAAATGCAGTTTCAAGTCGCCGAGTGAATGACATTTTATTCGATTCTGCGAGTCCCCTTTGGTCATTGGGCGTACATGCAGCAAGGACCTGGAACGTTACCTGAAAATGCCGCCGCTCCAACGGTACAGAAAGCCACAATCCAGAATTGCCATGAAATCAAAGCACTTAAAGAATTCTCCCGGGCTTGTGAAAATATTCCAGGAAACCTGCGACCACGAAAAAAAGTTGCCTTAGTGCGAAAAAGAGTTGCTATCCTGCGAAAATCGTATGTCGTCCCGAGACGAACTCGAGTCTCCGTTATAGTAGAGCACGAATAGAGAGTCCTCAGTTTCCACGCAATACTTTGAAAGAAGTCTGTAGATTTCAATCACAACAGCCATGTCTGCGGTGTAGCCAGCGGGTTCAAGGACAAGCAGCGTAGTCTTCATGCCGAGAGACTTGAACAGACGCTCCATAATGGACACATCGTCTTTGATATGAGATTTATCGTTGTCCCAGTATATAAGCAGTGCGAACTTTTGTGCGTAGGCTTTAGGTTGGGCTGATGCTACCGCTTGGAGAATTGCTGTCAGGATCCGCAGGTCATTGGAGTCAGGAGGGGTTGGCTCAGAGAGAGCCGAATTTGAGGAAGCCATCGTGGGTGAAAGAGGAGTAAGAGGAGTAAGAGAGAAGACTTTGAGGAAACTGGAGGAGGAAAGTGAGCTGGCTGATGGAAATGTCGTACCCTTCTCGATTAGGAAGTGATGGAAGGCGCGATCACATAACCATTGTTTGCCTTACACTTCAGTAATCATCTTTAAAAATTCAGGAATTCTAGATTCAGATAAAAAGCTTAATTCCAAACTATTCCTTATGCTGAATTATCTTGCTTAATGTGTAGCAGCTATCCAGGTTCGAGTTCTGGCCTTTCGCCAAAACTGTTATCTTTTATTTTTCTATCTTGCTGGCTCTTTTTTAGGGCGACTGTGTGGATCTATCATACGTTTAATCTAGAATATTGTGGTTGTGATAACACGAGATGTTTATATACGTTCTAGGATTGCTTCTTAGGCCACGTGGGAGTTATTGCAGTACACTTATCAATACTAAGATCAGATTGCTTGCCCTGTGTTTGCTGTGATGGGTAATTATTTTGACGCCGATGATACCTGCCTTGTCGAGTCACTGACTTACTTCCGAAGTCAGATATGGACAGTTCACTTCTATAAAGGGAAAGTGCCTGACACGAAACCGTATTTCGTCTCAGGCTCCGTCCAAAAAGTGTTGCAAAAGGTATAGTTGAGTCATGCTCGAGGTAGAAATAGAGCGTGACTAGCTAAAACTTCCCACCGCGATTCGATACTTGATTTTACGCCCAATAAATTGGAAGATTCAAGACCTCTAGGCAGCTCAAAGAATGAAGTATTATTAAATCTACCTAAGTGCTTGGTAATCAGAAAATAGTAACTCAAAATCCACCAAAGGAAAGCCAAAATGGTCTTGTCAATCTCTACTAAACAAGTGTCTAACAAAATATATCAACGCTAATATCCAAATCCAGTGCGTAGCACATTATACCCTTTCCAAAGGGCGTATATCCTCCCAAATCCAATCCCATATCTAAACAACAATAGCCGGTGCAAGATTTCCAGTTAGCGACTCATGCAAATTATCCGCGTCCGCGTAGGTGTCCATGCCCGTTCGGAACGCGATATCACTCTCATCAATGGCTGGAACATCGGTGCTGGAAATCACCGGCTTGGCGGGCCAAATTTCGTGACCAGCAGCTTGCTCCTTGCTGAAGTGCTCGGTGACGACTTCTCGGACGGTGCTTTGGAAGTGCAGTGGGCCCATCTCCATATCTGGGTGTAGGAGACCGTTGACGAAGACGCCGGCGTTGAGGTTCTTCTGGGTGTGGATGCACAGGTACTTGTCTTCGGACATGATGCGCTTGTACATGTCGCTGATGAGGTTGAAGGCCTCGTCGGTGGCATCTTTGTGGCGGTAGACTTCGTAGCGCATGACGGACTTTGTGGGGCTGACGGGAGTGAAGCGCTGCATGAAGAAGAAGTTGGGACTTTGATGGTTGGTTAGCTGGTTGTTCTCGACAAATACAGTTGATATAATGTATAGGGCTACCCACGAGACGTTGCAAGAGGCGTTGGGCCAGAAGTAGGTAGTGGCTATCCGGAAGCCCTTGTCGATCTGGTCCTGGCGCTGAGCGCCATAGTGCTGAATGTGACCGTCCTTAGTCTTGACATAATAGGAGTTCAGATCGGCGATAGTCGGAATATCGGGGTGGGCAACTTGGCAGTGATAGCACTCGTTGTAGTTATCGGCCAGAATCTTCCAGTTGAAGTCGCCCTCCATGTCCCAAGTGTGATCAAAGTAGTAGTTATCGAAGTTGTAGTAGTCGAAGCGGGGCTGCTCGTCGACACCGTCAAAGTCGTCCTTCCAGGCGACCTCGGGGGTCTCCTTGGAATCAAGATTGACCCAGATGAAGCCGTTACGGTCGATGTGCACATGAACCGGAGAGAGGTCGTTGTCATGAAGGTAGGCCTTGATGTTTCCCTGCTCGTCCTGGGAGACGATGAACTTGTAGCCAGCAGCGTCGTACTGGACCCAGTCACCGGCGTTGGGGACGCGGTGCTTGTGCGTGGTGAGGAGCCATTTGCGAGAGAAGATTGATCGTCGCTCAAGCTCATACATATCCTGGGAAGTATACCAGGAAGCAGGAAGGGCGCGAACAGGCGTCTTCTGCTCCTTCTGGACCTCGGGGGCCGTGGTAGTAGTACCGAACCAATTCCTCAGGAAAGACATTGTGAATATTTGGATCAAAGACGAGTCTTGATAACCAGGGTTATGAAGAGAGATAAGGATGTTTAGATTCCTTGGGACTAGATTCTTTGATCTGTGTCTGAGACTGATACCGACTACGAAGCTGGCGAAAGCAGCTTTTTTATGAAGCTATCGCGATTACCCCAGCGCCACAGCTGACCACGGTTCACGGAGGCCCAAAACCATGTCCGAACAATGTTAACGGGATGTAAACCTTCATGCCCGATAGTCACGATTATTTTGGGAAGCACATTGCAATCAGGTGGCCAAATCCAGCGGGGAGTAATACCTGGGGACCGGTCACCTGATCGGTTGGGCCCTCCCGTCGGGTCCGAATGGCTTCAAGCTTATCGACCTCACCTTTCCGAAAATTGCTAAAGAAACCAGAATTCAGCCCCCCTGGCGCTTGTGGCAAGCTGATAAGCCAATAGTACACTCTTAAGATATCCACGTTCAGTCTAGAACACTAATATGCCTGAACCGTCCCAGGCGGTTCTCGAATCTGGGCTTTTCGAACCTGAATCCCTGATAGGTGGTAGGTAAACTGGTGATACAAAACCGAGCCGCCCCCAGAAACCGACGGTGGAGCCGGCTATCGAGTCCGACATTTTGTACCGACCTTCTCCATCCTCCCCAGATTTCATGATGAAAGTCTGATGAAAGTGTGGGTATCCCCAGGTTGAATGGAATTCACCATTGTCGCGATGAAATTGATCAAGTTGGATGTAAGGAAGATCTACGGCATATACAGACAGCATGATCTGCGATAATGATAGATAGCATCGCCCAATAGATAGCCGTATTCAATTGATTGAACGATATCTATATCACATGGCCGGCCCGTGCAACAAGATGGAATGGGAGAGCCGGGCCCCGGACCCAACAAACAGATAAGTGGGTCAAGAATCCACTTGCTAGACTGAATACAGTGTGGAGCTCCTGACCTTATCACGAGACGTTGTAAGATTCATATCGTCGCATTGTAGGAACTAGGAGCGGTGAAAGCACTTCGTTGGTCTTCAATTGAAAGAAACCGAGAGAGTGTAACCCTTGGAACCCACCCAGGAGAGTATTCTTCTCCCCAGGGAGAGACGACTTGGCCAGTGGGAGGAAAGCAGGCAGCATTATCAGCACAGGAGAGTCTCCGTTGATAACATATCCCAGGGCTTGATAGCTACATCCGGCCATCCCGCCAGTCTTGAGTCAAGCCACTGAATTTCAATCGCTCCCAGAAACACAGCATACACATAATTAGAGTCCATGTTCTGCAAGGAGATGACCCAATCATTGCATCTGCTCCATTCTGAGATCATCATCTAAAAGCCAATTGAGAGCGCTGTTCACGATCGCCTCGCCGGTCATGCCGCGATCATCCAGAAGCTGAGACAGGTCACTGAATTCGATTGTTGGATCAACCGTGGGCTTCATGCTAACGACCCCAGAAGCAACGCCAGCTTCCGCTTGGGAATCGGAGCTACTCCCAGACTGCATTAACTCGTTCAGTCCAGACGGTAATGAAGACGGTTCATCCGCACCAAGTGAGGGTCGATCGGCGCTGGTATCCCGCCTCTCCGATAAAGCCGAAGAATGTTCGGTAAGGAATCGGGCCATCCAATTGTCCAATACGAATGCATCTGACATGGAGTCCCTACAGTAGTTCTGGAAGGATCGTAGATGAGTCACCTGCAACGTAAACGAATTAGAAACTGACAAAAGGCTCGGGGAGAAGTCGCAAATCGGAACTCACGTAATGTTCAACAATCGACCAGTAAGCTTTGAGGCCCATGAGGAACTGAAAGTTAAACACCAGACGTTGTCGAGCAGAGCTCAAGTCTGATTGGTCATCAACGCAGAGTAAAGTGTGCAGGTGAACACTGGAACTGACAACCGCAATATGCCCATAGATGAAGTAATCCATCTTGCACTTGGGTGTTGTTTGAGCATATCTGAGAATATCCGACACGATTGACGCACTCTCCTTGCACTTCGCCGCTCTATCTCGAGTAGTCCACCGCGCAAGGCGTGTATCCAAGAATGGGAAAAGAAGCATCTGACGGAAATGGTAATATCCAATATGCATGGATAAGAATGTTTTTCCGACTTGCTTTTCGATCATGAGCATGAAGTTGTCGTAGGAGTATGTCAGATTAGGTGGGAGATTCTTCGCCCACTGATCCAGACCATGCTCCAGCACAGCAGCCTCCTTGCAGAATTCCTCGAAAGAAATTGCATTTTGACTGAGACGGCGCAGTAGGACATTGATCCTCGTATATATGTTGAGGGTTCGCCCCATCTGAGCCCACATATCACACTTGGAAGAAGGCGAAGTCCTCGACTCTACAAGTAGCTCGGCACTGAGCGTTTGAAAATCGGCATCATCAATCTCTGGGAGAGGAGCCATGTCGTGGAATGGAGAGGTGGGCTCAACTGCCATATCTGATGCAGACCAATGAACGGCAATAAATATGGTGAGCCATGTCCGACGGCGCTCCTCTCGAAGTACGACCGTCGCGGTATCCGCAGGACACAATAAGTCGGCATGCAGACGAGCCAGACCGACGTACACATGCTTTCCTTGGATATTACCTTCGCCGCCGAAGTAAAATCCTACCAACAGAAACCCTTGCACGGTTTCGAGCGTCGGGATGATCATATGTTCTTGGCATCGGCGGATCGCCTCTGTCGCATATATTTTCCCTCGGGCGCATGGGGTGATGTTGTTGAATACCCGATTTTCAGAGAATCTACCAGCACGCTATTAGTGATGTGGGTTTAAACGAGATGAAAAGAAACGCACCGAGCAGCGAGAGCACACATCGCATAGACATGAATCATGGATGCTTTGCCTTCTTGAAGGCGATGCATAAAACTCGGTTCATGGAAAATAGTGTGGGCGATGTTATGCACGTATTGAAAATACAGGGGAACAAGTTCGAGCACGAGTTCCGACGAGCCAAAAGCACCGAGAACATGATCTTCGTCACGTCGCCCATCATGCGTCGCTTTTTCTGGGGTGCCCACGGCTACAAGCAGCCTGGTAGGGTTTCGCCTTAGTGTGCAAGGAATGGACAGTGCTTGACATAGCCGACAGCCATCCCATGTGGAAGATGGAATGCAGCGCCTTTTGCGGGTGCTAAAGATATGTGTCAATCCCTAGACTCAACTGAATGTACGGGGGAGTAAAACTCACCGACAAGCCGCACAAGCTCCAGCTCGCGCCCTTTTTGATTCATTGGGGTTACTTGTCATAGGCGCCGTTGAACTGCCATGTGGTGGTGAAATGTGCTCCGTAAAGCCGGGGAACCCCGGAATATGGGGTAATCACACGTGACTCGGTCAACGTGATTGGCCGAGTTGAGTATATGTTCTCAAGAATTGGGACGAGAGCAATAAGTACTGAATTATTCCATGAATAGGTAGCCCCTAGAGCACAGAGAATCTTGAGAAATAAATTATAGAGTAAGGGGTGGATGGCCTAGGTTGGCCCATATGATTTGACCAAAGCAATGAACAATCGTGGATATCATCTAGAAAATACAGCGACAGGTCGCATCAAATGTATGAATTAGTTACACATTAATAAAGTTTCGCCAAAAATGAAGACCGTTTCGAGACCCGACGGAACTCATCCACCGCCGGACTAACAGCCTTCAAACTGCCACTTCCATCGTCAACCTCCATCGGCTCGAGCCCTTGGTACCCCGTAGATCTACCTTCCGTGTACGGACTCTGTCCATCCTTTTTTGCTCGAATGTAGTAGTGTGCATCTGTCTCGTCCATGCCAATAAACCATCTCTCCTTCATTTGCCGACCAACGGGGCCACCTCCACATGCACCGTGCAGTTGCGACGACTGGGGGCTATTCACAGCAATGGCAAAAAGATTCTGCGGCTCGGTGAAGTCCGTAATTTGATGACCGCGTGCTTCGACGATGACGAAGATCAGACAAATGAACGAGGTCAGGAAGGCAAACACGAGAATCACGTAGAAGACACCTTGCCAGCGCTCGGTACCACCGGACGCGTAGCCTACTTCTTGCAAAGAGGCCGGGAAGTACTGATATACCGGTTCGGTGAGGATGTCGTTATCAACGGTGTAGTTGAAGAAGTGAACGAAGGGGGCATTTTCAGAGGAGAGAATGAGCGTGCTGCCAGCCATCACCGCAAGAGCTTCTCCGACCGAGGGAAGTGATGGATTGAGGGAATATGTTTTGGTATCGTTGTCGTACGTAGGCATCATTTGCATGAGGAGACGCGCGTTACTTGCTTGCGCGTTGGTAATTCCCGAACCCAAGCTGAGCGAGGGGGCCCATTCGCCGGCAACATTCTTCCAGTCTGCTTGCCAGACACCCTCGGTGAAGTTTTTCTGCTTTCGGCTGTATTGGAGAAGATTCGTCCTATTTTCACAATTGGAGCTGAGGAAAGCTCCGCTGGACGCTGCGACGTAGCGCGTTGAGCAGACGCCAGTCTCTTTGGCGCGGATAGCGCACATCACATATTCTGGTTGCGAAACGCTTGGCTTTCCAAGTAGGTAGATTGCGTTCGCTGGCGAGAGACCCGTCGTGTTCAGGATGGTGTTGTTGGATCCCGGGTAGGTGCCGAAGATGGGAGGTCGCTGGCCATATTTCTTACCGAATCCAAATATATCATCCACGACGGTTCTGTTGAGCCAGGATGGGGTTCGGGGAATGTCTTCTGGCGGATTAGCGCTCCATGTTGTTGCGTTGAAGTGCACGTTTGGCCACTCGGAGTAAATCAAGGGCGAAAGCTCGGATTTGTTCATGCCGACACAGAGCACGTTGACGGCGGGCGAAGGTACTGAAGCCTCAAGGCTGTATTTGCCCTCGCCCGAAACGTCCTGAGGCTGGTGGATATCATTCTTCTCATCCATAGCCGCGGCGGGTATCCCACCATGTGGCATTGCCATCGTGATATTGTTGACCATACGACCATACTTCTGAGTCAGATCGGTCAGGTTCGTCATTTCAATCCAGCTGCCTGTAATTGTGGTATTATCCCACATTGAACCGGTGGGCATTGGTCGAGTCTGAAGGCGATTCGAGGTGTCGTTCCCACTACCAATGAAGTCGGCCCATTTAATGATCCACTGCTCGTAATTGTGGTATGCTTGACCCACGTTAACCATCTGAAGACAGGTATCGTTGCGGGCATACGGGTCCATCGATTGTGGAATTGGGCTTTTACAATTCAACGAAAGATATTCCACATTGCCGAAGCTGGAGTAAACTTTACCCGCGAGAGTGGTGTCGACTATCGGGCCCATCGAGAGTTTTGGAGATACTATGCCATGGAAGTCAGAACCCTATCTCTGTCTTGTTCGCGCTTTCAGACCCACCTAAAGCTTCGGCCGCCGTTGTGTAAAGCATCGCTACAAAGGTTGCGACCAATGCGATGGCACCCAAGAAGGTGAGGGCTGAGTACCGCAGGGTCTCCCAGTGCACGATCATTGACCCAGGCTGCATGATCCATGCTCTCATATTCATGTCCGATATGCTGATTCCCCGCGAGTCCTTCGTTAGTGCTCGCCGACTCAGAACCTGGCCGAGGAAAGCGACGCATATCGTAACGTAGGCCAGTTCAATAGTTTTGGCAAAGAATGCACAGAGCAAATTTGCCGTCGACGGGGCCAGGGAGCCATCGCTGCTGACATTATTCCACCTCGGTTTTCGAATTGCGATGGCGAGATATATGCCCGAGAAAACGGTTGCATAAAATGCCAAGACGAATATCGTCACTGGCACCCACGAGAACCGGCTTTGGAGGACTGTCGCTCGAGTGGGGCAATTCCCTGGTGAGTGATGTGAATGTAAAATGGCCGGTGTTCCTTGAGGCGTTTTCAAGAAGCCTGGGGTCATTGGAGTGTTCTCGCTGCCAGCGCTGGAGATCGAATCGCGTTTGCCTCGGGTAGGGAGCGCATCGCCGGAGGGGTCAGTGATACCTAATCCCACCTCCCGAAACACTTCCTCGGAGAAGCTTTCATGTCTGGAGGCTGGCGGCAGATAAGCGTATTCGCTGCTGAGTGAGGAGCGACCGCCGAGTGGGTTCCACGAGCGCTGGGGTTTCGCAGTAACGAGGTCTTCCTCCGAGGGCAGAAGCGAGTGCTGTGACTCCCGCGACTCGGCCATAGTGGGCGCGATGGGAGACGGGAGGACTGTTGGAGAGAGTCTTGAAAGAGGAGGAGGTGAAGCTGCCAGTCGACATTGACCAGCTTGTGAAACCTGCCATGCTTGTTCGTCTAGCGCGCAAATTTAAAAATAAGCCGAAGGCATCACACAAAGCGCGCTTCTTCCCCTCAGGGAGTCAGACCTCATGCGGCTGTTGATTCTCTCAGCTCATTTCCGAAAGTGACTGGGGCTGAGTGAGGCCCAATCTCCGTTCTTGTTCTTTGTCGTGTCCGCCGCTAAGTCGTTAGCTGCCTAGTGGCATGGTCCGCCCACAGCGATTGGCAGTGCCCGGCAACTCTCATTAGTCCATTGAAGGCTTAAAGGAGGAGTTAGGATCCACTCCTCTCACAGGGTTCGGTGGCTCAGGGTCGTGAATTGTGAGGCAGGCAGGTCATGGTTGTTGAGTTTGGGGAAGAAATAAGCCTTGAAATCTTAGTCTATAAGATAGGATATACTTCTCAAGAATGCCAAATTGCACTAACCACGCCACCTCCGAGGAAACTAGACTTCACCATTATCGCGACCGAGTTATTGCGTTGCCAGGCTGATTCTGGCCCCCACGACAGTCCTGCACGCCTCGACAGGGATCAGGAGTCCCTGATTTGAAGGACTCTTGTCAGATCGGTGCTTACCATTCAGGGATGACGACGCATAAGAATGGGCAAACCCGACTACAGAGGCCTATTCCTCGTAATTAAATAACCTGCATCACTGCATATACATTATATTCATGTCTTCTTCTTTATCAGATACAAAGCACTTTTGTTCGCAAAAGTCAACTGCACGCCTCGTTCCGGGACGCTCGAAAGACTACCTGTACCACTTGTGGTGTTTGAATTAAGGTGACAGGGTAGGAGCCGCATAGGTCAATCCAAAGAGCGCTCGGGCAAGTAGCACAGAATTGGCAATGCTAGTGCCATGCTAACCGAAGTCATGACTGTCACCAAGTCAGTTGGAATGTAAGAAAAGTCATAATCTGTAATGACTTACCTGGGACAACTCGGAAGGCTTGGAAAAAACAGTTCTTGACCAAGGTCTGTAACGGTTCTGGCAAAGAAAATCCGAAACGACTGTCATTGAGTACATGGTGAATGATCTACAAGCCCGGATTGTTGATTAGCATCAGCAGAGGTCATGAGAGTTCGTAAAATCTCACCTGAATCGAATCCGCAAAGTCGGCAAGTTTCTGCTCAAGATATGCTCTGAATACCATCCGACAGGTCACAGATGCTGCGCTAATACCCATCATCATTCCCAGCTGTTGCGCCAAGTAGTACACCGTCATTGCAGTAGCAGACATCTGATCGGGAATCGAGGCTGATAGTCCGACGAATGTCACAGCGAAGAACCCTCCCATACCAATACCTATAATAATAGTGAAGAGGAGCTCCCAGTAATAAGGGCCTTGAGGTAGTCGAACGGTCAGAAGAACGTTGCCCAATATCATCGCCAAGCAACATTTGATCGAAAGAGATTTGTATTTCCCAGTTCTGCGCTCTTTGTTAGACATCAATGTCAGAAGCTATAATAAAGCACACGTACCGGCGCACAATATTGCCGACAACAAGACCACTCAAAGTACTAGCCGCAGCCAGGGGAAGAATCGACAAGGCCGCCAGGCTAGCAGAAGTATTTTTGGTCCGGACCCAAAAGTCGGCAAAGTTACTCGAGAACTGTGCAATATGTCAGCGTGAAAACACTCACATGACCATAATGCCCGAAGAAGAAACTCACCCCGCAAAAAGTGAACATTGCCAGGAGTTGTGCGATGTAGGCTAGGCCGATACCATTCGTTTTCAAAAGACACAGGGGGACCAGAGCAGTTTTGGTCCAATAACGTTCGTTCAAGCAGAATAAGACACCTCCAATGACAACGGTACCGACTGATATTGTCATGAGTATGTTCTTCTGAGGTAACTCTTCCGACACGAGCTGACACACTCCCATGATCGCCGCGATAACCGTCCCTAACAGACAAATGCCTGGCAAGTTCAGGTCTGGTTTCGATTCATCCAGTTCCCCTTCCTCCTTAGTGTTCGAATATCCATTGTTCGTAGCGGAGGGCAATCGCCATGCGGCCATGGTAAAGCAGAAGATTCCCAGAGGAACTTTGACTAGGAAGGACCATCTCCATCCTAGTAGATCGGTCAGAAGTCCACCGAGTGGGGATCCGATGGTGACACCAAAAGTTCCGGACATCTGTAAATAGCATCGAAGGACGGCGACTTCTCTCAACGGGGCCATTTCTAGGAACTGAATATCAGTAAAGCTCCTTCTCTTGCGTCCGGCGGTCTACTTTACCTGTAATAATCACGCTGATCAAATCAGTCATGCCCGCACCACCCGCACCAGCAACGAATCGACCAGCTATCACAATCCCGAGGTAAGGCGCAAAGCCACTATGAAATGGGTGAGTCGATTCCTCTTCAACATGAGCAAGAGTGTTTGGCAAATACCTGATTATGCACCCAATGGTGAAGACAAGGTATGCTACCAGCAGAGTCCTTTTGTAACCGTAGATTTCACAAACTCGTCCATACTGCGATGGTCAGCCTTTGAATCATTTGACTTTTGGAATCCAGGTCTAACGTACCATAGGAAGTGTAACAGAGTATCCTAGATTGTATGCCGTAATGAGCCAAGGCCCAAGGGAAAGACGATGGAAGTCCGACGCGATATGGCCACTTGTAGTGAAGACGAAGTATTCGTCGCCGATAGCCAGAAATACACCTGAAAGTATTCAAATCAGCCGTTTCGTCCCCATAGCCGGGTGATAAATGCAAAGAGACTCTACCTAATACAGCGATCGCAAAGAAGACCATGTCCACACCAGACCTGGTTTCTCCTTTGGCCTCTGGCAGCCTCTCAGGGTCATCCACCGGTCGGCCTGCTGACTGTATCAACGGCGTGCGTTCATCCATGGCTGTCGAGCGCCCTCGAGATATTAGCGAACAAGCGCTCTGAGGTGATTCCTGGCCAGGGGGAAAAAAAGGCAGGGCACGGAGAAGGGTATTAGCTTCCTCAAAAAGATTTCGCTATCGGATCAGTCGCATGAACCACGATCGACACGGCAGACCAGCCACACGAGCTAGTGATGTATGGCTACACGGAGAAATCCGGCGCTACAATAACAAATAATCCATACAATTCGCTCTTTCCGTCGCCAATCACGAATTGATATGGGGCAACCACTCTGCCGGGTAAATCAAGGCCATTGAAACTTCCTTGCTTCGAGCGGGGCATCGTTCGCACGTCGCCCTTTGCCCCTTCTTTCCGTCTATATTTTCCTTGTCATTGTGGTTCGGGACGATCTCGGAAGGAGTGTCCACTAGACAGAGCTTTGCCTCATGTGGTTCCAATTGTATAGCAATTCATGCATAAATGGCAAGCAGTCATCACGATCGAGGCGATTATTGGACAATTCTATGTATCATTCGGGGTTCCTCAGCATCTCGTGGGCGACAGGCGCAGCTGGGTGTTGTTACACAACAGATGCCACTAGTCCGAGTAGGTTAAGATCTTCCAGGCAGAGTTTTACTTTACGAAGAGCTAACTGGCCAGTTCGCCAGTCATGAACGGGTGCAAGGATGGGCAACAAGGTCTGCACTGTCCTTATTCAGGCTGCAGCGATCCGCGTGATCAGATCTATCGATTTTTCCATTCCAGCCTTTGTTGCCTCCTTGGACGCGCGCCTCGATGTCCACTTCCTTGTCTGAATTTTCAATTCCGACCTGCATTAGAGCCCTATAATTCCTGTTGCTATAATTATTTGGATCTATTAGGTTGGTATATATTCAGGGTCTAAGGTTCCATTCGGCTTTTGATAGTTCCCTTCTAATCCAAGATCTGCGGTGGGGCTGTGGGCATGAAGCTAGTAAAGAGCGGTCGGAGATGGTGGGGGCTTCGGAGGGTGGAGACATTGGACGATCTAGCCTTTGGGTTCACGATGATATCCCTTGAGTAACCTCTAGGTTACTTGTGGCAATCTGATGCAATCTGAGACTTGAGGTCATAAGACTACAAGAATAGAATTTCCAGGTTTGAAGAGAAGATTCAATTCAAATTATCTATGAATAGTTGAAGGCATAATGTAATATTTGCGCTCGCCACTCTTCCCTCCGCTTATGAGCGTCGAAAGTTCCCACCCAGTCCAGATCAAAATCCAATCAGTCCAGATCAAGAGAGCGTCAATAGAACAGCTGAGGAGTCCGCCACGCTGATTCGAAGCACTCCGCGGCCGATGGTCGCGACATCCTCCTTCTCCTCAACAACCACTGGCCTTCCTTCCAAGAGGTCGTAATCAAACGAGACCCCTCCAAAGGTAACGCTCTCCACAGAATCACTTCCAGGTGCAGAAAGGCGCTCAATTTTGGCTTTCTTGACGTGGTTCGGAACTTTGAACTCGTACTCCCGGCTGGGTCGGCTTCTAGACGCAGTCTGGTTGTAGGCTTGGAGATTCAGAACCACGAGCTTGCTCAGCCCTTCTCCCTGATAAATTCCGTATGCTGCCTCCGTATCCTCCGCCAATGGAATATTCACAATACGGGCATCTTTAGCGTCGCCAATCGCAGATGCGACCATGATCTGGCCATAGTATGGTGGTCTTGTCTTCGGGGGGTTCCCCTCGCTGGCAATTGGTTGCCACGAGGCATATCGGTAGTTGAGGCCTTGGTGGAAATGAAGGCGCTTGATGTTCTGTAGAGAGAGATTAGTAAATTTACGGATTTGACAGTGAGATTGAAGTCATACGTGAGCGGCACACCAAAGGGAAAAGTCAACGAGCCACAAAGCATCACCGAAAACATTGGTTTCGCCGTTACGACCTTGATTTGCGATTGAATTGAGCTCTCCAAGTGTGAATGGATGACCCAGATAAGCAAGGTTCTTTGCACGCTGGATTTGAGCTGCCAGGTTTTGCACAATATTTGTGTGGTTCATAAGAACATCTGATTCGGTTAGCCTCACGCACGCTGTCATTGGACAGTGTCACCCATACGTTGAAGGTCATAAGAGACTGGAGCCAGGGGAGGAACGAAGGCCCCCATATAACTGTGAAAGAAAGTATAAAAGATTAGTATTCTGCGATTAAATCCCATACTGGGTGAATCAGTGGACTCACTTATGGAACGACAGGTCCTTAGTCAAATTCTTAGAGTCATAACCAAGCTGGAAGAGTTCTTCAGCGGTCCAATTGTTCTTCACTATGTCCGAAAAGACAAAGCTAGGTGCCATAAATCCAGGGAAAGCGCCTGGGCACGCCTTTTCGTAGGCAGTTTTAATCGCCGCGGTCTTGTAGTTCCATTCATTGGAATAACTCTGAAGGGTATAATTCGCTGGTCGATACTCTGGAGCCTCCATGTTGATCTCGTTACCCAGTTCGAATGAATCCAAATTGGTGCCCATTGAGCGGCACGCTTCCACGGCTGCATTTGTGAGTTGCTGAATAGAGCTGTTTTGCTTCATGTTCAAGCCGTGAATGTATTGCATGTCACCCAAAGCTTGGTACGATTCGAAGAAACCCGGGCCATAATTGATCTGGCTAGGTTGGTCGTCGGTCGGGTTCGTGAAGACAAGCTCGATACTATCATTTTGGTCAGGGTAGTAGATAGAATTGTCCCTAGTAGTGGAAAGTATTAGTGAATACTCGTTGAGAAGTTCAAGGGTGTTACTCGTACTGCGACGTTCCCCCAACTCTCACTTTAGGGTATACACCAGTAATATTTTTGAAATTTTCCATCAAATTTCGAGAGAACTGGTTTGGGGAGGACTTGTTTCCAGCATAATCAGGGAAGAATGCAAATTCCAAAGAGAATGATTGCAAGTCATTGGGGATTGCTTCACTGTTCTTTGGCGGTAGTGGAATAGTCAAGGGTTGGCTGGAGCAATTGCCCACTGCGACATATAAGGCACTGGTTGCCAACAAGAAGCGAGATTTACACATCGTTTGATCTCCAATACTGTTTAATTACTTTTATTCAACCAAAAACCGTGGGTTCACTACAATCTATTTATCCATCCAGGTGACGGCTATCTCTTCGCGTCGGCATTTGATCGATACTCATAAGCAATAACGCCAATCCCAATAGTAAATAATGAGATGACCTCGCTAACTTAATAAAAGGGAGGTCCACTTCCCTAACTAACGCTGAGAACCGACTATCAAAAGCCGTTACCACAAACATGGCATTGGTATCAAGTTGTGATTCGTTGCATAGTAGCCGACCTATCCCCGGACCATACCTCCTCATTTCCCCAGTATTGACCCCGCAAAGTTTCGAGCTTTATTGTGATCAGGGGTATATTTCTAATACATAACTATACTACTCCAGATTGATCTATTGAAAGACTTCTCAATTCGCTTATCCCAAGATAAGCCGCGACTGTCAACCTATTGCGTAGTTCAGTCGAAAGCTAATCAAGTAGGGTTTCAGCTTATCATAGAAATCATAGGAATGCAGTCCTGTTAACAACTTGACATGAATCTGTAGCTATCGGCATGTGGACCATCGGGTAAATTTTATCCTTACCAAGCCGAATGCTTTTATTGAAGATGCCGACATTTTGGGCTCCAACTGCCGTGCAAGTGGGAGAGCAAGCTAATACCATAACTCATAATGCGGGGTCTTGAATAATAAATAATACATCATAGAGAGCGTGTGCATAGTGTCCATCACAGATCAATCGATGGTTTCACATCCCCAATTGAGTAGATATCCCGGGAAAGGGGGTCAGATCCGCCAAGAGTTATCTTTTTACCACGCTACTAGGATTCGTGGACGCAAATCTTAGCAATTGAAATCAAGAAATGTTAATTAGCTTTTGGAGAATTTCGTCTGCGTTTTCGACTAAAATCGGAGGAATATCTTGAAAATATGAATACTGGTGATACTACTACTGTGTCCCGTTCGTTCACTTTAGCCTCGGCCCCCACACACATGGGCGGAGCTTAGCAGCAACAAGAAATGAAGGCGATCCACTGTTCAAAGGCTGTGTGGAATCATTGCCGTTCCACTTGAAAGTCATTAAGAAAGCCAAGGTAAAAAAGAGGGTAATGCAAGCCCGTTACATAAAGTACTGGCCGGAGAGATATGCCCAGGATGTAAGAGGTAAGAGACCGTTTAACCAACTCGATTAAAAGGCATAAGAAGGGCAAGATCATCTGCTAATCAAAATTTCTAAGCTTCATCTCCTCAAGCGAGACGCGTCGGTCGCCGCGTCTCCACCGCCTTCTATGAAATTGTCCATAGGAATATGGCGGTAAGCCCAAACTGACCGAGGGCTTCTACTCGTAGGTTCCTGCCTAATTATTCAGGCTTTATAGTGATACACCATTTATCGCCTATTGGGAAACGTTGTAAATCCAGCCATGTCAATTCTCTGAGCTCCACTACTGAACCACTTAGTTCAGGCATTCTGAGTGTGCATATTAAGATGTCTTCTAATGTATCGTATGTTTCCCTTTCCATGACCCAAGTGCCGTTAGTCATGACCATGCGGGAAAACGTGGTAGCTACTCATCCTATCTTTTCTGGTCACAGTATTAGCTTTGATTATAAACAGTCAATTGAAGCTAAAATTGCTCACACTTACTTTGTTCCGCCCTCAGTGTTCATCGCCATCCGAGTCATCATCGGAAAGACAAGAGTCCTGAAGAGCGTCGATAACCCAGTGCGTGTTGTCATACAGAAGGCACCAGCGCCCCTCTTCCCGCAGCATCTACGATTTGGCAATAGCTGATGTTCATTATCCTGATCCTCTCCGTCCCGGATTGTGGCTTTCTCCTCCTGGGTCATCTGGTGGACGACATCAAGCATGGCCCTTTCCAGAACGGAGATTCCGTCAAAATACGCTCGCACTTTGGCCGCCTAGCTCTGTACTTCTGGCTCGCAGTATGATGTCTTCTATCACATAAAGATCCAGGAGGCCCTTGAACCGAGTCTCGGGGCCGGTGTACTCTTGGCACTTGAAGGGGATGCTTTTGATGATGCCCATGATTTCATTTGCTACTGGCCCGGCAAGCAGCATAATATCATGAGAACTGAAGCCGGGTAAAGTAATATGATATCCGTAGATGTAGAACGAGACCGTGCCGGCCAGGTAGTTGAAAGGAATGGCTGCGGAAAGGCGGCTCTCGACGTCAGGGTGTACCCCATTTGCATGGGCGAGGAGTGGGCTGTTGTAGTTCAGCGGAGTCGGATCACCGAGGGCTTCCTCATGGGATTGAGGTCCTGCATCGGGAAACTGCTCGCTAGCCGGGTTGACTGGTGTACTTCTGCTTTTCTGAGTACACGTTTTCAAGAGAGCCAGGGATACTGTGGAGAGTGGTGGAATGTATCGGGAAGGACTAGATTTTTGAGTAGGCCTCTGGTGAAGGTGTAGTGGTTTCAAAGTTGGCGAGTGGTGGAGTAGAAATAGAAGGGGAAGTAATACAGGATTGCGGGCTAGGAAGATGGAAGAAGAGATAATAATACGAAGAGCCAGAATGAGAGCAGAATTGAGACACTTAAGGTTCTTTCTAGAAACTTGGTGGAAGATGCCGTAGAATTATGGGTTTGTGGGCCAGGCAAACAATATCAAGGTCACGAGATCGTTTCCTAGAAACCCATTGTGCCTTTTGATTGTAGTCATAGACCAGCGACCGAAGCTTCATTGAATTTCATTGCGGTAACTATCTGGATCATTTCATTAATTCCCAAGATGGGTGCTCACATAGTCATCTTCATGCCACCATTAGCGCAAACCAAGCTTCCTGTGCACCACTGGCCATCAGGGGTGGTCAGCATGCCCACGACACCAGCAACCTCGCTGGTGAATGCAGGTCTCCGGCCACCCATCTTCTCATCGATCAAACGCTTCTGCTCATCGGTCAAGCGAGCCATCGTCTCCGGATCCGTCAAATCCAACTTGCTGCCGGGAGTGTTATCCTGGAATCCTTGAATGTCCCGCCAGAAGTCCTCGCCTGCTGCGAAGTACATATCACCAACAACGGGGCCCGGGTTGACTGCATTGACGGTAGCACGATCCGCCAGCTCGCGTGCCCAGGTTCGAGTCATTGATTCGAGCGCAGCCTTGGTACCACCATAGATCGACTGTCCCACGAAACCCATTTGAGAAGAGACACTGGAGATATTGATAATGCGGCCGCTGCGATCGGTGGGCAGGAAGGGGGCAACGGCTTGTGTGAGGAGCAGTGGGGCGAGCACGTTGATCGTATAGATCCAGTTGAACTGCTCTGCGCCGATAGGGCCGCGAACGGGGTCGTTCAGGTTGCAATCGCCTGCGACACCGGCGCAATTAATGAGGATATCGATTTGGAACTTGCCCGACGAGCTAAAGCTCTTCTTGGCCGCATCGAGGATGACATTGGTAGCCTCCTCAGGCTTGCTCAGGTCGGCTTGGATGTGATCACAACGGATGCCATGCGTAGAGGCCAGCGAGGCGCAGAGCTCTTCCGTATGCGCGCGCGAGGACTCGGATGTGAAGTTCAGCAGAAGGTGACATCCCTTTTCAGCGAGATTGTGAGCAATGGCCTCGCCGATTCCTGCAGCAATAACGATGGCGGTTGTTAGCGGATACTTTCTTATCGCAGCCGAGGGGGTTTCTTACCCCGCGATCCACCCGTGACGATGCCGAATTTGCCCTCCAACACACGATTTTGAGTGGCCATTTTGGAAGGTATGTGATGGTGTCTCCGGATGAGAAGTTGAAGAAGTTGAAGGAAAGCGCAAGCCTTTTTGAACCACCTATGCTACTTTGTACTCCCAGAAACAAAAAGCTAATTTAGCCGACAGGCGACTTCGGTCCTTTTCTAAAGCTTCGTTGCTTTCCCCGCCGCTCCACTTGCGGACCAAATTTGCCCGTTTCAGCAGAAATGGGGAAGCCCGGTTAATTACCCTTCGTCCTCGTGACGAGTGATCCTTCCGCCGGTTCCTGGGGTATGTCCCCGATGTCCCTGAGGGGCAAATCAAGGACCCTCTTATTTACTCCAATCGCACCTTCAGCCGCTTAAATTCCTCCGCATTCTCCTTAATAGCAATCTCTACCGGCAGACGCTCCATACTGCTGGCCCCGAAGAATCCATGCACCCCTTTAGTTCGTGATAAAACGTACTCCGCGTCCGAAGGGCGTGCGATTGGCCCGCCGTGACAGAGCACCAGAATATCCGGGTTAACAGCATGTGCCGCATCGCGGATCTCCTGTACAAATCCAACGCAGTCCTCTAGCGACCGTCCAGTCTTCGCTCCGATTAAACCAGACGTGGTTAAGCCCGCATGGGCGACAACGATATCTGCGCCGGCGTTGGCCATTTCAATTGCATCTTTGGGGCTGAAAACGTATGGAGTGGTTACGAGTCCTTGCTCATGGGCAATCTTGATCATCTTGACCTCGCGATCATACCCCATCTCCGTGTCTTCCAGGTTCTGGCGGAATTGACCATCGATTAACCCGACGGTCGGGAAGTTTTGTACCCCGACGAAGCCGAGCTTCTTCAACTCGATGAGAAAGGATGACATATCCCGGAAGGGATCGGTTCCACAGACGCCAGCGAGCACGGGGGTTTCTTTGACGACAGGGAGAACCTCGCTAGCCTAGACCGAGGTCAGTCGAAAAGGATATCATAGCGAGAATAACTAGTTAATCATAAATATCGTAGACGTACCATCTCGACAACCACCTGGTTGGCATCCGAGTATGGCATCAATCCAGCTAACGATCCGCGGCCAGCCATGCGGAAGCGACCCGAATTGTAAACCAGGATTAGATCGCAGCCACCATTCTCGACGGCCTTCGCAGAAAGACCGATGCCTAGAAGGTATTGTTAGTTAGCGCAGAATAAAGCACCAAGTCGAAAAGATGGAAATAGGTCTCACCAGCACCCGCCCCGACAATAATTGAGCCATCAGCAACCGTTTTGCGAAGCCTTGCCAGGACCTCTTCACGGGTAGTGGGGCGGAGCATTGTCGTAAAAACTGAAGCAGTAATCTGACACTACGCGAGCAAGAGGTCGAAAATGGGGTATACCACAGGTCCCAAGCAACAACCTGACTTGGTGATGGTGCAACAGAAGCCCTTTTCCGCGATCTCCTGTCGCACCGGGACCCCGCAGCCCTGGCATTCCAGCCCCGCGAATTACCTCATTTCCGTCGGCTGTTCTCTCTAGAAAATGTACTCCGTACTTATGGCAGGTATATCTTTGTCAACGACATGGTTTTAACGGCTTCTATATATAACTCCGTTGTAGGTATCATCTAGTTCTCTCTTGGAAGTAATTAAAGCCCTCCGATATTTTCTCTTTTAATTTAGATCAAAGTGGCAGTAAGCAAGTTAGTCGTGTACTTTGCGCGTGGGCCGCCGACATGAGTCCACATTGAAAGACATGATAGGAAACATGAATTATGGCCCTCGCAGCAGGACGAAGGACGCTATGTCGTGAGCATTTCAATAAAGAACGATAGTTCGCCCTCGTACACAAGATCCCCTGCACTCCGACGTACGGCCAAGCAGATAAATTCATTCTCTTCTTCTTTAATTTTCATGGCTGGCCTTCCAGAAAGCGGGCACGGTAGGGAATGAGGGATCTTGAAGTCCGGTGTGTGAAGAGATGGAACAAAATCCAGATAGCATGATTTAGGGGACCTATGAGAGGAAGACAGCGCAAGGTGCTGTGCCGATCATCCCGGATGATCGTCGAAAACAAAGATCTCGAACTTAGCCTTAGGCTTCTCTGTCGCTGGGGTGTTTATGCGTTTTCGAGCAACAGCTCGCTTGAAGCTGCCGGGTAATGGCGACGTACTCGGGGCTGCTGGGCACAATATCCCAGAATTCCCGGACCTCAACCCAGTCTCCATCGATGGAGGGGTCGAGAAATTTGAAGTTCAAAAAAGCTCTAGGTCCGGCCCGAGGAAATACATAGAAACCACTTACTGGCACGATAAAAGAAAGGTTAAGCGATATGGACTAACTCGGCTCGATAAAGCTCGGTTAGTTTCCCGTCTGTCTAGCTAGATACCTACTCTCTATCTGCTGCTCTTTAAAGGAGCTTTGTTAGGGTCCTTGGACTATCTTTACGGGTCGCTTTAGAATTATGTGCTCGGTTTGTTGTGTGAGTATCGCTAACCGCCCCTAATATATATAGTTGTGCTAACCCCACGTTTATAGGTAAGGGAAAGCCCACTCCTAGGTATCATAACCTAAGAGTAACCTCCACTTAAGGGTAAGAGGCCTCTGAGATAGGTAATCCTTTGCTAAGAATTTGTACATATTCTAAATTGCAAGATGTCTCTAACGGAATGGTAATCCTTTTGATGTCAGAAACTGCCTAGTAACGCGGTGGCGCATATCGAACGACATCCCGTAGCTTGGAAGAAGGTGTGTATTAAAATTCGTCACAGAGATCAATGGTCTGTTATACTGGTTATGTGATAAGTATGGGAGATCTGATTGAAGCTACCCTAATATACAGAGCTAATGCACAAGCAAGGAACGCCTTTGTGGGGGCCAGTCTAATAGGGTGTCAGGTGACGTGATGCGCTGTGATGAGGGGCTGAGCTGGACCACTTCCAATTTTTCAACCCTCAAATTCCCTCACCAGGACCTCCAATCGTTCACTAGGATCTCGAGATGGCCCAGATCTCAGATCTCATCCGCGACTCCCGATTGGACACTTATTTCCTTCCTGACCATAGAGTGGAGACTGTGCATGCATATCGCGAGTCTGACCCTACCGGTCAACGGCGCGTCGTCAATAGGTCAGAGCATTGGAAGCGAGAAAAGAAGATTGGAGGTGGTGGTTATGGAGATGTTTGGTTAGAAAAATGTACTAGTGGTGGCCAGCCGAATTGTACTTTCCGAGCCGTGAAACAGATGACCGTCGACCTGAAATATGGTGCTATTGACTATAATCGCGAGCTGGAAGCTATTGCCAAATTTTCACATAAACGGGTTCGTCTCATGAAAATCTCACTCGAACGGTCCACTAATTTGGGCAGTATGAACGGTGCTTCGTCAGGTCATTTGGGTGGTACGAGGATGGGGATCAGCTGTTCATCGCTATGGAATATCTCGAAGCCGGCGATATGTTTTCATTACTTTATCAAAAGCCACCTCTACCAGAAATTGACGCGAAAGAGATCGCGGATCAGATTCTTGAAGGACTAGACATGATGCATGATAATGGATTTGCTCATCGGGATTTGAAGCCTAATGTAGGTATGCTGCATTGCCAGTTGAGCGATTGAAAGAGAGGGTAAAAGGGACAGAAATGCAAGTGCTAACAGTTTCTTGCCGTTGATAGAACATTCTGATTAAATCCCACCCCCCAAATGGATGGTGGATCAAGATTGCCGATTTTGGCATTTCGAAGCGTATTGAAGAAGGCAACGTGCCATTTTCGACAGTGCGTGGGACACAGGGGTACATAGCCCCCGAAAGATACGGCCTTGTCGAGCAAGGAAGTGAATACGCAACTGATATTTGGGCGCTCGGGGAGATTGTCTTTCAACTTCTCACCCAGAAGCCAACATTCAAGAACTTTGCACTGCTGGCAAAGTTTATGGCACAGCCGGATATCTTTCCCTGTGGGGAACTGGTCAAACTGAATGTCAGCAGCTTGGGTATTGATTTTGTCCTTGCAGTTATGAATCCAAGTCCGACAGAGCGGTTGACAGCCAAATTGGCATTGTCACACGAATGGATCAAGAAAGTGACCGAGACGGCAAAAACGCCTATGAAGTTTGATTTCTCAAAGACCAGCCCGATGAATCCCACAAATGAGAATTTGGACAATCCCACAGAGGACCAATTCGCAGCTTGGAGCACACTGTCAATTCGACCAAAGCCAGCAAATAAAATCCCTGGTAAGGCCTTACAGGAAGAGACGCTTCTAGATGGATGAAACACTGACTAGAAAGGATAAGAATCTATTCAACGCCTCATAGATGGCCTCAGACGCAATGATTTCCGATTGAAAAGGAATTTCGAGGCTCACTCACTAGGGGCTATATTTTCACCAGATGGCAGCCTACTCGCAATTACTGGACCCAGTCCAGACATCCAGATCTGGAGAGTTGAAGATGGAGTATTACTCTATAGGCTTAAAGGGATGCGATCTGCAGTATTCTCCCCAAACGGACGATATTTGGCAGTCCTGGGTTCCAAGGAAGCATTGATTTTACTGCCTCACTCAGGGACACCGCGTAAAACCCTCGCGTTACCCGGGATGAATGCCAAATTCATAGCCTTCTCACCAGGCAGTGAGCTCCTTGTTGCAGGCGGTTGGTCTAAAAAGAATGATATCAAGCTCTGGTACGCTTCTACTGGAGATGAATATGCTGCCTTTATACCACCGGCGACAGTCCCCGTGGGAGCGGAATCGTATGAGCATGACGAGATGGTTGCATTGACTTTTAGTTCAGACGGTCAACGGGTCTTGTGTGCTACAACATTTCATACTTGGAGCTGGGATACCGCGACTGGGAGCGTTGTTGACAATATACCGACTGATGAGAAAGAAAATCTAATCAAGAAGATGAATGGCATGTTCTCCTTAGATGGAGAGTTCATCGCCTTCGAAAACCATAGGATTTGGGGGTCTATATTTACCGGCAAAAGCTCAGGTGGTCGTATGACACGACTGAAAGTCTGTGATAGCCTGATATGGGCGTGGACATTATCACCAGATGGAAGAGTTGTCGTCACAGTGACCTCAGAAGATCAGCATAAAATTCTAAGCTTTTGGGATACAGTCTCCGGAAAGCTCCTTTACTCGACTTATACAACTTCCACCTGTTTTATACATGGGAATTGGAATAATCCGTTTAACAATATCAAAGGATTGTGTTTCTCGAATGACTCGTCGGTGATGGGATTCTTTGGGCCACCTGGAGTGAAGATAGGGCCATGTGAAACAAAGGATGGTTGAAACCCATACAAATATTGCGCCTGATGAACGCGAGAAGGTGCAAAGTGGTATATGTAGGTTGCGTCGAGGTGAGACTTTAAATCGTCCCAGTGCCAATGTTCTCTGAGCAGTTCGAAAATCACCTCTTGAATCACATGTAATTCACTAGAGGTCATCATGCATAATGTTAAGAATTCGGTGGTTTCAGTTCCTATTGTTGTAGCACCTATGGTTTTCTATTTAGGTCAAGAATCCCGACTGATCGCCATTTTTAGCAGTATCGAGATTGTAACAAGATAATAGGTGTTATATATACTGCTAAAAAGTTAGGCCATTCAAGCAAGTATAATAACGCAGTCAGTGTTTGACTTTATTTTATACTATTCAAAAGCAAGAATTGAATGGCATGTTCGAGTAAAATACCTTACATTTATCCCAAGTTTACCTTAGAGATTTGCTTGATATTTGAGCAACAGTTTGAGCCGAGCAGGCTATTCGTTTTCAAATAGAAAACCGATTATTTTCTATGTCTATATTCTCCATGAGACGAATTCGGATATCTTTGATTTGAAGATAAGTTAGTACCCGGAAGAACCCGTTCATAGTTGCCTTCATCATTGATCCCGATGAACCCGGTGTTTTTGGCACGTAGAAATCAATGTCTTTGAGGCTTGCAACTAACTTTTCATATACTCGAAATCTCTACAGACTGATTTCCCTGCAGCAAATGGCCTCCGTTGATGTGGTTCAATCTTTCAAGCCCACAACTCCAGATGCAGGAACAGTTCAATAACCCCTTCGCAAATATCCTCCCAAGTGTATCAACGGCCCCTATTCAAAGTCACGATCCACGTAATAAGTCTCTAGGCGCCCTTGAATCAATCCGCTAATCATGCAGGGGCCAGCCCATCCAGCTTAGGGGTAATTTCCCAGGTTGGTGCACAGAGGCCATCCCCATGAATCGCGTGCAAGCAAGACAATCCACCGCTCAACATGACGTTTTGGCTTACGCAACCTTCTTTCAGCACTGGACAGGCCAGCCTTTCCACCCAGGCTCGAGAGAACATTCAATTTGCTCACCATGCTCCCCACACCAACTGGCCCGGTCCATCGAAGTACCCCATTTGTTTGCTTGCGTTACGGGTCCATTCAGCTCTGGGTCATTTGCGTTTTGTAAAGGCCCTGTTGTATCTTTCATACTCCGTAAGTCCGCTTACATACTCAACATGCGCTTCGTATGAAATTCTACCCTGGCTCAGCCACATCCACTGAGGGGTCGTCCCTGATAGTTCTCGTTTGAAGGCTGTTGATGTACGAACATGGCCTCGTCACCAGCTCTGTTGTTCTGCCACACGGGGCGAAGTTTCTTCTTCCCACAGTTTCCACATCTCCCCCACCTCCCCCACTTGAGCTTTGCTTCGGCCGGACCCTATATGCGGCGATGGGCCCGTCGTCAAATGGGGAAAGACATGGTGGGCTCTTGGCATTGACAGATAACAAATAGAGAGTGGATGCTCATCAAAGTCTACCGAGGCATTTGCTGAGATAGACTGAAGGGCTCAAGGTAGACTCGGCATTGTTGAGTCGTCGAATACTGACAACACATGGAGAGGACATTCCTCTCTGCACCTCGGTGATAAAGGGTTTGAAATCCCAATGAAACAAATAGCTGCGTCCACATCTGATGGCGCTTTGGGATCTCTCCCACTGATCCCTTTGGCCCCGCAAAAACCATGCCAGGAGCAATCAGAACCCAGGATTCCATCATATCAGACCATTAGGGTCGTCTTACGTGGACAGTAACCCCGGGTCAATAAATGATGGCCTGTCGATCCCTTGTATAAGTGATAATCAGGGTATGCCATGCATCTGTCAGCGGCAAGCGTGAAGCTGGAAGGGAAATACAATACGCAACGCATCGAATCAGCTATGGCGAAGCCCGATAATGCATTCAAGGGGTAGATGGATTGCAGGGAAACGGGGCCATGTGCAGTACTATCGGTATCGAAAGCATCTTCGAAATTGTGGTTGGCTATCTGGATAGCCCGCACCACATGCAATGCGATCCATAGCTTTTTTTTTCCCTCCGAAAGCTTGGCGCCGCGACGACATCTGTTTCGTGAGATCAACGTAGCCATGGGCCATTCGGGTACGGGAACATCTGGAGTACGAATACGTAGGCTCCCGAAAAATAAGGTACTGATCCGAATGGCCACGAATGGCTCGATCGTAAACGAGATAACATGCGCCACGGAGAGATCTGGTTGCGGGTGGAGGTTGCGGGTGGTGAGAAGCTTGCATACGCAGCACGGCCTAGATTCATCGTCGATCTACTCCAGAGTAGGGAAAAATAAGACACAACAAGAGAACAAGAGCATATTCAATGGTCGGAAAGTCGGCTGCCGGATCGCCGATGAAGTGCTGAAGTGCCGAGACACTTAGAGAATTGGCTTCAATAGTCTGGTAGCGGGGTCTTCTAGAACTTCCAGGCAGCACTGAAAGGACGGGGCTGTGGCTGTGTCTGCTGCAATGCTGTGCACAAAGCAGGATGTGTGCTAGAGTATTGTGGGTGCCTAGAGAACGACTGGGGCTCAGTCGGTTAGTGATGGATGACAGAGCAAGTCGGTGGGAGTCCTTTTATGCGCTCTGTCGGTGATGGTTATCTCCGGGGTCAATGACAGTGGTATCGTAGAAAAGTAGTACATAACAGACTAATAAACACACCAAGTAATTTTGATGGAACCCCGCCAATTACATGCTACAGTAACAAGTTGGGGTCCAAATGCCACTATTTAGCTAGGCTACGGATGATCCCTCAAAGGGTAAATAGTAGTCCCTGAATTCCAACAAGTGAAGCTTGGGAGGAGAAGGGGAAGGGAGTAATCCCAAGCCACCCTGATCCTACCACAGAGCGTCGATAGCAGTCCAAAAAGGCCGCGTGGGCTGGCGTGGTAAGTGCAGCAGCCACAATTTAGTGGACTCCATCGCACTAGGCGGAATAAAGCTCTAGCGAGCGACGGGACTCAGCAGTTGACGCCAGACTAGGCTGCTCTGAGTAAGCGGGAGGGGACTGGCCGCGAGTCCCTGCATTTTCAGGGTAAGATGGCTGAAATGGCGAAACCGAATCCGAAAAGGCGAGCTTCGGATATTCCGAACCAGAATCCACGGGAAACAAACTCCGTGATGAGGAGCAGCTCGCTAAAGCCAGCCAATTTACTCTCGAGGTTAACAAATAGAATTCAGAGACAAAGGGCAGGGAAGGGGGGAAAGGTCAAAGTAACCAAGAAAAAAAGAAGGGTCCCCGCCACCACCGAACAGGAACGAAACTAAACCAAACCATAACCTCCGTAGAGTTAGACTAACTTAAAACGAAACTATGTACGGAGTAATAAGAGAAAAAAAAGGGCCCTGGCAAGTTAAACATGTGGCATAATAATCTCCCAAGGCTGGGAGGGGGCGACCGTACGAATCAAAGGGCCCGAACCAGACCTAGCGAACCCAGAGAGGCTAAAGCCATGAAGCATAATCGCTAGATCGGGCGCGGCTAGTCCCAGCGACGGAGTGGATATACGTAGACTGCATACGTATACCCCGTCCCTCGTCCATGAAGAGCAAATCACCTCTCGGCTAGATACACCCCTCTCCTCTCTCCCAAACGGTCTGTGTCTGGAAGGAGGGTCATGCACGAACCACAACCTTGCCGGTCAGGGTCGAGATCGAGTTTGCAGAAGCTTGGCTGATCGGCGTAGACTACCATGTGTGGCTGGCTTATGGCTGATCGGGGATGGTCAGCTCGACAGCGAAAGAAACATAACCACGGGATCTCAATGCAGAGAGGGGGTGGACTAGGAGGAGAAAAGAGAAGTCGACGTTGGAAGGTGACTCCTGATAGGTTTGCTCTGGGGCTTTAACCAGAGCACGGGTAGAAGAGGCGCCATTGGTGATAGGTATACGTCTGACTGGGGGCGCAGACACTGAACTTCTACCGTAACATCGGTAATACCCCTTTGATTCCTTCCAGAGGAGTAAAAAAGAGATGACAGGTGCTAGAATTCGAACAAAGACGAGTTGAAAAGCATCACTCATCATACGTTGCCCACTTACGTACGCTGGGCGGAGAGTCCCCGCGCGAATGATTTAATGAATTTAATGATTTCTTGGGGCGGGGCGGCATTGGACGCGTACGAGTACGAGGGTTGCACGGGCCGGGGCCCCTGAGCCCTAAATAGGTCTTTCGGTGGTAGTGATGGTCACTTTGTAACTTCAGTATCGAGATTGTCATTTGATACAGAGGGGTGCGGGATGTAATGGAGCATACGCCAGGAAGGACGCGGCAGTCTTATCGCACTCGGCGACTTCGTGGACTGCGTACGTGGAGCAGGGCACTGGTATGGTAGCAATTTCCCTTGTGGCTGGTACAGGGCATGTTTGTACCTAGAATGGTATTATTATCTGATTTGAAATCTATCTAACATTCTCTATTCTGTGTTCACCAATGGCGGCAGGATTTAAATTTGCGTGCCTTTAGAAAGACTCTGAAAACCTCGGCGCCGAGCGCTGTTTGAAGCAGATACTGCGAAGATCGGGACGCAAGGGCGCCACGTTTTGTTGCCATCAAGCGTAATTAAAGTTCTCTGGGCTGAACGGTCAGAAAAGAAAAAAGAGAGAGAGATTAAGGGTTGAGGGGAAGAGAAAAACATAGAGTTGATCACTGGGTGTTCGAATAAATTGGTATCATGGATTCAAGACACTGGTTTTATCTGATTTTTTGAACTAGATTAATTTCGAAATTTCTTGGCGTCTGGTCCTGATTTGCGTGATCCTTTGCCCTACGGCGATCTGGCCAAGCACTCGTCGTAATCATAATACGAGGACGGAAACTGGCTTTACCCATGTATTATTACGCCGTTTACCACAATTCACGACCTTGAGTCCATTTCCTATACCCTACTCCGTAGAGTATACCAATCTCTCAACAGTCGTCTAGCACTCTGTCCATGCTAACCACTCTAACCAGTCACAATCAATCGGTTTTTAGGCCCTGCCAGAGTGCTCGTTCTCCGAGAAATTCTTTCTCCACTGCCTGAAGCTCGGAGCCGGAGGTTAGTTCCCAATCAGGTATAGTGACGAGCGCAACATCATCACTTACGTATGTCCCCGGACTCCAGCGCCTCGCCTTACAGCACTGGCCACAATTGATTCTACTACCGATAGAGACTGCAGGTGATCATAGGTTTTCTGTCGTACCGATAAAATTCATTACGGACCACGTACCACGTAGAAGCTTTGCGGGCTGATCGAGTGGCTAAAATATAGTCCGACCGAGTGGGTTCAAAAAGGAAGTCCCTGCGCCGCTTAGTTATCAACTCCTGGTTCTCAGGGTCCATGGAATCATGGATCCAGTGGATAGGGCAAAAAAAATCTAATCAATACATTGAAGTTTGTCCGCAGTTCTACCGACATCGCTGTCAGAGACAAAAACATTTACCCTCCGTTATGCTTTTTCCCTTATCATCTGTCTATAGGTAGAGTGGAGTAACAGGACAAGTTCGCTTGGGTCAACCGCCCTAGTCAAATTGGTAATCTAGGCGGAGGTCCTATGGGAATTGAAGATTGGCCGATAGTTGGAATAGGGAAGAAATGCCGTGCCAAGTACATACGACATCTGCTCCAGAAAACCGCTTCAGCCACACTACTGGGTTCCCGGGTAGAGGAGAAAAGATCAGGGGAAAGGGCCTGTTGAGAACGTCAAAACTGCCTATTTCAGGCAAGGATTACGAATAATACCAGACTAATCCCTTTGAACAGGCCTAAGAACACGCCAAAGGAGATCTGGCTGACGAGTCTGTCCCCGCCAGGGTCGTGATGGGGCGGGCCGGAAGAAACGGAGCCCAAGAAAAACGGGTCTGCACAGAAACCGCCGTAGTTCCAGGGGTGGGTAGGGGTCCTCTCGGGATGCGAGCTTTCTAGAGGTGGACATTGGTGACTTACGTGGTTGTGGTTCATTATTATTTTACACAAGTTTAATTTTTTTTCAAAAAAAATAATTATTTAGCCATACTGCGTAAAGGACAATGGCTAACTAGGGAAAAAAAATACAGTTTTGGGCGGTACATATCCAGGTCTGGTATTCGGAGTACTGTATGACCATGACCGAGTTAATGTAGTATGCATTCTTCATTCATCGTTTATGCAGAGCAGTTGCTCGATGAAAGACCTCTTTGATCTACAGAGTAGATCAATAGTGTAGAATCCTAAGGTGGATTGATGGTATCCATGTACAAATCTAGTGGTTGTGAATGAACTCGTAATCCAAAAAGGGCAATAAATGGTGTTAATTCGAATAATACAGGAGTCGTGATAATAATAATTCTACGTGATCCGCCCGAGCTCCACTTCAACGGCTAGTACGATAGCCAACGCGGTATCGAATTGGAAAATACCCTACGAGCTTCTGGGGAGCCTCGCCAGACAGACCCTGGAAGCTTGGCTTCGCATATTTAGTATGTATTAGTTCCTCAAACGGACTTGGCTGCGAAACTCGTCATCCTTTTCTCTCCTCCCTCTTCGCTTCTCCTCTACTTCTTGCTTCTGTATTCTCTTATCTCTTTTGATCCTTTGCCTCCAATCCCATCCCTTCCCATATCCTCTCAAATTCTTCCGTTACAGAGGACTCTTTTCAAGTTGCCTTCCAAACTTGACACGGGCTGAAGCATCTCCCCTCCTCCCCCACCTGACGATCAATCATCTCTGGCTCGCTCTTATCACATACCGCATTATTTCTTCCGATTTTCACCAAAAGGATAAAAACGAGTCTAAATTTGACTACATACTCGCCTGTGGCAATCTCTTTTTTATCTATTTTCAACGGGAACCAACCGCAATAGTTCTACCTTGTTCTCCGGCAGACGAGGTTACTAGTGTATCCGACGAGGGCTAACGACCGGTGGTAATTTCGACACAACCACTCTACTCCCCCCTCTTTACCCCCCTGGAAATTTCTCCAGTCCAGTTTGCAACTGTCGTGGACGATTGTGTTTCCCAAGTCAACTATTGAAAGTGCAAAACGAAGCAACGGAATCTCTGGGCGGGAACTGTCAAAGGCTGTGACAGGGTTAGCAGCGTGGGAAGAACCGACTCGTCTCGAACCATTCAGCATCTCTCCGACAAACTCTAGGAAATCCCGAATCCACAGCGTCTTCAAACTCCTTGATCCTCAGTTATCGCCACTCTTTGAGGGGGTACAGGCTCGAGTCATCGGGTTACTGGCAGGTCTGTTGGCAAGTGCCGATTTAAGGTCTAATGTTGTCGACGTGTTACACGACGCGAGGGACAAACATCTTTCAAGAGCCGCTGGTACGTTTGCTGTACTATTCCTAGGATGGAAGGCTGGAGGAGACGAGACGCTCGATCCTCCGTCTCTTTCTTTTCTCCCTCTTTCTACACTTTCAACCCCAGTCACTCCCAAATACGTCACCTATTCGTTCAGCATGATTTCGTCCATCATTTCAAGCCTATCAACCTAAAGCGGCGAGCAAACCAGACTGACCAGCGACTGTGCCCTTTCTAGTATAACTTTCCAGCCCCAATCACCACTCTCCGGGGTGTCGAGGAAATGTCTAGCGGTATGACGAGCATTGTATCAATCCTAAACAATGACGACCACCCGTCGTTTGCAGTCCGGTCGAATCCGAGACTCACCCGAACCAACACTTCGCCCTCGCATTATCCCCAGCAACATCCTCATCAGCTTCCTCCACCTATAAGCGACCCTCAATACGCCCGCCATACTTCATCCAAGTCACCTTCAGCATCGCCACGAGGCACACGGCATCTCTTCAACCCAGCAACAGAATCAGGGCGGCCCACGTCACCGGGCTCTTCAGATGGCTCCGCCTATGACTATCTCAGCAGTCAAGCCTCGTCTTCAGTAGCTTATCACCCGTACGCCCGGCAGGACCTGCGACGGGATCCCTTCCGCTACCCATCTCGCGGGCCAGCCGCTCCACGAACACCGCCTGAGATTCACGCAACGACAGCAACGGATGCAAAGTCCCAGTCCGGCAACACTCGCGGGACGGGTCGTAAGAACAAGTACCCGTGTCCATACGCCGCGAGCCATGGCTGCTCGGCTACATTCACGACATCAGGCCACGCAGCTCGTCATGGCAAGAAGCACACGGGCGAGAAGAGCGTTCACTGCCCTATTTGCAACAAGGCATTCACTCGCAAGGACAACATGAAGCAACATATTCGCACCCACCGTACCCACTCTGACGATATGCGCTCTACACCTTCAGAGCCCGATGCCGAGTCTCGATGGGCCTTGGCTCGTCCTGATTCGGGTTATGCTGCTCAAGCTCATAGTCGGACGGTGAGCCAGTCGACGGATGCGAGTACGATAATGCCTCCCCCTAGCCATGGATCCCATACACCTTCCTGAAAGGGGTTGTAAGAGGAAAGAATAAATATAAAATCAACAGGGTCCCCTTTAAGAAAGGGTCGGACAGGGTGGCGAATGATCACAATTTCCCTGGATACCTGCCTCGATATGACATATTTCTCATGTCTTGCATGCGGATGGGAATTTTCCAACGACCTGGGTGTGCCTCTGTCTACTGCTGTGCAGTGAGCTGTGTTGGTGTTGCTCATGACATATGATCCCATGGCGCCTTATCCTTCGATAAGCTCATTTATTTGCACCCAAAACCTCGACCATGGCTATGCCATCAACGAAGCATAACACCCCACACTCCGGATTCCATCCCAGAATCCGATGAGAGGTCCATCTCTACACATTTATGAGCCTTTACTCATTCACTTCATACTTGTTTTCTTTGTACCCTTTGACACCATTCATCATCTTTGTCTGCATTTTCTTGTCTTCAGTTGTATACCTCCCATGTATCATTGCATGTGCATGTGTTTGTTTTTTTAAACGGGCTCTATCTCGCGCTCCTCGGGACGAGGACCAAGGCGATACGGTGTATGTCTACCATGTACTTTTAGGTAGTACTTCTTTTTTACTTTAAGGATCTCCATGAATGGAATGACCATGTGTGAATATTTAAGGTGCCTGGCATAGCTTTAATATGTACAGAGTAGAGGGACGTAGAGAGTCGGTCCCAGTCCTACGTCAAGCAGGTGGTGGTGGAAAAATAATCCTAAACTTCGTATATCGTGGCAGCGGCACGTTGTACGTTGTAAACTGTAAATTCTATCAGGCTTGTTGATCTCGACAATGACGTGAGATTTCATCTTGTGTCCGGTGATTCGGTGGGGAAGTAAGCGTGGTGAGCCGCTAGTTATGTTACTATTGGGGTTCGTGGCCGTATCTGGGTGATTTTATTTAAGTCACACCCACCAAGGATATATGAGGGATATAACCTGTATGTCGCTATGCTATTGCCGCTACATAGATAATGTTCCCTCTGCTAGGATAAGATAATTCTAGTCTCTCTAGTATTAGGTAGCCTGTTTCTTTGTATAGCACCGTACCCTTCGTTGGGATATCGCAGCGACTTCGGTCCGAGTGACACTCCGATATTTTCGATATTGCCGTATTAAGAATAATTTTATATTCTAGGTGCGAAGGAAGCAAGACAGGAATAACAATTGATTCTAGAGGGCTTTTTTTTAAAAAAAAAAAAGATATATCTCTATGTCATAGAACCTAGAGCCTTGAGTCCTCCACCATTTTTAAAAGGGTTCAAATATAACCTTTCATTAGAAATTTTGACATGAGGAAGTTCCCTGTAAAAGATTCATATTATCCTACATCCGAGAAACACATAGAGGACCTCGTGGGTACCCGAACTGCTCACGGCACTTCCAATGTGACTATTCTTCGTTCTCACTGGTGCGATGGTCTCTTAGGGACCTCGGTATTTGATGCCGTGATTCGTTGATATTTGTCGCTCATGTAGCATTTTTGGCCCAGGGGTCCTTGTGCATAGTCATGACTTGACATAGGTGCCCTAATCATCAGTTCTACGGCATGTGAAATAAAGACGTCAAAGTCATTGTCCAATCCCCTTTCTCTCAGGCAGAGTTTCTGCTGAATGGTTGTGAGCTATTGGATGCATAAATTGCCCACGGCGATGATACAGTACTACTAATTCTCCCAGCTAGACTAAAAGTAGTATACTTCGTCGCCGGGTATGACTTCTATTTCTACGTCCTCTCTCATAAGTATGCTGTGCTGATTTAGCGGCAGTTGGCAAATATAATGCCAATCAGGTCCTAGATCTAGTAGTCTTTGGCGGCATTCCGGCTATGATGAAAGTCTGTGAAACCACTGTATGAAGAGAACACCGCCACCACCAGCCACCACGATACGTCAATAGAAGAAGCGAAGAAGGTTGGCAATACTAGGTTTAGCCCCGTTGATCCCAAGTCCGACCGATGAAGGCTTGTTGGATTTTGGCATAAATAGGTGCCTCTGGGCGGTCTGGGCCCACCGATGATAAAAGTTGGTTCTATGGATACCACCACAATCTCGTGGCCAGGCGGGGCCAGCCGAGTGTCGACCCGTGGAACGGTTGTTGATTGTTGATATCCGGATACTCATAGAGAGATATAACTCACCTATCAACCATCTATCGTTAATGGGCAGTGCAATTCCTAGAACTAGACCAGCGGTCAAGCGACCATCTCCGTAGACCCGACAAGCGTGTGGCGTCTAGGCCCGGGCGCCCCTAGTGGAGGGTAGGCCAACAGGCACATTAGTCGCAAGATAGTTCCCTGCTTGGGTTAGTAGTAGTTTCTGAGGGTACGTAGGGCTGTCCCCTTTTCCTTGATGCGTGGCTGGCCCATGCAACATGACGTCGGGTGCTATGATACGCCGAACGAGAGAGACACGACACGATCCGAGCCCTCCTCATTCGAGGGGAGCCATTTATCCCCCGGCATTTCCCCTGCGCATGCCAGCCTCTCCAGTCGCAAGTCGGAAGTACCACAACGTCATCGCGGATATCCAGGACAATTTCATTTCGGAAGGAGGGGAAGAGGCCAAAGGGCCAATATATTATAGAAGACTTGGGGCCCTGAAAAGGACTTGACCGTGACTTTCGACTCGCCATGGAAGGAAGGTTGTCTTCAGCTCTCGTCTCGTGTCTCTCAGCCACTGCCAAGTTACCCCCAGCCTCATCAGATCCCTGCTTCTAACCAGTTAGTTACTCTGCCTTGCTCTCGCTCTCTCTGTCTCTGTGTTTGCGCCCGTCTCGCCCGTCACCCGTCACCCAACGACGTCACGCCACCCTGCCCCGCCTCAGTCAGACCCTCTCTCATTTGAGAAAGTCTCACTGTTGCCTCATTACTATCTTCTTCTTCTCAACAACACTTGTCCCCGTGAACGGTAGATAGTTCATACACTCGACTCTTTTTATTTGATCTTCACTTTCCACATATTCCAACCCTTCATCGGTCTCGGTTCTACTCCCATTTTTCCCCGTCCTCCACGATGGCGTACTACGACGATCGTCGCCACTATGCGCCCCGCGACCGTGGCCGTCCATCCACCGGTTATGCTGCAGATTACTACGATGATCATCCACGGGGTCTTACTGCAAGACACGAGCGAGAAGTCTACTCCTCTCGAGGAGGTGAGGACTCGGTCGAGGAAATCCAGCGCGATTATCCCCCGGGCTCTGATTACGTCTATGAGCGCGGCTACGACTCTCGTCGCTCGCGACGTCCGGTCTATGAGAATGTGCGCCGCGCTTCCTCAGTCAGTGGCTACGATCCGCACTACGAAAATGGTTACTACCGATCCCGTACCCGGAGAAGCAGACAATATGATGATCGCCGTAAGTGGTCTCCCTCCCTAACCGCGACCCTCGTGTCCAATGCGGTGCGCCTCCTAGCTGTGATACTAAGTGATCCCCCAGGCCCCCGTCGCTCCAAATACTCTTCAGCTTCTTCATCCAGCCCTTCTCCATCCCGTCATAGCCGCCGCAAGTCTTTCGGCGAAACTGCCCTCGGCGCTCTCGGCCTAGGCTCCGTTGCTTCCAGACACTCAGACCGCACCGATCGCGGTCGTGCTCGGTCTTCTTCGCGGCGCCGTGGTCGTGGCTACTCGTCATCTCGATCTCGCAGCCGCAGCCGTAGCCGCAGTCGTGACCGTGACCGCAACCATCGTCAACGCAGTGAGCAGCGTCTTGCTCAAGCTGCACGCGCCGCTTTGACTGCCGGTGCCGTGGAAGCCTTCAAGTCTCGCAAGGACCCCGGCGACTGGACTGGTGCCAAGGGCAAGCGTATCCTCACGGCAGCTGTCACTGCGGCCGGTGCCGATGGCCTCATCGACAAAGACCCCAAGAAGCACTCTGGGCGCCACGTCGTGGAATCTACGCTCGCGGGTTTAGCCGCTAGCCATTTTGTCCGCGGTGGCAGTTCCTCCAAGGGACGTGATGGCCGTGGTCGTTCTAGCAGTGGTCTTAAAGACCTCGCCGCTACCGGTGCCCTTGCAGCTGCAGGCAAAGAGATCTATAACCGCATTTCCCGCTCGCGCTCTCGACCTCGCGGCCGAGATGAGCGGGACCGTGACAGCGACGATGATCGACGTGGATCGAAGAAGCGCAGCAAGAGCGTCTCGGAGTACATTACCAAGGGCATAGCCGCACTCGGCATTGGAGAAGCAGCATCTGACCGCGGTCGAGACGACCGTGGCCGGGATCGAGATGATCGATACGATCGTCGTCGGGAGCGGCGTCATCACCGGGACAGAGACTCACGATACGACTCGTATTCAGATTCAGATGCAGAGAGCGACTACCGCAGCAGCAGGGATCACAGGCATGGCAGAGGCTCGAGAGATGTAGGTCGAAATCGTTCTGTGAACGGCAGCACAGCAACCCCCCTAGCACCCACCAGCGCACCCCGTGGCGAGAAGGGAGTGGGATCTACCAATCGGGGATCCCACTCTAGCTCCGAAAGTGATTCTGACTTGGGCGACAGTAACGATGAAAAGGAGAAACGCAAGAAGATGAAGCGGGAGATGTTATTGACCTCCGGTCTGGCCACCGTGGCCACCATCCACGCTGCCCATGGAGTCTACGGCGGGATTCAGAAGCGCAAGGAACGCATGCAACAGGTGAAAGATGGCGAGATTACCCAGGAAGAGGCGCGCAAGCGTCGGATCAAGGCGAATACGATGGATGCTTTTAGCGTCGGGCTTGCGGCGCTGGGTATCAAGGGTGCGTATTCGGAGTGGAAGGAGGTTAATGAGAAACGCAAGGAAACGAAACATTTCCAGGATGAATGTGCGCAGCGTGCTATTAAGCGGGAGATGCGTCGCTGTCGCAGTCAGGGTTCCACTCCTAGTAGTCGTCGTCGATGGCCCGATGAGATTGAATACCCGAATGATTCTTCTCATTATGGTCATAGCAGTGGCTTTTCTTATCATGATGGAAACCCAAAGAGTGCGGCACCGGCGATCTCTTATTAGCTTGGCTTTTATTATTCCCCGTTCCCCCTGTTCCCCCTGTTCTGCCTTTATTCTTTTTGTTACCCTGGATGAGATTTACGACTCTTATGATGCATGAATGATTCCGTTTTCCTCTCCTAGGATAGATATGTTTTTTTATCTATTTCTTACTCTTTTATTCTTGTCTCGGGCTTCAGCTACAGTAGCTAGACGGAGTTCCGATGGGGCCCGATGGGGCTGATTGGTTCTGCAGCGTTTGTTTTGCTGGGGCAACTGCAGTCCCCGAGAGTTGATGCATCACAGACCTAGAAACTGCTGCTGGATTTTGATGCAATAAAAACAATAATTACCTATTCTCCTTCCAAGGTTCTCTCTCTCCTAGCATTTCAATAATAATATTCCATCAATGTTTATCAAACTCCAAGGTCCTCTCCGGCAGCCGTAGACTGCCGATGAAGATCTGACTAAGCCAGTCCCACCTCTCCAAGTGGATGGACCCCCGCTTACCCAAGGTGACTAACCAGAAAAATATTGAACTTTCAGCCTGTGAGGTGGTGCCCTCGTACACCGTGAAAGGCGGTAGGTGGGGCCAGAGACTTTTCCCCTCCTCAAAGATCTGCTTCCCTCCTTTTCTTTTCCTCCTTCTTACATCCCTCCTATACCCCCCTTTTGGTTCGTTTTCCTGGCATCATCGACAATCTTCAGCTTTTCCATACTGACCATCTGCTGCTTAGTCTCTTTAATCACATCCATTCACAATGGCTGCCCCCGCTCCGAAGTTCAAGGTCGCTGACATCGTATGTATTCCCCCCATTGACACCCGATTCTCATCTTGCTCTAGGTCAATCGCTGACCTGTCACTTTCTCTCTTTAGTCCCTGGCCGCCTTCGGTCGCCGCGAGATCGAGCTCTCCGAGGTTGAGATGCCCGGTCTCATGGCCATCCGTGAGAAGTACGGTGCCGACCAGCCCCTCCAGGGTGCCCGTATCGCCGGTTGCTTGCACATGAGTATGTTTTTATTGATTATAGACCACGTATGAGCTTTTTCTGACCGATTCAATAGCCATCCAGACCGCTGTCCTCATCGAGACCCTCGTTGCCCTCGGTGCTGAGGTCACCTGGACCTCCTGCAACATCTTCTCCACCCAGGACCACGCCGCCGCCGCCATTGCCGCTGCCGGTGTCCCTGTGTAAGCTGAAAACAATTTTCTCTTTTTGCGCGATGACCGTTCCTAACCGATTTCGTCTTTTTACAGCTTCGCCTGGAAGGGTGAGACCGAGGAGGAGTACCAGTGGTGCCTTGAGCAGCAGCTGTTCGCCTTCAAGGATGACAAGAAGCTCAACCTCATCCTCGACGACGGTGGTGACCTGACCTCCCTCGTCCACGCCAAGTACCCCGAGATGCTCGAGGACTGCTACGGTGTCTCTGAGGAGACCACCACCGGTGTCCACCACCTGTACAAGATGATGAAGGAGGGCAAGCTGAAGGTCCCCGCCATCAACGTCAACGACTGCGTTACCAAGTCCAAGTTCGACAACCTGTACGGTTGCCGTGAGTCCCTCATCGACGGTATCAAGCGTGCCACCGATGTCATGATTGCTGGTAAGATCGGTGTCGTCGCCGGTTACGGTGATGTCGGCAAGGGTTGCGCCCAGGCTCTCCACTCCATGGGTGCCCGCGTCCTCGTTACCGAGGTCGACCCCATCAACGCTCTCCAGGCCGCCGTCCAGGGCTTCGAGGTCGTCACCATGGAGGAGGCTGCTTCCATCGGTCAGATCTTCGTCACCACCACTGGTTGCCGTGACATCCTGGTTGGCCGCCACTTCGAGGCCATGCGCAACGACGCCATCGTTTGCAACATTGGTCACTTCGACATTGAGATCGACGTTGCCTGGCTCAAGGCCAACGCTCAGTCCGTCCAGAACATCAAGCCCCAGGTTGACCGCTACCTCCTGAACGGCAAGCACATCATCCTGCTCGCCGAGGGCCGTCTGGTCAACCTTGGCTGTGCCACTGGTCACTCTTCCTTCGTCATGTCCTGCTCCTTCTCCAACCAGGTCCTGGCTCAGATCGCCCTCTTCAAGGCTGAGGACGCTGCCTTCGGCAACAAGTACGTCGAGTTCGGCACCTCTGGCAAGAAGCCCGTCGGTGTCTACGTTCTGCCCAAGCAGCTTGACGAGCAGGTCGCTCGCTGCCACTTGGCCCACGTCAACGCCAAGCTGACCGAGCTCACCCCTGTCCAGGCTGAGTACCTCAGCCTCGATGTCAACGGCCCCTACAAGAGCGAGATGTAAGCATTTCCCCCTTCCCCCTCTGAATGATCTTTTTTTACTAACTCTGCCTCTCCAGCTACCGCTACTAAACAAACCACTTATCTTCTCTTTTCCAATTCCGTCCGATATTCTATGAGCTTTTCTTGAGAAATAGACTTTCAACATGATTCGACGATGTTACGATTGGCATTTCGGGTTCTTTATCAACTTTGAACCCTAAAAGTGGTTGTCCTTCAACGGCATAAAAGTGGTCTCCACACTGGGATATGTGGAGAAGGTGTGTGCTTGATGTGTTTTTGTTTCACTGGCGTGGGTTGACCTGGGACTGGTCTTGCATTCAACACTGCGTACGGATGGGAATTTCCTTTTTCTAACTATTCTATTCTTTAACTTGATACCTTATCTCTGTGCTGGCTCTGGCCTGGTCTTTGGCCTTTCCGGACACCGTTCTGGGGGGTTTGTGGCTGTTGGTTTGGATGTCTGTGTAGATGCACAGTTTTAAAAACATAATGACGCCGGGCGCGAAATTTGCTCTGCATATTGTGGGCTTTTTGTAGATTTTTTTTAGAAAGTGGGCATATTCTTTCTATAAAGGGAATGACATAGTAAGACTAGCGAGACAAGTCTCGTCGGACGTCGTAGTCCTATGGTGGAAACCCCCTTGCTCGAGGGTATTCCAAGTTTTATCCCTAGGTTTAACACCTGCTGCACAACTTTATCTTCCTTCTCTTGTGACCTAATATCCGTTGAGTTTGAAATGCACCTCCTCGGGTAGCAAAATGAGACTTTTTCGAGGAATGTCTTGTATAGCTTCATAGCCCTAAATTGCATCTCTCCCCTGTGGACTGCTTTCAAGGATATGGCTGTGTCTCATAGCACAACCTATTATCTCAGTACATCTATCATTATAGATACTTACTCGGCACTACTACCCCGCTCACCCCGATGCTGCCGAATCAATCCACACAGCATATCAGCAGCAGCAACCGCAAACCCAGGATCATTAATCGGCCTCGCATCCCTCACAACCAATATCTCACTTCCCCTCAACTCATCCTCCAGCGTAGCAAACAACGCCCTATCCGCCAAAGGATCCCAAAACGAATTCTGCGGCGTATCCAACAAACTCAAACCCCCCAGCGGCAAAATCACTTTCGTCCGACAATTACTCTCCCACCCCGCATTCCCCTCTAACAAATTCGTCGCAATCACCTTCGCAATCCGAATACATTCCTCCTTCGTAGTCCGCATAAGCGTGACCGTCGAATTATGTGGGTGGAAGACTCGTTTCTGTTGGCCCCCCGCGTGGGCGAAAATAGACGGCACGGAGTCCGGGGTTCCGAAGTTGACGATGTCGCAGGCTCCGAGGCTTAGCACGCGGGGGATGTTCTTTTTTGTGGCGGCGCATAGCCGGGTTGGTCCCGCGCTGAGGACGCCGCCGACTACTTCGTCGGCGATTTCGGTTGTTGTTAGGTCGAGTACGGCGTCGAGTTGGTCTTCGGATATTAGTCGTTCCATGGCTTTGCCGCCGGAGCCGGTGGCGTGGAAGACGTAGACTTCGCATCCTGGGAGGATCGTTTCGAGGTGTTCGCGGGCTGCGGTGGCTGCTGGTGTTGTTACGCCGAACATGGTGATTCCAATGCGTATGGGGTCTTTCTGTATCTGTGATTGTGGTGCTGTTTGTGTTTGGGTCTGGTTCTGTCCGGATCCTGTTTGTGCCTCAGTAACGGCTAGGACTTGGTTTGACTTGGAGGCAACATCCTCAAAGTACGCCCTTGCCATGCCTGCAATAGCACCAGCCGCATTCCCCAATACCCTCTCCAATAATCGATTCCGACCTGCGATGTCCACAACGCTATACATCATTGTGATATCAGTTTCCCCGATATACGGTCCAACATCACCCGATGCCATCGTGGAGACCATCAACTTGGGAACCCCAACTGGTAAAGCATCACGCATAACCTGCGTAGCCAGCGCCGTACCACAGGATCCGCCTATCCCCAGGATTGCATGGACTTTCTTTTCCGTGAAAAGATGCGACACGAAAGAGGCGGCGTATGGGGCCAGAGTATCGATATACTCTGTGCGATCAAGAGTCTTAATTTCCACCGTCGGTCGCTTGAGAGATGTAAAATAGCTGCTGTAGATTTCTTGGGGGAAGGTGATCTTATCGTGGGTGACTGGATTCCGGCCTATATCCATTATTTGGACTTGGCAGAGGGTGTGTTTCTCGATTCGAGACTTTGTAAAGAGTAGTTCTGATAGTTTGGTGTCACATGTACCCAGCAAGAGAATTGTCGGTATAGTTGGCGGCATTTTGACGGATGGGTGGTTAACCAGTCTGATAAATCAGTTAGATTGAAACAAGATATCAAGGTGAATCGAACTGAATCGACGAAGATCAGGAAAGCGCGGGGGTGGGGTTGGCACGGTGGCCGCTATGCTATACCTTGCGGGAAGTTGACCATCTAGGGCAATCTCAAGTTGACGACGATGGCGCATTCGATCGCGGTGCCGCGCCAATTTCACAGGGTCGTCATTCCGAAGGACGATACCCAGATCTTTGCGCATCCTGCGCAGCGTGGTATCAGACATATTATATCCTTCTTCTGCGAGGACTTCAAGAACTTTCTGTTCAATATCAATTAGCATCTCACAACAACTGTCACAATCACGTGCAATAGGAGAGCGTACTTTCGTAGGAAGCTTGTCTTCCAGGACGAGCTTCCTGACGCGCTCGCGGAGGTTATCATCCTTCAAAGTGCGATACGCTGATTTTCCCCCCTTGACCCCCCAATCGTCGATTCGGCGACGGAGTGTTTTAGCTGTAATCGCGACGCCATGTTGTTCTTGCAGAGCCTGACATATGTCCGGGAGCGAGGTTTTGTCCGCGTAAAGACTGAGGACATAGTCCTTATGAGCGTCTATATTGATATGAGCTGGCATACCGTGTGCCTGAGAGGTAGATGACAGAGTGTAGGATAGTTTTTTGGATAATCGTGATGGAATAAAGAGTGGGACTGACTGGAGGTGACTTCCAGCCCCCAGCGGTCAATGTGCATAATTACGTAATCGGATAGCTGCGGCACCTGGCACCTAGGTAGAGGGGGAAGAAGTAACCCTCCAACTTCCTATTAAGGGTGTTTTTATGATTTAACCCCTTGTTTACAGGTCTAGCAGTTAAAACTTCACCAATTGCTCCCAACCTTCGATCAAGCCCCCGAGACAGTGAAATGGTTCTCAAGCATGTCACTTTCTGCCGTGGTTTACCATGTAGCTCCCCCCGGGGGATGGAGATTCACCAAAAACGTAATGAATCCATTCTCAAATTATACTTAGTTGGCTAATAGATTGATTAAAAACTCACATAAAGATTACGGGTTAAACTCGAAAACCCACCTGGGCACTGCCTAGAAAGGTGGGTGCCGGTTGTTCACCTATGACAAGAATCTCGTAGTTTAGTCGAAATATATAGAGCTGTATCATATTTCCCATACGTACTATTTTGGGCAATCCGCGAGGTATAATTAACGAGGGAAGCCCCTTTACATCCTAATCTTGTCAACACTAAACATAGCAGCATCCATGTGAGAAACGGTGGCGGTAAATACCCTCCATATCTAATTCATGAGAGAAATGACCCAATCAATAACCTTAAAACTCTAATTCCAGTTGTTTGTTGCTTAACCAGGTGTCATGTGACCAGCTTTACCGATGATCAAGGCAGCAGCTTCAACCTCTTTTGATGTACAACGCTCTTGAAGAATTGACACCCCCGCTGTATTCTGTGTACAAAATCCGATCATGGACTGGGACAGCATCTGCTTTAATACTGCAACCTTGATCGCGGGTGTTTTCGTCCTCGACTACGGGGCAGACAAATTCCTCGACCACACGGTTATCGTGGGACAACGGTTGGGGATTTCGCCAACTCTAATCGCACTTTTAACTGCCGGCGCTGAATATGAAGAGGTATGAGTCTTTCTATTGATGAGCATTTCTAGCTCGATGCTGACGCGTGTACCAAGCTTGCCGTCGTTGTCGCCGCCATTCTCCAAGGCCACAGCCCTCTCGCCCTGGGCAATGTGGTTGGATCTGCCATTTCCAACATCCTGGGCGCCTTCTCATTGGGCATTCTCTTCCACCCAGGACATATGGAATTTGATAAGAGCGCAAAGATATACTCGGCGCTCCTTCTCTTCATCACCACACTCTTTGTGGTCTTGGCAATCTTCAATCAACTGAACAAAGTGACTGGCGGGCTTCTCATCGCGGGCTTCGCGGTTTACATCCTGTCTATTGGGTATGCCATCTACAAAGGCGTCACCGAGGCTCCTCAAATTTCAGACAGTGATAGCGACAGCGACAGTGACGATGATCTACCTATTACCAGTAACGATCATGCGGCTGGTCACAATAGCCGAACGTCCATTTCAGAGAACTCGCCACTCTTGGCCACCACAGCTTTAGAGCAGGGTGAACATAGTGTGAAGCCCAGACGCTCACTCTTTTACCATCTCTGCCAGCTTCTTTTCGGGTTACTCGCACTCTCGCTATCTGGTTACATCATTGCCCATAGCGCGGGTGCTCTTACCCAGTCTTTGCAGCTGTCAGGCACCGTCTTTGGTTTGACGGTAATTGCCTTTGCAACCACTCTTCCAGAAAAGTTTATCTCGGTGCTTAGCGGCTCCAGAGGCCAAGGCGGCATCGTTGTTGCGACTACGGCAGGGAGTAACATATTCCTGCTAACGATCTGCATCGGAGTTGTCGCCGTTACCGGAATACCGGTCAACCGTGCAGATAACTTTGTTCTTTTCGAACTAGCGACTGTTTGGGTATCTGCGTTGGGCTTGACTGCTATCGTCTTTCTTGGATCCAGTCGCATTGCCGGGCTGGTGCTTCTCGCTGCGTACATTGCGTTCATAGTTCTCGAGTTTACGGTGTACAAACGTTAAATGCTCGAGATATTCAGATCGAGAGGATATGCTGTATGATACGAGAAACCTATAAAGAGACTCTCTAACTCTCCTTCTTATGGAGTACCCAAAACTCAGACGGTATTCTTCATGATACTTTATCTTTCTAGAATTCATCGATTTCTCCGCCTTCCTGACCACGGCCGCAGACGCACGGATCTGCCCCATACTCTCTCGCATTCCTCACGGTCGGCATCCTCGGTTCATGAGACCCTGCATCACCTGGCTGCCTGTGCTGATGCATCACTACCCCACTACTGTAATTTGTGGGGGTGAAGTCTTCTTCATACGATCACAAGTTCCTACTTGCCGTGATTTGCAACATTTCACACTTTATCCTGGAGGTTTGCCAAGTATTGTCCACCAACAACATATATCTATCACCAATCTCTTCTTATTTGAAGTTTTATTGCCTCTAAGCTCTTGTCTTTTTTTCACCGGCAAGGAGTACGAGAGCGACGAGATTGACGCTAATAGGACGGTGTGATCCCCCGCAAAGAAGCCTAAGCCCGATTAATTAGGGACGGACAGTTCTCACTAGCGAGGTCACATTGACTACCGGCATCATCTCCGCTTCAATTTCAGTAAGCCCTGGATGGAACGACAAGATTGGCGGCTAGGGAATTTCATCATTTCTTATTCGAGTTTATTCGAGAAATTAGAGTTCAAGCAATGTTACTTACCCTACATTGGAGATTCTCCATTGTTGACCGTCATCTTTTGTCGGGAGGCGGTCCGCCCTGTGCCACCTGCAGAAATGCATCGGCCAGTCAGCGCGATGCCCGCACTTTCTACGGAGATTAAGGTCACCCCAGCCGGATGGTATACCGGCTTTAACTATCACATCTCATTAAGTTTAGCCATTACTTACTTGCAGATTGTGCCTTAAATGCCAGTGAATGACTTGAATAGCCTTCCCAGGAACGTCCGTCATAGTTGATGGAAGAACACATGCCAGTGGCACAGTCCGCACGAAAGGTATCCCTTGAGTGGCCCTAATTTACTGCCACAACCATTTGTATGGCATGGCTTGCTTTATATGGACCATGTGGCTTACTACATGAAACGCCTAAAGTTATTTCATATTTACTACTTGCTCCTCCCAATAACGCCCAATAATCTTAGCAGTTGAATCATGAAAGCAGAATTACTATCGTCGGGACCATTGACCCTCAGAAAATAATACCCGGATCATTAGGCTATGTAGCCAGGTCAAATGTAAAATGGCTACCGGATTGTAAAAAGCCTGTAGTGCGCCTTGGCCTGACGCTATAGAATTACCGATAAGACCTTCGTCCCCGCAAATGGTTCAAAGAACCTTCCTTACCTTGCAGCCGAGTGAAGAATGCAGGTTCTCGTGTCCAACACACGCTTACCGCTTTCGAGCTCCCCGTGCTGTATAAGGCGTGATCTATACTGGCCGACCCCCTGATGATCCTGGGGGAACTTACACCTATTGGGCTGTCGGTAGTAGTCTAGTTCGTGTTGCCGGATGATGATGCACGTTTTGAAACAGAAAAATAGGCTTAAATCATGGTAGACAATTTATCCAGACGTCTACTTTAATGTATGTAGTACTGCATTTCATCTTTTTCAGATTACTCTGAAATCAGCTAGCCTGCAGACTCTCCACGTCCGCGTCGTTTTGAGATATGAGTCCGTGGCTATTGTAGCCTTCAAGTTTAGCATCATCGGAAGAGCGGGTGTCATTCCCGTCGCAACATATGTCGCAGAAGTATATATTTCAACGAGAATCCGCCATGAACCTCTTAAACCTGCATTCTAGAACCGTCAAGCTAACCTAGGAACACTGAAACCTCAGTCAACATGCAGCGCACATCGGGTCTGGTGGTTTTCCTCCTCACTAATATCGCCTATGCCCAGCAATCTCTCTGGGGGCAATGTAAGCTAGGGATATTGTGAAGTTTTGAGGAAAGACAGGCTCACCATTTCTCTAGGTGGCGGTAGTGGATATGTAGGATCAACAGTTTGCACAGCATCAGCAACATGCAGCACTCAGAACGCCTGTATGTATTTGGGTTCCTATCTTTCGCCCCATAACAGTGATACTGATTGATCGCACCTAAAGACTATGCCCAGTGTATCCCTGCCACGGCGGCAGTAACCACAACCACCAGCGCAACTACAACCTCCAAGACTACTATGGTCACTTCTACTTCCACTACCTCTGCCACTAGTACGACTAAGGGGTCAACCACCACCACCAGCACAACTACAGCCGCTACGGTTACCAATAGTGGCAATCCTTTCAGCGGCTATCAGCTCTATGCAAACCCTTACTACTCCTCCGAGGTCTATTCCTTGGCAATCCCATCCTTGACAAGCTCTCTCGCGGCCAAGGCTAGTGCAGTTGCTGAAGTTCCATCTTTCGTCTGGCTGTAGGTCTTACTGCTGCTCCTATATGCGCATCTACTGAACTTTTAATAGCGATACCGCGGCCAAGGTTCCTACCATGGGAACCTATCTTGCCGACATTCAGGCCAAGAACAAGGCCGGTGCTAGCCCGCCGATTGCTGGTATTTTCGTGGTTTATGACTTGCCAGACCGTGATTGCGCCGCTCTTGCTAGCAACGGCGAGTACTCAATCGCCGATAACGGAGTTGCGAACTACAAAGCGTACATTGACGCAATCAGAGCTCAGATTCTCAAGTACTCTGATGTTCAGACTATTTTGGTTATTGGTTGGTATCCTAAGCCATGATGTATACCCTCGCCATACTAACTTTCACCAGAGCCCGACAGTCTCGCTAACCTTGTTACCAATTTGAATGTTGCTAAATGTGCCAATGCTGAGAGTGCTTACCTCGAATGCGTCAACTATGCATTGATCCAGCTCAACTTGTCCAACGTGGCCATGTACATTGATGCTGGTATGATACCCCTTCTGGGACCTTTCTATTTGCCTCCCTATTCCCGAGATCATGAGTTGACTTGGTATATCTAGGACACGCCGGCTGGCTGGGCTGGTCAGCTAACCTCCAGCCTGCTGCGACTCTCTTCGCCAACGTATACAAGAACGCTTCGTCTCCTGCCGCGGTCCGCGGATTGGCCACTAATGTTGCCAACTACAATGCCTGGACAATCAGCCCCTGCCCATCCTACACATCGGGAGACTCCAACTGCGACGAGAAGCTCTATGTCAATGCCATCGCCCCTCTGCTTGAGTCTGCAGGCTTCTCTGCTCACTTCATTACCGATACTTGTGAGTCATATTCTCGAATTCTCAGTCCTATATGTTTCTAACGTTTGAATAGCTCGCAATGGTGTTCAGCCAACCAAGCAAAATGCCTGGGGTGATTGGTGCAATGTCATTGGTACTGGATTCGGTGTCCGCCCTACGACCGATACTGGGGATTCTCTTCAAGATGCATTCGTTTGGGTCAAGCCTGGTGGAGAATGTGACGGTACATCGAACACCACATCCCCACGATATGACGCACACTGTGGATACAGCGATGCCTTGCAGCCTGCCCCTGAAGCCGGAACTTGGTTCCAGGTAAGTTTGAATTGCTGTAATTATCATATTTATTCTCTTGCTAACACTTTGTAGGCCTATTTCGAGCAGCTGCTTGAGAATGCCAACCCGTCCTTCTGAGGAAATGGATGAAACTGAACAACCGCTCCGGGGAAGGAAGCGGTTTGAACACAAATTTGAGAAGTGAAATGTTAGTATGGGGTAACCTCTATTCATTAGTATGAGTGAATCTCTGCTTTCTACGTAGAGAGAAGACTTGAGATTAAATGAAATAATTCAAAATGCATCCACAAAAGCCTATCTACTGTTCGCGATCAGAAAGAAACCGCAATTTCACCACAAGTTAAGTAGGAAACTGGATATCATATCGACCGTTGTGGTCCATTTAGGAGGACTGGTGAAATCCGCCCTTGAATCGCAAGGGCAAGCTGCCACCATCGTGGGAAACGGATTTCAAAGAAATAATGACCACGAATGAACGAAAACGGGATATTAAGCAGTGAGTTCATCCCATTCATAGTATCTATGCTATGATGATTATTGATAATCTAAATTACAAGAATCGATAAGCTACTTCAGTATCGTCTACCGGATACCTGAGGATAGTGTATGTACTAGGGTTGTCAACGCCTCCAGCCTGACTCTATCTTCTTCAGTCCCGGCTATTGAAGCAGTCGCATCCCCAAATAATCCCCAAACAGGCGGGAATTTCGGTCCAATCCACCCAGGGAACTTGATGCTTTGAAAGGCAGTCTCCATATGATTCCGCTCTTTGAGCCCGTCCCGCTTCCGGGCGAACTCTTCGGCACGTTGCTTGTTGCCGATCGAATCGTAGTATACCTTCCCGAGGGTGGCACAGTATATTATCAATGACGCCATTCCGGCTGCCAGCGCCGTGGACACGGATGCCCCAGTATGATACGAGATCGGTGTTGTGGCGTTTGGGTTTTCGGTCTCGGCCACCTTATTTCCTGGGAGGTAGAAGTTCATTGCTTTGAAGTCCTCCGAGACATTATCTGGTTTTCCGTGTTGATCTGCTGCCCCAATGCGGAATATGTATTTAGGGGCCTTCTGGTAAGGCAGGAAGTCCGTTACTTTCAAACTGATGTCGTCGTTGGCTGAACAGAAGATGAGAATCTTTGCCTCGACTGCCTCTCCGATGGCGGCCCTTAGATCCTCAAGGTCGGGATCTTCTTCAGATTTTCCTGTATCATCACTGGAATGAATACCAGACGCATTATCTTTGCTCTTGGCTAAGATAGTCCAAGACATGGAAATGATGTTGACTTTGCGCCCAATTGCAGCCCGGATAGCCATTGCGGCACTTCGAGGAGTGATCATGCGATTCCCATCCCTCGAGGGGATGTCATGCACGCGCATTACACACAGCGATACCCACGGGTTGATGCGTGCTATCATGTTGGCCATTACCGTTCCGTGCCCGTGGGTCGAGTTATGCCAGGGTTCCTCTGTGTGTTTTCCGCGAGGATAGTAGCTTAGGCCCGAGGCTTCGACCATCTGGCCAAAGTACACGGAGAGCTTGTCTAGTCGCACTCCATCATCTATTAACGCCACTTTGACCCTTTCTGGCCGGCGATGCATTTCTGGAAGACTGTCGTGAACTCGTTGAAGGGCACCGCGGAATCGGTCCATGGCCTCCATCCACTTGTCGCGATGTACCACCTCCAAGGGTCCCTCACCGCCAAGGTAGCCGCCATTTCCCATGGAGGATAATGGCCAACAGCGAAGTCCCGATGTTTGAAACTCTGGTATGATGGTTGGCCGTGCTGACTTGTCCTTGATGCGCTGCTCAATGCTGCGGGTGAAGGCGGCAAAAGATCGTCTCATCCGTTCAGTTGACTCCAGTCCCTACTCACATCCGTCATATCAGCTGTCAAGGACCCGCGTTGACTGGGTATTGGGTAAATAGACAGAGAAGACTTACAGGAGCTGCTTGGATTGTTACGGTCTTCAACTCAGACTTGTCTGCCGGAGTACAGAGACGTGGGATCCCCTCCTCAGAAGCCCACCCGCGCAAGACGGCTTGGTTTCCGGACCAGTACAGAATCAAGTGCTGAACATCGGGTGCAGCCTGGCGGATTACATCAATGCCGAGGTCAGGCCTCTGCCAATCCCTGAAGCCATGCCCGAGGATGTCAGCGAATGGGTCAGCCATTGATTCGGGGATTTCACTCACCATGTCTCTACCATGATCCGACATCCTGTCTCCTTGCGGGGCTTTTCTAGCCCTAGAGAGTCTCTCCCAGAAATGGCGCGCTCAATCGCTGCATCTGAGTGGTGTGGAGGTACCATGTCGTCAACATAGAGGCGGATGATCCTCCGCACGCCAGCCTCATAAAGCTCGTCGAAGACAGAAACTAAGGACTGTCGCCCCGGGTTTGGGTTTTCTCCAAAAATCGGCCCCTGCACTGTGCCTGCCGTCCGCTTGACATAGCTCTTAAGTTCTTTTTTCGGAGCCTGCTGTGCTGGCGCACTCATCTTGGTGGTGGGAATGCGAACATATGACAGAATTTTGTCGAATCCTCCGATTGACAGTCGTGAGATTAGATCGACGATTTGGCTTGGCTCTTTGTCCTCAAGACTGATGGCGTCAAAATAGAGATTGCGCTCACAGGCATGCTTGCCATATATTAGCTCCCGCGCAATCAAGTCCGGGCGCTGTCGAATATAGTGCAGGTGTAGATAAAGAAGTAGGTGGTTCATCGACTGCTCGGGGTCTTTTCGATTCTGGCTCTTAGCCTCGGCGACTCCTTGACGCATCAACAGACCAACATTCCCTGGCACCGATACTACCAAAGAAGGGTTGGTAGGTGCTCGTCGCAGACCAGTCCCTGGGGTATGGGGAAGGAGATGTTGATCTACGCTCTGAGGCCTGCTTCCTTGCCGACCTCCTTCTACCACTGCACGAGAGCGACCACGGTCAGGGGGCACAGGGGGCGCCATAGGGGCCCTGGGTACGGAGGCATTGGAAGTAGAAGTCACAAGCATGGATTCCACGGTATTTGAGTCCACCGACATAGAATTCCTGGATATGGTAGCCCCGGGGATTGAGGCCATGGGCATAGGCGGAGTACTAGGGATTTTGGCGCCTCCTAGAGGGGCCTTGACGTTGGCCGCCACAGTGGTCGGGCGTGATTTGGTTTCCTCCGCTAAATTGGAATTTAACCTCTTCACATCCTGGATGGGATCATTTGGTGCCGTGATGGGGGGTTTCGGTGGATTCATCTTCATCTTTCTTTGGGCCGAATGAACAAGGCAATACTGATAAGGTGACTGACCAAGCCTATTGAATTCAGCGCCTCGTTCCATCAATTTGTCAGCTCGTTGGACCATTTCCTTGGCTAACTTGACATATTCCTGTCCACGGCCCAGGCATTGTTGCGGATGTAGCGCATAGTGGATTGGTGTGTTGTTGTCCTCTTTATCTTGCGCGGCTAGAATCTGCGCGGTCGCATGGGGAAAGTACTCCTTAGCTCGGTCTAAGGTTTCCTTCCTTTGCTGATTTGTGTTGTCGCGGATGGCCAGATAAAATAGATGATGGAAGAAATTCTGGCCTTTGTCGTCCTGCATAGCCAGAATTTCCGGCAAATGGGCGGGGCAATGCTGCTTGATGAATTTGATGAATTCGAGGTGACCATGCGAAACGGCCTGGAGCCAGATAGGAGCTTCCTTCACCCCATTCTTAGGTGCTTTCTCAATAATATAGATGATGGCTTTTCGGACGATCGGGTTTTCAGTATGGTACTGGTTCCATCTCCGAGCCAGTGCATGGAGCAGCGATGGATGTTCGCGATCACGTTCATCCGTCTCTATGAGGATCGCCTTTTTGTAGGGCTCAAGGAGAGTAGCGCTTTGATTCTCATCCTTCTCGTCACTCCATCGCCGTTGTCCCTTTTCCAACTGACCGAGGATGTAGCTGCATCGGTCGTAAAGATCTTTCTGGCGTAACTCGCTCTCTTCTCGCTCTTGATTATTTTCCGGGCTCTCGGGCTCATGCAGAGTAGATACGCCGGGGTCATCGGGATTTTCGTCATAGAGGTCCTGCTCTGGTAGCTCGTCGACATATTCTGAGTAATGATCATTTGGATAGCCCATCACACCTGCCACTCGTACTGGGTACGAGAGGCTCATAGTTGGATCTCCCATCTTGCAAACTGAAACATGGAGGAGAGGAAGAAGATGAGTTAGGGCTTGACGTGCTACTCCAATTCAATTGGACCCCACCTCAGCCGCCCGTAACCCGCGTGGGCAAATGTGACGAGGAGCGTGCGTAGTTGCAGATGCATGCATATTAGCTCTTTGCTTATTGGTTATGATTGGCCCGGTCAACAGAACGATGGATACTGATTATTTCAAAGCAATCAAGCAAGAACAGAAGCTAAGGTACAAGGCACTTTCCAATCCTGGTAAAGCCTTCCTGGCTTAGAGCCTCTGCTTGACGGCTTTCCCGTAGCTCGTCCAAAAGGTAAAATCCCACAGCTTGGTCATATCCACCGATCCCAGGTCCCACAGATCAATAGGTTCTCCCCCCCTCAAGGTCATTGTACGGTTCATAGCTAGGGTCGAAAGGAATGGCCTCGTCACGAGATCGCACACTTCCTAATGACACTAGCCGTGTAGTCAGGTTAGGGGTAATCCGGATATATGGGACACAGTCAAAGTCATTGTCATTCTCGCGCGTTAGCAGAACACATGTACGCAGACGAGAGACAATGCCATTCGCCTGCGAGGGGTTCTCCTGTAGCGCCCACTGGGCTTGAAAATAGTTCCCCCACTCATCGAATGGACGACTACCTGTGATTTCAGCCGCGAAAGTGACCGTTTTCTCCACAGACCTCTCGATTCCAACCTCACCATTAGGGGAGACAACAGTTCCTGCACTTATCCCGAATTTCGCTGTCTTCTTCAGGCTTTCGAGCTGTGTCGATTCCATCATGCTATACCGCTCGTCGGGTCCGACCTTCTTGACGGAAGGACCACTTCCCGGAGGACTCCCCGCACTGGGAAGGAAGTCAAAGCAAATGCTAGCATCTTTGATACGGGTCCCTCGATACGATAAGAACTGGAAGTCGTAGACTAACAAAGTCGCTCTCTGAGCGGATCCGCGCGCGAGTGTGCCGTGGATGATGGCACGAGCAACAGACTGCACGTGAAATGCAGGTCTCTTCCTGGAACCTGAATGGAACATTGATGTTTCCTTGCGCTGTTTCACGCCGGGAGGATTCCGGACCTTGAATCCTGAGGAAGGTGGGGGTCAATACCTGTCAGCCCCAATATGACCGAAATGTAGAGCAAGAGACAGGAACTTGAACAAACTTACCTCCAGGCCGTCCTTCTTCCGGGTTCAACTCAAGCTTGAAGAATGTTGGATCGGTGCCCTGGCCGGCATCGATTTCCTCTTGTCCGCTTGGTGTTTCCTCATCGCTCAGCCACAACTCCCAATCATTGTAGTGGTCCATGGGATGGTTGTGTGCCTTTTGACTTCGTAATATTGATTTGAATAATTCCACGGAAATGAGAGCCACGAATTCTAAATGGTGAAGGGCAATAGGGCCTTGTTGTATCTTCAATATATACTCCATACATCATGATTGCTTGCACCTCTGTCTCAATTCAATGCCCCTCATTTAAGTGGGTTACCCGTACGGGAGAAAAGCAGTATTCGTTCTTGTAAGTCGATTTCAAGTGGCGCTGGCTGGCTTGCTGACTGGCTGAGAGTGGGTGACGTGTCCAAGCATGCAGGGTACTTGCTGCTCGGGATTATTGTCACGAAGACGTTGCGTATGCATGAGCACAGGGAGGCTAAAGGATGAGGTGGGGGCTGAAAGATTGGGGGGGTTGTTGTGAGCGCGTAATCTGGAGTGAGCCCACCACTACCAGCATCTAGGGAATACTCGTGGAACTCCTTTCTTGCAGTATTCTAGCAAATATCCATCTCGGAATCCCAGCAAATTACCTTCCATCCCAATAGGCAGAGCCAGGGTGGGCTCGCGGTCTCCCATCATGTCCGATTCAGGGGTGACCGAGGGGCAGAAAGACGACGGCGAAGAAATTGGAGCAGACACAGATGTCATGATGGCCAACCAGGAACTGCTGTCTCTGCAGCTTAGGAATCACTGGGACGCCGCTGATGACTACGAATTTGATCGCGGTCCCCATGTTGAGTCGGTCTATCATACAGCTTCAGTTCACCTGGTCAGCGCGCTAATTAGATGCTGTTTTCTACGACAGTGTTGTACATATATCAGCACTTTGGCCGACGGATCAAATGCTTTCCTTGGAAACTCTCGGTATCGAGAATCTTTCTATGGAGAAACGAGATTATCTGTGTTGCGTGCCAATGCGCACCCTGCTTAGAGGGAATACGCGGCCGGCAGAGATTCAGTTACTTGCGGACCTTAAATCCATTAGAAAGCAATCTTCTACGGTAAATAAACAAAGACATTTAGCAGCATCCCAAAATTTGCACCGCTGACATGTGTTCAGGAAGGCCGACAAGCCATCATATTCGTAGCCTATGATCTCGGAGCTATTGTGCTCAAAAATGTATTATCATGTTTTCCTTTCGCCCACCCGGGTAACCAAGACACGATAGAATTCATCTGACTGAGACTCGATGCGCAGGCGCTGGCACTCGCATCCAGAAGCAGAGAAAAATACAAGGATATCTTCCATGACACCGCAGCCACGGTACGATTCCATGCTCCATGACGAGAACCGAGTGGTTCGAATAGATTCTAACTCCTATTCCAAAGATCTTTTGCGGGTGCCCACAACGAAGCTCCAACTTTGAGACATTCCAAACAAAGCTCTTCACTTTCCTGCTCGAAAAGCAGACTGAGGAATGGAGCTCACTGCTCACCATCTCTACCATCACGCGTCTGGTGCGAAACATCCACGCGTCCACTAGCGCTTTCATCAACTCCAAGATTACCATGAGATCTAGGGTATTCAGCTTATACGCCGGGGAAAAATGGCCGGGGTGTATTCACGCTGTCAGGATCATCCAATTAGATCATCTGCGTGTTGGAATCCAGTTTCTAACTGTTCGATAGACCTGGGACGTGTATACAGGCACTCTCGGCTTGCCATCGGAGTTTGCCATCCAAGAACAGGGTAAAACGACATTCCCCTATCTCGGCGAGTACGTCGCGCACGAGACTGATAGTATGTCTTTCATCTCCAAAGGGTATATTGGACAACGCCGAGATCAGATCTGACAACTTCGGCAGCCTGGGTCGCCCACCCTTTATGGGTCCGATGGGAACAGTTTTTTCTGGCGATCAGCGCTGCGCCGCGCCCATCTCCACAGATGCCATCTGATGCTGAGCAGGTAGCCTTCCTCCTTGAAAATCCGACTTATACTGCATGGGTAGAAGGATCGGGCGCTAGAATCTTATATCTTCATGGCACAGCGCATAGTGTCGTCGATACCCTCGCTGATCAACTTCTGTGGAATTGGCGCATCTACAGGAATTTTGACTCGGAGAACGATAACCGGATTATATCTTTTACTTTTGATCATACGGACCCCCTGCGTGATTCAATGGCGGATTTTACGGCGTTTGCAATCAGCCAGCTGAGGTTAGGTCACAATACCAGCTGTCAGGGAGCCGCGGATAAGTCCTCGTATCAGCGCTTGCAGAGTCAGATTGCATTTCAAGGTGGATGGACGGAAAAGGCAGTATTATCGAACTTCGAATTTCTCGTGCAGCCTCATGATCTGACCGTTTTTCTATTGAAAAACTTCGATGAATGTGATGAATCGAGCCGAGCTTTGTTTCACCGGTATCTACAGACCATGGCAGAAGGCACCGAGGAGCACGTCCGTATCATAGTGACCACCAAACAACCGCACGCGTTGTTGACGGAGCTTTCGCGCTGGCCAGAAATTAACACAGATGAATTCACCCCTGGCACGAGGATCCAAGCTGCTGATCTCGACAGAAATCCCATCCGCAGCCCAGCTGAAGTCAGCTTCGGTCAGGGAATCGGGGGAATATTTCAAACTCAGATCAATGCCATCATAGAACAGATAAACAAGACGAATGGGGCACAGCTAGACCCTTTGCTTCGCCTGGTTCAAGACCATACGGGTTGGCCTGACCCGCATTCAGGTTGGTCATTTGGAGATGTTTTTGCGATTGTGAACAGCATTTGCCCAGGTGATGGGATTGAGCAAATGATGGACAGAATATTGCGTCGGTACAGCACTCACGATGGATTTAACTGGATTTTGTCGTGGTTAATCGTGACGGCACGGCCATTTACTCTAGGGGAATTGGCTGGTCTACTATGCTTGTACTATGCCCAAGGCATCGAACTGCAAGGTACAACGGAATTTGATGATGTGTCCCTGGAGACTGCTCAATGGCAGCTGGAAACTTGGCTGCGTGGTTTCATTGATATAGAGCAGGAGCAAGTCACATTCCGCAGCGAGATTCGCGATATTATCTTGGGCAGCACTTCCAGTCAAGAGCAGTTCTTGTGGCACCAGTTGCGAGGTTTGGCCCATCAAAGCATCGCCGACTTTTGCATTCGCCACTTTCAATCTCCCGCTATAATCGGCAGGCTGCACAAACTTGATGAGGAATACCGCAATGTTCCTGAATCTGAGAGCCAGGAGAGGCATATTATCGCCCCACTGACCCCAGACGGAGTAGACATTCTTTTCTACTTCGTCCAGTTTCTACCCTTCCATTTGGCTCAGTGTCCACCAGCATATTCCATTGCGACAATTGAAACCTTTCTCGATAATCCTACTTCTGGATCCGAGCCCTCCAGGATCTGGGCGAGGCTTTATTGGGCTATGACCAACCCGTTCTTGCGACCACCCGGTATCTTGGAGGCCAATTCAGCATTCCCCACGTTCTTTGGACTTGAACTGCTCCCCCTCTCAAATCCTCCAGACAGTGATATGAGCGCTCTCTCACTGTTAGTCGCAGCCTTTAGGAATCACGGTACACGAGTATTGGAGCTTTTACAGTCTCAATCTTTCTCGCATGGTACACTTAAAGATGCTCTTGTGGGCTCTGTTAGTGCAGGGGACGAAACAAGTGCCATCAGGTTGGCTGAGTGCATTCTAACGTCCACAGAGGGCTCTGAAATTGCCTCTGTCTTTCCGTCATCGCTATTATGGGCCACAGCCTGGCTGGACCTAGCCTCAGTTGCGACAATATTGTTGCAAAATGGCAGCTCCCCAGACCCGGTCTGGGAACTATCGGATGGCTTTCAGAATATCACGCCGTCGCCACTATATTTGGCCGCCTATCAGAGGTATTCATCCACGGTCAAGGTGTTGCTTGATCACGGTGCGAGGATTGACGTAGTAAGGCATGAGACACCGCTCACCCCAGTCAATTTTCTCGTCCTTCATCAGAACCTTTGGACCGAGTTTTGCGAGCATGATAGCTCTTGCCTACGCCAGGAAATGCAACTGGGTCCATTTCATGGAGCGGCCAGTTGGGGGAGTTGGTGGTCCATCCCCAGATTGCTGGAGCAAGAGAATAATATCGATCTCAACGCATTCCTAACACATTCTGACTACAAATCCCTCAGGAACCCGCTGGTAAACGCTTGCTCGTCGTCCTATCACCGGACTGCGGAAGCACTGTTGCAGGCCGGAGCAGATCCCAATGCACGTGCTCCCTGGAGCCCTCTGTGGCTGAACACTATCTCGTGCCCCAATGTAAAGTTGCTCAAGTGTCTCCTGCGTCATAACGCGGATCCCAACCATGAACAGTTAGAGAGTTCACTTCTCTACGACCTTGTAGTTTCGCACCAGAAGGATCATGAAATTGTGAGGATGGGAAACATACTCCTCGACAATGATCCGCCCGTCGATATCGATGCGAAAACATCCTGGGGTGGTCAGACGGCGCTAATGGGAGCCTGTGACCTTGGTCGTCTCTCCTTGGTGACGTGGCTCTTGGGTCGGAATGCCAATCCCAGCATTTTGGACAACGATGAGCAGAACCCTCTACATTATGCTGTTCGTGGCGGACATCTTGGCGTGGCCCAGGAGCTAATCGCCAGGCATGCAGACCTAGTCACTGGCGAGCAAGCGGCGCAGCCCCTGTTGATCCTGGCTCGCGAGTCGCCCGAGATAGTGCGCCTTCTCCTCAACTCCAAGGCCAATCCCGAAAGAAGTAACTCTAAGGAGCAGACGCTAATCAACGCTGCAACAGTGGATGGCCTTCACGAGGTCATGGAGATTCTTATGGAGAAGAAAGTTGATTTACACCATCGCGACAAGTGGGGAGCGACCCCGATATGCGATGCTATCGAGTACAGCAAGAATGCACGCATTCTACGCCTGTTGATCGAGAACGGTGCTAATCTCCAAGACACAGAGGAGGAGAACGGCAGTAGCCTCGTGCATCTTGGCGTCAATTCAAGTCCAGAGATCCTGCGAATCTTGCTAGAATACACTAAAGATCTGGACCTGAACCGGAAGAACAATCTCGGGCGGAGCCCCCTCCTAGCAGCCGGCTCAAAGACCAACATCGAGTGTCTGAAATTGTTGGTCAACGCAGGAGCAGACATCAATCAGGTTGACGAAAGAGGGGAGACCGCTCTGCACAACTCCATTCATTGGGACCTGCCCGACTTCCGTGATCTGCTACTAGCACAGCGAGATGTCGAGGTCAATATCTCTTCTCCGTACACTGGATCTCCCCTTCATCTAGCCTGTAGAAAAGGGCAACTTGAAAGTGTCACAGCGTTGCTCAATCTTGGGGCGGATATATATCAGATGAATTCTACGACGATGTACTGCTGTCCATTAGTGGCGACACTGCTCCAAGACAAATCCGATAACGAAGATGACGACGATACATCCTCGCAGCTGCAGATAGTTCGCCTACTCATCAACCACGGGGCTGATATGCACCAGATTGTGCGGGGGGCGATTTACAGTCCGCTGGCGGCCGCCTGCTTCGGCGCCACGTCCAACTCCATAGACCTCCTTCTTGACGAAGGTGCATCGCCCGATAATCCCGACCCAATATCTGGCCGTCTACCGCTTCACTTTGCCGCCGGGAGTGGTATCGACAATTTCCAGGTTATATTACATGCCACACACAGTGACGTGACTGTCGCTGATAGATTCGGCAAGAGCGCCCTACATTGGGCAGCGCAGTATGGTCACGTCCGCACCGTGGATCATATTCTCAGCCTGCTAAGCACTCCCTTGCAACGTACCCAGGCTCTGGCGCAGGCGGATTGCGACGGCTGGACCCCCTTGTGCTGGGCTGCCCGCCCTATCAAAACCGGCGTCTGCGGCCTGGCTCAATGTGAGCCACGAAACTACCCGGATACTATCCGTTTGCTACTGGAACACGGGGCGGATCGCAGTGTCCACGCTCGCTGGGGCGAGATGACGCTTACTCCATTGGAGATGGCTCGGCGCTGTGGTGCTGATATGGCAGTCATTAAACTTCTACAGCCAGACTTGGAAGACGAACAACTCCCACACGAAGCGAGCCAAAGCCCTTTGCAAAAGTTTAAGTTTAGATCTGGTACCGAGATCTGCGATATCTGCCTGGGAGTCAGTGATCCTTCATAATACCTTCCACCATTTGATTCAAGCTAACCTCTTGTCTTGACTTTATCTATATCTAGCCCACGTTTGGCCACAGATACCGGTGTAGCTCATGTCCAGAATACCATGTCTGCACCAAATGTTATCCGATCTCCAGTGACTTCCATCCGCGCGAGTTCACCACAGACACACGAGAGCACCATGTTTCTCTCGATCCGGAGAGTAAAGAGTTTGAAGACCCAGAAGAGCAAGCGCCCGATCTGCCGGATGTCGATCTTACCGCGAGTGTGGACGCCGTGGTAGCTCAGGCCACCGTCAACGAGGGTACCGTGGATATTGTTGGGGATGGAGACGAAGACTTACAGGAGATGGCATTGGGCAGTGACGGCTCGTTCTAACATCATTTTATTATATTCTTCTCATATATCCAAGTTCTACAATCCATATAATTGCGTGTATGATATTGTTAGGCCGGCTGCTATGGGGAAGCGAGCTGGAGATGACTGTGCAGCCCCATTCATATTGGTTAAAATGCAAGGTATTAGTCCCATTTGATCAAGGCTGTTACTGGATCATCATCGAGGAGACAACCAAAAGGATAACGACAGGAACGACGCTCTAGGTAACGTCATGCTATTCCATATTGCCCTTCTTTGATGTTTTGGTAAGTCGTCTTTTCCATCGTAGTCTAGAAGATTCTCTCGGTCCTTAACCCTCCAAAATCTAATCTCTAAGCACCAACTTCTAGTCGATCTTCCAGCCGTTCTGAACTTTCATGCCGGCGTACCATGTCTTGACATACTCCTTTCCTGCATGAGGGCCATACAATTCAGTTTCCCATTGAGGCAGAGGGGGGCAAGCCCCGTCTCCGACAAGCATTTTTTGCGTAACTCCTCGATACTTCCACCACGATCGTAAATTGAGACTTCACCCAACTTAGCACGCTCCAGGTCCATGTTGGCACGTAGCTGTTCAGTTGACGCATAATCCACTGTAAAGTCGCTGTTCACGATAACACCGTATCCTTCACGCGCTCCATCAACCGTCACAAGCTTGCGATGGACTTCTAGAGCGACCTTTTCCGCAGGTCGTGTCAAAGGATCGCCCAGTCCGCCTCCACCCCAAGTCACCCACTCGAGAAGATCCCCGACATCAACTTGGATATGATCACATTTCGAAGGCAGGACCTCAATAGGTGGGTTCTCCCTTGACTTAGAGTGGCGGTATAAGATCTTTCGTGATCGCTGGCCTGGCTTTCCACCCTTTAGACCCCATGGCTTGGTAAACCATCGATCGTCATGTAGACTGAATTCTCCACGGCACAAAAAGCGATACTCGGTGCGTTGAGCATTGCCCCCACGGTAAAATCCTGGACCTCCGCTGTCTGCGACACTTTCATTTGCTTCAATACGTAATGGATAGTTGAGCTCAATGCTTTCCGTTGGGATGGACTTGATCGCGGGGAAAAGGCAATGGCAATCAGGACCATCACCGGCCTGACGGGCAGGAACACCCCCGAATCCGATCTGATAAAGCTGGAACCACTCGCCATCTGGTTTGAAACCGGAATAAAAGAAGTGAGGCGAGTCACTAAAACCGGCTGCGGCTTGGTATGCATCATTCTTTTGGCCAATAAGGGCTTGGATGATATCCAGCGTACGACCCATGAGATGAGTACGACAGGAGATTGGTGCAGGTCGGACGGGCTTGAGGACTGTGCCTTCAGGAATATGCACATCGATAAGGTCATGGAATCCATCATTGATGACGGTACCAGGCGCAGCGGCCGCAATGAGGTAGTACCCGATGAACATCTTGAACATGGTCTCTGAGAGATAAAAGTTGATACTGTGTTGGCTTTGTGGAGAAGTCCCGTCCCAGTCAAAACGCAGCCTGTGACCGTCAATCTTCTTCATAGAGCAGCAAAGGGCCCACGGTCCGACTCCATGACCATCATCGTCAACGAAGTCGGTAAATTTGCTCTCGTTGTCGTCAAATTGACGTTCAATGATCTTTGCCAGTCCCGTGCGATTTCGTTGCAACAGTTCATCAGAGGCAGCCAGGTAAAGCTCACAGCCGAAACGGGTAGCTAGCTCACAAACTCGTCTAGCAGCCATGGAACATGCTGCCACGATAGCTGTTAGGTCGGAGCGGTACCAATCGGGTTGACGAGAGTTTCTGCACAAAAGATCAACTAGATCAGAGTTCATGACACCCCGATTGTAGAGCTTAAGACAGGGAATCTGGACACCATCGTTGAACACTGAGGTGGCATTGATAGACATGCTTCCCGGAACCATACCCCCGACGTCCGTCAGGTGGCCGAACTGTGAAGCCCAGCCAATGATTTTGTGTTCATAAAAGATAGGCAACAGAACAATAATGTCGTTCAGGTGGCTAATAGCCCCCTGCACCTGGTAGGTGTCATTGGTGATGAATATGTCGCCTTCCTCGATAGTGCCCTTCCAAACATCGAGGAACTGGGTGATGAAACTGCCAAACTGACCAACTAGCATTTGTCCTTTGCTGTTTGTAATGACATTGAATTCGTCTTGTTGCTCCCGAATAGCTGGTGACATGCTGCACCGAAGCATCATCGTATCCATCTCGCCTCGAATGGATGCAAGGGCTGCGGATATCAAGGTGGGAATCAATGGAGTGCTTTTGACGATATCACTCGCAGATTGGAGTGTATGACTAGTCACTTCCGAGAGCTTGTTCAAGGGGTTGATGAGGATGTTACCAACACTATCTATCTCTCCATAGTAACCAGGGAGAATCAAGGTGTTGCTGTCCATCTCGGTGATGATGCATGGTCCAGTTACCTGGACGCCCTGTTGACTGATCTTTGAACGCTCCCATAGTATAGCCTTTTGTTGCTGGCCTTGCACGATAATGGTCTGTTCTCCGAGCTTTGCCGTGGGGGAGGGCACAGTGGACAACGCCTTGTCAATTCGCGGAATATCAACGACAGGTGAATCTTCAATGAGTATAACTCCTAACCGTATCAACTCCAATTCAAAATTAGGTAGACAGTAGGTGAAGAGCTGCTGGTGCTGGAGATCAAATTTCTTCCGTAATACACTGTGCCACTCGTTGGTACTAAGGGCTAGCTCGTCTGTCTCCAGATCAACCGTGATGGTCAACGCTTGGCCCTTGTACCTGAGGTCGGCCTGGTACTGGGTCTTCCATGTAATGGGCCACGATGAATTTGTGGATCTCTGAAGGGTTTCACGGCCCTGTTTCTCTAGTGCCAGGTACTGTTCTCGAGCTGCGGCTGTAGTCGTTTCGGACACTAATCGAATGAACGAGGCGGATTTCTCGTGGGTCATCTTGGTAGTCACATCTCCCTGGGCACAGAGGATACCCGGAGAAGGTGGGATAATCACTGGCCATGCCCCAAGTAGTTGGCCAACGGCGTTCGCATGCAGGGGTCCAGCACCACCAAAAGCCACGAGCGCGAATTCTCGAGGGTCATATCCTTGCTCGACAGAGACGAGACGCAGTGCTCCGTAGATGGTTTCGTTGGTGAGAGCGATGATATCCTCTGCAACCTGAGGAATGGGGAGGTTCATCTGGGATGCGATATTCTCAACGGCCGCAATTGCCGCCTTCACGTCTAGCGTGAAGTCTCCCCCAAGCAGTGTATGAGGCAAGTACCCTAGAACCAAATTGGCGTCCGTTACCGTCGCTTGGCGTCCATTGTTTCCATAGCATGCAGGTCCTGGTGATGCACCGGCACTTTCGGGACCCACTCGTAAAGTCTCAGTCAACTCCATGTATGTCGCGATGGAGCCTCCGCCAGCTCCGACAGTGTTGATGTCTACTGCGGGTGAGCGAACAGACAGGTTGTCGATAGTAGTTTCCCGTCGAATCCGAGGCTGGCCGTTATAGATCAGAGCGCAGTCTGTGGAGGTACCACCCATATCCAAAGTGATCAAGTTCTTATATGGGGTACCACGAGCCACAATATCTGCCACTCCTGTGACACCTCCAGCTGGACCCGACATAAGAATAGTCACAGGCAGTTCCCCAGCAAGTGCCAAGCTGGTTAAACCACCATCACTCTTGAGTACCCGAATTGTATCACTTTCGAGCACAAGCTTTTCGGCGAGATTATGCAGATACGTCTGGACCACTGGTTTAACCAGCGCATTCGTACAGGTCGTTACCGTTCTTTCGTACTCGCCCATTTCCGGAAGCACATCCGCAGAACAAATAACGGCGATATTGGGGCCGAGCTCCTCGTGGATGACTTTCTCTACCACACGTTCGTGGGCGTCATTGCTGTGTGAGTTCAAAAGGGAAATTGCCACAGCTTCTGGATTCTGTCCCTTCACCAGTCGCAGGCTCTTCCGAAGATCTTCGATATCCACAGCCATGACAGGGTCACCATGCACTGACATTCGCTCTCTGCATTGCACTACCCGTTCTAAGGGGACGATAGGCTCTGGTGGGGTAAAGTACAGCCATGCACCTAGGCCACCTGGGATCTGAGAACGACGGAGGGCGAGAACATCTTTGTGGCCAGCTGTGACTACCAGCGCGGTTCGCGCGCCCTTGCCCTCCAAGACAGCATTGGTTCCTGTTGTGGTGCCGTGGTGGATAAATTGGAATTTTCCTGCCCAGTTAAACTGAGCCTTCAGAATCCCCCGTACTTTGTTGATGCCGTTCTGTATGCCAATGCTTTGGTCTGGGATTGTGGTCGGAACTTTGGCTCGAATCGTTTGACCGTGAGGGGAGAGGACATATACGTCGGTGAAGGTACCACCGACATCAACTCCGAGTTGATATCCTTGACCCATGATATATTTCATTCACTAATGTCAAGAAGAGTGTGCTAGCCACAAACAAAGAAAAATATAGAAATAATGAGGGGAGATGAGGGGTAACGATGCAGCAATGTTTCAAAATCTTGGATCGCCTCCCTGCAGCCTTATCATGACATAAGGTCCCGTCGGGATCAAATTTTACAAGGTATTTTTGTTACTTTCCATTGTGATATAAATAGCAATTGAGAAAACGGAAATCACTTAGCATTTAAAGAGAAAGGAGAAAGCCGGTCCGCATATATCGACATCTTTTGCTTGGATAGATATTCCCTTAGGTCCAAAACCCTTATTGAGACGCAATAGCGGGTGAGAAAAATTATCTTAATCGCGCCACAGTATGCGAAAAAGATGCAAAGAGTGGCCAGAAAATACTGATACTGTAAGACGGGAAAGATTCGGAAACTGCGAGGACCCAGAGTGCCGGTGTGTGATGATAGGGCATGACTCGTACGGACGAGGTGCCAAGCCATTCAGTTTCGGAAAGGATACTTAGCTTTGGTCGGAAATAGGCTTTAGAGAGTAGGTACAGAGTACAGTGGAACAGTATGTGGCAGTCGAGCATTTCCTTTACCGATAAACGATTAAGAGGAATCACGTTTGGTACTGAATACAGTTTTAAAGTGATGGGACTAGGTCCATGCTCGAAACCCCGCGCCTGCCAGGGAATTCACAACTTGTTTTACCGCACTTTCCGAGGTCCTCTTAAGATATGGTTAGTCAGCCTAATCGACCAATCAGAATGCGTCAATCTAGAAGCTCTCTTACCCTCCCGATCCCACTGTAGCAAAACAACGCTAATTGCAACAGGCAGACCTGGCCGCCCTGCGAGTTCATCATATCTACTATAGCCGCTCTATCTTGGGTGCTTCGTGGTGCCAATAGTCACTTATGAAGTGATACTGAGCTTAAGTAACGTTAGTTAATTAGTTATGCTTTGTCATCCTATGGACACGTTAAGGTTTTAAATTAAATACCAACGCGCAGAGCAAAAGTCCTAATGAACAGTTTCGCAGCTAGTGATCTACTGCCAATCCACGCCAGAATAACCTATCGGGTTCACACTGAGCCATTTATGCTTGCTGATACCAAGAGTAGTTAGGGTGTATGTATGTTGATTTGAAGAGCCAAAATTTCCATCAAGCACTTCGTTCCAGGACTGGTTGAGGGAGTTTTAAGGTTAAAGACTGATCCATGGGTCTTTGAAACTCTCCTCGAGATTAGAACCCCGCTCAATATCCATTCTACTCGGACGTAAATACGATTTCTCGGTTGATACCGGAGCGTTCTCTACAAAGATCTTTAGTCGCGAAGTCGCAGAGCAATAGCTGTATCGGAAAACCATCGACTGGAAGTCCAGAGTCTGTGCGAAATGGCTACTCGTTTGTTATCATCTTATCGGCGGATAGGGTTGGTTTCAAGTACCCGTACATGCGCCTCTACCACAGCGGTCGTCCGAAACTCCTCCACATGAGTTACATAGTCCGGCCGCTATACGCTGACAGTCGCGCTTTTAGAATTTTTATAAGCAATATCGAAGACGAGCGCGGCATTAACGCTCCCATCAGTATTCAAGACATGCTCAATAGTGAGGCAGGCGACTCTTCGCCTCTTGTATGAATAGCACAATCATGGGGTCGGTAATATCAAATTCTAGATGGGCTGACTTCCATGCTAAGCGTACAACTTTTCCAAATTAGGCGGAATCGTAGCCAAGGAGGTGAAACTGCAATGGCCCTTCCCTTCCTCAAATTGATCTGCAGAATATTCACAATCTAGAAGGCCAGCTGTCTCTCCCCACATGAGTAGACCGCGCGCAGCATTTTCCGTATTTTCATCCTGTGGTGGGTGACAAGCAGCGCTAATTGCAGCACTGCATGAACCTACCACTGGCATGAAAGACTTATATTTTCGGAAAGACAGTGAAACTAAAACAAGAAGCATCCCTGCCCCCAGAAAAACGGCCAAGAGCATTGGTAACCACAAATAACCTAGCTCGCTCAATACAAATTCTTCAACGCGGTGTGTGTCTGCCCATGGAATTGCATACACATAGAAGAAACTCTGTGATATGAACCAGTGAAGCAATGCTGAGAATGCCAATAGGGGCAGTGAGTACCTCAAGGGAAGACTGAGGTAGTGGGTTGGCCGCTGTCCGCTGTTTTTAGCGGGAGAACTGACACGAAGCGACTTGCGATTTACCCCATAGGAGGTCCACTCGGCCATGGCCAGCATATTGGTCAGAATATGGTTGTACCATAAATATGTGAGCGTAATAGCCAGCTGGGGCGTATTAGCGAGCACGGTGTAGGACAACATTCCCCATTCGGGTCCGTTACCACCAGCCCCAAAGGTCACTAGGGTGTAATTTTCAGAGTCAAAGCCATTCTTCAATAGTCTTCGTATGGCGGATGACGCTGCTTTCGATATTCCGTCCCCAACAAGAACAGCTTCCTCCCCTTTAACGCCTTCTCCCAAGAGAACTGCACCCGCTATAAAAATGATCGCAAACCTAACATGACCTGTCAGTCCCTGTAAATATAAAGTTTAAATAGCCATGGAAGTGCTGTATTGATTGAACTCACGTTACTAGAGCCATAAGCCATCGACTGGTCCTTGAGGCATGCATCCAGCGCTTGGGGCTTTGAAGGCGCTTCCATATGCGTGACTCGCCTTGGCGGTGACTCTCCGTAGATGATCGAGATACCCAGGCGACTTGGCGTGACTTCCAGACCTCGCGGGAGAAGTCTTGATGTGAAGCCCAGCACATTCCCTCTGTTGTACTATCCGGATCTGCCATGAATGACGATATCGCATCACCGACAGTTAATAAAGGCATCTGCCGAGAGCGACCGAGTAGAGCTGCAATTGATATGGCTACCACTTTGACAAGCAAAGTCAACGAGATAGCAACGCTTATGTACGGACTATACATCAGCTCGCATATTTTATCAGTCTCGACTACGATGCAACCATCAGTTACAGCGTGAGACGATTCATAGCTATATTTGTTGCATGAGGTGCCATAGGTGTCAATTGTGATGCGTGATGTTGCGTTCACATCCATATATTGGTCGAGGCGTTTCTTGCTCGGCCATTCTTCTTTGAACCAGTTGACGAGATCTTCAGCCTTGGTGCATGTCGAGTTTGCCTCTTTCTTTGAGAGGTCAACATTATCGATGCAAGTAGAGGCCTCAAAATCGTATAAGGTATAGAGAATAGTTTCGTCATGCCCCGAGACATTGAAATATATGAATGGTGATACGGATACGTGTGCGGACGATATTGCTGAGATTTGACCATCTTTGATGTAGTATTGCCCAGTCCATGGGCCACCACCCACAGTCGAACCAATAAACACAGATTTATTCCCCCCCCTCATTGACTGACGTATCGTTGGTAAGCATCAACATAAATTTGACCCCCGCCTGAGTGTTCTTGTTGGTGTACTCAGTGCATTCATCGTTATTGAGAGTTTTGTAATTATCTGATTCCAAATCGGAGACAAAGTCATCCCACCTGTATTCGGCTGACCAAGGATAATCATATGGATATCTGCCAAGGCAGTTTTGCAGGTTGGGCGTGCTCAGACTTCCAATATCGGGGGGGTTTAGATCTGATGGCCCTAGAATAACGTCGTAAAAATTCGCAGGAATAGATTTGAATACTATGGAATTGTATCTTGTTTTGAATCAGATTTATATATCTCACTTAGTCGTATATATAAACTTACATCAAATGAAATGGAGTGGCAGTAATAATGAGCACAAACCATAGTGCAAGGCGGGTTTTGGGGATTGCAAAGAGGTTCCTCAAACTGGTAGACCCGATGTCAAGCCATTTGTGCTGTGCATGAGACTGATCTACCTCGTCTCGAGTCGGGGCAACCAGGGTTTGCATAGCAAAGTTACTCGCCCCCAAAGCGACTTCACTCAAGATGTTGATCATCAAACTCAGTGCAGTTTCCCATCGGTTGACTAAAGTACAACTCCCTCGATAGACCAACGCAGTGGATGAGAAGCTTCCATTGTCTGTGTGTCGCGTTGAGAATCTAGCTGCGACGCCAATAAAAATCAAGTTGATTATAAGCACCCCGACGATTGCTAGAGCACGATAGTAAACACCGCGAGTCCAATGCGAATTTTTTGGCTCCTCTGCGCTCCTTGGGAACATGGCTGTACTTCCCTCTTTGTTTAACTTGGCATCTTCGCCCATTATGCCGATTTTAAGACTCACTTCAGCCCGACTGCTTTTGCGTCACAAATCGTATACAAATAAAAATAGGCGGTTATAAGAAGCTTTGATATTTAAAACAAGGCAGAGAGGAAATAATTTGGAGAGGTAAAGTGTATTCGTAATATGTGGGTGACGGTCCGTGCACACACATTTAGCCCCCAGCATTCAAAAATAAAGTGCTTGTTCTTTCTATTTCCTCCGTGATCCGTTCTTGTTACGATTCGTAGATGCGGAAAGTCTTGCGAACGAACTGGCGAGAAGTGTTTGCATGGGAGTTGCCGAAAAGGGAGGGCCATATAAAGGCAATCCCTTTGGGTGGATTAGAATCTTCCTTCTCTTCTTCTTTCTCTAGATTTAGTTGCCTCGTTTAAACAGTACCGAATTGATTCATAATCTTTTCGCTTGACCGTAACAGTTCTGGTAAGATTCTAGTCTATTCATAGCCCCATTTAACGACCCACCAGTGGTTATTTGTATACTTCGTATTTCAGGCGAGTCAAGTTATGGTTTGCCTTACAATAATGTTGTTTTTATTTGGGATCGGGTGGTGACATTGAGCGGCCGGTCAAGGTATCCACACCTATAGGGCTGGGGCTCCTCCTTTGATTACGTATGTTGAGTACGTTAGACGATACATTATAGTAACGATGAATGTGCCATACAGTAGCGCAATATTTGTTGTCCATTCACCGCTTTTCTTCCATAATTCTGAGCGTAATAGCCCGTGTAATACGTGGCTAGCTAGCGTAGGGGCCAGAAATGCTCGGTGGTAAGCCCGATTTGGCTATACTGCCGGAATAAAGTCTGGCCAATAATAGTTAACGTAACCACTTATTTCACTAAGCTCAAAATAGTTATCTTGTCGTAAATATGTAAGTTTTTGGTGTTTGGATAGGTAAAAAAAAATAAACGAGGTAAACGGCTCTAGAGCTTGAATTCAATTTCTTCGACCTCATTATCGATTTTATGACGGCCCGTGGATGAATAACCTTAAGTGAAGCTTTGGCATACTCGGTTTTGAATGATATGTTAAGATATATATTTCTTGGTTTCGAATTTATTTTCTTCTTTTCTGACCCTCGACATTCCAAACACTCCAGAGTTCTGATTCTGTACAACAGGCCTATGTGGAATACAGGATTTGCTTGCGTTCCACCTAGTGTAACAACATAGTGTTTTGTTCGCCGTGGGCCACCGGTATGCAAATATCAGTGCACGACTCGCTTCCCTTCGCACCACTCCGGAGCCCGAACGATCCCAGATTGATCTAATTAACCCTCCCCTAGTGGACTCAGACTACTTGGCTGAACCTCATTAATGCTTCACATTTATTATGGCAGCGATTCCCTGTAAATCTTTTCTAATTATGGTAATTGTTGGCGTAGATACCGCAATGAGTGGGACAAGCTAGAGACGACATCGGACTTTGGTATACTCCGTCCTCAATGACAGTCTCAGTTCTAGACGCAAGTATTTCTTGAATGCATACTATTACAGATTAGCCCCTCCCATATTAGATTCAGGATTTCTACAAACAATCAATCGCCTCTTTCGGAACCATCTACTCGATGTCGGTTGAAAGGATTCTATTGATTCCTCTCTTTCGCAGTGAACAGCCAACCAAGAGGCTCGACTTCATCAAACTGAAAACTACACGAATGGTACAGAAGCCTGTTATCCCGCCGCTAGCAGGGCCGTTTTCTAACTTTGCAAATCCTAAGGACGTCTTACACACTGTGAACCTGGCGACGCAAGTGCTGTGTATCATAGTCGTCACGATATTTGTGGTTATCCGAATATGGATCAAAGGTCGACATCATAAGAGCCTCAATGCAGAAGACTGTGAGCAAAATCTGTCATAATATTTAAGTATGCTTTCATACTAACAACCTGTTCGAATAGATTTGACAATTGCTGGATGGGTATGGCTTTCTCGGGCCGCTTGCTGGTTAGTTCTCGTGCTGACTACTTGGAAGGTATTGTTCATGGGATTTTGTGCATGCATGCTGATACGTACGCATTCTATTTCTCAACCCACGGGTCGGACATCATTAGCCATGTTATGTTTAATTCCTAGGGCGGTAAATACAATGCTTGGGACGTCCTCAGACCGAATTCATCAAGCTTCAAAAAGTCAGTATGAATAGACAGTAGCCAGGCATGTGAGCAGCTTGATTGCCAACGTCGAGGTACGTGCATGAGGACCATGCCAAGGAGACTGATCAACGTGAGCACGATCATTGTGATAGTGCGCATGTTAGTATGATGTGCTAAGAAGAAGCCAATCGCCAGAGAAACAACAATACTTTGTGCTATGTGGAGAGCCTGCCAGATGTGAAAAATGGAGTCATTTATCTATGGCGAAGAGGGTAGAATTTATCAAACACATAACAATGAGTGGATCATCGAGTGTGAGCTTCCCGAAATTTCGGCATTTCGTTTCAAGTCGAGCAGAGACCGCGAGAAGACAACCACAACCAGGCCCTATGTGGTCACATTGGCTGCCTATCATTGTTGTCACTTGTGAATCGAGTCCCCATTTAGGATGGTCATGTAATCGAATACAATTTGAATTCTACGTTATTATTTTGGAAGAATTAGCTTCGAATGCTTTATGTCCCCTTCCATACTGCCAACTATTGTTTATCAAGAATTTGTTAGAGAGGAACAAAAAGTATTGCCTAAATTTTTGCTTAGGAACGGGTACCAGAGAATTTGCACCAACATGGCAGAATTTTGGGATCTCGCTGGCATCGACGCGTTAGGCCACCCAAGCTCGGGCAGATCACATGCAGGGATGATTGTCCAGAGATTGTTTTGAGTTTGCTTATTTCTGGTACATCGAGTCTGTAGCCCAATCTGAATGACTGAAAACTACCAGCGTTTCTTACAGGAGTTTGCCCCTGATTTCATCCCTTGCCGCATCATCATGGATGTGGTTGTATGTCTTCTCTTCTGGTTCGGACCAGGCTGCTATCTACGGATCCATAATGGAGTCCACAGGAGTATGTTTCAATAAGGCTGGATGGACTGATCCATGTTCATCACCCTGGTTGATGTCTAAATAGGATCATTAGATTATCGTTCAAGTATCCCTCCCCCAAGCACTTTCTGGGGCCCACATTGAGCGAGCATAATCGGGGCTAGTCAGTTACACGGTTGGATGTAGCGGCTATCTTGGTTGTCAGGTCAAAGTACCATGCTTAATGGGGGGCCTTATTTCCTCCAAGTGTTGATCGCCGCACAAGCTCCAAATTTATGCAGGAGCGAGCTTTGTTAGGCCGATCCACAATCCTATCCCGACTCCCCCTTTGCACACATACACTCTGTTCGCTTTCCTCTTCTTCAACCCTGTTCTACCACTCCACGGTAAAATTTGTCCTCCTATTCTCTGGTTTAACCACAAGCTTAAGGTTGCTACCAGAATGGCCTCTTGGGAATTCAAGAATGCGCCCATTCACAACGATCGCGAACCCCCGGGTGGTCCCTCTGTTCTCGACCATGACAACCTACAGCTTCGACGGCTAGGTAAAAGGCCAGTACTGAAGGTACGTGCAACTGTTGCTTCGACATATGGATGTTTTTGATTGCTTATCATACTGGGTAGAGAAATTTTGGTATTCTCTCCATCTTGGGCTTCAGCTGCACGATCATCGGGACATGGGAAGGTTTGCTTGAGTGAGATAATCAATTGCCAACCTCGTTTCTGTAACTCTTTATTTTGACCAATGTATAGCACATTCACCATTGCCTTGACCAAGTTCGTGCCCCTTATTGCCGCCCATACATTTCATTGCTAACGGGGAGTAGTGGGGGTTCCGCTGGCGCCGTGTACGCGTTCATCTTCGCTTGGATAGGAACTACCTGTTGCTTTCTCATGTTGTCCGAATTGGCCTCGATGTAATTTTCTGACAGTCTTGGTGTGATTTCCTCAACTAATAGCAGGACAGGGCACCTACGTCAGGGGGACAATATCATTGGTGCGCGATGCTTTCTCCGCGCAGTACAATGAAATTCACTAGCTACCTCACTGGTAAGCTCCTCAAGATATCAATACCCGAGGAATGTGGTTCTCACTAGTTCTCCAGGCTGGCTGGCTGTAATTGGATGGCAAGCCGCGTTCGCATCAGCGGCTTATCTTTGCGGGACTGAAATCCAAGGTGCCGCAATCCTCGCACATAAGCATTATAACTCTGAGGCTTGGCAAGGTACATTGATTATGTGGGCTAGCATGCTTGTTGCACTCGTAGTCAACTTGGTTGGGGGCAGGTTCTTTCCAAGGCTCGAAAACTTTGTTTTGGTCATTCATATTCTGGGATTCTTCGGGATCCTTATTCCCTTGACGTCTCTGTCAGATCACAAGACGAAAGAGCAAGTTTTCACTAAATTCCTTAACGGAGGCAACTTCGCCAGTCAAGGACTTTCTTGGTTCGTGGGGATGAGTGGCTGTGTGTTTGCGTTTGCAGGAGGCGACGCTGCCGTGCACGTAGGTGATAAGGCCATAAGAATCATCCTGTGCTAAGACTAACAGAGGTACAGATGGCCGAGGAAGTTTCCGATGCTTCGCGAGTTCTTCCTCGCGCAATCATGCTTAGTGTGGCTATCAATGGAAGTCTCGGGTTTGGTATGTTGATAGCAATGCTTTTCTGTGTCGGCAATGTGGACGATGCATTGAATACATCGACTGGCTACCCCTATATCGAGATTTTTTACCAGGCAACAAAATCTATCCCTGGGGCTCTGGCCATGGTGTCCATCAACCTCATCATTACGGTCTGTGCAGTTATCGGTATTCTTGCTACAACATCACGCCAGTTCTGGTCGTTTGCGCGTGATCGTGGTGTCCCGGGCTGGCGTTGGTGGAGCCGTGTGAGTAGGCCACAAGTGCCTCTTGGTGTTATATCGACTGAATCTATTCAAGGTCTCCCCGAAACACCTTCCAACATATTCCATCTACCTGACTATGACGGTTGCCTGGCTTCTCGGGCTTATCAACATTGGCTCGGCCGTGGCTTTGAACGACATCACCTCAATGGCCGTTTCTGGTCTCTATGCATCATATTTGATCGTTGGAGTCCTACTCCTTTATCGCCGTTGCCGTGGACATATCGCCGGTTATGATGAGAATGGGCAGACATTGATAAATGTTCCAGGCGCGCCTCTCGTCTGGGGGCCATTCCGCGTGCCTGGTATCGTGGGTATTCTGGTGAACATCTGCGCGTGCATCTATATTGTCATCGTCGTCTTCTTCAGTTTCTGGCCTCCAAAGATGAATCCAAGCCTCGAGGACATGAACTTCAGTGTCGTAGGGACCATTGGGGTTGCCATCCTGGCCGTCGCATACTATATATTACGGGCTCGTCACGTATACAAAGGCCCGATCATGGAAGTCTCATGATAGGATCATCCCAAAACAGCGATGAATTCAGCCTACTATATCTATGGGAGACAGTCGGATGTCCAATAATGTCGAGCGCTCCTATCCACCCCACACTAATATACGTACCGGAATCGCATATTCTTCAAGTCGGTTGTGTCGACCAGTTCCATTTGAGCCAATACACCATTCTTTTCTTGATTTTCAGAAGCCTCGGCAGTCATGGTCATCTTGTCGCGCCGAGAATTCTCCCACCGCAGATAGAAGAACAAGGCAAGCCCAAGGATGACGCAGATCACAAGACAGATTATTATGGCGAGGAAACCACTCTGGAGTAATGTTATCATTGAATTCACGGGGAAAGAAAACTGTTTCTTGACAATGCACAACATACCTGATACTTAGGCGCCTCGCGTGTGAAAAATAACTGTGGTCCAATTATATTTCCAGTGCAATACATGATGAAGTAGATGGCGCTGACGGTTGTTTTCTTCGTAAAGCCACCCACATTGGAACTGATCATTGCCAGCGACACCGGCATGCTAGCGGAATAGATACCCATGAGAAGTAGACCGGCGTAGCGTGCCGCAATAGAAGTTCCAGCGTAGACCAAGGCGCTTCCCACGATACTTAATATGATCATACCAACCATGACCAGGCATCGACTATTGGGAACTTTTGAGGAAACAATGCCCCTTTGACTTGTAGTCAGTAACTCTGCATGATAGGAGATATAGGAGATGATAATTTGACTTACCCAGCCAGCACGAAAATAAACACAATAAACCCTCCAGGAAGTCCGAGTAGTAGTGTATGGAACGTGTCAAAACCAAACCCTTGCAGGACCAACCCGTTGAACTAGAAACGGTTAGGAAATCGCCCCCCGGGGATAGAGGTATGTGTGGTAGTCACTCACAGTTGTAAAGCCACCGTTGGGAATGTTGCAAGCGAGAATCAGCGCAGCAAGAAGCCAGGTCTTAATGTCTGTAAAGGCTTCCAAAATCTGACTGCGATCGATTTCCGTGTTCTTGTATCCGGTTTGATTTGCTCTCATCCGCTCTACCGCAATCAATCTCTCTTCTTCAGTGAGGAACTTGGCGTCAGTCGGGGAGTCGGGAAGTCGGAAAAGCATGAGCGTGCCCCAAGCAAAGGTGGCGAGCCCAAAAATGATGAAAAGCCACTGCATAAGGTATCAGCAAAGCCCTGTAATAAAATCAAAAACACAGAAAGCAAACACACCTGCCACGCCTTGAGACTATGCTTGATCTGGAGAATTCCGACCGCAATTAGGTTGCCGAAGATAAGCGAAAGGGAATTTCCGCAAAACCATATTCCAGCACGTAGGGGCTGCTCAGAGGTGCGATACCAGAGTGAGGTGATGAGAGTGAACCCTGGAGATAAGCTTGCCTCGGTGCATCCTAGCAGGAACCGAGTCACCATCAGAGTGGCAAAGTTCTTTGTTGCCGCATGACAGGCAAGAACAATAGCCCACAGAATACTGTTAGAAATCAGCAAATGTTTAAATCAAACATGAAAAGGCGACTTACAAGTTGATAGCTAAGTATTTCCCCAGAGGAAACTTGACCATGAGTAACGAGGCTGGATATCTATTACACTGTTAACACCAGGGAAATCCAGAGACTTTGTAAGGGGATCAAAAGTCGACCCACGAGAAGAACAAATATCCAAAATAGAAGATTCCCGATGTCCAGCTGTACTGGGACCCGACCAAGTGAAGGTTTTCTCGAATACCCATGAGCGCAGCGTAGCCCAACGTCTGTTTATCCAGGAAAGCCATCATATAAGCCACGAGCATGATGGGAAGTATGCTTGGAATGAAAAAGTCAGCATCGACGGAGTTTCGGGCACTCTTCAAATTTAGGTACTAACGTGAAGTCAATCTTCCGCACGAGTCTCCTCTCCGCAGCAGACGAGAATTGGGGGGATGAACATTGAAGTTGTTCAAGAGCTCCATTGTCAACGCTTTCCCGGTCCATTTCTTCGTTCGAAGGGCCAACATCATTCTTGACAGTGGTCCCTACCATGTTGTGATCAAGTGGTATTCAACAATTCTGCACAGGTTGTAAAGGTTGATCTTCTCAAACAACACGCCTTCCGCCACCTTATTTATACATCAGTCAACTGGGCCAGAGTGAATCTTCTCACACCAGCGTGACCTACTCTTGGCTGCCAAGATGACCATACCCCCGCAAAGTTAATCATTTGATAACGGTCTGTGCTCGCGACTGGTCCTTCCTCGGGTCTGTGGTCATTGGTTCGGTCGGCAAGGCTACATGTGGCTTGGCGAGTTTAAAGCCATGGCGGCCATGCGGATAGTTAGGGGAAACAGATAGTCTAGACGAAGCATTTTGATGTTTCTATTGGCTCAAAAGAATTAAGTTGGCCTCCCCGGATAACAAGGGTGGAGCCTATGTACTTCAAGCGGCTCCATTTGATGGAATCTCTCCTTTTATCTCCATTGTTACATCTGATTATCTGACTCTCGGCGAAAATCCATACTATTACTTTCATTCGTCTCAGATTATCGGCTACGTAACTACAGTGGGGTTCCCTATCACTCGCGCTGGAAATCCTTCTTCACTGCCTCGGCAAAGTCGTCGTCAACCAGTATCTGGCATCCAACGACAGCCATTCCGGCAGCACAGCCGATTGCCCTCTCGAATCCCTCGGGTGAACCAGCCCCACTAGTGAATTCCGGCGTATGGTTGACGCCTTTGGCTGGAATACAGAAAATACCGTGGAAGCCCGGTACAACATACGATACATTGCCTATTGTGCTAGTTATTAGTGGCGCTGAGTAATGGAACCGTATTCAAGGGTTTAACTTACCCATATCAGTCGACGCTCCCGCAAGTGCACCCTTCTGTTCCGAGTTATCGAGAAGGGTGTGGTGACCCATTGCCCGCATTGCCGAGACGTAGCTTTCACAAATCGGCATATTGCTCTTGAGGTCGTCATAACCAACCCCCCTGAATAGCTTTAGTTAGCTAAATAAAATTCCCGGATAACGGAAAAACTCCATACCATTCATATTCCACTTTGCACCCGGTAGCAGTGGCAGCAGCCTCAAAGCAGTTGATGACTTTCTCTGTTAAAGGCTTGAGGGTTTTCTTGGTCGGTGATCGAATGTAGTAATCCACCGATGCGGACATAGGGATGATGTTGGGGCGAGCGCCTCCATTCACAATGACACCATGGATCTTTTGAGAGGGCAAAATCTGTTGTCGAAGAAGAGAGATATTCACGTATGCGGAAACCACTGCATCAAGCGCATTGATACCCTCCCAGGGCGCCGCTGCTGCGTGGGATGGCTTTCCTGTGAACGTTACCTTAACTTTGTTATTTGCCAGATATCCTCCTTCCACAACTGTCGCAACACCGTGCACATCAGGGCGATTAGGTGACATTGGAACAGGGTGCACCATCAGGCAAGCATCTACATCTTTGTAGGCGCCCGCCTCGATCAGCTTCACCTTACCACCGCCAGATTCTTCAGCGGGAGTACCGAGCAGACGGACGGTGAATCCCGAGATGCCGGATGACTGCGCCTGTGTCTTCATCGCCTCACAAGTCGCAATAAATGCTGCGATAGAGCTTGTTGCGATCAAGTTGTGGCCGCAAGCATGACCAATGCCAGGGAGGGCATCTACAGTGTGTGAGTATATATTTGGCGTATACGGAGAATGGGTCAACTTCCTTACCATACTCCGCATTATACACAACCACACGCCCACCACTTCCATGGGTGAACTCAACCTCCAGAGCTGTCTCCAGGCCATAGGCCTTGGGGCGAACTTGATACCCACTTGACTGAAGGCCGTTGAAGAGCTCGCAGATGTGGTCATGAGCCTGATATTCCTTATAGGCGAGCTCTGGATTCGACCAAATCTACTTAAGGTTAGCTGTGAAATAATTTCTTCTTAATTATTAGTCGCATGCCTTGTGATTGATATCTTTCAGCTGCTCATCATATCGACGAAGTGCTTCCTGGACAGTGTCCAGGAAGGGTCGCTGGGCCTCGGGAACGTGCATATTCGGTACTTTGTTGGAGCTCAACAGGGATGAGGGGTACCAACAATGATAAGAATGCGGCGTATAACTTTATAAGGAAGAAGAGCCGGAATTCAACAGGGTCCCGTGTCCGACTTTACTAAACCCGGCATCTCTGAGTTCGCGATTTCCCCGCTTGGCTTTCCAGTTCCACTCGGCAACGCTTCGCATTTCTCGATATGGTTTAGCGAGCCGTTGCCGACAGAGCCAATCGGCAGCCCAGCATCGGCATCTTTCTTTCTTATCGTCGCCAATTTTGAAGGCCTGATTGCCTCCACTCGGCAGATAAGGCGGAGCTTTTCCCCAGCCTCCACTTCCTTTTCGACACCTTTTGAACCCCCCTAGTCATCTTCTCTCTGGCGATAGGCTCGCCTAAGCTCGTGCAACATAACTACCCCGGACTGAGCTGCATACCCGAACTCCGATATTGTTGAACGGACCCGTAAAAGATCCTCTAGCACCAGATGGGGTCCGGACGGTTGTCTCGGTCGGCACCCAGAAGATGCACAAGCAGGGCAAGACACGTTCTAAGACCGGTAGGGATCCACACGCCGCTTATCCCCTTAACTCAGCCCTTGAGATTGTGCGTATCGAAGCGGTTAGCTGATAGATATGGCCAGGGTGTCGGACATGTCGCATCCGTAAGGTGAAATGCGACGAGGAGAAACATCCTGTCGAAGGCCAGGAGCCCCATTGCCGACGATGTACGGCAGCAGGCATCAAATGCGAGTGGAAGGGCGGCCCGATTCCGCGAAAAACCTCGTCCTCCTCTTCATCTCTCTCGACTTCGAGAAAAGCCCCCGAGCAATTACCCACCCGCAATGCTGGCCAATCCAACAAGGCTGGCGCTAAGCGACTCCCGGCTCAACAACCTGTCAGCCCCTGCCAAGCGCCATTGATACCATCTCATAGGATTGGAAATGGGAACCCCAATCGCGGTCTACAAGCCGCCAACTCCTTAACGCTATCTGCCTTTGATCGTGATTGTCTTAGTTACCTCCAAAATTCGACACTAGTCATTATTCTTGGCAAGCATTGGCCATGGTCTACGATCTCATATGCATACCACCGAATCGCTGTCAACGAGCCTATGGTAATGAGCATGATCCTGGCGAGTACGGCAAGAGAGATACATCGATCACGACTCTACGATCAGGAAGCGCTTTCTATCAGCAGTCTGAATTCGGGCTCCACTGCTAACAATGAGTCCTGTGAACTTGATGGGCGAATGCATTATGGTCGAGCATTATCGAGCCTCCGCCAAGCCCTCAAGTCTGGCGTTAAGTCACCGCAGAAAGTCGAGGCCATTTTTATCACGCTCTGGTTGATGATCGATTACGAAAATCGATTCGGAAGCGGTGCTGCAGCCATCAACATTCACATTCGGGGAATTGAGAGCCTTCTTCACAACCATGTAGTTCCATTTCTCCGGGGGCACGCTCATCAGCACCATGAGCATGCAGGGTCCCAACAGACATCACCCCCTGCCATCACATTCAGCCTTGAGAATTCTCCTCGCCGTCCACTAGCGAATCCCATATCACCAGCCACCAGTGACCAGACTACTGAAGTAGGCTCTGGTCCTCTTGTGTCACAGTCTAGTCCTGTCGAGGGACTCGGCCGTACCTCGGTTCCTCTATTTCTGCTCTGGACTTTATACTTTTTTACTCCAGCAGCGTTATTCTTTGGACCTACCACAGGACGATTGGACTCTGATATTTTCCACTTCTTCCTTGGTGGACACACCGATGAAACCATTCCTCTTACACTGTCAGAACTATATCGAATTAGTAGGCAATCGCCTGCTCGGTTCTGGGGTGAGACATATCCAATGTCAGCCCAGATGGACGACATGGAGAATCTTCCGGCGTTGACTCTTTACCATCGAAGTCACGTCATTCAATTCAAAATCACTGAACAATTCAAGCGAGGTACACCTACTGAGACAACAGTGGACGAGATATCGCCCTACCAAAAGATCATCCATGAGATCAATATTATCGCGCTTGTGAGTCGCTGCTATATTCCACACACCTCTGCTATCCCGTGTCTAATCCACAGCAGGAGTACGATACCGTCCTTACGGCCGTCAGAACTTCTCAATCCTGCGATATTGGCGCAGGCCGCCGAGTGTTGGAGACAAGTCACTGGGCTGCCATAACATTCTACAGCACCATCGTCTTCTTCCACCTCTGCTTCCAAGATATTATCAACAAGCATCCGGGAACTCAGGTTCACAGCAAACTGATGCCCCTTTCCTCTGCAGTTTCGCTGGTTCTCGAGTTAAGCTTGAAACTTCACCGGTCCAGGCCGCATCTGATAGTTCGCATTACATGGCCTCTATTCCTAGCTGGAATTGCAACGTCAGACCGGATATATCAAGATTGGGTGTCAATCAGGCTGAAAGAACTTGGTCGTTTTGGACAAAACTATACGCGAATCGGCCGCCGATTCGATGAGATTATTCAGGGCGGGCACCCGCATGTCTCTGAAAAGGATCTCCATTTCCTAGCGAATTCTGAATAAAGCTTTTCTTCTGATGTCGATTTGTGCGACTGCAGTTCAATACATCATCCACATATGGGCCTCTGGTAGCTAATGCATTACCGACGAGGGTGTCATCCTTGAGGACTGGAGTAGAGGGATCTTCGTTATTTACTGATTCTTCTCCTCCGAACAATTGCTCTCATCCTATGTACATCAAAAGTCTGCTACACCCAATAACTTCTATCATCTCCCTTGCCCTTCTCAGTAGACTAAGTCATGGACACTAGTTTGGCATCGCGGACCTCAAGACTGAAAAGAAGGAAATCATGCGAGTAGATACTAGGAGTAGTACAAAATTCTGCTGTTCAGGCGGCTGTCAGGGCTGGCGTCTCGCTAAGATATCTGCCCATTCTAGATCAAGATTAGTATTGAGGGCTGAGTAACCGATCGAGCTGAACTTACGTAGGCAGGTAGCGGTCACCATGGACTTCATTCTCTTGAATTAGCTCCCGAATATCTTGCACCTCCTTGTCCGACAATTGGAGCAGAGACGATCTGTTATTTTCTTCCATTCTGTTTGCAGACCTTGTTCCGGGAATAGGGATAATGTCAGGTCCCTGTGCAAGCAACCAGGCTATTGCAACTTGTGCAGGAGTCGCATCGTGGGTCTTCGCGACATCCTTTAGACCGTCCAGCAAGTTCAAAATCTTCGGGAAATTCTCTGGTGAGTATTTCGGCAAATTGTGGCGCAAGTCTGTCTTGGGCAAGTCCTCGTATGACTGAATCTGCCCTGTCAGAATGCCACGGCCGATCGGGCTGTAGGCAACGACGGCAATACCTAGCTCACGGCATGTGTTTAAAACATCGATCTTTGGTGATTCTATATCTAGCGCGAATGGACTGTACTCGATTTGCAGGGCGGTGATAGGATGAATCGCATGCGCTCGATGAAGGGTGGCGGCGCTAACCTCGGAGATTCCGAGATGTCGTATCTTGCCCTCGCTGCGAATGGATGTTAGTGAAATTTATTAACCTTGAAGGTCGCGAGAGGGAGAGTCATACTTTTTCAACTCAACCATTGCTTCGATGGTTTTTTCAATGGGTGTAATACTATCGACGCGATGGCTGTAGTATAGATCAATAGTGTCGACACCCAGCCGCTTCAGGCTCTTCTCACAGGCGATTCGCACATATTCAGGGTCGGAACGTGCAAACAGGTGTCCTGTCTCGTCATTCCTTCGGACACCAAATTTTGTGGCTAGAAATATGTCATCTCTTTTGCCCGAACGCTTGAACCACTCGCCCACAATATCCTCGCTATCCCTATACAGATCTGCTGTGTCCCAGAAGTACTGGCCGATAGCATGTGCATGGTCCAGGAAGGCAAGTTTTTCGTCGAGAGAACCTGCCGACCCATATATACCACCAATGCTCATGAGACCGAGTCCAACAGCAGGTACCTGAGGGCCATTAGGCCCAAGGCGTCGACTCGGGATTGACATCTGGAAGGAGGATTAATAGGAGATGTAATTATTGGGTGGAAATAATGAGGGGAAATTTGCTTTGTTTCGATGATTGAAGGGGCCACTCGTCTTTATTTAAAATGAAAGGGGGGTCATATCATCTGCGAGTTTTTTTAGCTTTGGGTACTAGTCTACACACATGAAGCCATTGGCGCATGGGCCATTGGGCTCTGCAGCAAATCATTGTTTGTGTTGTGCAGTTAGCCGCAATCAACGAACATATCCCATGTCAGTCGCGGACTTAAGTAACGGACTTTATCGTGGGACTTTGTACCTAACGGATTTAACTCCAACGACCCCGCGGAATTTGTAAATGACGTCGAGACTAAGATCAAACAACGGCCTATAATCTGTATTAGGTTGTGCGACGATAATTTGGAGCTGACAATAAGATCCTTCAAAGAGTATGGCATATTTCTACAGGGATTTAACCTTATCTACTTCGGGAGCACAACGAAGAAAATACCGACGTGATAATCTAGACCACTCCTTTGCATTTTTCTACAAATGCCATTCACCCCATCGTGATTTTGTCCAAGTCCTGTTGTCCTACAAATTCCTGATTAGCTGCTTTTGCCACAAATCCAAGTTGCCGAGCTCTTTTCTTTAAAACTCAATACCCCGCAGTTCTCTTGTTGCGATGTATTCGCATCACCAATCCGGAACAGAGTCAAACTTCAGAAAATAAATGTCCTTAAATAAAGGAAGACTATCACCCCTGCTAAGTAGTAAAGCTTGGCATAACACCATCCAAGGGCACTCCTCGTCCCTCGGTGTCTCTGCACAGCGAAAAATAGGTAGTTTGTACTATAGCGATGACCATAGTTTTGCGCCTCCATGCTTCATCAATCTCTCAAAGAACCTTTATTTTAACGCCGGTAAGATGAATCAGATGAAGAGCTCCCCGTGTTTAACCTATTACCCCTAAGAATAGGGATAATTGCCATTGCGTCGCTCCACTATTGGGACTGACCTAATATCTAGCGCTTTCCTTCTCGCACCGACTATTTCCCGCTCCTAAACAGGGCGATGAATATGTAGCTAGTGTAGCTAAAAACGAGCACCTCAATAATATCAATCCCAGCCTGCTAAATGCATATTTGTGTTACAATCGTCTTACAATCAATTTTTACTTGCGAGAGCTCATATCCAAGGAACCACTCACTGAATCTAAAAGTTGGTATTCTTAGAGCATTTGCATCGAATTTATTGCGTATATATTGCGGCAGTGGACCCAGCCTTGGCCGGGTCATTAATTATGTACACTTCAAGATTTATGCAGTCCTCAAATCCAAAATCAGACGCCAAAACCGAAAATTATCAGTGGGTCCCCTCGGATCTCGCCAACCCCGTTCAGATTTTATGATCGTTTTTGTCATTTAAGGGAGAGCAGCGGGGGCGTAGCTCTGGTCAGGCGTGACAACATTGCCACCAGCAAGCTGCTTATCGGTGTAGGCGGGCCAGATAATCTGGCGGGTCTGGTCGTTGACAACGGAGAGGGTGGTGAAGCCATTGCCGGCACCGAACTGGCCGCTCCAGCCAGAGGTAATGGTGTAGTCGCCGCACGTGGAGGGGCCGCCGTTGGCCTGGGAGGCAGTGTTGGCAGTCACGACGTATTTGCAGGAAGTAGCATCGCCGGAGCCCGGGTAGATGCCGAAGGTCCAGGTGCAGGAGGAATCGTCGGAGGCGCAAACGCGCTTCATGCTTTCGATGGTCCACTCAGGACCGGCGGCCATCATGGAGACGCCGGCGACGGGGGCAGCGAGTACCGCGGGAGCGGCGAGGAGGGTAGTCAGGAGGAGCTGAGAAAGTTGCATAGTTGCGATTTGTTTGCTTTGGGGCGGATGGTTGGGAGATAGTGAATGGATTGGAAGTTATTATGTTTTGATGATAGAAAGAATGATCTTGTTAAAGGAAATATCGAAGCTATTTAAGGCATTTCTCAGCCTTCTGGGGTCATTCATCTTGGCCCTGTTCAAACCTATTGAGCTCATAGATCGTCAGAGACGTTGCTCAAAACGGATGTTCCCCAAATTAGTGAATGTAACTGTACAGCAAGAGCTGGCTAGGAAGACCAGAATACTACTCCGTACACCTTCTCGGCTTGCTCGGCATGTCTTACTTGTGTGTGTATAACTGAGACATCACCTGAAGAAGTGCTCAGTTCGATGATGATAACCCCACATCCACATTTAAGACATCTTCGAGACCCAACCAATCACATCTCGTCTGCTGCAGGGCACCCCGCGTTTGTGCGCCCCAAGATCCACGTGCTGCCGAAAGTTACCAGCTTATACGAGGAATTGTTGAGAGACCCTGCGCGGATAAATGATTCAGTTCGCATCATACCACCGTAGCTTGAAAGATCGGATCATGCAAAGTACATCTCAGACAAGCCATCTATTCTCGGTGGCTTTCCGTTGTGATCCACGTCTTCTTATCGATTTGCTATTTATAAACACCACGAACATTGTGGTTATTATGAGGAGCCTCGTAGGCAACAGGATGTTTAATCCCAGAAAATTCTTTTCTAGAGCAGTACAGTATCGGCCGTAAACAAATGTTGCCTCTTTCTATTCCAGTCCTACAGTATCATTATTGTCCAGTAGTCATACCCGAACATCGGAAAACCAGTTAGGGACCCTGCAGATCCCATTTTGTAAATGAGGGGATTTCAATTTTCTGATAGGTCATGCGAGTTCCACGGCATGTATAATAGCTCCACCGAGTACAGAAACGGACGCAAGAGGCAGAAATAGAATCTATGTCTCTGTCTGCAGCTCACCTTGTGCATTTTAAGGATTGCCTTCGAATGAATTGAGAAAATCTATTCTATGCCGCTTGGGCCTGAATTATGAACACACATCGGTTCATGAGCGACGAATGGTCTGTAGTATACGGAGGGTTCGCTCTTGCGGAACTTCTACAAGAAGTAATCAAGAGGAACATTTTGTAGCTCGAGTCTTGAAGAATTAAAAGAGGGAGTAATTAGGACGCGGCGACTTCTCCAGCGAGAGCTATAGATAAAAGACTAGGTTGACCGGGGAGGACCGCCACCCGGGCGGGTGGCTGTTCTAGACTAAACAAGGTTGTACAGACCACAGGACCAGCCAGGTACTGAAAAATTGTATAACTAGCCCAGTCGCACAAAAACGCAACATCGAGACTACTCACTAACTATAGCGCATCGGTTATATAATCTACAAAGATTCATCATCTATGGAACTTTTTCAGTTCCATCCACCGGAGAGGCGGATATACCAGCATCGCCCAAGAGGACCCAACCCAAATACCCAAGTCAGAGCCATAATCGCCAACCATCTCCGCAATTGGACCAACAAACCATACCTGGTCCATAGACACAATAGCTCCAGCCCAACCAATTAAAAAGGCCAACAGTGCCGCGATGCCGATCGGCAGTTTGGACGGATCAGCCCACGCATCCCAGTCAAATCCCAGCGATCGGCGATAAATGAGATGCTCTTCAACGGCAATGGTCAGGTAAATTGTCACCCAATATCCCATGAGTGACAGCCAATCGTCAAAAATATCGTATAAATGATTCCGTCCGACGAGGGCGCATGCCGTGTAGATGACAACGCCGACACATGAGTAGAACCACCGTGGAAGCCTTGCCAGCTGGCGCCCCATGATCTGGAAACCAAGCGAAGCGGAGTAGGTGCCGGGAATGTTGTTTGCAATGAGACCGAGGGCGACGAGAACGCCCATAAATTTACCGAATCCGCCAAGACCATCGTAGCCAGCGAGGATCAGGGCCCCGGACGAAGTGTCATAGGCTTTTTCCCACGATGCATGGGTTAGAGTGCCCGATGCGAGTCCGACGCCCATCAAATTGGCAAAAGTCAGGGCCAGTCCCACACCGAGGAATGTCATGAGGAAAGTCTTCCATTTAGACGTGGTAGGTGGGAAGTAGACGTAAAAGTCGGCTCCTGCAGGTGCCCAGGCCACAGAAGCAGATAGACAGAGTGAAAAGAAGGACAATCGGTTCCCGGCAATGGTTTGAGATGAACCGGTCGAGACGATTGAAGTATCAAACTTGGGGCCTGCACTTCCGACCAGGACAAATACTGCGATGATCTGTGGAATCCATGCCCATCGCTCGTAGATATGGAACAATCGCATGCCGAACAAGACCACCACCCAGGTTACAATTGCAATGATGATAATTCCCACGACGACGGTCATACGACCCCCGGCAACTGCGGAGAGGACTTGTCCACCGACTACACAATCAATCATGCCGTACCCAAGCATGATAATGATGTTGAGAAGACAAGCGATCTTGCTCGGGTAGTAACCCATGAAATATCGTGCGACAACCTAGTTCGCGTCAGTTGATGATCTGCTATTCACCCACGAATGGAAACTGACCATAGTACGATTGCCACTAGCTGGTCCGAATGTACCCATATAGCCAACACCCGCGGCTCCGAGCAACGCGCCGAAGGTTGCACAAAGGGCGGAATCCATAAATCCCAACGAAAATGTCAATGGGCCCATCATACCCAATGCCATGTTATTCGCTGTGATGTTGGTGCTGAACCATAGCAGACTCATCTGCAAGTAATCAGAAGCCTTGATATCATGGCGCTCATGGAGCGGAACCTGCTCGATGCCACGAGTCTCGAAGAATTTGAACTCGGCGAGACGGTCATTAAACCGGCTGAAGATATTGCCCGACTTAGAACTCTGGGCGATAGGATCGACGGGCGCAATATCAGATGAAGATGATTGCATGTCTGGATGGGATTGTATCCCTTTCTCTTCGTCTTCCAGAGACCGGGCCATGATGGGTGTCAGACTTGTCAGTGTCAAGGGGGAAAAATTGTATTTCTGGTCCGATGGGCGGAAGCCTCCACCACCCGGCCAATCTTATCGGGTTCGGCATTGCTTGGCTTGCTTGTTCTCGTCTTTAGGATCCACCCAATTGGGCCTATTCGCTACTGCAAGGCGACCAACGCAATCAGCTAGTTGTCTGCCAATAAGGGTTGGAAATAGTGTGGGATCATTACCTATTGTAATTAGCCTGGTTAACGAGTCTTCGTTCTTGGACACGATAAATACCCGCGGATAAGATGGATACCCGCGTTAGGGATTTGACCGCGTTGGTCTGTTTTAAAGTTATAGGTTGACATAGCTTTTTACTGAATCACCGACTTAAATCTGGGTATGGCCGTTCCTCTGAAATATGTCGTTCTTCTGTTCGAATTTCGAAAAGCATACCTGTAATACAGATAATGGGGTGCCTGCCTGGGCATTAGTTGGGGATGATGAATACTGGAGCGGACACATAATCGAGGCACATACATCCCGCTTCGCGGACACTTGCCCGTCTAGCGTTGGACTAGCTCTGACACGCGGACAAGCTCGGCAACAGAAAGAAGCATTTAGAGGCCACAATTAATTGATACATCATATATTCATTATATTCATACGAAGATGGAATATATGCGCTCTTTATTCTGTCATGAAAATAAATTAAGTATCAGTGTGAAATATGTTCAATTATTTGGTGAGTAGATAATCAAGCTTTGCAGCTATATAGACATTGGCGGACATTCCACAGCCTGTAGCAGCATAGTCTCGGTAGGCATGACATTTATCGCCCAACGTACTTGAGCTCCAAGTATCTTGCAGGGAGATAGCTCAAAGCTGTGACCACAAAAGTAAACTCATTAGCGACATCACCACCATAATCACCAATCAATCCCGCTAGAGGTCCGATAAACCAAGTCTCGTCCATGCCCACACACCAAGCCGCAACACCGAGGGCAAAGGCCACGGATGCACCAATACCCACAGGCAGTCTAGCCGGGTCATTCCATCCTTCCAAATCATAGTTGTCAAAGTTGCCCTTGCGGAAGATGTAGTGCTCCTCGAACAGAATCACAGCGTAGCTGGTGCACCAGTATCCCAGCAAGCTCAGGAAATTTTGGAGATACGTGTTGAGTTTCTGGCGACCACCAATGGCCAGTGCGAGAATGCAAATGAAGCAGAAAATGGTCCAAATGAATCGGGGAACACGAGCAAACGGTCGCGAAAGCTGCTGGAAGGAAATCGCGGAACTGTAGATACTGATGACGTTCACGTTGATTCCGGACAGAACGAGCAGCGTGAGGAGGAATTTGGCAAAGCCACGGGGGTAGAGCATATCTTGAATGAGATAGCCGATTCCCTCCTCGTATGCGCTGGACCAGTCGGGCTTGCTGTTCAAAGCAGAAGCGACCACACAGCCGGCGACCATGCCGATCGAGGTGGGGAGGGCAATTCCGAACGTGGTCATGAAGAAGACCTTCACGCGACTCACGTTGACAGGATAGTGAACATAGTAATCACTGGCCATAGTGCACCACGATGCGCTCGAGCCGTAAACAACTGCGATCAAGCTGAGAACGGCGCCCGCGAAACTGGCGCCGGTGGCAGTGGCCGGAGTGGTATTATCGGCATACTTGCCAGTCTGGCCAAAGATGATCATGAAGATCACGAAGAAGATGATCCAAGCCCATCGCTCGTAGAACAGGATAGCCTTTAATCCGACGAAGGAAATGACCAGCGCAACGACAGCCAGGATGACGATGCCGAGAATCAAGGAGACACGACCGTCGGAAACCGCAGTCAGTGCAAGACCACCCGTGATACAAGAAACGGCAGCCCAGCCCATCTGCTGAATAGCGTTGAGCAGAGCAACCAGCTTATTAGGCCACCAGCCAAAACTGTATCGGCTAACACTGATCTGGCGCAGACCAGTGGCCGCTCCGAACGTGGCGCAGAATCCGCTAAGAGTGGCAGCAAGAATTGATGCGAAGATGGTGATCAAGATCGACTGTTTCATGCTAAGACCGAATTCCCAACCGAGGAAACCAGTCGCGAAACAAGACGTGTTCATGGTACCACTGGCCCACAGCAACGCCATTGACAACTCCTCAACCCAATGCACCTTTCTCTTATCCTCTGGACGCTTGCGATTGATAGCCTCGGACTCGATACCAAGCTTGTTGTCCATCCTAGACTCCAGCGCACGCATCTTGGCCATCATGCCGACACCGTTGTCCGGGATTGCCTCTAGCGAGGTCTGCTCCGCAGAGGGGTACTTGGCCTCGGCCAGGCCTTTCTCGGGATCGTACGCCATGCTAAGCTATCGAGACAGCGTCTAGCAAAGGGGGGAGAAAAAGAAAAGGAGGGCGATCGCAACGTGCAAAGAGCAACGGTGTGGGGATTTAAACAAGGCTGTGGGGGAAAGATAAGGCTTGTCCGGAGCCAGAACTCTTTTATCGCTCTTACTAGTTTTAATTAATCCCATGAAATCAACTCGATTTTTTTTCTTTGCCTCGGAAATCAGCATCGGAAGAATGATAGGCGGATTGGAAGCTTAGCGTATGTCGGGCCCTTCTAAGTCCAGTATCTGCTTGCCTGTTCAGGCCAAGGTTTCAACGCAAATACACGCCACGCGAGGAGCCCATTGGATGGCACCGGGGTATCTGCGGAGTCCGCCTCCTAAAAAGTTAGAAGAGTGTTAAAAGTCCACGTGAGCCGGGGCTGGAGGCAAGAAATCTCTCGCGGTTAAAGTTTTAGGGGGCCGTTTGCTTGTCAGATCTGGGTGCCATGCGTTACCAATGTCCAGGTTTAAAGCCAAGGTTTGCCCAGAAGGCTTGCTTCGAAGAAGCTTCTTCGAATGTGCAGCCGGGGGAAACATCTGTTTAGTCAAGGATCGAACTGCAAGCGAAACATTCCAATGTGCATTTTGATTTACAATTTTCATATTTCCTACTCAACAATTCAATAGCTTTGCGATCGATAGAGATACAAGTTGTGGCGATAACATTTTTCCAATGTGCCTGTGCCCGGTCGGAGATTTCCGTTCCAAATCGTAAGCCATAACGCGGCTGGCGTCGGACCAAGGTACTTAGTGTTCCCAGTACGGAGACATAAGCAAGATAAGAAAGTAGCACTTACGAGGTGCACATACCAGATGAGCGGGGCGGCGCCGGTAAAAAAATCCAGATTCAGGGGGGTTGGCCATAGTGTAAGGAGCCAACGAGGAAGAGCTTTTGGTCTCTTGGCTTCTATGGTTTATAGTGACAAGATAGACGACTCGGCTGTCAGGAGTGATTATTGGCTCCCAACGGGTCTTAGAGTATGTATATCACCGACTCACCCGCCCCGAGGACCGCCACTTAGGGCTAATAAGTACCACTGGCAGTAAGAAGCTGATTCTTTGAATAGGAAGTATTCTATTGGTTTACGCAAAACTATGGTTTCAAATCTATAACTGTGTTTTCTATTGAAGCTGATAGAGTTTCTCGCTATGTTTTCTGGAAATACAGAGATGCACAGATGCCACCACAAGCGCTAGGAACTGAAGGCCTAAGGGCCAAACAGCGTCAAACAATTTAATTCCATAGTTCTGTGATTGATTCGTCGTGGGCATCTCAGAGAAATAAAAACGGCGATACCAAGAGAGCTAGAGGCAGGAATAAGGTGAAATAGCAGAGAGGGCTTGAAAGAGTATTCGATAAGCGACTACAACGACATCAATAATCTGGGGTTGTACATTGATTTGCTTATCGGGTCTTATCGGTATAAAGTAACATATAATCAACAGTCGCAACTACAGTACTGTACTGTCTGTCTGTCATTTAGCCCATTCTGGCCCCCACTCTCAAATTATGGGGCATATTTCCCCTCGGAGTCCCACGATGTCCCAGCAATTAACACCATAGAGGTAGTCCTCCGTCGACTATACAAACCCCAGACCAAACTCACACATAGGAACCATGACTACTGAGCCGGTCTCCCCGTTTCCTCCGGGGTTCGCCATCGCGACTCCACGCCTACAAATCCATCCTTTTGACCCCGACAACAGTTCTCACTGCGAGTTCCTGGTCAAACTATGGAACACGGATGACTTTATCAACTCATCTGGCCGGACTGGCATCGACACCACTGAAAAGGCAGCAGCTTTTATCCGACGACGCGTCCTAGCAGACTACGCTCGCAACCGACATGGCCAGTTTCTCGTATCTCTCGTCGAAGCCACCCATCCCCCTAAGCTTATCGGCTGTGTATCGCTTATGAAGGGATCTCCGCCTGGTCCGCATTATCTTGCTCCTGACGTTGGATATACAATTCTACCAGAGGATATTGGGAAGGGATACGCGACTGAGGCGTCCAAGGGGCTTCTTGAATATGCCCGTGTCGAACTAGGTATCCATGCAGCTTTTGGATTCTGTGCTGCGACGGATATGCGCAGTCGTAGGGTCTTGGAGAAAATTGGCATGGACTATCGAGGGGTAGCTGCGTTGTCGGTCTTTGGTGGAAAGGAGAGTGCGGTTTATACCCTCCATGGGATGGATAAGGATCTATCTGTGTATAATCTCACGGAAGACCTTTGCGATAAACAAAGTGATATATAAGGGTTCTGGCGGTCCGTATACATCGGAGGTGCTATGGTTGATAGCTTTCTTACACCTCAGTTTAGAATCTGTGACATGTCTATGAAGTGCAGGCATGACAGCAGCTCACAGATGAACAGGTCTGCATTGTCCTAAGGTACCCGAACAAATCAAATGTGAAGGTTTTGCAAGTGACATGAAAGATCGAAAGAGAAGTGTAACTATTCCCAAGGCGGTCAACATGCACCAGCCCCAATCCGGCAGAATGTCCACCGCCCAGCCCACACTTTATCGAACGGCGGGCACACTTTAAACCTCCCCTCGAATCAGCTGCTCATCCACCCCCACCTCCGTCCACCGAGGATCGACCGTGAATCTCAGCTTGTCGAGACATCTCTCAGCACCTGCATTGCCCAACGTTGTCGCAGTCGGGGCCTCCAGCACCCCGGGGTTGATCCACCCAATCTTCGGCGCTGCCACCCACCCACCCTCCGAAAACGAGGAAGCAGCCTGAGCGGATCTCGTTCCGACACAACCCATGGTCAACATGATGGAGGACTTCAACAGTGAGACAGACAGTGACTACACAAGCTACTGGAGAGACTGGGTACGTTGGCCCTTCCTTGGATATTGCGCCATGCGCCTCCCGCCACCCCCGCTGCTCGTGAATCTGGGTCATCGTCAAATGTTGCGGCATATGGCTGGACGATCGGCCTCGCAGCATGCTGGTTCCCAGTCAAGCTATGAGGGAAACCCATGATGTCGCATGTCAATTTGAATATGCTACCATATTCTTGTCCGTCTCGAATACCGCTAACATGCCATTGCTTATCGTTTAGTTTGTGTCATCGCGAGGAAATGAATACTTTTGCGAAATCGATGAGGATTACTTGACCGACCGGTTCAACCTCACGGGCTTGAACACTGAGGTCCCCTACTATCAATATGCTCTGGACCTGGTGACCGACGTTTTCGACCTCGATGCCGACGACGATCTGCGTGAGCAAATCGAGAAGTCGGCTCGTCATCTTTATGGCCTAGTCCATGCCCGATACATCGTTACCACACGCGGCCTAGCCAAGATGGTTAGTTCTTTCACGTTACCCTGTCTGACTTCAGATGCTATAGACCAACAACTAACATGTCTCCAGCTTGACAAATATAAGAAATGCGACTTTGGCAAGTGTCCCCGCGTCCTTTGCGATGGACACCCTCTCTTGCCCATGGGCCAACATGACCTCCCAAACATGAGCACTGTCAAGCTCTACTGCCCGAAATGTGAAGATATCTACAACCCTAAATCCTCCCGCCACGCCTCCATTGACGGTGCTTACTTCGGCACTTCATTCCACTCTATCCTATTCCAGGTGTACCCTGCCCTCAACCCCGAGAAGAGCCAGCGCCGCTATGAGCCACGCATCTACGGTTTCAAGGTCCACGCTGCAGCCGCTCTCGCACGCTGGCAAGACTGCTGCCGTGAGGACATGCAAGACCGCCTCGCTGAATTCGGCATGAGCCACAAATTCGTCGAAGAAAGCGACAGCGAAGAGGAGAACTACGAGTACGGCGAAGAGAACGAGCCTGCAAAGACGGAGAAGGTCGCCGGGGATGCGGCATCGGGTCGCATGGATCTGGGTAACTGATTGGCCCATCATACAAGTGGTACTGGATCTCACACGAGCAAACATTTGGCGTAACGGGGAGATGTTTCCTGTGCTTTGATCTTCCGTGATATGCTTAACGATTAATGGCGTTTCCAAGGCCCATATGGCGTGCCTTATAGTTGTTCTTACCGACAATGTATCTACATCATTCCCCTATTCTTGCCTGGAGCTCTCCCTTGTGGAGATATGAAATGAAGGAAATAAACTCAGATGGTACGTTCAAGGTAACTGTATCTTTCCAAATGCTAGTCTATAATCTGTGCATGGTCACGCCGGATAGAATGCTTCATTTTGTACATGATACACGCCTGATTTAGTCTGCCTGGGACCTCGGATTAAGGCGATAATCCCATATTCCGCAGCTCCTCGAAGGCAAACTTGACCGCACGAGCAAGCTCCCCGCCCTTAGCCCAAGCTTCATCATGCCCCCCAGTAAGAGGAAGAACTTGCACTCGGCGATCATTTGACGTCAGCTCTTCCTTGGAGACCTGCGCCTTCCTCTCCTCCCAGGCACGGAGAGCCTCCCGCATAGTCTCAAGCTGTCCCTGATCGACGAGCTCGTCATCCTTTGAATGCGCCAGGACAACTAATCGACCAGTCTTCCAACCACCCTCCACACCTCGTGACCCAACCATCTGCGCCGGCGACACCGAATCCCAAAGCAACTCATCCGTGCCAAATGCACCTTCCACAAACCTGCGGTATTCGGAGATATCCCGATGCGTTTCCACAATTTGCCGCAAGTCATAGATACCCGCAACGCCGACGATCGCCGTCGGGTGCGCAGACAATCGCGGCGGAAGCGGTTCTGGGGATGACGAAACCGGCTCAGTTTCCACATCACAATCCTCAGAACTCCCATTAAACAATTGTTCCCGATGTCCCGCTACCGCGCCCATAACAGCTTGGAAAGCCAGTGTCGCGCCGCAACTGTGACCAACCAGGATATACCGATGTCCGAAGCCATAGGTATTCTGCAAGAAAGCCAGCGCAGCTTCTACATCGCGGATATGATCGGGGTGTTTTGCATCACGGTATTCTTCAGATGGTGTTGTTGCTTTATCCTGTGGGTGATTCGGGTGTGCACTGAGCCGATACTCGATCGAGGCGAAGCCTGTGATGGGGAGGTCGGGGGAGGCTTGGAGGATAGATTGAGTGGGTTCAATGGATTCTGCTGTAATTGTTGGATCACGCCAGGCACCGCCGTGAATGTAGCTGCAGTATTGGTCTAGTTGTTAGCTGTTGTCCATGTCTTTGTCGGATGGGGGATTGCGATGCGGGGATCAGATCGGAGGCCGTACATTACCCAGTAACCATCTTTATGTTGGTCCAGAGGCGTGGCTGTAATGGTTTGGAGGGAGCTATGCCGACCGTAGGTCAGTTTCCTTTTGCTGGTCTGGGTCGCCATTGTGGAGGGTATTATTGAAGTGTGAGTGTTATAAGGAAGCTGGGCCTTGGCCGCATTCTATCGGGTCGGGTCCTATCGATAACGAGCCCGGAGGTGGGACGGTCTCCGCGATTGATTACTAGGGGAGTGAAAGGGATCAAGGAATAGAGGTATTTTGAAAGTACTTATTTTCAGCTATGAAATTGAGTGTATCTGCCTAATTTATGAAGAGCAGTCGTTTCTAGCAGAAATAGTAGTAATGGAGAGTTGGCCATGAACAATAAGTATATAGTTGTAATACCAGCGTATCTACCCCTCTCCACCACCACTATTTCCATACGGTATTACCACATCATCAATACGACGCTAAACCCGAAAGGAAATTGTTCGACGGGCTCCTTTCACACAAACCGTCCAACCGCCCCATCTCCAAGTCCAACCTCACCCCCTCCACACGGTGCAACCACCTTTCAATATGGCCGAGTATGTGATTTCTGATACCCTTTTTCCCATGCCAATACTAATCTCCGCAATAGAGCACAAGCCCCCCTCGCGGCCATCAAGGTCGAGGCCTTGGTACAGTCTCCCCGAATCTTGAAAATCTTCCCTACCCTCGCCAGCGAGAAATACTCATGCCCGACGCTCTAGGTGGTGATGAAAATCATCAAGCACTGCTCCCAGACTTTCCCGACCACCGCGACCGGTTCCCTCGTCGGTATGGATGTCGACGGCACCCTCGAGGTCACCAACTCTTTCCCGTTCCCCGTTGTCGAGATGCCCACCGAGTCGCACTTCGATAACGCCGCTCCCAACCCGGCCGCCGCTGCCCCCCGCGCCAAGTCCAACGCCGCTTACCAGGCTGAGATGGTCCGGATGCTTCGTGAGGTCAACATCGATGCCAACAACGCTGGCTGGTACACTAGCGCCAACATGGGCAACTTTGTCAACATGAACGTGATCGAGAACCAATTTTTCTACCAGAAGGAGTTGAACGAGCGGACAGTCGCTCTCGTGCACGATGTGTCCCGCAGCGCCCAGGGCAGCCTGAGCCTGCGTGCTTTCCGCCTGTCGGCCAAGTTCATGGAGGCGTTCAAGGATAACAAGTTCAACTCGGAGGAGTACGTGATACGCGCGTTACAGTGATAGAAATCATGGTCAATTTTAGCTGACCGTCTCTTTACAGGTTGCAAAAGTCCAACCTCCGCCACCAAGATATCTTCGAGGAGCTGCCCGTCGAGATCCACAACTCCCACCTGATCACTTCGTTCATCCACCAGCTGCAGTGCCCAACCCCGGCCGCGCCCACCGACCTTCCCGCCTCGCTCAGCGCTCTCGAGTCCAGCCCCTTCTCCAAGTCCACCACCCTCAACCCCAACTTTGACAACCTGTCTCTCAGCATCGACCCCTTCCTCGAGAAGAACTGCGACCTCCTCTTGGACAGCATCGAGGCCCACAACACCGAGGTCAACAACTACCAGTACTACCAGCGTGTGCTCGGCCGTGAGCAGCAGAAGATCAACAACTGGAAGCAGAAGCGCGCCCAAGAGAACGCTACCCGCGCTACGCTCAAGCAGCCCCTCCTCCCCGAGGACGAGTGGCAGCGTCTGTTCAAGCTCCCCGCCGAGCCCAGCCGGTTGGAGAGCATGCTCAACACCCGCCAGGTGGAGCAATTCTCTCGCCAGGTCGACAGCTTCGTCTCTGCGACAACTGGCAAGATGTTTGCTGTTAAGGGCAACCTGTTGCCTGGTGAGACCGCTAAATAAATACCAACACACTCTTGATGAGGGGAGTGAGAGAGAGGGGAGATGAACCCTGATACCTCGGGGGCTTTTGGGTATTGCATGAAACCTTATTACGGCGTAGGGAGGGAAAATGTTCTCTGGGATGTTAATACGACTTCCTCTTTTGTTTTCTTTGTATCCGTGACGAGGTCGAGTCCGGTTGTGATCGATATATGGACTCGCCATCCGCTCATAGAACACAATGACTTTTCTAGACACGACTTTGAAAATGCTTCTTCTTTACTGCGATATTCTTGAAACTTGTTTAAATGCTCTTTTCCTTATCGTAGCTTCATTAGTACTTGTATCTAAGTCGGTCTGGACCTCCCCCATCTTCTAGCCCTAATCTGGATAGGGCAGTGTAGATCACGTGAATTCTATATGACCTCATACGCTCATCATGGCATCGCGATTATCAGTCGTTGATAAGATCGCAATTAGAAGAGAAATTTTGTTTGGTAGTTTTCCCTGGTATACCCTTTGCATATAATTCGTGTTTCCTCGGTTGTATCCATGTATAACACTCATTCAGATATTTGGATTGTAAGTCTTCCCGATCTATATATCCTCCATAAGATATGGATCCACCCGCAAGATTGCCCTTATTTTCACAAGAGGTCTTCCATCGACAATCACAACATGCAATGATTGACGACTAACAAATCATTGAATAGGCTGGCGCATTTGCTGCAGTTGTCGTCGACTTCATCGTCTATCCAGTCGACACGCTCAAGACTCGCATCCAATCTCCAGACTACGAGAAAGTCTTCAAAGATGCCCGCACAGGCGCAGTAAGACGAGACGTCCTCTTTCGTGGATTATACCAAGGTGTCTGGAGCGTCATATTCTCGACAATACCATCATGTCAGTAACAGAAACAGTCTATCTACCTCATTACAATTTCTCACATTTCGCAGCAGGAGCATTCTTTACTACATACGAAGCTATAAAATGCACCTTACACGACTCCTCAACCAGAACTAAAGCCACCGGTAATAGATTGGAGTATCTCACACAATCTTCAAAAACAGCCCTCCGTCTACCATTTACCCACTCCCTTCCAAGTCCCATTATCAACGCAATCGCCTCCTCAACAGCCGAGGCTGTATCATGCTTCATGCTCACACCGGCGGAGGTACTTAAGCAAAATGCGCAAATGGTCAACACTAATACCAATGAGTCGAATACCAAAGGAACGGCTACTAGCGTGAGCGCCATACGCCAGGTGTTCTCCCGATTCAAGAGTCACCCGTGGAGACTCTGGAATGGATACTTTGCATTACTCGGACGGAATCTCCCGTTTACGGGTCTTCAATTCCCGATGTTTGAATATGTCCGGTCACATGTTATTGAGCGGTATAGACGGCGGAAAGTTGATAGGTTTGTTTTCTCAGGTGGTGATGGTAGGCAGGTATCAAGTCAACGAGAGCAGCTTATTGAGCGAGCTGGGTTAACTGGACTTTCTGCGTCGGTGTCTGGGTCTATTGCTTCGGTTGTTACTACGCCTATAGACGTGGTTAAGACTCGTGTTATGTTGTCTGCGAGTGATAATACAAGTGGAGAGTTGGAGGGTGCGGCACAGGGTGCTGGGAAAGGATCGAGGAAAGGTGCTTGGGCTGTTGGGAGGCAGATTATACGTGATGAGGGGGTTCGTGGACTTTTGAGAGGGGGATGATTCGTAGTGTTTGGACGGCTGTTTCGTTGAGTCTTTATCTTGGGTTGTATGAGGGTGGGCGGTTTTATCTGGAGAATCGGCGGCGTAGATTGGAAGAGGATACATAGCATTGCAGGAAGAGGAGTAATAGCTAAGTTGGAGAGTAACTCTACAATGGGTTGATCGACTTCGGTATCTCTTTAATAAGGCTCCAGGGATTATCATCTCGGTTCAACGTGATTCATTTTCATAAAGTGCAGGTCATGTAGTCATATCTGTCGTCAGAGTAGAGTTATGTGGAGGCCATGCGTATGCAGAGCCTCGAAGATAAAGTGAAAACGTAAACAAACAGGAAATAAACAAACAAAAACGACAACGCTCCAACAGTTTACAGGGACTCATAGTAGATAGAAAACCAAGCGGAAGAGCCCGGTTCCAAATATTGAAAAAGAGTCCGCCAAATCCAAAAGCACCAAATCGAACAACCCACTAAGTAACTACTGGGCACCATCAAGCCCAGTAAACTAGAAGCTTGTAAGCTTCTTGAACCAACTCGACTTCTTCGCCCCTGAGCTTGGCGGCGCAGGTGCTCCACCATGTCGACTCCCATGATGAGATCGCATCCCACGATCACGCTCATAGTCTCCACTCCCAGAACTACTCTTCACGCCCTCACGACGCGACTCTCGACGACGAGAGCGCACATCATCAACCACCTCCTCTTCCGGCATATCACCATACTTGGCCCGACGACGGGCTCTTCGGCGCGCGGCACGACGGGCTTCCTCATCCGAGGACAGCGAGTGAGCGTTATCGGCGGCTGCGGCTGCGTCCGGGGGCAGATCGATGACGGTGGGCATGATGGGCGGCGGCTCAGGGGGTTCTTCAGCTTGTGAGTAGACCCACGTGGAGATCTTGTCTTTCTTGGGCCCACCTGTGTTCCCATGATTGAGGCCCCCCGTCATCAACGGTGCCCGCGTCTGCTCCGGCGCAGGTCCAGCCTTTGATCGGCGACGATGAGCCTTGTCGTCTGCGTACGAACGGGAACCACGACGACCGTCTAGCTGCTCTTCTGGTGCGTAGCTGTCGACCGGGGGCTCGTCAACGCGGGAACGGCGACGTTTGGCTTTGGCGGCCATTTCTTCTTCGCGCTGGCGACGGCGCTCGCGGCGCTCGGCGACTTTCGCTTCTTCGGCTGCTGCGGCTTCGCGTGCGGCTTGTTCCTCGCGGGCTCGGCGTTCTTCGCGCGCGGCACGGCGAATACGTCGCTCTTCTTCTCGGCGCTGTTCTTCCTCCTCACGGGCGCGTTGTTCGCGTGCTTCGCGCTCGCGGATCTTCTCTTTACGTCTGGCTCGTCGCTCTTCCGCTTCGCGAGCCTCGGCTTCTCGTGTGTCAGACGGGGCTTGGCGAGACGTGCGCTTCGCGCGACGAGCTGCTCTCCGAGCCTCTGCGTCTTCGGGCTCGGTTTCGCCCCCTGCAGCAGCGCCAGCGGCGTCCGTGGTAAACCCTTCAGCATCAGTGTCCGGTCTCACCGACCGCCGGCGTCGATCGTCACGACGTACCCGGCGATCCTCGCGCTCTGTCTCAGTGAGGTGCTTGGCATCTTCATCGCGATAGGAGCGAGACTTGCGACGGTCTGGCATCTCAGGACGCGCAGGCTTTCGCAACGAACCAAAGATCCCCATGAACCCACCAGTGTCTTGCTTCTTGAGTGGAGGAGGTGCGCGCTTTAGGCGTCGCTCTCGAGGCGCATCGACGAAAGCCATGTCATCAGCCCCTGAGAGAAGGTCTGGACCACCGCGGGCTTGCTCAACATCGACCATGATAGCATCGTCCTCGTCAGGTTTCGTACGGGACTAAATGGGGAAGAAAGATAGGCGTTAGCAAGACCTGCGACGTCCCGATAAGTTTGAGTAAGCGCATGCAACGTACTTCTCTCTTGGACTTGCGCTTTGACCCTCTCGAGCCCTCTTTAGGTGATTGGCCATCCACGTCTTCCATGTCAACCACCACCATGTCATCATCCTCAATGGCGTAGGGGTCGCGGGGAGCTACATCAATTTACAGTCAGTTCGTACTTCACAGTAGATATCCATGCCTGGCGTTTGGTTGCTTACCAGACTTCAGGCGCTCAGCACGGGGCCGGTCGCGTTTGGATTTGGACGCGTTGATGCCCATCAACTTGGCTGCCTTATCGTTTACCTCGGGTTTGTCATCTGGAGGAGGCGACGGCATGGCAGCTTCATCTTCTGGATCAATCGAAGGACGTCGGGATACCGGTTTGGAGGAAGGCCTTTTGGATGATGATTCCGGTTTGCGGGATGACTTGCTTCGTGGCGGGGGCTGACCAAATACGAAGTTGGACAAGGTGGTCGCACGTTGCTGCTTTGAGGAACGGGCTTCGCGTTCTCGCTCTCGCTCTCGCTCACGTCGCCTGTCCTTGTCAGACGAAGATCTCTCGACCTCAGGATCTGATTCTTTAGGACGCGATTTCGTGGATTTGGAACGAACTGCTGCTACGGGAGAGCGCTCCCGTTCACGTTCGCGAGTCGATTCCTTTCGTTCCTCTTTCGATCGTTTCTTGGGAGACTCGACTTCTTCAGCGGGCTTGCTTTCCTTGATCTCCTTAACCTCCTTCACGTCCTTGATCTCCTTGATCTTTTTCACCTCCTTCACCTCCTTCACCTCGTTGGGTTCCTTGATCTCTTTGATCTCCTTCACCTCCGTGGGTTCCTTGGCTTCCTTGATCTCCTTCACCTCCTTGGGTTCCTTGGTCTCTTTCGGCTCCTTCTTGCTGGACTTCTTGGGTGGTGGTGCCGAGCCCCAGAAACCCCAACCAGTATTACTGGCCGCGCGGTCCACACGAGGCCGATCCTTCTTCGATGACTTTGGAGGTTCTTCCACTTCTGGAGGAGGTGTTGGTGGAGCGCCATCTTCCTCAGGCTCAAGGACAGCAACAGGTTCAATGACAGCCACAGGTTCCGGTTCGGGCTCGGGCTCGGGCTCGGGCTCGAGAGGGGTTTGAGAAGGAAGCTCAAAGCCCTTCCCGGGAATGGGAAGTCCCTTTTGAACTAGCTTCTTCTCTCGTTTCTTCCTGTCCTTGGATGACAGGTCATGCCAGCCATCATACAAAGGGTCATCGTGAACTGGTGCAGGTTCGGGAATAGGTTTGGGCTCCGGCGCTGGCTCGGGTTCAGGTGGGACTTCAATTTCAGGTTCATCAGGGAAACTTCCGGGAACAGAGTCTCTGGAGACATGTCTTTCCTCTTCGGGCTCAGGTAGGGGCTCCGGTTCGGGCTCGGGCTCGGGAGATGTTTGAGATGGAAGCTCAAAGTCCTTCCCAGGAATGGGAAGTCCTTTCTGAACCAGCTTCTTCTCTCGTCTCTTCCTGTCCTTGGATGATAGGTCATGCCAGCCATCATACAGAGGGTCATCGTGCACAGGAGCAGGCTCGGGAATAGGTTCGGGCTCAGGCTCAGGCTCAACAACAGGAGGCTCCGGTTCAGGTTCGGGTTCAGGTTCTGGCTCGGGTTCGGGCTCTTTAGCCTTTGACTTTGAGCTTGACTTCGCCTGCTTAAGCTTTTCCTTGGTCTGCTCGAGGGCCTTGATACGCTCAGCGACAGACAGCTTGGCCGAGGACTTGAGCTTCGAAGATTTCTCAGGAGGGGGTTCCTCTTTAACGGGCTCTGGCACGACTTCAGGTTCGGGCTCAGGCTCAGGTTCGGGCTCGGGTTCCTTAGGAGGATCCTCGCCAACATCGATAAGAAGGTCTTCTGGCTCCTCGAGTATCTCTTCCTTCGGTTTGGACTTCTCCTTGGTGGACTTGGTTTTGGCAGCGGAGCCTCCAGTCAAAGATGCCCAGAAACCCTTAGCTGCAGGCTTCTCTTCCTTGACTGGTTCGATGGCCTTCGTCTTTTTAATGCTCTTGGACTTGGAGCCCAGATCGGCCCAGATATCATCAGGGTTATCAAGGATTTCAGGCTCGGGAGTGAGACCTTGTGCTGGAGGAGTCGGTGCAGGCGGAGGCGGTTCTTCAAACCCCTTCTTCTTTGACTTCTTATCCTTGGTCGTTCCCCAGACTCCCCAAGAGTCGTCTTCTGCTTGCCTAGGAGGTTCTGGCTCCGGCTCGGGTTCGGGAATAGGTTCAGGTTCAGGTTCAGGCTCAGGCTCAACAACAGGAGGCTCCGGTTCGGGTTCGGGCTCTGGTGGCTTCTCGGTGGGAAGTTCAAAGTCCTTTCCAGGGATAGGGAGACCTTTCTGGACCAGTTTCTTCTCGCGCCGCTTCCGGTCTTTCGACGATAGAGTATGCCAGCCCTCATATAGAGGATCATCATACACAGGAGCAGGTTCTGGCTCAGGCTCAGGCTCAGGTTCGGGTTCTGGCTCGGGTTCTGGCTCGACTATAGGTTCAGGTTCAGGTTCTGGCTCGGGTTCGGGTTCTGGTTCGAGTTTGCCCTTCTTCTTCTTCTTGTCTTTGGTGGTCACACCCCAGGCACCCCAGGTATCTTCGGGCTCCTTGGCTTTGGGGGGTTCCGGCGCGGGTTCCTCAATGACGGGCTCCGGTTCTTTCTTGGACTTCTTATCTTTCTTACCAGCAGTACCCCAACTGCCTCCCCAGTCGTCCTCAGCCGGAGGGTCAGGTGCAGGCGCAGGTATGGGCTCGGAGTCTGCCAGCAGATCAATCTTTTTCTTCTTCTTGTCCTTCTTGGAGGGAACGGCCCATCCCCAGTCATTTTCGGGTTCGGGTTCCGGTTCTAGGGCAGGTGGATCCGGGGCAGGGGGAGCAGCTTGAGCTTGCGCCTCTTCTCTGGCTTTCACTGCCTCGTCGTAGGCGGCTTGCTTGGCTGCATTTGCTTCCCGAACCTTGGCAAGTTCGTCTTCAGCGTCTTTCACCTTCTTCTCCCAGTCCTTCTTGGCCTTTCGCTGTTCCTTCTTGGACAGACCAATGTACCAGGCTTCCGTAAGGATAGATCCAGGGATTTCCGGTTCGGGCTCGAGATCCAATTCGGGTAAAGGTTCCAAGGCAATAGGCTCTGGCAGTGCTTCAGGGGTTGATTCGGGTTCGGGCTCAGGATCGAGTAAGCCTTTCTTCTTCTTATCCTTAGTCGCGACACCCCAGGAGCTCCAGTCGTCATCTGCTTTCGTCGCCTCGGCGGGAGGGGATCCCAAATCGCCAAAATCAAAACCGCCTGCGGTCTTGGTCGATTTCTTCTTTGTGGAAGCGACTCCCCAGGGATTGTTGTCTTTGGGTTCTTCTTTCGGGACGGACTCTCCGATAGCCCCAAGACCCCATTTGCTAGCCGCAGGGGCACCTCCAGTACTCCAATCTTTACCCCAGCCGCCAAAACTAAAACCAGTTCCTCCACCTTTTGGTGCTGCGTCGAAGTTTAAGTCCAACTGGGGAGCTCCGCCGTCTAGGCTGATATCCTGAAACCCGCCAGGGGGCACCTCATCCTGAAACGTACAATGAGTATGAATGATGTAGAATTGCGGGTCGTATATGTACTTACCTTTCCTTTCTTCTTCTTTCCTGCTGCAGTAAACCCGGCCCAATCATCGCCGCCACCGCCCTCATCAACATCGTCAGCCCAGCTGAGATTGTTCTTTGCAGCCTCGGCGGCTTTTCGCTCTTCCTCCTCCTCTTCCTCCTGCTTTTTGCTCTTCTTCTTGGTTCCAGCGACAGTTCCCCAGGCATTCCAGTCGTCACCACCACCATCATCCCCACCACCTCCGCCGCCTCCACTACCATCGTCACCGCCTCCATCTCCTCCGCCCGCATCACCGCCACTATTCGCATCGCCGTTCGCTTGATCGTCCCCAGCATCATTTGAAGAACCCCCATTATCAGGCGGGGGCGGCGGGGCAGCGGGTTTCTTCGCCGCACCACCACCACCACCTTTCTTCTTCTTGTGCTCTCGCACGCCGACCGGGTTCTCAAAGTCAATATACACATCGAGGATCGTATCTTTGTACAGCGAACGCGACTGGTTTCGCGATTTCGTAGCAGGCGCTAGCGGCGCAGTAGGTGAGAGCGCAGTCTTGCGCTCCGCGAGCGGAGGCAGCGCAGGGTATTCCGGAGGAAGATCGTTCACGGCATCGTCGTAGGAGGGCGGAGGTTGAGTGTACCACGGGAGTGCGGGGGCGTATAAACCCAATTCGTCAGGGTGTTGGTCCCTGCACGTATTCTCGAGACTCTTTACAGCACTCTCGGTACGGCCCTGCACGAGAACCGCCCAGACATCGTCGACTAGTTTTTCCACCTCATCTTGCCAATGCGGAATGTGGTAGGCGGGTTTCTCGCTGGTGAACTTTTCCACATAGGTATAACAACCGGGCGCGAGGACCTCCATTGTAAAAGCGCATGCGCCGAGTACACGGCTGGCCCGATCAGAGACCCGTCCACTGGATTATGGGGAGAGAACACATGGGGTGGCGGGTTGGTATCGAACCCCCGCAGGAGACCGGCGAGTCGAGGTTGGAAATTCGAGTAAGGCCCTACGCCGAGAGCAAGTAGTGGTAATGTAACAAAAGGAGGCTCGTCGCCTTGGAATCGAAAGAATTCTCCAAATCAAAGTATCCCGAAAAGACAGAGCAGCCACCCAGCACGACCGGCGCGAATTCGAGGGACTCGGTGGAGTTGGGGTTTGAGCGCAAAGCGCGGGACGGATAGGATGGAGGGAATTAGTTTGAGTCGAGGGTTGGTAAAGTTGCGCGGTTCAACGGATTCTGTGAGACTGAGATGATCGAGTTTTTAGTGACACATGAACTCCTGGGTAAGGGAGGAGGTTTCTAAAGGAAAAAAGGGATTAGCTGGTGGAGGCAGGGATGGGAAAAGCATGGGGGGGCGGTGGAGGGAGATCATCGGTGATCGTAGCCCGCTTCTTCGTACTCTGTACATACTTTGGACTTTGTGTATCTCCGATTCCCTCCTTTGCTAGGGTTTATTTTACAAACGAAGGATCAATCCTATAATCCCCCCTATTTTTCTTCGGTCCTTATCAATGGTAGTCAGTCATGAACTCCCGTTCGTTCAGACCCGAGACAATATCACGGTGAGAAAAATAAACAGCCGTCGAATCAGAGAAAAGAAGAAGGCTGGGATTGAACGAGTGCGGGTATTCCGTATACACTCTTACTCCCTCCCCGCAGAAGAAAAGAAAAGAAAGAGAGGAAGAAGAAAACTCTTCAGTTTTTCATGGAAATTCTGGTTACTTATTTTCTTGCAACTCCTACTTGCCTCCTGCTCACCTATCGATCTCCTGCACCCTCAAAACACCGCACATCCCATTCAACCAGTCAGAGCGGACTATTAGGAGATCGTAGCGTACACCCTGGGAACTAACTGGGTGTCCGGGTCACCCTGACACCCAGAAATGCGCCCATGTACCCAATGTACATCACCGTCCACGCCCCCAGTAGATTCGTAAACTGCAGGCCGGGAGCCTATCGATAACGAGTCTGCCCCTCCACCAGCGCACGTCCAAAGCAGGGGGATCTTCTTTCCCCCTCGACACTGGATGGGGTGGACGCCCGCATTCTGCAGTCTGCAACTCTTTTCTCCTTTACCCTGGGATAAACTCGAGGTACATCCTCGAGGTATCTATGCAAACAATGACAAAGTACAGTGTGTACAAATTACCCATTTCACCGCATCAAACCAGGGAACCCTTCAGCCTCCTATCCACGGTACTTGATGGAGAACAGATCATGGATCCATGGATGCCCGAACTAGCCTACGGGTAGGCCCGTCTGCATGGAATCCAACTACAATGGGTGCAGCTTGCAGATAGTGTTGCACTTAGTGTAGTATATTCCTACCGTGGTTAGTATGGTTAGTATGTACTTGGAAGACTAGAAAATGCATACTTCCCGGGTCTGGCGGCCCAACATATTCTCCAACTACCGCCACTGGAATAATAATAATAATCATAATCATACAGATCATCCATTGTATACATTGTGCTACTTTGATTTACTTGCATTGCACTGACACGCAGAATGGCGGAGCTACAGCTCCTGGTCCAACATATAAGCTACAGTCCCATACCTCCATCAGCCGCAATCACAATCCCTTCGTTTCTTCCCCATAACAATCCTAACATCCTAGCCAGAAGGAAAACAATAAATGCCCAAACATTCCATTCCCCCGAACGACCCCTCTGCAGGGAAAATAGGTCCATTTCGGGCCTCTTTGGCGCCCTGCACGCGCAAAAAAAACTGCATCGGTGGTTTTTCTCACCGCCACTTTGGACCGGAGGAAATCGTCCACCAGTGCGGGGAGGAGGGGCTCCGCTGTGGAGGGCCAGCGTTTCTTGACTCATACTCATGACCGTTTGAAAGGGAAAAGAGAGCGATGGAAAGATCGAGAAGTTCCGGCCTAATTGTGGAGGAAGAGAGTGGATTTAGAATCACTGATCTGAGACATCTACGATGCTTACAACTGACCTCAGGATATCCTCAATCCGAGAGAGAAAATGGTGGCGTTGGGGTAAAACAAGAAAAGTACAATGGCGCGTGGACAATAAACTACAATACAGGACAAAGGAAAGAGGGAATCGAGCGACATGGGGGAGATTCGAAACACACAAAAGACATTGGCCATACCAACCCAGATCCAAACCCTTTTCCATCCCCAACCCGTTCTAACACCATCTTTGACCCCTGATCACAGAATACACGGGGGACTCCCTCGGGCACGTACATGCACCCGTTTAGGTAGACGACGCCTTGGCCCTCGGGGAAGGAACCTCCTCGCCGTACGCCTCGCGGTATTCCTCGCGATAGCGCTCAACGTCACGATCAGACTTTTCAAAGTAGGGCTGTGATTTTGGTTAGCTTCGGTCCTCGCCATGATTATATCGCGCATTTACGAGCGATGGGAGCAAAACAGCTTACCTGCTTCTCCGAGTCGGTCATGTTCTTCCATTCACCAGCAAGTCGCGTAGCCGACTCACCCACGGGCAGGTGCTTGAGGTCACCACGCTCGTGGCGCTCCTTCATGAACCACAGATACGCAGTAGTAGGGAACTTGACCAGGCGCTCGTCTTGGAGGCTAAAGTACTTGGCGTGACCCAATCGACGGAGGTGTTTGCGAGCGGTGTTTGCCTGCTTGACCTGAAGAGGCGTATATAGCTGGATCCAGGCTTCGTAGGAGGCAGCGTTGGCAGCCCGGTTTTCCTCGGCCTGGTTGATGAATCGCTGTTGAAGTATATTAGCATGACAAGCTTCCAGTACAACACAATATGATTGTTTAATTTGACATACGTCGGCCTCGTTCAGTCGCTGAGAGTAAACCTGTGAAATGGCCTCCTTGAAGATTTCCACCGGCGTCATCGAAGATGACTGTTCCCTCAATTCCTTGATCTTGTGCTGGATAGCAATAGAGCGAGCGACCTGGGGTAGCTTCTTGGGCGGTTGCAGAGCAGTCTCCTTGAGCTGTTTGATGAGCTCACGGCTCTCCTTCTTCTCCTTGGCCTCCTTTTGCTTCTCCGTCAATACGCGCTTGGTCTTCTTCTTCTCTGCCTTGGGCTCCTTGGTTGTCGACTTCTTGGTTGATTTCTTGGCACTATCAGTCTTGGTCGCCTCCGTCGCAAAGGATTGGGACTGTTGAGATTTCACAGCAGAGGGAGATCCGGCCAGCGGAGTCGAGAATCGGGAGTTCGTGGCGAGAGAAAGACGGCGAAGTTGATTCTGCACTCCGATCACGCGAGTCTGGTGCGACGAGGCATCGCCGAGGCGCAGGTGCTGCAGCACATTCGCGCGGGCGACCCGTTGAAGAGACATTGGTTGCGATTTGTTGAATTTATTTGTACGATGAGTGTACTTCAAGAAGTCGACTCCTGTCGTAGTTGGAATTTGACCGAGGAATAAGCGCAGCTTGTAGGTGTAGAAGGGGCTCCTGACGCAAGCGGGCAGGGGAGGCTGGAACGGGCGGGCCAAATAGCCAAACAGCCAAAACAGCGGGCGCAACAAGCGCGTCTGAGCTCCGTTTGGGCCCCGCCGCTTTGGGACTAGGGACATGTCATGTGACAACCTGGGATCCGCCTCCACGTGACAGCGATCACCCCAGTCGCAAAAAGCGTACCTGTAGGAGCCTCACGTCCAAGTTTCAGTGCAATTATCTCCCAACGACCTCGACGGCGACACTGACCACTTTCGAACGAGAGATTATATGGAAGCGCGGTGATCCTTCACAGGCTTTTTGTGTTCTAACGTCCCGGTGCTCTTGAGTTTCAGTAATACTCACTCATCGTTGGCCTGTGACAATGGCTCGCCACGGGGATACTCGCTCACCATCTCCTGTAGGCAGCACATACTCCTCGTCTCGCCGAAATCGCAGAGAGGATGATCGCTTCGACAGAAACAGACGGGATGACGGACGTGGTTATCGCAGGTCCCGCAGTCCAGAGGTGGGTCACATCCGAACTCGCAAGCTATCATCCCCAGCTTCACATCTAACTTATCCCGCAACGATGCAGCGGCGTTATCGTGATCGCGACCACGGCCGTGACAGAGATGGCTATAGACGCCGAGACCGATCGATAGACCGACGCGATGAAGATAGTTACCGCCCCAACCGACGAGATCGGTCTCGCGAACGCCGACGGTCCAGAGACCGAGACGATGACCGTGATTATCGCCGCAGGAGTCGCGACAGAGATTACCGACCCAGGAGAGAAGATTCCCGCGACCGGGATCGCAGACGCACAGATGATTCTGCTGATTTGAAGCACAAATCTAGACGGGGTGACAGCCGTGACCGTGGCGCGACTCGGCGGTCTGCATCTCGCACTCAAGAGGTACGTTCTAACCAGCGCCACTTCACCAGCAGAGCGCGTGATGCTTATTACGTTCGGCAGCCATCCAAACCCACTACCCCCGCGCCGGCCCCCGCCGCTCAAACGGACGAGCAGAAAAAGGCCGAGAGATTGGCGAAACTCGAACTATGGAAGGCGAAGCAAGCTGCCGAGCGAGAACGGAAGCAACAAGAACAAGCTGCAGCAGGTGGCGGACGTGGAATTCTCGATGAGATTGATCGCAGATCTGGGTTTTCCCCAGCTGTGGGTTCGCCTCAAACTCCGGCAACACCGACCGACACCGCATCACCAGCTCCTTATGCTGGAAAATTCGACCCCAAGGCTATTGCTAAGAATGCGGCCTCGAATGGGACGGCCGCCGTCCCGGCTGTGCTTGGGATTGATGTCGCGGTTCCGCAGACCACAAAGGTTACGGTACGACAACCTGCAGCGCCCTCTGCCCCTGCATCCGCTCCCTTGAAGGCCAAAGGCAATGTGAGTGGATTCGGTCTCGGTGCCAAACTGGCCTTTGAGTCCGATAAACCCTCCGCTACTCGAACTCTAGGCTTCGGCGAGGAAGAGTCTACTCGCAAGAAATTGGAGCGGCTCCCAACCCCTCCTCTCGACGACGGCAAAGATAACTTTGTCGATGCGGACGATGCCGGTGACGATGATGATGTCGATATGCAAGATGGGGACAACGAGGAAGAAGCTGCGGCTGCCGCACGAGCCGCCGCTGAACGGCGCGAAGAGCGACTTCAGAACCAGCAGTCCGAAATGAACGCAGATATCCACATGGAGGATGCCAACCAGCAGGCTGAGTCTACCGAGATGGAAGTCGACGAAGAGGAGGAAGTTGATCCTTTGGACGCATTCATGTCAGAGCTTGCAGATACCGCTCCCCCGAAAAAGAAGATCGGTGTTACATTCGCTAAGAAGAAAGCCAGCCAACAACCGCAGGCGATGTTTGGTGACGAGGACGATGTAGACCTCACCGCTGTTGGTGGCGAAGATGCAGACGACGTTCTCGCCATGGCAAGCAAGAAGAAGAAGAAGGAAATCCCGGTGGTCGACCACGCAAAGGTCGAGTATGAAACCTTCCGCAAGGCCTTCTACAACGAGCCCTCACATCTTGCCGATATGACCGAAGAGGAAGTGGCAAATTTGCGCCACGAGTTGGACGGTATCAAAGTACGTGGACAGGATATCCCCAAGCCCGTCCAGAAATGGGCTCAGTGCGGTTTGGGCGTGCAAACGTTGGATGTTGTTGACCGCCTGGGTTTCGAGGGACTTACATCTGTCCAAGCCCAAGCCATTCCCTGTATCATGTCTGGCCGTGACGTGATCGGTGTGGCCAAGACTGGTTCAGGAAAGACCATGGCCTTCCTTGTCCCCATGTTCCGCCACATTAAGGATCAGCGGCCGTTGGGTAACATGGAGGGTCCTATTAGTCTTATCATGACACCGACTCGTGAGTTGGCTACACAAATCCACAAAGACTGTAAGCCGTTCTTGAAGGCACTCGGCCTTCGTGCGGTCTGCGCCTACGGTGGTGCTCCCATCAAAGATCAAATCGCGGAGCTGAAGCGTGGCGCTGAGGTTGTTGTTTGCACTCCTGGTCGAATGATCGATCTACTTGCTGCTAATGCTGGCCGAGTAACGAATCTCCACCGTGTGACATACGTGGTTCTCGACGAGGCAGACCGCATGTTCGACATGGGCTTCGAACCCCAGGTCATGAAGATTTTGGCCAACGTTCGACCGGATCGTCAGACTGTGCTCTTTTCCGCCACGTTCCCCCGAAACATGGAGGCACTCGCCAGAAAGACACTCAGGAAACCGATCGAGATTGTGGTCGGCGGCAGGAGTGTTGTAGCACCTGAGATTACCCAGGTGGTTGAGGTGCGGAACGAAGATCAGAAATTCGTCCGCCTTCTTGAATTGCTAGGCAATCTGTACTCTGACGACGCAAATGAGGATGCGCGGGCGCTGATCTTTGTCGATCGTCAGGAGTCTGCTGATAACTTGCTGAAGGAGTTGATGCGAAAGGGCTACCCTTGTATGTCTATTCACGGTGGAAAGGATCAAGTCGATCGTGATTCTACCATTGAAGACTTCAAGGCTGGTATCTTCCCCGTCCTCGTCGCTACATCGGTGGCTGCTCGTGGTCTAGACGTCAAGCAGCTGAAGCTGGTTGTTAATTACGATGCGCCAAATCACTTGGAAGACTATGTCCACCGTGCCGGTCGAACTGGCCGTGCCGGAAACACTGGTACTGCGGTCACGTTCCTCACAGAGGGACAGGAGCGGTACTCTGTGGATATCGCAAAGGCGCTCAAGCAGAGTGGACAGGAGATCCCGGAGCCGGTTCAGAAGATGGTCGACAACTTCCTGGAGAAGGTCAAGGCCGGTAAAGAAAAGGCCAGTGGATCTGGCTTTGGTGGTAAAGGCCTGGAGCGTCTTGACCAGGAACGTGAGACCGCTCGTATGCGTGAACGCCGAACATACAAGACCGGCGAGGAAGGTGAAGAAGACGAAGAGAAGGATGAAAAGGAGAAGAAGGCCGACGACGATCGCTTTAACAAGGCGCTCTCCGCAGTGCAGTCTGCCGCTGCCCCGGCACCGGCGCCTCTCGTTGGTGTTCCCAAGGGTATTGATCTGGACGGCAAGATTACAGTCCACAAGACCGAAAAGGATCCCAACGCTGCTTCGAAGAACCCCCTGGACAAGGTTGGATCTGCCGTGGCCGATATTCACGCTCGTCTTAGTCGCGCGGGTGTGATGAGATCGGGTGTCCCCATCGACAACCGTGGACCAGATGCAGGTGCATTCCATGCTACCTTGGAGATCAACGACTTTCCCCGTAAGTTTTTTTCCCACTTCCCCTCTCTGGATTATGCATGAACTCATACTCAATATTTCTCACTTGCAGAAAAGGCTCGTTGGGCCGTTACCAACCGTACGAATGTCGCCAAAATCCTGGAAGCCACGGGCACATCCATTACCACGAAGGGCAGTTTCTACGCCACTGGCAAAGAGCCTGGTCCCAACGAGAATCCCAAGCTGTACATTCTTGTTGAGGGCGAGACTGAGATTTCCGTCACCAACGCGATGCGTGAGCTTATGCGCTTGCTGAAGGAGGGTACCGTTGCCGCTGCTGATAGTGATGCGCGTGCGCCGGCCAGTGGTCGTTACAGCGTTGTTTAGGAATGTCTCTCGCCGGCAAAGATAATGATCTGCACTTTTGGCTGTACTCAGCAGTTGTATCATAGCATGGAATTGTCAATCTTCTTCTCCATTGACCCATCTTCATTCCCAGGTAATATCAGTTGATATAAAAGGTAGAGGCGCTAATACAGACTGCCCTCCAAATGAACGAAGAAGAAAAAAGTAGAAGATGCTGCAAACTGCTCAAAGAACGACCCCGGAATAATCGCCAAGCTCGAACGCTATTAGAATAAAGTGTTCATGAATAAGAATATGCAATCCCGAAACGCCAACAACAATCAAAGCGCCAAATAGACACGAAGCGCTTTCCTATCCTTAATTCCACTGTCTAGCCTCTTCCGCGCCATCAGCATCCCGCACAGCCCGCTCCGTCTGACTGACCTCATTCAAGGTCTGAGTCTGAGTCTTGGCCTTTTGCGCAGCCAGTTTGGTGCCGAGTTTCCCTTTGCTAGAAGCAGATGCAGCTTCCGCTCGCTTCTACAAGAAGAGATTTAGCAATCGCTCCATTGCACTGCCGGGATTCGACCCAATCATTCTTATAGATGTACACTCACCTGAGCTGCAATCGCAGCATTGGACCGCGCCTCGTCACTACCCCCTTGTTGCGGGGAGCTCTCCCCGAGTGTCCGCCCGGGACTATTTTTCCAATTCGCTTTGGCAGGCACAGAAGCACGGGGGGCATTTGATGATCCAGCCGGTGGGGCACCGACGACTCGACCGGGCCCGGCGAAGGCCTCGGGTTCGTTTGAAGAGCGGGAGCAGATGTTACCCATGTTGTTTGTGAGTGGGGTAGATTAGATGGAGACGGTCCCCCTTGGATTGGATATGCGGTAGAAGATTGGACGAGGAGAAAAAGGTACGGAAGCAATTAGTCTGATCTTTGGGCGAGAGGGACTGAACTTGAGACCAGCTCTGATATGCGACCGATTGAGAGGTAGGGGTGTGTTTGGTTGGAGATCTGGCCAGCGCGGTTCATGTTGGAATTAGCGTTGCGATGCGATAACGCGATAGCCGGTGACGATCCGGGGCACGTGGGGTTACGTCAGCATTTACTATTAACCGGTGGTGGGGGTTTGTGTTCATGTTATGTAAGACTAGAGGGGATTGTATTTCATTCTAGTCGCTTATTGTAGGCGACCATAGAATATACTTTATACAATCCTAAACTATCTCTCCTATTCTGATAGCACTTCCTCCAATGTAATCTCAAGGCGGCGTAGATTGGCAGAACCCCGACGGGTCTCGTTTAGTCATCGACGAAATCATCCAAATGGAAAAGGAACGCCCTTCCCTTCTCCGGGCCCAGACCACATTGGAATGCTGGGGAAAGAACATCTTCTCTCGCGTGGTCCATTTACCCCTCGGCGACAAGCCCAGCAATGTTCGCGAACGACATCCCACTTGACCGCTTGCCAACAAGCCCATCGCTATTCGCCCGCAGATCATGACGCTTAACCCCCAAGGTCCCCATCCTCCATCTGCGCTCCAAAGGTCCTCACGAGAGTTCTCGCAGTCCTAGGCTGTTAGCCAAACCCCCCCCTAAACGAATCGCCCACATTTTTCGACTCCCTCGCATATTCCAGGCCGAATATCGCTTTTTTTTTCCCTACGTGCTCTTTCGCCGCTACGTCTTACAAGGTCCTCGTCGGTCCCTGCTGGAATCTTGTGCTGCATGACGATCGTTCGCCAATTTCTCCGATTGCGTCGGTAATACTCTTCCGACGTTGTACACTCTTTTTGCCTGCGGGCGGAGCGCATGATACTATTGTGAGACTATTTGCAATATAGAGGTGCTTTGACCAGCGGTTGTGGACATTTTTCCGGAGCCCGTACGGTACTTCGTTGTTGAACTTTGGTGGCATTGGCATTTTACCGGTTACGTGATTTACTTGCGTCGAAGGTAATATCGTTGCTGGTCGCCAATTATCCCACCTGCAGTCGTACACTTGGCTAAGCCCCTCGACTATTCCTCTTGTACCCTATTCCCCCATCTTGTACCCTGGTGCCGCGGGAAGATAACGGGGTTCGAGGTTTCTTTGCCCGTGCCAGCACAGAACCTTATCTTTCCCTTTCCATTCCCCTGGTCATTTGCCCTGAACCGTGCACAACATGGCTTCCCAATCCCAAGTAAGCGACTTCTGCCTCGAGTGCCGCTGGGAGGATTTACATATAGACACCAAGCCCGCAGAGGATTCCTCGATCCCTCAATGCGAACCCCAGTGGAGTTGCACTGATGTTGAGCATCATACATCGCTGGCCCGATGCGAGGTTGACGAGACTTGCTGTGATGAAGATGTCTGCGCCGATGACTGCCATATAGACTGCGGGTCAGTGTGTGATGGCTTCGTGGACTGCGACGCCTCAACTGTCTGCTCCGTTGCAAACTGCGACGAAGACCATTGCGAAAGCACGGACCCCGTCTGCTTCGACAATCACTGTTGTGACAGTACAGCCGACCAAGATTGCACGTTTGAGTCTATTTTCGGACTCACGACGCCGCTGTCGTTGGATATTGCCAATACCTTGCCGTCGGCAACGATGACCCATCATCCTGTCGACGACGCTGGGAAAGTGGCAGACCACACATTGCCGGGCATGATTGATCCATGCTATCAGTACGACTTCCTCTCCTCATACCAAGCTCATGCAACCAATTGTGAACAAAATGTTCCCAATCACCTCGGATGTCAGGACTTCCGCAAGGATTGGGAGGGCATGTTCACCCACCAGCACCCACACCAACACCAACACCAACACCAACCTCTACCCCAACAAACCGATGTAAACCCTGCGGACATCTTCCACATGCTTGGTATGTGCACTGACTACTCTATCTGTCACGACCAACACCTTGCTACACACCATCACCATCACCAACAACCCGATCCCAATCTCCTAGAGAAGCCACAGGATGACGCTCTGAACTGTTTCCACACGGAGCACCATCATGTCCATGGCCAATTTAAGAACCCTAATGACCTGAACATCCATGTTCATGGCCCTCATCGCAACCACCACCGCTGCCGAGCCCACCATCATCATTCCCATCCCTATTCCCCTTATTCGCGCCAGTCCAGGTCCAGCGTTAGCTCGCATTTCATGTCTAGTCCGAGAGAGACGCCTCCTCCTTTGGAACGAGACATCTCGTCAGTCTTGACGACGCCGGAATTTTCCGCAGAAGATAGCGAGTTGCACATCTGTAAATGGGTGACCTCGATTAACGGGATTCAAGCTCCTTGTGGTGCTACCTTTGCCGATTCCGGCGCTCTTCAAGACCATCTTGTGTCCGCTCATATGAACACTGTTGATGGTGCGAAGGGTAATGGATACTATTGCTGTTGGCAAGGGTGCCACCGCCCTGATGAGCCCTTTTCACAAAAGTCGAAGCTGCAGGGCCATTTCTTAACACACAGTAATTGTGAGTTTTTCCGCAGTATCTAGAGAAATGATACAATACTAATCATGGTGATTTAGATAAAAACTTCAAGTGTTCTGTCTGCGGGAAGACCTTCGCCAGGCAAGCAACCTTGGATCGCCATGAGCGTAGCCATCGGGGAGACAAGCCTTATAAGTGCAAAGAATGTGGGAAGACATTCACCGATAGTAGCGAGCTGAGTACGTCATTGTTCCCCTATATGATTGTATCAATTACTAACAGCTTCAGAAACGCATTCGCGAACTCATACCGGTGAAAAGCCGTTCAAGTGCACTTATCCTGGATGTAAATTCGAGACTGGCGATGTGAGTGATCAACACTGACTTGAAATACTTCGGATTCCTAACATATCCACAGTCATCAAACATGTCTAGCCACAGACTTACCCACGGTGAACGAAAACATAAATGCCCTTACCCCGGCTGCACGAAGAGTTTTACAAGGCCTGGTAGGTACCACTGTACTCCGTTCTACTTTCTTTTAGCTTACACTATACTAACTTGTCTCGCTTCTCAGACCAATTGAAACGTCACCAACGGACAACACACAAACAAGACATAACCTCGACCCTCCCATCCCCGAACCCCGACCACTTTAGTCTCTCTTCCTTTGCTGTCGTCTAACGAACCACCTTACACCCTGATATTATACACGATTTTCATGTTTTTTACGACCTTGCAGTCTATGATGGCGCTAGGGCGTAGCTCGCTCCTCCTTGTATGAAGGCATTGGATGGGAACTGATTGGAATAACCTTGGACTGGATCTTGGCGTTTTTAATGGACGAGAAAATATTGCTTGGTTGATGCTGTCCAGACTCCACCTTCTCTGGATGCGGTACTACCGAATTTAATCTTATTGTTTGATGAGATACTGCTTAGGTGTTCTATTCTATGACCTATTTCAGTAGAACGATATCTTTCCAATAATTAGAAGGCAGTTACAATGCCTTTCATCCAATTCGATGATATTCTATTGACGAGCTGAAAGATACTTGATGATATGATTTACAATCCGTTATCAGATACCCCATTACAGGCGCATATCATGCAAGACAACCCAGATACACTCCCCTAAAAGCTCTCCTCATTCAGCATGAGCCCTCTCCTCAAGAACCTCAACCGCATTCCTCAACTCCCGAACCCTCTGCCCAACCCTCCTCCTAACCTCACCACGAACCTCCGCCCCAACATCCTCCGGATTAAAATTCGTCTCAACAACCGCATCCTCTCCAACTTCCGACCGTCCCTCACCCCCATTCTCAATATTCCTGACACCACTATCGACATCTTCACCCGGCCGAACAGTGTACAGATGATACACGGCGCAGAGCTGGTTCAAAGCATCGCGCGCAGACTCGCGGTCAGAGGCGGCGTAGATGGTTGCGCCGTCTGTGCTGTCAGTTGCAATTTCGAATTCGTCTTTGGCGATTTCGTAGAGGTCTTGGAGTTCTTCGATGAGCAGGTCTGCTGTTGGTTTGGGGGGTGTGGTGCTCGAGTAGGGTCGGATGTGGAGGGGTGAATGTTGTTGGATTGTTGGGACGATTTTCAATGGAGTGGTAATGCGTGTGCTGGATGTGTTCCAATGTCTGGGGGTGTTTCTGGCTAAGATGCTGTACAAGGCGCGAGATGGTGTGATGCTCCGGGTCATTCGGGTTGATTGCAGAGTGCGGAGGCGCAAGGAGGGTCCTCCGGTGCGAAGGGAGATAGATGCCATGATTGATGATTTAGATATTTGCAATGAGAGAGAATGAATTGGTAATTGAGAACTGTGCAGCTTCGGAGTTTCCCCAAGGGTATTTGAGGAATGGAGATGTCGGAGCACCTTGGAGCTGGAGCCGGAGGGCGATGACGTATGGTCACGTGGTGATAAGGACTATATGGCAAGATGGATGTTGTTTGAAGTATCTTTGATTAGTCTAAATGAGGTTTATTTGTCGTATGTATTTGGTATACAGTCTATATAAGAAAGCAATCCATCGATGATTTCGTTGAATAAAGTCTTACTCGTCTCTGGGCTTGCGAATGGCTCCTGGACACTCCAGGTAGTCCTATGAAAATTACTTAAGACTCTCTTTTCTCAAGTGTTGCCAAACAGTCAGATCATAAGGTCATGTATTCCCTGATTAAAATTAAGATTATGCAATTAACAATACAGAGTGACACTCCTGAGAGTAAGTCACCATCATAATGGTCATATCGTTGAATGCCTTTTGGTAAAGCAAATCAACGATCGTTCCACCCCAAGCGAGGCATTCCACCTAGGCTTTTGGAAGGGTAATGCGCAATGCGCGAGGAGTAAGGCTAACCACGTCCCCATCGTCATTTAGATTGAACTCAAACTCCGGCATACCGACATTCCCATAGATATAGGAGTCCAGCTCGAGCCAAGTCATGCAAGCCGAAAGTATAGTCCCTGAAGTTGGTTGTGGGTTTAGACCCTGGATGACCGCTGAAAACGAAACTCGGCCAGGGCTTTTGAGACTGGTGGGTTGCAGACGCATACTAAGCAGAGAAGGGGCTTCTTTTAAACCTGCCTTTTCTGCAAAAGATTGTCCCATATCCACTGAGTTGCTGATCCATTTCGTAATCTTCAATCCTGGTTCATCATCCGCAACGATAGTAATGGACGAGTTAGAGGTTCCGTCCTCAAGGGCATATGTCCCTGCAAATCTCCTCGCAGCCTGGTTCTTGGCTATCTGCTCCAATGCAGGTAGCATAATTTCGGCAATCTGTTCACCCAACTTCATTGGCAAAGCAAAGGTGCCGTTTCCTGCAGTAAGTATTGCGAAGCCTGCGTTGTGGTCTGGGGACAGAGCCATGATGGAATTGTACATTCCAACGTTCCCAGATTTGGTGTAGAGGTCGACAAGACGTGGCTCTTTAAAGGACATGATCTCCCAGGGGTGTCCTACGGAGACTTGCAAAGACGCGGTGTGGGTTGCTGGTTTCATCCAACGTCTCGTCATGGCTGGACTGACAAGGGTATTAGCCAGAATGGCGCGGCCAAGGGTGGAAATATCTTTTGGCGATGAGTAGATGCCCCCAGCACTGATGCTGTATTAGCAATATCCTTCGAAGGAAGACATATAGATCGTAAACTCACGGGATTGCATCTCCGATGTCCAAATTGAACTGACTAGAAATCAGGTCCGAAGGGACTACCGCCAGACTTGGGTCGGGCATGCCATGGCTCGAGCGGGACAATCTAAGAGGCTCGATTATGCGTTCCATAAGAATATCTGCGAACGGTTTCCGGGCAATTGCTTCGAGTGCATAGCCCAGAATCTGATATCCAGCATTTGAATATAGTGGCGTAGAGGAAGTTGCGGCAATTGGCTGGGTGTCTAGTATCCCATCAAAGAACTCTGAAAAGCTGTCAGTCAGTCAATTCACAGACAATCTAACTCTTGATACACCCACGTTGCCTGTTGCATGGTGGGAACGGAGCATTCCCACATGGCATTCGCTCTGACTTGGGGAGCGATGGCAATCCCATTCTAGTAAGAGCTTGGGGAGGGGCGCTTGCTGCCAAATCCATAAAAGCATCTGTAAAATCCGGTCAGTACAGAGCTCTACATGTTTGGATAAAGATTAACACACAGTCTCTGGGAATGCCGGCTTGGTGACTGGCGAGTTCACCAATCGTCACTTCATCCCAATTGACATAGTCGATCTGGTCAATCTGTTGGGAGTCGTTGTAAGGGCTTCGCAGCTCGGGCACATATTTTGAAACGGGCTCTTGAAAGTGTTTGGTTCCATTGAATGTCATATATAGTAGCATGGTCCACAACTTGGAAATGCTACCAATGCGAAATACGGTATTCTCGTCCACTTCTCGTACTCCGACAGATCCATGGCGTACCGAGTCATCCGTGTGGGAAAGGCCAAAGGCAGCATATGAATCACTTTCGCTGAATATTTGCACAGATATTGAGTTTCCAGCCAGTTCGCCAGACTGAATGGCCTGTCTTATTTGCGCAGTGAGGTTTTGTGTCGCTGCGATGAATGTTGGGTCACTGCCGATCTCCGTGGGGGCTGGAAAGGCTGGTCCTAAGATAGGACATGCATTTGGTTTTGCGGCGACGTTCGCGCCCAGCGAAAGTAATGACAATAAGTACAATGAATACATTGCCAATTCTCAGAGCCGTCTTGGGCTTTTTCCTAGCGGATAAGGGTTCCCAAATTTAAGCTGAAGGTCGAGTCGCGTACTTATAACATAGCATTCCTAACCCTCTCATCCCCGTTATTCGGCACCGGCAAGGACATACGAGCCTTGAACGCGACAAAGATGGCAGGAATCTAGTGACAGATCGATCTGTAGATTTGGGTATGATAATCGGGATTTCGAAGCATATTCATCGTCTTGGGGCACCGCTCTACATGGAGTTCTTCGATGACTCTATCCGACCGCGCTTGCACAGGGTGATCGTGTGATGTCACACGCCAATTACCGGCAGCTTAACATCAAATCCTTTTCAAAATGATTGCTTTTCTTCCAAAATGCTTAAATTAATTTTCAGATTTTTTTTTTTCGAATAGGAAAGCTGTGGTTGTTGTGTCGCGTCGTGATACTCAGACTCGAGCTATAGGGCCGAAGCTAATCATAACAATGGAATCTCCACAAATTCGCACGCGAAGACAACGCGGAGGGGAAGTAGATTCGTCTAGAAAATTCTCTATTACGTAGGAATCGCGGTCCTAGAAAGGCACTGAATGTTCTCCTTTATCAATCACTTTCTTGGCGAAGGGGGTTGACCAGCTGTCCAGGTTCTTCGCGCGGGAGGTTAAAGTTGCGATAATTGATCACCGATTTGTATAGAGAGGATGGTTCTGATTTCACGTCGATTACATGAATTTTGGAAATTATCAATGCACACAATGGGAAAATAGACAAAATAATCTCACTCAAATGTACTCGCCCTTAAGCCCATGGATTTTGAGGTGCCAGGAAATGAAAAAAAGAAGGGTAGGAAGGGGGAGTACTTGGCCATACCTCCTTTTCCCCTCGTCACGTTAACTGCACTACGTAGCCATTTACCAAACTATGCAGTAAACTTATAACCTGTCCTATCTGTTGTGAAAAATTCTTCAATGTGCTCTACAGTGGAGAGAGTTTTCTAGTATCTCGAATTCTGGTGATTTCGTGCCTTCAGATTACCCGCAGGAACTATATATTCCGAGCGTCCTATCCCCGAGGTTAGCTCCATTTCCAGAGATCGCGGATTTTCTCCCAGTGCAAACATTCTCTGCCCGATCTCTGAGATTCGTACTGACGCTTAAATTATAGCTCCAAGCTTTACTACTGTAAATACCCGATTTAAATTAATTAGTGGTGGACCCTCCAAGTGGTCGAAAACTACTCCATACTGTACGCGTTCTATAGCGGCTAAATTCCTCAGGGGCACGTTGAAATGCGGGGGGTAAACAGATCCACAATTCGGACATTCCTCCATCCATTATCCTGAGACACCTTTAGTCGGACCATCGGCCGCACTTTTTTGAGATTGGTGCTCATTTTTCCTTGGTGGATTGACACTTGACGAACAGACCCTTCTTGGACTGACGCCCCTTTCCCATCAATTTGAAACGGTTCATACACACATCTTGACACCCAAGCTAGAGTTTTAGCTTTCGACGATGATGCATTAGCTTCTGAACCATGACCTATATATTGCTTTGAACTCTTTCGATTTATGTCGATATCGCGACATCTCCCAAACGCGACTTGCATTATGACTCGAAACCTCCTGGCCGCAGTCGCGGTCCTGGCCCAGCTCGCTGCTGCGCAACAAATTGGATCAATCCCCGAAATTCATCCGAAGCTGCAAACTTGGAAATGCAGTAACAAAGGCGGCTGTGTAAAGCAAGATACCTCGGTGGTCTTGGACGCGTTGTCGCATCCACTGCATCAAATCGGAAACAGCAGTAACTCGTGCGGAGACTGGACTAATGGATTAAACCCGACAGTATGCGGCACTGAAGAATCATGCGCCGAGAGCTGCGAATTAGATGGAGTGGACTACGCGTCTAACGGCGTGAGCACCAAGGGCAGCAGTCTGATTCTACACCAGTACATGAAATCCAATGGCGTCGTCACCAGCGTATCGCCTCGTGTGTACTTGCTCGACGAGAGTGGGAAGAACTATGACATTCTGAAACTCTTGAACCAAGAGCTGAGTTTTGATGTGGATGTTTCTTCCCTGGTATGCGGGATGAATGGTGCTCTCTATCTCTCGGAGATGGTTCAGTCCGGTGGTCGGGGTGAGCTCAACCCTGCTGGTGCGCAATATGGCACGGGGTACTGTGATGCACAATGCTCTTGGTTGCCATGGGTCAATGGAGTGGCCAATGTCGACTCCTATGGTGCTTGCTGCAACGAGATGGATATTTGGGAAGCCAATGCCCGTTCTACTGGATACACGCCTCATGCCTGCAACATCACTGGCCTCTATGAGTGCAGTGGCGATGAGTGTGGCAGCAGTGGTGTTTGTGACAAGTCTGGTTGCGGATATAATCCTTATGCACTGGGTGCGCACGACTACTATGGATATCGGAAGAATGTTGACACTACCAAACGCTTCACCGTCGTGACCCAATTCGTGACCGACGATAATACCGCACATGGTACTTTGTCCCAAATTCGACGACTGTATGTGCAAAACGGAAAGGTGATCCAGAACGCTGTCGTCAACGTGTCCGGTAGTGAGACCAACTCTATCACCGATGGCTACTGTTCAGAAACTGCTAGTTATTTCCAGCAAAAGGGTGGTATCAAGCAGATGGGCAAGGCGATTGGTCGGGGAATGGTCCTGATCTTTAGTATTTGGAATGACTCGGGGGCTTTTATGAACTGGTTGGATAGTGGGAGTGCTGGACCGTGCAATAGCACCGAAGGTAATCCTGCTCTTATCCAGGCTCAACACCCTGAGACTTCGGTGACTTTTTCGAACATCAAGTGGGGCGATATTGGATCTACCTATTCGCATTGAACATAGATTTCAAATCAAACTCGGTGGCATTTTCTTCGCAATAAGTTTATCTAACTGAATCACTATTCCCACCGCTCTTTTCCCATTCTCAATTTCAATATTAGGCAAGCAACTAGTCATTAATGAGCGTATGCAGTTCGGGTACTCGTTAAAATCATAAAAGTCAACATCGGCACAAAAAGCAGAAAGTCTCTAAACCATCTCTAACAGCCGCATTACCTTGTATTCTCTCGTCAATCACCGACCCCAATCTCAAGTTGTTTTCCGTTCCAAATCTAGTTTACTCAAGCTTCTCACTAATAGCCTTGATTCCCTTGTCGTCATGGTTATGGTTGTCAGGGTCATCATCGTGAGCCTCATCTTTGTTGTTGGCGACAGGAGTGGCCTGGGGGACAATCTGGTTGTTGCCATTGTTGTAGTTGCCACTGCCCTTCCAGTTGTCCTGATCCTGCGGGTAGTTTCGGGCCATAACAGAGGGAGTAGGGGTAGCACCATCGCGGTTCCAGTCAGAGCGGCAAGACCAGCCTGAGCGGTCATCCGAGTCACTGTTCATGCACTTGTCGTAGCGATCGCCATCGTGGTTGGAATCATCATTGCCGTTCCAGTCATTGAAGGGTCAAACACGGGGCAGTAGGACAGAGGCAACATCCTCGACGGTCTCATGACCCTCTTTGTGCTCCTGGCGACAGTCCGCTTCCTCTTGCTCCCGGTAGTTATCGTAACGGTCTTCATAGGGATAGTAGCGGGGGACATGGATGATGGAGCTGGCAGCGGCGGCATCGTTGACCGGAGTGGGGTAATCATGGTTATGAAGAGATAGGTAGATACTGCAGGATTCTGAGAGTTTGATAAATCCATATGGAACCAAGAAATAAATGGCAGCACTACAGCATTATCGCTGGTAGCCCCAACCCCACACCTTAATGGCTCCACCCACTAAACGCCGCCACTCCGGGGGTGGCTGCAGATAAACCACGGACCACGCCCTTGACGTGCTCATGGGATCGAAAGAGAAAACGTGTAAGACATGCAGGGGATTGCGCGAATTTTACTTGGAAGCTCTTGAAATTCCAAGGAGAGAATAGAGGTAATGCCGAGCTGCCAAGCTAAACTAGGAATTGCGGTCTGGCATAAGCATGTTGAACATAGGTTGCTAGACTTTCCCAGTACCTGCAAAGATCGAGAAATTAATGCCAACACTTGTCCTGTTTTTTGTCATATACGATGATAAACATGTTCATATTGTCTGAGAGTTCCGTGTACCATGCAATCAAATAGAGGAATCTGGTCTTGCGTAAAGGTTTATAGAGAAATACCGAAAGCGACGACTTCTTGAGATTACTACCAGAGTACCCTTAGAAACTGCACTATTTAACAGAGAACTTTCAACCTTCAATATAGCTTGACTCAAACCTGTAACCAACATCCTACAGTTCCGCAAAACAATCATTCTCCCAACAATCCCTCATTCAAAACGAGGGATTCGCATTCTCAACCAACTGTTCGAAATAGGCCTGTAAAAGATAAATCAGTCAGTAACCACAACCAACGCCGCATACCCCACAATCCCAATTTTGAATCTTACCTGGAACCAAGTTCCCGCCTCGGGAGCAGGCTGCAGCGCATCACTGTATCCACAGTGCGCATCGTATCTCGCAGAAGAAGAATCCGAAGTCCCATCACTCTCACCACCGGGCTTAACCCAGACAAAAGCATCTTCCAAATCATCTCCCGTGTCAGTCGTGGGTCGAACGCCGAAACCAGTGCCCTTGACGTTGCACCAGTCTCCCCAGGCACTTTGTTGAGTTGGCTGGACGCCGTTTCGGCCTAGAGAAAGAGGTTAATCAACAATTGTGCCCAAACATAATATTTTGTAAAGTGCGAAATGCCCGCAAGCAAGAAGGCGAATAGATGGTGACTTACCGGTATCAGTAATAAAATGCGCATCCCAACCCGCGCTCTGCAGCAAGGGGGCAATCGCATTAACGTATTTCTTCTCATCGCAGTTCGAATCACCAGACGTATACGAGGGACACGAATCCAGGGACCAGCCATTATAGTTTGCAACGTTGGTAGCTAGACCGCGGAGTGATGCTGGCTGGGAAGCGTTGTTATAAACTGAAGCGAAGAGTGTAGCTGCGGGACTTAGATTTGCGTCCCAGCCTAGCCAGCCGGCGTGTCCTGATACAATATTAGTATTGCTGTGGAATATGGGCACTGGGTGTGGAATATTTACCAGCATCAATGTACATCGCCACATTAGCCAGGTTGAGCTGTGTCAAGGCGTAGTTGACACCTTCAAGGTATGCGTCGTATGCGTTTGCGCATTTAGCGACGTTCAGGTTAGTAACCAGGTTAGCAAGACTGTCGGGTTCTGCAAGACATTTGTTAGAATAATTAACACCGAGGCGAATTCAACGAATTCCTGACCGATAACGAGAATAGTCTGGACATCAGAGTATGTCGTAAGAACAGCCTTGATAGAATCGATATAAGCCTTATACTTGGTCACACCGTCATCCGCAATCGAGTATTCGCCGTTACTCGCCAGCGCGGCACAATCCCGATCCGGTAAATCGTAAACCACGAATTGACCCGCATAAGGCGGGCTCGCGCCAGCAGAATTCTTAGATTGGATGTCCGCGAGGAAGTCGCCCATCGTGGACACTTTATCAGCCGTGTCACTGTCAGAATTAGCATGGGTGGGAACAATAGAGATGACGTAGAGGTTGAAATTGTGAGACTCACAGCCAGAAGAACGACGGTACAACCGCTGCCGAACTCGCCGCTGCTTGCGCGGCACCAGTCATGGAGGGTATAGCGGAGGTATACACCTCGGAGGAGTAGTACGAGTTTGCGTAGAGCTGGTATCCCGAGAATGGATTGCCCGTTGTCGCGGCGGCAGTGACTGCTGCTGCGTTCGAGGACCCGGATGCACTTGCTCTTGCGTGGATGACTCCTGCCGCGGCCGAGTGGGCGAGCAGGGGTACGAAGGAGAGGAAAGATCGCATGTTGAAGGTTGAACCCGCCCAGCGGAGATATGCCTTAGTGAAGGATTGTGGGAGTGGCTTCCAGGCCTGATGAGTTGTGTTTGGAATTCGAGAGGAATGGAAGATGGATTTAGAGTGCCTTTTATATTTCCACAATTCAGCCTGGCTTGACGCCATGCCGTTTTGTGGTTGACGCCTCCATGCCTAATGTGATCAGGGCTTAACGCCATGTTTACTATCTACTCTCTAGGGAGTAGTAAGGCGATATGATACACGATTTGGGCTAAAAAGGGCTATACCTTCGCATCCTCGATGATTGTAAAATTGCTCAGGCAGCATAAATAACAGACTAATATCTGGGCATGTTTCGCGGACAAAACTCCCCGCCGCAAAAGTGGATGGATTCCGTCGATCTCGATCCCCCCGTTGATTCCTGAAGAAGAGAGCAAGGGTCCATAGGCAAAACCGTATATCAAACACGGCGCATGGCCCGAGCTGAGGACAGTTTAGTCACGGAAAAACTGCACATAATTGTTTCAAGTGGTGGTCATAGTTCTAAACGTGGTCATTCTATCTGCGGAGCGTGGCTCGACGTGGCGGCATGTGGCTGTCGTGGAGTGGGGAAACCCGGGGAATTAGCTTTCTTCAGGGTTATGAAGATGTGGGGATTACTACTCGATCACTACCTAGTATCAGATAATCGCTATCAGTATTTATGGAAGAGATATAAGAGGAAGTGTGTAATTTGTCATTTAAAAAGTATTCAAAGTCACTGAGATAGACAAAAAGGAAAAGTTCAAGTGAGTGGAGTGGTATCGCGCAATCATCAGGGGATCCGGCCTAGCCTGAATCAACAAAGCAAAACAAATCAATCAATAATAAAATGAGAAAAGCAAGAATAAAAAAAGTTACGCTCAAGTCCAAGCACGGTGGCTCGCTCAGCGTCGTGCACGATCACATTCAGCCAGGAACTTGTAAATCCCCTCAACGTCATACTCCGGAGTAGCCTCCGGCAGACCAGCGCTAGAGATTTCCGGGAAGAACGGACGATCCCCGAGTTCACTAATGTTAATGCTCGAGTAAGCAGAATGCGAAGATGTCCAGGGATTACTGCCAAACAACTCTTTATCCTCGAAACTGATCGCCTTGCCGGAGTCATGGCCCGAATCCCCCGTGAAGGGGCTGCCAAATTCCGGTGTGAGCATGCCTTGCCAGTCAATGTCATTGGATGGGTGAGTGTGTGGGTTTGATGCCTTCTCAAAGAGATACTCCGTGTCGGAGGAGGCGGCTACGCTGGGAGCGAAGGGAAACAGGAGAGCGAGATCAGCACCGGTTCGAAGATTGAAGTCTTCATCTTGGATGATCCGGCCTCGTTGAATACCGACCTCATCGCATAGGCGTTCGACGGTCTCGGCATCACAACCGGGGAATCGTACTCGAATTGTGGAGCGATCATGTAGAGAAATTGGGAGATCGCCCAATGTCGAAAGACGCTTCAAGTCGTTCAACACGGTAGCAAACTCCTTCAAAGCGCGGGCAAAGTCGGCAGACAGCAAATCCATAAGCCCATCCGAGTTGAGGGTCTCAACAGCCTCGGATCCGTACTTCTTGTTCAGAGCGCTAAAAGCACCAAAGGCAGTGATGGTAGGAGACAGCTGGAAGTCAAGGCTTGAGCCGGAAGCATTGCGGGGGACGGCGGTCATCTTGCGACCAGCCTGATCCTGCAAAACACTAACAGCCTTGTACCGCTTCTCGCCCGTGTGCGGGTCAATCCCATCAAAGCGGACTTTCTGACCAGACAAGAAGAACGCGCGAACACCCTGGGAGACATTCTGGATAACCTGTGCGGGAGCAGCCGGTCCATGAGAGAAATACCGGGCACCACCGAATCGTCCAGCACCAATGGTATATCCCCCCGCAGTACGACCAAGCGTTCCCCCAGTCAAATTCGGACGAAGCGTAGACGCAAACGGAGCACGGCTGGTAATCTTGCTAATATTCGAAGAGACTCGAGTCGTCTTGTACGCATTCACATCGGCCTGAATACCAGATCGAATGGCAGAGACAAAGGCACCGGCCGCACGAGTCGAGAAGTAGCGGCTGCGGGCTTGACGGATAGCCGCGGCACGATTGATAGGCTGGCGGGCATTGATGCGGGCATAGGCGGGTTGATACCGTAGTGAAGTATGTTGGCTCGGTTCAGGGAGTTTGGCTCTTATAGCCTTGGTAGCCTTTTCATAGGCAAACCTGCAGTAACCGTAACACGGGTCGTCAGCGGATGACTCAGATCGTTATCGAGGCGGGTCGAGGGGAGACTGGATGTCAAACGTACCTTGCTGCTCGCCATATTTTGGGGAGCAGCAGGTGCCCATTGGCAGGCGCCATACTGATGGTGGGTTAGATGGATGGACACGCTGGGGTGCGTGAAGAGGGATGGAAGAGAGATGCCTGATGACGGAGGAGTCGGGGCTTATCAGGACGCCTCAGGCCGGATACCCCAGTGGCGGTGCATTGCCACACATGTGACCCCGCATGATTGGCGCAGTGGCTGGAGTCCCACTGTGGATCGGCAGTATGGCATCTACGAGGAGAATGTGGGAATGCAGTGAGATTAACTTTGGATATTGAATGGTTATTATAAGAGAGATAACTCCCGAATGAGTGAGTCTGATGAGATTCATAATTATCAAAGATTAGCGATCTCGATCAAGTTAGGGAGCACGTGCTTAAACTCAGGCAGTGGGGGTCACGTGTGCACCGTTTCGTCTGATCACAAGAGAGTTTCGACAGCCCTAAACCTTCAGACGTCTATCTACTCTCAATACAAATTCAGAATGATTTGACTACTTGGGTATCTTACAAAGCAATGTTCATATCACATATCACGTATCAGTACATTTCGTGGAGTCCCTCTAGAAGGGTAGACATTAAGTCATATCATTATTTCTCGGAGTATTTCATCCATCCCATATCAACACAACCAGAACGCCGTCATTTAAACGCCTTGTTAATCCGGACAACCTGCGTCCTTGGATGCCTCAGTGCGGCAGTATCACAGGACTCGACCCTTGAGAACCCACCGAAGTCTGTCAACTCATGACCCAGTCCGTTCGGTGTCCTTGGACTCGGACTGGGTGAGGGCTGCCAGTAGTCGTCCGAAGTGACCTGCTCCGGCCGGACGAGACAGATGAGGCGGTTAAGAACCGCAAACTCAAGCTTGAGCTTGATGCTGTACACCAGGGACTTGAGGGCTGTCTGGATGGTGTAGCGATTGGTGAACTCCATGATGAGGAGTACCACGTCCAGAAGGATGAGGAAGACGTTGATGGCGAGAACGTAGTAGAGGGTTTTGCGATGCACTTTGTGAATGCGCGAGTTTGGAGGGACGATGCGCAAGTTTCGGATAACTTGCACCACGTAGAGATAAGAGATAACCATCTCTTGCACGGAGAAACCGACCAGCTCGATGCGCTCCATGATATCGTAACCATGTTGCCAGACGGCATTGTTAGATTTGGCGAAATTAGAGCCGTAAGTGAGGATAGTGGTCGGCACGTGAAGAATGATCGCATTGGTGATAATCATGATCAACACGCGGCGCAAGACACTGGGATCATTCACCAGTAAATTGAGTCGTGAGTACAGCACCACGGCTTGGCCGGTGACCATGAAATACCAGCCGATGGTGGAGAGGGTAAGCGAAAACCAGAGTGGCGCCAGCGCCAGGTCCTTTAGTAGGAAGCTGACGGCCTGTGGAACGACGCCGAGCAAGCCACTCAGCAGCAAACTCCAGAAATACAGACCTCGCCAGTGTCGGAAAGTGCAGAGGATGAGGATGACGAGCTCGATAGAGTTGTAGATGGCGAGGCCGAGCAAGGTCACGATACTCAGGATCAGCACCAGATTTTGCCCGGAATAGCTGCCGTCCCCATCATCGGTAAGTGGAGCGCCAGCTTGAGACATGGCGAGAGGGCGAACGAGGACGGTCGGATCCGATCAACGCCGCAGGAACGTGGGGTTGTGTTCATGAGATGCGACGAGTCGGATTATCAGAGGGGCATGGTCGAGGGGGTGGGTGGGGAGGGAGAGAGAAAAAGAAAAGGAAGAGAAGAAGAAAAGAAAAAAGGATGATGGCTGATGGAAGGGAAGAAAGAGAAGGCGCTAGATGTGAATATTAAATCTCCGCGTAAGAAAAAATACGGGGGGAGGGGGAAGATGGGAAAGAGGGAATTAGGGAATAGGGTCAGAAAATCAAAAAGTCCGAGTCTCCAGAGTTATAGGGATTTCTTTTCTATTTCTTTAGCCCCCCGTCCTTTCCAATCTTCAGTCTTTAGGCAGCCTTACAGTCTTTCAATGCGCCTCGCACTCTTCTTCCCTTTTTTTTTGCTTCTTCCTCTTCTCTTTGATTCTGCTAGTCAGATCGGTGTAACAATGATCAAAATATCATCTAAGCCTGGTCTCTCAACGTTGACCATGCGAGCACTCAATTCTCATTTCCCGCCTCGCTTCTTTTTGCTGGTCGGGTCTCCCCCAGGCCCCAAACCCCGCTTTATCCCCAGCCGAGGCCTTTTAACTGGCTGGACGTCCGACTGGGGGAGCGTTTAATCATCGAATACCTTTGGTTGAAAACGCGTGGTCCCCGCAAACCACGGGCCTCCCCTTTAAATTAATAGTCAACTCACTGTGCTCCGAAAGTCTAAGCGCACTTTTGAGTTCGCTTTCTTCTCCGCATACCCGGGTCCGTGATGCAAAGGGATCCCCGTCAGCTTCTGACCTTTGAACCCCCTAAGACGGAAATCGGACATTGGATCCAATCAGAAATTAGGAGTGTGCGTGGCTCGCTCTTTTTTCCAGGACTGTCACCAACTGTCAGGACCCATCTTTACCCCGGTATTTCCTTATTTTTTTCCCTTGCACGAGCAATCGTCTTGGCAAGTGTGATCGAGTCCAGAACTAGCGGGCGTTTCGCGAGATGCTTTATTTCCTTTCATCTGCTTGTGATAAAACTATGTCGTTGTTTTTTTGAAACACGCGAGCATGCATATTGTTAGGTTTTTGTTCAGGCCCCCCGATACTCCGCGACCTCTCGCTCTCGTACTGGATGTGATGGAAGGATTCGTACGCGCATGGTCAGCCACGAGTCATACAAATTGGCTTTCCGCATCCAGTCCACGGAGGAGACTCCTGGAAACGGTAGTCCACGGCCACGCTAGAGGAAAGTCAAAACTATAACAATGCATGAGAGACCGAGCTCGCTTATTGGGTGGAAATGCACGGTCGCATCCCCTCGTCTCGTTTGTCGGCCCCGAGAGAGAGAACTACTCCAGTCGTACTAGTAAATGCAACTTGGCCCCGTATTCTCGGGTGGCAGATCGATCCCGCACATGTTTGTCCTTGGCATGGCACATTTACAGTTTGGCTGCTGGCATGTGCATTCAAATTGTAATTGTAATCCCATATTGTAGTCTCAGTGGTCGTCTTACAAACCGGGCCAAAGCTCGGTCGGTACCCCTGGATCCACGTGGATTGGATAGATCGGCTGAGATGTCAGGAATATGAGTACTAACTACCGTCTCTCGATGGAAAGACCCTCTTGAAAAATTCTGAACAGTCCAAGTCAACATAAATCCCTCGTTGAGCCCTGATAGTGGTCCCATTCCAAAATATTCCGAGGCGGGCTACTACTAGCGCGAAAAAAAACTCAAGGCATCCCGACCGATTCTCTGGCCGCAGTGGCCGGTGTTTACATCCGAGATCTCGCCTTCGGGCTTGACCTGGCATGTCTTACATGCCGAGCATTATCAGAAAGACATTGAGCAATCTAGGCCGATCAAGACTACTATTTTCGCCACTTGCCATGAAGCGAGACTCTACATTTTGCAACCATCGTGATGCGTGACCTGCAAAATGGGACTGTGGGTCTAACCCGAAGTAGAAAAGTGTAACTCGTTTTCTGTGCCGGTGGCGAGAGCCGCAGTTCGAGGCTCCGCTACACTATACAGATGTCCAATATGTAGATTTTTTTCCCCTTCTGTATATAGAATCACCCATAATAGAGCTTTAGAAGGAAATTGGAATTGAATCAGAGTCTCCTCCTGGATTCTCCCCCGCCAGCCATGGCCGAGGAATTCACTCTATTCCCCCAACTACCCCCCGAACTCCGCCGCATGATCTGGAAAGCATGTCTCCCCAAAACCCGCATCTTCGACATAATGTTCCCCTGCTACGCCTACGACCACTACCGCTGCCGTGGATCTAGCTGGGCATCCCGCGAATCCTGGAGACCGCCCGTGATCACCCGCGTATGTCGGGAATCCCGAGCCGTAGCCCATGAAACGGGCCGAGTGATCTTCCAAGAAGACAATCCCAACGTCCCGAATTACATTAAGAGTGTGTGGTCGGACACGACGACGGATATCATTGCGCAGTATTGGGCGCCCGGACTTGAGAGCGTGGTCTTTTGGGATGATCCGGATCCGGAATTTTTTCATTTTGCCGAGACGTATTCGGCCACGATGATTTCTGAGTTGAGGTTGAGGATGGCGTTGAGTTTGGATGCAATGAGTTTGAGCAGTGATACCTTTGATTGGGCGAATTTGCGGCAGCTTAGGGAGTGCTTTGTTTGTTTGGAGGAGCCGGTTATGATCCATGTTTCGAGGAAGGAGTTGCTTGTTTCTGGGTTGTTTGGGCTGTTGGGAGAGGAGTATACGCAATTGGTTGATCCGATGGATACGGAGACGTTGAAGAAATTCCACCATCTGGCGTTAACGTCGAGTCAACAATTACCCGAAACGATCAAGTTCTTCGATGACCTTTCCACGCCGAAGTTTCAGTCTAAGATTCGCGATTGGACTCGCACTATGATGACACGATGGATCTTTTATGCTTGGATATGTGCCGACGAGGAGGAGTATGCGAGCATCGAGTATCCCGAGGAGGTCTGGCTCGGACCGAGTGAACCGGGGGTGGACGAGAAACCGTTTAACCCACTTAAGCCAGATTCTTATTGTTATAAGGGTCGTTTCAAGTCAGATCAAACGGTCTTCTGGTATAATGAGAAACATCCCTGGGTACAACAGAAGCTTGCAGAGGCACCGAGGTTTTATCCTCGAATTATGATCCGTCCGTGTATCACGAGATGCTGGCTTCCTCGAACTCCACCTCGACGAGGGAGAGCGAGGGGACATTATCGAGCTGGGGGAAGGTGAAAGTGGACTCGTCTTTTTAAGGCCAGCTTCTACTTGGGCTGAATCTGTATGCAAACATGATGGGATGAAGATGACCACTTTGTCCAGGGGTCCTGCAGAGCATCAATGACTCGTTGGACTATTCGTCGTGGAAGTACCAGACTATATCATGCTGGTTACGTCTGGATCATGATGGAATGTTAGAGAAGCTATATGTATGCTTAATGTGTTGTGATGTCCTTTAGTTACTCCGCTTCCCGCTTCCCGCTTGGTCTGCTTTCGTTTTATTCCCCATTTCATCTGATCACTCTAATAATACCTCTACTTCTTCCACTAACTCCACCTCCCGCCTGAGGATGCTACGAATAACGCAAAACTCAGCCCTATGATAAGGAATCTTCCAGATAAACACTCATATTCTATATCTAAATCCTATCCAAATGCATAACCCTACTCATCATCCCCAAAGAAAACCTTAACAGGCAACCACGCATCCCCACAAACCTTAAACCGATCCTTCAACCCATCCAACAACCCAACCTCCTCCTTACTCAGCTCCCACCCATCAATCTCATAATTCCCATCAATCCGCGCCTTGCTAACAGACTTGGGAATAACACTCCACCCCTTCTGAATACCCCACACCAACAACACCTGCTGCGGCGTCTTGCCCTTCTTCTCCGCCAGCGACAGCAGAGTCTCGTCCTTGTAGAGCGGGGAGTTGGTAGAGCCCAGGCAGGAGTAGCCGGTGGAGTGGATGCCCTTGGAGGTGTTGTAGGCGACTAGTTTGGGGGAGGGGTTGTTGGGGTGGAGTTCTATTTGGTTGACGGCGGGGATGATATGAGTGGAGGGGTCGTTGAGGAGGATTTCGAGGTTTTTGATGCCGAAGTTGGAGACGCCGATGTTGCGGACTTTGCCGGTTGCGGGGAGTTTTTGGAGTTCTTGCCTGCGGGGTGTTAGTGTTGCTCCCTTTCCATATACTGTGTATAGATGGAGGGTCCATGGTCTTACCAGGTCTTGATAAAGTTCCAGTCCGGCAGGTGCTTGGACTTATCCTCGGGATCGGTCGAGCTGGGCCAGTGCATCAAGTACAGATCGACATATTCAACACCCAGATCCTTGAGAGAGGACTCAATGCCCTTCTCAACCTGGTGGTGCCAGGTGTTGTCCAGCTTAGTAGTAAGCCAGATCTGCTCGCGGGGCACGCCAGAGTCACGAATACCAGCACCCACTTCGGCTTCGTTGCCGTAGGCCAGGGCAGTGTCGATGTGGCGGTAGCCCTTTAGCAGGGCGTTCTTGACAGCCTCACGGACTTCATTGGGCTTGGATTGCCAAGTTCCCAGACCGATGGCGGGGATCTTGTCACCAGTGTTGAGGGTGTGGGTCTTCCTGAGAGAGGGAAGAAGGGGAGAACAGTTAGATCGCGTGTGCGGGGACTGTAATGACGGAAGAGAGGGCTTACTTGGTGTGCTCGTTGGACATTATGGCGGTAGTGGGTGGAAATAGGGAATTGATGGGAGGTCAAGAGAAGAGGTTGGAGGATACATTGATGGATTTATAGGTAGAGGGTGTTTTATAAGCAGCGGATGGATCTAACCCAGGCCGTTGTAAAGTGGGCAGGTCCAAGCCGCGATGATGTCGCAGTGGAGGGGCAGATCTTGGAGCAGTTACAGCAATCGCGTCAAATCAAAGCCATGCTTTGTATCAGAGTGGGGAAGTGGCTATCCCTTTTCTGGATGCCTCTGTAGTGTATCAAACGAATCAGGCACGGGTCTTAGGCGGGGAGAATGAACAGGGTAGGAAGGTGTTTATCATGGTAAAGGACTGGGAAGATGGATTACCAATACAGTGATCTATAAGTTAGCAGAACCACCTAAGTTAACTAATTCCAAGATAGTTAGGTTAGGTAGACCCTGATTTCCACGTGTCTAGAAACTACCTTCGACCCTAATTCTTATTATTATCTAATCATCCAATTTCACCCGGGTAAATGCAAAGACCAGCCCGATTCCGCCAAGCGCAATTGGCCCGAAGTCTCGTTGACTTGACCTCCTCGACAAAGTTGACAGCCTCCAATCTCACTCCTTCCCGAACTTCCGCCCTCTCCCTCTCGGTCCAATCCCTCCTCCCCGAAAAATCACGAGACTTCCCGCTAATCCACGCAACTACCCGGCTAAATTTTCCTACGCGCGCTCCCCGAGCTCCTCACGCATATACCCGAGCTCCAAGCTCAAGCTCGCGCCCCAGAGCCCCAAGCTCCATCCCTCGGGAAATATACCTACGCAGATCAGATACCCCACACGCACCCTGCCCCTCACCTCAATTACCCCGGCTTTCATCCTCGGAGTTCATCATGTCGTCCGGTTTCGTGTCCGCCGGGACGAACGAGGAGCCTGTGGAGCGTGATGATGCTTGGGTAAGGGCGCAGAAGGAGTTGGAGGAGGAGCGACGGCGGAAAGCCGAGGCTGGGCAGCAGAAGGATGGGAAGAGTCTTTTTGAGGTGCTACAACAGAACAAAAGTGAGCTCCTCGCATTCTCCCTTTCGTGTCCCTGCGCATGGCATTGCGCGTGGTGGCGCCATACGGCCAAGCTCGCCTACAGCCACAAGCCTCGGTATACAATGGCTATAGGCCACATGCCGGTCAAAGATGACGAACCAAGATAGGGACGCGCGGCTAACATGTCAGGATGACCTTTGTGACGAGCAGTGGCGAAACAAGAACAATTCGAAGAGAAAATGCGACTAAAGAACCAATTCCGCGCGCTGGATGAAGACGAGGTAGACTTTCTAGATTCCGTGCTGGAGTCAACTCGCGCTCAGGAAGAGGCTGTGAAAAAAGATACGGCCGATCAGCTGGAGGTCTTCCGGAAGCAGCGTGAGGAGGCGGAGAAGGCGATGCTGGGGCCTACCACGTCTGATGTGACTCCTGCGCCTGCGGAGGAGGAGGATTGGGCTATTCCGGCGAGGAAGAGGAGGAGGGATAAGGGGAAGGACTCGTTGATTCCGGGGAAGAAGCGTAAAGCTTCGCTCACGGAGGGTGGTGAGACTGCGGCGAAGAATGAGGTAGCATCTACCAAGGCTACGTCTACGCCTGGGACCAATGCTCAGAGCCCGAAGACGGCTGGAAATGCTGTCAAGGCTGTATCGGAGACGAAGGCACAGTCGAGCATACCAGAAAAGACTACGACAGATACCAAGCAGCCAGCTAAACCAGCACCGGCCGGGCTGGGACTGGTAGGATATGGATCAGACTCGGATTCAGAATGAATATGAATTATATTTCGAGTAACACTCTCATTTCACACATCAGTCTCTTCAACCAAACATTACATTCGTCCCATCCCCTTCCTCCAGAACAACTCCAACTCCAACTCCCCCTTCCAATCTCCCCTCATCTACTCATAATGCACCGCATTCTGCTTAACCTCCTGCTCCTCAACCTTCCTCTCCAAATCATGCGGCAAATAATCCTCCTTCTTACTGCCCGGCACAAACCACGGCGCATGCGAGAACATATAATTCATCTCCTCAAGCGGCACCTTCTTCGTCTCCGGCAAGAGGAAGTAAAAGAAGACAGCATTCGTGAAATTGCAAATCACGAACAAAAAGTAATACCGATACTTAATATTCTCCATCGCAATAGGCGTAACCTGACCGATCATCGTATTAAACGCAAACGAGATACCCGTCGCGATAGAAACACCCTTCGATCGAGTCCGGGTATCGAAGACCTCGGCGGGGATAATCCACGACAGCGGTCCGCAGGTTGCGGAGAAGGAGAAGTTGTAGAGCCAGGTCATTATGATGAAGCCCCAGTGGGCGCCGCTGTTGATTGTGGTAGGTGGGAATTTGGCGAGGAGGATTGTCGCGATGATGAAGGTTGTGCAGTTGCCCAGGTTGCCGCCGATTAGGGTCCAGCGACGGCCGAAGCGGTCGATGAAGAGGATGCAGAGGAATTGGGCGACGAGGGCGATGATGGAGTTGATGGCTTGGTAGCGGAGGGTGGCTTCGCCGGAGATACCGATTTGCTTGTAGATGTCGACGGAGTAGTATCTGTATGTGTTAGATCGGGGTTTGACATGGGGCAAAGGGGAGGAAGGTGGTGAGATTGGGGCGGTCTTACTGGATGGCAGAGACACCGGTCATTTGGACGGAAGCTTGGATAGCACAGCAGAGGAAGAGTCGTCGGAAGGAAGACCGGTTGGTGAACAGCTCGACGTAGGACTTGGCCTCGTTCTCGTGCTCAAAGGTGATGCTCTCCTGAATCTGGGCGTACTCGGCCTGCACCCAGGGATCCAGCTCATTTCCATGAGCGTGAAGCTTGGCGAGGGTCTTGAGGCCCTCATCTGGGCGGTTGTGGTCAATCAACCAACGGGGAGACTAGAAGATATTAGGCCGGGTATTTTCAAATATGTATAAGAACCAAGGTTGGACATACCTCGGGGAAAACAACGATCAACAGACCCAGGCCAACAGCAGGGATGATCTGGATACCCAATGGAACCTGCCACTGAGCATCGTTGGCGGAGGAGAAACCAATATACGTGCCGTAGGAGATCCACGACGCGCACAAGGCGCCGACACCGAGCATGAACTGCTGCAGCGCGGTGACTCGGCCACGGATCTTGGGGTGGCAGATCTCAGCCTGGTACAAAGGAATGATCATGGTCAGGAAGCCGACACTTTGGACCCAGTTAGTCATGCGCATTCGCCAGATAGCGGTTTGGGGGTTTGACTTACCCAAATCCAGCAAAGAATCGACCGCTGTATAGATAGGGCAGAGTCCGGGCACCGGTTTGGAGAGCACCTCCCAAGCAGAACATCAGACAACCCAGGGAGATGGTCTTGCGTCGACCTAGGTAATCACCACTGGGACCAGCGAAGCCGGCACCGAAGAAGGCACCGGTGGTGAACATGGAGACAACCAGGCCACTGTTTAAGAATTAGGGTGCTGAATCAAAGACGATGGTATATAGGAAACTAACCTCTGGGTAGAGTTGGCAGCAAACTTGGAAACGAAAGAATCACACACAATGACCTCTGCAATAACACCGAGATCATCTTGGTCAGGTTAGTATGATACTGTAGATCTATAAGTGGTTAGGGTATAGAGAGATACATACATCCATAGAGGAATGAACCCAAGGAGGCGAACACGCCGACCAGGAACTAGATCAGCAATTAGATTGACACCTCACAAGATAATCATGGATATAGTATGAATCATACCTGGTACCACGACGGCGAGAGACGCATGATGAACGACTTGCTCGTAGCACTAAGAGTCGAAAGAACTCCACCAAGACAAAAGAATCCAGAAAAAGACCCACGATCAGCAACAGACCGGGGGGTTAGAATCAATCTGGGGATCTCCACACCGTCCAGAGAAGGGAAAATAAGTTCTACATATACTTACAACTCGGCACGCTGGCCCTGCAGTATTTCGGAGTAAATCCTCCTTGCAAGCCACCATAATGATCCATCGCGTGGTCAGCGCCCCCTCCAAACTAACCCTCCAACCAACCACCAACCACCAACTAAGAAACCCCCAAAATCAAGGGTCATCAGAGTCTCAAGACCCTTTCTCCATCCAGTAGCCAGTAACTCCCAAAAAAACCGGGGCGGCTCACTAGCTCGGCTTTTCCGTGCTTTTCCCTTTGCGGGGGGCCAGCCCACTTGGATGACCCCAGCAGCCACTCATTTGAACACTCCACCTCGGGTAATGATTGATGGGAAAAAGCGCCCCGCCGAAGTTCTGCCGTTAAGATACCAGCCCTGTACATCCCACTCATTGGCTTGCAGGGATACACGAGGATTGCTTTGGGGATAGCCACGCGTTAAGCGTGGCTCCAAGCGGGTTACTATGCCCGACCGGGTCTGGTGGTGGCATGCCAGCTCCTCGGCATGAAGTGGTCGAGACTTGCCCCGCAGGAGATTTACCATTTCTAGGACTGCGATTTGAAGGGCGTGAGATAAATTGGCTGCTGGCTTCCTTGGGACGAACCAGGATTTGTTCCTTTTTAGTTACTTATTTTTCCTACTTTTTTCGCTTTTGGCCTATCTCGTGGTCAATTCGCTTTTGGATCGTTATTTAACCACACTCCTACCGAGTAACTACTTCGGGTGTAAACAAAGTAAGTGTTTGATCGCTATTTAACCGTTCACAAGCGATCGGCTGTTTTTTTTTTCGTCGGCTTGGCCTTGGCTTTAAATCTGGCTTTTGGTGCTTTGTTGCTCTATAAGTGACAGCCACCGGAGTCGTCTGTAAACGGGACAAGATTACTGCACGGATTATTTTTCTCAAAAGTAAAAGGGATCGAAACTAAATTTCCCCAAATTTCTTACAAGGTATTGAATCGTCTTGTGATAGCGCTAGCGAATCATCATGACTTCTTTCACTAAGTTCGAGGACCATGAGACCCCGGTCATCGCCGTCCATCCTTCTCGTCGTGTCTCGAAGATCAACCCCAATATCTATGCTGGCTTTACTGAGTGAGTATCTCTATACCAAGTAATGCTTATTACTTGCTATACTCTGCTGGAATGATACTGCCCTTTGCCTTTGAACACTGAACTAATTCGCTTTCGATAGGCACATGGGCCGATGCATCTACGGCGGCATCTATGACCCCGGCAATCCCCTCTCCGATGAGAATGGTTTCCGCAAGGATGTTCTGGGTGCGCTGAAAGACATCAACATCCCCGTCGTTCGTTACCCCGGCGGCAACTTCTGCGCTACCTACCACTGGCTCGATGGTGTCGGTCCTAAGGACCAGCGGCCCTCGCGGTAATATGATCACTTTTGGTCACTTGTGGAATATTTCACGACTGACAGTAATGATTAGCCCCGAACTTGCTTGGCTGGGCACAGAGACAAACCAGTTCGGTACGGACGAGTTTATGAAGTGGTGCGAGGTTCTCGGCACTGAGCCCTACCTGTGCTTTAACTTTGGCACTGGTACTTTGGATGAAGGTACGCAGCCATCTATATACTGGGAGAATTCATTCATTGAGGATCTATGGCTAATCTTGGACTATTGCAGCTCTCGCTTGGGTGGAATACTGCAATGGCACTGGTAACACATACTACGCCAACATGCGCCGCAAGAACGGCCATGAAGAGCCATACAATGTATGTCATTCCCAATCTCCACTCAAAGAAACATCCACTTACCATGCGTCAGGTCAAATACTGGGCCCTCGGCAACGAGACATGGGGTCCATGGCAGGTCGAGCAAATGACCAAGGAAGCATACGCCCATAAGGCACTGCAGTGGGCTAAGGGTAAGCATCCAGTCATCTCTATACAATCATTCCCGTATAATACCCATGTATACTAACTCCATCCTCATCCAGCACTCAAACTCCTCGACCCCAGCCTCATCCTCATCCTCTGCGGCCAAGACGGCACTGCAACCTGGGACTACTACACCCTCAAGCACTGCCTCCTCCCCGCCCACTCGGCCCTCTCCACCAGCGCAGTTCCCCTCATCGACATGCACAGCATCCACATGTACACCTGCTCAAACGAGCACCTCCCCAACGCAACAGCCCCTCTCGCCGCCGAACGCGCCATCGAAATCACCTCCTCCCTCATCGACCTCGCCCGCATCGAAAACGGCGTTCCCCCCTCCCAGCCCCGCCCAACAATCTGCTTCGACGAATGGAACGTCTGGGATCCCATCCGCGCCGAGGGAAGTCAAGGCGCAGAAGAAAGCTACACCCTCTCCGACGCGCTGGCCGTCGCTATCTGGCTGAATGTGTTCATCCGGAAGAGTCGCGATCTGGGAATGGCTTGTATCGCGCAGAGCGTTAATGTTATTTCCCCGCTTATGACTACCCCGGAGGGTATCGTTAAGCAGACTACTTGGTGGCCGTTGTATCTGTTTTCGAAGTTTATGCGTGGGTGGACTGTTAGTGCGCACGTTTCTTGTGGAACTTATGAGGGGGCTACGGCGCCCGTTTGGTTGCGGAGTGCTGTGCAGACGCCTTGGTTGGATGTTAGTGCTTCCGTTGGCGAGGATGGGTTTGCCAATTTGGTGGTTGTGAATATTCATGAGGAGAAGAGCTTTGAGACTAAGGTTGAGGGTGTTACTGGGGATGTGGAGGTGTTTACTGTTACTGGTGAGGGTGTTGCTGCGACGAACATGAAGGGCAAGGAGGAGGTTGCTATTCAGGAGTCTAAGTGGGATGCTCAGGGACTTTATGTTTTCCCTAAGTTGTCGATTACTTTGATGAGGTGGAAGGCTGAGTGAAGGGGGTTTGGACATTTATAGAGGTTCTTGGGTATAGATTGAGATAGTTTCAATGCATTTGTTTCGTGAGTGAATATACATGGGTTAGATTAATCTAGCACATAGACTTTAAAACGCATGCATTGGAATCTAGATCATAATCTCGTAACATTATGAAGGTGATCGAGATGGACAGTAGTCAATCATTAACCGTAGGTCACATCTCGGACGGTGCCATCATGGTCAAGGTGGACATTCAGCCTATGAAAACTTCTGTCAGATCATATCTGTCTCCCTAGTGTGTGATCGATGTTCTTATGTGTCAATCAGAACATACCTGTCGGGGTTATGGTCCATCGTCTTCATATCATCTGGCTTCAGCACACGGTGGGATTGGGGCAGATCTTTCTTCGCAAATGACTAGCATTACACAGAGTCAGTATTCAATACTTACATGCCTTGAAACTTCGGGAGGTACCAGCTCATCACTTCCACTGTCGCTAATCTTCTTTCCCATCAGCTTGTTAACCCACTCGGACTTGTCGCCCATGTTGGAGTTGATACCAGGAACAACGAGAGGCATGGTGGTGGTCAATAAAATGTAAAGGTCTAGGTAATGATAAGTTTCACAAAAAGTGTTTGGATATGGTCAAGTTCAGCTGGGAGAGTCTGCTACGTCAAGGTGGACAGGCAACTATATAATGCCCCGTTGGCCGATGACGTAGGTGCCCGATAAGAAAGATTAGTCAGTTTGGACTTGGGGATTGGAACAGCCAGTAAGAAGTCTGGGGAGTTTATTTACAGATTGATGTAGATGTACTAGCGGGGTTATCGTCGGGACTGGCTGTGTCGTGTGCGTGGATTCTGGTTTTGGTCGTTCTTGCTCTTAAAAATGAGGATGTGGCGCAACTGTATACTTTGTCCCCTATACAACAACCTGCACGTCATACTTCTCGGGTAGCTCTTGTCTACCGTGAGGGATGTTCTTGCCTTCAAAATACGTCTTCGCATGCCAATCTGGATATCGTCATCGGCATCAACTGAAGGAAGTCACAATGGGTGCATTATCTTCGGGGGCTGTACAGGCAACTGCCTCATCAGCGCGGTCCTTGAGTTGCTTGCAATGGTCACCTTGATTCCCCTCGATTTTTTCCAGTCGACCAACACCTCACACTTGGTTTCTGATATTGAAGGTCAACCCCCAGACAGCTGGAACCACCAAGAGGGGCACTGCCGCAAATCATGGATCTATCCTTGAATGATCCACTGCAGACTTTGGACTATATGATACCCTTCAGAGCAATACAAGACCTCTCGACAACTGTCCACCGATTCCAAACCTCTTTAAAAACTCTTATTCCAGAGATCACACCGCAGCAGAAGAGAGCAGAATCAGGAGAGGCCACAGAATTGGGCCATCAAGACGGACAAGCAGATCGCTTCTCGAACGCAAAGTCACGCAAAGGCATGGCAGACTCGTCTTCGGCAACAAAACTTCTGGCCATTACCAGCAGATCACCATCCCCCTTCAACGGCAAACCCTCGATCGCCGCAGCTGCAATCCTAGGGGTCATCACCTTTGCAGCACTCCTCTTCCTTGCCATATGGTACATTCGACACAGACGAAGACGCCGACAACACAAACTGGTGGCTCAAAACCAAGACTTTGGCCAGTCCGAAATAACCCTCGCCGAAGACACGAGCAAGACCCTGGATGACTTTCTCATGAAGGATGTCCCGCTCGCACGAACCTCTCTCATGTTCAGTCGCAGCCGGTCGCCCTCCATCACATTCGTCGTTGACGAGGCGGAGCATCCGGGCTTGAACAAACAGGGTCGGAATAGCTACGCCGCTTCGAGCAATAGCCTGACCAAATTCGAAACCTTGACTCGTATATCGACGGATGGACCGAGGCCGAGTCTGCTTTCCTCGGATTTGACGACTACCACAGCGTCCCAGAGCACGTCGGCCAACTCCTCATCCAAGCCGGCGTCTACCAGCTCTGCCACGCCACGAGCATCGATGTCATCATCACAGCTGTGGACGACTATCACCAGTTCTACGGATTGTCCCTCCACAACCACCCCGAACCCTCCATCAACCGCAACACCGACAACCCGCTCATCCCAGGTATGGACTACAACTACCGGTTCAACCGAGACCGGCTCCATGACCAGTCGCGAGACTCAGTCTCGTCTGTCGAACGCCTCGCGGGCTTCGAGTCGATTGTCTACGCAGGGTGGTGCGCGGTTGAGCAATGCTGGGAATACGAGCTTGAGGCGATATCATGCTCGCTCGGGGAGTCGCTCTTCGCAGAATACCGTTGTTTTGTCTTCGACTGCTGAGTTGGAGTCTAGCGATTCGGGTCAAGTGCCTTCTATTCCGTCGACTCCATCGCCTCTGTTCCGCTTTTCTGAGGAAGCGGGTTGAGTATGGCGTTGGGGATTTCGACGGGGCCTTTTAGAATTCATTATGATTGGTATGCAGTATCTTGGGTATTTCTTTATGACGAGGCTTGGGTTAGTGTGCCTATGATGCTCTGAGGTGTGTTACTGATGCCCAGGTGGGAGACATGGTATGGACGAGCAGAACTATATTTTGCGGCACCTGTCGATAGGTACCTAGTGTGCTGGCTCCCCCCAGATGTGTTTATCGAATAGCTTATCAGTGTATGAGGAAATATATTTTGTTTCGTCATCCTCATAGAATCGCTTGAAGCTATTGATGAGTAGAATAAGTAAAGATAGGAAGTTATGGAATACTCGGCTTGCGACCAAGCCAGCGGCGCTACCTGAAGCATAGAGCCGTAGCGGGAACAGACGACCAAGAAAAAAGCAAATGAAACCCCGAGCATATATTCATCATGAAATGTACAAAGACAACCACAAAATCCCATCAACCCACAACGAACCATGCTAAAAAATTGAAAAATAGAGCATCCCATTGCAGATCTATCCGAACATGTTATGCCGAGTAGAACAAGAAAGACACAAAAAGGAGGAACACTGCAAACTTTGGGCTCATGACTTCATCTCACGTACACTACGCAAACAACGCTCAATCCTCTTCCCACGCTCCCTCTCCCGAACAAGCGTATCCTTCACGAAGGCGCGAATCGCATCCCGACCAACTTTCTCCCGCCACGTCGTCCACCCAGCTAACTCGCCCACGACAACGTCCTTGTTCCAGGTGACCTCTTTTGCGAGGCGGGAAGACTGGAGTTCGCCATCGTGAATCTTCTGCTCGAGATCGCGGACGGATTTTTGCCGGGATTCTTCGAAGCCGGGAAGGTTGATGTTGAATTTGCGGGGGAGCGAGGATGAGAGTAGTGAGGAGCGGGAGCGGGAGATGCTTCGGTTTGTGGAGGTGAGGGTGGACATTAGGGTAAGCGGGCGGGAGAGGGATGTGAGGATTGCGGCGGTGGTGTTGTCCATTGATGTGAGTGCGGCCAGGAATTGGAGGAGAGGGGAGGAGTCGGAGGTTGAAGTTGATAGGTAGGTGCCGTAGCGGGTAAAGGCGTCTACGTAGGTGGGTGGGAGGGCGTTGGTAGGCTCTTTGAGAGTGGAGAGTACGCTCGAGCAGAGAGTGACTGCGTCTGCGAGGTCGGAGGCGCTGTTTTGTAGGGCATGTCCCCGTCGGATTAGGCTGCGTGTGTTGACGTGTACGCCTCGCACCATGTCCTGAGCATGTGAGACGAATTGCTCCGTGTCACGCATGCCCTCGAGAGAAACAGGTGCATACTCATCGGCAATCGTCTCGGTGAGTACGGCTGCCTTGCGTCGGGATCGATCGGCCATCATCTCGGGCTGGAGCTCGGGAACCAGGAAGAATTCCCATAGCATTTCATGGGTGGAGAAGGTCGGGTGAGTGAGGAGGGTCTTCAGGAACCGATCTAGCTTTTCTTGAAGATCATGCAGAACGGAGCGAGATGGTTTCGAGTGGATTTGGAATGGGTTCCGGAAATCTGAGAGAGATGGCACATAGGACGCCGGGTGTTCCACGGCAAGCCACTTGGCGAGGTTCTCAAAGTCGTTGAAGCTGCGACGACATGTTGTGACTGTATACGTTGTCGAACCCGGCCGAGATATTGCCATCGACTCCGAGGGTGGATAAGGTGCACCGGACTTGAGAATGAAGCGCACTGTGGCATCTTCGACGAAGAACGATCGAACGACGGTAGTCACACGGCCCGATGGATCACCGCATGCAGACGGGGGATGGGATAGCAGAATCAGATCATCGATACGGTTTCGTACTTCGTCGTCTTTTGCCAGTTCAACTGCAGTCAATCCGCGAGCTTCCTTGACATGGACATCGACCCTGGGATCCATGAACAGAATGCGCACTTGATCCACCCGCCCGTATTTGCTGGCCATCATTAATGGTGTGAATCTCTTGTCGTTGGTTGCATTCGGATCGCAATCGCTCTCCTGGAGAATCCGCGTCGTTATGTCTGGATCCCCAACAATATGCAGCAATGTGTTGCCCTTGATATCCACATGGTCATCAAGCTGAAGAGGCTTCCCGTTTCCTTGGGCTCTCTGAGCTGCTGTCAAGCCGGCCTGGACCATGATTTTGTACTCAGGATGGTCATAGGATCGACAAAGGGCGAAGAGAGGAGTTTGCCCATGCTTGTCGCGCTGTCGCCATGGAAGAAGGTTACCGAGCCGAGACAGTAATGAAGGCGTGCTGAATAAATAGTGGCCCACCGTCCGGCCGTGAACATCGGATTTGGTCAAGTACCTGGCGACTACACTCTCGTCGGTCTTGCTGAAGAGGAAGTCAAGCAGAACTTCAACACTCTCGGCATGTGCGAGCTGCACAGCTGCATTCAGTAGAGTTGTTCCATCCGCGTTTGTGTCTTCAAGAATATCTTCCAAAGGGTAGAATTCTTCTAGACTGAGTAGGTACTTCAAAGACTCGGTCTGGCGGCTTTCCACTGCCATCATAGGAATTGAATCTCCGGCTGGGTCCTGCGTTTTAGTCAGAGTCTCCAACGAATTATCGCCTTCGATATTACTGGTCATTGACCCAATAGTGGGCGTCCTGGAAAGGAAGGAGACAGCCGATGACTCTGACATGCTGCGGAGATCCATGGAGACCTTCTTGATTGGTCGCTGGTATTCATTTGCAGGCGATTCGCCGCTCCACGTCTGGAAGGGGAAAACGTGTGCGAGAGGAGGTGCATCCGAGTCTATGGCCTCCTCTGGTACTGCTTGGCCATTCATGAAGATCGAGCTGCTGAACATGGACGATGTTTCGTGGGGTGAATCATCCGGTTCTGAAGCGCTATCAGTTTGGAAGAGTACAGACTTTCGCTCGGGTTCACGCGGGATAGTTTCGTCAATAGACTCGTGATCTCCATTTGGTTCGAGAATGCTCCTCATATCGGAGATGCGACCTGCTTTAGTTGCTTGCCATAACCGTCGATTCCGTGTACTTGAGCGGCGCAGACCAGCCGAGTCGGTCACAAGATACATCAAAACTGCTTCGAAAGTACTGAGTGCGTATCCCATCTCACCACTATCTACATCGTCAATGTAGATGAAGTGCTGCATGTACAGCAAGCGGGCTTGGAGGTGTCGAATCTGCGATCTGATCACAACAACTAGCAGCAAGGAGACCAAGACATCAGCGTTGATCGTCAAAGGAGATCGACCTTTCTCGGACGCTGGTCCATCGACATTATCATAGCTTCCAGGGTACGAGACCACTTTGACTGTCTCTAGCAGAGTATGGAGCATCTGGTGAGGGCTCTTCGCGTCAGCCATCTTGCGAAATTCTTCCACTCCACGTCCAAGCCGTCGGATGACTTCCCGTTTGCCTTCACGTCCACCCTCAACCGATATACCAACTTGAGTCACGTCAATGCTCTCCATGTGCCGGATTCTAGAGTCCAGCTCTGAATCCTCTGGTTGACGGAAAGCGCACAAGCGAGGGAACAGAAGTGGTTCGTGTACTTGTTCTGCCACATATCGCTCGATGAGTCGCTCGACCAATGGGCCCGTAAGATCGGTAGTGGCTCCCAGCAGTGACAGCTGCTGTTTGTCAACCAGTCGGAAGAGATCAATGGCTGCAGTCACTGCGGTCTCCAGGCTACGACGCATGAGGTCCTCGTCATCCTCGAAATATTCTTCAGAATTGAAGGGAAGCCGGCCGCGACGAGATGACCAGCTGCGGATGGACGAGCTTTCATCTTGCAGGGAATGCACTCGCGATAGCCTATTTTCAGACTCGCTCCCAGAGGCAGAAGGCGAGCGAGATGGCGGCGGAGGTAATGGTTTGCCCAGCTCTTTCCCAAATTCACGGAATAACCTTTCTAACCCCGGCTGCATCTGTCTCGCAATCATCGGGAAGTTTGCGAGAAGATCGCCAAAAGTTTTTATCTCCTGCTTTGGCGGCGCAACCGATCCTCCGTTGATCGCCCTCTTATCAGAAGGAGCCGGTTCTATCCTCTTCAGATTGGTCCCTGGTACTGCGGCCGGGATGATTCTGGCGGGATCGTACAACCCAACTAAAGAACGCGAAATGTAGTATATGAGCCATGGCCGGGAATCGCTAGACGAGGTATAGTACAGGGCATCCGAGAGTAGTTGGGCTTGGGTGAGGGATTTGAAGCCTAAAGATTAATTGTGAGTTAGTCCAGGCAGTGTATTCCGCAAGCTGTCTTCTCCGCTTATCCCACCTTTATTGCTGTACACCGAGTTCTCTTTGATGATCACGGTTCTCCCATTGAACGTCGTCACTTGCTTCGCTTTCCCCCTGTTATCGCGTACATTGGATTCCTCTTTTGTATTCGTTGAACCGGGGTTGATTGGGATGCGCAGCACATGGCTTCCTAGGAACTCCTCCGACGCGACGAGGTCCGAGTAGTACAGACTGGACTCCCGGTCGCGAGAGCCGATAAGGCATTCCGTTGTGGGAACAAGTAGAACCTGAGACGCGCACAAATTCATATCGATCAGTCACTCCGGTCGATCCGAAGGGATGTAGCAGCTGAACTTACATGGTTCTCCACGGGTATACACTGCCCCGGAACAGTGCTTCGGAAGAAGGCACGGAGGAAAGGGTTTAGAGGGTGCATCCAAACGGTTTTGGACGGCCCAGTATAAGAGCTCCAGCAATCATCAAGTCGTGCGAATCAAGTATGGGGTCGTGGAGGGAAGGTTGGTGTGCAATGTTGGTGTTTCGCGGGGAAGAGCTCCGGCGCATTCAGCTGCAGGCAGCAGTCCGGGGTAAGGCGTCTTTATCAGCGGCTGATAATTGGATAGGGGACAATGCAGGTTTTTGGATATCAATCGATAGAAGCAGCACAAGAAAAGACCGCAGAAATGAAATGCAGGACACCGGCGCAATGTGAATCGAGTTGAACAGGGAGTTCGAGAACGTGATCGCTGCGGGAGCTGGCAGCGCTATACCGTTTCGGGTAAGAGTACTCTATAACAGGGTCTGGACCTAAAAGTTGGTAATCCTCGAGGAATGGAAAGTAAACATATCGGAAAGAATGGGGCTTTAGTACGTCTGTTGGCAATGGAAAAAGAAATATTTTGGCTATTGTACAGAGAAACAATCCAATGGCAGACACGTATGCCAGTAATACAATGGGGAAGAAGGCCCAGTGATCTTCCACATGCGATATATAGCGCTCCACATGAGAGATCAAAAAAGAACAAGCCAACACATACATATTCCCTCTGATCTGGAGGAAATACAAAGAACCAGAAAGGCATCCCAATCAACCCAGTCTGCGAACCTTGCGGCTACGAGTACCACCGAACTTGACGCGAGTCGAGTCGGTCACTCGGCTAACAAGACCCCGAATGTTGCGTCCCTCGTTACCAAGCAGCACCTTTGTGAATCCGTCACGACCCTTGCCGAAGCCACGGAAGACAATCTCTAGCCGCTTGATATCCATCAGAAGGCCTCGCTCCTGGATTTGCGAGAGAACGTGGGAGGACAATTGGTAGGCGGGATCGAAGCCGGCACGGCCACCCTTGCGGAAGCCGATCTGACCAGTTCCCATGGACAAGATGGGGTTGCCGTTCGGCCGCGTCAACGTGAGAATGGTATTGTGCTTGTGTGCGAAGACGTGGAGGTGGTGGGGAGGGGCCCGGTCGGCGTAGGGGTTCTTGATCATGTCGGCTTCCAGGCTCTCGGCCAGGCGAGCGTAGTCGGCACTGACACGCGAAGAAGCAGAAGATCGGTTTCCAGTCATCATCTTGGAGATGGCAGAGAGCGGCGAAGAGTTCTCGGCGGATTCGGGCTGGCGATCAAGGATCTGGTTCTCAATCGTTCGGGTCTTCTCCTTCAGGCTGGAGGCGTCCTTTGAAGAAGAGGAAAAGGGTCGGATCACACCGAGAGATGCGATGCGCGGTTGACATTGTCGGCATACAGCCGGCAATGACTTTGCAAGGGCGTTCATCGAGAAGGAGTTCATTGCGGCGACGGGTGCCGATGCCGCGGCGAGGATAGGGTGCGCAGAGGTAGAGATGCGGCGAGAGGGTCGTCAAAGAGGGTTAATTCTGGATACAAATATGACCTTCGATGGAATTGTTTTGCAGTAACTCAATTGGGTAGAGTAACCGTAGCTGGCCGGGAATGTCGCGCGAGCCGTGATCGGACCGACGAGAGGCGGAAAGGAAACACTGGAAGTTTTTCGAAAGTCTTGGCGCCTCTTGACTTTTTCCCTTCCCCGACTCATCTCTCCTCGGTCCAACCTCCGCTTCTCAACAATCTCACCCCGAACATCCGGGCTAGGCTGGAACATCTTTTGCTCTTCTTATTCCTGCTTCTTTATACCTATTGTTTTCGCGACGTTTATTCCTAGAGCATGATTTCCGCCAAAATGTCCACCGTCGCGCGGGCGGCGACTTTGCGCTCCCAGGCCCCGGCCTTCAAAGCCGTTTCTCAAGGATCTCGGACTCTTTCATATTCGGCATTGCCCAAGCTGTCTGGTAACAGCCAAAGGAACACTCTCCAGCTGAGCCAGGCCCCAGTGTCCCAGCTCGTCTCGCCGTTCGCCGCCCTCCCTTTGACCCGATCTTTCCACGCTGCCACTCCTCTCTTCCAGCAGCAGCAGCAACAATCCAAGGACGAGAAGAAGTCCGACGAGTCAAAGACCGAGTCCGAAGGCGAGAAGGAGGAACCGGGCAAGGAGGAGGAGAAGAAGGAGAAGAAGGAAGAGGCACCTCCGCCACCCCATGGCGACAAGTCGCCCTGGCAAGTTTTCCGTGACACCCTCCAGACCGAGTTCAAGGCCTCCAAGGAGTGGAACGAGTCTACCAAGGCCCTTGCTTCCTCCGCACACGAGTTCTCTGAGAATGAGAACATCAAGCGCGCTCGTGCTGCTTACCAGGCGGCTTCGGGCGCTGCCTCTACCCGCACATCCGAAGCCCTCAAGACTACTGGTCAGGCAATTGGAAAGGGTGCTTCTTGGACTTGGAATACTCCCGTCGTCAAGGGTGTCCGAAAGGGTGTTAGCGCTACCGGTGCTGGACTCGAGAAGGCCACGAGACCCGTGCGTGAGACGGAAGCCTACAAGAGCGTGAAGGACGCCATTGATGATGGTAGCAGCTCTCGCTACGGTGGATGGATCGAGAAGGAGGAGCGTCGCAAGCAGCGCCAACTCCGTGAGGAAATGGAGATTAAGGCTGGGAAGCGCCCCACGCAGCCTATGGAGGAGGACCCCAAGTAAGTATTGGATTGTCATCGGTTGAAAATGACCAGAAACTAACTCAAGCTTTCAACTAGCGCCGGTACCAACATTACTCTTCACAAGGATGCCGCTTGGAAGGAGTCTTGGAACACCTTCCGTGACTCTAACCCTATGATGCAGAAGCTCTTTGCTGTGCGGGATGTCTACGAGGAGTCCGAGAACCCCCTTATCAGCACTGCTCGTAGTATCACCGATCGAATTGGTGGTTTCTTCGCCGAGACCGAGACTGCTATGGTTGTCAAGAAGTTCCGCGAGATTGACCCCAACTTCCAGATGGAGGAGTTCCTGCGTGAGCTGCGCGAATACATGCTTCCCGAGGTTTTGGATGCCTACGTCAAGGGTGACGTTGAGACTCTGAAGCTCTGGCTCTCCGATGCTCAGTTCTCCGTTTACGCCGCTCTTGCCAAGCAATACACTACTGCCGGTTTGAAGTCCGACGGCCGTATCCTGGATATCCGCGGTGTTGACATCTCCAATGCTCGTCTGCTGGATCCTGGCGAGATCCCCGTGTTCGTCGTCACTTGCCGTGCGCAGGAAGTCCACGTTTACCGCAATGTCAAGACCAATGAGCTTGCCGCTGGTATGGAGGACAAGGTTCAGCTGGTCACCTACGCTATTGGCCTGACCCGTATCCCCGAAGAAGTCAGCAACCCTGAGACCCGGGGTTGGAGACTGATCGAGCTGCAGAAGGCCGCTCGTGACTACATTTAAGCTTGTCCAAGGGATTCCCTTCTATTTCGCGATCTCCTGCCGATTGTTCCTCCAGGACTATATCCTCTCATTTGGGGCATATCCTCGTCCCTACAACCCCTTACTCCTCGCCCTCTTGACTGTACAATATGACTGTTTGATATTGAAACGGGCGGATCTGGCGCTTGTTTACGGTTCATGTCTGCCCTCGGACGCCACGGTGTTAGCCCTGTTGTCTTGCAGATTCTTTCTCATTCTTCATGTATTAATGTTCATTTCTCCATCTGTTTTCTGTTTCTTTTTATCTTGTCAACCTGTTGGTGTTACTGAATACCGGGTTCTGCAAGCAAAAAACACCCTTCCCATTACCATAGACTCGGATTCGGCTGCGTTGGACTTTGGAGCTGGTCCGATGGGCATTTGGTCTTGAGGTGTTTTGTGGCGTCTTGTGCTTTTGCATTTTCACTCTCCCCTCGACACTGTTTGATCTGCATGTGGGCCATTCGGTTTGGCTTTTTTGGATTTCGTTGGTTGGGTGCACTCGTATGTGATCTGTGATCTGAACGGTGCAGAGATCAGCCTGATGAAGTTGCATCAAATTATGTGTAAATATATCAAAGAAGAATATAATCTTCGTGTCTCACTATTATCAACAACTGCATTCATTCATTTATTGAGCGGAGTTCTGGAAGATGCTACCTAGGCAAACGGCACTTGGGTAGTAATATCTGGAATGGTATCGCCTGTCTGCTGAAATACTTGCTCCAAGGTGGATCGGAAGCACACAATTTCGATTTGTAATCATAATCATCCAACCACCTAACCCTCATCCATTCAATAGTGCATGCCGATCCCAGCTATGTCATTGCTCTTTTCTATCTCGAAGCTCTTCAGGTTGAGAGAACTTCAAATAAGTTCTGACCAGGCCACCGCTTGAAGCTTGTAGCACTCATCGCGATGGTTGATCAGGAGGACGGTATCAGTAAGTAGAAACCTCAAGACCTGAATAGCTACTGTCCCAATGTTGAAATATTTCTCCTATAGGGAGTCCGTATCATTTTATCGCCTCACAAAGTTCAAACGATGACCGCACAGCGAGGCGTCTAGCACGATCGCATGCTGTGACCCGAGGTCTCGAGAACAAACGAAGGGCTCAGCTAAAACTAGGTCATAATTTTCGCGTGATATCTCCCAAGAACGCCAATAAACAACCAATGAGCAGGAGAAACTCGAACAAAGCGCTTATCAATCAACCATATAACCCCTTTTCAGCCTCGCCTGGCTTTTTCCATTGGCTTGCTACAGAATCACCGAAACTGCATGAATTGCTGGACCGAGGTAAGCTATCCACAAATTCTTCTGGTTGAACCTGTCCATATTTACATACACTATAGTAGCGACTAGCAAGCCTATGGAGCCAGTTTTAAGTGTTTCCGATGAGCTTGTTCTCCAAAACTTCCGTCCAATCCTCCGAACAGGGCCAGATGATGATCTTCTTTTAAGCGCTATTATGCTTACATTCTCCTTTGCAAGTACCGCCGGTAACTTCAATAGGGAGTGCTTGGAGTATCAAAATGCTGCTTTGAGTTCTGTTCGCCAAAGGATTAGCTCTCCAAATACAGCTACCATGGAGTCGACCTTGGGTTCTATTCTACTCCTCGCTTGTGTAGAGGTCCGTTTGAATTCAAGTGCATATTGATAACGGCTAAGATTTTCGGCCTTGCAGGCTCAACAACGAGCACCACGTCAGGTACAACTTCATATGGGGGCAATCCACCAACTCCTTGAAGTATGCCAAAGGAAAGGAGTTTATTTAAGTGATGGCATCAAGCGTGCAATATTCTGGTACGTGAACTGGTATGCATCTCCTCGAAATTCACTCTGATATAGTTATACAGGTCAGACTTGAACGCTGCAGTGATCGCAGGCTCGGCCCGAGTCGTTGATCATACAACCTTCTCCGAGCTCCAATGGAAAAGAGACCCCTTTTCTCCTGACTTCTTCATCTTGCCATCGGGCTTCCAAGCGCAGTCTCATTTATTGAGTGAAGACTTTGTCGAAATACTCAAGGATATCTGTGCATTGCAATGCATTCGAGACTCAGCCCTTTTCGGCATAGAGGATGCACTGTCCATGGCGCATGTTGATAACCACCAGGCCTCTATCCAGTCGAGGCTAGTAGATCTTCCCAATCTGTCGCTCTCACCAATAGCGGAATGTTGTCAAATAGCGGCATATATATGCTCAACCATGCTCCGCTGCAAGATTTGGCGCACCTCAACTATTCCCGTACGTCGATCACTCCAAGCGGGTTGTTTGTCGCTGTTCTAACTCTGGATGAACTAGTCCCATCTTTCCTTGCAACTACTTAGCAAACTCCAAGAGACAAATGAGGACACAACATGGAATGACTCGCCGGAGCTACTGGTTTGGCTTCTGCACGTTGGCGGCGCTTTTGCTCCCCCGGGTGCTATCCGAATGACCTACATTGAATTGTTGCACTTGAACCTCAGCACTAGGCTTAGAGGTTTGTATACTACATGGGCAGAGTTGCATATTATTCTCCAGTGCTTTATTTGGTCAGAGAAAGCATTTATGTCGCAGATTCAGGCTTTCTGGGAGGAATGCCATGTCTCATATCGGTTAGAGTAAATCCACCACGCGGCTAAGGTTACTAAGGCCCGCCCTGCGAAGGCTTCTCGAGAGAGAAGCAGATCTACCTGTTATATCTTTGAAGGAGGGCGCCAAGACGGCGCGTATTTGAGACACCGAACGTCTTGGACTCTATCCTATGCAAAAGCGTTCCCTTTCTCTCTTACAACAACAAATCCCGTCTCCTCATAACCACAAATCTGCCTATTTATTACTTTATCCCATCTCATATATCCCCGAAATCAAGTCCGTCACAAAAAGCATGACTTCTCATAAAAGGCCGGTTACTTACTTCGATGATCCCTTAGATGAAGAGGAGAGTGACTAGGAGAGGATCGCACAAGACCCAGTCAAGCGAGTCGCGTTTGAAAGCGAATGCATCGAAGATGAGCTCACCGATCAGAAACGAGTAACTCTCTTGCAAGAAAATCCTAGCATTAGCAGCAACTGTTGCTTTTGGGACTGCGTCCCTTGCAAGTTGTATAGAAAACCTAATATCAGGTCTGCATTTCATTTCAATGTTAAGGACCTTTCCGGTCGATACTATGGTTAGTCCCCACAATCCTGTCAAAGCCGTAAAACCTATTAAATCTAATAAGCTGCAGAACCGAATAAGTACTATCATGTGTCATGCATTGAACAAATATTTCCCGACATCAGTGCCTTGGTAGAGCGTGGGATTCTGCAGATAGAAGGGGAGGGTCACGCGGCTATCCTCATTCTGCTGGTAAACATCACGTTTTCATAATGCCATTGAAGGTTGGTTTCGCTATAAGGGCCGTACCTTTGAAGGGGAGATGTACGATCGATTCCAAATAGCATATGCCGAATGGGATCGGGAAGCCAGCACAGTGGAGATCAAACATCAATTTGAGAGTCATGAAGGTAGTTCTCTGGATTGCGAGAAGTGTGAAGTACCGGATGAACCACTGAGAAAAGACTACTTTCCTGAAGAGCCTTGCAGTAGCCTACTGAGTGAAGTTCTGGCCTCCGTGATTGGCGTGGGAAACTTGGATGGAGTAGAAGGTGATTCAAAAGAGATCCGGTTGGAATACTAATGTGATACTGCCATCTTCGAAATCAGATTTACCTTCGTCTACTCATACATAATTATCTAACCCTATCCTAAGATACGCTAGTCTATATTCGGATAAGCTACAGATCGGTCTAATTCAACTGGTGACGCGCGCTGTCGCACGCTGTGGCCCTAGAACGAAACAAGTACGAAAAGTGAATCATAAATTGAGTGATCACATAGAAGTCGAACATATAGTTTTGACGAGGCAGCAGAAAGGTACACACGTATATCCTAGGATCAGCTAATTATATGCACACTGAGTTGTGAAGCAAAGTATGGCGTAGGGTGTGATGGTTGGAGTATAGATGCAAAATAATATGAAAATACGACGTTAAAAATCGGGGCAATATTGATCACGAAGGGCATCCGTCATGAAGGGGAAGCCACACCTGCCATACGCTCAAGATAGCAATGCTGTTATTCTTTTGCCTTCTAAAGAAGAAGCAAAAACATACAACAGCCAGGATTCGCATGTGTCACCCACCATACTACTACCGATGATACCAAAAAGGATTGCTCCACCTTCCATTTAGAAGACTTTTGGCACAGAAGACTGGGATCTGCCCGCCGTAGGGGGAATGTCGTTCTTAAGATTTATTTTATAGACACTATTGACGCAGGTGACTTGTTTTGCCTTCGTTCGTGTGTGGCTCACAATCATCAGCAAGACCGATTTGCAAAACGCTTTCCTTCCAAGTATCTTGCTCAACACGTTGATCACGATCGTTGCTGTCGGTTGTCAAAGAACCACCCTTCCATAACCTTCATTACTACCAGTTAATCAACCAAATGTTGTGGCCACTTCACACAACCATCGTATCTTCTAACCAAAGATAACGATACCTTGACAGATCCGTGCAGGAACGCGTGCGGCGTATACCACGCGCGCACTCTAGAAATATCAAGACAAAACATCCAGAACTATGCTAAGAGTAGCCGCGCTCGGGAACACAGGCTCCCCCGCTCGGTGCTCGGCGGGCTGATAGCTGCACGGACTAGCCATAGCGACTTCGAAGAATACTACGAGAGGTTCTTCACGGCATTTCCTTGCGACGTAGCTCTGTGAGAGTGCCCATCACTGGAATAATTCATATTGTCTTGCCTATCGATACTCTTCAAGAGTAGCTCCCAAGCAACATGTTAATACGATCGGTGTCATCGCCGATGCCCATATGCTCGAAAGAAAAACGATCCGATTCGAAACACCCCCAGAGTCGTTGCAATGCGAACCCGTACATACGGATTTTCGGCAGGATGATCACTTGAATCGCCCGTCAAAACTGCAGTCACCGCCGCTACAAGCCGTAACGTGGCAGTGGTCACCTGTGCAGATCCTGTCGTCGCGGCCGTCACCGTCAGAATCGACGTAAATTCTGTCCAGCCTGGTGCACTTCCCGTTGTGAAAGGTGAATTGAGGCCCTGCGGGTCGTAAAAGTATAGGTTCTCTCCCAAATGGGGTCAATGGGATCATTTTTGCTTCGGCCAGATACCATCCCCTAAATATCTTTGCGTCAAGGCAGTTATTTGTGACAAACTTCAGGTTTGAAGGATAGCAAAAGCCGGACACGGAAATTGTGAACCTGAGAAGCCGCCGTGCATGATGATTCTGGTCATGTCTAAAGTTCTTCAGATTCGAGGTATATAGTCTCAAGGAAAGTGGTGATTGTGGTCAAATTGACTGTTATGAACCATGAATTGTTCGGATGAAAGTACTCTAAATATCCCTTAGAATGTTGCGAAAATTTACGGGTTGCCATCGGTGTTGATGTTCGAGGAATCAGCGTGATAGCCTAAGTTGGGTTCCCGAGCGGATTCCACATACCCGGATACCCGGATACCCACGTCTTGGGAGCAACACCCTCCATTGATTTTCCTAGGTTTCTCACTTCAATTCTCTGTCACAACGCCAAAGCTATGCGCTCTTCTCTAGCTTGTTTGCCCTGTCGCATGCGCCATGTGAAGTGCGATGGAAAGCGACCGTCCTGTGCCCGCTGCGCTGAGTATGGGAAACAGTGCAACTACGCCGAGTCGCGCCGAGGAGGCCTGAATCGCGCAGCCTTGGCAGAGCGGCGCAAACGACTTGCTGCAACAAAAACCACCATAATTGATGAGTTGAGCCCTGAAGGGCGCCTGACAATCCAACAAATGCCAGGATCACCTCGTCAGTACCTTGCATCCGCATCTAGTAGCTACAGCCCACTCGAGGATATTAGCGTTGGCGAGGGCAGGCCTAGCGAGAACTTCCCAGCCGCGCCCCAGGTCCACATTGGCGATATCAAGGAAGATCCCTTGGTCGATTCCTACTATGAGCATTTCCACAGACTACACCCGTTCGTCCCACCTCGAAGGCATTTCGCTAGACTTTGCGAAGATTTAAGGCGGCAGAACAATTTCACGCCCCTCATCGCTGTAATGCGTTTAATTGGACACATCTTCAATTCATGCGAATGGTCAATCCCGCTCAAGGATTATGTTGAGACGTGTCTCTCTAAAACTACAGCGGATGACCCAGTCATGGTTCAGTGCCGACTTTTATATTCGATGGCATTATTCTGGTACGACTACAAAGCTGAAGCAAAAGCGGAAATAGACCACGCAACCCATTCTGCTACTGATATGCAGATGTTTTTGCGAGACTTTTCGACAAAACATGGAGGGGATGATCCTGTCTTGCAAGAATGTTGGAGAAGGACTTGGTGGATGCTCTACATTGTGAACGGATACTATACCGGAACCCTCGGAACCATGAACTTTGCAGTTGCAAACATTGACGCTACGGTGGATCTGCCATGTGAGGAGTCGGAATATGAATCAGGAGTAAGTAGTGACGATTTGTTTCTCCGTCCGGTGCCATCTGGTTCCGTGGGTAGTCTTAAGGCTTCCATATCTCACTATTGACCAGCATATACCCGCGCCAAGAAACCTACAAGAATTTGATTGTCGCGAATTCACGCAGGAGGAAACATTTTCGTCCTTTGCGTACCTTGTCGGCGCTGTACGTTGCGTAGCATCGACCATGTTTTCAACACCAAGGATTTCGAACACAGAAGGCTCAATCCATATTATCCAGGCTGCAGACTCTTGCCTTGATGGCTGGCGGCTGCTATTGCCGAAGAAGCAAAAGCAAGTCATGAAGAAAACAGGAGAAATTGATGAGCTTATGTTTCAGGCAAATATGATCATTCACGTGTAGGTCGATCAGCAGGATATATCATATGGTATAGGAGCTTATAGGTCATACAGTGCGACGATAGGAATACACAGGCCACTTTCAGATCTTAAATTCAATGTTTCAGAGGATATATCAAGCTGCGCTCGAAAACCACCTTTGGATACACTAAAACCCGATCTCGTCAACATACATACAGTACGAGTTTTGCGATCTGTGGAAGCACAAATCCGCCTTTTGGCATTACCAATTCGAAAGTTCCACCACACCCCTTTCGCGACCTGCATGGTGAGCCAAGGAGCCCTAGCACTCCTCTCTGCCTGCAACCTTTTGTTCGAGGATAGAGACTTGGCTACCGCCAGAGATCAGATCCGCATGACTATTGGTTGTCTCAAAGCGTTGGGTGATACTTGGCCACGGGCGGCGAGAAATGTACGGGAGATACAGGCCATCGCGCGGCATATGTTAGGAATACAGCCCAGCGTCGCAAGTGGAACTCCAAGCCCGAATGCAGTTCCACCCCCCGATGAAGGTCCAAGGGAGAGAAGTCAAGATTCAGACTATGATTTCCGGAACGATCTCGATACTCTTCCTTTTATGCATTCTATTGAGGATCTTTGTGGTTGGGATATTCTTGAAGATGTTGCCGGAACTCGGAATTTTGATCGCACACAGGGGTACAATCAGTAGGTAATGCAAGTTTAGCGATACTTTACGGCGGAAAGTTCTTATTTCATTATGATGTTAACTGAGACTTGTATATTAAGTTATACTTTCTCCTAACCGAATGATTTGCTTGTCTGTGCTTGCCTAGCTGTTTGGCGTTGGTTTTAACTCTCATTTCGCGACTAGGTTCCAACGCCCAATAGAAAGCATATATTATCGAAACCTATAGTCGTACAACAATAATGCCATCGAATATCAAAGTCGACATTCAACCATGATTAGATCTCCTAGAAAATTTTGAGAAAAGCTTGTCTCAACATTATCTTTGCGCGGAAGTGGCCATTCTTGCGACATGAATATACAGTAAACTCCCGTTTTCGGCACTCCCAGGTTAGGCACACATTTTTATTAGGCACCAAAATCTGTTGGATGGACCCACTTCTTAGAGTTTTCCCATATATAAGAGGCCAACCGGCACACCTTTTTGTCTGGCACACAAAATTCTCTTCAATTTTTGCTTAGTCATATAAACCGACCAATCAGAATGCAGGATTTTTCCCCTTCCAACCCTTCCACCCCTTCTTCGGTCGCTCTTTCAGCTAAACTAGCTATACCAAAACAACCTAATAAAGGTATATCCGATGCTCAGAAAAAAGCATTACGTATCTATGCATCGGAGACACGCCCTAAACCTACTCAGAGAGAATGCGCTGAGTGGTTTTCATCTCAATTTAATCGTCATATCAACCGTGCGACCGTCTCCAAGATTCTTTCATCCAAATACGAGTACCTTGATACTGGTTTAGCTGGTTAGAACAAACGCCCGTTAGCATCTCGGTGGCCTCTATTAGATAAGGCCCTATATATCTGGCAGCAGCGTCACGAGAATGCCGGTTTTCCTATAACAGGCCCATTGATTCAGAGCAAAGCCGTCGAATATTGGAAGAAAATACCCCAGTATAAAGATCTCGACCCGCCACTTTTCTCTAAAGGGTGGCTATCACGGTTCAAACAGCGCCATTCGATCTGATATTATACCTCCTATGGCGAATCTGCATCGGTTCCGGCTTCGATGTATTCCGACATGGAAGCTATTCGGGCTATCTGCGACCAATATCAGCCAAACGATGTCTATAATATGGATGAAACAGGTCTATTCTGGCGTCGAATGCCAAATGGGGGTCTATCGAGTAAGGGTAGTCCTGGTTATAAAAAAGACAAGACCAGGATTACTCTCGCAGTAACGACTAATGCTACTGGTTCAGATCGAATGCCTCTATGGTTAATAGGCACTGCGAAGATGCCTCGTGCTCTACGAAAACTCAATATCCTAGTACTTGGATATGTCTGGCGATGGAACAAGAACGCATGGATGCGCGGTAATGTTATGCAAGAATGGTTCCGCTCGTTTTATAGGCATATTGGCACATAAAGACGAGTCGTGCTATTGCTCGATAACTTTAGCGCGTATCTCTCTGCGCTTGAACATGCGCCACCGCCGTCTAATATTAAAGTCGTTTTTTTGCCACCAAACGCGACCTCGGTTTACTAGCCATTAGACCAGGGTATCATTAGAAACCTTAAGCACTATTATCGGAAGAAATGGTTGACATGGATGGTTAATATGATAGACCGCGGCGTCGATCCTACGCAGAGAATGAGCCTCTATTACACACTACATTGGATCACCTAGGCTTGGAGACGTGACGTTCTAGATGAGACTATTCAGAAGTGCTTTATCAAGAGCACGCTTATTAGTCCTAGCACTAATGAGATAAATACGTCTCCGTCTGAGGACCTTCAACTAGGTGATTTATACGCAGAGGTGACCGACCGGCTTCCTGGTACAGAGGTTATGGCATTAGATGAATTTCTAGACCCTCCAGGAGAAAACATCGACGTGGAAGAGCCTGATTTATCTGATATTATCGTTCATTTTTCAGAAGAAAATACAGGTGGGGATAATGGGGTTCAGGATAGCGAGGACGACCAGGACGAATATATATTCGGACCACCGCTGGATATCCTCTCGCGTGTTGAAGCTATTGAATATATGCATAAAGCTCTTCAATTTGCCCAGCACCAAGAGGGAATTACTGAGAGAGATCTACGTGATATAGAGAGGATCGCTCATCTTTTTTCTCGATTCGAGATCAATGGGAGGAAGCAGAGAAGGGTGGATGACTACTTTAGACCAAAAACAGACTAGTTCTTACTAGATGAGGTTTAGCGCGATATTAGTGGCACACTTTCATTAGGCACATCGGAATTCTGTTGCACGGAGGCCCGTGCCGAAAACGGGAGTTTACTGTATATCTAATAAGCCGCATAATAGCAATAAGGGGTTTGGAATTGACCCGCCGGGTCTGGTCTTGGCAAAGTCTAGCAAGGCATCATTGTGGAGGGTAGCAGGAATAGGTGGAGCGTGCGAAAGTTCTTATAATAGACATCGATTAAGGGATCGTTCTGAATATTACCAACATCAATATGGGTCGCCGCAGGGGAATATATATCAGACCAGCCATCGCTAATGCTGATCTCGTTGAGCAAGTCGTAGCTACTATGGACATCAGCAAAGAATCAAGGTGCGCATTCTGAGCCATGTTAAGAAATCGCACGTCTTTGCGGGCCCACCTGCTCGGCCACCGCGGTTTCTGTGGCACCAAGTCGTTTCCCCTGCTCTGCCAGACCTACGCGATCCAGGCCACCTCTGTGCGACTGGGCGTCGTTGCATTGCTTCCCGATCTCAGAGCAGCGAGCGTAGCACGGTCGCTTTCCATCGCACTGTAGGAAGTGCGAGCGACAAGGCAAGCATGCAAGAGATTAACTCTTATGCGGCGTGCTATTCATTACCAAGGCAAATTTGCAAATCAAGGTAGAGGTGATGTTCTGAAGATGAGCAGGTACCCGGGTACTCGGGTACTCGGGACCCGCTCCGGAATCCGACTGAGAGGTCGGACGGTGATCCGCCAAACGTGATCAGCCACTGATGGCTATTCGCAATTTTTATGACATTAAACGATTCCTTCCAATAGCCTAACAGTTTTTTTTGGCAAAAGTATATAAACTCATGTCATTTTGCATCTTGTAGAATATTTCAATTTCCTGATCAGTCAGTTAGAACACCAAAGCTCACTTTGTTTGCTGGTATACGTCTTGAATCGAAAGAACGTCAACAATGGCTAGAATCATCATCATTGGTACGGGGTTCAGTGGCGTCTGGAGTGCTTTCTCAGCCAAGCGCCTTATCAACCTTTCGCAGGAAGGGAACGATATTGAGATACTCGTCATCTCGCCCGAGCCAACGCTAGTGATTCGTCCGCGACTCTACGAGGCAAATGCGGCCAGCTTCACTCAACCCCTTGGTACTATGTTTGAGGATGCAGGCATCAAGTTCTTCCCAGGCATTGTGAAGACAGTTGACACCGGGGCCAACACGGTTATTGTCCAATCTCCCTCTGGACTCGAATCAGCTTTTGATTACGACCGCCTGATTATGGCAGCTGGTAGCTCCGTTGTGCAACCTCGGGCTATTGCTGGACTTGAAAGATATGCATTCGATATTGACTCTCTAAAGTCGGCTATCAAGCTTGAGACTCATATTGAGAATTTGGCATCACTTCCTCCAAGCCGTGCTCGCGATACTGTCGTCGTCTGCGGTGCTGGTTTCACTGGCCTTGAGATTGTGACAGAGCTTCCCAAACGCCTTACCCATATTCCAAATCATCGTATTCTTTTGATCGACAATTCTGAAGAGGTTGGCCAGGCGCTTGGACCAGGGCCGCGTCCGGCTATCTCCCAAGCTTTGAAGGATCTTGGAATTGAAGTGAAGCTTGGATGTAGAGTCGCATCAATCGACGCTGATAGCGTGATCCTTACATCTGGCGAGCGAATCCCCACCAAGACTGCCATTTGGACTGCCGGTGTGAGGGCGACCACTCTCACGCAGCAGATATCCGGATCTAAGGATGGACTTGGTCGCCTCTATGTCGACGAGCACCTTCGTGTTCCATCAACCCCGAATGTTTTTGCCACCGGTGATGCAGCCTCTGCTCTGTCCGATACCGATGGCCACTATACCATGATGTCCTGCCAGCATGCAATTCCACTTGGCCGTGTGTCAGGTTATAATGCAGCAGCTGATGTTCTTGGTGAGCCTATGATAGCTTACACTCAGCCCGCGTATGTGTGCTGTCTAGATCTGGGTTCTTACGGCGCCGTTGTCTCCGAAGGCTGGGGGAGAGACATAAAATTCACAGGCGAGATGGCAAAGCGGGTGAAGTGTTTTATCAACCGGAATGTGATTTATCCTCCAAAGGATTACCGACGGGCACTCGATGAAGCCAGACCAGTTGAGCTCAACGGAACCCAATTGATTGAGTTCATCCTTTCTGCGGTAACGGAAGATCGATGATTTTACATGATCCACCCACTCCGATACGAAGATCTCCAGTGGCGCCGAATAACAAAGGTCGTTGTGAAAGAGCACAGGTTACAGCCTGGGGCCTCGGAATTCTAGGATGTGGTTAGCCATCTTTCATAGCCATATTGCAAATGGACTCTCCGGTAACCAAAGGGATAATGAGGAGCAATTTGTATCGTCGTATACCGTTCGATGTTTTCAATGTTTGGTTAGAATTGGAGAAGTTGCAATTTCAAGGCAGCACTCGTTAGGTGCTAGGTAGCAAGACGGAACAACTTAATATATTCTGTCTGTAAGACTGGCTTCGTGTATGCACTAGCTCCAGAAGCTTTAGTTTACCATGACTCCGGGTCGCCTCCGCTAGGTCCTAGTCGTAGTGTAAAATAATTTAGAGCAGAGTAAATCAAAACTGTGCAATTTGATCGTATAATGCTAGACTTTGACAGACCCAGGTACAGTCCTTGGAATGGTCATCATAGCGTAGCCTAGGCTTTGAGAATTTACTGTACTAGGGCTAGTAGTAGTATACTACACTACTGAACACTATAAAACTCTTTGCCTTTCAAGGTTGTCTCCTTGTTCCTTGGGCTCTTTACGACCCTTATTTCTCTATTGAAGTTGGCTAATAGTTCCCCAAGTTGTTATATAACTAGACTATAACGGTGATGAAAATTCTGTTAAGGTGCTCAAGGTAATGGATCCGTTATTTACCTGCTGTGTGAAGTCTAACATTCGTTTTTTGTTTGTCTTAAGCTGAATATATTACTGCAGACCGTTTTTAATTTTATAAAGATAGAAAGGGCATCAGTGAGGTGATTCAAGCACAAGAGAGTCTACAATGTAAGACCTGTTGCCACCAACCAGGGAGTATGTCTAGTTTCAATTATTTCAGTTTCGAATTGGGCCCCTCCACCCGCGCCCGGTCTATCAGCATCTGCTGGATCACGAAAGGAATCGCGCGGTCGTTTTTGCAGAGAAGATAAGCACAGGGAATGGTCCTATATGCGGTTCCAGTAGCAGGTGCAATCTTTGTCGCCCATGCATGAGGCCCAAGTGATTTGTCCCACTCTGCTCCGTTGGGTACATCATGAAAGAACCTCCCATGTGGATCATTGGCAGTCACGGTATTTTTGGATTCCTAAAAGAAGCTTATCAGAAACAGAAAACTCTCTTGTCGAAATGGATCCTTAGTAGAATGCAATGCAACTGACATACCTCACAAACCAGGATGGATGTTTTCCGCCAAACGCACCGACGAGGCTTTCTCCAAGTATAGGAATAAATGCGGCAATAAATAATAGCTTCACAATGCCACCTTTGCGTCCTTTTGCCCGGCGCTCGGATTTGCTCAGTCCGTCCAATGCACTAGAACCAGGTACACCCGCCCAAATATGCAATATGACAACTATGTCGTGACCTTCTTCTGCCTCTTGATCGACAGTAAACAGAACAGCGTCAATGTCCGGTTGGAGGTCTGGAACCCTAGTCGCCGATTGGATGGAGGGAAATGTAACGGTACGGCGGCGGTACTCCAGCAGGTTGTCAATAATCAGGTTGAATGATGTAGGCGGATACCACGCGCCAGGCGCGAATATCAGAGTCGGGTTCGACATTGTAGAGCACTGGTTGGCCAAAGAAGTTTATGGTCATAAACCGGGCTTTATAAACCTGTAATCGGGAATTCGGGTGGGCTGCAGAAACGCAGAGAAATCGGTTACACATTTGTTAGCTTACGGTGGTGCTTTCTAGTCCGGTAACCACCTGAAATTTTACTGCCTGTATGGTCAAGATTCGGCCCAATGTGAGCTACTTGCCATAGTTACGGATTTTTACGGCTATTATAGTCCCTAGAAGATTCTGTGAATGATTAGGGCAGTCTGCCTTGGCTTAATACGGTATTCAGATCGGCAGAATACAGGACGACTTTCCTGTAGCCTTGACATGCTTACGGACGTTATCACTTACTCCTCGGAACTCAAGGGCATGGGGAATAATTTTAATCCTCCGACTGGATAAGAAAGCGTGTATGTCTCGTGGGGGAATTAGTGTCGAAGGCCCTATAGTCACGGTTTTGTTTGAAGTGAAATTAGACGATTACTCGGATCGTACAAGTTACAGACACAAATAACTTAGATATACTGCTTATTAAAAATCGCAGTGGCTAACTAACTCAGATATCCGACTTAATTGACTACATTGTCAGATGATCTTAGTAACTACCACCTGGAAGAGGAATTCGGGATTCTGTCGTGGTAGAGTACCCGAATACCCGACCCGAGTAATCTTCAGAGCTCCTCCGGTCCTTGAATGATGTGATTCTTGGCCACTAAATAAGCACCCTACCTTCATCATGTAGAATTTATTCAAGCAACCTTATTTTGCAACAAATTAACTGTAAATAATCATAGAAGACGGCTTCAAATCAGGAGACATAACACGATATCAACGTTTAGGATATGGGAGGAGTTTCACAAACAAGATTAAAGTAATATTTTAAATGGAGCTATCCAAAGACTCAAACTAAAGATTTTTTTTTGATGAGTCATTTTATTGGGATTTTGTAACTTCATGTACCGGAACACACAGGCATTAATTTAACGATTTACGCCCCTTACCAGCCTCTGCATTGATAGCCTATGTATTGATAGCCTATTTCCCCTGCTCCTATAACATGTAATGACAACAGATTATCCAACCACCACAATTTATAATCGCGGCCTAAACTCAAACGAAGCTCCTGAAGATAGAATAGCTGTTAAGGCTTCAAATCCTCATTGAAACAATACTATACCAAGTACCATCTTTCTGACGCCTTGATTGTCTTTTAAGTTCACTTTCGACATGCAAGAGACGTTCTACAGCCCTAGATAATACGTAATATGAAATCAACGGACTGGTCCCCCACCAAGCTATGGCATAATTCAGCTATACTATTTCTCCCTTGAGGGAGTACCTATTTCCCACCCGAATCCACTCCCTACTTATACATGGGCTCTTTCGTGCTTATAATCGTGCTAATCATCGCTGAAAAGACTGCGAAGAAGGTAGTCAATATCTTTCGCTATAACTATAAAGCGCTCTCGTAGCTTAGTAGGTAATTTATATTTCTTTATAAGATCTTGCCTAATATACTTGTAGGCTTTTAGAATAAATCATATAGAGCAGAACTAGACGACTTACGCTTAGAATATCGTTCTTAACGTGCATCGGTAGAGATCGAAAAGTCTCTCGCTCCTATTTTGAAGTGAAATTAATCAGGCTCTAACAAGCGGATTTCTGTAAAGGCATTCTTTTCCTTGTTATAATATAGTTTTCGGTAAAATATTTTAGAAGCTATAGGGTAGGATCACGTTTGTTTTTAGAGAAATTAGTATAGGTCGCCTCTGTACGAGATAGTCTCTATCTACTAAAATAAGTTTTACGGCCTAAAGACTATAGATCGGATAACCTATAATATCTAGTTCATCGATATATCCTTATACTTTTCCAGAGTAGCTAGAGCGAGCTATTTGAGGTATATAGAGTTGTCCTTATTTTCCCTTTCATTCTAATACTCACGGGTAAGGCCACGTAACGTAGCACGTATAAGTCTTTCGTTAAGTTTCTTTTAAAGATCTTTCTAGGAGTATCTTCTTCGCAGAGTAGGGTATCTCTAGGTTAGGGGAAAGACGACAGCAGACATTACCAGCGCCCTAGGCACATATTTATAGTATAGAGTCTAGCGACAGAGGAAAAGTGAGAAGTGGGTGGTGTTGGTGATCTAGGTGAGAATCCTTACTCCTTTCTCACCCTCTCTCACCCCGTTCTCATCTCTCTCATCCCAGTCTCCAAACTTCTCACCCATATCACCCACACTCACCCTAAGATCAAATCCTGCGCCATTTTAGAGCGCAGGGCACATTGAGAATTGACTGCGTACTAGAATAGGCTTAAGTACGGCTGAGCGGACGGGAAGCCCTATTCTCCATACCCTATGGTCGTATGTGCTAAATATGCCCTTGTGGGGAATCGTAGCGGAATCATAAACTATTATAAAAATCAGTGCGAAAATGAAGTGGAGCTAAGTGATAATAAAATCTAACGCAGGTACAAACGAAAATTCGCTAAGATCAGCTAAAATATACGTACTAAGTTGCGTCGCAAAGTGTGGCGTAGGGTGTGATGATTAGACGTACATAGATGCAAAACCATATCCGTAAAGTCAAAATTTATTGAAGAGTGGGATAATATTAATCTTGGCAGAATAAAACATGGAATCGAATCTCACAAATGAGCTAAGCAGGGTGAGTTTTCTTTCATGAGGTAATAGTCGAAGATATCGGGTCTAGCGGGGAGGCAAGGAGCTATGGCTGCACGGTCATAGCGTGATTAAAGTTACGGAAGATAGCAGCAGAAGCCGATTAGAAGTGTTTAAATCACAGTAGCTATTACGAGCTAATCGAGATGAGAATAGGTATCTGTATTTGGTGCTATCTAGCGAAGGAATCAAATCTAAGGAGAGAAGAAACGGAGGAAATCTACGGGGATGCGAGTTAGGCCTTTTATAGGCATCCGGCCTTAGCCACTTTCCTAGCAAACTTCATATTTCGGAAATTTACGAAGCATCCAAACAAATAACCTAAACTCGCTAGTTGCTCCTCCAGACGGACTCAAACAGGCTCAACCGTAACAGTACCGTAAACAGCGGAATAGAACTAATAAGCTACGTAACTACAACCGATGTTCTGAGAGTGCCCGGAATGTGCTCTCGCAGCTTAGTGAAGCTTTCAAGGCATAAGAATAAGTTATCGTGGGTTATGGTTTAAAAAAAAGCTGTAAAATAGGAAAGAGACAAGTACTGAATGTGAACGTGAACGTGCGTACTAGACCAGACGAAGGCTAGAGGCGTAAAAGCTAAGACATAAAACGTGTGGAGAAACGAAGGCTAAGCCTAGTGAGGACTTCTCAAGTCAGCGGATCACGGAGGCAAAGTGTGAAAAGTACATAGCAGTGTGTTAAGCCAATAGGAGAACTATACAGCCGAGGACGAGCCAGTCATGGATCGGAACGTGCAGATAAGTGCAGAATGAAGCCCTAGAACCCTAGTGGCTATAACAGCTAAGATGGATGGAGAAGTAGACAACGTGGCCACGAGCAAACAAGATCTTTTCTTGGCAGCGAGAAGCGACGAATCAAGCGGCGAGACTTCGCGCGATTTTACGGTATAAACACACCAAAACTTTGCGGGCAACTTGCGCAGGGTAGTATAACCCCTTCACTCGTTCCTCGTTTCAGGGCATTCGAGAGTGGGTTCCGAAGCCAGGGGGGTATTAATAGAAAGTTCCATATAGTCAGGTGAGCTTATTTAGTAGCTTAGGTAGACTTCCTCGCCCTTTTCCACTTTACTCTCTTCACCCATCGTCAATTGCTCCAAGACCGTCATACCAAGACTACTTAGTCTTAAAATATTTTACAGTGCCTCTTATAGATAATATGAGCTTCGGTGGAGAACCAAGTATGCGCCTAGAGATCAGTCCCCCCTTCACTCAACGGGGTAAGCTGACCATGACGATTGCTTCCGAGTTAGGAATTTGTATAAAGTCCACCCCAGCCAAATTGGGGATCCACCTTCTGTATACGGTATGAGCGCGAAAGGTGGGGGAGAAGGATATAGTACTTGTCGAACCATTCCATGGAGGATCATGCATTCTTAATATTTCTATGTTATACAAACATAGCTTTGAATAGGTTCACTGACATTATTGAGATGAAGTCTATGTAACGGCCTTACCGCATTATCTAAAATATAATTATCTTTTACTGGCTAAGATAAACGAGCTAATGAACCTTATTCGGTATTATGTGAGAATTTAGTAAAGAAACCGGGGAGACTCCACATAATAAGGAGGACATAAGAGAAGAATATAAGAATGTCATAATTCTATGTCTTCAATGAGGTCTAGTACGCGCTGCTCTCAGATTATTTCTGATTTTTTTCGTCGGCTTTCACCTATTAACTCTTGCACAATATGAAGTTTCTCAGTCTTTTCGCTACCCCGTTATTCGCTATGTGTATTTGTGCCTTTCATGGCAGGCTTGAGGCCTCCAAGTATTACTACGCCAGTTCTACCTTGAGCTGGCAGGATATCCACTTAGTTGACTTTCGCACTGGATCTACATATTCTGGACCTCTTGATGGTGGCTTTAATAACTGTGTTAGCAAGCCATGTTATATCACGTGAGCCGTCTATGCTTTTTCTTCTCTAGATCGTTGTGGAAAATGTACTAATAATTCCTAGCTTTCAGGAAACTAGCCCTGGTGGCTATGCATTTACTGCACGTATGTGGCGAACTTACGACGGCTGTCATAATATTGACTTCGAGGGTGCTTTAGACGCCGGGCATGGTTATTGCTGTGGCAGCCTCCCATGTGTTATTACGGCCTAAAGGATGAAGAATGAGATCAAAGTCCGAGAGTTAGGGAGCTTTATATGATCGATTTCGTATATGCAAAGTATCTTGTTCAGCTTGTCTCTGTCCATTTTAGAGACATAAGTATCACGTTCAAGGTGATGCACAAGTGATGAAGGGCACTTAACGTGTATTTTACATTACTCTTCAATGTATATCATTATGAGCTAGGGAGATTTTATGTTACTTCAATACCGAATCGCTAAGAAACTTGAGATGGCATTTGTCAAATATGTAATCTTGAGGACGGTAAATCCGTAGTCGTTTACTGCGTCGTGCTAACCGTCCAATCGTATGAGTATAGCTCCCAGTGTGCCGCTTATGTGCTCCTCCTCCTCCTGCCACTTCCGGTACGGCACTCGCACCCTGGCCCCTATTCGGGCTGAGCGCCGCCTCTGGCCGCTTTGAACTCCTCAGCCAGCCGCCGCTGATCTATAAATCCTCGTTCTGTTAAGTTTTAATCTACTCGCGGGGTAGAAAGCCCTGTTGATCAGGTAAGGAAGAAATGCATAAAGTAGGATCATGACAAGACTGTTTCTTAGGGAGCTTCTAAACCTGCTCTCTACTCCATATCCTTCATATACATGAATCCTCCGTCAATAGGAAGGCATAGTCAAGGTTCCACTGTCTCCTATAATTCCATTTTTGTCTAAGACTTAATTCAATATCTTTAACAATTAGCTTGTTCAAAACACACAGCTACGACAAGGGAATTGCGATTTTAGTCAAGTCGTCAGACTTTTGTCCTCTATGGGGCATCCTCTGGCCTGGCCTACAGTGTGAAACTTCCTAGGACAGCCACAATTTTCGGTAGGCAAGTCAAATCGTTTGTTTCATACCCCGCAAACTGGCACCCCGTAAGGCGACCTCAGTAAACCGGAGTCAAACTGTGGCCCTCCATAGGGACTTTCATTCCCTACCTAACTAGCGTTTTCAAATCTTGTATAAGATAATAACAAATCAGACCTAAATACCTAACATATTAGAGATTTCTTTAAATGATCATATTGGGCTGCATTCAAAGAGAAAAGAGCGTGCATTCAGGAGCTATTGAATTGCCAATTGACGGCTTCATAAAGACTCCAAGCAGGCAACATATAGCTACCTATCTGTGTACACAAAGGAATGACTAAAAAGACAAACAACTAAAGAAATGTATGGCCTCTCGTGTCTACCCCTCCTTCCTGTTTTACGAAGAGACTGTATATAAATTAGTGCTATAAGGAGTGAGTTCTGAACTCCTCAAGAAACAGTCTCTGTTACAGTTGGACTTAGTGCTCTTCTTCTACCTGATTGACAGGCCTTCTACCCTGTAAGTAGATAATACCTTTACACTTACACTGCCTCGCTGCCGCTCTAGTGCCCTTTTAACCTTGACTACTACTATTCTATACCCGCTAAGCCCTGTTAATTATTATGCTGGCTCAATCCTACTAGACCTTAATAAGTTCTCCGCGTTTTTACTGGCGATTCTTAATGATCTACTTAGTTAGGGCCTTTATAGCAATATGGTATTCTTCTTCAATTTAGTAGACTTAGTAGGCGATTCAGCCTTTTTGACGCAACTAATAAGGATAGCAGGATAGGAAACCTCGAATTCACGCGTAATCTTAGATATATTCGGTTCTTTTGGGCAACAGCGGCTACGTAGGCCTTAGCTAAAGGAGATTCATCGAAATCGGCGGATTTAGGCATGGTGGGTGGTAAGTGTAGGAGATCTCCCTGAGGATCCGAAAATCTATAGAGAATGCATGGATACAAGAATGCGTGTCGCACGTAAGAGCGCGGTTTCGGTGGGCAAAAAGGCACGGCTATAGTTTTCCAGCTCTCTAAATGGCGGTAAAACTGCCGCCCCGGGTAACCTTAGGTAGCTACCGCAACCTCGCTTATAAAGTTTGGCGAGGCGACGCGACCGACTAGCAGAAGGCGACGGTTTCCATTGCCTGACCTTGCTCAACTTTTCTTTTTTCCCATATCATGTATGACTTCCGACATCCGAGAAGCATTAAAAAATGCTTGTATCCGTACGACTCCGGAGTCATCCAGCTGAATGTGCAACGCTTAGGGCAGAACTCTGACAACTCGTCCTGGACTGCTCTAGTAGACGAGTCCACGGACAGTGGAAATGATGCTCCGGCACTTATTGCGAGTCAAATTACGTGCGCTTTACACCCTACACTATCTGGAAGTGACCGGTTCTCCTGGTCTTTAGATAGATTACGACGGAAGTGAGTCTTTCAAGTTCCACGGAAGCTCGATCTAGGAATTTGAGTTGATCTGACAGTATCTGATTTAGATACATCAACGGCGTGGATATTATACCCGCTGCAAAGCAATTTCGTGCAAGTTCTGCTATAATATACTGCAACCTTCCGCATCTTTATCCAACTGCCAGCAACAGCGAAACATCTTCCGAATTCGAGGTGTCATGGAGTGCATTTGACGCGATTATCACTCTTTTGCAAACTCATTTCCGTCATTGCAAAAGCATCATGCTTGTGCTTTGGACGGATCCCACTATTAGCTTATCGAGGCGCGCAGCAGGGCAGGGGAACGATCCTATGCTAGCCCGGTTTGAGAAAATACTTCTCCGAGCGGATGAGCTCCATCGCACACTTGCTCAACAGGGATGTGAGTTCTCGATTTTTCCATCTCCGGCCGCATTCGAATTGTGCCTAGACCAGGCAAAGGAATCAGGTGGGGTGTTCGAAGAGGGTGACTGGGATCATAATCGGGGTGCTGAATCCCGGGTCTGGCGCAGTATTGAGCCGCAACTAGGCTATTGGATTCGAACAAGCTTCTTTGACATGTTTGAAAGGAAGGACATGGGATTTGTGTGACACGAGATGAAGGGCATGTAAGGGCCCAGGCGCTTACTACGAGCCCCGGCAAAATAGGGAACAAGACTTTTCATGTCTCTTTAAGTAAGTAGAAATTCATACATCTGGAGATAATCCTAGGACTGAGAAATATGATCGCCTCTTACATACGCTATGTAATACCAAATTTCATTTCTTGAAGAGGAGACCGAGATGAACGTAGTTCTGTAGAGTTCTAGCGATTTCAGCTACTTGTAGGCACTCCATTACTGGAATATAACACTCGCACTGAAAGCCACAAAGTAAATAGCGAGAAAACCACATAATCCACCCCACAAATTTGCGTTTGGAGCAACTCTTGCGGCGGAGCTAGAAGGTGATGCAGTCTTACTGGATGTAGCAATCGGTAGATCTGACTGATGATGCACCAGTGATAACATGGGCAATACTGACACTGCGACGAGCTGAGAGGCTTCCGACGGACTGAAAGTTCTTGTCACGACACTGATTGGCTGCGTCGCAGTGATAATATTGTTGAGCTGAGTGGAAGTACTCCCCTCGACCAGGATGGTTTGCTAGAAATGCCCACGTCTGTAGCAGGGAGCTCACGCATGCATCCCTCTATCTGTTCAGCCTGCACAGCCGTTGGCCAAACAGAAACATGCACATCAATTCCAAACTGTACACCGGTTTCAATAACAACGACCACAACTTCTACAACCTCCGCCTCAAAAACGAGCGCAACATGTCAAATCACTGGCTGGGCCGATATATCTGAAGTCGTCGGAAGTGGTGGTGAGGGCCAGGTAAGTAGAAGTAATCGTTACGCTTTGAAATCCAGAGGCTCATCTATTCATTTCCAACAGGAGCCAGTCTATGATGATAGATACGGTTTCATTGTTAGCTACCAGGATGGACCTACACTCGGCGGCATGTCGGGTAATCCGGTCAAACTCGGCTGGCAGACTCTGGACGGTCCATCATTCGGATTGGCCAATGATATCCAGTGGAAGCCAGATTTCATGCTTGCTTTCCAAGGATGTGCTGCAATCTATGAGGGGACTGAGTATGACAACGGAGACGCGAGTGGTAGCCCGAAGTATGCTGGCGACACCTACTCTCAGTGTGTAATTAACTTTACTTGTGAACCGAACCTGACGCCAGTAACCTCAAATAATGAGGGGCCTACCTAAGTGGTGGTCATTGTCGAGATAGCAAAGGTTATGGCTGTATATAGGCATAGGTATCGGATAGTTCTTCTCTCACCAAAATGATACTGCAAGAGCCTCGCTGGCCTCCGTAAAATTTGCTCACAGCGCAAACCATCTTGAAACAGTTATTTGGAAGTAGAAAATTTTACTGTCGCTGTACGTGTTTGTATACAGGCTCCTAAAGGTGACCGTGAGAATCCCGCCGGTTGTATGTTTTTATTTCCATTTTATTGCATTTTTGGGACTCTGTCTTAGCTCCTGATGGGCGGTGTCTTTTGAATTCCAATATTTGGATCTGTTAGCTGAAACTGAAATAGATATGTAGAAGATATAGAAATAGGAATGTGAGCCTATCTCACCCCACAGAAGCATTGCTCATGCTTTCATCGGCCTCGTCCACGCTGCCCAGAAAGCACGTAAAAGTGCTAATACCATAATTCCTTTTGCACTTTTTCACGTGTATTCCTGCAATGGGTATTCTCTCCAGGGTCCATTCTGGGTGTCACTGGATGCAGAGGGGAATGACACCCTAGGGGCCTGTGGCGTCATGTCTTCAAAGAATGCTGCGCAGGCGTTCTTCATGTCGAGGTAAACATCCCTAAGAGAATGGCCGATATTACCTTATTTTAGTAACGCAAACTTCCTCTACTTGCTGCCCCTCGCATCATAGGCAGAGTTTTCCAGTTTTTCACCGTGCCGTAATCATCATGCAAATATATTGTAGAATCAATATTGTTCGACTGAACATTCTCATCAAGATTTTTGGCCCAGATCCAGTGCTGCTGCGGAGAATTCGTATCCAAAGAGATACCTTCCTATTGATTATACGAGAAGCACGTGAGATCGACGATATTGTTTCCATGGTCATCCCTGTGCTTTCTAGTCACTGCATAGGCAGGTATCATCTCTGTGACTCAAGGCAGGGAGTGGTTCCTGGGATGATCTGTTATTAGCATATTTAACTAAAAATAGGGACAGCTCCTGGTAGAATAAGGATAGATTGTAGTCCTGGCACTAACAGTTATACTTTTTCTTTGTAGTTATTACTGATCGCTATATTTCTGACAGTGGCATACTTATCGGCGTATCACGACTTACCGTCTTCCTCGGTTGCTCCAGGGTATATCAAGAACATCAAAGCACCGCTCATTCGCTCCCTAACGCTAATTGCTTCCTGCCCTTTGCCGTTATCGAAGGAAGCTAACAGCGTAAGATGTAAGTCTTCTGTTTGAGAAGGTACATTGTAAGAGGATAATATCCCCATACGGAAGCTCATATGGTTAGTCTCCCAGTTATCTGTGCAATGTAATGTATTGACAGTATTGAAAATAGAGAGAAGTAATAATAATGCAAAGTTAGTCATGTTTGCTAGGTCACCCAATTCTGAAAACCACACCAACAAGATCAAGGCAATGCACAAAGAGGGATCGTAAGATGATAAGAAAGTCAGGAATCGCGCTCTACCATATCTGTGCTAGCTTCTTTTAAGTAAAAACAAGAGCCACTTGTCCTCCTATCATGACAAAGATGCGAAATTAAAAGGGAGGAAGGGAGGGGGCGTATACGTGATTTCTAATCTTTAGATGGAATCGTCCATAAACATTCAATCCTTCCCCCGACTTCCTAAATCCCAAACTTTACACAGTTCCCATTCTTCCCTTTAACTGAACGAATAAAAACCACAATGGATGCTGAGGCCACCTTTCACCTCTACTCTTATTACTGTTCCTCATGCTGTCAACGGATTATCATAGCCGCTCATCTCAAGGGCATCCCCCTTGAATTCTCCTACATCGACTTGGGGCAAAAGGAGCACCGGACAGATGAATACAAAACTATGCTCAACCCCAGCGCTAGCGTGCCCACGTTGGTGATTACACCCCACAATGGGGGCGAAAAGACCATCATCCGACAGTCCATGACCATCTTGGAGTATCTGGACGAGAGCTTCCCGAACAGAGCCCCGCTACTCCCATCCGTCTCTGCAATGTTGGATCGAGTGCAGGTACGCGACTTGGCCAATATCATCGCTATTGATACCCAGCCCACCACAAACTCCCGTATTGCACAGCGGGTAAAAGCTATCCGCGGAAGTCTCGATGACCAGGTTGCCTTCGTCAAGCAGGCCTTTACCGATGGGTTCCAGGCTTACGAGAATCTGTTGGTCAAACAGGCTCAAGGAGGGTCATATTCCTTCGGTAACACCGTTTCGCTGGCGGACGTGGTGCTGGTCCCCGCAGTTGATCAGGCCCTGATGTACAGAATGGACCTGGACTTTGTGCCTAATGTTAAACGCGTGTATTTCGCCCTAAAGGGACTGGAGGCCTTCAAGGCTGCAGACTGGCGAAATCAAGGAGATACCCCTGAGAAATTCCGGGTTAAGGATTTCTAGTCAGATTCCTGGTAATAACTATTGATTGATCGGTTTGTCAGTTCACGTAGCCAAATAGATTCAATTTTTGGGGGACTTATTCCGCCTCCTATTTCAGCTTAGAAATAACTATACTATCCCCATGGAGTGTATACACGTGGGGTAGCGATAGTACATAGTAATTGAAGTAGGACAAGCCCGGATAAGTCCCACTGCTTCGCACTGAGCTATTTGTAATCGCCGCGCGTTGCACATCCGCATCCACTCACTCCATCAGGTAGCGCGGTGATTGGTCGGGTACGTAGATTCTTGTCCCAAACGGAATAGCATCTTGACATTACCGTATAAGGAAGTATCTTTCTTCCTTTTTGAGAAATATCTCTGTTCCGTAACTATGCAAAATAATTGACGTCCATTCTCAAAATTGGGGCCTTGAGTCAAATCATGACTATAAAAACCTGGCCTTCCTCGAGCCAAGGGGAACAAAGGCTTCTGCTCTTCATTTCACATTTGAGACCGACTTGCCTAAGAAACACTTTCGACCATGACTTCTCAATCCCGTCTTTTCAAGCCCCTCAAGATAGGCGATATGGAGATCCAACATCGCATTGGTATGGCCCCACTCACTCGCCTTCGCGCAAGCCATGATCGAGTACCGACATCAATGATGAAAGAGTACTACAGTCAACGGTCTGCAGTACCCGGCACCCTGATCATCACCGAGGGAACCTTCGTATCGGCAACTTGCGGTGGCTTCCCTTATGCACCAGGAATATGGCGTGAAGATCAAATTTCCGCTTGGAAGACAATCACTGATGAAGTCCACCGCCGTGGATGCTTCATATTCTGTCAGCTCTTCGCAATGGGCCGCGCTGCGGACGTCGAATTGGCCCGGCAAGAAGGCGTTCCTATCGTGGCACCCAGTGCCATCCCCATTGAAGAGGGTGCTGCAATACCCCATGCGATGACAACTGAAGAGATCAAGCAAACGGTTAAAGACTTTTTGCAAGCTTCAAAGAATGCCATTCGGGCGGGCTTTGACGGTGTTGAAATCCATGGTGCGAATGGGTACCTCCTCGACCAATTCATTCAGGATGTCAGCAACAAACGCCAGGACGACTATGGTGGCAATGTGGAAAACAGATCTCGTCTTCTGGACGAAGTTATCAAGGCTGTCGTCGGTGTGGTTGGTCCCAAGCGTGTCGGACTTCGTCTGAGCCCCTGGAGTACATTCCAAGGCATGAGAATGGATGACCCGATACCGCAATTTACCGACATCATCAAGAAAGCGAGTCACTCGGATATCGCCTATCTTCATCTCGTGGAGTCTCGTGTATCCGGAGCTATGGACTTTGATGCCCAAGACCGACTGGATTTTGCATACCATCTCTGGAATGGACCTCTTCTTGTGGCTGGTGGGTATACACCATTGGAGGCACAAAGGCTTGTGGATGGGAAATATCCGGAGAAGGACATTATAGTCGTATTTGGGCGGTTTTTCATCTCGAATCCAGACCTCATCTATCGAGTAAAGGAGGGTCTGGAGCTCAACCCGTACAACAGGGAGACGTTCTATGTCATTCAGTCGGCAGTGGGCTATTTGGATTATCCCTTGAGTGACGCGTATCTGCTAAATAAACAAGAACTGTCTCACTGAGTTGAAATGTGAAAATGTATATACACCCTTTTGATGCCTCTTGATTAGAATTCAGTGCAGCCAAAGGTGGGTCTGAGTTGCCAAGGGGGGTCCCCAGAGTGTCACCCTAATTATATTCATATTCAGAACGGAGCGAATGTAATGTATGAGTTCTTGCCTCGTAAAAAAAGAAACTCTATCTCCATGAGTTGAACCGACGACCTCTCGCTCGCTATATACTTCATGACTATGCTTCATGTACAGCCTACGACTACACATCGATACCGCACCTAATAAACAACACGTAATATAACATCTAGAACACCTTTTTAATCCTTTAAATAAAAATCATAAGTTCTATACAATTTAGTGATTAAAATGATATAAATAAAGTATAATAAAAAAGATATTAAAAAGGAGAAATGCCATAGCGTAGTTAGATATCAAAAACCTCACCCGCCGGGGGCCGCACCTGCTCCACAGAAGCTTCCTCGCAGTTACGACCGCCGAACCCACCGAAGTGGCTACAGTCGACTAGGGGCTAACCCACTAGGCCACCGGGCAGGATCAGTTGCTGACTTCAACTGGAAGTAAATGATAACACCTTGTGCGATTCCCACCCCGCTATCAACTCGGCTCCTTTCCTCGAGCTACAGCAATTCTGCATGAATGGTATATTTAAAAGCTTGATATAAGAATAGTTCATTTCTAAAGAACGCTACTGAAACTTGAGATCGGCACAAAAGCATCAAGATCGTGTCTTTTATTTTCAAAGGTCATCCATTGGTCGTCCAATCCATAACTTACTGGCCCCGGCCAGCACCGCCACCACCCATCATGTTGCGGGCCCTAAAATCCAGTTTATTAGCAAAGCTCGGGCGAAAACCTCAGCAAACGAGGTCAAACTTACATCTCAGCAATGTTGGGGTCGCTCATGAGGCTAGACATATCGGGCATACCGCCACCCTGGCCGAAGCTCTCGGCCATCTGGCGAAGGCGGGGGTTGCTCATCAAGTTGCCCAGCATATCAGGGTTGCTCATGAGGTTCTGGGCCATGCTGGCGAACATGGGGTTGTTCATCATAGAACCGAGATCGGGCATACCACCGGCACCGCCAGCACCGCCAGCACCACCGCCGAACATGCCAGCCAGAGAAGAAAGATCGGGCATGCCGCCAGCACTGCGAGAAGCGCCAGGGGCAGTATCCAACTCCTCCGATGGGGGCTCGGTAGCGCGGCTAGCCTCCTCAATCTTCTTGTTGCAAGTCTCCAGGCCACGCTTCATAGCATCACTGCCACCGGTACCCTCCGCCTCAATACCCTTCTCGTAGGCCTCCTTGGCAGCGTGGTAGTCACCCATGTCAAACCGAGCAAGACCGAGACGGCTCCAGGCCTTCGAGTACTTGGGATCAACGGCAACGGCCACCTCGGCATCATCGGCGGCCTTCTCGTGCTGACCAGAGGCGGAGTAAGCGGCGGCGCGGTTAGAGAGATAGATGGGGTTGGCCGGGGCGATCTCCAGGGCCTTGGAGTATGATTCAATGGCCGCAGCGTAATCCTTCTTGGCCATGAGAGCGTTGCCCTCGGACTTCAGTTTATCGGACTCAGGGGTGGGCGCGCCAGCCTTGGCCTTCTGCTCCTGTGATTCCTGGGCTCCTGCAGCAGATGCCTGAGGGGTAGACTTGCTCCGCAGCTTCTCGTAAACGCTGTAGATGCTGGCCAGGGACTGGCCACCCACGGCCTCCTTCACGGCAGCTTCATCGGTTGGGTCGACCTTGAAGGTATCGGCGATACAGGACTGCGCGATCTCAATGGACTCGGCATCGTCGGCGGTGAGGGTGCCGTCCTTCAGGCTAGAGCCGAGGAAGTCGATGATGGCCAGGGCCAGGCGCTTCTTGCTTTCTGTGGGAGCCTGCGAAAGAGAATCGTGTCAGTTTGACCTGTCCATATTCTATCCAGGTGCGCGATTCCTTACCATGATGGCAGATATATCTAGAGAAACAAAAGAGTAAAGATGGAGGGGCGACAGCTCAGGAGAGGAAAAAAGACAATGCGGGGGGAGAGCTCCCGCACGTGATACGGCTTATCGTCCCTGTTGGCCCAGACTGTCCGACTGTTTGGGAACTGCTCCTTTTAGATCGTCTCTCGATATTTCCCCCGCCGCTGGAGTCTGGTCTTGAATTGCGACTGTTTTTTTGGAGCGCAATGACTCCATGTGAGCTCCAGCGCCGGTCTTAATACTCCCTCCCCCCTGCGAGCCGAGCCATGTACTGGCCTAATGGAGTGCCCCGGGTCTATGCGGTCAACGGGCCCAACATTGCCCATGTCTCGGACGACGTGAATCGCGAGGGCACCGGCAGTTCCTTGGCGGAGCAGCGAATTTCTATAGATTCCAAGGAATTGAAAGATGGCGTTCGCGACTCGGAGAATCCAGAAGACCAGCGTGATGGTCTCAACCCCGAAGAACCCCCTCCGGAGCGGATGCTTCCCAATGGGAGCAAGAGGCTATCAGTGGGCTTTGCGTTTCCCGCTCGGGCCATATGTTTGCGACCATAACTGAATCCTCTATTTCATTATGGCAGACCAGGGTATGTCTTTGAAATGCGTCTATAGGTCTGCTCAGTCAATAGTAAGCTCAGTACTAACACGCGCGGCAGCCCACGGCAGTTGTCGCCGCGATAGCTCGGTCCGCATACTCGATGACGACCTACGGACCAAATGCGGCAATTCTTATGCATCCCGACTCGACAATCCTCGTCGTGCAGACACTCAATGGATATCTCCTCACATATTCGGTAGCTTCGGACCCTGCGACGCGAGTCTACCAGCAGATGTTCGATCACTCCACACATCCTCGTCGGCAGCAACTAGCACATTTCTCGGCCGTCGAAGAGGCAAATGTTGTTGGAGATATAAGCATCAGGTTTCGGATGGCCATCAAGATCGAGTCGGGGATCGTCAAAGCGTTGGCACTCGACCAGGAGCTCGTCGTTGCTACGGTGAAACCTCCCGCTATTCAGTGCATCCGATGGGCCCCGGAAGCTAGTGGGACACAGACCAAATCCGAAATGCTCACCCGGATATTGAATGTACCGAAAAGGGTCTCGATCGTTGATATGGTTTATGACCGCGCAATGAACCTTCTGATTTGGCTCACCAGCAATGGTCAGGCTTACGCAGTTCAACGGGTACCTGGATCGCAAGAGGATTCCGATGTGCCTAAGAAGCTGTTCCACGGCCACTGCTTCCATGACCCCAAAGCTGATGGAGAAGAGGCTGTCAAAGTAGCAGTCAATGCCCGGTTTTCCTTGCTTACGGTCAGTTGCGCAAATGGCGAGGTCCTTGTTTACACTGCCAAAGACTATACGGGGAATGTGCCTCTTTCCCAGAAGCTGGGTCTTCCCGCGTCTCCTTCGTCAACTGGGGCATTGGCATTCATGAATTATTCTCCAGATGGGTATTGCCTGTTCGCTGGCTATGAAAATGGCTGGACAACATGGAGTGTCTTCGGAAAGCCTGGCGGTAACAGCTTCTCCGTCGACCCTGCTTTGGCAACTTCCAATGGAGAGGATTGGCTCACGGGCGTCTCGAATGGTTGCTGGATAGGTGGCGGGTCCGACATTATCTTGTCAGCACGGAACGATCGACGTCTTTGGATACTAGAGACAGCGCGCAGTGCCTTGACAGGATGCTTTTCCGCCGCAAATCTGGCTCGAGGGTTGCTGCAGACAGGGACAGAGTTCATTCTATACCGTGGACATGACCTGCCCGATCTGATGACCATCTCCGGCAAGGACTCACTCTGGCATCATGCCCAATATCCTCCTGCATACCTTCACTCACAATGGCCTATTCGATCTTGCGTGGTTTCTCAGGATGGGCGGTATGTTGCAATCGCAGGCCGACGTGGACTAGCGCATTACAGTGTCAACAGTGGCCGGTGGAAGGTCTTTGAGGACTCCAAAGTGGAGAATTCATTTGCTGTACGAGGAGGCATGTGTTGGTACGGGCATATCTTGATTGCAGCTGTTGAGAGTGATGGCTCATACGAGGTTTGTTTATTGTCAACCTTCAGTTTCGTGCAATGGATTCTAACTATCACCAGCTCCGTCTTTACTCTCGCGAGGATGCCCTAACCAACAACTCTATTATGCACATCGAATACCTCCCATCACCTGTGGTGTTCATTGGTCCCTCCGGAGAGGATTCCCTCTTGGTCTACACATATGACAACATCCTCTACCACTATATCATCAACTCTATGCAGACACAGATCACTCTTGTTCCTGTCGGACAAATTGCCTTCAACGGAATTGTCAGGGCACCAACTCGAGTTCGAGCAATCAGCTGGGTCTTGCCTGAGGATCAAATGCGTGAGTATCATCTTAATACGACATCATTTATCTATATATCCGTTTCTAACACCGTGTAGGGAATGGCGATCCCTCGCAGGACGTCAAGGTAGCATCAGTCCTGCTATTGGTTGACGGTAACCTTGTTCTCCTACAGCCCACAGTGACGGACAGTGGTGATCTCAAATACGACATGCGGGTCATCTCCCATGATGTGGAGTACTACATCTTGATGCGTGACCAGCTTTCCTTCAATTTCTCGTCTCAGGTGGACGAGTCTCTGCCGTCCAGCCCATCCGCCGAGATGGCCCTTGAGCCATCTTACAGCAGCCTATCACTCCGAGACTCATTATGGATGTTCCGGGGTAAAGATCTTCTAGCTTGGAATGACGTTCAGGACATTCTACAGCAAGAAGCAGTGCCCACACCGCTCAATATCCCATTGGACTTTTATCCATTGTCGGTGATCCTGAATAAGGGGGTCGTGCTCGGGGTGGAATCCGAAATGACACAACGGCGAGACGTCACCTTCACCAGCCTAAAATTCGCCATTCGAGTATGTTCCGCCAGTATTATTATTCCTCAAATCTCAACTAACTCGTTCCAGACACACCTTTTCCTCCCATACTTCCTGCAGTACTGTCTCGTCCATCTTGGAACCCCAGCTGCGCTCTCCCTGTGCCGACACTTTTCCCACCTCTCATACTTCGCCCACGGTCTCGAAATTTTACTCCATCACGTCCTAGACGACGAAGTAGACAACGAAAGCCGTGCCAGCAAGGCCGACGGCCCGATAATCCGCGACGAACCCCTCCTTCCTACCGTGATTGCCTTCCTACAAGCATCCCTGCCCACACATGAATATCTCGACATCGTCGTACAATGCACACGCAAGACAGAACTTCGATTCTGGCGCACCCTCTTCACATACCTCCCCCCACCAAAGGATCTTTTCGAGCAAGCCCTCCGACTCGACGCACTCAAAACAGCCGTCGGTTATCTACTCGTTCTTCAAGCATTCGAAGACGAAGACGACCATCACGACGGGCATATCGAAGAATATGTCGTCCGCCTAATTGGCCTGGCATCTCAAAAGGGAGACTGGGAGCTCTGCGGCGAGCTCGCCCGATTCTTAATTGCACTTGATTCTTCCGGTGAAATGCTGCGGCGTGCTATTGGTCGCGTCGGCTTGGGTTCGAGCCCGAGGCCATCGCCGAATGGTGGCCAGTCGGGCTTAGGATCAAGAGCTGCGTCAGCGGCCAGTGTGAGAGGGCTGGGGCTAAGTCTACCGGTCCGCACGCCGTCTTGGTCATCTCTTTCTCCCACTTCGTCGCTATCCCCACGCCTTAACGGGCGTGATGGAGAGGTGTCTGATGAATACCCCCATTCCGTGGATAGTCGTGACGGCTCATGAGTTAGTAATTTGGTCTGGTCGAGCATGATATCCCATCGCCATGTCTCCTGGGCTTTTTTGTATATAATGTCAATCTAGCGCGCTATTCTTTCATTTGCTCGGCTGGCTGTCCATGATGTACTTGGACATTCAAACTTAAGATGATAGCCCTAACAAAAAGTAATATCCGCCTTGAATCAGTTACAATGGTTGATCTCACCCTAGACCAACACATCAACTACTATTCACTCTATCATCCATGCTTCCATATCAAGCTACTCACGCATCAAGGACACAAGAAATCAAATATTTTCCCATTTTCATACCAACATAAAAATCATCACCCATCGGGGGTATCCGATACGATAACCAAAAAAAAAAACCCCAAAAAAGGAAATCATAAACCTCATCCATCCCCCTAATCCAACTGCATCTTCCAAAGCCCATCCCCCAAATAATGCCCCTCATCCATAACAACACCCTTTCCCTTACTCTTCATCTCCTCCGTGCCCACCTTCAACGCACCCACAAGACAAACCTCCTCCTTGCCCTCCGCCTTCACGGCAACGACCTGTCCAGCTTCAAGCGCATGCTCCGCGTCCGGGAGACGGCCGCCTGGGGACGTCAGGCCGGGGGCCATCAGGGTTGCGCCGGAGAGGACGAAGCGGATTGCGCCGCGGTCGATTTGGATTGTTGGGAGGGCGGTTGGGTAGGCGTGGATTAGGCGGAGGTGTGGGACTGGGGGGTCGTCGAAGCGTTGGAAGAAGAGCGGGTTGGAGTCTATTGTGTAGAGGGTTGCGCGTTCGGGGCTGTGGGGGGGTTAGTTTGGTTTTGCTATGGATTTGGGAGAGCGTGGTTTTTTGGGTTGGCGGTTGGGTTGGGGAGGAATTGTTGGTGTTAATGTGATAGATGGGGATTGGAGAAAGACGTTGATTTCGTGAGGGGGAATGCGTACAGCTTGACGGCTTCAAGAGAGGCCTTCTTGGGCATGATCTCTTCAATGTAGGGCTCGAAGCCGGGGTAAGTCTCCAGCAGCTTTTGCCGCAAGGCGCGGGCTGCGGAGGACTTGACCTTGGAGCGGTTGCTTGGGGGGATACTGCAGCAAGAGAGAGAGAGTCAGAAATGGGTTTCAAGTCCCGAGAAGAGTATGTTTTTGATTGCACTCGTAGAAGGTGCAAATGTAGCTCTGATGTGCTCGATAGCTGTCTTCGGAGATTGTTCCTGTGCGAGAGGTCTGATATCCCATTGCTCTGGCTCAACGGGCAGGTTACACTCCAAAGACATAGTCCAGGCCACTCTTGGAGTGTTTCTGTGGGATCAAAGGTACCACTTACTCTTTCTTGAACATGATGCTGGTTGTTGGAGATATTTGGATGCTCCGAGGACGCGAAGTGGGATGCGCGGGGATGTCACGTGATGGTATTTCCGGAGCAGCGAGACAAGTCCAGGAAGAAAGACTTGGGAAAGAGTAATTGGAAGATGAGCTGGATAGTGTAGAATGGCTATAAAGATGATGTCGAATTCGACACAGCATTGAATGATTTAGAGCTCACATCAGCTACAGCACGTATATTACTACTCTTTTACAAGAAAGTTGTGTACAGAAACGAATCATGTTTGGACAAGGTGTATCATTTATTGAGCTACAGTAATGCACTTAAGACTTGGCAGCACCAGCCTTGATGAGCATGATGTCACCGTCCTCGACGACGTAGTCCTTGCCCTTGGTCATGACCTTACCGGCAGACTTGACGGCAGCCTCGTCACCGAGCTCCTTCAGGGTGCTGTAGTTGTAGACAATAGCCTGAATGAAGGTCTTCTCAAAGTCAGTGTGGATAACACCGGCGGCGCTGGGGGCCTTGATGCCCTTGCGGATGGTCCACTGGCGAACCTCATCGGTACCAGTGGTGAAGAAGCTGGCCAGGTTAAGAGCCTGACGCATGGTGGTGATGACCTTGGGCAGACCAGAGGCAGTGCCGAGCTTCTTGCACTCCTCCTCAGCGGCAGCATCGTCACCCATCTGGGTCAGACGCTCCTCGAACTGGGCGGAGATGGGAAGAATGGGCGAGGTGGGGGACTTCTCCTTAACCCACTCGAACAGCTTGGGGAGGTACTTGTTCTTCTTGCGGATGAAGTCCTTCTCGCTGAGGTTGACGAGGTAGACGACAGGCTTAGCAGTCAGAAGGAACAGAGGGTTGATAACTTCGACCTGGAAATCAATTCTTGTCAGCAAGGATGAACTGTAAAAGAAATTGAGATGACGTTGTTTGAGATCAAAAAGAACTCCAATGTTTTTTTTTCAGTGCAGTACTTTAATTTCAAAATACCCTCGAACGTGATATAAAAATGAGGGATTCAACGAGCTGGGATTATCGCGCAAGCGCTTATTCATCATAAAAACATTGGAGTCTTTTTTTTCTTGGGGAGGTGGTGCAGGATTGGGGGAAGAGAAAAGATTTTCAAACGTACCTCCTTGGGGCCCCATTCACCCTCACGGATATCCTTGCCCTCCTTGAGCCACTCGAGGACCTTGGCAGTGGTAGCCTCCTCCTCCTTCATCTTCTTCATCTCCAGGGACTGACCACCACGGCGGGTCTGCTTGGACAGGGCCTCGAGAGCCTTCTCGACGAACTCGATATCCTTAATGCGCAGCTCCTCGCTGATGATGGTCAAATCACGGACGGGGTCGACGTCACCCTCGACGTGGATAATCTCGGCATCGTCGAAGCAACGAACGACCTGGAAGATGGCATCGACGGCGCGAATGTGCGACAAGAAGGAGTTACCCAGACCAGCACCGGTGGAAGCACCGCGGGTCAGACCGGCAATATCGTACACGGTCAAGTTGGCGGGCACCTGGGACTTGGGCTTGTAGTGGCTGCAAAGCCAGTCGAACCGCTCATCGGGGACGATGACGCGGGCCTCTTCAGGGTCAATGGTGGCATAGGGGAAGTTGGCCGGGTTACCCAGAGAGGACTTGGTGATAGATTGGAAGAGCGTCGACTTGCCGACGTTGGCAAGACCAACCTAGATAGATCACATTGTGAGTCTTCTGGGAAGAAAGGGGGTTGTGTAGTTGAAAATGTGAAGAAAAAGAGAAAAGGGAGGAAGGGGGAAGGGGGGCGGAAGGAGGTTTAAATAGTTTTCGTGGAATTAAAAAGTGGACTGTGCTGTGCGAAAAAAAGAGACCACCAGGGGAAAAAAAAAACCAGGGGTGGGGTCATTGCTCACATACGATACCGCTCTTCAAGTTGTTGCCGGGGCGGCCCAGCAGGACCTTTTCTTGAACTTGGGCCTTCTTGGGAGGCATTTTACTGGATTTCTTCTTTTTGCTGGAGTAGAAGCGACAGAGAAGAGATGGAAGGTGGGGAGATGAGGAGGGGGAGTAAAGGCGGAAGCGGGCGCAGGGATGGCGCGCGGCAAAAGCAGGACCAGCTGCGGATCGATCGACGACACGAAGGAAAAAAACGGAAGAAGATGGAAGAGACGTGATGGCGGTGCCCACAATAGCAGTGGGCAGGATCAATTGGCTTGAGAAGAGCAGGAATCAACGAGAGAATGTCGAGCAATCGCGTATAAAGAGAGCAAGCTGAAGATCGTCTTCGAAGTTTTCTGCCGGCCAGTTTGGGTGTTGACCGCCCACGTGATGAATGAGCCCTGCCCTTTTTTGTGGTTACGTCACAACATTCACCTTTACAAACAACATTAACCAAATAATATTTAGACTCAATATCATATTTGCTACTTCTACTGGTCCCGATTAACATGAATTTCACTTCTATCTGACCCCGTGGTCAGCTGTCAATACAGATATCCAGCATGAGAATATACAATATACATGATAACATATTTAACCACCTCGGGCCTTGAGTGATAAACACTGTCAGAACAGTAGCGTACCTGTCGAATCTAATGTTAGTACCTGCCCCTTGGGAGGATTAAGACCAAAATAGCCCCGAAAGGGAGATTCAACATACGCAGCACCTGAAACAAATATTTCGACAGTTTTTGCTTGGGTCCCTCCTGAAAGCGATGCAATGAAGAGGCTCGTGGCAACGATAATAACGATTAATCGTGGCAGCGCTTCCTGGAGAAAATTGCATATAAGGACTGGAGCCACGATGAGAATAATGGCAAAAAACCCTAAGAGCATCCGAGCAAGATTGAAAGTCAAATACCCATCTGGAATATAAACCATCGGATCTTTAGAGAGTTTTTGGCATCTTTTCTACATCGTTTGTTAGCTTAGCTCGCTGTCTCACAATTGATTGGACGTGCAAACCTTGTAAATCTTTCCGAAAAATTGACCAGCAGGTCTTGCACCCATTCTTCTAAGCCCGTCATAGATTCATCCTCAGCCGACGACAAGGCTATCAAGTCCTCTTCGTGTTGCAAATATTCGGTCTCATTGCGAGCTATGCACAGATTCCCTTGAATCCAGTTCTGTAATGTTGCAGTTCGGCGAGGTCTGGCTGGCTTTAATTTATGAATTTCCGAGTTCCTTATCAAGGCCTCATCTAGGAATTATCAGTCATACTGATCAGGCACAGGGTAGCACTTAGATATACACACCATATTCAATCAAAGCCTGTCCAATTTCAGACAAAATAATCCGCCTCCTGATATTACAATGACGACGACAGCTCCCTAGAAGAGCCGTCCTTTTCTCCAGTCGGTCTATCTCGTTTAATTCTTGTTCCAAAATAGACAATCTGTCTTATTTCAACAGGATATCCCGGGATCGAAGGGCTGAAAACCTTCGATATAGTTGCAAGGAAGAGTGAGACCCAATCAGTGCTGAGAAACGTGGGTAACCAGCTGGAATTTATTCAACTAAATATACAAAGTCAGTTGAACTGTTTCAAAAATACAGGTCCTCTTCTTTCAAGACCTACTGGTCTGAACTTCGCATCGAGCGAAGTCTTTTTGACTCTCAAGGTCGCCCGTCTTTCCCTCTGCCTTGGAGGAAAATACCTTTTTGACCGCATCCATGGAAAAAGGACTGTTTCGACTGTTGATCTTTGATATGCTTATAGAAAATTGACCATCAAACACTTATCATACGGCTAAATAGATCTTGGGGACTAACGGATAGAAATGACAAGTGCCCTCGATCACGTTGACCAAGATGGGGGGGGGGTGAAGAACAGGTATGAAGAACGGGGCTGTATGGAGGAATGTGAGGCTAAGAGGCTGAGCGGAGCTGGGGGCCGATTAGGTATCATTGCACGGGGGTCACAGGGATTACTGGGCTTTTGTATGTTGCCCGCCAAAACCTAAGCGCCGGGCTGTGTAATATGAATCGAACCATGACAAATGAGGGAGCAAAAGAAAAAGAGGGGGTTGCCCATTCCTTGCTTGGAGTGCGTGCTGAAGCCATCATTCTACCTGAACTTCTACTTTACTCTTTTCTCACAAGCTGTAGTTTCACCAAGTTCTCCTGGAGATATCCATCAGCGGTCCCCTTTTTCCGACCCATAAACTTGTGCATGCCCATTAACATCATGGGATCCTTCGAATGGTACATTCTGATCTACGAATAATTTGGATCAAACTAAGTATTTGATAATAGAGAAGACCGGCCTCGATCTTCGCTATCTGGTGACGAAGGACGCGCATTTGTCGCTGAATACTCACAGGTAAGCAGATACCCCAGTAAATTCCAAAAAAACTGGTCTGATATTCTGCAATAGAAACCGAAATACGCAGTCTGGGATGAAGTTTTCATAGTTCTGAAGGGTTGTGAAGGTACAGAAATATTGGAAGGTCCATACTACATAGCGACTGTGGAACCTCCCAACAAGTACAGACTATGCGATGATAAAGGGAACTCCGTGAAAAATGAGACGGCGATACATGAGAGCCAACCTAAGAAAACTACAAAGTGATTAGGAGATTGGACAGCAACGGTTCGCAATTATTCATTTTTTCACAGATACAATCAAGCTTTGCACTTTGATAATCACTCCCAAAGTTCATAAAATTCAAATCAATATCCCTAACCAACGTTAAATACACATTTTATGTGATGAAAACATGTAAAAATGAAACTATAATCCAAGTGAACATACGGGACCCAATACCATCGAGGCTGGAGACTGGGCTTCCTCTTGGGAATGGCTGTTCGTCCACCAGTCTTTTCACCAGAGGAGCTCGCCGGTGCTAAGTCAACTGTTGTGGTGCTTGTTGCAGGTTCTGGCTGGTCCCCGTCGTCGGGCTGTTCTTCACACTTCCACTCTCCGAACCCGGTGGCACTGGTCCCTTTCCCCCTCCTAAGCCTCTCTCTCTCAGGCTTCTTACTGCTCGATGTAGTCCGTGGTAAACTGCTTCATCCGTGAGACCTTTTTCTCTGAGGGTCAAATATAAAATTCTAGCGACATCCACGCAGTGTTTATCCGAGACCTCGCATAAAGTTCCAACGGCGTGACGGAAACCAGCTAGTTGGCAAGCATTCACCAAATGAATACCCTCGCCAATCAGCTTGTCCTTAGTAATTGAGCTTGTCGAGCAGGCTGATAGGTAGCTGAGGAAAGGAGCTTCTTCGTGCAGTCGGAGGTCGCGGAGATCTCCCACTGTGAGCCGGTTCTGCTCCCAGTCGTGGACAGCTAAGCAACTCTGGGAGGGTTCTCTTAGGTCAAATATCCCATGGCCGGCGAAGTGGAAAACCTTGCACTTCTTCAGCTGTTCTAGAACGCTGTCTCTTGTTGGGCATACCGGCTCCACAGGGTGAAGACCTAGATCTGGGCAAAGATCCCGCAGCATTCGGACCTCCGTAGCTGCAGAAGTAAGGGTGGATAGCCCCGATGTTTAGGGCATGGAGATAATAGCGCATTGTTAGTATCGGAGGGTTGTGAGTGATGCTTGTGACTGTAGAGAAGTGATTTGATTGAAGAGGTGTAAGATGATATGACACGGTCGAGGACAGTTTCATCGGATGGATACGAGTAGATCCCCGCAGCATGGAGAGGAAACCACGACATGAGGCCCGTGGTAGCCCACCATATATGAGGCCAAAACTCATCAGAAGGCTTCTTCAGAAAACCCAGGTAGTTGAGAACGGGATTTGCGATGCTGTTCCACAGCCACTCCAGCACTGAGGCAGTGTCGGTGCGTAGTTTGGATGCCATTTCCAGTGTTTTGGGGACGTCAACATCGGGAAGTGGCACAAGACCTATCTTTTCCTCCTGGACTATGAATGCATCGCAGAAAAAGTGGCCAACGTTGACGAAGACTAGAGGTCCAATATTCGCTGTTGACTTGATTTGATTCACTGTCAAGGGACAAAGGAAGCCTTCAAATACTGGAAGGCCTCGAATCTCCTCGATAGTGAGCGTTAAACCGTCTTGAAGTATGTGACGTCGATTGACACCGCCGGGCGCATTGTCCAATTCATTTCCCAGCTGTTCCGGCAAATCAAGCTGGTTTCGAATATGCTCGAATTTCTGAGCCAGGTCGGGGTGAGCGGTTTCCAAGTCCGAGATCTCGGTTCGTAGTTCGGTCAACCCTCCACCGATAATGCCATGACCCTGCTCAAGAAGCTGCAATGCTTCTTGCGGCTCGTCTCCAGCATCAAGTGAGATTGCAGCAGCCATGGATGCGAGTCCGTCTACTGCGGTAGCGTCTTCCAGTGAAGTTTGCTTATCATAACTTGACAGAGCACGAGGACTGACATTAGCAATCAATCGAATGACTTCTTTCATGAAGTTGTTTGCTGCTACTAAATCACTCCAACTTGCATATATAGCCGCTGCATTTCGGCCTGAGTGAATGCGGATAGAGGGAGGCCCGTTTGCGCAGTTGAAGCCCGCAAGCTCAACATCCAAGACCTGTTGTCTAGATTCGGCTGTATAATCCCCCGCTGTTTTCGTTCTAAGAAGAGCAGCAAGATTCTGGAAAGTACCACATCGATGGTAATCATCCCAAAAATTTACGAAAGCCAGGATTCACCGGTTGTCAACCTTACGACTGGCTATGCAGCTTGCGGCTTATATGCAGCCAATAATGAGCTGCGCCTCGCCCGAGGGAGAAATGGGCTCAACAGTATCGTCGGGCAACTGAAGTCAAGAATGACTAGTGCATAATACTACACTGGGTTTGAGGATGAGGTTTGCTTTGGGAGATCAAGGTTCTATCGCTATCTGTATCTTAGTCTCTTCTAGCTCTGCGCTCCCAATTGGGCTGACAGTGAGTGAGGACAAAGCCTGGGACGAAACAGTTAGGAGACACATCGACCCTGGTAGGCCGCCAAAGTTCGTAATGTTATGAGATAGCTGTATCCGAGGGACTAATTATCTGAGAACTTACTTTCTTTGACCAAACGTCCCCGTTTTCTTGAGATATGGAAACATCATCCTGAGTGCTTATTTCCATTAGCCCCTACTGATTCCAAGTCCAGCTTTCTCCAAGCTGGTTAAAGAGGAGGGGAAAGCAGCGATCAAGACCGTCAGAAACAAGATTGAGCCTTGTGAATTCCAGGGAGGACAATGAGAACATACTCTCTCGAGCTGCTCATACATCAGTTAAGGCAAGCTGAAAAAGGATGTACCATTAGCTTCAACGGTCCTGTCAATACAACAAGACATACAACATGAAGATTATCGATGACTCCCAAACCAAATCCATAAAATTCTTTTCGGGGCAGAAGCATTTAGGCCCAGCACTCATAAAAGGAGTAGGTATAATAAAAATACACAGCCTAGCAAAAAGGTGTACCCCACGTCCTCCCAGGTACTGCAATGAAACAAGAAAAAACAACCCTTTAGAAGAATAAGAAGACCCGCCCCAGTGTCCACACACCCCAGAACCATAAACAAATCCACATATAAAACGCCGATGGCAATAGAAAAAGAAGAAGAAAACAAAAGCAAAGGCAAGAGCACACGATAAGACAAGGTATCGTTATAGATCCATCGCGTCACCAGCTTCGGACGTCGTATCGACCATGTCCAGGAGTTTGGCGTAGGGTACTGTGACGCGCTGGAGTTCGCGATATTTACCTGAAAACAAGGATTAGTAAAAGCATCATCACAGAGAATGAAGAAGAACATACCGAGAGCAAGAATGACCTCCTTCAACAAGGTCTCCCGTGGCCAGCCACACAAGTCATCCGATCCCTCACGCCAGTTACGACCCTCGCGCTCATTAGCCTGCAATTTTGAAACAGTCTCCGATCCATCTTCATCATCAAACAATCCACCAATCAGCCCCTTCAGCAACTCCTCAACTTTACCCTTCAAGCCTTCCGCACCGATGCGCTTGGCATACATGTTCAGATACAGCCGGAATTCTTCCTTAGCACCTAGAGACAAAGCAGCCGCCATGCGGTTCTCGAGATGCGCAATAGAGACGCTAGACTCGAAAGTCTCGTAGCCCTCGCGCGAGAGCAAGACCTTGATAAGGCGTTGGAGGAAGTACGCACGGCCACGGAGAAGGGTTTCGTTGGTGGTGTTGCGCTCCAGGAAGGGAATTATACCAGCTGAGACAGCTGCTTTGGCATCCTTGGTATCTTGGTTGGCTTCCCTGGCTTGCAGGTTGCCCACTGGTGCATCAGTCGAGTTCCAGTACTGGCTGCCGACGGCCCACCAGGCCTCTGAGACGCGTTGCCATGTGTACATAGCTGGTGAGTAGGAGTAACCCTCACCGTTTGTCAGCGATACAACTATCCTTCCTTCAGAGTTGATACGCGCATCGGTGACGGCGGGTGCGGCGGTGGGATTTCCGCCGAGGGTGTGAATAGCTGCATCGAGAACGGGCTGGAGGGATACAGGTGGGTGAGGAGAGGATAGGTGCTTCACGTTCCAGACATAGCACATTCCCACGGAAGAAATACAGAGAATCCAGGGACCGTTACACTCCAGAATAACAGGTTGTGCTTCAAGAACCAGTGCGCTTACCAAGCGGCGGCCTGCCGGTGTCCAGAGGTAGATAGAACCGTCTTCACAGGCAGCTGCCCACAAATTTTGATTACCAGTGACGAGGAGCACTGACTTGGGCAAAAAGTCTTGCCACACTGGCTGCTCACCGCGGAAGAGGGTAAGACGAACTGGCTCACGATCCACTGCCCGCCCAGTCAGACTAGCAGGTGAAGGATTCCGTGCTTCAAAGACAACGTCGATACGACCCTTGTCTTTTGAATTTGAGTCACCTGCTTGGGCAGGTGGCTCGGTAGGTTTTCCGTTAGGGTCAAGTGCACGCAGGATGTGACTGCGAATCTTGGGTACTGCCAGTCGAACCTGGCTAATCGACATGCACGGGTTCGTGACTGCAGGTCGAATGAAGTCGGGAGTTGGTTGTTGGCCAGTGGCTGGGGGCTGGACGACTGCTGGGAGTAGTCCATCCATAGTGTTCGCCATAATGGGAGTCGCCCCATTCTGACTAGCCACGGCCACACGCTTCTCGACTTGTCCTTCCTCGTCACCTTCCAACTGCGCAAGCTTGCGCTTGTTTCCGAAGAGCAGAGCGGTCAAACCACCCTTTGGCAAGCCATCAAATGGCTTGGAAAGGTCAACGAGTGACGTAGGAGCATCTGCTTTCACCTGACTGCTGACTGAAGCCATGAGACGAGCTTGCGGAAGTGATGATTCTCCCGCTCCAGCTCCGGAAACAAGCAACGGCGCAATGCGTTTCTTGCCTTCTTTAGTGTACGTCGGCCGTTGCTTCAACCTCTCCAGCTTGGCTAGATACGGATCGGGTTTCGCGGTATCTGTGGCTGGCGTGGAAGTTCCATTCGTCTGAGTCTTAGTCGACTCTGGAGCTGGCGATGGGACTCGAGCAGGGGTGGTGCCATTCGACGGCTGTGGCGCTGATACACCATTGACAGCCGGCTCTGCATGGCCATCACCCATCAGCGCCCCCATACGACCCTCAACACCCTTGAGTTCGCCAGCCTTGCTCTTCTCCTCGAGCAGCAGGCCATCGGTGGTCTCTGTGATACCAGCACCCTTGCGATTCGTTCCAAACTTGGTAAGAGATTTCTCATTCTCTTCCATCTCCGTAGCCCAGCCCAGCTCGCCATCCTCAAAGCGTACCGCCACAATAGTGCCGTCCAGAGCCGTAGCATATAGACACTTTCCATCGGGACTCCACGCCAAATCTGAGATCGACTTGGCGGCCATTTCTTGCGCAACCACAATTGGGCGCGCGTTGCTGGTGATCCAAACACTGAGTGACTTGTCTGCACCCGCGCAGGCAATAACGGTAATATGGTGTACGGGGTGGTTGTCGGGTTGATTCTTGTTCACGGGTTCCCGAGAGTACAGGCGGGGAGAGAATGAGCAAACCTCAACTGGTGCTTCGTGGCCAATGAGATTGATATCTCCATCCCACGAGCCACGATTGATAATGGCAACCGAGCTGACTGGACCGTTAACGGCATTCGCAGCAGCGATATGCATACCGTCTGGAGACCACGAACAGCGACGGAAGTATGCGGTCAAGGGAGAGTTGGCAAATGGCGCGGTGATGGTATGTTCCAAGACGAAATTGTTCATCTGATCATGGGAGGTAGAGTTGGGAGCAGGGGAGGTGAATCGGAAGATGCGAACAGTGCGATCATCACTAGCCGTCGCAAAATACTTGTTTGCCGGGTCGAATGTGATTCCCTTAACATGACTTTGGTGAACCGCTATCGTCTTGAGCTTCTCGAAAGTATGTCCCGACCACACGACGACCTTCGAGTCGAGTCCAACCGAGACAAGGATAGAAGAGTCATGCGACCATCCCAAATCCTGAACATCATTGTCGTGTCCGATCAATCGCCGAATCGTGCGCCAGTTCTCAACTGGAGGTGCCTCGTCTGAACCTATACATCCCAAACACAATTAGTCACCTGATTCCTAGTAATCCCAGTATCAGCGGCACCTACCAAAAGTAGAGTGTGTCGGAGGATTCGAATCAAGCGTGTACACGCAGACAATCTTATCGTCCGCCCCTGAGGCAAGATATTTCCCATTCGGCGAGAACCGAACCGTATGAATCGTGCCGGAATGATTGCTCATCGAGGCAAGCTGCTTCGGCTTGCTCGCAAATTCCGGGTTCCCAGTATTGTGGATAGCCTCCGTAGACCAAATGCGAACATATCCATCTAAAGCGCATCGAAATTGAGACCGTTAGCATCAACCCTCGTCCTTTCACATGACTTTCGCCTTGATTTCCCCCTTATTCATCTGATATCCAAGTAAACTCACCTCCAGCAGCGGTCACAAGTCTCTTCCCATCGGGCGACACATCGCAACTGTAAACCTCGAAATCTTTCCGTTCACCTATCGAAGCGCACGAGTTAGCCCTCCATACCCTCAGAATTCTCTCACAAGAAAGCCTAGCGACAGCTCAAGTCCGCCACCTCATCTTGCAGGCCATCTCTCTCTTCTCAACCCTCGACGAAAAGCGGTTTCGCCGCAAAGATCACCATACCTCCATGCGTCAGCCAGACAGGCTTGATAATATGCATTGCGCAGCGCGGGCAGTCAGCGCCGCTCCCTTATCGAATAGAAATAATTCAAATATAACCCAATGGCCCGTATGCAAAAATCTCAGCTCCGTATGAGCGATCGGTAATGGGAAAGTGTTGATCGTGGAAGGGCGGCGTTATAGGGTGAGCGTCAGGTGTTTATCGGGCAGGACATCGCAGGGCAGTCAGACAGCACCAGTCACACACCCTGTAGCGAGAGGTATAGGGCTAAGTAGGCAGACAGCGGTGGTTTAATTGGTACGGCGTCTGTAGATAGAGTCGGGGAGGTGGTGGGGGCGATGATGGAGGTTGAGGTACAGGGAGGGCGCGCCCGTTCGAAAAGTCGCGATCTCCAGATTTGGCGTGGCCCGAGCTCCCTTTCGCGTTTGACTTTAATTCGGGTTCCCGAGTAAGCTGGTACTAGCAAGTGAACTAAGAACTAGATACAAGACACTATTTCTTTTAGTTCGCTTTTAAAGATGTCAAAGAGTCGAAAATCGGTTTACACACTTGTTGTACACTGGCTTTTTTTTTCGTCTTTGTCTTCCTTGTCACTGCCCACAATACCCTTATGTACAAGTATAACAAAGACCGATCGGGTTATCCCGCATAGCCCAGAGAAAGGTAACGATGCAATTCCGGACCCCATAGGAATATGCCATGGAAAAAGTAGCTCAGAAGAGGACATTCAACGGAGGGGATTAATAAAGAGAGGTAAAGAGACCCACTTGGGACATGATGCAGGACACAAGGGAAGAATGATATTAGCATACATCGGGAGAAGTGGAAAAATAGGCAGGTAGAGAGAGGGGGGGTTGATCGTTTCGTTTCGCTTCTGCGTGTGCTTGTGTTTATTTATTTCTTCCTGCTGGCCTCGTCAAATCCATCCAGCACACTCTGCGCAACGCCGTCTTGCGAAAGCTCATCGGCAATGGCGGAATCAACATCGCTCTCCACCTCCTCAAAATCGTCAGACTTCTTGGTAGCACGGGTCTGCTCCTGACCGAGAGCCTTGGCAGCAAGGCTCTTTGCCTGGGTCTCGTTGATCTTGCCATAGACAGACATGGCAGAAGCAATCATACCACCCATGTCACCGACATTACCAGGAACAACAACGGCAGTTCCCTCACGAGCCAGGTTGGAGAAGGCATCGACGTACTGCTCAGCCACACGCAGGCTGAGGGCGCCTTGGGCAGCTTCCTGACCATCCTGGATAGCGCGGGCGACGGCCTCGATTCCGCGGGCAGTAGCCTCGGCCTTGAGCTTGATAGCCTCGGCCTCACCAGCAGCACGGTTGATCTGCTCGGCGCGCAAGGCCTCGGAGGCAAGAATCACGGATTGCTTACGACCCTCAGCGATGTTGATGGCACTCTGGCGCTGACCTTCGGAATCGAGAATCTCGGCACGCTTCGATCGCTCAGCAGTGACCTGTCGATGCATGGCAGCCACGACGCCATCGGGGGCATGAATATCCCTAATCTCGTAACGCAGGCAGACAACGCCCCAGTCCTGCGCGGCCTCGTTGATGGCTTGCGTGATATTGGTGTTAAGAGTGGCACGCTCCTTCAAAACATGGTCCAGGGTGAGCTGGCCGATTTCGGATCGCATAGTTGTCTGTGCCAACTGGGAGATGGCGTATTCCGCATCCTCGACGCCGTAGCTAAATTGAACAGACATTGGTTAGTTCATAACTCACAGCAAATATGTATTCAAACCATGCTCCTGCCGATACTCACCTAGCTTTATACGCATCAAACACCCTCGTATATAGCACACCGTCCAACTCCAGCGTAACGTTATCCGCGGTAATAGCATTCTGACTCGGAATCTCAATAGCCGACTCCTTCAAACTCTTAACATAGGCAATGCGATCCACAAACGGAATCAGAATAGCCAAACCCGGTTCCAAAATCCGATGGAACTTTCCCATGCGCTCCACAATCCATGCCGTCTGCTGCGGAACGAACCGTACGACCGTGTTGGCGGGAAGAGTCTGGCGGTTTGTGAAGTAGGTGGTCGGACCCAGGCCGGATCCCTGCGAGCCACTAGCTGCAGCGAAGTTGCTAAAGAGGGACTCTGGGGCAAGATTGCGTGGGGAATTGGAGACCGCGCGGGTTTGTGTCGGGGTCACGCATGGTGCGGTGGTTGATCGGGGAAGGCGGCGCTGTTGGGGGAGGAGGTTTGCGCGAGACCGGAGCAGTCTTGATGTTTGGCGGGATGCACCCTCCATTTTGAAGGATGTGAGGGTTCAAAGTGGAGGAGTTGGTATCGTGGAGGGGAGGAGGTAGAGGTGAGCTGGTCAAGGTGAGCTTGTCCGGGCAACCTTGGCGAGGTTCGGGCTTTGTCGTTGCTCCGATTGTGGCGGCCTGAGGCAGCCACGTTACCTCCGCATTTAAGCTTGCAGGCCTGGGCCACGCCACACATACAAGGGAATAGGCATTCCTGGTTCACATTTACTCTATAGAGAATCTTAATATCATAGAGATATTCTAGGTCTAGTCATAGAAACATTGCACTCAATTACAATCCACAGAATGTCATTACCCAGACAAGAGAACGAAATAACCTAATTATGCACAAAAACACCGGATACTCCACATAAAACCCCGAGCAACGACTTTTCCAAACCACCACAAAACTCCGAAACACAAGATGCAGCACTTTTGAAATCAAAGGTGCTATGATGATATGACTTTTCATCGGGTAAGTAGTCCACTGACCCGTAGGTACGAACCAGTACGCCTTTCATGCGAGGGACGCCCGACTGCAAACCCGCCCAGCTTGGAGGGCAGAAGGAGATGGACCGAATTAAATCTCAGGAGGGGAAATTGTTGACATCATACAAGACACTTTTCATTGCTGTTCTCGACCGTTGCATTGCTCTGGGTCGATGCACCGTCATGCTGATACTCGCTAAGATCCAGGGCATAAGAGTCGCGTACGACCGGTCTGGATCAAGATAATAGAATGGGCGAAACAAAGAAGAGAGACTCTCACAAAAAGAAGAAGAAGAAAGCACACGAAAAAAGAAGCTCTATGATCAGAAGAAACGGTAGGAAGAAAAAAACATCATTTTTTGAGCCCGGCAGACCGATGGTATCAGGCAGAAAGAAGGGGATATTTGCCTAGTAATATCATGCCCGGACTCCGGAGAACCATTTTGGTAAGAGACAAAAAGAAAGCCCATGATTTCGAAGCAAACGGCGCGAATAGAGAGGAGACTCGGGAAAACAAGAAGAATAGATGGTAAAAATGAACTCCGAGGCTTCACGGTAGACCAGGATACCCAGGGCGCCGGTTATTGCGATGGGAATGAAACCATTCGGCGCTTGAGAAACGAAGTAGGCGACGATGCATGCAAGACCTTTTGAGCACAACAATGCTGATCATGATCCGGGGGAAGACGAAACGCGAAAGAGGATAAAGAAGATAAAGAATATGGCCCCAACAAAAAAAAGAAGAATAACGTATTTGAAAACGAGAAAGGAAAAAAAAACCGAGGATGAGTTCAGGCAAGGTAGTTCCTCCACGCCCGTTGTCTCCTGCCATAAACCTCGTTGTAGTAAAAGCCAACGGTGTGATGGTTCGTATCTTCCATCACACCACTTGCCATAGACGAGCAGAGGAGTTCAAAAACCCTAGTGCTGAGGTTCGTTCTTCTGTCGTCGGACAAGTGGACAATGTCGGCAAGTACCTGTTCTGGGATGGGGGTGGGACTGAGGAGCGAGGCTTGGAAGAGGCCCATCAGAGCGGTGATTCCATAGTCGTTGTGTCGTGTGAAAAGATCATCAAGGGCTAGTTGCCTAAATTCATTGTACAGTTGCATATTGAAATTGCGGATGAGGTGCGATGACCAGGTACGATAGGGAGGGCCGGCCTCAGCCCCGGGATCGGTTGCTGAGTGCTGTCCCGAAGGATTGTAGAAATGAGGGTTTTCGGAGGAGTGGTAGGTAGAGGTGAAACTTTTAGGGTCATGGGAGCTCGCTCCCCTCGGGTTCGATGGGCGGTTCTTCCTCTTGGAAGGCTTCTTCGTTGATCCGGTAACAGAACTGGATGAAGAGCCTTGTTTCTGATCGACGTCAAAGCTACAAAGAGAGCACGCAATAAGAGTTAGTTGATATGCAGAGCGTGTCGCACTTGAATTAGTACGAATCAACATACCTTGAGGAAGGCCATTCCATTTCAGACCGAGCGGGAGGCGATTTGATCGAGGGCGAACTTAGTCCGCACGCTGAAGGTTGATTGTCAATGACTGGGTTGTCCAAGGGGGGCATAAAAAAGCCTTCCATCTGGGAGCTGGCTGTGGAAACAGTGGGATGTTTCGGGGGGGGTCCTACATTGGCAATTTCATTCTGTGCCGGCTGGAACTCTGGTGCTGTGGACGAAAGCGGCGTCGGGGATCCGCGAGATGCTGTGCCGTTGGGGACAAACTGACGGGGTCCGTTCTGAATCGAGCCATTAGAAGCACCCTCGACGTGGCTGTTGATAGGAATGTTCTCGTCGTTCTTCGAGGAGTGCTGAGCGGGAGGAGCACCCTCATGCTGAGCCGAGGGATCGCGCTGGTCAACGGGAAGAACCCACTGTGCCCAGCCCTGCTTAGGGCGGAGACGGTCCACACCATCCTCACCAATCTGGTAGTCGACGTTGCGAAGGCCACGGGAAACGTGACGGAGCATCTCAAAGTCCTCAGTCAAGGACTTGACGCGCTTGAAGCTGGCGATGACAGCCAGAGGGACAAAGCCCTGAGAGTCCATGTGACGGCGCAGGAACATGTCCTTGCACATGTTGTCAACCGAGAAGTAGTACTCGAGTTGCATAGACAGCATAGTCATGAGGCCGAAGGGCTCCATGTACTGCTGGTAGGGGACTGCGCTCATAGGGCCAGGAGCCACATTCGGGTAGGAGGGGTACATAGTGTTGATCTCGGCAGGGAAGGGGTAGACATTGTTGTACATGCCACCAGCAGCGGGCAATGACGGTGACCGCAAGGGCATGCGGTTGTTCTGTTGCTGGCCGTTCTGGACACCGTGTTGAGATCGCTGGCGATCGTTGAAACCGAACTTGCCGGGCACGAAGTTGTTGGCCATGCCGAACTGAGGGTTCTGGCCAAAGTTGGAGTAGGGACCACGGCCGCGGTTGGCATTACGACCTCCACGCTCCGCACGGGCGTCACCACGCTCGCGGTTGAAGTCCTGGAAACCAGTAGCATCACGGTTCACGTCGGCAGACTTGGAACCCGACTCGGCACGGCGCTCATTGGCACGAGCAGTAGCCTGAGAGTCGACAGCAAGGTGAGCGTTCTTCGAGTTACGGTCACCAGTACGGGCATCCTGATTCCGGGGGAACTGCTTGCCATCACGCTGGGGGCGGGGGAAATGCTCGCCGCCGTTGACTTGCTTGCCATTCGTAGCGGCATCCTCGGCACCACGGCTACCACGGCCACGTTCCGCGGCTTGGCCCTTACGAGCATCCTGGTTGGCAACGTCCGCGCTGGTGGAGCGTCGGGACTGTGCGGGAAGAGAAGCTGCGCGACCGTTGCCAGTCTCGTTGCGTCCACGCTCTCCGGCGGCCTGCTTAGCTGCCGAACCCTGGGCAGCCTGTCCAGAGGCAGCCTTCTCACCGGCGGCGGCGCCGGTACCGTGAGCACCACCTCGTCCACCGTCACGTCCACCACGGGCGGCACGGCGGCCACCCCGGCCGGATGGCGTAGGGAGAGGGGTGTTGAAAACAGCAGTAGGAACGTAGTTGACGGGCATCCACTTCTCCTTGCCGTGGGATCGAGCGACGGGGCTCTTGTCGGTTCGCTCGGGCTTGTCGGTCTTCTCCTGGGCCTTCTTCTTCTCCTCGCCTAGCGCAACCTGGGGAGTCGGCCATGAAGAAGCATCCGCAACGGGAGGCAGAGCCTCGTCACGGCCCTTGCCATCGGACTTCTTGCCCTTGGTGCCTTCCGATGCACCATCGGTGCCCTTCTTCTTTGAGCCGGTCTTGCTAGAATCCTGTTGGGTCTCCTCGGGTTTGCCCTTGCCAGCAGCAGGTGCCGGGGTAGTCTTGGCCTTGGCTTCCTGGGCCTCTTTCCTTTGCTGCCAGATGTTCACGGAGGGGAGAGGAGCAGCCTTCAGCTCCTTGGGGGGAGTAGCCTTCTCCTTCTCAGCTTTCTCGGACTTGTCCGACTTCTCCTTGGTGTTCTCGGTGCCATTCTCGGACTTTTCAGTCTTGGCATCCTGCTTCTCAGCGGAAGCGTCAGTGGTTCCGTTGGCGGTATTAGAGGCATCACCCTCCTTCGATTGTGCGGCATTTGAGCGAACGCTCGGGGACGAAGTCCGGGAGTTGTTGGCCTTGGATCGGTGAGCGTGCTTGCTGGTGACGGTGGTGAACTCAGCATCGTCGTCCACACTTGTCGTGGCAGTCTCGGGCTCCTGCGGCGTCTCGATCTCAGAGGCGGTGGTAACAGACTCAGTTGGGACGGGAACACTCTCGGTGGTGGGCTCCTCAGTCTTGATTTCAGACTTTTCCGGTTCTGTAGATGCGGTTTTGCTGGGCACTGCGCTCCCAGAGACGCCCTTGGCGGCTTGCGCGTAGGAAAACGTAGCGCTCATTGTGTTTTTTTTATGAGACGAAAGTCGTCAATTCTTGGATGATGGATAAAATCCGTTAGAGAACGGGGTTTCCTTCAGCGAGTGTGGATGTCTGTGTACACGCCCACGCGCGAGACAAACTCCAGCAACCTGTTTCACTCAAAAGAGGGTCTTTTTAGACCTGCTTGTAACCCCACCAAACGGCAACTTCCCGTTCACTCAGTGTTGATCCCACGTAATATCAGCCAGTTCCGGCAGGATAAGACGAAACGGTAGGCGGAGGTGTGTTGACACGGATGGATACGCTCGATCTGAGAAATGGGCGGATGAACCGTCTAGATCACGGATCGCATCAGTAGCGTTGTCGGTGGTGTGAAGTTGAAGGGAAGGTGGTCTGGCTACGGAATGCACAGAGCCACAAAAAGGTGAAGGTGAAAAAAAAGTCTGCAACGGCGACGAGAAGGCGCTGCCCTGTCAATGTCGTAACGCGAGCAGTGAGAGAACGAACCAGCTGGTCCGAGCAGTCAATGCGCGTCGAAAGAGGCAAGGTCCGCAAATGTGTTCCTCGTGTACTTGTCCAGGCACGTTCGATTCCTCCAAGTTGATCTCGACGACTGAGCCAAGAAAATCCGGGGAGTTCGAAGGGGAGGCGAGGGTTGTGAAGAGGGACGCGAACCGCACGTCGAGTGTATCGAGTGTCGTGTCGGACGAGATCTCTGAACTCGGTCTCGGGGCCCCTTGTGAGGGTCAAGTGCGAGATAAGTGCGAGAAACGGCAGTCGCGAATTGCACGAGGCGGGTTCAACGGACGAAGACGACGAGTCGGTCACTCCGGTTACTCTGAAATCGACGAAGACGGAGAGGTGCCGAGCAGTGTAATCCGAATGACTTGGGTGGGCAAAAAAAAGGTAGGTTGCGGAATGAGGAAGTCAAACCCACGGAAGAAATCCCGAGGATAGAGACTGGGCTGCGGTTCAGTCAGGTAAGTGTCAGGAAGGAAGAAAAGCAGGGTGGGAAGGAGGGGGTGGGAAAATAGAAAGACGCACGAGAGGAGGGGTGGAGGTCAGAAGAGAGGGGAGAGGTGAAGAAGGGTAAGAGGAGGAGGAGGGAGAACGCAAAATTATTATTTGGGTAATCAGGGCCAGGGTGTGGTAGCGGGGTGTGTCGCCCGCCTATCCAGAGTTTCTCCAAGTCTTTAGACGGGTGAAAATAAGGTATTAAGGGCACAACACTGTAATGGGAGTGTATTGTGTAATCAAATATCATGTCGAGAATACTTACTTGTACTGGATATGAGTTTTCCAAAAACACCCCCAAAATTCTTAAGGAGCAGGGGACTTTCTTGGTCGAGGAATTTCAAGGGAAAAAAAAAAATCTCGACTATGGAGACCTTGTGGAATCCCTCGGTGCCGTAGCCGTACGCCCGCACGGAAAGATTTGGTCTACACACACAAACCCAACGAAGGCCCCGCCAGTCGCACAACTGTCCCTCCAAAGTATAAGAGAGTATCATGCTGCTTTGGTTCTCTTCTTTCGGCCTAGCGGTTTGGAACTACAGTAACTATGTATGAGTTATATACCCAACCCCTACGAGTATAGAATGCTGCATTTATTACCGCCGTTACTGTTGCAGTATGTTCATGTTCTATACATACCTACAAACCCCGTCATACTCTCGGCCGTGCGCTTATACATTCATCAATGATGACATCTTATAAGAACTACCGAGTCTGCATAAACTGTTAATGTTATAGTCTTATTGCAATTAAGATCTAAAAGGTTAACGGTGACCTCCTCTCTACAATGAACCGTAGCCGAACTATATCCGACGCCCAACCCGTAAACTTACAAATGAGCCTCAACGGCACTTTGGTCCAATGACGGTATAATCATGATAAATCGTGAGAGATATTTCCCATCACCACTGATGATCACTGATCATCGATATTAGGATTATACTTGATCAGAAAAGGCCTACCTCCTACTACTAGAAGTAGCCCGGATTATCCATCACCGTACGAACTGTACTAGACACGCCGTTAACAACTAAGCGGCCGGTATCCGCTAAGAAGGCCCCAGTACAGCGACCACGTCAGACACAAAAAGACTATCAAGATTAATACATACATACGAATTAATGAAAACTAGAGCACAGTACTAGACTAAGTCAATTACTCTCCTCCCCGGCACATTTTTTTCGTTTCTGCATTATCATTACCCAACTGGCGGGGTCCACCGGAGCCGTGCTGCCCGATCATTGGCTTTCTGGGCGACACGACACACTGTCAGTTCGTTGGTTTCGGTGCAACGGGGTTGGTTTGTATGTTTTGCATTATTACTGCATGTCTAGCTTTACATATCGAGGTGTACGAATGAGTGTAGTAGACATAAGATAGCAATGACGACATTGTAAATAGGTAATAGGTAATAGGTAATACTCGGAGACTCGGAGGGTAATCTTCACAAGCCGTGGAGAATCGGATATACGAAGGTTCCTCGGGTACCTGACGGGGGCGTGCAAGACGGTCTTACCGGGGCCGCGGTATTCGTATTACCAGTCCAAGATGAAGAGTTCCTAACCAGGTAAGATGCTCCTGGTGTAATCCAAGATCAAGATGATACATGTGAATTATCTACTATACTGCTACCTTGAAATATGATTTTATTCTACCAGATCCTTCTACTACCCAAGCCCGGTCCAGCCATCCCCGTGGTTATTCTGTGCGACCGAGGAATGCAACGGCCCTGGCTAGACCACGTGATCATTATGGCCCAATGTTGCCCGTACTGTAATGCTGGGGGTGACACTACGATAGATACTCTAAAATGTACGTACATCCGGAGGCAACTATGAACTGAACCAAAATACGTACGTATAAATATAGAAAACTGCTTGCCCGGATATCGTCAAGTCGCGGCCGGACAATCGGCGGACGTCAGATACGGCAGGCGAGCGATTAGGGCTGAGGAGGGCACGCGGAATCCATCGGAAGATGGGTGGAGATGGGTAATCTAATTACAATGCTGGCCAAGACCCCAACACCAACGGGTCAGTGGGACTGTTGGCTGCCTCGTATCTGTATTACCCCGGCCAGTATAGACGGAGCATGGGAGTGAGAAGAAGTATCTGTGCCAATGAGCTCTTATATAGTATATGTCCGGATAGAGCTCACGGGCGAAATGATCAGAATATCAATAATAGGTAATGATATGTAGATTTCAGATATGAAAAGAATCAAGTGGTATAAAACCCTGCGCCGACGAAAGCCAAACTCCAACTCCGTAAATCTCCAATTACAAAAATCAACACCATATCGAAGCCAAGCACCCTACCAGTGTCGCACACCGATAAGCACCTGCTCGCGCGGGTCCGGCTCAATCGAGTTCCCCGGCCCAGTCACGAACCCCATACGCATGAGAACCTGCCACACGAGCTTACGCTTCAAGCTCTCACGCACAGGAATCTTCTCCAGCGCATCAAAGCCATTAAAGTATTTCAAGAACACGGGCCAGTACCTCTTCAGCACATCCTGCAGCTCGTTCGGCGCGATATCCGGGCTGGCACCTTCCAGTCCTTGAATAGTTCCCGGCCGATCCGGGAAGCGGGCGACGATCTCATCGAGCCAGCGTGATTCGAGCGGCGATGCGCGGTGCGGGGAGAGGATGAGAGATGATAGGCGGAGGGCGGTAGATCGGTCGAGGAGTTTGTGGGAGATGCGTAGCCGGGCGCGCGGGTCGAGACGCGTGCCTGGCATGGGTGTTTCGTCGCCGCTGCCGTGGCTTGCTAGAGAAGAGGAAGAGGAAGAGTTTGCGTCGTCGTCTGAGGATGAAGAGTCTTCATTGTCGACTCCGTCGCTGACGTTGCCCTTGGCGAGGTATCGGTCTACTTCTTCTTTCCGAAGGGCCATTTCCACGGCCAATTTGATTTCGGGGGTGACTTTGATACGGGCGAATGTTCGCAATTGCGTTACCCAGCCACCGCGAAGAAGCCATGCCAGGATGGAGAAGTAGGTCTCCTTGTGGTCCTTGCTGGGAATGAAGCTCCCATAGGCTCGAGGCGTGCCGCTGAGAGCAGAAAGCATCTTCGGGAGACTGGGCATTGTGGGAAACGTTGTTTGGTAGGCGATTGTGGCAATTTCGAGCTTGCTTAGATCGCAATTAGGAGACACGATGTAGGTATCTCGTTGGTGGATGGGAGGGATGGCACGGGCGCGACGCCAATACACCAGGTGGCTCGCCAACATCTGGATCGTTGAAAGTGGAATTCCCGAGGCGGCTGATATTTGTGCAAATGATTTTGTAGGTTTGGAGCAGCGGATGTAATGGGCTAGAGCGGGTGCTAGAGTGCCGCCGGAGGCCTCGACATCCTTGATAATCGCTGCTTCGCTATCTAGGAGGAGCAGGGCAAAGTGTTTCGCAAGTACTTGGTGAGGAGCATTGTTTTCGTCAGTTCCGGGATCATCGACTGGAGTGGCACTATCTGCCGTTGTTAACCAAAGACCGGGATAAGCTTTGTCGGTTGGGCCGGCCAAGTATGGTGTAGAGGTCAATGGAGGAATCTGAAGCGAGATGGAGACATCATGACTGAGTGAGACTGATGCAATCTTTGACGCTGAGATACTGGTGTAGACCGTGTACATCGCCCTTGCCAAAGACGATTGGTTGATCAGTTCTGAATAGAGGTTATGAACCGATGTTTCTGATGTCGTGCAGTTAGTATAAAGCATAAGCTAAGAATATATGGGGTACTCATACTCGTTTCTCTTGCTTTCCTCCTAACCTGCAAGATGTGCTGCGACTCCCTCCACACATAATCCGTTCGAGCTTGTTCCCACTTCAGCGCCTTGGCAAACTTCTTAATGATGTTCTCATAGATCTCCTTGACTCGCATCGAGTACTCCAGCAACGGAGGATCCATAACAAACACCACATTAAACATAGTCATCTGGTCCTTATCCTCGGGATCAAGACTATCTTCCGGCTGCTTGCCAAGCTTCCCACTTGCCGCCGAAGCCCGTTTGACTTCAGTAGGTGAAGCTGTCAGGGTCAACTCGGTAATCGTAGCTACACTCCCACCCAAATCAGGCGAAGTTGCAGGATCCTCTTCACCCTGACCATCTTCAGCATTCTCATTATGGCCCAGTTCCCCGCCATCCCATTCTGCACGGGGCTTCTTTTTCTTCTTTCGGCGCTGCTTACGCCATGTCCCATCCTCGCGCACAAAGACTGGCCATCCGATCAGTGCAAGATCATTAATCCCGACTTCGAAGCGTCTTTTATGCCAAGAGCGAGATGGACTTAGTAGCTTCTCCCATACGCTGCCGGGTAAGCCAAGAAGCGACTCCCAAGGCGGCCGCGAGGAACCTCCCGTAGCCCCATCTTCAGGGCGATCCGACCCAGCATCCTCCTCGGGATCTGAGCATGCGCCGCCCCTTTTCCTCAACGACGAGGCTCTGCCCGACCCCAAAGATCCAGGTCGTTGCGTGTCCGTACCCCCGGGCGACGCAGCATCTGGCGTAAGTGTAAGCGAGTCGATGCCAAAGTTGCTCGCCCGTCGACCGAGCCCAGCGTTCACGTTGACATTAAGATTCGCGCTGGCGTTTGCATTCACGTTCCCACCCGCATGAGGTTCTCGATCATCCTCGTCCTCATCAGAGCTAAGCCCACTCTCATCACTCGAGCTCGAGTCGGTGTTCTTAGAGCCTTGTCGGCTGCGTGTGCGGGAGATGCGCCGGCCGCCCTTGGTCGTGGTCTTTAGGCGATTCTCGCTAAGTGGGTTCGGGGGTAATGGAAGACGAGGCGCGGGCCGGTACGCGATCGAACGATGAGAATGATCGCGACTAGACATGGGTCTGGGGGGCGTGCGATCGACGACATCGAGTGCGTTGGCGATCGGCTGGGGCGCGACGTTGGAGAAGCGTGGTGGTCCTGGCTGGGCGGAACCGCCTTCCCCGCATGGCACAGTTTAAGCTTGTAGAGTCGAGTGCAGCACCTCTCGTGTGAGTAAAATAAATTGAAGTTTAATTGGTACGTAAATATATGATTGAAGCATGAGAATGGAATTGGTATATAATACAATTTTTTAATGTGCAATGCCCTCGATGAACGCCAATATGAGCCCCCGCCTATCGCGGGTGGGCTGATGTCTTTAATATCGTACAAAGTCCCTCCATCAACTCTGTCTCTCTGCTATCACTCTTTCTTTCCTGTTTCTTGTGCTGGCGCTGTACTCGTGGTGGCATCATTGCCTTTCGGTTGGTCATCTTTGAACACGAGTCCCAAATTCTGGAAGTTATCGGGCGCCATAAGGTTCCTAGATGGAGACTCTATGTTAGAACAGTATTCTCCAACGCTTGTTGCTGCCCTGGTGCAAAATCACGCAGGCTAATGTGCATGGTAATCGGTTTCACGTACTTGTCCATCCGACAGGTGAGGTATTCCTTAGCGAGCTTGCGGCATGCCTCGTCGTTGGTGCCTCGATTGAGCTTGATGCATTTCAGATAGCCGGAAATAATGTGCTTGCACTCTCCTATACAGTTGGATATGTGGTTAGTCCCATTCTTCTTCCTTGGATTGTAGTTGTCTTGGTAAATTCGTCTGCTCCGGGGTAATCAGCATACCTTCGTGGTCGAGAGGGAAGCTACCGCGCTCAGGTCTATATTGGAAACATCATATCGTCAGCAAAATCACATGTAATAGAGTCCCAAGACCGGCGCATCGCAGTCAAGAGGGAAGGTAAAGATCGAGGCGCTAGCAGAGGACGCAAAGGACTCACGGCGTGGGCTTGTAGTTGACCGAACCACCTCCGGGGGCTCCGAAACTCATGTTGGGCAGTGACTTGAGGATATCTCTGAGCTATCTTAATATCTCCTTCGTCAAACACTAGATTGCGCGGCACAGACAAATGCGACGACGGCGGAGTTGAATAATGTCTGTCGGGGCGATCACCAAAGTCCGAAGACAAACAGAGCAAAAGAGACAAACACCCTCGGGAGCCAACCAGCGCCCGCCGGAAACGCAGGATGCCGCCGATGATGTAGTCGAATGCTCGAGTACAGGACTCGGGCCTGGAAGACGGGCAATTGAGTGGACTGGAGATAACCGGAGCTGCAACTAGGTTGATTAGGTATTTGTTCGCTTTTGTTGCGGTTTGCATGAATTGTCATTTTGCACTATTTGTTTCTGATCGACAAAAAGTATATATATCGACCAGATTGCGCTCAAAACACTTCACTCCGCTACTTCAGTCCAGAGATTCTACTGAATCAATCAATCTTCGCTGAAACGCCTTCACAATACACAACCTTAAGAATATCGAAACAAATATCATCAGTATGCCAATGTACGTCCACACTTCCAACCACTGACATCGCTTTGCTCCTTCGTTATCACCCCGCATCACAACGCTAACTAACCATCAAAGGAAACTCGACGGAAGCTGCCAGTGTGGTGGCATCGAATTCACCCTCCAATCTCAAACCCCAGTACCCTATCAGTTATGCGCCTGTAGCATCTGCCGCAAAGTCGGCGGCTACGGTGGCAGCGTGAACCTTGGCGGCATCGCCGATAGCCTCAAGGTGCTAAAGGGCCAAGACCTGATCAAGTACGAGCTTAAGGTTCCCCATCAATATTGTAAAGCAGATATGTACTAACTCTCATACAGAAAATACTGTGGAATCAAAGACCGCGGAACTCCCAACGAAGAACTCTGCTCTTCAGAGCGTAACTTTTGCTCGAATTGCAGTACCATGTTGTGGCTGTGGGATCATCACTGGCCGGAATTGATTCATCCATTCGCTTCAGCTATTGATACTGAGCTGCCGGAGCCGGCTGAGATGGTTTGTATTATGGAAAGTTCTAAGCCGACATGGATGCGGTGGCCGGAGGGGAAGAAGAGCACTCATACCCTCTACAATAAGGATAGCCTGGAGGAGTGGCATAAGAGGCATGGGTATTTTGTTGAGTGATGACACTGTTCTTGGAAGGGTCCATGAGCGAGGTGTATGGCGAGTGATAGCTTAATGGGTCGTGGACAAGTTCAAGGGAATGCAGAGCTACATGTTTATGAAGTGGAGGAATAAGAGATGAAAAACAAGTCATGAGAAAAAAAATTTAATTCATAATCTAGGCTAAAAGGGTATCATGAAACCTGCATTGCGAATTAGCAACAGATCACAACGTATAATGAGTGAGACATTGTGTAGACAAGAACATAGATCAGTTCTCCAAGGTGAATATAATTTTTTATCTTCAATATGTATTCAGAAAGAACACAGCGAATAATTGGTGCTCATCAGGAAATGGGAGGTAGGGAGAGAAACGGTGGTAAAAAACTTACACAAAAGAATGGGGGTATCTACTAGGGAAAGCCGAATCCTAGATGATTGATCGATCGAGTCAGCAATGGCATTCATGGATAATGCAAGCGTGAACATCAAGATCAAAACATGGCAACTAAGTCAGGCTTGGAAAAAGTCAGCAACATGAATCCAATGGCGGATAAAAAGAGACTGATTGAGCACAACTCACCTCATTAAATCAGATTTTTGTATAAATGTTCATTGCCAGAATACCGAAGCATCCAGCTCAAACAGTGTGAATAACACATTCATCATAATAGATATGACCATGTAATAATTGGGGCATTGCAAGCAAAGCAAGAAGAAAAGCAGAATAGAATACCTAAAGACGAGGACCAGTCAGACGGGAATGTTCAAAAAAGATTTTTCGTCCAAGGCGACGTCAATGAGGTATGACAGTGGGCAAAGTATCAGGTGACGAATTCTCAACAAGTATTCCACCTCCCAGACACCCACAGAGTTTGTACGCTCTGGTTTTGTAGGGTGAAGGGACGAAGATACGTTTTGTCCGCCCGTTCGTTCAAGATTTCTTCATGCAAGGCACATGCCGCGAGGGGAAAAGATTTGACGAGGGAAGAGATTTTTTGAAATTTACCTAAACCAGCAGCTTGTTAGCAATGGATCCAAACAGGCATGATAGCTGGTAATAAATGGCAAAAAATGATTTTGGTGTAGTCAGACAAGGCTGAAACTTAATGTATGACAGATTCCACATGATAACTTAAGATTGAGGAATGCCTTTGCATGTCGTAGAGTCATCATCCAAAAGGGGGGAGGGTGTAAACAAGAGGGTAAAACATGTTGCTTGTAGCTTACCTTTTGGAAAAAAAAAATCGAAGCAGATCACGTCGAGGACCGAATGGCAGCATTAAGCATTCAAGACCTCGACTAGCAGCAGCTTGTCAAACATAGCATGCTGGCCAGAGACAGCTAGAGCTGCTCGTGATCGAATTGAAAAGAAAACAAAGAAGAAGGAAGGCGAAATGACCTCAGCTGTTGGACAGAAAGTCGCAGATACGGGAGAGAAGAAAAAAATTTGCGGGTGGAGCGCGAAAATATAAATGGAGCTCCCGGATACGGCGGGCGCAGTGAGCTCCAAGCGCAGTTTGTCTCGGTGACAAACAAAAGCCCCACTCACTGCTTCGCTTCCCTTCTGCTTCTTTCCCAATTCAGTCCAGTGGGCCTAGTTGGTGCACTTTATGATCTTCCTGGTAATGCCTCATGTTGATTGGGTATTTAGAACCTTGTTGTAATGTCCTTGTTCCATATCAATTACCCTACAGAACATGAATCGAGCCAGAGCTTTGTCTGGCTGTAATGTTGCTAAACTTCCACTGTTACTCGCTACTAAATAGGAATAGTTCCATCTAGATACATTTTCCATTCAAACTATGATTCTTGGGACTGATCCAATTCATGGTGCCCTTCCTGTCTTTGAAACAGCCCTGACATTGGTGCTTGACAAGTGCACTTCTTTTTCCTTTCTTGGCTGTACTACCGTGCAGAAGGACTCGGCGGCCTGGGTCTTTTCGAAGCCAGCTTCTTGATGATAATAACAAAATATTCGAAGGGGCGGAGGGTTCCGCGATTTGTAACGGCAGTCAAGCCAGGTGCGTACCATTCTTAGTCGCTGAAGAAACGCCAAGCTTCATTGCTTACTATGGATAGTATTCTGTCCTAGGGCACTGCCGGACTTGGAGACAAATCTTGGGTCTTAGATGGAAATTGTATATATAGTATCCAGCCCAAATAATACTGGAAACTTATCCAATCAACGCTCATTTAATTAGAAATATCTCCTGAAGTCATCAATGTAGACGGATCACGAATGGTCAGGTTGCTAAATGATTCCAAATGGTCGCTCACGGACCGCGGCTAGATCTGTCATCCACGCCACACGAGACAACCGTTGCCATCCTCAGGGCTTGTATGCTCCGCTCCCGCTTCCCCTCTCTTTAACCAGATTCTATTCCCGAATGTTTAGTCAACATATCAGGTAGTTATAAAAACCCAGCATAGCCCCTAGATATTTTCCCAAACCAGAACTCACTGCAACAACCATGGCATCTTCCATTGAAGGACTTCCGACTCTTTCTGAGATTGGAATCACGCCTCCTTCCTCGTCTCTTACAATCAAGGCTTTCGAGTATGCAAAGCAACACTGTACAGAGACCGTCTACAATCACGCTATCCGTTCGGGATACTGGGCAACTATAATTGCAAAGAAACTTCCTGAATTCCGCGACAACACCAACCTCAATTTGGAGATGGTGTTTATCAGTTGCATTCTCCACGATATGGGATGGGCAAATACCCCAGAACTGTTGTCAAACGACAAACGCTTCGAGGTTGATGGTGCCAACATCGCACGAGACTTTCTCTTAAACGAAAAGCGAGACACAAACGACGAGAATCTGAACGAGGCCACCATACAGCGTGTCTGGGATTCTATCGCTCTTCATACCACGACCTCCATCGCTCGGTATGCCGCACCCGAGGTCGCACTCACTCATTTGGGTATCACGGCCGATTTCTTTGGCCCAAAGCTCCCTGGACCTGACGGAAAGCCTTTGATATCCCCCGAGGAGTATCGTGCCGTCTTGAAGGTGTTCCCTCGCGCTGGGTTCAATGCAGAGGGGTTCAAGAAAATTATGTGTGGACTGTGTCGTACAAAGCCCGCAACCACTTTCGATAACTTTGTGAGCGCAATAGGAAGGAAGTATGGCCTCGATGGGAATGGAGAAGGGAAAGAGGAGTTTACCAAGGCATGGGAGGAGTCACAGAATCAGCTCAATGGCTTTTTGGTGCTTGGATTGGATGCACTGGAAGAAGAGCATGACCCAAAGTGATCCTACTAGGGACACATAGTCTTTGTGGTTTCCACTAGTCATTCTATGGTTGCATTCTGTCATGTATGGAAGTACCGTCAAATATAGTAATGATGGTATGAATTGATTGGTATGAACTTCCGTCTTTTCATTGTATGTTCACTCTCACTTGCCTTATACAATCCCGCTTTTGTCTACCCTAGTAAGCTCGCCCAGGGCTAGAAACTATTGATAGACGACTTTTTGAGCATGACCATCCAGCTGATTCCAGTGGATTTTCCCTGGAGTGAATGCCAAAGACATGAGACAGTATGTGAGGTCGCCTGGCATAAGAAAACTCTCTCATTACATGAGCTTGACGAACAGGGGAACTCACCAGCATGGCAATGATAGATTCTTGAAAGCTAGCCTACGAGTGAGGTCTCGAGGCTGAAGATTCTACCGATAAAAGGATGGAATTGGATTTGATACTTATGGATGAATTTCTCAACCATTGTGCCTCTGCGGCACTTGTCGTGATAACGATTATAGCTTCATATATTGCAAGGAATTTGATATAGTCCACCCAAGATGGCGATCGATATTAAACTAGATAGTAAACAAGATAAAATTTGAAAACACAAAAGACTTCCCCGTCCATGGATCGAACCCCCGACCTTAGCGTTCCCTATATACCTCCCTGAAATGCTCTATCCCAATCCCATGATGCCGAAGTCCATACCTTAGCGTTAATCCCGGCCGGATCCAATACGACACCCACTAAACAATCTCCCTTAACGCCACTAGAATACCTCTAAAATATCTAATTAAGACTTAGAATAAAAGATATAAAAGAGACTAATATAACGAATAAATTTTTATCAGAAAAAAATATAAAAGAAGAAATCGGCGAGCGAGGGGGTTTAGCTCGCTCGCCACTCTCCCCGCCTAGGGATGTGCCCGGTCATCCGTGGAGTTGTGCTCGACATCGGATACCTATACTGCATATTTCCCCTCAAATTTCCTTCATGGGGCACACACATTGGTCACCACCGGATTGGTTACCAACTAGGCCATATGATGGGGGAGAGTACCTGGAATGACTGGAAGTTGGTGATAAGTCTCGTTTATTGGCAATACTGAATATTAAAACGACAAGAATTTCTATCGCATTTCAGGAACACAACTCTTGAAACGTCTCCTGACTAAACTCTGGGTGTTGTCATCTTTCTCAATTTCTCAATCACCACGTGCGTGGGGCTTTTCCGTCTTCTATCATGTCATGACCTAAATGGGCTTTATCAATGCTGTTGCGATGCATATTCCCGGTAGTGCTAGTTATGCTCCGGTCTATGTCTATGTCGTAGTTGCCTTGTACCTTGTTGAGCGACTGGTGTACTTTGCTCGCTTTACTTCACGAATTCTGGCTCCAGCAGTCCAGTTCGAAGCATTCACAAACTACGGGTCTTCAAACCGAGCTGGAACCTTACATCACAGATCTTCAGAGTAGCCTGTGGCATCGAGTAGATGTGCAAGTACTTATGTGGATTGGGAAGCGGCCGTAGTTGTGGTTCACCATGGGAACTTTTGTCCTCCTGGCTGGTCTTTACATCATCGATCGACTGTTACTTTTTCTATGGACTCGTTTTCGAAAGGTTTCACCCGATATCTACGGGTTCAAGTTGGATAAGGAGGCATAACATGGGCGATATTGGGTTCTTGTATACTGTAATATCTAATGGTGTAAATTCTGCGAAGTATGGATGTATGTAATTTTTCAGGAGACTAATGTAGACAGTCCTAATCCCTCTGTGCATTGTCTTGTCTCGATGTTTGGTTATTCCGCACGGTTTTTACCATAAATAGTAAGAGATAGAGATCCATGACTGGCCGTATGCAACAATACTGTACGTTACTATTGCACATTTTTCGCTTTGGGATTCTTTTTAGGGGAGGGGGGGGGGGGTGCATCTCACAACAGCGATATATATCGTTGCTTGAACGGGTGCATACCACCGATTAACAAGATGGGAAAGCTCACCATGGGGGCCCTTAACAAGGGCTTTGATTACTGGGATCATCTCTTATCTCGCTCCTACTCTCCTACTCTCCTACTTGCTTTTCTTTACTTGGATCTAGCAACTTGTTCGGTTGTACCCACAAACGATTGCGGGGCGCCGATGTGAGGGTGGCTGGACAATTGTCGGTACCCGCGGGGCCGAGCCAAGCCACAGCCAAGTGTAACCAGCCCTCCTACTTATTCAGTCATCTCGCACAGTCGAGGTTTCAAGACTCCATTGTCTATATGGCATAGCAAAATCGAACTTGACCATTACTTCTAGAACTGATTGTGAGATTTCCCGAACTTATCGAAACACAGAATGACTGCGTCTAAGAACGTGTACGACGTCATCGTCGTTGGTGCTGGCCTTAGTGGTCTCCAAGCAGCCCAAGTAATCCAGGCTGCGGGGTTCACCGTTTGTGTCCTCGAGGCCACCAATCGTGTCGGTGGTAAGACATCGACGGTCAAATCCTCCGAGAAGGGATACAATGATCTCGGTGCAGCGTGGATCAACGACACGAATCAAAGCGAGATGTTCAAGCTCTTCCAAAAGTACGACTTGGATACCGAGGTTCAACTTGCTTCTGGAGACACGATTGTCCAACTTGCTGATGGTTCTCTGGATAAGGTGCCCTATGGACAAGTCTCAGTCAGTTATTCTAAACAAAGAGTGAACTTTAATCAATCTAACAAGTCTGAAGGGAGACCCGGAATTGCTTTTGGAGTTAATAGGAATCCTGAGAAACGAATCCTCGGTTGTAGATCTGGATGACCCCCTCAAATCGCACAACGCCGTTGAAATCGACCAATTGACGTTTAAAGACCTTTGTGTTCAGAGAACACATAATGAGCAGGCGATCAGAATCGCTGATCTGATTTCCACCGCATTGCTCGGGGTCGACAGTGATGAAGTTAGTGCTCTGTATATGCTGCATTATTTCAAGAGTGGTTGCGGAATCGACAATCTTTTGTCTGACGGAAAAGATGGTGGTCAATACTTGAGGAATCGACAGGGTATGTTTCTGTATTCCGTACCTATTATTGTCTGAGCTTTCGTCCTATTTTCTTGAACCATGCTAACAAATCAGGTAACCAAACAATCTCGAAGAAGCTAGCAGAAGAGCTTGGATCAAGATCCGTCTTCCTATCAAATCCGGTTGCCTCAGTTGATCAATTAGGGGGCGGCCACGGTGTTGTCGTCGCGACTCAGTCTGGGGAGTCTTTTTACGGTCGGAAGGCCATCATCTCGGTTCCTACCACACTTTACCCTTCCATCACCTTCAACCCTCCATTGCCTCCGAAGAAAACAGCCCTAAGCGACAATACTGTCATGGGATACTATAGCAAGACTGTGTTTGTCTTCAAAGAGCCTTGGTGGCGAACTTCCGGCCTATCAGGCATCTTTGATTCGGAAATCGGGCCGATCAGTTTCACAAGGGATACCAGTATACCGGCAGATGATCAATGGTCTATCACCTGCTTTATAGTCGGAGAAAGAGGCAGACAATGGTCGAAATTGTCCAAAGCTGCTCGTCACAAGCAAGCCTGGGAGCAATTCAGCCAAACTTTTGGCAAGTATGTGAAGGACATTCCTGAGCCGACAAATTCGCTGGAAATGGAGTGGGCTAAGCAGGGATATTTCTTGGGAGCACCTTGCCCGGTCATGACGCCAGGAATTTTGACGACCGTGGGTACTGAGCTTGCAACGCCCTTTGGAGATGTTCACTTTGTGGGAACCGAGACGGCAACTGTGTGGCGAGGATATATGGAAGGTGCCGTACGGTCTGGACAGCGAGGAGGCGCCGAAGTTGTCAAAGAACTCGTGGATGAGCTCTCGACTAGGTAAAGCGCCAATTTGAACAGGCCTATGGGCATGGCAGCGATCGATGAGCTTATTTTCTCTTTGTTTCCGGAGTAGTTGAATATATGTGTAGGAGTCTCTTGCTGGGAGATAGCGAGGACCTTGGATATTGCCTCAAAAGAGTCGTCCCAAGTGATCATTTCTGTGTAAATAATTCAATTGTCAAAACAAAATTGACAGGGCCCAAGAGGCTAGGCGACACTTACCACGCTCCAAATGGATGGAAGGATCGTTGAGATGCTCTGCTGCCCCTTCCACGGGGCAAGGAACCTATTACCAAATTTCTTTTCTACTCAGGTAAATATCAAGTGGAATGTTCCATCAGCCCTAGGACATAGAAAGATATTTTGAGTGGTATCTAAGGTTGGACCTCATCTAGACGTCATCCCAATCATTCAAATCTCCTACTAGAACATCAATCTCGTCAATCTGACGTTCTATGAGACCACATAAGCAAATCCCTCCCTTGCTAATAATTACCCCAAGACCGAGTGTATCTTGCATTATACTCTGGTCAAATAGCTCTGCCATCAACATGCCTACCGAGTTCAAACTCAACACCGGGGCAGAGATTCCAGCCATCGGCTTCGGAACATGGCAAGATGAGCAAGCCCAAGAAGACGCTGTTACCGAAGCGCTCAAAGTCGGTTATCGGCACATCGATACTGCACGAGTGTGAGTGATAAGTATTAATACGGAATATGCAACATTATTAACAGTTTACTTAACCGGAGAACAGATACCTCACAGAGAAAGCGGTTGGTAAAGCAATCAAGAGAAGTGGTATTCCACGTCAAGAACTCTTCATCACGACCAAGTTATGGAACAACAAGCACCATCCAGACGATGTAGCACCCGCATTACAGCAATCGCTGAACGACCTGGAACTGGACTATGTCGACTTGTATCTGATACATTGGCCGGTTGCCTGGAAACGTGGAGACGAGCTTTTTCCCAAGAAGAACGGTAACATGATACTAGAGGATATCGATATTGTCGATGTAAGACATACTATATTTGCCTGGTTCTCTCCACGACATGCGCTGACTTCACTTAGACATATAAGGCCATGGAAAAGCTGCTAGACACGGGAAAAGTAAAAGCCATCGGGGTCTCAAACTTTTCCAAAGCTGAGATGGAGCGGCTTCTAAAGGAAACCTCCGTCGTTCCGGCAGTTCACCAGATGGAGTGTCACCCCTGGCTGCAGCAACGCGGGTTTACAGCATGGCACCGCGAGAAAGGGATTCATATCACGCACTACTCACCCTTCGGAAACCAGAATCAGTTTTACGGACAGAAGGGCTCGATTGGAAAAGTTGATTAACGAGCCTGTTCTTGCGGAGGTTGGAAAGCAATATGATAAGAGTGCGCCTCAAGTTACACTAGGTGAGTGAAACCTATAGATTCATGAATATTATAGAACCTTGCTAACTCGAGGACTTTCTCCAGCATGGGGCGTGACTCAGGGCCATTCTGTTCTTCCAAAGTCGAAAACCCCGTCGCGGATTCAGTCTAATCTTAAGGGCGACTTTAGACTAGGACCCCGGGATATGGAGAAGATTCGGTACATTGACAAGAAGCTTCGTTTCAATGATAGTAGTGGAGAGTTTGGGAGAGATTTCTTTACTGACTTGGAAGGCAAATAAGATCGAGACGCAGAAGTCGTTCTCTTTCACGCTTTCAGATCTCCTAGCCCAATGAAGGCAGCTTTTCTAGGAAAATCAATGACTGGTCCCGTGACAAGATCTAAGACTTTGAACGACGACAGGAGCGGATGGGAGAGAGTCCAACGCTAAGTCAAGTGCTAGGCAATCAGTTATCAAAGAGGATTGTGACCCAGAAGTTAAAGACTCGATACTTGGTAACTATAGCATGCTTTAATGCCTGGAATCTCAAGAATTTTACTTTGGCAGCGAGCTGTCTCCATCTTTTGAGGGGGTATGAGTTATGTAGAGAATGTTCATGTATCGGGCAGGCACAGACTTTCTATTATGTACAGCCCAGCCTATCTCAAAAATTAAAATAACATTCAATCCAATCCAATCTATGCGATCCAAATCCCAACTCCACCCTCTAATCCCAAGCATCACCCCACCCATCATCCTCATCCTCATCCTTGGGTTTCGTATCAATCTTCTTAACCGGCGCCACAACCCTCGGCTTAGCAACCGTCTTAGCCGCAGGCGTACTCTTAGTTAATCCCTTAGGCAGAGGATTTTTCGTCTTAGCTTGATTCTTAGCTGCCAACCAGCCAGCGAAATCAGGCTCACCGCCGTCATCGTAGGGAACAGCGGATGCTTTGGTTGCGGTTGGGTCTGGCGATGAGGGATTGGGGGAAGTCACGGCTGCAGTGAAGGGGTCTACACCTTTGTCGTCGTCGTCGTCGTCTTCAATGGCGCCCCATGCGTCGAAAACATCGTCTCCTTCTTCGGCGTCGTGCCATTCATCCTGAACGACTGGGACGGGTCTGTCGGATTGGGATCTGGAGAGGGGGTGTGCTGCTGGGCGGAGGGTTTTGTTGGCTGGCTGGGACTGGATGGAGGGGGAGGATGTGGTGGGGCGTGGGACGGAGGCTGGACGGGGAATGTCTTCGGATTGCTTGCTGGGGACTGCTGTGGGTGCGATCTCGCCGTCTGCGGCGGCGAGTTTGTTGGTGAAGGAGGAGATGGCCCATCCGGCCCAAGATTTGTCGTTGGAGTTGCCGATGCGGGCATCTGATTTGTTGGCTTCGGAGGTTGAGCTGGTGGGTGGTTGGAGCACGGTGTCGGCCATCGTGCTGCCGAATTTGCGCACTCGTTGAATGTAAAGTTCAAGTGTTTTATTTGCTTGATCGCGAACCAGCCTGTGACGGTTAGAATTGGAGGTTAAAGGGATGTCAAAAAAGCAACTTACTTCTCTTTATCCAAGAGTGCTGGACAAATGGCTGGAAGGATCTTGCCAGCACAATCCTCATCCGTAAACGTATCAATTGTGGCAGACAACGCGAGCAGACCAGCATTACGGGCGTGCACAAACGGATCCCTGATGGATCTCGTAAACGCCGCAATAAGAACCTTGGAGCGAGTCTAGATAGATATTAGTATGGAAACCCATGGCTACCAGGAAACCTATACTCACACTTTCTCCCAGATTCTTCGCAATCTTGCCCAAACAGATGGTGGTGTTAGTACGGATGCCAGGTTGTTCGTCATTTGCTGTACGGGCTAGGAACTTGAGCAGCTCTCCGTTGATAACCCTATCACTGAGTTTGCCAACAACGGACAGAACAGCCTTAACCGTCTGTTCTCGAACCACGGGAGCAATATCTGTAAATCCAGAGGTCTAAACAGCCAACGTTAGATACTCGGAACAAAAAGGATCCTAGGTTCTCAGCCACTTACCATCTGCGGGAAGATCTTATCATTGACAATCTTCTGGGGCAGATTATCAATCATCAACGGCAGGTTATCCAACAAACAAACTCGCAGCGCACGGTCAGGATTGCCAAAGAGCCGTACGATCACAGGTGTTAATTTAGCATTGAACTCGTCTGCTGATAGCTTTGAGCCAATCTTCAAGGTCGCACTGAGGACCTTGGGTCCACCGCCGCCAAATTCAACGGACTTGAGAAGCTCGGGGAGGACCTTCATTTTGAAGAAGTCTTCGGGGAAGTCGTCGGACAGATTATCGAGTTCACTTTAGAAGAGGTTAGTAACAAACAAAGGACGTGTGCAATTGTACCAATGGCACCGGGGTGGACATACTTAATAAATTCCTCGCGTTCAGCATCATCCTTAAGCCCCAGGCTCTCCATATCTTCCGTCAAGCGAATCAAAGATGTCTGGAAGAAGCCACCATGCTTCTTACCTTGCTCAACAAAATGTGCCGGACTAAGTCGCAGCTTGGGGTTTGCCGTGCACAGACGCTTATAGCTTTGTTGCATGCTGGGTGGGATATTCGTCGTCTTGCCGACTTGATCACCGCCAGAGAAACTTCCATTAAAGACCTCGAAGATCAAGATACCGAGTCCATACGCATCGACTGCCGCCAGTGGGTGGCGCTTGATAGCATCCCAGCCACCCTTGACAACTTCCGGGGGTGTGAAGCGAGCTGCGTCTGGGACCAAGCTTCCGTAGGTCTGATTTTCTGTTTAGTATATTCCATGTTGGCCGAGACATTGCCGCCAATAACTCACATATATGATAGCATCGTCCTCTTTCATGGAGCTCAAGATATCAAATCCGCCCAGCTTCCACTCGCCGCTTTCACTCGTGTAGACAGAGGATGCGCGCACAGCGCCGTGGACGGAAGATGCATCTTCGTTGATGAATTTGAGAGTAGACTAGACATATACACCCGGTCAGAAAATGCCCTATACAAAACGCGCAGAAGTCCAGTATTCTTACCGACACCGTGTATATTCCCCATTTCGCAGTTTCCTCGCTCAAGCTCCGCCGCTTGACATGCCACTCGAGTGGAACGACTCGTTCAGTCACGATATAGAGGTTCGTCTCGTTCTGATAGGAATCAGCTTCAATGATCCAACTCATAGAACCTCATGCAACATCTCGACATTGCTGCGCATACCTCGATCGTATCCAAAACCTTGATCACACCAGGATGTCTCAACGTCCTTGACTTGCGCACCGCATTTTTGGCTAGAGGGAGTCGTGACTTATTCGCCGCAATATCGAATGTGAATACACTGCATGCCGAGCCGTCTTCCTAATGATCGCAAAATAGCCGGTTAGCATTATGTTCCAACGTGTCAACTAATCATCCGCACCCAAACCATACACCTCAGCCAAAACGCATGGAATAGTCACATACCCTTCTCGTCCCGTTATGAAGTGTCCATATAGAATCGCCAATATCCACTCTATCACCCAACGAAACGGGGAACGAGCTTCCCTTTGCGATAGCGGACGCGACGGCCGACTTAAGGAAGTCCATCGTGGCGCTGCGCTGGCCACTTCGACTCCGAGGTTTGTTTGTAAATACCCGGTGGGGGCTAGACAGCAGCCAATTGTCGGGGAGAAGGATTCGAAAGAAAGAAGGTCAAGACAGAAATGCCCAATATCCCGTAGGAATTTGCGCCTTTCTAGAAGTCGATCTTTTTGATGTTGTTTGGGACCTGAGGGGGGAATCTTGCGGTGATTGATGCGGCCCCGCCTTATCGCGGAAAGCCCTGGGCGGCCTCAGGCCAAAGGGGTCCACCGCGTTTATTTGGATTTCAGCTGTTGCTGCACTTTCTCCACTTCACACTCCTCTGCTCATCGCGGTCATGATGTGGATTCGCACTGGAATGGGGAACCTGGCTTTTTATCAGATTGTATAGCTTCTATGGAGCTGCACCTGGACTCACTAACACTGTAAGTACTTTGCTTTTTCCATTCCACTTTATCCACCAGACAGCTATGCGCAACGCGCTCTCTCCAATGATGCGAACCTGGTAAAAGGTCAGACCGCGCACCCTGAAGCCAACAACCCCCTCGCCCACCAAAAGCCGAAGGTACTCGTCTCTCCAGCAACAGCATCCCTCAACCGACACCAGCCAAATCAGACATGACCTTGAGCAACCGACCCCAAAGTCTCAATCTCTCTCAACCCAATCCATGTCCAAGTTCCCAACTTGACCTCCACCTTCCTAAGGCCGGAGCACTCAACACCCATCCACTCGTTTCTCAAATCCAGTCTACGTGACGCGCCGCCAACAACCCGGCCCTGACCCACCCCACCTTCCACGCAGACACACGGCCAAGGCAAGAAGGTCTAAGCCCAAGACTATGGCTTCCCCCACCACGGGGCACAGCACTCTTTTCCCTACCAACGGAATCGAGCACTGTGATGACCTTGGGACGAAAGATGCAGATGGCTTCGGTAGTCTGTATCCACCCGTGTGCACATCTACGCAAGATCTGCGGCGAAGCTCACCATGGCTTGCTGTGGGGTTTGCGCGGCCGTCTTCTGGGGTTCCTGGGCTCGCTTTGCCTCCATGAGGGCCTGGTAGGAACTAATGGCTACGGTCGAAAGTGGGGAAATTGTCTGCTACTGCGTTGGAATGGGGTTGTGCTCAGGGCCCGGGGGCGGGGTTCAGATTAGAGAGACCTCTCATGGGTGGATTGGGCTTGTTGGGTGTGGATGGGAGGGGAGAATTGGGGATTGTGTGGACAGGGGGGCTTTGGGTTGTGTTTGGTGCGGTTGGTGTGGGGGGTTGATGTTGTTGGAGGGCTTGAAGCACCGCGGTTGGGCGAGTGGTGGGTGTACTTTTTGGGTTTTGGATGACGACCAATTTGAAACTGAAAAGACCTGAGGAGATGCATATGCCTATCGATGCTGCATTCAGACAAGTTCTACGGGACTCATTGCTAATTCTTATTACTCGCAGGGATATCGAACTTCGACCCGAGGGAATGCTCCTGGCGGATGGGTTGATATGCTCAACCGCGTGATTCCGAGGTTGCCCACGTCTTAGGCTGAGAATCACGAGTAGCAATGGCTGTATACTTAGTTCAAGCTCAGAATACAAAACTACGGTTCGGATTGGAAATTCAATATATAGTATAATCATTCATTGCATCCCGTAGGACTGTAGCAACCATCATCAAGACCCCTCAGATATGCAGCTTTCACCCGCACTCGCAACGGCCTCTGCAACCTCCCCCACTCATATCGGTATCCGATCATTCACTCATGTCCGTTCCCAAAGCGTAGCCCATCACGATCCCATGCCACCTGGAGCAGGCACAGTCGGAGAAGAAACAGAAAAAAAAGGACGCAGATAGATCGTCTGCAACCTTGAGTAGGCTTAATATCCACAATTGAAAGAAGGCAAAGAATTCAAGAGCAAGGGCAGTAGAAGAAACCCGGAAAGAAAGAGGAAAATTCTGACGGAGAGCCTCAAGTCCAAATGCTTGTCATATGTTTGCAAGTGGAAGAATAGACCTTTCGAGGAAGCTCCGTTGGGGACATGTAACGGGCGTGACAGCTCATGAGAGGCAGGGACAGCGGCAAACAAACTTGAAACTCCGAGGAATATGTTTGTCATGTATATCGCCAGCCCCATGCCGGAGTGATAAATAGACGGTGCTAAATATGTCCACTCATCCAATTTGCTAAATAAGTTGGTCAGTGAATCGAGGAATCAATAACGGGACGATGCGAGTCTTACCTGCCAAGTATCGTGCCGACATGTAGTTGACCAAACAGTACACCGGGGGATAAATACCCAATGACGACAGAACGGTGAAGGCCGAGACACATCGCGAACTCAGGAGATTAGACAAATGAAGAGTCCACACCCCAGAGCTGCTCATCTTCAGTCACGGCACGGCTCAGCAATAGACATCTACAGCGTGAACAAATCAAGACGCCCGCTCCGAAGACTCAGTCATGGATTTTTCGTAGCTCATTTGCTTTCGTCGGTGGGCTCGGCGGCGTGAGAGCCGGCTCCGGCGTTAGCGGGGGCGTTGGTCGACATTTGAGGGGGCATCTGAGGGGTTTGGTTATAGCCGTTGCTAGGCGTTCGGTGGTTAGGCGGGAAATGGTGTGCCTGGTGGGGACTCGAGGAGAAGTGAGGTTGCTGTTGGGGGTAACCACCACGGCCAGCGGGCACTAATCCAGGAGAATGAGCGACCAAGTCGTTCCATACTGGGCGGGGAGACTCACTGTGACCTGGCTGAGCGCCGAATCCGGGCTGTCCTGGCTGGCCCTGAGGCATGAACATCATTTGCTGTGGAGGCTGACCAGACTGCGAGTTCTGGTGCATCATCATAGGCGCGCCACGGCTGGGGCTGGGATAGCCGCTATGGGGTTGGGGCGGGGGCGCATGCTGGGGATAAGCATGGCCGGGGGAAGGTGAGTACATTTGCATCTGCGGAGTATAAGGCGACATGTTTTGAGGAACACCCATGTAGGGTCCATTGGAGGGATTTTGCACCATCATGGGAGCTCCCATACTACCTTGCGGGCCAGAAAATTGAGGACCATTCTGATAATGCCTCATGTGTCCCGGCTGAGGGCCCCCATAGAACTGCGGCATCGGCTGTCCGAAAGCGAGCTGAGCGTGAGGAGCCATGGGTGAAGGATAGCCAACGTGGCTCTGGCTCATGCGAGGCGAAGGGAAAACCTGCGACGAGGACGCAGATAGCTGCATGCGGTGATGATCTTCCATGTGGGGACCGGGGCCATGAGGGACTTGATGAACGTGAGGACCACTAGGAGGGCCAGAGGAAGGAGGCATACCGGGGTTGCCCTGCTGGAAGTGGAAGGGCAACTGATGTTGCTGGGGGAGGTTCGGGTTGTTAGAAACAGACCGGCCCTGAGGCGAGACCGAGGGCACGGCACCCGGCTGCTTGAACATCGCCTCAAAGTTTTTCTCTTCGTTGCCCGGGGGAAATCCCATGTGGGCGCAGTTTTGTAAGGAGGGGGGATGCCTCCGCTAGACGGGTAAGGCTTGTTCTCCGCAGTCTCAGCACTCTCCTTCTTCATCCGCTTGATCGGGTTGAATTGGTCATCGATCGAGGGGCGTTCCGAGGCTGGCACTGGCTTCTTGATACCAAAGAATGCTGACGGGGTGGTCGCACGGGACACGGAGCGGTTTCGAGAGAAAGGACGGGGGCTTGCAGCGCTGGCAGCGCTTGCAGCCGCAGCGGGCGCAGTAGGGGGAGCAGCAGCAGCAGCAGGAGCAGGACCGCCAGGAGTAAAAGTGCTGGCAGCCGGGTTAGGCTTGAACTCCATAGCGCGAACATTGAATTTCGGGGCTGCGGTAGTTGTGGGGGGTTGAGTCTTGACAGGGCTTGTCACACGAGGCTGCTCACTCGCAGGGCCAGTAGGAGGCACACGAGCATCTTGGATAGGCAGTGGGGCAGGAACAGGTGCCATGCCTGCACCCTTGCGCTGCTGAAGATTGTCCGCGAGTCGGTGGCTGAGCATGCCAGTTCCTGGGCGACCTGCCTGCATGGGCTGCTGGGGGTACCGACCACTTGGTCCTGCGAGAGGACCCGTTGGAAGATAACCCTGACGGCCACGGGGGAAGTTCTGGCGATCGGAAGGAGCGGCCGGGGGGTTGCACCGGTGGGCCCAACAGCACGCACCGCGGGCTTCTGTTCGGTGACCGGCGTGGCAGCTTTCGGCGAAGCTTTATCGTCCGACTGCTGGGCGCGGCTGATGATGGCTTCTTGCTTGTGAGGATCCTTGGCGAGAATGGGCACCAAGTCCTTGGGCACTGGAGTTGAAAGCTTGAAGTTCTTGGAGAATTTCATCAGTTCGTTCAATTTGACCGTGCGATCATAAGAAGCCTGATTACGACGGCGCTCCTGCATCTTCAACTTCTCACTGTTGGCGAACTGGCGGAAGTGATCGAGCACCTCTGTCTCGACATTGGCGGTGGCATTCTCGGGAATAGGGCGCGGTTGCTTGGCGAGGGGGGCAGCAGCAGGAACGGGGATAGACTTGCTAGGTTCAACCTTTTGCTCGATCTCTGTAGCAGCCTTGGGAGCTGCGGCAGGCTGTGGCTTCTCCGCGAGGGGTACCTCCTTGGTTTGAGTTGGAGCGGGCACAGGAGGAGTCGGGGCTTGCTTAGCCGGAATAACAGGTTGAGCTCCGGCTTGGCGGCGACCAGGAGGAGTATACTTGTTGGGTTGTCCAGAGACCAAGGGCGGGAAGGACTTGTTCTCACGTTGCACTCCACTGTACTTGTCTTCCTCGTCTTGATCACCGGTATCTGGAGCTACCAGACCTCTCTCCTCACGCATGTGGGCATTGTCTACCTCGGTGCCCTCAATTTCGGCCGCAATGCGAGCGGCTTCGACCTGCTTTTGGCGGTAGGTCGGGTCCGAGCGGTCAATGCGGGTTGTGTAGATGTTCTCGTCATAACTGGTCTTTGCGCCGAAAAGGCGCTCGTTCGTCTCGAATTGATCCCAGCCTTTGCTGTCACCAGTCGTACTCTCCAAAGACATATCCACCTCATGCTCGGCGGGTTCCCAGCGCTTCAGAGTACGCTCCCGCATGGTCAGGTTTCCGGAGATATCAGCATCGGTTCGGAAACCACCAGCTCCTGCAATGGAAAGGATAGTTAGGCGATGTCTCACTTCGAAGTGCTGATATAATGGGCGCATATCTTACCATTCGATTCCTTGACCGAGACCTCAGCCGGGACCACGTTAGGCACAGAAATATCGGCCACGTCCTTAATATCAAATGCCATGCTGTGCTCCGGAGCAGATCCAACGTACGAAGTGGTCGTGTCACTAACACCGTTGGCTTTGCCCTGGTTCTCTTGAGTAGCGCGCTGCACCATCTTGAGAAGGAATGAGGAATCACTCGCTTCCAAGTTCGAGGAGGAGAAGATGCCAGTAAACTTCTCCCCGGTCTTTGTAGTAATGGTAGTGTTTAGGCCCTATACATCAAGAAAAGCGCATTAGCACTTGAATCTCACTCGGTACATCTTCTCGGATGGTTCTTACAATGAAGCTGGCAAATAGGAATACTAGTCGGTCGTGAGCATGGCTGTCGGGGGTGTTAGACTCCTTCTGGCCCGGTCGAGGGGAGCCAGACTGCCGAGTCACATTGCCATTCGGAGAAGCGTATGAGGAGCGTTGGGTAATGGGGTTGGTCCCTTGAGTCCAAGCCTTGTGGTTGTTTGTGCGCCTATGCAGTATCACATTGCGTGGGTCAGTGAGGGGTACGGCCAACTATCATAGAGCAGAGATAAGACGAGGAATCGCAGCGATCCATTCCGAGGAAACCAATTGGTGCTCTATGAACACACAATTCCATGCGCAGCTTGAAGGCACGTGCGCCAGGTTTACACATTGGCTGGAGAGGAGTGCCGGAAGGACGAAAGGTATCCATCGCCCGGATGGATTGCGAGGTACCAAGTATCACTCCGGGGGAGAAGAGGGCAATATGATTGTGGGGGCAATAGAGGACAAGATGCAAGATAGAGGGGAGGAAACGTTGTGGTTGGGACGTACCGTTGACCACCATCCACGGGACTGCCAGATTGTCGGCGGCCATCCCCCTTTGTGTTGCCGCTCGATCTTAGAGAAGGTCTGCCAGAGTTCTGTGATGAGCTGTTGACAGCATTGCCAGAGGCGCTGTTTGCAGCTGGCACCGAGTTCAAAGTCGAAGCCATTGATTGACTTGGGGTGTGCGTCAGTCAGGGCAGACTGGTGTCGTGGAACTTACACGGCGGAGAGCCGCGAGTGATGGGCACTACCACAGCACACCGCCTGCACAAACAGGACGTGGGAGAGAGTAAGGAGGGGTGGGGAGGAGCCGTCAACTATCGCCACGCCGATGGACAGCTCGAGAGTCCCTGAGAATATGGAATGGAGGGAAACGGGGGCAAACAAAAGGAGAAGGAATGAGATGGGGGTGGGAGAAGGGGAAACTTTTTGGGAAGAGTTGAGGTTGCGAAATGGGGGGATTTGTTTGGGAGAAAGGTGCAAGTCACGGGGGGAGATCTGGAGGAGTGGAAGTGGTAATTCATTTGTACGGTACCGTGTGTGACCCTTGGCTGGTCGGCGGGTTGGCAGGCGCCTGGACTCTTCGATCTACTCAACTTGACAGACACATTCTTTAACCTAAAGGAGAATTTGATAAATTGGTAGTGGTGGCCAGTTTTTGATTTATTAAGAAGCATTTTTCCCCATTGAATATGTCTACTTACTATTTGATCTGACTGTACACATCATTAAGAATTCCAGTGGTCTTGGGCCTCCAACCTTACCCTCAGCCCCGTTGGAAATGTATTATCGATACGACTGCGCCCACCGATCGATATGTGCATTACTCTTGCCCTACGTAGGCGATTAAGGATATTGGTGAACTATAATACCTCGAATTGAGTAACTACTACGATAAGGCACTAGGGTCGTCGATGATCAGTGGGGCAATTATTATCCGAAAACAGATAGATCCAGGGTCCTCCAATACACAGACCTTGTCGGCGGTATTCTATTATGTATCAGATCTAGACGGACAAGTAGAGAGAGACAAAAAAAAGAAACTAAAGGACACAGTTCCCGAGACAACGCTAATTATAACGGTAAGCCTCAAAGTATATGGGCTCTGTTAAGTGTTAAGTACTCCGTAGGTATCTGCAGCTGCTCACCAATCGGATCTATAGCGTATTTTCAGGATATACATACAAGTTGGAGGGTAGGGGCTGGCAATTTTCTTCCACATTACCAACAAAGTCGCAATTCTATAGAAGAATCGTTTGTGTGAACAATCGTCGGTCTACCTAGGAGTTTTGCACGATTAGGTGGCATATGGGGACGAGTAACGGTGACGCCCAACGGGTCTGAGTCTAAGCTTAAGTTGATCCAGGATACCCCGAGTTCGTATTAGGGCACGAGAGTAGGGGGTGTACTACAGTAGGAACCTAGTAAGGTAGTAAGGTAGGGCTTACTACTGTAGTAAGTCAGCTGTAAGTAGCCCGTACAGTCACAAAATATGAGATCGAGAGATTACGTCGATCACAAAGCGGAGGCGGGTACAGCCGAGAATAGGCGGGCAATAAAGGGTCGTAAAGGCGCTAATTAATTGAAGAGGAGCTGAAGAGTGGTACGGGATCAAATAGCGCTGGTCCCGTGCTTGCTGCATTCAGTAGTCTCCTCAGGCTTCAAGGCTTCAACTTTCAAGACCTCAGGCTGAAAGTGACAAAACCGTAATCTCATTACTGCAGATTCCCGGCCTCCCTTGAGTTCCACCTCATTTGGCTGTGAGTCCTTACTTCCTGGGCCATGTATTGTCGGTCAGGCCAATACACGTCCAATACGATACCTCAAATGGTGGTTCGCTACCCTACCACACTTAAGCTAACTCAACTAATTAACGCGCTCGGGAGGCTGGGCGTCATCTGTTTGCTTGGCACCCAACTCTTCCACCCCCCATCACCTTCGCTTATCCACACCTCCATGCAGTCCCCAACTACTGCGCGGCCTCATCCCCCCTTCGGAGACCCGGCCCTTTCTCCTCAACATTCTCCCACCGTCGCCAACGCTACTATGGCATCTGCTTCCGGTCGCAGTTCCTCCGCCGCCTCGGGGCGCTCCCAATCTGCGAAGAGTGTGGTAAGTCGGTTATCATTGAATCGTGGATTCGCTCCCTGTCCAGAAATTCTCCTTCGCAAGCCAGTGTGTAACGCAGGTTACATACGACTCGGACGCTAATGCGGCACCCTCTCCATAGCCCGATAAGCAAATCTCTCAGATCGAAAAGAGCGTCACGCATCTGCTGGTAGCGACAAAACAACTACTCGAAACCTTGACCCAGTGGTCCCGAAAACAGGCCTCCGAGACCGATGTATCCGATGTTTATGTTCGTCTAGGGTATGAGTTTAACCTGGCATGCCGTGCCTTTAATGCCATCGGAGTCGAAACATCCGACCTCGGCCCCGTGCCCGACGTCCTGCGCAGTATTCTCGAGGATACCCTAAGCCAAGATGCCTCCTCGCAGAGCCTTGACCGATACCTCCCGCAAATTCGCGATATCATTATCAACCTGCTACATGGTCTGAAGAAGAAGCAGGCTCGCCTACGATCCCGACAGCAGCGGGAGGAGGGTCGGGCTGGCATGCCGGGTCGCCAGGCGAGCGCTGGAAGCTTGCCCAGCGGCCCATCAAATATTGGACAGTTATATGACGAGGCGGCTGCCTCGACGATGCCACAGACCACGGTGACTTCGCCAAGGCGGTCGGCTCGTCGATATGGCAGTAATGGGTCTCTCGAGGACACACCGGCGGGTCAGCGCACCTCTCCCACTCATGGCGAGCCGCCACGGGGCACGAGTTACTCGGAGCGAGAGGCGTCAAGGCGGGAAACCCAGCAGATGCTCACTCAGCCATCCCCCCAAGAAAGTGAAGCGACTCCAAGGCCGGCCGCCTCTTCAGCCTCGGCGACTCCCACAAATTTCCCAGCTCCACCGCCACCGCCGAAGGAGGAGGATGCCTTAGGCGCCCTACAGCGCAGCGGCGAGCTGGAACGACGTGCATCTCGCCGGTTTTCAGCTTATCAGATTCAGAAACATCTAGGTAGTTCGACCAACGGAGTGCCCGTTCTCCCCACCCAGAACTCCCCGATTCCCAACAGGGGACGAGATGTTCGTGAATCTCTCAACGCCGTTCGCCTGCGAGGCTCGTATACCCATACAAGGCAACGCTCGTCGAACCGGACCCAGGAAATTCCGAAAAGCGGCCCGGCGCAAGCAGCCGCAAACATCCCTCAGGCGGTGGAGGAGGAACAAAGCACCCAAGCCAAGGCCCCCGCGGTGGAATCAGAGACCGTCAAACCGCCAGCACCCTTAGCTGATCAACCTCCTCCGCCCGTTGAAAAGGAGCTGCCAGATGCCCCTGCTACCATCGAGCCAGCGCCCGTCTTCCCGCAGCCACCTAAACGCCCCTCTCTTGGCGACGCCTTTGATCCTGAGAAAAGCACAACACAAGTGCCTTTACCGGCCCCAGGAACACCACGAGGGGATCGCTTTACCTCCGCCAATATTTCTACTCCCCCTTCTATCGCTCACTTCCCCGTCGACCAGCCATCCCCTGGTAAAGAGTTAACCCTGTTCTTGCAGTATAAGAGCAAAATTAAGAAGTATGTGCTCCCCGAGGGCACGGCAGACCTGACCATTGGACGTTTGCAACTGGCTTTCATTGAGAAGTTTGCCTGGAATACTCACAACAACGGCGTCGATCTGCCTGAAATCTACATTCAAGATCCCATCTCTGGGATCCGGCACGAGTTGGAGGATTTGAATGATGTTAAGGACCGTTCAGTCCTCGTTCTGAATGTCGATACCTTGGATGAGGTCAAGAAGCACTTCGACGATAGCTTTGGTGGTATGCGCAGTCTAGTGGAGGGCGTGAAGGAGGCACTCGTAGGTCAGGGAACGGCCATTCAACGAGTCTCAGATCGTCAACTTGAGGCCACCAAGGAAATGGCTCGTCTGGTTGCTTCACCACCCGCGTCTATTGCAGGCTCAACCAACGCCGGCGGAACCCCGAAGACTGCCATTGCCGGAAGTCGTACACAAATTGCCGAGCTTCAGAGTTTGCGCCGCGATCTTGCCGTGCTAAGGCAGACGTATTCCAACTTTACATCGGATATTACCAGTTCGATGACTGCCGTGCGCGCCAAGGCAACCAATGTCAAGACTGCCGCTGACAACGCTGCTACTGCCACCTACGAAGGTGACGCCGGCCGTGCGCGCGTTAACAAGGGCAAGAAGGAGCTCGCTGATGAATCGGAGCGTCTTGTTTCTCGAGTCGACGATTTGCAGGATCTTGTTGAGGATCTCCGCAAGGATGTGGTCCAGCGCGGTGTCCGACCCCTGCCACGCCAGCTGGAGGGTGTCAACCGCGATATCAGCACTGCTATGAAGGAGATTAAGAAGATGCAAGACTTCCTGGGCCGCGAGAAGCCTATCTGGACTAAGATCTGGGAGAAGGAGCTTCAGTTGGTCTGTGAAGAGCGAGACCAGCTCACCATGCAGGAGGATCTGGCGGCCGATCTTCAGGATGATCTGGAGAAGGCTGCTCAGACCTTTGCACTGGTCGAGCAAGCCACCAAGGAGCAAGCATTGGAGAAGGCTGCCAACCCAGGAGTCACTTTGCGCGCTACATCCCGCACCCTGGGCATCGACCCAACTATTGACCCTGTCAAGGCAAAGGATAACCTCCTAGGTGAGGTCCGCGCACTGCAGCCTAACCACGAAAGCCGTCTCGAAGCGATCGAGCGAGCTGAAAAGAATCGCAAGAAAGAGCTCGAGACGCGGCGAATCGGCCTTTTCCAGAAGGAACTCGGCTCTTTCGTTCAAGAGGGAAAGCTGAAGAAGAGTGGTGGTGTGGAGGAGGCGGAGCGGTTGCGCAATGCCAAGGATGATCGCATCCGAAAGGAAGTTTGGGAGAGACAGCAAGCTCGCAATGCCGAAATGGAGAAGGCTGAGGCTGAAGCTGCCGCTGCCGCTGCTGCCGAGGAGAAGCCCGAAGGGGAGGAAGCTGGTGACTCTGCAGCAGCGCCGGATGGTGAAGCCGTTGCCACTCCTAGCGAAGAGGAGGCTCCTAAAGATGAGACTGCGCCGACTGAAGATGCCGAGAAGAAGGATGCCAACCCGGACGAAGCCAGTTAATCCAACCGGCTCAGCCAGGCTCCATCTCTTACTGGAATATGTCTCTCGAAACGTTTTCTCTTCACACTTTCATGATGAAATATTGACTTTTCTTGCTTCGTACGGTGCGATTTGTTTGCGATTATTACTCTCTGTTCCCCCTATACCACTGTCCTGTTTTCCTATACCATCTATGTGTTTTTTCTGCGTCTGCGACTTGCACTCCATATTTCATGTCACTTATTGACGATACCCTGCCACGATCGCTGCGGTGGCTTGTTTCCAATTTCAACGCGTCTTGTTTTGTCAGATTCTACCATTTCCGATTTTGCCTCTCGTTGTATTTTGTTCTTTCGCTCGCGTATGTAGCGTGGAGTTGGACTATTAGGCAGTTGATAGCGACTTAGTCTTTCCCCCGCCCACTATTGCTTCATTACACTTAAGCAATATTTAGTAGCTAGATACTTCTTAGATTATTAGATATGGTGCAATACTTGAATATAGCTTATGCTGGTCCACCAAACCGGCGGGGTTCAATCAAAATAAAGGACGCTTCGTTTGTCTCACGCGCTTTCGCCCCCCAGCCATCGCATTTAATCTCAGCACTCATTTACCAACCTCCATTTCCCACGCGGTCGCTCTTCCCATTTCGATGATTTATGATCATCACAATTGAATTCATTGAATTGCCTTCAAAAATCCAGATATTCCTTGATTTCCCTAGATCTTGCTGTCGCGATAATAGGGTATAGAGCCCGGAGAGTCTGAGGTCACCGACCAGCTTATAACAGTCAGGCCCACATCAGCCTCCCCAAATCAACTACCAACACAAGGCATTCCGGTTGAAGCCACTCTTTGTACGACACTGCCCGTACTCTTCATAAACCATTATCCTGAATGACGCAACTAATACTAATCAGTTACAGACTTTTATTCAGTCCGTCCGAGGATATTTCCGGACAATAACAAGTCACCTACCCCCAAGATGAGGCTGTCTCCAACACTCGGGGCCGTCTTACTTGCCTCAATCTCGACGGCCCTCGACGAAAATACAAATCCAGCATCATCCCTCAACATTCTTCGCCGTAATGCCGAGATTGAAGCGCGCCTAGCAGATGAACCCGTTTACGGCGTGCGAAAGATGAGCAGCGACGAAGGCGAGAAGTTTTATCTCGATTATTGGCATTTTGAAGATACACCTCAGGGTGGGCTATCAGAAAGAGATCTCGCAGAAGTCAATGCTACTGCTAGTGACGATGCGAAGAACCAAAAGGGATCTACTCCTGGTACCGAGAATGGGATTTCCTCAGCGCAATTCCTCGCTAGATCATACGCCTTTAGTCCATCTTTCGGACCCGAGTCTGAGCTTCGCGGGAGTTTGTTGGAGGCGCGGGATTTCAAGTGTCCGGGTGGCACGAACGCGTGTACCTCTATCAACCGGTCTGATCGGTGCTGCAGTACCGGTGATACTTGCGTTATTGTCACGGACACGGGGTCTGGAGATGTCGGTTGCTGTCCTAACGGACAGACCTGCTCCGGCACGATAGGGTCTTGTCAGAGCGGATACACGACGTGCTCCACGGCTTTGGGTGGTGGATGTTGTATCCCTGGCTACGAATGTGTTGAAGGTGGATGTAAGTACATCCTCGCACTCCTTACCATCTTCCACCAACTAACCCAATCCAAAACAGGCGCATACATCTCCGTGGTTACCGTAACGATAGACTCAACCGTGACAGTCTCGACAGTAACCCACACAACATCCCAAGAAACAAGCCACTCCACATCATCCAGCACAAGCACAAGCACACGCTCAACCAGCTCCTCATCAAGCACGAAAAGCACCAGCACCAGCACAGAGAGTCTCACCCCACCAGCCCGCGGAACAAGCATAACGACAACAACCCACTCCGCAACAACCCGCGTCGACGTCTGCCCAACGGGGTTCTACGCCTGCTCCGCCGTCTACAACGGCGGCTGCTGCCAGACAAACCGCGACTGCGACACGACATCCTGCCCAACAACATCGTCGACAACATTCACCTCCGACGGGAAAACGATAGTTATACCCGTTACTACGGCGTCGTCGGGATCGTCGAGTAAAACGGGCAAATGTCCAGGCGGTTGGTTTAGCTGTGCGGATACGGCGGGTGGAGATTGTTGTCCGAGTGGGTATGCTTGTGGTGCGAGTATTTGTACTGCGACGGGCTCGGTGGCTACGACTGTTGCTAAGGAGGCACCGACTAGTAATGGGGCTGGTGTTGAGCGTGTTTCGGGGGTAATGGTTGGTTTTGGGTTGATTTGTTGGGCTTTAATTTTGTGATTTGTATGGGATGGGATGGGTGATAGGCCTATGTGGAATGAATTTATGAATTGATGTGATACACGAGACCTGTACGGTTATTTGGATTTGTTGATATCATAGATAGGAGGCATACTGCGACAATCTTGAAGCAAATGCTCATGTGGTTTCCTATCAAACTTTGTCTATCTTATCGGTAGCTTAAACCATGGACCCCGCGATAGGTGGGGTTTGAAATGCCGGTGGGTATTTCCTGATTTAGATGCCGATGTGTATAAATAGAACCCCCGCGTGAGGGTCCTTTTACTCAGATCTTACTTAGTCTCATGGCCTGAAACATTGAATTTCAGACGTTATAATAAAGCACGTACTCAGGCCTACCTCTTGAAGCATAGAGATCTAGCCATGCGAGTAGGATCCACCGGGGCAATCGCACTATGACTTGACATGATAGCAAAACAAAGTCTTCAGACTGTACACTCACTGTGTTTGGGGCTCAATTATCGCCAAAAAATGGAACTAGACTCGATAAATCTTGAGCCTAGTAATTCTGTCCCATACTTCGAGCATAGGTAGTGATTGGTACCTTTCCCGAATCTCATCTTCGAATACTAGCAGCTAGAGGTCTCATAGAGTCCCCTTCAAAACAACATACCGTAAGACACCCAACATAGCTTGGGTAGATATCAATAACGCGGTTTTCCCTCAGCCGAGACCGAGTTAAAAGAATAACGGAATAACCAAGGAAGCACATATACACTTTCTATGTACCCAAAAACGCCGTCCCACCCCGCATAAACAACAAGCAGCCGAGAAGCGCCGAGGTCCGTCCACTCAACAAATAGCCGACGGCGCACTCACGATCAACGACTATTGATTCTTCCATGCCACCCTCCCACCATCACGAGACAAGTCCCAAAAAATCAAGGCACATCATGAAAGAACGACTAGCCCTCAGTCGCCGGCCCACTCGGGGCATGACCCGAAAACCCGGCGTGCTGTCTACGTTCCCACTAGACAATCTAATAACCGAAGTACACCGGTTACTAGGGCCGACATGGACACTACCTCCATATAATAACATTTTACCGCCATATCTACAACAACCGTCTTCGGGACTGGCGAAAGATGATTTGGACTTTTTGGTGTTAAAGGGGGCGTTTGATATTCCCGAGACGGCGTTTGCGAGGGAGATTTTCAAGGCTTATATTCGACATATTCATCCGCATATTCCGTTTTTGGATTTGGATCTTTTTGCGGATGCTATTTTTGAGGATGGGGATGAAAGGAGGAGAGAGGGGATTAGTCTGTTATTGTTTCAGGCTGTTATGTTTGCCGGGGCGATTTTTGTGGATTTGAAGTTTCTTTATGCGGCGGGTTATCTATCGCGACGACATGCTTTGGAGGCTTTCTTTCAACGTGTACGGGTGAGTCGATTCATTTTTGGCGGATATATAGATACAAGAAAATGATATACTGATGATAGCAGGTCCTCTACGACTTTGACGTTGAAGACAACGATCTCATCGTCATCCAAAGCCTCTTACTCATGACATACTGGTACGAGAATCCAGACAGATACAAAGACGGCCGACACTGGATCTCAGTGTGTATATCACTCTCCTGCAAAACGGGCCTTCACCTCGACCACACCTCGGAACCCAAACCAGACCATAAACTCCGCAACATGCTCTGGTGGAGCGTCTTCACGCGCGACCGACTAATAGCCCTGGGCCTCCAACAACCACCCGTCATCAAAGACGAAGTCCACCTCCCAATCCCGATGCTCACCCTATCAGACCTAGACATCACGACACAAAAATATGCCAAGCAATGCTACGGCTCTAACGAGCGCGATCTCGCCCAGATCTTCATTGAAAAAGTCAAGCTTTGCCGCTGCGTCAAAGACGACCTCTACTCCTGGGACTGCCAGCCAATTCACAACCACATCCCAGCGCTAGCAGCAAAACCCCGGCAAACAAGTCTCTATCTCTCGAATCTAGAACTAGACGACTGGTTCCAAGATCTCCCAGACAATATATCCTTCCACCCAAAACCCTTTCTACCAATCCATAACGCAGACTTAATCTTCCACTCGCACTGCGCATGGCTCAAAATGGTCTATCTAGAGATCTACTCCACAATCCACCGCCAACTAGACTTCCTCTCCGAAAAGTACAGTCCCAGTCAACCGCTCTCGCTAGACGGCCCCGAAGAATGCCCCGTCCTCCGCGCCGCAATCGAACTCACAACCATCCTGCAAGACCTCTACACAAAGCAACTAATCTACTACCTCCCCACAACGAGCGTAGCTATGATCCTGCGCGCGGGGATCATCCACATCCAAGAGATGTTCTCGGGAGATCCGCACGTTGGCGCGGCGAGTTTCCGGCGACTGTCGCAGTGTATTCTGGCGTTGCAGCAGTTGGGGAGGAGGTATGGGTCTGCGTTCTTTTTGGCGACGTTGTTGGGGGCGCCGAAAGGGGCGTCTGTTATTACGGCGTCGCCGGAGGAGATTTTGGCGCATGTTGATATTGAGTCTTTGGATAAGCTTACTGTTAGTTATGCGGAGAGTTCGGTGTCGACTATTTTGAAGATTAGGGAGCCGTATGATCGGGATATTATTTCCGGGCTTAAGTCGAGGAAGGTGGAGAGGGGTGGGCGAGATGGGTCTGTGAGGGTGGCTAGTTTGAAAAGTGATTCTTCTCCCGGTGATGCGTTTGAGGTTCGGGATTTGGACTTTGCGGATTATACTTTGGAATAGAATGAAATGACAAAAGTCCTTTTATGCGAGCTTTGGATACCATTCAATAGACCAGGCAGTACGAAAGTGTACAGTAACAGCTAGGATCAGCTGCATGTCGGCGCCACCTGCAAGAAGACAGGGGTCTACATTATATTCTGGAAACGGAAGAAGATCCGTATTATATGAGGAAAGTGGCACTGCCAGTAAATTGCTATCTGCATAGCCAAAAACCCAACCAAATAACTGCCAGACAAAATGCGAGAACACGGTGAGAAAGAAGGGGGAGATTAGTGTAAGAAGTGGACCGCGAGGGGAAGAAAAAGAGGACCCAAGACAGACACAGGGCCAAAGTCTCCTCAAGCCAGGATAAGTGCCACGGAAACAGGAGAGGAGAAGTAAAGTCCAAGTGAGTTGAGGCAGTCTTGGACCAAGATCATCAAGCAGACAAGGTATTCAGGAGTCGCGAACAGAAGCACAGAGTGATAACAAATATAAAAACCTAGAGCCGTGTGTAGATGGACGTAAACGAATTCGAGATGAATCAGAGAAGACAGAAAAAGAAACCAAAAGGGAAGACGGGGTATCGATGAAATATAAGAAAACTGAATAATCAAAAAGGCAGAGTAGATATCCAACCGAGATCAGTGCAAGAAACCCAAGTAAACCACAAGGAAAATCGAGTCGTGCGGGGAGGCAGGGGAATCAAAGACCTCCGATCCGCCAAGTCCAGTCACGACAAAGATTCACAAAGCACGATAGAGCGGGTAAAAAACAGCAGATGACGATTCAAATGACAACCAATGCAAAAACTATGGAAAGAGCCCTATAATCAAAAAGGCGACATCCTTCTCACTCCCAATACGCCGAGTAATCGGTTCCTCCAGACGCCAAGTATGCAAAACGAAAGCATTCCATAATGCAGGCCAAATGGAACCCAACCGGCCACAGCACAACACAAAACAGGCACAGCACAGCCAGAGCCAAACGTCTAGCTCATCTCCATGCCGTACTCATCCTCTTCCTTAAAGCTCATAGCCGCATGGCCCGCGCTATTCCAGTATTGCGGTTGCCCAGCGCCATTAGCGCTGCTCGCTCCGCTGTGGAATGAGGGGCTCAGACCGGGTGGTGTCAAGCCATCACTGCCACCTTGAACGGGATCACCGGCCAGATTGGTGTGCTTGGGAACGCGCAGACCGCTGCCCGGCCCACGGGTATAGCTGAATGAGGTGGGGTCGTTCTTCTCAAGAGCATCCAGGATCTCACTGCGCATGCGCTTCTCTTCTTCTGTGGGCTCGAATGGCCATGTCCCGCCTAGACTGCTGATCATCTCGGCAAGCTCAGCTTCTTGCTGATACTTGACGTGCAATGCCCACATCAAGTCACGCATCCAGCTAACTGCACCGTTGAGAATGTCACCCTTGTTCGGGCCTTTCTCTTTCTCTTCGATGGGCAAACCCATTGTGATGTTGCCGGGTGTGGCACGGCGGCCGTTGCCCCCAGCCAGGAGAGAGGTTGCTGCATTGCTGCCAGCGCCAGCCATGGAGAGAGCGGTGTTGTTGACAAGTTGCTTCCGGACTTTGTCATCTTCCAGTCGGTGTTGTGGTACTAGATGGGAGAGATCCTGGATACGCTCATTGATGTTGTCGCGACGGCGGCGCTCGACTAGGTTGTGCGAGGCACGACGTCGTCGGCGCTTGGCCTCTTGAGACTCGAGGTCCTGTGCGCTACCGGGGAGGTGTGTGTCAACCTTGGCGGGCAATGAAGCGTGTTTGCCCGACTTGAGGATCTCGGAAATGCCAAGTTGCTGTGAATGATGGTTGGGTGACCCAATCGGGGACTCGACGTAGGAGTGTGCACTGCCGGGGGTTCCGTCCCATTGATTGGAGAGTGTCTTCTGGTGGCGGTGCTGAAGTCCGGATGTTCGGATCGGTTGGCCGGGGAAGCTGCCGGAATCCGGAGTTCCCAGAGTCAAGGAACCCAGAGCGGGTGTCTTCGGGGTCATCGGGCTTCGCGCATCAGATGAAGTTCGATCCATGGCCTGCAAGCTCGGGCGGGACTTGGCGTTGAGATAATTCTGGTCGAATGAGCTCGCATTGTGCAAGTGGTGGTTCTGCTGGTTCATCCGGAACTGTTCGTAGTTGAAGCTGCTGTTGACGAAAGGGCTGGCCATCGGGGCGTTGTCCGGGGTATTCGAGTACATGTGCGACATCTGGCTTTGGTGACTCATGGCGATGCCTCCGGACTGATCCTGGAGATAGTTGATGTTGTTGTCACGCTGGACCCCGTTCTGTCCGCTAATCTCCAAATCGAGTAGTTCATCGGTGTCGATTCCGGAGTTGCCAAAGTTGAAGCTGGAGGACATGTTCTGCTGCGAGCCGTAGGAAAAAGGCATGAAACCGCTCTGCTGCATCGTCAAGTCGGACGGGTCGACCCCCTCATTGGGGTTCCCGAAGTGATTACCCATGTAACCGGAGTGAGACATCATGAAAGGGTTGCTATGATCGTCAGATTCGTGTTTGATGAAAAGACTTGCTTCTGCCATTGCGTAGACTGGACCTTTGGACCCAGGAGATAGTATAGGGGACGAACGTGGGGAAATTGGCGAGGAAGGGAGGAAGCGGTCGTCGAGCCGAATTATTTACTAACCCTCTCTCTGTTGTAGTGATGATCGGCCCAAGTCAGGCAGCCGTCAATGCGCGATTAAAACAAAGCAAGTATGTGGCGGAGCGGAGATAAGATGATATCTGCGAGAGTTGACAAGACATGTTAGCTTGACATGCGATGGGAGAGGAGACGAAGTGCGTGGCAGCGAAGAACTAAACCGGCAAATGAAGATCCATTGCCTCCGCTCCGTCTAGCCAGATGCGACGAGGCAACCGAGCTAGCTCGCCACGAGGGTTGGAGGGGTTGAAGTGGATGAAAAGAATGTGGTGGTATAATCTTACCTTTCAAGTCGAGAGTTTGTCGGTAGCGACAAGATATCCAAGGTTGATCTGTGCGCGTGTTGACAGGAGGGGGAAAAGTTCGAGGCAACGGGGTCGGTGGGATGAGTCGACAGCCTCGGGGACAATTGTCCAGGGATGAAAGGATGGTCAAGCACGCCAAGGGGGTCGCGCAAGAGATAAAAAGGAAGAAGAAGAGGGTGCAGTCTAGAGAGAACAAAGAGACACCAATTGTAAGCAATCAAAACCCCAGGAAAGATGGGGAGGGAGATGCGGAAACGTGGCGAGTCAGAAAGAAGGGGAGAGAGGGGGAAAAAAGGGCGGGTGCAGATAAGCGCGGGCCTCTCAAAGAAATCAGAGGGAGTTCAAGCGGCAGAGCTGCAAAAGACAGCAGAAGAGGGAGGTCAGGAGAGATGGGACAAGGTGTTCATATGGGATAGAAGACTGTTCTTCGTCTCTTCCGAACAAAGCCTCGGATCAATTCTGCGCCAGCGAGGAAGAGTCCTGGATACTTGATACTCGAGGAATAGAGTGGAGATGGAGAGGGCGGGGGAGGGAACAAGCGGTGGAGAGAGAAAAAGCCGGGCGGTGAGTTTTGGTGGCGAGAGTTGACCAGTTGGTACAGTAATGATGTGCCAGTATGTATATACTAGCAGTAGACACACTGGGCAGTTGCTCCAACTTGGTAAACTCTCTGCCAACCACCAAGCTGATCTGACCAAGGTGTGTTCCCTTTCTCCTCGGCTGGATTTGTCTGTTGGGTCGAGTGCGCCTTGACCCTGTCCATCCAGCCTCTCCACAGCTCTCCCAAGGCCCCGGGGATTCTGCGCCCCCCAAATAGTCTTCTTGCAGAGGCCCCACCGTTCGCTTTGCAATGCAAAATACGAAGCCGCACACGTAATCCCCTCTTTTCCGATGCTCTCTGAGACTCTCGGGATTTCTTTGAAATCCGTGATAGGTGACGATGGGGGAAATAGATGGGGAAATGGTGCTCGGGTAGAACGCAAAAGTATAACGGAAGTATATAAATATAGAGCTTACCAATCTGAGCAGCCTTTCGTCCCAAGGCTGAAATGAAGGTCCGAGCAGGGTCTACTGCTCGGAGAGGCCGATACTATGACGGTGTTAGAGTGGTTTCCCAGTCTTTGGGTGTAAAGAACCGAAGTATATCGAGGTAGAGGGTGGATGGACATGTATGCACAATAGAAAGGCAACACAAAGGCCTTCAGCCTCAAGAGTATAAAGACGAGAGGCATGATAATACTCCATCGATAAATCACCACGTCAACAACCGCAGAGCCCCAGCACGTGGCAGCCAGCTGGTGCAGGCAGCAAAGATCCATGCAGGAACGAAAAGACCGAAAAGAAAAGGGAAAAGACAGACAGAGAGAGTAGAAGGGTAAGACAGTCCAACAAAGATAGCCACGTACTTGCAATACTAGAATCGGGAAACCGATCTCAACGTATAAGCCAACCTGCAAGATCCTGATGCACAAGCCAAGCAACGCGAATCATGAGGCGCGATAAACTCAACACCGTGACGTGGAACGAGTCAAGTCAAGCAGACAACTCTTGCAGCGCTGCAATTAAAACAAGTTTCCGTTTCAGTTTCAGTTTCTCGAACAAAGTGGGAGCCAGTGATGCAGTGCCAACACAGCAAGCGGAGGAAGAGGGGGAAGAGAAGAATCTCAAATAAAAAGCACTTGCAGGATGAGAGGGAAGCAGACTTTAAGAACTCTCTCCCACCACCCACCCGTTCTGCACCTCTCATTTGATATATTACAGCATCGGTCATGCAGCCCGTCGATCGGTGGGAATCGATGAGGCTTGCCGGCCTTCGGCATCGGACATACTACGCTTGTTTGGGGGGAGAGATAGGGCGGGAATTTTTTTATTTTCTATTTTTTCTATTATTTTATTATTGAAAATTGATTATGGCTCTTAGGAGGGTGTTATTTTAGGTTTTCGTTTCCTGGTTTGCCATGACGTTGATCAGATGGTGGTGTGTAGTGTAGGTGTTTGGGTGTGTGTGTGCGTGAGTATGGTGTGGGTTGGATATTTCATTTTAGGGTAAGCGTGATTTATTCTGAATAATTCAGTATTTATTGACTGAGGATATATGGCTTGGTATTTTGGAGAATTTTTGTAGTCTATTTTAGGGTCTTCTGGTGGATGGGAGGGGAGGGTGAAGTATAAGTGTGTAGAGTCGAATGTAAACATGTAGATCGTGCTGGCTTGTGTTAGAGTTGGAGAGGTAGTATATAGGAAATGGGGTCCTGTTAACCCCCGAGCCTCTGTTCAGGGGTTATCAAGAAGGAAATGTATCAGATAGAATATGAATTACAAGAGAAAGAGAAAGTATCAAACCCACCCTTCCAGTGATAGCAAAAATGATAAAACAATAATCAAAACCAAGCCCGTATAATCCGAAAGATCATTTCAAACAAAACCCACCCAAGAAATGACCCAAGACTCCAAAATGACCAAGGCCGTGAAAGATCCAAACAGTCAGAAAGGGGGGAAGGGTGATACAGCCGGATTTAGTAAAAACGGCTACCTATCCCATGATACCGTGTATTTGTCACCTGTGCACGAGTCATGACTCAGAAAACAGAAACAGAAAAAGAATAAATAACCAGGGCGTAAACACTAGACCCTCAAGGCAGCACAAGCCAGAGGAATGTATCAGATGGTCCCTCCTGTGGCCCTCCAACAACCCACCCCCGCGCGCGCTGGACGACTGGTTTAGGGTTACAGACATACCAGAGAAACACGACACGAGAGAGACAAAAAACAGCGAAGAGATAGAATAGGTTACAGGTGTACATTCTCTTATTGATTTTACATATTTTACCACGTCTTTCAGACTGTTCGTTCTATTACGCATTACGCATTACCCATCTTACACACTCAGACTCAACAGTAGCCCATCATCCGGAACGGAAACGAAACCCTATTTCGATCCATTTAGCAGGATCGAGGTGCATTAGCGTCCCCGAGTGTTCCAGGGTTGATATCAGTGATGAGCCAGCGAGAGAGGGGGGATGTTGACTGTAGTAGTCGAACAGGAGATGTGAGATCCGCCAATAAGACCATGTGGGTTGGAAAAGGTGGATGAGGGGGGCGATCGCCCGCAGGCATGCAGAAGATGTACCCGTACCGAAGGGCACTAGGGAACGCTAGAGCCCGGGAGGAGTATGGAGTAGGACGAGTTGGTAGCAGTTTGGTAGCTAGTGGAGGTGGGGGAGGGGACCGGAGATGGTGCAGATCGACAAGTTTTTGTTAGAAGAGAGACTGCGGGATATGAAAGTATCCAGATGCCGAAATGATATGAGGTATCGTTATCTTGTCTTGTTTTTCTAGTACATGCTATAGCGGAGACCGTGGGTGAAACGAAACATATATCATGGAATACGCGGAATACGGAGCACGGGGCATATATCGACCGGAGAATATCAACGGCACGGGGATATCGGGGCCTTTTTCAATACTCGGGATAGAAAGGAAGACAAAGAGTGTACACACCACTCTCGTGGGGTCGCCAGTGCGCAAGTCCGCTCGGAGATATCGTGCAGAGTGCAGAGTGGTGGCGATCATGTCGGGGAGACGATCGACGAGAGCTTGGACCGTGCAGCCGTGCAGGTGCAGCCCGGCGCAGGAGCCCTTGAGCTTTGATGGGATTCAAGAAGGAGGGGTGGTGGATATTTCAACCCCGCCAACCCCGTTTGTCGATTTCAACCCGTTTCAGCCTTTTCGGGGTTGGACTCCAGCCCTCGACCCTCGTGAAGCCTGGCGCCGCAAGATGGTGGTCCGTGACCTGCAGGCTCCAGCGACGCGATAAAGACATCCTGTCGTCTCCCGAGATGGTGGGCCTAAATGGCTGATCCCTAATCAAGGCGATGACGCATTTGACGCCTCACTATTAGTCTTTACTCTGTAGTTGACAAATGCATACTCCTAGGTGTGCGTGTGTCGGGCACGACGGATCTCGAGAATGTGGCGGCGTGATAGAAAAGAATAACGAGGGGGAGGGGGGATGGAATGTGTCTGAGATGAGCGGCCAATAGATAGCGTGTCTCAACCACACTTTTTCATCTTTTTCGCCGTTGCGCTGTTGCATCTCGATACAAAAACCGGTTGGTTGGCTTTTATTTCCTTGCAAAAGACTGAGCCACAGGAAAGTATGAGAAACGCGAGAACCTTCCCATGCACCATGCGCATCATCAGAATGTGTCTAAGCCACCCTAGGGCCCATCTCGGGGAGGATGATGATATATTTTGGCAGAAATAGTAGGAGCCGTGGCATCCGAGAGTATAGACTAGCTAGTCTAGGTCTAATCGCTAGCCTAAATACTAAGATACTTGATGCACGTTGACTAGCCCATCATGGTCTATCTATATTGCGACCAACTCGTCAACATGCATGAAGGATTCGGCAAATCTCCGTATTTACAAGTAGAAAGGCCGTGGATCGCGCTCACGTCCCGTCCCGTCAAGGTTCGGAGGGTATCGTCGATTCTTCCATGGTAATGCAAGGAGGTGCTCGGTGCTCGACCGTGGATGAGAAAGAAGAAAGTGTATGGAAATCATATCCACTCGAAGGCACATGCATGTATAGCGCTATAGTAGGGAGTACTATAATCGGCATATCATCCTTCCCCCCATTCCAAACTCCACACCCACGCAATGCTAAACGCGGCCGTATCGGATGCACACAGCCCTATGATGACGTCGAGGGCATCCGGGTCTTGCCGCCTATATAGCGGATTAAGTATTACTTTTGATATATTTGATATTCTCAAGTAAGGATTAGCAATCATAATATTTTCAAAATGTAAGCAGGTCCATCCTCTTCTGCTGAGAGGATCCCACGCATGTGCCATCGGACATACTACGGAGGAATATCGCCGTTTCCCCATTCCCAGGAATTAGCCCCCCCTCCAACTTTAACAAAAGCAAAAACACCTAAAAGCAAGAAATGAAGAATGAGGCTAGCAAGAAATCGAGAGGGTAGGATGTTACCCAAGGGCGGCGCGGCGCGGCGGGCAAGCCCTATTCGGCTATCGGACAATTCGTCAGTGTCGTACAGTCGGGTAGCCACAGGACGGGCATTATGCAACATTGCATTCGACTAAAGTCTTAGTTTCCTGCGTTTAGATGAAAATCATAAATGAGCTAGGCAGGACCAGGGAGTGTTTCCGATACGAGGGTGTGGAGGGAGAGCGGAGAGAGCCGCGGGGAGGAGGGCACTACTGTAAGAGGGGAGAGGGGGAAGTAGAAAAAGAGGGGCGAGTTAATATAATATCTACTATATAATTGGAATATACTTTTATGGTGCAATATATTGATAAGATGGACTTCTGCAGACTAACGGAAGTTGATCGCATCAGTGGAGTGATTCTTCCACCGATCGCCACAGGGTGTGCACCGGCCAGAGGATCGACATGGTGGAGAGGGTGTGGAAGGGTTGGAGTCGATAGTGGCTCATATTTGCTTACTATAATGTATATTGTAGTACCCTGTACTATTATTGTATACACCCTTCGGTATGATTGGTATATTCTTGAGTGGAGGGCACGGGAAGTCCCAGCTGGGCATACCGCATGAGCACCTGGAGCAAGTTGACCATAGATAGTAGACGCTAGTTGAGAATGAGACCAATAGAAAGAAGGAAATACTGTTCTTATGATGAAAATTCTGGTAGCAGTACATCGCTAACCCGTAAATGAGCGGTCATGGGCAATGTACTCCCAGGTAAACCAAGGAAGTACATATGGAGGAAGTATACAAAGACCCAGAAATGCGGAGTGGTCTGTGCCCCACCCGCTCGGCTTAGACCCCCTGGACCAACTTCATCACCTCCGGACTACTTTCTCCAACTCCGCAGAACCACAGATACTACTAGCATCCACAGGTAATCGTGCAAAGCCCGGGCCCTGGCTCGGTCCGATTACAATCCCGTCATCTGACAGCTTCGTTCTTCCCCCGCAGGCCGATCCGGGTTGGTCGCATCGGTAGCTTCACGCCATCTCGTCATCCGCCCTCCATCCTCCATCCGACCCCCCCTCTACAACCTTCGACCATACCTAGCCCAGCGCTTCCTGGCCCAATCACGACAAACCTCTGTCTCAGCTGTGATCGTCGACCCCCATCCCCTCTTCAAGTCGAAGGTTCAACGTCCCTCCGCTTGGCTCCAGCGCCTCCATTCCCCGGTTTTAACGTCGTACACTCTGCGATCCGCCCCTACCGCCTTGGAAAGAAGATCCCTCTTCTAAACCCCGCTTCAGCAAGTATCGTTGCTCGTACTAAGAGCCTAGTCCTAACCGGGACCTTGCGTTGAAAGATCCGACTAGCTCAGGCGCACAGGTCTAGGGCATCGAAGAAGGCAACCGCCCAGGAATCTTACCACGAGCTGATCGGGAGGATCGCCTACAAGGAAGGTTTTCTTACGATCGCCTGCGCATCATCGCCTTTCCAGCTACGCGGCCTGATAGCTAATCAGCAATTCGTATCCGCGTCGGTGCCCCTATCACATCGCCTCTGGGAACTTGCCCCGGCCGTTCAGATCGCACTCATTCGACACGAGCACCCTCCCCCTCTGGGTACCTGCGAATCCCGCTAGGCAGAGTCAACCTTTCGTGCCAGAACACTGGGAATAGGTCGGAAGCCGGATCCGCGTCATCTGCTCTTCGCATACTCGGGTCTAGTCGCTAGCTTCCCAGTCTAGCCAATCTGATAGACTGCTGCGCATCATCTGGTGCAGATCATCCTGCACTCCATCGTGCATAGTCCCTGCAGACGTTTTTTTTCTCTTCTGCCAGTGTCTCACAACTCTTCGCCGCTTGCTCTTTCTGGTTGATTTCCTCAGCCACGGGCTTGTCTTGCCGATAGATTGAGGCCGTGCACACTTTACCCTGCTCGTCTTTGCCTGCTTTCTGCATTTTGTCTCCCTTTTCAATTGGGGACCCGTCGATCCAAGTCTTAGCCCCAAAGCCATTACTAGATACTGTTATTCTAGGGAAACTATGGCGAACAACTCGTTCCGTGATTCGGTCAACTCGCTGGGTTGGTCGCGCAGAGATCCGGACTTCCCCGTGCGCACTAATAACAGCTCTGCTGAGACGCCATTCCTCTCGCGTCTGCAGTCGTTGAACCCATTCGGCCAAGGCGGATATGTCCAGCTTCCCACGCATAATGAGGCTCCCGGTGCACCGCTACCGGCGCCCACTCGACGAGAGGAGGAAGAGGGTTTCTTTGCCTGTAAGTTAAAGCTGTGTCTTTATTTTGGTCATTCATTTTCCTGTTCCTTGTTTCGATATGAGTCTATGATGACTCGTGACCCTCTATCCTCCCGTTTAGCATGCCATACGTGCGTTGCAGGTGACGAGTGCGCAGTTCCTGCGCCGGGAAGGATTCCACCATCCACAATGCCATTCTTGTCTACAGGGTCGACATCCGACAGGAACAGCGCCCATCTTTCATCGTCCCTACAGAATACAAGCTAACCGATTCGAACACAGTGAGTCGATGGGATCGAATGCTCATCTTTGGCGCCTGCAACCTGGGCGCCGCCGTTTGCTTCATGATTTGCTTTTTCCTCTTCCCAGTCCTCACGCTCAAGCCTCGCAAATTCGCCGTCTTGTAAGTGTCTGTGTGCTTTGTACTTTCGAACCCTCCCACACTTCAGCCAAAACTCTGCCCTACCCTACCCTTAGTGCTATCAACTTCAGCCTCGCTTCAGCTTGCCTACATTTGCCCCTGCTCCAATCCCCCACCCTCTACCTCTTTGCCCCATACACCCCACCGTTCCCTTCTATCTCCTATTTGGGCTCTGTCTTGCATAGCCACTTCTTCCATCCTCCCTATCAAATCCTGATACCCTGATCCCGGTCACTTGCGCCGTCTCGCTCAGGCCATGTGCAAGTTCGTGTGGCCGCGCTTGACGCATCCCATTCGTCGGCGCCCCGAACTATGCCGCCTGCATGCGCCGCATGCCAAGCCCCAACACCCACGCAAGATGCGCGCGTCCTCCATCTAGCTTCGCTATACCGACTTCTTTACTAACATGTTTCTTTTTCCTTCTTCTTAGGTGGTCTGTCGGCTCAGTCCTGTTTTTGTTATCATGGGCGGTCCTCATGGGACCCTGGTCCTACGCTAGACATTTGGTCTCGGGACCACGACTCCCTTTTACGGCGGCGTATTTCGGATCTATTGCGCTAACCTTGTACTTTGCTATCGGGGTACGTACCATGTTTCTCTTTGTTTCACGCATGTCCTGCTTCTGCTCTGGCCTTGGTCCCGTCCGAGTCTCACTGTCGATCATCTTCACCCTCTGCCCGTCTTGTTCCACACCACCCTCCCCTTATCGCAGCTTGCCCTGTTATCGTCCTAGTACGATGGTCGCACCTTAAAAAACGATAGGAAGGGGAAAATGGGAATCTTGCATCCTGCCAGTCTATCTCACAGTGCGACGTGACTACTTCCTGTCATGCCTAGCTTGAGAGACACCCCTTTCCATCTGACCAGACCAATACCTCGAAGATAAGATCGAGACAAACCGAGACTGTGTCCATCTAGGGCCGGCAGTTGCGGCGATATCACCTCGCCGGTCCCCCGTACGACGCTATCAGGATCCTGCGTTACAGGCAGACAGCAATGAAGCACCCCAGGACGGGACTGTCCACACTCTAAGACAGGTCTCACTGTACCTGCGCATCTGATACTCTGATTATTATCTGTGTATCTATGCTTGCTCGCCTTTGTTTGCCGTGGATCTCGAGCTTGATCCTTGATAGTCTAGACCATTCGCTTCTTCATCTACCTCGTCGTCGCGTTCTGATTTCCTACCGCTACCGTTATCACACTTGACAGAAAATCGCTAACAAATCCCCACAGCTCCAAAGCCTCTTCCTCACCCTCATCTCGTCCATCTTCCAACTCGCCGCCCTCGTCTGGTATCTCGTCAGTTATTTCCCCATGGGCAGCACGGGTCTGCAATTTATGGGTCGGTTCGGCGTGTCCCGCGTTTCCGCTTGGGTTAGTGGGTAAATAGAATACGTGCCAGCGAAGGAGATAGCGACGTTGGGAGCGGTGTAAAGTGGTTGCGCTACTTATGTCGCTGTCAGCGTTGATGCATTCTCGGCTTTTTCCCTTTTTCTTGGTTGGATTCTTGTACATGTAGGTTTTGACGGTAGATAGAATCAAATAATTTCACCGCTCTGTTCCATTTTCTTGATTTAGTAGATTTCAAGTTGTGGTTTTACTTTAGTCTTGGACAATACAATGAAATATTGTTCTCGATGGAACTTGTAGGTATCAGACTGTATTTGTTGATCCATGTAGATGCTATCCAAGGCTATCGAATACTTCGCAGCTATGAGCATACAGCTAAAATGCTAATTGGAAAGCCAACCCCGAACTTAAAAATGAAGCCATCCAACTCCCATCATCTCAAAATCAATACTTCCCCCGCATCATAACAACACCAACCATTCCATCAATAAGCTTAACGCCAGGAACCTCTGCCTCGAAAATGCCCGTCTCCCCACCAGACCCAACCTCATGCCACCGCTGCAGCAAATCATTGCTCTCCTTGGGCTTGACATCCGGCGCAGCCGTGCCAACGGTGATATGCGAGATCGCATTCGCGCACGGGAAGGTCGATTCTACGGCACCTTCAGTCTCGCCTTCGGCGGGCAAAATGCGCACGACAAAGGCCATGATCCTGTTATCCCAGACGAGTCGCTCGAGGCGAACGCGCGCAGGGCTGAGTTTGGGTGGAGTGGCGACGGGGTCAGCCACGGGATTGGCGGTTAGTACGTCGACGTACTGCTTCACGTAGTGGTCCCAAATCTCGGTGCGGTCTTTGGATGCAGCGCGGTGAATGAGGGTGACGTGGAAGGCGGGCTGGATGCGGCGGGAGTTGTGGAGATGGTGGTACATGCGGGCTGTTTCGGGAGATGTGTTGGTGAAGAGGGATTTGAGGGTGGATGTGATTTCGGATGTTGGCACGGAGATGCTGAAGTATTCGATCTTGCGGGCAAGGACGGCGGGAGTTGTCACTGCGGTTGATTTCTGCGTGACTACAGGGACGGAGGCGTTCTTCTGTTTCTTCTGGCTCGGTTTGCTGTAGCCTTTGCTGAGATCGTCCTTGACCTCGTAGTTTTCGATAGCAGCATCGATGGCGGCGTCTAGTTCTTCGGGAGAAGGCATGGTGGGGATGAGGCGAGGGTATGCGGCATGCAGAGCAGTCACGACGGTTTCAAGGTTCTCGCGAGAAGAGGCACACACGTCGAGGTCGATGACGTGCTGGAAGTGCATATCGGGGTCCCGGTCAACATCGACGCCCTCAAAGCGAGCCAGGAATCCGTCCATGATGCCGACAACCTCTCCCCGATTCTTGCTACCAGCACGAATAGTCTGGTGGTTGTCACCGCGGTCAAGGACTCGCTTCCGGGTAACTTCCTTGATTGCAGGGAGGAGCTCGGCTTTGGGCTCGTGGACGTAGTGCAAGGCAACGAACTGAGTATCGGGAACAACGGGGAAGATATCCTCCATGAGCTGCTTTCGCTCCCGACGCTGGTGGCTGTTGCGGTCTGCGATCACGACGGGATTCGTAGCCATGGCCTGGGTGATCTCAAAGGCAAACTGCTTCGGCTTGCCTTTCTGCTTGGGGATGTTGTCGTTCTGAATATGGGCCCATTTGAAGAGATGCACCAGAGCAAGAGCAATGGTAGTCTTTCCACATCCCAAAGAAGCGATGGGAGCGATGACAATGTTGTTGGTGGCTTCTTTAGATTTGTCGCCCGCTTCCTCCATGGCAATAATCTCAGAGCCCTTCAAGCCTCGCTCCTGCAAGAACTTCTCCCGTAGAGAGATGATTCCATGGTTGTGATTGTACTCCTGTGTGAGCTTAGGGTTCTTGATGAACTCCCTTCGTGCAAACTGGAGATATTCCTCGGTGATCTTATGATGCTTCTTGATCTTCGGCAGCTTCCCGGAGATAACTGCTTTGGTACATTCACGCCACTGCCGGTACATCAAGTATGGTTCCTCGAACTTGTACTTGAAAAACCAGTCCCTGTAGCCGCTATCACGGTCACTAATCTGGCAGCGAATCACGAATCCTTCAGTCTCGCGGCCATCCCATGTGCCAGTTTCCGCACAGCCCTCGAGGAACTTCTTCACAGACTCGATGTCGTCGTACACCACAAACTTGGCCTTCTTGAAACCCCATGTATCTGCAAACTCGTGGACCTTGTCTCCAGACATGGTGGCAAACTCGGGCTGGTTGTAGTTCAGGCCGTGGATGTAGATGCCGGCAGCTGCTTCGTCGTAGGCCAAGACATGCTCCTCGAAGTTGTCATCGCAAAGCTCTCCAACCGCTGTGACATTCATCTGGCGCAATGTCCGGGCAAGCTCCTTGGAGGACTTTCCAACTGTTGCGACGTGACGTTCCACCCACCGCTCACCGGCCTGCGCGTGGCTCAAATTGGTGTCGGCGCGGACGCCCGTGGAGTGCTTGCTGCAGACTAACAATTTGTCGTCCTCAAGAGCAGAGATGAAGATAATACAGCCATTCTCCTTGACACTCAGTTCATATGGACCCCGGGTCTTGTTCTCGATATTCCGCCACTGGGTATCGTTGGTCTCGTCGATATTGAAGAACTTGTCGTAGCCGCGCACCGCGATCTCGGGGATGTTGTCTTTCCGTCGCGTGGTGAAAAGGCCACGGGCATATGTAGGTAGATCATTGCGCTTGTAATCCCAGTCCATAAACTTCCATGAGTCCACCGTGACACCCTTAGCGCCCGCGACATCGAAGGTGTGCTTTTTGCATGTGTAGCTCCGCTTCTTCTCGCCCTTGTTCTGCTTGCGGGCATCCTCCAGGTCGCGCACAAGCTGTGCAATCTCAGAGGGATTCTGCGTCGCCATAACTGCAGCTTTATCGGAGTTTTTGTTCGTGTGAGGAGGAATCGTAATGGTTGGTGGGATGGAGGGGCAAAGGTGAGGTGGGGTGTTGGTGGAGGGAAAGAATCGGCAGGAACCAAGAGCGCTGGTTTATTTGCTGTCTCACTAGCTGGCAAGCATGAGTTTTTAAAGACCAGCAGTCCGTTGCACTGGCGTCAAAGCTGTGGAACAAGCAACTTCCAAGCTCGTAAAGAAACGAGTCATTCGAAGAGTCACAACCTGCGGGGAGCCAAAACGGAAAGGCGGCCTCCAGCCTTATCGCGGTTTTTTTCCCCGCCGAATTTCTTCGAGCTCCGCCTCACAACTTTTTCTTAAAAGACAAGCCCACTCGTTACTTCCAGACTCTCAGCCCCTTGTCGCATCTCTCTTACTACAATTTCCCAGTGACTCATTGTGGGGCGCAACTATGGCTCAGCCCAATCCTTACCTCTTGGCCTGCGACAACCCGTCAGCACTGCTCGAACTCTTGCGCTCCAATCCCGCGATCGCTTCTTCCCAGGACGAACATGGCTACTCCCTCCTCCACGCTGCCTCATCCTACGGCCACGTCGATCTCCTGCGTGCGCTAGTGAAGGAATTCAATGTCAATGTCAACCTCCTCGATGAAGACGGCGAGACCTGCCTGTTCGTGGCCGAGACTACTAAGGTGGCCCGATGCCTGGTTGAGGAACTCGGCGCGGATTATAACAAGACCAACGATGATGGCTACAAGGCCCACGAGAAGATGGAGGCCGACGATGAATTCCCCCAGGTTGTCGCCTACCTTCGCGGAGTTGCCGGTGCTCCTGCTGCATCCTCTGCAGAGGGTTCAGAGGGACCATTGAATGCCCCGCCACCTGTTCCGAGCAACATGCAGGTGAATATTGGCACCATGTCGGAACAAGAAGCCACTGCTGGTGAAATGGAGGTGGATCCCGAGTTCAAACGCCGGATTGATGAGTTGGCAGCTCGTGAGGATTTCAACAGCGCTGCCACCCAGGAGGAATTGCGGGCTTTGGTGATGGATGCCCTCTCCGGTTCTAGTGTTGAGACTGCGGATCGTGAGACCCGGAGGAGGACGGAGTAAATGGAGTGCATCCTGGTTGGCCTTTAATCCTATACCCGCATACCATTTACTGCCATGACTGGAGCGAGGTAGACCTCCACCCCCTGGGAGACTATGCTATGATATCAACAAGTCTTCCGCAGCTCCTTTTATCAAGCCCTCGCGCTCAAGAGATGATATCTAGAGTGCAGCTTCTTGTGCCCTAGCGTGTCTGGGAGCCTGCGAGCGACCATCTGGCAGGTGTAGAACCTGCTGGTAGTCGCTAGTATCCTGTTTCCGTCGGAGCTGGACTTCAGCATTGGCATGAATATAATGAGACGAATGACATACAAAATACAAGATTGCTAGATATCTCCATTTCTCTATCACCATATCCTTGTATCAGTTCCTCCTTATCGGAATCGGCTTATCGGGACACTAAGCGCCAAGCTTAAGTGAAGCTGCCCGCATCTCCAACTTCCCTCCCCCACACTCCCAGACACTTCCTACCATCATGTCGCAACCAGCCTCCCCATACCCTACACAGTCCTCCTTCTACTCAACACCTCCAATCATGAACTCCTCCATTAATCCCGACACACCTCCTCCTCCACCTCCTAAACCTAGCAGCCATGAAGCCAGCCGACGAGGTACCCCTCAGAACATCACCTCCATGCCGGCGCCGCAGCAACCACAGCCAGGCTACCGACCCGATCCCCATTCAACAATGAACCAGCAAGCACAATATCAAGCCGATATCTCACCACAATCTCTACCCGCCCCTCCTTCAGTCGAAGAAAGTTGGCTACCAGACATCGTAAAGGACAAATCGTAAGATCCACCCATCCTCCATCCATCTCCATGACAATCCCCCTAACGCCTCTCTCTAGAACAACCGACCTCCAATCAATCCTCCAAAACCCATCCCTCATCTCTGCCCTCTCAGCCCAACACCCCTCCCACACAACCCGCCAACAAAACCTCGAATCCTTCCTCCAAGTAAACAAAGACCTATCAACCCGCCTCCTCGAGCTACAAACGCACGTCTCTGATCTACGCAGCCAAACGGAAACAATGCTCCTAACACACCAATCTCTCGAAGTCTCCTGGCGCAAGAAGCAGACGGAGATGGACGCTGCGCTGGCCCCGTGGTCACCCAAGGCCTTGTATCAACGGCTCAGTGCGGCGATTGCGGAGCAGGAGGCGGTTTGTCGGGCGGTGGAGGAGAGTTTCTTGGATGAGGATCATCATGGTCGGGCGACGGAGAAGGAGATTACGGATTGGGTGAGGAGGGTTAGGGGGAGGCGTCTAAGTTGGCGGCGAGGAAGGAGGCTAAGGCGCGTTGGGATGAAGGGAGGGTTGGTGGGTGGCGGTGATTGGTGATGATATTTATCTTGGAGATGTTGTGATATACCCATATTTTCTTGTTTTTATTCCATTCCAATGCTGTATATACTTTCCGAGGCTGTGGGTCGGAGAACAGTGGATTACCCGGTTGGGTTGTGTGTTCTTGGATAATGACTGGAATTAGGTACACTCTTCCAAACTATTAAAACCTAGGTATTCTCTATTGGTAGTACCGAATCTGATCGTGCCTTTCAAATCCTCTTGAAATACTCTTGAATTCGATATTCGGCACACATAATCATTCTTTTTCATAACATAACTACACGCTCCTCCAGCTGATAGTCATTGTGCCTGTCATATATCACATCTCCTCAACGTCTTCCCAAGGTGCCAACCATCACTTTCCACTACTGTCCCTCAGCTTCACGTTTCTTCGCCTTCTGGCTCTTACCCAGAATCACCGTGCTCAAGTCACCAACGGGGATCGTGATAGGGAAATCCACAGCCTCAAAGATCTGAGCAATGAAGATCCACCAAATTGGCAGACAGAGAGCAAAATTGAAACCGCCCGCGGCCTGATACAATGATTAGTGGTCACCCATAAACAGGCGCGTCTTTGGATATGCTTACCTTCTGTAGCGTAGCTGCATGGGCGAGATTACCCACGGACGACTGGAAGTATGTCGCCGCGGTCAAGGCAAAGGTGATGACTAGCAAGAACAGGGCGAGGAAGAGGCAGACGTTTGTGCGGATGGAACAAATCAGGTAGACGAAGGTTAGGACGGAGAGGACGGCATAGTAGAGACCTGGATAGTTTGTAAGATACAGATCATGATGGAAAGGGAAGTATGATGTGGACGAACCGGTGGTTGCAGCAAATTCTGCGGTCTGCATGCCCTCGAAGGAGTTACCGGTGGTAGAGTAGTTGGTTCCAACGCCGTACCAAGGGATTTGGGTTGTACCCTGGACAATCCAGAATGTTCCTGTGTAACTTTCATTAATACTTTTTATGCCTTTTAAGGTTAAGGGGGGGGGGATAATCTTCATACCGTATGTGAAGAATAGGGCGCTTGAGAAGGTGTTTCCAAGAAGCCACTCGCCCACAGCACCGAAGATCTGTACCATACCACCGAAGAAAATATAGACGGGTCTGCCAAGGAGAACATAGATTGTTAGAAGATATTCATATATACCACTCGAGGTTAAAACTCACAAGATAGCTCCACCACTTCCGCCCGAGTTCCCCCAACCCATAGTCAACATCGCCGCTGGCGTTGCAGCGAGCAAGAAGCCCAGTAGCGAAATAGGAGTCGGATTACCAAAAGTGCGACGCAAATTACCCGCCGCGGGGGTCTTGGGGCTCAGATAGAGCTTTTCAAAGGCATCGCGAGGAATTGGAAGCAATACACTCTCGGCCGTCTGGTAGCGACGCAGCATCTCGACAGTGGCGGCATCCTGCTTCTCGCTGATGTTCTCGTCTGACATATTGGACAAAAATATCAATATTCAATGTAAATAATATAAGAGAAGTGAATAAATAAAGACGAACGGCAATGGCCGGTATTAAAACAAGAGAGAAGAAGAGAAGACTGGACGTTCCCGGGTCTTCTTCATCATCATCATCATCATCGGGGAAACCCCGATCTTATATTCCAAGTTCCACGTAACCTAGAAGGAGGGTACAACCCACGAAAGAAGGACACCATCTCCCCTCAACAATTCCAAATTTAATTCCCCCCATCTTTCACCCCCACAAAATCCTAACCCCAGACTGCAAAAAACCCAAATCGAGACCCCTAACTAGTCCAACCCCGGAATACCTCCAAACTAGGCCCCAACGCCGAGAAGTCAAAACGAGATCCAGATCCAATCCCAAGTGCCTTGCATGGATGACACCAGAGTCACCTGCAGAGCACAAACGGAGCCATTGAGTACTATCATTCGCTAGTGGCAAACATCGCACCATCGCAACCAGCCCGCGTCCAGAGGCAAGCGGGTCCCGGACACGTTTTTTTGCGGAGATAAACTGCGGGGAGGGAAACTAGTGAGTTTTTTTCGCCCCCTATGTTTCGATTTCGAAGTTCTGAACAAGCCAACAGGGTCCTTCCCCGCGAGGTTACCCCGGAAGTACCGAGGAAAAGCTGACTTTCTCGGACGATCGATTCGGCTGCATGCTAACTGCCTCGGTGTCTTGGGGGGTTTATGGGTGGGATGTATAAAAGGTTACACGCGCCCAGACTTTTACATGGCTTTTGTGGCGCTGGGCGAAAGTCTATCGAAAAGCTTTGCCTTGCTTACTTTGTCTCAGGCTTGCAGTTGGGTGATTGAATTCCGTCGGAGTATAATTATAGAGTGGTACGTATAGCATTGAGTTGGGCGTTGATGGAGAACTGCGGATTGCTGTTCCGCACTCGTTGGCGTTTCGCTCTGCATCTTGGCGATACAATTGAGATGGGGACCGAGGTCTTGCTAACCGGCCGGAGGGAGGAATCGATGGTGGCGTTTCCCTAGGTTCAGCCTTGGAAGACACTGCAAACCATATTCTCAGTCGTTTGAATAGGATATCGTGGAAGATTATTGCAAACTCATTCAACCCTCTTCTAGATGGAAAGAAGCTGAGTCGCATCAGGTATTCAAGCTACCAACATCATCGGAAGCTAGAATGCCCGGTATAACAAGCCTGTTGTTAAGTGTTATGATCAAGCGCTCCAATATCCCCGAGAGTCGGCGGAGCAACTCTACATCCGGGCATGTACATAAAGCATGCATATGAACACAAAACCTTAGGACTTGGGGTCACCATGCATACAACAGAACTTTATGTTCGGGTTTAAACACCTCCTAAACTCCGTCGGACTTGGTCCTTCCCGGAGAAACCCCCGCAAATCCATAAAACCATAAAGCCAAGCAACGGACCAACCGCGGCACTTGGCCAGCGATAGCCGGCTGGCGCAACATCATCCCGACAACTCGACGATAAGCATCCCCCCGCCAAGACCCCAGTAGCCGAGCCGTGTCGCATTCGTACATAACTGTGCAGTGGTCTGCTCTATTAGCGAGGCTGGCGATAAGCTACATTATCTATCTGTTGAATGCCAAGTAGAATCAGTCGTGGCTGGGGCTAACCCTATGAGGAAGGAGGCTGCGGTTCATCCCGCAGCAAAGACATATACCCCGGAATTGATTCCCCCAGTTCTGCGATGAAATGCGAGATGCTTGGTCATCTTCAGGGCTACCCCTCGTTCATTGATAAGATAGACCCTTCCCACTTTTGATAACGATTTCGTCGGCCGCTTGGACGAATCCAAGCTCTTATCGAGTCGTTTGCTAACTTAGCTCGGCCGTGAATGTCGATGTTTGATTGCGATAGCTGCTTTGTTCCTTCGCTGGATCCCATTTACGTAACTATCGGGCATACGTAATTATCAGGCGATGGATAACTATACGAGGTTACCTCGTCTTGGCAAGGATGTTGAACGTGGTGATTCTACGCCCTTTGGCCTGATCTAGTGTTATCGTCGTGATAGTCGTCGTGATAAGGGCACGATAGAGCCGGAATGAGACCGGAATACGATGGAGAAAGGCGATAGCAAGATGGACAGAGACGATAGCAATGGAGTTTGATACTACCTTGATATCATGTTGTTGTGATATAAAATGCTTCAATGCGAAGCTATGGAATAAAGCATTCACTACCAAGCTATCATTCTAAACAATTTGGCTTTGGCCCTTGCAGAATCTCACAATGCGAGGCTCTATTGGCCACGCCCTAGTCGGGCTAAGCATCTCGGGCCTTGGCCTGACTGCTGCCGTGCAACGCGATATCGAGATCGTCCGGTTTCATGATCTTGGCGCTGTAACTGCCGACTCCCTGCATAATATCCATGTCGAATTTGTGGACGAGTCTTTCGAGGGACACTTGAAGATTGTATATGGAGAGTGTGGCATGGAAAGTCCCCTACATGGCCACCATGATATTGGCAGCACGTTCATCAAGCGGGAGGCAAAGCCAGATCGGTTTGTCTGGATTACTCCGGCAGATGCACCTCATTCGCACTGTCTTCATGCCTTCTCTGGATCGACTCTGCTCGGTCGTTCTTCACCTATCAGCGTGGCTGCGCCCATCAACAAGCGCGAGAGCATCGCTGATGTGGCCGATGCCATGGGTCCCTGGTTCGACGGTGTCGCTTACATGAAGTCAAAGAAGAATACCAAGGCCTTTATTTCCAAGGCAAAGAATACCTCGGTGGCCATTCTTGGTGGAGGCATGTCCGGCCTCATGACGAGCCATCTGCTCGAGTCCGTTGGCATCCACAACTGGCACATCTTTGAGTCATCAGAGCGAGTTGGTGGACGTATTCGCACCAAGTATCTGAATAACACCCGCCCAGATCAATACCAATATCAGGAAATGGGACCCATGCGTTTCCCCGTCAGCATCACCTACGCAGACACCAACGAGACTCTTGAGATTATGGATCACCGTATGGTCTTCCAGTTGGCCGGTGTGCTCAACGAGATGAATGCCGATAGACCCGATCTCCAAGTCAACTTCATCCCCTGGGTACAATCTAGCCCTAACGTCCCTGCTTCAACTGGCGGCAACCGCCTACCAAATGGCCTTATTCCCACCGCAGCAGAAGTCGCAGCCAACTCCTCGCTTGTTTATACTGCGGCATCATCCAACGCAACAGCTGTCGCTGATGCCGAGGCCGCTTACTCGAACTATACCACACTGGACGATCGAGCCACCATCCGAGCAATTGCAACTAATATGTACCAAGCTCACAAGAAGGCCGTGGAAGATGGCATGTTCCACTGGTCTGAAGCCGGGTATCTGCGCTATGCTCTGGGCTACAATGCCAACATCACTGATTACGTTGCTGGTACCACCGACTCTCCCATCTGGGGCGACTTTTACGACGACGTCTACTTTGCTGCAACCAAGTGGCGCACGATCGACAAGGGTCTTGAATCTCTTCCTCGTGCTTTCTACCCTCATGTCGCGGACAAGGTTACTTTCAACCGCACTATCCAGGGCCTTATCTACAATGAAACGACTGAGAAGATTTCCGTCGCATGGAGAGATGACCCGCTTGCCATGACACCCGAAACCGCGGAGTTCGATTACGCCGTCGTCGCTGCACCGTTCAGTAAGGTCCGACTTTGGGATCTTCCCAGATATTCTTCTTTGTTGAGTCGCGCTATTTCATCCCTCAACTATGATCCTGCGTGTAAGATGGCACTGCTGTACAAGACCCGATTCTGGGAGCACATGGAGAACCCCATCTTCGGTGGCTGTGGCTCTGTCGATGTCTCCGGCGTGGGCAGCGTTTGCTATCCATCCTACAACATGAACGGCACCGGACCAGGTGTCATCCTCGCTTCATACATCTCCGGCACGGCGGCACGCTCCACAGCAGCTCTAAACCCCGAGGAGCACGTTGCACTTATCCAGCGCACCATGGTCGAAGTGCACGGTGATATTGCCGCAGAGCAGTTCACTGGTATCTACGATCGGCAGTGCTGGGAGTTTGACCGTCACCAAGCTGGTGCATGGGCGGATCCGCTAGTTGGCCAGCAGGAGTTGTATCTGCCGGCGTACTATCAGACCGAGTTTAAGACCATCTTCATCGGTGAGCATACCAGTTATACGCATGCTTGGATCTTTTCGGCTCTTGACTCTGCTGTGCGGGGAACTACTCAGTTGTTGCTGGATCTTGGCCTTGTTGATGAGGCTAAGTCTGTGGTGGAGACTTGGATGGGACGGTGGATCAAGTTGTAATAGGCCTTTGCCATGAATTTTTATAGGTTCTTGTTACTCGCAAACTAGACCTAGTTATGACAGCTCATGTTATACTTTCTATAATATTTTACGACTCAATTTCAATGGAAGTTTATTGAACATGATTCAAAAGATAGAGAGAGACGAATTAACACAGAAGCTATCAAGGAAAACGATGCATAAGACCGTTGCAAAGACCCTTGGAAAAATCGGGAGTCAAGCCCTAGCTAGCTAGACATTCTTTCCAGTCGCTGGATGTAGACTTGAAATAAGGTAAGGTTAAGATTAGCCCGGCAGCGCCCATAAGGGCCGATTCGGCTGCATGTGTGCGTTCCGGATCACACCTTCAATAGCTCGCTATACGATACCAATCCTGATAGCGTTAAACCTAGCGGCGGATTAAGATTGTGCGTCGACCACCGGAAGTTGAATGCATTGTCGAGAAGGGATCATTATCTGATTCCCCTTATGAACGAATTGCCCCGGCGACTGAGCAAGGCCAGATTCTTCACCAAGCTAATATTCAGCTGATTCCGTAGAATCTGCATGCATTCTGGCTCTGAGGAACCGAAGACCTTTTGAACGCGATATAGGTCCGTCAGATACAAAATTATGCCTTTTGGACAGACGAACGGACCAGCAACCTTTCAGCAAGATGTTAACCAAGTGCTTGGTGACTGTTTCGACGAGTTCTGTACAATATCTATCGAGGATATATTAATCTACACAGCTGGTTCTCTTCGGCAGCATGAGGGGCATGTGAAAATGGTTTAGAAAACGCTGGTTTGCAGAGTGCAAGTGCGAGGTCCATACGGAGCTATTATTGGTTAGGCGCCCCAGCCCTGACCTGGCTTCGCAACCCAGGAAAGCTGTACGATGATTCAGTGGAGACGTTACAGAGCCTAACTAACAGGCTCAGAGACTAAGACAGAGATATAGTTATTGTGAAAGTTGAGCACGATACCCCTGCGGGTCTACGACACGCTCGCGTTCATGGTTTAAATTAGAGCAGATTCGTCTGACTTCCGGTTAAGTATATGAACCAGGTTTTGGGAATTGCGGAGGGAGATTTAACTGGTAATTCCTATTTTTCTGTAATGCTTTCAATCTCGAGCTAAAGATCATGACAGGATAACTCTTACCAGAACTGGATTGGCTTTTGAATTGCTTCATCCGGTCTACTAAACAAATATCGGGTAAATCGATCTCCTTACCGTGGTTTAGCCCCCAAATGCACTTAAGGGATTTTATGAGCTCAGTTAGACGCCCCAAAATACCTAATAGCCTCATGGTAAGCCCGGGTCCTCGGCCCAAAAAGGGTTTGCTGCAGCCAGGTCATTACTCTCGCGGGGCGTGATACGTGGCCGTGTGATTAACCATACCCCTTATTGCGGCTGAATTACTATGCTATAACAAGGCTGCCCTCCCCCTTTTTATACCCTCTATTTCTCTCCGGGTAAACTTCAACAGGAGCTATACTGAATGATGGCAAATCCAAATGCTGTGAAATGCAGCGTTGGTAGCTGCACCTATCTACGCGTTCACTATGACACGAAGATCTCGAAATGGTGTCAATACCGTAAGTCCTCACGCGCTGGAGGATTACCCTATCATCAGAGCTTTGTCTCTGACAGTGAGATATGCTAACTGTGTGCTTGTTGTGTAATACACTAGATACTTGTCCTCATTGCACAAACCGATATAAAAAGAGTACGTCCAATGGGTGTTCGACATGCAAGGGAACGGATGACTGTGTCATTATGTGAAGCTTGCAATACCTTGTATCAAGCTGTCATGAAGAGCCGCACCTGAGGGGATGACGTGGTTTGTCTGCCAACCTTAACGTGGCTGTGCTTTGACAGTGAATCGTTGCGGGTATTCTAGCATACCCGGTGGAGGCGGGAGACAACGAGATAACACAAATTAAATGGCTGTGCATAGCCGTTAGTCACGAAACATAAGGTAGCTTCGCCTGTTTGAGGAGCATAGGAAAGAAGTAAGATTGTTCGGGGGCGTTCGCTGTGCAAAGTGGGATGAGGTCCAGGTTTAGCGTCCACCAAAGAAAGTTAAATATCCTTAATTTGCGGAGCAGCCGTGTCTGCCAAGAGTGCGAAATAGGTAGATAGTATGATTTTTTATTTTTAATATACATTTTCTCGTAACTCCTTAACAAGGCCTAGAGTAGACTAGCACTCGCTAACATACTGCTTGCCTGTAAATATATCTACTTACAGGGTAGAAGGCCTATTGATCAGGTATGGTTGAAAAGCACCAAGTCTAATTCGTGACAAGGCTGTTTCTTAGGGAGCCCAAAACCCACGCCCCCCGAGCCCCAATTTATGTACAGCCTTTCGCGCATTTTATGAAAAAATCATGAGGGTAAATACGAGGACGGCTGCATGAGCTGAAAGGTTGTGTTGTGCATACGAGTGGGGTTACCCAAGTCCCTAGCCTGGGGCCTCAATCTGTGAACAGCCTCAAGATGGAATATCTTAACATTGTCTGAGATCAACAGCGCTTTCCTTCCTTCTCTTTTACTATCACACTCGGTAAACGTCTTGATTTGCAACCTTCATGCCCTCGCTCGCGCCCAGCTGTCGGATTATTAACGTGTGCGCATCTGGAATAGAGATAATCTCCCAAGTCCCTCCATAGAAAGCATGTGTGACGTAGGCCCCGATTTCCAGTGCTGTGATTGGGTTCTGAAGTAATATTATAGCAGTTAGCTATCTAACAGCATAGAAGATGTTTGGTCAAGGTACCCTGTAGTTCTGCATTGCTAAGTGAAGACGAGAATAGAAGGGCGAAATATTAGGAGGGGTTTAGGATTAAGCAAAGGGGAATCCATGGTCCGTTTGATGGACGCCCTTAAATACTTATTGGCACGCAGTCGGTCTGGATGTTAAGTGGCTCAGGATAAATTTGAGTACACGTGGTAGATATTCACAACGAGCGCTCGCTGACTGCAGCGTACCAAAGAGGCCGCCCAATACGATGTTCATACTAGCCAAAGATTAAACCTATTTACCAACACCCGTGTCAATGAATTTCACCTCTAGCCCTTCCTTTACACTAGGCCTGTTTATCGTCATTTACATGGCCTCTCACTAAGCTATGCGTGAGACGATGTGGGCTATATCCTTTTCTAACCGTCTGTATAGTTTTCACGTGTGGATTGGGAGGGATGATCCAGGAATGTGTAGGTGCCTGGTGGGCGTTTCATCACGCAGGGCATTTCGTGTCACCTGGATGGGGGTTAGAGATACATGACTCGAGCGAAACTTTACTAGGTACGGTCCTACGAAGTGATAGTAATACTTACAGGTGCATGGTCGATACCCCGCACCTGTTAGTGGATTCAGCCTCTCTCAATGGTCACGCGTACGGATCGTGGTAGGGCAGGGGAAATCTAGGTCGGATGTGGCTCCGTGATTTTCTTTCGAAGATTTTCAACAGTGCTGTACCATGATCTACGGATAGTATACTCTGATACATATTTCCTGCAGAATAACTATATACTCTCGTCGTAGCTTCCCGCTGCCCCGGAGTACTCCTACTGCAGTTACAGCCAGGTTATATTAATATTCGGACCCCCGTCCTATAACTAAGGATTTACGGAGTACCTGTTAACACCAAATTACTATGATCACTGACCAGCTCAGGTCGCTTAGGGGTGTGTTAAATTCTACCGAGTGAGCAAAAGGAGAGGATGAGAGGAGAACGCCAAGCGTTGCTAGACATTATCCGGTATGTATGTGCATCAACCACTCCACAATATCGAGTACCAATCCATAGGGAAAAAATCAACAAATTATTGGTGCTGGAAGGTCAGGAGGAAGATTGACGACGGTTAAAGAGAGTAAGATTGGAGATGGGCGAACAAGTCTACCTAAACTAGCTACCAAACAAGGTCCGACTACTTGGTTCCTTCTATCAACACAAATCAACAGCAAATCCAAGACATTCTTCCAACACAGCAGCGTTTCAAGCGCGCTTAATTTATTATCAAGCTAAAGGCTGCTTTACCTCTTTCAAATCGCCAATTTACGCAGACGCATTGGCAGAGGCGTTGGCGGAGGCATCAGCCGAGGCACCGGCTGAAGCATTCGCATTCGCAGACGCATTCGCACTTGCACTAGCAGCAGCCGAAGCTTCAGCTTGAGCAGAGGCCTCAGCCTGGGCGGATGCCGAACCACTGATCGAACCGGTAGCACCGGGGAAAGAAATGCTGATGCTGGTGCTCCATGTTTCTGGTGCAGTACCAGTACCCGAACCAGCGCTACCACCTAGGCTTCCAGAGACGCTCGTGCCAGCCTCACCAGATCCGGAACCGCTAACACCAGCGGAGCCAGAGCCAGAAATGCCAGAGCTAGAAGAGCCTGAGGTGGAATCACCGGAGCCCGTGGAGTCAGAGGTCGAGGGGGCGCTCGAAGAACTCGCGCCAGAAGAGCCAGTATCGGATGCACCGCCAGAGGCAACGCCAGTGCCAGTAGCGCTAGCTCCGGTATCGCCAGAAGTACCGCCAGAAAGTCCGCCAGTCGAGCTAGCACCAAGGGATCCGGTGCCCGATGCGCCAGCACTTCCAGTCCCAGTAGCAGAACCACCGCCCGAGACGCCTGCTGACCCTGATCCACCTGATGCACTTCCTGAGCCCGAAGCACCGCCAGAAAGTCCGCCAGTCGAGCTAGCACCAAGGGATCCGGTGCCCGATGTGCCAGCACTTCCAGCCCCAGTAGCAGAACCACCGCCCGAGACGCCTGCTGAGCCTGATCCACCTGATGCACTTCCTGAGCCCAAAGCACCGCCAGTTGCGCTAGCACCGAGCGAGCCCGTTCCAGTAGCACCTAGGCCTGAAGATCCACTGCCGAAACCACCCAGTCCAAGTGCACCAAGTCCACTAAGACCACCACTCAGACCACCACTGGCAGATCCAGAGCCTGAGCCCGAAGCGGACGCCTCTCCAGAGGCATCACCAGAAGCCTCGCCAGAAGAGTCTGCTGAGCCACTTCCTGAGGCACTGCCGCCACCGAAGATGGAAGCAAGACCACTAAGGCCACCGCTGAGGCCACCACTGGCGGAAGAATCAGCGCTTCCAGAGCCGCTGCCCTCGCCAGAGAGAAGTCCATCAAGGAACAGACAGGGCTTGCGGGCCTCGAGGGTCTTGTTGACAGGCATCGCGAGGGCTGTGCCCGCGAGCATAAGAATGACAGTATTTTTCATGTTGATTGAAAGATTGAATTCGAGGAAAAGAGAGCGAGAGTCAACTCGAAAGGATATGAAGAAGTTATAAGGCAGAAGGTATGAGAAAAAAGAAATTGAAAGATTGTCAAGTCGAGCCAGTCAACTGAAGCGAAAGATGGTGGTTGATGATGAAGATAACTGACCGTGGGAAGATGACCATCTTTATAGTTTCCTCGAAGTCCTTGACTTTACGTGATGATTCCATGATAGATCATGAGTCCAGGCTCGTGGTTAGTGCTTGACAAACTAATTTTGTGCCGTCCTAGTTTAGTGAAACGCATGTCCCCATGTCTCATGGCATCCTGTTTCAAGGAACCGTGGTTGGCATTTTCCGATTGGGCTGATCATTTCGTACCTAGGGATTCAGGAAATGGACTCGTGCCTGCTCAAAATAATCATTTGATCAAGGACAGGATGGCCATCGTACAGGTCATCTTATGCAATCGAAATACTTCTAGACGTGTAGGTTTAGATCGGTGAGCAACATATCTAGAAGAACATAACCTTAAGCAAGACTAAGCACTATTTTCCCTTGCGCTAGACCATTAGACCCACTAAACATGTACGCATGGAACCAGTCCATTTCGAGACTAAGTATGTATAACATCAGCTGGGGAAGGCTAGCCGGGGAGATCAACCGAAAAATGAGGCTTTTTACCATATTCGGATGTTTGGCCGAGTGGGTCCTTCAGGATTGTTCACCTAGGGCCCGAGCATCCCGAACACCGAACCGTTCATCGTAAACTTAGTTTCTGTAGGAGAGGCTTATTTTTAGGTGTTTACATCGTTAGAGAAAGATTAAGGAGAAGGGGCTTTCCCGTAGATCGCTCGTCGATCGCCTGTTCATCCGGTATTAGTCTTATCCACTCTACGGCAGCTGCAATAACATGGAAATAGATTTATGCTCTGACCAGAAAAACTTACATTTAGGTTTCGCGATATTTGTGGATTTTGGCACAAGCTAGAGGCATAGCCTAGAGATGCATAAGATGGTGTGATTTGAGGACGCATTGATTAAGGTCACACTTCCACGGGATCAAGCTTGGTATCACTTTATCGCAGCATCTTATGATCTCTTTTTAAGCAACAAACGCTAGATATGTGATGATAATCTGTGACTTCACGAAACAGAAAACTCTTTGATCGACATATTAGAGTGCAGCAGAACATGCACGGTCGAGTCATGATGTTCAGAACTTCATATGAGAACCCCGGAGATTTCGTGATCGCCGTGGTTCGTTTCAGATTTAGGGTGTTTGTTGAGACAATTTCTAACGCCACAGATTCCCTCTAGTGTCCACCTGTGGAACTACCCGAAGTTTTGAACTCTTCAACACTACTATACGGATGTTAGTTAATTATAGATCACGGAATGACTATCTACCTAGGCGGCCTTATACTATAGCAGTCCAATGAGGGATAGCCAAGTTAGAGATTGTCTGACTTTGCTGTGCTTTTGCGCAAACTAGTAGCAGAATGAGGTAAGGGGTAAGGGATATCCCTCTTTGCTAGTTTCGGGGCTTTCTTACACGCACACGCCTTATTATTAGGATTTTCGATGCTCCCTGCTTCAATGGGAGCTGACTTTATTCAGGATTCAATGGGTACATTGCATTCGGTTAGAGAGAAGCACATCATTTTCTACCCAGATTTCAATAGGATGGTGTCATTTGCATGAGATGTAGGTTCAATAATCGGATCAAACTTCAAAATGATATTGATAAATATTCTCGAAAGGATGAATAAAGATAGTTCCGAGGCTTTTTATGTACACAGATCAAAAGGTTTCAAAATATCTCCCAAAAAGAAAAGGATTGAGGTTATGTGTCTAGACCTTTTATACGGCCGCTGAATTCAGCAATCAAGGTGGAGAGGAAACGAACCGAACGAGGCCTAGTTTTTTGTGCGTGTAACAAAATACGTTTAATGACTATGTGCTGGGCTGGAAGTCCTAGTCCTTTTGTCTTGTCTGGCGGTATTCCGATATCTGGAGACTATCATACCGCAGCTCGAAACTTGCTGGAAACCAACCACAACTGACGAACAATGCTACCCTTCAGTGAACAAACACAAATTTCGAGTGTAATTCATAGTCTGCCTGAAGTAACAGCATGATAAATACAATTCAAGTTGCGAGTTGGTTGATATACTTCTCCTTGAGCGATCTAAGTGCCCGCTTGGACAGCGCCGATAAGGGTGTGCTGATTATAAACTTCTCATAAATTAGAGGTCTGCTAGCGAGTAGATTTTTACTTGCACAGCCTTGTTATGGGTGCTCTGCCGTCGTTCACAACGCCTTATCTTCTAGAACACTTATCGTAGAACTCACAACTGCAGTTATCACCGCTATTTGATGCGTTACTAGACTTGCAGGGGAAGGATATGAAAATCATCAACAAATTGACTTATTCTTTATCGTGATTCCAACCTTGTCTTTCAGAATTCTTCTAGGCATCTCTTGAGTTATGAATAATGGATATTGTTCCTCTACCTATAGTTAGCAGTTTACATGTGAGCCCTACTTGATGAGACGAACTTGTAGCTTTACTCTTCGAGCCTAGTGGAGCACATAAGGTTTCTCTTCTTTGTATCCTTCAAAACCTATGTAATTCAGATTCTTTCCCTAGGGTGCCGGGTAGAAAGCTCAGGTAATATGTTTATCTAACTTTTGGAAACTCGCATGCGGTGATATATATCTGGCCCGGCTTGTACTCCACACCTAGCTAATTTACATATCGAGGGACCAAAGTGACACCTTAGAAGATTCTTGAGCTACAAACCCTTTATAGAGCGCTTATTATCTATCCTGCTTCTGATCTTGTCCCTGAATCTTTGATGTAACCAATAACATGGTCCCATGGTCAGATCGGCATGGATGATATTGATGACGTCATACTAGATGCCAGGGCCATAAGTCGACCAGTCTCGCTCAACCCCCTTCCAAAATCAACATCCAACACCCAACTAATTTTAACATGACAGTAGCCGCGCATGGATTTGCGCTAGTCACACCCGCATCTCGTGGGATAGGCTTCGCTTTTGCTCAGCAATTACTATCGCAAACCAACCTCCCTGTTGTGGCTACGGCACGGAAGAACTGCGACGAAGTCCGCGGCAAACTACTATCTTGTCAAGGGGTACCTTCAGATGCAGAAAAAAGACTGCACATATTGGAAGTTGATGTCAGAGGTAGGCCAGTTCAGCTTGCTCGAACTCCGTCGATGCTACGTTTTCCCTATCCCAAAATGATAGATCTAACGTGCTCCTATAGATGAGTCCACAATATCATCAATGGCAGATAAAATTCGCCAAAAGCTACCAGAGACACCACTTCGCCTAGCTCTAACAATACCCGGCATTTTACATGTCGAAAAATCCCCATCTCAAATTGACGCTGCCAATGCACTGGACAGTTTCAAAGTGAACGCCCTAGGCCCACTCCTTCTCATGAAACATCTCTCCCCATTCCTCCCAAGCAAGTCCGCACCTGCATTCCCAATTTCAGAAGGGAAGCTCCAGCTGCCATTCCACGCCATCTATGCCATGATGGCGGCACGCGTGGGGTCAATATCTGACAACGCGTCCGGAGGGTGGTACTCGTATCGTGCGAGTAAAGCTTCCGTTTACCAGATTGCGAAGACGTTTGATTTGTATTTGCGGGGTCGCTGTGCTGAGAGGGCTATTGCGGTTGCGTTGCATCCCGGGACTGTTAAGACGGATTTTACAAAGGAGTTTTGGAAGGGGAGGGACTTGTTGGAGCCGTTGGATGCGGCAGATAGACTTTTGCGGGTTATTACGGGCTTGCAGCCGCATGTTGATGGTGGGAGGGGGAGGTGTTGGGATTGGAAGGGGAACGAAGTTATTCCATGAGACGGCGCGTGTTACATGGAGGAGAACGTGTTGCATGCATACAACTTGGGCCACTGTCTTTGCAGGGAAAGGCTGATTCTCGACAACCTCCTGTTTCAATGTCGTTCTACTCAGCCTCCGAGACAAGACCTACAGAACTCGGGTGTTTGTCGATCAGAGTACTTGATTATCCAGTGTATCCCATCTATCAGGAACCAATGGAAATACTGATATCTGGTTCCCCCTTTCGGAGAATCATAGGATCGGACATATCGTTTCTATATCAAAAGTGAGTGACTTTTTTAGTTCCTCCTCAGTGCTTACGTCCTAGTATTCGGGTATTTCCATCTTGATAACAGAACCAAACCATCAGGTACAAAGGCGATTTTTTCACCACTCTAGGCCTATACTCGCTTTTATAGACAGGTTACAAATTCACCATTTTCGAGGCTCCTAGTTCCTACGAAGGGATCCCTTATTTTCTGCCGGTCAAATCGGGTATACATCCAAGACCACGTGACTTGTTTAAAGCTGTGAATAGCAAGACTTGAACAACATTTTGATAGCATGATACCGAGTTCAAATCTCATATTCGTATCATATTGGTCAAAGATTTCATAAGGAAATAAACTTTTTTTTTTCAATTCTCATTGCTGATTACCGGGGAGTCACTTATATGGTGGACTGGTACTGTAGTTGGACACCGCCAAGAGGGGAAATTCTGCTGCCTTCCACATAATTTCCCCCTCCCCGTTATCTTATCGTCTTACTCTTGCTCCCCAGCATCGTCATCTCGCTCAACTATGGGGCGCCCGCGTTGACTGTCAGATAATTGCAGATTCCCGGCGATCCTAAGGCTTATCTACTGGCTATATTCCGTGTCTTTGCTTGATCGAATATCCACATTAAGGGCCCTTCTCCCCCTCTTGCACAATGGACCAAGAGGAGGCTCCACCGCCTTACTCGGCCGTCGATCCGTTGCTTGCGCCTACGAACAATCGCAACGGCAGTTCTTCGGCCTCTCTGCGTGGGAATGTCTCAGCTTCACAGGATGCCGGTAGCTCGAGCGCTAATCAATCTAGAACGCCCTCGCGCCCGACTGTTGTGCCTACCCACTTTACGTCCGCGGTGACCTACTTTGAGGAACGGCCGGCAGCGGCCTTGGATGCAAGTCATGAACTTCTTTACCACCATATGACTATATACCCCCGCAGCTCAGCAAAAGACTTTCCTCGAAGGCCACGATGCTGGACCTCAACCGTTGACGATGTCGCCCAACAGGACTGGGACACTTTCTTGCGATATCTATTTCCGCCGCAATTAGGTTTGGCTGCTGCCTCACAGCACTTGCCCCGGCAGCTGCGCGCCGAGATCCAGCGAGATCGCAAAGATCGGCCGCAGGAGACAGATGAACAGCGACAAGCTCGGATCGCAGCCGTGGTGGACGAATGGAATCAATGTTTTTTCGAGCCACGCGCAGCTCGCATTGACTTTGTCTATGTTGGCGAATCCGATGCAGCCCCATCGTCTGCTCTTTGTCCTCGGTGTTACCCAGCTGCGACTAGGGCAACACAGAGTCCTGGGGCTGCTGGGGCTCTAGATGGTCAACATGCGACAGACCCGAATACGCCGTCATCCGTGCCGGGACAGCAAGCACCGTCGCCGACTGGTTGGCCCGTTCCTCCAAATCAACACTATCCTTATTCCCCGTTGCCGGGTCATTATGGACCATTTGGAGGGTTTCCTCCATTCCCAGGGCATGGTGCACCTCCCAATCATCAACCTCCTCAATACTATCCTCCACCACCGCCGCCCCCGGGTGTTCCACCATGGCAATGGAACAACTGGGCTTATAGCCAGCCGCAATTCGGTAACTCTGGCACCCAGAAGACTGGTGGTCCCCTCGGATGGATCTCATCACTGACATCCCAGGCGCAAAAATACGGTGAGCGTTTCGCCGAACAAGCGCAGCATTACGGGGACCAAATTAGTACGCATGCGATGAATTATGGTCGGCAGGTGGAGGAACAAGCCCTAGCGCATGGAAGATGGATTGAGGAGCAGGCACGACTTCATGGACGCAAGCAAGGTGCACAGCCATCTGCCCCATACACTTACCAGCGACCGTCATGGAACTCGGGCCAGACCACAGATACCACGCAAAACACACCGACACCTCCAAATAACCCAAGCACTCCAGCGCGACCCGAGGGCGAAGACCAATCATCCAATCAAACACCAAACCAGACAAATCAAAATGCAAATTTGAATCAAAGCCGAGACGAGTCCGATGATCAAACCAAGGACACCAAGGCCGACAGCAAAGCTCCCATCATTGATCGCTCCCGCCGTGCCTCCATAAGCTCCATCTCTTCCGAATCCTCATTCAGCTCTATCGACTCTCTCTCGACAACTTCTGATCTCAGCCCTTCGGATCTAGCAACTGTTCGCACGCAGTTGCAAGACCTACATGACAGGCACGATCGCACACTATACGATGCAGCCGTCGACCTCCGTCGGCAGTTAGATGTTCTCCAAGAATCCCGCCGTGAGGCACGCGCATCTGGGCGTCAGACTTGGCGCAATGGTTGGCGCAGACAGCAGCCCAATGGCTCAGATAGCACTGATTGGGGCCGGTGGGAATCACCCGAGCAACAGGAACGCCAATCAAACGAGCGCCGCGCCATGAAAGAAGAGATGCGAGCCACCAGGAAAGCATTCCGAGACATCGTGCGCCGGGCGCGCGAAGATCAGCGCGATAGGAAGAGGGCGAAACGGAATCGTCGGCGGCAGGCGCTGGCCAGCGCGGAGAACAAAGCCAAAGACAAGGCTTCGGTGGAAGTACCGATGGGCAATTTGGTGCTCGGAGATACCCCGAATCCACGTCCGGTTCGTGTTCAGACTGAACCTGTATTCTCTCAGCAGTCTCAACAAAATCTATCCGCGCGACTCAATGCAAGCTCGGACCTGAGTGCGCAGAGCGCAGTCAATACGGCATCCTCTGCGTCGCAGTCCAGCGTGAACGAATTCCCAACCGAGCTTCCGGGTAGGAAGGCTAGGCCACAGGACCGGTTTAAAGAGATGCTGAAACCCCGGAGTGCGAAGAAGCAGCAGAAGCCCGGCTCTGATTCGACAGATGGGAAGGATTCAAAGAAGGACTCCGGTGCTTGAGAGTTTTGGGTAAACCCGTTCATTTCCACTTTTTGTATGTATATATTAAGCTTTCGGCGCATACCCTATTGTTTCGAGAGTGTGCATCTCTTTGGATCATCCAGGATCAATGAATTTACGAGTCCACGGCAGACAGATTGGTATAATCTTAACTTTGCACATTCATCATCATCATGTACACATCCATTTTTGTGATTTCATAGATCAATATTGAAGGACATTGATACTATCCCCATTCCCGGGTCACACCCATAAGCTTCCAAACCAGGAAATTCATCATCCACAAGACAATATACCCCAAGCTCATGACTGCTGACTCTCATTCCTCTCAACCAAATCACCAACACCCAACCCACGACCAACCTTAACCTTAACCAACTTCTCGCCCTCCTTGCCATCCTCCTTCTTGCCCAATTCACCAACCTCATCACCCTCGTCGGCATTCTCATCGTCATCCTTGGCATTGGCCTTGTCATTCTCCCGATCCCGCTTCTCAATCGCCTTCCAGTCCAGCCACTGCTTCTGCAGGTCCAGGCGCATGGCGTAGGCATCCTCGCCGTCGGCGTAGTACTTGCTCTCGACCTTTTCGACCTCGAAGCCCAGGGTATCGCGGTACAGACGGAGGGCGGCGGTGTTGGACATGCGCACGTGCAGGGAGACGTAGTTGGCGCGGTGGGATTCGGCCATTGCGCGCTCTAGCCACGGAATTAGTATACCGAAATTCTTTAAAATCAAAACTCCACACATCGCTGTCAATCGCAATCGCAATCGCAACACCCAGAGTGGGAGGAGAGGAAAAGAAAAAAAAAAAAGAAAACTCACGACTCATCCGCATCAACCTCTCCGCAATCCCCAACCTCCGATGCGTCCGCATAACACTCAAACTAGTAATATGCCCATGCTGCAGTCCATCCGCCGGTTCCTCCTCCATCTTCGCCAACACATACCCCACCACCTTCGGATACTCGCCGGAGATATCCCCCGCCATACCGGGTCCGGAACCACCGCTCTTATACCCATTCTTGGGCCGGACGACGGCGACGAAGCTCAGTTGCGGCCATGTCAGGGCGTGGTAGAGGTAGTATTTCAGGAAGTAGTTTTCGGGGAGGTTGGTGATGTTGCAGGTTTGGATTGAGGGGAGGAGATCGATGTAGGAGGGGAAGGAGGAGAGGGGGACGATGTCGACCATTTTGGTATAGGTGGAGGAGGTGTGCGCGCCTCCGGTGTTAGAGTAGGTTGTTGGTGGAGGGTTGGATGTTTGAATTGGGGAGTCGTTGGAGTGCCTGCTAATTTGGTTTCGGTGTTGCGATGGCCCGCGGGATATCTGGTCATGTGATTAGTGTGGGGCTGGGCCTGGAAGTTGTATACGGTTGGGTATACTTCGATTGATCGATAATTACTTCAATTGGCAAAGGTGACTACATTCTTTACATAGAGCTGGCTGTAAATATAATTATGCGTATTAAAAATATCAGGTTTTACCCTATTCGATAAAATCAAGGAATAGCAAGTTTAGAGCAAAGACGAGGGAATGAGCCTATTTGGAACATACCATTCCTGATCTCATTGATGTTGATTTTGATCAATGGCAATATCACCAATATTAACAGACGATGCCAACATCTCGATAATAGTGCAGACACTTTGAAATGTTTATCATGGGAGATTGCAAGCTTCACTGGCTGTCGAAGGGTGATTCGATACTAGCTAAGCATGTGCACAGCTCTAAGCGGGATATAGTTAGGATAGCCTAGAGGCTAGTTTCAAGGTGAGATCAGTCCTGTCATACCAGTAGCTTGTATGGACAAAGTGACTGAGGATGAATCTTAGCAAATGTTCAACCTATCGTTGCATTCAACAACCCCAGTGATCGGATTCGATTTTCGAGGTAGCTCATCTTGGGTGCTTGTCCCTCCCCAAATCACTCTTAGTAGTCAATTTTGCACCACAGATTTAGCTTTACGTATATTGTTTGTCGTACATAAAAGCTAAAGCTGGTCATCCGTAGTAACTCTGGGGGAATCTCACAATACATTACATCCTCGAAGCTAATGGCCGCGTTCCAATAGCCTGAGCTAAGATCGAAGTATGCACTACCAAGCTACCCTCGTCCTGAAAATCTGTTCATACTAATATCATCTGAATTTCTATGTAAGAATCATGATTTTTGTACCTACACGTGTATCTAAAATGGAGTCATGAGAAGGAAACACCCACAAAAAGACCAGCATCCTGCAAAGGCCTCGTACCAAAATGAAAAAAAAAAAAAGCGAAACCAGGCGTATCCAAGCCCAATGGAACTAGATACACCAACATATGACAAGTGACAAACAGTAAAGGGCAGACTCGACTGGGACATCACGTCGAGTCCACCATGATCAATATAGACAAAGATCAACAATTAATCTTTAGTAATAGCGTGGGGCGCCTGGGGATCCACCGGCGTATCAGGGGCACTCGGTTGCACAGAGTTCTTCTCACGCAAATCAACCCCCTGAGCCTTGAGTTGCTTGCGGGCCTTGTGGCCACCGCAGCACGACGCACAGCAAGAGCCGAACTGGACGATGAATGCAATCAAGCTGAATCCAGATGCAATCCACATAAACACCAGCATTTGCACGCCAACGTGGGCCTTGATGTTTAGGCTGGGATCGGCGTTTGTGAAGACGTTGGCGAAGATGATGAACATTACTGTCGCAACGGCCGAGGCGACGATAGTCAATAGTGCGGTGAAGAAGGCTAGGATTAGGAAGGGGAACGAGCGGAATAGCACGAAGGTGCGGCGCCGGTGGGGTGGGTTGCCCGAGGGCGTCACCTGGCCGCCGGAGACCCAAGATTTGATAGATTGTGGGGGTCGCGAGGAGACGGCGAAGGGACTGAAGAAGATCATGATAAAGTTCAAGACTGCTGCTGCGATGAAGAGGCCGAACATCCAGTGGGATGCGACCTTGGCCAGGTGAAGGGGCTCCTCAATATCGCTCGGCAGGGCAACTGGTGGAAGAGAGAGCGGTTAGCTTCAATTGAGAATATAGTAGAGAGAAAAATGTAAACATACTACTTGCGCCAGCCAACAGCTCATTCAAAATGATCTCGACCGGATTGAAAGCATACAGTGTCTTCGGTTTCGAGCATGAAGTAATCCCCTCATCGTCATATCCCTCGCAGAATCCCCACAGGCCAACCTGGTAGAAATCGTGCAAGCCAATGGACCGGGCGATGGAATTGATTAGGACGGCATTAGGCACGGATAAAGGGATAATGTTGGAAAGATCGAGATAGAGGAAGTATGTACTGCGGAGAACTGGTTTATTGGCGACATTGCCAATTATCACCAGCACGAGGAATATCCAAGCGATCAAGTATAGCAGGGATCGCAGACCGCGATGCCAATGAACGGTCGATTGGCGTCGACGAGCCACGGGCCGGTCTGGAGAGGAGCGCCGGAAGAGAGGGAGGCGCCGTTTGCCATTGACGGGAGCATCCGTCCCGTCGGCCATATTGAGTCGACTGAAGAGGACGGTGCGATAGGGAGAATGGAGAAGATAGAAGAGAGAGAGGGAGAATCTGCAGTCTGTCGGGATATTGAGAGAGGAAAGAAGACAAAAAGATAGAATGACGTTTAGGCACCCATGAAATGTGGACAACAACGAAAGTCAAGCGGAAAAAAAAGCCACAGCAACGAGAAACGAGAGTCTGAGCGGGAGATATTTTTACCAGGACTCTTGTTCTGGCTTGAAAGTTTTCACTTCCTTGCAGAGAAGATGGGCCCAGGTCGATCTGATCCTCTGATCCGCAGCGGTGGTTACCCGTACGAGTAACGGGCGTGGAGCTCCACCAGAATCCCTGAAGCCCAAAGCTCCCCGTAGGATCGTCAGTGGCGTCTTGCTAGTGTGCTCTCTAAGCCACGGCGATCATGCAAGCGTCGTGCCGACCGGAGGCTATTTGCACCTGCAAGGACGTTGAAGAATCCTGGTATAGAGAGAACCATAACACAATCTAGAATAGTAACAATACGTCAGCCAGATTGAACTCGGAGTAACAAGAATCGAGTACCTTTGGGCTAAGGCCGAGATCCCCTAGAAGGTCTCCAAGGGCGAATGTCTTGGTGCACCACGGTGGAGATCCGTGAAACCCGACTGGATTGGCTCATCACCCAGCGGCATTCACTGGCAACGTCATCCAGGTCTGCGCCCGTCCCCACTGGACCCTGGTTGGACCAAAAATTGGAGAATGGGTGGTCCTGGTTCCGCTGATTGTCCTGGCAAGTGTTGTAACTTGCTGGAGGAGTTGGGACTTTTGTGTTCTCGGCCAGGCAAAGACAAAAAAAAAATAACATTGTCGTCCATCGCATTCCCTCCACTGGGAATATCACTTGCTTCCTTCTTCCACCACCCTCAAAGACAGTTCTCCCTCCTCCTAATCCCCTCTCGTCGGACACACTCGACACCCTTCACCATGAGGTGGTCCTCTCTTGCATTGGCCCTCCTCGTAGGAGTCACTACTGCGGCCGACACCACAACCTCCGAATCCACCACTAGCAAATCCGATTCTTCTACCTCCATAAACCTGTCGACAGCATCTACCGTGACCGACCCAAGCACCGTGGCCATTCCATCGGGCCATTATATCACCTACAGCACCACAATTACCCTTGACAATGGCAATTCCTCCGTTCTGGTCTCCACGACGGCCGCTCCCAATGCCACAGCGACCACCTCGGGCAACCAGACTATCACATCCACTACATCCGACTCGGTGACAGTCTTGGTTGGCGGGGGGCACACGACAACTCTCGGAAATGGGACTATGAATGCCACGACTACCGCTTCGTCCACTTCGACACAGACAGCAGTCGTCAACACTCGCCCGTGCAATAACTATGCCGAGTTCTGCACGCGCAATTATTCCAACATCACCATGGTTGCAGCCCATAACAGTCCCTTCGTGCGCCAGGGCAACGCTGCTGCCAATCAGGCACTAGATGTAACAGCCCAACTGGACGACGGTATTCGAATGCGTAAGGACTCCCCGCAGCACGGCTTCTTCTATTAGAAATAGCTGTAACTAACATCGACACAGTTCAATTCCAAGTCCACTATCAAAATGGCACTATGATGTTATGCCACACATCCTGTGATATCCTCAACGTCGGCACTCTCGAAGACTACCTCACTACCGTCTACCAATGGATGCGCAAGAACCCCTACGACGTCGTTACAATCCTCATCGGAAACTACGACTACGTCTCCCCAGAGAACTTCACCGCTCCAATCGAGGCCTCCGGTCTGAAAGATATGGCCTACACCCCATCCCAGATCCCCATGGGTCTGGACGACTGGCCGACACTATCAGAGATGATTCTCACTGGCAAGCGCGCCGTGTTTTTCATGGATTACCAGGCAAACCAGACCGCCGTCCCGTGGCTGATGGATGAGTTTTCGCAAATCTGGGAGACGCCGTTTTCGCCGACGGATGCAAACTTCCCTTGCACCGAGCAGCGGCCTCCTAATTTGTCGACTAAGGATGCGAAGAGTCGCATGTATATGGCGAATCATAACTTGAATCTGGAACTTAGTTTGGGTTCTTTCAGCATGCTCATCCCGAATACTGCCGTTATCACCGAGACTAATGCTGTCAATGGCAATGGAAGTCTGGGCTGGATGGCGAAGAACTGTACCCGTAAGTTTCTTTTCTACCCATCCATTACATTTTGAGCTGAGTATACTAATACGCTATAGGTGACTGGGACCGTCCACCCAACTTCTTGCTGGTGGATTACTATAACTACGGCAACTTCAATGGCTCCGTCTTCGAAGTCGCCGCTGAGATGAACAACGTCACTTATAACCGCACCTGCTGCGGCCAAGAATCTTCCGCCGTGCCTGGCATGTCGACAGCCAGTATCTCAACGATGCTGGTGATCGCAGCTGGCGTACAGTTCTTCCTGTCCGCATTCTGATTTTGGATGACCTTTACGACATTTTCTATGCTTTTTGTAAACTTTCTCGTTTGAGCGGGATTGTCTGCTCATTGGCGCCGGTTACTTCCTATTCTGGGCATGTTGGTGCTGCATGTAAATACATAATTTAGATTTTGAATAACTTTGCATATGCAATGAATCTAGGACTCGTGCTTCAATGTGTCAAGGGCCGTGTACTCGAAGAAAAGGGTCATCCCTCCGGACGTCGACGAAAGTCTAGACACGGTGACGTTACCATACATGCCTAGACCAATGCCAAAAAAGGATCGCTCTCAACAGAGCCCCCAGCCAGCCAGCTTGATAAAGTCCGCATTTATTTTTCTTTGTCCATCGAACCTAAACCACCGCAGGTGATTGGTACGATTCGCTTGCAGCAGACAGGTAGTTGGCCATTTGCAGTTTTTGTTTCGTCCACTCCGACCAGTCATGAGAGCATGGTCAGAGTGGTCCGTACAGAGGTATTTTCTCTCCCTTCAATTTACAGTTGTAGAGCGAAGGACACCAAAATACAGAAGGGGCAGCGGTGGCCATTTGTTGGCGCTCACTTTCGTATCCCCGCTGACTTATTCTCGCTTTTCATGGAAGCTGAATAGAATTCACCAGCAAGGTATGTCGAGCACACTGATTGTAGGCAGGTTGGGCTCTTTTCAGCTTCTCTGCGAGCTCTGTTGCAACCTTGATCCGGGGACGAAGGAGGGCGGGAAAATACTGGTTCACTGGCATCCCACTTGGTTGTCACGTCCGTGTTCGAGCTTCGCTCGAGATGAGTATCTTTATCCAACGAGTAGAGAGAATGCGCTAGGGTGAAGGGATTTTTAAGGGTAAGTTGATGAGAGTTAGTCAGGTTATGAGAAGATTTGAATGGTGGCCCACATACGTTGTAAACGTGATGCCCAGACTGTTGATTATCCCTCCGCAGCCATCAAAGATGGTGATGGCATCTGCTCCATTATTTTGTACTGTGAGCCATTAGTTCTGACTCGTCTGCATACGCCATGGAAATGCAACGCTGACTTCCGTCATTTGCCAGTGGGGATATGCACACTCAATGCTTCCAATCTCTTTCTCGACACGTGGGAAGGGCCAATGAATCTCTTCTTGCATTCGGCACCTCCCGTATCGTGATCATGCAGATCCAATCGACAGCAAGGTCATATTTCCGGACTGGTAGATAAGTCACTTCAATCATCATTCTCCCTACTTGAAAGCCTCGAGAGGGGACCTATGAATCCGCTCCGGTTATTCATGACACCGGATTATCAGGGCGGGTGTCGATCCTCGTTTGTCTCTTTAATGTCCAACCGAGTCATCTCAGGGACCTATATAATCGCGGGGTCTTGGAGCTATCACAAAGACGACCTCTTTGACAGGAATTCGCGTGTTGGTGATCATGGACAAGGCGTACTTCGTCTCCGTAAGGCAGACGTGTGTCTGAGACGGTTACCACCAGGACAACCATCGCTTATCCGAGGTTAGTACGAGGAATGTCAAGTAAAAATGGCTTGAGAACTTACTCAGATTGCGGCGTGATGTAGGCCCATTGTCCATGGAGATCGTATGTCATGTATATAACGTAGTCCACGACGTCTGATATGGGGAACCCTCTGAGATACCAGAAAGATTTTGGAATATGACGAATCCCTGCGTCTCTCGGAGGGCACGAAGGGGTTGATATAGTCGGAGATGTAGATATACAAGAATCAGGGTAAATATCGAAAGCAAGAGAAAGGATATGATTATGTTGGGGTAAGGAGGAGAGAGAAGGGCAGATGAGAATGTCTTTTATAGACGGGTGCCAAAGAGGGAAGGAAACGGGAAAACGCCGTGCTGAATAAACTCGATACCGGAGCCTTCCATTATGTCTTCAAAGAATTCTGTTTCCTTATCTTACGCTTATCTACCGGTTAGCACATCATACTTCCCCGTGTGTCTGGCAACACATCAACGAAGACTTTCTGTCGAAGATAAATGAATATTAACAAACCGGTCCAACATGATAGATCGTGGCTCGACAAATGACTCAGTTTTAGAATTTAGCCGCTCTAGGAAGCCGAACTGGTATTCCCACCAATTTACTAATAATGTAGCGGACCAGTACTTCCACTGGGGCACTGAAAAGTGCCCATGAGATGTTCGAATGACCATCTCCCCTGCAATCACTACTATACCATGGAGACTGGGTTGATTATTCTCATTATAGAGATTGACATGACGTCTGGGAAATTCGACATGGTCACGTACGACTTGGTAAACTTGCGTGATGACCCGCTCTGGACAGGTTGTATTTATGTCCTGAAAGGGGGTAAGAGAACAAGGTGAGGGAAATGAAGGAGACTTACCGGGATATTCTGGTTCTCGGATTACTAAAATAACTTGGTTAGCGGTTGTGGAATCATGGTAGATCGGTTCCTGGTTCCTGGGAGCGGGTGAGATCCATGGATAGATCGAAGGAACTTTAAACTCACGGCATGTCAATAGAACTTCACCAAGGTTACGATGTGATCATCCAAATTGGGTTAAAACCTAGACCTAGAAAACCACCATTCGATACAGTAGTATATTCTCCACGAGGTTGGCTATATTTGTAGCTAATTTGCTACGAATGCCGCTTAATTTGGTTGGAGAATCCCTGTCATTCTTACGCAATTCTGTAACCCATGGACGAGTCTCATCCACAGCCTTCTAAAAATTACCTTTGCAAGGTACCAGAGTGCTAGATTTCTGATGACTGATCTGTCTTTACACTTATTCTGAATGTTGCCTTGGATTTCTCCCTTGGGAGTTTTCTAGCCCGACGTATGGCATTGCCAAGTCAAAGTCTGCCCTCTCGATTAGCACGTACGGAATTCTAGCTTCATACAAGGCGCCCTTTGGAATATATAGAGATTGTGGGCAGTAAAAACCATGTATAAGATCCACCTTGACAGGGAAGGGTCCACGTGGGGGTACCGATATAAAAAGTGTTGAGGTAGATCCGGGGTATACAACCACGATTAAGCAACAAAACAAAGAACGTTAAACATCATCAACTAGTCTCTAGTCCAATAATTACACTGGAGATATGTACAGCTAAAATTAAAACCGAGACAAAAAGCACCATAATAGCAGGAGGGAAATATTGTGATTGTTCGCTGCTTGGGTAGATTGATAGACTGGTTAGGGCCTGGTAGTGTACTTCCAGTATGATCCCATTACTCCATTTTTGCTACCAATATTGGGAAATGCTGGTCCAATTACCACTCGAATTGTTTGGAGGAATTCTTATATTTTGGGCTGTAAGTGATGGCCATCATTGTTAGACATGATGATATCGCTGACGGTCAATGTGATATGAATGTTGGGGTGACATCTCTGACTTTTCGCATGATAGTGACAAAATCAATTACTAGATCTTTAGAAAAGCGGTTATCTACAAACCTATCCTACTAAAAGCTCGACGCTGAATGACTGGGGACCTGACGGGATCCATTGGCTTTGCCCGTCGGAAACGCACAACTATCTACATCTCGCTATGGTGCCCTCCCTCCCTCCAAACGCACCAAAGCTCTCCTCCGACGAACCCGACAACCCTCTTCTCCCCCCCCCCCCCCCCCCTCCCTCACTTCCCCCGCTGCCCCCTCTTGTCTCCCCCAACCCCGGCCTTACCCTCAGGTAACTTCCTACACTGCGTTTTTGCCGCGGGCGAGGGACTCCTCCATCAACTGGACGAACTCGTCGTCAGTGATGTGGTAGGGTGGAGAAGTATCACCCTTGGCCTCAACGACAGAGGCGGAAGAACCCTCGGGGGGCGAGGTGGTGGTGTTGGCGGCGACACCGTCCTTCTCCGGAGTCTTGCCGCGGGCCATGGCCTCCTCCAGCTGGCGAGCGAACTCGTCATCTGTGATGCTGTATGGAGGAGTGCCACCCTTGGCGACGACAGCGGAAGAAGAAGGCGCACCGGTGAGTGGGGTCAACGGGCCCCCCAAGGCCCAGCGCACGTGCTAGATGAAACCAGGTTAGACACATCCAGACCAAAAAAGATTAGACTCAATCGGATGAATGTACCTTCTGTGCTTGCACATGGCTGTAACACTCGGTGAAGTTGGTTGCGACAAATTCTTTGCCGCGGTCTCGCTTGCGCTTGCTGGAGTTGAGGTTTTTGCAGATACGCTCTGCAACAGCGTGATCCGCGTCGCTACTGTTGCTCTCATGGAGCCAGGTCAGCTTCTTCTCGCGGAAGCGGAGGCGGAACGTGGCCAGCGGGCTAGGTTCCTTTGTCAGCGGGGTTGGAGATGGGGTATTGGATCCTTGGGGGCTCACATCTGTGTCTGAGTCGCTGGTCAGGTCGATGACCACAACGTCCTTGGGAGGCACAGTCGGAGCGGAAACGGTAGCCACAGGAGTGGCGGCGGTGAGGTCGACAAGGGTGTTGATGGTGGCACCCGTTGCGTGGGTGGTCGCAACGGGGCGAGGAGCCGGCATGTTGGCGGTGGTGGTAGGCATGTAGAAGGCGATGCCGGCGTTTTGGAGGAGGCGGGTCGCTTGCCCGGGGAGAATTGGCGGGACGTAGCCGCCGCGGCCAGAGGAGGTGGAGTGGGCGTAGTTGGTGGCCATTGTATTCGGCTCACCAGGTGGAGATTGGGCGGAAAGAGGTGTTAGGAAGTTGGGTGGAAGGTCTTCGGAGCGACTGTGTTGAAGATCTGTGGCCGGATCCTCAAGTTGAGGTGGTGGAAGCGGTGTGTGGTGGTCTTCGTAGAGTGTGGGTGGTGAACGAGTATCCGAGCCAGGAGAGTGATCACAGTGTGGGGTGGGAGCTTCGAAGGTTTGGGCTGGAGAAGGGATGGAAAAGGGTGATGCTGGGGGGATGACAGAAGACTTTATACCCGAGGGGTCAGGGAGGGATTGGACGTAGGCAGCGCACATGTCAGTAGATGCCTGGGACGATTGGGCGTAGATGCCTTGAGGATTTCCCTGAGGTGAGGTGAAGGCAGCCTCCGCTGGTGCCTCCAAGGCGCGTGGTGGAAGACGCGTCGTAGCCTGAAGTTGTTGATAGTCCCGAATTAGGCAATTGTGCGTGTTCGCCAAGGCAATGTATTTCGCTTTCCAGTCCTCGCCTTCTGCCTTCAGGTGATCCACCCGATATCGATGGTTCGAAGCCGTGCGACGTAGCTTTTGAACTTCTGCCTCTAGCTGTTGAATTCCCAGCATGCCAGTCGCGGGGTCTACCTGATCGTACTTGAGCAAGGCATCACGATACTTGTTACGCTCAGCCATGACGACGTCGAGGCGACGACGGGAACTGTGTAAGCGGCTGCGAAGAGATTCATTCGAGTCTGGCCCTCCACCGATCATGCAGTGTAGATTAGGTGCTGATGGATAGTACCCCACCGGAGCATATGGCGAGATGTGCCTGGAACTCGACTTAGCTTGAGTAAACGCCGCGACAGCAGCAACGCGAGCCAGGCTTTCTGGCTTGAGGGCGAACTGGTCCTTGGCCGTAGTAGTTGAAGTGGGAGTTTCGAGTGTTGTCGTAGGGGTATGGGATGAGATTGATGCAATGGAGGCTTGACCGATGGTATCGATATTGGTTGGCTGTACCAGAGTCTCTGCCGCGTTGCTTGGCTCCCGGCTCTGTCTTTTGCTCGAGGAAAACTCGATGTCTCCTCCGAATGCGTCCTCGGTTGTCCGTTTCTTCGAGCTGGCTGGCTGCTGTGTCTGCTGGACAAGCTTCCCAAAGTCGGTGAATGGATCGAAGTCATCGTCCATACCAAACAGCGAGGCTAGGTCATCGATATCCTCCTGGTCGTTGGAACCGTGTACATCCAGCTGGGGCTGGGATCCGGGGGAAGTGTAAGCCCCAGATCGTGGTGTGTATTGCTGTTGGAAGCCAGGGTAAGCGACTCACGGGGATCCATGATATTCTCCATCTTGGGGTGAAATCGGATAGACAGTGCTGCTGCCACTCGATAGAGGTCGGTAAGCAGGATGGTTAATGCGTCTGGTAGTTTTTGAACGAGGATTTCACGGGGTCATGGAGAGGTTCAGGGTGGTTGTGCCTGGATGGGTGCAAAAGCAAGATTGGAAGGAAGTGTTATGGGGATGAAAAGAGTCATGAAGTCTGGCAGTCTGATCGGTGGAAGGTCATCACACGTCTACAGCACTTGCCCTTTTTTTTGTTTACAACATGATATTCTGCCACCGAACATTTGACCGCTTTCCTTATCGTAACTTATCATCTTTACCCATCTCACCGCCCCCATTCACCGCCCATCCATCTAATACGATCATCAAACATCATCTCACCGCCTTGTACATCACGTGATCGAGATGGCAAACACTACAAACCCGGCAAAAGAAGGGCGGAGCTCCACGAGTTCCGAGGACGACAACATCAGTTCTGGTCCTACCTCCCTTCCCATCACCCCTCCCGAGCTCGCTACTCCAATCCCAAGATCTGCTCCGATTGATATCCCTGGAGCTCGTGCTCGTCGAGCTGCTAATCGCGCCCACGAAGTCATCATCCGGAACACAGCTCCAACCCGTGCGGACTCCGATTACTACCTTCTTCCGCGTCTCCCCTCTCGACCCTTGGATACAACCAAGATCATATATTCCCTCCTTGCGGGTGCGTTGGCTGCGATTGCCCCAATCTCACGGCCTGTCACCCCTGAATTTCCCGACGACATTATCAAAGATCTCCTGTACAAAACACCTCCCAAGTTCCGAGCGCCTTTCTGTGGCGTCATGAGCGTCCTTCTTACGACCGGTAAGTTATCGCGCGCATTCATGTTCCTTGCCGAGTTTTTGCTAATTTTCCTGAATCTGCAGCGGGGTATGATCATACCATCCGGTGAGTAACTCTTTTGCAAGCTTCAATCCATTCTCCACCTTTCTTGTACAAGTTGCAAGGTTGTGCTTTTGTTGCGCACACGCAGTCTGTATGAAAGCTAATTCGACCCCCGTCAAAATAGCTTCTGGGAGGCCCTGTCTGGCATTTGCTCCCGCACTATCCAGCACCCTGATTCGCAGGTAAACCGACTCTGCATTACCCCCGACAAGAAATATCTCGCTGTTGCGGGTCACCACAATGTCAAGCTGTTCGACGCCAAGTCGAGCAACCCAAATCCTTTGATGACTTTCGAGGGCCACACCGGTAACGTCACCGGTGTCGCATTCCACTGCGAGGGCAAGTGGATGGTCACCAGTTCTGAGGATTGCTCCATCAAAGTTTGGGATGTCCGCAGCGGCAGCCTTCAGCGCGACTACAGACACGATTTCCCCGTCAATGACGTCGTCATCCACCCCAATCAGGCCGAGCTTATCAGTGGTGATCGCGGTGGCATGGTTCGTGTTTGGGACCTCGGTGAAAGCAAGTGCATTCACCAGCTGGAACCTGAGGAAAATAGCTCTGTTACTAGCGTCAGCGTTGCGACTGATGGATCGTTGCTTTGTGCTGGCAGCAAAAAGGTATTATTTGCCCACTTCCAACTCTCACGGGGTCAAGTGCTAATCCGTATCTCTCTCTAGGGAAATGTCTACATCTGGCGTATGGTCCAGACTGAAGAAAAGGCATCAATGGTCCCAATTGCCACATTCCAAGCTCACATGGACTACCTTAACCGCGTCCTCCTATCCCCGGATGTCAAGCACTTAGCCACCTGTTCCGCCGACCACACCGCTAAGGTCTGGAACCTTGACCCCGAGTACCCGCCTGCAAAGGCCGCTATCAAGGCGCATAAGGAGAAGCAGGAGAAGGAGAAGCAGGCCGGCTCGGCAGAGAACCAGAACGAGGCCGCCCCTGCTGATGCGAAGAGCGCGGGTAACGACCTCCTCCGCATCTTCGACCCGAACCGTCACCTGCTCCGCCTGACGGACAACGCGCCGCGAGAGGAGACCACGCAGCAGACCTTCGCTGCGCAGCCCGATGGTCCGCCCATCGACCCGGTCAACCACACTCTCTTCCTTGAGACTACCCTGGCTGGCCACCAGCGGTGGGTCTGGGACTGTGCTTTCTCGGCCGACTCGGCATACCTGGTGACGGTGTCGAGCGACCACTACGCCCGCCTGTGGGAGCTCAGTACTGGCACTATCATCCGCCAGTACAGTGGCCACCACCGCGGCGCCGTGTGCGTGGCGCTCAACGACTACTCGGAGCCTCGCTGATGATGTAGTCTGGTGATTTTCAGATCGTCGCCCCCGTTTTTGCTTTCTCTTTTCTTTGTTTCCAGCGGCGTTTAAGGGGTGGACATAGCGCGGCGTAGGACGGGCTTACTGACTGCATTTTTATCATAGCGACTGTGCCCGGGTCGCTCTTTATGACTTTATGGAGTAAATGAGAGATACCATTCAAATAGTGAATTCGTCCTTCCATCTTTTACATCGATATTGTTTTCTTCTCATGCTGAGATTATGTTATTCTCAGCGTAGCCTTGGACATCCTTCTATCTTTGGGATTCGATGTCGTCAGATCTAGAACTGTTTGATGCTGAGTCCAATCTAGATTTCTGGAGTTGGCATTACAGCTTAGAGAATACCCTGCCATACGTATTCAGTAGGTATCCACGTTATACCAAGTGCTTGCTCAATGTACGAACCCTTCATAGACATAGCCGATCGCTCAACAAAATCACATAAAAACGATAAATCGGGGTCTCAAAATACATCACAAAGGAACAATAGAAACGGACCGATCGAACCGAGTATATCGAATCCATATCGGATACGCTCCCCTAGTAATAATCATAAAACGAAGTCTGCCAGTTACAATATCCAGACATCCCCCTATAACTATACCAAGCAATCCCGAAAAGCTCAGGCCGCAGCAAGAATTCCAGAGAAAAAAAACCAATCAATCCACTTAATTCACGGCAAACCACGTCACGCTAACGACAACGTCCAATCCCCGCTCCTCGGCGCCGGGGTACTTGAACGTCCACATGCCGTCGCGGTTGACGTCCCAGAAGGCGCCGGAGGCGGAGTGCATACCGCGCTTGCCGGCGTTGCTCTGTGTGCCGTCCGCGGCGGCGGTCTTGTCGATGACGCCCTGCTGCACGATGGTGCTGTTCACGGTGAAACGGTAGGGGGCGGGCTTGTTAGACTCGGAGGGAGCGGTGGCGGTGATAAGGGCCTTGAGGACGGTGTTCTGGGTTGTGGAGAATGGAGGGTTAGAATGGGAGAGATGGATGTGCGGGGATGGGGTCCGTAGGGGGGTTTGTGTCTTACGATGATCTGCGAGTTCCAGTTGCCGACGAGACCGTGCTCGTACTCGGTGGCCTCCTTCAGGGCGGCATCGCAAGCCTAGTGTTAAGTTGGTGAGTAAAAGGCATGGATGGCAATTGCAGGTCGGCCTGGATTGGGGGTTCGACTTCAGCTCGAACGGGAGATGCGACGTACATCAGAGGTGATCTTGGTCAGCTCCGCAATGGGGATGGGCTACCCAATGGAAGTTAGTGGGACTCATTCATCAGTCTGGAGGTATTCAAGTGGTGGCTCAATAGCCATAGCTTGCGACAAATATCGGTTGGACGTACGGAAACGGGAGAAGCTTCGACAGCCATTCTACTTGATTCGTCGGGATAGATTTATTGATAGTCTAGTGGTATAAAAACAATTAGCATCGAAAGCCCTAGAGACATGTCTCGATCAGACGCAGTGCCCAATTCAGGCCGATATCGCGGCCAGGGCATTCATCGGCGAAGCGCGTTCCGGAGATAATGCGGGGGCCACCAAGGATGGAATGCGGACGTATATGGTACGCAAGACCGATATCAGGCTTATAACAGGAGCATAGTACTCACATGTGCTTGTTTTTTGAGCAGGATGCTTTCTCGATTGAAGGAATGGGCGACCGGGACGACTCGTACAGCGACTGATTGTTTTGGGAGAGTGGCATCATCGCGTGGGCGCGGTTGGCTCTGGTTGGTCGGGGCTTAGCGCGGTGCTTAGTAAGATGGTCCCTTCCAATTAAGGTTGACCGCGGGTATCGCGATAAAGCTTGTGATTTGGGTGAAAAAATATATGGTGTTCATCTTGTTATTCGTTTGCGTTTTCGGGACTCGACAGTCATATACTGTCTGGCTCTGGGTCATCTAGTCTAGTCTACATGAAGCCTTTGGCGATTTCTACTCCGCCCAAAGCAGTATATATGGATTCCTATCATACTACATGTACCCCAACCCAACAATGCCTTTAACGATAGGCTAGGTTAATACACTCCTGATTTGCATAATTCAATGCAAATATTGAATAGTAGGTCTGAATTTACTCGAGACAAATAATTTTGGCCTTGTACAACCCAATGGGGAAACTGTCCATTCTTCTATCGGGTGGAGGTTGTACCTTGTTAGCTACTGCTTACCGGACGAAACCAACTTAGCACTCATATTACGTCTGAATTAGATCTACAGATAGGATGTTTAGGGATAAAATGGAACATGACTGACCATCTACTTCTAGTCTTTCCTTCTATCAGAAACTACACAGCATACGTAGTATATTCGTTCCCCACTATTGTTTAGCGGTAGCCAATTACAGCTCCCTGGCAAGTTGGGGTTCCCGTCTTGGCGAATTGTGATACCCTTTTGGGTCAACGAGCATCTGGATCTCCGGGTCAAGATGAGATTTCGTGAAAATTCTTGTTAGTCTGATTACGAAGTTGAAACTGTTCGGAGTTCTCTTCTAATCAATATTGGTAATAATTTGTCAAGATCATTCCAACATACATGCCAGGTCATGTCCAAGGTTAGCGATAAATAGTCAGTCTTCCTCGCTGTAAATACTCTAGAACAACATCTGACGACAGCATTTTCCAACTTTCTTGAATCTCCTCAATTCCGAAGAATTTATCTGATCTCTATCAAGATGACTCCAAGTCTTCAAGTCATCCACATCGGCACTGCCACTGCCATTTTGGACATCAACGGTGTCAATTTCCTTACCGATCCCTTCTTCTCTCCCGCTGGCACCTCGTGGTCCGATGAGCGTATCACCCTGACGGTATCTGATGATCCTGCTCTAAAACTCGATCAGTTACCTGTGATCGACGCGGTGCTCCTGAGCCATGAAGACCATTTCGACAACCTGGACGACCTTGGTCGCCAACTACTCAATGGGCGCAGCGTTTTCACCACCGCCGATGGTGCTAAGAACCTGGCTCCTCGCCCCACCGTTCACGGAATGAAGCCATGGGAGAAAATCAACATCACTATCGCTGGAAAAAAGTTTGAAGTGATTGCCACTCCTACTCAACACGTTCCAGGAATGGAATGCACCGGATTCATTGTTACAGGAGAAGACTTCGGTCACGGTCGAGATAGTCTCCCTAACGCCATATACTTCAGTGGCGACACTGTCTATATCGAGGAGCTCAAGAATATCGCGAACCGGTACCACATTAAAGCGGCTATAATGAATCTGGGCAATGCGCATGCGCCAAACTTTGCTGATATGACTGCGCCTCCATTTCAGATTACAATGGACGGCCAGTCTGCGGCTAGACTATTCCGCGATATCAAGGCTGGTGTTTTGATTCCGATGCATTAAGAATCTTGGGGGCATTTTAAGTGTCTACGAATTGACTAGATTATATACTAATTGACTAGATTATATACTAATTGACTAGATTATATACTAATTGACTAGATTGTATGCGAATTGAATACAATCTTATTATCTTGGGGGGAGGGGGGTTCTCCCCCCTTATTTAATAGACAATCTCTATATGTAGTCATTAATTGTATGCGAACTGCATAGATCGTATGCGAATTTACTAAACCCGCTACGATCCGCACTTATTGGTGTCCCCCCGTGGGGCGGCGCCATTGGAAACCTTGTATAAATATCAGTGTGTTTTTATAAGATAACCTACATATATGTTAAAGAGCGTATAGAGCGGTGAAAGAAGCCTAATTAGGTACATGCCAAATCGCATCCTACCATTAATATTATGAAACTCCTTTCCTATAGTGCTGCGACAGTGGATCACTGGGCAGGATTAGGAAATGCCCAGTTCAAACACTTATAACTCTCTACTAGAGATTGCGAGCTCGTCATCATGTTGACCACGTCCAAATTCAACTCCACCTACGAATGAACTCATCATCTTCCCTTATCACTAAAGGCTGGTGTCACCAAACAGCAGCAGTTGGCCCCAGAGGCATCCGCCAAGCAAAATAATTATTTTGTCGATGGAAAGTGTGACTCCAAGGCGGGGTTTAGCGCTAAAGATCTAACCCTGCTTGCCTTAGTGGAAACAATCATCCAACAGCCTGAACTCGGTGATGAGCTTTGGAAGCGTGTCAAGAGCGAGTTCTCGGACCGAGAGATAGTGGAGATTATATCTCTTCAGGTAAGTGGTAACTTAAATACGTGGTATAGTCGAAAACCTAACGCCTGGTGTAGGGCTTTTACTACTCTTTTTCACGATTGAATACTGTTCTTCAGTGCGATTTTGATGAATGGGCCAAGTCTAAGCTTTGATTTTTTTTTTCAACGGATAATCCCACTTGTGACGAATGTGATGCTCTGGGAGAATAAAGGAGATCTGAAAATATGGAAATAGCCCCAGAAAGCTTGACATTGATGTTATATATAAGCTTGTTATAGAGATGAATCCGCCTTGGAGAATTTACGACTTCTTTTGGGTCGACGGCCTGAGAGGATTGTGTTAACTGACGAACCGTCTTCCACTCGAGTTAATTGATTAGTAGTTGTATCCTTACCGATGGGTTCGTCGTAGAGTCTAGATTCTATTAGAAGGCGAGCCTTACTAGAGAGATAGGTCTGGACATGGTCGCGTTGTGGCTGGGAATCGGAGCTGGAGGTCAGCGTAGCCTTGGCAGGTTTTGGTTCTCAATACGGTTAGCCACAACTCGCATTCGGAGTTCTAGATGGAAAAGCCGGAGGTAATATTGAGCATTATGAAAATTATGATAGTGATTATAAATCCCTTTTTAGTATATTCCATTCAAATCAATCAATAAGAGTTATTGAAAGAAGTGTTGAAAGAGGTGTCAAAAGAGGCATCAAACCAAATATCAAGAGCACCAGGATATCATAAGTGAATGGGAGTTTATCAAGACTCATCCTGGAATTTGGCCATCATTCAAAGAATTAATCCAAAACGTTGGTCCTTTACGAGGTAAGTGTCCTCACCCCATGGGGCGGAGAACCAAAGGACCATTCGGATGACCATCCTCATAAAGGCGGTCTTCGTACTGCATAGGATCAGGAGTCATGGGGGCCCGATCCACATCTATTACTGTCTGTTACCAGAATGGAATGGATGGGATGAAACTTATCCTAAAAGTCATCTGAGTACCTATTCGTACTCCGACCGTGGCGGAGTGGACTTGATAGAGGTGGGTTCATGAGTAGGCCGGGCGATGGCTGTTTGCGAATGAGGAGTGGAGGAGATGGAAACATGATCTGTAACTAGAACTATGTATTTCCCGGGGATTATTCCGTGGGGTTAGGGAGGATTCACGTTGATAAGGGAGGACCGTTACTTCTAAAGGATCGTTAGGTAATAGAGACGTATACTTAACCGATCCCGGTTCCGCCACGATCTCGCTCGGATAGAATTTGCGCTTATGATACACGAATGATAAGTATCGAATAAATATCCATCCATAACCATCGACTAGACACACGAACTTATAATTATCCTTATACTCTCGAGTAAGGTCCGGTCGATCCTTAGCCTCGTGCTATTTTTAATAATTGATCAAAGCCCGGTACATCCTCGAGTATTTCCCCCCACATGTGATGCATTTAACCCTGCTGTCACTGAAGTGGTCCATATCAATGATGAGTCTCTCCACAAGCTACTGATTGGCACGGCCACTATAATGACCCCGGTGATGTTTTGCCCATCCAGTCGAAGCAAGGTATAGTGAAAGTGTCGGGCATCGTAGGCATTTAAACACAACTTGGAGATATAGCGCTGGATTTAGTTCCCGATGGATGAGATCGTAACCTTCTACACTATAAGCATGAATCTTAAAAGCAAAGGTGGTATTAGCGAGACTCAGCTTATGGGACATGTACGGCTACGACAGCGGCATGGAATATTAGGTACGATATGGCACTGAATTGGCTGGAACTCGGTAGACTAACCACACGAACGCTATCCCTGAAATTGTATCTCGCACATGGCCCTATCAACATTTTTCTCCTATTACAAGTACAAGGGTATTCCTTAAACTTTCTAGAATGCTACACTAAACCGTTTTTGGTAGAATCCGCGACAGGTCGACATGATTGGCTAGTAAACTCGATCTGTAAATATGGACTCTGATCTTGGCAACTGTGGGTCTGTCAAGCGCTCGCAGAATCCGCCCAAAAGGGTAATTCCTCAAGGCAGGGTAAAGCGACGATTCGGTTTTCTTATTGAGGTCGAAATATTTAAGGGTCCAGGTTGAAACAAGAACCTTGACACGTTTGTCCCATAGCAAGCTGCCCTTCTTGATTATCTTCGCGACATAACTGGAACGTCGCTTCATAATAGTGTCGAGAAACACGAATTGATCACGATGGAAGTACCTCGACAATATGCGGCTCCGCCACCACCGTACGAAGAGTTGTCACGAAATTCCAGGGAATATGAATCTCAGCAAAATAGGCATTTAACTCAACATCCGCGGCCCTTGTATACAGCACATTCACCCCGTGCTTGCTCTCGCTCTTCGCAGATCCAACCGTCAGATCCGACACAGCCTCACCAATATTCCGACCCTTCAATTGATACTCCATATACCTCTGGCCAACGCGATACTCAAAATCAATCGCAGCTCGCATCCCATTATGGCCTTTCGAGCAGCTATTCAAATTCACCATCATCTCAGCCAAGTACACAACGGCAGCCTTCTAGGACACGACCTTGTGTTATTCCTCGTAAGAGAGCTTGCCTATAATCCGAGGTATAATTTCAAGATACCAAAGTCTAACACATCTCTAGAAATCACAAAAGTTTTCGGCGCCGCATTCATGAGCCCCTTCGTTCGCGCCCGTGCACCCGAACTCGAACAACGATACGGTCTCTCCTCCTCCGAGTTACTCGCGTTCATCGACGGCCTCAATGAATCATTCATGGCCAATCCCGCATTGCAAGTTACAAACACCATTGGAACAATAGTCAGTTTCGTCCCCCTGCAGACTGCACAAATAGTCGGCGCAAGTCTCAACGTTGCCGCAGGCCTGGGAACTGCTGGTGTATCTATGGTACGGACAAAGCGGTATATGAAGCAGGCGAACGAGACCATTTTCAAACCCAGGGGTCTGCATGCACAGATTTGTAAGACGGACAAGATGCTTAGCCAGATGGGGATGGCGGGTGATACTGCTGTTTTCGCAAAGGGCCAGGCTCAGGCTATGCTTAGCAGTGCGCAGGCTAATGAGCCTAGTCGGCATGCTATTGCGAGAAGGATGCAGGCTCTAGGTGATCGGGTCATGTCTTTGTCATTTGACAACGTTGAGGCACTCATGTCACCGGATACTTGGGCGAAGTAGATGGGGTCGTTTGCTGCTCAGCGCGCTGAGAAGAAGCAACTTGAGAAGCTTCAGAAACAGCAGGTCAAGGCTGAGGAGAGGGCGGATAAGGACGAGAGAAAGATTGCTAAGGCTGAGTGCAAGCACAGTAGCGCCGATGGGACGATGGATAAGATCATGAAGCAGATGGAAGATATTCAGTACCAGATCCAGTCTCTGGATCCCAATCGTCGACGATATGTGAAGCATCTCAGAGAACTACAGCGGGAATATCGGGAGCTTGAGCGAAAGCTTCAGCAAGTTGAGGCTAAGGGAAAATCTCGGCACGCCGAACGGGTTGATAAACAGGATCGGAGGCGGGATGAAAAGTCCGAGAAGCGAGAGAACAAGGAGGCGAGGAATATCAACAAGATATACTGGATAGTGATCAACGCGGAGGAAGAGAGCGCATTAGGCGATGATGACTGGGCATCGGATAACTCGTCCGAGGTGTCCGCCACGTATGGGAGGTATCATCAAGGGCTTTGATATGCAAACTGTGTAAATTTGGAGTCGTGCTATATAGATCATGATTTATTAGAATGTATACTTGCAATACCATATTTTGATATCCATCTCGCTATGACAATGAGCTCACCTTCATACTCCGACGTGGCATATTCTCCTTCCGACCAAGTTCAAAACCATGCAAGTCCGCAACAACGGACATTACCGCCTCGAGCCATGGCTTGATCCGTCCTTTATCTTCATTTAAATGGAGATGGGCAACATTTAACGGGAAGATAAGCATGAATGCCCCAGAACTTTGACTGAAAGCGTGAAGATGATATTCTGTCATTCGGCATATCTCGACTGCAACATCGTGTCTGGTTCCTTCCATTGGTAAGAGAGGATCACTGATAAAAATATCAGATGATGGCATGTCAATACCGAACATCTCTAGAGTTCTAGTGGTTATCAGCCGAATCGCGTTGTAAGTCATCAACTCTGCTGCCCGATGTGGGCTGGTAAACCAGATAATACTTTCGAAAGGGCTAGGTGGTAGTCGTATAGATGACACATCGAGATCCCGTGGTGAGATCAGGTATGTTGAATTTGGAAACTTCTGTTCCCAGTCCCAGCGCCAAGCATAGAGTGCTTCCAGTGTTGTCAATACTCGCGAGCAAAGGTCCTTGGCTAATTCCTCCTTTCCAGACTTCTTTGGATTCCATGTAAAGATCTTATCGATATCTTCAAGGTACCCAGGAAGATCACAGAGCAAGTCTTGCAGCTCTTCCGATGGCGTTTTGGTATGTAGGCCGCGCTTGGCCCAAGGTATAGTTTTCCATTCTGGGGATTCAAGGAAGCAACGCTTTCGTTCGACGAGGTATCCGGCAGCCTGCATTATATCAATAAAGGCACTGTAAAGTTTAGAGTCAATATGATGCAATTTACAATGCATGACCGCAAAGTTGGGAGAATCGCCGATGCAACGCCCGATTGGTGGCGATGTGGGCCTCTCATCGCCGTCTGGGAGAAGTTAGTACAGGCCAATGAGTAGAAGGAATGGATGTTTACCAATCGTGCCAAGCCTTTGTAGTGATGCAGCCATCCAGTTGGCTGTGTAAAAGTGATCATTTCGTAAATTGCCATGCAAATAACTGCAACGACCAGATCATCCTCCAAGGCGAGAGTTGAATCTTCCAAATTCGACCGGAGGGTCCGAAGTGCTCGCGAGTAGAACCCCGCGCCTTTGCGCATAAGATCACCGTTGCGATTCACCTTTGCAAAGTACGTTGTGGCCAACGCGCTGACCGACGTGAATGATAATGCGGCTTCGTCCTCCGTGCGCTGAAACAACAGCTCGATCCACGATGATGCCCGTGGTGAGGTTTTATCGTCATGCCAGGTGAACAATTTGCGCACCAGATGAGACGTGAACATACTCTGCTCGTTCCATTTTGGATTGACCGGTATTGACGTCAACGGCAGCTCGATAACTGAGCTTTCAGGTCTCGGGCTGGCAGTACTGCCATGGGTCGCAGTACTAGCACTGGTTGATGAACTGAGCACATCGTTCTCCACGGGCTTCTGTTTCGCCGACTTCTTGCCTGTGAACTGGACTGTCATATCGACAAATTCTGGAAATTGTACATAGCCCTCGCATTTCAAGCTCAGCTTTTGACAGCGCTCGCAGGTTGGTTTTGCTTCATCTAAGATCACGTCAGCCAAGTCGAACAACGAGATTGAGCCAGGGATAGTATCATCGCACCGCATTTTACTCTTCGCCGACGACAGGTCTTGCAGCCCTTGCTGCGACCGCCGATTCCCACCATTTTCAAGTCTGAATGCACGCCGAGGCGGGTGGCTTGAAGCTTGAAGAAAGATCGAGGAAAGTGAGATGGCGCATTGGGGAGGATGTGCTGGTGGGTCAAAGTGGGGGCCCAATCATCAGCCTCTAAGATCGGGGCGATAATAGGTTCTACAGAGAACAGTAACGAGGCTGAAGCACTATACAGCGCAATTGTATGATCATGTTAATGAAGACTTTGGGAAACGTGGAATTGTTAGTCCTTGTGTACGTGAGGAAGTCTTCTGAATAGGGAGATAACCGCTATGAGCAACTTGGAAGGTACAAACTATGAGAACGCCCTTTTTGAAATAGTTGGCTTTATTTCCAAAGAAAGAATTTCCACTCTCCATATCTCTCACCATTCTAATCAGTTGCTCGTTTTTGCCAAAAAGGAGAATTCCTTCAGTCGCGGTGGTCAACATCTCTCGCTTTCCTTCCTCACTTTCCTTTCTCGCTCTCTCCCTCACCCTCCTCCCCTCCGGACCTGCCCACCAACAAGCCTCCTCTTTCAACTCCCAGAACTCACAATACTCATACCATCCATTTCATCGTCTACCTCTGCCTATTCCACTGACAGCTGAGACCGACGACGCATCATGGCGCAGACAGGACAGACAGGGCTGCCTGGCCTGACTCTACCACTCGACTACACCCCCGACACCGATGTGAGACAGAATGACCAAGATACTACTACAAAGACTGGAACTTCACTGACTTTTGACATTTCACGAGGCAATAGGACCACCAGGTCATGTTTCCCCGTGGCCTTGACTGGAAAGTGGTGGAACGAGGAGCTTGCAAGTACGTGGCCGCGCTTGACATTCTTTGTACTTTTGCCAACATACTGACCAACATCCGGTTTCATACACTTCGTGAAATTTTTATCATGAGAATGATCAACGATCTTACGGAGGAGGAGGGGTGGCATTGGCGTGAGAAGGTCCGTCTCCAAACGATGTACCACATCGGAGTCAACGAGTCATCTAACATACACCCCATTGATTTCAGATTTCGAGGGTTCGATGGGTACATGCCATCAAAGCTGCCTTCAAAAGAAACAAGAATGACGTTACTTCCTCTATGCTCAAGTGGGTCATTGACGAACGTCGCTGGAGGGCATTCCTTTTCAAGCAGTCGGGATTCACACTCGCTTTCGACGCCATCTTCAAGTCTGATACTGTGATTGGTTCCGAGCTTCACCAGAAGTTTAAACAGCTGGTAGACCCGTTTGAGCAAAAGATGGATGAGAAAGACTCGTCTAAGAGCTGGAAGATTGTCGATCCAGCCAGATATCCATTAGCCTACGGCATCACCCGAGTTGTTCACAATGAAACCATCCACTTTGACAACTGCCTTAACGCGATCGGAAAAGGCTTTCCCCTCTTTCTCTGCATCCCGGGCTCGGGCGCAGCAGCAGCGGACCCTCTCTGCCCAAAAGTTCAAACAATGCCTATCAATCCAGGACCACCTCCACAGGAATACGACCGATGGGGGAGGGAAGTGGAGCCCAAGCCATACAGCTGGTGTGATGAACGGTCCCAACTTCTGCCCTGCGACCTGACACTGAAGAATGGTCAGTGGTGTATCACTTCCTACATCAATGGCCTCCACCCCAGGAAGGATCAACAACTCTACATCACGATCCAGGAAATCATAAACCAGTGTATGCAACCATGGGGCGGGTGTCTTGCACAGTGGAGCGCCAGATGGAATCGCATTTCACATTCACGAGCTGTATTCCAGTCCCCATTGGGGAGGCTCGTGGTACCAGAATGTCTCTTTGACGACCGCGCATTGGATTGGATTGACTGGAAAGTTGATAAGTGGAGGCAACGTCGATCTATCAAGCTCCCAGAGCCCGCGGAATTTGATAGCTCCAAAATCCCTCAACGAAAAGTCAATCTCACTGAGAAGTTTGGGTCCACTGGAATTCAAGTCATTGTTCAACTCGAAAGTGTTTTTCTCAAACCCAGAAAGGAACTAGGAGAAGGATGGAATATGGTCGCCAGTGATCATTGGCATTTACAGGGTCATTTGGTATCTTCCCTCACCTGAGTCCGATCTGCATCGTTATCAACAAAACTAACTCTGATAGAACGAACACATCTGTGCGACTGCGGTGTATTGCTTTGGCCAAGAAAACCTTGCCAGATATGGCTTTCAATTCCGCCAACGTTCTGACGAAAGCCAAAAGGTCCTCAATAGCAGAGAGTACGAGCATCAGCCAGTCTGGGCTGATGTTTGTCGAGAGGTGTTCGGTTACGAGATGGATGGTGATGATCTTTCAGTCTACCAGTGTCTCGGCTGGGTCCCAATTCCTGAGCGTCGGCTAGTGGCTTTTCCAAATACAATGGAGACGCGAAGCATATACTCATTGGAAGATGTGTCAAAACCTGGCCGCTGCAAACTCCTGACTCTATCGCTCGTTGATCCGCACATGCGAATTATCTCTACCTCCAAGGCTCTTCCTCAACAACCGGAATTGTGGGCCCCGAGACAGCAGTTGATCAACACATTTCTGAGATCCAAACTCCCTCAGGAGCTGGTGGATATGGTGCAGCAGTATCTCTCCGAGGCCGAAGATGGCCCATTGTCTCCGGAACGACACAAGCTGATCACGCAGGCTTCTGTTGCGAGCAGGAGAATGTTGGAGAAAAATCAAAAGAAGATCTTCGGGCTTCCCAAGTCGCATAACCCTTGGCGTACATGGTGTGAGCCAGATGCCGAAGGTGATTGGATACTATACTAGATCTTGAAACTGATCGATGTACCCGTTGTGTGTTTGAGTCTAAAGCTATGTATCTCTCTTTTCATGTGCAGATGAGTTGCCACACACTTGGTCCACGCATCGAGGTCCAGCAATCAGGGAAAGGGGCAACAGGAAGATGACCAAGGAGATGAGCAGGTTGAATATTGTTAAGTGATTCGCAAATCTCACGAGTCAGCTAGCATTCCATCGCTGATCATGAAGGCTAGTCTGACAAACAAAGATCTCAATATCATTAATATCTAAGAAGATATTTCCAACCTCATGGAGAACGAAATTGCGTAAATTAGGGAATGTTTAGAAGAGAGGACATAAGAGTAGCCTTGCAGTCCGACTAGTGCTAGGTGGCGTCATCAACAACTTGCATTGGTGCTATCTAGAAGTGAAGGAGACGTGTGGATATTCAGCTGTCAATGGATTTCATTCAACCCATACTAAAATAGAGCCTCTTGACTGTGAGTATGTATGCCTTCGACTCTCATCGTACGTCTACAACCGCGTTTTCCCGGGGCTCTCCGTCGTCTCCATTAACGAGAGAAGCTTATGGACCAAGTCCCTATCCCCATCATAGGAGACACCCACTGGATTCCCCCCAGACAAGACCTGTAACAGCTCCGATTTTGTTAAAGTCAAAGTCAAACTCGCTTCACTGTGCAATTCTTCCTTGGTGGCGGCATTCCTGTATGTCAAGGCGGCATTGCTAATGTTCACGTGCCACCAACGCTGTTCATCTGTTACATGGAAGTCAATAGAGAAACACTCCTCTGCTGCCTTGACACCATCCAGGCGAATGGACAACAGGGTCAGCCACTGTTCAACGCTTTGTTCCGGTCTCAGTCCAGTGCTCATACTCTGCCGAGGATCGGGCCTGTTCCCCGCAAGCAAGGCCATAGCACCCGTGAGATAGAAGTTGCGCCAAGTGCCATTCTCCGAGCCATAACCGAGTTTTGTGAAGACGGACGCTAGTGCTTTCTTCGCGCCAGTATGTGACGGGTCAAACGTGACGGCGTGGTCCAGCAATGTCGCTGCGAATCGCAAATCGCCAGCCTGGGCAAATCCTTCTGCTTTTCGCACAACCTCGTCGATTCCCCCCATGCACTCAATATATCGTTTGGCACTTTGCTTTGGTGGATGCTCCCAGAGATGAGCAGGGTTCCCGTCGAACCAGCCCAGATACCGTTGGTAAATGCCTTTCACGTTGTGACTGACAGATCCATAGAATCCCTGTGCAAACCAGGACTTTTGCAGAGAAGGCGGGAGAGTCAAGTGCTCTGCGATCTCGATACCGGTCATGCCGTGATTCATCAGTCGTACTGTTTGGTCGTGGATGTAGGCGTACAAGTCTCGTTGGTCACCAATGAATTTCGCAATCTCTGCATGGCCCCAGGTAGGCCAGGCGTGACCAGCCAACATGACCTCTGATTCCTTGCCGAAAAGAACCAGAGACTCATCCAGATACTGAGACCAACCCTTCGCATCACGAACTTGGGCTCCACGCAAGGTGATAATATTGTGGAGCGAGTGCACGGCACACTCGGCGATATACAAAGCTCGCTGGTCAGGGAAATAAAAGTTCATCTCTGAAGGGGCCTCCGACTCGGGCACCATCTGGAAAACGATTCGGACCCCATCGATCACTCGTTCTTCGCCGGTTTCACGAATGATCATGTTCGGTGGAACCAAAGAATTGACGCCGCTGGGAACACACATGCCAAGTCCACAGCCAATTTGTCCCTTAGGACCCTTTGGAATTCGATTTCCATACATGTATGCGGCACGTCGACGCATCGCATTCCCGAGATACAGGTTCTCACTGGTCGCCTCCTCCATGAACCCTTCGGGAGCGATCAACGGGATCGAGTGTGTCTTCGCGACCGGGAGTATACCCTGAGCACCACCAAAGTGATCAATATGCGAATGAGAATAGATGACTGCGGTCACTTTGCGATCACCACGGTGCTTGCGGTATAATGCCAGTGCCGCAGCGGCCGTTTCGACCGAAGTCAGTGGGTCAATCACAATGACGCCCTCCTTTCCTTCGACGATCGTCATGTTGGAAAGATCAAACCCCCGCACTTGGTAGATTCCCTCCGCTGACTTGAAGAGCCCCTGGATGCTAAGCAATTGGCCCTGTCGCCAGAGCTTTGGGTTGGCCGTTGGCGGACATTCGCCAGCGAGGAAGTTGTATTCGTCATTATTCCACACTACCCGGCCGCTGGCAGCTCGAATGATGCATGGGCTGAGGGCATCGATGAAACCCCGCTTCGCATTTTCGAAGTCGGTTGTATCGGCAAAAGAGGGTTGGAACTGTTGGTTTGACATAGCTGGATATTTGGAGGGTGAAGAGCACGGGCAATGGGGATGAAGAGCATTTCATGGGCAGGTATGTCGGCTGTACTTATATGTTTCCAGGCCTGCGTTGCAACGGGTCTAAAATTGCATGAATTCGCCATCGCTATGTCTACTCCATTTCGCCTAGTTTATCTGAGCTCCACTCAATGACCCATTCAAACTCGTCTTTTAGGTTACCTCTTCGTCTACAATCCGTGGTAAACTCCGACTGCCGATGGGCGTGGTAGTGCGTTAACCCTCGGCCACCGGCCCAAGCGGGTGCGGGGGCGAATTAGCCTCTTTAGGAAGTGGTTTCGCGGTCAATCATCGTCATGTCAAGTGTGTTAAGAAATACGAGGCGGAAAGATTCTTTCTTTTTAAGGCTAATGTTCCGTCATTCAGAAGCTGAATCTCGATTGGCATAGTCCGAACTCTCATATCTCGTTCCTCGCTTTAGTAAGTGTACCGGAAACCTGGAAGATTGGCAATGACAATCTCCCCACGAGCCACCTTTCTGTTCAAAAAGTAGAAGCGAATTGACAAAAGGACAACCAAAACAATAATCAGACATGACAGTCCTACGCAGGTCAGAATGCCAGGGTGGTAGGTCGGCGCATCTTGCGATCGGTATACTAGAGAACCGGTCATGCCGCCCGATGCACCTAATCCGACGAAAATGGCACTGCAAATGGCTCTTTTCCATTGGCCTCGAATGTTGTTTGCCTAAAAATGGTCAGAGATGGAGTATATTTGTATGAATTCCATTGAACAATCACCTGGTATGCCATTGCCGCGGGGACATTGGAGTTGGCGCCCATCGTGGTTAAAAAGGCGCCCAACAGGCGAGTTCCATTGCCTTTTGTGAATCCCTAGCGGACAGTTAGCTCGGATTTTTCACACCTTCTTTTTTGGAGATACTGACCATCAATGGCAGACCAATTATGGTAAGCATCGCGTTGAATATCAAGATCGGACCACGGATGTGATATCGATCGCCGATCCAAGAAGTGGCGTACATGAGAATTCCAGCAGCAGCATATGGAGGCGCAAACAAACACAAGGAAGCGCCCATGGAGAATCCCATGCCTTGACGATAAATTATGGGCAGGAAATATGATATGGCGTAGGCGGTTGTGGTTGTAGAATAATAGATAAAGCCGAATGCCCAAATATTGATGTCTAACCCAGCGCTAAGATATTTCTTCAGGTTGAAGGGTTCGACTGTCACGTCGGCTCGATCCTTGGTGATACGTCGGATGATGAACTCGTATTCACCTTCAGAGAGGAACTTCTGTTTGTTGTCTTTCATACGGTCGGGGAAATCTATAAGGACAAAGTAGCCAATGGTGGCTACGACACAAGTCAAGAGACCTTGAATGACATAGATCCATCGCCACGCCGTGAGGCCTCCCAGACCATTCTGTGATATGTTAGCGTAACTCATGGGTATCGTTCAGCTGATCACTCACCATAAAAGTAATGCCGTAAGACAAGATACCAGTGAAAGCCGAGGCCACACATCCAAGAAGGTAGAAAATAGCATACCGCTTCTGGATATCGTATCGTGTGTACCAAGTGGAGATCAAGTATACCGAAGCAGGGAAAAAGCCAGCCTCAAGGGCGCCAATGATCACACGAATTCCAACCATCTCGGTCCATTTCTTGACAAATCCAGCAGATAACTAAACTCATTAGTACGGGACCGCGACGCCTCGGAGTGGATACTCTTAGATGGGCCTTACCATAACAGCTCCCCACAGAAAACAAACGCCCGAGAGATAACGGGTCGGACCGATCTTGCGAACTAGAATGGGGCCAAATATTTGTAGGCAGATATAAGGAGGGAAGAACGACACTGCAATCGTGCTCTGTCATATTGTCAGTCTCGTAAGTGAGTAGCGATCTGGTCAGCCAGCATACATATTGCGTTCCCTTGAGACGAAGCTCCTTGTCCATGCCAGCCACAGATGCAGTGCCCAGATTCCCACGGTCAATGAGGGAGACAGTGTGGAGAAAACCAAGCATCACGATCAAACGAGCATCAATACGACGAATGATCTTGCGCTGCTCGCGATAAGAGTAGACGGGATCATTGTCGATGCTGTTCAACATCTGCTTATGAGACTCGACTGGCTCAACATGAGCCTCTGAGACTTTTGCATCTTCTACTGTGTTCATAATGGAATCAAAAATCAATGATCATAAACAAGTTTGGAGTTCATTCGGAAACGTGAAATATGGTTCTGGACAGTTAAATATAGGGGGGTTTGCTTGGTATATCCAAGGCCAAGATGGTGAAAGACAAAGCGTATATGTTGCAATGCTCTCGGCCAACACAATGGCGCTTAGCGAGCATTTGATGTGGATTTTGCGGGGAAGTTCTTGAAGCTATGTAGCTTCAAGCTTGGATTTAGTTTAGACTCATTCTTATTGGTTGGTGAAGAGGCTCTTTCCCCGCAGATGGCATTTCGGCCCATCGGCGTTTAGCTTGCGTACAGTTGAAATTGCTCCTATCGCCGATTCCCCGAGTACTTGGCTCGGGTATGACTTTCCACACGAAAGCACGAACAGTGTTTTTGTGAAGTTAATTGAGCATATGATCTTGGAATGCAACAATTCTTCAAACTTTTGTGCAATAAAATGCGAGCAAACTCAGCGTCAATGACGCGGAAAAGGGAATATTTCCATCATGGTTTCTTAGTTCCGTGCATCCGAGGTTGAGCGACAAACTGGAATCTCTCTGCATAACGCCGAAACCCGAAACTGAACAACTTTCACGATCCACTTCCTATCCATCTAGATCTTGAAGATGATAAAAAGCCTCGAATTCGTCATAATAAATTGATTTTGCGACATCAAAGTCGACTTGAGATCAAGATACTTCAGTGTCTCTTCTAGCCAACATTTTCGAACCTATACTCGGAAAGAACTTTCTGAATCAACCTCCTATCTATAGCCACGATGCATCCTCCAGCACGTCAACACTCAACAGGCTCACTGGATCAATTCGATCCGGTGATGGTGACTCCGGTCATTGGAAACGAGTTCACTAAAGGGACATGCAACATTGTTGATGATATCTTACGCGCTCCAGATGCCGAGAAGCGCATTCGTGATTTGGCTATCATGAGTACCAACACCCCTCAATCTTGTAAAATGGAAGAGACACTAATCTGAATTGGAATCAAAAAAGTCGCCGAACGAGGAGTTGTCTTTTTCCGCGCGCAGGACAACCTCACCAACGACCTTCAGAAGGAACTGATCCTTCGCATGGGTGAACTAACTGGTCGCCCATCTACCAACGGCCTGCACATCCACCCTGTCACAAACGACGCCCGCGAGTTCGGCGACCCAGACCCCGAAATTAGCACCATCAACTCAGAGGGCCGCAAGAAATTGTACAAGGGATCGAACTACACCAAAATGGCTGCTGTTTGGCATAGCGATATCTCCTTCGAGCCTGCGCCAGCTGATTTTTCGTCGCTGCGGTTGACCCAGCTGCCAAAGACTGGTGGTGATACTCTTTGGGCATCAGGATATGAGGTCTATGATCGAATCAGCAAGCCTTATCAGAAGTTTTTGGAAACTTTGACTGCCACCCATGACGGTGAGGGCTTTAGGCGCATGGCCCAGTCTGGCAAATTCCATATCTATGATAAAGAGCGAGGGTCACCTGAGAATGTTGGTGGTGATCTCTATGCCATTCACCCTGTGAGTTTAGACAGTTGTTCGCCTCGGGGTGACTCTGCTGACAGAAGTGCAGGTCGTGCGAACTAACCCTATCACGGGCTGGAAATCTATCTTCCCAATTGGTGAGTTTCAATCTGTAAGTTTCATGGAAGTATTCAGACATTGATCCAGTAAATAGGCTCCTTCCCATCTTGCATTAACGGACTGAACCGCCGAGAAAGCGCAAACATGCTCCAGTGGTTCCATGATCTCATCACATACGGGCACGATCTCCAGGTTCGCTTCAAGTGGGCCCAACCCAACGATATTGGTAAGTACCAACTCTCGTCCTACATCAAGGAATGCCAGCTAACGATGACACCAGCCATTTGGGACAACCGCAGTGTCTTCCACACTGCGACAGGTGACCACGAGGGCTTCGGACCGCGCAGTGGAAACCGAGCTGTCGGTGTTGGCGAAGTCCCTTACTTTGATCCTGCGAGCAAGTCGCGTCGGGAGGACTTGGGTATTGTGGAGGACCTTTCACCATGCCATCTGTAGAGAATCTAGATTAGATATAGCAGTCCACGGCAACCAAGAAATTGAGAGCTACCACAGGGTCACAATACATTTTAGGTTATCTGTATGTGCAAAGGTTTGTTTCATGTTTTTTGTATTTATCAACCGCTCGTGCTTTATTTTTATTTGTATTTCCGGATTAAGATCAAGATCGCCAGCCGAAACCATCGAACGTGGGCAGATTGAAGGCATCAGCGGCCCAAAAATCCTCCGTGAAGATTCCATGTAAAGGTAGAACTCCATCCATCTCATTGCCGGACATATCACCTTGCAAATTCATGATTTCCTGGAGGTCCGAGAACAAGTCAGCATTTGCCGAGTCAAATCTCTGCGTGTTTGTCTCATGAATCGTCTCATCTCGTGGAGGCAGCCCCTGGGGGCCTGGGTCTGGATGTGACGCTGCAGGTATGGGCAATGGTTCGTGCTCTGTTCCATGCGAAAGCAGAGCGCCTTGGCTTGTTTGTTGTGACTGCGAGACCTCTTGAACAAAATCCATCGCTCGGTTAATTATTGTCTCAAGCCCGTCGCGATATGTTTTGAGACGCGGGTTATGCTCTGCCATGAGAAATAGTGCCGACGAGCAGGCACGTAGATCGTTAGATACCGCGGGTGTCCAAAGGCCCGGAGATCGAAATAGACAGTAGCTTTTCTCCCATTAGCGTTCAGTCACTGCATGTTGAAACCCGTTAGCTCCACTTACCATATTGTGATGCCAGCCATGAAAACCGAGTTGACTAGCAGAAACGAAGATCCCGAAGCAGACTCTCGCTGTCTGAGCTTCTTGAAGAACTGACACATTTGACCTGATGCGAATAGGCACGTCCCGATCAAGCTATCTTGTGGATGCAAGAAACTCAGGAACGGCTGAAGCAAGATTCGGATCGAGTTGTTCCAGTGCATATGCAAAAAGTCGCCTTCATCCACATCAAGCGCTACTAGCGTGCCTTTGAACGCCTGCAGTGATGACAGTAACGGACCAATTTCCGAGGTGAGAGCAGATATCTGTGTATCAACACGGTAAATGCGCGTATGAATTCGAGACACGATCCGTTGTAATTGTATCGAAGCGATGAATCTTCCAAGTGTGCCTTTGTGTGGTCTACCCCGACCGACTGACCGGTTATGCAAGATTCTCTCAATAGCGCTGTCGTTGGTGATAGAATCATCGAGGTTGGAAGGAGGTTCAGCGTCAATCTCCTCTTCTACAACACTGAATGGTCTTCCCATAGACCACGCCGTATATCTCTCTATAATATAAACACTCCAAAAGAGACGTCGTCGCAACTCCGTTTCATGCGGTGATAGTCTTCGATAACTGGATTCTCTATGAAAGCCAAAGTCCAAACACGTTCTCATAGCCAGTCCAATCATATACCAGACGCTCGAGTTAGAAGTGGAACGTAGATTGTATAGAACGAGTAGCAGCATTGCCTCGATACTGGCAATTGATATGGATTCCCTCAACGTGGAATCAAACTCCAAGGCAGTAAGGAGATATCCATTCGATGAAATTGAGCTGTCATTGTCTGTCGTGTGACGAATTGCAGCTCCGATCGCATACACCATGAATAATTTGAATCTTCCGAATTGCGCCTCTGGCGTATTCTCGGGCGGTTCATGTCTCTTGGCGTGTAAGTTTAGAATTTCGGTGCGATCTAAAAACGGGAGCCTCATGTGCATATTGAGGAAATAGGAATCGAGAATTTGAGACCCTATCGTGTCGTCTGGTGGTGCCGCCTTGACCTGCACAGTTTCTTGCACCGATCCCGGCTGTTGGTTGTTTCCACTGATAGGCAATAACCTAGCCCCGACCGAATTATGGACAATGCGACTGACATTTTCTGCCATAGAAAGTCCCGATGATGGTCCAAGATATCCCGGTTCGCCATTTCCATCATGGCCCAGTGTAAGAAAACGAACCACACCTTTGAGATGTGCCTTTCTCGAGGCACAGGCTTGTGGACTCCTCTGGGTGGGCGATAGGTGAGCGAACCCAGAGTTCTCTCCGATATCAGGTACATTCCGTTCCAAGGCCGTGGCCAGCTGGGCTTCTAGAATCTCGATTCTATGGACCAGCGCCCCTTTCGACATACCATGGTGCCATGACGGCGCACTCTCGGAGCGAGAGCAAGGTTGATTGGCTGATTCACAGTTAGAGCACGTGGGGGATCCGACACATTTTTGTTTACGTCGGTGGCAGCGCCTGCACGACTTCGGGATGCGCTTGCGAATTCTGAATTCTGGATCCATAGAGTCGGTTCGATAGAGACCAGGGGGGTTTGACGCGAAAATAAAGCTTTTTTCTCAGGTTCCCCGCATCTTGTTGGTTAGGGCCGAGGTACACTTAAAGGGTTTTGTGTGATGGAGTAATTAGCTTTACAAAGCACGCCATCGGCTGTTTAGTATAGAGGAATAGTGTATGAGCTACCACAACTTGTCGTTTCTATATAGACATTTCATATACTTCTGCTACATCAAGCCAAATTTTTAATTATTATGTCACGCATCAAAAACTATCGGAAATGTCCTCCTTAGTACCCGCTTATGCACCGTAATACGCAGTGGGGTTTTCAGTAGAGGGGTAGACAACCCTATCTAAGTCAAACACTACCTATCATACCGCAAGCCTCTCTTCTAGCGTTTTCCTCATTGCCTTAGATTGGAAATGCCAAGAGAATGAGGGAGCAGGAAAATAGAAAACAAGAGCCTTCCAACAATTTACAAGTAGGCAGGATAGGCTCAATTAGACTCAGGTGACAGATCCGTTCTGATCACGGGCTAAACAGTATCAAAACTCAACCAAATCGTCATAGAACCACCGAGACTCTTCGCACAACGCACATTTGGGCAGTGTCTGGACCGCAATGGATCCCAACGTCCAAGTCGGCAGATCTAGCCGAGGCCTTGTACAGTACGGTCGCAATGACTCCGCCAATGGAATGGCGTCGGTGGGGGCCCGAGACGGAAAAGCAGGTTTTTGGGCCGTTGACAAGTCAACTCGCTTGTGGCACGTTCTCCGGGAATTTATTTCCCCTTCTTTTTGTATATCCTTCAAACATTCTCACTCCGCTCCGCTCCACACGTCAAAAACACCCGCACTCTTGTTGTAGGAATGCATGGGACTCACAGTCATGGATCAGCCAGGCTCTCTCGCCTTTCATCCGTCCACATGTAGTACCGAGCGCGAGAGAATCCGGGAATTATCTAGGTGAGTAAGCTTTTATTCAATGTTGATCTTTCCGCCGATCCGTTATTCGCTAACCGCTCCCGAGTAGGTACTATTGTGCCTTAGATCGCCCACTGTCACTGTCGACCCCAACAACCGACGATGAGGGGCTCGAATCAGCTCAGGATATTTCAGGGGGGGACGAGCAGCCGTCGATGGGTAATCTTTCTACCGATATCACGTTGACGGCGCTGGCGCAGCTGGGAGTACATCGATTAGCATGCAATCGGTCTTTTGTGTCGATAATTGACGGTGGTAATCAACACATTATCGCGGAAGCTACAGCATCAATTTCCTTGTGCGATAAGAACAAGCACTTACCGAACGATGGAATTTATCTTGGGGCGCGAAGTCTGGATCTAACGTTCGGGGTCTGCCCACATGCAATCAGCTTGTTTACTGGAAGAGACACGACCCGCGCCATCAACACCGACAATATCACTGCCAATCGTACTCGCTACATTATTCGAGATCTCAAGCAGGAGGAGCTTTTCAAAGATCGGCCATTCGTTCGGGCATGGCCATATATGCGATTCTATGCGGAGGTACCGTTGTACAGCCCCTCCGGCTTCGTCCTCGGATCCTACTGCGTGATTGATGATAAGCCCCGGGTGGAATTTGGAGAAGATGATGTGAACACACTGAGAGAGGTTGCCGATGCTGTGGCACGGCATTTAGAGCATGTTCGCATAGTCCACTGTCACCGTCGATCTGAGCGTCTGATCAAGGGATTGACCAATTTCGTTAAAGACCATGCAGACTTTGACCCGCGCGAAGTATCCAATGATCACCGACTCGAAGCAATGGCCGTCGCATCCAATGTGAATACCTCGACTCCAGATGAGAAACCGGGGCCTATTGAATCCACGTTGAACCAGCAGTTCGGCTTTGTGACGTCCTCCTCCACCAGCCTTTCAGAAGAGCCCTCTTCATTGTTCTTTACGGGTCCTGCATCGGGGCCGACCGAGCCGTCATCTCTCAACTCCAACGTTTCCGACCGTCGGTCTTCTCCCGGCGAAGAGAAGTCCATTGATGAGGTTCTCAAAGCCGGTCCCCAGCCATTGGAGGAGGTATCGAACAATGCCTCTCAACTTTCTCTGGCGGAGAGCACGTCATTGGGGGAACGTATCGAGCGTATCTTCGAGAGAGCCAGTGTGTTGCTGAGGAAGTCCATGGACCTTGATGGCGTAGTCTTCCTCGACGCAGCTCGTAGTAATCCTTCATTGTGAGTAGTCACCATTCTTTAATCATATTCCTAGAACATCTCGCTCACGTTCAAGAAGCTTGCCTCCAGATGATCAGCCTGGCTGGGAGCCATTGCCCAAGACCGTTGTACCCGAGTTTCCCATTGCGCCGTATCCCAGTCCCTTGGGACGTTCTCCGACGTCTTCCAAAAAGTCAGAGCTGTGCTGCGACGTTTTGAGCAAGTCATTGAAAGTTAGAAAAGGCGAGACTCTCGATTCAAAGGCCGACATCACTTTCCGGGAGGATCTTCTGAACTTGCTGGTTACTTCGTTCCCACAAGGTCAAATCTTCAACCTGGACGATTCTGTGGATAGTGATGATTACTTGTCCTACGAATCGGGGCTGAATGATTCTGAGACTCAACACAAACTTATGCAAATGGCCACACGACAGCTCAGCCAGATCCTACCTGCTGCCAATTCGGTTCTGTTCTTCCCATTGTGGGATCATAACAAATCTCGTTGGATGGCAGGCACGCTTGTCTGGACGCAAGATAATCACCGAGCTCTGGGAATTGAGGAACTTCACTATTTCAAGATCTTCGGTGACTCGATTGTCTCTGAGGTCTCCCGGGCGCACTGGGCGACAACCGAGAAGTCCAAGTTCGATTTTATCTCTTCAATTAGCCATGAACTTCGATCGCCGCTCCACGGAATTCTGGCTAGTGCGGAACTGTTACAGGCGACGTCTCTTGAGCCAGCGCAAGAGGAAATGGTCAAGATGATTGAGGCTTCCGGGTTGACTTTGTTGGATACCACTGATCATTTGTGAGTAGCCTTGCAGGCACGGTTTGCAATCTAGTACTAATAAATTCACAGGCTCGAATTCTGCAAGATCAATAACCTGACTCAAGTCAAGAGATCACGAAAGAAGAAGACTAACAGCGAAGAGTCTAGCCTGGTCTCTGACTTCCATCTGGGACAACTAGTTGAAGAGGTTGCCGACATCTTGTATACCGGGCAGAATGCCTCCGAGATCGTGTCCCAGACTGTTCAGGCATCTTCACCGGAGCGTGCGCAGGCTGGTCTATTCTCGAATGACATGACGGAGGATATGTCTGTGATTATTCGAATTGAACAGCGCAACTCTTGGCTCATTCGATCCTTGCCTGGCGCATGGCGGAGAATCGTGATGAACCTTCTTGGCAACGCTATCAAATGGACCAAGTCGGGATTTGTCGAAGTATCTTTATCAAGAATGCGGAATCCAATTGAGCCGCGTACTCCGATTGCGCACTTGTCAATCACCGACACCGGCAGCGGTATTGCGCCTGACTTCCTTCGACACAAGCTTTTCTCTCCGTTTTCCCAAGAAGACTCCCTCTCGGAAGGTGTTGGACTTGGCCTCAGCATCGTTCGTCAGCTGGTTGCTTCCTTCAATGGCCACGTGAATGTCAAGAGTGAGGTTGGTATCGGGACTCAAGTCGACGTCTACATTCCAGTGGAGCTTGTCAACAGCCCAGAAGCAAGCCCTGCATCTTACCCATCTCCTTTGAGAGTTGAACACAGCCCCGAATCGCCGCTGCGGGCTTGTTTGGTTGCTTTCAATGGGTATCCGGATTTGCAAGAAACGCCAACTGGAATGTTGAGTCTGGAATCGAAGCGAAAGTTGTCGATCCAGAGTACACTTGCGGATGTATTCATGTCTCACTTCGGTTGGTCTGTCTCGTTGGCAGAGACTCTCAGCAAGGGACAAGGAGATATTGCAGTCATCGAAGAGGCGGTTCTGAGAAAGGAAGCAGAGGGTCTTGAATCACTGGATCAACTAGCATCGATGCATGGATTCAGGTTCTTCATTGTATTGGGAAGCAACGCATCTTTCTTTGAAACCTTCCTCGCTCCCAATTTCGTCTGGGTTTCGCAGCCGTACGTTATGAGCTTGCTTTCGTTTGTTGTTTGAAGTTTCGCTAACAAAAAGCAAACAGATTTGGGCCGCAGAAAATTCAAACCGCTATTCAAAAGATCCTGGACTTAGGAAAACTGCAACCTGCGCCAGACACTACCCCGTCAATAGCCCTCCGGCCCTTGCTTTTACGTTCCGAAGTCCAACCTTCCCCGGCGCGCGACAACCTAACCATCCCAATGCCTACCTCTCCAGTGCCACGTCGGAGTCTCTCACACTCCCATGCCCTGCCGATCCGCCCATCTCACGAGCCGCAGGATATCCACGTTCTCCTCGTTGATGACAACGACATCAACCTCAAGATCCTGGCCACATTCATGCGCAAAATCGGCTGCAGCTACGAAACCGCTTCGAACGGCCTGATCGCTCTGGAGAAATACAAGGCTTCAGAACGGCGATTCGACTTTGTCCTCATGGGTCAGTCCATCCTGATATACCTGATTCCAAAATAATGACCCCCGGCTGACCTCGTTATTCCAGATATCTCAATGCCCGTCATGGACGGCCTAGTTTCCACCAGCAAGATCCGCCAGCATGAGAAAGAAAACGGCCTCGAACCCTCTTGCATCATGGCCGTCACTGGTGTCGCCTCGGACGCTATGCAACAACAAGCCCTCGCAGCAGGGATTAACGACTATCTGATTAAGCCCCTTTCACTTCAAGAGTTGAAGAAGATTATGAGCATTACGTGATACCAATTTTAGTGAGCGTTTAGCGAATTTCAAGATCTTGATTTGAGCGTGGGTGTTTTGGTGTCTTTGTGTTTTTCTATATCTGAATTAGTATTCTTCAATATCGTGATTACCTGAATCCATCTAGAGAAATGTGAGGCTGCTCAGTCCGGCTTTTGGGACTTGAACCCTGCACTTCTCTGTCATTGATGAGTATATTACTTCAGCTTGTCGCCTGCTCGTGTATGGCTGTTAGATACGGTTGGTCACTACCTACCTAAGTAAAGGGCAAGAAGACTATCTCGGCTCAAGAACCGAGATTCTTCTAAGAATGACTGGATGCACGTTTGCTTATGAGCGAGAATCTTATGTTGCTTTGCTTCGGTGCCGTGGCTGTTGCATAATATATACTGAAATTCTGATCCCCAAAATGACTGCAAACATGAAATTTCCGCTATGTTCCTGTTGTTTCACGTAGAACGTTCTGATTTAAAAAGGTCCAAATATTTTCTCTTTGACTATCTTTATCTCTTGGGTACTCAACTTTCTGCACTTATTCAGATACGACTGTTCTGCCTAAACGACACAAGTTGACGCATGTCGATCATTGCCTAATCTGACATACTCTAAACCGGCGAGGGAATTGCGCAAAGCCCTTGCTTGATGATTCACGCGTTTGTCTTTGCAACTCAAGTTTGAATTTTAGATTTCTCTTTGATCAAAATCGAAAACCAGAAGAATACCTTAGTGTGTTTGAACGATCGGTGTGCATTCGGCTCCAAATCTGGAGTCATTTCCCCGCGCCAAAGGCTGTTATCATCTCTACATTCGATCGCTCCGCTATGGCGTCACAGGTAGACACCGGTGTCTTCCAAACCATCGAGACGGTCAACAAAGACAAACTCGTTATCAGAGACAAGCTCTATGGCGAACATATAATCACCGAGCCTGTCCTGATCGATCTCCTCCAAAGCGCCGAGCTGTCGCGCCTCAAAGGCGTCTGTCAACATGGGGTAACTGCTCTCCTTGGCTTTGGACCCAAAGTCACCCGCTTCGAACACTCTGTCGGTGCATTTTTGCTTGTACGCAAAGTTGGTGCCAGCGTCGAAGAGCAGGTAGCTGCACTTCTTCATGATATCAGCCACACGAGTCTCAGTCACGTTGTCGACTACGCACTGTCCCAGCCTGGAGAAGACAGTTACCACGAGGTCCACAAGTCTCGATTTTTGAAGACCACTCGACTACCCGAAGTCCTGACTCGGCATGGTTTTGGAGATCTCAAAGCTCTTGACGAGGAACTCTTCCCGCTCGTGGAACAGCCATCACCCCATTTATGTGCCGACCGGCTGGACTACTCGCTTCGTGATGCTCTGGCGTTTGACAAATTCAGTCTCGAATACATCCAGCAAGTCTTTCATTCATTGAAGGCGGTCCCTCATGCCACCTCTCCCAATCGCATTCTCGCTTTAGAGGACCCCCAGCTTGCGTTAGCACTTGCTCGCTCATACTTGGCTACTGATCGAGACGTCTGGTCAAACCGATCGCATGCAAATATTTACAAGAGAACAGGCCGAATTATCGCGGAGTTGGTTCGATCTGGGCGTGTGAAGGAAGATGCACTTTGGATTCTATCTGATGATGATTTTTGGGCGCTCCTGCGTCGAGAGGCATCACCAGAGATTTTGCGTGAATTGGACAGGCTCGAAACAGAAGGTCTACCTGACGAGAGCAAGCTCCAACTTCCTCGAGAGACAAAGATTAGGACACTTGATCCAGATATTTGTCAGGGTGCTCAAGCGGAGCCATTGCCTTTGTCGGTTGTTCTCTCTGAATGGGCTGCAGAGCGCCAGCAGTACATTGCTGGCCGTGAATCCACGCGAGAATAAGGCTTGCACAATGATCCATTCACAATTATGACTTAGGGTACTTCAAAATAAGCTGGAAATGATATAAGTAGTAGAAAGATTTCTTCAATGAACATTGTCACCATCCTTTTTCAACGGTTCCAATGTAGCAAAACCTGATTCAAAAATCCGAGGGCATTCACAGAGCTAATATAGAACGAGTCATTCAAGGAGAGTCTTCCAGTACCTATGGAGGGGCATATGTATCCAAGTCCGGTTCAAATGCAGGAATTTCGGGTGTTCTAATCACTCGGTCCACTATTAAGCCTGGATCTGGCTGGCGTGGAGATGCGAGAATCCTCAGAAGCTGCCCAGTTCCACTATCAGTATGTCTCCCCAGAAACCATAATTTCCACTTAAGGCAGGAACAACTAGAGTTCCCTCAACGCGTCTCGTTATTTTGAAGAAAATTTCCTGAAACTCGTTCTAATATGTCCCTAATTTCTCGTCAAATCACTTTTCATAGAGTGCTGCGCGACAGATTCTTCACTCGACAGTGGACCTCACCTCTCATGACCTCCCACCGCGATGACACCAAGCGCCAGTGCACCGCAGACGATAGGGATCTTGCCGTTCAATCAATTACAGTGACCGTACACAACCAAGAAAATAACATCGACGGGGTCCCTATCCACCGCAACCACGCCACGATCTATCCCATTGTCCCCAGGGAAAACTCCATTCGGATAGATATGGTACTCAACTCAGCAGACGATACCGCAGGCTTTCTGGAAGCCATATACTGTTACTACACGCAATCACGCGGCTCTTTGATGAACTTCGGTCTTTCTGTACGCCCTGGGCTTCTTGTCCATGATGTTGTTGACCTGATATACGCAAACGGCCGTCAAAGATACAGGTTTACACGATCCCTGACCGGCTGTCGATTTTGGGTGTGAGTACAAGACTTCCGGTTGCCTATTTGCTCAAATATTGAAACTGATTGGGTCTTAGGTCTACCGTGATCTACGACTTTGAAGCGGCCGGCTTCTTGTCGTCCTGGAGTTACTATAATGCTGATGACATCAAGGAGCGTCTCCAGTACAGATATGTAGTTGGACAGGCGCCCGAGGGAAATGAAATGGAGCAGGGCTGGTTCTTTTGACATTCGAATAGTAGTTCCCTCGTCTACTGAATAGTTCAGGGGGATTTCCAGTGAAGAATCTGGGTTAGTAACAAGCATCAACGTCTACCTGAAGACCCACATGGGCTTGGTATACCTCTCCCACTATCTAAATTTCGAGCAGATTTCTAAAGCTATCTCAAACTAGCAAAGATAGACAACTTATATAAGCACTGACAGGGAACAGCCAGGTTCTGCATCTGTAATTGGATGACTTCAAACTCACCCTAAGCGCCCAAAACGCGTCAGGCGGAACGAACTCAGCCTCATTCACTCTTCGCCTCAGATCCTTCAGTCACTGTCCTCGGTCCTCCTTGGAACTATTAAAATAATTGTCAAGTTTCTATTACCAGTCATCCAGTCTTAACCCACGGTCTTGATATTCATCCCGGTCTCACAATATCATGGGTGAGCCCTTCTCCGTGGCGGGGAGTGCGGTGGGGGTCGTCTCCCTCGGCCTGTCGATATGTCAGGGTCTGATCACATACTATGGCCAATACAAATCTTTCCACAAGGAAATCAATGATGCGACTTCGCACCTAGAGAATTTGGATTGCATATTGAAGGTGTTGATGAATACACTCAAGAAAGGCGAATTACAAAATGCTTCCTTTACAGCCGAGCCAGCCAGAATCGCCGAAGACACCATTCGTCGTTGCGACCAGAGATTAAGAGAGCTTGAAGAGATGTTGCAGAAATGTCAGGAATCCGGCATTTCTCCAGACAAGATATCGAGATTTTCAAAAGCTCAGGCATTATATCCGTTTCGCCGTGATACCTTGTTGGCTCTCGGGGAGTCGGTGGGCTGGCTACAAGGCAACCTTGAGAATTCCCTTAGCCTATTGAACCTGTAAGTCTCTTTATCGTACTCCAGGCTCCAGCTAATTGGTCGCACAACAGATCATTAACGATCACGGATCATCTACAAATCACTTCTATTGCGTCAATCTCGGTGTCCACCCATCAAAATATCGAGTCAGTCAGAGCGCGCATGGACCAGATGGTATTTGTCCCACCATTACAATGCTAAATCAATTATTCTCACATTTCTCATGTCACTAGGAGTCTACAATGCATATCGTTGGCTCTCAATTTACCCAGCAACCGGCCGTCCTGCAATCTCTTCTCGAGAAGACGGAGCAGCTTGAACGTGATATGAAAATCCTTACGCTCCAGCCTTATAACACTCCGAAACTGCTGGTAAAACATACCTACCCTCACACGTCTTCATCGAATCTCTCGTTGGGATATCCGCAGAACAGGACTAGAAGGGCATCGAAGGCTGCACACGGAAAGCAACCCCACGCTCAAGAAAACGATTCCTTGGGTTTTTACAAATGTCTCTCTCTGTGGAAGGGATTCTTGGACGTAGCTCTACAGATGTCTCTGAAATTTGTTACTGGGGCCAGTGGTAATTCTATTAATCAAAATCCAAGGTACCACGCAACTGTGCCCTATGACTCGCCAGCATTTGCTCTATTGAGAACCATGGGCCCTAGCGCGCAGAGGATTCGACTTGGCCAGCGTCATAGCCAATTATTCGAGTTGTTTCGTTCAGGAAAAGCGTCGCCATTGGACAAGCTACCAAACGGAGAGACACTCCTATCTGTCAGTTTCACCCTCATCCACCCTCTATCCCATAAACATCTTCCGTGTTTCACGGATATTTGAATGGAACTAGTTCTCATACATGAAGTAGAGAGTAGCCGCGTGGCCCCTTCTCGACGCGTCGGAGATTCCTGCTTGGCGTGCACTTATGCAAAGCCTCATACAGTGTGGTGTATCTCCCGACGAGCCCACCGTGCATGGCTCCAGGCCAGGGCACACAATCCTAAACCAAATATCCATATTCCATCTTTATATGTGGGAGGAACGATCCGTCTTGAAGCAAGAGCAAATAGCTACATGTCTGGAATACTTGGACTCCGGAGGTATTTTGGTTGTCTTTCAACCCATCATCCCTCCTTATCCTCTGAGTTACGTGGGGAATGGCATAGTAAAACGCGGTCTGGATGTCATATCCCAAATCATCGGCCGAGGCGAGTTCTATGGTTAGTATTGAACCCCAAGTTCCACCATCTGCTCTAACTTGAACAAAAACCAGACATATCAGACTTTGATATCCCAGAGCCACTGATTCCTCTTGTATTGCGCTCCCAAAATAAGCTAGAACGACTCCTGAAGAGAGGGGTCAGTTTTCAAGCGGAACTTGAGTTTTACCCATCATGGCCCGAAGGGCTCGGCACACTGCTCCAGGCAGGGTACGAGCCAGACAAAGAAACTATGGGGCGGGCTCTTAATTCAGGTACCGCTGCCGTCCGGGTGTTGAAGGACACGGGAAAGCTGTATCCTGAGCTATGTATTCCTTTTTTGGCGGAATGTCCATACCCCACTGCGAGGGAGATAGTTGTCCAAGAGCTAGCCGAGGAACGAAAGCAGCTATGGAACACTGCATTGACTCATTTACCCATGGAGACACTCTTACAGCTCAACATTCGGCCAGATACTGTTTTGGGTTTCAACGCTGCCCAGGTTCATTGCCTACTAGAAACTCACGGCGTCAACACTAATCATATCGGAAGCAGAGAAGGCTGGCTTATCTACAGAGCGGCTAAATTGAATACAGAGCTTGCAAATCAGATGTGGGACCACGGCTTTCGAGACGTGGATGAAAAGGACGACATGGGCATGACTGCTTTGATGAAACTTCAATCATTCCTCGACTTCGGCAAAGGCCCGCCGGCTCTCAAGCTTTTAGAAATGGCGTCTTGGCTTATCAAAAAAGGAGCCGATGGCAGGCTTTGTCCGAAGATATGCGACTACTCGGCCTTGCATTTTGTGGCTGCCTCTTTGGCTGAATCCCTGGGTTCTTGGGGTTGGGTTGCTACACAATCAGAGACCATTGAGAATTTGTTGGCAAAAATGAATCCCCTTTCCCAATTACCATCGAGCCTGGAAGCTGTGCTGCATTCAATACTGCTAGATGACTCTCGGGATTCATGCAGCTGCTATTGCTCCCCAACTGGATGCACTCCTCTCGCGGTATTCCTCGGTGCACTAACCAAGGGCCGTAATGACATTTACTATGTCAAAGGGATAGCCAAAGTCATTCTCCCATCCATTTTTGCGTCATTGCCCTCGAAGTCACCTGAATCCTTTGAGGAAAGAGTAATTCCACAGGCACTTCGATTGATTACATTCGAGGCATTGGAAATCAGTCATACATGCGCACATCCGACATATCAATGGTCCATTTTGGGGTCATCAGACGACAGTGGTATAACTGCCCATCCTGCAGTTCCATATGCTCAGAGACTGGTTTTCCAACCATTTGAACCGGAAGAGGTCAAAGAAATCCACGAAGAGGAGGCAGCCCTGATTGAAGAACTCGAATCTCTTGTTATGGAATTTATTTCCGACTACAAGAGGCTATGCCTACCCTTTGAAGTATTCATACAAGAGCACTGGTGGGTCCGGATGCAGGAGGTCCTTGACAGACAGGAACCACCGACTGAAGAGCAGATAGATCAAATTCAAGGAATTGGCGTTGTTTTGGAAAGCCAGAGCGAGGAAGGCCTTGATTCAGAGACCGATGATTATCTTAAATGACGGGTATGAAGTGGTTTATTTCTTCCAGCGTACATGATTTAATGCCAGTACCTAAACCTATATCACACTTGGCTATCTAACACCAATCCAGTCACGGCTCTCGTGGCTTCCAGAACTAGAGTAATCCTCAAAAGCAGTAATCAACTAAATCAATACAATACTCCCTTCCAGAAAGAAACTTCACACGTTGATGTAGTAGCATCGTATTAAGAAAAGTAAGTAGATGCAATGGGAAAGAGGAAAGGAGAGCGAGATATCGATATCCACGTGACGATGCCTACGGCACGATATATCAGCCTCTTCGTGACTTATCTATCTGGCGGGCGATGCAATACTAGATGCTACCCATTGCCACTAAATGACACAATACACACAAAATACTTTACTCAAAAGCAGCACAGCCATCAGAAGATACAAAAACCCCGCTATCCACGGTCATAAATTCACCAATACGTGCACATCTCACTCGACGATGATACAGAGAGAAAAAAAAACAAACCCAAACCCATCACACTCAAAACCCTATTTACATAAACAACTTGGTGCAAAGAAAGTGACAAAAAAAGGGCACACTTGACAACTAGGACAAAAGACTAAAACTGCAAAAACACACACACACAGCGCCACCGAGCACGCAACAAGCAAAAAGCCAAAAAAGCCCAAGAGAAAGACAATGGCAATGGCTAGCAGACCGAAGTATTGACGAGCAATGCATCGTAGAGGCGCCCTACTACACGCTGCCAGCCCTTAGTCAGGGTTGGAGAGGATGGGTAGTACACCAGGAATGGAGGAGCAACGATTGGAAGGGATGGGTGTGAGCCGTAGAGGGTGATGTGCGTAACGAGAGGGCGGGTGGGATATTTGGAATTGAGGATGAACAGACGCGTGATGGAGATGTGAGAATGAGAAGAGACTGAGAAAGAGAGGGTAGGATTGATCGTGGATGGTAGATAAGGACGGGGAGACACGGACACGGACAAGTATGGAGAGCGAGAGTTGAATTGGAGAGGGGGGTATAGAAAGGAAGAGAGTTACTAGAGCTAGAAGGGGGGATGCAAGTGTTGAAAGATGAGAAAGAAGCCCGGAAAAAAAATTTACCTGCATTGCATTGTACAACGGCGCAGAAGTAGTGCAGGGAAGGGGGGTAGGGGGGTATCTCTCTATTCCTGTCCGAATCCGAGCGTCTCTTCCACAGCAATGGACATCTTGTGCTCCAGGGTCTCGTGAGTCTTGTACGGAGGCAGATCGAGACGGTTAAAGCAAGTGTGAGACTTGGGCAGAGCCGCGGGGTCACCAGACTTCTCGATGGTGAACCGTCTGGGTCCATCCGAACCCTGCAGATCCTTGAAGCCGTTGACGGGGATACGCGAGGTACCAGTCGTGAACTGGAGCAGACGCGACTTCTGCTCGGCATCCCAGCTGCGAACAATCTTCCAGAAGTTCTGGATAACCTCATCCTGCTCCTGGTAACCGCGGTAGTCGGTGTGCTTCTTCCAGTCATCGACATCGATATCGGCAATACCACCGATGAGCAGCTCCAGCTCACGCTCGTCGAAAACGTTGACAAGGTCAGCCGGGATCAACTCGTTGAATCCAGACATGAATGCATTGAACTGCTCCTCAACCCGCTTCATGATCTTCCACTCCGTCACTAGCTCGATATACTGCGGCTTGTTCTCGTTGGTGACGGGGATGTCCCGACCACCGGGTATCAAATCAATAGTCCGACGCTCTCCAAACTTCTCATCATCCACGGAGAATGTGAGTTCAACAATTCCCTCAATGTCATTATCCCTGCGCCAGAAGTCAGTATAAGGTCAAAACGGGGCTTTTTACCAAAGGGATGTGGGGTAGTTCTTACAAGGTCCAGGCCAAGTTGCGATGCAAATCCTCATCGACACCCTCCATGTCTTGCAGCGTCACCTTTTTCCGCAACATCATCTTGTAGAAGGCACCAATGAAGAACGAGTCCAGGAAACGACGATGGAAAATCGCCAAACCGACTACTCGGCCGATGAACTTGAAGTAGTTCAGATGCTCAGGGTTGACGCCAGAGTGGGGATTAATTTGCAGGGTATAATTGTCATGAGCGGAATATTCGAAGAGACAGTAGAAGGGATTGAACATTTCGTGGGAAAGGAGGAAGAAGAATTCACTGTCAAAGAGTTAGAAGTTGCAAAAATGAGTGAACATGGAGAAATATCATACCGAGAAAGACCACCATAGTCGAGACCGTCTTCACCGTCAAACTTGATCATCAACCGCTTCTTGAGGTCGGAGGCGCTCTGACGCATAATCTCGGCGTACGAATCCTCAAAGATATTATTACGGCGAACCTTGACATGGCACTGTCCGGACATAATCCGCAGGGCAGGTTGCGAGCGGAAGTAGATCAACTTGCGACGGAAGTCACGCTTGTACTGGGGAACACCCTGATCCAGTGATGAAGGCAGTCGGGGATCGTCCCAAGTAGTCGTCTTGGTGTTGTGATCCACGAAGTAGACTCGAGCAGTATTGGTGAGACGCATTTCCCAGCCGCTCGGTAAGGGTCCGAGTTGAGACACGGGCTGTTGCTGAATAGTAGTGTTGTTTCCGCCTTGGTTCTGGTTTTGTCCATACATGCGGATGTACTGCTGTCGGCGAGGATCAACCCAGGTCGTGGTTCGCGTATTATGATCAACAAAGTATGCTCGTCCTTCCGGAGTTTGCCTTTGCTCCCATCCTGGCGGAAGCTCTCCAGTGCCTGCAGTGGTTGCTCCCGTAGCCATCATGGAGACTGCATTGGCATGAGAGCCTGCTCCACCGGCGGCACCACCAGATGCGGTAGGGGAGGGGGCCGCGGCGCCAGGTGGTGGCGTAGCAGGCTGTTGGCCATCGGGCAAGTTGGGGGAGTTCGCGCCAGTACGGTCCTCGGGGAGCATTCTGCTTTGGTGAGCGCGACGCTCCAATTGCATATTCGCCTCACGCTGGCTGCGCTGGGTATGTTCGTTGTAGTTGGCGGATGGCCGCGACCAGGTCGTGGTGCGCGTATTATGGTCCACGTAGTACGTCCGTCCCAAATTATCTTCTCGGCGTTCCCATCCTGCAGGTAGTCGACCCTGGCTGTCCTCGAATGAACTCAAGTTGGCACGCGAGGGAGCATTGGCGCCAGGCGGGGCGGCCCCGTTTGGAGGACCGGGCGGGGGTTGAGTTGCGGAAGCCCGATTGTTGAGCGATGAGCTGGACGCAGCTGGAGGTGTATCGATATGGCTGGGGCCGGCCTGTGGTGTGGAACTCGAAGCTGGGACCTGGGGTACGAGACCGCTGGAGGTGGAAGACTGTGCCTGCTGACGTTGAAGGCCGTTGCCCTGGTTTTGGGTGGTGGCGGTGAGGTTAGTCGACAAGTTGATGATTAGTTTTCCATGGACGACGAGGTTGTCATTTGATTTTTTGAGGTCCCGAGTAAGCATCTCTATAGTGAAGTGAGAGACAAGGGTTAGCTTTCATGCGGTCTAAACGTGACAATCGATTCGGGGGTAATCATCCCAACTTACCATCACCTCCCATCTGAAGATCGATGACATCGCCGATGCGCACATTGATCACACCCAAGAAACCCTGATCCTTCTTCTTGAACTTCTTTTGGTCGAAGATCTGAATCGCGAGAATACTGTCTTCGTTGACTCGCCTAACAGCAACCGCCCGTTAATAAACACGACTCGATCTCCAGGCGGAAGTGGGGTAATTGATGACATACAGATCGAAGGGCTCATTCCAGTATGGGTTCAAGGTCTTCTTAATCACAGAGGTCGTATGAGTTTGCTCGCCGCCCACGGTAGCCACCGCGAAGGGATCGGGGAAACCTAAAATGACGAGAAGACGGGTCAGCAAATGTAACCCCGCTTGACGCCATGATCTTTGGCAATTCAAAAGGGGAAACCACATACGCAAGAGATCGCGCTTGTATAGACCATCTGCAGCGATAACTATATTGAGAAGAAAAGGGGGGTGAATTAGTATAACGTTTCGAAGATTGCGGTCGACCAGCCCCGCAACATCCCGCCATGGGATGCAGGGCGAACAAGGAACAAGGCAATCTTACTCGTGACTCGGAGATTTGGCTGGCTATAAGAGAATATCAGCATTGAGGAGGTATATAAATTTTCCGATCGGAAAGTAAAGAATACTTGGTGTTCAAGTAACAGGAGGGGGTGGGTGGAAAACGTACGCTGGCAGATTGGATGCCATGGTTGCTTCACGAGCACACCGTTCGGTGCGAAAGGCCGATCAATGAAGCCCAGGCCGAGAGACCGAAGCGCACATCCACGAGCGGCAAAGTCGTGGCGATAGAATCGCAAGGTTGTGATATTGCCCTGGAAGGAGACGAAGGCGGTGGATGTGGAGGAAGGCTCGAGGGAGGGGGGGGAGGAGGAGAAGTGCGTGTGCAGTGGTGATGTTTGATGAAGATCGAAGGAGGAGAAGAAGAGGGAGGCTTAGTGTCCAGTGCTGGTAAGGGTTGGTACGAGTCAACGTGCTTAGTCGTACTAATGGTCTCTTCTAGGCGGTGCTCAGGTCCCGTATTGATGGTATGGTATCGTATTCAATACTAGTCTCCCGCAGGTACTCCGCCTACGTAACGACTATGAAATCCGGCCGTATGAGGTACTTGGCTGGTACATGATTGAGTTTTTCAGATTGATCATGATGGGTACGAATAATATGATATTACTAACTTCTTTCATTCATTATTACTGCTTGTTTACTGGGGCTGAGCAACACGATTGTCGTCCCTATGGGCTGGACCACATCGGGCATCTGTCCAGTCCGACTAAGCCACAATCCAAATGCAATATCAGCCACTGATGTAGCATTTAGATATCGCCTGGTTAACAGTTCGCCATACATTATCCATGTAGGGCAGGTTATCCACTGCTCTGCATGGTTAAATGGAGATGTATGGAAGGGGATTCTCTACTTTTGAGCTAGTTCCATGCCCATACACTTCATACTTGCTTAGGGCTTGACGGTTAATCTCAGCGGTCAGATCAGGCTACGGATCTGAGGGTCATAGTGACAAGAGCAACAGACTAGTAACTTTGTAGTTGATAATGCGATGTACTCTCCTACAAAGATGCGAAGCACATTTAAATCGATAAACAACTGGTCAGGCTGACTCTGCAAAAAAAAAAATTAGCCCTGGCGGGTGCGTGCGGGAAAGCCAGTGGCAAGGTCTGATAATAATAGAGCAAATGCCATCATACAACGGCCCTGGGACTTTTTTTCTTGTATGTACCCTATTCGGGCACTAGTTCGAACTTGATATATTCTCTAGGCAGCGAAATTAAATGCTGACTCCGAGTACGAAATACCTACCGCAACGAGTCGGGTACTAAGCGCCCAGACCGAACTACTAGTTACTTATTCCAGTACATATTGCGATGGAATCCCGATATGCCCAGCGCATGATACCAGCAAGTACCGTGGTTTACTCTTCGCATCTCCACGCTATACACTCCACATCCAAGCAACAATCTAATCTCAGCTGGTATATCTGATTGCCAATTATCTGATGCGACAAAAAAAGAACAGAGAGAAAAAAAATAAAATAAAAAATATCCCCGTCATTACACAATTTGCCTCAAGCCACCCCCTCACCATAAGAGGGCCGCGCTTGATGTGCCCGGCGGTTATTGTACATCCCATTTGACCCACAACTCCAAAGCCACGCATACACCGGCCCAGATGTACCCAGTGGCAGAGAGAACCAACCAATTCATGTCCCTTTTAGAAAGGTCAGGAGAAAGAGAGAGAGAAAACTCGGAAGCCAAGTGCCGCGGGACATTCGGATGAGAGGTTGTGGGGTTGATCCATATCCTTTCTTACGCCCACCCAATCCCCCTCTGTCCAGCTGTCCATGCGGATATATGGCATCGAGAAGTGGACTTGTTCGAGAAAGCTGCATTTTCTAAGCCACGGCGCTTAGTAGGGAGCATAGCCACGACCCCGACCCCGATATCCACCACGGTAGCTGCCACGGGGACCACCACGCCCACGGCCGCCACGGAATCCACCCCGTCCACGACCACGGGTCATACCAGGAAGGTTGGTGCGCTTGGGAGTGACCTATTAAAAAGGAAGAGCATATAAGTTAGTCTCGTGAAGCATCAATCCAGGGCGAATATCGTGAAGAACTGCTAAACCCACCTTCAGGTTGCGGCCACGGAAAACACTCTCATTCAGAACCAAAGCCTGGGCCACGAGACTGGGCTCGGCAAACTCCACGTAGGCATAACTGCACAGTCAAATATCAGCCTCTGCAATCTTGTAAGATGTATCGTCTTCAACAGTGATAGAACGCACCCCTTCGGCTGGCCCGTAAACTTGTCCAGCAAGATAGTCACCCGGTTGATAGAACCGCAGCTCTGGAAGTGTGCCTGAATCTCCTCGGGCGAAGCACCATAGTCCACATTTCCGACGAATATACTCCGCGCATCAATGTCCTCTTTGTTTTCCTGGAGACCCTCGGACTGCTGGTCCAGCGTCTCTTGCATGTCGCGCAACTTGGCGGCCTCGGATTCCATCTCAGCGACTCGGCGCTTCATGGCGGCAATCTCTTCCTAGAGTCCAAAAATCACAGACGTTAGCTCATTTCATAAAGATGGTTTCTCGTGGCGGTAGAACGGAGCTTCAACGCGCCAAATCTGCAGCTGCGCCGCGCAGGGTTCCCACGTACCTCATCATCGAGACCCTCCTCCTGAGGGGGAATCTGCTCCTCCTTCAACTCTGTACCTTCGGCGGACATCTTGACGGTGGTTGTATATGTGGCGGGCGGAGGGTTAGCTTTGGTGAAGAAAGCTCCTCGGAGATGAGAGCAGCAATCGGAGCTCTAGGACAAGGCGATCGAAACGAATGCGCAAGGGCTGGAGGCGAGGAATTTGGGTTGGGGTAAAAGGAGAAGAAAAAGTCAGATCTAAAATAGACTGGACAAAGGATTGTCGGGCACAAAGAAGAGCGATTCAATGGAGATATTTGCGGGGCGGAAGGAGATATGAGGCGCGCGATGAAATTGGGACTTGGACGATTGCCGTTTCGGGACTAGTGGGTCTCTGCCTGGATTTGTGACGAATGTTTAGGTCGGCACCTCAAGGTTACCGATGAAACCAAACATGATTTACTGAAGCTGTCTTGGAGGACCAAAGTTTCAGGGAACTGAAACATTAAGTTTTTAATATGGATATGCTCTATCCATTGGAAGGTAAACTTCAACAAGAGCTAAGGTTTCTACGCCTACAGCGGCATCGTGGTAGACGGAAATCCATGACCAGACACTATGCACAAACAATTGATATAGAAACATATCTCTAAACTTTGCGCATGATCAACCTAGCTTGAGGTATCAAAAATCAATTGAAGCAAAAGATCCAAACTTGCTAGAAGGAGAATAAACATGAGGGGCGGATAGAAGCGGATAGAAGAGGACTATATACACGGGTGAGAGGGATAGATAGGGGGGAGAAAAGGAGTAGATAGGAGTGAATCAGGATGCTGGCGCCGCGGCTGGTGCAGGAGCATGGTTCTTGCGATATGAGACCTTCTCAACCGACACGTTCTCAACACCATTGGCATCCGTCTTGAGTTGGTACACGTAGAGCACCAGAACATCACCCTGGATCTGTTTCCTTTGTTAGTTTATACCCCTCAAACACAAAGGCACAGCTAGCATCACTTACATCCATCAAGCAGAAGCTCGGGGTTGGCTCTTCGCCCTCCGGCCAGAATCCTGAGCTCATAGCGCCAGTGGCACTGCCCGGATTGATAAAGAAGCGACCCTCCATCTCAAATGCCTCGAACCGGTGAGTACCACCCCAAAGCAAGATATCAACGTCCATCTGTCGGGCCGCAATCAGCAGCGCATCCGCATCGCCGGGTGGGATGATCGTATGTCCGTGAGTGAAGCCGATGCGCAGGCTGCCGTGATTTACGACCTTGGAAAGCGGGAGGTTGGGGGAGTCGACATCGTAGTCACCCTTGACCATTTGCAGGTCCGGCGCTACCTGGCGGAGGAACTCATATGTATCGCGATCGGTCAAGTTACCCAGGCAGAGGATTTGGCCAATCTTGCCGGGGGTCAGGAGTTTGCGGAACTATCAAGGACGGATGCGATTAGCTGGGTTTGAGGCGACTATGATCATGGGAGGGTAGTTTTATGTACCTTGGCGGGGAGGTCCTAAAAGATCAGAGTTAGCTGTCACGTTCCGGGAAGCTCAGATATCACGGGCGCCTAAGCTTATGGATTGGAGACTCACAGGAGCTCGGTCAGGGATGAACAGGTCACCAATGACCAGGACCAGACGGGCGGTCATGCTGGGCTGGTGGGGAGTGGGTAATGGGAAGATCGGAAATTCAATGGGCCATTCCAATTTGGGGGGTCCAAGCAGATCCAAGCAAGGTCCAGACAAGAGCAACGACAGCCAGATGCGGCGATAGCATGACGGGGAGCTTCGCGGGGAAGCCACGAGTGAAGAGCCCTAAGCCCTATATCGTGGCCCAATTGGGAATGGTGGCATCAGCGGATGCGGTCCCGATCCACGTCAAGCATCCCGTCTTTCTGGGCATTGGTTCGTCTGGCCGAATCTCTCGCCCGACTGGTGTTCGGTTTGATCTGTCCAATCTGGATCAAGATAAGATGGGTGATTTAGCATTGATGATTTCCGTGCGGAGGTCGCCGTGTTGCTGGACGAAAACTAGCAGGGCAGATCTATGAACTAGGTAGTAGAATGGCATATACAGCGAACGTTATAGAATGCAGGAGGGGTCAGTGGCAGAGATGATCACATTTCTTTAGGTTATAGAGCATATGAAGTAGAATATAGAAGCTGTTCATTTGATTGTATCGTGTTTTATATCAGAGAAATCTAACTATACCCGTGAATCTAGCCGATTCCATACCTTTGTCTATACCCGACTTCGCAGGACCAACTTGGCAAATAATTATGTACAAAAACTGTCTAGATCTTAATTTCCAATGTAAATATTCTTCCATTCCGATTACCCCAGATTCGTCTACTCACCGGGAACTCCTCTGAGAATAGACTCTACCGCGTAGGCTGTGGCATCCAAGAACGCAGGTATTCCACGAGAATCGCCCGGCCGGTAGGGTCCGGCCGTCGACTCTCCGCGACGGACAAAGGAGAACTAGAAAAACGGTTGGGGATGGCAGGAATAGCCAGCACCTCATCTTCATAAATACTTCCCCAGATTCCTCCTCATCTTCATCACCATCATCCACCTTGACTTGAGATTCCAATTCCCATCTCAAGATCTATACTTCCTCTCCTGCTCATACCTCCTCCACAGCCAATCGCTGTCCTCCCATCCATTCCCCCCTCCCCTATCGGCGGCGATCCCCGAACTCTCGAAGCCTGTTTCCCTCGGGAATTCACAAGCAAGCCAATCCCTCTCAACCAGACAGTAACCCCGCGGCACCCCCGCCGCAAATCGGAAAAGCTGGCTCCCCCATCGACGACGCAGCGTCTTAGCCTGATCTCCAGACACCTGGACCAGCGCCTACCGTTGCCTGAGCTTAACACTCCCTTCTCGACCGAGAGAAACTCCCTGGCTCCCGACGACGTCGAATATAAACCCATTGATCGCTCCATTGCTTCTTCCCCTACGTCCAAGTCGCCCACCATGTCTATCCAAGCCCCTCACAACACTCTGCTCATCCCGGGCCCCATTGAGTTTGACGATGCTGTGCTCCAGTCCATGTCCCACTATGCGTGAGTCACTCATCAATTGTGAAGTTGTTCTGCAACATCAATTGAAACTAACATTGCCCTCTCCCTGATACAGTGAGAGCCACGTCGCTCCCGGCTTCGTCAAGGTCTTTGGCGAGACCTTGACCCTCCTCCGCAAGCTCTTCCAGTCCACCAACCCCTCCGCCCAGCCCTTCCTCATCGCCGGTTCCGGCACTCTGGGCTGGGACCTGGTCGCCGCCAACCTGATCGAGCGTGGCGAGAATGCCCTCGTCCTCAACACCGGTTACTTCGGCGACTCCTTCGGTAACTGCCTGACCACCTATGGCGCCGAAGTGACACACCTGCGCGCGCCCATCGGCGACCGCCCCTCCTTCGAGGAGATCGAGGCCGCGCTGAAGCAGAAGCCCTACAAGCTGGTGACCGTGACGCACGTCGACACTTCCACCGGTGTCCTCAACGATATCAAGCGCGTGGCCGAGATCGTCCGCCGCGTTAGCCCAGACACCCTCGTCATTGTCGACGGCGTGTGCAGTGTCGGCTCGGAGGAGATTGCCTTTGACGAGTGGGACCTGGACGCGGTCGTTACCGCTTCGCAAAAGGCCATCGGCTGCCCTCCCGGTCTGAGCATCGTCTACTGCTCCGGCCGCGCTATCCAGCGCGCCCAGTCCCGCCAGACCCCACCCGCTTCCTACTACGCCTCCATCGCCAACTGGCTCCCCATCATGCAGAACTACGAGGCCTGCAAGCCCTCTTACTTCGCTACCCCGCCTACCCAGCTCGTTCACGCCCTGCACACTACCCTCAGCCAGATCACCTCCCGCCCCATGTCGGAGCGCTTCGCCATTCACACTTCCGCCTCTGACAAGGTCAAGGCTGCCATTGCCGAGATCGGCCTGTCCCAGGTTGCCCCCAAGCCCGAGTGCCAGGCCCACGGTATGACTGCCATGTACCTGCCCGACGGTCTCTCCCCGCCGGATGTGCTTCCCGGTCTGCTGAAGCGTGGTGTTATCTTCGCAGCTGGTCTGCACAAGGAGATTGCTACCAAGTACATCCGTTTCGGTCACATGGGTGTCAGCATTTCGGATCCTAACCGCAATGACATTGACAAGGCCCTGGCGGCGCTGAAGGAGGCTTTGGCTGAGGCTAAGCAGGCCAAGGGTCTGTAAATGGTATACCCATGGGAGATTGGTGCATTTGTGTAATAGGTTACGTGTCCATAGATTGCAATGAATGACCTGACTATAGATCAATTCTTATGTAAAGACATGTATCCCTAGTGGAAAGAATATCAACTAGACATATGAAGTACAAGTATTAAGATACCAGGGACTTGCTCTTCCCGTGCGAACATATACTTGGCCTAGAACTTTCGGCACATTTGGAGAAATCCCGAGTAGCGACATTCCCATTCGCCTGCTGTACTTACTGATATAATCTACGATATCAACCTTTTTACAAACATCCTAACCCCAAAGCACACCTCGAGTCAATAAAATGTAATTAAAATTAAAACTACCAGGCCTCATAAAGCCCAATGCAATGCTCAAAAACAAACATCCAAACCTCACTCAACCCCCAATAAAGAAAAAGTCATCTCATCTAAAACAAAACCCCCAACGCCAACCCCAAAAACGCAACCCACCCCCCAGCAGCCCCAACAGCCCCCGCGGCCGCCCCCTGTGACGAAGTCGAACTTGCCGCCAAGCCTGTCAGCGACTTGGTCGGCTCGGAGCTGGAGTCCTCGTCGTCGGTGGTACTCTTCAGGCCGCTGGGGATACTGGTGGACTCCGAGGCGTGGGCGGACGATGCGGCGGAGGAGGAGGAACTGGGGATGTCGTAACTTGCGGTTGAGGAGGGGGTTGAGGATGTTGTTTTTGGGTCGTAGGCTTTGGCGTTGGCACAGTTTTGTTGGCGGATTGTTTGGGCGCCGACTCGGTCTGGGTGTTCGGGGCAGTTGTTGTAGCAGCTGTTTAAGAGCGGGGTTGGTTAGATAGATGAAGATGGAGATGGAGATGTGGATGGTCGTGAGAGGTGAGGGTTATGGATGGAGGGATAGGGTTGGTAACGTACTCGACCACGTTGGTGCTACCGATACACTGGCAGTCCCAGTCATATGTACCGCAGTTTTCAAGTTGGAATTTCATGTCTTGGAGGCACTGGTCGACGACCCTGGGAGGGTGAGTTATTAGCATCTGATTTGATTCGTTCGCGTGTTCCGTTCCAAGTCAGGCTTCATGCATACTTTTGCGCAGCACATTTACTCGAAGACCCCGTGCTAACGGACTTAGTCCCCGTAGTAGTCGCATCCAGGCCAACGACAATAGTAGCCGAAGCGGCGAGGAGGAGGGGAAGCTTTGTAGCGATGGAGCGCATGTTGACGGTTGATATGAAGTATAGCGGAGTATAGATTTACTCGGATAGAGGATAGATGATTGGGTGGTTGGATGAGATGGAGATGGGGGAAACAATAAATGCAAATTTCTACGAGAGGGGGAGCTGGATGATATAGCATTTCTACTTCTTCAGTTCAAGGGTCTGTCAAGCTAGGTCTTGCATTCTTGTTGTGTGGGAAAGAACGTTGAGATTCCTTCTAGTCGATCTTGGGCTGATTGCGGCGGGACTTTTGACAGGGGCCAATAATGGAAGGGGGACGTCTATGTGGATATTTTCTCCGGGGTGTCCGGATGAGGAAAACAGTTAGAGTGGTGTGTATCGATATTGGTGATCCTTAGTCAAGAAGACCATAGTTGCCGATGGATAGGGGGCGATCAAGACGAGAACATCAATTGTTAGTTGTGGCTGGTAAAGTTGGCTTACGACGAACTTTCCATGGGATGACTTCATTCTACCCAGATAGGAAGGATCATTCCTTCGAACATATCTGCCGGGGGCTGTTAAGAGATGAAGGGCCCTGTCTGCTAGAAAGGACACGTTGGAAATGAGCTTCTCATATTTCTTAGGCATTCCTACGTGAGTCTGGGGAGTTGCATTCCAGAAGGGACCTTACCCCTAGTGAGCTAGCCAATGATAGTCTTTGCAGACAACTTCTGGAATGTGAAGATGTCGGCTACTACTGGTATCGCAGGATAGGATGGAGTCGGAAGAGATAGCCGAACACATATAGAAGCAATAACGCTTTCATGAAGGGTTCGATGGTGAACGGGAACGAAAGGTTTTGAATGCATGCAAACTCTGGCAGTGCAGGGTTATTAACTATGCTATATCAAGTGGGTTGGCCTGGCAAACTATCAACTAATCGGAGACGGAGAGCATGATTAGGAAAGATTTGCAATATCGGGATGTATTGATCTTGTTGGGATTATCTGGCATCCATTCCATATTAGTTGATTCTGTGAGGATATTCCGATTGCAATGCCTACGCTTTTATGGGTGGATATTGTGATCTGACATGGAAGGGCTGGTTGTCATATCATCATCCCTTGCTACAGCTCCCACCAACTAGATACCTCAACAACATTACAGTGCTGACCCGGGCACCCAGACGTTAACAACAGACAAGCAAGAACATCTAGATAGTTGTTGAATCTAAGACATGGAAATTAGAGTTCTAACTGAACGTTTCCAAATTTCCAGACAGATATCATCTTAGAATCAATGAATTATCAAGTTCCGTCTCATTAGACATCAAAGCCGGAATGTCTAGTTCTTGTATGATCAAGTCCCGTTATGAGAATCGATGATTAATCTCATAATCTCGAGCGATTGAAAGCCGAAGGTGATTCTGGGAGCTTTTCCTAGTCCAAAGATCAGTCCAGAGATCGAGATTACAGCGAATGAAAAAGAAGGCCACCACCTCTGCTAGATTGTGAAAGTATAGAATACCCCAAGAGCTTGAATTTCTAGCCCATTCAAAATCTATAATCCATGTTTATAGATAGATAGCCCATTTATACAGAACTCAATATCGATCCTGAGATTGAATATACTAAACTATACACAACGCGCTAACAAACTCCCACCAACCCATCCTCATACATTTTAACAATCCATCTTCATCACCCACAACCCTACACCACCTACTCAACCTTCCTCCTCTTAGCATTCCTACCCGCAGTCTCGCCCTCCCGCTTCTCCCCCTCAAGCTTCTCCCTCTTCTTCTGCTTCTGCTTCGCCTTCAACTCCTTCAACTTAGCCCTCCTCTCCTCCTTCTCCGCCTTCTTCTGCTTCTTCAAAGCAAGCTTCTTCTCCCGCGCAGCAGTCTCACCAGAAGCATCAGCCCGCGCTTTCTCAACCTTCATCGCAGCGTCCACGCGCGCCTTCTGCCGGGTCGCCGTCCGGGCAACATCCTCCGGATTCTGGCCCTCGAAGTAGCCCGATACGGCGATGTTGCGTAGCACGTAGGCGGTTTTTTCAATGTCGGTGTGGGAGATGGATGTAGACTCGGATTCTGATTCTGCGGCGCGGTTCAGGCGTTCGCGGAGTTCCCAGCTTGCGTCCCAGAGTCTGCGGTATTCGGCGATGGTGTATTTGACGTTTAGTTCGCCGTTGGTACGCTTGAATTTGGAGACTGTGCGCTTGAGTTTAAATTTGGGGGGCTGGGGACCACGCTTTTTGTCGGTTGAGGCTTCCGCGTCGGCTTCTTGGTCTTCCTCGGCTGCGTCTTCTTCTTCTTCTTCTTCCTCTGGTTCGGGGAACTCTTTCATGCATAGCCAGAGGTAGACGTCGTCACTGTAGAATGGGACCTGCTGCTTGGGGTTGCCGGTAGCAGTGGCCATTGAGAGGATTAGCGAGGCAGTGGCCACACCAACGCCGCGGAGGGGACCGAAGGCGTCGATGCTGGGTTTAGGGAAAGCCTCGTTTGGCGCGAGCATGGGGTCTTCAGTCGAAAGGGCAGCCATGGCAGTAGAAGAACACTTGACCACATTCTTATTCTGGTTGGACTTGACCATTCCCATAAGAGTTGGACGGGGAATACCATGTTTCCTGTTGCCAGTTAGCCCATCATCCAAAACGGTACTTCCAGCAAAGCAAGTCCAACTCACGTCTTCCAATCCATAACAGTAATCAAATCATCCTTAATCAACACCTCACCCTTATTCTTCTCCCGCCTCTCCCCCATAACCTTGGGCATCTCCTCATACCGCCACCCATCCAACTTCAAAAACTTCTCCGTCTCCTCCTTGATATACTTCTCCTCCGAAGCATTAAACTCCGTCTTCTGGAGCAACATCGCACCCCGCAAGCTCGCCGATGCCGTGTTCGTCTTCTTCTCCGCCTTCCGCTTCGAGCCCTTCTCCGGCTTGGGCTGCAGCTTCAGCATGACTTTGCGCCGGTGCACTTGCTCGACGGTGGTCTGGTAGCAGGAGAGGAGACGGCGGAATGTGGGAAGCGTAATGCGGTGGGGGTGGAAGGTCATTTCGTCGGGGGTCACTTCTTCATCGTCTGATTCAGATTCAGACTCCGAGTCGGATTCAGAGTCACTTGAGGAGACGTCCGAGGCGGCTTCGAGGGTGAAGTCATTGGCATCGCCGAGGGAGATGAATTCCTCGGCTGGTTTGAGGGTCTTTTCTTGCGCGCCAGCCTGGGCGGTGGGGGTATCGATTTCCTTTGTCATGATTGGTGTTTTTTGCGCGATGGCTATCGTAGAATGGTCTTTTTGCTGAGAGGGTGTAAGGCGTAGTTGAAGGTTCAGGTGCCGAATTGATCGCGACCGCGATGCTGAAGCTCAATTGGTGATCTTGCGGGTTGTCAAGCCAAAGCTCCAGTTAAGGGCTGAGCTAGAATGGCAATCGAAAATAGCTTCCAATTGACCACGTCGCGGTTGTAAAGAATCCGTAGATCGCAGAACCAAATTGGTGCTCGGATGTCGCAGAACAAAAAAGCACGACGTTATCGCGATAAGCTACCACATCGACTGCAAACACCGCAATCTTGATGCCTGAGGCTGCAACGGGTCTTCGCAACAATACGTGATGCTTTGCACGAGGATCATCTTGGAGGTGCATACATCCAGTAATGCATAGATCAGAGGATAGATAATCCAGTATCTCGATTTCAACCCTCTCCTCGCCTCATGGTCTTCAGATCAAACTATAAAAGAGCAAACAGAGTCCGATCAACCTCAGCCAACATCTACACTTTACATCTGATCCAGAAAGAAAACATGTAATCAAAACCTCATAATTCTATACTCTCAAGCTATCACATTTTTGAATCTTTAATCCGCAGTCTCAACCAGAGAAAAGGAAGAAAGAAAAACAAGAAGCACGCCTATGTACAGAAACCCCCAACAACAGCCCAGCCCAACAGACCAGAAACCAAAGAACCATGCCGGCCGTAAAACAGGTCTTCATTAAAAGGGAAGAAGGAGGGGGAAGAAATGTGGGGGAGAAGGACAAGACAAGGAGGGAGAAGAGGAGGTGGTGGAGACAAGAATATCAAATACAGACGATGTCATGAAGGGGTTAAAGCAGGGCAGTCAAGTCAGGGGGGTGTCATCATCCGTTTCTCACGCGTGCGTTCTTTGCTTGGGTGGGCCGGACCAGCCGTCGTCAAGATGGGGGTGTCGGTGGCAAAGCAAGAACGAATAAGGGAAATTAAAATCAAGATGGGTAGGGTTTAAATGGGGTTTTTATGAATAGAAGGCCGAGTTGGCGTGGTACTTTAGTGTAAGTACCGTGCCCACTGGCAAAGAGGGGAGTGTGTGGTGAATCATGGGTACCGTTGAGGTTCACATGGGTGCACAGGAGAACATCACTAGTTCGACTGCGGAGGCTTTTGCCCGTTCGAGCGCTTCAGCTTGGCTTCCTCGCTGTTGGGGTGCACGAAGCTCACTTGTTCCTCATCACGTCTGCGGTCACCGAATGTAGGAACCATAGACATCTTCTTGGAGCGGCTTTGCTTCAACGGCTTGGACAGCGTAGGTGCAGCCTGAGGACCCGGGTTTGTCAATGATGGACCGGGCTTGGCTTCGGCGGTAGCAGCAGATGGAGCACCAGCACGCTCGTCATCTTCGACTTCGATGTGACGGAACTCCTGCTCCTCCTCGTCAGCCTCGGAAGAGCTCGGGCTGTCAGAGTCCGAGGCCGCCTCGTAGTCATCCTCGTCATCGCTAACCAGGCTGGGGGCTTGGTTAGACTCGAGTGCGTTAGGACTCAGGTTGACCGAGTGGTCCAGGCTGACACATTCCCGAGACGAGTCGGTCAGTGCAGGGTGAGGACCACTGGGGAGCGAGGAGAGATCGAGGAAAGACTGCTGATACGGCGGACGGGAAGGAGTCAAGTCCGGCAGGTCATGGGGCTCTCTGTCGATACCCTTGCGACCCTCCGGTCGCTGGAGAGCAGCTTGAGCCGTCGGGGTGCGCATGGGATGACGAGCAACGGGGGCGCCCTGCTGAGACGAGGTCTGATTGGTTCCCGTGGACTGGTGTCCCGATTCATCGGCATCCGAATCATCGTCAGAAAGACCACTGAGATCGACGGGAGTCTTGGCCTCGGCCACAAGCTTGTCCATGTTCAGTCCGAGGCCGCGATCGCGCATTAGTGCAGACAGATGCGGCGTAGCAGGGGAAGCAAGGAAGGAAGGATTCCTCGTAGCCTGGACTGACTCGGACTGACGACGGGGCTCGGGCTTCTGCTGCACCGTAGCAGGCGGAGTTGCAACCGCGACAGGCATATTGACCGGCGAGGGTGTCTGAGGCGTAGCCGACTCTTTCGAAGGAGTAGGGAGTTGAGCAGAGCGAATCAACGGATGCACAAACCCGGGTGTCTGGACACTGCTGGTCGACTCGCTGCGAGGAGCGGTACCACCGACGATAGCACCCGCATCATCGACTTCAACCGGTTCACCCGAAGCCATCGCAGCAGCGTCATGGCTGGCAAAGTTCCGGTTGTGCGCAATACGGCAGTGGTTGATGAAACCCTGAGTGCTCGAGAAGTTATCCCGACGACAGTCGAGACAAACCAGCTTGACCAGGACCTGATCCGACTTGCGCCGGATGAGCATCGGTCCAGGCTTCTCCTTGGGAACAGGATACCCAGACGACAAAGACTGGAATTTCGCTTGAGGAGTCCCACGCGACGGTCGAGTCTTGCCCGCCAGCGAGCTAAAGTCCATTGGATTTCCTCGGGTTGAACGACCCTCCGGCACCATGAAGCCACCGTCACGAACCGCCAGCGATCCCGTCTCGACCTCGCCACCGTCGAACCGAGGGTCCGGCAGGAGCCATCTCGCGTAGTGTCGCGAGTATGGACCCTCCGTGACACCCCAAGGCGCGGGCGAAATCGGTGCCGGGCCATTTCCAGGCAGCAGCACCGACGCGCCCGTGCCAGCGCTCACATCGGCCGACACACCAGAGATTGCAGACCCCGGGTAAGGGATCTCAGCGCAGCGTCGCAACTGTTCCAGCGCGACCTGGCACTTTGCAATCTCCTGGTCGATCAGGCGCAGCTCGTTGTGCTTGAGGAGAACCTCGAGACTGAGCTGGGCGGTGATGGTCTCGCGCAGGCGATTCACATCCGGGCGCACGCTCGCGGCCGGCGCCGGCGCCGGCTCGCGCGCTATCGTAATCGATGGCGATGTCGCGACGGGCGCTGCCACGGGTTCCGAAGCAGGCACGACGGTCGGCGTCGAGGTAGAGAGGGTTGGCGCGACGACTGATGGCTCAGGACGAGGCTTGGTTGCAGCGGGAGCGTCGGTCGCGGAGGAATCGGTGCGTTTACGCTTGAGCAAGGGCGGTAGCGACTGTGACAGGGCGTTGACGTTGACGTTGACATTCATGTTCATGCCCGGAGCGCAGCCAGCCGGAGCCAGCATCTTGACTTCCTCCGCCATTACCTTGTTCCCTCCTATGGGAGAGGGCCAGGGTAGCAGGCGAAACATGCCATGCGAGGTGGGCAGGCGAACCGAGTTGGGCTGGGATGGGCCGAACGAGGGAGGATTAGTATCGGCGATAGACGACTGGGTCCATGCGCGAGGAGTCGGACGGTCGGACAGTTTGATGAGGTAAGGGTGTTTGTTTTGATTGGAGTTCGTGAAAAAGGCACAATAAAATCTCTTTTTTCTTTGGTTTGTGGTTTTTGTTGGTACGAGACCAGATGGAATTACAGGTAGAGAGGTGAGGTGTGAAGAGAAAGGGCGTAGAAGGGGGTGGAAGGAATGGACGTCGACGACGAGAGTGTCGCGCGACCGTGTCAAGTTGGGCGAACTTGGGGGGTGGAGGCCAGGTGGAGAGATTACGGAAGAAGGTGGCGAAAATCTATTAAAGAGGAGGCGAGGATGAGAGGTGGAGAAGAGTAGAAGAAGAGAAGGAGGAAGAGGAAGAAAGAGGAAGTGGGAAGTGAGGAAAAAAAAAAAAGGGGGAGGGAAAGGAAGAAGTTGTAGAGAGAAGAAGGGAGGGAAGTGGAAAATGGGCAGACCAAGTGTGGTGGTGGTGATGGAAGGCGTGGAAGGTGTGGAAAGAGAAGAAAGGGGGGGAATCGCAAACACCCCTGGGAAAGAGAGAAGAGGATGGATTACGGAGAATGGGGATACGGAGTCCAGTACTACTTCCTATAGGATCTAACAGACCTACAGGCTACAGTGCTGACGCAGTCCACTAGGTGGAGCCCATGATGTGATTGTCGAAACTCTCCTATCGACTATCGTCGACACTATCACTTTTTGTACTGCTAAGACACTGAACTACCTCGTTCTGACGTGGAGGGCTCTCGATCTACGACACGTCATGCAGTGCTTTTATACTTTCAAAAGTACGGACTGAAGAGTATAAGATAACCAGCTTTTACTGGGAGAAAGTAAGACATCCAGAGTAACTAAACTATGGGTAGTTATGTACTCTACAGTACACAGTTGCATTACCAAAACCACAATCGCTTAGACTACCCACCTCAGCCCAAAAAATGATCCATCACAATGTCCATTCTCTCCCATTCTCCCAAGTCCGGATGCGTGCGGCTCCCATACCATGACCGGGCGATGTATCCAGTCCACCAAAAAAAAAAAGGGCCCCAAGAGATCAGCCTTTTCCACTAGACCAGTCAATGATCCTCCTCCAGCTCCACCAGTCGGTTCCCTAGCCCCAAGACCTGCCAAGGATAAGGTGTGGTCTGGGCCTCCCTCAACCCGATCCTGCTTGTTGATTGGTAGAAAGCCCGTTTGTATCCAATGAAGGGGAGAACCCCCCTTCACAGATAAAACTGGCCAAGCCGACCGGGGTCAATTGGGGAAGTTCAAAGTATGTACTCCGTAGTGTTCTGAATGGATGCCCTGCGATAGTGTACTGTAGTTAGGTACAGTTATCACTGCAGGACGAGGTTAGGCTGTGCTGTTTATCAACCCAAAGAGTACGTTTGACAATCCACTCAGAACCCTGGTCACAGTCCTCGGGAGCCTTGCCCTGGAAACTGTGCGAAACACATGGAATCGGGTCGAATCGGTCGGACCCTGATGCTGTGACGGCCCTGAGACGGGAGGGTCAGTGCTCAGCTGGGATCTGGTGGTTCGGGTACTTGCTTGCGCTGGGTCATGTTTCTTGTTTGGTGGTGGCAACAAGCCACCAACAGCATGGGCCGAGGGGAATTATTGCCGACTGTGCACTTTGGAGCTGAGGTCCAACCTTGAACTCCTCGTGGAGCTTCACTCGGACAAGGCTAGGCCATCCCGCAGCTACAATACTATGGAGTCACGTGGTATATTAATATCTCAAGGCTGGCAAGGCTACTACATACAATAGACATAGTGGAGATTGGGGAGTTCAGTCCTAAGTCCGAGCTTGATTAGAAATCATGCTTGGTCCTGATAGTGGTAGTTGTATACAATATCCTATCACATCCCCCAATAATGCACAATTTTGGATCAAAACTCCCTAGCAATCGGTATCAAGTCCCCCAAATTCTTGACAACCTTAATCTGATATTAACAAAACACTTCCAGATCCATCAAAATACAAAAAAAGAAAAAACCGAAACAATGTCCAACAAACCCCTCCAAATCCTCACTGTCAGTATGAGCCGCCATCTCACCGGCCACCCAATCACCGACGTAATCACCAAGAATTGGTCCCAAGCCCCAGAAGACCAAGTACATCGCTTCAATAACGTTGGGTTCGACTTTGATGGAAATGATATACCCGGCGCGTTAGCCCAGTTGAAAGAAACATTGGCAGGACATCCTTGGGATGGTATCCTCGTTGGATGGTGTATTCGTGGGAAGCCAGAGTACACGGTTATCTTTGAGGATGTTATCGCTCTTTGCACTGAGTTCATTCGTGTGAAGCCGGCTAGCAAGATATTTTTCTGTACTGGACCGGATAATCTTGTCGAGGCTACCCTTAGGAACTTTCCGTGAGGTAGATAGTTGATGGAAATGCATTGCTTATTAGTCAAAGAGTCATGATTGCCTGCGAATGTGTCAACTTCACATTAGTGGCAGCAGGATATCACGATCCTGATTGAGGGCCTATTCTGTATGATGAATGCCCCGATTGGTCCGAGATGGAATGGACAGTCGTACAGATGATCATGGATCCTGTATTCTGATAAAACCCATCAAATATACATCCTATCACCAACCAATACAATGTCTATTAATGACTGGTCAGACGGGTAGTCTCTCTAGACATTTCTTCAAGGCACTATATACTATGTACATTCTTCCGTAATGCCTTCCCTATGACCAAAATCCATTTACCCATACCAGTCCCCCACAACCATTCACCGACTCTTATAAATAGTCGTCGCATTAGCCAAAAACGTATCAAACGACCCATCACCAGTAATCGGGGTGATCGAGTTAGGAAGCTCCTGACCATCATCATTACGGTCATTAACAGTCTTAGCCTTGGTCTTATTGACCCAGCTTTGCGCAGCGTTGAACTCGCTCTCAGCCTTTGCCTTGTTTCCGCCGTCAACGGCGTCGATCATGGAAATCAAATGCTGGCAAGCCTTTGCCCATTGCATAGCAAGAGTCGACCAGGGCGCTACATCATCAGCGAAGCCTTTCATCGCCATGCGTGGGAGAATGTCGGGAAGCGTGGTGAGAAGGGCGAGGCGGTTGATCAGCGCTGATGCTCCGTGACCACCTCCGTGCTTGGCCTTTCGAGCGGCCCAGAATGCGGCGATGTCGCTGCTTAGCTGAGGCGAATACACCTCGGGTGTGCGATAGGGCCAGTTTTGGTTAATGTCGACGAATGCGAGGAGGGCGTTGTGGACGGTCTTGTCACTGCCGGAAAGTTCCCATAGAATCGCGGCCATGGAGTCATCCGCGTTGTACTTTGGCCCGTTCCACATGTAGTCTCCGTAGTTGGCGAGAGCGGGCATGGAGGCGTATGCCTGTTCCATTGGGTTCGAGGTGAAACCGAGAAGATACTTGTACAAGTCTGGGGAACGGCCAGTCAGCGGGTTGAGGAACAGCCGGTTCCGATTTCCATCATTCACGGGGAAATTGTCCCATAAGAACAGTTTGTCGGTGACATAAGTCGAGTCCGCCTGCTGCACACTCGTGTCGTTGATCTGGTCACTGAAAACGCCTTCGCCGGTCCATTGAATGCTGATATTCTTGTTCAGCATAGTACCGAATTCCTCCTTGTAAGGGTCTGGCTGGCTGCCCGCATAGTTAGTCGGTACGTTTTCGAGATCTTTGAGGCCGTGAGGAACCACATATTCTTCCTGGATACGATTCAGATAGTAGGCCTGGGCATCGGCAAGCCAGTGCCAGTTGCCCGTGTCGACCCACTTGGCCTTGTCCGAATCACAGTGGAATTCGGTAGGGATGTCGTCGAAAGCAATGTAAAAGCTCTGAACGCCGAGATTGCGGGCTTGGTCGAACTTTGTAATGGTAGCATTGAAGTCTTCATCGGAGGAGTAGCACAAGTCCAGGCCGGGCGAGAGAGCAAAGGTAAAGTCGACGTGATTTGTGTTGGCAGTTTCAATGAGCTCCTGGAGCTGAGTAAGGTTGTCACCTGTGTAAAGTGTGCGCCAGTCCGCACGGAGCAGTGGATCATCCTTGGGCGTGTAGATGTAGGTGTTCATTTTGTGTTTTCCGTAAAAGACGAATTGGTCCAGACGTGCTTGGTGAGACCATGGCTCACCATAGAAGCCCTCGATAGAACCACGAATTGACATGAGCGGCCAGTCGCGAATCTTGACGCCCGGGATATTGTGGCCGCTACCAAGTTGACGAAGGGTCTGTGCCGCGTAGAAAGTGCCACGCTTGTCTACACCGTTGAGGACAATACTCGGCTGACCTTTGTAGTCGCCAGATGCGAGGACATAACCATCGGCAACAAGTCCATCCGCAGAGTTACCAGTAAGAGCCTTTGCGATGGCAGCAGCAACTTGGTTCTCGGACTCGGTGCCAATGACTATCTGTGTGCCATGACCGGTGGGTTTCGTTGAGACAACGGCATTTCCTCCAGCAGAAGAAACAATTGCCTTGATTGCATCAATAGTGGCCGAATCTGTAGCATTCCCTGTAACGATAGTTACAGCTCCACCAGAAAGTGAGACACCCTTTCCAGAGGAGGAGATTTGTTGAGGAATTGGTGACACCGCCGGCAGGCCATTGTCACGGCGGGTGGGCACGGCATTGACTGACCCAAGAGCGAGAAGAGTGACAATCAAAGCCCGGAGGCATGGGGTACAACCGAGATAGAACATGATTGTGGTGTGGTCTGGCTATCGAGATGATTGCCGAGAGTGGAGGACGTAGTATATATATCTACCCTCCATAGCGACTTCCGTGTTTATGCCCCCCTTGCAGGTTACCATAAATGGTTACATTATGCCAGGGACTTCTTGCACGGCATGATAATCCAGAAAGGTCCTAGCAAGAGTGCAGGCAGGGGTGACATTGAGATATAGACCTGGTCTTGCGGCTTCTGTCCCGCGTGCAACGTTAAAATCACCAAGCATCAACGCGATAGCGACTTTGGTAGTATTTCAATGATGTATTACTTAGTTATCCTGTCCGTTAACAGACTCTGCACAAATTAACGTTTCGTATGAGACCAGAGGATTGTGCAGCCCAGAGAAGCAGATACTCCTATCCACCCGGCACAGATTTCAGAGTATATTTCTGACGGTATGAATCACACCAACCCCTCGTGCTACTCTATTACCAGACGAGAATCACCGACAATTCTTCCGACATTTTTCCTTCTACAGGAAAAGATCAACAGTTGCATTTTTGGTGAACATCAATTGCGGGCCCCATTTATAACTTGGTGCGGGGTTCAATGTCAAAGCCATCGCTCCCCGCACCTATACACAAGGTGCATCTTCACAACCGGCTTCTCGGTTTAATGCCGAGATATGCCAATTGACCAGAGTATCTACTGCTACATGTATTTTACCATAGCTCTAAACAACATAGTTGCATCTGCATAGTTCGATACAAAGCCACAGCTGGTTCTAGCTGGGACCGTAGTATCCTAATCGTGCCACTCATGACAAGATCGGCAGCCGTAGTCACCAATGATAAGACTTTGCAGCTTTGGGTAGGGTCGCGCAAATTACCCGAAGTCATGCTTAAAAATTTCCGAGATGCCCTTGAGAGCTAGCTTGTAGAACATGCCGGTTACCTTTTGCCGTACTTTTGAGTTTCGCGTCGGCAATATATTTTGATGCTTTGTACGGTCTGCGGCATAGATGGACTCCGCGGGAAACTGAACTAAGGCATTATAGAGAAGGGAAGTGTCTAATTGAATACACTCGAATTATTTGCTGATGCAACCGTACATCAGCTTAATAGGCTCTATCGCAAGCACGCGGATCTATTAGGGTTACTACCACAAATGAGATAAGCGGCTAGACAGGTAAGCTAATCGTTAATCTCTGTCCACCGATAACCAGTCTTCAAGAGAATCGTTGCTCTAAATCTAGATAAATTAAAAGTCAACCAAATCAAATTCAAGCTATATTCCGCCTCCCCTTAACGCTGACTCTTACTCCTTCAACTCCGAATACCGCACCCATGAACTAAAGCTAACTACGCACCTGTTGTTCAGAGATATTGACAGAGGAGGTTAATCTATCGAGCATAAATGCTGACAGAAATCAACCCCAGACCCAGGGCACAAAATTCCGGTTCAGTCACAGGAAACCTTAATTTGTGGCTGTAACGAGAACAAATCAGAGCTTGGACGGACGACACTGGATGAGTAGAGAGAGTTCAGGATGAGATATTGCCACGCACGGAATCACAGAAAGAGACACAGGATGAGCATTGCGCGATGATATTCATTTCCCCTTGGTACTGCCAGATGATGATCTGAGAGCGACTTGCCTCCCCATACCCGGTGCAAGTATGAAGCCGCGGCTGTCGGAGCATCTCCACGCACAGAAGCGTATCCGCTCCAACGCTGAAGACCAATGTCACCCCGATGACGGTCCCCAAGCGCTGGAGTTGGAGCATGTCGAGCAAACTCCCTTCTACACTCCGCTCTACTCACGAAAGTATGTGTGGACTTGTGTGCTGTCCGCCTCGATAGGCGGTATTCTCTTCGGATACGACACTGGTGTTATTTCGAGTGCCTTGGTGCTGTTTCATTCAGACCTGGGTCACCCTCTCGACAACTCTGAGAAACAACTCTTGACAAGTCTAACTGGGGGAGGTGCATTTGTGGGTGCGTTGTTGGCGGCTTTGGTCACCGATGCGGTATGCTTACCTTTATTCAACTCTCTTGTCGCTTTCCCGTATGGAAGTCTCTATGCTACAGATCTTAACAACCTTATGACAGGTCGGCCGGAAGATGGTGATTGGAATCGGATGTATCTGGTTCACTGTTGGCTCGGTAGTTGCCGCGTCGGCATATTCAGTTCTTCTGATGGGAATTGCCCGGTTTATCATTGGAGTTGGGATCGGCTTTGAGACAATGGTAATGACTCTTATTACTTGAGCTTTGTTATTTTGGATGATTAACCTCGCGCCTGGCGTGGACTTAATAGGTCACACCTATCTACATCGCAGAGCTGTCACCGTCTTCACTGCGAGGTCGCATGATTACTGTCTACTCTATGGCAGTCACTGGCGGACAAGCTTTGGCATACGCAGGTGGCACGGCATTCTCCCATGTCGAACTAGGATGGCGATACCTTTTTGCGCTCGGAGCACTCCCAGCGCTTGCACAAGTCGCGCTTTTCCCAGTATACCCAGAGACACCTCGGCACCTCATATATCGCGGTCGAATTGAGGACTCTGTGGTAGTTTTGCAGCAACTATATCCTCGAAGTCCGCCGTCAGATATTCAGAGACTAGGACATATCATCCGTGAGGATGTTAATTGCTCTGTCTCCTTTGATCAAGGGGTCCGTCGACTGATGTGGTCGTGGAAGCAACTTTGGTTGGTCCCTTCTAACCGTCGATCCTTGATCTCTGCCTGTGGATTGATGGCTGTGCAACAGCTCTGTGGGTTTAACATTTTGATGTATTATAGTGGGACGTTGTTTGCCGCTAGTAAGTTATCTGATTCTGATTGTCTACTGCAATGACATGTCCCCTGTTGTAGGAGATACAGAGGGGAAGCTTTGTTGATTATGATTGTCTTTAGTCGGCCTCACCAACCCTATCGCCGCCAGTCTGATCGTCTCCGGGACAAATTTCTTCTTCACTATTGTCGCCTTGTTCTTCGTCGACCTTGGCCGCCGTCGAATGCTCGTATGGACTATATGGGGGCTTCCAATTGCCCTCGCCATGGCTGCCGTGGCATTCTCACATATCCCCTTAAATTCAGCTCTGGAGCTGGAAGGCGAGGCACCATCATGGACCAAGGCCCTAGCTCTTGCCTCTTTGTCTATCTTCGTTTCTTTTTATGCGATTGCTCTAGGGAATATCCCCTGGACAGCGAATGAGCTGCTTGCCCTGGAGGTTCGGGCCATTGGCACCTCTTTGCTAACAATGGTGTGCTGTATGTTCAGTGAAACTCCCTCTTTTATTAAGTTAACACGCTAACGGACTGACACTCATTTCTGATACTTAGGGGGCTGCAATATAATCGTTTCCGCGACTTTTCTCTCACTTGTCGGCAGCGTAACTGCTACGGGCGCATTTGGGCTATATGCTGGTCTATGTTTTGCGGGTTGGCTTCTTGTGATATTCACGTATCCAGAAACTGCTGGTATGGGGCTAGAGAGTATCCGAGAGGTCTTCAAGGACGGGTTTGGCATTCGATTTGCGAACCAGACACAGCGAACAAGGCGGCACGGGTCCCACAGTCGAATGTGAGGTATAGTTGTCTAAGCTACCTTATGAGAAAATAGAAATGGCGTATTTAAAGGCTTTCATGGCAACTACCCAACATGAAAGACGAGACAATATCATTCAATTTTAGCTCTTTCGCGCCTGGAACATAAACGGCTCTTTTCTTTGCACTAACTTGGCCACAAGCGAGTGGTGATTAGTTAATTCCACGCCCGAAGTTTATAGACGTATAAATCCGCCCCGTTGGTTGCTTCCCCGCAAATTATGATCCACCCACCAAGTCAAGTTTACGGTTACTAGTCTCGTGACCAAAGTCTACTGGCATTGGGGTGGTTCCAGCGAAAGAGATTCGCCTCAAGTCTTTCCTTCTGAAGACAGTTCCATACCGATTGCGAAGCCATGCGTACAACCCACAGGGATCGAGCTTAAATGAAGCGATGGAGGGAGGGCGCGAATATGTAGGATCTCTATCCCCAGTTGTTCTATACTATGTGGCTATCTAACGGAGTCGTTTTCGCAGGCGCTACTATGGAGCCTCTACGGTGTTGCGCTGCTCCTAATTATTGGACGTATCCAGTCACGGATCGCGATTCGCGAGAGGCTGAAGATCGATGACTATCTGTCTATTCTATCTTTCATCCTCCTGAGCGTACAAACCGTTTTGCATACTCTCACCATTCAGCCTTACCTTGAGGCAGAGGCAGTATTTCATAGCAACTCCATTACGACCGGGAGTTTGTCTGCGAATCCGTTGTTGGAAGCGAGTGCGTCCACGGTACTACGCTATTCATTTGTAAGTAAAAACATCCGGATGCTTCACGAGATAGTATAAAGCTCTCAATTAGCTTACGATACAATGATGTGACATATCTAGGCGTCGCTGGTTATCTTTTGGCTTGCTGTGTGGAGCGTCAAGTTCTCCATGTTGTTCTTCTTCCGTCGATTTCTGCTGCCAATTCCTACTTACATGGAGGGGTATGCCTGCATTCTTCCTCCCCCCAACTCTGCCTTCTGTAAGAACATCTGGAAAACCATGCTAACTACGTCGTAAGCTGGTATATCGTATTCGGTTTCACGACAATGAATCTGCTGGGATGTCTCCTGATTCAATTCCTGGGCTGTCTACCCTTTGAAGATAATTTCTCGATTACTTCAGGTAGGTGAGCGAGTCCTCATATGCTCCTAATCTCGAATAGCACAATGGTTGATTATTTAAAGGAACTTGTGTTTTGGGGCAGTCGAGGGAGCTTGGAAAACTCGCTGGGACTACTGCACTAGACATAGTCTCCGATGTGATGAGTGAGTATTCTGAACAAATACAGGAGTACCTGGCTTTCTCACCTGATCATTTAGTTGTCATCCTCCCAACACGAATTCTGTTCGAATTGCATGCAACCAAAAAGCAAAAGGCAGGCCTTGTGGCTGTCTTTGCTTTGGGTTGGATAGTTGTACGTATGGCGTCTGTATTGAACAGAAACCGACCTAATGCTTAATTTAGATCGCATTCGCCCTCATAAGAGCAATACATGCCTCCCTCGCTGGACGCAATCATCTCGGTGCTATCAATTTTGTAAGCTAGTCCTTTCCGGTCCATCTGGAACGCTCTATTTACTGGGAGGCTGATACCCCTTTAGTCATGGCTTTTGATATGGAGTCAGGTAGAATGTGTAGCAGGTTAGTCTTTTGATCTGACTATTTCCGCGTTAGATTAAATCTGATGATAGCCAGCGGTCAGCGTGGCTTGCCTCCCGCCGATATGGGCTGGGTATAAGAAGAAGAATCAAATGGTGCAGCCTGCCACGCTAATCGCCACTTAGTGATATCATGGATGGAGGCAGTCACATGTGTGGTATAAAGTGAGACAAGATCACAACCAGGCTTCCCCTGAATCCAACGGTAGACATTGGAAGAGTTTTTACTAGAAAGATGGAGCGGAACCATGAAAAGAGTCTTCTTGCTCTACCCACATCGCTAGTATAGTAGCCTCTTAGTTTTCAGTATGCCCTTATCCACCGATGCCCGGCCGAGATCGGACGGGACTCCACGGTTGACCACTGGCCGGTTCACCAACTGTCGGCACTGACAGATTCGGGCCCACCCATGAAACACTCCCTGCAGTAGAACCATCTATATCCTGCTATAAAATCTATTCAACCATGATAGTAGCAATAACAGCGTTAAAAACCCCGACACGTTCTTCTACCCCGGGATATTATGACCATCCGTCAAGCCGAAGCCTTGCTGAACAATTCCCGCCCGAATTCCCCTGACGCCACACGAGAGAAAAGGCCCATCTCGGATTTCCCGACCCGCTCGGCTATTATTCGGCAAGCCAAGAACTCAAACCCCCAGCATCTTCATTCGCTCTGTGCCTCTGGAATGTCCGAGCAAATCACCCAAGCCTTTAACGGTCAACCGAATTCGTTGCTTTCCATAGTACGTCTCCACCGGCAATTCCTCCAACCGGTTTAGACTGCCGCGTTTGCACGGCGCACGCCCTCCATGAGGAAGCTGGGATTTCCGGGGCCCCTCCCCACATTTTACATGCTTGGGGAATATGGGGAAGACGAACCGGGGGATGGTCACGTCCGGCAGATGATTTGTGGACGTAGAGTTTTTTTCTCCAAGGTTTGTCCGTGAACTCGGGGGTATATAAGGGTGACAGCGACGGCAAGGATCTACCTCAAGAGTCATCCGGGTCAAGCATCTATAGATTTCTCTTTTTATACCCCTGCCTATCATGCGCTCCCTCACTTGGCTCGCCACTCTGGCTTCCCTTCACACTGCCTTTGCCTCCCCACTCGCTTCCAACGGCCATGACTCCAAGAACAATGGCTACATGAACTGGCGCACCTTCACCGGCTATGGTGTCAACTTGGGCGGCTGGCTCGAACAAGAATCTACCATCGACACCCGCTGGTGGGCTACCTATGGCGCCAATGCCTCCGACGAGTGGACTATTTGCGCCAACCTAGGCTCCGCCTGCTCTCGCGTCTTCGAGCAGCGCTACGAAACCTACATTACCCCCGCAGACATCGACACCCTCGCCTCCGCTGGTGTCTCTATCCTGCGTATCCCTACTACCTACGCTGCCTGGGTGCGCGTGCCAGGCTCGCAGATGTACTCTGGTAACCAGCAGAAGCACCTGCGCCGCATTACCGAGCACGCCACCCAGAAGCACGGCATGCACGTCGTCCTCGATCTCCACTCGCTGCCCGGCGGCACCAACGGACTCGATATCGGCGAGAAGGTTGGCAACTGGGGGTGGTGGAATAACCAGACCGCATTGGAGTGGTCGCTTCGCGCCGTCGACGCGGTAGCTGCCTTCGTGCAGTCCTCTAGCAGCCCGCAGAGCTACAGTATCGAGCCTATCAACGAGCCCGCCGATAACACAGATCTCTCTGTGTTCGGCACAGCCGCCGCGCTGACCGACGACGGAGCTGTCTGGCTGCTGAAGTACTTCAACGCCGTCATCGCGCACGTCAAGAAGATCAATGCCAAGATCCCCGTTATGTTGCAGGGTAGCTTCAAGACGGAGCAGTACTGGTCTCCTCACTTCGATGCTTCGGAGAACATTGTGTTCGACCTGCACCATTACTATTTCCAGTACCCCGAGGCGACGAGTGCGAATGTTACCGAGTATATCTGCAAGGATGCCAAGGAGTCTGCTGGTGATGGCAAGTTCCCTACTTTCGTGGGTGAGTGGGCCATGGAGACTGGTGGTGAGAATAAGCTTGCTCTGCGGAAGCAGAATCTGCACGCTGGATTGTCGGCGTGGGCGCAGTATACTCGTGGTAGCTCGTACTGGAATGCCAAGTTTGAGAGCAATGCTACTATTGTTGGAGAGGGTGTGAAGCAGGATTATTGGAGCTTCGAGGAGTATATTGCGGATGGGTTTATGAAGGGAAATGTCCTGGCCAAGAATTACTGCAAATAGATTTTAGGACTGCTGAGAGGCCGTAAGCCTGATAATAATATTGTGTGATTATCTTCATATTCTACATTTACTGAGGCTGAGTGGCAATGCAAGAAGCCGCCAAGGCGGTATCGTATGCTAACCTTAATCCTCGGCGAACGAGGTCACTCGGAATTCACTGTATCAGCTACAGCTAGTTTTGAAAACTAGATTGACCGAGGAATGGGGCAAGAGGCATGAACTGCTTCAATTGAGATATAAAACCGTCAAGTCTTAGTAACATATCACATGCGATAAATAACGACACCAGAGAACCCAAAGCGCCAGAAAAAACCCAGTATGAACGGATGGAAATCATGGACAGAAGTAACAGAAGACAGCAGGACCAAAGACATTGTTGCAATGCAAACGGCCAAGGAGGTCAAGTCCCGCAGGGGAAACAAACAGAAAGAGATGAAAACGCTAGGCAAAGCGAGGTGGCATATATGGGACAGACCAAGAGTGATACCAAAGTGGGCGGGAGATCATTCATAGAGGGACAAGGCCAGCAATTTAGCACGGCAAGAGTTTCAGCTCAGTCAAGCTCGAGCTCAGTTCAACTCGTTGTCACGCATGCGGAGGATAAAGTTGACGACGACGGCGGCCAACAAGGCAATAGCAAGGACCGTAGGTCCGAAGCGGTCGTCAAAACCGCTCTGCCCCCGCCGGCGAATGCTCTGCGCACGCCAGTGAAACGTCACTACGGCGTAGATCATGGCTGCCATGGCAATGATGGTGAACAAGGCGGCGGAGATGCGACCGATACGGTCACCGAAGTTGAGGAGACCCACGGCCAGACCGCCGAGGATAACGGTGAAGTTGAGCCATGAGAGGAAGGTACGCTCGTTGGCGAAGAAGACTTTGGGCTCGACGCGAGTGGGGAGGGCGATGCGCTTGCCTGGGAGTGATGCGTTAGCGAGGCAGTCTGGGAGCAGCTTGGTGGCGCAGGGGCCGATTGGGAGATGGCATTGAATGTTGCGATTGAAAAAAGCTTGCAGTATATCGCTTACCTGGGGCAGTCTGGAGGAGGGGTTGGCTTGACATGGTGAAGATAAGATGTGAGGTTGGTGGCCGCAACGGGGATCGGGCAGATGGTCAATTGGGATTGGAGGCTGGATTGAAGACGACGACGAACAACAGGGCGAGAGGGACAGAACAGGGGTTTGACGTCGAGTGAAAATTGAGTCAGGAAAGTGTAGAAGTTTTCTTTCTCGTTTGTCAGGCTGTCGGGACCAGGTCAGACAGAAGAGAAAAGAAGCGATCGAGTTGCAGGCGGAGCCAATAATCCCCCGATGACGAGGGAAGTCGGGAGCTGCACGCTAAAGTCATGGCGCTAACCCCGTTTCGGCCTAGGGCGGTGTAGCTCTGCCGGTCCCAAGATGCACGTGCTTCGTCCGTTTGCTACGATGCAACGGAAGTCACCTGATGCGCCAAACCGGACCTCCGAAGTGTAATTCGGCGCCCCCAAACTCTGTTCAGGCGAGCTGGATCCATCTCCGATACAGAGCTTCTTCTACAACCTCAGACATCGTTGGAATACCTTGAATCATTCAAAATACTTCATTATTTCTCCGATCATCCTCATTTTATTCATATCACAAACGCCCGTTGCAGCATGTCATCCATCCAACGGGATTGGCCAGATTTCTCGCAAGCTTGAGGCTAGCCATTTAGACTTGAAACTAGCTCGCACCAATGAGAAACACCCCGGCTAAAACGACAAGCCCACTGCAAATGCACACTTGCGACTACTGCAGCCGACCCAGGCCCCCAAAATCTCATATCTAGCTAAACTTTCGCGTCCGGACTCCGATCACCAGCGCTTTTCACCACTTTCTTTCAACAACTAATGCACTGACGCGCCATAGGGCTGAAGCCACAGTCCTATCGGATGCCTGCCATCTCTCAGCCATTCTTGCCTTGTTGGATATACCTTCGTGGAGTAGAGCCGTCCCATCCTCCTCCACCCCCAGAGAGCTGTGGAGGCCGCAACAAGGACACCTGCCATAGCCGGCCCAATCATTCTACATTCAATGACACCCACCGGTCAGCGGCGGGAATCCCAAAACCCCCACCATTTCCCGCGGAAAGTGTCGGCCCCAGTAGATATCTGTTGCTGGGAATTTGCTGTTTGTTCGAGGCTTCAATTGAAAGTCTTCTTTGGCCGGCTGGTCCCTGCAGCCGTGTGCTCGGATACCCAAAAGAAGGACTCGGCATGCCGGGAATATAACTAGTTCCCGATATGCTGAATCCGGATTACTACATGCTGTACCTTAACAATCAACCCTGTACAGACTTGCATGAGGCTATGCTGCACAGCGATGGTTGTTCGAACTCGTCGAATCCACTCGAGTGGAGCTCCGGAATGGTCTGGTCCTTTGGTCCATTCAGGACTATGCTACTGAGGCCTAAAATCGACCGCCGTTTGAATCACTGTCAAAAATTGCAGGCAGCGACGAAAAATTCACGGAAAGTGGTCTCACTTTGCGGATACATATTGGCGATAGTACGAGATCGGATATGCGTGGATACTCGGCTAACATTGCAGATAGCGAGCCACCGAGAAGTTGCACTTGAGGAAAAAGATCTCACTCATTAAATATTCAAATCGAAATACTAACAACTCCGATGAGCAGCGAAATCGGCACGCAATACAAATCAGTCCTCCTCGCTTCAGGCCGCGATCTCCCCACTCCACCCGTCGTAAACCCACACTGTTCCCGTAACGAGTCATCTTTCCTTAAAAGGCAACTCAATAACTAAATTCGAATAGCGAGAAAGACAAGCATTATTCAGGTGCGATCTTTCAAACCATCGTCTCTTTCAGTGGGGCAAAGTCCCAATCGGCCCTGATCATGTCCGATGCTTTCTCGGCGACCGCATACACGCTGCTAACGATGTTCCCACTAACGTTGTTAGGGAAGATCGATGCATCTGCGACACGTAGACCCTCAACACCCTGGACGCGCAGTCGAGAGTCCAGCGCATCGCCCATTGCGACGGACCCGCAGACGTGGTACTCGCCAGCCACGACGTCGTGTACTGCTTCTTTGGCCGCGGCTAAGTCTGTCAGATCTACGCTCGGTTCAGGGACTGTGCGGTCGGCGAGGGATGATTTGAGGTGTGCGGATTGGCGAACTTTGTCGACCCAGCGGAAGCCTGCGCCTAGGATGGCGACATCTGCATCGTGGCCTGCATAGTTCGGCTGGATGACCGGGGGCTTGGTCGGGTCTGTGGACAAGGTTAGTTTAGGGGCCCACTGCCTTTTGACGATCATCAAGCGCTATGCAGTCAAGGGAACATACCAGCACTGTCAATGTGAACATAACCCCGCGCTACGGGATACTGCAAACAAATGGCAAAGGTAAGGCCAGCAGGCTTGTCCGGCGATGCAGGTGGGAAAATGTATCGCTGGTGCTCGACTCCATCCACATTCGCAGTCGCCGGAACCAAGACTATTTGAATATTCGCAGACACATCACTCTCAATATGGCTGATAATCTGCTTGAGCTGTCGCTCGTGGAAATTGCTCGTTGGCTTGATATCCCGAATACTCTGAACCACAGCCTCAATCTCGGCTTCGGACATGACCAATTTGGCCGGCAAGAAACCCTGCATCGTGGACGTGCAACTCAACGGACCGTTGCTCGTTTCGGCATACTGCTTCTGTGCATTCTCCATGATTTCCGGGTTCTGGTAGAATGAATCCAAAGTGACGGTGCCGGGCACCGTCTCATATACTGCAAGGGTGATGGTGTGATCCTGGAAGTTAGCACCAACGCCAGTATTGGCGACCTTGCACTCCACACCTGCAGCTTTGAGGACTTCAGGGTCTCCGATGCCTGAGAGCTCGAGGATCTGGGGGGACTTGAGGGCTCCACCGCAGACGATGACTTCGCGCTTGACTGCGACTTCGTAGTCCTTGCCATCGTGTGAGATGCTTACTCCGGTGGCTTTGTTACCGTCAAGAACGACCTTATTGACTAGCGTCGAGCAGAGAACTTTCAGGTTGGGCCTGGCTTTGTTCGCCTCGTAGTATCCGCGAGCTGCATAGCTACGCTTGCCCTTGTTGGGGCCTGTCCGGATGATAGAGCCTAGAGTATGGTAGAAACCGATGTGGTCGCCGCTCCAGGGATCAGTGGGCTTCTTTGTGAATCCGGTGACTTCGTCGCAAGCCTTGATGACATCGTTCTCGATGGGGAGGATCGAGTCGTTGAAGCTTGTTCGGACTGGCCCGCTTGTACCGTGGAATTCGCCTACAAACGGCATAGTCGAGCGGTCTGTGATCGCTTCATCGTACGGCTCGAGGGTCTGGCCAATGCAATTAGTTGGGATGACAGAACCATATCGGGCGAAGGAAGAGGTTCACCTGATGCTTGCGCATATACTGCTGCATGATATCGGCAGACCAGCTCTCATCCTCGACCAGCTCTGCCCAATCGTCGTAGTCTTGCCGAGATCCGCGGACATACATCATGTAGTTGATACCGCTGGAGCCACCGAGCAGCTTACCGCGGGGAATATGGTGAATACGTCCTCGATTCTCTTTCTATAGTCACCGCGCAGACTTGTTAGGTCAGGACCCGCAAATACCCTCGAACGAGAATAAGCTTACCTGAGGTGCGCTATACAAACACCAATCATACTCAGGATCCTCAAACATCTGGAAAAACGCCGCAGGCGTATCCACCAAAGGATCGCCGATGCGATATTTTCCAGCTTCGACAACGCCAACTGTTACATCGGGGTTTTCACTGAGTCGCGCAGCGATAACACACCCCGCAGTTCCTCCACCACAAATAATGTAGTCGAACGAGGTACTCGTGAACTCCTCAATAGAGCATGTAGGCGACTCGACGCCCGGCGCGGGGCCCTGTTCACCCATGGTATGCAGTATATTCTTAAAAGTGAAGTTACAGGTAGAATTGTATAAATTGAACGCAGAGCACCGGGCGCAGTGGCAACGCGGAATTATCCCCTTATTTGTACTATGTTCGCTCGTGCAACTTGCTCTTCTCTTCTCGGCCGTGGCTGAGTTGGCACTTCAGTAGTGCGGGGGTAAAAGTAACCTGGACGCCTGATCACAAAACCTTGGCTGACGCCTGACAGGCAGGCATCTTGTATGTTCAAATGTAGCGACAAGATACTATTGGCGCATCGGTTCAGCTTTCCAAGAAGCTAAACCTAGACCTGCTTTCCCCGCACCACGTACCTCGGTGGCCGCTTACTTCTCAGCATAGCTGCGATGCTCTTGGGGCGGAATTAATGGGCTATGAGAGAGGGAGTTGTTTGTTGGTCTGGCTCTGGAGGTGGACTTTGATGGTAAGTATGTTCATAGAGAGATTGATTTGCGAAGACGTTGTAGAAATTGAGGGCAAAATACCGCTAGGTTCAAAATGCTCCATGGGTGACATTCTTAGTCTATACGGTCATCTATGGCTTTGAAAGAACATGAGATCTATGTGGGGACGTCTCTTAGGATTGCCCCGCGCTATATACTAACACCTTCGCTGATAGAAGAATTGGTTCATTCTCCGCCTAAATCCGGTTTGGCTCGGTTCGAAAGGTTGCTCGTTGTGCATGCTGTCACCTATGCAAGCTGACGGGTGACCCGGGTCACCTTCAGCTCTGGCAGCGTAGCGCCACATTCGGAGATTTTATTCAACGTTGTTGTTTTGGCCAGTCTCAGAATGGATATGATAGACGATTCTGGTGAAATTGTATCTAGTGATTTCAGCTCGATTTCAGCAGAGTGATATGACCTTCTCGACCAGACGGATCGAGTAGTCCACCGAGCGCATGTACTTAGCTTGAAGATCCGCAGATAAGGCGCACGCAGTCTGATTCGTAACCTTCTAATGGATTCCACTTTTGGGCGAATATGTACTATGAAATCTTCGTACAGTCGGGTTCACGGACACGCAGCTCCTTGATCATTTTCTGCCCGGTGCTAGTTGGCCTTCATTTGTATCATCATTGATATGGCACGACATGGTCCCACGTCAACGATACAGCACGGAAGCTACCTTATAGGTTCATTTACATTTTGTATACCGATTCGAACATCTAGCTATCATGTACACTTCATAAGACTTCACGGAGCTCGAAATGCTTCGGAGATGCACAAGTGTAGCATTCATCTCAATGTGAAAGTCGCTTTCGATAGTACACATACATTGTATCTATGGCGATAGAATCGCTGAAGCGCAAGGAAGCAGGAGAAGCAAAGTAGTTCGATTGTGTCTGCCTGTCTGTGCAGGAGGACAAGAGAACTGGAATGGAAGGAAAGAGGGAAGGAAAGGCCCCAGTTAAACCACCAAAGTTTAGTTCTAAAAACAGCCGGCACACATCACGAAGAGGAGATCCGATAGGGAGATTCAATCACGTATATTTGCCAGGGCTCAAGAGGTCCAAAATATTACATTGAACATTGGCTGGCTCATTGATAATGAACCAACTTGGTCAAGACTCCGGCCGAAATTTAGCCTTTCTATATGGCTGACTTTGACGTTCATGAAACCTTCAACATCTGAGGCGTCCCGGGATTTTGCTAGAACTGTTCCGACCCGCGCCTGGACGCACTAGCCGAACAGGCTAAATGACCAAATCAATATGTATGCTGGAACGCTATGTTCTAGCACGCCCGGGACCGATATAAGTAGCGCATCAACGTTATGCCTAGGTGGACCAGGCCTACGTCCTAACAAGAACGGTCCTCAGTAAAGATCAGCACTTGCGCAGAAATGATGCCTACTGACTATGAATGGGAACATTAAATTGAGATTCCCTCTTTAAAATCACTAGGCAAGTCCAAGTCTTGAAGCTATCATAATAATAATGAGCGTCCAGGCCCGTCGACTACAGTTCTTGTTGTTGGTCATTCTATTTCAATCTTAATGAGCCATGAGTGGAATTTTTCAAATATATCAGCAGCTTTTGAACATTTTGAACATCGTATCGAATCATCTTGAACGCAGCACGTATCCAGGGATGATCTCGTATTAGGGCCGAAATCGGCCCGATAAGCGAGATTCGGTGGGCTGAAAATTTAACTCGACCGGGCCGATTTTTCAAGGCGGCAGGCAAAAATTAAGCTTGTTTCGCCACATGGTCGGGACATCGAGATCTAGTTCCAGGTTCCTGCAGTAAAAGCAAAAAATAAAGCCCTTGTACATGAATAGTGTCAAGTAGGACCTCCATTCTTTAGTCTGGACTATGTAGATCTCATTCCATCTTGGCTGCCAAGCACGATTTCATACCCCACAAGCACGAGGACTCAAGCGAGTGAGACAGTTTCCCCAGGGCTTCGTGGACTTGGCATCTCGTAAAAACCTCAACAGTGTCTCTCGAGCTCTGAATCACGCAATGGCCCCACTTTGTCTGCTTACGGAAAATTTTTGAGAAGAGCGAAGGAACATTTGAGTTTCTTCCCTTGTTCTATCTCTGAGTCTTGATCGCTTTCTGCAGGTACAAACCTCGCACTACTAGGGTGTGCCGACTCCATCGCGATTATGGCTGCCACGCATTCCCAACCCGACGTGGTGGATGAGCATGATGCTCAGCCTATGGTTGAGTCAACTCAACCCAGCACCCGTCCATCGATCTTTCGATCAATTCCATTCCAGATTGCTATTGCTAGTGGTGTCTCCTTCACCGCTCCTGGTATGTGGGATGCCTTGAACAATCTGGGTGCTGGTGGTGCTGCAGAGCCCTACGCTGTATCTGCAGCAAATGCCCTGGTCTACGGTTTATTCGCAATCGTTTGTGTGGCGGCGGGTGCTATCAACAACCGCATTGGCCTCCGTTATGGATTGACACTTGGAGCTATCGGCTACCCCATCTACGGTGCCGGTCTTTACACCAACAACAACTCGGCAAACACGTGGTTCATGCTCTTCGGTAGTGCCTTGTGTGGTATTTCTGCTGGATTCTTCTGGGCTGCCGAGGCTGCCATTATCATTGGATACCCTAGCCCTCACGAGCGTGCATTCTACCTTGGTACGTGTCAAAGCTGGTCAGGTATTTACTAAGACATACTAACATTCGAATAGCTATTTGGCAAACCGCAAAGGCCGCTGGCCCCATTGTGGGAGGTGCAATCAACTTGGGCCTCAACGCACAGAATTCATCTACCGGATCCATCAGCTCTAGCACTTATATCGTGTTCATTGTCATCATGTGCCTTGGATTCCCCATTGCGCTGCTTCTCAGCCCCGCCGAGAAGGTGCAGCGTAAGGACCGAACTCTGGTCCTCGTGCACAAGCAAGCCTCCTGGGGTGCCGAGTTCATAGCTGCAATCTCTTTGCTCGCTACTCGCCGCGTTCTCCTCCTCCTCCCGTCCTTCTTCATCAGCTACTTCTACAACGGCTTCCTTAGCACGTGGCTCACCACCTACTTCAGCGTCCGAGCTCGCGCCTTCTCCTCCTTCTTCACCAACTTCGCCGGTGTTGCGTCGTCGTTCATCATCGCTGGACTCCTCGATCGCCAGGGTATTCACATCAAGACCCGCGCCAAGATCGCCTTCATCTCCATCGTTGTCGTCCTCACCGGCACCTGGATCTGGGCTTCAATCCTCCAGAACCAGTACTACAGTGCTCCCGAGTCCCCAGTCTTCGACTGGTTCACCGGCGGCTTCGGAAAATCTTACGCTCTCGTCTTCTTCTGGACTTTCGGCGGCCAGGCATTTCAACAATTCCTGTACTGGCTTATCGGTCAATATAGCACCGATATTTCGTCTCTGTCCTACCACTGCGGTATTCTCCGTGGATTCGAGGCTCTGGGCCAAACTGTGGCCTGGGCTATGCAAACTGAAGGTGGTGCCAACCACTTTGTCAGCATCGGTCTTAACTTTGGAATCACGCTTCTTGCTGTTGTTCCAACCTGGATCGTTTTGTCCGAGCTTGAGCACAGCCATGAGGTTCAAGTGACGGCGGAGGATGTCTCACCCAAGATCCAGGATGAGACCCAGGCCTAAACGACTGATTAAAAAGCGGGATTTTTTGTATGACTACATACTAGCGCCGGGCGTTTATATAATTTCAACATGACTAATGACATACATTCAACATAATACAAATGTTCCACGTCGTCAGACGACGAGGTAATTTCCCTCGTTATACATTGGCAAAATTATACACGATACATAAACACAAGATCGAAAATCCAAGATCCAGTTGTAAATGAGGGTTATCACCAACTTCCAGTTATTCCAGGTACTCTCCCCCTCATATGGCCTAGTTGGTAACCAATCCGCTGGTGACCAATGGATGTGCCCCGTGAAGGAAATTTGAGGGGAAATATGTTGACAGGTATCCGATGTCGAGCACGACTCCACGGATGACCGGGCACATCCCTAGGCGGGGAGAGTGGCAAGCGAGCTAAACCCCCTCGCTCGCCGATTTCTTCTTTTGTTTTTATTTTTATTTTATTTTAATCTTATCTGTATATAATATATAATATAATAGTTTTATTTTCTTATAAAATTAAGGCTTTACGAGATGTGTAGAGGGATTATTTAGTAGATGTGCTATTAGGCGAGACCGGGTTAGCCTCTGAAGTATGGACCCCGGCATCATGGGAGAGTGATTGAGCATCATGGTGAAGTATATAGGGAACGCGAAGGCCGGGGGTTCGATTCATGGAGTAGAGGATTTCTTTTTCTCCCTCCTTCTCCTTCTCCTTCACACACACTCTCCCCCCCCTCATTGTGTACGGGTGATATATGGCGTGCGGCTAGTCGGACTTAAAACGCCCACGGAGAAAATATACCAACTTCCATACATCGATACATTCCCAAGTATGGGACGTAAGAGTGACTGACGATCATTATCCATGGAGCAATCTACAATTCCTACCCTGAAGAATAATGAAGGGTTTCGCATTTTCAAAGGTGTTTCAGACCCCAATACTAGCATGAAGGTCAGATTATTCTATTATCTTTGATAAATAACCACGTTCAAGTGAAGTACTCCGAACTGTAGGGCTGAAAAAGAATTCCCATTGAGACCTTGACAATAATGGTTTTGGCACATTTCAGTTGCCGATATGATATGAAGCATTTCTATCTCATCACCGAATGACATCGATTGGCCAGTCCATCAAGGACACGAGCTTCTCATCTCCTAGAGCAACTATCAGGGTATTTATCTTGTAGATTTCGACGTCGCATCTCTTGCCACAGTACCAGAGCTCGTCCAGAATGGCGATAGTCAAGTACAGATGCGCTAAAATCAGCAAGCTCAAACCATGAAGCATATCGATATTCCCTTGCCAGTCTAACGAAGAAATAAATTCTTCAGGGAGGAGATGAGGCCAGCTTGAAACTGCCGCATCTTCTAGGTCGGTTTGGAGCTCGAGGTCGGACGAAGATTGAGAGTCAAGTGGCTTCATCTGCATGACATAGAGTATTCTCATGTAGATATCGTCAACCACGCCTATAGCCTGCTCGTATGCGTCGAGAAGAGGTTGACCCGAGTTGCCAACTTGATCAGATTGAGGCGTCGCAAATGGTGAACCATCGGCGACCTCTTCGGAGTTGCTGGATTGGCGCAGAGTTGTGTGTAGACCACGTAAGTCCGAGACGGCACGATTGGCGCCGTTGGCGAACTTCCGAAGCCTCTTTGATCGAATGTTTGAACTTGGACATATGGTTGAGCGGACTTGTTCTTCGCATAGCTTCCAATCATCATTGGCTTGGTTATGAGTCAGTAGCGCCCTGAGGCGACATTTCCTCAATGTTGGCCAAAACTGTCTCAGGATAGACGTGACGCCACGAACTAGATGAAGCCATTGTATGTGGAGTGTGCTAGCATCGGGAAGAGGTGGCGGTGAAGCATGGCCTAGATTCAAGTTGTCCTGAAGTGTAGGTGTCGATGGATCTAGATCTTTGATCCCGAAAGATGCAAATGCGAAGCCCACCACCAGCATAGATCCAGCCAGCAAGGTTTCTGCGTCTGGATCGCTGGTAGCACAGAGCGCTTCCTGTAGCCCTGCCAACCCTTGCTGATGGTGTTCCATGATTGACCGAAGGTGAGGTACACTTGCAAACATGGAAGAACTAGGAGAACCTTGAACATTCGCAGTACGAGCATCTCCGCTAGTCAAAATATCCAAGCCAGCCAGGGCTAAGACGAGGTGCATCAGGAATTCATTGACTGAAGCCATTTCCGGAATAACACGCTCCCAGACCACCGATTTAATCTTGTGTAGAGTCATCTTCTTTGAGGTGTGCAAGATGTAGTGTTGAAGTAGATTGAGATCACTCATGTTGAGGCTGGATCTTGGTTGATCTCCGACATATTGAGGTTCCTCGGAGGGTGCCACATTGAAACTCAAAGGGTGAAACGGTATCTCCCGTATATTTTCGCGTGTCTGAACATGAACGTTCTCCGACGATGGTCTCTCGCGAGGCAAGGGTGGTTGCCTTCTTCTCAAGTCACGTGTGCCTCCTGGATTGGGGAAGACGCAGTCTTCGCCACGAACGAAACATGCACCACACGTTGGCCGTTCCTCATCACACTGATTGTGTTAGTGATTCCGATCGACCGAATCGAGTAAACTGTGTATACGCACTTTGACGCGACGCTGCTTGCATGTATAGCAACCATTTCGTGACTTTGTGTGACTGATCCGTTGCTTGGGACGAAATCGCGACTTGGGTGCGCTCCGAGGCATGTCCTCAACCTCCATCGGGTGTGGCGGCATCGTCATTGGCAAAGTGAATGGATACCGATCATCTCACATCATTGCATGATATTATTGCTTTTATGGGAAACAAATTACGCAACGGTGCGTTGGTAATGGAGAAAATTAGGCGCGAGATGCGGTGGGAGAATTTTAAGGTTGTAAAGGCGGCTAGTAATTCGGTCAAGAGCAGTACGTACCTTGAAAATATTAACTCTAAATAGAACATCGGTCTGCAAATCTCCTTCTATACCTAGGATGAAAATTTGACTCGGTTTCTAATAATAGACCGAAAAGGGAGAAAGATAAAGGTAATGAATGCATTCTATTTGATACAGTAAAATCGATGAAAATCGCTAACCGCTATGAAAAGCAACAATAATGATGTTTAAGCTTATGCTTTAAGCTTCATAGGCCTTCGATCTCTGTTGCCCGCAGTCCTGATCCGTTGACATAAGCTGGAGCTCGCTGTCTCGCTTGCTCCCGTTTCGTCCAATGAATGAGCCTGGGTAAATAACTGCCAGCACAATCCCAGTCAATGCCATGAGACAAGCGTCAAAGATGTACAAAAGATATTCTCTTTTCATGATAAAGCCATCATTGCCCTCGACAAATTCGGCCACACGGAAGATCGATCGCACCAGAATGAGAAAGCAGGCAGCATAGAGAGCCCACATGATAGATTCCCACTTCTTGCTGCTTTCTGAGGAATGCGAAATACTCGGCGGAATTCTTCTAACGCGCCAATGGAACACCGCGGATACGACAACGAAGAAGCCGAAGAAAAGAAGCTGAATGGCAAGACCGCCAATGACGATATTTGCACCCATGTCCATGGCAGAAATTGTTCCAGCAGCCATATATCCACCACCTGAGGAAGTTAGCGTCGAAGGTCGAAATTTCATGAGGGCGAGGCGCGAGTACATACCTCCACATTGGAGAAGGAACGAAATCACATCTCCAACCACAAATATTTTTGTAAGGAATCGAACCGGTACAATCGACAGTTGATGACAGTTAAGGGCAATAATGACTCTGCCTAGGGTCATATAAATTGAGGCGGCAAAAAGTGGCGGCGCGACCAGAATCAGCATGGTCTGAACAATGTATGGACCAAGGGCTTTGGTGTCAAAGTGTGAAAAGATAGTAACCGGCACATTCAACTATTGCATAGGGAATTTCAGGATTAGTTTCAGTGGCTAAATTAAGGTTGTTTCGAGTCATGCAATGACGGAGTTCTCACAGAGTAGGCCAATGATAAAAGGAACGAAGAAATAAGTGCGATGTTGCCATAGTCGAATACCATGCAGAATTGTGAGGACCAGGAAGATCACCGCAAAGACCACTGCTGCCGCAATTGAGGGGGTATAACGGTACAGTGCGAAGTCGATACCTCCATCGCTGCTAGTGCTGCTCATGGTAGGCAGATTGACAAAAATGAGTACAAAAGGCAAGCGGGTGGCTAGCTGGTGATAGGTAAAGTTACTCTAAACGCAACCAGGAAAAAGGCCTTGCTTTATATCGAGTCTCCAGTTGATAAAATGTCAAAATAATGCTGAAAATAGATTCTTTTAATCCGTCTTTGACCTAAAATTTCTTTATAACTCCAAACCTTGGGTCCCGACTATTGAGGGGATGCGAAAACGGGGACCCGAGAATGCGAGAATGCGAGCGAGGAAATACGAGAATACGAGCGGGGCCAACCATGAACTTTAAAAATTCTGGTTTTTAGAGGGGCGAGAGATCGGGACTTGCCCGAAGTCGATAAACTATTCCCTTGTATCTATAATTTGCTTTATACGCCCACGATCTGCTCACTGGCCAGAAATTCCAACAGTATTCCAACACTTAGCCTTCGTTTGTCTGTCATCTGTGTGCGAAACGCTTTATGCATCCTTTCATATCGCTGCTGCCAAATGCTGCCAATATATTAGAAGACAAACGACACGTGTGGAAATCAAGAGGGAGACTTCAAAGGTTAAATACAGGCATGCAAATGGGACTCGCAATCAACGTTCTTAAGAGACGTCAAACAAGGATTCCTCTGGCCAATATAACGTATTACCACTCTTTAATTGCGCTTCTGGCAGATGCTGAGGAACGGTGAAAATCCTCCAGCCAGGAACAAGCGATGTGTTTGGGCATCATGCACTGCCACCGTTGTTGTGGGGAGGTACTTGGCATCTCTATCTTCGATAACTTTGATGACCTCGTAGTTATTGCCAAGCGAATCGGTATTTGTCAACATCAAGACACCCGCTGCGGCGACTCGGTTATATGGATCATCGGCAGCTTGCATGAACCCCACGGAATGAGGAATAGCAGCAACCATGATATTTCCATCCTTGTTGACAGATAGATTGTCAAGCGGAACATTCAGAGGAATTGTTTTAACTTCAACGAGGCCATCTTCCGAGTACTCATGAACGGTGATCACGCCCGAAGTGGAGTGGGAAACATAGAAGCGCCCATCGAGGCCACGTACTGCACCGTTCGGCAACGAACAGTTTTTACGGGCAACCACCTCACATTTTCCAGTGTCCGACCGACAGTATGTCAAACTCCCCCCTCCAAGAAGTATGACGAGATCGCGAAACATTCCAGCCTTTGCATCGTGGTCGTTCGTTACCAAAAATCCAATACCATCGTCGGCGACCGCAAGGTTATTGGGGGAGATAATAGCCTCACTAGCAATGGTTTTGACGTGAACCAGAGTACTTGACGGTGTATCAAGGTCGAATATCTCAACAGTGGAGTTTGCGCCTACTTTGCGGGGATCGAGCGGCTCTCCGGTGGCCGGATCCACAGGCGGTCGATGGTTGATGAGCCAGAATCGCTGGCGATCCCCGATGCGCTTAACATCAAAGCCTTGGAGGTCAAGATCTCCAGCATAGTCGATCTTCAGCTGATGCAGCCCATACAAACCGTCCACGCCTGGTTCGTCGATATTCAACACGGAAATGTGATCGGTTCGCGACCTCGCAGAGACATTAAACAAGCTCCCGCTCGGATTCCATCCTGTTCGAGAGTTGAGGCTAGTGCATGCACCGTATAGCTTGCGGTTGTTATAGTCTAGCCAGATATCTTCGCACCCTTCGAGGAGTGGATGTTGAATGCGTTTGCAGTCCCAGGGGAAGTCCTCAATTGGTTGAATTACTCGGCCAAAGCCGAATATCAATGCGAACGTGTCATGCAGATAGATGCGGTATGCGATGGCACTGATAAGTGCTGCGATCGCCCATGGCAGTAACCGGATGCTACCATGATATGAGGATGCACTGACCCGGGCCATATTTGGCGGAAGTTCTAAGGGCGAAGCATCTCAGAACGAGAGGGGTCAAAGGAGCCGCAAGATGTCAGCGTTCAGCGGAGTCGGGTTTGGTTGTGGCCCCGAGGCCGACTTGCCCCGATCCGAAGCGAATCCCGTTGGGGCCCATTGAGCAATGAACAAAAGAACAAAAGAGGTTTTAAGATAAATTATGAACGCTACGTTGTCCTCCCAGAGGAGAGCCATCAAATCGAGCATTAATTAAGGAACAACTGAGCTATCATCTTTCTACAAAGTGTAGCGAGATAAAGGTTCCTACACAAGAACATCCAAGTACCTCAAATTGGCCCCCAACGTTCTACCATGCATAAGTCTGAAAAGCCCCTCATCATAGTGACTGCTTTCTGTGGAGAAGAAGACACTACCAGTATCTGTTGCTGTTAATATCTTCAAACAGGGGTGCCGTGGCAGATTTTCACATGCAAATCCTTCGACACTATTCAAAGTTAGGAATACTATCGATGATCTCGAGTAGAACCGATAGATAGAAATAATTCATGCTTACTTTTAACATCCGTTGCATCACATCCCGCTGACAGGCAGGTGTTGAGGGCAAGCACGAAAGGATCGCTGGCACAAGTACAGTCGGTGTTTAAATAAGTACCACAGCCTACTTGCTCGGCTGCTTGCTGGTTGCATTTAAGCTGTTCATGTTGTCTTGTGTCAGTACTGCTTTTCTTCTAAACTATTTTGCAAAAGTCTCCCATTGCAAACACATACCAGGCACGGTGTCATGTTTTCAGGGTTGTCAGGAGTTCCAGCGATGGCGACTGTGAAGAAGATCGCAAGAGGGGCTAGAATCGAGGGCTTCATGTTGCAGACTTGGGATAGATAAGCTAAAGGAATCTTTGAAGTAGATAGAGGATGCAAATACTACGTAATAAGTGGTGAATTTGGACCTTTAAATACAGATTCAAGAGCGAAAGACTGATGTAGACCCGATCTTATTAGTATACCTCAGAGACCGTGGACGAGAAGTTACTCCACGCCGTCTGACGTACCCTGCAGTATCCGCCCTAATGAAAATCCAGCTATGTACATGTCTGCTAGGGGCTTATATATCCTGATAGTGATGTTCGCTGTCATGCAGGTATAGTAATCATTAATCAACAGACTTTGTTCTTTACATATTTACCATCGCCGAGGTGCTGAGTGACCAGTAAAAAGTTCATCCGAGGAGCCCGAGAGTACACAAGAAAGCTTTGTGATATGCAAATAATCTGTGTATCTTTGATTCCTACAGAGTTGGGGGCTTGTGTCACGTCTAAAATTGCCTCAGTAGTGAAGAGCACAGTGCCTTAACAGCGAGTGTGAACATTCATGAGTGCATTCTAGACATACCACCTATAAGTGAAAATATATTGAAAGGGCTTGAATCTTGGCCATAGGAAGTACTTGCAGCCAACTCTAGCATAACACTACATTTTGAAAAAAAAAAAAAAAGGTATAGGTTTTAGCTTGGTAACACTACCCTTAGATAACTAGTACCTCTGGATGTACTTCCTGTGACTAATGAGTAAAGTCAAAGGGGAACGAGAAATAAGAATGTATAGAGCTGACAAGTCAAGGGACAAAAAAGGAAGTAAAGAAAAATCAAAAAGAAGTGAATGAGTGATAAGAGTGAGATTCGAACTCACGCCCCGTAAACGAGATCAGGATTTTATGTTAAGGTGGACCTTAACCTGACGCCTTAGACCAACTCGGCCATCTTACCGCTTCATGTTGGATCCAACACATTTTTAACATCATCAATTATCTTTTGAAGTTTTGTAGTTTGGGGAGATAACTATTCCACGGGATGTGAATAAAGAAGCACAGTCAAGAATAGTGCATATCCTACTTAGATATTATTTCGGTCAGACCAAGTACAAATTTTATTTAGTGCATATCCCTGCAGGCAAGGAAATAATACAGCTATTAAGGTAAGGTAAGACAGGCAATTCATTAAGTCGCTGAACATATTTCTAGACATTAAATTTTGGATCGCAAATCCCGGCTCATTATTGCTTGAAGCTAAACTCAGCCATCGTAGCTTCCAATTGGCCAGCCTCTGTTGGAGCACCATTGTCAGGCTGCACTTGAAGCTGCTGCCTGAATGACAATATCCAGGCCGGGTTATCTGCGATAGATTGGTTCCAAGAGTCCTCCGAATCATACAGCAATTTCCTCGACTCCTGTTGGAACATCTCATCGGTAGGAATAATCCCCATACTCATTTGCTGACGAGCATAGCGGCTGAGGTGCTGCGTCAGGATACCCGTGAAAGTGTTCAATGGTACCATCGTCTCGCCCACTGGTGGTAATTGCAAGGAATGTTGCGGTGCGGTTGATTGTTCATTCTGAGCCTGAGCGCTTGCATTCGCAGCCACCAGGTCCGCCCGGGCGGATATTTGCGCCAAGTGATCCTGTGCACTTCTACTTGATGCCGAGAATGGGACCATTGTCTTCGACTCCCAGCTGAGAAGATATGGCGGTAGAGAGTTCATGACCTGCGACGCAATGGCCGGGGGAAATTCATGATCCCCTTTCCAGTCACTCATGGTCATTCCTTGGCGAAAATGGTTCGTCAAATGGTCCGCTCTCTCATCCCAGTTTTCGAGTCGCTGGTCACAAAACCCGCAGCGTGAGGTGATGGCCGGACCCTGGATTTTCCAGTCGTCAATCACAGGCAAGGTTTCCAGGCTATGTACAAGCCTGAGGTGTTGAACTAGGTGGTCTTTGCGGCGGAAGATGCGAGTCGAGTCAGAGCATTGGAAGTGATTGTGCCCATCAAGATGCTCGGGGGTTGGTTCCGGGGAGTTACAATAGACACAATGCATCCTGCCCGTCACAGTTGATACTGTTGAGCCTCCATGTGGTGTGCACGCCCAGCCTCCCAGGTTAAGATGTAGTGACTTTTCATGGCGCGACCAATCAAACTTATTCTTGAACGTATCACAGCAGAAGGTGCAACAGAATATTCGGTCGTTTTCCAGACCAGCTGGTTTCTTGGGTTTTCTTTTGCTCTTGCCAACTCGCGTGTTCCCAGATTGCGACCTGGGCGTTGACACTGCAGATCGTGTTGAGGTTGAGGATTGCCATGATGATGCGCTAGTTCCACTTTTAGAGCTAGCAAGCGAAGCTGGTCGGCGATGGTGTCGGAAAGAAGCGTTACGTCTGTTTGGAACATCTTCGTCGACAGATAATCTCTCCCCGACACGTTCTGACTTACTGACAGCTTGCATGATTGCTGACAGAGATGCCGGCTCATCCTCCGGGGGCGATTCTTGCCATCTTTGCATCGGATCAAGGGAGCTTGTGCTGTTTGGTGTATATCTCCCACTCATTGTTTCTCCTAGTCTGCGCAGCGAGTACTGGCTTCTTCTCCTAGGTAGACTCGAAGGACGATTCAGATTTTGTACTGGAATGGCTTGTGTCTTCGATTGAACCATTGGCTCATGGAAAGATGGCTCCCCAGTATCCAGGAATGGCATATATGCTTCCGTCTGGGCAGGGCAGAGGGAAGAAGGCGAGGTACCCGGATGAGGCAATCTCGTCAGGTCAAATTGGCCCTCTTGACTGTCGATTGAAGCCACTGGAGCTGCATAATGCTCTGGAAAGCCATAATCCAACAGCCCCAGGGGACTCTGTAAATCGTCAGGGACCCATGAGTCTGTTAGCCAGTCCGATATGGCTGGAAGTCCCTCATTATTGATAGTCGACGGGACGAACTGGAAGTTGGCGCTATCATGTAGGTAGTCTACCTCAGCTGTTGCATACTCGCTTTGGAAATTATTATAATGGGCGATTCCGCCCAGAGCGTCGCAAGCTGGTGGAATGTAAGTATTTCAGCTTCCAAGTTCTGGCGGCGAACTCCGAGACGGGCGATTGACTCACCTAGGGGCGAACCTGTGTGAATTTCTTCGAAGTCAAGTGGTTGGGAAGTCGGCGTGGGTGCCTGGAAATCCCAAGTTCGTGGTTTATCAGGCATAGATCTATCTCCACGCTGTGTAGCCTTGGGGGGTCTGGAGCGATTCAAACTGAGAAGGTGGAAGTGTCGTTGGTCGGGTTCGTCCCCGAAGTCGGCCATCGGGCCGGGCGGGCGTAAGTACTAAGGAAAAACGGAGTCTCGGCGTTTGTGGGGCTGAGGACCCTTCCAGCCATGAATCTATGTGGACATACTCAGTATGTAGAAAGATATCATTGCACTGACTTCTTCATGTCGTGATGTACTTCCTGCCCACTGTCTATATGACGTCCCTGTTCGGTCTATTTTGAATGTCCCTCGTCATACATTCGAGCACCTTCTTGATTCTTTGGAACCCCTCGTCAGACGCAGATTCAAACTTGTTCATTCCATCATGGTCTTTCCCAATAAAGATGTGCCTCTCATAATCATTGCTCGAATCCTGCTAGTTCATACCCAAGAAAGTCAGTGGTGCGATCGCTTAATTGTAGCATCATAGTTGACTCACTATCATCGGTGTATCGTGATTTCCTGTCGGGCTGACACCCTCACTGACAATTACAATCTCGAAATTGCCACTGATTGTGAAGAATTGATCTAACACACTGAGCATCCATTGTGCCTCTTTATAGCTCTCAGTTGCGCGTTGGTTATCATCCCCTTGATTTGTGGCCAGAAAACTTCGCAGCCCATCGATCCGTGTGTCTAGTTCGGGTGTTCCCATGAAAAATATACCATATGTTCTTTCGTATATTCCACGCAAGTGTTCCGGGTGGCTGTCACGCAAAGATTCGGAGTAGTTGAGGGCCTGTCAAGCATAAGTCAACATTGTTTTCGCGGACAAATTGTCGATGCCAAGACCGGATACATTCTTGACTACCGTGCCACCTAAGCTATGTGCAACAAAGATTATTGACCGATTCTGGCTCTACAGACGGGTTAGCAAATATATATGTCGACATATAGTGCGGTGTGCTGCGTGCGATACATTCGTCGATTCTCTTACTTGCCACAGTTCCGAAATCAAGTTCTCGGAGACTGCTTCTTGCCAGATCTTCCCACCATTGTCTTTCTCGGTCGATACAGTATATCCCCATGTATATATTCTAGAGCTGGGTAAATCAACTGGAAGCAAACTTCGAAGCCAGTTGGTTCCATTCGGCGCAGTCCACGATCTGTCGCGATGGCCGTTCAACCCATGGACGGCGACAATGCTATGAGTGGTCGTCAGCAGGCCTTGAATTTGATACAAAGTCTTCTTTTCGTACTCTACTTGTGGATCTACACCTTCATACAAGAGTTTCAGTCCTTGTTCACTGGACCCCTAAGGAGATATCATGGCCGGCATGAGAAGAATGTCCAAGAGGATGGCTATATCTCTCAAGCTTACCGTCTGTATTTGTCTAGATGAACCTATCTTAAATGGCCAGCGCTGAAAACAAGACATTTTGGTGGGTGGCTTTAAAGTTGCCGTTGGGTGATTCTCATGGAATCAGGGACGTCCGACCATCGCGCGGGGTGTTCCTGCCCACGTCTGATTACGTAAACATATCACAACCATCAAAAATTTCCCAGTGTTTGTTCTTGATTCAGATCATCTCCCAAGTCATTCCAAACATGTCTCAGAATACCCAAAATCCCGATGGGGCTTCCCGAGGTTCGTCGGTGCCAGCCGACTCCAAGATTGATCACGCCGCCTCGATCAGGTACTGGAGCAGTCTTCCTAGCACCACCAGCAATATGTTAGGCATGCTTGGCACCTATCCGTGGTATTCACGCATCGAATTACAAGGGTCGAAGAACTTCTTGAACAAAGTCCGCCGACTCTCACCCACACTTCAATCTGACGGCAAATTCAACCTCGGAGTTGATTGTGGTGCTGGTGTTGGACGCGTCACCGAGGGGTTTTTACGCCATTTTTGCACTGTGGTAGACGCGGTAGAACCGGTGCAAAAGTTCACCCAAGTCCTCGAAGAAGGACAACTCAAGAAAGATGGCGTTATAGGAGACATCTATACCCTCGGTCTTGAGGATTGGTATCCGGAGAAGAAATACGACCTAATTTGGACTCAATGGTGTGTGGGTCACCTCACAGATTCGCAGCTGGTTCAATACGTGTCTCGATGCCGGAATTCTTTGACAGATGGCGGAATCATGGTGATCAAGGAGAATCTATCCACTCATCCTGGCGATCAAGACATGTACGACGATGAGGACAGCAGTGTGACAAGGACGGACGCGAAATTCAAGCAGATCTTTGACGAAGCTGGAATGGAGGTGATCAAGGCGGAGATCCAGACGGGATTTCCGAAACAATTCAAACTCCTTCCTGTCAAGTCTTACGCGTTACGACCGAAAATCTGAGAGTCTTGGCGAATCCACTGGGGTTCTCGTTTTTATGCCCCTCGTCATTGTTGACACTTTACTTGCCAAGACGCCTGGCTCCGCAAACCCTGTTCCAAGAATCGTGACACACACTCTTTAAGACATCCTTGCATGCGTTAGTTCTACTTATGAGTTGAGTGGTTCGATCTCTGTTATCAATTATGCTCTGCCAGTCCTGTGAACCCGCGCCGAGAACCTGGATCTACATTATTCTTCAAATGTCGCGAGCGGACCACACAATAAGCAATCGTTCTATGAGATCCGACACTTTACAGGCAACTACCTGATGGAAACCAGTTGAGTGAACTGCTCCAGCTCGAATTCCGTTCCGGGAAGTCGATATTCGCTTCACTTACTTGATTTGCTTGTGGATGGATGACCTACAATCGGGGTTTGCGACAATGAAGTCATTGATTATGCAGTGACTTAAAGCTAGGGAAGAATATGCATGTGAAGCCCACTTTCGAATCTGAAGATCAGTAAAACTCCAAGGGATCTATCAATCGTGTGGAGTTGAACGCGTGGTGCCTTGCCACGACCATTATTCTTCTAGGCTTGGCGACTTTGAGGTTGTCATGCTATTCAACCACCTATTAGACATATAATTCTTGTCAAGTGAGTGAGAAAACGAGAGAATTTCTCACAGCCAATTATTGAGAGACCTGCGAGGTTTTCCTCGCCTGTAAACATTGAGTTAGAACCATGGTCGTCCAGCTATCTTCGTTTTTAGAACCCTGTAGATCTCCCGGTACTATCTATAATCGGGTCAGCAACTGCCGGATGTGTCTATTGAGGGTCTCCAGTTTCGAAAAGACAACGCGCAATGAAGTATGAGACAAGGTCCACTTACCAAATCACCTCAATATCCCTAGATTGCTAGCCCTTTGTTCTGGGCTCATCTCAAAACCGAGCGGGCTGGGAAATAAGGTTAAAGCCCGCTGCCGAACCCAAAGTGCCTTGCGTCATGGGCCATACCCCTGTCGATGATCGACCCGCGGATCCTTGGCGATCATCAAAATTGCGGCTTTTTGAAAAGGTCGTGAGATGCTTCGTCAGCTATGTATATCAGAGAAGGTCGAATATTTAATCATTCATGGCCTGGACTGATGCTTGATGTTTCGGCTGAGTCTCAGTACTGAAAAAATTGGTACAGCCATGGGTCGAGCGTAAGCTATCTGTTCTCACAAAAGCCTCCTGCGATAGAACTAATCAGGCCACAGAATTGATGGTTCAGCATTGAGCTGGGCCGAAGCCGAAGAGGCTGCACCTGTAATCCGCAAATGGGCCACAGAGGTAGTTCTTACTCACATCGACCAATGGGCTACACTAACATCGATAGCAACTCCTCCGTCTCTGGCATGAACAGAAGAATCGAAACGATCCGGCCCCATTGTGGGGTGATGAAGTCAGTTTGAATGTTGAAATTCCGGGAGTGTTTTGTTCGCTGATGCAAATGCCCAGATCGAATATGCATTGGTCGACTTTGATCACGATAATTCGCGGGCCACATTGCTGCTGGAGCAAGAGAGAGTAATTCGGCAATGGGAAGAAAGACGGTGTTGCTCAAGCGATGAGTACGACCAAATTCTGAAACCCAGGCTGAAGCATTGAGAGCTGACAAGCTTTTGACAGGGCTACGTTACAATGGGAGTGGGCAACTTATGTTGTTGAAACCACCCCTGCAGCTCCGTACAATGGCATGGTAGCGGATCTGTTGAAAGTTGAAGCTAATATGCGTCAAAGGTATTATAGAGCCCCCTGTTGTCAAGGCTAGAGCTAAAAATTAGTTTTAGGAGACATTTAATCAACCGATTCCTCTTGCCTCATCAGCAAGCCATGTCTCTCTGTGTTTTTCCTCGAGTAGGAGTAGAAGAGACATGGACCACTCCCAGTCCACCTAATCGGCTTGTTTGTCCTTTGCCCCGGTATCAATTGCTGGCAAATAACGTTCAGAATCGCCCTCAAGGTCGGATGAGGACGTATTTTCCAATCGCTCGGGATGACTTGACGTCGAATCCGTTCCGTGATGACCCACCAACGGGGAAAGGGATCCCTGGGCATCTTTGCTTGGATGAGCTAGAGATCGGTACCGGGTGCTGCAGCATTCAAACAACCTTTCAAGCAGCAAACGAGGCCGAAGCTCGATGGTTGTACGATCAACTCATTCCGCTGGGTCATGTTCTTCTTGCCATGACTGCTGCTACACCCATGTGGAAAGGATATCTAGTTGATACCGACATCCGATGGCAGAGGTTTGGAGACTTGGTTGATGATCGTCGACCTGAAGAAATGGACTATTTGGTGAGTGAGATTCTTTTCCTGGTGAATACAGCTGTGTGGTACTAATTTTCTGAGAAGCCACCCCGTTGGACGTGGAATCGGACATACCTGTCTCGCGACAAGCCTCCAATGCTAATAGGCAAAGCTCCTCTACAGCCTATGGACAAGACAACCAAGAACCGTCTACTTGAAGGTGGCATGGATGATGCACTTGCCGAACATTTTGCATCAATCCTCACCCGCGACCCACTCCTACTGACTGGGGCAGATCTGGACAATCTCAATGAGTCAAACACGAGATTGTTTGAGCTTCTTCATGGCTGCGTTTGGCATCATGTTCGCTTCAAGCCACCTCTCACTGATAATGGGCCCGGGTGGTGTGTTGAATTCCGACCGATGGAGGTGCAACTGACAGATTTCGAGAACGCGGCGTTTGCGATCTTCATGTACTTGCTTTCTAGGGCAATCACCACCTTCCATTTGAACTTCTACCTGCCTTTTGATATGGTTGGAGAGTCTTGGGAAACGGCCCAGAAGCGCAATGCTGCGATAGAAGGGCGTTTCTGGTTCCGGCGATCTGGGTGGTCGTCCAAATTCGATCCCAACGACCAATCGGCGAAGTGTATGTGCAAAGATGCGGCTCATGATCCCCATGCGGAGAAGGAATATGGGCTCATGACTGTTGATGAGATCATCAATGGTCAGGATAATCCTGCAGGGTTTCCAGGGCTTTTGGCCATGGTGTGGCAGTATCTTGATTATACTCAGGTTTCCAGTGTTGAAAAAGCCAAGCTCGCTCCGTACTTAGATCTTATTGAGCGACGTGCGAATGGGACCAACCCGACTCCGGCGTCGTGGATGCGAGATTTTGTTCGCCGGCATGCAGAGTATAACCGCGACAGCTGCGTTAGTGAGCGTGTTTGCTATGATATGATGGAGGAAATATCTGCGATGAACAATATTTAGATCAGCCTTACATCAAATCTCTTCCAGTGACAAGCGCACAGCTTGAAGTACCGAGTATACATCTGACTCCCTTTTGAAAATAGACTATTTTGTCCACTGTGCCAGATATAAGCTACATAATCTTCAAGCAAGGCCCATTGCCGGCGTGCTTGCCATAATCCTATCTCCCTTGCAACTTGTAGAATGGACTTGGCTAAGTGTAAGTAAAATGGAAGCATAGCGTTCAATTTGATAGTCTAACAGAGATTGCAAGAAGAAGCAACTTTTGAAGGGCTCTTGTGATTTCAAACATTACCTCCATCTCGGCAGACCGGAATTATCCCTCATGATCCATCCGCTTGACAAAGCAGTCCGCTGTGTAGATCATATGTCCACTTATCACTTCCAACCCCACTGTAAATCCACAGACTCCCCGTTGGATCATACTTTTGTTTGATCTTCAAGAGTCTCTCATAATTCTCACCGTAGAAATCATGTTTCCAAGAGCGACTGAACCCGTTTGCGGCATTCATGTATGCCCCAGCCTTAGGAGCCCATTTTCTCCAAACCGGCTCCTTATTTTCCTCATACCAGTCTATAGCATCTTTCAATGCGTGTTTGGGATCGTCCGTCACGTTGACATGCCCGCCCCACGCCATCGTTACAGTATATGCCTTTCGCCAGAATGGGTGTGTGCTGCCCCAGCGTTTTTTATCCACTCTAGCCGGGCCAGATCCAACCTGGAGGTCAAATCTTAACAGGGTTCCTTCTTCGGGATGTTTTGCCATCAAGATTTGTCGAAGATATTTGTTCAAGTCCTCTTTAGGAAGGCCGGACAGCTCAGCTCGTCCTAAAAGTCGCCCAGTGAACATGCGAGACGATCCTGCAAAATTGCTGGATAGGAATTGGGGCTTGGCCCATGACCAAAAGCTTTCAGAGAATGGCTCAGTGATGGTGAGACTCAGGTTTCCATTGCTGGCAGCCTGAAGATCAGTGACCAGCTTTTCAAGTTTGGCACGCATATTTTCGACAGTAGTGTTGAAGGCAAAAAGCTTAGCTGACACCGCTGGGCCGGATATAGCATGGGGTAGTTTGAGGTATTTCTGAGCCATTTCTCCAGTCATCGTGTCAACGGTGCCGGTCACGCCCGCATCCATCATGTCTGGGATCTGCGAGGCAAATTCAGCAAAAGCTGCCCATGCGGCATCTTCCATCGGACGAGATGGATCACGAGCGTAGAAAGTCACTGAACTACTAACCGCATTCTCAGGAATGGGATTAGTCTTAATTACGAACTCAGTCACAACTCCGAACTGGCCATTACCTGCTCCGCGAATAGCCCAGAAGATATCTTGATTTTGTTCGTCATTTGCGACGAGGCGGCGTCCCTCAGTTGTGATCACAGTGGCTTGAAGGATATGGTCCGATGAAAGGCCGTGGTGGAAGGACAAAACACCGTGACCACCGTTGGTTGACTGTCCACCTAGACCGACTGTTACATCCTCGGCGCCTACAACCGATCTGTTGGCTTCATTTGCAGCAATGTACGCGGAGCCCCAGATAGTACCCCCACCGCAGATCAGAACATCTGCTGTGTCTTTACTTCCCGGGATATGCCAGTCTGACTTGTGCTCGATGTCTTGGAAGTTGTGCGTCCAGATAGACAAGGCGTATGCACCGGTTGCCCTGGAGATATTGTTTTTAGCCAAAATCCATCATAGTGCTGGGGGGATCGACGCCTCAAGAAACACATACCGACCATTTAAATCATGACCGGTGGACTTGATGACAATACGAATATTTCGCTTTGAAGCCCATGCCATAGCCGTCTCGATTTGCTCCTCTTTAGTTGCATTGACAACATATGAAGGTAGTCCGCCAATACTGCACCCTCTCTCTTTGGTGGCCCCATTAATACCAGGTGGAATACAGGAGTTGTTCGCAAAGATCGAATAACTAATGCTTTCCGGCCATGCAGCGTGATAAAAGCTGAGACTCCATTGCTCTTTCACTTTTGTACAATTGTGAGGCGAGTTGTACGGGTTTCCGTCGTAGCATGATGATGCCACAGGGGCAGTACGTATAAGACATCCACCAATGGACTTGTTCAGCGCACCCCAGTCGTCATGAGATGGCCATGCTTCGCTCTGCGGAGTAGATTTGCATTTTGCTAGATATGTCGGACTGGTGACGAGCGAAAGGGGAAAAGATAGAGCATATAGAATTAATTGATACATTTTGGGTTGGAAGCAATCACCAAAACGTGAAGGATTAAGTCTAAATCAGAAGGTAGACAAAGTTCTTGTGGCGAGATATAAATGATATGTTGGCTTTGCTATCAAGTAGCCTACTCGTCATCATGACCCTCACCGTGCGGAACATAGATCCGGCAGCCTATTCCGAAGGCTAAGTCTAGCAAAAAGTCCATTACAGAGCGCGCATTTTCAGGCACATATATTCATTTCCTAAATGACTGCATTTGGTGAAAAATAACCGGTCCAATTACTTATATACCCAAGAAAGTTCCTCTGTTCCTCGCCAGTGCAGTAGTGTCCGATCAACTACTAAGAGGTACGCCGAAAATCGGTAATACGTCTAGTAGAAAAAGAATGCATGGATTCTGCAAATTTGACGAATACTTCTCCTTTATTACTCTTGAATATTCGAGCCTCACTTGACCACCCTATTACCAGTAGTAAAATAAAATTTATTCATTATTATTTCAAACAAATCATTCCAGTGATTGGATCATGATGACTCGACCCCATTGACCTCGACCTTGACCTCGGTCGTTTGGTGATACATTGGTTTACTCGTTATCGCTTGATTTTGCAGGCTTTTGGTGGCTTCCAGGCCCAGGCCTTTGTTCTTTGTCTTGTAGGCCTATATAAGCCTTTCCCTTCTTCTTTTGCTTCTTCGTCTTCACACTCTCTTCTAGATAGACCAATTGACTCAATTTCCCCTTTTGCTTCCTTGCGCTAGTGTCGGTGACACCATCAGATCATATCTATTACTTCAGGTCTGGGTTGCACCACGAATCTCGTGCAGCTTTTGTAATTTTTTGGCGACCATATGCCCATCGGAAAGATCTACAAAGGCCCATCTAGCCTTCCGAGCGATCTTGAGCACAGCCCAAAGTCCAAAGAAGACAAATATCTAAAGAAGCTCAAGTCAGTGCCGATCAAGCAGCAATCGAGCAGGTAGGAATAGCATCTTACAGTCAAATAAGGAGCGACAAAAGGAAGGAAATGGAAACCCTTCCATAGGGCAGCTCCACCAGCTACCACTAAGAGAAAAAGGCATCCCACGAAGGCTAGGTAAGCCAGCAGCGGCTGCCCATGGCTGCGGTATGGATATTCGTTATAATTGTCTCGCTCCACTTGAAGTACGCCTTTTTCTCTGAGGATATATTGATGGGTTGAGATGCTACAAAGATCTAAGATTAGCATAATACTCAATCACGTTGGTCTGTCACTCACCAGTGGTAATAGCGAATGAATGCCAGACATTCACAGCCCCAGACAATGAGGACCCCCATAGATGCCATTTCACTCAACATTTCGATGAACTTATTTCAGGTGTCAGTTAAAATATCGAACCGACATCAAATCCCAAGAAATATTACCATATTGATAGAATTGCGCGTTTCTGGTTCTCCGATCAATTGTAGAAATGGAACCCACCAAAATGCAATAGCAGAGAAGAGAACGGCACGAATGGGAACTTTGTGGCGATTCGTTTTTCCAAACCAGGCAAGGACACGCAAATACCAGGGCTGTCCCTTACCACCCTCTAGCCCACTGGTGAGACCGAATAAGGTCCGGGAGGCGACATAAAGATTTGTGCTGGTACATGTAAGGCATGTGAAAATGAGAAACACGTTGAAAACATCTGCGAGATGGGGGATACCTGACTTCAAGGCAACAGTAACGAATGCAGCCTTACTACCAGGTGTGGGACAGTGGTCTTTGATATCATCCGAGAGCCAACTCACACGCGGAAGCTCACAGTCTTCTCGACCTATGTCTAGAGTAACCAAAAATCCAGCGATAGTGTAGGCAGCTGTCGAAAAGATCGAAATATATATTGCAGAAAGTTTCACGGTGTTTCCTATCAATGTATCATTCGGACGAGGTATCGCATCTGACGGCGTTGTTGACCCTGACTTCTGGTGTGGCCATTTTGCCTCTAGCGCGGATGCAGCGACTATTTCGATTCCAACATATGAGAATGTTGAGATGGACATTCCCATTCTAGATATCTCTCAGTCAGTCTGAGAGCTCAAGGATGAAGTATATTACTTACAGCAAAGCAGTGAACCAGTTCGGAGCGGCATCGGAGTCAAAGGCGGTTGGCGAACTCCAGTCTGCTCCAATTAGCACTACTCAATAATGGCCATAATAGCATTTGACTTACATTTGACTCCAAGCGGGGAGCTATCTGCCTGCCCAACTTCTCAGATAACATGTCAGTTGTTTATTTCGAGGAAGCCACAAGTAGTTGGACGTAGCAGCAAACTCGGTGAGGACTCACCACCTCTGTTAATGGCAATCAAGGCGCAGACTATGATGGCAAGACATAAAAGCTTGATACCTCCGGTGAGGACTTCGAGCATACCGTAAATCTTGGCAATATCAATACTGACTCTGATAAGGGATTTAATCTACTTAATGGTGATTGAATCGTACCTCGATTTTAAATGCATTTGCCCAAACGATGATGAGAGGAATAAGGAGATACAGAATGCCCGCGTGTATACCAGTGCTGTTGTTGATAACAGGCCAGAAGTTAAACTCGGCCGCTGACGTTGCAAGGAGAGTGGAGAACGCCATCGAGTATGTGAACCTGGAAAAGGTAGTAGTCAATAGATTGTTCTCATCGCCCTTTGCGCCCACTTTACTAAGGTGGTTAAAAAACGGTTCATACCAATACGCAACTCCAACAGCAATTCCCAACTCAACGTCGACGAACTCGCTAACGTATACTGATAACGCGCCGGGTATGGGCCAGATGCAAAGCATCTCTGACACACATTGCATGACGGACCAGGACAGAAGCCCTACTAGCAGGAACGACAGAACGACAGCCAAAGGACCACCAAGCTCGAGCACTTGACCACCTCTCCAATAAAGACCTGTCCCAAGGACTGCATTTATCGTAATCATCTAGTTGTGTCGCGTTAGCTTAGTTCTGAGAAAAGATTCAGAGTCCTAGCATCTGCCTAACGCTTGGCAGTATTGCGTATCCTGATGAAATCAAAAACTCGTGGTTAGATAGCGACATACAAAAATATGAATTCCTTTCAGACTGCGCTTCACCGTTCTATCAGGACTCGGTGTGACAGTGATCAGCTTCGGGCTCACAATACAGAATCCAGTGATTGGTTCCGGATATGGAGGCACATCCAGGCTTGAGTCACTTCGGGGATTGGACTCGTTGTCACTAGATTCTGCCACGATTTCTTGGGGTGGTTGAATTGTATTGGCATCCTCGGTCTGTGTGGATGTGCTCCTGATCTGCGATGCTAAATTCGATGGGCTAGTCAAGGGGATCCACACAGGCCCTTGTGAGGGCAGCATCCTGTTGTCGATATGGCTCTGTTTGGCTTTGATTGACAGACCGCAAAAGACCAGAATCAGGAACGCTCGCTCTAACTGCAATTTTTCAGCAGCACCAAGCGATTACATACCAGCGGGAGCGCGTTTGGTATTCTAATGGTCTTCATAGGTATTAGGAGCCCCGGTGGATAGGTTGGGGGCTTGTAGGCGGCTCGGGCGCATAGCGTTGTCAGATAACGACCAGAATATGCGCTGGGACAAAGATACTGTAAAGCCATGCATAAGCCTAGCCGTGTTGAGATGCATGATAAGCGAGAGCTAAAGTGGCTGATCTTGCCACAAAAATGCACGCGACCGCATGCAACCCCCGTTTGTAGTTGGGTAAGGCTGCTGCCACCCCCTGGATTTCCCGCGCGCACCCCCTAAGGCCTTAGGGTTCTGCCTGGCATAATAATACATAGTATTCTATCTGGTAGTCTTTTGTAACGTTATAGTGGAGTTTTATAGTAAGTTCAGAATCTTGAACAAACATCAAAATCATCTTAGTAGTCATACTTTGAAAAATAGGTTGAGAGATATCATGTGGGCTATCCGGAAAGATATCTCAAAAGACCGTCCGAAAGATCCAACTTGTACTCAATGTAGCCCGTCAGGCAGAGATCTAAGGCCCCAGGGGGTGCGCGCGTGAAATTGAGGGGGTGGCAGCAGCCTCGCCTTTGTACATAGTTACCCCTGCTTACTGCGGTCCGTGCCAGGCTCGCGTTGACGTGGCCCCAGGCAGATTGCTTCATATTCAGCCTCAGTACTGGGGCGGGGTACTCTAAGCCCCCTCTTCATATTTCGAGAGTAGAGACGTTCGAAAGACTCAGATCTAAATTACTACATGCATGTATTCCAATTTCACATGATGGCCGACAAAGCCCACCCAGAACAAACTACGCAGAATACCACCAGCAAATATCTCACACAAGATAGACTTCAGGAAAAGCTGGAGAGGCTGTTTCCTGGACAAACTGAATTCAATATTCGAGTATGGAGAAGGGGTTTCCCTTTACTCGGTGTATGTAAGGCTGATTCTGGGCACAGATGAGAGAGGATCAATGGACCTTCACGGCACCAAGGATTGTGAGCGATGTGAGTATTGAGAGGAGTGTTATACCATCCACCATAGCAAGTTTGTGGCTGATAGATATTCGTTCCAAGGCTGAAATCGAGTAAGAATCGACTGAAGTTGGGGGAAATTGCAACAGGAGGGTGCTGAGCATCGGGAATTTAGTGCCGCTCGAGACCAGTAATCGACCAATCGACCGAAGGGGCTTGCGCACAGGTGATATGAAGAATACGAGGTGGTTGGGGATGATCTTGTTAGGGGGGCGAGGCGGAGGAAATGAGGCGCAGGCAAAGGCGTAGGAGAGGACAATCAATACTGTTCTGGGAACAAGAGCGGGCTGCCTTATCCTATCTGAATATTTGCGCTTGTCTATAACAATTGACCGTGGGACTAATTACTTTCACCTTGGCAAAAGCCAGCCAAAAAACCCATCGAAATGGTTCCTTTAGATCACTGCTTTGTTGATCAATTAATCGAGGCCGTACAGATTTTGGATGTCGGGTTAGACGCGGCCGCTTCTTCCTTGGAAGTACCTTATCAACGATCGGAGGTTTCAAAGACAGAGGAACTCACAGCACATTTACAACATTCCCGTGGATATACTCACACATGCCGCGTTATGTTAGTGGCCCCAAGCACATTTATACCCTACGTTTATGGCTGACGTCCCCAGATCAATATGCCAAAGGAACTCGTGGCGCCCTTTACAAGTCACGCGGCAGATGCTCGATGCTATTGTCGCTGAGCATAAGATTGACTCCTCCTTTTGGGAGCTTCCTTCCTGCTTTTACCAACGTAGCGATGATATTGAAGAGGTCTTTTGTGTTCCATACACCTTGGTTCGCACAGCCTCCACCATAGGTAGAGGAACATTTCCCAGAATTTATTTGGGTAGAACATACTGACGCCAGTGAATCAGAAATTTCATATACCCTGAGATACCCCGAGTATAAAGAAAGTGAGGACAGATGGACCATCAGACAGACCGGAATTTACCATCAGTTCGATACCACAACGTCCAAGAGCCTATTCGTTCTATTCAATCCAACACCCCGATCCAGCGCCCAAAAAGAGGCAGAAAGATTGCTCAGTGACTCCCCCTCTATAGTGACAAGGGAGCCTTTCTGGCTGCATCGACTCCTGTTCTCTATCTATACCCCTGCTTGGCGGGGGTATATCGGGTCATTGGAACGAAGATTCTTGCCCATTGCCAACACAGCTTTTGCGACATTCATCGAGGAGCCATTGCGCCTCAGTTACGATCACCTCAGCACACTAAGTAACCTAGAGATCCGGTTCCTCCAAGTTCCAGCAATGATTACATCCACAACAGATGTAATTGACGAACTATGTACGATCTTCGAAGCAATATCACGTCCGAGTATCGAAAGCCAGGACCTTCAAAATCATCGTCGCAAGTGCCTTGTCAATTCTCGAACAGCAACGCATCTCAAGGATCGAGTGCAAACAATTGCTCACTTGCTTGCTGATACCCTACTACTTCGCGATCAGGTTGTTGCAAGGGAGCAGAACAAGAATATCTTTCAGCTAAATAAGTCAGCTGTCTTCATCACTACACTCACACTACTCTACCTCCCGGCCTCGTTTCTAGGCGTAAGTCTACTTTCTAAATTCATACATGCTCTGGGCTTGCTGACGGCTTTCCTGGTTTAGACTTTCTTCGGTATGAACTTTTTTGCGATGGACCAAGCTGAGAATCGCATTGTCGGCACTCCCATGGTGTGGATATATGTGGTTGCTTCGGCTGTGCTCACTGCATTTACATTCTTGTTTTACTACTGGCTATTGCATCGCGATGGGTCTGTGTTTCGTAAGCTGGTGCCAAAGGTGCCTGAGTGGAATATCCAGGCCTTGAGACGACAATGGACAAATCGGATGAAGGGTGATGTGGAGCTACAGAGCTATCAACTTTGAGGTATTGGTGAGTTATCTACCATTTTCGACATCACGGATATACATAGACCTTGAGAAATTCCATCTATAGACGTTTTAGCTTTTACTTTCCCGGAAGATTTTGGCAAATATTTGCAAAACTTTGTCCATGAACATAAGATTCATCATATCGCGCACACAAGTCAGTCAATCTGTACTTTGTAAATAGCCCGCTGGTTGGCACTCATCAAGGCTGCAAGCAGCACGTATTTTTCTCCTTGTATATAGCCCAGCCTCTCGGTGAACTGATCATTGTAGGAAAGGCCGGTGAATTGGGCCAGTTCTCTTATCGACACACCACTAGTTCCTGATGTGGGCAACTGTACCTCTAGCAGAATCATGTTATGGCTTGCCACATGTCTTCCAATAGCGAACATCTTCCCCTTATCCCAACCTGTCATCAACTTGAGTATACGATAACTCTTGATGTCTGCCTGCATAGCGGCGGCATGATTTGCTTCCTCTAGGCCTTGTATGTATAGGCGCCTTTCTTTCGTTACAACTGCACATATACTAGGGTGTAGATAGGTGGGCGCGAAAGTGGTGAAAAGGCCAACATCGGCGCCGCCACCAAATCCCTTCATCATAGAAATGTCAGTCTTAAGCACTCCTGGGGGCTCCACGGTATTCTACAGTATCTTTACTCACCTGTGAGCTAAATATGACCGATTCTAGTCTCTTGGATGTAAGACATATATGAACGAGAGTCGCTTTTTCCTCTTGACTGTGAATATTGATTCTTGGGCGGATAATAAGGTAAATATCCTTGTTCGTCGGGAAAGATAACTCAACAATATCTGTTGCTGGCCAATTGAGCTCCTCCATTTGCGTATATTCACCAGGAGCAGCCACAGGTGCAATGTACAGTAGCGCTCGGTGTGGTGCTTCCTCTCTGCCGTGCAAGATACATGCCATCAGTTTGCTATCAGATGAAATAGCAAGGTCCACTATCTCCGGTAGTGATGGTGTGTAGCACTTCAGATGGGAAAAGCTGGCATCTACTGATGTGCCCCTTTTCAAATCAAACACATAACACTTCGAACCGTATTGTGTTAGCTAGGGAAGTTGAAAGGATGAAAAGTCGGATTTCGCTTACTCGAAAGGTACCCCCCGAAGTAGAAGCCAGTAAAAAACGGTTTGTCAATCGAACGTTCTTCCAAAACCAGTTCGAATCTTCGTTTTCCAAAGACCACTCAGCTTGTGGATGTGCTTCACCATCTCCACTCGAGACCGATAGCGAAGTAAAAAGCGTCAACTCAGTGTCAGTCCAGAATACAACGAGAGACCCGTCACTAGAGATTTCACAATTCTTGAAAGGATGCGCCGTTTTGAGCGTCCATCTGCGGATGTGTCCTCCATCTTCAGGAATCGCTCTACGCTTCAGAAATCGGCCAAGTATTCTTTGCTTTATCGTCGGGTCCTGGTCGTGCCTCGATGAGTCGACATCTTCTAGGTTCGAATAAATGTTATACGTTTCTTGCAGTATGTTTCCGACTTTCCCGACGCCACATCGCCTAGATTGATCTCGAAACACGTCTTTCTCGAGAAAATGCAACACGTCTTTCAAAGCTTTCCCTTCTTCAGAGCTTCGCTGCTTGCCAGACAGAATTAGTCGTTCATGCCAATTCTTGACGACAGGGTGTGACTTGAAAGGTCCAAATCCTTTATCACGAAGGAAAAAGCGATCAACCCCATCTGCTTTGGCGTGATTCGACCGTGCCTCCGAGTATCTGGTCACACCCTCGGCTCCCATCTCCAAGTAGACAAACAGAACGCTGATCACGCATCCAAGGGACCAGACATCGCTTCCTGTTTTCATTGATGAGATTGAAGCCATAGATTCAGGTGCTAAGTATGTGCCCTCCCCATGCAAAGCCAAAGTAGGTGTTGGAGTCGGCTCAGGCCCAGGTTTCGAGCGCTTAACGAACCAACTATTAAAATCTCTCTCCTTCTCAATATTTTCGCCTTTCTTTTTCAATTTAACCCGAGCCATGCCAAAGTCACTTATCTTCCAAATCTTCCTGTCGTCGTCGCCCTGAAATATCAGGATGTTGCTCGGCTTTAGGTCCATGTGATAACAGACCAAGTCATCCCCTTGTGGTGTCTTCATCTCATGGTGTAGGAAGTTTAGTCCCCGAGCTAATCCCCAAGCAGAAAGGATGATTGCAGCCTTCTCCTTGGTAGTGCTGGGCTTGATATCATGATAGTCCATCATGTATGCCTTCAGGTCACAAATCGCAAGAGGCATGAAGAGGCTGTACTTGTCGGGGCCAATTGCAAGACTCCCAAAGTTCTCGACAATATTCTCGCATGATCTGTCAGAGGCGAGAATCTTCTCGAGGACAGCGTGTTCCTTACTTGCAGCGGGAAATTGACTGCTAATGACGTAGTCCTTCCTTGCGACCTCCAAGGGCGCCGGATTAGCTGTTCCGTTACGATCATCGTAGAAATGTCTCGTTGCAACCTTGACTTTGTAAACAGTCCCATAACCTCCCTGTGCTAGCCATTTTTCCTCTAGATAAGGGAGTCGCCGTCGTCCCGGGTCTTCGACGCGCTGTTCTTTTCCTTGATGAATAACGACCGGGCAAAATATGGCTTGGTTTGCAAGAAACTTGTCACGCGTGACTTTCTCCTCGAACAATAACTTGAGCTTCCCATTTGTGGTAGGTAGAGTGAAGATGCTGCTCCTGAATATGTCTGTGACCAAAAGCTCCGTAGTAAATGTATGCACGTCCTTAACAGCGCAGCTGCTGAAAAGCAAAATGGCAAGAAAATCGTGCAGTCCTTGTTCATCGATTCTTTCAGTGAAATCATCTTCACTTAGATCACTCTCTATAGGAGGAGACCAATCCAAACTCCCGAAAAGAGAGCGCAAGACATCTGGTTGCAGCACCTCCCTCGATGTTCCTATCGGCGCAAATCTATGTTGATCATCTTTCCGTCGCTCAAATTTCAGTAGAAATTGCAGATGTAGCTTGTTTCTTAACTCATAAAAGGGCTTTTGCGAGTTGGTTGTTGCCATCGTAGTGGCCGCACTCGCGTTGTCGGATGGCTAGAGGCAGGAGGCCGCATCATTCGGGGCACTCCTTATCACCAATAATCGGGGTGAGGCTCAGCTTGCCGCTCTCAAATCGCGTGACTTGATTTCTCCGAGGTCTGTGATTTGCTTCTTCCCCACCCCAATTCCATGGCTTACAGACCGCCGTGCGATGGTTGGCTGGTTGATGCTTCGCCCCTGCGTTTTGACCCAGGCGACGGGAGCCGAGCGTCAGCTGTCACTTGACGATCAAGGCAGATTCATGTTTGCTTTTTATGAAGAACGTGTTATGCCTGGTTCATCTGCAATTTCCCGTCCCGGCTATGCCTTCCTTTTATTGAACACAATCGTCATCTTTCAGTAGGGTTATCTGTGGAAAGGGTGATAATATACGCGACCTGGGCTAATCACTTCGCGCCAGGGAGCTCCGGATATGTGAAATAAGACTTCAAAGAGTGTCTAGTTCCATGGTATCAAGATTACTAAAGAACCATTGTGTTGCTACCCCACCTATTCCCAGATTAAGCAGAACAGGAAGCTTTTTTCCACATCGGAAGTACGTCCTTTGCCTACTTCGCCTGGTCTGCATAGCTGCTCCTCGCTCGGAACTTTTCACCATACTTCCACAGGATAAATGGAATAGGGCATCCGACAACCAGTGCTAGCAATGCCAAAATGCTGTTTCCCCATCCATATCCCAACGCCGAGTACATCTCTGGACTGAACAGGGGAAACCCGAATCCTGTCAATCCCCGCAAAATATATACCGCACCATTTGCGCTAGCGGCATAGACCGGGAAAGTATCCAAGAGGTAGGCACTGACACACTGGAAAACGATGGTAGCGCCCATGAGTGGCAGAGCAATACCAAGATCAGGGATGATCCAGTTTGACTTGTACTCCGCGCTCCATCCGAACCACAAAAGGCCGATCGGTACAAGCAAGGATGCTGGAACCATCATCGGTAGGCGGAATTCAGGCTTGCCGACGCCATTGTTCTTTGCCACTTGGTATCGATAGACCCGATCGGTAAGGAAGGCACAAACAGCTGCTCCGAATATATAGCCAATGCAGGGAGCAATATAGTTGAGTGTGCCTATGCTGAGCTTCATATGGTATTGGTCTTTCCATAGATTGGAGAAGCTGGAAAGAAGCAGGTACACAATCCCATACAGGTATCCATAATAGCAAGCCAGGGCTTGCACGATGGGTTGAGTGCAGAGGAAGTATAAGGATCGAAGGAGCGTTCGTCGATAGCGCTGACCAAGAGTCTCATTCTCTTTCTCATATGTAGTCTTCCATACTGATTCGGCTGCGTCTTTTTCCCGTGCATGTTCCTTCATTCCCTTCTGTTTCTTGCACTGAAGGAGAACTGGAGCGTAACTCTCTCGTGCCATAATGGCACATAGGAATAGGAATGCTCCTGATGCGATGGATGTTGCATAGAAAGCCCAATGCCAGGTGGAATAGTCGGCAATGAAGCCTCCAACTATAGGTCCCAAACATGATCCTAGAACGGGGCCCATGCTGACCAGAGCCACGGGGAGGCCTCGCTCTTCCTTTCGGAAAACATCCCCAATCATACTCGCTCCAACCTGGAGCAAGGTTAGTATTAAGTGCTTCGCTTCAAAGAAAGGGCACCTACTGCTAATGAGGCACTAGCACCTGTTCCGCTCAACAATCGGAATACCAGGAGCTGCGGCATGCTATTTGAGAAACCTGCAGCAAGGTTGAAGGCAAAGTAGAACAAATTCCCTGCCTGTAATACTGGCAATCGTCCATAGAGTTCACTAAGAGGACCAAGAAGAATAGGTCCAAGGCAGTACATCAAAAGGAACAAGGACAGTGCTAGCGGTCCGGTGACAGAGGATGTGACATTGAATTCGGCTGCAATAGCCTCTTCTGCAGGCGTCGTTATGGTTGAAGAAAGAGGCATCAAGAATAATGGAATAGCCACAGTGACCATGATAAGCCATTTTCGAGACTGTGGCCAGTCTTGAGGGTGATCCCCTTCAAAATCAACCACAATGACGCTTTTCTCGGACGACATATTGACTGGTTATCAGTCGAACTCAGAAGAAGAACGATGGCAGTTGCTCGAATGTCGAACTGTCAAATAGCTGGCATCAAATAAAGGGAGAGGGTACCTGCGATCAACAGACAATCGACAATCATTTTCGACCCTCCTTCCCCTAGATCTTGGCCTGTGGGTATAGAACGCGTACACCTCCCAGGAAACATATTTTTGAAGTGATTGTATATGTTTGATCGACATGGATCCGCAAGATCACGAAATCTCGATATTCCTGAATTATGGGTCTCAAGAAAGTCGGGCCTGATATAACTAAATATTGAGGGACGAGTGATGTCTGGATCTGATGTCATTGTATGAGGCCCCTTCGGTCCCCTTCTTCCTTCTGATACTCCACCTTACGGCAACTGTCATTAATGCGGGGCTTTTGGCGCGTCAAGGGATCAAGATCTTATGAAGCAAGTATCCCTTGAATCGGAACGACTCAATCAAGTAACAATCTCACACGCTTTTCTCGTGGTTCGGGTTCACCGGGCAGGTTAGGATCGTCATCCCTTGGATGAGCGTCGAGAACGCGAGGCATCAAACTTTTTGCGGAATGAGCTTCCGCATTCAGCGAAAATAATCCAGGCTATGTCAATTGGTGAGGTTCGGGACAAGAATATGGGCTCTGTTCTCGTTTGTTCAGTCGTTTAGTCAAGACAAACGAAGGGCAAAGGCTTGGTTTACTTGGAAGTTTCCACTAGGAATCAGAAACCTGAGGCTCCCGTTCCACTCTGGTTCTTTCAGGCATCCATGCCATCTTTCAACAATGGCTCGCTTATACAGAAAGATCGAATATTAGCTGTATCCTAGAGGGTCCGACGCTATAGGACAAAGCCAAGCATCATATCGATATCGGTTCACCGAAATGCAGGGAAATAGCCCGGTCGCGGAGAAATGCCGAATGAGTCACCTGCATCACCAGCGAGACTTCTCGACAATATAAACGGACTATTTGCCCTCGTTGCCCCATGATCTCCCTGGAAACCTCATAATCCGTGAGATTCCATTGCCGATCGTATCATTACCATGAATCAGGGCCAAGTCATCATCGTTGGGTGAGCGCAAAGACCGAATTTTTCTCTCAACACAAACTAAACAATAGCCATATTTCTCCAGCGCCGGTGTCTTAGGCCTCAGCTGTGCCGTACAGCTCTCTCGATCGGGCTATAAAGTCACAGTTGTCGCTCGAGATCTTCCTGGCGATTCTCATATCGACTATGCCTCCCCATGGGCTGGGGCCCACTTCCGGCCCTCCCCCGCAAAAACGCCAGTAGAGCAGCTCGAACAACAACTTATGCGAGACACTTACAGCGAACTTGAGAGACTGGCAAAGGAAAATCCAGAATCCGGCGTCAAAATCGTTCCGGCGATTGAATACTTTGACTCTGCTGATGCGGATTCGTTCCTAGCCAAGGAGAATGGCTACATTGACTGGCCCGATTTTCGGATCCTAAAGTCGGAGGAATATCCTTCTGACCATGAGTCGATCAAATTGGGCGTTACCTATCGCAGCTGGGTCTTGAACTCTCCTGTATACTTGCAGTGGTGCCGGAAGCAGGCTGAAGAGCAGGGTGTCGGGTTCGTTCGGGCAAATGTAGCATCCATGGACGAAGCCGTCTCCATCTTCCAACAAGAAAGTATAGGAAGTGATGGAAATGACGTCCGAGCTATCATCAATGCGACAGGCCGTGGATTGAATGATCCCAACTCTTTTCCATCTCGTGGTCAGTTCATCATTGTGTCCAATCAGTGCGACAAGACGATCAGTCACCATTGGGCAGATGGCTCATCCACAGTGATCATTCCCCGACCTCTGGGTGGAGGCACAGTTATTGGGGGGACAAAGGAGCCTAACAATTGGTCAGTTGCCCTGCTCTGCTGATCCCAAAATCTGATACCTCTAGGAATATCTACACCACTAACCAAAGCAGGTCCGAGGAAATATCTGACACTGACACCGAAACAATTCTTAAACGAGTTGCAGGTATTTGCCCTGAGCTCATCGACCGGGAAGACACTGCCACCGACAATACTCATGGGTTCGACATTCGTCAAGTCTATATCGCTCGTCGCCCTATGCGACGAGGCGGTTTGCGCCTAGAAAGGGAATTTATGAACCACGGCATTCCTCTTATCCACTGTTACGGCGCTGGTGCGAGTGGTTTCAAAATAAGTTGGGGTGTGGCCAGAAAAGTCGAAATCCTGGTTGCTAATACTCAACTTCTTGTGAATGATCCCTTAGAGACATCATGAGCGTGTTAGCGACATCTTCAATCATACTGCCAGCCCCGCCCCGTCCAAGCTGCTTTGTCAAATGGAACGGTCTTCAAGATATTCGAGTAGATCCAAATCTATTCTTTCGCATCTAGAGTCTATGTCTAAACTTCTAATAAACAACAAAGCTTTTGATCAGAGCACATCAACGCTCTCTCAATATACACGGGTCACAAAGTCTAGTTTTGCTTCTTGGATCCATTCTCGGGGAGCTTCCAGTGGAGAACACCGTCCGAGTTGACATCGGAGACAACCTTGCAAGTAGTGAAGGTGTCAACCAACGACTTGATGAAAAGTCCCTCGTCGAGGTGGTACTGGTCTCCGAGGTAAGGGACAATCGCGTTGGTGGCCTCCTCGGCGTGGTAGAAGGGAATCTTGGGGAACAGGTGGTGAACAACGTGGTAGTCGATAATCTCGTGGAAGAAATGACGACCGATGAAGCCGAAGCGACGGTCAACAGTGGAGAGGGCACCCTTGACGAAGGTCCACGCATCCGCATCGTAGTGGGGCACCTCGGGGTGAGTGTGGTGCAGATAGGTGATGGCAACTAATATAACATGTTAGACGTTAAATCACAAGATTACGGTTATGGGGTTTCTTACCAAGCCAGTGGTGGACCCAGAAATAAGGCACAACGTAGAGCAGAGCAATCTTCCAAGCTCCCATCTGGGTAGCCAGGTAGTAGAGAGTGCTGCCAACAATCAGAAGGCCAATATCAGTGATTGCAATCAGGTGTGCCTGAGAATCGGTGAAGAGAGAACCGAGAGGGTCAAAGTGGCTGTTACGAAGCGGCTTGGGGCTGTTTGCCTTCTCGGGCAGACTCTTGCTTCCAGCGCTGACATTGAACATCAGGTAGAACTGCCATCCAAAGATCTGGTGGCTCAGAAGCGCAACGGCGTTGTACAAAGGAGTCTCCTCGAACAGCTCCTTGACCTTCTCGATCATGGTAGGCACCTTGCTCTCACGCTCCTCATCGATGGGAGGAACGAAGACAGTGTCCTTCTCGATGTGGCAGTGATAACGGTGGTGTCTCGCATGGGTGATCTTCCACGAGAAGTATGGCACCATGAGCAGGGAGTGAGTAGCCCAACCAACAACGTCGTTCAGCATAGGGTACGCGGAGAAAGCGCCATGTCCACACTCGTGGCCGAGAATCCAGATTCCAACGCCAACGCAGCCCTGGACGAAGGTATAGGCAATCCAGGCACAGGCCCGCTGTGTGGAAGTCGGCAAGAGATCGATATGAAGCGCTGCATAGACGAGCACAGAAGCGTAGATGAGGTCGCGGACAAGGTAGGCGAGGGACCTGATCGCAGAGCGCTCAAAGCAATGAGCAGGGATCTTGCTTCTCAAGAATCCATAGGTGATCTCCTCGGGCTTTACAAGGTCAGCGCAATTGCAATTGACCTGCTCCAAAGCGTCGAAACTCACCTTAGCTTCGGCCTTCAAGCGGTAGGTCACCGGCTCGACCGTCTGAATTGTTGACGATGCCATCTTTGCGTATATTGTTGCTTCAAACACAATCGACTTGAATCAACAAAATTAAATACAAGAGGAAACCTCGCCCCCTTGTCAAAGAAAAAATTATCTACGATAAACGCATGGTCCAATGATTGGTTCCTGAATTACCCTAATCATGGAGCCCTATACGAAGCCATCTCCTGCCCCTTTCCAGACTGTGGCGCAGCAAATCCATGGATGGAGTCAAAGAATGCACCAATGTGATAGGTAGCTTTGATCACTTCCGAGACGCGTTCCAAAGACTCGCTTAGTTGTCCAACAGAACCGTTGAAAATCGTTGAGTTTCACGGGATTCTGCGTGGAGAACATTTAATTTTCTAAACTTGGCGCTAAATTTAATTTCTTTTCTCGCCCTCCGATTGGTCCCAGTATCTCTCTAAGTTTGAGCCTAATCACTAGCTTTGATGGATAACGCCTCAGTAGCGTTGGAATTTTCCCTTCCCCTTTTTCTAGATTTCTAGATGAAGTTAGTTGGTTGGTCGTTTTTGCTGATCATGCTATTATTATTTCATTATTTGCAGCGACATGTAGCTCACTACTCTGTACTTTCAGAACACTCAGGCGTTGTCTACATAAGCTTCAATCTTATCACTCCAACCACAGCCATTAGGTGGCAAATTTTGAATGAAAGGGGCAAAAAATCCCTAGATGGAAAATTTCAGACAACGGGGAAAGTCGGACAGGGGGTTTCGTTGAGAATCTCGTTATTAAAAGAGGAAAGAATCCACCGCGGAGAGCTCCCTGACATATGGAGCAACTAGTCCGAATGGAGGTGTGGATCTAGTTCCCGAACTCAACAATTGAAAAAGGATCAGAAAAATTGGAGAACAAGAAGATCAATGGCATGTGAAAGGGGTATCTCCAGTCTTTGTTTCTAGGGCCGAGAACAAAAGAAAACGAGAAACCAGACTATCAATTCCATCGTACAATTGCTTCGTTCAGGCATTAACTGTGCAATTCGCCTTCAAAGCAGGGGCTACAATGTCAATCAATAACTAGGTCTCGCGTCTCTTCTCCGTGAACCAAATTCTCCAACTTGACTGAAAATTGGCATCATGCCTGGCTCTGATGATGCAAGGTCTTGATGCCTCATTGACCCGAACAGCCTAAATCCCGATTTGCGTTCGCCCTTGAGATACCATCAAATTCTACAGCCACTTTTCTTAAGCTCCCGCCTGGCGCGCGTGGCAAAAACCATTCATGTTCTGTGCAAACGTGTTGATTTCTTTTGCAACTCCAACATAAATACATGATCTGACATATCTACAATGTGATGCCTTAGTGTACTAATCTATTGCGATTTCCCTTGCCGCGTTAATTTGTCCACAAACCGCGGCCCTGAGATCTAGAGACTCGAGCAGTGGGCGCGCCAAATCTCAGTAAAAGACAATCTGCTTTGAGACAATTTTATCCCTCTAGCTAGGCTCTTTAGGCGGAATGCACCGTGATGAGGTGTCAAGGGTCTATGTAGAAGATTATCAAGGAAGGGGGCAGAAACATAGAAATATCCCCCTCGGCTTAGAATTTCGAACGCTCCCAAATATTCACTTTCGGCTTTCTCTCTACAGCTTCTCGATATAGCCAAGGAGCATGCTGTTGCAGGTTGAAAGGTATTTATTACCTTTCTCTACTTTTCTTGCTCTTCACCTTGCTGCTGTCTTCCCCTACATTATTCGATCCTCCATTAACAGTCAGCCACCCGCACCCCAGCCCCGTGACGATTGAAACACATGCTGCACCCAGGCCAACCCAGAATACATGCACCAAAGCCGTATTGTATGCTTCCAACGCGAGTTCCAACTTACGAGCAGGAACCTGGTCCTTGAGGTTTGTTGCTCCGGACTGTAATATACTGGTCACATCTAGACCTGGCACCACAGTTGCGAGCCCTCGAGAAAGCTGATTTAGAAACACATTTTGCGAGATAGACAGCGTCACAACGGCACCCAGAAATTGCGCGAAGGTTAAAATAACGATGACCGGGGTTATGTCGGGGGCCGGGAAGTAGGCATGTATTGCCGTATAGGGCTGCTGGAAAAGAAGGCCGCATCCAAGGCCGAATAGGGCCTGATAGCTGATGATATGGGAGAGAGGAGTATATGGGGTAAAAGTTGCTGTAAGACCAGCACCAAGGGACATAAGAGCACCCCCAGTGACCATGAAAGGGAGATAGTACCCGATCTTAGTTACGAGGATGCCACCTAAAACGATAGCAATCGCCAGCCCCAGGATGCGGGAAAGGTCGAGCAGGCCGGACTGCATAGTGGCAACTTCACGCAAAGCTTGGTAATAGAGCGGGAGCTAAGCAAATTGAGTCAGTTGGGCGTAGATGCGGTATAGGGTTCCAGGGAGTAGCATCGCTCACATAATATGTAAAAAGATACAGTGCCCCGGCAGTGGAAAAGATCACTAAGACATTGAAAAGCAGGATACGTGATCGCAGCAGCCGAAGTGGCAGCGTCGCCTGGTCTCCTATATAGTATTGCTGAAGTGCAAACACTAGACACAGAGTCCCTGTCACCACGAGTAGAGGAAGTACTTCTTTACTGCTCCAAGCATATCGATCACCACCCCACACTGTAGGGCTAGAACGAGACAAATTGTCAATAGTACAGAAATGCCAATACCAACAAGGTCTAATTGACGCAATTTACCCCACGTAGAGCGGGTATTGGATTGATTGGATTGATCCTCAGTCTTGAGAAGTCGCAGGCAAGCCAGAACGGTGAAGATCGGTACCACGCCCAGTGGAATACTGATATAAAAACAGATGCGCCAGGACGAATAAGCAGCGATGGCCCCTGCAATCAAGGGAGCAGTGGCGAGTGCGATGTACTCAACACCTCCAACGAGACCTTCATAGAAGGGGTGGCGATGCAAAGGCGTAATTCGAACCAAGGTTCTAATATAGAGCTGTAAGCTTTTGGTAGCTCAATTGCACCATAGATAACGCAGACTCACATATTACATCCAGAAAGGATGCCAGCATTACCGAGACCGGCAACTGTTCGACCGATAATGAAAGTCATTGAGGATTGTGCCGTGGCACACAGAATAGATCCTATGACAAACGTCACGAGGGAAATTACAAAGATGGTGCTCGTCGAATAGAATGCATAAAGCTTGCTATAGCTAAGGACAAGTGGCACAGGAGGCCAGAGAGCTAGTTGGTTGACAACATATCAGATCAAAGGCTGGAAGGAGTCAAACGGACGGAACGTATATTAAGGATGACTTACTATGCAATACCATACCAGCTCACATCATTTAAAGCATTGGATTCATCGGTAATAATCGGCGAAAGGGTTCCAACACACGTCCCATCCTATCAGTAGTCAGTGACTACCCTCGCTGTTCCTGGTATATGCCCATGAGGGACAAAGCTCACATAGCCGCCAAGGAAGCTGGCTGAACAGACTGAAGCCAGAACCGTGAAAAATTTCCAATTTGATAAGTCCACGAGGTCCTGGTCGGTGGAGAACTGTTAGTCTTGGGAACTTGTACTCTGACTAGTGATCTGGGCACCAGGTTCAGCTACAGCAGCAGGCTCACTATGCTCTTCAGGATGTTTAGTCTCTTGTAACTCCATAAGGATGATGTTATTAGCTCGGCTCAGCACCAAGGACCTAGTTATGCGGCTAGGAGAGTATTTGTCCACACAAATACACCCTTTAAGCCAAGATGCTATGTAGACTTACGTCACCCATCGCTTGCCATTTATAACCTACCACTCCACGCGATGCGCTGACAGGGTTCAAAGAATCATCCAAAGTAGAGCTGCTTGTTATTCGACGTGTTTCCGGGGCGTGGGGCTAGAGATACCGAGAGCCGCCGGAAGGCCGTCGGCGATGTGTGTGCCCAGAATCTACATCGATGCTTAGCACCTACTGTATAATACGCAATTGAACGCAAGTGAGATCTAGGATTTTGGTCATGTCTTGCATCGGCAGAATCCGATGGCCCTGATTGGACCATGTACATATTCTGAATGACTGAGTGTCCTTAAATGCTCGCCGCAGACATAATCATTCGTGCAGTATACCCAGACTCGCGCCGATTGTGATTAGCCACTTATACGACAGGGCCTAGGCTCCCAAAGTTATATTCAGTGAACAAAACTGCAACATGGTAGAGCAGGGGTTCTATACATTATAAGGCGATCTGTATGAGCAAAGTAGATGCTAGTTAACCTTGGTTGGACTTATCGATCAACCTTTTGAAAGATGTTAGGAGTTATATGGCAGTGGTATTCTACTTTGCCTCCATCTATAAAACTTGATTTGAAATCAGGACCCAACCAACGACCTTTTGGTCTCAACTATGCATATAAGCCTTCTCATGGTGATAATTCAAGGGGGAGGCTGTCCTTCTATAGAAATCAAGAAAACCTTGTTCCGTGTCTATACCACTGGTGGGAAGTATAGCAGCCTATTGTAGAAGTAGGAACCTAAACTATTTACAACCCGAAAGCTAGAGTAAGACTGCCCGAACTCACTGTAGGAGATCACGAAGAATCTGTTTTAGCAAATTCAAGGTCAAACACTCCATGGAAGGATCAACTACTCGGGTGGGGCTGGGTCGCTGGCGTGAAAGTTGGCAATCACATGCATACCACACAGGATTAGCGAAGGGGGGGGGGGGGGGGGGGGCCTAATAGACCTGTTTTTCAGACACGGCTTGGTCTTGCTACTTCATACCAATTATTAAATTGCACTAGTGACGAATCATAGCAAGACTGGACCGAGGCGAAGGGCGGGGTGGTGCAGTCCAAATACACGTGTCAGTCTTAAGAAACGCATGCTGAGCCGGGACATGATCACAAAAAACACTTCATTAATACTTGAAATCCACAGCAAATATAGACTCGATGCAAAGTATGTATAATGCATTTCATCTCCAATAAACAAGACACCTCGTGCCATTATGAATAAACTGCGCTTCGATGATATAGCTTCATTCCTCGTCCGTATGTCCTCCAGTCCGTGCAACCAACGTATTATTCCTTAATCGATCGTCTTTGTTGTGAATCGAACGTGGCTTCGCTTATAGAGGAACACAAGCAAAAATCATAAAAAAACTCCCTTTACACCTACAATGTGCATCCATAGTTACAAGGTTGCGATTAAAAGACCGGCAGCGACTATGTCTCCGTCTCACCGCGACGAAGTGCCAACAGGGCCCTAACGTCGGTGACATACTGCAAAGCTTCCAGCATGGGTACTAAATGTAACAGACCATTATCCGTGGGGTCATTGATCCAGCCTTCGATGGGAATAGCGTTGTCTAGGAAAGAACGTTAGTAGCTGAATGGACAGAGAGTAGCTGATGCATGCTACACACCCTCGTGGAAAAGATAGCTCATCGGGCTGTTGTCCAAAATCATAACCTTGCTAAGGTCCGGTTCAACAGAGCTCAGATCTTTGATATACGCGCCGTTTCGAAACGTGCAGTGCTGTCTGTAATAGCGTGCCTGGAAGTACTTGCGTTCCTGCTCGAGCCAGTCGATCACAGGGTCGGCGTATTCCTGTACGGATGCGGTAAAGATCACAAGTTTATACCACTTGGAAATCTTTCGCAAGAAGTCATCACAGTGTGGCCGCTTGTGGACATAGTACAGAATTGGATGCTGCGGACCTAACGTAGTCTGCGGCCCTCCGGGCGTCAGAGCGGTGCTCACGGGCATGGAGAGTTTCACCTCGACCATGTGCCCGCTGGACATGCGACCGCCCTTGGCGAGCGAGTGGATGAGCGTCTCATCGAGATCGAGCACAAGGGTTTTCTGCGGAAGCTTGGCATTGCGCGGCGCGGCCGTATATGAAGGCAGTCGCTGCGGGAGAAGCGGACGTGGAGGAGCTGGAGAGTGGGGGTATTTTGTAATGCGATGAACAGATGGAGAAGTAGGAGACTTCAGGCTATCCAAATTAACGGCGCCCTGGACTCGAGTCACACCCTCAGGCATCGGTTGCCCCAGATCCGCACTCTGGGTCCGTCGTTGTTGCCTTTGCTTTTTCAAAGTTTCCTCGTTATGCAGCTTAATTCGTATAGACCGGCGCGGTGTATTGTCGTCCTGGTTTGTGTCGGGGTCCTGGGCTTGGTTCTTGCTTGATCGAGTCTTACCGCGGGTGAGACCGTTAACGGGTCCGCGGTCGGTCTCTGATTCAGACGTATTGGAATGAATAGATTCACGAGATGCTTGCGGTCTGGGCTTGCGAGTGGAGCCACTTCTTCGCCGCGTTTCTACCCGAGGAGGCCCCTTATCCGGCCGGGTCCTTGTATCGGCAGACGTTCTCCAGATCTTCCTAACTGGGGCAAGAAGCGAATAGTGCCCGTCGCTATTTTGAAAGCACTGGGCAACGAAAATACCGGGGGCAGCGAGCGTAGATAGAATGAATTGGATCGTTTCGGCTATCGCGTCGAAAATCCGTTTGGTGATGAGCCGCCAAGTGCTCTTCGTTGCAAGAACACCATCTTTCTGAACACCATGGAGCAAAGTCGTCTTCTCGTCAAATGAATAATGCGTGTCCTCGTAGCCTTCGTCCTCCACGTACGGAGCCGGGTGGTCGTAACTCTGTTCGGGGCTGGCGCTTGACCGGAAGTTATCCTCGCTGTGGGACCGGTGCTTGCCAAAGTCAAAGTCACCCGGCGCCGCCGCGCGCCGTTTCTCGCTCTGGGATTGCGATCGTGGACGCGGAGAGCTGGAAGACTGCCCGATGACTCGCGAGGAGAGGATGTTCAGCGAGTTCATCTTCCAAGGAGGCCCACGGGAGACAGGGGCGCTGGAGATCTATAATACAGGGTTTGGTCGTGAGCGAATCGTCCAAATTACTTGGGGCGGTCCATCGGGGAAGTGACTCGTAGGGTCGTGGAAGGTCTCAACGGAAAGAGAGGGGCATCGTAGGGAGGTGTAAGCTGGGTTCACGACTCGTTTCAACGGACCTCAATGCGCCAGTCTCACCCGTGCCTCGGAAGTATTTCCGCGCTCAACTCCAGACCGAATAGTTGCCGCAGAAGCAGAAGCCGGCTGCAAGGGACTAAATAGGACGAGGGAGATCGGATTGAAGGAGTAAAGAGAACAACGTCACGGGCGCGAAAAGGAGAAGGAAGCAGGGCCGTGACGAGGGCCCAAAGTGTGGGGAAGCGGACAGCCGGCGAACGGCAGAAAATCGATTGCTTTGTCGCCCACTTTATCCTCACTAATCTCTCGGTCGACCACCTGCTCCAGTTTCTTCTTTCTCTCTTCTCTTCTTCTCCAAGATCTTACAAAGAGTAAGTCCCCTTTCATACTTTTGAAACTGAACCGCCTCCAGCTTAGAACCAAGCTAATCTCCCTACAGACTGTTCTGCGATACCATATCAGACATCCCACTTCCTTATGCCGTCGACGTCGCTTGCCCTGACGCCGGGCTTGGGGTCTTTCCTCAAATCCCTCAAGACTCACCCGGTCGAGACCTCTATTGAGAATCTCATTTCGTGCGCATTCCTCCGTGTTTCCACTTAAAGCCGCGCTGCGGTAGACGACTCCGTTACTAATATAGTGGCTTCCCTATTCAGATTGCTCAAACGACGACAAATCCGCCATTCGCGATCATGCGCTACGGCAACCGCCTACTTGCTTCGCCATGTTGTCTCGGTGTGCAAGACATCCGACCCGCTGAAGCTCATTGAGCGAGTACAGACCGTGGGAAGGAGGCTCGTCGCGGCCCAGCCGCGTGAGATGGTGGTGGGCAACGTTGTGCGACGAGTGCTCGGACTCATTCGTGATGAGGCAGAAGACGACCATGAAGCTGAGTTTGCTCTGAGTGAAGCTGGATCAGAGTCTCAGCCTCAAACTCCCCGGGCTTTCGACGGTCAGTCTTTCGATCTCCGTGACTCATACTCTATGATAGGTCACTAATTTTTTATTAGATCCGTCCCCATCACTTCCCTTGGATAGAGATATGCTTTCTCTCCGTGCAGAGGGCGCAGAGCGCTCATCATCTCGCCCTACCCTTCACTCCATGTTCAGCCTCCTCTCCCACCCCGAAGCAGAATTCTCACCTATAAGCACCCCGGGGACACAATCTCCAAATGGACGGATGCCCGGCCACGGTCCCGGAAAAGATGTCAAGGCCGAAGTGTTGGAAGGTATCGGTGAGATCATTGATGAACTGGGTCAGGTCGACGATCAGATTGCGTCCTATGCATTGGAGCACATTCATTCCAATGAGATCATCCTCACACATACCTCATCCACGACGGTGCAAAAGTTCCTTGTCAAGGCCGCTACTAAGCGCAAGTTCACCGTCATTCACGCCGAATCCTTCCCCAACAACCATGAAGCTACCCACGCCACTGTCAGCGGCAACCCCCTCGACGATGACGAGAACCTGAGCACCGAGGCATTCCAGAAGCCTCTGATTGCCCTCGGCATCACTGTCATTCTCATCCCAGACTCTGCCGTCTTTGCTCTGATGTCTCGTGTCAACAAGGTCATCTTGGGCACACACTCCGTCCTCGCGAACGGTGGTCTCGTTGCTGCTGCTGGCACTCGGGTCATTGCTCGCGCTGCCAAGGTTCACCAAACTCCCGTGGTTGTTGTGAGCGGTGTTTACAAACTGAGCCCGGTCTATCCCTTCGATTTCGACTCTCTCATCGAATACGGCGACGCCAGCAAGGTCCTCCCCTATGAGGACGGCGATCTCGTCGACCAAATTGACGTCCAGAACCCAATCTATGACTACGTCCCGGCCGAGCTGGTTGACCTTTACATCACCAACTTGTAAGTTTCCTATGATTTGCCTCGATCTAACCTATACATGTGTGGCTAACCATTATATCTTTTCTATTGTAGGGGTGGTCATGCTCCGTCATACCTCTACCGTATTGTGTCCGACCACTACCGGAAGGAGGACATCAGCTTCTAAATGACGAGGTGTTTGACGAAAAGTTCTTAGTTGGCAGCTTTCTGGCGCTGTCAGTGGCATTCATGGGCCACGTTGAAAACGATACCCGAGGAACGAGGTGTGATGGTTGCGGGAGTCTTGCAGGGTTTCTCTAGGTGGTGTTAGAGATAGAAAGTAAAATATTCATGATTCAATGCCAAAGCCAAATGACTTCTCCCGTGTGTTTTCAAGATTTGGAGAGTGATTAGGTAATTGTCCCAGCAATCACCTCGGTGATGCTCATCAAAGCACAACATCGTAAAAAAAATTATATTATCCGTGGTTGCCCGAAACCTGCCCGGGGATGGATGGTATATATTTCGAAGTCCTTCTAGATAGCAAATACCTATAGGTTGTGGCTTGGGCAGAACTACTGGCACACTGCATCAGTGCTCGTCAAATATTCACCATTTCTTGCAGGCTATCTCCAAATATATATCGTATATCGTAGATAGGATGGATGGAGGGGAAGGGATAACTTATTTCAGCCGTGTGGAGTCTAAAGAACGATATCTAAGATCCTAGGTAGATCCGAGCCAAGGAATAATAGATGGCCAGCCTTGTTGGGTCCACCAAAATAGATCGAGCAAGGTTCCAATCTGACCGGGTTGGACTGCATCAGGCCCGAGTATTTCGAGGTATATCATTTTATGTTTATACGTGGAGACCAACATCCACGCAGGATACAGACTACACAGACTAGGCTATATAGCCCCCAGATAAGAAAGGTCATAGCGCCATCTTTTTGGAATTGTATCTCAAATCGTGTTAATTCGCACACATGAATCAATCCAGACGAAAGCCCGCCCGGGTAGTTATTCCCAAAAAAAAGTTCTCATGAAATCCCGGCGCTGATGAAGACGGGCTTTCTGTCCGGCACCGACTCCCCACAAGACTCCATTCCCCTCCCCCGTTCGTCCACCACATTTTGATTTTGATGGAGCTCTCCGTTTAAGAGCGGGGCTTCTCCTTCTTCTCCTTCCACAGAGCGGCGAGACCGACACCGGAGACCTTGACGACCTTGAAACGGACACCGGGAATATCACCCTTGGCCTTGCCCTTACGACCGAAACCGGCCAGGAGAACCTCGTCGTTCTCGTCGATGAAGTTCAAGCAACCGTCATTGGGGACTGTATGGAAGAGAGCTGGTTAGTGGGATTGTTCTCGTTGATAGCGATCGATTGCCAGATAGACACATGTTGGAAGCGCACGGGTCGCTCAACATAGCCAGGTCTTCGACAATAAAAGACATAGATTGTAATCAGGGATCACCCACCGAAAGCAGCGACCTTCTTGCCGTTCTTGATGAGCTGGACCTTGACACACTTGCGAATAGCGGAGTTGGGCTGCTTGGCCTCAACACCGACCTTCTCGAGGACGATACCCTTGGCGTGGGAAGCACCACCGAAGGGAGAGGACTTGAAGGCAGTGCCGAGCAGGCGCTTCTTGAAGTGGAGATCGGCCCAGCGCTGCTCCTTGCGGTGCGCCTCGAGCTTGCGGGCGGCGTTGAGACCACGGGGCTTTCCTTTACCCATCTTGGATTATTCTTGTCTGAGGCGGAAGAAACGAATGTTAGTTTGCGGGTCTGTAATAATTGTGATTTCAATGATGGCGAATGAATTCTGTAGAGCGGGATCGATGGAGGGATGGGATGTAATGGTGGGTGATGGATGGGCGTCTGGAATTTTCGTGCGTGTTGTCGGGATGGTTGATTTTCAAGAGTCGAAGGTTTTGATGTCGAGTCGCCCACAACCACCAGACAACACGAAGAAGAATTCCAGATGTTGCTTGTGCGAAGAGTATCACAGGGGATTGCTCAGGGGTCGAATACGTACCGACTGAGAATGGGTTTTGTCGAAAGGGTGAGGGTCGTGGGGTGTCGAAAAGTCGAAGGTTTCGGATTACCCTTGAACGCCGGCGCACTCGCTTGGATTGGGACTCTGCCTCACCTGACTTTGTGCGCGTGCCCTAAGCGAGTCACGGGATCGGACAAACCCCACCCGTCTTATGTCATCGACTTGTCTCTCCGATAAGATAACGTCCCTTATCGCTTATCGATTGGTGAGCTGCAACAGCCACTTTTATCATATTGCTTGTGTACTGTAACTACCCCGTACTCCGGTCTACTTGCATTCATCCGCCGAGGCAGGCTTCACACCCGATGGATTCCTCGAGGAAACTTCCAAGCTCTCAGCGGCTTCCGCCACCTGCTCTATTTCAAGGTCCCCCCTCACATAATGCATCCAATATTTCCCTCTCCGTACCTGCTGCTGGACCGACACTCCCCATTCCGTCTGGTAGTCAACCTCCACCCCTCCATCGCAACCTTTCCCATCGCAAGGATGGCGGCTCTCCAGATAACCGCAATTTCCTCTCCCCGTTTATCTCTCGACGCCCATCCAAAAATGATGTGGATGGTTCCGACGCCATCTGGCAGGAAATGCAAAGCGCCCTGTCCGAAGTAGAACTAAGCGCGGTCACGAGCGAGCATGTCTTTGGCGAAAAGCATGCCGAGGCCCTGGAGGACCTTCGCATGAAGCAATTGAAACTGGCTCAAGCTTGGGCCCGCAGTGAGGCAGACGATGAAATCGTTGGCTCTAGCCCCAATACGGCCGATGGCGACAACTCTGCGGCAAGTACAAAGCGTCGCGGGTCCGGGGAAGGGAATACCACGGAGACCACGAACAATACTCAAGCACCTGGCAGAGACCGTGTTTCCTATCGAACCCTCGATGAAGAAACTGAGAAGGATATTATTCTTGCGCGCAGGCGCCGCGAGGCCAATGACCGCTATTTTGATCGAGTCAACCAAGGTGTGCTGGACGTTGTCGCCAAGCTAGAGGAAGTCTCCCAGGCCATGCGCACTGTGGAACGAGAAAGCAAAGATATCTGGAGTGACTCGGAGAGTGTTACTACAACTGCGCCCTCGTCTGCAAACTCTGGTTGACAGTCCTCGAGGGCTCTAATGCTTTTGCACCCCTGCGATAATTCACGCCTTTATGAACCTGCGCTGGACGCTTCACGACCTACCTTGCATGATAGCACGTTTGCCGGTATCTAGAACTATATCCTTAATAATGCATGATGTATATTATCACAATGCTGAGAAAATAAGACTTCAAGAAAATTTGAAGCTCATTGAATAGAATTATCAAAGGGTATCCTAACGCCGCTAACCATGCAAGACCAGCCATAAGGATGCATAACGAGAAGGCATCTGATCCATGTAGCCCAAAGAGAACAAGATAGGTCATGAATTTCATCAATCCTTCTTTACCCAGCGCGTAATATCTTCCCACCCCCGACAGGCCGCCTCCTTCACACTTTCCCAGCGATTCCCGTGTACATTGCGGGCAAAGTTCCCAACTTCCTGGTTCCACCTGTGCTTCAGAACATCTTTGATCGTGATCTGGTCTTCTTTCTGGGATTTCTTCTCTTCAAGGCTCCGAGGTTTATGTTCTGGGAAGAATCGGCGGTCATATGCGCCAGCAGAAGCGGCGAGCCAGTTTATTTGATCAACCTGCTCGCGGATCTGTCGGCGCTGTTCGAGCCTCGTTGCGCGGTGGACTGTGATGGTGATGTAAAGGACGGAAGTGGTAAGGGCAAAGCCACTGAACTGTTAATTTCAAAGAGAGGTTAGCCCCTCGCTTTCAAGATGCTTGACGTGCGAACTTGGACATACAAATCCAGAAACGAAGTTCATTGCGGTCCCGGTCGAGCGGCCTCTCCCGCGATTGAATCGGAGAAAGCGTGTTAAACGAGTGATGGTGTATGAGGGTTGGTATTTGGTTTGAAGCACCTCTGCTATTTGCAGTAAAAAAAGAAGCGAAGAGCGAATGAGTGAGTCGTAAAACGAATCTGTTGTCGTTGCGACAGGAAAAAGGGAAGTCGGACAAGGCGGTGGAAGCTCTCCGATTGGCCAAGCGCTCCCCGTCGAATCTTTTGATCCCGAACTTCCTCCCTTGCGACCTCCGACTGGCACTTACAATTCCTAGGGACAATTGAACCACCCTGTCCGGGATACTAAGTTCTAATTGCACACCTTTGCGTCTCGCTCTCCTACCTACGCCTCAACCTTCCTCCATCTCACAGTCTCTTCCACCATGGCCGGCGGCAAGGTAAAATACAGGCACCTGGGCCGCAAGTCTTCACACCGACAGGCCCTGCTCCGCAACCTGGTCACCTCACTGTTTGAGAATGAATCGATCACGACGACATGGGCCAAGGCCAAGGAGGCGCAGCGGTTGGCGGATAAGTTGATTACCTTGGGCAAGAAGAACTCGGAGGCTAGTCGGAGACGGGCACTGGAGATTTTCTATGTACGTGATTAAATCGCCAGTCCTCTAATTTTCCCCAGCATCAAGGACTTTCACTCGGCTTTTCGGAGCGAATTGGATTTCCAATGGCCATTTGAATCTCAATGCACGCCAGGTGCTAACAATATCTAACTAGAAACCCCACGACATCCTCCCCAAGCTCTTCGGTCCTCTCCGCGAACGCTACGCCGAACGACCCGGTGGCTACACCCGCGTGCTCCGCGTCGAGCCCAAGGAGAAATACGAATACTACTCCGTCCGCCGCGGCGACAAGAACGCCGTCCCCGAGCGCAAACCCGCCGACCAAGCGCCCAGCGCCATTCTCGAACTCGTCGACGGCCCCAAGGACATGCGCTTCGCGATGACGGCACGTGCGATCGCGCGCCAACGCGAGGAGGGTCTTAAAGAGCACGAGCTCACGGCTATGAATAAGAAGAAGGTTACGCAGTTCCGAAAGGACGGTGTTGATGCGCTGGAGGCTGCTGTTCAGCAGTTGCAGATCCGTGACTCTGAGTCTGAGGGTGTTTCTGCTCTTGAGGGCGAGGAGTCGAAGTCTGTGCAGGAGGAGGCTCGTCGGAGTGCGGCCCAGGCTGGTCGTTTGGCTAAGAAGCTTAATGCTTAAGTCGACGCAGTGAGTGGGAGCTAGTTGGCGGTCTGGGGGTGCCTTCACTTGCATTTTCTAGGGTTGATGCAAATGAGGGGTTTATTCGTGGGTTTGGTGGTCCTTGCTTTTGGTGCGTGACCATTCATCTCCATTTTTTTCTTGTCTGTTCTTATAGGAGTTTTTGCTGCTTTTGGTATCTTGTCTTCCATCCGTTGTGACCGCATCCATGTGACATAGCCTGTGTACAGTATAAAATATTGCGATACCTCTTTTCAACCAGTCCATTCACCGCAATCTGTATGTTTAAATATTGTAGCTCTAAGTATTTGGGTTTGCAAAACCTAGTTCTATAATTTGGTATTTCTTGGAAGATAATGCTGTCTGTTGGCTACCTCATCGCCAGCCCGTGCGAGCCGAGATATATCTCGTCGGGAAAACCGCCACTACTTTGGGAACTGATTCGAGTGAAACTATGCTCACTAATGGAACTTCCTCGGGGCATTCCCGCAACCTGAAGAAACACCTTCCGATAGCTGGAGATACTTCACCAATTCCATCTAGTAACATTATGCTACTCACGTATCCATTGGCAATAACCCCACGCACATACTTCGTTGTTGTCGTTCCATTTTACATAGATTGGAAATCTAATTCTACAAAGCTACACACGGGTGGTAGATAGTCAGATGTGTAAATTCTTAGCTACGGATGAGCCAGACCTCGAACGCCCAGATTGCCATGCAATTTGCTAACTGTACAGGCCAGCCTGGCCAACATACATCATGTCGCGAGTTAACGCCTCTGGACCAAACCTGCACCAATACATGACTCCATGCATCCAGGATGAAGATAGGATCAAAATGAACGGAGAGAAACAAGTATTTGCTGGTTCTTGTTATTGTCCACGGACCTAGTTCATCTTCGAGGTGGTCGTTCCTCCTGACACGACCAGAGGCCCGTTTTTGGCGACACTAGGAATTCCATTACTCGCGACTGCTGGAGTGGGGAGGCTAGTGGATCCAGCACGATGTTTCAGATCAAAGCCAGAGGGGACCTCGGAGGGAGGAGGTTTGGGAGGCAGGTGGGAGGGAGTGCCCCATTTAGCAATAGAGGTTTGTGCGGCGGTGCTTGGCATGCGAGCTGCACTGGCAGCCGGGGAGTGATCGAGGGTGTGGTTGGCAATAGACTCTGGGAACCTAGGCCAATTGGGTTGCGCAGCAGGAGGTCTATTTCCGTACGGTTGCTGCATTGGGTGCTGCACACCTTTGCCCGGGTGCCGTTGGGTCCCAGCACCCCCGGAACGAATGAGCGTGTCTGAGGGTTGAAGTGGGACCTGGCGAAATTGCCTGCCATCGCCGGATTTCCAGCATTGTGAAGGCCGGAGTTCATATGCTGTCCTGGGTATTGAGCATAAGAGTAGGTGGCCATGTTGGGGGGCATGGGCTGTGCCTGATAGTTCGACCAAGGTGCCGGGTGTTGTTGGGGACGTTGATTGGGAGATTGCTGGAAGTTTCCCGGAAAAGGGCCCTGATTCCAACCGGGGGCTTGCTGGAATTGCGGCGAATGAGGGGTGGGGAAGTTGTTCATAGCTGGCGAGGATTTGGTGGATGCTGGCTGGCCCATCATGGCGGGCTGATTCATAGGAGAGTACCCAGGGAATGGCGATTGCTGGGGTGTGTTTGAGCCTTGCCACGGGGCAGTGGAGCCCATCTGCGGCGACATTGCTGCTGGAAACTGCGGCACGTTGTTCATAGCTCCCTGCCCCGAGTACATCGCGTTGTTCTGACCAGAAGACATGTAGCCACCACTAGGTGGGGCTACACCCGGTCCAACCATGTATGGAACTTGATGGGCATATGAGCCATCGTTTGCAGACGGATTGTAAGCCTGGGAACCGTTGTTGGTGTACTGCATCCCGGGGTAATAGGGATTGAATTGGGAGCGAGCTTCAAAGCCGTCATCATGAGGAGTACGCTGCTTCTGGTTCTTCTTGCGTCCGGTGGTCGAGCTCGAGCGGGACATGTTGGTGGTAGAGTCGCCGCTAGCCTCTGACTTGGCAGTCTCGGGGAAGTCACGGAAGATGCGCTCACGCACTTCTGCATATTTGGCTTCTCGTTCTTCCCGGGTCATAGCCATACGGTCCTTAGCAGACATTGAACCTGCCGAACCGGTGCGGTCTCCATCTTGTCCCGCATCATCAGTCTCTGACGCCGCCTTAGATGGAACCGATGAACTTGCTGCCACACTGCCTTCGGCGGAGGGCCGTCCATCTGCCCGACGCATGATTTTCGTCGGCATAGGGTGAGATGGCTTTTCGTTTGAAGCCGGAAACAGTTCGGACAGGGGGAGTGGGGCTACGCAGGTTAGTTTGTCTAGCAGGCCACGAAGACTAGGAAATGAGACGAGACACTTACAGTCTGGAGAAAGGCGTCCGGTGGAGGCGCACTGAAGTCACGTTGTTGTCCACGAAATGGGTCAAATGGTAGTAATCTCCCAGTCTATGTGCGAGAAGTCGGCCATATGAATTGTTGGGGGGTAGCTCCAAGGATTGTTCACTATGCCTCGGGGTTAGTTGTGGGAGGAACGACTGGACGGATGCGAGGGCATTGATCGGTATTACCTGGAATATTCAATGAATGCGCGGACCTTTCCCTCTATCGTGAGGACCATGAGTCGATCTTTGGGATTTTCCATAGCCGTAATGAGTTTCTCGTCTGGATGAAGAGGGAATGAATGGAGGCCCTGGGCATTTGCCGGGTTATCAAGGTTGACCGGAACCACGAAGTTGTTCGCTACCGAGTCCGAAGGGATAACGACGGCACCTTGCGAATTGCCATCGTTGAAGCCAGGGACGGGTGCAGGAAGAATCCCACGCGGACGAAGAGCAATGTTATCGCGGAAGTGGTCACGGAATACACGTCCACCGGCCTCCGAACCCGTCACCGAGTTTGGAGCACCAGAAGCAGCTCCGGACAGGGACTCTTCTTCGTCAATAGCTTGCACGCTGGCACTGTCGTCGGGCCGAACAGAATCTTTCTCATCCATAGCGAAGGTTGTCACCGATGCCAAGCTCTTGGAGTCGAAGTTGGTCATTTTTGTGGAGGAGGTAGAGAGATGAGTACGGTCATCATCGAAGGAGTTTTCACGCTTTAGAAGGCCATTCTCCTGATCGTCGCTTGAAGATCCAGATCCATGACGGTCCTTATGCTGGCTAAGATCAATTTCTTGCACAGCTCTTGCCAGATCGTTGCCACTGGGACCAGTGAGAGGGATCTGTTCATTGATGGTGTTGAGGTTGTGAGGACCAGGACCCAAAGCGCTGGAATCTAATGTTTCAGCATAGACAGCGACATTGGCGGGCTGAGCGGTATCACTCTCGTTAGATCCCACGGGCGAGTGGGGGGTGGGGGGTGCAGGCATGGCAGCAATCTAGTTTACAAAGTTAGCCCAAGAAGTCGAAACGAAAAGCTGACAGGAGCAGCTCACCTTCGCGAAGGAGAAATGAGAGTCTCCGGCTGAGGTATTTTGAGATGCCATGTCAACGGTACCCGGCAAATGTCGTCGGGGAGGGTGTTGCAACGAGGTTGGAAGGAATGCACGCGAGGTTCAGAGATGGAAGCCAAACCACGACAGCACTCAGTACGTCTCCGGGGTCGGACGAATCGAGAAAGAAGATTGAATCGCAAGGCAGTCACTGGAGAATCCCGGTTCACACAAGCCAAAAAAGAAAGACATATCTCTGTTGCAGGGCTTTCGCCATCGGGAAAAGCTATGGGATGGCAACGTATTAGAAAGAATTCGTCAAACAGTCGAAAGAAACTCGTCTTGGTGCCTTCCCACCAGAGGTAGCTCCATCGGCGGGGAAATCGATTGGGGAAGCGGGTCTTACAGGATGTCAAAGTTGGTTCATGGTCAACGCAAGATGAACCTCAAATTCGAGATAGGTGGCTGGTTCCGGGGCAGGGCGACAAAGGACCAAGTGTACAATGTCACTCTATGAGTTGGTCACGAGAATAACCAACACCGGAGCCTCAGAGAGCCAAATCGATCCTGTCGGAGAGAAGGAGCGTTGGGTGACGGAGCTCTGATTATTCTTCCAACGCCTGAAGGTTCGTGGGTGCCATTCTGCCGTATCGGACCGCTTTCACCGCGCGCCTACAATTTCCTTTTCATCAGAGGAGTCGCAGCAAACGAAGCACCTTGCTAATCATTTAGACCGACGTGGAAGTACTGAGTTTTGAATCTTCTCTTTCTTCTGAATTCTATATCATCTTGATTTGAACGGACCATCTCCCGACGGCGCCATGAACCGCTATCGAAATGCCCCAGGACTCCGGTCCGGGCCTAGCAAAGCTTCTCCGACGACTTTATGCCAAAAATGCCTGAAACGAGATATGTAGTCCCGGAAGAAACGCTGACCAGTGTTTTTTTTGCTGACTCCTCTGCACGGCATTATAGCTATGAATGCAAAGCAACGGCGCAAGAACGTCCATATACGGCTCGGCCGTCAAGAACCCAACAATTGCGGAACCCTCGGTTGATGCCCAAGCTCTCAGAGGACGTGCCTACTGATTTGGAGCGAACGTATGTTCAATTTCTAATCTTGGAGTTTTCAATTACTCTTCTACCGTTGCCACTGAATGGAGACTGACAACGACGCTAGGACTGGTGTGGCAGACGAGATACTTGCAAAACGCGAGGCAGAGCGTGGTCGGAAGAGAGACCATGATAAAGAAGACCCCGAAGACCAATACGGCCAGTCTTCAAAGCGAGCAAGGTCTCTTTCAACCGATTCGGCAGATTCGATTTCAACAATCTCCACAAATCGATCTGCATCTGCATCGCCCGAGCGCCGCAGCAGACATGGTTCACAAGCCAATGGCCGTCGCAGCTCAGTATCACCACCCGCGGGTGAAACTCGTAAGAGGAGGTACAGCGATGCTTCGGATGGTTCGTCTGCGAAGTCCTACTCCTCGGGTGATAGGCAACGATCAAAATCCAGATCCCGGGAATGGACCGGTGACAGGAACATTCGACGACGACGTCGGGAGAGCAGCCCGGAGGAACGTGGAAGAAACCGTGATTCAAAGAAACATGACTCTCGGAATACCGACCGACGCAGCCAGAGTGTGGACAAGAGTCAAATCGCAAAAGAGCGCCGTTCTATGACACCGGATGCCACCTATGACCATTCAGCAAAACGCACATATCGAGACCGAGAACCCCTACAAGGCCATTCGCAGGGCGGACGGTCGAGACAGGACCCCAGGGCTCGTGGAGGGCCGCCCCGAGAACGAAGCATGAGTCCCTACAGCAAACGCCTTGCTTTGACTCAATCTATGAATCTGGGACGGTAGAACTGGGATAGGAAAGAATGTGTCCTTTTCTCGTTCTTTTCCCGATCGAATCTTACGTGGATCGTTTTTGAGCAGTAGTGGAAGCAAGTATGGTTAGTGGCGAGCGAGCATTGCCAAGTTTCTGGTTTCATTGACCCCATTGGAACACCTTGTATTAATAGCATATGCATACATCCCAATGTGCAAACCCTTTTCAACGCCTCTTTTTGTGTCTGTAACAGTGCCCTCGGCCGCAAATCAGACGCCCCAGACCATGAAAAAAGAAAACCAGCCTGACTTAGGTGAACATAGCAGACAATCAAAAGAGAAAAAAAGATTCAAAAATTTACAGGAGCAAGCCAAAAGAATGCCGGTAACTCGGCAGTATAGGGTATCACTTCAAATCGTATCCTCATCGTCATTGACTTCCTGCTCCCGCATATGAATCCCCTCCACCAGCGCATCTCCCTCGATACCGACTTCCTCCCCTCCTTCGCCGTTAGAAGGTGCACCCCGTTCCTTCGCCGCACGCTGTGCAGTCTCTATCCGTTGTCGTACCAGGCGGGCGATAGCGTTCTCTGTTCGCACGTTGAGAATCTTGAGCTTCTCGTCCAGATCCCGCCGCAGGTCCCAATTAGGCTTCTTCGGTTGCAGCTTAAATAGATCAATAGGTTGATCGCCATCTTCGTCCTTTTGAGCTTGTTCCTTCACAGCTTCTGCGATCTCGGCGGCTTGTGCTTCCACCGTCACTTTGCCCTCGTGCGGAGCTTGCTCGAAGCCCAATTTAGGCCCGCGGGTCTCAGCATCGTAATTGCGGCCAGAGAGGAACTTTGTCGTCACATCCGAGGCGGAATTGTCTGCGATTTCACTATCTTCACCGGCCGCTGTTGGTTCTTCGGGCTCTGGTTGCTTGCGCTTAAGTGCGGCGAGCTTGGCCAGGCGGGCTTTGCGGTCGTTCGAGGCCGCGTCTAGCGAGGCATGGCTGGAGGACATGATGTAGAGGTGGGAGGAATGAAAAAAAGTAAATGAGGTACACTGGGATATCGGATCAAGAGTAGGAGTCGCAAAGGCAATGCAAAAGAATGACCCCAAAGTCCTCCGCTCCTTTGAAAAATGTGGAGGAGGGCGATGATGCTGAAGCGATAACGACGGGTTGCGCCACACTCCAGCCACAGCAAAATCGGGCGGTCTCCGCCTTCAAACTTTCGAGGTTACCCCGTCGTCCACGGCAGTTTGCTCTCAACAACCCGCGCTTCGGTTTTTTTTAATTTCCACTTTTCGATGAAGGAGATTACGGGATCCTGAATGTTGCTTTGTCCACAACGGCTCGTCCGGGTCCGCCCTCAGGCGCTGCTTTCGGCGCCATGTAGGAGCCCCGGCTACTGGCATCGGAGCTCGTGGACCCCGAACACTCGACACGCACTTCAATATGCGCTGAATCATACCTCAACGATCCAACAGCGAAGCAGAGATGGACAAACGGTCGGAGAAGTTGCCACTGAACCCTCGGAAAGCGAACCCAAGCAAGATGCAGAGGCAGGCAATTCGAAGCAAGCGGCTAAGATTCCTCGACGTCCTAAAGCTGGCCTGCGGCGGATCTCTAAAACGTCTGTCAAGAGTATATTGTTCTCACATGGCCTCAGACCGTCATATGCAACAACAGTACAGCAGGGACTCAACCACGAGATTCAGCGCGAGAAGAGAATCCTGAGCGACAAGTCGGTCGCCATTGCAACAATTACACGAGGAAGGTCAATATACAACACCAAGGGAAGAAGGCTTCGAGTGTGGCAGCGGGCATACGAAGAAATCTACAAAGCCAAGCATTACAAGCGCGAAGTCAACGATGAACGCGTAATACCGGCGCTGGACAAAACCGGAGAAGCTATATTGGCAAAGATTCAAAAAGACTGCAATGGAGCCTTCAGAAAATTATGGGCAGCCAGTGATCGAGATTTCAAAGCTAAGCACTGGCAAGCACTGGCTCTCTGGCTGCTACGGAATGATGTGAGAATGTTTTTGGACTTTTTGATTGTCACAATGAAGGGCAAGGAGACGCCAGATTTTACCATGGTCACGGATTGTCTTTTATATGTGGACAACTTCTACTATGAGGAATTGAAGGACTGGACAACCGGGCCTCGCGAACATGGGTACTCGTGGATGATCGAGTATTGTATGCGTCCGGCCACTTGGCCCATACTCGCGCCGCCACAAAAGGGCATCCGGCTTTACATTCGACGAGCTAGGCCTTATGGTGTTCGATTGGCCTTTCGTACGATGAAAGAACGGAAGATCCAGTGGAGAGCGGAAACGCAGCTGTGTTTTGTGAATCGGTTCACTCAGCTTGGACATGCTGATAGGGCGTTGAACGCCTTGAAGCTTCTTCCACGGCTCAATGACCCCATATTCACCATGAACTCTCGAGGAGTTCTCCGACACTGCTGCAAACTGTTGACCTTGGACACTGTCGAGGACGGCGAATCGGGACGCAACTTCAGAATCCTCCCACAGCTCCTGGAGATGGGTGTGCGACCTGACCGAGATATGATGAATGTGGTGCTTGCTAACGCCTACAAAACCGGCGACCACCAACTTGGCGCCGACATGCTTCAGTTCATGACGAGCCAGGACTACGCTTTTGACTCCTACACATACGTCACTCTTCTCACCAATGCCGTTTCACGGGGAGACCAAGCTCGTGTTCACGAGTTGATCCGCGAGGTGGATGCGCAAGAAGAAATTCGCAATAACCCATACGTCGCCAACAAGATTTTCCACGCCCACTACATCTTTACCGCCAAGCACATGGATATTGACGCTGACCCCTCCGGCGTTTTTTATTCGATGCTTGACATGTACAACAACCTTCACGACATCACGCCCCTAAAAGAGCTCTTCATCATCCCTCCTCATTACAAAGCACGGGAAGAAGGCACCAACACGCCTCCCACTCCTATGGCACTGTACATTATGATTGCAACCTATTTCCGCTGTGGCTGCCGTGTCTCGACTGTGCAACGCATGTACTCGCGGTTCCAAGAGCTTGTCAGGCAGGGTCATCCAAGCATTGCCCCCTTGGCAGCTACCGATCACACCTACAATGAATTCCTCATTGCACTCCGCAAAAGCTCGCGTGCTATGCACTCTTGCGTTCGGCTAGTGGAAGATATGCTCCACCCCCAGGGTAATATGGCCATTGAACACGCCAAGCCGAGTTACCGTACTTGGGCGATTCTTCTGAGTGTTTTCCTCTGGCACAGGCGACCAGCCGCTGCAGAGAAGATCAAGGATATGATGGAGAAACACCAGGTTCCCTACAATGATGTAACCTGGAATCTTATCATCAACGGCTACGCTAATGCGCAGAAGGTGCAGGAGACTGCTGCTGCCATGAAGGCCATGGAAGCTCAAGGATTCGCTTTGGACTCGTATACTATGAAGTCTCTGCGGTATCTTCGTGACCCCGAGCGTCTCTGGGTGGCCGTGGATGAGCTTGATCATGCCGCCCAGGAAGCGGACTCTGTCCGATCCTCTACGGCAGAGAACCCTGCTGCTATTGAAGATGCCCTGCGCGATGAGTTGATTGAAAAAGGTCTGCAGAAACTTGGAGACAAGAACAAGCCCAAGGATTGAGATTGGATACCCTTTTGATTTTGTTTCACTTTCATGTATTTATAGAGCACTTTGCATACATGGTCCTCTTGGGCCTGGGTTTGGGAGCAAGCGTTGGTGTTGCCATTTGTGTAAATTTTGGCGCTCATGTACTATACATAGAATCATTATGAATGTTGGAAATTGACGTGCGCTGAAAAAAATAAGGTCATTGCTGTAGACTGCCCGAGGACATCCAGTCCCTTGACACCCGGTTCTATCACTCTTGATGGAACTTGCCCGCCTCTCTTTCCCTTCTTCGTTCTTTCACTTTCTTATCAAGCAAAGTAAGAGCAAGGCACTCAACCACCGAAGAAGATCGAGCACTACACGAGACATTCCACTATTAGTACTTGATCGCAACTGGGAGCAGTGCCGTGGAGAACTTACAGCCATCAGGAAGCAGCATATGCTGACATATGGGCTAAGACGTTCTCCTACTCGAGCGCATTTCCAGAATATCCCGAATAACCTATCATCACGGATCAGCCGTCTTGTTCCTTGCTCTCTCCGTTTCCGTGATCGCCTTGAAGAGTTGCCCTACCCATTCTGATTCCGGTCCATGATACCCGGCATTATCGAGTGCGCATAAGTGCTCGTGCAGATGATGAGCAAAATCACCAAGAGCAGTGACTGGAAATTGAAAAGGGCGGACTGAGGTGCGTCTTGCGGTTAGCTATGATGTTGTGTATCGGAGAGTACACAGTATGCTGATATGGGGTACAGAGCAGCCCTAGACAGCATTCGGCGATATTCTCTGCGGAACGGGGAGCACCAAAACTTACCATCTTGAATCAAGATTCCAGCCTCCCTCGTAATGAAATTCGACGAAGACCAGGAGCTGGACCGTGGGAAGATTGTCCAAGGACACGAGCGGTTGGCCGCAATTCAAGCCCGCATTCTGCCCGCCATGTCCGCCAGACGCACGGCCCACCTGGAACTGCGGCCTCCCCATCGCAATCAGCAACAATCGCCGCCAACTCCTCTCCCCAATCCAACCCCATCGCCCACTCCTCCTCGACAAGTACCGAAACCTCCCTCAAAACCTTCACCCTTATCCAACTCGGTCCATCTACCTATTGAACTCAGCCCGCCGTGGCCGTGGAACCCAGCGGAAACACAGATTATCCGCGCGGGCTATCGACCCGCCTTCAAACCTCCGGCTCCAGCAACATCTCCCCCCGAACCAGAAGCTACCACCTCGAAAAAACGCGCACGCAAGCCTAAGCCCGCCATGGCGGAACCTCGTGCCCGTGCCGCTCGGCACAAGGGCCAGATGAATTTCTCATCCGAGCGTAAGCTTCCCCTTCCCTCCAAGAAATCCCCATATCAAGGAAACCTAGCTAACATCTACTTCCAGTCCGCTTACTCCTACTGGCCTACGGTGATCCAAGCCCACACCCATCGTTCCCCTCCGAACCACTCCCCGAAACAGTGCGGGTCCTCGACGAAATCGTCACAGACTTCATCCTAGAACTCTGCCACGGCGCCGCGCAAGTCGCGCACCACGCGCGCCGACAAAAGATCAAGGTCGATGATTTCCGGTTCGCCCTTCGCCGGGACCCGAACAAGCTGGGTCGTGTGCAGGAGCTGCTGCGCATGGAGCGCGAGCTGAAGGAAGCGCGCAAGGCGTTCGATCAGAATGATGATCAGGTTGCTAAGGATGCGGGGAAGAAGGGAGCTGCGCCGCCGGATGATCTTGATGCGGAGAGTGTGGCGGGTACGACTACCACGGGGAAGAAGAGTAAGGGCAAGGGCAAGAGAGCCGCTGCGCCGAGGAGAGAATCTGACGCTACTGAGGAGTCGGTTCCGAAGAAAAGGAAGACTATCGGATGAAGGTGCATTGCTGAATTTTGCATTGGGTGGACACACTTCATCATTGGCGTTTTGGGTTTGATTGCTTTTCTTTTCGATCTGGAGTTACGGTGGTCAAATATCTGGACAAACAGGAAATACCCATGGATAATCTATCAATGACATTGCATTTTTGAAAAAGTGCTTTGGAAAAGTATCGATTATGTCCAAAAGTTTCAAAGCGTCAGTGATAAACGGCATCAATTAGATTTGGGCAGGTCCTCTCTCAATTTGATTTATACACTAACTTCTTATTCTGTCTGACATGCAGGGAGAACAATGATCTGGTCGGGCTGTAACACATTTGTCTACTTCTACATTCCGGGGCATGTCATACCATCCAGTCGGTGCCTTACCATGCACCCCGCTGCCTTTCGGCAAGGAGGCTCTTCCAGGAAAACCACCCCTGGCTTTTTCAGTATGAGTACTCCATTCTTCTAGGAGCTCACGTGCGCATTGGATTTCATATAGGACTAGGGGAAGCCGATACCGTGAACTCTTTGTTTCTCCAAAAGTCAAGGTACTATCTCCTGCATACAAACATTCGACTCCGGGCCCAACTACTATGCATAAACTATCAACGCCAACTTTCATTAAAAGGCTTCACTTCCAAGCCTCAAAGCCCAGAATCAGGAACCATGTGAATCACACCACAGACCTCCCTGCCTCATGTGGTATATGCGAGAAAGACACGGAATTACACGAGACATCACTCCATTCAGCAGCCCGCGCCGGCGATGAGACAATGGTAAACTTGCTCCTCGACGCAGGCGCCAATATCAATCAAAGAGATGAATCTGGAAAAACACCACTCGCACTAGCCGTCCAAGCGGGCCATAAAGCCATCGTAACGATCCTCCTGGACAGCAGCGCCAATTTCGAATCAAAAGATTACCTCAGTCGCACGCCACTCTTCTACGCGAGACACACATCTATCCTCAAACTTCTACTTGACGAAGGCGCCAACGTGGATCCACGAGATATCAACGGGCGAACCCCTCTATCAGTAGCCGCAGAGCAGGGCGACGAACAAGCGGCCACGCTCCTTCTTGATCACGGTGCAAGCCTTCACACCAGGGACGGACTGACCTGGACACCACTCTCCTGGGCCTTTGAACAAAACCAGCAAGCCATGGTAAAACTCCTAATCCGCAACGGCGCCAATCCCGAACAAGAAGATAGCTTCGGCAGAACACTTCTTCTAGTAGCAGCAGAGACAAAACGCGAATTAATGGCAAACACTCTAATAAGCCAAGGCGCTTGTCTCGAGGTCCGAGATCACGAAAATCGCACCCCGCTCCTATGGGCTGCGCACAATGAAGACGAAGAAATGGCCAAGCTTTTGATTAGCAGTGGCGCGTGCCTAGAAGCTCGTGATGAAGACGGGCGTACGGCGTTACTTGTAGCCGTGGAAGCGAGACACGTTGCTATGGCGGGCGTACTAGTCAGGTCTGGTGCTAGTCTGGATGTACAAGATGAATATGGGCGGACGCCGTTGTTATGGAGTGTTCAGTATGGTGAGCAGCAGCTGATAGAGCTGTTATTGGAGAGGGGAGCTTGCTTGGAAGTTGAAGATGGGAAGTATGGGCGGACGGCGCTTTCGTGGGCTGCTAGGAGGAATGATGTATCCGTTGCGAGGCTTTTACTTGAATATGGGGCTGATATTGAGGCGGAGGATTGTCATGGTCAGACTCCGTTGTCAGTAGCTGCGAGGGCTGGGAATGGGGATGTTGTTGCGCTTTTACTTGAGAAGGGGGCTTGTGTTGATGTCGAGGATCATTATGGTCGAATGCCGGTGCAGTGGGCTTCTATGGGTGGGTATACAGCTGTGGTGAGACTTCTTGGGGGATCAATTGATGTTAAAGCTGGGAGTGAGTAGCTAGTATGATGGTGGCCAATAACCCATGGTTCAATTAAGAATATGACTTTTAATGGCTGAAAACATTCTATAGCCAACATATGAAAGTTCATTGCGTCATTTCACCTATTCCAACAGGTTTCAAAACCTAAGCAGTGCATCGAGTTCGCCAAAGAACATCCCAGCGCCGGCATGCCTTGGATGTATTGATCTGGGTTCTTCCCAAGGCGTGATGGACTTGAATGAAGATAGAGCATCGGACGTATATATTCTCTCGTCCGTATTGTGTGTGATGTTTGATTCGTGTGATTCAGTTTTCACATCGCCAGCTCGCGTATCAAGATCGGATGGATTATTGTTGGTAGAACAGCTCTTCTTCCGATCGGGGCCCTGGTCTCTTTCTACAGAGACATCCCTCTTTCTCTGATCGTTCATGTGGAAACCCTCTGGAGGAATAAGTCGCAGTGCTTCCGAGAACATCGAATATACCGCGCTCCAACGTGGTACTTCGTGGTCGATGCCTTGAGGCAAGGGTAGATCATACTTCGGGCGGGTTGGTTCAGAGGGACTTTTAGACGGACTTTCAGGTGTGTATTTTCGAACTGGTCTGGAAATCAACGAATAGTGTCAATATTAGCATTGGGTCCCTATCGATATAGTTATGAATTAGACAGCAAATACATACCTGGCCGGTCGCTCTCTGGGTAAACAACGTTGTCCCTCCCTGAAGCAATATGTGCATTGGTGATGACTCGGACTCGTAACGCATCGCTTCTTTCTAGCATAACAAGCTTGACATGCTTGAAATGCAGCGTTCCTCGAAGGAGTGCAATTGCTGGTTGATTTGTGTACCCCGTGGGGCATTTTCAGCTTTCGCAGTTCTTTGTGGGTTGTCTCCATATTGTAGTCTGCTCTGTAGCTGCTCAAACTGAACTGAACTGGGGATAGTAATTGGGAAAGATGGGGAAAGAGAAATGAATCCAAAAATCAATCTAATTATTATTTCCGGGGAATATGTACTTGATTTTCCCACAAAAATTTAAGTTTATCTATTGGCGGGCGTAGGGCGTCTTTTCGAAGAAATAAAGTCCCCCCCCCAAGGACCGTAAATGTTGGCTGATTTTATCATTTCCAGCAAAGCTTCCGCGGGTACTCGTGGACCCGCGGCGAGATCTCATAGTTGCCGCAATCTTCCGACTTGGAAACTCACCGAGGCTTCCCCGGACTCGGCATGATTATTAACTGTGCCAACGGAGTACGGAGTCCACGGACCCCGGAGTTGGAACTTTGATTTTAGGACAGTATGTGCACGTATCTTGCGCGGACGCCACAATTGTGTGTGGAACCTATCCAGTATTCAGTGATCCGCTAGGTCGAGTTAAGTAAAGATACCGCGGGACTATAATTCATACAAGAAAGCATCTCTTCTTTTTGCATTTAATGGCTAGAGGAAGTGCATCGAACACTAAATCTGGTCAAATTTCTACTTCTGACCCTAACTACATCTCTATACGAGCACTTGAAACATGGGTCTGCTTCCAACTTTCAACAAGGCGCGCCTATCTTAGCTGTAGTGCTGTACATGTCTTATCCCACCTACTAACCGGGCTACCGCCACAGACAGAGTCACCTCATTTCGTTTTCCATTCAAAAGGTCCGGTGATAGGCTCTTTGCTCACTACCGGTCCGAGTCGATATATTCAGCCATAGGGAAGGCTATCATATTTCGCTTCCATTCACAGAAGGTCCGGCGGTAGGCCATACACTCGGTCCGACTCACTATATTCGGCCCGTCGGACCGAAAGAAAGTGCCATGGCCTAAGGGACTCTCGAACAATCTATAACATACTGAACTTCAATACCGGGCCGAAGCTGATATGAAAGAAATATTAGACGAAATAGTTCACACGGAGATAGTCCCGATTCTGAACGGGACTGAGTCTGAAAACTACCAATCGCGCACACAGGGGCGTAATTGATACGATTCCAGCCTGTATAGCGTGGCATACGGGATATCAACGATAATGACGGGGTAATTTAGCAGTACATAAATAGGATTTTGCGATAGAATCCATATAATCCTGTCCCTAGAGGCACGCTCCCTCATAGTGCATGCCAGGTAGTAAGTTTCGGAAGAAGACACCTTGAAGATTGAGACAAAAGGTCGTGACTGACAGGTACTTGGGTCAACTGGCGCTACCCCTCGTACAGCCTGTAAGTTTGACTAGCGGGGAAAGACGGGGCTCTGGGGTCCTTCTAATTCCATGCGGTGACGCCAATGCAGGGATATGGCTCCGTTGCATTATCGATGGGTGGTGAGCACGGCCTTCTTTAGGGTATGAAGATTGATGCACAGACAGCCAGTCGAAAGCTTGAGTAGAATTGAACTTATCGAGTGAATTCGACAGGAATATCAATGTTACAATTCGGTGTCTCCACACTACAAGGCAAGGAGCCTTGTCCAAACAGTGTTATACTGTACTCATCTCGCTCAGGGAGACAGTGGACCCATGATTTCTCTGATAGTGCTACGGGTCATAGGTACCCAAGCACACTAGCTAGGTAAGCTAAAAGATTAAATATACCGGAACTCATATTTTGTCCGAGTTCTGTCCTCTGGGTCCGACATAAGTACGGCACATAACTTAGGAAGGGCTTTGTCACTTCCTGGACGGAGCCCTAACCAGGATCCTTGTCCTAGACCATCATCTACTGATTTCACCGGTTTAAATCACACCCTACAGTGACCAAGACAGCTCAGGCTCTAGCATTTTTATGTCCATTTCATCATAACTAAACGCCGCGCCCAGGTAAGATGCGACTTCGTGAAACCGGGTCTAAGCAGCCCGGAAAATCCTGCCTCTCGACATGTCTTCTGCAGCAGGCTGAATCTGCTTTTCGCGCAGTACTCCACCATCTCCACCCTTTCAACGACTGATTTATATCTGAGCTATAAAGCCAGATCGACTCCGGTACGCCACAGTGCTTTTTGGACCTTTCTGACCAGGACTGTCCGAGGATATCGAGCAGCCGGCGAAAAAAAGACAGAAATGCGGGGAGGAGAAAGAGAGGGTAGATGAGGGGTGTGTTGCTCGAACTTTTTTCTGCCCTGTCTCGCAATGGGGGAAGAAGATAGGGGAGGAGGAATGGCAAAGGAGATAAGAAAGGGGGAAGAGGAGGGGGAAAATGGTAGATAGAGACAAGCAAGAAAACGAACCCAATAAGTGTCGAAAATAAGGAAGAAGAAAAAAACGAGACATAAGAAACATCAACGGATAGGGTTGTGGCTCCACGGGGAAATTTGGTCACATCATGCATCATTTCTCCATCGTTATGACCCTTTATGCGCGGGCCTCCTCGGGGGCAGCGCGCTCCTGGCGCTGCTGGCGACCACCCTTTCCACCACGCTGGTTGCGCTGGTTGCCCTCGCCAGAGGTACCGGTGGCCTCGCCGCCGCCCAGAGTGAGTTGGGCGGTTGCTAGCCGGTTGGACAGCTCCATCTGTGTGCGGATGGTGTTGGCCAAGTAAGAGACGACCAGGACGTCCTGGATGTGGTTGTTGCTGCGAGAAGTCAGTCAAAGGAGATTCAAATATCATCAGAGGCACGTGGGATGAAACGTACAAATCCCGCTCGATATCCGCGGGCTCGACCTTGGGGGCAAGAGCCAGGGCGTTCAGCAGGAACTGACCCATGGCGGTGGAGGCCGGGGCCTCCTCATCAATGACCGACTCGACATATCGCGACACGCGGTCAATCATAGCCAGAACCTCCTCAATCGCGCGCTCGAGCGCCTCAACGTCGGACATGACGCTGGTAGAGCGCTCCTCGGCATCCTTGGCGCTGGCAATGGCCTCGAGACCGCTCTTATCAGCCTCACCATATCGCAGCTCGTAGGGAACGGGAATGAAGGCGGCGCTGTCGGCAGCCCGCTCAGCGGTGACACCGACGGGGGCGGAGATGTAGGCCCGGGTCTCGAGGTCCTTGCCGGCCTCGGTGGACACGGTCAAGTGAACGGCGGGGTGAGGCCAGGTGCCGTCACCCTGGCCGCTGTAGAAGTTCTGGATCAAGGCGGAGAAAGTGTTGAGCTCGGAAGCGGTGGCGTACCAACCGACGAGAACCTCGCGCGGGTTGGCCTTCAGGTGCAGGGCGAGCATCTGCTTGTGGTATTCCATGTCGACCTCGACCTGATCCTCGGCCTCAGAGTGGCCCACGGCGAACGCGGAGCGCACCTCGACCTCACCTCCATCCTCTGATCGTGTTCCCAGCAGGGTACCGATGACACGTTCCTGGTCGGCGTTGCGGCGCAGCGAGTGGTCGAGAATAGAGAAGATAGCCTATATCAAAGCGAGAAAAGACGTTAGAGACGACCTTTAAGTGCTAGATATATGATCGCCCTTTGATCGTACCTGCGGCTGGATGACCACGTTAAGAGGGGCAGTAGTCGGAGCGGTCCCCACAGAGACGGGGCCCAAAGGACGGGCGAGGTGCAGGAAGGAGTCTTCGGCCATGGTGAAATTAGGAGAGGGGAAGGGGGGGAGGGGGAGGTTTAGGGATTGGAGGTGATGAGAGGCTAAGACTCTCCAAAGCAGACTCGACTTCTTCGGAGGGACAATTTTTCCAGCGAAGAAAGTGGAGAGCCCGCGCTGAGGCCGATTCTCTCTTTGTGTGTGGGAATTTTCGCGCTAAGATAAGATAAGCCGCCGCCCAACTTTTTGCTTTGGAACCCGCTACGAAAAAAGAGAACTCCGCACGTTCAACTCAATTATCACTATACAATGGCTCCTCCACGAGGAAGAGGACGAGGTGGTCGTGCAATGAGGGGCAGGAGAGGTCGCACGACAGGCAGAAGAAATGATTTTGCTGCGTCGCGACTCCGGGAAGTGGAGTTAGTACACCCGTGGAGAGCTGCGCAATGGAGAATGGAAGCTAACCACGATACAGTTCGGATGAATCTTCTGGTGAAGATGCGCCCAGTGATCATGGAATGGATGATATGGACATGGGCGACGATACTATGATGGATGATGCTTCGTCTAGCAGCGACGAAGAGGAGAATGCTGGTCGCCCATACAACGAACTACTCGAACTACTGCACGCCAACTCCGACTCGAAGGGTCCAGCTCGGAAGAAGAGAAAGCTTGCGAGTGATGAGGCTGCGGAGGAAGCCCCCAGAACTATTGTTGAGGAAGAGGACGAACAGGCCGACGATGCGTTACAAGAACAAGCTCCCTCCGATGATGAGGAAGAGGCGCAAGAAGCCGATGACGACGATGATGAGGTTGTCGGACCTTTCGAGAAGCACTTCAATGTTGTTTCAGGAGATGACCTTTCCAACAAGATTCAATCTATCGATTCCAATAAGTGGACGTCGGTGAAGAAGGAGATAGACGGGCTGCGAGTGGTGCAATCCATTCCTGAAGTGGGAGACTCCAAGGCATCACTACTTCCGGCCATGAAGAGCACGGCCAACTTGAAGGTAAGCTTTGTTCTAACCATCGCGAAATTTATATCACCTGCTAAAGATAACGAAATAAAGCTCAAGAACAAGCTGAAGCCTCGTGCCGCGGAGCTTCTCCCTACCATCAACGGCGCTGCCCAACAGGTCGCTCCATATGTATTCGACTACCAGGACATTCTCTACGGCGCGCGTACTGCATCTATCGCGGATGACATGCGCGATATCATGGCCCTTCACGCTGTCAACCACATTATCAAGACCCGAGACCAGGTGCTTAAGAACAACGCCCGCCTAGCAAAGGATCCAGACACCGATGTCGAGTGCCGTGACCAGGGCTTCACTCGTCCCAAGGTCCTATACATTCTTCCGACTCGCCAAGCATGCGTACGTGCTGTCAATGCGATTACCCAGTTCTACCAAGTCGAACAGCAGGAGAACAAAAAGCGATTTACCGATACTTTCTCCGGCCCCGATGATGCGGGATGGGAGAACAAGCCCGAGGACTTCCGTGACCTGTTTGGTGGCAATGACGATGATATGTTCCGACTAGGACTGAAGTTTACGCGCAAGACCGTCAAATACTTTGCGCAGTTTTACAGCTCTGATATTATCCTTTGCAGTCCACTTGGTCTGCGGACAATCATGGACCAGTCTGAGTAAGTGCCACTCTTGCAATGAATCTGACCAAACACGCCTGATTAACCCTATTACAGCGAGAAAAAGCGAGACCACGACTTCCTCTCCTCAATTGAAATCGTCCTTGTTGACCATGCCGACGCCCTTCTCATGCAAGTCTGGGACAACGTCCCCTACATCTTCAAGCACCTCAACCTCCAACCCAAGGAAGCGCACGGGTGCGACTTCAGTCGTGTGCGCAATTGGTACCTTGACAACCACGCGCGTTACCTACGACAGACCATTGTGTTGACCTCTCACATCACCCCCGAGATCAACTCGCTTTTCTCAACACAGATGCAAAATGTCTCCGGCCGCATCAAATTCACACCAACCTACGCCGGCGCCATCACCGAGCTTCCGCTCCCAGTCTCCGTCAAGCAGACCTTCTCACGGATCGACAGTCTTTCTCCTGCCAAAGACCCCGACGCCCGATTCAAGCATTTCACATCGACGGTCCTTTCTACGCTGGTCAAGAACATTGCCAACGGCCGTAGCAAGGGAGGCGCCGGCACGATCATCTTCATCCCCTCATATTTGGACTTTGTTCGCGTTCGAAACCACTTTGCTCAATCTGCGCAAACAACAAACGTCTCCTTTGGCGCGATCTCCGAGTACACCGAGGCACGGGAAGTTAGCCGGGCTCGCAGTTACTTCATGAGCGGCCGCTATTCGGTACTTTTGTATACCGAGCGTGCGCATCATTTCCGCCGGTACCAGATTCGGGGTGTTCGTCGGGTGATTATGTACGGTTTGCCCGAGAACCCAACGTTCTATGGGGAGATTGTAGGATTCCTCGGACTGGACCCTGCTGCTGTTGTTGAGGCTGCAGAGGGTGGCGTTCGGGCCTTATTCTCCAAGTGGGATGCGCTTAAGCTGGAGCGTGTTGTTGGAACTTCCCGGGTTGGAAATATGTTGCGGGAGAAGGGAGGTGATACCTTTACTTTTGTATAAAACAGTTTTTGGAGAAGATCGTCATGTATATACTCAATTGTGCCATCAAAATTTTCATCAATGGGGCGTTCCTGGTGCAAATGGATTCTTTGCACCATGACCTGCTATATGACAAGAGTTCGCAGTGAAAGTCGGACTCGCCATACTCTCCGTAGCCATGTGCTCCGCTCGATACATCTTATAAACAAGATCTAGGAGTGGTAAGGGGTCAGTGGGTCTTTCGTAATATAACCCCATAACATCCATATATTGATAAGTATATATCTTAAAGTATCTCTCATTTAAGAGTGCTCCTTAGTCTTCGAGGGTGCGCGTACCTAGCCGCACTATTTACTCTAAAAGGTTTACAGAAACCATTCTCCCTACTCCCGCAGTCTATGCCTCTATACACCCTAAACAGATAAAGACATTATTTCTCTTCAAAATGTACGGAGTACTCGATATAACTAACCTAAACAATAATTTAAGGCAGGCTTATATACCTACATGAACCCTTAAATTCATAAATTTACGTTCGTCCACACTCTATAGGTTATCCTACGTACCCTAAGTACTTCTCGTAGCGTACGCTATAGCCTTATCCTCCGCTTTATCGCTCCTTATTGCACAAGAGTAGGCTAGTGCAATATATATACGCCATGAATTATCTAGTTACCTATTCGATCGCTATTTGATCCATATATAGATTTAATTTTTATATATTACAGTAGGTAACTCGTAGTACCTTCGCCGGTCGGTTGCAAAATCAGAATTGACGGGTCGTACCGATCCGTAGTAAAAAAAAACTCTACTACTATAGGTTATTCAATATCAATAACTACTAGCGCTATCGTGCCGTACAAAGCTGTCAACATGTGGATGTTGTGGGGTCACATGACGAAGGACCCACTCATATAACCCCTCTCTGCATATAGATCTTCCTCTAAAAGATCTACCAGATTGATCCTCAACGATCTCGCTTACAATTACCTACCTAGGCAGGAGACTATCTAACACTCCAATACTCTTTGCTTTCTCATGTGATCTTTTACCATGTTTCCAAGATATAAATACTGCCCTGTTTCCTAGCTAAATTGAATTAAGTTTATCATCCGTTTTGATCTGTTGTGAATGAACTACTTGCAGGGTAGTTGATCTGTTAACTAGGTAGGAGAGCGAAGCACCAAGTCAGATTGTCACAGAGACTGTTTCTTGAGGAAGGAAAATCCCACTTCCTCAAGCATCGATTTAAATACATCATTTTTGTGCAAACAAGAATCAAACACGATTTGGGGAGGAAACCTCGACGATAGGCCACCGTATAGCCAGCGCATCGCCCATGTAGTGGCCGCAGGTTGTATGCTGTGTAACTGTTTTCGAATCGTTATCGCCGGGTCACCGGCTGACCGCTGGTTAGCCGCCGCCTTGACAGAATCCGCGGACGTCGGTGCCTAAGGCTCCAATATCAATATAGAGATGGCCTCATTGAGTATCATAACATGATCTCTCTTCTAGATCGGTGGTACTCTTCCACAATCGTGGTACTTCTTCTTCTACATAAGAAGTGCGCACGACCGATAGACTCACAACCGTGTATTCAGACACTACATTGAGTATTTACCAATCCTTATACACACTATCGTCTTGTGTGTATAACCACGACTTTATGGTCACCGCCTAAAGTCCGACAAGTACCTAGGTCGTTTTCCTAGGACTTTCTAATAACTAATAATACTTCTAGGTGTAGAAGGAAGCTTTTTGTATATAAAGGGCTAAAGTAGGACTTAATTCAATCTAACTAGGCCAATATGCTGTTTACAAAAAGCTTAAGGAGAAGAAGTTCATCCCGCGCGTTCCCCACGTTAACATGCCAAGGTCTCGTGATACACGTGACCTATATCGGGCACTGGCCCGTGACAATCGCGATCTTATTAATAAGGGTGATCGTGTTTAAGACCCCGATTAGCTTAGTAGCGTATATTAACTATCGGTCTATTAGGCCTACCTAGGTTTATAGGCTTTCGGCTACTACTAGTGAGTTCTTGTTAAATCCTATAGCTACTGCGCGAGATAACTATAGTATCCCGAGGCGTCTAAGTAGACGATAACGTCCGACTTAGACCGTACGGCTTTCGCCCGCTCTATCGCGGTCTCTCTATCGGGTTCGATCTTAATATTCGAGAAAGCCTTAGTTCGCTACGGAGGAAGTAGGGTTAGATCGATTATTTCTAGTACGTATAACCTCTCTAAGGATAGTATTTTTAGGCTTCCGCAAGTAGGAACCGCGCGGACGTCCCGATATTATTCCGTCGTCTCTAGGCGCGACGTAAGGTATCCTATATCGGATATTTCCGTAGTAGCGCATGGAGTTTAGCGATAGTGGTTTAGGCGCAATAGCATAGGCGAAGATGGGTTAGCAGTATATATGCTTCGACTTCGAGCGTGGATGTTACCGCGGTCCGGAAGGCAGACAGAATCCGGATAAGCGCTGCCCATTGCACCGTGCGTAGGTATCGAAGGTGCGTTTTATCCCGAAGCGGGCCATACCAGACAGTCGACGCGTATTCGACGATCGGTACGACACACGCTTCATATAGTTAGCGCATTTGCTCCGGGCGGAGCTATCGCAGTCCTCCCAGTGCAATGTTGACTTTAGTGGCTCGCTTGACCACCTGCTGCACGTATTCTTTCTATCGTAGCTCTTGGTCGAAGATCACACCTAGAAGCTTAGGGGTTATTGACGGTGTGATGGTTATACCGTTCATAGTTATCTACCCTTGGCATTGTTCGCTTCTCTTCCTGGTGATGTGGATGAGTTTCGTCTTTTCCGCTAAGAAGCTGGACCCCGTCTTCCGAGCCCTTATTTCGATCCGTGGTATTGCGTATAGAGTAGCTGCTGCGAGAATAGATTTGATGCGACCATTTTAAGATCATCAAGGGCTAATAGAATTTTTCCCTCCTGACTGGCTAATTTCTGCGAGGATTCAGAGCGAATTGGTGGCATGGTAGTTGGTTGAAGTTGGTTTGTAGGTAGGAAGACGCGATTTTGGATGGGTTGGCCCGCTCAATCGGGTGGCCCGGTCATGCGGGAATTACGTTAGTGTGGGGTCCGTTTCGCTGACCTAATATTTCGCGGGGCTTCTCATTAGTTACTGTAGGCGGGCGGTCCAGCTGGATAATTCAAATGCGATGTTCCTCCAGGGTGACAACCTCCCATAAGAACTACTGCGTATCGGGGATATATCCAGGTGGTTGAAGAAGATTCCCCGACCCAACCTAACCGAGCCTCTCTCATCACCATGGCGCAGATTTCTCGTCAGCGGAAAGCCAGATCAAAGAGCGACTCGGATACAGCCAGTCTGTTGGGCTACAAAACCATTGTGCAACCCTCTCTAAAGAAAAGAAAATTGGGCGCCATCTACGCCGGACCAGCAGGGGCAGGGCATCCCGCCAAAGCAACTGCAGATCGTTTCGACTCCGTCACGTGGTATATTAGGATTTGGCGGAACAGAAAGAGGCGATCCGCCAGGATTGGATAAGCCGACTCCCCCCCGAGCCCCTCGCGTGTCCTCGCCCGGTGGGGTATGGAAGTCAATTTGACCTAACGCGGGATTTTTCGGGGGAAATTTGTTTTGGGGTTTGGTTGAGTGAGATGTGGTTGGCAAATTAGGTTTGTTCCTGACATTGATGCGATTTGCGCGTTGTCGAGTGCGTTAAGGAGTTACAGCGCGTCTCTCACGGCAATTTTCATGTATACGTCGCCCTGATCGCCAGTGGTGGGAGATTATCAGTCCCTCGAAGCACTCAGAGCGTACCCATTTCACGGGTATATGGGGCCACGCCTACGGCATACCTGCGAATTTGGGTTGGAGGTCTTATCGGAACTGAATACATACCCTGCGAGTAAATATCGACTCCCCGAACGGAGTCTGTTAAAAATATGTCCGGAACACTGCAACCTCAAAAGCCGACAACGATAAGCAGGTATGGCGACAACTGCTTTCTCTTAAAAAGATGGTAATAATCAGGTTCAACAACAAAACGAGGCCATATAGTTACTTGATTTCCAACTGTGCCTACCTGCGAGCAGAAAACTTGCCTCGGGGGATGCTTCGGTGGTGAACCAGGAATATGACTGATCACTAGAGACGATAACTAACATTACTAAGTTACTAGTGAATGGCACCGTATAGCAGCAGTAACGAGTCTATTGGAAGTACGGCGGGAAACGGCCCAAATCAGGGATTGTCGGAGTCGGGGTCAGACATGACCCTTGATGTCAAACGGCACCTTGGGGAAGCCTAGGAGCCCACCCTCAGCTGTCCGACACTAGTCACCACTCATCGGGCGACTCCATTGGACCACCATCGGGGCAGCCGGAAAGAAATTTACTACCGTCAAAATCAACATTGCTCCAAAGAGATGGATCGTTCATATCACCAATGCAAAATATCCAGCCGTAGTGTTCACGGGTCTCGGGTTGATCACGCAATCATAATCGCACTGAGCGTTTCCGACGCGCCAGAAACCATTGCTTCTGATATCGCTCTCTCGTAAGAAAAGTATCCGAACGCTAGAACCTCTAGCCTGGGTAACCCATTCGGCCCGAACGCCCAGTCCACAAAGTCCAGGATTTCTTTGATCTCAGCTGATTCCGTGCTGAAGTCTCCGACCCATCTGACCCGTCCGATAGCCCCGTTCGCAGAGACTCGATAGATTGTTCTTCCCAGAGACTCGCAAAGTACTTCGAAGACCGACATAGCTGGCCTCGTGCAAGTTGTCTATATTACATCCACTGGTAGCAATCCATTCACTTCCTGAAGGACCGTTGCCACGGATCTAGATAGAAGGGTCGAATAACCTCTATATCGGATAAGTACTATATGGTACATACTTCGCTATAATCTTAAATAGGACCAGAAGGTGTGATCTTTCTATAAGGTGTGATAGGTAATTTAATAATTCGTGATACGTGCTCGAAGGCGTATCGTAGTCGGTTTAATCCCTATCTCTACCTCGGCGATAGCGAGGGACGTAAGACGGGCCTCCCTAGACCTTCGAATAGCCGTCCGATTCCGAGGGAAATACTAGAGTCCTATCTTATGGACTACCACGCGGATGCAATATAGTCGGTTTTGGAAGAAACTATAGAGACGAACAGCTAGCAATTTTGGATACACAAACCGGTCACATCACCGAATATCTGGCGTCTACCTACCAGATCTTCGCGCGCCCGAAAGAGTGGGGGTGCAGGATGGAAGTTGGGGACGTAGGGTTCAACCACATCGTCCGAGCTCAGTCGGAGAAAAGGAGTCGAGACCATGATGTGAGTTCAGATTCCGCGTTAGACTGGTGATTGCCGCTTCTCCCCTGTATTAGCTCTCGCTGGTAGACATCGCCACGGTGCAAATGACAAATGCCGGACTGCAGGAACCTTCGTATACCATAAACAACGCTTGAACTTTCGAAAAATAATTCACATGAGGTGAACAGATATCCAACATTCCTAGATTTACATCCCCGAATAGTATAGATCCAATCATCTTTCAAACAAGTGTCACCTGGTTCGTCAAAAAAGACAAGTCCACACTGGGGATACCCTGGGAATCCTCTCCAAAGAACTTCAACACCCGATCAGCAACCCATACAGGATTTTCATCCAGTACCCAATGGCCTGCCTTTGGCACTACATCAACTTGGAGGTCACTGGACACCGGCCCAAAGATTTGCTGCAACACAGCCTCCGGCGCAAAACTAGCCTCGCCTCCAAGAGCCAACGCCGGCATTGCCAACGGGTTGGCACCAAGTGATGCGTTGAAGAATGAAGCATCTTGGGTCACTGTCGATACCGAGAATATGTTAAGCATGCTTCGCAGGAATCCTGGTTTCGATATAGACGTTGCGTAGCGATTCAAATGGGCCAGACTAATGGCTTCGTTGCCAGAGTATGAAGCGTGCCAGAAGTACCACGCCAGCATCTCCTTCTCACGGCCTTGGATAAAGTATTGTGCTGCGTCTGGGACACTGAAGAAGCCTAGCTGCCAATTCTTGTACAAGTCCCAGCCGATGCCACCGCCTGAGCTAGGAGTCCAGAACTCCTCATATCCAAAGCCAGGTAAGGCATACTCGGAGAAGACGATTCTCTTCGCGTAAGAAGGATATTTAGCGGCAAACGCCGCTGCAATTCCAGATCCCTTATCGTGAGAGAAGATGTAGGCTTCGTTGATGTGCAGGAAGTCTAGTACTTTTTTGAAGTCATCGGCGTGTGCAGAGGCGGTATAGTTGCCGTCTGCTGGAATTGAAGAGTCGCCGGCGCCACGGTTGTCGGCGCAAATCACGGAGTAATTTTTGGCGGCCAGAATGGGGGCGACGGTAGAGTAGGAGAGCTGGAAGAGAGCGAAGAGTTAGCATAGACGAGCATTGCCTGGGAAAATTTGTCCAGGCCGTAGTGATGGCAACACCGGCGTTAGGAGATGATAACGTCGTAGCTTACACTATGTTGAGGGTTTCCATGGATTAGAAGGACAGGAGGTCCAGTGCCGTAATAGCGCAGGTGAATGCTAACATCGTCATTTACTTGAACGCGTTGATGAGGCCATGAGTCCCAGGAAGGAATGTCTGCGACGCAGATGCAGGCAAGCTGGAGGATTGAGAGAAGAATACCGCGCATTTTCTTTTCCTTTACCACTGACAAGACCGAGGACACTGTTCAGAATGGAAATTTTAGCGACACATACTAGAAGCAAAGCGAGTTTTTAAAATTATGTCCTGATCGTTTTATATTAATCTTCATGTCAATTTAGGCCGTTGTAGGTTTGACGGTGCCACGATATTATGTCAATTCGCTTTTCGGCGTTTAACTAACTAGTTAACTATGAGGTCCAGCTTAATAATGCGAAAAATTCGGGATGTTATGAGAAGCGAGGCTTCCCGATTTTCAAGCATAATTAGACCTCAAAGCTCGTCCATAGACGGGCCTACCCCGCTGGATACGACATCATCGACCATACTTTTGACTTCTTTTTGTACGACATTATCATTGATATCTAGTCACCACAAAATCAACCGTGGGAGCTAAGCGAAGAAAACCGCTCGTCTGGCACGATCTTACTAAGGGTCGGCCGTCGGTCCTCTTTTAAAGGCCGGAACCCCGACGGCTGGTCCAGTTCTCTTGACGGGCAGTTAGGGCCCTAGCCAGTCAAGTGAATGGTTGCTTGCTTCACTTCCATTGTCCTATGATCTAGCTATCTACGATCCAGGAATCGGCCATGGATCCATAAATTGCGTTGAGTTTGATTGGTGATTTTCAACTGGTACGTGCTCGACATCGGTCGTGCGGAATCGATGTCTATCCGAGTACAAACTCTCTTCTCCCTTGTTACTGCGTATCGTTCGGTTGCCCGAAGCTGTATTTGCCACTCGCACTTATAAAACTCAACAGCAAGACCTGTGGTGGCGGGGAAATAATAACTTATCATAACGTTGGTGTACGTGTGGATTATCTTTGCCTCGAAATTAACCAATCTAATCGACCCTCGATGAGAACAGGATGGCCACACTACCTATTGCTTCGGCCCGTGTTACCATGTTGCTGCAGGGTGGCAGTAAAAAGGGGTCACAGCACGTGCAAGCCGCGTGTGATCGATGTAAATTGAACAAGGCAAAGGTAAGATAGCTCCTAAAAGATCTATAGTGAGTTATAGCTCAATATATAGCAGTGTGATGGAGAGAAGCCCTGTGGTCGCTGTCGGATACGAACAGCGATATGCATCTATGGCAGTCGAAAACACCTGCAAAAAAATTCGGTTCCAAATGGGTAAGACTTCATACACTGGAATTTTGGAATTGGTCATCTCATTGACTCATTCTTTTTCCAGATATGCCGAAATTCTGGAACAGGACCAAGCTTTGTCGATGAAGGGAATTCGTGAACTATACGGCCTTTCAATCAGAGGTGAAAGCTGGCCTGGAGAGTTATTGAACAACACGGACAAAGAACAGAAAACACAAGAAAGTCCAACGGAGCAAGAACCGACCAATACCCAATCCTCAAACGAATGGTTCTGGAAAGGCACAGCAAACGACTCTAATGACTGCAATGCCGCTCCCGGAACAGCGGACATAACATGTGGAGATTATAGCGTCTTTACATCTTTGACTGCTACGCCAGATCAGCCCTCATTATTCAACAACTACCCTGGAAGCCACACCTCATTTCATGCAACCAGTCCTATAAGTCCTTCATTACAAGAAGTAGTTGACTCGGCTACCTTTGCAGAAGGCTCGACATTATGCACCAACAATGACGCTGTAGTCTACAGCCACGATAGCAACAACTTTTACCAATATAATTCTGGGACGAACTTATTCCCGTATGATGAATGGACAGCCGAATCCACGTTTGGGCTAGATGATTATACGCTCACAATCCCTAGATTTGGTGAAGTCTCACACACTTCTGAGGCGAAACAAGTTTACATCCATGCCTATTTCTTGTACTACCACAAAACAAATCCTTTCATCCACGAAGAGACGTTCAAACTGCATCTGTCCACGCAATTTCTACCCGAAACGGAAGAAGAATCGTGGCATGTCCTTCAAAATTCGGTTCTTGCTATGGGAGCGTGGTGTATACATGATGGCTGTTCGAACACGGACATATTATACTATGAGAGAGCCAAGCGGTTGTTCCTGGATATATCCTCGCTTGGAAGCGACAACATCATGGTTGTGCAAGCACTCCTCCTCCTTAGTGACTACGCCCAGAAACGAGGCAAGATTGACACTGCATATCACTACCTTAAGGAGACTGTCAGGGTTGCTCTTTATATAGGCCTTCATAAGGAGAAGGATGATGAACTTTCCGTCGTTGAAACAGCCTCAATAGACCAGGAAATACGCAGAAGACTCTGGTGGAGTATATATAACCATGACAGCTACATAGCCATGAGAAATGGTCGGCAACCTTGTCTTCGTCATTACAGCGAGACTGATGTTAAGCTTCCACTGAATGTTGATAACCAGGTAAGAACTCCGCACCCGAATACACAATATGGTCTGATAAATCACCGTTCCATAGATCCTTACTCCCGGCACCAGATTCCTTGTATCAGAAACCGACTGGCCAACGCTATATTCCGGTCTAATTGCCTATGCTAGGTTCAATCTTTTGGCAAATTCCGTATATCAACGCATTGCATCACAGCCGGCCTTATCAGCAATGGAGACCATCAACCTACAGACTGAAATTGATGATCATTACGCGAACATCCCACTATATCTCAAAACAGACGATACGGTTTCTCAACAAGAATGGCTTTTGCAAGCTCGCAGTAGACTTCTGTGGGGTTACAAATATCTCCAAGTTCTTACATGTCGACCATTCTTAGTCAGAAAGGCAGGACACAAAGAACAGAAGGAAAAGCTACAATCAGAGTCGGAATCTCGGTTGCTTGCCGCATGTCGAGCTCGGTGTATCCTTAATTCGGCGGAAATCATCGACTCAATGAACGACTACATGAGTACGAGTATGGCCAGCAGACTGGATGCTTGGTATATGGTGTATGATATACTTCTTTCGATCTTACGCGACAGTAATACTTTCAATCAGAGCTGTGGGGCTAACAACCAGTTAGGTATCTTCTTTTTCAAGCGTCCATCACACCAATCACATTGATCCGAACGCAGCCTCAAAGCGCCGACGCAGTATTCTGGTGGCAGGATCTCGAAAATGCGAAGCGTGTCTTGTCAGCTATTTCAAAGATTGATAATTCAATGGGCACCGATAGCTTGGAGGCTATTAAGGTACTCAGCCTTTCAATTAAAAGGGAGAGGGGTATGCTATAGAACTATATCTATTTAAGATAAAATATTAAGTATATATAATCTAAATAGTGTTTCTAGACTGCGGGTATGGTACAGGACAATTACTCTTAGCAGTAGCAGAGATATACTGTATATATATAAATCTGAAACGTCAAAATTACGCTGTATTTTATGGTAAAGTATTAAAATAATAGTCTGAAAAGTCTAAAATCTATATATGCTCTTCCTATACCTTAAGAAATGCATATCCTAAAATTTTAACAGAAAAAAACCCTGGTGGTTGAAATATAGATGAATTAATATTCAGCATCTTGTCTGGTGTTTTGGGGTGGCCGGTCACTTTCCCATAGAAGAGCAATTCAAAATCGATTATCTTAACCAACACCTATCAATTTAACTAGATATAGCGACTTTTATATGTATTAATCCTATGGCCAATCTCCCTACACCCACTATACCTAGGTGGTGCCCTCTTTGCTAGCATAATTAGCTAACTAGGCAATTCAACCTCTATATACGAATCTACCCTATCATCTTCCTCTGGCTGGTCTAGCTACTTAGCTAGCTATATAGCTGTTACGCGGAGCCGACTGGTCACAGTGAGTTGGTGCGGATAGGGCGATAGTTACCTAGGTTGTTATAGTAAGTGAGTACTATAACGATATGTGCTGGTGCAGCTGGTTCCGGCCCTCTCGGCACAACTTCGAATTCCAAGCGTATCTCTCAATCGTACCGTTGCCTCGCGAGGCCTTACTGCGGGTTGGATCCTGTTGAGTGTCTTGCAGAATGTGCCAGAAGTGCGCGCCAAGTAAGTCAATCACTAAGTGTTACCACTGAGTGAATCCCCTACTTGTGGGTTGGGTTGTCTTGAAGGTGAACTGTGAAGTGAAGTACTAAAGGTAGTAACCAAGTAACAATGTGCAATTGATCGCGAAGAACTAAATACATGATGCGAAAGGAGTGTCCTTATATATCTAGTCCTTCTGTGGGGTAGATGGCCCCTAAGGAGTATATCCTACTCCTTGGAGTATATCGACTCCCTGGAGTATATCCTACCCCTCTGGGTGGATCTACTCCCTCCGGGTCACGTGTGGTGTTTTACCGTGTTCTGGCATTTAGGGTGTAATTGGCGAACATACTGTTGAAAAATTCTGAGGGATGAGAGGATAATTTGATCAGAAATATTCCAAATTTGTGCATTATGTCCAGTACTTCGTGATGGTATAGGTGGTAGATGGCACTTAGCGTGATCTACCCTATACCCATCTACCCTTCTACCACTAGGGGTCACATGCCGGTTTACCGTTACCTAGTGTTGTGGCATAGTCTTGGCTGTGGTCAAATGGTAGCCGTTTCCTGCGTCTGGCTAACCGTCCAATCATATAATCGAGTATAATTTGGCACGGTTGGGGGAAGGTCATTTCCAGCCGCCTTCCTTGAATGTTCCACTCAGGGCTCATGGTGACGTGCTTGAGCGATGGGTGTCGCACGTGATGGCGCTAATGTATCGGCGCTGGGTTGCTGAGCTCATCTAAGTGCACCAATCGGATTTCAACAGGTCTGAATTGCAAAGAAGCCCCTAGCTAACCTAGTTAGCAATTTGGTGGGCAATACAATGACTAATACATGCGGATCCATAGTAATTCCTTCCTCCGAGTATCCACTACTGGTCTTGCTCCGACATAATGCATAGCGCCCGGGGGTTGATTGGCCTTCGGTTGCTCCTCAATTAGTTGCGGCCCCCGCGCCTTTTTGAGGTTCGCGACAATATCAAGCTTGTTAAACACTCTTACTATAACTATCGACTGGTACTAGGCCACTAGCTACGAAGCTATTTCGAATAATAGCTAGCTGCTAGAAGACCTCTAGCCGCGCGCTTAGTAGTCCTCCAAGAAATTCAATTTATTATATAGTTATAACCTTAGCGCGCAAGATCGCTAACGAAACGGCCGTACGCCTTCTTTAATAAAGCAAAGCAGCTAATATCTAGCGGTTATAGTAGATATAATAAGTGCGTAGGCATATAAAGCGGTATAATTTTGTTATTTTCGCAGACTCGGTCGAATAGTGGTGTAAGGTGGCTACTATAGACGTCAAGATTCAGTAGCCAGAACCGACCGCGTACGCGCGAATTAGTTTATGAAATAAAGTGCTTTTCTAGCTAGCGTAGGCCAATCTTATCCGTAGTCCAGCCGTCATTCGATACTGTTATGATATTCTAGTATCTCCTTTTTCTGGGTATCCAACAATCCTGCTGCTCCGACAATTCCCTTTTCCCTCACTTCGGTGGTTTCAGCGATCTCAATCTTGGGTGCATTGACCTACGTTCTGATACATCAGGAAAGGGGGAAGTTATAGCATCATTTCCCTAAACTTATTTGCACACTTAAAAATATGACACGTAGCGTCGGCAATCAAACATTCTCCATATGCTGCGATTGTCGTTTGTTATGGCCACAAGTCACGTCCCATTCCTGGGCTACTGGGGTGAGTGCCACCCACTCATGCCGTGGGGGGATTTGATACTGTTCACTGTGCCACGGGGCCACCTTCATCACATACATGTAGTCAATCTCTTCCAATGTTCGGCCTTTTCCTTCGATGACGAAAAGGTAGATGGAAAATGTCGCAAAAGCTAGGCAGCCTGCGAAGACATATCCATAGGTAAAATCAATCTTGTCCGTGATGAAAGGGGTAAAGAATCCTATCAGGAAGTTCCAGAACCAGTTGGACGCTGTTGCAAGAGCCATACCCTTTGCCCGGAATTGCGAGGGATACAGCTCTGCGACGATGGTCCAGACCATAGGACCCCAGGTCATGGCAAACGCTGCGATAAAGATGCAAGCGACAACCACCATAGTCTTGCCTGCACCTGGAGTTGCTTCTGGAACTTGAAAGTTGAGAGAAAAGTGACCCACGGACGCGAATATGATGAAGCAGATGAACATCACGACCGCACCCGTCATTAGTGACTTTCGACGACCAAAGCGTTCAATAGCATAGAGGCCGCCAAAGGTTGTTCCGAAATTCACAGCTCCTAGAATAACTTGGGTGACAAAGCTATTCGAAATTCCGGCACCCTTGAAAATGGTTGTTCCCTGTGAAGTTTTGTGAGTATAGAAAACGTCATAGTCAAAAAGGGCAGATAAACATACGTAGTAGAAGAAATAGTTCGCTCCAGTCAGCTGCTGCAAAGTTTGGAGCATCATCCCCAAGAATAATCGATAAGCCATCCGAGGTGCTTTAAATATCTCATACCAAACCCCGTTGTGATTCTCCTCTGATAGCTGAAGTGTGATATCCTCCAATTCCTGAATTATTTGAGTGTGATTCTCTGGGATCCCGTAAAGCTTAGCCATCGTTCGCCGCGCGGAATCAAGCTTTCCTTGACGGACTTCAAAGCGAGGGCTCTCTGGAAAAAAAACCACACCAATACCCAGGAGAAGAGCAAAGACGAAAGTAATGCCCAGGGTGATCCTCCACTGGCTTGATCCTTCCAGCTTCTCGGTACCCAAATTGATCAGGTATGCCAAAAGAATACCGAAGGTGACAAACAATTGATAGCAGCTGATCATAGCACCGCGAATATGCCGCGGTGCACTTTCACCTTGATACATGGGAACAATCAAAGAACAGGCACCAATTCCAAGACCTGTGACGAAACGGCCGACCACTAGCTGGTACCAATGACCATACGGGGCGGTTATCTGCACGATGAGACCGATAAGGATTATACCACACCAGACGGAGATTGACAGTTTGCGACCGAGGTGATCGGCGATAGGAGCCGCTGTCAAAGCCCCAATCAGGGTTCCAACGGACAAGATGGAGACAATCAAACCAGAGCGGACGTTGCTGAAGTAATAATCCCCATTGGCGTGCTGTTGGCCGTATCTCTGAACAAAGTCAGACATGTTTTCGAACCCAGAGATCTGGCCGGTATCATATCCAAAGAGGAGACCACCAATTGAGATAAAGGCACCCAATGCTAAGGTCTTCGCTGTCACTGGTGGTATTGGAATGTCGCTTGTTTCGAGATAGGATGAGCTTTTTCTGTGCGATATGGCGACCAAGTCATTGTTGGGATGGACTGAGGCGACGGGAGCCGTTTCAATACTCGTAGTGGATGCCATGGCAGCTGTCCTTCGCTATCAGAGGCGGGAACAGGAGTTTGGGTATGCAATTAATCGATCGTTGAAACGCAAACTATAAAGAATTCGATTACTGAGTGAGAGACCGTTTCTTTTATAATGTCCAAGGCTACTACACATTCCCGAGGTAGGTTTTTATTTCTGCGAGGCGGTAAAATGTTTCTGGATGTGGTATTCTATTCGGACCTCAGTAATCCGTTGGTAGATTCCAGTTCTCCCAATGGGATGGCCACAGCCATCTCTAATCTACACGACCACACAATGCCTAAGCCACGAAGAATAACAAAATCGAACTGTGGAACCATGCAAAGTTGGGACGAACCTTGTGGCCGTGGGGACTAGTTGGCTTAGTCAAGCCTTCGGGATTTCAAAGGTTCGGGTTTGGGAATTGGACTGTATTGGTCTCGATCGGCCTCGGGCCTGATTCCATAGGCCGAAGCCGTTGCCCTGGTGGCGAACAGCCCGGGACTAGTGACCTCGTACATCGGCCGAAGATGAGTTCTGCATATCTAAAAAGTTCCGAATATTCAACTTGGAGGCCAAATATTGATTCATGTTAGTGAGCATCTGTTGCTAGGCCTTTGGATTTTCAAAATAAATCCGCGAAGACTCCACACTGTCACGACACTTCAGCGTCAGTCGATCATTTTATTGATACCTATGCAAATCCATTTTTTTTTGCCTCGGGGGTCATCGATATTCTTTGTGCCGTGCCAAAATGATCATCAGCAGCTACTATGAATCTAGACTATCCAACCGATTCGTCGCGCGATTCCCGTACAGGTCACTTTCGCGAAACGTATTTGTGAAATGCGATTGGCTACTAGCGACTGTGCTAAGCTTCTCTCGTCGAAGTACCCAATGCTCAAGTGATAGCCTTTGTTCGGGACGTGCTTCGAAACGGAGAAGGCTATAGTCCCGGCATCTGATGCGGAGGAGAAAGCTACTGTTATGAACATGTTGCGATCAATGCTGTCTTTTGAGCCAAACAAGCGGTTGATTGCACATGATGTTCTTAAATGTGAATGGGTGGAAAGATGTGAATTGCCAGAACGGCAAGCGCCATTCACGCCTAGAATTTGATTGAAGGGTACTCCTATCGGAGAGAAGGATAAAAGTTTTTAAGAAGATCCAGCTGTCTTTTCATTCGAGATACACTTGAAAGACCTATGGTAATATGGATATCGCTGTATTCCGTGTATCGTCCAAATTCTCTGCAATGTTACACTATTGTGAAAGGTAGTAAAGAATTAGGAGTAGAAAGTCCAGATTATTTATCAAAGTTTATAATATCCGCGCTTGTAGTTTTAATCTAGTCGTGTTTGGCGATACACCTACTTATTGTGATACAGCCGGACCCTTAGAGACCAAGTGCCTCCTTCGGCAGATATCAAGCTTGATGATAGAAGGGAGAACACATTCTACCATGCGCGTCAGGTGGCCCTTTTATGCGTAGACACTCAACTCAAAGTTAAACCAAGCAATAGCCTGCAGGAAAGCCTGCTCCTTTCCAAACTTATTCTTAGGCTTTGTGAGATCGCTACGGATTGCAAACCCGTGCTCAACGCCGCTAAAAAGATTCAACTGGTAGTGCTGGCCTGTCTCGGAGAGAATCTCCTCTGACTTATGCCGCAACTCACGGGTGAAGATCTGATCGGTTTCTGTATATGAATGTTAGCGGATGCCTTCATTGCTCAATAATTCGTTTTAGAATCCTGTTAAGCATGCAAAGAACATACCCGCGGCGGAAATGGAGAGAGGATTCTCAATTGCGGCAAGCTCCTCATCCGTGATGAAGGAAGGATGAGCAGTATACCCGATATCAATCTTGCCTTGTTTCAAAAAGCGAGCAAGATACTAGAGAGGAGAAGAAATGTGACGGTCAGCGGCGGGTTCTACACATTGCGGATACGAGCTTTTGTGTGCATAGTACACACCTTGCCACCAAAACAGTATCCGGCGCATGCAATCTTCTTGACACTCAAGCTTTCTCTCAGATAACGCAGAACCGATTCCACTCTGGGATCAATGGCATCGGGGCCATTCCGGGAAAGCCACTCAGGAATATTGATTCGACCGGCTTCAAAGTCACTGATATCCATCTTATCACCTGCAAATAGATCCGGGAGCACTGCGAGATAACCATTGGCGGCGAAATCGTCAGCGATAAGCTGACTGTTGGTGAAAATGCCGAAAACATCGCTCAGGATTAAAACAGCCTTTTGGGGCGTGTCATCCCCCTTCGGACGTGCAATGTATGTAGAAACTGTACGAAGGCAATAGGGTCAGTGGATTATCCTTTTGTTGCGAGAAGTGGTTCAATATCTGACTGTTTCCAATGGATATCATTTCTCCAGTGGCAGTTCCTTCATGTTTGAAGCCGGTAAAGCAACAGTTTGATGGGGGGTTGGACGCCATATTTGCGGAAACTCGCCCTCGATAGAAATATAAAGCCGGCACTTGAAGCGTTCTTTCCCAAAACTTGGACGATGAGCAAATTATAAATTAAATGCCAAGGGGCTTCATCGCAGAAGCCTGGTTTTTTTCCCCCAGTGTTCGGGCTTCCTAGGACTTTGTCATAACCCCCGCAGAGCCCCGCTTATCCCACATAACCAAGGACGAACCCAGCTGCGGGGTGGCCACCCCACTAGACTCGGGCTCGGGAAAAGAACCATATGGCAGACTTAAAGGGGATTTGGGAGACACGGACTCCACATGTAGGGCCAGAGATTTCTAAACTGCCTAGTTCTCTTGAGTGATCCATGAGAAACTAGGGGCATTAGGGGCATTCGGAAAAATACGGATCTCTTCGATCTGATGATTTATGGAGAATATCTTGAATTGACGATTTTCTATCGAGGTCAATTTCAACACTCTTCGTTCTATCATCCAATAGTCGCAATTTCGAAAAGCCAGTCGAGGGGAAGAGAATGGATTAGATGCGCGCTAATAATGAAAAAAAAAACAGCGAAACTGGGGAGGGAAACAGGGTAGTCCTTGGGTCGTGTGGTTTCTTTGCCACGGCACGACTCCTCATGCGCCAAGTTTCATCTCGATCTGTCACTTGTTCTATTTAACTGGTATTCTCGGGTCCCCAATTGTCGTAGATCTGCACATTCGTCACATTGTTTAGCACGACATATATTCACAACGTTTTTATTTCCAGTTTACGTCTCACACAGGCCTGTCGCCACTCCCTCTTATTTCGACTAATTCGTTTCAGTATCTGGATACATTGCATATTTCATTGACATCAATTTGGAACTTAAAGTCTTAATCAAAGGATGGCGAGCTTGCCCTACTCGTAACCCCCTTTCATCCCACTTTCCCATCACTGTGAACCAGAGAAATCATCAACGAAGCAAATTTTCGTGAAATTGTCCAATGCCCTATACGCGTCAACAGATCAACTAGCCTTTCGAGGATGCGGGAAGTCATGACTGTCGGCTGTTGACTCTCTGACCATTCTTCCCCAAGAATTAGGTCAGGAATTCTGATTCCAAGCCTGTTAAACTCTTCGAAGCGCAAGTCTTCGTATGCGAGTTGGGTGGATTGGTCCCTTGCAAACTCCAAAAAGCAATACCAAACCAGGGCAGCCCAGTATAATACACGAGGTACATGAATTGCGACATTACTTCCCAAGGGCACCACTTCCGATTTTCGAAGAATAACGACAGCATGGGCGGCACAGCGGGCCCCATTTCTAGATCGTGCCCAACTCTTCGCGTGATCTAGGTGCGGTTGTGACTCCATATAGCCCTGTCGCCCGAGAGCCAGCTCCAGGCGATTCAGGTCAGCTGACATGAGAATAAAAGCTGAATGCCAGAGAATTTCCAGACTGTAGGGATCGTCTGCTGTAGTAGCATCGTCAATGCTATGGCGGAGGTAGGTATCGTGAAATTCCAATAGACTCATTTCAGCGTGGGCAGATGAAGCAGGCCAAGAACCCAGCATTTTAGCTGCGGAGATGGACCCTGAAATGTTTTCCAGTCTGCAATAGATACCAAAGGAGTTCAACCCATGTTCTTCTGCAAGCATCGGATACAGAAATGTTTGGCCAGATGATGGGGTACGTCGTACATTGGTCAAGTCTGTGGGTTCATTTTTCAGAGATTCCTGCCATTCGTGGGCGGTAGCTGCTTCCCAAGACCGCCTGGGAGATATATAAAGGATTCGACACGCGGTATGTCGCAGGAGAGGCTCTACATTTAAAAGCGTGCAGTACTCAGTGTCGTGGATGTGAAGCGCTGCCACAGCCCTGCTTCATCTTAATACGCGTATCCTGCGCGGATATTCATGATCCTTCATATGAAGACTCACCTTGCTTGTTCTTGATTCTGGATCCATAATCTCCATGATCCTTCGAGGTCCTGGTCGCCACCATCGCCGAGACTGGGAGGCCCCAAGTTTTGATTGAAGAGACGGCATGCTTTCGCCCACTATCGGCCCCAGATTAACATTCGAAGCCAGCTGACGATAGGCGGCTCTAGATAGCTTACCGTGATGATGGTTCCATGGAATGATTGCATAGTCAACAGATTCGAGGGTTGCTGGATCTGTTAGCCCACAACCGTTGAATGGATGATAGGTGCCCCACGTACACCTGATAACATTGCATACGTATGTCCGATTAAGGCAGCTTGAATGATCACAAGCGCGGTCTGCGGGCCCCGCGATACATATTTCTCCCACTGCATACTATCAGCTATCGACCTTTTATGGTTGCCCAGGCGGAAGAGCCATGACGGGAGGGGATAATGGACCGTTATCCCAATACGCACCGAGGCTAACGCGGCTTTATTCAGGCGATCGAAGATCTTTTGTCCAAGAACAGCCGCACGAGGAAAGCCTGAGAATAGGCTTCCCACGGTGCAGATGGACATCAACAGCAGAGTGTTCTTCCTGGACAACCGGAAGCTTGGCACATGGAGGATCGGGAAAATAGGATGAAAGCGAGTAAAATAGCTGCGGAGGCAATGGTTCTGTTTCTGTTAACTCCTGAACTCAAATTCAATAATGAGGTGTCACGACTCACTAAAAAGTCGGCAGGTGGAAGTGGTGTACTCGGAGGAAGTCGGCAGAGGCGTTTATGTAAGTCTTCTCGAAAGCTTTCATCGATGCGAGTCTGCTCTGTTTCAATCTCCGGCGTCACGTTGCCGGTATCAACGGGGTCCACGAAGGTGAACCATTGCCGACGAACAAGGTCTTCCTTGTGGGATATGATTGTGGTTGGAGGGTGATGCGGGTCATCAATAATGTTCACCTCATTTCGTCCCCCTAAATCTTGCTGGAGGTGATCGGGAGAGAAAGAAAAGAGGGCATTCAAGTTGGCCGAGTCTAGCTCCAGATTGAAGTCTCTCGCATTCAGCCATGTGGATGGATCTGAGCAGAAATAGGAGTCACTGAATACATCATCCGTAATGCGTCCCATTTCTCTTGAATCCGGGGGATGGACGGGCTGGAGAGGAAAGGGAGAGGCGTCATGGTCGGCGGAGCTCATGTCCAACAGAGACACTGTCTCGAGGGCCAAGGGTACAGTCATTTCAGGCGCCGACGGTGGTAACGAATCTAGCTGGGTTGTATCCGGCCCAAAGGCGTAGGAGCTTCGCCTTGAAACATTCTGCTCGGCTGGTTGTCCAGCCTGGAGGACATAGGAAACTGCGCTCTGGAGACAATCCTGAGAGACTTCTCCTGGGCTGGACTTGTGCGTGCGCGGAACCTGTGCGAGGGGATGGATCTGGGAAGGGTGGTGGGATCGGGTATGGCGAGTGAGGGTATCACTAGAAGACACAAGAACTCAGTACGCTGCTGGATGGAAGGCAAGCAGATTGACGGACTTGCGACCGAACCGCTTGCCACAAAATTGGCAGGGAAAAGGCTGTTCGCGAGTGTGGGAGCGTATATGTCGGGTGAGGTGCTCCTTCTTGGAGAAAGATTTGGCGCAGGCGGAGCAGTAATGTCGGCCTCCTCGCGGCCTTTTCTGCACGGGCAGCATCACGGAAGGTGGGGATGTCGGAGGGGTGGAATGTGGGAGAAGAGGAATGAATGACCGTGTACGACCTGGTTCCCTGGAGGGCCTCGAGAGGCTCGCAACGGGGGCGCCGTGAACAAAGCCACCGCCGATCGCGTTTGCCAGCATTCCACCCCTCCACCGTAAATCGATCATGGGATCGATCATATTCTTCCCCACTCTCCCACTCTGAGCCTCATTTGATGTCAAAGACTCTGATTTGAAATTTCTTCTCTTTCTACGGCTTAGAGCTAGAACAGTTTGGTAGGGAGTTAAGATTGGGAAGGACGGGGAAACCGGACGCCGAAGCAGCCCCAGGGTATGAGGCTCCATGACATCACGATAATCAATCGATTCAATCTAAATCCCCGGTCCCGCTCTCATTCGAACTTTTGACAACTTTTCGTTGATCTCCGTTAGGACCTATCCGGAGGTAGATCTCGCATTTTCCATATGCTAATCTTCCCTACCTCCTGTACTCAAACACCCGTGATCTTAGGAAACACAGCTACTGGCCATGCCTGCCGAGTCATCAAACTCACAGGATTGCCCTGTCAACACTGTCAAGAGACAGACAGATCAAATAGCACCGGAAACATCGCTAGGAACTGTTAAGGATGTCCGTTCACCAGACTCGCACGGTGGATCCAAGGCGGGGGTGCGAAGACTAAGTGAGTACAGGATTGTTAAGGCCAACCAGCCCCTGCTGATCAGGTTATTTCAAAGGTGATGGTCGGATAGATATTCAGCTCGATGAAGATCATACGGATATCACTCCATTCTTAAACTATCTACAACAAAGGACCATGACGTCGCAAGGGGAACAGGAGTTTGCCGACAAACCTTGCCCGCTGCATTTAAATATTGTTATTCAAGTCATCGGTTCTCGAGGCGACATTCAGCCATTTGTGGCTTTGGGGAAAGAGCTCAAAAAGCAAGGGCATCGTGTTCGTGTGGCCACCCACGAGAAATTCAGAGACTTTGTTCTTCAGGCTCATCTTGAGTTCTTCGACATCGGTGGAGATCCTGAACAGCTGATGGCGTTTATGGTCAGCAATCCGACCTTGATCCCCGATTTCCACACTATCCGCAGCGGAGACATACAAAAGCGACGAAAAGAAATGAAAGAAATCATCAATGGGTGTTGGAAATCCTGTTACGAACCGGATGAAAAACGCAACTTTGTTGCGGACGCAATCATTGCCAATCCCCCTAGCTTGGCCCATATACACTGTGCCCAGAGACTAGGTCGTCCGCTCCACATCATGTTTACGTGAGTATAATCTGGAAAAATGTGATGCCATACAAATCCTACAGTACTAATACGTCAACTTGGAGTAGCATGCCATGGTCACCAACTCAACAATTTCCCCATCCTCTTGCAATCACGCATCCCGAACATTGCAAAGAAACGGTGACGAACTATATTTCTTATGCTATTGTGGATATGATGGTCTGGGAGGGCCTCGGGGATATTGTTAATACATTTCGCAAAAGATCGCTGGCTCTTGATACTTTGGATCGAATCACTGCTGCGAGCATCATCCATCGCCTGCGCGTTCCGTGTGCCTACCTTTGGTATGACGAGCTTCCAGGAGCGTTCTGGGATTACTATTAACGACATGATAATAGGTCTCCTTCATTACTTGAAAAGCCTCGAGACTGGTCTGCGGACATAGACATTTGTGGATTCTCTGTGCTCCCCCCCCAAATCCAACTACCAACCCCCAGCGGACCTGCTGGCATTTCTCGAGGCAGGCCCGCCGCCTATTTATATCGGATTTGGATCAATCGTCATCGATGACCCAACTAAACTCACGAAGATCCTTTTCGATACTACCGAAAGTATGGGACAACGTGCCTTGGTATCAGCTGGCTGGGGCAATGTCGGGATGGTTGACAACATCGAAGTCCCGGACAATATACGTCTAGTGGGAAGCCTGCCTCATGATTGGCTTTTCCGACGGGTTTCCTGTGTAGTACATCATGGCGGTGCAGGCACTACAGCAGCTGGTCTCTCCATGGGATGCCCAACCGTTATTGTCTCTTTCTTTGGTGACCAGCAATTCTGGGGGAGAGTAGTGGAAAGAGCAGGGGCTGGCCCAAATCCCATCCCTTACAAGACATTGACTGTTGAGAAATTAACCGAGGCTCTTGAAATGGCCTTGATGCCATCGACAAAGGAAAGGGTAAAAGTAATCATGCAAAATATGGAGAAAGAGTCCGGGGCCCGGGATGGTGTTCGTAGTTTTCACCGACATCTCGACTACGATAAATTACGATGTGCGATTTGCCCTGATCGAGCGGCTTCTTGGCGCATCAAAGACACAGATATTGTTCTGAGCGATTTTGCCTCGGCTGTTCTGGTCAAAAACTGCCGGATAAAGCCTAAATCACTTGTCTTGTGAGTCTTTACGAAAGTGTTCCACCTACGCGAATACATCTGATATATTTTTATAGATATAGCTCCAAGGAATACGATACCTATCGCAATCCTAGCGAGCCTCTGAGTGCTAGTGCTCAGCTATTCTTCAGTGCGGTTGGAAATATCGTCACCGGCCTCGTAACCGCCCCCGCAGGTATTGTTACGAATGTGATCTCCGTACGTCGCGTTCTCACCCGTCCCCACGCGCATGGCGATCCTCAAACCCAGTGTGGATGTACAGATCATGGCACAGATCAGGAAATGCCAGACAGCACAGAGGGCAATGGAGATATCGATACTACCACAACAAGGGATCTTGGCCAGCATCTTAATGAGGACGCACGGAATTTGAATGAAAGGCCAGAGAGTGTTCTTCACCCGGAGGCACCCACAATGATCCGTAGCAACGTTCCAGCCGTTGGATTCCATGGAGTTGTGTCAGAATTAACAGTGCATGGCGTAAGAGGGTTAAAAAAGCTCGCAAGAATGGCCTTGTGGCTACCCACAGATATCACTATTACCCTGGCTAAAGGGTTTCGCAATGCCCCGAAGCTATATCACGATTATTCGATTCCACCCAATCCAATTTTGACTGGATTTCGAAGTGGTTTGAAGGCTGCCGGAAATGTGAGTGCTCTCTTTATCCAGCTTGGGACTTCCCTTTTCTCCTTCGCATGTGTATTTTTATCAACGTGTTCCTCATAATCATGAACATGGCATCGCTTGGATCCATTCTAACTTTTTCTAGGAATTCACGGGCGGCTTGTACCACGGAATCACTGGTTTGGTCATTCAGCCCAGGGATGGTCTAAAATCGGGCGGGGGCAAGGGGTTGGCTAAAGGAGTTGGGAAAGGTATCGGTGGGTTTGTATTGAAGCCTGTTGCTGGTAAGTCGAAACAAATATCAACCTCCTTTTTTTGTCGTTCAAAATCTCTGCATACGGTATCCTAACCAAGAGGCTAGGCATATGGGGGTTGGTAGGATATCCTTTAGGCGGCCTACGCAGGGAGCTTCTCAAATCTCTGGGCAAAGAGGTAGAGAGAAAGATCATCCGAGCACGAATTTTGCAAGGCTCAGAGGAGGTCGAGGCATCATCTTATGTGCAAAGAGTCGAGGTCATCAAGAGATGGGATCGACTTCAGAGATGATTTAAAGAGATGCTCGCAGATTGTCCTTACTCATAGTCGAAACCACTGTCAAAGTACCTGACTCTTTGTTGTCATATATTTATGAGTGATATTTATGCACAATTAAATAATGCGATTCTCGGGTTCACTCCAAAATAGTGGCATGGAATACCTCGTATGGCGTTGCACATCATTTGAGATTGAGAAGAGCTAAAAATGAAGATTATCAAGCCGTCGGTGCTCGGTGTACATTTTGTGACCGAGCGGAACTCCAGTAATCAAACACCGGAGCTCCAAAGCACCGAGCCCCGCCAAGCCACAAAGCCATAGGGGTTGGCTACGTGCCTTTGTTAAAGTGAATTTTGACTGGCCTTCATTTGCTGGTGGGGCCGTCTATATCCTCTACACCCTAGGTGAATTTTCCCTTCAACAGTTTATTGACCAAATCAGTCCTCATCGGTCATCTGCAATGGCGAACGACAAGAAATTACACGATAATCTCTCCCGTGTCAAAGCCCCGTCTCCCGTCGGAAAATCGATATTTGTTGGACTTCGCCTGGCAGATGCACTCTGGCAATATAACTTTCTACATCGCAGCTGGGCCTCTCAGCTTGTTTCTCGACTCAATGGCACACCTTTACCTGCGACAGCTGCCCTCAATGGACAGCTCCGACCCTACTACCAGATCCTCGTTGCTATGTCTCTTGGCAGTGGCATAAAACAGGCGATACATATGGCCTTTATTTCGGAACAGGAGCTGTCGGCTGGATTGGGATTTGGCATCGGATTCTTCAATACGGTTTTCAACTCGACTAATATCCTCTTTGGCATTTGGTCTGCGACGTCACAAGCTCCTGTGTCCGAAGATTGGCGTTCTGTTTTGTCCAAGGTGTCCTTGGTCGCGGGCATCTTAGCTTATTCAGTAGGTATCCTCGTAGAGCTTATCTCCGAGCTCCAGCGGCAGCGATTCAAGAAAAATCTTGCCAATAAAGGAAAGCCATATGGAGATGGATTATTCTCGCTCGCAACCAATATCAACTACGGTGCATATACATTGTGGCGAGGTGGGTTTGCGCTGGCAACCGGAGGCTGGCCATGGGGTCTCTTTACATTCGCATTTTTCTTCTATGATTTTGCAACCCGTGGGGTTCCAGTTCTCGACCAGTATTGCACCGAGAGAGTATGTTTTGTTTCCCGTTATTGAATCGGCTACCCTTCTTATTGTCCCTTTCTAACTGCTGAAATTCTAGTATGGAGAGCCGTGGAAGGCTATCAAAGCCCGTGTTCATTACCGCCTACTGCCGTGGATTTACTAGCCACCAATGGTCCGACAACAGCTCCATTAAAACAGAATAACTGTCAGGATGTGCGGAAATTGGCTTCTACTCCGGGTCCTTGTAGCTATATCGAATTACTCCGTTCCGGTGTTTCGACTAGCAGTGCTTCCATATCTAGATGTCAATACTGTTGGGGAGAAGAGGGAGAAGTGGGCCAAGATATGCATCCTTGTGACACTAGACCAGCAAACGCCAGCAAATCTATAATTGATTAAATATCTCGAATACAATATTCTGTTCACCCGTCCTTAAAACATCTATTTCGTCCAAAGATGCTGCCGGAAGTGGACTGCGGACTTGATAGCCTAGTGGGGTTCAGTACTCCGAGCCCAGAACCAAAGGTATGACAATTCGAGTCGTGACGTTTCTTGGGCACTCAATGGGGGAGGGCCAATGTGGGGCAGCTTCTGAGAGGGGTTTCTGCCCCGGGTCTAAACAATCTTCAAACTTCAACACTCTTATCCCTTCTTCCTCCTTTAGCACTCGCTGACATGGCTGAGGAACCCGACGAAATTATTGATTCACAAGCACCACACGGAGACGGCTCTACGTTCCCCCCCTCGTAGTTGCTATGACTGCCATCGAAGAAAGGTCAAATGCAGCAAAGTACGCCCGTGTGACAACTGCGTTCGACTTGGGGTTGAGTGCACATTCCCGCCGCCTGGACGCAAGCCCCGAAAAATATCGAAAAAGCCAAAGAATGCCGATCTCTTCTCTCGATTGAGCTTCCTGGAGCGGCAAGTTCAAGATCTTAGCGCATCAAATGTTGTCTTTATCCCTTCAAAGTCCCACCTGAAGGGGCTGGTCGATCAGCAGAGTCCAGATCGTAATCACAATTTTCAATCATCGCCTGCAGAACATCACCCTTCAGATCTGGAAAGGCGCAGTGCACAGACGGTACAGACGCAAAATGAGGCTCATAATGAGGAGCCTGGTGCTGCAAGTTCCCCGTCTGCGACAAATACCCTGACACATCAATTCGGCCAGCTGTTCATGGATCGGAACAGCGGACAATCCCAATATGTTAGTAATGATGTTCTAACAGATCTGGGTAGTCAGGTATGTCGCTCTAGCCTTTTATTGTTTCGGTTTGCGAATGAATCTGGCCATATAAGTGGCTTACGAGGCGCTTATGCAACTGTCAGATCAAAGAGCTCAGGGGCCTTTTTGAATCTGTTCCCTCGCCGAATCCATCCCTCTCATCCACTGAAGACCATTTATCGCCTACTTTGACCCCGTCTTCCGACAACAGTAACTTGTTCCTGTTTGGATACTATGCTCAGGCTCATTCCTTACGAAGCTATCACCCGACTCCGACAGACGCATATGTCCTATTGGATATTTTCGCACAAAATATTGCCCCATTAATTTTGATTGTTCATAAGCCGATCCTGAGAAGCCTCATTCACACTGCATGCACGGCTCCCGAACAACTTGACCGAGGCTCTGAGGCTTTGACATTTGCCGTTTATTTCGCCGCCGTGTCCAGTATAACGCGAGAGCAATGCCTGACGTACTTTTCAACCGACCACGATATTCTAGTCCAACGATATCGCTTCGCCGTCGAGCAGGCGCTGTCGCGTGCTGGTTTTATAAACACCAAGAAGCTCATAGTTGTCCAAGCGGCCGTTCTCTTTTTGACATGCGCCTGCCACCCCAAGGATGGGAGATTCGTCTGGACGATGATCGGTTTAATCACTCGACTTGGTCTAGGCCTTGGGCTCCATCGCGATGGCGGTCATTTTGGATTGAGTCCGTTCGAGACGGAAATGCGTCGGCGGCTCTGGTGGTATATTTATTTGTTAGATGTTCAAGCATCTGAATATCAGGCGACGAGCCCGCAGATCCGGGAAGGCGATTACGATACACAACTGCCATCGAATCTTAACGATAGTGATTGGTCCCTTGATTTGGAAAACCCTCCGCAAGAGCGGACTGGCTTTACAGACATGACTCTCACCTTGGTTCGCTGTCGGATCTTGATGGCCCATTGCAAGCTCATGCAAATGAAAAATTCGACCGAGGGTGACCATGCGCTCCTTTTTAAAAATCGCAATGGAGCAATCGACGAGCTTCGGACGACACTGGATCTCCAATATCTCCAATACTGCGACGTCCAAATTCCAATCCACTGGGTGGTTGCAACCATCGCACGGGTTGCCGTTTCACGACTGTGGCTTGTTTCTCATTTCTCGCTGCTGAATTCCCCGGGATTTGACCCGAACTTGTTGCCCGACCAGTGTGATATTCTGGTCAGAACTGCTATTGAAGTCCTCGAATTCGTCTACCTGCTGGAGACCCACCCGAAGACAAAGCAATGGACTTGGCTCTTTCAAGGGCACGCGCAGTGGCAATCGTTTGCTTTCGTTTTGTCGGAGCTTTGTGCACGGCCCACCTCTCCTTTGTCCGGTCGTGCATGGGCCGCCGTGATGAAAGTTTTCGAGCGATGGAAACAGCCTGGATATGAAAAAGAAGGCCTGATCATGCGAATTTTAGAACGTCTGATGAATCGTGCTGCTTCAATTAGAGACCAGGTTCGGGCGCTCACGGTGCCATTGGTGCTTGAATTCAATCCACCGAGCTCAAGCAATGTGGATTTGCCTGCAAACCTTGAGACTGAATATCCGACATCGGTCGCTCCTCCAAACACCAACGGTCTGGATATTTTCAGAGATGTGTTGTCCAACGTGGACCTTTACCAGTGGGGGTTAAAGTGAATGAGACCAGTGTGTCGAAATCGATTCCGTACCACCATACGTTACTGGTAGCACCGTGAGAAGTCTTCTTTCATCGTGCCCCGATGCCCCGTTTTGTATGGTCTTGAATACTGTACAGCACAGAGTATGTAACTTTACGTAAATGGAAACCGTATTACCGTATTCTCACTTGTCCTGTATTTCCACTTTTGTTTGCCCCTAATCGGTTTCTTACTGTCCTGCCAATCTGCACGATCTGTACGATCTAGTGAAGCCACATCCACTAAGACTGGATCCAGCGAGGCGACACCGCGGTCCCATGGCCGTAAACATGGTCGATCCTTGCATCCCGAACAGGCCTTACACTCTTACCAATCGGTCGGGATTCGGATGTAGGTTAAAAGACCGGGGGTGGGGGTTCTCGCGGGTTTGTAACTGCCCAACTGCCCTGTACTCCGTACTCTGCACAGACTCGGTCTCGCGGTCCTTCGGGACAACCTTCGATGACGTCAGCTCCTAGCGGTTGTTACCTGCGGGTTTGGCGTCGATTGAGTTGACTTAGGTCTATCATCACTTGAACCAAACGGAAGTGCGGGGCGCCCGAGCTCGGTGGCGCCCAGCGCCGATGTGGCAATCGGTCTCCCACTTGACGCCGAGATTACTCATAGCCAAAGACTAACTAATTCACTGTCATGGCTGTCGGCGCGACGGAAGTCCAGGTCCATAGTGAGGAACGGGGCCCGTATAAAGGGTGTTATAAAGGGTGTTTAAAACTCATTCCTCCCCGCTGGATTCCAACATCACAGCTCGATCATCCGCTCGCCTCTACTTCCTTTTAGATCACTCAATTGCACAAGTCGCTCAGCCTTCCAACTCCTCATTCCCCCTCAAATCCTCCCCGCCATCATGTCTAAGCTCATCACTGTTTTTGGTGCCACTGGCAACCAAGGTGGGTCCGTCATCGAGGCCATCCTCGCGGATGCCCAGCTCTCCAAGGAATTCAAGATCCGTGGTATCACCCGCGATACCACCAAGAAGTCTTCCCAGGAACTCGCCAAGCGTGGAGTCGAGGTAGTCACTGTAAGGGATGCCCATGGCCTTTATTTCCGGACACTTCGCGGCCAACAGCTCCGACGATGCCCTTGAGATTCACAACAATATGCTGACAGTTGTCGCTCCCCGCTCATCCAGGCTGACCTTAGCTCTCCTGAGTCTCTCACCGAGGCCCTGAAGGGCTCCCACACTGTCTTTCTCGTCACCAACTACTGGGAAACCATGAATGCCGATATTGAGTACGCGCAGGGTAAGAATGTGACCGATGCCGCTAAGGCTGTTGGCGTCTCCCACTTGATTTTCTCCTCCCTCCACCACGTCAAGGAAGAGACCAACGGCCGCCTCACCAAAGTCCCTCATTTTGACAGCAAGGCCAATGTCGAGAAGTACATCCGTGCCTCCGGAATCGGATGCAGCTTCGTTCTTCCTGGATACTACATGAGCAACTACACCCAGATGCTCACCCGCTCCGACGATGGCTCCTACACTCTCTACTATCCCGTTGGTAACAAGGCCAAGTTCCCCCTCTTCGATGCCGCTCAGGATACCGGTATGTTATTTTCTGTCCGACTATCCTTCCTCGGCAAACAACTAACATATCCTCCACAGGCCTTTTCACCAAAGTTGCCCTCAAGCACGCTGGTGGGCTGAAGAACAAGCAGGTTCTGGCCGCTTCTGCGTACTACACTCCCCAGGAGATTGTCGACATTTTCTCTCGTGTTACTGGCAAGAAGGCCTCCTTCGTCCAGGTTTCCGCTGAGCAGTACAAGGCTTCCCTCCCCCTGCTATTGCAGATGAATATCTCGAAAACCAGCTGTTCGTGGAGGAGCCCGGTTACTACCTGGGAGAGCCCCTTGAGCCCAGCCTGAAGCTTCTCGATTCTAAGCCTACCACTTGGGAGGAGTTTGTCAAGAAGAACGTTTCTGCTTGGAAATAAGTTTCCTACCCCTTTTTCTTGCGCAGGGATTTAGAAGCAAAATTCTTGATCATGAACAATATATAATCGTTCCAACTGTTGAGGTTTCAGCAGTCTTCGATACCGCCGAGGCTTCCTGATATATTTCACGTGACAAAGAGCTTCTGTTGTTCTCTGTCCTCCCTAAGACACGCTTCCACTCAGGGGTTGTCTTCGATTGTTAGACATCTTTAATATTACTGAGTTGCTAGCATACGCCTATCGCTTCTTCTAGATCCTATCCCCTCATCTCAACACCAACTACATACTACCCCCTTGATTTCAATTTCTTTTCCCTTTTGTACTTTGGTGATATTCTGTCCTGTATGCGACAACAGCTACTATCAGAAATCCGTGCCAATATAGATACCGTTGCTATCGCTTAGCTGTATTTTTGGGACATATCCAGTCTCGTCCATAACTTTTCATTCCATTCAATCACCTATATTCCTTTTCTTTCAATTGTGTTCTTTGTGGGACTTGCCATTGGGCGCATGTCGCGAAAAAATAGGTATACCTCCCAGTATTTTACACATTGCTTCAGCCAGACATAGCATTCTGACAGCAAGGCCGAGAACTACCCGAACCATCACGACAGCCTTCGTTCAGCTTTACAGCTGGTTTCTTCATACTGGATACCAGATTAATTTCCATTTAGCCAGCTTTGATACGAAGCATCTGTGGCTAGACTGTTACATTCCAATACAAGGTCCAACTCAGATCAAGTTTGAATCCCGTGTTTGTCTTATTAGGAATTCGCTTAAAACCAATAGATCCCATCGGAGTTCATTTTTCCGCTCTTCTCTAATTCCAGCAGGCAGTCCACGATTCTCGTCGCTAGCTGTTCCCCGTATTCGATCCCCACCTTAGGTCTAGGTCTTCTTGGGTCGATATCTCTAGTGACGTCATGACGTAGCCACGGAACTCTGCCTTTTCCCTCGGTAGCATTTCGAAGCTGTTCAAATTCCAGGTCGCCATATCCGCCCCCCACCACCACTGCGTGCACAGTTTTACCGTATTCCTGAGACCCAAGATTCGCCCATTCCCTGGACGGAGGGGGGAGGCTCTGCAAGAGAAATGGAATATCCCTCACTCCCGCGTCTACCGAATGAACGATGTGTAGTGCTTTCAACCATTAGCCATTCCATCGTTATAGGAGAAAATGCTGTTATTTAATGCGATATTATTTAATGCGATACCTTACCTTGATAAATTGGTCTGATGCCTTCTTTCACGCCAACTGAAACCGGCGTCGACTTGCCACACACGACTATGGGCAATGCATTCATCAGCCTTTTGCTAGCCAGAGGCATGCGGTAAGGACAATCGGCTCTCTGGCCGATCGTTGCAAGCAACAGAGCAACTATATAATGGTCCTGTTATGGGTTCCTTTGGAAGTGAAATCGGTTGGTGTAGCTTGCTGGTGGTGGGGGCAGGGAATTTTCTACTTGAATGCGCAATGCCGGCAGATAGGACCTCGGCCGGCCGGGTTCATCTTACTAGAGTGCGGGCAGCAAGGAATCGTTCGTTCTTTCCCGCTGATCATTAGTAAGATCGGGGCTCGGCGTTCTGCTCGGGCGAGCACTTGCTCATCGCCGTTTTCTGTCGAGTCTTTGGTAATCATTAGGCTATATTGTCTTTTGTAATTTACATTACGCTGCCATGGGCAAGAAAATGGCGTCGAAGCGAGGTCGATACATGGCCTAGATTTTCATATATCAATCGCAGTTATATATCCAGTTGTAGTTCTGATGATTTTAACAGCTGAAGACACATCCGCTAGATTAGTAGCACCGCGAACAATACCTGAAACCACCTTGATTGATACCAGTATAATTTCCTTGTCACTTCAAGATGGTTTCAGCTGAGTCCACCCTCATTAATTCGGTCTCACATCAAGCCCGAGCCCGATCTGTGGTGAAATAAAGGATCACCGATCTGCCGATGTTTAGGTGGAGCGATCCGAAGAATTCAACCATAAATTCAGTCCATTGAACCAGAGGAACTCTCCAAACTCATACGCCACTACCCAAAGATGTCTCCAATCTCTCAAAACCTAGCTGGAAAAGTCGCCCTCGGTATGGTTCTCCCAACCTGACAAGTAAAGAAATTGGGTCTGACAACTTTAACTCAATGAAGTGACTGGGTCGAGTCGGGGCATTGGGGCGGCAACCGCTTTGCGCCTGGCTCAACATGGCGCTGACGTTGCCGTGAACTATATCAACTCTGCAGCGGCGGCAGAGAGCGTTGCCGAGAAAATCAGATCATTTGGCGTCAGAGCCATTACCCTCAAGGCGGATGTCTCTAAGGAGACCGATATCAAGTCGATTTTCGAGAAAGTCATGGAGGAGTTTGGACGCTTGGATATTGTCATGAGCAACTCCGGTATTGAGCACTTCGGTAGTGTTCCTACCGTCACTGAAGCTGAAATCGATAACATCCTACGAGTGAATGTCAAGGGACAATTTTTTGTCACCCAACAAGCTTACAAGCATCTGGCCGATAACGGTCGCTTAATCTTGATGTCTTCCATCTCCGCTTTCAAGGTAGAAAACCGAAACTCTAGTAATGAAAGATAATGCCACACTAACATGAATTTTCCCTAGGGTGTGCCCGAACATGCAATTTATGCAGCTTCTAAGGCCGCAATCCACGGCATGATCAAGTGTCTTGCATACGATTTCGGTCCTCGTGGGATCACTGTTAATGCTATTGCACCAGGGGGAATCAAGACCGACATGTATAAGGAGGCAGCAGCCAAATATCTCCCCGGAGGTGAAAATATGTCAGAAGCTGAAATTGACGAAAAAATGTCTCAATGGTCTCCACTTGGCAGACCTGGGTTCCCAAATGATGTGTCCGGGGTGGTAGCGTTGTTGGCAAGTCCCGAGGCCCAGTGGCTCACTGGCCAAATTCTCCATGTTTCCGGTGGCGCTCAAATGAGTTAATCAGGCTCTCATGGTTTGTGACATGCCCAAGGCATTGCAGGGAGCAAAGTGCCAGACGCCACGTGGGCAATCAACCATTTTTTTGTATTTTATGGGATCTGAATGCTATAGTTATTGAAAGAATATGACAAAAACCAACCCCAGCATTCCCTTTGTTGCCAATTTTATATGCTTATTTCAGGGCTCAAAATAGAAACCGAGTGCTGATATCTAAACTGCACGCGCAAAACATATTAAAGAGGCGATGTTCGGTCAAGGAATATCATCGAATAAGTCTGGGTAGCAACTTGAAAGCCGAGTGGTACTACGCTTAAGGAGCCACAGATAGTCGTCATAGACCTTGGTCGTACTTGCACTCATGTGGATACGGGAAACAGAACCTGTGCTTGTGTCGCATAGAAGGCAGAATAGCCGCTGAAATACGGAGAATAAGGGTTTGTTATCGGTCGTGACCAAGACAACACTCATGCAGCGAATTTTATGGGGACCAGAAGCATGCTATCTGGAGTTGGACCCGCGAGATTCATGCTGCTGTACGCGCGTGTGTTGCTCTACTTCGAACAGGGATAACGATAAAGATTAGGTCAGTGCCGTCGCCGTTTGCTTTACTGGGTTAACCAGAAACTGGGAGTAAATCCGAAGAGAGGGGAACTAATATTAGAAAATCAAGCTCTTCTTTTACTTTAGACCATGTGAATGACTTTTTCTCCCGTGTCAGAACTTGAAATAGCGGTGGGCGTGGAACGCTACTCACCTGACCGCCCCGTTACCCTTTACGGTATTGCCAGTCAAATAGCAATTTAGCACGGAGGCAAAAATGAATTTCGGCATGAAAAGTAAGACCGAAATCCCGAAACTGACTAAGACGGCTAACTAACTAACGTTAGTGTTAGTTAGTTTAGTTAGTTAGTTAACTATGTGTAACTACATTACTCAGCCGTAAGCAAGAATCCCCCGCGAGCGTACAGGCTTGATCTTATGAAAATGACAACATACAAGTTTGGGACGGACAAATATGTATTATGTCAATACTGCATCACTTTCTTATGCACAGGAATGAATGGCTCACAGAAACATCGTATCGACCTTGCTGAAAACATCAATGAATACGTATCTTATCCGCCCATAATTCAAACATTTTACTTCACTCAAGCATACTAAAAGCACGAACGTATATGGCAATGCAGTACATTCATTTTATGCATTATGTGTTTTATTTTGTCTGTATCTATAACTAAGTTACATTGGCATCCTTGTCATTTCCTCTGCTGTCCAGTACTTTCGTGTTTGTTCTGCACCCAATTCTCTGACCTCGTCATCTAAATGATCCCATAGGGTCTTACCGAAGGAATCTAGTATCGACTTTATTTCATGCAATTTAAAGTCTTTCTGACCGCCAAGACAGTCTCGTGCATACGACTCTAACTTTTCCAGGCCTTGATGAATCACTTTATGCTGTGCGATCAATTGATCCTGGCGAGCGAAGGCAGGCATGCGCATTGCAAGATATGGAAACACACGGGTCTGGATGAGAGAAAGTATCTTGGTTAGCTCATGCGGGGTATAACTAGATTCATGAATGCATACCTCTTCAATGTTATGATGTCTTTCAAGATTGTCACAAAACTCCAAACATAATTGGAGGTATTTCTTGACTGGCATTCCGGCCGGGCGCTGAGATGATTCAGCCACCTGATATATGAAATCCCATCTCACTCGAAACCATTGATGCTACGAAATTAAATCAGTTCAAGCGATATTAACTCCGAGAAGAATACGTACAAGTGCTTGCATAGTATCTGCCATGCGGTTGAATAGTCTAAATTCATAATCGTTGCGGGTGGTCATGTTGCGCGGCACAAAGAACGTCGATCGTTGCTCTTCAAACCAAAACTGGAGTTCTATAAGTATCAATGAAATAGTCGACTGATACTAAAGTGCCTTGAGCGTGTGGACTATTCGTATATTTTATTTGAAAAAACTTCATGGCTTTATTAACGGATTCTAACTACCACAAATCGATATTCGGTCTCCGTGTTGGATAATCATACTGTAACGTTTTAGATGTAAAACTCTCCTTCGACCGATGTCCGAGCCTCCGGGTCCACTGGGCTGCCAGGGGTAACGTCCTCGGCCTGTGAGTCTGGCCCGAGGCCCCGAGGCCGATTTCAATAGCAGGCTACCAGCCAGCCACAATGACTAATAACGAATGCCCGAAAGCGAACCTCTCAGGTTCAAATTTGTGAGAGCTTGACTAAGCCCTCCGACGGATTGGAAACGGTAGGAACTACGTAGTACGCGATTGAGCTAATCAATACGAAGGATATTTATTGCTGAAGGGGTTTCAATATATATATTCCATCCATATCTATATTTTTCACATCTGGCTTGCTACTTATCTTCTATCCAAAAAGCCGCAACTCATAATATCAATTATCCTCATCTCTGCCTCTAAACAGAGCTGAAATGGCTTCACCATTTGTTGCAGTCGTGGGCGCGACTGGTGGAATGGGCCAGCTTGTCGTGATGGAGCTGATTAAACGAGGCGTGGCTGTGAAGGCCCTCGTGCGCCCGAACACCGATGCATCCCGCACCCAAAAACTCCGCGAGGCCGGCGTTATCATCACTCCAGTCAACCTCAGTGATGTCACATCCCTCACTCGCGAGCTTACCGGCGCTACATGTGTTGTCTCCACCCTACAGGGTCTGCGAGAGGTTATTCACAGTCTGCAGGGCAAACTGCTCCAGGCTTCCGTGGCTGCCAAGGTGCAGCGATTTATCCCATCCGATTTCTCCCTCGATTTCACCAAAACCAAGCCAGGATCCAACAGGAACTTGGACCTGCGTCGTGAATTCCACGCCCAGTTGAGAAACTCCGGCATTGCCTGGACCAGTATCCTCAACGGTGGCTTCATGGATCTGATGGCTGGCGACACACCTATGATCAACCACAAGAGCCACAAGGTCCCTTATATCGGAAAGCTGACCCAGCTGCTCGACTTCACAACTATGGCTGATACGGCTGCCTATACTGCTGCCGTGGCCGCTGACCCGAACCCTGCTCCTAACTTCCTCCGCATTGCAAGCGACATTGTCAGCGTGCAGGATATCGCCAACGCGCAAACCAAGGTGCAAGGTGTGCAATACAAGCCCAGCTGGATGGGCCCTATTGGATTCATGGAGTTCATGATCCGAGTCATGCGCCTGTTCGGCGGTGAAAATGATGTGTTCCCCGCCTGGCAGGGAATGCAATATATGGCAAATATGATGTCTGGCGCTGGCAAACTCGATCCTATCGACAACTCCCGCTATCCAGAGCTGACTTGGACAAAGGTTGAGGATTTCTTCCGTGATTGCAAAGCGAAGGAGGGTAAATGAAATCACTCTTAGTTTAGTCGCGGATGGGATATGCTTTTTTGTTTTCTTTGGGTACATATCATTTCCATATTTTTTCCGTACGTGAATGTATTGATAATATTATAATAGAACGGAATGGTGCTCCAAGACAATTGCATATTTGTCCCGGGCTTTCTTGGACCGAAAGATAACTGCCCTTATCGTATTTTTCGTGCTTCCAAAAAGCACTATCCCAACAAGTACTTGTCGGGGAGGTGGTACAAAAGGAGAATTTTCAGGAGTAAGATGACTGCTCCCGCACGAAACAAGGCACGCTTACAAATTACCATCGCGTACCCAAACACCAACCAGACCCACCCAGAACAATACGCAGGATGTTGCTAGATATAATACCTCTATCCCGTTTACCATGTTTCCGAGTATGGCCTAAGGTCCAGTTCGTGCGTGAACGATGTTCTGGGCTGGGTGTGCAGGAACCAGTATGATTCGGCGATCTAGAAAGAGGTAATTAATATCAATCTATTTATGATTAGTACCGAGATCACTTACCCATTGGGGATCGATTTTGGAATCTGGGATCTCCCGGCTATATTCCTTGGTCTTTTCGGTATCAATGATGCCGTCGATGATGGCGTGAGAGACATGAACACCCCTGGGGCCGAATTCGCGCGCGAGGGACTGTGATAACGCCCTGATTCCAAACTTGCTCATAGCGAAACCAGAAAGCCCCGAGCCACCCTTGAGTGCAGCTGTCGCGCCTTGGAATTCAATTAGAGAGGTTCTGTGAGTCCGTTTTTAACTTCTCTGTGGCGTACCGGTGAAAATAAGGGTAGGGTGATATTGTGCATTTTCTGCCCCCACCATCAAAGGTAGCGTGGCCTGGGCGAAATTGAAAGCCCCCTTTATCGAAGGCTCCAGACTTCCTAGGAAATCTTCCGAGGTCTGTTCCAGGAATGGTTTTCGAGTGAACTTGCTCGCAACGTTATAGATCGCCGCTGCGACACTAACATTGGAGCCAAAATTCTCCTTGATTTTCTCCACGGTTGAGTTCATGCTTGAGGAGCTGGTGACATCGGTGGGTATTCCAATTGCAGAACCACCGCTTCGCGTGATGTCTTGGACCAAAGCATCAAGGGATTGCGATCTGGCAAGCAAAACGACCGGGTATGCTCGAGCGAACCGGCGGGCGACGGCGCTCCCTGTTCCAGGGCCCGCACCGGCAATAATCGCAATTGGCTTCACCATTCTGAAGTCTGGATATGAATGTAAAGGATAATTGGGAGTGCGGGCGGTCCAAGTCTACTACTTATAGTTAAGCTCATTGGTCTGTGTGACATCATCGCAGTCACGGTCCCCAGTAAACCAAGGATGGGGCTTTGCGATTGGAGTACCTATTGGACAGTCTTGGTTGTGGGGCGAATTGCGACAGACACACTAGTTTGGAGTTGTATCGTAATACTGTACGGAGTAAAGTTCCGTATACTGTCCATAGAGTGTTATGGTACGGGTAAAGGAGATACGAGCTCTTTTCACCAAGGCATTTTGACGAAAGAATTGAAAATGGCTTGGACTGGTATGCAAGGAAGTGCGTCAAATTCTTCTTGTCCGAAGAAATCCAACAATCTATCCGAGTACTGGTTTCATAACATCTGCATGGTGCGGTCCTGCTGTCCTAAAATTAGAGGTTAATTAGGACCGCATCGTGGTGAAACCTCAATTGCATAATTATGCCAAGAATTACCTATTTTGGCTGGATATTTACCTTAATAATAATGTGTAATATATACGCGTCACACGTTATATAGTAGCATATACTACTATCTACAAGAAATATTCGTATTCTGGATGAAATTTCCATAGATCCATAGAAAATACTAATATATTAGGCCAATATGATGGCAAAAAGTATGCAGTAGCATATAGTAATAGGTACTGGTGGACCACCTATATTTAAGTATATTTATGTTTGTCATAGGAGCACTACCATTTTCAACAGCAAACGCCAAAAATTGATTACATTAAAAATCTCTGTTTTTTCTAACCGGACTAGACGGATATATTATGTATTAACTAGATATCTCTATATATAGCAATATAACAGTGTATATTTTAGATAAACAAACCACATAATAAACCTTCCGATACACTTCTAAAACAGACGAAATTTTCATAAAACTTGCCTATATGTGATAGTGCATGTTTGTCTTGTTTGCAGGACCGCAGCACCGCCCCGCGGTCCCAAGGACCAAAGACCGCAAGGTGCGGTGGTCTTTTCCCGTGCAGAGACCGAAACATCCCGTACAATGCTAAGCGCGTTACAGTGCAGTTTTCTAGTGCTGATTGCCATGCAAAACTAGCGAGGAAATCGTGTATTCCTGTTCATGGCGAGAGATTTTGGAAAACGATTCTGATATTCGGAAGTCTTATGAGGGAAACAAAGCTTTTTAAATAGGTGCTAGGCCCGTCACGTGGCGTATATTCAATCTCAGCAGTAAATTCCTATCACCTGTGAACCTGCCACAGTCTCCTCCAGTGGCTCCTCGTGGTATTGATATCCCACTCCCGTTTGACAGATTTGAACTCTCAGGACCACAGGAATAGATCGCCAACAGCTCTATATAAAGTCGAGATGATGCCTCAATTTTCCGATCCGACGCCCCAAGCTGCAGTAGAAAGAGATTCCTGGGAATGGCGCTCAAAGAAATCGGCGAACCCCAGGCGTGGAATTTCGGTATGCTCCGAAGGGTCAATTTCTGGGTTCAAATAAGCCTGTCCATTGTTGCAATAGTACTGATAGAATCTGAGCGACGGAGGCTATATTAGATATCTTTTGCCCCTAATGTGGAACTGGACCCTTATCACTTACGGAGGAATCCAAGCCATGGAATTTTCAGTGTCAGCTTCTCTGACCTTGTGCATGTAGCTATGAAGTTCATCCAGAGTACCAAGGTTATGCAACCATGGCTTCACCCCATATTGCTTTTCGAAAGCGCTAGCAATCTCTCGGATGGTTTTACGGTCGCCGAGGACTATCTTGGTTAGTACCAAGATGAATCTTCAGATAAAAACGAATGCTGTTACTCACATCTGTGGACTCCGACTGCAGCTTTGTCTTGGGCAACAGCTGCGACATACTGGGCCGCATTATCGTAAGAGGTAGACTCCCAAATCTCTTCCCCAGTTCCCCAGTAGGAAAACGCTTTCTCCCGAGGCTTCCAGACATTAAAGAATGTGGTGAAAAACGTTTCCATGAAAATACCAATCAGGACATGAACTCCCTGAACCCTCTTGGTTTCCAAATATTGCTTGACATATTTCATAGGATCCTTGGCGGGAAGTTTTCCGAGCTCCAACTTCGTAAAGTCGAGGCTGTAATCACTGGCTACATAGCGGGGTACTCCCTCTGACTCACACGCATCAATAAGCGATTTCTGGCCATTGATCATAAGGTTATGGTCGCCAAGGTAGCAGCAGATGACCACATCATTGCCCTTAGCAAATGCTCTCAAAGCTTTTTCGTCGTCGGATTGGCCTTGGGTGACATTGACCCTTGGAGAAGCACGGAGGGAAGCGGATAGCTTTGCTGGGTCTCGACAATAACCTTTAATTATGACTTGTGGGTTTTTGAGTAGGTGGGCTGCCACGCAACGGGCGAATTTGCCCGTGATACCAGCAATACCAACGGTAATCGTGCTCATTGTGATCGAATTAGAATCGGAAAGGGATGACGATCTAGGATAGCGACCTACACTTAAAACAGAGAAACAGATCCCATGCATTGTTCACGCTTTGCTTTGTCATCGGGAAGTCGGACTGCCGATATTCTACCTCGCTCGGCCCAATCGGGAACAAAAGTAAGACCGAGCACTTCATATTCGCTTTACCGAATCACCGAATCGCCGAATCACTAAGCAAGCTGTCAAATTCCCTGCGTCAACTGCCGATAATCATCGAAACCATAATCCTTGGAACGAGTTAGCCAAGGTGTTATTTCCTATCGGGTTATCCGCCATGCCTTCAGTTGTAGCGAATCCTCGGCATTTCGTTATCACAAACCCTTGAGAGGCTTGCGAGGCTAGCGAAAATTATGGATACGCACCCTTCCAATGTGGTAAAAAGGGATTTTCAGGCAAGCGCAGTAATGTAGAGCATAACCGGGTGGTTTAAGTGGTTTCACGATGCAACATGGCAAGCTAAATCTGAAATTTGTGCATTCTGTCCCCTCGATAGTATCTGGATGCGTGTCCTCCCAGTGTCTATTTGAGTCGATGGATCAAAGCGTATATCCTTTAGGGCGAATTTAGAACATTTTGGATACTAATAATATACAATGAATCATGCGAGTCCTAGCTTACTCTATGTAGATAGTTACATCGTATTTGTAGATCAGGTCTGGTCAAAGCTTGCCACTCTTGACCATTTCCCTCAAAGCAGTAATGGTTCCCTCGACTGCCATCTTGCTCATTCTCTTCTCTCTCTCCATGAAAGTTGCAAGCTCAGCTTTTGAAGCTCCGGGATGTCTCCATTCAAAGGTGTAAGTCATGTAGAGCTTCCCGTCAGCATCCTCACTGACTATGTTTGCGATTGAACTTCCATTGGGCTGGACGAAAATCACTTGCGTAGGCTCATATGCTGTCACTGTTTCTCGAACTTTGCGCTTGTCGTCTCGGAATATCACCTCCCGGACAGTCACCGGATTTCCTGAAGATTGATCTGCAGACTTTGAGATCACAGTAGTCGACTCGATAGCTTTCGGAACGAATGACTCGGCAGATTCAATCTTGAGAAGTAGGCCGGCCCAGATTTGGTCTTTGTTGAGAACTGGAGTAGCCCCATCTGGGTTAAGGGGAGCGGTAAAGGCGAGGTTATTCGTCGACATGGTGATCAGAACTGTTTAGAGAATGTGGGGCTCGGAAGTCCTCAATATCCAATGTCGATTTTTCAGACCCTTAAATATATGTCGATGAAAGTGGCGGCTTGAAAAGTGGTGGCTTGAACGGCGGCTCGGTCATGAGTCATGACATAGTCATCGAGGACCGAAGACCGAGAGGTGACTAATCTCGGCCATACGCGTCCGGACAAATGGTGAACTCTAACTTCGAACGTGAATTGAACCATTCAACCAGCGCCTGCGAGTTAGACTAAGGCTTGAGGGCCTTTGTAAGGCTCGCGCAATTCACTAATCACGCTCCGAGGTAGCGAGGATCCTAGAAAACACGCATTAAATTCCGCCGGAATCCGTGGCTTATCTCACCATCCACACCTTCCTGTGTCTCATCCACACGACTTTCTTATTTCTTTTTTTCAATTGCGACCATGATGCCCATCACTCTATACGGTCACCATGCTGGCCCGAACCCCAAAAAGGTGGTTATGGTTCTCGAAGAACTAGAAATCCCTTATGAAATCAAGTTTCTTGAATTTTCTGAGATGAAGCAGCCTGCTTATGAGAGTATCAACCCGAACGGGCGGGTTCCTGCGATTTACGATCCAAACACAAAAATCACGCTATGGGAGTCTGGAGCAATCATCGAATATCTGGTTGCAAAATACGACACGGAGAGAAAAATCAGCTTCGAACCTGACAGCGCCGAGTTCTACCAAGCAAAGCAATGGGTTCATTTCCAAGCATCGGGCCAGGGCCCGTATTTCGGTCAGGCAGTGTGGTTCAAAATTCACCACAAGGAGCAGATTCAGTCTGCTGTTGATCGATACATCAACGAAATTCGCCGCGTGTCGGGGGTTCTGAATGGATTTTTGGAGGGACGCAAATACCTCGTGAACGATAAATACAGCTACGCGGATATTGTTTTTGTCCCCTGGTTCGAGGTTGTCACATGGGTGGCCGCCGATTGCATCGATTTGGAGAAGGATTTCCCCAATGTGTATGCCTGGTTGACCAATTTAAAGTCACACCCTGCGGTCGTTGAAGGATTAGGTGCAAAGTCAGAGGCCCCTAAAAAGCTGTGAATCATATATAGCTCTGTGTACCTGGGTGATACAGTTGTTCTTCGATATCACCAAGAAATTGGAAGTCACTTGCTCGCGCCCATAGGATGACCCTCGTATGCACCTAAAGCATCGATTGTCACGCGGTTACATGCCTAGGCTTAACGTGACCCCTTCCACTTTCAAATATCACTTGATAATGGTCCTAGTACCCTTATTATGTCTGTTTTTGGTTAAAATTCAGTCTTGCTTTCTGGAACTTTATATAAGCATTGAAACGAATGGACGGCGATTTACTAAAGGTGAGTATAGGCCAGTAGAGTAAATGCTTTGTGATCCCTATTGATCGAGGTTAAAAGAAGAGAAAGAGGATGAAAGTAAATTGACAAGCAGGTTCAAATTCAGCTTTACCTACATTTATTAGTAACCTCACGCAGTCAAGAGGACAAGAGACAGTATTTTGGCCGTAACTGGTCACCTGTCGCTGCGGTCTTAGACTGTAGCGTCAGATAAGGCCGGTCCGCGCTCCCTATTAGGGAGGCAATGGGTCTGTATTGCAATGGTTTCTATGTACGGAGGGAAGGGTGGAGGGAGGAAATCGAGTCTTGAGTGCATGAGCAATGACAAGGTAGCTACAGAGTCAAGCAACTGACTCTCGTGAGGCAGTTGTAAGAAAGTTATATAGATTGTCTAGCCCCATGTTGACTTGATCTCCCGTGCTGTGTCCTCACGTGTTTTCGCATTTGTTCGCATTTGTTTCCTCGCGTCCTTTCAGCTCCATAGGTGATCCCTGCTCTCTGCACCACTGTTGCTGCTGTGCTCGGCTTTAGTCTTCGTGCGCTGGCCTTGTAGGTCCAATCTGGGACTGCACCCGCTAGTGTGCCCCTCCTTGGAATATACTGCCTGGTCTTGGCCTCTGCTTAATATAAAGACCATGCCTACTGCCTCGCCGCTCCTTGCAGAAACGGTGCTCTATCGCTTCGGGCTGTCGCTTATGGCCACCGATCTTTCAAGTCAAAAGCTGTTCTACTCCAGGTGTGCACTTCCATGGCGGCCTTCTCAACATCGGATGTGTGATCGATGCCGGGGCCGAGCCCGAGTCTGCTGGTCGCGATGTCAGGATCGCAGGTCGCCGTCAGGAGGACAAGTTCCACCTCCCACTCACCCGCCCAGGTTGACTGCGTCCCCCCCCCCCCCCCCCCCCCCGGTCCCCATCTGGCAGGCGTCTGCTCCCACTGCGTGCGCCCTTGGTCGTCAACTCGATATAGGACCTGCGATAGTTGCCAGGGAAAAAAACTCGAAATTGACGACACCAACGATCATTCACTCTTACCAATAATGACCAACCTGCCCTTCCTTATATTCGCCCACCGCGAGCTACCTTATCGACCGCGCTATGGCGCGAGCGGCTCTGTCAGGCGCAGACTTCTCATTTCCGCCAGAACTGGTCGAAGATATGTTCCTTCTGTACCACCCTACTCCTCTCCACTGAGACGGACGGCTGGTGCTGTACAGCGGCCAATACTGACCAGGCCGGCAATGGTTGCCTCGCTTGCTACCACTTGACCTAGTTATACAGCCTTTGCTACACCGACACCAAGGCTATATCTCTGCCATGAGTCGTCAGCTGAACAATCTGTTTGCCTTCTCCGCTATCGGGACCACCAGCCAGTTCGTTCATTAGGGTATGGCGAATGTGGTCATAGAGGGCCGCGTCTACCACCGTTTACTCGACGTGGCTGAGCCTGGACATAGCATGCATTGGTCCCTCTATGTTGAAACGGAATGTGGTGTGCGGGCGATGGAGCTTGACATCCCCGAGGACGTTCTATATGGAATTCGAAAATTCTCTCGCCCGCGTTAATCGAAACGGCGAACCCTGCGGCACACCATCAGCCAGGTTTCGGACTACACAGCCGCTCTCGCTGTCGAACTCTCCATCCTTCCTGTGGGCGGAGAACTGGCTGCAGTTATCATCCCGGACAAACTCCACCAGGTGGCCCCGCGATAGGTTATTTTTACCCGAAAAGAGGCCGTTAGCCACGCTTCGTTCCTTCCCTGTCCTATCAGTGTGAGCCACTGCAATAGCCGCTCCTTTTCCCACATGGCTCACTGGAGCTGTCTCGATGAGTCCTACAAAAGCCTACCCTGCACGCAGATCCAATAGTTCCGCCACTTATTCCTGGCCGAACCACACGCACGTCTTCAGCCGTCTGGCGTGTGAATATACAGTGGACATGTTCTCGCGGACGAAAGATGAGCGTTTGCACTATCTCAAGCTAGACCGACGGTTGCAAGCCGCAGCCATAGATGAGGTACCGAACCCCAAAACCCTTGATCTCTTCGAGAACAAGATCCCTGCCGGCTTCATGGGGTCTCGGGCCTAGGCTTCAGACCAGGTGACCGACTCCCTCGCGATCGCCAGACAGTTGGCTAAGCCTTCTCTCTTTCTCACTATGACAACCAACCCCAACCGGCCTGAGATTCAGTCCCAGTTGCTTCCCGGCCAACATTTCACAGACATCTTGGCGGTGGTGTGCTGTGCATTTCACGGACGCCTCTTCGAGCCGAAGGCCTTTTGAGGAAGAGATTTAGAGGTCTTCTGTACGAGATATACGTAATAGAGTTTCGGAAACGGGGTCTGCCACACGCCCATCTAATCATTAAACTTTAGCATGAATTGCCCTTGGCCCAGCTGGACGGCTTTATCTACGCCGAGTTACCAGGTTCCGAGGAGTACCCTGTCCTACATGCGGTGATCTACAGATTGTATATGCACTCTCAGAACCACTTAGACTAGCCCACGTCACGCTGCAACCGGTACGGCCGTTGCATTTATGAGTACCCTCAGCCTATCAACCACCAAACTTACATGGATGATCTCAGTCGTGTCCGCTACTGCCGATGCAACCAGGAAGATCGATGGGTGACCCCTCATATCCCTGCCCTTGTGCACCTAATCGACTGCCATATCTACGTGGACGTGTGCTCAACAGCGACGATCTTCCTGTACCCCTTTAAGGATCCATTCAAGGGACTCGATCGGGTGTGCTTTGGTGTCCGGGCCCTCCATGATACCCACACGGATGCTCTCCTAGACGAGGTGGATGAGTTTACTGACCATGTAAACGCCCGCTACCTTTCTTTGTCCGAGGCTGTCTACCGCATCTTCAAGTTCAATACCGTCTACAAACGTCCTAGTGTCCGCTGCCTCACCGTCCATCTGAAGGAAAGAACTTAGGGAAGATGCACGGTTGAGGCCATCCGGGTTACTCTGGGATGAGTGACCTGTTGTGGTACTTCAGATGCCCATCGACGGAACCTTTCTTGGGTTGGCGACATTGAATAATAATCAAATCAACTCAAATCAAAGCTACTAGTTCTATACTTCCTCGATCTTTGGTTCATTTAAAAAAAGAGCGGCGTTTGGACAGGTAGAGGCCCACGCTTACATGTTTCCAAAATTGTGTGCAGAGAATCGAGGAGTTTAACAAAAATGATGAACTTGAATGACGTTTCATGTAGATCTATCGCTTAAGGTAGTATGCAAGATCGTCCCCATTAGCATCTCTTTGCGTGAATCCATTTCCGAGGAATCGGAACTCATTTCGTGACCTATACTTGATGTCGAAGTCCTCGCCCCGTAGGTCATGAAGCATTTCTGATATTTGAGTTAGTATATTGGAGAACTGGGTAGAGAACAATGATTAACGAACCTCTGTAATGGATGACGCTACCGGCATGGAGAGCTGTGATATTTCCCTTGGTATTGCTGTTCTTATACCAGCTTCGGCACTCTCCGGCCCATACGGTTCGTTTGAGGAATTCTTGAGACCAAACGCTCAGGTCGTCTACCACTTCAGGCTTCACAGTAATAGATCTATGGGAAATTAGTTAGCAATTTCAAAAGTTTTGTTGGAAGGTTTAGCAACATACTTGATATCTTCCGTGGCGATCTTCCGGCACCATTTCAGGATATACAAAGTCATCGCATCCATGGATCCCATGAGAACACCGTGTGCAACGGGGGAATTCGGACCAGCATAGATAAAATAGTTGGGCATGTCAGCAGCACACATTCCGAAATACCCCTTGGGCTCCACCTTCCATGCATCTGATAGTTTCACGCCATTTCGCCCCACAAGGTTCCACGAAGGACGGAAGCTGACATCGAATCCAGTGGCACACACGATCAGGTCATAGTCCTCTGGGCCATTTTCGGTGGCAATTCCCGTCTCGGTGATCCGAGAGATGGGGGTCAACTCAACACGAACATTCTTTTCGTGCAATGCGTCGAGATAACCGTCCCCAGGAGTCAGACGCCGACAGCCGACATTGAATTCGGGGACCAATCGCTGGATAAGTTCGGGATTGCCTCCAAGAGCATCTTCCATCTTCTTGCGATAGGTTTGATCCATTGCCTTTTGTGCAGGAGTTCCATCAATCATCGAATGGAAGAACTGGTTGAATCTAATACCAGAGTTAGCTTGGATCTTCTGGGAGTATGTATACTCAATGCTCACCCATGCTCCAACTTTTTGCGCATTTCGAAAAGCATTTCAGGATTCTCTCGAAGTTCCTTCTTCTTTTCCTCTGTGTAAACAAACTTTCCGTTTTCGGCGAACTCTTGAAGATAGTTTGTAGCGATCCAAGTTGGATTGCGAATGTAGTTGACAACTTCCTTGGCGGTTCGTTGAATTTCTGGAAGGAGTTGAATCGCAGAGGATCCATTGCCAATAATGGCTACTCTCTTACCTGTCCAATCATACGACTCATCCCTAGACCGAATGTGAGCAATTCTTGCTATGAATGCCGATGAATCATAAGGGAGGTACTAACCAAGCAGCGGTATGAAGACGCTTTCCTTTGAAATCTTCAAGTCCTTCGATAGTGGGCCATGACCATTTGCTACAATAACATAATATTTAGCATCCTGAGAAGAATGGACCAGCGGAAATGGAGAAACTGACTTCAAAAAGCCAGAGGCATTGACCAAAACGTCGCATTCGTCGGAGATTGTATTTCCCGAATAATCGACTTTGATTTTCCATTTACCAACTTCATCATCCCAAACGGTCTCGTTGACCCGAGAATTGAATGAGACAAACTTCTCAAGTCCCCACTTGACAGCAGTGTCTTTCATGTATTGCCAAATCTCTGGACCGTGAACGTAAAAGGACGACCAGTTTGGGTTGGGTTCAAATGGAAATACGTAAACATCTAAATTTTGCATATCAGTCCAATAGCCAAGAAGGGAGGGGGAGGAATAAAGAGGTGACTAACGTGCTGGGACGTCACTAATGATTCAGGTTAGGCCAGGAACAATGAGTGGTATCAGAAAAGTAGGCGACTGGAGCATGACTTACCAGGCAGCTCCTGGGTATCGATTCTCGAACCAGGTGCCCCCGATCTCAGGGTTCTTCTCATAAATTTGAAGATCGATCATATCGTCCATCTTTAGCTCATGTTTGATCTTGTGAGCAAGAATCAAGCCCGAAAACCCTGCACCAATGCAGACCAGACGAAGCTTTCGGGGTGTGAACAAAGGCTGTTCAAGAATAGAAACCCAATTCGCCGGCGTATCCGTCGGCGGCGAAGAGTGACTGAAAGATTCGTTTGAAGGCATATTGAAAAGGCGTCTGCTCGCAATAGTGGATAGCCAGGAGAGTAATCTTGAATAAAGACTCGCAGTATTCGATCAAGAACGAGGGGCATCTTATAGGAGCCCCTCCCAGTTTAGAGTCCCAAGCTTCTCGGCTGGTTGTGGGGAGTACGCCGTTCCTCCAGGACTGATACGGGGAAATCTGGGGCCCCACAAACTCCTATCGGTGCCTTACTGCCCACCCATACCGCTCCGCGTATGGCATGGGGGCGTCGGAGATAGTAGGACCGGAGGGCACGGATAAGTGATGGGGTGTCGAAACGTGCCTCTTGCCACCCCGTTTCCCCGTTTCCCCGTTTCTCATGTTCATCCACTTCTCACCCCGCCATGCCACAAGGCGAATCAGCTACCGGCGGTTTGTTATCAAGCAAACGTGCTCGGCCCATGAAGAATGGCCGAGCCCGAGTCTGTCCCATCCTGTGACGATCTACTCTCTATTCGCCATCGCCCCCCTCCCCCATCCCACTCCCCACGGCGACGTGTGTTATGTGAATTCTATCTGGGACCCCACATCCATCTGGGTAGTCGAAAGGTGATATAAATGACTCAGGCCACAGGATTGTGGAATGATTTCTGCTCCTAACTTGGTCAACTTCATTTCTCCTGTCAATATGCCATCCACTACTGAAGAACTCAAGTCCCGCTTCCCGGACTTGGAGTGGTTTCCTCTGCCTACACCAGAAGAGCACCCTCGGTTTATCTACGAACCTTCTCAATCTGGATCCACTATCCTAGGGCAGGGTCACACTCGCTCACCCGGACGCCGAGCATTTCCAATTGAAACCATTTTTGAACAAGATGTCGCGATTCGGATGCGAGACGGCATTACGATCTACGCCGACATATTCCGTCCCGTTGGCTCAGATCAAAAGCACCCAGTCCCGGCAATCTTACCCTGGAGCCCATATGGCAAGACTGGAACCGGAGTTCAGCAGTATGAAAACATGGCCCCTTTCCGAGTTGGTCTGAGATTGGATCAGACGTCCGGTTACGAAAAGTTCGAGGGTCCTGATCCCGCTGAGTGGATGCATCGTGGGTACGCCATTGTAAACATCGATGCTCGCGGCGCCGGTCGATCGGAAGGAAATCTAGTTTTCTGGGGGCAGCAAGAGGCGGAAGACATCTATGACACTATTGAGTGGATCGCCAACCAACCATGGTGTAATGGCTCCGTCGGTATGGCCGGCAACTCGTGGTTGGCAATCTCCCAGATCAACTTTGGGTCTCGTCTAGAACATCCGGCTCTCAAAGCCCTAGCACCATGGGAAGGTCGAAACGATATCTATCGCGACTCTCTCGTTCGGGGGGGAGAAAACACAACCCCGGTCTCCATAAATTCCTTCTCGCTGGATTCGCTGGTCCAAATTCAGCTGAGAATATGCCCGCGATGATTGATAAGCGGCCGCTCTTCGATGAATATTGGGAGAGCAAATATATCAACACCGTGAATATCAAGGTTCCGATTTACGTTGTTGCGTCTTATTCGTCCCAGCTTCATAGTCGCGGCGCTTTCCATACATTCCGGACCGCAAAGTCATCTAAAAAGTGGCTACGTGTCCATCCATATCAGGAATGGTACGATCTGTATCGACCGGACATGGTCGATGATCTTCAGAAATACTTTGATCGATTTTTGAAAGGTATTGACAATGACTGGGAGCTGACCACGCCGAAGGTCCGCCTATCTCTACTCGGGTTTGAAGCTGGAGGTGGCCTGATCCCGACTGTACGCGAACGACCGGAATCTGACTGGCCTGTGCCTCGTCAGAGCCTGAAGACGCTATTCTTGAATGCTTCAACCAAGACGCTTCAAGTTGACAAACCTTCTAATATCTCTTCTTGCTCGCATTCTGGCAAAGATATGGAGGCCACCTCGGTATGTTTATATCTCGACATCCACACTTTCAAATCTAACCACCCGAGATTAGGATTTTATTTTTTATTTCCATGATTATACCGAGCTTGCTGGCTATGCTAAAGCAGAACTCTGGATGTCATGCAAGGAGCATGATGATTTTGACGTCGCGGTACAGATTAGAAAGATCTCGAAAGATGGAAACCCCTTAGAGCATCTTAACTATCCGTGCCCGGTGGAAATCGAGAAGGTTCCGAACGTGAACACGGCTAAGGCTTTGGGGCCGCAGGGCTTCCTACGTGCCTCGCATTCATGCACAAAGGTTGAGGAGTTGTCTACTCAGCAAGAAGTGTTCTACCAACACGATCGGCGCGAACCTGTTCGCCCAGGGTCAGTCGCTAAGCTTGAGATCACATTCTGGCCCATGGGCATGATCTTTGCACCTGGCGAAGGTATCATGCTTCGGGTCTCAGGTCATGATATGTGCTACCCAGAGACGGACAAAATCCCACCAGCATCGATCAACAATGAGAATGTGGGAAATCACGTTGTTCACACTGGTGGCGACCATGATTCGAAATTGATCCTGCCATTTATTTGATCTCCGTTTCGGACTTCTTCTTGGTTTATGCATATATACAGGTAGATGTTCTTCAGTTATTGAAATCAAGGTTTTAATAGAAGAGATAGAAGAGCTGGAATTCTTTCTCAGATTAGTTATTCCATTTGACTTTTACCCGCCTGGTTTACCTTGGGCTCCTCTGTCGAAACTTTTTTGTTCGCCGCAAGAAGAGGGCGTTTTCCTCCTGTTTGATTTCTTACGTAGTACTCACTAATAATGACCAAAATTTCAGTAGGTCGTAGGTAGTTTGTCTTTATCCCTCTGTGCCTTATTCTAGAGTAAGAAAACCAGTGATAACCTTGGTTTGTAGAATGATCTTCTCTTTTTCGACTTGATCCTCCATTTCTAACTCACACTAGGATGGAAATCATCGAAGTTGAGTCAAGGAATTGACCAGTAAGACAAATACAGTATCTCAAACACCAAAGAAGTTGAATATGTGATAATGAACAAGGTTCTAGAAAACGAACATGATGTTTTATCGAGTTAACAAGGGAGGGGGAAAGAAGAATCTATTTAAACAGCTGCTTTGTCTATCACGTCGTTATAGATTAATTCACTTGCCACGGTTAATTCTGATCAAATGGTAAACTTTATTTGTTGGTAGGACTCAGTGTATTCTGAAATCATTTGAAAAAGATACACATCATCGATATATAATACAGTGTACTGATGTGGCAGAATCCTACTACTTCTTCCCCCCTTGCTTTCTCATTCTGATCCCTCTTTTCAATGGGACGTTTAATCTCATCTGTGCGAATCCATAACCCCTTTGAATACCAAGATCCATCTGTGGATATTTTTTTAAAAACGCCTTGTGCACTACCAGGCTGTCAGGCCACCATCGACTCGGATGTCCGTACCCGTGATATATGAGCTTTCATCCGAAGCTAGGAATCTAGCCACGGAAGCTACCTCCTCCGGTTTTCCAAATCGGCCAAGCATAATTTTCTTCAACATCGCTTCAGACCAGTCCCCAGTGCCGATGTGAGGGGCTGTCTGTTGAGAAACGATGACACCCGGAGAGATCGAGTTGGCTCTGACCCCATGCTCCCGGCCCTCCATTGCAAGCTGGCGTGTCATGGAGATAACACCTCCCTTGGCTGCAACATGCGCCAATGCTGGAAGTGCAGAGAGGGCAACCCAACCGTTGACGGAACCGACATTGATGATGGATCCATGTGACGTCTTCAAATGAGGCCAGGCAGCTGATGTCAGAAGATAGACGAGATCCAGCTCTTGACTGATAGTCTTATGCCAGTCCCCATCTTTCATGTCATCCATCCAGGCAAAATAAGCCATCCCAGCGTTGTTGTACAGAACATCGATTCTGCCATGGGTATCGATGGCTAGCTTAACTAGTTTTTCGCACTCTTCACGCTTGGTCAGATCACAGGGCGACATGGATATCATTTCGCCGCCCTGCTTGCGTACAGCCTCCACAGTGGCGGATTCATTGGAGGTGTTAACATCGCACCCCACGATTTTAGCACCCTCCATCGCGAACTTCAGTGCCGCCGCACGTCCCATGGATCCTCCTGTACCGGTAATAAGGCACACTTTATTCAATAGACTCAGTGCCATGATGACGATCGTATGTAGTATTGCGGGTGTGTAATGATGTGGTTTAACAGAAATGTCCAGTCTTGTAGTGGTGTCAATAGCTTGACAGTATTCTGAAAAGAAGGAAACAAGTGACAAATCAAGAAGGATTTAACGAAATTCCATTTCCCGGCGTTATTACATCCCGCAGAAGACCTGCCGGTTTGATATCTGATTTACCTTCTTCCTCCCCCAGAATTTTCACCCCATCAAAGTGGGGAGGTAAGAGGGCGCTCTTCTCAATCCAGTGGGTTGGGTGAACTCAGGAATCACATGAAGCGAGGTCCATTTCCTGCTACTCCAAGCGAGCTGGTATTGAGCACATTCAAGACTTGTATCTTGATTAGATTCGCCTATCAGAGCAACTATCACAGCGAACACAGCAGGACTGTACTCATCCAACAAATTATGAGCTCATTAGGAGCCGTCAAACTTGACATTGCTCGTTATTACCCGATAACTCCTGAGAATTCTGAGTCCCACAATGCACCGTATCTGAGGGGAGCACCCGCCACATGAATCATCTCTAGGTAGCCCCAAGACGGCTCTAAAGTCAACGCCAAGAATCTCGAAAGTGGAATTCCTGATCCGTTGCCACCGTGAATTTGCCACTGCATGAATCATGGACGTGGTGGGGTGAACGCATCTCCTACGGGGCAAGTTGAAGGTTTTGCGGGGCACGCTCGTCCCCAAGCCGTCCTATATAAAATTTGGAACCCTTTTCAGAATAGGCTCGTAACCCCACCAGGCCAATTCAAGCATTCCAGCGAAAACCATGATTACAGAATTCGAGGAAGGCGCCCAAATTCCCCCCATTAGAATATACCCGGACAAGTTTCTTGGTCAACTTGCCGTGGTGACGGGTGGGGCCCAGGGAATTGGTGCTGCGACTGCTCAACTTTTCGCCAAACAAGGAGCCCACGTTGTTCTCCTGGATATTCGAGAGGACAAGCTTCTAGAAAAACGGGCTTTGATAGAGAGCGAAGGTGGTAAAGTCAGCTATTTTGTGTGTGATATCTCGAATGAGCAACAGGTCACCGAGACCATCGGCTCCATTGTTCAACGCTTTCAGAGGATCGATATCCTGGCCCACATTGCCGGCATCTACCCCTTCAACCCCCTCGACAAGATCACCCCCGAAGTCTATCGTCGCACCATTACAGTTAACATTGATGCCTCCTTTTATCTCACTTGTGCTGTCCTTCCCTACATGAAGAAGGCTGGATACGGCCGTATTATTCATACCACCTCATCAACCGTCCAAGAGCCAGAGCCAGGACTTACCGCATACGCTACATCCAAAGCAGCCATAATCGGGTTAGTTCGTGGCACTTCCACCGAGGCCGGATCCGGGATCACTGTCAATGCAGTGATGCCGGGATTGATCCGAACAGACCAAGTGTGGAACTCGGGTGTTCAACCCGACGGATCCAATCCTCTTTTTGAGCGGGTGATCAAGAAGCAAGATGTAAAACGATGTGGGAGCCCCGATGATATCGCGCATTGTTTCTGTTTTGTCGCCAGCCCAGAAGCTTCTTTCATTACTGGACAAATATTCGATGTTAGCGGAGGAGAAACATACCACTGAAACACCAGTTCGATGGAAAAATTCTGCTGGCACTCCTACATTGCATGAATGGACAGGGAAACGACACAATCACTGCACTAGAATACCAGATAAAACTTCAGTAAATTTTATATCCTCTGCGAAGACGAGGTCATGCTACCTAGTCATACTCATGATCTGTCCATTAATCACTTGTTAGGGAAGTCGAGATCATTAAGAAAAACATTAAGGATAGAGCGACGCCTTTTTAGGGAGAACGCGTCCTTCGCGTTCGAAGACATGCTTTACTTTTTCGGCGACTAGAGGCTCCCATCAATAGATATGGCGGGAAAAGAAGACCAGGGAATAGTCATAGCGCTACGATTAGTTAAAAACGCACAGACAAATTATGTATAATAGCAGACCAGGTCGCTGTAGTCTACCAGAGACTTTACTATAGGGTGTACAGACGAAAAGCGTGGAATGGTGGACCATTCCCGAGGTCCAAAAACAATTCCGCTGTGTAAATCTTGGAATGCAATTTCGAATTTAGCTATACAGCGATGACGATGAGGATGATTACATTCGCCAGATGTAGCTCGCTCTAAAAACGTACGGCTCTTCGGGAGCGCTCTCTAACAGCCAAATAGTGGTGGGTATTAGCCGATGAGACACAAGAAGCCCTCATGTGGGTTCCCGATTGCTTTTCCGAGATGATGAAGTAATGTAAAACAAAGTAAACAACGGCCTTTAATTCTCTTCGACCTGTCGGTCGCCATCTGCGCGGGCACAAGTACAGCGACCTTTGATGAATACTTGAATAACACTTAGTAGAACTGTTGCTCCAACCAGGAGATAGCCTGCTAGTGCACTGCAGAAATAATATTTGGTGATAGTATTATAGCGCTATAAACAAGAACCAGATGTATGATGTATAAACTAGGTTGCCATCCGTGGAATAGGTCCATTCTTTCAAGGGGCCAGACAAAATGCTGGAGGGCCCCAAGACCATTATAAACGGCAACTCGAGCAACTTCTAAAGTAAGCGGCACTGGCTGACCCAGTGGCCCTGCGAGACTATGGATAATCGGTACTAGGGTAAGAAAGCCCAAGGAGGCACAGTGATATTGAAACTTCAGACTTGACACCGGAGTGCTCCAGGTTTATACCAGCACCTCGACCATATGTCCCACGAAAACCAAAGAAATAGCGCAAATGTACCCGAGCTGCACCAAAGGGCGAGAGATAGTGTAATTGAACCCACATAGCAAATGTTATTCAAACATACCGTCAGTGAATACTGTACCAAAGAATGTTAAATATCCTGAAAAATTTGTCTAGACGGGAAAGGAGGAGAAGATATATAAGCTAGCGTACTATAGGTGTATGAACACCTGTTTAAACATCAGGAGCCAGTATCCGTGCGCTTTAATTTATATAAGTAAGGAAATCCATAAGGAATGAGAAAGAATAAGAAAAACGTCCTAAGTCCTTAGGTAACGAGAGCGGGATCCTCTAATATGATATTATCTATTGTTAAGAAAGGATTAGGGAAGTTATGATACTGTATACTTGTTACAAGATACCCTGGCATGAGGTTATTCCCAAGTGTTAGTGCCTCATGCTACCCGGACCTGATAAGCCGGTAGGCTTTCGGTGGAGGTCCGCTGGGGGTTCACTGTCAATACGTGTACGAACTCCTGCAGGGAAGATCCCTGGGTAAAAGTTACACAAACCTCATGTTTACCCCGCTCCTATTTCCCTACCAAGGATCTATCTCCTTCCTGTTTTGAGCGATGAGACTGTATATAAATTGGCCTATGTTGAAGAGGTTCTACATTCTTCAAGGAACAGTCTTTGACTTCTTATCATAATTAGACTTATGCATTTTCTACCTTACCTGATCAATAGGATTGCTACCCTGACTTATAGTATCTTCTTACAATACTGCTCTATTAATAATAGGCTATATATATATTATAGCGATAAGATAAAGTTGATTTGTGTTCTAGAAATTACGAACTGAAGCTAGCATTGTCTTCAAGTGACTGAAAGACTGCAGAAAATAACCTACATTGCAATATAAACTGTGTGACTCCTGCCATGGTCTTCAGTACAGTAAGGCTGAAGAATCTCCTACGTGTACTGTAGACCTCACGGTGATTTGGATCAAAGAGAAAGTAGGCATTTGTGAAGATTTTCATTAGTTGACAAGGCTCGCACAGATGAAAAAGTACTCATATATGGTACGGAGGATTTCGAAAACAGATTACCCCCCAGACACACACGCTTTCTTTCCCAGCGCCCCACTAATATTACGCTAAGCTTATTATGGCTAGATAAAGCCCCTTTCTCGAGATATATAGTGGTTCTACTCCGACACACCCCCTCAGCGCTTAGCGAGTGTTAAATAGCTTCGCTAATTGTTGAACTCAATCGAGATGAGCGCTGAGAGCGCTGAATCTCTTCTAATAGCTCTCTCTTTTCTCTCAATTACACCTCAATTAGGTGTTCCACATCCTCCATGCGCAGGATCTTAATGAAATCCTTATGCTTCTGGCGTGGTAGGATCTTTGTGAGCCTATCTGCTACCATCTTGGTAGTAGGTACCTATTTAATTTCGATTCGACCGTCTTTAACCTCTTGTCTTAGCTAGTGTCTATGGATATCAACGTGACGAAGCTTCGTATCGATTTTAGTATATTCTGAGGTTAGCAGATTGACTATCTATTAGTTATTGTCGGACTTTAGGCGGTGACCATAAAGTCGTGGTTATACACACAAGAAGATAGTGTGCATAAGGGTAAATACTCAACGTAGTGTCTGAATACACGGTTATGAGTCTATCGGTCGTGCGCACTTCCAAGAAGAAGAAGAAGTACCACGATTGTGGAAGAGTACCACCGATCAAGAAGAGAGATCACAAAGGATGATAAACTTGATTCAATTTAATTAAGAAACATAGCAGTATTTATATCTTGGAAACATGGTAGAAGATCACATAAGAAAGGATAAAGTATTGGAGTGTTAGATAGTCTCCTGCCTAGATAGGCAATTCAATGCAAGATCGTTGAGGATCAATTCGACAGATCTTATAGAGAAGAAGATCTAGATGTAGAGAGGGGTTATATGAGTGGGTCCTTCGTCATGTGACCCCACAATATCCATATGTTGACACTTTCTCTAGTTAACGACGGCGTCGGCGATAATAATCGGCACTATAAGGTAAATTTTTGCTCTTTATAGATAAAACACGAATGAAGATGGCCTCGAATAGTAGTCTTTTTAAGTAGAGGAGAATAGGAGAGTAAGGGACGGGAAAACTAAAGTTAAGAAATAGTAACGAACTAGAAAAGAGGCGGAAAAGACTGAAGCCTAGAGAAAATCTGGTTGTGAAAAAGACAATAAGGTAGTGTTACACGTAGCCGACCGGTCACTGTGAGTTAGAACGTTCACGGGTTATACTTGCCTCGTTCCAACTGCGGATTCCAAGAGTATCTCGCAACCGTACCGTTGCTATGCAAAGCCTTACGTCGGGTTCGGGTCCTGTTGAGTATTCTTGCAGAACGTGCCAGAAGTGCGCGCCAAGTAAGTCAATCACTAAGTGTTGCCACTGAGTGAATCCCCTACTTGTAGGTTGGGTTGTCTTAAAGGTGAACTGTGAAGTGCAAAGTACTAAAGGTAGTAACCAAGTAACAATGTATGATTAATCGCGAAGAACTAAATACATGATGCTAGAATGAGTGTCCTTATATATCCAGTCCTTCCTATCGGCGGTGAGTCCGGGACTCATCGCTGATGAGTCCTCGTCACGTGTTCCTGAGTGGTTCTGGTATCGCAATAATAGCGTTACCTGTTGATCATCCTTTGACTAGGATGTTGGTCACGTGATTGCTTTGGTCTTTATAACGCAACAATTGTCCCTTTGTAACGTTATCCAATCCGATCCCTTGCTGACTGATCCAAGTTGATTGGGTATCAGTGTTCCTTCCCCCGCATTAGCGCCGTTGCGTGAGAGTTCCGTAACAGGTAGAGGATAAGTGTACTGAATAGGAGCTACTGTTAATGGGGCGCAGTCTCTTTTAAGTATTAAAAGAGATGACTTATAAACGGTCTAGCGCTAAATAGATAGATCTTTTCCTTATTGTAATTAACGGCTATAATCGGATAATACAAACAGACAGACATGACAACGTCCCTAAGTAACTACCCTGAGCATCCTGAGTGAAGGGTGAGCTGATCCCTGAGTAGACCGGAGCTACCTTAAGTGCTCAGGGAGCATACGGAAATGGTGGGCAGAAACAACTCACGTGGGGGTCCGATGACTAATGATTTGGTAAAAAGGACTCTTAAAACAGCGTCAAAAGTAGCCTTTTTCGGCGTCGAATTTACCGTTACCTAGCATTGTGGTGTAACGTTAACACCCTCACGAAATTTGACGCTAGTGAAATTACCTGACTTATGGTTTCTTGATCACTATATATAGATCTGCCAGACTAAATTAACTATCGCGTGTTTAATAATCATAGTTTATTGTCGCGAATTCCGCTAATACTAGCGATACAGTGAGTATCTATGATTTGCCTAAATACCTCGCTGTTATGATATTCGTGATGAGGCTATTCACATGTTGATATTGGTGCCTCAGGCGCGTGAGGCCGGGCGTTCTGGCAAGGCGGTGGCTATCCGGCGGGTCAACCGATAACCCCTCGGCCGCGATACATCGCAGCCACGCGATATGCAGGCTATAGCTACGGTGTGTACGATGAGTTGGCTATACGGTAGCCTCTCGGTGGCGTACCCCCCTTACTTCGTGTTTGTCTCCTGTTTGCACCGAAGATGCTGTATTTAAATTGACGCTTGAGGAGTACATTTCAGGACTCCTCAAGAAACAGTCTTATCACGAATTGCACTAGGTGCTTCCAACCTTACCTGATCAACAGGCTTTCTACCCTGCAAGTGGTTATCTTTACACTCGCGGGTAGGATCGTTGAAGAATAGGTGACGATTTAAACACTGTGAATTAGGTATCGTTAGTTAGGTATAGTTTAGTTATAAAATAAGGATAAGTATAACTCTTTATTGATAGTATCTAGACTAAGCCTATATATCGACCCAGAACACAAAGCCTAGACTAGCACACCACGCCATGATGAAAAAAAAATCTAGCAAGAATAAGATCATTTGGATCATACATTCCGAGCTTAGTGAAGATCTTGTCTTTGCTATTCAGCTTATAGGGATCGACCCCGTATCTCATGAGTCATTAGTATAGTGCCCGTCCAAATAAAGACGGCAATTTTCGATGAGAACAGCCTCAAGTCAGCGCTTACATGGAGCTATTTCTTAAATCCGTCCATTGAACCCATTCTCCAATCTGAAACATGTCAGCATTACTCAATCTCAACCTTTAAGCATATTGCATACAGGGTCCAATCTGAGAACTTGCTAAGCTGCCCCATCTTTGCAAGTACATATAGTGCTCTCTAAGTGTAAGCGATGTTAAATTAGGGGCTCGGCAAATAGTGTCTAGTAATTTGCCGGTATTGTTCGAACTTTGAAGCGTTTTTCTTCCTTCTAGTTGACCTTTAGGCCCACCGAGTACAGTAGCTTCTCTCGACCAAGAAGTATGGCTTGACTATCTACTTGAAAGTGTTGGCTATACACATGTCAACCCAGAAATTTAGATGAAAAATCTTGCACATGGAATCCCAAAGGAGGCGGTAAATGTGACAACCCCTAGCACACTTAGTGGTTCGATCAGCCTCTTTTGAAACTGCTCGGCCTTGGAGGCCACTCTGCCCCACTTCTATAGTTGACGACAAGGTCCTGAAAACAACCGTCTTGAACTACCTAGTTTGAAGGAGCTCCTGGGATGTCAGCTACCTAGTAGGAGATGCTATTCGGAATAACAGATGGATCATGAACGAGCATATATATACCCCCGTTCGAGGATCCCCAGCATGCTCCTTTCTCTATCAAGAAAATCATATTCGTTCCTTCTTTTCAATTCAAATCTTGCCGGCAGGATTTACCCTCGTTCTTTCTCAACTGTATTTACGCTCCCTTTCACTTATCTCGGAATAGCCGCTGTGCTGGCCCACTCCGCTTCGGCGCACTACATCTTCAGTAAACTCGTCTTGAACAACCAAGTCTCCGAAGACTGGCAGTACATCCGCCAAACTACGCGTTCGAAGTGCTACATGCCAACCAAGTTCACCGACACCTTTGACAATCTCACTCCCAACGATGACGATTTTCGCTGCAACCTGGGCCCTTTCAGCAATGCTGCAAAGACCGAGGTCGCTGACGTCGCTGCCGGTGATACTATCGGGATGAAGTTATTTTACGATGGCAGCATTGCCCACCCTGGGCCCGGTCAAGTTTGTATGTTAATGTTTGCTGTTACGAGAATTGCTATCGCATTCAGGGAACTGCACTAACATCTCCTAGTCATGTCCAAGGCACCAACCGGTAACGTCACTGAGTACCAAGGTGACGGAGAATGGTTCAAGATCTGGGAAAAGACTCTCTGCGATGAGAGTGGCGATTTCGCCCACAGGTGCCTGGTGTACCTGGGGCATGTCGCAGTTTGAATTCCAAATCCCCGAGGACACCCCGGCAGGCGAATATCTCGTTCGTGCTGAGCATGTTGGTCTTCATGGTGCGCAGGGCAACCACGCCGAGTTCTTGTACAGGTGAGACCTTCGATATTTACGTGCAAGATTCATCTAACGAGCATATACAGCTGTGCTCAAGTCAAGGTCAACGGCTCTGGCACCGGCTCCCCGAGCACTACCTACAAGATCCGCGGTATCTACAATGACAACATGACCTTATTCGATGGTCTTAATCTTTGGATGGATACGGCCAAGCGTATTGAGGCGGATATTGCGCAGACTCCTATTGGTGATGAAGTTTGGACTGGAGGTGGTAGTGGTAACTCCTCCGTTTCCAGTTCCTCCGTTTTTAGCTCCTCGTTGGCTACATCGACCTCAGTCGTACCATCTGTAACTGCATCGGCTTCGTCGGGTTCATCCGCTATTGCTTCGGCTCTATCCGTCCCATCTCCCACAGCTTATACCTGGGACAAATCGACTTGCGGTTGTTGTACTGGAAACTCGGCCAAATTCCGTCACCCACTTTGATGAACGGTACTGTTGAACTCCATTCATCGTTGCTCGTCTTCTCGAAACTTTCTGGTTTTTGAATTCGCAGTCACAGTGTGCTAACGGCAGTCTATCGGTCTACCAGTCAAGGGGATGTGTTGAGTACCGGGGTCATACTCTCGTTAAACCTCCCAGCCTCATGGAACTCGAGATATACTATACTATTTGATACAAACCTTCATCTTGACCCTTGGGGTGATCACATTTAATTCGATTTCGTTCTTTATAAAATCATCGAATTAGATCTCGTGCACAGACAGCCGTTCAGCCGCTCAGCCTCAGCCAACGCCTTGTAGCCTAGTACGTAGACGGACATGATTTACATACTGCTAGTGTACCATCTCATCTGATAAAAATCAGCCAAGCCTAAGCCACTCTTCATCTAGCATTCCCAATTAATTATTATCCATCTGATCTCTATAAAATAATACAGATTATGTAACTACTGTACAGTACTACTATAACAGTCTTCCCCAGACAGTTTAGCGGGCAGGCTCCACTTCACTCCACTTTTCCCGTCATGCGCGATCCGAACTTGTGATCATTTTTTCTTCTGTGAACTCCTCTGTTCTCTTTCACCTGCTCTCTCAACATCCCCCCTCCTAAGGAGATACCTAAAACCCTCCCCTTCTCCTTCTCCTTCTTCCTATCATCCATGTCTCGTATATAAGAACCCTCGCATATACCCCAAACCCCCGAACCGAACTCCAACCATCCACTCACCATGTCACCACAATCCCTGCCCGAGTCTCCACCCCTCCTCGCCAATAATCAATCCCCAATACTCCCTCAATCCGACTCCCTCATCGATCCCGACCACCCAGACGCCCCCCTGCCGATCGATGAACCCTACCATGACGATCCAGACCAAAGACCAGAGTATCTTGTCCGGTACGAGCCACGACCCATCGACGATGAAGACGGTGATCAGGAGGGAGAAGATCTTGCTGCGGAAATGGCTCGGCCTAGAAAGGCGTGGCGGGCGAGACTGAGGGTATTCTGGTTGAGGAATATGGGGATGTTTCTCGTTCTGCTGGCGCAGATGTTTGGGGCTAGTATGAATGTTATGACGCAGATTTTGGAGATTCATAGTTCCATGCATCCGTTTCAGGTATGTGTCTGGCGAGATATAGATCTTTGCTACATTCCTTGGACTCGGCTAGCACGGTTAGATGGGGAAAGTGAAAGCGAATACTAACTCTGCCTCTATTAGGTGCTCTTCGCTCGCATGTCCATCACGGCCGTCGCCAGTTACTTCTACATGTGGTACGCCAAGGTGCCCGCTCCCTTTGGCACCCGTCCCGTCCGTACATTACTCCTCCTCCGCGCGACGTTCGGTTTCCTGGGTGTCTACGGACTCTACTATTCCGTGCAATACCTACCTCTCTCCGAAGCAACGGTGATCACTTTCCTCGCTCCGATTCTCACCTGTTACGCCTGTTCCCTGCTCATCCCGGGGGAGACATTTTCTCGGCGACAGCAACTAGCCGCCATCGTCTCGCTCGCCGGTGTGGTTCTCATCGCGAGACCGTTCTCGAAGCGTGATGGCGCGGGTATGGGTGATAATGCGGGTACAACGGCTGAAGACGAGAGTCCCGACGACGCAGATGCATTCCACCACGTTCTCGCGACGGTGGTCGCGTTCGTAGGTGTCCTCGGTGCATCGGGCGCGTACACTACCATCCGAATGATCGGTCGACGGGCGCATCCACTCGTCTCGGTGACTTATTTCTCCAGCGTGACGACGGTCATCTCGCTATTTGCCATGGTCGCAGTCCCCTGGGTTCCATTCCGGCTGCCCTCAACGGTCACGGAATGGACTCTGCTAACCGGGCTGGGTGTGTGCGGGTTCCTGCTGCAATTCTTGCTCACGGCGGGACTGAGTTACGTACCACCGGCCAGTGTGCGAGTTGCCGGGGCGAAGGCGAGTCAAGGCTCCAAGGCGACGAATATGGTATACATGCAGATGCTGTTTGCCTTGTTCTATGACAAGGTTGTCTGGGGCAGTACGCTGTCGCCGGTGAGTTGGGCGGGGTCCGTGCTGATCCTGGCATGTGCGGTTTATGTTGCGGTTGCGCAGGAGGAGCGGAAGGAGGAGAAGAAGAAGCCCAAAGCGGAGGGAGATGGTGAAGAGGATCGGCGATTCAATGATCGGGATGACGAGGAGGCGCTTGTGGCTGCACGGGAGGAAGAGTAAATGTGATAGTCTGAGGAGAGATGTGCATCTTGCAGGATCGTCGGGAGGGGAGTGCATTGAGTTTTGGGCGTTTTGGGGCATTTCCTAGAGGATCATTTGCACATGGACTTGAGCTGGGCAGAGTACATTTCTATTGTACAGTACATACTCTTTTCGGTATATATTATGACTATGAGGGATATGATAACAAGAAAGCCAATGAATCCTGATAGAATGCATTCCTCCTAGTAAACCAGTACAATTCCATCGTCTAGGCCTAAAATAAGTACTTTTACTACTATCCCTACTCTATACGATCGGAGCACACTGCTCCATCCTCCCCAATCACCGCATTCAATCCTAAATAATCCCCTTTTATGTCCCTCGACGTCATAACGTTGCACCATCCCGCCGCACCTGCCCGGGATCGCCCGAGGCTTGTCATTGGTGAAGCCATTCACGATCGTCCCGGTGGATCTTGGCTTTCAGCCAGCCTACCAGGTTGGCGTGCTAAGGTACCGGAAATAAGATCAGAGGATGTACCTGTACTTAGGAGTTGCTGTGTAGAGGTACATTCTATACCTTTGAGTCTTTTGATAATGTAATCGTCTCGTTCTGCCACGAGGTGGAGCTGTCGTAACTGGAGACTCCATAAAGAGTCCACCGGCCCCGGGTTTTGGGTGGATTATGCCCCGGATTTTTCTTTTCTTAAGATTGGATTGAACTTTGATCTTGATTGTTTGATCTTGAAGTTATCGGGTTGGCATTGGATTTAAAGCCATAGATCCCAGTCACTGCTATATCAGGCCTCTACTATACCGAGTACCCGACACTTGTTCAAGTACTCTACCAAGTACTCTACTTTTAAGTACTAACTACTACACTATTCTCCCCTCCCGCAACGCCACCCGAACTATACTCCCGTCTCCCATCCAACTCAATCTCTACATCCTTGTCTTCCTCCCACAATCATGCGCCACTTCGATGCCTGGGTCATTCGTGACCCTTACTCCATCTGGCATTACTATACCACCGGCCAACGCTGGAAAGATACCGTCCGCGACCTCATCCACGACCGCAAGATCTGCGCACCACTCAATTCCAATTCACAATCTACACCAATCGATCTATACCCACCATCTTCACCACCAGACACCACATCTACAACCTCCTCCACAACAATCCACCAAGCAAGCCCCCTCCTCACACGCCTGCCCCCAGAAATCCGCGCTATGATCTGGTCCTACGTCTTCGGCGCCGATACCCTGCACCTAGTAACCGTCAAAAACAAAGTCCGCCACGTCCGGTGTCCCTCATCATCCTCATCAACAACCTCCCTAACAAACCACCGCACCTGCTGCCCAACAACCCCAGCCCGCTGGCGTCTCCCCCCATCACCCTCACCCTCAACATCCCCCAGCACAAACACTTCCCTCCTCTACCCACACACTCACCCCCGCCCTCCCAAGCACCCTATCAAACTCGTCCCCAGCCCTCCTCCGCACCTGCCGCTCAATCTACGCCGAAACCCTGAACACCCTCTACAAAGCCTCCACCTTCGACGTAGACGACCTATACACCTTCATCGCATTCACCCAATCCCTCCCCTCCCACGCCCTATCCTCAATAACCCGCCTCACAATCCAATGGAGCCCAATCTGGACTCCCCTCTCCGGGCAGGACCACAAACACTCCATCTACGCACATACACACAGCGACACCCTCTGGCTGCAATTCTGGGCGCGCGTCGCCTCCCTACCCTCCCTGTCCGAGATCAGACTTAGTATTGACCTCGGTTCGTTCACGGGGACTGTCACTAGCAGTGGTGATGTCGTGCTTGGTGGGAGTGGGGTGCGGATTCCGATGGGGGTAGGCGAGTTATGGACTTTGCCGTTGTGTGCGGTTCGCGGGTTGGAGAGCTTTGAGATGGCTGTTACGGCGAGGTGTGATGTTGTGGCGAGACGGGTGCTTGAGGCGGATTTGTGTAGGGATGCAGGGGGGTTGAGGGATTGGTTGACGCGGGTTATGTGTGGAGGGCGGGAGGTGGAGTTGGGTGAGCTTTTGGGGGAGATGGTTGGGGGGGCAGTGGATGGGGGGAGGTTGAGGGTTTTGGAGGAGTGGATTAGGATGGGGAGGGAGGAGGAGGAGGTTATTGGGAAGAGGTCGGGGCAGAGGTTGGCTATTATGGCTGCTTGAATGGGATGGCTATATTGAGTGTTTATTTTTGATACCCTTTTCTTCTTTCTTTTGTTTATTATTTGATCCGTTTGATATTGCCTCGTTGCTAGAGATAGAACACGGGTGGAAGACTAGAGATTCTAAGAATGATATACAAGACTTGAATTTACATCTAATGCTATCCAACTTTACAACTATACGTATGCCTACAAAACGGCACCTAGACGATAATCTCTATATCCAACATCAAACATCGAGTAACAAGTTGGATGGAATTCACGAGCAAATTTTCAAGCCCGAAACCTAGACCTCAACAAAACCAGAGCAATCTATGCATCTAACATCCAAAAGAGAAAACTCCGCTCAAAAGACAACTATATTCGTTGCCATAGCTCTAACCAGGGTTTGCAAGAACCTATCATACCATCCAATCTGACCAATCCAGATCCAATCCCCTTTCTGTAATCCTCAATAATAACTCTCTTCTTGTGTGCAAAAACGAAGTAAACAAGTCTGTGATAAGCCACCTTCATCTAGCAATATCACAATATAACCACCAACCCCATACATTGAGTAATAAGAACAAGATTGAGGCAAAAACAAAGCCAAGTCACATATTCCGAGATCAAGGCTTGATAGATGAACCACCGAGGAACAGCCATACCTCGCAAACCACCAGAGACCACATCAGCAAGGCAAGACATGCACGAGGCAGGTAGGTACAGCCCAAGGACAAAAAGTGATAACACAAAATAAAAGACAGAGAAGAAAAGCAGGGATTCAATTTGCGGAGTATTAGGGGCATCAATTTTGTTTTCAGAGTCCCAACCATATCTATTTTCGGGAGTCCCAAAAGCCCAAAGCCCAAAGCCCAAAGCCCAAATCAAAGCGAGGGTTCCCGTCGTGGGAAGAGGGGATAATAAAACAATCCCATTGACAGCGATACCAACGGAATAAGAAGGAAAAGAGAAGACACCAAGCGCCGAGACAAAAGAAATGGAAAAGAAGAACGAAAACCAAAAGGTGCCTGCAATTTGGGGCAACCACAAACGACAGGGGAAAAGAGTAGGAAGACAAAAGTCGAAGTTGACGTCGGAGAGACCAAGGTAAGACGATAAGACAAGCCAAGAAGTATTAAAACACGAACTGAATGCAAGATAAGGGGTGAAAACATCAAGGGTGCGAGTTGCAAGCGCAGGGTGTAATGCAATTTGTCCATTCCGAAAATGAACCAGAACCGAAATCCATGTTGATCTTTCCAAATTATCGGTTTTTTTTCTTTCTTTCTTCTTTTCAATCCCGTCCGAGATACCCGATTAGACCAGATCGGTCGAATGAAGATATATCAACGCGAAGCAAGAGTGACGAATTCAACGGCGACCGGCATCTAGGGCGCAGTCACACCCTTGCGGCCACGGGTCTCGGTCTCTTCGTACCCGTTTTGCTCGGATTCGTCCTCGTCTGTGGGTGATTGCGGGTGGCTGAGTGGTTCTGTGAGGGAGAGGCGGCTACGAGCCATCTGCAGACGTCAAGAAATACAGTTAGCCACAGATACACTTGCGAAACTTCCTTCCTCGGCGGTTGGAATTCTGTTCAAAGAGACGGATAACTCACCCATGCACGCACACCACCAATCAATCCCAAACTATAACCCGTCGCAAAGTCCTCATTACGACCGACACCGGGACTATCGGGTCGGTTAAGCGCCTCCACACGCGAAAGGTGACTCTTGCTACCACCCGTCGGGCTAGCCAGCGGCCCACGGGCACTACCATAGTCAACACTGTTGCGAGCAGTGGGCGCGGGACTACCGGGCCGACTGTTCTGCCAGATCTGACGGAGCTCGCGACCGAGTTCCTGGCCGGTCATGGTCCAGTTGCTGCGGATGTTGTCGCGGATTTCGGCGACGTGGCGTTTGATTTCGAGTTCGTTCTTCTTCAACCAGGACACGTTGAGTTCTTGGCGCGAGGCACCGCGCTTGAATTGTCGGGAGATGTACTGATCGTAGTCACGGACGATGCTGGATAGTGAGAACACACGGTTAGTTGTTATTCACGGTGGGGATGCAATTGATCATGCTGGGATTGTTCGTACCGAGTGATGATGCCAGTTGTGCTAACACCTTCCGTCCGCTGGGTGACCAGGAACTTGCCCTGCGCCTTGATAGGCTCGTAGATATCATCGCCCTCGTCCGCCTGGTACGGAAGATCATCGTGCGCGACGTAGTCGATCTGATGCTCGGACAAAAACTCCGGGGTAACAATCCATGGGCAATTGGGAATAACCTCGTCCACCCACTTGCAATGCCGAATAGTCTCTGCGCGCTCGGCACCGCTGAGCACAGTGAGACCCTTACGTTGATGCGTTTCGATGTCGCCAGTGACACCAACAATCAGGTAAACTTCGGGGAAAGCCTTCTTAGCCTGCTCGAGCTGTCTCATGTGGCTATATAAAAGAACCAGAGTTAGCAAATCTCGGTCCATTTTGTATGTCGTGTCCTTCCCGCATATTCGATATCCTCAATCTCCAATCCCCTAATTGAATGTACGTACCCAAGATGGAACAAATCAAACACACCATCCGCATACACCCGCACCGCCCGCCCTTCAGGCGGTGGGTTCGTCTTATATCCAACGGGATCCTGTAACCCACCACGCTGCGGCGGCAACATAGCCGCACGACGCTGCTGCTCCTCCTCCGCATCAGGCAAATTAATATGCAATCCGGGACGACTTCTAGGCCGAGCCTCGATATCACTGCTGGCGAGAGTCGTCTCGGATGGCTCGCCAGGATCCTCTTTGTGGATGGTAGTTCCGTTGGAGATTTCAGTCCCGGTCGCGTTGGCATCGGAGCTCTTGCGGGCGCGCTTGGTTGGCGGCACAGTCTCGCCGCTAATGCTAGATTGCTTCTTGTGTCTGGTGATGGCGGCAGTGGCGGGACCGGTTGATTCTTCTCCTTCTTCGCCGGACGCGTCGCGCGAGGATGGTTGGAGCTCGGTGACAGGGACGGGTTGAGGTGCTGGCAGATGCGAGGCGCTGCGCTTGCGCTTGCCGGAGGGGGAGGATGGGGATGTCATTGTGAATGTGAATGTGAGAAGGGATTTGGTAAATGACACGAGCAAAATAATGTCAGAACCGGGAAGGAAGTGTGTGTTGAAGGGCTGGATCCCCTGGCGGGTTTGGAGCTGAAACGGAGAGAGACTCCTCCGCGGTGGCCCGGTTTAGGGGCCCGCGTAATTTTCTGGCTGTGGAGACTCGTGGACTGGGCTGTTTAGTTGGGGTGCACTGACGTATCAGGGTCCCTCGGCAAGGCTGGGCAAGGGGATTTCCCTGATCTTATGGATTAAGGGATTATTTATCTCGTACTCGTACATCTTCTATCATTAATAGCATTGCTCGATTTGCTCAAACTGCCGTTATAGAAGGGAGGGATCTCCAGTATCTCAACTCAACTCCATCAAAACAGTACCCGCTACACTAATTTAACTAATACAGACCGCCTAACAAGATCCGGTTTCATTGCTATGACTGTCTTATGTCTCACTAGAGGAATTATCACTAGAGATGGACAGTCAAAGAATAGCCCCCATCTTCTAGAACTCCACTATGGAAACAAGTTGGATATCTGTCTACAAGAGAGTACAAAGTACCTTCTGCCCGAAAAAAGGAAATGCCAACTATCAATACCGTTGAATGATACGCCATGAGTGTCTTGCAGCGCCGTTCAGTCCATATGTTCATGGAAATTCTATCGCTCTCAGCTCGGCTTTGACTTCGGTCTGTGTGGTTCGTAGTTGTAATCCTACCAGGTTGATCGTGTCCAAGATACCAATATGACCATAATCAGGCATGCCACCATAAAGAAGAACCAACGATCAAAGACGATATGAATAAGGAGAAAAGATCCAGGTGATAGTGTAGTAATCAAGGGAGAAACGTGGAAGTTGTAATGGTTCGTCAATAGCGGGGCATTTTCTGCGGTATCTCGTGGGGGCATAAAAAAAGAAGACAAAGCTCGTGAAGGGCCCAGTTGGCTCCCGGCGAATTGGGCCTTTCTCATACTTCCTAGAAACTTCCACCTCGATGCCATCAATCCTCAATTTCCAAACCCCCGAGAACTATCCTCTTCCCTTCATCACCTCCCTCCTCTTGCATGGGTCCTTCAGTTTGCGAGAATCCCAATCTGACTCGGACAGGTATTCCATCTCAAGCTTCAAGGCGAGCGCAGAAAGGGCTCGAGGGAGAAGCTCCGAAGATAACTAAAGAGAAGGAAAAAAAAAAGAAGAAGGAAAAGGGGGGAACGAAATCAAGGACATGGATCGTAACATCGGGCATAGCGTCGAAGCAGGGTGTAAGAGGCAAAAGGAGCAGAAGACAGGTAAGGAGGGCAAGAGACGGAATCAAAAGGGAAAAAGCATGGGAAAGAGAAGAGACCAAGCCAAAATAGATGAGGAAGGTTCGGTAGGAGAAGGGAGGGAGAGAAGTTGCCGCGTGTGTGTAGATTCCAGGGTAACCAGTGGGGCATATCACAAACTATGCAGAAGTAGACTTCTCCTTGTCATCCGTAGAGGCGGGGGATTCGGATATTTGAGTCGCTCCGCTGGCCTCGTCCTGCTTGCCTTGAGGTCCGGGGGTACCCTCACGCTCATTCCGAGAACCGGTCGGATGCACCTGGTTGGCCAGATCCTGCTCCTCTGTCTGGTTGAACAGCTCTTCCTCGTTCTGATCCGAGATGACCTCGGTGCCGTCGCCCAAGAGAATGATCCGACCCTGGCGCACGCTAAACGCCCGCGAACGCTCCATCTCCAACTCATAGTCGTCGGGCTGGTCCTCGAATTGGTTCCGGATTCCAGGGCCGCGGAACTCGGCTGCTCGCACACTTGACCGTCAGCACGACGAAGGGTCTCCTTCGGGTTCCTCGTGAGACTTGCCGTACTCGGGAGGAGCACAAGGCCCGTCTCCGTTTGCAACCCGCTCTGCAATCTTGTTGTACCACTCCTCCTTGGTCTGACCGTTGAGCAGACCAATAACGGTCATGGTCATGTTGTCACAGCCAACACCACCAGTCTCGCTGTTGGATGCCAGGCAGTTGTCCATCATGTTCTCACAGATCCGGTAAAGATCCTGCTTGGCGGCAATTCCTCTCCGCACAAACTCGACGACTGCTTGGGAGGATTGGCAATCCCAGATACCTGAAAAGTTGTGAGCATTTCGCAATTCTTCATCAGTAGGTGGAATGAAGACATACCGTCACAGGCAATAACCAGGAATTCATCGTCATCGGTCAACTCGTGCACTGTCACATCGGGGTATGCAGTCACGATCTGTTGCTCGGGGGAAAGCTCGGGGCTCTTCTTGAACTCAAAGTCACCGATGGCGCGGGACAGGGCGAGGTTACCGTTGACACGGCCGAAGTCGACGAAGCCACCCGCGGCACTAATACGGGCCTTCTCGCCTGCAGTGGGGAGTTAGCGTACCATCCTCATGGGATGAAAATGCAGCTTCTTTTTCTCGCCATCATGCTGGCTGCAACTGGGAGACAAAGAAGAATGGGAAACTTGGGGGCACAAACCTTCGTTCTGCGGCTTGTGGTCGAAAGAGAGGGGCTTTGCGCGACCCTTGACACCTAGTACTGATCGAGAGTCACCGGCATTGGCCTGATCGTCAATTAGTTTCGCTCTCGAGTCTTTTGTCTCTCGCGATGCCTTTGTTTCAAACGTACCACCCAGATCTTGTGCTTGGAGATGATTGCTGTGGAGGCAGTGCAACCGGACACTTCCTCTTCGTATTTCGGGTCTATACGAACATAAATGGTCAGGAGGGTGTTCTTCCAATAGTTTGATTATGCGGTTCTTTCTCCAGAGAGCGGGGGGGTCATGTCCCTTTCTCACGCAGAACAGACGAGTCGACGAACCTTCCAAAATAGCCCGATCAGTAGCCAAGAATCCATCCTTCAGGGCCTGCTCGATGTCGCCCTTGGCGAATGATTCCTGCTTGGAGACGATCTTGTGGAGGTTCTCCCCAGTGAACAGCGCTACCTTATCTCCACCGTGGCCGTCATATACACCGAAGAAGGCCAGACGCTGATCCGGATCGGTCGGTTTCTCATCGGTAGGTCCCGTGTATTTCGCGTGAAGGTCGAGGATGGCGGCGTGGGCATCTTCCATGCTGATACGCCAGCCCTGCATGGCAGAGACACCATAGATACAGCACTCATCTCCACCCTCCGCCGAGGTCTAGAAAATCGGAAACACGACAAGTCAGTTATGGAGGTCTTTTTTTTCTCTTAAGCTAGACATGTTCAACTCGGAACTTGACGGCTTTGGAAGGAGTGTAGGTGCTGGTTTGTGAATGTCCCCGTGGCCGGAATAGCCTCCTTTCCACCCGAGTTGCTCCTCGACCCCTCCAGGGTCAGCAAGGAACCCCGCATGGCCGATCGGGACGACCTAAAAAGGGAACGTCCGATTTAAATGGCACAAAAGCAGTCCTCGTGAGAAACGACAATCCACTCCAGATAGTGGGAAATTCCCCAGTTGGGGGGCAACAGGGTGGTTGACCGAGGCCGTTGTGAAAAGGGACATCTCCGAGCGACTGGCGTCACATCGCAGTGTGGGGAGGGGCATGGGCGGAACAAAATGGGAATATGGACGACTCACCTTCTCGACCACCGGCTCCGACAAGGTCTGACCCATAATGGCACGGATTGAATAAAGTATTTGAGGGGGAGAAGAGGGGAGTGGGAGGTCAAGCACCAGATGAAATGGTAGAAGGAGAAGGAGAGAAAGGAAGGTCAGGTGAGGTGCGCAGGCCTTTCAGCGCGTCTCTCTCGTCTGTCCTTTGGGTCCCGCGATAAGTCGCCAGCCAAAGTGGGGAATCAATGACGATCTAAGTTAGGGCTCGTTCCACGGGGGGAGATTTATGGAGGAGAGATGGAAAAGAAACAGTAGTGTTGAGAAGAGAAATTGAAAGCGAAATCAGAAATGAGGATCTCGTTGGTCCAGTGGGATTATTCAACTTTTGTCTGGCAAAATTCGGTTTTGGCAAGGCAGAGATTTCTCGTAATCGCGTTACTTTTGTTACCTTACCAGTGCTCTATCGCAGTCACCTGACTCCGGATGAGGTGAGCATTCAGCTCCGCCTGACCTGATTCTACAGGAGAATAGTGCAATATATGACTCTAGAAATTGACTGGCTGTTATGTTAGTCCTTGCCATTTCTCATATCCTTGATATTCTCCACGATACAGCCCCTGCTGACATCCCTGTCCCGAGGCTCTGTGTAAGACAGCAGGCTGCTACCCTCGCTGCCTGCGATCGTCACGCAAGGGCCCCAAAGCCCATCCTGCTGGTGCGGCTAACACTGGAAAAGGTAACGGTCCGTACGGGGAGAACTATCCCCCGCTTGGCTCGGTGAAGGATCTTTCAAGGCTGTTCCTTTCTCGTACTTTTGCTTGGAATCTCCATACTTCATACCTGTCACGCTGTCAACTGTCAAATGCCGACAACTGGTCGGCAGCACGTGCCACTGTCTGCCCTGAGCAGGATGGGCACCAATGGTTAAATAGATTGCCGTAGAGCATGTCCTAGGTTGTCTATATTGAATTATCGTAGCTAGAGGGTAGTAGAAGATCGAATCTTATTAGATATCTAAAAAAAAGACAGCTGCAGAGTCGATAGGTAAGGTCCCGGGTCCGAATGGAATGCATTCATCTCGGGTATCAATATATATAGTGACCCGAATACCTTCAATAACAAGATGTGTAATTTATCCATCACCTACTTGGCAAAAAGGACATGACCTTGAAACCTCAAGGGAATTGAGCAGAGCACTCGAGATCATGAAAATGAATAGGAATATTGCCCTTTAGGACGAAGTAGGTAGCTTCGTATGCCCGAGGTGCAGTATCTAGACTCGTGCCTCAGTCAGTATCCAAACGGAGTCATTAGAGTCGCAGAAGAATGTAATTAAGAATAGTCAGGATGTAAATAATAAGAACATGAGGAACCAAGTCTCCAAAAAAGAATAGGAAGTATCTAACAAAGAAATCAAGTCGTCCCTTTGTATCACGCATACTCCAAGCATGTCAGGCACTCAGTGGAGCCGCAAGCTCCAGCCCTCCAGCCAGACAAACCCCACAACAAAGGGCACCCCAACGTCCAACCTCACCAATACCACAGTACCTCCTACTGTACCGTACGACCATTCTCCAGTCCACATAAGACCCTTAATCCAAGATATACATCCATGCCACCACCCCAATCCACAAACACACCCACCATGCCCCCCCAACTCGACCCCGTCGACAAGCGCCAAGCCGCCCGCGAAGTCATCGACATCCTCCAAGAGATCTCCGACCTGCTGGTCCGTACCCCACGCGCTAACTAACCCAATGCTACTTATCTTGAAACGATAGACTAACTTGTTCTTGCAGAATACAAATCTCGACCGTACAGAACTATCATTGTGCGTGTCGTTGATTGAGAATGGGGTGAATCCCGATGCGCTTGCGGTACGCGTCCATCCCCCGAGACTGTTTAAAGCGCGTTAAGACGCGATTTTGACGGACTTAATTGCTGATTGTGATTCCAGACTGTTATTAAGGATTTGCGTAAGGAGGCTGCTAGTACCAAGCGGGTTTCTAATGCGCCTTCTGCTACGACGGAGTAATCGAGTGTTCTTGCTGGGGATGAGATGATGCATTTTCTTTTGGGTTGTGGCGTTACATGATTGAACGGGTTTATTTGATAGATACCCTCTTTGCTGCTTGTCTTGTGCGGCTTGTTATTGTTCAAAGATGAGAATTCGAGACTTCTGTGGTATAGTCGGTCATGGTTACTTTTACGTAGTGTGTAGATCGAAGCATGATCCTATGTAGATGCTGGAGCATATGAAAAATACCCAGGGCAGGCTGGAATTGGAAGTGTAAACTCGAGGGGGAATTTCAGGGCACGAGAAGCAACGATTACAGATCCAGTAAAGACAAAAAAAAAGTTAATTCGTCCACCTGGTTTACTTGGACGAATCTCCGGTCTTCTTGTCATCCGTCGATGACCCAATCTCGCCGGACATCGCCTCGGCGGTCGCCTTCTTGAGCTGCTCGCTCTCGGGGACGGTGGTCTGCTCCTTGGTCTTGGTATCCTTCTCGTCATCGCTGTCACCGAGGCTGAACGGGTCGTTCTCGGCTACTGGGGAGGGCTCGACGGTGGCCAAGGGTTGCCACTTGCTGGACTTGCCGCTGGTTGGAGCGCTGCGCTTGTTCGGAGTGGCATCGTAAAGGTTATCGATCTCGGTGGGAGGGCCGTCTTGGAAGGAAACCCTCCTACCCGGGGACGGCGATGCAGTCTTCTTGAGCCCGGTGCTGCCGGGACGAGGAGGGCGTGCGGGAGGGACTGGTATTTCCAATTAGTTGTGACCAGAGATTGCCAGATTCAAAACACTCACCTTCGCCATCCCTCAGCTCAAGCGCTGAGAAATCATCACTCAGCACTTGGGGGTCTGCATCGTAACGCTCACGATCCCCACTGCGGCGGCCCATCTCGCCGCTTCGTCGTGGGCGGCCATACGCCGAGGTCTGTTGCTCATAGCGTTGACTAGAGTGTGCTTGTTCCTCTTCCTCCTCCTCACCATTTAATTGCTTCTTCAGGTTCCCGAACCACGAGTTTACCTTTGTCTGTGTCTCCAAGAATCCCTTCTTGAAGTTCTCGCGGATTACCGGTAGATCATCTGCAGATTGCCCCGCGGTCAGCACCAGCGCACCTCTTCAAGAATTGTCTCTATTGGTTACCTTCGAAGAAGTTGTATTCCTTGTCCTCCGAGTCCTCGCTTCCCCGGGGCTGGCGATACCGAGGGTCATTCTCCCATCCTGGGGCTGGAGCCCGGCGTTCACCAGGGGCATTGTAGTGCTGAGCCAATTGGCGCGCATATTGCTCATCGGCTTCAAGTTGTCGCTGCGTGGTAGAGGTGGCGGTCTGAGTGGGACGAGGAGGTTTAGGGGGAGGAACCATATCCTCCTGAGCAGTAGGATCGGTCATGCCTGGAAGCTGGGGGTTAGCACTTGACCACCATTTTATTTCGAGGGCAGGTTACGAACCCAACAGGGCATTGAATGCGCGCTCGACATTCCAATTGCTAGCATTCAAAATAGCCTTGACTACCGCAAGGTCAACCGTTGGGAATGCCTCCTTTAGTGTGTTCACCGACTGTTCTCGGGGGCTCATGGGCCGCGGCGGCTTCGGCGGGGCAGCTGGGGGTGTCTCGGTAGCAGTCTGCTGCGCCGAGGGTGCGTTATTGCCGCTGGAAGTGATGCCAGACTCTTGCGGTTCATCGTCAAAATCCAGAGGTCGTGCAGTAGTGGGCGACTCAGCGCGAGGGCTGTTCGGCGCAACTGCAGCCGAGGGCTTGCTAGGAGTGGACTGTGAGAGTGAGCCTCTGCTTCAGAGCTGCAGGCCAGAGCCTATACATACAGTCTTGTCCTCCTCCGACATGTTGGGTATGTTCGTGAGAGATGAAACAACTAGCGAAAGCACCCGCAGATAATATCGGAAAAATAGTGTTGCCTGTAGAAAGAAAGGGAAGAGGCGAAGCAGGCAGACCACATTTGGGGAAGCTCCAAACAAGTGACGTGGGGGTGCACGTGATGTGCGGGTAACTTTTATAGAGCCATCCTTCGCGGTTGAACATTGCAGAGCCTCCTTGATTGGATCAACAATGAGATAGCAGCATAGTACCGGGTCTTCCAGAATGATGCTGCTATGCTGTCCACAAATATTGTTCCCATAAGTTAGGGAGATTCATTTCAAAAAGAGCCAAGTTTTACCCTTCATCTCAACACATTCTTTTTCCGTTTCCAAAGATGGCTTCTGAGCTGGAACTCTCAAGTGGCTTTATCCCTGCACTGTACAAGCCAGCGACTCTGCTACCAATCGCAAGACACAAGCAGAGCCTACTCTACCTGGTCGAGAAATATCAGGTCACTATTGTTGTTGGGCAGACGGGAAGTGGAAAAACAACACAGCTTCCCCAGTATCTCGACCAGGCTGGTTGGTGCGAAGATGGCAAGTCTATTGCTGTAACGCAGGTATGTCATCTATAAATATACCCTCAAAGATTCAGCCATTGATCGTAACCTCATAGCCCCGTCGAGTGGCTGCCACCACGGTTGCGACTCGCGTCGCAGAGGAGATGCGATGCAAGATTGGCGAAGAAGTGGGATATTCCATCCGCTTCGAAGATGTGACATCTGCTGCGACCAGGATCAAATTCCTCACTGATGGAATGCTTCTCAGAGAGGCGTTAGTAGATCCTCTGCTATCTCGGTATTCTGTGATCATGGTCGATGAAGCCCATGAGCGATCCATTAGCACCGACGTTCTTCTGGGAATTCTCAAAAAGATCATGAAGAAACGCCCCGAGCTTCGTATAATCATCAGTAGTGCGACTTTGCAGGCGGAAGATTTCCTCCGCTTCTTTGCTGGCGATGAATACAAGCCAGATGCCGATCCAGCTGATCTAGGCGGCGGCATCGGGAGAATCATCAGCTTGGAGGGCAGGATGTATCCTGTTGATACGCTATTCCTTGAGAATCCTGCAGAAGATTACGTTGAGCGGGCAGTCAAGACTGTTTTTGATATCCACGCCCAGGAAGCAGAGGGTGATGTGCTTCTGTTTTTGACTGGCCGCGAGGAGATCGACCGTGCAATCCAGTTGATATCTGAGCGTGCTGCATATCTAAACCCAAAGGCTCCTTCATTACTCACTCTCCCACTTTATGCTGGTCTTACCACGGATCAGCAGATGTACGTTTTCGAACCGGCACCCGAGAACACGAGAAAAATCATAGTGTCGACGAATATCGCAGAAGCATCAGTCACGATCGATGGCATTGTCTACGTGATAGACTGTGGCTTTGCCAAGCTGAGAGCTTATAACCCAAGCACCGGTATCGAAACCTTGACGGCTGTACCTATATCAAAGGCATCCGCCACACAACGTGCTGGACGTGCCGGCCGAACGAAGCCTGGAAAATGCTTCCGTCTTTACACCCAACAGACATACGAGCAACTCCCCGAGGCTACGGTACCAGAAATCCAGCGGTCAAACCTAGCTCCGATCGTTATGCAGCTCAAAGCACTGGGCATTGATAACATTGTTCGCTTCGACTTTTTGACATCACCACCAGCAGAGCTCGTGATGCGTGCCTTTGAGCTGCTGTATTCCCTTGGGGCGGTGGACGATTATGCCAAACTTACAAAACCCATGGGAATGCGGATGGCTGAACTTGCCGTTGACCCGATGATGGCAAAGGTTCTTCTCGCTGCTCCTTCGTTCAAATGCTTGAGCGAGATTCTCACTATCGCGGCTATGGTGAGCCTCCAAGGAACGGTGTGGGTACAGCATGATGGCGATAAGAAAACCGCAGAGAGTCACCGACGGAAATTCGCCGTCGAGGAAGGTGACCATCTTACCTACCTTAATGTGTACCAAGCATTTGTGACCAAGGGTAAGAAAGATTCGAAGTGGTGTCGTGATCACCTTTTGAACTATCGAGCCCTCCTGCGTGCTGTCAGTATCCGCGGCCAACTCAAACGGTACCTAGAGCGCTTTGGTATCCAGGTTGACGAGAGTCTCTCGACTCGTCATAGTGCTGGAATCAGTACATCCCCGGAGCAGATCCAGCGGTGCCTCACGACGGGCTATTTTGCTCATGCGGCAAAGATGCAGCCCGACGGCACTTTCAAGACTGTTAGTGGAGGGTTGACTCTCCATGCTCACCCTAGCTCTTTGATGTTTGTAAGTGTTCTTCATTTCCTCTTCTCGTTCTATGGGTAACTAATATATTGGCCAACAGAATCGAAAAGCGGACTGGGTGATATTCCATGAGATCATGCAAACCGGCAACAAGACCTACATCCGGGACGTCACCAAGATCGAGAAAAGCTATCTGCTAGAATATGCCCCAGATTATTACAGGGTTAAATGATAAGCGGGATCGTTTTCAACACAGATATACCATTGGATAGACTATCATGCATGACTTTTACCTTAATTCCGGCCTATCCTCATTGCGGTCAAAGGGAGGCTATTTGTTGATCTTTCTAAATCAAGTAAAAAAGTAGAAATAAACATGAGAGAGGATTCAGGGAATGATTAACTATTTTCGAAATCATTAATTAGCCCTTCTTTGTAGTTTTCGTTTTCGATGGTTAGGCATCTCTATAGAGCTCGGAGCTACGTCACCGGTGCGGAGGAACGCCGCGCCGATAAAACCAAACTTTCCGTTCTTCCCTTTGATTGTTGTTCGCTCGCGTCTCGCGTCTGTGACTCCACTCTCCTCATTAAACATCCGTGAAATCTTACAGACCACTGCTCAACAACTAAGCTCATCATGTCCGGCCACCATCATCACCACGGTGGTGACGGGCATGGTCACTGCCATGATGAGCACGATCATTCCAACGACATCACCCCCGCGCTGCAGTCGCTGCTCTACTCACAGATCGACTTTGATTCGATTACTACCTTGAATGGTATGTAGGCTATGGGATGACTTCTGCTTTGATATCTTATCATACTACACAGTCAGAACTAATGGCCTTGTTCAGAGGCGACTGTTAAGGGCGGCGCCGGCATTGTCAAGAAGACCTGGGCCGAGCGATTGAACGACCACCCCGAGCTTGAGAGCGACGCCGACGAGCAGCTCCTCATGCACATTCCGTAAGCTTTCTTGTTGAGATGCCTGCCTTTTTGCTTCTTTTGTTCCCTGTTACAAAATTCGATATACCTACCCCACTTTATGCCCCTCATCTTATCGCGGAAAGAGCAAAGCTAACACGAAACAACCACCAGCTTCACCGGCCAGGTTAAACTTCACTCAATCCTCATCTACACCGCACCCACCCCCGCTGCCCCCAAGACTCTCAAGCTTTTCAAGAACCGCGACGACCTGGACTTCTCCACTGCCTCCGACCTCCCCCCAACCCAGACCATCGAGGTCCCACAGCCCGTGGCTGGCGAGGACGTCTTTGAACTACCTTTGAATCGCGCCCATTGGAATACCACTACCTCCATTACCATCTTTATCGAGGATAATTGGAGCGATGGTGACGAGGATGTCACCAAGGTTGGCTACATCGGCTTCAAGGGCCAGTTCATGGCGTTGAACCGGGAGCCCATCAGCTTCTTGTACGAGGCTGCTGCAAACCCCAGTGATCACGTTGCGATTCCTGGAATCAGTGACGCCGGAGCTCGCACCATGCCTGGCCAGTAAGCTGTGGCTTTTGTCTACTTTGGATCGTAAGGATTGAGCACTTCGGGAAGGATTGTGATACCAGAATGGAAAGGGACTTTCCAATGTATTAATGAGTTCTACATGAAGAATAACGAATCATGAATCAAACGCAGTACAAATATGCCACCAACGCCTCCCAATGCTTCCGATCAAGTAATGCAAGTGACCGATCTTGTATGAATATCCCCCGACAGAGTATCTTCACGACGCTAGGACAGGCGTCCGGGCCTTGGCCTTAGTCTTGGCCTCGGGCTGCTCTTGCGCTGGCTCCCCCAGCACTTCGTCGCCGTGCTCGGGGAGAGGAGCCTGAGGGACTGCAGGTAAGTCGACAGGTCCAACGACCTCTTGCCGTAGAGCCTCCAGTTCATCTTCAACGTCCTCCTCGTCCTGCGTCGACAAACTGCCCTCCAACATCTGGCTCACCTCCTGAATTTGACCATTAGCCATCCCGCCTTAAAAGAAGAAAGCACCCGCACTATACTTACCTCTTGGTAAGCGCGAGCTTCTGCCGTTTCCTCCATCAACCGATCCACAGCCTCAATCCCACCAATCTCCTTGTTGATAGCCTGCAACACTTGGGTACCTTGCTGTAACCCAAACAGCACATCCTTCTGTACGAGTGCAAACTCGACCTGGCCCGTCAACTGTTCCAACTGTGCGAGTTGACTATCGGTCTTGGAGAGGAGTGATTCTTGGTATTTCTTGCGCCGGAGAGCGAGTAGAGCTCGCCGCCGATCACCGCGGGCGAGACATTCCTTTGCAATCGCGGTTTCCCGGTCGGTGAGGACGGTGATGCGTTTCTGATACTGGTATATCTTATCGCGCTGGTTCTTGAGATCGAGAATTGCTCTGCATCATGGAGAATTATTGAATGTTAGCCAGTGAGTCATTATGTTTTGGCTTGTAGAGGCCGTCCGGAGGGGTCTGATCGGTCTCGTGAGGGGCAACAATGCAGATATGACGCTGCCTGTAGCATATCTCCAAATATGTGTACTCTAGAGGCAATACCAAATAGACTCATGACTTACCGATCCTGTGAAGAAATCTTTTGCGAACTGCTGGAGTTCCCCATCGCGCATTTGCGGTGTTGACGAGGCCGTAGTCTAGCAGGAACGGTCAATCGGGGGATGACGTTGGTCCGTAATGCGGCTACCGCCCCGATACCGAGAGATAACGATACGAGTATTTTTCACCGTCTTCCGCTTCCCCAATTTTTTTTTGCGGACTTGCGATATCGCACTCCGAGACACACATCATGGCGCCCAGATATCGTGGGGGTAGACCGACCCTCAGCCAAGGTTTGGACCGTGAGGTATGGACTGTTGATCGTGCTATCTGAATGTCGCTCACGCCCCGCGCAGGTCTACCAGGTTGTGCGCAAAATTATCGACGATCAGCCCGACGGCGTGGACCGAGTTCGCCTTACAGTCCCGGTTATCTATGCGCGGATCCGAGGATCGAATTCGAGTTTGAACCGGAAGCCGAAGAAATTGTTGGAGGATAGTTTGGAGCGGGTTTTGGAGGTGGTGAAGAGTGATTTGTTTGGTGACGAGGAGGAAGAATCCGTGGAGGGTGACTTTGAAGGCTTGGAGGAGCCTCCTGCTGCGGTATGAAGCATACCCGTCTGAGAAATTTGGTCGCAATGGTATACTAATTAGGTTGGTCTCAATTCTAGGAGCCCAATGGTGTGAACCAAAGCATTGTCGGCGCATGGTCGACACCAGCAGCCTCGAAACCTACTCCCGCACCCAAAGCCGAGTCCGCGAGCACATCCAAAACCTCTTCGAAGCGACGGACACACGGCAGCGAGTCTGTATCCAAGCGGCGCAAGGCCGAGGCTGCGGTTGACCGATCACCCCCCACGCACGTCAGTCTTGCAGACCTGGGCGGATTGGACGATGTTGTCCAGGAATTGGGTGATTTGGTTATTCTGCCAATGACCCGGCCACAGGTCTACCTCTCATCCAATGTGCAACCTCCGCGAGGTGTTTTGCTGCATGGACCGCCTGGTTGCGGTAAAACCATGATTGCCAATGCGTTCGCGGCGGAGTTGGGTGTCCCCTTCATTGCCATCTCTGCACCCTCGATTGTGTCGGGTATGTCTGGTGAATCGGAGAAGGCTCTGCGTGAGCACTTTGAAGAGGCGAAGCGCCTTGCTCCCTGCCTGATCTTCATTGATGAGATTGATGCGATTACACCCAAGCGTGAGAGTGCGCAGAGGGAAATGGAGAAGCGAATTGTCGCTCAGCTTTTGACCTGCATGGATGAGATTGCTCTCGAGAAGACAGATGGCAAGCCCGTTATTGTTCTTGCGGCTACCAACCGCCCGGACAGTCTGGATGCAGCATTGCGTCGCGGTGGACGATTCGACAAGGAAATCAACATGACTGTACCCTCAGAGCCTGTCAGAGAGCAGATCTTGCGGGCTCTTACACGGAAGCTGCGTTTGGCAGACGATTTGGACTTCAAGACTCTGGCCAAGAGAACTCCTGGTTTCGTCGGAGCCGATCTTAATGACCTTGTCTCAACTGCAGGTGCTGCCGCTATCAAGCGGTACCTCGATATCCTCAAATCTAACAGCGGCGAGGAGATGGAGATGGAGATTGAGACCGAGGAAGGAGGAGACGACATTATTAGCCCTAAGGTTCGGGAATTGCGCCGTCTGATCACTCATGCCAAGGAGAACCCCATCGGCGAAGAGACAGAAACCGTTCTTGTTTCCAACGCCGACTTTTTCACCGCACTCCCCAAGATCCAGCCCTCATCTAAGCGTGAAGGCTTCGCCACTATCCCCGATACAACCTGGGCAGACATTGGTGCTCTTGGTGGCATTCGCGAAGAACTGTCCACCGCCATTGTCGAACCCATCAAGAACCCCGAGATCTACGCCCAAGTCGGTATCACCGCGCCTACAGGCGTCCTCCTCTGGGGACCCCCAGGTTGCGGTAAGACACTCCTGGCCAAGGCCGTGGCCAACGAGTCCCGCGCCAACTTCATTAGTGTCAAGGGTCCAGAGCTGCTCAACAAATTTGTCGGAGAGTCCGAACGCGCCGTGCGCCAGGTCTTCGTCCGCGCTCGCTCCTCCATTCCTTGCGTTATCTTCTTCGACGAGCTGGATGCCCTCGTGCCCCGCCGTGACGATACCCTCTCCGAAGCATCTGCCCGCGTCGTCAACACCCTCCTCACTGAGCTGGACGGTCTCGGCAGTAGCCGCCAGGGTATCTACGTTATCGCAGCTACTAACCGTCCCGACATCATCGACCCGGCTATGCTTCGCCCCGGTCGTCTCGAAACCCTGTTGTTCGTCAACTTGCCCTCCCCGCTCGAGCGTGTGGAGATTCTTCAAACGCTGCTGCGCAAGCTCCCTATCGAGTTCAACGAGGACATGCGCCGGCTTGCGGAGGAGTGCGAGGGATACAGTGGTGCGGATTTGGGAAGTTTGTTGCGCCGGGCTGGTTACTCGGCTATCAAGCGTCGCGATACTATCCGTTTGGAGGACTTTGTTACTGCAAAGTCGTTCATCAGGCCTAGTGTTACGGATATGAAGAAGTATGAGCGGCTGAGGAGGGATTGGGGATCTGGTGCTGTTTGATACGGCCCTACATAATGATGAGGGTTCTTATTTAAACTAAAGCTTTTGGTTACTGGAACCATCATTGGACATATATTCTCCGCGTTGAGACTGTTTATTATTTGGGCACCGAATTTATAGAGTTGGTGTTGAGGCGAATCATACATATGATGAGATTTATGAGACAGACTTGGTCTTGTTGGAGGGTCCTCGAGCTTTCTAGGCGCTGTATCTTGCCACCCTGTGTCTTGCCGCTCGACATCATGAAACTTACTAGATTCATGCCTCCGATGAGATGGTAAGGGTGTCTTTATCCACTGATCTTTGTATTCAAACTTCCGTAGGGTGCTGCCTGTAGACCTCTACACCCAAACCAGAGAATTGAGTTAAGGGGCTAGATTCATTGATCATATGTCGATTCGTTTCAGTAATGCCTAATGTGCATGTGCAAACATCTGCCCAATATACAAAAAAAGATCGCTAAATCCCAAAAACTCCATTCATGGTGACCATGAATATCGAGGTTCAAGCCCCCGATCCCAACGCCGCAAAGGCCATCAAAGCAGCCCACCCTCCAACAAGAACCACAGTCAAAATACCAGCACCCGCCTTGTCCCCGGTGGTAACAGGCTTGGGAGTGTTATCCTTCGTGCTCTGCAACCCTGCGTTAGGGTCACTCGTACTATTCCCACCAGTATTCGACGTGACCGGCGCCACAGCCTTCGCCCCAACAAAGGGCAACAAATTCGCACTGAACACTTGACTAACGCTAATCTGCTCTTCCATCCCCGTCCATCCATCCCACTGCGACTTGTACCATTGCACGCCGCAGGTGTAGTTGTTGTTGCCCGTGCAGGACTTTGCAGCTGCGACGGCGGAGGATTGGAGTTTTGGCATGATTAGGTCGTATGTTTTTGGGACAACGAGGGCGACGTAGGAGAGCCATGTTGAGAGGAGGCCTTTGAAGAGGACTTCGTTGTTGTTGCAAATTTCTCGCGGTTCGCAGGTTATGTCTTCCATTACGTAGCCGCTTTCTTGTCGGAAGAAGGTTTGCAGGGTTATGTTTAGGAGGCCGTTTGTTGCGTCGAGCCATTTGGAATCTCCGGTCTGGTTGGGATTGGAGTTAGTTTGATCATTTGGTATAAAGAAAGGGTATAGTATTTCGGAGACTCACGTAGTTGTACATATAAGCAGCACCCATCAGATACGTGCCATAGTTGTACGTCCACGGGATATTAGCTCCATTCTTGCAGTTCTCCGTTCCTTCAGTCGAGTCCTGCACAATCCACGTCTTGTTGTTGACTAGTGGCGAGTTGACGGACCAATCCCAGACCTTACTCGCCCATGTCGCGTATTCGTTGTTATCCGTGTACCGGGCAAGTCGTGCAGCAAGCTGGAAGAAGCCGCCGTTAGAGATGGCATTTTTCATAGTAGACCCACTCCCCTGGTATGAGAACATCTGCCAGGTCAAACCTCCGCCGCACATTGTCGTATCCCATCTACCCTTTTGCGAGTTGAAGACACCTTGTGCGAGCGAAAGCCACGAGAATCCATTCGAGACGTCGGGGAATTTCAACTCGGCTGCAGTCATCGCTGCAAGGCCCCAGAACACTTGGTCATCGTTGCCCTGCACGTGTAACATCATTAGCCTAGATGCAAATAGAGCGATGGGATGGAGGCTGATGCGATCGCAACGGTTTGTCTTACCAGGAAATGGCTATAGTTACTGGGCAAGTAATCCCCATTTGTGCCCGACTGCCATTGCAATCCAACACTCAGTTCGTCATTGTAGGTATTGTCGCCCGTAAAATGCCAGTAATTGAGAAGCGCATAGAACAAGGCGGAGCCTTCCCACCATTTTGAAGGGAAAGCTCCAGGGATTTGTCCGGTTTCGTTGCCGTGATACCAGACCATCATCCCATAGGTAGCGGTTGAAGCGGCATCTTTGATCGATTCTGTTCGAGGCTCGCGAGCATAGTTAGCCAAGTCAAAGAATGTAAACGTAACGGAATTAGGGTGTAGGCTGCAATATATTACTAACGTTCATTGTTGATATCGAGCTCGATAGCATGAGCTTGATAGCCCAGTGTTAGCGCATAAAGAATGACTGCGCATATTGAGCTTGTTCCGCTTATAAGCATCGCCGAGGAAAAGTATCGAACCGAAGCCGATCGCTCGAAAGAAAGACGTCAAAGGGCCGTGGATATCCGTATGATTTGGTTTCAATCATTTGACTCGAGGATAGCTTGTCTGGAGTCCATAAACCAGAAAAGAGTAGTATGTGTGGCCTGCTGCCGACTTGAAAAGTTATGCAAGCCTTGTTATGTCATTAGGGCCCTCAAAGATTTTAAGATGAACATAGGCGCTGGGCTTGAAAAAGTGGGATTCCTACAGTAATAATGTCGGTGGATTCGGTCACAGCCGCATCAGCAGGGTCTGAATCGACCCACGCAATATGTACAGAGTCATTGGTTGGAGGGAGGTTGTACATTGGTTGGTTACTTCACATATGGGGTAAGGTGGGGTATGCTGTAACATGCTGACTTGTCTAGCCGATTTGATTTTCGGGGGCTGTATATGATCACGTCAAATAGTTGGAACCAGGGATCGTCAGGAGCTTCTTAGCCATATACCATGATATGGCATGTTCTAGATTATGGGGGCTAACTATCCGTGTCTCATATTCACTGCCACAGTAGGGCCATATGAATGTCTACAATATCCATGTACATTTATCCCAGTCCAGAGTTGTATCGCATGGGGCCAACTCCAATAATGACAAGCGCCTTTAAGCCGGGGCCATGCGCCCTGCGACCCTGGACTGTGTCATTAAAACCCGCGAGCCTTGAAGAAGCTCCACTAAAGAACATCCTTCCGGATCGCTCGGCCAGTCAATATCCAACGAGCGAGATCGGGGGGCCATCTGAACCGTTCGACTATTTTTGTCTCGTCGATCATTTGCCGTATATATCGAGGACCCTTGACATCATCGGGGACGGACCCTTAAATGCTGACTGGGTCCACTGGCAGGTCTGTCTTGGCGCTTGGCCATGCGTACGTGTACGTCCAGCGCTTGTTTTATAAGGATTGCTTGTCAATTGGAATGGGACTTTGGTGGGGGAAGAACGGGATCTGGTTAACTCCGACACAACGGTCATCTATTTAGTTATGAAGCTGCCTAATTAGATTTCCGTTTCTAGTAATGTTCCTTCAAGATAGGCTGTTCCGGCATGAAAAGAACGTCGCAAATCAACCGTAGGAGCTCCGTCCTAATTTTAAATTAGAAACCATCGATGTCGTTCAATATTCTCCATGGCTTCCAAAAGTCTATACAGTAAAGATCCTGCGCTCTTGCATACATATGATATCTCCTAGCAATAATGTCCCAAACTAATTTGTCGGGAGCAGAATTCAAGTTGTAAGATTTCAAATATGGAAAAACAACTATCAAGATTCGGGCTTCGTGGTTATCTAAGCTCAAATAACTGCTATAGGCAAGAAAGAAATCAAAAATATGAGGGGAGAACTCTTTGCTAAGCTTTTACGATCTTGAAGCTTGACCTCGTCTACGAAGCCATTCTGAACTTTAACTATATCGCGATATGAACGGATTGAGAATTTTCAGACATGATAATCGCTATTCTAATAGTCCAGGCTATGGTTCCTCACAAGGTAGTATAATTTCGTAATCAAACAATGAATACCTCAGAGCCTCTCAAACCCTGCGGGTACATTATAGTCACCCTGAATCCACCCTCGAACGGTATTCGCAAATAGAAGCGGATCTTGGCGATTCCATGGATGCCGCATCAAAGGATGAGTGACAGCTATCGTCTTATCGTTCATCTCCTTGCCAATAGAAGCCAACTTCTTGGCATCTTCGGGATGATCATAAGAAGGTACCAGCCCTCCCCGGCCCGCAGCGATGATCAGCGTTGGCGCAGGCCAGGCAGCCGGATAGGTAGCCGTTTTCATCGTCTCCGCAAACTGACGACACAGTTCCAGCGAGGGCGAAACCCGGCGTATATCTGTCCCATCCATGAGCCATCTAATCGCTGGTCTTGGGGCGAGATTCTCCACGCGATTCATTGTCCACAGGATATACGATAGTCGGTCGCTCGATGGTAGTGAGGGGTATATTTCCCATCCTGAGATGACCATATGATCGACTACGCTGGGGTATTTTTCGGCTAGTCGGATGGCGACTTGAGCTCCTAGGCTGTGGCCGACGACATGGGCCTTGCTGGCGACTGTTGATTCTTGGATCAGGGCGTGTAATGCATCGGCTGCGTTGTCGAGGGTAAATGTTCCACCGGTTGATCCATGGCCGGGAAGATCTGGGGCCAGAATGTGAAATGACTGGTCAAGGTGGGATATAACGGGTTCCCAGTCTGAGGATGTAGTAAACGCCCCATGGATGAGTAGGATAGTTGCTTTGTCGCTCGTCTCGGTCATTCTGATTCTCGCTCGGTTGTCAGGATTTAGAAGTGAGATGGGACTAGCTTCATGTGGATGACTTACCACCAAGGTGATTACGCACACATCCCATAGCGCTGTTTGTTGGGGGCGGTTTTGTGGTCCAAGGGGTAGCGAAAGAGGAATCTAGAGATTAGAGAAACGGCCCAGCCAAATATGCTTAACTTGATTATCTTTCTAGAAAGAAACCGAATTGGTCTTTCTTCATGACTCGAGTATTAGATTTTAGTTAGTTGTTCAATCTGTGCCAGAAAGGATAACGTTAAACACCACTAAATATACTGCATATACCCCACGATCTCAGAACACGGACATAATGTTTAGTTACCATTTGACTCCAATTAGATTCAACTCTGGAAATCAATAGTGCACTTTTAGCTCATTCGTATCTCAGTTACCAGATCAATCTTACCTCTCTATAACCCATTGTAAAAGCCATGTAAAATACCGTTAAATTTCAAAGATTTCAGTTATGCCTAATGCACGGAGTATCGGCAATATGTGGCCAGAGTAATATGAATTGCCTCTTCGGGTTCGCGCCCTCGTATAGAGTGCCGACCCCCTCCCGCAATCTCGTAGACAAAAGCCTTAACATTCGACGCCTTATTCCGATGAGAAGTCTCTAGAGAGCTCGAATCACTATGTCCTTCTTGTATAGATGGATCAGCCCTCTATATGATGCCTTCTTCTGCCCTTCCCTACCATTCACAATACGCTGGCGTCTCATCGCCTTCCAACCGCTCCTCTTCCTAACAAACACGATCCAATACTTCCAGGGAACCACCTTACTTTCGCAGAATGAGACCGTCATATGGATCCCATTAAGTCGTTCTCCAGGCTACTCAGTTCGTGCCATAATCTATCATCCACCTAGACAAGAGTCGCGCTCAGAGAAAAAACCGCTCCATCTCAACATTCACGGCGGTGGCTTTCTCGGTGGTCTACCAGAAGGCAACGCGCCTTTCTGTCGCAAAGTCTCAGCGGAAACCGGAGCAGTTGTTGTCTCCACCTCGTATCGATATGCCCCACGCTATACATTCCCAGTCGCGCATGTGGATGTGCAAGATGTCGCGGGCTGGCTGATTAAAAATGCGGATAGACTTTGGGGTGCGGATCCGAGGCTGATGAGTGTGAGTGGATTTTCAGTTGGAGGGAATCTTGCACTGGGCATTGCGCAACGATTGTTTCGTACGGAGTTCAGGGTCAAAGCAGCTGTGCTGTTCTATACACCGGTAGGTAAGACCGCTTGCTCCCTTTTGTTGGGAGACTATAATGCATAAGCTGATCAGAGGCCTGGTATACAAGGTTGATTTCCGTTTACCACCATGGGACAAGCCGAAGCCGGCTGGGTTTCCAGCCAAGGATCCTTTATCTTTCATATTACCGCTCATGGATGCCTATGCTGGTCCAGAGAGGGCCGAGAACATGGACTATCCCTTACTACATCCTATATTCGCCTATATCGAATCCCTGCCACGCAAAATGCTGATTATTGGAGGAAAGGTCGACATTCTCCTCCACGAGGAGATGGCCTTCGTTAAAAGGTTAGAGGAGGAGGCTGAAATTATTAACCAGAGAATCAAATCCTCGCCCGGCGCAAAAGGACGCTCACTGGATGAAACCTACCACATTGAGAGCGAATTCGTTGATAATCAGATACATGGATGGCTTGAGCGTATGATATCGCAACTCTCTATTAGAGCTCCGAACTCAAGGCTAACTCGAATCTGTACTACCAGTTCCCTCAAAGTTCATTGACGCCAAATTGAGGGATAGAATCTTCAATGATGCCGTCCATTTTCTGAATAACGTCTATAATGAATCTATCTAAGGCGAAACAAGCTCTATTCGTACTAGCATACGTGTATCCTCGTTTGAAATGTTTGAAAACAACTTTTATAGAAGTATGGCTATACAGAAAATACTATGCACACACACATACGACAGAAACGCCTGAAAGAGTATCATGCAAAACAAAGACCGAAAGAAATGATTACATCCACAAACGACACGTGCCATCAGCACCGGCACTAACACACCAAGCCTCCCGCGGGTGCCAATCGATATCGAGGACACCCAGCTCGCCGGTGATCTTGTGGCCCTTGAGAACCTTGAGGGGAACAATGGTGGCGTTGCTGAGCATGTCACCCGTAACGCTGCCGTGGAAGATCTGCAGGGAACCGTCGTCACTGGCGTCGGCGAACAGTGGGTAGCGACCACCGGGGTGGAACTTGACAGCACGAATAGCCTTGCGGTGATACCGGAGGGTCTTGTAAGGGCGCTGCGACAGATCCAGATCGTGCCAGAGCAGGCGACGGTCGTAAGAACCGACAATGATGTTGTCACCACCCGAGGCAGTAGATGAAGTCGGGTGAATATCAAAGGACGAAATCCAGCGGGCACCGGGCTGGACAATCTTGACCAACAATTGCCGAGAAAGATCGTAGCCACGGATGGAGCGCTGGTTGGCGACGAACAGAATCGGTTTCGAGGGGTGGAAGTGGGCAGTCTGAGGGGGGGCCACCACCCTTGAGGCGTCGACGGAAGGGATACTGGGTAAGATGCTTGGAGACGGTGTGGATCGCGATGGCCACGGAAGCAGGGGTCGATGCACCCGAGCACACAGTGACGAAGTAGTCTCCGCGGCGGTGCCAGGAGATCGACTTGGGAACGTAACGAAGAGGAATAACCACGCACACACCGGCGTCCGCGAGCTCGGAAGAAGGTCGGATCCATTGGGGAGGAGTGTTCTTCTTGTTGGCCTCCGCAGCACTCGGGGGAGGGTTGGAGGCGGCGTAACCCCAGCCAGCATCGATAATATCCAAGCTGGCCTTTTCGATCTCGGGGTCGGCAATCATTGGAGGAACGGTAAGGAAAAGGTCGTCACCCGCAGCAGCAGCAAGAATGACGGCATCCTTGCCAGGACGCCAGCGGACAACGTTGACGGCATCCTCGTCGCTGAGCTTAACACTCCAGAGTTGGCGACCGGTAAGAATCTCCCAAACGCGAACGGTACCATCGTCACCACCAGTAGCGAGCCAGATTCCAGTGGGGTCCACGTTGAGGGAACGAACACGACCCTTGTGACCACGGAACACCGTCGCGCAAGTAGTAGGGAACGGCTTCAATTCCTCAGGGCTGGGCAGCTTGGGCAAGAGACTCTCGGGGTCGATGTTCAGCTTGCTGCGGCGCACACGAGGAGCAAGGTACAGATCCAAGCAACGCTCGAACTTCTCCTTGACAAAGTTCTCATAACCAGGAACCCTGCGAAGAGAACCAAAGTCATTGGGCAAGAACTCCTTCTCACGGTCTTCGGGGTCTGTCTGCTCCCACTCCTTGCGCTCCTTCTTATCGGGCAGGTACTCGGGAGGAGGGTGATAACTCTCCTCGTAACCGGGCGGCGGAAGCTTGGGTGCGGGAATGTGCATAATGTGATCGGGTCGCTCGACCTCATCGGCCCATAGATCGTAGTTGATGAGCTCTTCCTCCTTCTCCTCACGCTCCTCGGGGGCACGGTAGGGGAGAATGCGGCCCTCGCGGATCGCCTTCACGATCTTCATCACACGCTTAGCCTCGTGCTTGGATGGAACGAATCGGCGCTTCGGTTCGGGAGCAGCGCTGAGAGGCATGATCTCAAGCTGGCTAGAGAAGGACTCCACCAAGGGCTCATAAGGGTTGTAGCCATCGACAGTGGACTCGTTCATCTGCACCTTCTTCAGCAGCTCCAATTCCTCCTGGCTCAGCTCCAATGGCTTGCCAGTCGAAGGATCGGTAAGACCAGTCCAGCCCTTGGGCACCTCGATACTGTCAAGGAGCGCATCCAGAGCCTCGCCCTTGGCCGGGCGCATGATCCTTTTACCATTGATATCGTAACCGATGTGAGGGTATTGATCGTAGAATGACAACGGGATATCGCCAATAGTGTTGGCATTCTCCTCGACGTCCGAGTAGTCCGAGTTATCGTCCGGGTTGATCTCATCGTAGAGATAGCGCTCGTTTCCATTGGCGTCCTTCACGATACGGAAGTTGGGTTCGTTGTCGGCAGGCGTAGACTTTTGCGTCTTCTTCGGCGCCACGGGCTCGGTGTCGGAAGGAATTTCATCACTGTCTAACTCCTCCTCATCATCTTCGTCATCCTCGTCGCTGAAGTCGTCAATCAACTCGATTTCGGAGTCGCTATCTTCCTCCTCGCTCTCCGACAAGTCGTTGTTGTTGTCGGAAAGAGCTCCATCCAAATTTTCCGCGCTCAGCTCATCGCCGGAAAAGACACCAGCTTCCTCCTCCACATCGCGGGTAACCGCCTTGCGCTTCTTAGAAGCCTTCCTAGCGTCCATTGTTGCTGGCCGTTGAACTTGGAACTCTTGTCGATCTCCACGATTTTTTTTCTTCTCCGTTCAATTGGACTCACCGCTCACATGACTTACCGCCCGCAGTCCTTATCGCCTATCGATGACGGCCAAAGCGCACCTCCATCGTATTTCCAAGACAATGAACATCTACCCTTGCCCTGGTTGCACGGAATGAGAGATGGCGGCAGTCATGGCAGAGCCCGCGGGGGCTTCTCTAACAGATGCAATGTCTTCTTCGATGGCGGAACCAAAAAGACACTCAGCATGCGATGAGTGTAGTGAGTTTTCTGTCAGATGAAGGTATGGCTGAACTATGCTGACCACATACACCTTTCTAGGGAAACGAAAGCTCAAGTGCTCGGGGGAGCCCAGTGGGTGTTCCCGGTGCCTGAAGCAGTCAATAACATGCAACTATTCAGAACAGAAGCCCATGGGCCGACCACCTAAGAAACGGGCGCGGTCAGACGATGACGGAGGCGATATCTCCATGCAGGGCAACCATGCCTGGCCCACTCCAGAAGATACGCCGCCAGACTCTGTCACTATGGGACACGAGCAGGATGTGCCAACAGACGCGCTGTATCTTTGCCCACAGTTCTTCGTCCATCATGGTGGCCCGTCGCAGTCATCGGAATCAGATCTACTCGCCGGCGACGACGACCACAACCATAGCTGGCGCCCTGATCGTCTGAGAAATTCCAATCTGCCAGTTCCCGAGTCTTCAAGTCCGTGGCCTGACTTTGCAACGGTGTCCGAATCAACATCGGCGCTCTTTGCACCCCCAACAAACTTCCTTAACGCCCAATCCTTGCCTTTAACCCCTCCCATGACCAACCTCGCCGACCCCGCCACCCCGCAATGTACATGCTTGTCATATCTGTACCTCTGCCTCAGTCACATATCCTCTATCGCCTCCTTCCCCGTCAATTCTCATACGCTATGCTCCCTCTACATCGCAGCCAGAACCGCGCAGGACGTGATTCGCTGCGAAGCATGCCCCAAAAACTTTGCAACGGGCGTCCAAAACGTCATGTTCTGCGGAACCCTGCTCACAGTCGTCGCAGACGCTTGGCTACGAGTTTATACCAGCGACGCATCCGAACTGGGGCCGCAGTCTGCGCCACCAGAATATACAAGCAAAGTCATGCAATCTGCGAATCCCGCAGAAGGCTGGAAGAACTGGCTTCGTCAGATCGTCCGTCGTGCTGTAGTGGGTGGATCTCTGAGTCCAGAGGCTGGTACCCGCTGTTCTGGCCAGCGCGATCTTCTCTCTTTGATTAGAGAAGTCGAGAACCGTCAGCGACGCTGGCATACACCTGGACAGCACCCGCTACCAGAACGCCACCCCATGTATCCCATGGGCTTTGGGCATCATCAACATGATGGAGAAGAGCCTCCTGATGAAAAGGAGCTGCTGTGCATGCGCGTGGTTGGTAGCGCGAGAGCTGTCCTCTCGAAATTCAATTTCGAGCCTCATGACTTTCCCGAAGGGGTCATACCTGATGATATGAAACGAACATCACCCCCATGATAAGAGATATGAATAATGGATTGGAGTTGAGGGTGCGGCTCTTGTGCTTTTATTGGGGATTGTGTACTGGTCTACATGGAGTTTGATCAATGTTACTTGAAAAGTAATAGTTCATATATGCAAAACGAATACCTCTCAAATCTACGCTATAAGTAGCTCTCTTTCTACCTCTTAACTTTCCCGGAGCGATGTTAATGATGAAGGAAAACAGAATGCTGGTAGCTAGCCGAATTGACGCTACAAATACCAAGATGGACACTTGATTCGATCATCGATCATTTCATTACTTTTGCTAGAGAAGAATGTACTATGCGAGCCTGAAGAATTCAAGCTATAAAAGAGAACCACAGCCCCACTGAAAATGCCAACCGTTGTAAATGTGACGCCCAGGCCATGTTCAGACCGAATTGTGAAAGAAGGATTAAACAGGAAAGAAATTAAGAGATTGATGTGTTGTAGAGATCACTCATCCTCATCGTCATCATCAACCACATAACGGTTCTTCTTCCGAGCTGGTGGTGTACCATCGCCTCGGGGAGTCTCCTCTTTCCGGGTTGGCTTAGAAGGAGCAACTTCATCATCGACTTCACCCTCGGCATCCATGTCCTCATCCTCAAGCTCTTCCTCGTCATCGTCATCATCTTCCTCCTCAAGCTCCTCGTCACTCGGTACCAAGAACCCGTCGTCCTCGTCATACTCGTCTTCGCGAGTGCGACCACCACGACCCCAATCCTCCTCTTCGTCCGTCATGATTTCTCCACGACGGTTGGGGCGACGCGGCTTAGCGCGAGGGCGGGCAGTGCGTAGACCATCATCTTCCAAGCCACCAACGCTAAGACCATTGGCCATCGTACGGGGTGCGGCAACGCGGCGAGTGCGATCTGCCTCGCGGTCTGCCAACTGCTGACGGCGGCGCTCAGCGCGCATAGCTTCCCTCTCCATGAGCTCGGCCTTGCGGGCAGCGAGTTCGGGATCTTCCCTCACGTTAATCATTGGCACACCGCCGTCTGCGGTCTGCTTGTTGCCACGAGCAGCAGCAGCCAAGGACTCCTGGAGTCGCTGGACGGCATCGTCTGATTCCAGGGCCGTCGGTAGAACAGTGAGACCATGCGTGACGTGCGACGTCAGGCGGAAAAGCTCGGCCTGCTCCAGACCAGCGCCGAGGTAAACGTGAGAGTCTAGCTTTGTGGTGTATTCGCCAGACTTGGAGAGAGGTGCGAGAGGTTTGGATGACGTGCGGTATTGCTCGAGAGGTGCGGAGGCGAGCTGGAGTGTGATAGAGCCGTCTTCCCATTGAACTAGCCGCGCGTTCGACTGTAGCTTGTCTTCGTCGGCAGGATCCCTGCGCCAGCAAAGGGACGTCGCGGCCGTAGAATACGCAGGGGCAATGTAGGTCTCGGGGTTGAACTCTTCCGATTCGATGGAGAGGAAGTCAGGTACGCGCATTGTGTAGATCTGGAAATTTATTGTCAGTATAGACTCGTTGGACTCGGTATGATATTGGCGCATACCTCGGGGTCATTGGTAGCTGGCACTGGTGCGCGCGCAATGGTCATTTCGGCGATGGTGAGACTCTCCGTCTCGCCATCCGGCCCTTCGTCCATGCGATCTTCACGTCGGTCATAGCGGCCCTCATCATCTCCCGAGTCCAGTTGCTCATCATCCAAGGTACGGTGAGGTCGACTAGTCAGGATTAGTTTGTGCTTTCTGTCTGGGTAGCTTCAAAAGTGAGAACTTACTCAACATCGTCAAATCCACCGTCTGAGCCGTCAGATCCGAAGAGATCAGCATCGTCATCCATCAGATCATTACCAGCGCCATGGTTCTCAGCACCAGAGTCATTGCCAGCATCGCTCGGGTCGGGACTTTGATTGGCGGCGTTGCGTCCGGGGCGGCGGACAGCCTCCTCGTCGGAGGAGGACATGATGGTGAAAGTGGTTGAGGTGCGAGAAGAGTGTGTAGGAAGGAATAAGAAACTCCAGAGGGAATTGGAAAAGAGGAAAGAGCAATCGATCTGATCGAGTCGTTACTAGAGCTCCCCAAGGCAAGCAATCTATCGAGCCAGCCAACCTGATCCACGGACTTCAACATTCACATTCACGCGGCAATCCGGACTAACCGGATGATCCGGTCCCGGCACCCCCCAAAGGAGTTAAGTCAGCGGGCCAGACCAAAAGGGGATTCCCTGGACATCTTCACCGTCTCTCTCTTGCTTCGTGGTTAATTGCTTTTTTGTTCAAGGAATTGCTCTTTGTCTTCACAATGGCGACCTTCTTCCAGAGTGTGTAAGTCTGCTGTGCAATGGCGGTCTCATGGAGCCCCTGTCCTTCACTGTTTACTCCCCTTCGACCCAGTGCCTTTGCCCCCCCCCCTCCATACTGCATCGTTCAAGCAGTACCCGGCGCCACAAACGCAACGCAGCATTCCGGCTTCCTAAAGTCTATTAGTCGCTCTGTGTTTTATCCTGATCTGCTTCCTATCCCCTGTTTTTCATTTCAATCTCGTCTGCTTCGTCCTGAAACACACCTATTTACCCCTCAACTGTGATGTCTGGAGCTAACCCGCCCGCCTACAACAGTCGTCAAGGGTTCGGCCGGGGAGGAAACAACAAGAACAACCCTCCCAAGAGCCCGGCGCAGGCTCCCCAAGCACCCCAGGCTGGTGCCATGTCCAACTCTCCGTCCCTCACTAACAGCCTCACCATGGACAACCTCGCCGCGAACGACCCCGATGCCCCTAAGTACTTCTTCCAGGAGAAGTACGCCCCGCTGAACGTGAGGGGCAATTTCTTGACCCTGTGTGCTTGTCCGAAGAATGTGGAACTGGGCGAGTGGCTGGCTCACCAGAGTAAGCTACCCCGAGGATGACGCGCCATTCGCGATAATGAAGTCAGATTGCTGATGTGTCGGGTGTTACAGTTGTTGAACAATATCGCTTGCTCCACGGCATGCTCCAAGTCATCCAGGAGACGAACAGCGTCACTGGTCTTCCAATTTGCAATGAGAGCACATGCCCGACTATGTCGGCTGGTCGGTACGTGGAATTGGCAGGATATATAATGATGAAACCCGGGGTTGCGGGCTGACGGAGATCACTCTGAACAGGTTGACCTATACTTGGCTGGTTGACGGCCGCGCAGCCAAGATCTCCGCTCCAAAGTTCATCAACCGCGTCGAGAAGTGGATCGTCAGCAAGATCCATGACCCAGTCATGTTCCCTACGGAGAAGGTGAACGGCATCCCTGAAACCGCCTCGATGAGAGATGCCAACGGTACCTCTGCGACCCCCTCCTCCGCCACTCCTACGGATTCTACAAGCCCCGCGGGCACGACTGGCGCATCAGCAGACGAGTGGATTGGCCAATCCAGTGGCTTCCCCCAAACATTCTACAAGGACTGCCAGGGTATCATGAAGCAGATGTTCCGCTGCTATGCTCACCTGTACCACGCGCACTGGCTGAACCCATTCTGGCACCTCAACAAGCACGACATCCTGAACATGTGCTTCGTGCACTTTGTCACCGTCGCCAAGTACTACCAGCTCGTCTCGGACAAGGAGATGGAGCCGATGCAGCCGCTGATTGACCTGTTCATCAAGCAGCAGCGGGTGCCCCCAGAGGCCTTGAGCGGTGGCCACTGGGCTCAGCAGCCGGCAGCCAACTAAGCTGGCTAAACGATCATACCCATACCTAAACGACACTCCGCAGGCCCGGGAGTACAGCGACCCTCTCTTTTTCCTTTTTACGCTTGACGACACATGACCTGTTGTTCAACCGGGCGTTGGGCCATACAGCTGTTTTATGATCGTGTTTCTGCTTTTTACTGATGCCGGGAAGATGAATCGAATTCAATGTGCGACTGATGGCCAATGATCCGACACATGTCCAAGGCTCTGAGCATTTAGCATGCGGTGTGAATATTCTTTTTCTTTCTTTGTCATGATCTTTGCATATCTTCTATCAGCTAGTCATGGTGGCGTATCCTCGCAATGGAATCGTATCCCTCTGGGTGCAGATTGAATGTTCATGGGTTGGACAATGTGATAGAGTGTAAAATCTTACTGTCTCAACCGACCTCCAGCGAATTATTCGTCTCGCAATATACCGTTTTGTCTGGACAGAGCTTGAGCCCTCTCTAGCCCGGCAGCCACACTGATCCCACAGTCAACCAAATCCATGAATAGGGAGCACAGTATCCAATATCGAACCAGGACTCGGCTCTGAAGCTCTGAAGATCTTTCGTCGAATCATGTATTCGTAAATCGTAGCCAGTGTCCACGGTCTCACATTCAGAGGTACACCCCGTCATCAGCATCTTGCCCACCTGCATTCTCTTGCTCAGCAGCACCATGACCGGCCCCATTCACAACCGGAGCTTGCACCTCCTCATCCTTCTTCCCAGGCTCAATCCACACCTGCCCCCGCTTCTCAACCTCAACCTTCAACAATCCAATGCGCTCTTCCTTGCTCTTCACCACGCCCTCGTTCTCAACAATGACCTCGTCAAGAAACTTGACGCCTTCTTCTGTCTCCACGGCCTTTTCTGCTTCTAGGGCTGCGTTGGACTCGAGAAGTTTGTTGATGTCGTTGTGGAGTTTTGCCGCTTCGGCGTGCAGGGATTCGAGGGGCAGCTCTGTTATGGCTTCCGCGTAGGCTATGGGGCTTATTGGTTGGCTTTCGGCGGACATTTTGGGGGGTGGGATGTGTTTAGTGGTATTTAAGGTTGATTTGGTGTTGAAGAGGTGTGAGGAAGTAGGAGGTAAACGTTTGGGTTGAGGGTTGAAGGTTGGTTTGGAGAAAGTTGGAGATGCGCCGAGCCTGAATTGTTTCCCCACATCTGATGGGTCTCGGATATCACGTGCGATGTATATCTTATGGCACAACCAAGAAGTTGATAGAGCTTTGATGGTGTCATCGACACCTGCGCAAGGAAGCAGGAAAGAAGGGGAATCTGAATCAATTGTCTATCTAGACGATGATGAAGAAGAAAGAAAGGAAAAGAAGAAGAGAAGGACCTAAATAAGGTCTGGTCCTGGAGAAACCCATCAAACCTGCAGACAATCTATGCAGGTACAAACGGATGACTGACTGCACAACCGAACGGTCGAATCCTCGAGGGCGAGTCATCAAGCTTATTTGACGTTTTTGATACACGATATCTTTGCGTTCATAGGTAATGAAATCCTGAATACCTTAAAGGTCCACCCAGTTAACTAGGCTGTCCAGTGCATAAAAAGTCAGCCTTTGCTCAATTTATCTCTACTATTCCAACCTGGCGTCTGACGAAGTTGTAGTCTTCGAGATCAATATCTTCAGTGGAAACTATAGGGACAGCCTTTTCCTCTTACAAGGTAATCCCCTCTTGAACATCATCATCTTTTCTCCCGTTATACTTTCGCCCACTAGACCACTAGCAGAGAGCGTTATGGTCCAGATACGACCCATGCTACATCCAAAAGCAAGTCTTGTCATGTCGTCAGAGATAAATGAATCTGACCGGACAGGACTATAATCCGGCGGCAGCCAGAGGAGCTTTTGTCCTTCAAAGCATATCCAGTGGCTATCCTTCTCCAAGGAATAACCAATGGACAACGCTGAAGAGACTATGTTCCTTAAGTACGGTATGGAAGCGGGAGGTATTTTATACCACGCATCAAATACAGCAATCTCTTTCCGCAGGTTCCAAGCATTGGTGTCAATCCACTTCAAGAAATCGGTTTTGAGATTGAGCTTGCAAAGCCTTCGTCCTGTAGTCGAGTCCCAAATTATGAAGGTGCCTTCAAACCCCCACGACGCGAGCCGTCGGCCATCCGTTGACCATATAATTGGAGACCCTGGAAATTCGGTTTCCCAAATGACTATGCTCTGGCCCGTCGCAATGCCCAATATCTCTATCGATGCATCCGATGATTTGAATGCGAGCCGATCTCCGAGCGGTGACCAGACAAGGGATATATCCGGGGTGCTATGGCACTCAAGAACCGTCCTCTGGCTATTGCTCAAGTTCCAGACTATGATTGTCTGATCTGTTGACCCTGATGCGAGTCGATCTCCGCTTGGGGACCAAGCGATCAATACAGCCTGATTCTTGGGACCAGAGAGGAACTTGCTCTGCTTGGTGTTCAAATCCCAGATCATAATCTCTGATGAGGATGATGCGAGTTGTGTTCCATTCGGCGACCAAGCGACGGAATAGACCCAACTGCTGTGACTTTTGGAGCCCGTGATTTGTCCAGTGCTCGGTTCACAGACTTGCAATATCCCATCTCTCACACTCGATGTCGTCCTACCTGGGTCTTTCGACATATCAATTGACGTAACTCCACTCTTCAGTTTGCCTGTATCGACGGCGGGAGAGCTTGCCGGATCCCAGATCTTGATTAAAGCATCAAACGTGCCCGTCGCGATCCTTCCATCATGGGACCAGGCTAGTGAGACAATTTTACCATAGTGTCCATCGAGAACGGAGATACACTGGCCGTTAACTGAATTCCAAATGCGGATTGTTCGATCTCTTGACCCAGATGCGAGCCTTTCGTCATGGGACCAAGCAACTCTGCTAATATCATCGTTGTGCCCGTTGAGAATGAACTTGCACTCACCGTTTTCTAGGTCCCAGATTCGGACTGTGAGATCCCTTGATCCTGATGCGAGCCTTCCATCTGGTGACCAGGCTGCGGTCATCACTGGCTCACTGTGTCCCTTGAGCTTCAATGCTGGTATCCACCGATCAGTAGCCAGATCCCAGATTTGAATCGTATTATCTTCACACGCTATTGCTAGGTTTCCATCGTCCGACCAGGCAGCGCATGATGCCAATTTGCCCTGGCTCTTGAGCTTCGACGTGATCCATTGTCTAGTAATAGGGTTCCAGATCCGAGTTGTGCAATTTGCTAGTAGCAAGGCTAGCCTTCCATCTCGTAGCCAAGAAATACAACGTATGGCTCCAGTCTGACTCTCAAGGCGTAATTCCCACTGTCCCTTGGATAGGTCCCAAACATGAAGTATAGATTTTGTCTCAATTATATCATCCGAAGCGAGGACCCCATCCGAAGCGAGCATCCCATTTTGCGACCAGGCAATCTTATTGGCTCTACCGGGATGCTGGAGTATGCACTGACCGGTAGCTGGATCCCAGATTTGCGTGTGATCCCACGACGCCAACGCGAGCATTCCATCGCGCGACCAAGCGACGCATGAAACCGGGCTGTTAACATCTTCAAGCGTGAGAAGGCAAGAATCCCAACAAGGTGAAATCTCTGGCTCTTCCAGGACCCACACTGGTTTCACGTAATGGGCCTTTTTGTTACACTCTCAGCTGGGGCGAATATAAGCGAGGTGTAGATTTGTAGAGGATAGCCTTCGATCACAGATCGGTAATATCTGATAACTCGGCAAGCGTCATGGACTCTTATTAATAGTGCTTCAGGGCCCTCGTGTTCCTTCAGTGCCTCCTAGGTTAACAATTGAATAATTTGCTATTTGAAACGACAACTTACCCGAACCAAGCTCTCAAGTTTGAGCATCGCGGCGATGCCTTGCGTTGCACTTCCGAGGAGACTAATGGCTTCTACCCAGTGGAGAAAGTCATGCCTCAGGAACGAGTCCAGTGACTCCCAGTCTTCAGATTCTTCTAGAGCATCCGCAATGTTTTGACAGTCCACAAGATGGTCTACCCAAAAGATACATGAGTACGAAATGCCTGCCAATGGATCGGGGCTTGGTCGAGCGACTTCCAAAATAGAAATCCCGAGATCATTGAGTTTGTAGATATCACGTTCAAGAGTTTTGATTACTTGAAGCGAGCGTGAGAAGATTCTGTGGTGTTCTTTCCCAATGTTTACCTCAAACATCTCATTTGACGGATCAAGTAAGAAATCCTTGGCAGACTGGTGAACAAGGAAGATGAAATCAATGTCGACTTTCAGAAAAGAGCCACATTCATCTATTATCTCTCGAATTGATTCGCCGTCATCGCAGCCCGGATGATCATGAATGGCTAGAACTCTCAGTGTATCGATAGAGATGGGTGTGTACACGCTGAGAACGATAGACAGGATGCGCTTGCAGAGCTCCGAATCCTCAGATGTAAGTATCCTCTCGAGCATGCGGTTGTAAAGCGGCTTCAGCTCCCGTGGAAATCTCTTCAATAGATCTTCTGTATGCCGGATCTTCACACGGAGGCCTGCGAGCTGCTGGCACACCAATGCAACCCATAGAAAAGTACTTTGTGCATTCTTCAGCAAGTATTGAAGAACAGTCTCCTGGAGTTGATAATTGTACCCTTTGAGCTTGGTCAATTCGTCGACTCTTTGATGGATGAAGTGCTCCACCGCCGCAGATATTGAGTCTTCATTCAATTCGAGGACAAGGTTGACTTTGCCCGTGGCATTGTTCAGGCGTTCTTCGATCTCACGCCAGTTCCGGCTCGAGACGAGCCATTTGACGCGGGCAGCCTCGGAAGATCGTTGGGCAATAAGGTCAAGAAGTGGAGTCAAGTCCGTGGTGCATTCGTCGAGCGCATCGATGATGATATAGGTTGTCTGATTCAAGGTCAGGGGGTCGTTGAGAATCGCAAGAAAAACATTTGCCAATGCTTGCCAGGCATTCATACCCGTGAAGGCTGTTCTGTTCTGATCATATTCTCGCCTGACGTGGGTGATGAGCAATTTACGCTGAATAACAAGCATGTAGATCAGACCGCGAAGGACTGCAGTGGCATGATTGATCTTCATCTCTGTCGCTTGACAGAAGAAATACGCCACGGTGGTAGGGTCAGAGCAAGACACGCTCAACTCATCAATTATGCCACACAAGAGCATAGTTTTCCCTTTTCCGGGGTCTCCACGGATCCATAGAAGCTGGCCCGAGTTTTCATCTCTCCATTCGACAAAATCTCCATTGCTTTGTACCCAGCGGTATGAGTCTCGAAGAAGACCTCCCTTGAGCTGCTCGATACGTTCCTTATCGCGACGGGGGTCGGTAATTTTCAAGTCATTGAGACAGGCGAGATCTTCAGCGGTGAAACTGTACTCCTTCTCTTTTGCTTTGGAAGTGTTATCTTGTTATAGGTTTAGCCATTGTACATATATCTGTATTGAATGGATCTAAGCTGCCGTACCAATCTGTTTGACCCATCTTTTGAGCTCTCCCAACAACGCCACAAACCCATCGTCTTCTGCTGTCGCGAACTTCACCATGTCTCGATGATTAGCATGAATGCTAATAGCCGTATATCCCTCGAAAGAGGCAGATTCCTTTGAGACAACTTCCCCAGCTAGTCGCATGGGCAGCTCTTCAAAGAAACAGGTGATCTGCAACCGACCCTTGTCATTCTCTCGCAGTCTTCGCGTCATGGTCAAGAAATCTTCCTGAATAGACTCGAGAACTTCATTCTTGCTTTGTAAGACGTCCAGCAGTTTCGTATTGATGGACTTGACGAAACCTAGCGCGGAAGCTGGAATGCTCGCCCAGTTGGCCAACCATGCCCCTTTATGCGGTGTACCCAAGAAAATTATCCCTCTGACGGAATCGAAAATATCATGCAGATGATCTTCTGCGCTATTTTGCGACAAGAGAATGGCCTTTTTGCAGACTAGGCCTCCGAGGCTGTGGGCGACGAACACGAGGGGGCGAGACGTCGCGTCGCACGACTCTCGATTCGAAGTAAGTTTGTTCAAGAGGCTGGACGCATGGTCGCCCAGTCGATTCGACGACGCAACAGAGCCCCGTACGACGTAGGCATCGTAGCCAAAGGTAAGAATGCGAGCTCGTTGGAGCCGCGAGGGGAGCAGTGCTTTCGGCCAGGGGTCTGTTTGACCATCTTTCGTCCAAGTTCTCTCACGGTCTCCCGTCAGTCCATGAACGAAGCAGATATCGACCGAGGCGTCGGCACAATCATGCAAGACCTTGATGCCATCCGGGAATGGGGTGGTCAGAGGAGTGTGCGCGGGGTTTTCTGCCTCACGACGGTCAAGCGCCCCGACATCGTCTGCGGCTTCTCTCTCTGGGCCGCGTCGCAGCGTGAAAGGATTTGTCCACGGGCTCATATTTCAACATAAGGCATGGCTCAGGAAAGAGTGCCAGATTCCAAAGGAAAGGCCTCAGAAGTCAAGTTTGGAGCAGACCGACTTTTCCTTACGACCCTTCGCCAGCTGAATGCCAATATAGCCGCTGGCCTTCTTAGCGCGGGGCCAGCGCATCCGAGTTGGACCAATAACATGAGATATTGACAAGACCAAAAGTACTTTGATTTACAGGGATTCTGATGTCTTTACGATCACCTTTGGACGAATCAGTAGGTATATTGGACGAAAGTGTGGAGCTAATAGTGATGACTGCCTACCTATTCTATATTGTCCAGTCTATACTTCGTCGGGAATCAGTTATGCTCCCTACAAGTTACTTGTTATACAACTTTTTCTATGATCGCTGAATTCTTGGATTCCAGAATCAGTTATGCTCCCTACAAGTTACTTGTTATACAACTTTTTCTATGATCGCTGAATTCTTGGATTCCACGCCTTTGTCTCACTAGAGCCGGGGTCAAGACTTCATCCATGTGGGCCAAGTCCTTTGTCTACTCTGTTGTCGAGATAAAGTCATTGTGCCGACGAATTTAGCACTTCAGGGAAGTCTGGTCGAGAATCCCTTTGTCCGTTTCCTATTTTAGACCCGAATAATAATGTCTTTATCGACTCGTCTTTCTTTCTTTCAAAGTTTCGAAGAACCATTATATCCGATTATAAGTTGAAAGTCTTCCCCATCGAGAACAAGGCATTATGGGGTTCCCCATACAAAGGCCATTTTTATTAATAACTTCGGTCCTTTCGATAACAGTGTAGACAATGCCTTTGGCCTCGCCTTTGAGGGTTCTCTTCGACAATGAGTTGAAGGAATTTGCATGCTATTTTCAGCGATTGAAGGGAATTGCCTGCAAATAGTTAAACATCGTGCCATAAGAGGAAAGTATAAAAGATGCAGGGCTTCTCCTTTAAGTATCTTCATTTTTTCTGTACAAACACTGGCCTCATCTGTTCTGAGTCTTGTTAGTTGAATACCTTTTTGCGTGAGTTGCATAGCATACACCTGCCCTGCCCTTTTTCTCGACAGCCATTAACATAATTCCCATTCTATACAATCGGCCCAAATTCGAGATGGAGAAGATGTCCTTAACTTCAGCACCCAGCATCAATTGGAGCACATGGGTTAAGCCTCTAGACACCCTCCCCCACGACCCAAACCCTTATCGCCGGTCCTGGTGCGAGGGAGATTCCAATGCCTATGACGCATTCTGGAAAGCACGACACCCTTGGGATCTTGTGGATTACCACCTCTATCTGATTGCGATCGAAAGAAAGTCTCGGAACTGGGAATTGCGGATGTCAGGTAGCTGGTTGATCGAAAGCGATGGGTCCCGATGGGAGAACTTTGGATACGCCATCGACTCTGATGATCGTGACTGTCAGACTGGATGGAGAGATCCTGTTGTGATATTTGCTTCACTTCCCATTCCACATGCGACCGGTTGTCCGGACCGTAGAATCGTTCTGGGCGTCAACCTTCGCACACATTGCCTTGTCGGCTATTTATTTGAGTCTGCACCTGAGAGCATCGCCGAGCTGGTATCGGTATGGAATCATAGAGAGCTCATTATTGATCTGGAATTCAAAAGATTCATCCAAATTGTCAAGCACAGTATCGATGAGAACCGGAATATTCTGACGAACGGCATTTTCAACTACTTCCGCGAAAGCAACCGACACCTGCACGGTGGTATGGACGCGGTCGTCACCATCAAATACATTCAATTCCTCCGTGATGCTATCAGTGGTGCGAATCTCAGTGCCCCCTCTAGTGTGGGAGCAGAACCATCCAACTTGTTTGATATGGAGGAGCATCTTCGCGACCTTCTATGCCGAGGATCAGCCCGTGCCTGGATAAGCTCGCACAGGGGAGTTACAACGGAGGATATTCGGAAAAGCATACTGGCAAAGACTTCAAACTCTGATATTTTCAGCGATCAACTGTTTCCACCTGATATTGTTAACGATGAGAAGAAAGCAGGGCGTAACTCGTGGACCCCCATGGAGCCGGATACCTCGGTGCTGATGCGGTGTGAGGTGGACCTGCCTCGGATAGGACTGACTTCGTTGAAGAATATCAGGCAATCGACATCCGACATGGTTATTTTGTTGGGAATCTTTGGTATCGAGTGCTCGAGCCTTGCTAAGGATGAGGAGGATTGTGAGGTTGCGCCGTGGGTTGAGAGGATGATCCAAAGACGTGGTGATCAGCAGCGAGGTTTGCTCAATGAAAAATGGTGACTGGATTATTGATTGGTGTGTTCTGTGAGAATAGTTTTGTTTTCTTTTTTTGGCATTGCGTCTGGGGTTATTACTTGCTATGGACATGATGGGCATGGCGTTTATGTTGGGAACAGTGGATCATAGAGAATGGAAAGAATAGAAAAGCTTACTTCCAACCTGCTTGTGCATGAGGAATGTTCTTCGACGCTATAGAATTGTAGAATGTAGATAAGATCGACCAAGAAATCGGGCATGCCGATGACTTGAGTTTCAAGCGTGGCCAATTAGGCCATGGCTGTATGATGCCTCACCAACATATACACAGTAGACACGCTGCACCTGATGTGAGCTAAATCAAGCTTGTGCCACTTGAAACGGTTTAAAGTTAATCATAATGTTTAAGCATTTGCCTTGGGACAGTTCGCGTCGTAAATGCGTGAAGATGTTGTCATATGACGTATCATATTGGATATAGATCGGCGATCGACGATCATTGCGTAGATAATTTACTATTGACCCCCTATTTAGTACTATTTATCTTATTTATTCACAGCACATATCATACTCCGTACAGACTATGTATATGCAATGCAGTACACGTAGTCATGCATGAGCATCCGCTCATCTCCGAAGACCTCTCCTATTTTTCTAAAAAAGCAAAGGCCTAGAAGTAGACTGACTGCATGATCGGAGCTCACTCTAGCACCGCCACGCCGTGTATCCAATGGCAACGCCGACAAAACCGGTTTCTGTGGCGCTACGTGGCTGTTGTCCCCAATTGTCTGTTTCTGATTGGCAGTCCATCGTTTCTCCCCCGCGAACGGCGCATCTTGGCAGCGTCATGATCGTATTACGATTGGCAATCAAAAGTTGCGAGTACCGCAGCGGAGCATCCGCTCTGAGCTCAGCGGAAGCTCCTAATTTCCCATTCCAAGCTGCCTGAAGGCTGGGCAAAGGTACCCTGCACCTAAGAACCCAGGACAACCGGATCTGTCTCGCTTGGCTCTCAGCCCTGTAGCCCTACCATATCCTGCGCCTGTCTCATCTTTTTTTACTCTCGAGACTGCCTAATCCTTAATCCCTAATCGTGCTGGTCTTTTTTACTGCCTTCGCTCTCTCCCTTCCCCTTTCTGGACTCAATTGCGCTCCTTCCAAGCCTCCGCCCTTCCGCTCTCCCCCGTGCGACAGCTCGTCCACGGTCAATTTTCAGCTTTTCTCACTTCCCCCCTTTCCTCCCTAATCCGACGCCTTCCGTGAGATCGCGTCGATTACCTGCTGACAATGGCTGACTCTACTCTTCCGGTCAATGGTATGTGGACCGTGGAATCTCCTCTGCAAATGCGATCGAACCAGTGAGCGGATAGTTGTATGCGCACGATGCTGACCAGGTATTGCTTCAACAGGAGTCCTCACAAATGGCGAAACCGCGGCGCCAGCGACGCGCAGCGCTAGCGATCGCTTCGAACTCATCTCCGGCCCTCTGATCAACCTCAAGAACATGCATTATCAGCCCTCCCCCGTCTGGCAAGGCAGTGTGTTGATTGTTACAAAGCCCGGTCAAGACCAGCCCCGGCTCTACTTGCGCCAGCTCGGCCCCGTCGCCGCTGAGGGACAGCCTCCTCAATCCCAAACAAACCAAACAGTCGAGGGTTTGAAGCTCTACGAGGATCCCAAGAAGGCATTCTGGCGCTTCTCCCTGGCCGTACCCGTCGAGACCTATGAGGCGCGCTGGGAGTATGACATCCCCGGTCTGTACAATGAGTCTGCGGAACCGGTCAAGGCGCCTTGGAACTTTGTGGTTCCTGCCGCCGATCAGTCCATGCGCATTATGTTCCACTCCTGCAACGGCTTCTCTGTTGGTACGGATATGGATGCTTGGGTTGGCCCTAACCTGTGGAATGATGCCCTGCGCGTCCACGGTGAGAAGCCTTTCCATGTGATGGTTGGTGGCGGTGATCAGATCTACAACGACGGAATTCGCGTTGATGGGCCTCTAAAGGCCTGGACGTCTATTGCCAACCCTCACAAGCGCCGTACCCACGATTTCAACAACCAGATGCGCGCCGATTGTGATGATTATTACTACGCCAACTATGTGCGGTGGTATAACACTGAGCCTTTCCGCACTGCCAACGGCCGCATCCCACAGGTTAACATTTGGGATGACCACGATATCATTGACGGCTTCGGGTCTTACACGGATCACTTCATGAAGTGCGCTGTCTTCCGCGGTATTGGTGGTGTCGCGTTCAAGTACTACTGCCTCTTCCAGCATCACATCGCCCCTCCCAAGTCGACCTTCACCACTGATGCGCCTGAGACCATGCACGCAGTGAACGGAACTTCTGGCGTAGACCCACGCCAGGTCGAGAACACCTACGTCCTCGAAAATCAGCCCGAGGACGACAGCTGGATCATTGGCAAGCGGCCTGGTCCGTATGTTGAGGAGCGCAGTCGCAGTCTGTACATGCGCTTTGGCAAGCGTATTGGCTTCGTGGGTCTGGATGCCCGCACTGAGCGCACCCGTCACCAGGTCAATTACCCAGAGACATATGACCTGATCTTCCAACGGCTGCAGCAGGAGATTGAAGCTGCCAATGGCGAACTCAAACACCTTGTCGTTCTTCTCGGAGTCCCCATCGCCTACCCCCGTCTCGCCTGGCTTGAAAACATCCTCACCTCGCCTATTATTGCTCCTATCCGGCTTTTGAACAAGCGTTTCGGCTTGGCGGGTGGTCTTTTCAACGAATTTGACGGACAGGTCGATCTGCTGGACGACCTGGACGACCACTACACGGCGCGACAGCACAAGCGTGAGCGAAAGATGCTCGTGCAGCGGCTGCAGGAATTGGCGCGCGCCAACTCCATCCGCGTCACCATTCTCGGTGGTGATGTGCATCTTGCGGCGGTTGGCCGCTTCTACTCGCACCCGAAGTTGAACCTTGCTGGTGAGAATGACCACCGCTTTATCGTCAACGTTGTCAGTTCCGCCATTACGAACAAGCCCCCTCCCAAGGCCGTTGCAAACCTCCTTGCCCGCCGCAACAAGATCCACCATCTTGATCGCGAGTGCGACGAGACTCTCATGTCGTTCTTTGACAAGCAGCCTGGCGGCGTGGAGAAGAGCGCGGTCTGGAATAAGGTGACTATGCCATCGCGTAACTTTGCCACGCTGACCGAGGTTGTGGCTCCCGTTGCGAACGGCGATGGTGTCCAGCCAGTGACCGCGAAGCTCGACCGCCTGCCAAAGGACGGCCATGCGCCTCTCCACAAGGGCGAGGTTAACGCAGGATCGACGCACAGTGCGGCGGATGGGTTTAGCGCACACAGTGGCATGTACGGCGGACTGGATGTGGCCATTCGAGTGGAGATTGACCCCCACGATCGACAGGGCACGACGGAGGGTTATGGATTTAGTAGTAAGTGTTACTTTCCCTCGAAGGCATTCAATGCATATATGGATGATGTCGCGGCTAACCCTTTTTCTTTCTAGTTCCCCCGCTGTTGGCTACCGAAGGTCCGCCCGTCTCGTCTCGTCTAAGCATCCGGTCGCGCATTTCTCGCCAGAACTCGGTCCAAGACCAGCCCGGACGACCCTTGACTGCGGCATAATCGTAATGTCTTTTATTGTTCGTCTTAACAGATACATAATTTCTCTTTTTTCCATGTTTTTACTAACCCCTTGGTTCTACGGCTTTGTTTTGATACCTCTTTACGTCATGTTTCTTCTTTCCCCACATTCTCCACTGTGTTCTTGACTTTCACTTTTATGTACTGTATTTGTTTCTTTGGATACTCAAGTATTCTCTAGGTGTATCGTCTGGATTTTCCGATTCTAGATATGCCAATGCGATCGCGTTTAAATCATCTGATGTTTATCGTGTAGCTTGTGCGGGGAGTAGTCCTCCAGTTAGGGTACTTGTATATCTATGATTACTTATGATTGGCTGTGGCGTGTAGTATGACCAGTAGACTTGCCCAGGATACTTTTCCAGTAGACTTTCTTCCCCTCGCAAGGAAGTGATTACTCGTTGTGGTTTAGAACCGGTGCTTATCAAGCCCGCCTGATTGACTGGTCTTGGTTCTCCACTCAAGCTGTCCACACGAGCTCGGATTAGATGAGATAGTAGTATTCAACTACAGTAGGAGTTCCTATCCTGTTCATAGTAATCGTCTTCCGAGGTCTTGGCCTTCCTTGAAAATGCAGTATTAGCCATGAAGACATTCCCATCACACGATAAGAATATCCACTTCCCCAAAGTCAACCCGACTCGCGGACTAACTAGGATTGACTAGATTCGTCAACTAGCTGACGAGTTGATAAACTAATTAGTTAACTACAGTACTTATGTATTTAAAACCCCAGCAGCTGATCCGATAAGATCCTGCCACTAGCCAACCAATAATCTCCCCCTCTCCTAGTAGTACTAACTGTAACTTACCCCTCTATCCCCAATCCAGCAAGTCTCTGGCCCAAACCCCTAAATCAGCCCCAAATCAAGGTAGTTTTCTGGCCATCCCTAATTAAGCAACTTTCTTGCCCATTCCCAATCCGTACACGGGATCCTGCATTGCTGCGGAGTATCTAAAAAGCTAAAGCTTCGCTTTGGATCTCTCTCGGCTTTTCGCGTCCACTTGCTTATCTCCTGCTTGTTGATGCGATGGTCGCTTATTTGTCTTTGGCTCGGATGAGGCTTTGTGGCCTGTGCGACCGGTCGTAAGGTTTGGCACATTTAATATCAGGAGGAGGTTGTATATAAGGAGGGAGATGGTCGGGCTGGCGGGTGTGACGATCTTATTCTTTCTGTACGACATTGTTGCTGTATGCTGCATGTACGGTGCTTTGGAACTGCGCCTGCATTTCTAATTCCAGTTTATATTATCTGTTGACCGCTGTTGACTTGCCTCTGTTTCCTTGAGTACAAATACTCGTCGCTATTCATTCTTCTCGCGAGTTGACCTCCTTGCATCTCGCTGTCCACATCACAGCTTCAAGTCGGATCAGAACATCCTCCTCCTCCCCCTGAGACTATCGCAAAGATGGGACTAGACACGCCCACCGAAAAAGATATACAAACGAGTAGCGACTCACCGAGTCATGACCACGAGGCCGGCGAGATTGCCAGTGTCGGCGAACGCGATGAGCTACACCATCTCGGCTATGAGCAGGAGATGCGCCGGAATCGATCGGTGATCACTCTACTCTTCCAATCGCTCGCTATCGCAGCCATTCCCTACGGTGAAGGCAGTGCCTTGCTCAGCGCCATCTACGGCGGCGGTCCACTCTCCATCTTCGTCGGATGGATAGTCGTCTGCGTACTCGATCAATGCATCGCAATGTCTCTCGCCGAACTGGCCTCACGCTATCCAACCTCCGCAGGCCCCTACTACTGGTCCTTCCAAATCGCACGAAGCAGCAAAACAACCGTCTCCTTTATCAATGCCTGGATCTGGCTCATAGGTAACTGGACCATCACCCTCTCCGTCAACTTCGGCTTCGCATCCATGGTCTCCGCCACAATCTCCATGTACCATCCCGACTGGAGCGCGAACTCCTGGCAACTCCTCCTAATCTTCTACGCCGTCTGTCTGGGCAGTCTCGTCATCTGCACTTTTGCAAACAAGTACCTTCCCCAGGTAGACATTGCCTGTGCAGCCTGGACCGCTCTAACTATCATCGTCATCCTAATCGCCGTCTCCGTCAAAGCCGATGTAGGCCGTCACTCCGCCTCCTACGCCCTATCCTACTACGATACCTCCTTCGCTGGCTGGGGCAACTTCACCTTCTTCATCGGCCTCCTCCCAGCAGCATACACCTTCTCCGCCATCGGCATGGTCTCCTCCATGGCCGAAGAAGTAGCCCAACCAGCAATTAAAGTACCCAGAGCAATCGCCCTGGCCGTACCCGTCGGCTTCATCGCAGGCCTCTTCTTCATCATCCCGTTAACAGTCACCCTGCCCCCTCTCGAAGATATAATCAATTCCCCCGGCGGCCAGGCACTCCCCTACATCCTACACCGAGTCATGGGCTCCCCTGGCGGCGGGTTAGCCCTCGTCTTCCTCGTCCTCGTAATCACCCTCTTCTGCAGCATAAGCATCACCGTCGCCGCAAGCAGAGCAACCTGGGCCGCAGCCCGGGACGACGCAATCCCCCTCGCCAAACTCTGGGCCCGCGTCCACCCCCGTCTCGGCGTCCCAGTCTGGTCCCTCGTTCTCCTCACGATAATCCAGATGTTACTCGGTTTAATCAATCTGGGCTCGACGAGTGCGTTTACCGCATTCGTGTCTGTAGGTGTTATCGCGCTTGCCGCCGCTTACGCTGTTCCTATCGCGTTGAGCTTGTATCATGGGCGCGAGGAGGTGTCCAGGGCGCCGTGGAATTGTGGCAAGGTTGTGGGTGTGACTGTTAATGTGCTTGCGTTGGCGTGGATTGCGTTCGAGTTGGTTTTGTTTAGCATGCCGACTGCTTTGCCGGTGACACCCGTTTCGATGAATTATGCGTCTGTCGTGTTTGTTGGTTTTATGGCTATTTCGGCCGTTTGGTATGCTGTTTATGCTAGGAAGCGTAAGTTCTTTCCCATCTCTTATCCCGTGGGGATCTTTTTGGACGTTAATGCTAACGGGAGAATAGATTATAAGGGTCCGCCCGAGTCGGATGCGTTGTAGCATGGGTGGGATTTTGGTATAGTTATCTTGTACATGCTTTGGCATGGTGGTATATTGATTCAATACAATATTTTCAAGATGTTTGCTTGGGTTTCTACTATTGTGTCATTCTTTCCATGACCATTCAATACTACACCATCGCCTAGTATACTTTTGAATCCGGGGGGCATTGACTGGGAGAGAAAATAAGCTTGTGGGGCGAGTGGAGCACCTACTTCAAGCTTAATTAGGTGCGTATAATCATCACGTTAGCTCAAGGGCAATTGAGTAAAATACTATCAGCATACAGACCTGGAGATCTCGTGGATATACAATCTGCTCTTTTCTGCGTATCAAAGTACTAAGAAAGCCATCTATCGATACTGCATTTAGATATCAGAGATAGACTTGTATTTTCAGTCTAGCGGCCATCATTTGCTCCCAAGTGTCTAGTCAATCAACCACTCGTAATATTCAGGCACAACGACCCATCCAAGAGACTTCAGAAGCTCTGTCGCTTCCTTGTCCAGCTCCCATCCAGTATAGATAATAACCTTTGTCAGGCTTCGAATGCCTCTGACTAATCTGTTGATTTCCGACAATACCGCACAGAAAGACAAGGGATTATTCTGGTACTCATCGAAGAAGTAATCAGAATTTATCCAACGTATGAATCTCAGTCGAGTCAATCCAGGGCATCCTCCTTGAATTGCACGAAGATAATTCAAGGCAAGTGCGCTGATATCCAGCCCCCCATTCTCTGTATTCTCCGTCATGGGGAACGACATGTCCACGCGACGCAGGAGAGCCGCATTTTCGGGGCCAATACGTCTTGTGAACGTATCCAGGAATGGCATTGAAGGGTTGGGATAATGATAGATGCGCGAAATGTGTTCCTGCCGAAAAAGACGTGTCTTGCTTCCATGGAGATTTGCCGGTTGATGTAGAGCAACGCGAGGAAGTGAGATCCTGGCTTATGTGTGTACGCGTCCCCAATTAAATATCCCAAGGTTGTGGTACCAAACTTGGCGGCGAAATAGGCAGACTCAATGACCCAGTATGACCACATCCGGGCGAGAGGTACTCGTAGATCTTCAGGCGAATTTCGAGAGGGAGACCGAGGAAATGGGCACGCGGCGGTAGAGATGTCATCGTGTCCGACATAGGCGGAAGGTGTTTGAAGGTCAAGGTGGGTAAGTGGACAAGAAGGAGAAAATTGGGGGATGATATTTGAGGTTCTCAAAGTATTTTCCTTGGTTTTAACTCGAAAATCTCGGTGGGCAGGTGGCAGGAAAGCGAATATGGCAATGTTTGTTAGCGGGAGATTCCAGGTGAAAGTGCCTAGCAAACCCCATAATGATTTTTGGTCTTGATAAAGGAAGTTATTTGCTAGAGGTGATACCCGGGTCTTTCGCTGGGATGTTGAAGAGAAAGAAACGGATATAGGCACACAAGCTTATCATGACAAAACCCTTCAATTTGCAGCTTACAGGGCAACATTGACTGGGAAGCCCATCGTCGTGAATTTAAAGATGATCCTTTACAGTTAGCTAAGCATCTTTACGACCTAGATATGTGTGTTGCTTTTTGATCCATGTTAGCAAGATGGATCCGTTTTCAGGACTAGATCTCTTGTCAGCCCCGCCAGTTGGTTCAATGACGGAATGACTTGCGACATATGGAAGAAGAGCATTATCAACGTCGCTTCGATGTACACATTTAGTTACCGATCATTCACAGTCATAATGCCAGCACATCCACCAAAATAGCCTTACCCTAGGACTCCAAATTAGGACTCGCGCATCTAGCGCTGAGAATTCCCCAGGAATCTAACCACACACTCGATCGATCCGATGAGATTACATGCATCCAAACCACACTATCCACCAATACCCATCACCCTCCCCGCATCACCTCCATATACATCCACGATAAGCCCCTCCAACTTTCGATAGCTCACAAATTCCAGCCCTCTCAATGAACCCACAGACAGCCATATACGCAATCGACCATCTTTTCCAAGCAATCACAACTCATGATAGTGAATCCACTTCCCGCGTTCGAGCCAAATAAATAGCCCCTCCTTTCTATCTGCCCGTGTCGACCCGACGCGTCGTGGTTCATCTCTTGACTTTCTTCACTCTCATCATCTACGAGAGAATTATTGAGCTGCTTTTCATCTTGAAAATCCACAGGTATTGAGCATCATGCCTGAAGGAAAGGGTTATAACGTTACTAGCTCCGGCACTAACAGCCAGGTACGTATATCATCGCTAGCTTTTACTACCCGGCGTCCCCATGAGTTTCATCATACTTCGAACAATCTCTCGTAGTCTGCATGTTACAGTGATATACTAATTTAAAGGGAATAGGGCAACCACTACTGCTCCCGCGACTACGGTTCCAGTGCCTCTAACTCGAACAGTTATCACTACTCCAACACGTGAGACTACTCCTCTTCCTGGGTTCTTTCTGCAATGCATATACGAGACTATATGCTAACTTTTCTATTAGCAATGGATCATACTACTACTCCAACCCCAACGGAAGCACCTACTACAACAGTGGAAATGGCAGCTCCACTCATACTCCTCCCTCAGGCTCTGGCTCTGGCAAGAAATAAGTGCCAAGTCACCGAGACATTCATAGCTATTTGATATGCAATCCAGAATGAATACAATGAAACTTACTCTTCGCTGAATCTAATTGAAATCTTCCTGTTCGTAGTTTATATGAATAGCCAGCAAAAAGTCAACCCCGAACAAGTATCTATCCTAATAAAGGTTGCTCTATATTACTTCCCATCACCAAGTATACCGTTCTCAAAATCATTCTCACTGCACCCGCGTCGTTGACGGGCAGCTGCCTCTTTAGGGAAATGTCGAGGCGTGGGGAGAGCTGCATCGCTCGGTCGCCGGCGACGAACGAGCTGGTATCCCCGATCCAATTCGATCTCAATTGCCTCGCGGACTTTTAGGGCACTGATCGCGGGCCAGACGCCTCGTTCACCTTTCAGTGTCCACTCTGCTACCCGTGCGCGGGTAGGTTGTTGGAAGAGCTTGGCTAAGTCGTTGATAGATAGATCCGGGACGAGAGCCAGGTTAGGGCCCGGGATAGTTTCGTCGATTAGAAGCCGGCTCGCCGAGGCAGGGAGGAAACCGATGTAATCAAGTTGGCGGAGTCGGTGGCGTAGTTCAACTAAGGCGAGTCGCATCATAGAACGGGATATATTGCTCCAGCCTGTTTGGTGGCGGTCGAGGAGGTTAAGTTCGGAGCGTAGGAATGGGATTAGGTAGGGACGGGCTTGGGAGACGATGAAGTGGTTGACGTTGAAGAGTTCCGCGATTCGGGAGAGCGGGGACTCGCCGTCGCCGTATGTGACGTGTCTCCATGGTTGGAAGACTGCTTCCTTTGTGTGTGGCCAGGGGACGATTGAGCCCGTTTCATCTTTGCAGTAAATCGTGACTGGTGAAGAGAGTGTAGTGGCGGACGAGGCATTGGAAGCCGCCGCGGCGGACCAGATCAGCTTTGAATGTGTCAGACCATCGCAACAGTGAAATCATAAGATCAAAGATAATCCCAACGGACGAAGAACATACCACATTCGGTGCAGTCAGATAATTAAGCAGATTCGGCGTCCCAGTCTTACCAGCCGTGGCAATCGTAATATTCAAAATCCGCTTGGACCGAGCATACGCCTCTTCAAAGGTCAAGTCACCCACATTAGCCCGAACACATTCCTCCAACAGCTCCATATCATACAAATGTCCCTTCCGAAGCAATCGCTTCATCCGCCGGACAAAAGTCCACACCCAACTCTCCTCCGCATGTTCTTTCCGCCGTTGATCAAAAGCCGATAAATCAATCGTCTCGCCTTCCAACAACGCAAGCAGTTCACTTTCGGGATGAATACCCACCATTGCTGCAATCATTGCCCCCGTCGCGGTACCAGTGATAATCCGCGGTAGAAGACCCTGTAAGTGCAATGCCTTGACAACGCCGAGATGGCACAGCCCAAAAGCCGACCCGCCCTGCAACAGTAGAGTCGTGCGTCCAAACGCCTGGCGAGTATCGTGCAGCAGCTCCAATTTTGCCTGCGACGTGAACCCGCTCGTCTGCATGGGCGCCGGTTGCAGCGAGGCCACGTACTGGATTGACAGCGCGACTTGCGTGATATAGTCATCAATCAGGAGTTTCGTTCCGGCATAGGCATGCGTGAATAACTTTGTGGATGTGATATTGCCCAGATTGCGCAAGAGCCCGGAGCGAAGTAGATTGGCCAGTGTGAGGATGTCCTCGCCTTCGCGGGCACTCATTAGTGCTTCCAACCGCCCGAGGATGAGTCTGTAGTCATAGTGTCGACTGACTGGATTCTGGCGCCTGTATACGATTAGTTGGAGCGTTTTCGCAGAGCTCGCTTGCAAGAACCATACCATAAGTCCTTGCTCAAAAGTTCATCCAGCTCAAACGCAGCTTCTTCCCATTGCTCATAGCTCTGCGCCGTGGCCAGAGTGTAGAACAGCCGAGTTTTGGGGGACTTTGATTTCCACCATGAGAACAATTTCTATACTTCCGTAAGTCTTTGTCCTGCGATTCTCCAGCCAGACTCTAAACTGCTGGCGGGTTTTGACACCGTCGTTGGTTGTTCGGGGTTCATTCCCCAACCCAACTCCCCGCGGAGACCAGCTACTTGGCCCCCCAGGTAAAAGACAAACTCACCTGTTTCCAGAACTGGGCAACATCAAGCATCATACCGAAGACTGCGGAGAGAATACTCCACAGGCCGAGGAACCAGGACGCCATTTCGCGATCAGGGAAATCCCAGCTCGGAGGGGGGGGCGCGAGCTGCCGGTGGAGCGGCGCTTTCACATGCTATTTATGGCGTCACGCGGTGGGCTTTGCAGTTGCAAAAGCAACGGCCGCGATAAGGCCGGATTGAGGACGGAGGACCAGTGGATGTGATAAATATAGCGTCAATGGGAAGATCTTAGCTTGCATAGCATGTATGAGGACTGGAAGTGGTTAGTGTTGGGGAGGTGTCAGCTCCGAGGGACGGAATGCTGAGTTGAAGGTGTGGTGGTGACCGGGCACTGGCCAGTTCATCTACCCGTAGCGGAAATCTTGAACCCCATTTCACCTGACTTGGAGTATGCGATGAAGTTATGACTATTTATACAAGTCTTTACAAGGATATACTCAGATCATCTATAAGAGATCACCTCCAGCACTCGACTCGCCAGGATCATGGATATCCAAGAAAGGTCATGAATAGAAGAAATAATCGACAGATACAATTGCACTTTCGTTACATGCCTCATTACAAAGCCTGAGTGAAGTGGAAAGGGAAATTGTGAATTTTGCAAGGTCGTTTGTTTTTTGTCATTTCGCTTTGCTTCCCTAATATGCAAGTAGGCGAAATTAAAAAAGAAAGCTTCTCCCGGACACCCGAACCCAATTCAAGGCGAACATTTCTTTACTCCTCAATGATGTTGCCCCGCTCCGACACGTACAGACCGTCCAAGAACTAGATAGAAGAATCAGTATAAATGCTTCGGTAGAGAGAGAAAAGCACTTCAATGGCAATATTCCCTTGACAGGAAAATGCCAATAGTGCGGGTTGATCCATAAACTCACCTTACGGATATCCTTGTTCCGGACACGGCAGATCTGCTGAATGTCGGCGGCGCTCTGGGAGACGTCCTCCAGGGAGTTGCCGGAGAGCTGGAGCTCATCCTTGACGTTGGCAGAGGTGATGACCTCAACGCCGGGGCGGGCAGTGACGCGGCGGACGTACTTCTCACCCAAGAAGTTGCGGATCTCGATGTCGGTGCCGCCGGTCTCGGCGTTCTTCTCGATGTTGACGTTGATGGGGAAATGGGCGTAGACGTAACGCATCTTGTACAGGAAGCCGCGGGTAACACCGATGATCAGGTTGTTGATGATGGTGCGGACGGTGCGGAGGGTAGCGATACCCTTGCGAGCACCGTGGTGCAGCTCGATCGAGATAACGTCCTTCTCGGGGCGACCGAAGGTAACGGCGACGTGGGACAGGTCCTTGACGAGCTGGCCGCGGGGGCCCTCGACGGTCACAACCCGCGAACGAATGTGAACCTTCACTGTAAAGAGAGAGAAAAAATTGACAATCAGCCGGGGTTTGTTCCTTTGAAAAATAGTAGTAACTCTCGCGCTTGTGCATTTTTCTTTTTTCCATCGGGGGAGGATGTTCCAGTGTCCAGATTCCAGGAGGACATATAAGTCTAGGGAATTTTTTTCCTCCTCTTGCTGGTGAGTGATAGCGGCGTTGTCGCAGTCGATGTAGAGATTTTCGTTGCGTTCTCTTTTTCGCCATTTTCCTCTCTAGTATTCATGGCTCGTTGTCTTGCCATGTCCACATAGAGAGAGGCGCAACTATCTCCCACCACAGTCTCCCACACACAACACCAACATCCCTGATCCCCCGAATATGATTTCCTCCGAAAAGCAAGAAAAAGTCGATAGCTCACCATTGTCCGGAATGGGCAGCCGTTCCTCGGAGTGAATGTACCGCATCTTGACTGCGTGGGTGGAATTGGCCGAGGGGGTTGAATTGTCGATGTCGGGAGGATCAAAATTCGGGTTGGAGTTGATGGTGGAGCGAAATTGAACGTCACGGGATTGTGCGTCGCTTAGGGCCTGTTCGGGATTAGCGTAGGGTTGCTTATCGGGTGGTCTTTATCATCACGTGATGGGTGTGAGTGGGTATTTGTGGCCTGGTATATATGGCACTCAGTTTGTCTGGTTTGCTTGTGAGGTTATGAAATAGTCACGTGATAAACGGTCGCGCTCAATACCTTCACCCAAATTATGTACAACCCAACAAAGACACAATAGACGCCGGTCCTTGTCCAGGACATGGTTATGACAAAGATAATCGAACAATAGCAGTCACGCAAAGCAGTCCTCCTCCACAATTATACAGATTCCGGCGTCTTATGCACGACTTCTGAAATCCACTTCCCACCCAATTGCCGTAGCTTCGATGCCAGCTCGTCGCTCTGATCCAGGGCAGCCACATCATCTCCACCTCCAATACTCTTTCCATTCACCAATACATTGGGAACAGTACCCCGCCCTGTATTCTCCCTCAGAAGTTGTTGGAGTGCCGGTCCGATCGGGTGCTGGTCGAGCTCGACGACGAAAGGCGCCGGTGTGATATCGTAGTGGCCCAGCAAGATATTCTTGGCTCTCTTGCTGTGCGGACAATAGGATTTAGAGAAAATAATGACTATACAAGAATGACGAATTAGTATCGAGACTGTTACCTCCGGGGGTGCGTAGCAATCATACCTGGAGCTCTCTTCAAAATCGAGTTCAACTCGCTCTTCGCATCCAACTGCTCGGTTGTCTCTTCCTCCTTCTCCTCCGTCTTCTTCTCATCCGAACCCCCAGTATTCAAAGACGAATCCTGAACACCCTTAACCTTCGGCACAGTCATCTTCGTCCGCCCCGCAATAGGAATCTCCTCCATCTCCTCACTCTTGCTCTCCGAGACCTTCGCCACAGGCACGGCCGGTCGCTCGACATCCGCGCTACCAACCTGCGCACCTACAGCGCCAGCACCGGGCTTGACGACGGTATCTTGGATCTTATCCTTCGGTTTCGTATGCTTCGCCTCTTCCTTGGCCCGCATGGCCTCCAGCGTGGATCGGTAGAACTTCTGGTTCTGTATTTTGCTCGCTTCGCCCTGTATCGCAAGAAGACTGTTAGAATCATCCGCTAGAGGAAGCTGCGGGTATGGGGAAAAGTAGCCGAAGGCAAGTAATGGTGCTTCGCATGTCATACCGAGTAATAAAATGTCAGGACTAGCATCGCGATAACCGCGACGACTAGCAGTCGCACACGCCGTTGAGAAGGCATTCTGATGCAGGGTGGGTGCCCCTATCGCACAGCTTTGCAGAACTAGTATTGGTGAATGTCGTTACTGAGCTCAGGGGGGTTAAGTGAGGTTTAGTTCAGTTAGAACCAAAAAAAGGAATCTAAGTCTAGACTGTGGCAACCGAGGCCGCCCCAAACCGACGTGACCCTAGGGGTCCAATCTGGTAGCGCAACGTAACCAGTTTACCGGGCGCCAAGAAATAGGCCGATCAAGCTTCGACGCGCCGTCTTGGCTGGGGTCATGGACGGCGGTAATAATTGATCTGGTGGACGTGTAGTGAGTGTGTATTGGGATATATTCTGAGACGATCTTCGTGTTGATATTGATTCAGAAGTGGGCTGGATTTGGTAGCGTCTCGTGTGAGACATGCGTGTTCTGGGGGAAGATGTGGGGGTGGTTTCTGATTCCCGTTCCAGGGGGGGAACCACTGGCCGGAGTTGTCCTCCTCGACGGTCTGAGCTCGACGCTTGGCATGGGTTAAGCTTGGTGCGGAATGGGATGAAAGGAATTCTAGCCGAGCTACTGTATAATCTGTATTTGATTACCAGCAAGTAGGAGTTGTTATTGAGCAAGGCAGGTTCAGTAAGAATATGAAATTAGATTAGAAAGCTGACATGGGTATTATGCTAAATCACAGGGTTTTGGTCCAGGCGCGACTCCACATGAATCCATAGACGGGGCGTACATCGGCCACTGTTAGGTTTATGTATGATGCTGGTAGGGTGTATATATGTGTAAGTAGGGAGAGGGAAGCCACCGGTGAGGTCCACAGAGCCGGCTGTAGTACCAGGTGGCACGGAGATGGTGACGATTAGGGTGATTAGGGAGTGGAATAGAACCACTGGGGTGAGGTTGAAGGCAAGGGTTAACGTAACGCGTAGAAGGGAGGAGATGGGGGCTAAGTGAGAATAAGGGGAGTTGAAGGATGCTGTTCAGTCATGAACACGAAGGATTTCGTCTGACCATTCCTGTTCAGGTTTGGAGGGAAAGACTTGGTCGTGTAGCCTGTTGAGCAGTCGCTCGACGTCGGCCCTGGACGATGGTGGTCCAGTCTTCCCACTCCTTGGCGATTTCGGTCAGGACACTGCCCATCACGCTAGCAGAGGCCATAAGACCGTGGCCTTCGCCCTCGAGGATACGCACCTCGCAGCGCCGCATCGTCTTGCCCAGCCACTGGACGTTTTCGACGGGCACGCGAGTATCCTTGCTGCCGTGATGGATCACGGTGGCTCGTGTGATATCCACATAGCGGAATCCGATAGTCTGGCGACGTTCCAAACAAGTCAAAAGATCCACTGCGGGGTTGGCATTGGCAGTGGCCAGCGCCCAGATCTTATGAGTGAGTCTGGTGTCGTAGTCTCGCTGTCTTTCCAGCTCTTCCTCGGAAGACCTGGCGCGTGACCCGAGAGTCGCATCGCTTTTTCTGTATGCGGCATGTGTGACATTCGAGGGTTTGGAAGGTTCGACGGGCGCGAGGGTGCTAGGATTGGGGGACTTGGGCTCAACGCTTGAAGAAGGGACTGGTAGGGCAGGCATTTCTTCCTTGGGGGCCTCTTTGGTGGTCTTCTTCTTTGCTCGCCGTTGAGACTTGGGTAAGCTAGTAGTGATGCTCGCACTAGTAGCGCTCATGAAGCTGGTGTTGGCTACCTTGAGAAGAGACGTGGGAAGAGCACGGAGAATTCGTTGCGAGTAGGGGACGGCATTAGTGGGCACGGGCTCCTTCTGGGAGCCGATGCTGGAGAGCTGAGAAGGAGGGATCCAGGGAGCGAGGAGATGGATACGCCCGCGGATATGTTGAGGAATTCGAAGGGCTGTGGCAAGGGCGTAGATGGCACCAGCCGAGTGCGCGAGGATGGAGAATTTCGTCACCCGCAGATAATTACAAACAATGGCAACATCATCTGGTCGTTTGTTAGTTCAAGAGTCCTGCGAGGTGGGAGAAGCAGTTGCAGAAACATACCTGGCCAGCTGAGAGGATTGCTGGGTTCATCCAGTAGATGTGGTCCACTTTCACCGACACCAGGACGGTCGAGGGTGACCAAACGCAGGTTCAGAGTCCGAGCGAGCTCGTCATAGAATGCCATGAGATACCTCGTGAGACCCATGCCGAGACAGCAGAGAACGACGTGGCCCTTGGGGTCACCCACTTCAGAAAAGGCGATGGTGCGGCCTGTCGTCGGGTGAGGTACTCTCTGTGTGAGTTTCGGAGAGAAGATATAATCGTCGACAGCCAGGTCGATCGAGTCCGTACTAGACGGTCGATCGGTGTTTAACGAGGGGCGGCCGACCAGTGTAGGACCGGACGGCGTGCGGCGATGGGACGGTGCGGGAGATAAGGGCTCCAAGGATCGTCTGAACCGGTTTTTCTCATGCTCGAGCTTTTCGGATGATTGCCTTTGCATTTGGGGAGAGAAGTTGGTCGGCTTGGGTGATAACGGTGCCCCCAGCTTTCCTGTACGGCTCTTGCCGGTCATGACTGATGGAGATGGGGCACTTTCATTCATGGCTGAACGTTCATAAACAGAGCCATTCTGCGGTTTGGAAGTGCGACTTTGATCGACTTGGCTGGTGCTGCGTGACGGCTTCGAGAGTCTTACGGGTGTTGTCCCCATAGACTTGCTGGGGCTGTCATCAACCTCCAACTCAGTCTTGATTTTCAGTTGCTGGTCTTTCAGCTCTTGAATTCTCTTAGTCACCTGCTCCGCGTCGTTGCTCGACCCCGGCAATCCATTCTCTGCAAGGGTCGAGTCTCGGCTGGCAGTCGAAGAATATCGGCTGTGACGGGCAGACCTCCGCGTTTTCGAGCCGGAGGACTGGCTGTGACGGTGACGTAGAGAAGAGTCTCGAGTAGGAATGATTCGGCCGCTTCCAATACCACCGGGGTTATGGTGTGCGTCGGGCGTGTTCTGAATTGATGGCTGTTCTCGGGTTGGCGGGGTGCTGGCAACCAAACCCTCACTCGGTTCCTCCATCAGACCATTCCCTGCCAGCCCACTCGGCCCATGTTCCTCAGCAACATCTGCCATGGAGTACATGGAGCGCAAACTTGCTCGACTCCGCGGAGGGTTATGCCGCAAACTATCGTTATGGCTAGTGGTTCGACGCAGGCGATCTGCCTGGGTTTCCTTGTCGTTGTTGAATTCACGCGACGACTTCTTCAGCAGTCCAAAGTGACCCTTGAGACTCTTCGTTCGTCCGGAACTATTCGACGCAATGCTAGGAGCCTTGGACAGACGAGGGGCGGGTTCGGCGCTGATCGTCCCGAAGGCAGTATCTTCCGGCGCAGCCCTTAGCGACGTATAAGAGTCTCTTGATTCCGGTCGCACGGATGAATCGGTTGTTTTGAAGGGTCTGAAACGCGGGGATTTTGGCGTTTTGGGAGATGGGGGCGCTCTGGCCATACGAATAACGGGTGACGAGGCGGCATCATCTGGATGCAAGAGACTATGCGGGGGCTCTTCAGCAGTTGCATATGAGCCAAAGGTCAAGCCGAATCCATTTTGCTTGGAAGGGGGAATAGTGAAGCACGGTGCGGTTTGCGGGACCTCCGGGAGGCCAGGGTCGGAGGAATCTTTAGAATCGATGCGCGGCACGTTGTCGAAATGCGAGTTCAGGGGCACCGAGATGGCGGACAGGGATGAGATCAGCGACGAGATAACTTCGGGTGACGTTGGATCGGTTGAGGAATTAGGTCCCTGGCCGCGCATAGGGAGAGACTTGCGACGGCGACGACGATTGAGCAGGGCGGACTCGGCCTGCTTGGGCGGTTCCGGGAAGGGCTCGTCAAGATGCATGGCGTTCAATAGTTCTGTCGTCTCAGGGATGGTACTACCCGCCCGCGAGTCTTGGGAGGGATTTAGACACGGGGGGGGAGGGGAAGATCAACGAGAGATGCAGGTTTGGAGTCGAATGGCCGCGTGCATGTTCTACTGCAGTCGATATGGATAACTGCAGTTTCGGTCTTTGGCGAGCCGCAATAATAATTGGGAGGGGAGGGGCGTAAACCTAGTTATCGGTTTGCTTTTTGGCCCTAGTGAAAACCCCCCTTACTGGAGGGATGTGACAGCGGGAGGAGAACTGATAAGGAAAGGTTTAAGGAGAGGGAAAAAAAAAAAAAAGAAAGTAGAGAGAGAGAGAGAAATGTAGAAGATGAAGTAGAAAAAGAAAGGAGTGGCTGGTATAGAAAGTTAAGAATTAGAAAGTCGGGGAATAAGGAGTGAAACCCTGGTGACTTGAAGACTGTCAAAGTAGAAAACTCCCGAGCAGATGATCTCGTTCTTTTTTTCTTGACTGAATAATCATAATATGGGGTGGAGGAGGATTTTAGCGTTCGCGTGTTCAGCTCCACCGGAGTCCAATTTCCCACTCGTTTGTGTACAATTCCAATTCCTACTGGATAATCGGGTTGAGTGAACTAAGTTAACTCAGTTAGTTTACTCCGTTCAGCTCAACCCCATTTGGGAAGCTTTAACATCCGATCCATGGGTCCCTTCTTAGTGGTCACTTCTCCAGCCCGATGATGGAATCACGGAGTTTTACAGTATATAAACTATCATAACTCAATGTTTAGTCTTTAAAAATAACATCTTATTTGATGTCCATGTGGACTCCCAGATCCAATCCCACCAAAAATGCTGGGTGTTCTAGAAAGACCCCTATGAGGCCAGAGCACATTCTGGAGAGTTTCCCATGCCAAGTGATCGGCGCGATCTCGGAGATGAGTGCGTCCGGCATTTCTAGAGGCGCAGAATTAGGACGAACTGACTGCATGGGGTATGTATTTAGTGATCTGACAGGGATTTAAAGCTAGGTATAGATGTGCGTCATACTATATATTGTTAAAGACATGAGGTCAATGACTCGTGATAGTAATGTGTATCAAGGTCTGCATGCAAGGTTCCGATGCTTATTTGTGGAAATATATATCTTGTCCTCGTTGGTAGTCCCTGCATCGAAACAATCCCATAGTCCGTCCGCGATATATATCCACAGTAGGGAGTCAACATCTTCAGGTAAGGTATATACTTCCACAAACAATTTCTGCTATTTATACACCCTTCAATAATCTAAATGTTCACTCAATACATCCTATCAATTCTACATGATCCTTTAAAATAAGCTAGGGGTTTGACACAAATGACAGCTCCTCTGAAACGCGTCCCGCCGAGACACTGACCGCCCTGACACAACACGGCAATATGTCTGGACACCAACCAGCAATCACCAACGTTGCTCATATCGTCAACAGCTGTCCTGAGAGCATCCTCCCTACTGTCAGATCTGACTCTCCCGAAATTGAGCTACAAACAGCCTGTTATACTGGAATTATATTGACTTGTTCTCTCCAATAACCATTCCGGACCACTTTCGACCCGTCTGACCGGAGATGCGGTGACCGGTTGCACGCAACACCAATTGTCCGCAATGGACGCCTATCCGCAAGACTACGTCAACCACAATCTCCCTTTGGTCCTGCTCTCAGGGCTAGAGGCAGATGCTGAAGATGGTTCTGGAAATGTGGTGGGCTATCCCCTTCTAGCAGAAAAGGGTTCAAAGATCTTCTCCGACTTCCCACCTCTGAGCGGGGCTGTTGCGGAGGAGTTGCGGAGAGTGCTGCTAGAGGAGGATGGCTCCCAGATGCCTTGGAGAACGGGGACCGCCTCAAATGGGAATGCACCATCACCGCATATTGCATATCGAATTCGAAGCTCTGGTCGAGTAAGCTTCTCTCCGATATAACTGTTAAACGAAACGCGCCGATGTGGCCGTCTCTCGTGCCGAGGATGCTAACTCGTGTCACTGTACTGTAGTCATATCAACTTCCTCCACGCAAAGCCAATCCTCCCCAGACCTCTGCACCAACAAGCCCTAGAGCCGACTCAGACGGAACTCCCTCCGGTTCGACCACACCATTCGTCCTTCACTCACCCATCTCCCCATTGTCCCCGGGTTCCCCCACCTTCCCAGATGGCCTCCTCACGCCGCTGTGGGTGACCAAGCATCAGGAGCTGGTCCCCGCAGCGGTGATCAACTTCTTCCCATTCTCGCTAGACCCGAACATGAATTCTTTACGCGACAATCAGCTCAAGATTGAGATCAACGGCTTGAAAAAGGAATGGGCGAACTCTGGCTTCAAGACGCGTTTTTTGGTTGTTCTGATCTCGGAAGATGGAGATGGGGGTTACGAGGGGGAGATTGATGATCGTGTGGCTGGTATTCGACGGGCAACGAACCTGGATCAGAAGTCGATCTTCGTGATCCCACCAGACGCGACTTCTTCAGAGCTCAAGGATTTCGTCAAGTCCCTGTTCTCTCTGTTGCAACCATCGGTTGTAGAGTACTACCGGGATCTGTCGAAGCATGCCCGCCGCAAGCGAAACCGCAGCACTATTCCTCCCCCGACGGCACCACCGACGACTGGTACATCCCAAACGTTGTCATTGCAAGGCTGGAATGTGCGCTATGAATTCAAACTGGGAATTTTTGCCGAGTTTCGCCAAGAGATGGATGCCGCCTGTCGAAACTACGAGAGTGCATATGAGACTCTCTTTGGACAAGAGGTTTTTGAAAACATTGCAGGTTGGGATCCTCGGTTCAACGATGCGCGCCTTCTGGGCGACGCCCTCGCTATTCGGATCATACGCTGTTTGCTATGGACAGGCCAGACAACCTCTGCGACCCGGTTCTGGGTTGACCATAGAATTCGTACAAAAGACATCGTCAACAGGCGAGGCAAGGGTAGCAAGAACTATGGATGGGAGGCTTGGGAAGCACGGTGGTCTCTAGTGATGGCTCAGCTCATTCGCCGGGCGGAAGTCACTCCTTCATCCCCTGAAGCATCGGGTGACCAAGCAATGATGTCTTCGACCTTTCACCTTCCCGAAAAGTCCATTCCTACGGGCGAACGCGTCAACCCATGGGAGCACCTACATCATGAGGGATACTGGCTCTATCGGTCTGCCAAGCATACTATGGTCCGCCGAGCACTTGCTCTGCAAATTCCCAATGAAGACCGTATGTCTCCTGGGCAATCCCCTGCGTCTCAGATTGCCAACAAGTCATATTTGTATGACACATACCTTGCGCCGGAGACACATATCGAAGTCCCGCAATCAGGCGAAGGAGGCTTCAACCACTCCGAATTGATCCTGAGCTCATTGAAGGCCGCCCTTGATGAGTTTTCCAAGAGACAGCAGACGCGGCAAGTTGAAAGACTAAGTCTCGAGATTGCCGAAGAGTACATGCGTATCGGCTCTTGGTCTGAAGCATACGGCATTCTTGAACCACTATGGTCAACTCTCAGTTGGCGCAGATCAGGCTGGTGGTTCCTGATGGAAAGCTTTGGCTGGGTGCTGAGGGAAAGTGCCGTTCGTATGGAGATGAGTGAGACCGTGTTGCGAGTCGACTGGGAGCTGCTCAACAAGGGTAAGATGACACCGTCCCCATTGATGTCACCGCTTGTTCTAATGTGACGATTGTATAGTATTCCCACCGAGACCTGCGTGGCACTACGATATCCACAAGAGCCTTGAAAATCTTCCAGCCGAGAAGCCCAAACCGTCCGTGGTGCTCCGCGCAGAAGATGTCATGACGAGCTGTAAGCTTTTGACCTCCCAGAACAGAAGTGAAGATTCATCAAAACTGACACTATACACTAGTGACTGCCTCGATCGTGTTTGAAAAGTCAGAGGGCAACGTCGGCGAACCCCTACAAGCTCAGCTGATCATTTCGTCTTGCGCTCAAAAAGCCTCGGCGCCTATTCGACTATCGGAGGTGAAGCTTGTTTTCGAGGGCTGTCTGCGACCCGTGAAGCTGCAATCTGACCAAAATGAGGACGCTAATATCTCCTCCCCCTCCTGCATCTCTTCATTGTCTCTCCGCGAACAAAGCTCCGCCGGTGACATTCAATCCCCGACGGGTGGCTTAACTACGCTTGTTGGAGTGGCAGACCTCACGATCGGACCATCACAAACCAAAGTCTACAATCTCACCTGCATTCCTCGTGAAGCCGGAGAGGCTCAGGTTGCCTCAATCACGATGCTGGTTGACGAAGAAAAGTTTGACCTTGCATATGTGATCACCGACCACGGCTTGCGAGATGCTTACTGGTGGCAACAAACCAAGAAAGGGCCGTCACGGCGACGAGTAGGCAAGGACCGGGATACCGGAAGATGCAAGATCATGCCGAAGCCGCCCAAGATTCGCATTTCGACTCTAAACCTGAGGGAGACGTACTACGCCAATGAGCGCGTGGTTTTGAAAATCGGCATTCATAATGAAGAGGATGAGGGTGCCGACGTCTCGGCAGAGATCAGACTCTTCGGTAGCCCTGAATCCTCAGCCAAGCTGCAATGGCTTGATGGTAGCTCGAGCCCATCAGAGTCGGGGACAAGTTCCCCAACGGAGGGCGCCTCGCATTTCTTGAAACAGACCATCGGAGTAATGGAGCGTGCTTCCGATAGAGAGCTTACTGTTGTGCTGGCCGACACCCAAGATGCCGCAAAGTATTCCTTGGAGATATCGGCCGTGTACCATGTCGTTTCTGACATACAAACCCCCATAATGAAGACCATCACCGTGGATCTCTCCTTCATTCGACCGTTCGAGGCCAATTACGACTTTAAGCCTTCCATCCACCCCCTCCCCTGGCCAGAATTCTTCTCCGTCAGTGACGATCTCATCAGCGACGATCGTACCTCGGCACCCGGTGGCTTGTCGCAGAGATGGTGTCTCAACTCGAAGGTGGTCTCCTTTGCCCTGGAACCTCTCATCATTGACCAAATGTCTTTGAAACTACTCACCCTGACCGGCGGCGCGGTGTCGACGATCAACCCGGAAGTCCTCGTCAGCCCTGAAACACCACACATCGCTCCAGAAGAGCTGCGTGAATCCAACTTCTTCCTCGACATCCAGAAAATCACGCTGGGTGACCGCCGCCCCGCAGCACTCAACGTTGCCCTGGACATAACCTGGCACCGGCGCTCCGACGAGAGCACGAGTCCATCCGACCCCGAAACCAACACTACCACAAGCGTCCTCGAGATCCCCCGCTTTTTGGTACCTCTCGGTGAACCGCGCGTTCTTGCCTCATCATCTCCCTCCACCTCCTTCCCGGGCCTGCTCCACCTGGAGTACACCCTCGAGAACCCCTCAACTCACTTTTTAACCTTCAACCTGATGATGGAAGCCAGCGAGCACTTTGCCTTTAGTGGGCCCAAGACGACGGTTGTTCAATTGGTTCCCCTGTCCCGGCATACGGTGCGGTATAACATCTTGCCCGCAAAACGTGGGCTTTGGATCCAGCCACAGCTCGTTGTTGTGGATACGTACTTCAATAAGACGCTGCGGGTACTTCCTACCGGTGAGATGCGTGCTGATAAGAAGGGGATCCTGGTGTGGGTTGATGCAGATGATTAGGTGCAGACAACGGACGTGGTTGAGATAGGTGTGTTGTCACTGTTTGCATGTGGTGGGGAGAGCTTCACCATCGAGTCTCCGATGGCATTGTCATGAGATATGTAATTAGTTTGCATCTGGCGAACACAGAATAATGTATGTTTTTGTGGGTATGTCTTGTCGGAGTGGTTACTTCTCAGGTCAATTCTGGTGCGATGATTCTAGTTATAGAGAGCCGTCTTAGCTGTACGCATGGAGAATTAGCCCCTGCTATTTACCCGATTCTTCAAGGCAGATAAATTCATTCTGAAATCGTCCACTAGAAAAACACCAAATAACCACCTTTGACTGACCCTCTCACTATGCACATAAAGTTGTTCACCTGCATAAAAACCCACGATGCCGATATTCCCCTCCACCGCATTCATATCTTCTCAAACCTGATTTATCCACAAAACACACAGTATAACTTGCTAGCTAGTGGCCACACGACGGAACAAAAAGAGTGGGGTAACCAGTAGCCTTGCATTGATTAGCCTTGGTGGAACCTTGTTTCGAGATGTCCTTGCCAAGGCTGTCAGGATTGACTTATTTTATGGTTCTCACGTAAACTTTCCGAGGGTCTGAAGATGCTTAAAATGACCGTAATTCCTGAATGAGGCTTGGCTTGACTCGTGGTATTGCTTTTAGTTAGATTAGTATGAACGTTTGCTAAAGGAAAAACTTCTTGAAAGGAGATTAGACCAGGGCCAGAGGCCAGAGCGTTGTGGGACTCTAGCCTGTCGCGACTCGCCTGTCACCCGTCGATGACGGGAATGTGCCGTGCAGAGTGCGGGGTTTTTTCCCTACAGGAATAGCACAAATGTATGTTATGCAGTTTTTTTGAGGCATTATTGCATTATTGTGGTGGTTTCATGCGTCATGAGTATCATCGGGGTGTAAATAGCTAGTAGATAGCGGGGATTTTTCCTGTCGATTGTTTTAAAGAAGCGCCTGATCGCTCATGGCGAATGGGCAGAAAAGCTCTGATTCTCAAAGCAATTTAAGAGCCATGGCTGTTATTCAAAGCTTCTCGTCTGTAGATGGTGGACTTCCGAGTTTGGCTTTGAGTCTATTCATCGTGGGAGGAGTGCTGGTTAGCCCTTTCTGTCTGTCTTTTTGAGGTGAGCTAACATCAAGTCTATCCGGAAAAAGATACTCGTTTATCCCTTCAGCATCTTCATTTATAATGTCTATTTTCACCCCCTGGCCAAGTATCCAGGTCCGAAGCTCATGGCAGCTTCTCGCGTGCCCTATATGCGGATGATTATCAGTGGCCGGTTCGCCCAGCAAATCAAGGCTCTACACGAGAAGTATGGCAATGTCGTTCGCATCGCTCCGAATGAGCTCTCATTCACCGACGGTGACGCCTGGAAAGTGATCTACGGAACTCGCACCGGCCACGGACAAAAGCAAAAGGATCTTCGATTCTACCCTCCCACCCCCGGCGGCGCCCCGAGTATCATATACTCCGACGACGCAGACCATTCCCGATTCCGCCGTCTCCTGTCGCATGCATTCTCGGATAGCTCGCTACGTGGACAAGAGCCAATTATCAAAAGCTATGTCGATCTTCTCATGCAACGCTTAAACGAGAATATTGCCGCTGAAAAGAACGTGCTTGATATGGTCTCGTGGTACAATTTCACTACATTCGATATCATCGGAGACCTGGCCTTCGGCGAACCATTCGATTGCCTGAAAAATTCCAATTACCACCAATGGGTGCACATTCTCTTCAGTCACATGAAAATGAGCGCTTACGCAAATGTAGCCCGGCGTCTGCCGGGTTCTGGTCGGTTATTGAAGCTTATTACCCCGAAGCGGGTCACTGCCCAGCGAGATTGGCATTTTGAGATGACGAAAGAGAAAGTCCAGGCTCGACTGAGCAAATCAAATGAGAGACCGGACTTCTTTGGGAATATCTTGAAACATAATCATACCGAGAAAGGGTTTAGTTTACCTGAGATGATTTCGAATGGGAGTACGCTTATTATTGCCGGCTCGGAAACTACGGCTACGCTGCTTTCTGGAGTGACGTATCTGTTGCTGAGGAATCCGCGTGTTCTTGCGAAGCTTCAGGAAGAGGTTCGGTCAACGTTCACTCGCGAGGAAGAGATTAATCTGGACTCGTGCAATAAGTTGGAGTATTGCCTCGCGACTCTTACTGAAGCGTTGCGAATGTACCCTCCCGTTTCACCTGGATTGCCTCGGATTGTCGATGCCCAGGGTGATTTAATTGCTGGGGACTGGATCCCAGGAGGCGTAAGTCTCAGTCAAACTTATTTCCTCATGGATTGTTGCTCTAACAGCTCCTATAGACAATCGTCTCCGTTAGTCACTTGGCTGCTAGCTATTCCCCATCGAACTTCACCGACGCAGACCAATTCATCCCGGAGCGTCATCTCAATGACCCTCGCTATAAGAATGATGTCAGACATGCAATGCAGCCGTTTAGCTTTGGACCGAGAAATTGCATTGGACGAAAGTAAGTTCCCTTGAGATGGCAGCGTTGAACGTACTATTGCTAATTGGGGTCTTCGTTTAGTTTGGCCTACGTCGAGATGAGGATTATCTTGGCTCGTATGATATTCAATTTCGATATGGAGTTGGCTGAGCCTGAGAAGGACTGGTTGGATCAAGATGCCTTTGTGCTTTGGGATAAACCTGCTTTGAATGTCAAGTTGACTCCTCGGAGTAAAGAGGTGTGATTGGGGATGGTCGATGGCTGGTGTTGGAGAGAAGCATCACGTCTTCGGATGGATTGAATTGATCAAACTGGTTGTCATGATTGATTAGATTGCATAGCATGTATTCAGGTAGCTGTTCATCCTGCTCATATAAATTCCAGCACTTGGCACAAATTATATTCCCCCACTCGTAAGGGCTAACAAGTCACGTGAACCTTATCACAATCAGTCCCGAAGCGGTTAGCGGCGATCGGCCGTCGCAGCTCTCTCCGCGAGCTTTCGTCACATCCTCGCTCGTTGTACTTTTTGCCGTTGACAATCCCTTTCAGACTCTCGTTTTTGACTGCCCTAGACTCGTATATTGCCTCCTTGCCTTTCATAACTCGAGCCATCCCGAGTCCTCCCCTCCAAGACCCCTCACAACGCGAACCCCAGACGTGTCTGAACCGACGGCTCAGTCGCAGACCCGTAGCCATGGCGACCCAAGCAGCGCTGATTGCCGATACTATCGTTGGCATGAAGCGGGCATTACGCAGAGAGCGTGAAGGTAAGTCTGGCACCTTTGTTCGACTTTGATTGTTGAAGAAGTTGTGTTTCTAACCTGCCATCCTTCATTAGATTCGGGCCCGGACGACGCCATTACTCAGCCGACGAATCGCGGTAACAAGATGAGGGCAAACGCAAAGTATGTCCGTGAAGGTGCATTGGGATACATCAATGCAGAGGAATTCTACAAAGAGGTGCGTGGTGTTCTTTCAGACAACAGAGTGGCGGGGGCGCTTGTCTCCACAGCGCCAATTTGAAAGCCGTGCAAACTAACGCTTTGTCAATAGAAAATCGATCATGCCGGGTACACACGTCATATCTTGCAGCGGAACCCCATTCGTTACGACTCCGAGGGCGAAGAACTTGACGAGGAAGATGAAGATTCTGAGGCCGACGCAGCGGCCGCAGAAGAGAACCCGTTTTCGGGGATCGCGCTAGAGAGTAGGTTATACACTTACCCTTGCCTAGATGATTGCGAGGCACTGACTGTTTCAATTTTCTCTTGCAGCGCTGCTTTGCCCACTCAAACACCCCTCCGAATTACCCGTCCATCCTTCGTTGTCCCATCCTTACACCACACAAGCCCTAGAGCAAATGACGCAAACCGTTGAGGAAAAGTTGCGCCAGGAGAAAGCTCTTCTTTGGCGGGCAAGGAATTTGCATCGAAAATTCCTTGGCGATGGCAGTTGGATGCCCTGCGGCCTTGTCGAAACGCTCGACGACCGTTACATCTTCGAACCTCGGATCGTGGATGACATCAGAAACCTGTCTGCTGGACAACAGAGGCAAAGTGCGCTCGGGACACCGTCTGCCATTGGTGATCTGAGTGGGCCACAAGATTTGCTTTCCACGACGGGTCAACTGAATGACAGACAGACTGCGACAGCGGGTGATGTGGAGATGACTGAAGTGCCTGCGGCGAGTAACGATGACCTTCAAGAAGCCGTCACCGAATTCAAATCAGAAGAAACCGATGCTATGGTCAAGGACCTTCCCCAGCATCCCGCCGAGGACCCAGACCAAGGAAGCGAGACGATTGACCGTAATGGGATCGCCAACACAAATGGAGAGGCCGCACACCACGAGACCAACGAAGACGATAACGAACAAGATACCGAAATGCATGAGGGATCCTCTCCAGAGCCGCCTCGCCGAATGACGACCCGAGCCCAAGCCAACGCGACCAACCCCTCCGATGGTAACCAGTCACCACTGTCTGCCGATAACGCCAGCTTCCTACAAACCCCTCATCCACTCTTCGTCATCCCGGAGAACGTCCGCCCCGACGCAAACTTCGGCCTTCCCCCGAGTGAAGCAGAGGAGACTCGTCGCCTGCTGTGGTCATATATTCAGAAGCAAGAGGAAACCGTGCGGGGCTTTGAGCATATGCTCGAATCCCTGCTGCGGGCCACCCACATGAAGGCCGACGTGCTAGAATGGTGCAAGGCCGAGGGACATGTCGGCGAGATGAGTGACGGCGAGGACTGGTACGACCGAGAGAAGTGGGGTCTCGCCGAGGGCGAGGATCTCAAGAAGGGTACCGACGAAGACGAAGTCGAGACTGTCGACGAGAGTCGAACGACGGCGAAGAGGGGTCGTGGCCGGCGACAGTGATGGACTGAATGGTGGATCTGTCAACGCTTTGCCGCTCCTGATTTGGGTTTCCAGGTCTACACCGGCCTCTGTTCTGCTTTTGTCTTCGTTTTTAACTTCGTCGTCGTACCCTTCTTAGTCTCTCATAGCGTGGTGTTGGTGGTGTTCAGTCCTTGCGTGGGTGCTCATCTCCCCCCATATACCATATATTTTTGTCCTCGGCGGATTGCCCTGGACACATGCGGTGTCAATATACCCTCTGGAGAATGGAAATAGTGTTATTTGTTCTAGCGCTTGCAATATACTGATTTGTTTGCAATTGTAATTGGATTTTCTATTCAGTACTTCATGGAGTCCGTATGCTCGGTATACTGATTTAATAATGCATAGCGGCATGTAGTTTTGCCTTTACGTTCTATGTCTTCTATTTGATACTCATATTCCTGCCTATTATTACTCACCACCCCCCTTATAAGCACTTAGATATTAAGTAGATCCATAAGAAGAGAGCTAATGGGACCTAGTAGGTGCCTTATTCAAATAGTCTGTTCCAGCTAAAGTCTTTGCAGAATGGTATAAAGAGTCAGAATATTCTTCTTTCTGGAATACTTCAATCATTGAAGGATCATATGACCTTCACTTTCCTATGAGCACTCACGCCGGTTACTATCAGCTAACAATCAATGACAATTGATTATCCATCATGAGATCTCTCTCTTGTCCCTTTGTTAACTCAAAGGGGAACTTCTAGCCCTTATAATAATCAACAGCTGTAAAAGACAATCTTTAGAATCTACAATAATCTTGTATTCATACTTTTCGCTCTATGTACAAACCATCGTACATAGTTCAATCCACGTCCCCTCCATCGAAATGCATGATTCGGACAACGATCTGCTGATGCCAACCAAGCTCTCGAAGCTGGGCCCAGTCTGAGAGCTCATGATGTTCACCCACAACAACCTTGATCATGCGCAAACCTGGGAAACCATCCACCTCATGCAGCAGGAAACTTCTGATTGCGTAGAGGCCATCTTTGGGGCGGCGGTGTGGGATCCCAGTATCCATGTCACAGTCTTGTAAGACCAGATCTTGGATACTGGGAGGGATTGCTTCCGACAGTCGGATTTCCCAACCATGCCAGCCCAGGAGTGGGGGATGGGTAGATTAAGGAACCTCAGGTTTTCAAAAGAATTAAACAAGCCCCCGGTCCTAACACCTGCCCCCATCGAGAAACGCTACCGTCCTCGGTAAGCGGGACAAAAAGAAAGGACAGCCGGCTCCAACATCGTCATTCAGCCCTCACAAGTAGAACGTAGGTAGAGAGCAAAAATGAAGCGAAAGCAACGGTAAAACGAAATAAAAACAAAGTAAGAAAGGGGGTAAAACAGTGAGCACGTAGGACCTAGCCTAGCATGGTGCGGAGCTCCTTAGCAAGAGTTGCGACATCGTTGCGGAGTACGCCCTGGGGGAGACTCTCGAGGCATCTATCGAGGAGCATGAAAGCTTCACAGAGCGCCATAGCTTGAATGATTGAAAATGGTCATACTTCACACCAGCTCTGTCCCATCGAGCTGGGTGACCCGGACAGCGACTTGATATTGCTGTGCGAGCTCCCGGAGATGAATCTGGTCTGACATTGATGCCGAATTTTGATGTGCACTTCCATTATCCACAACCAGCGTGATGCTGCGGAGAAGTGGGAACCGGTGAACGTCGTCGAGAAGGAACTTGTTTAACAACTGAATTGCCTCTTTCGGCCGGCGATACAAGATTTGAGTCTCCAGAAAGCATTCTCTGAGGATAAGATCTCTGAGAGACGTGGAGAGAGCCTCCGTGAGTTGGTTTTGGTGCGCGCCCCAGCTGAGTAACAATGGGAGAGGGATGCTAAGGGCTGCGAGTCTCTCGAAAGAGTTGAAAATGTCGTGGGGAAGTTTTAGCCCCGCTTGATCTCCTGCACAGACTACCTCTGTTTCGGGTCGGACAACGGAGTAAGCAGGACTCAGACTTAGCGTCTCGATGCTGTTAGAGAGACTGCTCAGGCCTGGGGCCGTTCCTGCGATGCTTTGTAGTTCTTCGAGACAAGTCCCGTATTGCAGACCTAGCATGAGGTATTTGATGGACTTCATCTGCGAGATGAATTTGTTGATATCCCCAGTGTTAGGCATGGCTTGGAGGATACCTAAATGACGGAGTTGGGCAAGGTTCGATGGCTGGATTTTGGTTCCGTTTCCAATGTCTGATGCAAGACATGGGCTTTGAATCCATATCTTTAGGCCCATGAGTCTGGGCAGGAAGAACCAGCCAACAAACTGACTGCGGTCGAATTGTTCCTGGACTCTGAAAATAGGAACGCTCACATGTTGAACACGTAGTCTGGCGGCGTTTGACCCGTAGTCCACAGCCTGGAGCCAGAAAGAATCCGACATGACGCCCGGAGGTGCCCCGAACAGGGCATGTGTCATCATCAGCCCAGTATAACCGTCGTAGTAGATAAAGGAGCTGTCCAGCTTGAGAGTCCGCAGGCTGGATAACTGGGAGATCAGTATTGCTGCATAAGCATAGGGATTTGGTGCATCAAGGGCCTTCTTCCAGAAACCCTCACGAGGAAATTTTCCCAACCCAACCGGATTATGCTCAACTCAAAGTTTTTCATTCCTGGGATAGGTCCATAGGATCCTTCGGCTGGCTGTAGGGTCGACATTTGTGTATTGCTCATCGATTGGACCTCGGGTCGTGTTGTAAGGAAGTAAGGAGACATGCTGGACGAGGGCACCGAGTTCTGGTCGGTCACTGATGGTTTGAATGAGTTTGATAAGTCTTAGGAAGGGTGGCTCTTCATCTGGACCCTGCTGCCAGCCCCAGTCGATGGTTTTGTAGAGGAGTGCGGTAGCAGATGTGTTCAGGCCCCGACACACCAGGCTGATATTCGCTAGATCATTTTGTGGTAGGTACTCAAGGATCTGGAGCCAGCACTCAAGGGGAAGACGGGCGAGGATGGAGGGAGGTGTCTGGAGGGGGGTGTCTGCCTTTTGATGCTGTTCTGAAGGAGAGCTCCCTCTGGAAACTTCCGGGCCAGTCCCAGAGGTAGCTTGAGTCAGAGGCTTAGCTTCGCCGAGAGAGGCAGGTTCCTTGCGACGAGGTCGTGATGACATCGTTAATATGCAGGTTACTTATATATCTCGCCTGTGAAGAAATTAGAGGGGAAGTATCGAATTTGTCGGATTAGGCGGTAGGAAAGGGTTGCTAAGGACGAGCGAAAAAAGACAAGCGGATAGAGACGAGTAGAAAAAGATGAGTGAAGAGAGACCGGCGAAAGGCATAATCTAGAACGAAGATTAGGACAGACGATGCTATGGGGTGATGCTATGGCGTGTGATCGCGTCGTGAATTAGCAAACCTGAGGGAAGAGCTATGATATAAGACAGAATATGGTCACTCTTTCGATGTCAAATAGTGTTTCCTCTCTTGGAGGGTGCCCATGATTGTTAAATACCATGATGAAAGATATCTTATGATTCTCTACTGTCAGATATCACAAGCTAGTGAACGCTCTGTGGGGCATATTGAAACGAGAAAGAAGTTCAGTATATTCAAAGATCTATTCAAAAACACTGGAGTGAAGAAAGAAAAAAAACCAAGAAAGAAAGTCAATATATCACAAAATCAAAAGAAGTGAAATCGCAGAGCTGAAATGACCATCAAAAGCGCAATCATTCTATGACCAGAGCACTGCCATATATAAGAATGTCAAAAATGGTACTCCTTTAAATGCCACCTGCTTTGCAGATCTTCTCAGCCTCAGAAACACGCTCAGCATAGCGAGTAGGATAAGCGGAGCCCTGCACCTTCTGGCAGAGGGTTCCAACAGCCATAGACTTCCAGCCACTAACGTTCTTCATCTTCTTGAAGAACTGGGCAGCAGACTTGGCGGCATCCATATCAGCGGCAATGTCGGGGTAGTACATGGCGCGCTGCTGGAAGATACCAACGCTGTCGTGGTCCGAGCCAACAGCGTCGTGAGGGTAGTTGAGGGAAGAGGGGACAGCCTTGTTGGCATAGATCAGGATGTTCGACTAGAGAAATTGTTAGTTGATCGTATTTTGAGGGAAATTGCTATCAAGGAGCGGAATGTTAATGTTCATACCTCAACAAGGGCAGTCGCAATACCGGCAGAGCAGCCGTGAAGACCCAAATCCTCACGCTTGGCCTCGGCGATGATCTCCTTGGCGTGCTTGGACTGAGTAGCAGTCAGGCCGGGCAGGTTGCCACCGCTGCTGCCGCCGCCGGAGCTGCCATCGCAGTGCTTGGTAACGTAGCTGCTGGAGCCGGTCTTGACATAGTAGTCGCTCACGTAGCAGCCGTCGGAGGTCTTGTCCCAGAGCTTGTCACCGTTGACGTCGGTGCCGGCGGCCTGGCAGGTGATGCTGAGGTCGGTTCCGCGCTTGTAGGACTTCACGATGCCGTAGTTGGTGCCAGGACCGGAGCGGCAATGGAGATCGTCGGCGTTGACGGGGTAGGCACTGGCCAGGGGCAGGGCAATGGCTGCGGAGATGGCGAGGAGCGAGAAGTGCATGGTGAAGGTTGTTGATTGAACTTGGAAAAGTTGTTTTGAAAAAGTTGAAGAGATGAAAGGAAGCTTGGAAGGAAGCTTGATTGATGATTGTTTTTAGTTTGAGCTGGAAAGTTGTTGTGAGGCTGTTGATGATGAAGAAAAAGGAATGTATCGAGGGGAATTTAGGTTGACTTTATAGTTGTTGTTGGAATTGATTGATCATGAAGTCCTAATTGTTGTGGAAGGTAATATCCAGCTAGTTCACCCTTCATGCCGCAGTGACACTAACTCGAATGGGCTTCATTTGGCTTGATTGGAGGTCCCTTGCATGGATCGGAATGTCGATCGCCATGAGGCTCGTATCAAGCCAAGCAGCGATGAAGAGACGAAGCTATTTTTGCATCGTATTTAGAAGTTAGTATTTTATTCGTATTCAAACTCGAGTAGTAAGTTAGAGATGGGCAGTGGGACAATTTCGGCCCCAAGGTGGAATTGTCAAAGAGGTCATCTCGTATGCATGATGGTGATGGGGCGCGATGGAGAATACGGGGAACAATAGCAGGGATACAGAGATGGATACTAAATTTGCTGAGCTACGACTAGAAGGCGACAAACGGCCGAGTATACAGCGAATGTAAAAAGGCAGTTAGTATAGAGTGATAAAATCTATAGATCTATCAGCCTATGTGTGTCATTTCGCGATAGTGCTCGTTGGATAGATCGCAGTCATACTTTAGTTCATATTGAATCATAGTGTCATCTGGAGCATGCAGAATCCTTCTCTCAACCCTGGTAGAACACTCAGGTACGATCTATCCCCGCCGAAAGTATTATGATCGTCCCCATATGATCCCAAAATTATCCTCATCCTTCCCAAAAAACTGCCAATACCACCCTATGGCCCCCAAACGTGCCCCCCAAATCTCGTGTTCCTGGCATAATGGGCCCTCCTAAAAATAGAACCCTCAAAAGGACACAAACTTCACTTGCAGCGACCTGCCGATCCCCCGTACTGGGTGGAACAGCCACGCCCGTTGAATGCGCCAATCAGATCTATTTGGACCTGACGAACCCGAGCTTATCCCACACCCTAAATTTCCGTACAGGGCTGAATTCTCCGAGATGTCAGGGTTGGTGAATGGGGTATACGAAGGGAGGGTGATGGATATAGTGGTTACGATCGGGGATACTAAGAATAGGTGGTAGTTCGTGTTTATACGGAGTTTCCAGCCTTTAGTTTGAAGCTAACTAGAAGAAAAACGTAGGGTCACAGAGCTCGAGGAGCTAGAAGAAGGTCTTTTGTCTTTGTAGGCTTATGACCTAATTGTGAACACGAGATACAGGAATAGAAGGGGCCTCGAGCAATGAAATCAACAGCCATAGAATGATTAGAAGGCGAACACACCGCCGGTTCGTCTCCAAACAAAATTAGATAGATGGTATTATAATCCGCTGAGCATGACTGGAAGAGCTAGCTCATATTTACAATCAACAGGGTGGCCAACGTGTAACGTCTGTCTGCACGGGTATACTGGTCGCATTGGGGATAGGAAACTTTTCTTGCAGTCGCGTAGGGGAAATCAATGAATAAGGGTGGTGCACTCGTCTAGCAATGCGGCAATGGTTGGCCGCTTTCGAGCTCGCTCGGCCGTCTGTGCTCTCTGTGCCGTGGGCGAAATGAGGTTTATCGTCTACTCTTCCAGCATCGTTGAAGATTCGGATTCGGGTGCATCCGTGTGCTGGCCAAATGTGCCATCTCCCAGCTCGGAAAGGGGGTATATCCAAGCTGTGGATGGCATAGTCGTAGGGGAATTGTCTTGTCTCTCGACCGCGGTCTTGGTCTGAGACTTATCAAGCGAGTTGAGGATGTTGAATGTCCCGCACAATCTCGCTATCATGTCGAGTGATTTACTGCTTCTTGCCGCCAGACTTCTTGGCACGCTCACGCTCACGCTTGGCATAGATCTCGGCGGTGAAGGGGCTGAAGATGTTTGTTAGCTTGGATCGGAGAAACTTGGATTATCAAACTGAGCACATACTCCTCCCACTTCAGGGCGAACCAGTACAGCACAAAGACCTGAGCGGTCAGAAGGAGACCGGCAACCTTGCCCTTGTACAGGGCAACGCCGAGGAAGTTCAGGGTGCTACCCCAGTACATAGGCGAGCCAGTGACGTTGAACGGGAAACCGGTAACGGGGGCATCCATGAGGATACCAAAGTAGTCACCGAGATAGGTGCCGGTCACACCCAGAGCCCACATGCTGGACAGCACGAGGACCGAACCGACGGCGAACAGGACACCGCCAACGAGGGGCTGGTGCACCGGCGCGTAGAAGGGTTGCTCATCGAGAGCAACCTGGTAGAAATGATCACGCAGAATGCCAAGAGAGAAGATGACAAAGGCCAGGAAGTAGCATCCTTTGTAGGGGCCACCGAAGATGCGCGTCAAGATGTGGTTGTTGTACTCTGCGATGATCCGTTGTTAGCCGAGTTGGCAAAAGTACGCTTTGTTGTTCGACGAACCTGCGCGGGCAATGATGCTATTCAGACAACACAGGTTAGCTCTTTGAAGCTCGGACTGAAAATTTTGATTGGAGGCCAACTCACTTCCAGAAAATCGGATTGAACGCGATCGTCGCCGCGGACACTGCTGGATGGTTAGTCCCAATCACATGCAAAATGCGGAGAATGAACCAAGGTCGAAGACAGGTTGAAGCTCAACTTACACGCCAGGGACCGGGGGGAGAAATCGACAAAATCAGTCAGACTGGCCATGACGCAGAAACCGTTGGTGCGAGGAAAAGAGGGTGTAGAAGAACAAAGAGAGGGGGAAGTTTAGTTTTGGCCAAGTTGATGGAAACAGCTTAAGTAAACAAATGACGTTCGGCAGTGGATCCTGTAGTCACGGGATCTGTATGCGGGTTGTCGCAAGTCCGTTGGACTCGCGGAATTTACTGCTCGTCGGCCGACAGCCCCTCGGCATCGGTAGTCCTTTCTGTTTTATTGATCGCTTCTTTGAGTTACGTTTTCCAAAGTAACTTGATCTTTCACCTGCCATTCTGCCTCGAAAGCCCGTGTCATTGCGCCGTGAATCGCAACTGCCGGGAAGCTCTTCGCTCCTGAGCTTCACCGGGTGATCGACATGCAACGGGGAGCTTTGAAACTGCTAGGGGAGAATGGTCCTTCAACGTCGTGATCTGGTACGAGCGGGCATCCTCGGCTTCGTCGCCTGGGGTATGGTGGTACGCTGGTTGCCGATCCTTCGATATCTCGGATATGCCTTGGTCCTGGGGGCCGCGTTGGCTTCGGCTGGTTTCCTCGGCGTGATTATTTTGACAACCCGAACTAGGAGCGATAAAACCAAGATCTCGAAGAATGTCTCGGTCGCTTTCATCACCCCGCTTCACTGGCGGAAAGAAGTGTTGAATGCTCGCAAAATCGCTCGCTACCGTCCCAGACCGCTATACCCGCAATCCTTCGTCGTGTCTGAGGCAATCGATGAACTTTTGTCCCTTGTGAATCGCCAATTCGTCACCTCATGGTACCACAATATCACTCCAAATCCTACATTCGCCAACGATATCGATCGAGTCACGCGCGTGGCATTGGACAACCTACGAGAGAGACTGCTGGCAGAAGACTTTATTTCGCTGATTGTGTCGCGCATCTTCCCGATACTCACAGCCCATTTACGAGAGTTTGACATTGCCGAGCGTTCGGTGCGTGGGAAGAACCTCAATCGAAATGTGACGGAATCTGAGGAGCTCGATCTGGCTATTGCCAATAAGTTCCGCGAGGGTCGGCTTCACCCTGCGGTGGGGTTGTCAGCTTCTGACCAGAAGATCGTCCAGCAGGAGTACCTGCGGAAGATCGCCGTGGGACTGCTTCCCCAGCTCTTTCCGGAGAGTGTGCTCAAGAGCAGGATCGTATCCGTTTTGATTCGAGAAATCATAGCATGTGCAGTTCTGCTTCCAATTGTGAACGCACTCTCAGACCCCGATACATGGAATCAGTTGACGGAAGCATACGGGCGGACGGCTCTGCAGGATCGGAAAACCGTGCGCAAGCTGCGAGCTGCTCTAGACGAGCACGCTTCCCCGGCACCGAAATCCAAACGAGTACAATCGTTCCCCAAATTATCGCCCCAAGATAGTGAGCGTGCTTTTGAGCGCTTCGTCCGAGCAATCAGACGCTGCAATAATCTCTCCGATGCTCGCCGATTCCGTGCTCTAGTCACTAGCCAGTTAAAGCGGGAGAGCATGGTCGAAGGACAGGATCAGGTCTATTTGAGGCGGCTGGAAACGGGGAAACGAGTCTTGGACCAAAAGGTTGCCAAGCTTTCCTTACATGGAGAGGCTGCTCCGTTACCCCCTGCACCAGTGCAACCTCGCCGTGACAGCGTCCCTGCTGCTCAGGAAACATCGCTCGTGGAAGTCATGCACAATGCGTCTGGTCTATCGTACTTTATGGAGTTTATGGACCGTCAAGGTCTTATGTCTCTCGTGCAGTACTGGATCGTGGTAGATGGTTTCCGGAATCCACTGGAGGATGATTTCGGCGATGAGACGTCGTCCGGTACGGTTACTTGGACCGCTGCAGACAGGAATGACCTGGCGCTTTTGAGCGAAACCTATCTTACGAAAGCCGAGTTGAAGGTTTCAGAAGATTCTCGCCGATCGGTCAAGAACTTCCTTAGCGCTGGAAAGCGTGCAACTCCCGAGCAATACCGCAAAGCCCGAACAGTCGTATTGACCACTCAGTCAGCTGTGCTGGAGGAGCTAGAGAGCACTTATTATCCAAAGTTCAAAGAGTCGGATCTCTACTGGAAGTACCTGGCATCGGACGAGGCTTCAGGCGCCCAGATACCGGCTCCTCGGCAGCCATCACCCACTGTGACCTTTGACACCCCCGAGAGACGACCCCTGCCACCGCTTATCGTACGAACAACCTCACAGCCCGGTACCAAGCCGCCTAGGGATCTTCGACGAGCTGCAGTGTCATCCAGTGATGTGCGCAGTATGGGCAAACTATTTGACGATGATGACTCTCCGAGACGATCCATTGATTCTGAACGATCTGCACCTTTGTTTGACGATGATTACGACACTGATAACCTTGCCATGTCTACAGCCAGCCTAGGCAAGGACTCACAGAATGGGGAGAATGATGCCACCCAGAGCAGGGTCCTGGAGACCATGGAGGCAGCTTTGAATGATATTATTACGAACGAACCGAAGAACGGCAAGGTGGACGATTTGCGAAATAGCGACCTGAGAAGTAGCGACGGTGCCTCCTCCTCGTCCTTGTTTGGCCCAGATGCTTCATCCGAGGGTCTACGCATGGACAGCCGTCTTCCAATGGACAGGACCAAGAAAAGCATCGCCTCGTTTGGCCTGCTTGACCACGGACCGCGTTTTGGTGTCTTTGAAGATGACCTCTTTCCGGACCAACAAAAGTTTATCGAGGACGAATATGAGGAACCCGTCGGCGACGATGAAAAGGACCCCGCAGACGAGGTCCACGAAGCTGCGCCCGGCGACCTCGGCCTGACGGAAGCAATTGAAGTTCTCACTACCGATATCGACAAGCTCACCGCGCAGGACTCGGTGGTCGAAGCGCTTACCCGTAAAGCTGAGTTGACCAACAATACTGCTGAGCTGCGCATCTTGCGCAAGTCCAAGGCCAGCATCCAGCGTGAGATTCATCGCAAAGAGATGCAACGGCAGCAGTACATTATCCAAGAAAGTGATAACAGTCTGTATGGTCGGTCCACTGTGCGTATCAAGTCTATCGTCGTGGGCAAGGAAGAGGATGACGGGCGCGAATTTGCAATGTGTAAGAGATCAACCGACTCCCAATACCTAACGTCAACCCGCTAATACTTCTTTACAGATGTCGTTGAAGTTCAACGCAACGCCGGCGAACAAATGCCCGCCGCTTCCTGGGCAGTTGCCCGTCGATACAGCGAATTCCACGAGCTGCACCAAAAGCTACGCATGAGCTATCCATCCGTGCGACACCTGGAATTCCCACGCCGGCGCATGGTCATGAAGCTGCAAAAAGAGTTCCTCCAAAAGCGACGTCTCGCCCTGGAATCATACCTGCAGAAACTCCTCCTTCTCCCCGAAGTCTGCCGCAGCCGTGATCTACGAGCATTCCTCTCCCAGCGCGCGATCATCCCCCGCGAAGAAACCACTGCCCGCGGTACCGAAGTCGAAACCAAAGACCTCGTCACACGCATCTACAATTCCGTCGCCGACGGCATGGACGATTTCCTCGGCAATTTCGGCGTTCTCGATCAACTTTCCACCGCTGGACAAAACCTCATCTCAGCCGCAACCGCACAAGCAAACACCAGCGCCGCACACGATCCCGCCCTCGCCACCGAAGACGCAGTCACAACCGCCGAAGCCGAAGCCGAACTCAACGCCTTTGAAGACCGCGAACTAGAACCCTTCATCAAGCCCATCTGCGACCTCTTCCTGGAAGCCTTCGAACTCAACCGCGGAAACAACTGGCTCCGCGGCCGCGCCGTCGTCGTCGTCCTCCACCAACTCCTCGGCGGGACGATTGAGCGTAAAGTCCGCGACAGCGCTCGCTCACTATTCCAGGACGACTCGCTGCTACGCTATCTCACACTCGCCCGAGATAATCTGTTCCCCGACGGCGTCTTGCGTAAATTCGAACCCCGATCCACGCAGGAACGACTAAAGAGTCGTGCCGAAGCGACCGTCGTCCTCGCAACGCTTATCCCGGATTTAGCGGGGAATGTGGTTGGACGGGCGAACGCGCAGGCTGCGGCGAGACGGATCTTTGCGACACTTAATAATCGTCCGTTGAATACGCATCTTGCTTTTACGGTGTTGGATGAGATTGTGCTTGTTTTGTTTGGGAGTCGGGAGACTGGTCGCTCCCGTTGATGTCCGCCTCCCCCTGCTCTCTAGTTTTACCGGACAGTTTGGTTTCTTTTTCTTTTTTCTTTCTCTTTTGTGGTACACCTAATGATTGTTTTGGACTTGCCTTGGAGCGTTGCTAGCATAGCATTTTGCCAATAGGGTATTTTGCGTTTTTCTTTGATTCTTTTTCCTTTTGTTATTGTTTCACGGTTGGACTCGAGAGTTGATGATGTATATATTCATAATGTCTGCACATGATATTTCCATGATTAGTCAATGCGAGCATTGCCTAGCACAGAACAGACTTAGATCTGTATGTAGCCAATGAGCCATGTACAGTTAGTCCTGAATCTGCGCTATGTCCAGGGTCGCTGTCAAAGATTGTGGGAATCGCTTATCGAGCTATCGAGGCTAATGCGCGGGTTGTGGGCCCTGGTGGGTACAACTCGTTAGCGTGACGCCCATTCCGACGTCGATTTGATAGATGAACGAACTACAGCACATTTCTACGAGTATACATTGAGATTCCTACAAAAGAAATAAATGCATCCCCTTGGAAATTAATAGATTGATATTCCCCTTGTGAGTAAAGATCGAAACGGAGACCGGACACGCTGTGTCTCAAATAACCGGGTTGCCTCACACTGGGAGGGCATTCACTTACTTCTCCCCATCTCTTTCCGCCGATGGCATCACCGGAAGAGTGGATAGAGATTCTGAGTGATACCGGACAGCCCACTGGGCATAGATAAAAGACAGGAACAAGCTGAGAGGAGAAAAAAAGATAGAGATAAAATGTTCACCCTGCGCCCTCTCTTAAATCCATGTTTCTACGTCCCGGAACCGAAACAGAAACGCGCGATAGGGAAGAATAGAGGATGGAGAACAGCCGGAGCGTGTTCTACTTCCCGAGGGAAGGAGATGGCAAGGAATGAGATAAGCAGAGAGGAGGGGAGGTGTGGTGTTGGGGGGGTAAGAGGGTGTGGCAACCCTTGTCGTTTCATTGTAGAGTGGAAGGGCAGTGTAGAGAGAGAGAGAGACATAGTGATAGGGAGTAAAAAATAGTAAGAATGTAAGAGAGTTATTGTAGAAGGGGATGCCAGAAGGAGAGGAGGAAATGGGGACTGGCAGTGATGATGGGAGAACCAATCTATGCCTCGTCCTTGTTCTTCTTCTTGGACTTCTTGCTGGAGGGTTCTTTGGGGATCGTGCTGGTGTGGGTCTGGTGGACGATGAGGCGTGTCCAGCACTCCTCCTTGTCCCACTCGAAGCCGGCGAGGTAGGGCTTCTCTAGTTCGTCATCGGCCTGGGAGGTGTTAGTTAGGGTCGGCGATGGGGAGGAGGAGAGGGAGCGAGAGGGAGAGGAAGAGGGTAAGTGATGAAAGGGTATTATGATGCATACCTTCTTCTTGAATTGCTTGTGGATGGCATCTAGTGCGTCCTTGATCGTGACACCCTTTGAATTCCGGGCGGTGACTTCCAGACCCAGTGGGAAGTGCAGGTCGATCCTCTTGACGGGAGGGTTGACGAGGTGCATCTTGAGGATGTCCTTGTCCTCAATCGTTGATGGTGACGTGTTGAGCTTCCTGAGCGGGAGGTTAGTTGCAGTACAAGGATGAAGGGGTGGGGTGATGGTGGTCGGTTGTGGGAGGGAAGAGGGGTCGGAGTCGGTCATGACTTACCATCCTGTTTTTTGCGTTTCGATGGGGAGAGTGATTTCGATCTTCTTTTCCTCTAGAGGGGGAGGATGGTGAGTGATATGATGTAGTCAGTATATCATAAGGGGAACATACCTAGGTCCTTGATGTTCCATACACCCTCTGCCGTTGATGAGGCACGTCGGTGGCCCTTCTCCTCCTTCTTCTTGGGGGCCTTGACCTCTTTCTCAGAGGGGGCGGGGGTTTCTCGTCGTGTATGGACAGACCGGCGATGGCCGAATCAACCTTGGTGAGAGGGACAGTCATGGTTGGAAGAGGGTTGTTGGATTGTTCAAGAAGAGATTCTTGGTAGATCTGATGATTGATGGGGAGGAAGAAGAGAAGAGAAGAAGAAAGAGAAAGGGGGAACGAAGAGGATAAGAAGGGGAAGAGGAGAGGGGGGCAGAGCAGGTGACCAGGTGCCTGGCTGTTACCAGAAGGGAAAGCGAGAGAGAGAGAGAGGGGGAAGTCCAAGAGTCATGGATGTCATTCCGCGTCCAGCATAAACCCAAATTTGTAGAGGCAAGTACCAAATGTACTCCAAAGTACCTCGAGAGTACCAGCCAAAGGTTACTTTTGGCCCAAAGGCTCTTCTGTCCAAGTACCTGCGGGAACGGGCTCGACCTTGTTTAATGGCCACGGGACTTCGAGGGCAAGCTTTGTGATTCGATTCTCCTGATTCTGTATAGCCTCTCTGAGTTTGAGCCTCAATATCTCTATATCGGTCGACTATAGCTTGAAGTCGTTCAACAGTACATTCGGCACCTTCGGATCACACGAGCAACTGACATCAGGGGGCGATGGATTGGCGCTAGTTCGGACCAATCTGGAGCTGCACCCCGCATTCTACTCCACCTTCGACTTTATTTCAGTGATGATGATGATGATGGTAATTGATCAGCTATCTCAGTAGTGAGCCTATAGAGTAGATATAATTGAGGTAATCCATCTTAGATATAGAATAGTCTCTTCTTTCTCGCTAAATCAATATATCAATTGCCCATCATCTCCAGTGTGGCCTGTTCCATGCACCACGAATAGACGATCACCTGATGTCCTGAGCACACGCGACCTTCGAATCAGACCACGTCCCCAACATGCCATCCCTTTCATCATACGCCCCAGTTCTCAATCTCCAAGTCCATCAACAATTCTATATCTTTTCAATTACAAGCTCACAACTCAAGTAACTGACATACCATCTCCTCCTCTCCATCTCCCAACTCACTTCCCCACATCCACAGCTCATTGGGGGCGGAAGATCGTCTAGGATGGACCAAAGTGGATCCCTCTTTACCCCACGCCGAGCTTCCGTTCGTCAGCCACACAATGGTGATGGTGACATTGCTGGTCATATTGCCTCCCCCCGTCCACCAAGCAATCTCTCCAGGATTATATGAGACAAGTCGTCAAATAAGCACACCGGAGAACCATTTCAACCCATCTTCAATGATCGCAAGACCTCAAAAGATCGGGCCAGGAAGGAGAACAGAATTCCCACTGCCAACACATAAACGCATCATGCGCCCGACCGTGGTCGATCCGTCCAAGGGAGTACGACGTTGGCCTGCACTCTCTCAAAGTTTCCCTCTGCAAGCGAGTATTAAGTCAAGTCTCCAACGCGGAATTCAAGGCCCCCACATACTACCCCAGAAATTCCTGACACATTCTGATGTCTCTCCATTACCCAGAAACAGAACCAAAAAAATGGGAGACACTGGGGCTGACACCGTTTAGCAGCATACTAGCATTCCCCCTAACCCTCGTCAATTCTCCGATTGGATATCATGATTTACTGCCACGAATGGAAAGCTACATCTTGTACGGTCGGCGATTCGCACCGCGCCCCCCATCTTAAGAATTCATACCTGAGCTTCGCATGAGAGATTCAAAAGGCATTATTGTTCTTTCTAGACACCCATAAAGCATGGCTCATGTTTTTATCGAACTAGGACGAGTCCCTATCTCATCGTCATGGGCTCCTATCCCTATATATACAGCCTGCCATGGCACTGTAGTTCTTGTTCTTTCGATAGGCGATTTTGATTCTAGATTCTATTAGAAGTCCTTGATGATGCTGACGGATCTGGGTAAAAGAATTGTAGCAATTGCAAGAAGACTGGCTAAACAGGTGAAATAATGGCCCTTCCTTATTCAAAGGTAATTGGTGGGATCCTATATTTTGGTTTCCTGGTATTAATTCTGTCCTAAGAGGACAGATAATTCGGCCTAGGAGGATATTAGTCTCCCTCCGACCGTCCTTAAATACAGATAGCAAGGGTGTAAATATATCCAGCTACAGTGTGTGGAATGGATGATCGTCGCTCCAAATAGACTTTACTACTGATTGCATCAACAATGGCTAAATGGCAAGGGGTCCATGTGTACAGGCTAATAGTTTGAAGGGCCATTCTAGACTGAAAATTGATCGTTTGATTTGACTTTCCTGATACTCAACAGTGGGTCGAGGATCAGATCGTAGATATTTGTGGTGGGTATGTCCAGCAGATGATCAACCTACTGTAGAACGCCTTCTAGATTCCCCATGTCCATTGCAATGGGGTCTTATCTGCTTTTAGGCTTATCTTCAGGCATATAGCTAAGGCTCCAACTACTAAGCTAAACAATGGCCTAGACTCATATCGTCAATGCAGCGAGAAGCGAGAAGCACAAGGTGAGATTTAAAGCTGCGGATCGCGTTTGCCTTCGTGTTGAGTTCCTTGCCGTGAATAACCTCAATGCCACATACTATCGAGCTATTCTAGGACCTTGAAACCCAACAACAGAGTATTCTTCTTTGGGACTATCGTGATTCGTAGTAAAGTAGGATATCCGTGTCGCTGACATGCGGCGATCCCAATTCTCAATATTGCTAGCTGTAGTTTTCCAAAAAGTCACCTCTGGCAAAAATATCGATTTTTAGGAGGTCCATCGTTTACAACAACGGGAAGAATTGAGCCTCAATAGAGGGGTGTAAGCCGAGTCTGATCAACCGCTAACAAACACTGCACAAAGACCTAGGATCAAGTAGCGCCTGGGGTATCTCAACAGCCTGGATGATTATTCAGCGGGTCCTTGTCTTTCGACCAGATTACCAGAAAGCCTAGAACGCTGAAACCGAGTCTATGATCTTTAGAGTCTTTGAAGCCTGCTCTGTACCTGAGTCTACCCCGCGCCCCTATTTCGATTCCAACCAAGGCGTGGTACGGTATGTATAGCTTAGATCACCAGCCACGAAGTCCAGCCACGACGTATGCGCAAGCCCCTATTAATAGTACGTGCTAAATCTTCGGATCATGATTTGATACATGAGATATTGTATGTACTCATTGCTGCATCATATGTTGCCACTATAGACTCAGATTGGCTGGGATCAATACAGTACAATGGGGGCCGAGGTCGGTGACTTCGATGACATCATCTCGGATCGCTAAATTAAGAGGGTAGCGGGGTAGTCCTCATCCGCTGGAAGTTGTCGACTCTACAGAGCACTCATCCTAGGTATACAATCCAAGTGGCGATAATTGTAGCCTACAGAGAGCTATGAATAGTATATCTCTTAATTGATGAGGAAAGTCAACTCCTGATAGGCATTGCTGAGCGCAACCTGAAACACGGAAACCAGCCAACCGTGGGAGGGGTAGTTGCTGCAACAGTAACCAAGCTTCCGGAGGGCCGCAGGATACATACAGACTGACATGTACAGACATGACGATCCTGCTGCAGAGATCAACTTCTGATTTTTCTCCCCTTCTCTTCCCCCTTTTCTAATCCAGATCCAAAACCGTAGCTATCGCAAGTCCGGAAAATAAAATATGACACACCACTGAGCGGTGTACAACACTTGGTGGGGAGGAGGGTATCCTTGGTCGTACTAGCTACGTATCCTCTTCTCCTCTTCTGGCGGTAGTGAATGCCTATTAGTCCTTATTAGTCGTTAGTGAGACGTTAGCTCTTACGAATTGTTGAATTGGGGATGTATTAAATACATAGCCCTGGTAAATGCCCCACTTAGCCAGGCTACAGTACCGAGCTGGGAGACAGAAAAAAGGGAAAATATGGATCCCAAAGAGGGGTCTGCTTTGGTGGACACAAAAAGACTTGGCTTCTATCGCCAAGCAGTGATCAGAGAGCTTGTCATCTTGGCGGTCAACAACCCTTCTATCCAGATGTTGTGTACTTGTACTTGGTATAGACTCACGACCTCAAACACTAGATACTACTCTCTATCTCTTCACTCCTTAACTCCAACCCGGATGACGCCTTTCACCACCCCGCTTCCCCTAATCTCGGGTCCCGGGGGGTAGCTGAAACCGCGCCACAGTGTGATTGGCGGAGCAGTGGGTTTATTGTAAAAATGGAAAACAAAAACAGAGGCGAAGTCAATCGGTCGGCGCCAATGATATCTGGGAATTTCCTTACTCGCCCCCTCCCTCCACCAGCGAGGATCTCAGCCCTCTCAGGTATCACCCTGTGGAGCGTGGCAGCTCCATGCCCGACTGGGAAAAGTGGCGGCCAATTCGACCGACTTGAACGACTTCAGCCACGTAGGACTCTCTCGTGGAGGGGTGGTCTGGTTATCCACCGCGCGCTATTTAGATCCCCTCCTCTCCCCCTCGTCAGACTCCCCTCCTTTCTTTTCCTCACACACTCTTATCTCTTCCTCTCTATCCTTTGAATAACTCTACAACACCGTCACAATGGGCTGGTTCTCTGGTGAGTCCTTCAATGGCTTGACTACTCAGCCATATCCCCTCCCTCTGTACATCTATACCTGCATCTACAATCTGGAAAATCCTCACTAACCCCTTTTTCTTTTCCCTAGACGACTCTCCTCAATCCAACTCGTACGAGCAGTACAACAACGGCGGTGTCACCCGCGAGCACGAGGCTTCCTTCGCCCACGAGCTGATCGCCGGCGCTGCCTCTTACGAGGCCGCCAAGGCCTACGAGGAGCACTGCGACCGCAACGGTAAGATCGAGCCCGTCCCCTCTTGCTATAAACTATCTTGAACACTTAGTCTAACAACCCTCCCTACTATAGGCCAGCCCCAGAGCCACGAGAAGGCCAAGGAGATCATGGCCGGTCTCGCCGGTGCCTTCATTGACCGTGAGGTCGAGACCCGCGGTCTGGACTTCATTGACCGCGAGCGTGCTAAGCGCCACGCCAATGAGCACATTGAGCAGGTCGAGGAGAGCCGCTTCAACTACTAAGTGCTTTTAACTGAGCGTTGCGTCAATATCCCATATATCAATTGAATGTGACTATGTCGGCTACGTGCCTTGAATGAATCTGGAATTTTCAAGTATTAATATGCTCGGTTGGTGGTGTAGTGCGTAGAAAGATAGATGCTCTATTGCCCGGCTTTGTTCGTATGATCAGCTGGGTGCATTGTTGTCCTGGACATTAGTTCCTATTCCACTAAATCTGGTGCATATACCATTTCAATGGGTCAGGCACGTGGAGATGTGTTCCTGACCCGAACGTGGGTTTGACGTGGCCACGAGTCTGGCAAAGGCCACCACAATGGAACCAGGTCTAGATTCCGACAGAATTAAACGCCGAAACATGATATCCACTTGGCTTTGAGCGGTGTGTTCAGAGGTGAGTGTGACTTGGTCCCCAACGTTCATCTTCCAACGGATCCCTTGACTACGTAGTAACAGGTTGTTTCAACTCATTCTATCTTAAATCATTAGGGCAAGGTATTATCTTATCTCTCTTCACTCAATCAAATACTGAGATTTCATTTTCATTATTGTCCATGGATATAATGGTAAGTATGCTGCTGAGTGCTATTTCATTACACGTGACTCCACCACTGGTAAGGAAATGTTATTTGCGTATCACCGGGTAGCTTACATAATGATTTTAATTTCAAATATTACTTTTTGACAATTTCCCTCAACTTTTTCCTTTTTGATGCATTTTTGCCCCCTTTCAATTAAAATATGGTATTAATTGATATGAATTCAATTTTAATAACTTTGAATTGCTTATTATGATATAAATAATGCAGATTTCTCTATGGTGGTGGCCCAGGACATTTCTTTCAATCTTTCAATTCAAGACTTTTTATCGAGTCTCTTGTCAACAATCTCGATTAATTGAAAGTTAATTAATTACAATCTAATCTTAATCGGATTCAATTCAATTATTTCAGTGTTACAGGCGTTTATTTTAATGATCTGGGGGTTGATATCTTGAATTCCAGTGGTGAGTTGAAATTTAAGTATGAAAGAATGAAAGATTGAATGAATCGATCTCGGGGATGAGCTTCCCCATGGTCTCAAATATTGAAAATCGAAATACTAGTTTGCAATCGACCGATAGTTGTTCAGATTATGGTAACTAGTTTGCGCTAGTAGCGCTAAGCAGAATGTCAACCACTAGGAATTATTTAAGTTGGAATAATTTTGCAATATCGACGTGGAATCCTTGATTAATATGTTCAAAGTGGGCGGAACATTGGACAAGCTCGCCTTATGGATGTGGACGGAGTTGAGAGTGTCGTTTGTATTGACTGCCACCAAAAGTACTCAGTTCTCGATTTGTAGATAGTCCACTTGGACTGTGTAGGCTCTATGTCATGTTCTATCTGACCATACTCTAAATTCATAGCGGGGCCGCCGCAAAATCTCCCAGGTCGCAAAGCCTTTGGTGTAGGGCAAATATACTGAAGTGGCATCGCTTAAGCAGAACATGTCAAGTCTCAGTCCGGAAAGCCTATATGGGTCAGAATTTTATTTTCGCTTGCTTCATTTACCTTCTTGTTCTCGAGATATTTCGTTGACTTTTCAAGTCATTCGGAGAAGGAGATTGTAATCTGTCGACCGCGAGAATTCTAGAATCAGTGAAATCCTCAATATGTTCGCCGAGGAGAAGATATCTTGTCAGAAAGCCCGAGAAATCGCCCATACAAAGAAGATATATAGCATGTAAATTGACGCTCGACCGCTAACTTGCGAAAAGGTTGACCTGGGGCGAAGATCCTCTTCTTTATCAGTTGTAAAGGCTATATGGTCTGGTCCGATGACATGTGCTAACTGTTTTAATGAATACCCTTCCCTGTCATTGTGGATCTTCTAGCGCACCGCTCTAACCAGCTCAGTCCTGTGGATCATCTTTGACTAACTTAGTTCTTGCCATTTCGGATCCTTTGCTTTGAATAAGTCAGCCAAGATTGGTCAACATCTCTCAATGTTTGTCAATAATAGCCGCATCTCAGTATCCTCTACGGGGTAAAAGATTGTCAAGATTATGGAATTTACCAGATGCTACGCTTAAGTCTTCATTGTCATTTCGACTTCCAAATAATGGACAGTTTGACAGATCAAACCACACTGATTGGGCAGCTTGTAGAGCTGGCTCTTTGGCCGCTGCGAACATGGGGGGTCAGGTGCTTCGTCGGCGTAAGGGCCGAGGTCTTTTGACGATCGGTGAAATATAGCATGCAAGAGACTGTTGCATTGGCGATTTAATCCTAGTCTTTAAAAAAATTTGACTAAAGGTGCATCGAGCTTTTTACCATGCTAGCTGGGTATTCAAGGAGAGGATTTGAAAGCTGTCATCTTGATGTGGAAATGAGGCATGCGATGTCATTGAACCGATCTTCCAACAAACCTACCATGATCTAGTCACTGATTAAATAGAAACTAAGACACCTCGACAGTCTAGTCTTTCCCTACATTTGAGATGTTCTCATAATATGACATCGATAGAAGTATACCCCGCATAACTCACGCAAGCCCCAAGAAGTCTGTGCGTAGGGGCGAACGAATCACAGAGATCAGTTCCTGCAACAATGCGATAGCTTAACGGAATATCACAAGCAATTGAATTTATGCGTCAAAATACCCGAAGAACCGAGGAGATAACGCTGATAATCTAGCATGGACCTCTCTGAGCCTCGACTTTTTCCGGGATAGAGTTCCTGAGCGGGTGCCTGCCTTGAAGTTGCTCTTCCTTTCACCTTCTAAACACCCCCGCATCCCCGCAATATAATGCAGATCGTGAATTTACTATGGGGAACCCCACTGAATTAGCGATCCGCTCTCCACCTTCCTGATCTAGACTTGCACTGTACCTGTGCACCTGAATATGTCCTCGGCGTTTTTGCTTTTGGAGGAATACCAAGATTCTTGTGTTACCTACCCAATGCAGCCATTTCACATGAGCTAGACGAGCCCCTTTTTAAATAGGGGTCCCTGCCGAGCTTCGCTGTTTTCATTCAAGCATACCAGCCGTCCAGGAATATGCCGAAAACGCCGAAGGATTTCGTGATAGGAGCCCACCGTGGACCATTGTTCTCACGAGAAGAAGAGGATGAAGGGCTCACCAAAACTGAGTCTGCTGGTGGTCTCTCCCTGACCAAAACACCAACTCGCGGCGAAAAGTGGCGCCGTCACTGGCGTCGTTTCTGGCTCGTCTATCTTGTCGGCAATGTGATTTTTCTTGCAATCTTTCTTCCAATCTTGTAAGTCCCAAAGGCCTGCGTGTTTAAGCCGTGCTATCTCTAACGACTATCGTTTAACCGCTTTATAGCTTCCTAGTTGTTATCCCTGCCGTGGCACAACTAGTAGTAAACAAGTCAGACCTATGGCTTGTCAATGCGCAAGTCGTACAGCCAAAGAATGATTCTGTGATCCTAACTCTACAAGCGAACGTGGACTTGAAACTTGCGCTTCCTGTTCGTATTGAGCCGGTGACACTTAATCTCTTTGAGCGAGAGTATGGCCATGATAGTCCATATGCCGCAGTTGACATTCCGGGTCAAACGATCAAAGGCAACTACACCCTTGGGGTTTCTGATCAGTTCACACCGCTACCAAATATGACGGTCTGGGAGAAATTCGTGAAGCAAGTTGTTTTCCAGGAGACGACCTCACTAGCCATGTATGGCAAAATGACTGCTTATTTGGGCGTGCTCAAGTGCCATGTCACGATGGACAAGAACGTTGTCGCACCAAGTAAGTCTAGCCCTCTAGTCGCCATTGAGTTTCAATTTGATAATTCCCTTCTTGGTTTCGTTATACTTTTAAATCCATTGCTGACGACTTTTAGCCTTGAACAAGTTCGCAGGTTTCGCCATGTCCGACTCCACACTACTCCTTCCTGCGAGAAGCGACGGCACAAACCTCATCGGAAACATCACACTCCCCAATCCCACCGTCTTACACTTCGAAGTCGGTACTCTAAACCTGGATATCAAGATTGGTGACATTCTCATCGGGAATGTCTCTATCGAGGGAGTGACCCTAGTACCAGGAGATAACAAATATCCACTTACCGGAGTTATCGACCTGAAGACTATAATTTCAAATCTGGGAGCCGTCCTCAAAGCAGAAGCTTCTGCTCTTACAACCGGAAATCTCAGTCTAAATGCAACCACATCGTCAGTCGTTTGGAATGGTACCGTGGTTAAATATTACACCGACGTCTTGCGCCAGCTCACTCTCACTGCGGATATTGGCCTTGGCGATACCTTGAAGAATACGTTGAAGAACTTTGCGAGCGGCAAGAATCTGACTGGAATTTTGTCCAGCATTACTGGGAACACCAACAGTTCTGGTACTTCACTTGACCGTCGCGATGAAAACGATGGCAAAGCAAGATTTGACTTGGCGCAGCTTCTCAAAGAGGATCACGATGTGCAAGAAGCCTTCCAGGATGTGAGCCCGGAAAGGCGAGACGGCATTATTGATTCTTTGATTGCGATGTATTGAATGCTTAATGCTACCCCTTAATGACCCTATTAATGAAGATATACCTTGATATCATGTCGCCTCGATGAACTAATACAATGTAGAGAAATGACTCCGTTAAACGGGAAATGAATTTCAAGGCCCATCTATTCGAGGACATCCATCCCATCTAGTTCTTTATAGATAGCGCTCTTCACATTCCCCTCGGCCCAACACATATCCACCGCATTCCTTGCTAACTGCACCATTTCAGCTTTACTAAACTTGCAGTATGTGTACACTTTCTGCATATTCCCATCAATCCAAACATCATGCATCAAAGTTGGATCGTCACTGTTGATACAAATCTTCACTCCTCTGTCGCGCAATCGTCGAATCTTGGGAAACAGAACATCTGTCGCCGTTCTCCGGTGATACGCATGAGGACACAAAGTCAAACCAATCTTCCTATCAACCAGACCTTGCCATAACTCCTCTTTGTCCTCGGCATCAAGCCCATGATCAATGCGCTCTGAGCCCCGGCCATCGCACACCTGAAAGATGGCTTCATGCATATGGTCATGCGTGTCCTTTTGTCCAAAATCACAATGCATTGTGACATGCAGGCCATCCGCTTTTGCAAGGGCATAGCCCTCTTCGAACAACATGGGAGGTCGTTCGTAGGCATTGCTGGCGAGACCAACGGCATGGAAAAGCCCCTTGCCTCCCTCGACGGTACCAGCGGCCCAAGGCCTTGCTTCGACATATGCAGCCAGCCCTTTTTTAACAGGCTCGTCACGGAGGAAACACAAAATCCAGCGCGAGCGCACACCAAATTGCCTTGCTGCATCGTGTTGCGCGCGCAGATACCCGTCTAGAACCGCGGTCGCTGCAACGCCTCGACGGGTATGTGCTTGAATATCGAAGAACGGTTCAGCGTAACGCACATTCATCTCTGCACAGCGACGAAGATATGCCATTGCTAGATCATAAAAGTCCTGCTCTGTGCGAAGGACTTCACATCCTGCAAAATACGCCTCGAGAAAGGTTGGAATACCGGGTTGACAACCATTTAGCTCGGGCCGATGATTCAATGTCACTGCATAGGAAGCCTTGAGGTCTTCGAATGTCGCATATGGTAGAGTGATATTGTTTCGATGCGCTAGTTCCCATCGGAGAGCTGGCGTGAGTGTTCCCTCAATGTGAACATGGAGTTCCACCTTGGGCAAGGCTGCTATGAAGGGGCTGATAGCTAAGCCGTTCATGATCGGTGGAAGGAACGGTGTCGACCAAGCTGAAATCAGAGAATTCTCAGGAAAATAAAAGATAGTGAGAGCGGAACTTGTCCTAGACAAGTAACTTTGAAGGATTGCCGAGGCTTTTAGTGTCAAAAATGAGGAGGTTCTAGTTCGAAAATGTCGGCAGATCCCGACAGTTCTTGGAGAAACTCACCAGCCACGGGAATAGCTTCCTGTTAGAGTAGTTTAACTAATTTAGCCTTATGGGGTAGGCTTCAACTACTGACTTTTCATCCAATAAACGGTTCATCCAACGCTGCCATAACAGCGATAAGGTGCAAAGGGCGCGCGGAGCTCGGCCGAACCAATGGAAGTGCGGGGAAAGATAAGACAGGGATGGACATCTTGAGATTAATACACAGCATTTGACCACCTTCTTCGTTCCCTTCGCAAATTCGCCTGTGAAACGTTTCCAGCAGTTTGAAACCATGGCAGAGTCGAGCGCTACTGTCGATGCCTCCACGGTGGAGCAGGGGACTGACATGGCCATGGCGAAGCGAGTGTTGCGCAAGATCGACATGCGACTCATTCCCTTGTTATTTTTCACCTATATGCTCAACTTTATGGACAAGACGATTTTGTCGAGTGCTTCGGTCTTTGGTCTAACCGAAGACACGGTAAGATTCCCATACAAGAAGTAAAGCTTGGTTGCTAACTGTGTTGGTGTATCAGGGCCTGGTGGGGCAGCAGTATAGCTGGGTTTCTTCAATCTTCTACTTTGGATATTTGGGATGGGCATATCCCACCACGCTGCTTATTGCTCGCCTACCGACTGCTAAATATTTGACTGCCAACACACTGTTCTGGGGCGCTGTGGTAGCTCTCACTGCGGCATGCACCAACTTCGGTGGCCTCATGACGGTTCGTTTCCTCCTGGGAGTCGCCGAGGCAACTATTACTCCGGCATTTATGTTTATTACATCGACGTGGTACACGCGTGATGAGATCCCCACGAGAACGGGCATGTGGTTTGCTGGCAACGTAAGTGTCGCTCGGTCTCGTCAAGCTCGTGCCGTAAACTAATTTTTCCGTCCAGAGTGTTGGAGGCATCGCTGCCAGCCTTATTGCGTATGGATTGGGACATGTCGATGACCATGTCAGGCCATGGAGATGGATGTTTATTGTCCTCGGCATATTGACCTTCCTCTGGGGATTCGCTATCTGGATGTTCCTCCCAGATTCTATCTCGACAGCAAAGTTTCTCACAGAAGAGGAGCGTCAATTCGCAGCTAACCGAGCTGTTATCGCTGGAACAGGAGCAACAGAGAAGACTGCATGGAAATGGGATCAGGTGGTTGAATGCCTCCTGGATCCCAAGACCTGGCTCATTTTCGGACTGGAAATTTTGACGCAAATTCCAAATGGAGGCACCCAAAACTTTGCCAACCTCGTGATAAAGTCCTTTGGATTTACTAGTCTCCAGTCTACACTGATCACTATTCCTTATTCGCTGATTACAGTGACTGCAATCACTGGCTCCGGCTGGCTTGCTGGTCGTTTCCGCCAAATGAACTGCCTGCTGATCATTGTGGTCATCCTTCCATGCGTGATTGGCAGTGCGATCATTTATTCCCGTGCCCACGTTGTGCTGGGAGTTCAACTCTTCGGCTACTTCCTGCTTTCAACTGGTCCTGCCGCGATGCCTCTCGCAATGTCGCTTGTGCAAGCGAATTATCGCGGAGTGACGAAGAAAATGACCATGACGGCTTTGCTCTTCCTCGCATACTGCGCAGGAAACATTTCGGGCCCCCAATTTTTCCTCAGTCGTGAAGCCCCAACATACGATACCGCATTCCGCACCATTATGATCTGCTATGCGTTGGCCGTTCTTCTCGCCCTGTGTCTACGATTCTACTTGCAATGGATGAACGCTCGCCGCGTGCGAGTTGAGGGCTTCGAGGGAAGTGCAGGAAATGCAGGAGCAGTCGGTGGTGGTAAGGTCTTGGACGTCGATCCAAACGCGAAGAATGTTGGGCAGATGGTTAACCAGGTTCAATTGGTATCAAATGACTATGAAGATGTCACGGATTGGAAAACACCAGGGTTTAGGTATCGATTCTGATTTAAGAGGGGATGGCTCGAATGAGTACTACAGTTCCACGGACTTTTTTTTCGAGGCTTCGAATTTATTGAGCGTTGCTGTGATAACAAAATCTATTAAAAGCGAAAATACCGAAATACCTTGGATTTCATCAGGCGCTTAAAAGGCATCAATGCCCACCTGCCAAGCCGCGCTAGACTGTATGAAAAATTGGAGCATGTTGTTTTTAGCGTCGTGACTCATTGCTCTACCTACGAATTACCTATGAACCTATCGACTCACTTTCACATTGTCCATCTCTTGTCAAATCATTGATCTGCACAAGAAAGCTTACTAAATTTCACGATGGAAAGGTGCATACTGTTGAGGCTCCCTAACGAGCTTTTGGTGACTCTGATAGAGTACGTCGATACGCCCAGCTATGTGGCATTGGCACAAACATGCCGTGCCCTTAATATCTTGACAACACCGTATCTCTACAAAAATGCAAACATCCAACTCGGCAAAAGCAATGAATTTGTCCGGACAGTCAAAACAAAATACGCCGATTTAGTCCGTCACGTTTCAGTCGTGATCGAAGATGACCAATTCAATATTTCTCCTTGCCGAATTGTACCATGTCTCGAACAACTAGAGAATCTGCAGACTCTCAAGCTAGCTGGTGGCTACTGGATGTGGGACGACGAATCCGAGAATTGGTCTACCCTCGAAGATTTGCTCTGGGAATATTTTGAAAGGGCGAGCCTAAAACAACCTGCGGAATCGAGGCTTTCCAGGAGTCTAAGATCATGTAAGGAATTGATACCTAGAAAGAAATGCTGAACAAAAAAGCTAAGAATTTGTCTATTAGTGACACTTGACCGTGTTGAAGGCAATGGACAAGCAGCCTTTCTTGAAGGCTCGTGCATCTTCATCATTCCGCAACTTCATGATCTCACATTACGAGGTTTTCTGTTGGAGGAAGCAGATGCTGAGGTTGACGTGCAATTCGAACGTCAGACGGAGCTGAAATTCTTGCGTATCGAGCGTAGCTTTGTGAGATTTCCGGCTTTAAGGAAGGCCTTGCTTGCTCCGCGTGCATTACGCTATCTCAGTATTTGCCATGTAGATTGTTACAGGCACCATGAGATCAAGGACGGGAAAATAAACCACGCAACAGTGGCTGAGTTTGTGGATGCATTGTTACCGCAACGCGAATCACTCGAAGAGATCAAACTTGTCGTTGATGAGGATGATAATGATGTGTATAATCCAGAGGTTTCAACGATCAACGATCCGAGCTTCCGTACATATGCGACGCAGCTTCCGGCACTGAAGCGCTGGCTGGGGTGTGATCAGTTCACGTTGAAGGACTATCTGGATCCATGGCGAAGTTATGAATGAATGGGCTGAATCAGACCATCTGGGTCGTTCCTGCCGTACATATCGCAAGGAAGGGGTTGCAGGTGAGAGAAAGGCAAACTTGATCGACTAGGCCAAAATTTTCGAATGTTTTGATGATGATACTCTCATCAAAAGAGCAAATATCACATCTACGCTCACGCCCAGGCTTCCGAGGAGCGAAAGTGCCTGTGAGGGCCCTTTTGCCGCTGAAATTTCTGGGCCTTTAGTTTTCTCTCTGAACGTCGTTCTTAGTTTTGGTTTCGAGGTTTAAACCCCCGAAGCTCGTCACTAAAACAGCATCTTCCAAGTTGTCTCTAAGAAGTCGTCTGGGGTATCAGGTTAACTCTTTGATCAAGTCTCGAAAGCGTGTCATGGTTCCTATAGCTAGGTAACTACTTGTCTGTGTCAATGCCTTTTCTTCTTTCTCGCCATTCTTGCAGTGAAGTGGCCTCCCATCGGCTTGGTCTTATCTGTTGTAGACCAAGTATCCTACCTGTTCCGTCGGCCAGAAGGTTTTTGTTTCAGATAGCGATGGTTATATAGCCATGTCCTGCTTCTCTGTTTTCCTTCTGGTCCAGAGATCTCAAGATTACTAAATTGACAAGATTTGTTCTCTCCTGCTTACTTCCTTTGTGGAGAAATTTCGTCAGCTATTATTTGAAAGACTGTCCAGACCTATGAAGACTCAGAAGCTTCGGTTTGTCTGAATGTGTCTCTCTTGCCATATGCGATCGTACGTATAAGATTATTGTGGGTCCAGTAGGTTTAGATCTTCCGTAGAGTTATTTTTCCTGAATCTGCGGTCATGTATCTTTTGTGGCATGGATTCCATGGCTCGGTGCACGGTGGATTTGCCTGTTCCAGGACCAACTATGGTGCATGCAAGAGCCTTCTTGATTAGCGCGATGACAGTCTGACTGGTCGTTCCTACCATCAGCGCTATGGATGGCTTTGTTCAGTCATTATTCCAGGGATCCAATCCTTTTATCATGATAACTAGTTGATATTTGTGCGTCGCACAGAAACATATCAAGTGCGACATTCCTAATTCTATTATTTTACCAGTCCTAGAAAAACATAGAAACCTTTTCCTGAGATTCTATACATCTTGACCCCCTCCATACCAAAGCCGACCCCTCCGTATCACAAGTCTCCCATCCTGCCCAACAACCCATTCACCTTCTTTCGGATAGCTACCGTCAGCCTGTGGCCAATACTGGCTCGCCAAGATTTCATTGATATGACCAATCTTATCAATCAGCACTTTGACTCGAGAAGGATCGATCACTTCTCCACCTTCTGCTTTATCAATAAGAAATCCGTCATGATTGATAAATCGTGCGATGGTAACATGAGCTGACGGAACGATATAGCGCGAAGCAACAGGGAGATCTGTTTGTCGAACCAAGTCGAAGATGTCGCGGCGAAGGTGATGATATGAGTATTGATCATCATTGCCCTCGGAGATCCTGGCTGGGCCTTCGCCTGCAGCAGGAACGAAGCTAAGAGCAAGTGCAGCGGAGTCAAAGCTCACCATGGGCTTCAAGAGTCGGGTTCGATGTTTGAGGGGATATCCAGAAATATCTGCCTCGGTGACATTCTTTGAGGATTTCAAGGTTTGGACAAGTTCTTCAATCTGGTCCCTAGTCAAAGAATGGGCCACTTCCAGGACAGTGGTGTGAAGATTTCCAGGTGGCATCATCCAAAGAGCTATTGGTGTCTAATTAGTAACCCTGCGTCGAGATCAGAGCTACAAAGGCGTCTCCATGATCTACTTACACGGAGCAACATCCTTCAATTCACTTTGAACAAATGCGATCAAGCGTCGGATATGAGGAGGGGGTCTGGCCCAGATGACGAGGCAGTTGCGAGGATCGACATATCCTTCTTCTTTTGCAGGCCCATCAAGCCGGCGCAGAATCTCGTCTACAGACCAACCGGGGAAGTCTTCGTCTAGAATCTTCTCCTTTTGTTGCGCATTCCGATTCGTGCGATGAGTTTCATATCGCGATTGCAATTGAGCCTTTCAAATCAGGATCAGATGAGTATCAAGCGCCAGTCATGATGAAATTCTTCAATAGCTTCGAATAAAGAACAAAGCTTACCGGATCATCGTTTGACTCTGCGATCAACACCTGGAAGGGGTTGTCTGGGGATATCGATAGAGTAGTCATCTTGACTCTAGACCTTATGTCTCTGGGGTAGCTTGTCAAATCTGGACCCTAATCCGATGTTATACTTCTAATGCCAAGCTTAATTTCCCGGTATACGCAAACTGACTCACGTTGCGGGTCTCAACCACTGTTAATGTTCGGTTAGAGCTCAAAAATAGCCTACATAGCCACCCCCTGGTGGGGATGCTTACCAATCTTGCACCAACTTCCAACATCACAGGGCGTATACTATTGTAGCGAGCTCCACTTCAAAGAACCCCCATGGGGAGTCATATATAGCAAGTTAGCAACGAAGATTGAGACTCCAGAAATCAATTACTAAGCCTGATGAACTGCCCACATCCATGGGATTTTTGTGTTTCAATTTTTGAGAATGGTACTCTACAATATGACTCACTTCCAGGGACTATTGCTTTATCGATTATATCGAGATACTAACTTGAATTTTTCCTAGTTAGGATTAGGGATAGTTATTCTTACGCTGTAATAAGCGTTGGGGTTTTTCGCCGTCACCCCGATGGACTCCGTAGGTAAAGACTGTAGTTAACTGGCTGACTTTGGCCGAACAAATTTAACAAACAAAACAAACAGTGCTAAACACGATATGGTTACAGTTAATGATGCTCTAAATTGGACTAGTCTGGTGAGCAATCATTCTCCGGTATCATTGTTTGGCCAGGTTCTCACAGAACCCCACTCCCCTCCCCCGCTTTTGCCTTGAATACGAGCGCGGCTTACTGAATATGATAAGCAATAAACACAAAGTACAATCTCACATGCTGTATCTAGAATCTCGAATATAAATAATCGTGGATTTCTTCCACTTATCTTCTCTTCCAGAACATCAAACATATTCGAGTACATAGTCAAAGATGGAGACGCTTCGAAAGATCACGCACCGGTATGCATATCACGATATAGAGCTAGAATGTGATGTATATGATGCAATCGATTATACAAATGATGCACCCGTCTTTTTATTCTTCCATGCAGGTGGCCTTGTGGGAGGGAATCGTTCTTGTGTTCCTCCTTGGCTGGTGCAGATAAGAAGCTTGTTCTATCTACCCTTGCAAAGATAGGTAACATGCTGACTTCGTCGCTCTTATAGACTTGCTACGACCAAAAGTGGCCTTTGATCAGCGCAAGCTATCGACTTGTTCCTCCTATCGGAGGCAAGGAGTTACTTGAGGATGTCACGGCTGCCTATCAGTTTGCTAGGAAGCTGGGTGCTGGTGTAGAGAGACGAGTCATAGTTGGCGGAGCTAGTGCCGGTAGGTAGACCACTCCACTATCTCTAAGTCTATCTCTATATCCCGATGAGAGTCTAGGCTTAACATCATAATGCAGGGCTGTTCATGGCAAGCTTAGTTCCTCACCACCTTCAACCTCCACCGTTAGCTTTGTTTTCTATCAGTGGAATCGCCACGTTCCACCACCCCTTCTTCCATTCATCAACTCAACTCACGCCAAATCCGATCCCAACAAGTGATGTGGAACGCTTCTTCAACGGTCCACTGATCGTTGGATCCGCCCCGGACTATGATCCCTGGACCTTCTCTCCCGCGATGCTACTACGATCATCTGCGGCTAAGAATCCGGAATATGTTCACGCAGAGCGCCCTGCAGAGATACCTGCGACTCACAAGGAAATCGAGATACGTGACACTCTTTATGACTATTTCCTCTATCAGAACGCAATTGAAGGTATAGTGGGCGATGTTGATCCCGGGTTTGACTGGGCTTTGGAGAAGGGCCAGAAGTGGAAGGCTTGGCCTGTGACTATTTACATCCAAGGAGATGCTGATGTGGATGTCGACAAGGATGTGTGTGTCTCGGCAGCAAGTAAGCTTGGCGAGAAGGCGAGATTTTTCATGGCTGATGGACAGCCCCATTTGTTTGAGGCGCGCAGTTTTCTGGAAGAGGAGAGTCCGGCGATGGACGTGGTACGAGCAGCAATTGCTGAGTTGAAAAGGGTTGTTAGTCAAGCTTAGAACAACAGATCTAAGTCTCAATTGTGACCGTCGTCTAGCCATAAGGTACAAACATCGAAAGTTATGGCACCAAAAACTCCCGACTTGTCGACATCGGAACTTTTAGAGAATAGCCTAGGCAAACATGGAAGTCCCGGAAGCCGTGACATAGATGGGGAATCGAGAGATTAAGAGGCATTTGATATGTATAAAATTTGTGTCTCATGATGTGGTAAATATTATAATCTTGATTATATACGGGTGTCGGTTAAAACAATAGGCACCTTCGAAATGAGACCTCGAAGAAAGTTGATGTAATATCAACAAGAGGGCATCATTCATGATGCCCCTCTAAGAAAGGAAGAACATAGAGACAACCAACAACAGCAACATATCATAGACGGGAATCATCTTCAAGACCGAGAATCCAGAACCGGTAAAGGCAGGCCCGGAAGCAGTGGCAGTTCCACTTGCTGCACTAGTCTTTTGGGAAGCAGACAAGGCAGTTGAGCTGGGGCGGACACTTGACGCCATGACTGAGGCTGGAGAAGAGGATGCCCGGTGGAAAGTAGTAGCCGAGGTCGGTGCTCCTGACTGGAGAGCGGCGACGCCGCTGGCATTGTTTCCGGAAGAGGCAGATCCGGCGCCGTTGCTTGAGCCATAAGATCCACTGGTTGAGCCAGAGGCTCCGCTAGTAACCGCGGCCGGGAGAGATGTCAAGGCACCTGTGGCAGTCGGCTTTGCCTCAATCGTGACGAGCACTGTAGACGCGACCAGTGTCTCAGTAGTGACAATGGTGCTCTTCACGGATGCAGGGCAATTGGTGATCGTTGATGGGCATGCAGTCACTGTGGCCGTCCTGGTAGTTAACATAGTTGAAGTGGAGACGCTAGGACGCGATTCTCCATTAGAACCATGCGGCTGCGAACCAACTCCAGCAGTAGATGTGACCTCTGAAGCTGCGACAGGGCACACAGTGGTAGAAACCAGAATGGTTTCAGTAGTGACGTACGTGCTCTTCTGTCTCGCAGGGCAATCCACCACGCTGGACGGGCATGCAGTGATCGTGGCAGTGCGAGTGCTGAAGACAGTGGACGTGGTGGACGCCACTGGGGGAACACCGTTGCCCTTAGTACCCGTAGCCGTAGGCTTAGCAGTCTCGGTGATAGGGCAAACGGTGGTAGCAACGACAATGGTCTCTGTAGTCACAAAGGTGGACTTTTCGGAAGCAGGGCAATCAGGAACCGTGGATGGGCAGGCAGTGATGGTTGCAGTATGGGTGCTGAGAATTGTGGAAGTGGTGAAACCTGGCGGAGGTACTGTGGAAGATGGGGAAGATGCCTGAGGAACTGAAGAGCTCAATGAAGACAGAGCGGTAGAAGACTCTAGAGGCACAGATGAAGGAGTGGACGATGGGAGAACAGGCGAGGGGGTGGTGGAGATGGGTCTCCTCGAAAGAGGCGTAGAACTGATCGGATACGGCGATGATCCAACTACGGATGACGATACTGCAGACGATGGTACTGCTGAGGAGGAGATCACCGAAGGGATCACTGAAGGAGAGACCGAGCTTGGTACCGAGATGGGGATGCTAGAGAAGGAAATGGGACTGGACGAGGGAATGACCTGCGACGAGACAATGGTCGAAGGTTGGATCGATACCAATGGGGTCGATGATAGTCTCAGAGGAGTGGAGGTGGGCGCTACGCTTGAGATAGACTGGATTGGCGATGAAGATGCGACAGCGCTTGAAGGAATAAACTGGGCGGGCGTGCTTGATGGTGCAATTGATGAAGGAATCACCGAGGAAGTCGGAGTCACATCCACAGTTGAGCTGATGCTGCTGGTCGGGCACACCTCCGTCTTCTCAGGACCAATCAACTTGGCATTGTCAATTTCCAGAATTCCTCCCTCGGACCAGATCAAGATTGCCACTCGATGCTCGGTCTCGGTCGCCTTGAAAGTACCGGAGATGGTCTTCCAGTGAGCCCCATGCTTGTAAACCGAGGCCGCACTCGCCAGCAGATGGCCGTTTTCTTCAATGAACAAGTCGAACTTTCCAGAGGTAGTAGGTTTATAGTCGAAGGACAAGGTGTATTTCGTGCCAATTGTCAATTCTGTCACGGTCTGTTGTGCTGTCCAGTAGCCACCGGCTGGTCCGATCTTCATGACGAATTTCCCATCATCCGAAGAGTCGCTAACGACGAGCGGTAGCGAGCAAATCTCACTATCAAATTTCACCCATGGGCTGGTATCGCCAGTCTCGAAAGACGGATTGACGAGGAAGTTTCGGGGGATTGTCTGGCAGGTCACGTCGTGGCTGGGGTGGTCTTTCTTTTCTGCTACACTGGACTGTCCTTGGAGCAAAACACCCAGGAGCACGGCAACCCATGCAGTCTTCATTGTGAAAGAGCGAATAGTCCGAAGACTATGAATATAATGAGTGTGATAAAAAGAATGGACGGCTGTTGAGCCAAAGAAAGGAACGTGAGGGTATAGTTCTACACTATACTCTTGGACAGAACGAAGTCGACAAGATCACAGAGTGTCAGACTCGCAAGGCGCCATCGTTTAATTATATACCGAATGCTAATTATCCCCTAAACCTTGCAGTAGCCTCACTTACAACAATCTTATTGGCGGGTCAATTATTTGTGTATTTGACTTGGGGTTCGCGCTTTGCCTTCCACACGCGCAAATGGAAGAACTTAGCGATAGCTTCAACTTTAGCAGACCCCTAAAATTACAAGCCGGGGATACTAGCCACACTACACGATGTGGAGTTCAATAGTTAGTGAATTGTGCAGATTAGCGTTCCTTCGGAAAATAACGTGGCAAGAGAAAGCGGACCCAAGCGCCTATCATCATGCGCCCTCGCGTGTTTATTCCTGACTTTTCTAGCGAGGAAGTGGATCTTCTGCGCCGCCAGGAACGTGCCACGCCACGAGGGTCCTGTGCACTTCGGTTGACCTGATGAGGCTCTCGTATGTTCATTTTGATTGAAATGATAACGGGCCAGAGCCCGTGGGGTTGGAGGATGTTTAACGGTCGGGTCCTGGAAGTGGACATGGATTGGGTGAGATCCGGAAGTCGGCTATGAACGATGAAGTACAGCTCTATGCTATTAATAAGTTCTGTGGCCCAAACTCCAGGATCTAACAATCAACGAATCAATGCCAGAAAAAAGACTGGCTACAGGTACTTGTTTGAGCTAGGCCCAGGAGCCTTGTCGAGTCCTTTGTTCAATACCACTGCATCCGTCGAGGCGATACTCCCTTAGTATGAACTTTTTGTTCTTTGTGCTGTTGTCAGTGTCCTTCGGCTCCTTCTCTGCTTTCTATAGAATTTTCCGACTAAATTTCGAAAGAATTTGTTCCTCTTCGCCCAATAGTTGGCCCGATAGACAGCCCATACTCCTCAAGCTGTCTAGAGAAATAGTTCAGAAGACTTCTCGAAATACTTCTTTTTTAGAATATCCGTAGTTAAAGCGTATCTCGCTAGACCTTTGTCTCCTGTCGCTAGAGCCAGTAACAAAACCCTAGATGTATAAATGGGACATGGGGACAACTGTACGATTCACCAAAGGGTGCCCGATGGGGAATATTCCATTTGTATGAAAGAAGTCCGGTCGCCAGACCCAGAGCAGGCATAGCAAAATTGAATAACTTCCATTGAATGGAGAGAACGAATGACTCTCACAGCACTGCCCTGCTATGGATGTAGGGGAAAGCGGACCTTGGAAGATGCCTTCTCTCTTTGTTGATGACGCCGTTCCTTTCAAACAAAAGTTTACGTCGATGTTACGGGCCATTCTAGGTCAAAGAATTCATATGGAGAAGAAAGTATACCTTTTGCTGGCAGTCAGGATTTGTTTCAACGGGAAGGATCAAGTTTCCAGAGAGACTTGTATAGGAAATGGCTCGATTCCCTGATCGAGTACTTTCTTTGTTTAGCTGGGACCTGCTGTGGAACTCGAAGCTTCCAACCCCCTCATCCCCATCGGTTTCGCCTTTGTCTATACTTGTCTATAAGTGCCTGCTCCTGCTCGAGGTGCTGTTTTCTCATCATCTTTTCTGTCAGGTTCCCTGCTTTTCTTATTTCCAACATTTGACTCTCATCCAACTTCCCACTTTTCAAGCTTGTCAAAGTCACTGTCAAAATGCCCAGACAACGCAAAGCACCAGCCAAGCGGCAAAAGCGAAAGGCTCCATCCGACACTGAATCTGAGGTATCTATTTCCTCGATGGAGTCGAAGTCGGAGACCCCAGTAGACACGTCCGATGATGGAGAGGAACAACCTGAATTGCCCGGGCCACATAAGGCAGGGGCACAGGTTCTGAACCCATTGCCGTCGCTGGGATTCGGCCCTTTCCCAAACGTGTTCTCGAAGAAGTCTGACTTGAGCAACCCTGTGGATCTGTCGTCGCTTTCCAAGCCAGTTCCCTCCCCGATGCCTCCGCTTCCCGAAGGACCCAAGCGCCAGCCGGTCAAACGGAGAAAGACTAAGAAGACCGAGGTCGCAGACACAAAGGCGCTTCTCACGGATCCCACTGTGAGCAAAGAGATCAAGCTTGAAGAGCTAGATCTCAATGTGTCGTATGTGGACGCTTATAAGTCCGTGGCACCAGCAAGGCCCCCGAGACAGCAAAGATGGCGGCATCGCGGGTCTCAGCCTCTGGTTGATCCCATGAAGTTCCCGGCTGGCTGGAATTCCAACGAGCCCGATCTTGATCCTGAGTGAGTTCCCCTGACATATCACAAGCTTTGTTGGAGGAAGGCTAACTGTTCGGGTACAGTGATTTCGAAGCTCAGATCGCTAGGTGCGATGAGAGAATCAAGGACAACATCGTCCCTCATTTCTTTGAGGCAAGGAAGAGAGAGCATCAGGATGTTAAGGAAGCTATTGAGTGAGTGTCCCCTTTTTTCAATCAATTTTGAACCCGCATATACTGCCTCGAGATGTCCAAACACGGACACAATTCTGCACCAATTTCTCTTTGTGAATCATCTTGCTCATCAGCCAACTCCATAGAACCTGGATGAAGGGTGAGCCTAAAGGTCTCAGCAGAAAGACCTACGAGCGTCTCGATACACTCAAGTTCATTCAGACGGCCATTTCGAAACCCGAAAATGATCCTTTATCGGAGAAGAAAAATGTGACAGCGATTATCAATGCTTACCGAAAGGGCACACTGGAGTGGATCTCTGGTCTTGTTACCTACTGGTCCGATGGGAAACAGCTCTGTGAGCCACGACCATTCGACTGGGACGAATTTGATGCTATGAACAAGGCTTATTCTGGCCACAAGGCATTCTGGGTTGAAGGCGTATGTAAAAATTCTAACTACTTGACGGCATGAGACTAACATTCGTCTTTAGGTCGGAGCAACGGGAGGATCTGGTAGGAATGAGCGGGTGACCATAGACCCTGATCAACATTCAAAGTATCTGAAATTTGTATGGCTTCGCCTATTTCCAGCATGCCGTGACTCTGCCACTAACAACTGAATCTCCCTCGATATAGTACAAATTCCACGTGCGATTCCCCGGTCACAGTTTCTACGCCGAGCTCGAATTCCTCCATGACACCGGGGCAAGTGACATGGGCATTTACCAGGATGATCTACCGGCTATCATGGGTCCCTCTTCCTCGCCATACCTCAGAGTTGCAGGATACACCAGAATCGTGACTCCAGGCCAGGAACCAACGCCCAATAACAGCACCGTCCTTCCAATGGTCGCCATCGAAGCCACCATGGTAACCGAGCATGAAGATCCAACAAAGGAGCGCCTCCGAATGACGTCCTGGACTCGAGCATGGACAACTGTGAACGTTGGTCGCGCGAATAAGGCGCTTGGTGCCCATCGACTGGACGGTCCTTGGCTGCGTCATCGGTTGTATATGGGATCTGCGCCGGATGGATTTGACCAGGTGCATGTTGCTACTTCCAAGAACGACCTCGACTTGAAGAAGGTTGATCTGAAGAAGACGCCAGGATTGGTGAATGATCCTCCGAGAATTCCAGCTGTTCCAGGAGCCAAGATGCCTGTGGCTGGGGCTCGTGATCAAATTCCAATGCCGAACTTGGGTTCTATCAGGCGGTTTGGGCGAGCTGTCTTCACCGATCAGCGCTTTGAGGTGGATTGAGGTTGGGTCTTTATGTGGATTTCTTTAGTGTCTGAGCTTGTCAATTGCTGTTTTTTTGCTTTTCCTGTTCTTGACTTTCCTTCGCTTTCTGTTTGTTGATTAACGCTGTTGCTTTGTCAAGATCTCAGGTATATCTTGTTGTCACATATTTTCTTGTGCTACAGGCCGATCAATTTCATCCATCTATATTGTCTCCAAATTCATCTGCCGTATCAGAAGTTTTCCTGAATTGGGCATCTGATATCTTTGATGCCATGGCTTTAACAACAAAGCCTAAGATTGTAGCTTGAGGAGACGCCAACATGTTGTCGCCGAGTACTTGGCCGAGTATCAGGAAGATTTCAATCAATCTGGATACAATGAAGATGATTCTTATTACTCGCAGGACAAACTCGGCTTCATCAATTCAGCTCCTGCTCCACTCTTTTGTATTGTTTCCCCGCGCCAACTGGATAGCAATCTACTTTCTGGCAGAATTCAGATGATCACCACCCAAAGAATAGTCCGGGACACAATTTTAAAGCTAATCAGAAAGACGACTCAAAAGAGGTTTAAAAATACCTTTGAAAAGAGAAGCAGCTGCAGCGTAAAATCTGTAATTCATGAGCGATGCCCCGCAGGGACTTGGGATATCTATATAAACAAAAGAAAAAGAACAGGTACACAAACAAAGAGACAAACAAACAACAACAAAACGACTCCAACACAAGACAAAAGAGATAATACAGGAAAACCCACGCCATTCTAGCCGGTTCCATGGCAGGCGGGCACTATATACACAAGCAGCAGGGGATGAGGGCCTGCATGAGGAGGAGGATGATGATGAGGCGAATCCACCATTCCGGCCGGTTCCGGGGCAGGTGAGAGGAACAGGAGGTGGTTGTATACATGATCAGCAGGGGGTGACGGCCTGCATGGGGAATATGATGATGATGCGAATCCACCATCCCGGCCGGTTCCGGGGCAGGTGGTAGAACAAGAGAAAAGAAAAACAAAAGACAAGGAAAACACGAGAACGCCCAAAACCTCCACTCATCTCCATTCCTCCTTCTCTTCTCCAGCCCTCAGGGCATCGGCAAGGGAAGAAAGAGTGATGTGAGGTCCCGGACCGGAGAGCTTCGTGCCAGGGGGGCCGGCGTAGAAGGCGACGGGGATTGTGGAATCATCGTGTAGTATGGGCAGTCGGGGGGTGGACGGGCTCCAGGTACTCCAGAGAGCTTGTGGGCTGCATGTCACTAGATCCCATCTCCTCTAGCTCCATGGACGCTGGATGGACGATGTCAGCACCTGCATTGATCCAAAACAAGATCTCCCCAAGGACATCTCGTAGCACAGTCACAGCAAAGTGGTTCTCGGATTACTTACAGTTCTTGATCCCCCAAGGCCAACTCCATTTTCTCTTCTTTTCTAGTCTCCGCTTCTCCTTTTCGTACTTCTTCATGTCTTTGCCATACTGCTTCATCTGTCGATGGTACATCCACAGTATGGCATTGACAGGATGATCGCGTGGCATTTTGTGCCTTTTGTATCTAGACATGTCAGATTGGTATTGCTGTCTTCGCATAAAACACGTCATCTTCTCGACACCTCGTAAAGGAAGCCTCTTGCATACCAGACGGACCATACGACAACACCGAGGATATCGATAACGCCAAAGAACGTAGGCAGCCCTATGGCCAAGGCCATCTTCCAATCCATCGGCTTGTTTTCAACCTTGGGGAGGCCACTGATCTCAGCGCGGAGGTCTTCAATGGTCACAGTAGGAGCCATTGCGAGAGAGGTTCAAGAAGAGGTTTGAAAAGACGTCTAAAAAGATGCTCAAAAAGAGCTTTGAGAAGAGCTTTGAAAAGACGTGGACTGGAGGTGTACAGGACAGGGAGCTTATAGATCTCCGATTCTGGGGGGCAGAAGCCTGATTATAAGTTGAAAGAGACAGATAAGGCAGGCGCGTCAGGTCACTTAGATCACCGCCGTAACTTCGCTTAGTTTAAGGTGAGTATGAGATGGTTTGATCTGAGCACTGCCTCGGATGGAGTGATCTCGTCAAATCTTGATCGATTCGTATGGATCTTGATTCTCTAGGTAGCCTGAATTATGAATTTTATAAATTTCAACTCTCATCAGAGTCTTCCCTGTATGAGAACTGAGATGTGATTGAGAGCAGACTGACCGTGTCCTGATCAAACTGTTAAGCTGTTATGATGGGACCATGGATCCATGAGGCTCAAAGTAAACAAGCTGAGGAATCTAAATGTAGATCAACGGGCATTTTGGAGGCTGATCTTGCTGCTTCCACTATGATTGGTAGATTGGTACTTTACAGCCGACTCTATTTCAACATACTCTATATAGTAGAATTTTTAATCTATTTTTTATCTTCAATATACATAGAGGATCAGAGAGAATCTGTTACGAGTGTTAATTTGTATGTGAAGTATACCGTCGATGCTTTAGGTCGTGTCGCGTTCCTTCCTTTTTGACGTCTGTTCATGAAATTGAGCCGCATAACGGTAAAATTGCATAAATGGGCTCGGTCACATCAACTGTATTGAATACGGGAAACACGGTAACATTGGTAAAATAGAAATCCCCTAAAATGGAGTTGGAGTTCGGCTGGTGATATTGGGCGTCGGCCTTAAGAATTTCTAAACCGGGGGAAATGCAGGAGTAACTTGTCCGTCATTTAACCTCTGTACTCACTTAAAACTTCAAATCATGTTCCAACCCAAGCAGTTTTAGATAACCACCCGCGTTCTTATATCATTCTAATTTTCAAACTTTGATCGGCTACATAAGCAGAAAACTCTCCAATATGTCTACGGCATTTCTATGGAAAGAGGTGAGATATAGTTATCACCCTAGTGATTGGTTCCTGGCCTACGGGTCAGTTAGGATCGACTCAGAACAAGTCATCAATATACTTGTTGCCGAATACGCAATACGTGAGCTCAGGCAGCGGGAAGAAGCGCTGAATAACCGTATTGTAGCCTTACAAAAGGCTAAGGCTATTGACTTGGAGTGCTCCGAGCTCGACAAGGCCAATGAAAAGCTCGAAGAAACCCGCGCGAAAGTTCCAGGAAAGGAGTACGCCCTTTACCGAGCAGTTTCTTTGCTGAGTTCGTACTTTAAAGATGAGTATGACCGTCTAAGGCGTGATACTAAATGGTTCATGCGCGAAGAAATGGTTCAGGATTGTGTGGATCGCGGTGGGTGCTGTAGCAGAGGATGCGGCTGCTGCTCACAAAGGCCACTACACAACGGTGGGAAAGGTGACGGTCACTGCACTACAGAGTGCTGGTGCTGTACCGTCTATCGGGGCTATGAGGTCCCCGAAGATGACAAGGAGGAGATTAGAGCGGATTTGAAAAAAAAGACTTGAACACGACAGATCAGCATACTTGATAAACATGGCCAATTGCTTCTTTCGCCCATTACCAAAGCCGGAGGCTGAGGCTCCGAAGGACAAAGTTCCGGTCTTTACGCCTCCAAAACCGAAGTCTTGGTGGCAAAGAGTGTTTGGATGCTGAAAGTGATGAAGATCACCTGCCTACTTCTAATAATGGTTTACTGAAAACAATAGCTGCAATCATGGGGCGACTCTTAATGACGCCCTGGATCCAGACAATGTGTCCAACAGGAAGAGGGAGAGGGTGCCACAATGTCTAATTCGATATCAATGGGTCTTCTTGGGCAGTCATACAGAGGCTCTTCTATTTTGGTTGGTTGCTTGTCAACACTACCCTCGCTCCGCGCTACTATATCAGCAAGGCTGGCTCTATATGGCTAGGGTAACGTTGCTCGCATGTCAAACTTAGCCTAATAATTACAGCTCCTTCTGTACTCTGTGAAATAAAACCCGACTGAGCTTCATAGAAATGTTGTCAATCATAATTCAAAATATAACCAAAGAGATAATTCCAAACCCCTCTAGAGGCTCTAGAGAGACGATTCAAGAGGCGTGCAGAAGATCTTGCATAAGAGAGGTATTTAAAATTTATCTTACTAGAGATTTTCTCTGATTCGTAGATTTAGAATTGTAGACATTACAGTGGTCAGATGTGTTAGGTCTAATTTTCGTGGGAGCTGACACTTTTGTCATGCCAGTGACATGGTCCTATCCTTGTTGACTTTCACATGACAATGCGAATTTTGACAAACTCAATCGAGAAAAATGGTGTTCAAATAGACATTACACACTTGCAGAGGAAAAGGCAAAAGCTCCATCCTACTTGTACTCGCCCAGAACTATCTGGCTCGGTATGTTTTGGTTATGATGCCTTATGTGGGGTGGGTTTTGTGATTCTCGGAATCAACATGATTATTTCCAACAAATTCAACAGATACAGATGATAATGTGAAACTCTAATTGTTGCCCATTCTACCAGATTCACAATAGTATAACAGTACCTGGAAATCTAGTGGGAGAACTGCATGGTCGTCACCTACATCAGATAAGTTTTGTTGGCCCTCCACTTGATGGTTGGCACCAATGTCAGTTGTGATCAAGACTCAAATTCTACAGAATCTTATACGATATAGTTAGAAAACTATCTCCGAAGCTCATCTTTCTAACCCCAACTTATTACTATTTCTTCCTCCTCCCAACGAGATATACACTTCACCTACCCATATAAGGTAGGCGGTGAGGACCGTTTTCTGCCTGAGGACGGAAGCCCATCGCGCATCCCAAACGCCTCTCAAGACAAAAGCATCGCGAATTCCTTTATTTTTCATTCTTCTCCAAGCCGCCCACCTCGACACCTCCCTCCCTGTTTCACAATCTCAGACCTACATATCCTTGATTCCACTGTCAACCAACTGCTTGCAACTTCCCTCGACCCACATTTCTTTCTTGTTCACGACAGTATCATTTCACGCAGCTCTCCGGCGCGCCCTTTCCGATGTCCCTCTTCGGCAGCGTTGGTGGTGCCACGACCTCCACGTCGGCAGGCCAGACCAACACTACGGGCGACATCTCCAAGGATGTTGCGCTCAACCAGCCCCCAGAGGACAGCATCTCCGACCTTCGTTTCTCGCCAGCTAGTGAGCATCTAGCTGTCGCATCGTGGGACAAGAAGGTCCGCATCTACGAGATCAACGAGCAGGGTCAGAGTGAAGGAAAGGCACTTTTCGAACATGAGGCCCCCGTGCTAAGCTGCTGCTGGTCTCCGGTAAGCTTCATTTCTATTCTTTGAGTTCCGCAAGAGGCCCATTCATGTCCGCAAGCTAACCTGTGAGTCTTTTTCATTTACCAGGACGGAACCAAAGTCGTCGGTGCAGGTGCCGATAAAGCTGCTCGTCTTCTGGACCTCGGTGCCGGTGCGACTACTGCTACTCAAGTTGCTGCCCACGATGCTCCTATCCGCAGCTGCCACATGATTCCCAACCCAACCGTCGGTGGCTCTCCACTTCTCATTACGGGCTCCTGGGACAAGACTGTCAAGTACTGGGACCTGCGACAATCGACCCCTATTGCGTCGATCGAGTGCCAGGAGCGTGTGTACACAATGGACGTGAAGAACAAGCTCCTAGTCATCGGTACTGCAGACCGCTACATCAACGTCGTGAACCTCGACACCCCGACCAAATTCTACAAGACCATGCAATCTCCCCTCAAGTGGCAGACGCGGGTAGTCAGCTGCTTCGCCGACGCCTCCGGCTTCGCTGTCGGCAGTATCGAAGGCCGCTGCGCTATCCAGTACGTCGAGGACAAGGATTCCGCCTCCAACTTCTCCTTCAAGTGCCACCGCGAAACTCCCCCAGCAAACCGTGACATCTGCAACATCTACTCCGTCAACTCTATCTGCTTCCACCCCGTCCACGGCACGTTTAGCACCGCTGGAAGTGACGGCACTTTCCACTTCTGGGACAAGGACGCCAAGCACCGCCTGAAGGGATACCCAGCTGTTGGCGGACCCATCTCCAGCACCGCCTTCAACCGCAACGGAAACATCTTCGCCTACGCTGTCAGCTACGATTGGAGCAAGGGCTACTCTGCCAACACCCAGCAAACTCCTAACAAGGTCATGCTCCACCCCGTGGGGCCTGATGAGTGCAAGCCTCGACCCGGTACCCGCAAGCGGTGATCGAGGTAAACAAAGAATCGAGGAGGATGGACGACTGGGATCAAGCCCAGCGAGCATCGCGGCGCGACTGGCGCAACGAGCATGTAATGAAACCCCTTTGTTTTTACCATATCGGCGTGTTTGCTTTTTGCTTTACTTTTTTAAAAGGAATCTGCCAATGGGATTTATTTTGATCATAGTCATATCTGTTTCTCTGCCTGGGTGTCCGCTCCATTTTTTATTTTCGTATTTCTGGGTTCCGATCCGAACTCTCCACAGCACGAAGATGGAGGCGTGTCAAAGAGAAGATACGGAACACATCTGGAAAGACAGAGAAAACAAGGGGGCTTTGCGAGGGATCTGTCTCTGATGGCGCATAGGAATCAAGGTCTACAACGTTGGAAACAGAAAGGAGGAGCCACCCGGATGATCCATACTACAGCAAATAGGAACTAAGTAGATAGATCGAACCATCAATCAAATCAACGAACAATCAAATGCAAATGCAACTCCGGGGCTTTCTTCCAGAACACCTATTCTCGTGGATTCATGTGTATGATAAACAAAAAGACAACATGCCAAAATCCAACGTCCAGTATATCAGTATCAGTTCGCGAAAACCACGTCGCTCATCTCAATCATGACCTATGACCCGTAACATAATCCCTCACAATGTCTGCGCCGCTGGGGAACCCTTGCTCTTGCCCGAGTTTCCCCCAATTCCCTCTATCTCATGGGGTGACCCTTTAAGAGGTGGGAAGGGTGACCTGGGCGACACCGTCGGCAATCTTCTCAACTGCCTCGTCGTGGGGTCCATCGGTCGTCACGCTGGGCTTCTCGGCACCACCCTTGGCAGTAGCCTCGACTCCACCGGGGGCCTTGCCCTTCTCCTTCTTCTCCTTCTTCTTAGCCTTGGCAGCGGCCTTCTTCGCGGCAAGCTTAGCAGCCTCCTCGGCCTTCTTGGCGCGCTCGGCCTGGGAGCCACCGAAGGCCTCACGCCACTCATCGGCCTTCTTGGGGTCAATGCGCGAGAAGAGGTAGGCGGCCTTGCCGATCTTGTGACCAGCCTTCAGGCTGTCAGCCTTCCAGCCATCATTGAGAGCCTCCAGGGAGGGGATCATGAGGAAGGGAGCGTTCAACTGCTCCAGGATAGAGTCCGAGGTACCGGGCATGTATGGAGCGAAGACACTGGCAAGCAGGTGGATCAGGTTCAGGACGGAACCGACGACGGCAGCGGCGCGCTCGGGCTCGTTGGCAATCAAGGAGTTGTCCAGACGGTTGGCCTGGATCAGACCGTTACCGGCCTCGGCAAGACGCATGGCGGTGTTGACACCGGCACGCAGGTGGACGCTCTCCATCTCCTCGATGTACTGCTTCAGGAGGCCGCTGACCTCCTCCTCGAAGGGCCTGAAGCTCTCGGGAACGGTGAACTCGGGGATGACGCCGCCGAAGGAGGCGTTGACAAGCTTGATAACACGGTTGACGAGGTTACCCAACTTGGCGAGCAGCTCGCTGTTGTTGGCATCGACGAAGGGGCGCCACTCGAACTGAGTGTCACCGGTCTCAGGACGGTTCTTCAGCAGGTAGTAACGCCAGACATCGGGGCCGACACCAGTCTCCTTGGCGTTCGTTCCGAAGACACCGATACCACGAGACTTGCTGAACTTGCCGCTCTCGTAGTTCAGATACTCAGTAGCGCTGAGGTGGTGGAGCATAGTCCACTTATCCCGGGTACCCATCTGAGTAGCGGGGAAGATGACACTGTGGAAGGGAACGTTGTCCTTGCCCAGGAACTGGTAGAGCTGGACATTCTCCGGGTTGCGCCACCACTGCTCCCAGTCCTTGGTGTAGTTGGCGGTGATGGAGGGGTAGCCAATGCATGCCTCGAACCAAACGTACAGCACCTTGTTCTCAAAGCCCTCCAGAGGAACGGGGACACCCCACTTGAGGTCACGGGTAATACCACGGTCCTTCAGACCCTCCTTCAACCAGGACTCGGTGATGACCTTGGAGTTCTTGGGCCATTCTCCCTTGCTAATGGCCTCGGTGGACCACTTCTCAACCTCAGGCTGGAGCTTATCCAACAGCAGGTGAATGTGTTTCGTCTCGCGACGGACCGGGGTGGCTCCGTCGAGCTTGCAGCGGGGGTTGATGAGGTCGAAGGGATCGAGGAGGTGACCGCACTTGTCGCACTGGTCACCACGGGCATCGTCGTAGTGGCAGCGGGGGCATTCACCCTCGACGTAACGATCAGCCAGGAAGGAGCCGTGCTTCTCGCAGAAAGGTTGCTCGGCGGTGCGCTCGTCAAGGAATCCGTTATCATAGAGGCGCTTGAAGATAGCCTGAGAGATCTCGGTGTGCTTCTGAGTAGGAGTGCGGCCGAAGTGATCGAATCCAATGTTGAACCACTTGTAAACCTCCTGGTGGATCTTGTTGTACTTTGCGCAAAGCTCCTCCGGCGTCACCTTCTCCTCCAACGCCTTGGTCTCTGTAGCTGTGCCATATTCGTCCGTTCCGCAAATGAAAAGGGTAGGTCGGCCGCAAGCCTTGTGATACCTATTATCCACGTGTGAGTCCTTTTGGTCCTTTGGTTTATGGTGCGGTGATGGTGCGATTTTGAGTCATACCTCGAGAATACATCCGCACTCAGCACAGAGCCGACGACGTTGCCCAAATGGGGGACATTGTTCACGTAAGGAAGTGCGCTGGTAATGAGGATATTCCGCTCGCCCTCCTTGGGCAGGATTGGGTCTGATGCCATTGTGGTTTGGAGAGCTTGAAAGAGCGTAGATGGAGGGGTTCGGCGGGAAATTCGATAAAAGTGGGCATCTCGTGACATGCCCGCCCCGCATATCAAAATTTATGAGTTCTCTCTTTGCTTCTTACCCCAATTCGACTCATACCTCACCCCCCTTGCATCTTTTTCCTATCGCTTATTTCTCCGCAATGGAATCTAATTTGCTAGATAGTCTTCTCGATATTGAGGAGCAGTTCTATAATGAAGGCTATAATCTCGGTGTTGCCGATGGCGCCGAGGCGGGCTACACTGAAGGTAGCGTCTTTGCCGTCGAGAAGGGCTTCGAGAAATTTGTGGAGATGGGGAGATTGTATGGCAAGGCGCTTGTCTGGGCCCAGCGACTAGCCGAGTCCAACCCATCGGAGACGTCCGATCAGCCATTGGACCAGTCGGTGGCCAGTGCCGATGCCATCGGTCTCGATCCATCAATCTGCAAAAAGATGGCTACGCTGCCGGCGCATAGTGCGCGACTGACCAAGAATCTCTCTACCTTGTTGGAGCTCGTTGACCCGGCCTCTCTGGATATGACCAACACGGAAGAAGCTGTCAACGATGCAGATGAGCGCCTGAAAGGTGCTGCGGTCAAAGCAAAGCTCATCCAACGGGCAATGGGTGAAGGCGAAGATTCTTTGGATGCTCGACCGGGTATGAAAGAAGGTCAAAAGCCCGGAGATGGAACCGGTAGCATTGAAGACATCAGCTCGCTCAATGTCCGTCACTGAAGTCTTACACGGTGTCTATCAACATTATACGACTACGTCATGTCTACCCTGCCGAAATTGGCAAATGCATGCACCGCGATTCGCCAACACCAGGGTCGCTCGGACGAGCAGATCCCTCGATGACAGCAATATTAGAATCCAAATCTCTGCTTCAGTTCCGACAATAAGCAGCTCGGGACACTTCCTGGACGTCGCCTGCCCGCGAAGCAATCTGGCTCTCATGGAGACCAATATATCGACGAAGGATTGTGTCCACGAGCTCGCTCTGCCCTTGATATCAAATGATCTCTACATCAATTCAGCATCGGTACTAGGGATGAAGCGACCAGGCAAAAGACTAGGGACGTCGGCGCCAAATTGGTCGAGCAAAAGGACCAGCTGGACACGATCCTGCTCCTTGACTCTGCGAACGGAATATATCTCCAAGGCTATCACGCAATGAATCAAGGCAAGGACGATGAGGTCTTGGTAAATCAAATTCAACGTTTCTCTATAGCTAGAGCTTCATAAAAAGAGCTGGTCATTAGGATCCCAGTAAAAGCCTGGAGATTGAGCCTCTTCATTTCAAAAAAATCGTCATCATGTCTGAAAAAAACCGATTACGTCCCATCTCATAAACCGGCATAACTTTTGATTCTCCATATAGTTTTCTCCACGTAAATTTCACGTTTACTCCAGACTGCGCACAGCCATGGCCATAGCACCCTCCTTAGTCTTGTGGCCACCAATGAAGCCACTGGCGTGAACGAAGATCGCGCCTTCGGGGAGCTTGGCCAGGCCATTCTTCTCGGCCTCAGCGGCCAAGACACCGTCCAGATCCTGGTCACGCACGCCGCGCCACGCCTCGGGAAGCGGCTTGCGGGACTCGAAGCTGCTCTCCGAGACGGACACGCACTGCACGCGCCACTTGGAGTCCTCGGCCGCGCTCTCGGGGTAGAGAACGTAGTAGACCTGAGACTCCGCGCCGGCCGAGGCCTCGCGCTCAAAGTTGTACAGGTGCTCCTTCCAGGGCACGCCACCTTGGGGCAGCACCATGATGCGGCCGGAGGGGTGGGCCTCGGTGCGGGAGATGTAGGCGTTGCAAACGGTGGCGCGGGCGGGCATCCACGAGGTAACGGCGTGGTGGAGCTTGCGCGCGAAGACAGTGCCGATGAGCGTGCTGGCGCGGCTGAAGAGGCTATCCTCGTCCTGGGGCTCGCCGGGCGGGCTAGTCGGGTCGGGGTTGTTCATATCGTTGACGATGGAAGCGAGGGTGACGCCATAGTCCTTGAAGCGCTTTTCCAGGTTGGCAGCGGCCACGGCTGTCTGGTCATAAGCTGGGATTCCGTTGTCGTTGGCATCGATGGCCTCGATGAAGTCAGTGTACAGCTTGTTGTGAATCAGCTCGACATCGGCATGGTCCTCCGGCAGCGACATGTGCTGGGCGATGATTGCGCAGCCAAAGTGCATGTATACAAGACCAGCGGAGGACAGCCTAGTGTTGTGCTTGGGGAAGACGGTGTTGAAGGTGCGCTGGTGGTGATCATAGCGGTGGGTGGCGGCATCGTATACTCCACCGACGTCCACCACGGTGTGGCATGCCTCCAGCTGGGCCGGGTCACGGGTGCGAACAAGGGGAGAAGAGGCGTAGCCGGGCAGAAGGCGCAAGAGGTAAACAGCCAAGGCCTCGTCGGCGTGGAAGTGGCCGCTAGGATACCAGGTTAGAGGCGGAACGGAATGCCTTGGGATTAAATGGCGGGGTACATACTTGTGGGTGCCAATCAAGGGCGAGGAAGTCTTGATCTTCTTAGCTGCTGTTTGTTCGGCCATTTTGAAGAGTTGGCGCAGACGTAGCATCCACGAGAAGATAATATCAAATGAGAAAGCAAGCAGCTATGAAGCTCTTATGATTTGCTTTGCTCTGGCTGGCTGCCCGCTCTTATCAGTGCCATATCGGGAAAGTAGGGCTGGCCACCAGGGCCTGGCCAAGTCACCTGATAGAGCTTCGAGCTATTAAGCTTAACCGTTTTGGGCAACGTGGGTTTCTTTGTCACAGTAGAAAGTTGTTGCATCTGCTTTGTTGTTAATGCAGGAGGGTTTGGTGTGGGTAGTGACTGTCATGATAATAATTTGTCGAATGGGAATTCTAGACCCTTCATTTCAAAGTACAGTTACATCAAGGACTATGCTCAATCCACTTCGGTTGTAAGGACTTGGTACTTTACTCAGCCATCGGCACTCCCCCTCCATTATGGCGTTATCGACTTGACGCCATCACAATGAATGAATAGCCCAGCTTGCATCTGGAATGGATCAGATTATACCACTACGAACCTCTTAAATTCGTACGCACTGAGATAGTGTATATCCCCACAGTACTTTTACCACTCGTAATACCCCCAACCCCAGTTAGCACAGCTCATCGCAATACGGTGCTTTGACCGCCAGTCTTGCCCCTTCTAGGTGCCTTAGCTTGGTTACTGAAAACAGAAGTCGTTGTTGGAAAATAAAAGAAGAAGAAAAAAGTCTTCCGCTTCACGTATGCAGAGTGACTACATCCTGCTGCGGAGTTAGTTTGTATACCTATCAACTTTTGCCAAACTATACGAGGAACCATCGATCGACCATCCCACCGCCTGCAGCAAGCAACCACTCATTTCTCGGTGCGACTCTGTCTAAGGCCAAGGCCCAAATTTCCCCTTCTCTTGCATCGCTGGTCGCCCCCCAATTTAGCGGGCCCACGTGAAAGGGCGATAAGCTCGAGAGAAGAGAAAAAGAAAAACAGTCGTGTGCCTTCCCCTCCTCTCTTTCAACCTCCTCCTTCTTTTTCATCCTCTCCTCATCATCTCCTTCCAACCTCGACCACTATCCCCTCCTCCCGCCGCGCGCTGCGCGTCTCCCACCACTCCCGATGTGGCTCTTCCGCGTCTTCTCGTCGGCCGTCTTCCTCACCGTGGTCGTCTCCTCGATCCCACTGGCCTTCGATGTAGGCGGCAAAGTATGCGGTCTGGCCTTTTCGCTATCTCTCGCCACGTTCTACTTCCTCTTCTCGCTGTTGAAGGTCTCCACTCCCGACCGCTCGTGGTTCCGTTCCTCTCTGGTCGTCGTGGTTAGCTCCACACAATGGATCTTGATCCCGATTCTGTTGATCTGGTCTTTGAATCGCTTCTCGGTCGATGCGGACAGTACCGGTGGATGGGTTGAGCGCACTTTCACAGGAGAGAGGGCAGCGGACAGTTCAATCCAAGAGTGGCTCTTTGGTCGGGATGGTTTGGTGGAGACGGTGACCCTGGGCAACTGGGATCGACTGCTGCGCTGGTCCACCCCCGTGTTCCAGCTCGTGGAGGGCTTCTGTAGCTTGCTGGTTATCCAGGCTGCTGGCCAAATTACGCGTTGGCTGGTGAATCGAGGTGGGCGAAGTGACAGCTGGATGGTATGTCTTCCCTATTCCCCTCTTCTGTGATACGATCGCTAACTTTCATGAAAGATTGGCCTTCTCGTTCTCTCTGCGACCGTCATTTCCAGCTCCGTCTACTTCCTCTGGCGCGTCCTCCAGTTCCCTGAAATATCCAATGTTGATGCGGCCTTGATCGGTGTCTCTATCACATGTGCAGTCATTTTGTGCGCTTGGGGTATTGGCAGCGGACGTGGAAACCCCGTGGAGAGCTCTCTGCTCTTCGCCTACATCGTCCTATGTATCTACCAGATCTTCACGGACTACAAGCCCTCGTACCCGGTCGAGCAGGCTCCTTCGCCCTCGCAAGCGGGTGAATTCCCCCCGCTTCCACCAATTATCATGGCATCGTACACCACTCTCATGCACGCGCTATCTCTGTTGCCTTCAATCATCCACGCCGCATTCAACGTCATCACCGCCGTCTTCAGTGCCGTTACCCCGTCAGTTCTGATTTCACTCGCGTACCGGTTACTCGTGTTGTACGCGTCAACGCGCATTATCCCCGCCGTGCGGGAATCTGGCGCTCGCGCACTGTCGCAGGAGGCCTCTCTGGATGATACTGACGCGGCTGGCCAGGTTCTGGGATTCCTGAGCTATTTCGCCCCGTCTATTCTCATCGCTGTTTACACGAGTCTTTTGATGCAGCACTTCTCGTCTGCATCGCAAGCTATGGGCGGCAGTGGTGAGTGGTGGAGCAGCCAAGGAGCCGGTGGAGGCAACCTTTGGAGATGGATCAACCTTGCTTGTACTATGGGCCTTTATGCGGTCGAGCTTTGGCTCGGAGAGCATGACGACCTGGACAATGGCCTGGCTGGGCATTGGAAGACTGATTGAGTTCAATATCCTTGTGGAAGTCGATCGGAAGGTGCATTCTGAGGTGTTCCGTTCTATCTTCAAGAAGATCTCAACATTTTCCGGTCGCCTTCCATCATACCTTTTCTTCCATGATCAAGAGGCCATCTGGGTTTGAAACAACGGTCATGATCCCTGTTTCCAGAGTATCTCCTTCGGCCCCTACCGAACTCCCACAGGCATCAATATCACATGGGAGACACTCCAGTTTGGTCATCACATGATCAGCCTGTCTTCCCAAGCAACAACCGTATGGGGCCACAAAACTTTGCTGCTATGTGGTGTCCGGTCTCATTTCAAATAGAGATTCTCTCCTTGCTCTCTATCCCTGCACCTTCATGCCCAAGCCCCCAGTCAGACAATATACTCGCGCTTGGACCATTCCTCCTTTGGGACTACCGCCTGCTGCTAAAGCGATGTCCTCCTCGCGCGCATGTATAAGTCTTTACCCTCATTCCCCAATCCTGGAGATGTTTACCTCCACAAGATCACCCTATTCCGGGTACATTGCCTCTCTTCAATTCCTGGCTCCAGGATTGTGTTTCTAGCTTCCATCCCCCAATCTCCATGACAGCCTCACCTGTACCTGTACTACCACAGGTGCTAGCTACCCTTACAATCCTTCACCACATCCCTCTCATGACCTTCCCCATGATACCAAATGCAATGTTCTTCACTATGTCTTTACATTCTTGTCATGTCTTCTCCCTGCCAGCTGTTTGGCACTTTTATACCCTCTGTCGCCCATGATCTTGTCTGGCTCTGCTCTCGTTCCTTTAATGCAAGCTTGCTCCGTCTCCTTCTTCCTCCTTTCCCAGTAATGTGTCTAACACTTCGCCTCTACCCCCGCCTTTTCACTTCTATACTTGTACATACTTTACCATTCAGGGTGGGTGTTTTCGGGACTTTTTCTTATCCCTCTTCGTCCCGGCTAAAACTGCGTTTGGATGATGCGCGTAATTAGAGATCCGTGTTCTGCGCAGAGTACCCCCCGAGAGTTCACCTTTGGGCCCTGAATATGGGGGATTGCTTTCTCGGGGTTCGGATCCTGTTTATACTTGGCCGGGTTGAAATGGGAACTCATAGAGCCGAGATCACTATCATAAGATATCATCAAAGAAAATTGAAAATGTTACATTCAAATGAAACGCTACACGATTTGGTAGAAGAACAAAAACGAATAAGAATGAGTTCAGTTGAGAAGAAGGAAAGCAGCGTGATATGCAAATTGTTTAAGAGAAATGGTCCGGGATAAGAATCATAACAATAACACAGGTGAAGATGAAGATGATAGAAATCGCATAAACTCAAGTATAGACAAGTTGTAGAAAGTAAAAAAAAAAAAAAAAAGGAATTGAATTGATGCCCGGACAATAAGGGAGATTTCCGGTGTCGGATGAAGATGGTACTCTTCGAGTATGGGTTGACTTGTTGATCTCAGTTTCGAGGATCCCAGCAAGAAGAACCCAGTCCATCGACATGCCCAGTCCCCCAGTAGTCTCTCTCTCCTTCCATGTATTTTCTCCCCATTTCCTTCTCGAGAATCTGTGTTTTTTCAAGGTGAATTTTCACTTGTTTTTTTCCATCCTTTCCATCTGTCCAACGTTTGGCCTGTCCTGCAGTGCGCCTCGTTTCCAAAGAAATAAAAAAAAGAAACCTAACATTCCCATGGCGCCAGGCTTTTGAACCCGAAAGACAAAAAACATAGTAGGAGATCGTAGATCGCAGATCGAGAATAACCCTCAATCCCTCCCATACCCAACCGGATAACAGTGTGGGAAAGCACAAAATAACAAAAGCATAAGGGTACCAAATAAGCCATGCAATGTAAAATGCTCCATCAGGAACAAGTCTCAAGCCTCAAATCTGACCAGGGTTTCCACCCCAATCAAACCCAGACAATACAATCCCCTCCCATTTCCCTAAAGTCACTGGCGAATGGGAACACCTTCCCGGGCGGCTGGTGGGCTAACGTTAGACTCCGTGGCCTCGTTGCTACCACCAGCACCATCATCATTCAGACCCGAAGCCTCACTGAGACTCGAACCGCGCTGCAGATAGCTACCCTCTTTCACGGGCGAGCGGCCCTGGAAGCCGATCGAGCCTGGATGTCCACTGATACTGCCGGGGATCGCTTGGCCGAGCCCTGCGGTGCTACCTCCATTGATGGCGCCTGGGTTCGTGGCTCCTGGTGAGGTCGCGGTGAGGTGGGGGATGTTCTCCGGGACCGGGTGGCGGGAGCCGATGCTGGTGACGCCGACATCCGAGGCTTTGCCGGCTTTGCTGAGGGCGTAGTCGCCCGAGTCGAAGTATTTGCGTTCCTATAGGTGCCGAAGGATGGGGTTGTTAGTTTGGGTGGTTGGTTGGTTGGGCTGGTGTTGTTTTTGGGAGTGGGTGTGGGTTCGAGGGTGGGTGAGGTGTGAAGGTGGTTGGGTACGATTGGAGAGGGCCCGACTGGGAACGTACCTTGAGCTTGTTCTGGAGGAGGTCTTTCTTGGTGGGCATTTTGCCGTACAGGCGCAGCAGACGCTGCTCCTCGGGGCTCATCGACTAAGGGAAGGTTTGTTAGTGGGAGGAGAGGGAGGTTGGAGGTTCGGCGTGGGCTCACGTTGATATCGACTTTGTTCTGCTGGTGGGGATTCATGGTGGATGGGTGTTGTGGGAAGAGTGCCACAAAGCGAGAGGAACGAAGAGCTAGTCGGGGTTGATCTCTCGATATGAGGAAAGCCAGGGGAGTTCGAGGGGAAGCCGAGAGTGAAGCTAGAGAGGGAGTGGGAAGAAGAGATGTGGATGAAAGTGAGTTTGGAGACGGAAATCCAGTCGGGGGACTAATCGATAACGCGGGGCTTTCTAATTTCCTAAACCCAAAGACTGCAGAGTATATCCGGTACTCGTTTCGTACACTCTGTACTGTACTTTATTTTATTCTCCCTTTAGCCTATTCATCTCTTTACTCTGATGATGATAGTAATTATCCCTCTATCAGAAACTATGTGTCTATTGACGAACAGCCTCCCTCGATGACCCTCCCTTAGTACGTCATCAAGGAGACCGTGACGAACACAGCAACAGCAGCAGCAATGTAGTTGTACCTCCAATCGTCGGGATTAGAATTTCGTGGTTCAGGATTAGCTTCGAGAACCTAGTTGATATAATCAAATAATATCTATTCATTTTTCGTCTCCTCCCAGTCATGCGGGCCAACTCCGAACGCAAAAAGTCGCCGCATCCGCACATTTTTGGGGCCCAACGGCCAAACCGAATGACGGCAAAGAGGCAAATTAGGTTCTGATCATTGGTGTCCCTTGAAGCCAAGATAGTAAGATTATTGGTGTATTAGTGTATTATATATGCAGTTTACAGTATTATTTGTGTAAAGTGTAGAGTAATAGAGTAGAAAATAAGAAATCAATCTACAAAGTCCTCCCTCCAAGTGATCCACGGGGCGCCGCCAAACTCTGCTGCGCTTCCGCTTCTTCAACTCGACGACGAACTTTCCCCCCACTCCGACATCCTCCCCTCCAGGTTCAACATTACAGGTTTCTCATCATGACCGATCAGAAGACCCAGCAGCCCAAGGCCTTTGTGGTCGAGCACCTGGATCCCGAACTGGGGCCATGGTCCGCCTTGGAATACGCTGCCATTGCCCGTGAATCCCATGCTAGCGGCGCTCGCTTCTTGCTCAGTTCGGTGCCCGCCGAGCTGCAGATGCCCGCCGATCTGGCTGCTACCAAGGGCTTGGAGGTCGAGCAGCGCAGTGTCGAGGACATTTTTGCGGATCGCAAGGACAAGGTCTGTCTGTTGGATCCTGCCGCCACGACGGAGTTGAACCCGGAGGATGGTGATATCTTTGAGGTCTTTTTGTTTGGTGGTATTCTCGGTATGAAGCCTTCTTTTATCATTTTTGTCTGAAAATGTCCCATTGGGTGCTCCCCCCGCCATTCGTTGCGGGGGGCTTGATTGAATTTGGGCTAACGCGACATACTTGGTTTCTGTGGGCATACAGGTGATGACCCGCCTCGGGGTATGTATATCATGATCTATATCATCCCCAATTGCTGAATCGCGCATCAGCGCCTTTAGCACAATAGCTTCGAATACTAATTTTTGGTAGATCGCACTTCCGAACTCCGTAAGAAGGGCTACATTGGTCGTCGCCTCGGGCCCAAGCAGATGACGACCGATACCGCCGTGCGAGTGACTCGCATGGTGGTTCACGAACGAGGTAGGCCATTTCTCATCGACTTGGAATTGGACAAAACTATGGAGGCAATTCGCTAACTACTCACCCCGCTTCGCGCTCGTGCAGTGCCCCTCGAGAAGATCTCCTACGTGGATTACCCGGAGATTCTGATCAACGAGCACGAACGGACCGAGATGCCGTTCCGCTACGTGACAGATGCCAAGGGAGAGCCTATCATGCCCGATGTAAGTTATCCCTCTGCAAGTAAATATGTTACCCTCCCAAGTGGCTCGTTAGCTTACCCGGTTTCTTCAGGGGATGGTGGATCTGATTAAGAACGATGCCGACAAGGGCGTCGGTGATCTTTTCTGAGCCGGGACTGGCTCCACGTCTTAACACCCAAAAAAACGAATTCATCAAGGTCAAAACGCCGCGCGGTTTCAGATGATGATCCCGATCATATTTAAACCTATATTTCTGGAATTATGATTGTTCCATGCTTTCTACAGGGGGTTTCACCCTATCTTGGCCTACTGCGTTGGTGGACATGGAATACATGGAATAGTCGAAGCAGTTAAACTACTGGAGCCTTGCAGTTCCGACCAGGGGGAGATCGAGACACTTCGAAACCACGGATTGTAGCGGCCGTAAATAGATGTCAATAGGGAAAATTAACATTCCTTCTGCCAATGCTCGTTGAGGTTCTTTGTGAGCTAGCTTCACTAGCTTGCGACTCCTATTCTTCCTGCTAATCATCGGTCGGTGGCGCATCTTATAGAACTACGAAATAGGCAACGGGCCATTCGACCACCGGTATTGTTTGGAGAAGTACTGGGAAGTGTAAAACAAATTATAGATAACGAAACCATACAAGTGACTCACAGGGTATGGTATGTAATATACATGTAATACACATACCATACATAGTCCCGTGCCGAGTCGAGGCCACGCCAGCAGTTCGTGCCGTCATGGGGATTCTTCTTCTTTGACCTGCGCACTTTCGGAGGGTCCTACGACCAACCCTTTGATTTTTCTTTTCTTTCGTTTCTAGCGCTGGAGAGCTTCCTATAATCCCTTCCCTTCTCCAACTTCTACCCCGCGAGGGACTCGTCCTCTACTTCAGTTCGGCTTCCGATGGTTGTTTAAGCCACGCCTATCCGTGGCGGTCCTGTCTGACCGGCTCTCAAACGTGACCAACACGGACACGTTTCGTCGCAATTCTTTGTTCGCCTCTTCGCCGGAGAGCTATTCAATATACTTATCCCTTCCCATCCTATTTCTCACTCGCTCGAAGAAGGGCGTCGCCCTCACCATGCTCTCATGGTCCCTATCCCTGCTGCTAGCCCCGGCGCTGGCAGCAGCCAGTTCCGCGGCTGATTATTATGTTCATTCCCTGCCCGGCGCTCCAGAGGGCCCCTTGTTGAAGATGCACGCTGGGTAAGTTCATGCGACGAGCCGGACAATTCGTGGAGACCCTCCCACGTGAGCACTGGCTAACAACCCGGATTCTGGCTAGACACATCGAGGTGGACCTCGATAACAATGGCAATTTGTTCTTTTGGCATTATCAGAATCGTCACATTGCGAACCGACAAAGGACCGTTATTTGGTTGAATGGTGGGCCCGGATGTAGCTCGATGGATGGCGCGTTGATGGAGGTGGGACCGTACCGACTCAAGGATGACCATACATTGGAATACAACAAGGGTTCGTGGGACGAGTTTGCCAACTTGCTGTTCGTTGATCAGCCAGTTGGAACGGGGTTCAGCTATGTGAATACGGATAGCTATATTCATGAGCTGGACGAGATGTCGGCCCAGTTTATGGTCTTCTTGGAGAAATTCTTCCAGCTGTTCCCGGAGTATGAGAGAGACGATGTGAGTGTTGCCCTACCACTTGAATTGTCGGATTTCGATAATGTCAGTACTGATCGAGTTCTAGCTCTACATCGCTGGTGAATCTTACGCCGGCATGCATATCCCCCACATCGCTACCGCTATCCAAGCGCGCAACAAGGACGCCGAGAAGGAAGGAAAGACGAAATGGCCCTTGAAGGGGCTGTTGATTGGCAATGGCTGGATCTCCCCCTATGACCAGTCCCCCTCCTATTTCGAGTTCGCGCAACGCATGGGCTTGGTCAAGGAGGGAACTCAGGCCTACCGCCAGATCGAGGCTCTGAACTCGGTCTGTCTGGCCGCACTGGATGACCCGCGTAGCAAGGAGATGGTCAACATTCGCCAGTGTGAGGATGTCTTGCAGGGACTGACCAGATTGACCAGTAAGGATGGCAAATGTGTCAACACCTACGACATTCGCCTACAAGATACATACCCCGAGTGCGGTATGAACTGGCCCCCAGACTTGACCAATATTACACCTTATCTTCGTCGCCAGGACGTGAGACAAGCCTTGAATGTCAACCCTGCCAAAACGGCTGGCTGGATGGAGTGTAACTCTGCTGTCAGCCAGACATTCCTGGCCTCCCATTCGACCCCAGGCGTCAAGCTACTTCCCGCCTTGCTTGAATCAGACATCAATATCCTCTTGTTCAGCGGTGACCAGGATCTTATCTGCAACCATCTCGGCACAGAGACTCTGATCCACAACATGAAGTGGAAGGGTGCCACTGGTTTCGAGACTGACCCGGGCGTCTGGGCCCCACGCCACGACTGGACCTTTGAGGGCGAGCCTGCCGGCCTTTACCAGTACGCCCGTAACCTGACCTACGTGCTATTCTACAACTCCAGCCACATGGTCCCCTTCGACCAGCCCCGCCAGACCCGCGACATGCTCGACCGCTTTATGAGAGTCGACATCGCCAGCATCGGTGGCCGCCCTGCTGACTCGCGCATCGACGGCGAAAAGCTACCCCAGACTTCGGTTGGCGGACACCCTAACAGCACCGCTGCCGAGGAACAGGAGAACAAGAAACTGAAGGAGACCGAACTCCACGCCTACACCAAGTCCGGCGAGGCTATCCTCGTCGTTGTCATCATCGGTGTTACTGTCTGGGGCTTCTTCATCTGGCGTTCTCGCCGTTCCCACCGTGGTTACCGCGGCGTCAAGAACCCTGATATTCGGGGTGGATCCGTCCTCGACCGCTTCCATAATAAGCGATCAACTGCGGATGTCGAGGCTGGTGACTTTGATGAGTCGGAGCTTGATGCTTTGCATTCACCCGGCCTCGACCGTGAGCATTATGTTGTTGGTGACGATTTCAGCGGAGATGAGGATGAGGTGCATCGGCCGACTGGGAAAACTGGGGACCACCGCCAACCCTCAGCATCATCATCGTAATGATTTTGAACTCTGCATCTTTTGGCGCGGTGGGTCGGGGTTCCTATTTTCTGGGTCTGGTTTCCTGATTGCCTCGTTCTGTGGGGTATCTTTTTTTCTTTTGCAGTTTGATTGCGTGCATCTGTGTATAGTTGGGCGTATAAATCAACATAGACTCAATATATTCAGTCATCCAATGTCTCCTTCGCCTGATTACTGATACACTACCTCTCCTTTTTGAGGCATCTCAACATCGCCACTAGTAAAACTACAATGGCCAATAGACCCATGTACAGGTATAGCCCCCCACTGGACTGGTAAAAGTGACATATCATCCTCCTCCTCCTCCTCCGAGTCAACATCTTCAGCTCCTCCCCTATTCTCACCCCCTTGAAAATTCGGATCAAAGGTCGGATGACAAGCCGCCGCAATGGCAAGACTGCAACTCGATGCAACGGGCATAGCAGAGTCAAACCGCCGTTGACTCAACCACAATAGACACGAGAACATAACCACGCCGACGACGACAGCACAGACTATTCCCACGGGGGACCAGCCGCAGGTGACAAAGTCCGTCGACGGGTCGCGCAGTCCATCAGTACCGAATCCCTCGACACCAACCATGAACAAGCTCTGCGAGATGAGCCAGTGCAGGAGCGTTGAAATCACTAATAGCGGGATTGAAAAGCGATAAGGGATAGAAAGGAAGTAATTCGTTCTCTGGGCTCCTCTTGGGTTATTCGAGACTCTAAGGCCTTTGCGGTGCTTAGCATAGCCGCTCCACTCTGTGGCGAGAGTCATTGCTATTAGAAGACCGTTGAAGGCGAAGTAGAGGAAGGAGAATATGAGTTGGGGTGAGTTGGCAATCATCACGTTCGATATTAAGGATGTTGGCCAGCTATCACCGTTGATTAGGGTTCGAGAGTTGGATGATCCGAGGGATTGTGACCAGGGACTTGTTCCATTTGCGTTTTCGCCCACTGCATGTAGACCGTAGATTAGGAGGATGAGACAGACGATGATTGCGAGGACCCAGAGCAAGATGCTGAATATCCATCGTCGAGCGGAGGCGGCTGTACTCCACCGTCTGGGGGTATCCTCGAAGGCTCGCGGTTGGTGTAAGGGTTTTACGACGAGGTTCGTATATAGTCGTTGATACATTTCTTTCACGTCGCGACTCGTCAGAAGACAGCCGTTTTGTGAGTGGGGGTCAGGACGATGGAGAAAAGAAGCGATTGCATCGCCGATGGTCAGGATTGGAGAAGTAGATATCCCGAACCACATATATGCCAAGACACTGGTCTTGACAAGATTGAATACTATCACGACAATGGTAAGTGGGAATGAATACTGCAGTTTGCAGGACTGCTCCTTCTTCTCTGCCATGCAGTACTGGATTCGGTACTCGGTCGTGTTGTAAGCATTCGGAACGGATAATGTCCAGTCATCTGTAGCTGTCCGTGGCTGTATCTCGGGGGATGAAGCTCGTTTGCAATGACTAGAAATGCTCTGGGACCAACCGTCACACAGCCATGCATATGGACTCGGATCCTGGTTGGTGTTGAAGAGCGGACTGAAAACGGGATTCTCGTAGACAAAGGAATATGTATCGTTCTCCTTGATATCATCGGTAACGACCCATAATTTCTTATAAGCTGTTTGAAATGTCACTCCAAAAGCGTCGATGCAGCCGCTATTATTCAGACGAGTCAGGCTCCCGTTTCTTGCCGCAGAGTAGAGTTCCTGGAACGAAGAGTCCATTCCCCATTGCCCACTGGGATAGATGAGACTAAGGCTGGAAAGGTTTTTCTGGGCCAGAGAGCTGGGTCCGGCGAAAATATCGTAGGCTGTAGCTGATGTAGTGGAGTAGATGGCCGAGTTGTACCTATAACATCAGTTTGGTGACTGTTTGATCTAGATACGTTGTGGGGGGATGTACATGAGATGAAATGGGAGAGATGAGAATGCCAGGCATAACCATAGACAGAGACGTTTACCGGGGATATTCGATAGGTTGTGAACACTAGGCACGCCAATATCAAACCAATGACCCTTTGGATGTCGTCGGTCTATATTCTGCCGTGTTGGTGCAGCTAAACATTGCTATAAAGCCTTATTAGCTCTGCCCCAAAAACGTTCAAGCAAGAAGGAAGATCAATTTCCCCTACCATTCCAAAGTTACTGGCACTCAGCAAGGCAGTGCTCAGCACGTTGATTAACAAGTGGAACCCGATGCTGAGGTGGTGCACTGTATCACACTCTCCCTCGTACAAGATTGTACTCAATTGGTGCTTTATCGTTTCCCGATAGGCGTCTTGGTTTTTGACGGAATAAAGATCGATGGCATCATGCTTAGGATGCACGACGCAGTAGAGTAGAAACCCGATATTGAAGAATAGAACGACCAGGCTTGCTATAAAGGCGCAAAATATAGTAAACTTCCAGCCTTCGAATCGGCGCTCACTAACGCGGGATATGAGTCTGCTTCTCTGTTTTTGTGTCGCTTCCTTTTCAAGATCCTCCTCGGGCTTGAGCAGTGGATCGGATATCTTAAATTGATTGCGAATCGGCATTAATTCAGTAGCATCATGTTCAAGATCTGGACCATCCCTTTCCAGCATCGTTGTATTTAGAAGCTGTTCTGGAAAGCGAAAACTAGGCGCTTAACTTGAAACAACGCTTCTCGCGGAATCAAAAGAGCAAGAAAGTGGGTAAAATACGTGAGATTCAGCTCTTGGGGCGGTCTCCATTAATAACGGGTTGATTTAAACCTCAAGTCCAGATTTGACAGGGATTCTATGATAGTGCGTTTTATGTGATTCCCAAATTTTTACCCCAAGGGCAATTTTAAAGTGATAAATACGAGTGAACGGGTTAAGCTTGCGAGACTAGCCCCTAATGACGGCTGATGCTTTGGGGGCCATGCATTAGTTTATGAACTCCCAATCAGGGGGCAAGGAATTTGGCCCGCGCTAGAGCTGTCCAATATGCAAACGCGGTTTAGGAAATGAGATGTATGCTAGTCTATTAGCTCACGTTTAAAGGGTCTGCAGACCCTAGTTGTATGAAGGGGCCAAGAGTCCCTGTCAGGGAGCCAATCGAGTTCCTTAGGATGGCATATTTCCTTTCTAAACTCATGGTCTGGTTCCTGACAAGTTCAATTTTATTCTGGCGCTATTAATTTTCATAAAGTCTCTTGATATGAAGCTATTCATAACATCCTTTCCCAGTGGCCCAGGGCATCTTAATCCGATTCCACGAGGCGGGGGCTCAGTGGGCAGTGGGGGCTTATTCGCCCGTGGCTTAGCAGAATGACGCTAGGATCTTGGAATGGCTTCATGGGTTTAAGTACCGTTAAAGAGTTGTTGTTATGGTAATGTTTATTGATGAAGTTTCCAGGGTAAATCCATTAGCAGAATGTGGTAGCGCTAGTATAGCTGCTACTTGTCAGCCTTTGAGTCCTAGGGATGTTTTCTTCTGGCCTTGCGGAAGATGTTGAAAATTGGTTATTGATTGTTATTTTGAGACAGGGTCTGATATTGGGCAAGCAATCTTCACTGCCGATGAGGCCATACTACTGCAATTGAGGAAGACGGATGCGTAGAGATGTTGCTCTCGTCTATATCGATGTATTTATTCCTTCCCTCACTTCTATTGTGACATAAAATGTGTTCATTTTACAAACCGTCTGCAGGCCCCGGACCCCGTTCCGGGTCGGTCTCGCAGAATAATTGAGTCGCGTACGGCTTAATCTTATTCATTAAACGACCCCCTCTAAAACCCCCCGATCACGCTGGTCACTTTGCTTTCGCTTAGTAGTAGAAGGAGTTAAAGTAGGGGTAGTAGAAGTAGTAGTAGTAGGTAACCAATCTACCAACTAATGTGCTAACTAATCTACTCACTATGGAGCTAGTAGAGATAGTAGGGGCAGTAGTGGCAGTAGGGATATCTTAATAATACCTAAAATCTAAGATTCTCAAAAATACCATATGGATCACGGACCTGACGCTAAAAAGGAACCGATCAATCATATCGAATCAAGCGTCAAGTTTGACAATATATTGCTCTGCTTCGCTCCGCAATGATAAACATGACTTCTAGTTGTATTTTGATACATCCGTTTTCGCTGGCTGTCTACATGCAAAACCTGTAAAAGTCCATCTTTCCTGGGGTATACCCTCGCTGCCCGATAAACATTTTTCAATAGACATTATATCACATCATGTCATGCCATTTCCCTTGTAGATACTTCACCGCTGGAGCGTCCACACCTTCACGCTGCCATCATCTGCGCTTGTCACAAGAACCTCTTCCTCCTGGCCATCCGTAGATCCACGATCTGCTCGCTTCGCCCAGGCAGCGTGGTTGATCTCATAGATACCGTGGGCGCCATCAACCACCGCAATAATCGACCACTCCGTCTTGACCGACGGCTTCGGCGTGGTTTCAGTGTCCATGGCATCCGCATCGGGTGCTGGGGCATTGACAAGCCGCTCCTCGTACAGCACAATTCGCCCATCAGCACCCACGGACGCGACGAGTCCGCTTCGGCGACTCCATGCAACTGCGTACACTGCCAGCTCGTGAGCATGCGGCAGCACGGCATCCTCTTCCCAAGTTTCGTCGGTTCCAGTAGGCCGGATAATACTCGGGATTCCGGTCGCCGCAGACGAGTTCAAGCCAGGTGCTCCGTTTTCTTTAGGCAATCGGCGCCAGACCCGCACAGTTCGGTCATCCGAGCAGGATAACAAACGAGGACCAGACAACGCACGCTGCTCGCGCCACTGGCTCACCAGGTCCGCGCTCTCATCTGGTGTAGAGGAAGAAGTTGACGGCACATTATCCACACTCTCCCAGTCCAGGAACCAAACCGTGCCGCCGTGCGCTTTGATACACGCCACTTGGCCCCAGTCATCCAAATCCTCGCGCCATACTCGGATCGTATCGTCGTAGCCTCCACTCGCAAGACACTCCTCTGCAGGATGCCAAGCAACACACTTCACATCACCGCCATGCTCTTGCATGACAGCCACCGTCTCAAAGTTGTTATCTCCGTCATCAAGGTCTTCCCAGATCCAGATTGACTTATCACGAGCACACGTCGCCAGCAACATCCCCGAAGCCGACCACGAGACGGATTTCACCTCGCTATCGTGTCCATCCAGTAACACCGCAAACCGCCATTCTTCGTCTTCCTCATCGTTCTCTGCGGCATTGCCATTGGATGCCAACGCATTGTCACCATCGGCATTGGCCCCGTTACCACCCCACCCCGCGCTGCCGCCTTCCGCCCGCCCATAGCTATCCCACCGTCGCCAAACGCCGACTGTGGCGTCGAAGGAGCCCGTTGCGAGCACGCTTTCGCCGTTCACGTGGGGCTTCCAGGCGGCAGTGCGTACGCTGCGCTTATGACCGCCTGTAATTGTGGAGAGTAGCTTGAAGTTTGTGAGAGAGTATACTCGCACGGTTTTGTCGGAGCTGCAGGTTGCGACGATGGGGAGGGTGGGGTGCGGGGCTGTGAGCCATGCTCGTTCAAGGGAGGGTGGTGTGAGGTCTGAGAGGAGGGTGAGGGCTGGCTTGGTGGCCATGGTGGGCGTTTTGGAGATGCAGGAGGTATTCGCTCCTGCTTAGGGTGGTGGTGGAGGGGGGAATTTGAGGTGAGGGTGGTCGGGTTAAGGATGTGGATGTGGGGTGGATGAAGGTTGATAAGATAGCGGATATGCTTAGTTATGTCATTATCGTATCTACTGGAAGATAAGGTGGTTCAACGTAAATCAATAAGTTCAAAATTGAATCTGTTGCATCTGTCCAAACTCCTGAACCTCATGTCATGGTCTCAAAGTACAAGCAATTCATCCATTCCCATCCCAATCCTGAAGCCAGTCCTGCCAATCTGCGCATATTGCAAGCCTCCCGAGCAAAACAGATCAAATGCGATTGCGAGCTGTATGAAAGAAATGAACAAAACGTAGCACTAACACTAGCAATGAAAAAGGGGAGAAACAATTAACCCCCAAGGTCACGATATAATAATATAATTAGAATGCCTCGACGCCATTTACTGTGGGGGAACGCCTTCTTCACAGAGACGCTCATACACGCTGTTATGGCAGAGCCAATCGACCTCACGCACTTTCTCCAGCTCATCAACCAACTTGCCGACTTCGCTGACAAACTCCGGCATACCCGCAGCGGCGAGGCTCTGACTTGCGGTCGTGGTAGCTCGGACTCTCTCGGAGGCGCTTGATGCACTCAGGCGAGACAAGACATGGCTCCGCAGGCGGGAGAGAATGAGCTTGGCCACCGGGTCAGAGAAGCTTGGTGCAGAAGGCCCGTTGGCGGCAGGCGCGGCGGTCGACGGCTCGGAAGATGCATCCGCATGAACCTGCACCGCAGGCTGGGATGCAGCGGAAGAGCTTGCGGTAGCAACAGGTGTAAGAACTCGTCTAATTGTGGCCGCAAGCTGGGCACTGGCAGCCGGCGGCATGGGATGCGTCGACTCGAGGATGGAGTGCACTCGCTCTGCACTAATCTCGTTGAAGTTCAGAGACAGGATCCGATCGGCCTCTGGCTTCCACTGAGACCGTGCATCCCGCTTCAGCAAATTCTTGGCAGTCAGCAAGATGGACGCTGTCGCCACAATTTGGAACGCTTTCGCGTGTAGCCGCTCAAGTCGCTGCTGGTCAAGCGCCAGCGTCTCCGGGATCAGATCCTCGGATACTATACCGTTGCTCAGGACCAGGTCCGCAAGACCGTGTGCATACACTCGGGACGCAGGGGGGCGAGGCTCTCCGTGTATATTCTCCGGGTCTCGCTTCTTCATTTCGTCGACAATAATCTTTCGATTGGTGCGCCAGAAACGTCGGGTCTTTCCAAGTGTGGTCGTACCATCCGCAACACCCTTGTCAAAGGTCCGCTGTTCATAACCTGGCGCCTCCTGGATAAGCTGTGGCGCGGCGACTTGGATCATGAAATTCGTGTGATCCAGTGACAGCAGGTCAATTATACTCATCAATCTCGCCAGTCGATCGATGGCGTCGCCAGAGGTATCCTCGGCGAATGCTTTGACGACTGGGTCTCGATATGGCGCGCAGAGGCGAGGCAAGATATTGTTCATGAAGCTGAAGAAATTCTCATAAGAGAATGAGCCCGCCTTGCACTGGCTCTCAACCAGCTTCGGGTCCAACACTTCGCTGATAAGGACGTAAAGGGAGTTGCCGGGTCGAAGTGAGCGTAGTAAACGGTCTTGGATCACAGTGGCCATGGCAACAGTCCAGCCAGTGCCATTCCCTGCTTCCACATCCCGTCTCATCTGTTCGCACATATGCTCCATAATTTGCCGTCTAGGATCCGTGTATGATGCCTCCTCTATCTTGTATTCTTTATTAAGCAGAAGCTCGTGTACCAAAACCCGATTCTCGGGAAGGGCAGTAAGAATCTTGGTAAATCGTTCATGTGGAGACGCGCGCTGCTTATCCAGCTCTTGGAGAACGGCGGCATCCACATTGTTAAAGGACTCGCTGATGGGGGATGTAACACTCTCGGTCAGGACGTCCGTCGACGAAGCTGCCGCTACTTCGGTAGAACGAGGAATGGCCTGCTTCGAGGCAGAGCGTTTCTTCTCTCGCTTGGCCCTCCTGAGAGACTGTCTGATCATCTCCATGGCTTTATCCGAGCCTGCAAGTCGCTTGAGCCGGGCTAGGAGAAGGATCTGATTTTGCCGAATGCCCTGACGATAATCATCAGCCGCGCCCCCGGCTTCGTCATCTTTCACTGTCTGCCAGATAAGTTCTAGTTCGACAAACTGCGCAAGCATAATTTCAATCAAAACGGTCGAGTCGTGAGACTTCCAGGCATGAAAGGCTGAGAAAAACACATTATACGATTCGCACAAAGACTGGAGATCCGCGGTTATCACAGTTGGTGAGCAACAACCAGACGAAAGCAACGCAGTGACCTGATCAAATACCACCAGAAGCTCACGCGCCTTGTTGATCAAGTCCTGCTCCTGTTCTCCATCACCGCTCAGAACCTCGGTCGGATGGGTGACAATTAAATAGCTGCTGAGAAAGGTGCGCACTGCGCCTCTCTCACCCATCGCCCCGCCCTCCATGTCTTGTAATCCGCACAGGCGGAGGACCTTGGTCATGGTATCCAGCACGGCCTTGTTCGAGAGAAGGGCTCCCACCTTCTCGAAAGACATTTCGCGAACTTGGCTGACTGACAGGTTCAATGAGCGGAATTCCTGCATCACAGCCTTTGCGTGGTGTGTTCTCCAGACTCGCTGGACCTTCCGAGCAGCAGCGTCCTGCGTCAAAGACTTGGTGACCGCTCGGGCCATTTTCTTCTCCTCCGCAGCCGGCAAGCTGCTTGTACGCTGGCGTCGATGAGTTTGCTGGTAAAGTACCCGTCGCTTCTCTGCCTCTGCAAATTTCTCGGCCATTTCAAGCCGGAGACGTGCGTGTTCAGCGGCCTGTTTCTCCCGCTGGTCCTCGGCCTTCTTCTTGGCTCGCTTGACTTGGTCCTCGCACTTGGCCGCAATGTCAGCCAGCAGACGCTCCCGGGCTTGTTGAGCTGCCAAAGCGCGCTCTTCGCTATGCAAATTTCTGGTTGCTGCCTTTGCCAGGGCGGCGCGCAGCCGCACCTTTTCGGCGTGTAGTGCGCGATCGGCTAGTCGGGCTTTGCGGGATTCGAGGATAGAGGTGCGCCGAAGATGCTGTGCAATATGATCCGTGCTCGTGGAGCCATTTGAAGATGCGTTGGAGTGGTGTGAGTGCAGCGAGGAAATAGAACTGCGTCGTGAAGAGGCCGCAGAGGAGCGCCGAACCTTGCTGTTTCGGCGGTAGAAGCGAGCGGCGATGTGCGGTGGGAGGGTAAGCGGAGGTGCCGGTTCCTCGGATGTCATTTCCACGTCAGGTTCGTTCACGGAGTCGGGAGAAAGGGGGGTTGGCCCCGCATCAGGGAGTTGGATCTCGATGTCGGAGTTACGACGCATCATCGTCGAGTCGAAGAGAGAGAGACGGGACCAGTGCGACACGCTGTAGGGGGAGCAAATGGGAGGAACGCGGCGGGGCAGCTCTGAACTGATAAGCGATTAGACGAGGCCGTGAACTCGGAGCGAAGGGCACTTTCGGACCAACCTGGTCTCTGTCGCGCTCTTTATAGAGTCAAGATCTCAAATGAGGAGGCAAGCAATCTGGAAGCCTGAAACTAAACGCGGAGGAGTATGCTCATAACAGGGCGGCGGCCGGGGTTGCGGAGGGATCCGTGCTTCGTTTCAGAATAAAGGAGAGGAATCATTCCATGTTGGAAGAAGGAGAAAGGAGAGAAGAGATAACCGAAGAAAATGAACGTTATTATTAGGCTTGCCCGTCCACGAAACCGGGCAGGCCTGACTGTTGATTGCTGATCCGATGGAATCGCATGGCCGCAAGCAGAAAGACGTCAACGATGCTTAGCTAAGCCCACGGCCGTGACATTTGGGGATGGCACTTGACCTTCTTGGGCACCAGCAGACTAACTTCTAGGCCTATTATGGTTTGGATATATTGGATCGGAGTCAAATATGCTATCGAAGGTTTGTATTTATTTATAATACCTACTTGGTTGCCTTGTCTGTGGTATCGAAGCCTAGCAGTTTAACCCTACGCAGCATCATCTCATGTATACATCTGCTGTCGGAGCTATAGAATACTCGAAGTAGCGTCACCAACATAATAACTGCAAGCGGAAACCCTCACATAATATTCGAGAACTAACCAATAAAATAAACTTATCCACGACACTCTAAGTCTCCTGACTTCCACCTTCCTGCCACCTCCACGGCGCCTGATACTTATTGGTCATGTGTGATCCTGCAGCAAGGCCCGCCCTCGCCTAATAAGGCCCGAGTTAAGGACTCAACCTTGAAGGACTTAAGGACTGAAAGATAAGGAACTCGGTCATCTATTTGGAAATCACCAGTCAACTTCTCGCTGCAAGGAGTTTGATTGTAGGCAACCCCCCTTCCAAAGATCTCCCCATCACACGTCCAATTGCCCCTTCTTCCTACCTGCCTTCGCCGCCATTCTTCCTCGTCTTTGTAATCCTTGCAGAACTTGCATAGCGCTAAATTAATTATGAGAAGCTTAAAAATTTTGTCTACAACCTTGTTCACAATGAAATTAAACTTCCTGTTTTGACATCCTCGTTCACGATCCCTCGTTCGCCCAGAAGGAGGATGATTCGAATTGCATCTTTCCAAACACTTTGCCAGGTCTCTCTCGGGACATGCTTTGCAAGAGTGATCAATGGAAATATCTTAGCATAATGTAGGATAATTCCAACAATGTCTCTACGTTTACTTCTTCAAGTCGACTCCGTCGAGGTTGAACCGAATATTGTGTCGCACGTAGTCGGTCGCGGTATAGCCCCATAGAGCCTTTTCACTTGGTCATTGATATATGATCATTGTAGGCTTCTTTGTCCCTATACATATCCTGCTTTAGAGTACACGCAGACCCACTCTCATCTGACCCTTTCCACCCCGGTTGGCTCTAAGATAGTAAGGGATATAGTTCAAATCCTTCGAGGACTTGGAAACTTCATCACTAGACTCGGCTACAATTTGGCCCTCCCAGGCTGACGTATCGAGTTCGCCCTTCACACCATTCTCAGCCACAATGGCGACATAAGAGTCTGGCTCAGATTGCGGCTCTTCTTTCAAAGTTGCGTTCAGGTCAAGAATCGTACGCTAGTCTCATGTCAGGATGTTTCATGTTTTCACAACACCCCCCTCAACTTATACATACCTTAAAATGCTGGTTCTCCCATGGGTGATCTATATCCTCGACACAGTAGACGATCGGGCCGCGTGTGACATATGCGACGGGCTGCATAGTTAAAGGATTAGGGCGAACGAATCGTGGCTTCATTGGGCAGGAGAGGCGGAATTTCGAGTTTTGTTGTAGCCACTCGGTACTGAGATGCAGGTAGCCATTTTCGATCTTGAGATTGTCGAGGCGAGGAGTAATCTGATTTGATCTTGATTAGTATCTGGATCTATGGCAAGCCTGGGTTCTACTCACCTCCCATGACGTTGCCCAACCAGGGATTCTCAGACGTAGCTCGAGATCAACGGGCGGTCCCTCGGTGCGAGTCTCAAATTCCACATCCCCATTCCATGGCCAGTCGGTCTTTTGAGTGACAGTCAGTGTTGAGTTGGAAACCTTGAGACTCAAAGTAGCGGAAGTATACATGTGCACATTGACCACCGCACTCTGCTGGCTTATAGCGTGAGTCCAGAAGTAACCTCCAAGGAAACCTAGAGTTCGAGTGACATTTGGTGGGCAACAAGCACACTCAAACCATTCATAACGCTCCGAGAGATCTTTATCTGAGGAGGCTAGCTGATTCACGTATGTGAAGGCTTTCCCATCCAGACTCATACCAGTAAGAACAGCATTGTACATGCATAGCTCCATGATATCAGCGTAGTGGCTGTTCAGTTCAATCTAATATATTGTCAGCGGTCGAAGCTTTTGCACCACGGGGTAAAACGCACACGTAGCAAGCGCTCAGCCAGCATCATAACTCCGATGGCGGCACATGTCTCTGCATAGCACCCGCCTTCGTCTGTGCCTTGAGGCAAGAAGTAGTCGATACCAAACCCTTCCCATTTCTTGATTGCACCAATTCCACCAGTAACATAAGACTTCTTCTCAACCATATTTGACCAAAGCTTATGGAGAGCTGGTAAGAACTTCGTCCCGGTTTCACTGGTAGGTTCATGAATGCGAACAAGATCTGTAACTGCTGTGAGGAGATACATCGCTCGAACCGAATGGCCCTCGATAGTTTCCTGCTCGGCGATTGGCTTATGGGCTTGTTGATACCAGTAGCTTCTTGCGGCTGGATAGCACATGGGCAGTTCATGTTCGTTTTCACCCCTCGCTTCCGCTTCCACGTCGTAGTAAGGGCGTTGCTCTTTGCCACCTTTTTGGTTGCCTCTTTCCTCAATGAAGAATTGCGCCAACTTCAGATGCTTTTGATCTCCTGTGACTTTGTACAAGCGCAGCAGAGCGAGCTCAATCTCCGGATGTCCTGGATACCCAGCCAGCTGGCCGTCCTGGTCTCCAAACGTAGTCACAAAAAGATCTACGTACTTGAGAATCGGAGACAGCAGCTCATCATTCTTGTAGTACAGGTGATGGGCAAGAGCAGCCTCAATGAGATGACCTGCATTATATCTAGATCGAACATTGTTAGTATAGTTCCGATGCAGGGTAGCGTATTCGCAATGACCTACAACTCATGCATATCCCGCAGGTTGGTAAACCTCTTGCCTGGTTCCACGACAGTGTAATGAATGTTCAAATATCCATCTGGCTGCTGCGCTCCTCGAATCATCTGCACTAGCTCTTTCACTGCGGCATCGATCTCCGAATCAAATGAGTCCATGAGCAAGTAACAGGCTCCTTCAATCCACTTGGCGACGTCAGAGTCCCAAAATTGATGGTTTGGAACCGGATAGACGGTGGGAGGATCATCGTAGCTTGGATGCCACTTCAGCTTGAACGCATCATAGCGGCCAGTCTCCTTGAGCATTTTCAGCTGGTGCCGCAGGGTCTGGCTTCGCACGACTTCACGCCGGCGCGCCCAGAAGGACCCTGGCGTAAAGGTTGTGCCGACAAAGCTCTCCTGAGGATATTCCATGGCTGATTCCAAAGCTCAAGTCTCAGTCTAGAGAATTCCGATATGCGAATGTACTTTTTAAACCTATGGAGCAGATCGTAGCCCTTATAGCACTATCGAAGATCGGGGACTCTCCTATCCCGAAATTATCTTCAAATCGGAGTTTGAGCGAACAGTATCCCACATGTTCCGGCTTTCTCTCGAGTTGAAAAAGCATTCGGGAGGAGACTCAGCCGATCGTGTCACTGCAGCCTCCGAAGCGGGATGTCCAGTGGGATGCCCGAAGAGCCAACACTCCGGCGGAGGCGCTCCGGCGGGGTGAAGCCCACCGAAGATGAGTGAATGGCCCTGAAAGCCGAACTCACGTACCACGGTAGATGCAAACTAGTGTTTTCAGGCTAACTGGAGTTTTGTATTAACGGCAATGCGCCGAGGACCCCGCATATTTCGACGCTTAGCTCCTGAGTGGCAGGACCACGGTCAGCCGTTATGTACAGCCATATATAATGGATTCCGAAAGCTTAAACCCCTAGGTAACTAAGCTTCTAAATTATCTTATTAGTTATTAAATCGAGAGATCTTACTAGGGATCTCTAAAAAGATGATTAGAAATATATTCTAAAAGGCCATTAGCGTGCCTAGCTAGGCCTAGGTCGTGTTTCAGAGAACTGAACTTTCACGAACATACAGAAGGACGGATATATCGAATATACTAGATGCTACTTGTCAGTTTCGGCCCTAATTAGACTTAGAATCGTAGTATCACTGGAGCTTTTTCGTAGTGCTACGAGTATGATCCTATATGATCCCCAATACTATTCAAGGCTCCTCAATCATCAACTCAATTCCTAAGGCTACTAAAGTATATCGAAAAAATGATTTCCATTTCGCCGTAATGCTAACGCTTCTAGATGAGAGATATGCAGGCGCCATGCCAAGGAAGGCAGGCTTTTCTAAATGCAAAGAATTGGACAGAAACGTCCAAGTGGCCATTCAACAGCTGGGAAGCTCGAACGACAGAGGGGATTTCCAGTATGGGAGCGATATTTCAAAGACATCACCAAGATGCATCTTTGACGGACTACCCGAACTGCCCTTGAAAGTCAAGCATAGCTGCTGTGTGGCCTCTGGTCCTAGAGAAGGTGCTGCGAGTCTTGTGAGGTGTTTGCAGAGAGAATAGTCCACGCTCCCACGCTTGCTTGATGTTCAGAAGCTCTTTCCTTGAGAACACGAGGTTGAGGGCAGATCGTAAGCATGGGAAGATGAAACTGCATTGCAAGGCACAGGGTGCAGCCAGGCTGCTCGGTGTGAGAGAGCCGCGAGTGGAGCGAGAGGACGACCAAAGCGCCCGTAAATGGACCCCAGTTGTAAAAAGGATCAAGCCATTCCGACTCGCTCGCTGCATTATTTCGCAGACATGTCTGGTCCATGGGCTGTGAAGAAAAAATTCGGGCGTTGGGGAGGGTGAACGGGTGCGATCATCGATGGCCAAAAAGGTCGATATATTCCCCTCCGTCGTCATCGTCATCCTCGTCATTCTCTTCTTCATCTGTGTCTGAAGAGTCTGAAGACTCCACGTCATCGTCTTCTTCGTCATCCTCATCCTCATCAATTGCTGATGAGGCGGCCTCGGCGGTTGTCGCATCACCTGCCAGGAATCCATATCGATCACGAAGCTTTTTGCTCAGGAAATTCAATGCGCCGTACTCCGTTTCACCTTCAGTGCGGGATGCGCCACCGAAGAAAGGCAACGAGGACGGCTTCTCCGACTCACGCTCAGTGGGTAAACCAAAGTAATTGCTAACCACCGGCGAAATGGCACGCCCATGAGTCATATTATAAGAGACAAACCGCCTGTCATCGCCAGCGCCGACAGATAACGGAACGCTCAAGCGTGAAGAAGCAGGATTTGTGTTAAGATGCAACGCTGCCAATGAGGTTGCAGGTTCCCCGTCCGGGTTTAAAGATGCTGAGCGCGGGCGAGACGCGAGTTCTCCGACGCCTTCCTCCTCGAGCACTTCAGTAATGTCTCCCCCTTGCAGAACCCGAAGTTGCGCGGTATTATATGATTCACACCTGCATATGTCAGTGTTCGGCTCGTCAATAAGAACTCATTTGGTACTCACAGGTCACATTTCAAGCCCAACCAGTGGTACTTGACGACGGATTTGGCCCCACAATCATTACAATATATGAGACCTTTCGTGTCCTTAAATGCAGCGGGCATCGGTTGGCTCTCGATCGTGCGATCCAGATTTCTGAAGGTCGACTCCATGTTCGTTATAGTCTTGCTGCAGATTGGACAGCGGAACGATGTTTTTGAATACTCCGAGAGACACTTGTGATGAAGACTATGTCCACATCGCATCACGACCACGGTTTCTGGAGAGGTGAACATGTAATCTCCGCAAATGGGACAATCGCACTGGGTTGATCTTTCAATGCATCTATGAGTGTCTTCGATTGAGATAGGCAAGCAAACGGAGCATGTCTAGGTATTGTTAGTACTGGGATCATGTATTTCAAGGAGCTCATGGTTGGAATTTACCTTGCAGTGGAAGAAATCCTTTCCGAGTCCCTGACCAATTCGACAAATCCCACAGTCGTAACAGTGATATATGCTCTTCTTGCTGTCATTGTCCCAGAGCTTACAAATATCGCAGTAGTACTGGGCAGTCTGCTCGTCGCACTGTCTGCAGTTCTGTGCCGCAGGCTGAGCATGTCCACACATCATACATAGCATATTCTCAGTGTCTCGGCGAATTAGAGGATGATCTTCGACAGCGTCGTGACAGAATCGGCAGGTGTACCATTTTTTGCAAGTATGGCACTGCAACTTGACATTTCGATGATAGTGCTGGCAACCTAAGATCGCTTCGTCGCATTCTTCCGTATCCGGATCCTCGTCGGCAGCATCAACAGCTTCAGCTACTGGCGATTCGGGCTCAACTTTTGGAACGTATGTTGGTCGTAAGTCATCGGGGGTAAGTGAGAACTGAGTTTCATATTGGGGGATCGACGTTGGAAATGTGGGGCTCGTCGGTGTTGGATCTGAAAGTTGTCTCATCTCCGAAGTGGGAGAACTAACGGGATGGCCTACACCCGGGGAGCTCAGCATTGGCGAAAGCATTGAGGGAGAGACTGGTGGTAAGGTTCGAGAAGAATTGTAGCTCTCTGTCATCAACTCGTGGACCATGCGGGCCTTCTCGTTATTGTTGAGGTCCAGATCCCGAATAGCGTGGATCTTCTTCCTTAGCCAACCCATTCCATCATCCGCTGGCAGTGACTTTTGGCCGAGTTCATCAATATTCAATGCACCGGTTGGTGATTGCCCGACGCCGTCCTGTCTCAGACCCATATCTGTGCCCAATGGCGGCGCCTGTTGCCCCAATGTCCCACCCTGCTCGGGTCTCTGTCCCTCCAAGGCCGCTGAAAGTACGGAGCTATCATTTCGCGTGATAGGGCCATTCGGGTGGGTGTTGGTCACCGGTATGGGTTGGTTGTCGGCAATTTGAGCATGATGAGGCGCTAGTCGACTGCCCTCCGGCTCTGGGATTCGGCCATCCATCTCTTTCGGTAAGGTTGTAAAGAAGGGAGGCGCAGGCAAATTTCCTGCATCTCCGCTGGTCTGATCTATTACCCCAAGATCTTTGCCAATCTCAAGACTCGAGGAATCACCGGTTTGGTTCGAAGGCGCGTACGTCTGTCCGTTCGATGAGGCCTCCGCTTCGGGTCGAGGTTGGAGGGTGCGGGGAAGGCGTGTGCGGAACCCGAGCTCAGTTAGAAGTGAGGTGATAAAGCTGCTCATGAAGGGCTGAGGTGAATCAGATTGAATGCAATCACAATCACCTTCAACCTCTTTCCTTGCAGTGGAGGAGACAGTCGAGAGGTGCGGAGGTCCAAGTTTGGCATGTGACGTCGGGCTGCTGAATCATCATCATCACATGCCCCCGCCATGGCCTTTGGAAGTATGAACCCAACTAAATTTACATGCGATTATTCACGGCGCCATGGAATTAGAGTCTGTTGGAGATTGAGCTCCAAATCTGGTAGTAAATGAAGCTGCTCAATGTATTGACAATTCTACTTTTGACTGGACTATCCTCCACAAATCACAGGCTTGCAGCAGACTGGAACCAATCCGATTACAGCTCCTTGGCTCTATAGATCCCTGGGGATAAGGCGAACTGCGTGGCAGAAAATAGCTCTGAGAGGTGGTAAAAACCGTGTGGACTGCAATTTGCAGATCCTCCCTAACTTATTGTTGGTGAACAGTGCGATGCGACAGAGGGTAGCAGGAGAATGACGATCTGCCCTGGACAGACGGTCAATCCGGGAGTCTCCCGTGAATCCAGGCGCAACGGAGGTAAGGCGACTAGATTGCAGAATAAGGGAGAGATTGATGCTCGATCCCCATTCCGGAAACCTGCCTCGTGGGTCTATACATCTCGGTGTCTGCCCAAACTGAAGTACGGAGGCCCAACGTAGGATTGAAGTGGTGGTGCGGCGAATCAGACGGGTATCATGCCACCATCACCTTTAATGTAAGGGTCCCATTTCACTTTAGACACGTCCCTAGGCTCTCGTTCAGGCGCTCCACTGTCAAATTAAGTTGGTCATAGGCACTTTTCCGCAGTTGGTGCTCTGCGTTGCCAAGTCCAAGGCTTCGTAGACTAATTCGCAAGTCAGCGATGTTCTCTCCACTTTCCATGCTAACAGGGTGTGACGGGCAACTTACATGCGACTCTCTTTGGCAATCTGCGGCAGTTCCCAATACCGAGATAGTAGCAAGTTCTTGAAAATCTTGTGTTCTAGACCCGTCATGTCGGCGGCGCGTTCAAGAAACCGGAGAGTGTTGGCGATTCTTGACGGGTTGAACTCCGCAGGTGGAGAAGCTCGAAAGGACGTCCGCAAGGTAGTTCGAAGGACATGCCGGCTCGGGGCCGCATATCTGATGGCCTTTAGACCTTGTCGGTAGAGATGACGGTATGCATGAACGATCTCTTGCTGGTTGACCAGCGGTCTGATCTGAGAAGCGCTCATGGTGGAGTAGTTGTTAGTTTGATCTGTTCCGTTTGGCTCGTCGGGCGGTGGCAGCTTCACTTTTCGTCGGCCTCAGGCAACGCTAGTCCCGTTCGAGACAGGTGACTTTGGGCCGCAATCGCTTCGTCTTCGCATTTCCCCCCACCTTACTTGGGATGCGAACCTGCAGTATTCGTGCTTTACTTGTCTTTTGTCGACCTGGCTCCAGTAGCTAATAAGACGTGTTCTTCTGCAACGTGCCGTGTTCCTCCATTCCCTTCGTGCCTCCCCTCGAGCCCTGAAGTACACCCACCCGTTGTACCCCAGTGAAACCCAACCCCAGGTTTATGAACTGACCGCTCCGTTCCTACGAATCTGCGCTCCTTCTCTCGACGTCTCCTCCTTCGAGCCACCCGCGCCGATTCAGAAAACATGTGTTGAAGAGAACTTGTTGCCGGGCTGCATCGAAAGCCGATTTACGAAGAAATGGCACGGGTCGTGAGGGGGGCCATGTCAGCTTCGGCTCGGCGCGCGCCCAGTCGCGCTGTCCAGAGGAGAGCTCGCAAGCATAAGGTGATCATGGAGACGGTCACTCAAGAGAAGAAAAAGCTACGGAGCGTGGTACGTGCTTGAGAATCAGCTTCGTACGGAACGATCACTAAACGGTCAACTATAGATCTGTTTTGAAGCCCAGGCACCCAGTGGTTATACATTCATCCCAGCGGGAAACCCGCTTCTGACCACATCTTGCAAGGAGCGTTGTCGAAAAGATGGGCTCCAGGTCTACGCGGTCTCGGTAAGACATATACATCTTCTCCTTCCCTTCTCCTCGCACGTTGCTCAACTCGACCAGACAACACCTCACATGGGCACACATAATCTATCTCAACATGTCCATAGGATAGGGTATCATTTCCCAAGCACAGTCGTCGCCGCAGCTTGCTCAGAGCTAGGCCTTTACCTTACAAGTGCTGGGAAAGCAGTCCCCTTCCACACACTTGGTACTCTACAAGAAAACCCCCAAACGAACCCCGAGGTCGATCAAATTACAATCAACACCGAAGCGAGAGATGCAATCAGGGACCTGTTCCCTAACATTCCTGACAACGATCTCAACCAGATTATCAAGACGGCTTTTCAAAAGGTGAGTCCGCTGAGAATATTCTATGAGGCGAATGGATGAGAAAGATCGGAGGTACCTGATATCTATATGTACGGTGTCAGGGTCAACGGAAAGTCGGCACAGCATCGGAGTTGCCTTTGGCTCGCAGAGCACAGCTGGCAGTGGTGGCACACATTCGCCACCTCTACACTGATTATGATCGCCTTTTGAAGCAGAAATCATTTCATGAAGCTAGGTCGGAGGTGGAGCAAGTGACCCTATCCAAAGTTATCGCATGGCGTGGAGACGATGAAAATGGACAGACCGCTCTTGAGGATGTCTTCCGCGAGGTTATCGTCATATCGGATGACGATGACAGTGAAACAGAAGAGGAAGAAGGCCTTGTACCATCAGGTACTAGGGACCGCAGCATGGAGATTCTCTCGCGTAATGCCCGGACCCATGAGATTCAAACTCAACCGATCAGTGCCGTGCATTTCGCCACACAGGATCCATTGCGAGAGCAGTCTGAGGAAGCCCCGCCTGGATATCGGATTGTCACTAGGGTACCGGCCCAGAATGCCATCAACCGCCGTGGATTCAACAGATATCAAGCCTGGAATCGCGCACTGAATCGGTATCGAGCCGAAGCCAACGGTACTGGACAGATCCCTGTCAGCAGTGCTACGTCCGGTGAAAAGCAGAGTCCGCGGTATGGGAAACGTCCTGTTGTTATTCATGATATGCCAGATCCCCCCAGACGACGAGAAGTTGCACTGCCTTCCATGGAGACCGTCCCCAGAGTTTTGTCAGGCCCCGTTTACGTTGATAATTCTGGACAGCGACTACTTGCCATGCCACCAACGGATCCCCCATCCGGGAGGAGCCATGTAGGTGCCCAAGAAAGACGCCCTCCTTTGGAGCCCCCAGCGATGGTTGCCCAATATGAATCCAGCGGGCGACCGCCACCACTAATCACACAGAAATCGCATGAAATTCGTCATTTGGATGCGGGAAACTATCCTGCTGCTAATGCTGGTTACTCTCAGGGTATATCATCATACCCGAACACAAGTTCTAGTGCTCGGTTGGAGAGGTTCCCCGTGTCACTCAACAATGGTGCCGATGCGCCGGTGTTTGTGAGCGGGCCGCAGGAGCTACACCACCCAACAAGGGATAGCCATTTTGGACCCCGGACTGATCTTACTGGTCCCTTTCATCCTAGGACAGGACCAAGTCGTGAGGACGCAATCCCTTCAATTGAATTGATGGAGTCACCTGTCCTCGCAGAAAAGCGCCGAGCAGATGGCCGCTTAGTGCATCTGACCAACAGGATGTCGCTTTGTTCCGTAACCCCCGGTCATTCTCAGAGTGAGACCTCCCGGCACGCTCATGCCATGGCCCCAGACAGCCCGGATGATCAGAGCTGCAAGAGGAGACGGCTGGCGCATTATGCTGCCGGCTCTGTAAACCCACGCCTCCATGACCGGAACGCAAGACCCACGGGGCATCCTATCCCCGAAGGACCGCGAGGACCATACCGCCGCGATGAGGTTATCCCGCCAGAGCCTCATACGCAGGACAGGTTTTATCTCCCTCGGGATCTTCCTTTGCTCGCAGAACAGCCTCTAGCTATAGGACACCCCCACCAGAGAACCGCCGCCCCTTTGGCTCCATCTCAGGTCAACGCGAATGTCAGGCCCCCTCTAGAGCGGACACGTATGACCGATCCCTATGGACCAATATCCATGCATTCATCCCAGCCAGGTCTCCCTGGATACAGCAGCACTGTTACCTCTAGTGATCGCGCCATCGGGCTACCGGCCGATGCTTCTTACTCGGAACTTCGTCCAGCTTACTATGAGGATCGTAGTCCCCGTTTGGACCGTGTGCGGCCGACAAACCCTGAAGAACAACGAGCGCCCATTTGGAGATCTCATACTGATGCCGAACATCCCGTGGTCCATTCTGCTCCCTCCAACGGGAAGCTGTACGCCGACGGCTTCGTTCGTCAGGTTGATTACCGTGAGGCTCGCCCAGTCCCAGTGGAATACTATCTTCCGCGGCCGAGGCACCAGCCACTCCCTCGTGTGGAAGAGGACCGTGGCCAACCGGCACGGACGAGGATTTCTGACCCCCATGCCCCTCAAGATCTACCTCACTCCCAGGGCCCGACAGAAAACCGTCACCCTCGAAGCCCACGGTCAGCGATAGTCTCTCACGGTCAGGCGCCTCGTCATCCCAATGCCGGATCTAGTCCCCGCGAATTTCATAGTAAACCCAGTGGCACTTCTCGTGACAGACGCCCTGGTAGCGGGCTTGGCGCACCGCGGTAAGCCCTCCGGGACTGTTGTCTCATGCTCACATAATTAGTGCAACTTCCTCTTGAACTAACATGATTGCAGACGTGTCCATGACCCACGATCCTTCCAAATGGTTGAGCAAAATCGTCCAATTTATGTGCAACGAGTCGAGTCGCAGCCACCATCGCAGTACACCGTCCCGGATGGACGGCCCGTTGTGATTGTGGATTAAGGAGCAAGAGAGATTGTGTTCAAGGCGTTGTGGGACTTTCCGGATGGGGATTGATGCATTTTTACGCACGCATTGTCTACGATACTATGATACCCAGCTGCCTATTCATGTTCTTAGAGTGCCTGTTATTATGATTCTATGATGCCAAGGTCAAGTTCATATGTTAATTCAAATACATTATTATCCTCCACTACAGCTATGTCTGTGTACCCTTGAATTATACAATATATTCTTAGGCTAAATCGAAATGTCTCGAAAAAAAAAGGTGTATCAAATGTCTCTCTTTAAGGAATGCGAAAGGTACATTGCGCTGCTAAGACCGTTCTTCTCCAGGAAGCACGCGATCAATCAAGTCTTCCAAGTAAATCTGAAGAATACAGCACCCTTCTAGAATAATTATTCCGACTGCCATGCACGACACTGTCTCTTTCTCATTCTCACTTCAAAGCTCCCTTCAGCCCCGTATAACCCAATAGTCATCTTAAACGCTCATAGTCTGTCCATCAGCCTCGCCACTATTCACCGTCTTGCCAGTCTTCTTGATCGCGGCCAGCACGGTATCGTACGAGACAGTAGGTTCGGTGGTGATATTCGCAGTCTGCGACTCGAGGCTGACATCGAAGGTTTTGACGCCTGTAAGACTTGAGCGTGAGCGACAGACATATTAAAAGGACAGCAACGGCGGATCGACGGGGGATCGACAAAAGGTTGAAGTCGGTCATTTTCGAGGGTATACACACCTTCCAGACGCTTCAGGATTCGCTCGACGGCGCCGGAGCAGCCGCCGCAGGTCATGGTCACATTGAACTTGTACTGGTGGTCGGACATGGCTGCGACGAGTGGGATTGTTGCAAGGGGGAAATGTTCCGCGGGGCTGCGGGGAGATTGAAAAAGGGCGGGAAGTTGGAAGTGGGCGAAGTAAGGAGTGGGGAAGATACAAGGATTATGAAGAGTAGGAGGGAGAGGTGATGAGACCAGCTGGCCTGTTTGATGTTATATAGATGGATATATAGTTTGTAGTCTTATTAGTACAGGGGTTTCTGCTTTAATAATGTTTACTCTTGTGTTTATCGATCGCATTCCGACGCAATTTGTCAGAAAACTAGTTCGAGCCATTTCCGCGATTGGCTCGACTTTCGACTAGTGCATTCATAGAGTTTATCGCATTCGCAGAGATCAGTCGCACGTCATTTCTTATTGAATTGGTGGTGGATATTTACTTTTTTTTATTGAAGGAACTATGTCGTATGTACAAGGTGTAATCAGTAATCACCGCAATAATCGCGCTCTGATTAACGCTAAAATCCCGCGGCCCGCCGCTTCTTCTTGGATTTCTGGCTCTTCTTCACTTCGCGTGCTCCGAACTGCCCGCGCTCCATTTGAGTCATCGGGAGTTCATCCAGAGTCGGTTGACTGCTCGGCAGTGGGAGCGCTGGGAGTGCATCTGCAGGCTGACTGCCCCAAGTTCGAATGGAGGGTGCAATGGGAGTGCCTGGCAGGGATGTAGCGTCGGGCATAGATGGCTGCTGCGATTTCCTTCGTGACCGGCTCCTTCGGGGTAGACTCGGTCCTCCTGTACGTCGTGCCTCTTCTTCCTCCAACATGTGTGAGGTCTTTTGCCATTCGTAGGCGGATGGATCGGCGCCTGGTTTCCAGTGAGATAGCAAGTTGGCCACATTCCGGGCCATAGGACGGGGCGCTTTAAACGTAGTGAATGCGGCTAGACCACGATAGGATGGTGTCAGGTTTTCCTTCGAGGAATTTCTTGATGGTGCTTGCGAGCTAGTTCCTCCCGTGACCGTCATCTGGCTGCTGGGCAGTTGTGAGGATGGCAAAATCTGGCTGAGATTCTGGGAAGACATTGGCTCATCTTCCACAGCTCGATTTACGTCTGTGGTTTCCGCTTCCTGCGGCACGTCGTTGGCACTTGTGTTGGATATCCGGACGATCTGTGATAGAAGGAGATCAAGTGCAATCCCACGAACGACTCTCTCTTTCATGACGCATGTAAATCGGGGGATTTCGTGCGAGACGCTAGTCACCCACTCCTCCACCAGTCGGTCGTACGTTTTCAGGAAATCCAAGCTTGAAGGTCCATCTGAGGAGCTGGATGGCATGCCAGGCAAGACATGTGAGAAATTCTGCGGCAGTATCATATATCGAAAGGGGGCCTGTTCATCAGGCGTCTCGGGAAGGATGGTAGAGACCAGACGTGCCAGATGGAAGGCGGTGTCATCAATATCCTCTAGCACCGGCCGGCCACGGTTCAGCTCAAGCCTGTATTGAATTATCATTAGTCCGTCCGAGTTGAAAATGTTGTTGCAGGCTACTTACATCGTTTCGGTTGAGACCCAGCCCGCCGAGCTGTCGGTAAGGTCATTCTCCCGATCGAGGATGAGCTGGTCAAAGGTAGATCCCAACGGATCAGAGTTGTCAGGACTTCTGCCAATAGCCAAGTTTGCCACAGCAGACGCGTAGATAGACGTCATGTCCAAAGTCCACTGGAGATCTATATCGGAATCACTGGAAAGCTTTTGGTGGATAGCCGCCAGGGGAGGTGCGACAGTCTCATCCCAGTCATCCACAATGAAGTTCTCATCACTCATGTCCGTTTTCTTTTTGGGGATATGGTGTCGCTTCTTCAGACGTAGGACCTTGCTGGTCTCAAGGTGCATCTCGTCCTCTTCCTCGGGCTTTCCATCCGGAAGCCTGAAAAGGCTCTCATGAACGGCAAGTGTTGAGTCAATCCAGAATAGCTTGGCGAGCTTCATGTCAGAATTGTAATGCGATTTACCCACTGTTGCAGGTGTGTGGCCGATTTCACGAAAGAGCAAGGTTGAGTAGTGGACAGGCGAGTCTTTCTCGACTAGTGACTCGTTGACTTGCAATGGTACATCTAACAGGAAGGGATCCGGCGCAGGTACTAACTCTGTGGGCTCGTCTGCTAGAAATGGACATGGGAAAACCTGAACAAGCTCGGTAAGCTTGGAATACAGGACCATATGCAATTCTAGTTCATTTAGTATACGCTCAAGAACCAACAGTCATATTGAAAGAGAGTTCACATACCTCCATTGATCAGCAGATCACTCAAACGTAGTGTTATGTCTTCAGAGTCTCGGAAATGGCGCCAGGCCTGTCGAGGCCGTATCGGCATTCTTGAACCGTACTCATTTGATGCTGCCGTAGTGAGATCAAACCAGAGTAGCCGAGACGTTGTCAGGACAAAAAAGTGAGACACATTCTGGGTACTTCGTTGTACATCAAGAATCCACTCGGACTGCCTTGTCATACCAAGTTCAACGATATTACTGTCACTTTCCCCATTCGCTAGCCGATACAGCATGAGGCAGCGTCGATCAGAGACTAAAAGGGTTGAGAAATCGGCAACCCATTCAATGGATGCCCAGCCATCATGTCGTGGGCGAGTGGAATCAGGCTTATCATCCGTCTGTGGCAAGGTGCCTTTCTTTGCACACGTAGCAGCCCAGGTGGCTCTTCGTCGTCGTTGTCTACCAGATATTTCCCAAATGCTCCAGTTGCCTCTGGTATCAACGATAGCGAGCTGTCTCGGATACCATGGGTTAAAGGTCACGTCAGCATGCGGGAAACCGCCAGTGTGCGAAATTGATATGTCCACTACGGGATTTGCATCGAGTCGCGAATTTCGAAGAGGCGCGGAGAATGCGGCCGTGTCATCGTCTGGGATGTACATGGGCACTGGATCTCGATGGTACAGAGGTCGGAATATTGTGGTCGTCTCTTGAAGACGCGCGGCCATCCATGTACTCTTCTCTTCTAATGGCCGCGCGAAGCAAATGTGCTGGATCGGGGCTCCTCGCTTGGACCATTCAGTAACCTCTGCATGGCCGATACATGGCACACGCAGTGCAGATCCTTCTGACGGTAGCTCTACAGGCTCATCCGTCAATACTCGAAATGAGATTGTGTTGCCGCACTCCCCGGTAACCGACGCCGCGATAGCGATTGGTACTCGACCTCTTGTGTCTTCCGCGCCATGATACGTTGCATACCCTAGATCGAGCAAAGAGGATACTTGTGGATCGCAGATATTGCTTGCATTAAGGACGACTTTGGAAAAGGCGTCATCTCGAAGAGAAGACCATTGAGAGGCAAGCTCCGGGAGAACGTGCGGGATGAGTTGCGAGTCTGCCGTTCGAATAGGTTTCGACGAGGTTTGTGACTGGGAGACAGGATCAGGTGGCGGTACAGTCGTCTTTGTAACTCCAGTATATGAGATCGGAATATCTCTGGCGAAAGATCGCGAAAAGGACCACGTTTGTGTCTCGGGAAGGTAGATAGCTCTTCCTACGTGCCCATAGTGGAGAGCACTCTCGGGATGTTCATCCATCGGATCTTGCTTTGCTCCTTGCAGTATGCGCAAGACCGGACCGGAGCATGTCGAGAAGAATCTCGAGACCCCAACCGCGCTAAAGCAATCCGAACGTCGCAAAAGACGAGTATGCTTATCGCATCTCTGACGTGGAGGTTGATCAGGTTGAAAGTCCGAAAGTTTTTTGATTGCTTATCGATAAGCCCGCTTTCTGCGCCCGTTGCGCCGCAACCCAAAACACCCGCCGATCCCAGCGCGTCAACTTCCTTCTTGTCAGTTGTTACCCACCACGTCGCAGATTTCGCGCATCGGACTTCCTGTATTGACACCATTGATACTATACCTGCGGTGATACCTAGTCATGGCTGCTTCATTTGAGCCCTCCCTCTCAACGAGTGGCATGCGCCCTCCCCTCGCCTCGGCCGATGCCCCCTCCATGGCCGACTCGCTGCCCAGCATCAATTTTGGATTCGAAGACCTACGCAATCGCATGGCGCAGTTTACCGCCAAGTTTGACGCTTTCATTGAGCGAGGTCGCAAGCGGGTTCTGGAGGAGCGAAACCAATTTCACATCAATCTCGCCGAGCTACAAGGTATGGAAAAAGCGATTCTCGAGGCGCATCCCCCTAGCCCATTAGCTAACTCAATATATAGAGGATGAGCGAATGCGCCAGCGAGATATTGAAATTACCAATTTGAAGGTCCAGACCCACGAACAAACCCTTCAAAAGGAGGCCGCCGAGGCAGCTGAAATGCACGCCGCGATCTCCTCCATCACCATGGAGCGTGATGCCCGACTCGCCAAGCGCGACCGCCTCAAGCAGCAGATCGCAGAAACGCAAAAGGCGATCAACCAGAAGTTGGAGGCACAAAAGACACATGCAAAGCACCTGGATGCGCAATCTCGACTCAATTTCCCCGAGTTGGAATTTTGGCAGGATTACCTTTGTTTACGGATTGAGGGTGCTGGTCGTGAGGACCGATTGAAGTTTGTTTACAGTCACCTACTGGAGAAAGATTGGGAGTCAGAAGCCTGGTTTGAACTGGGCACTGCCAGTCGTGACTACGAGGTGTTCCACACGAAGCCCAGGGTAGATAGGGACGCCTTGGAGCGTGAGGTGGATTTGGTCAACGATGACCGAGATTTTGGAGCATTCCTCAAGCGGATGCGCAAGTTGTTTATGGAGACGATGAACTGAATTTGGGTGTATCTGGTTGTAAAGATATCTTTGTTATGACATTCATGAGGTAAATTAATGCACAGGGATCATTGTGTTCATTGAGGTCATCAAACAGTACGTAGACCAGCGCAGGCACCGAGGCGATATTGTTAAACCCGTGCTCAACCGCCAGTAGCCTCACGGTAGAAGGCGACACTCCGATTGGCACCTCCGGTAGCAAAGCTTTCGGACCGAGCAGTCTTGGGAAGCCACTTGACACTCCACACTGCCTTTTCAGTCTCGGAGTGTGTAGCAACGCACATCTTGGTATCAATTGACCAGACCTTGACCTTGCCATCGAAGGCACTGCCAAGCTGGTTAGTATTCTATTTCATTCACCATTACAAATCTATAGTCACTCACCTGCTCAGAAGGTACTCGCCTGAGCTGCTCCATGAAAGAGACAGGACCCAGGCCGCGTGGCCGGAGAGATTGGCAATCTGTTCACCAGAAGAAGTGTCGTAGAGGACGATAACTTTGGAATCTCCAGCTGCCGCAAGAATCTTACCGCCGGGAGAGAAAGCCACGGCGCGCACGGGCTTTACCAGGCCTATATGTCTTGTTAGATTTGGCGGGGTCATGGACGGCGAAGTGGAGCGCACCTGATAGAGAGAATGGCATGCGGCCAGTGTCGGTTAAGAAGATATAGACAGCGCCGTTTTCATGGCCACTGGCAATGAATCGGCCATCGGCAGACTGGAAATGTCAGCAGAAGTCAAGGCTCAGCAATGCCAGAGAGGGCCTACCAAGTCGATGCATGTGCCGAAGCTGCCCTTGGTTTCATGGTCTCGTATTTGGGCACCTCCTCCATTAAGGTCCCATACACCAACACGACCACTCTCCGAGACACCTGCAAGATACTGGCCATCTCCTGACAAGGCAATGGCCCACGGATGAACATCTTTGACGAAGGCTGTCGAGTTCTGATTAGCACTGATGATACCCCTCCTCATGGGCGTGGAAGTCTGTTATGTACCTGTAGTCGCGGCATCTGCCGACCAGTAGCTCTCGATGCAGGACCAGACCTTGAGATTCCCGTCGAATCCAGCACTGATGGCGCGAGAACCATTGGCATCGGTCACGATGTGGTGGCAGCCCAGTGGGTGAGCTGCATCGATGGATTGGACCAGCGGAAACTCTGTATCAGTAGTCGAATGAACTTTGATTGATGGTGCCCCCGACACGGACAGAACTTGCTTCTCGGTCACTGCCAGGGAGAAAATGTCGACCGGGTGCGCTGGGCCTCGGTCAGCTTATATCAGTTGAGTTTGAGATCTTGTCAACCCACCATTGTCGGCTGAGCCCCACGCAAGGTATTGTCTCGACTAGGCGGGGTTAGCAGTGATGCGGGCTCATGGGGGTTTCTATTTGGACAATACCATGCTGGGTGCGGTCTCAACTTGGAGAAGAGTTGTTCCAGATCCAGAGTGCAACCGCCCTGTTCTGTTATGACGTTGGGAACCCGCGACTTCGGCGAAGCTGTGGTTCCGCCTTCGCGCCTCAGGCGAACATTGAAGATGCTGAACAAAGACGACTCTACAACTCTACGAGTTTACCAGTAGATCGAGAATTGCTTTATGTTCAGTAGTGCAATCTTACTCCCAAGGTATAATTGAATAGAAATAAAATTTTCAAATGGGTCATTACGACCAGTATATTGAACATAGCGAATTCACGCTTTTTTTTCCCACGTAACCAGACGCCAGATGCCATGCAGCAGATATATCCACAACTAATTCCTAGAAATACACAATGCGCTTCGTGTCTCCTCCATCAAGGCCACTCTAACCGGCCTGTCGATAAGGAGACGAGAAGGCACGCTCCTGTTTAATGTTCGGTCGCAACTCATGCGGCTTGCGCCGACTTCCAGGACTGCTTGATATCTAGAAGAGAAACAGTTAGCTTTCCGAAAGCTCGCAAGAAGTCCAGGCACGGTATCCTCCGGAGATCGCCAACTCGACATCTTTCAGATAGATCAATGCCGAGTGTGCCGACCTCTGCTTTGAAGGGAGAGGGATTCCTGTTGTACCTTTCACGCAGTGGGGACACAACACATGAGCCCGCTTGACCTGGCCGCAGCCGGGGCACTTGTTGAGGTTCTGTACATCCTTCAAGGCTTTGCCAGCCATTTGACGGTGGCGCTTCTTCATGTGCGAGGTCTTCTTCTTGGGAACGGCGCGCAGCACAGACTCCCAGAGGTCGGCGAGAAGCGGAGGAATGGTGATGGAGATGGGCAGGGAGAAAGCGGCGGTCGAGAGGAAGCCGAGAGGAGGCAATTGGGGCAGAGCCCGTCGGAGAGGAAGAGAGAGGGCCATTGTTCGACTCAACACAGAGCTGATCGTGGAGGCGAAAGTGGTGGAGATGCGGAGAAATCGACTGAAGCTTTTGAAGGTCGAGCCTGCCTCTTTTGGGCCAACTCGTTTTGCACAGTTCGGGGAGAGTCACGCTAGTCCTAATTGGGAATAGCGCCACCCCTGAGTTCGATAGGGAAATAACAACGCCGAACTTAAGGGGCTCTCCAAGCATCTTCACCTTGGGGAATTAGTTCACCTGTGCTGGTTTCGGTCTTGGTCCTTTTCTCATCTCACCTTCTCCTCCGTCGATCTTCAATCCCCCCAACCTCCAAACATGGCCGCCGCTACCAGCGCTGCTTCGGCTCAGCAGCCCACCGTCTTCCCCCACAGCCACGTCGGTTTCGACAGCATCACCTCCCAGATTGAGCGGAAGCTGTTGAAGCGTGGTTTCCAGTTCAATGTCATGTGTGTTGGTATGTATGCATCCATTTGGTGGCTCTGAGATCTCAAACTGACTTGGCTTTCTTCCCCTTGCTTCTAGGACAAACTGGCCTGGGTAAATCCACTCTGGTCAACACCATCTTCGCATCCCACCTGATCGACTCCAAGGGTCGTCTTACCCCCAACGAGCCCGTGCGCTCCACTACCGAGATCCAGACTGTTTCGCACAGTACGTGTACCCCGTGAAGAAAGCTTGGGACGCGATTGGGAGATTGCAATTGCTGACGACGTGGCGATAGTCATTGAGGAGAACGGTGTCCGCCTCCGCCTGAACATTGTCGACACACCTGGCTACGGTGACCAGGTCAACAATGACCGCTGGTACGAGTACACCCCGGATATTCTTTGATCTTATTCGGATGCGAGTCCGATTCTTATAGATTGGAACTGACGTGGCATTAGCTGGGACCCCATTGTCAAGTACATCAAGGATCAGCACTCCGCATACCTTCGCAAGGAGCTCACTGCTCAGCGTGAGCGCTACATTCAAGATACCCGTATCCACTGCTGCTTGTTCTTCATCCAGCCCTCAGGCCATGCGTGAGTCTTGCATTGCTTTCTCAATCGGCACACTGTAACTGCCATTGATTAGACAGCATGTACTAACGAGTCCTCTGCACTCTTCAGTCTCAAGCCCATCGATATCGTTGTCCTGAAGAAGCTGTCCGATGTCGTCAATGTCGTTCCCGTTATCGCCAAGGCCGACTCCCTCACCCTCGACGAGCGCCAGGCTTTCAAGGAGCGTATCAAGGAGGAGTTCGCTTTCCACAACCTGAAGATGTACCCCTACGATAACGACGAGCTGGACGATGAGGAGCGTGCCATCAACGCTCAGATTAAGGTATGTGATGATACCCCGCAAATTCGTTTCTTCCTATCGTCCGTGTCTAACTCTTCCCCGCACAGGACATTATCCCCTTCTCCGTCGTCGGCAGTGAGAAGACCATCGTTGTCAACGGCAAGCAGGTTCGCGGCCGCCAGAACCGCTGGGGTGTCATCAACGTCGAGGACGAGACCCACTGCGAGTTCGTCTACCTGCGCAACTTCCTGACCCGCACCCACCTCCAGGATCTGGTCGAGACTACCAGCCAAATCCACTACGAGACCTTCCGTGCTAAGCAGCTGTTGGCTCTGAAGGAGAGCAGCGCCGCCGGTGGCCACTCTGGTGGCAGCCGGCCCATCAGCCCCTCTGCGGACCGCGAGCTCAGCCGCAACTCCCAACGGGCGGCCATGAACGGCTACTAATTTCCCTCTTCCCCCCCCCCCCCCCCCTTCTCTTCGGATGGTGTTGCGGTCGTCTATGTTTTTTGTGGAGTGAGTGCTTCCTGATACACATTCGACGGTAGCAGACCTCCTCTCTCCCTCCACGGGCAAGGCTCTCATTTTCCCCTTCTCCGAAAATTTACTGTCCTTTCGACGCCAGCAGGCCCTTGCAGATATCCCCTTTTTTTTCCCTTGTGCGTCTCTTTCGTTTTTCGTCCTCCCTCAACATTTTTTGTATTAACTCGAAGAATTCGAAATACTCGAAATGCTTCGATTTTCATCGGGCTCCTTTTATTGTCTCTTTTTTCTCTAGGATTTTGTATTGCCGGGAAAAAGAGTCTGGCATCCAGCGCTCGTGCCATTTGGTCTTTTCCATGTACTTAGTTTCCTTAATTATCCCTGATGAGAAACTCTTATTCTTGGACGGTGTTTTTAGTTTGGCGGCCATGTGCTGACCCTGTGGTATGATTTGTATAATTGTGCAACATAATTTTCATTGGCTTGTTTCAGCCGAGTCTGTACGAGTATTCAAACGCTTGACAATACTATGTTCTATATGGGAAATCAAAGAACTACCTCTTTATTGCGGCGCACCGAAACGGCCACCGTCCACAACCCAGTCCCGCAGCTCGGTATAGGCCTTCTCCAGATCGTCGTTCACAACGATCTTGTCGTGCGCACCGGGCTGCTTGGAGAACGCCAGCTCGTTAACCGCCTGGTCCAGACGCTGGCGCAGACTGTCTGTATTTTCGAAAATGCAAGATTAGCGCATGAACATGATATATTGTGTGTTTCGATGTTCGCGGTGCATAAATACCTTCAGTCTCGGTTCCACGAGAACGCAGACGACGCTCCAATTCCTCCATGGAAGGAGGAGCAAGGAAAAGGAAACGAGCGTTGAGATCGCTGTTCTTCACTTGCTTGACTCCCTCCATCTCAATATCCAGAACACAGATGCGCTCCTTCTCGGCGACGGCCTTGACTGCTTGCTTAGATGTGCCGTAGAAGTTGCTACCGAATTGAGCTGTTATAGATGGTTAGTCCTGCCCTGTACATGTTGCGCGGAAACTATAAAGTGATGCGATGCCACATACCATGCTCGATGAAGCCGTTCTGAGCGACCAGCTCCAGGAAAGCCTCCTTAGTCACAAAGTTGTATCTTGACAGGTATTAGCACGCGATCAATGCTTCTCTTCTTTCTTGTTGTGATCCCTCACTCTCTGCCATCTTGCTCGCCGGGGCGGGGGGCCCGAGTAGTGTTGGACACGCTGAATCCGAAACGATCTTTATAATTCAATGCTATATTAGAAGTGTGATCGAGGACGAGTAGGGACAGGAACTGAATTGTTGTCGTACCAGGGTATTCCGCAAACAGGCGCTTGAGAAGTGTGGACTTTCCACAGCCCGAAGGGCCACTGATCACGACGGGGCGGAACTGGGCTATACACAATCATGCAATTAGTCTTGATTCTTGAGCTTGTTCGGACGGAAAGTGAGAGAGTGATGCATGGATAGGACGAGTAGGAGGGGTAAGTATGCGCCAGGGCGAAAAGGGGGGGCTAGAGATTCGTACCAGCGTTGGAAGCCATAGTAGAGACGAAGCGATTCGTATAAAGGAAAGGTCTTGAAGAAGCTGACAGGGCACGGAAAGCCGCCAAATGATTCATAAGAAAGTAATTGGCAAAAGTTGCGACAGAGCGAAAGCACAGAAAGTGAACTCCGGAAACGATTGTCCGGCAGAAATACAGGGCGGTGTGGATTGATGATAGCGCCCATCTCTATTGGAGGGCTATTTCTATACAAGACAGAGAGACAACAAATACAATAAACCACCCTGAATAAACACTCCACACAGTTGGAATGGTAGAAAAGAAAAAGACCGTGCGCGCTTGGCGCTATCGCTATGATTTCGCTGGTCCCGGATGACTTCCGCGTCTAATCGTGTTCCTGTCTCCAGCCTCTGCTTCTTGCTCAAGGAAATTGGACCACAGCTCGGCTAGTGTTTCCTTGCTGGATGCTCCGTTGTCCATGAACTCGGTAAGGTTCGGCGTGCTAGGTGTGCGTAAAGGTGTACCAGGGACTCGAAGCTTGCCCGGGATACTCGAGGTTCCTGGTCGAGCCAGACCTGCTTGCTCGCGTTGCTCTGTAAGGCGGGTTAGCAGACAGTAAGTGCAATGACTATCAGTAGCGAAACTTACCGTCGTCCCAACCCAACAGAGCTGCAATGAGCTGGAGAATTTGGAATTTCTTGGGATCTGACCGGTCGAGTGCAAGGAAATGCAGGAAATGGTTTGTTACAATTTGCCTAGAAACTCTAGTAGTTAGCAAGGACGTGTTCTCTCAAAATCAAGTGAAAAAAGTAGACTAGGAAGGATATCTCACCGGTCGACGTTATCTTCTGGCTTGCCCTTCTTCAAGAACCGCAGTGCCTTCGTTAAATGGTCATTCAACGTAACCGCTTCATGTCGTAGTTTGCCAATGAGGAGGTTCTTCTCTTTAACCTCCTTCTCGAATGGCCGCACTCGCTCCAGTTCCTCCTGAGCCGTAAGGAGGTTCTTATCAGCGCTCTTCGCTTGCTCCTGTGCTTCTCGCAAGGACTTCCGCAAATCTTCGAGCTGAGCATCGGAGGTCTCGACTAGTTCACGAAGCTCCTGTTTCCGTGCTAATTGAATTTCCTGCAGCGCCCGCTGGAGACCATCCACCGTGGATTGTTGACTATCGCGTTCGCCAGATGCCCGTTCATAGGCATCCCGCAGGTTGGCAAGCTGTTCCTCGAGATCGCCCACTTTCTCCGCTAGGTTCTCACGGACGGATCGCTCCTCCATGGCCAGCACCTCCCAATTATGCATCGCGTCCTTGGCCTGTTCGAACTCGGACTGGAGGTATCCATTCTGCTCCATTAGCTCCTCTTTCTCTTGAATCCAGTTTTGCTGAGACAAGTTCGTTCGATCTCGGAGGGTGGAAATCTCCTTGGTCTTTTGTGCCGATTCTTCGGACAGTTCTGCTAGTTCTGTAGACTTGGATTCCAGCTGCGACTTTAGTGTGGCGTTCTCATCCTCCAGTTCTTCAATCTGGGATCGCGCTTGAGCTAGTTCCTCCTATTTTGTGCACCGTGAGTATGGCTCCATTCAGGGAAGTATGGGGGATATCGTCACGCACCTCGTCCTCCTTAAGGCGCTCGCCTAGTTGCGACTTGATTGCATTCACCCGCTCCATGAGCTTCTGGAACTGCGTTTCAGCCTGTTCCTTCTTAGATTCCGCATCGTCCAATTTCTGCTGCAAGGCTTCCATGTCGGCGCGGTGTTTTGATTGTATTTCCTCCAAGGATTTGCGCATGTCGGTCACTTCGGCTCGGAGGGAGTCGCGGTCTCGAACGAGGGCATCGAAGCGATCTTTGGACTCGGCGTCGTCCGAGCCGGGCTTGTCGGCATGTTGTTCGGCTGTATGGTTCTCATCTGTATCTGGCTTGGTAGTATTGGTGTCTGCGGTCTCGACGGGGTCGCTGGGGTCCTCGGCGTCGTCCTAGAGTAGTCGCTTAGCAACGGTTGCAATGGCAGGGCGGGGGGTTAGCACCCACCTCAACGGGGCCATCGTGGTTCTCCGGGGTTTCTGTTTTTTCGGAGTCGGCCTGCTGGGCATTCTCCTTGGCCTTTGCGCTCTTCTTCTTGTTCTTCTTGGATTTCACGCCTGGACAGATTGAGCGGGGTGAGCGAGCAGGCAGGAGGAAATCAGGGGAGGGATAGGGCGAGGTTCTCCGTACCTTGAGCACCAGACGGGGGGTTATCTCCAGGCATAGTGGCCGCAGTGTGAATTGGACCCAGTCGGAGGAGGGGAAGTGGGAGAGACGGCGGGCTGGGGTTTCCTGGACGGTTTCCAACGTTCGCAAGTTCCAAGCTGTCAACACCTCCACTAGCGCGCGGGCTGGCCGTTCCGCCCGAGAATCACGATGATTAATCGAGATGGACAGCCTCTTTAATGGTCTCGATCTGCGATCTTCTGGGATGATAATCAGATAGTTAGTTTGATCAGGAGTCTAGATCATATTCCTCGCAGTTCAATTGGGGGTTATGCTTGGTATCCCTCGTCTCTTCTTCTCTTGTGGCTGGTCCAATTGCGGCCCCAGCCACATATCCGGAAAGTGTACAACACATAGTACACGTTTTATGAGGAGTTAGCTTCACGATAATAGATATTGAAAATGTGGCATTTGCCCTCTCTAGTCGAGGAAAGAAACGAACCTTCTAGCTCCTTCTAGTGGATGTTCAGATCAGACTCTTTATCACTTTGTGTGCTATAAATAGTATCTAGCAGTCGATAGTCGATAATCTACGATCTATAGTCTACGGGGATACGGAATACATAGTAAGTATATGGAACTCAATATATAATGATATAATGATATATAGTATGGCAAGTGCAAAATCGAGTTCCCCGTCCCCGGAAGACAAACCACATACTCATATTGACTATTTATTAGAATTTTAGAAATATTCCATGAACTCCGTCCTTCAGGTATGATGGCGATGGCAATCAGAGCAACTGCTCTGAGACGATAGCATACAGATAATCATTCGCCGCTCTCGAGCTTTTCAATCCACACTGTCCGTTTCATTGATTCCTTCGAGCATCCTTTGCTAAGAGTTTATGAACTTTGAGAATCTGGTGGGTGCTCACGTAGCTCGTTCTCGGTCTATAGTTAACTGTTCGTATAGTTCGCGTATTGCTGATGATTCTCCATTTTTTTTTATCTCAGTTCGGTCAGCCACAAGTGTCTATAAGGTTTATTATTTTTGAGGTTTTCACAATTCCGTAGTTTTCCCCAAATTTTTTAGTTTTGGGGCAGATTCTCGTGGAAAACAACTTTATTTCCTCTTCCTTTTCCAACTCCCCGTTCTCTCCATTGCCCTCTGCCGTCCAAACATTGCCCTCTCGGTTACATTATTGATCAAAATCCCAGAAGAATTAAGGTTTGCTCAAATTCGGCTTTTCCGTGCTTCGTTGCCGTGGAGAAACCCAATGGACAGTCATTCCGGCGCAATAGCCTTCTCTGGGAGCTTAGCCGGCATCGCGTCAGTGCGAAGCTTTCCAGCTGTTCTACTCTCATCCACCTCCCCGTTTCGTCTTACCTGCACCTGGCCCGCCACGGCATTGATGATGTTTTGAGATTCCGAAACGCATTCGCCGATCGACTCTGCTAAGCGACCTTCATGCCGCGGATGGTGGAGGAGAAGGTTTCGGAAGCTCTCTGAGGACTTTTCAACATTATATCCACATTCTACTATGCACGCTGGCGAGACAAGACATTCTGAAACGGGCTTCAACGGGTGATCTAGATGCAAGGCCGCCAGGTTAAATAATAAGAAAGCGCCAAAATCGGGACGATGATGGCTTGATGACCGGCAGTGTGGGGGACCAGAGAACATGCGAATGTGATATTGACCGCTAAATCTTTTTTTCTGGATCCTTCAAGTCCTTCGACATGACGAGGAGATGGAGCTAAAATTGTTACGCGGCCGGCATTTTAGATCCAGATCCAGCTTCAACTCCAGTTAGTATCGGCTGACTCCTGAATTGCCGAGCTCGCCTGTGCAAAGACTGTCCACCTGAGTCAGGAGCCAAGTCAACGGTCAATCCTCGGGCCAGACGATCATCTTTTGGAGCCGAAGCACCCGAAAAACAATCACGAACCATTGCCTCCATCTTGGACAAGGGCTAAAAGCCGGAGACGACTACTGTTTATGATCACAGGGCTGGCCCCAGTGACGGCGAAGCCCTAAGAGTGGCTAAGAAGCCTAAGGAGTGGCCTCCTCGGGAGGAGCCTCACGGCACAAATCCACCTAAAATGTCCACTGGACCGCGCATAACCACCGATGGTCTCCTCTTCCAGTGCTTCCACTTTCGTTCCATTCTGGATCCCCCCTGGCGGGCGCCAAAGGATCCCCACCCAACTGATGCGCCGGACCTGCTAGGCTTCTGGGGGGGTGTACACCTGCACCGTGCCCACTCGCGAGTCGGATTGGCCCTTCAATCTAAATTGCACTTAAGCGACGTGTCCGACCCTTGAACCCTATATCTCCGTGACGAATCAGCATGCCGTCTACGTGGTCTCGTCTCGATCCTCCCCGGCTAGCTCGATCCTAGCCGGAGCATGTCATTTTCTTCCGAAAAAACCGTTACGCCAAGGGCGCTGGCTGCATAATGAACGTTGTCCACCAGACGGGCGAGCCCGTTGGGTAAATTTGGCAATTGACAAACTACGGAGATACCCAGACGCCTTCTCTAGTAGTCTCTCTCCACTCTTCCTCCGGGTCCTTTCTGGAATTTTACTTTTTCAAAAAGAGATGACCTTGGACTTTTCATGGGTTTTCCGGACTCCCCGTTGGCTTCCTGACTCTCTTGGCTTATGTCCCATTTTCTCTGTGCTGCTAGTCAATTGGACTTTCTTTTGAGTTTTGAGTCCTTGTTTTACATTCTTTGAGGCGGCTCTCGTCATCTTTTCTTTCCCTAACCCGTGATTCCATCCGTTTCTCCGCGTATATATCCCATTCTACCACATGCCGTTGATACGACTCTATCATAATTTCTTCTAATACTCTTAACACCCCTGGCCCCTTCTGACTCGCTTCTTCCCTGTCGGTATGAAGTCCGACTACTATACCTAATCTTGTACAACGGATGACATTTAAGTTTATTAAACCCTCCCAATCCTCTTTTACCATCTTATTTCCTTTTTTTTTCCCGACTGTGACGACGTTTGGCATCTTCGGAGGGGGGCTTCTCCATCCAAGTCCACACCACCACCCCTTTCCCACTTATTCCCACCCCCTGCTCCACCTCGGCTCCGTTATTCATTATTTTATTTTTGCATTATTGTCTTATTTCCATGATTCAAATTGAAAAGATTCCCAACTCCCCCGTCTTGGTCGTGTGCAGAATTCCTTTCTCTATTTCCCACGTTCTTATCTTTCCTCCGCTTCGCCATCGACAACTTCTTTCCTCGCCCGTCAGCGGCGGTTCTCTCGTTTACAAATCTTCCGAGCTATCAACCTTCATTCCTTTTTTTCCTCTTTCCCTCACGCTAAGGATTTCTCTTTCTATCTTCCGCCATGTCAAAGGACTTAGCCGGTATCCGACAAGCGTTGGAACGTGCGCGGAACTGTGAGGATGGCACCGTGGACCCGCAAACCACCGCAATTCTCGAAGCCGCCATCACCGAACTATGGACGCGCATTCAAGCAGATCCGGATAGCTACGTGCTCAACCCGGATGAGTTCGCCCTCTTCAATTACTTTCTCGAACGCTACCGCGGCTCGACTGTCGCCCAGCGGGCTGTGGCGCGGTTTTGGAACAATTACCAGGGCTCCTCCCCCAATGCTGGAGCTAAGAAATAGTCCGGAACCACTTTGAATAAGAAAAAAGTGGTTCGCGATCTGCAACTGGGCTTGAACGGGGACTACGTCACATATCTCTTTTCTTTTGTTTGTTTTCCATATCTTCCAGTTCTCTCTCTCTGTCTCCCGTCTACACATGTCTACAACCTCTATTTTCTTTTCCCTGCCCTCCTCCATAGGTGGAGGGGGCAAGAGGAATCGAGGAAGCCAGGCAGCCAAGACTTGTCCATTACTTTCTCTGGACGTGGCTGGAACCAACCAGTCTGCATGATGCAAGCCCTGGCTACTGCCGCTCCCGCTGTTCGTGTATGCCGATGCAGTCCAAGACGAGAGAGCTGCAAGAAATTGGAGACAAACCCATGAACTGCCCCGCGCCCATGGAAATCCCTGTGACCACACCGACAATTTTGGGAAGAGCACGAGCAGCTTGGCCCCTCTCCAATGGAATATGGACCATGGACTACGGACTATGGGGAAAGCTACCCGGGGAAGAAGGCAGAGGTATGAACAAAAGGACCGAAGTAGAGACGACATAAGTAGCGAGAGGGATCCCCCCCTCTCTGGTTGGGTCGCTCCCCGGTTTGCCTGCTTGCCTCCTCCCCAACGATTTCCAACGAGTCACCTCCAAATTGGAGAAAGTGACCAATTGGGGAGAAGCATGATGCAAGACGTTTTGCGCTTCCTGCGGGAGTGGAGATGGTGCGGTCAGGGAAATTGGCCTGGATCCCTGCCCTCAGGTCGGGACTGCATGCATTTGGGCAGGGCATCTCCGCATTTAACATGCCACCCGAAGCCTTCTGATTGAATGGGTTTTTTTTACTATGAGGAAATAAATCAAATCCTCTGTCCAGCTGGAACTACTTGGTTGAGAACTCCTCTTTGAAGATCCCGAAGGGGGGGGGTTATATTTGCCCTTCTCATTTTGCATTTACATTTGCCTTGCCTGTTATTTTAATGGTCAGGCAGGAGACAAACCAAAAAGACCGACAGGATCAGTCATTGATTGGATGAACAGATATAGCTTAGCATGCTATTTCTGTCCTATTTTTATCCTTCTCCCTCTCCCGCGATTCATTTCACACTCTATCCTGTATTACTATACTACTATACCCTATACTACTTTATTATCTATACCATAACCCGGCATATACCTAATTTCAATCTGCGTTAGACTGCTTGTTAACTACTGGAGAGAGCCGCCGTATGACACACAGGCTGCACGGCCCCGTCAGCAATTCTCCGACTGGCTCGGCTCCGACGGGCTATTCCGCCGTGTATTGGTCTCTTTCTTCTTTTTTTAAAATTAATCATCCATTTGGTGCACTTAATCTATTGAACTTTACACTTGGCCCTTTAGGTTATTTAGTGTCGGTGGTCCCGTGGTGGGCGGATGACGCCGAGACGTTACAATGAACTATGGACGTTTAAGTATATAGAGGACGCTAGAGGGATTTCAATGATGACGGGATAACAAGCTAAAGTGAATACTATTCTCATTCTAGATTATTTAGCTTATTTGTGGTGTTTAAGGGCGAGTGGGGGGTTATGCCACTCGTGTCTTAGTTATGTTGGTCCTGCCTAGGATTCTCTGATTTCCCCATTGCTGAAGGCTTCAAGTTATGGATGGGCTGCAAGGCACGAGCCTTATAATAAAGGTAGTGTATGAGGTATGAAGATAAATAATATACCGCTAATGAATTCTGGTGAATTCTTATCAAAGTTGGAAACTCCAAAGAACGCCCATTGTCCGCTGTTCACTTTCCCCCAAAATGCATGACTGCTAATGATACAATTCAAACGCAGTTAGAAAACGCCCATGCTCTCATGCTTTACTGGAAACCAAAGACGCCATATGGTCATCCACCATGGAAAGAAATCAGGGACCACTCAGTACAGCGAGTTATCTACACAAGAGAAACTGCCCCCTCTCGCCCCGTCCCGTAGGTTGTGGAAGATGGACCGAGCCGATGAATAAACGCCAATCAAACACTACAGCAAGTCAATCTCTGCAAAAAGTTGGGGCAAAGGAATGGATGGAAACTCACAATGAGAAATCCCAGAAAAACCAAACCGATGTTGATGCAGAAAAAGATCATCTGATTCCTGGTCATGAACCAACGGTGTCGGTTTAAAAAGAGCCAGAACATGCCTGGCAGACCTAGGGTGAACCAGCTGGCAAACAGGGAGCTCTGATACACCGGTTAGTGGGCGATATCCTCGAGGTAGTCAGAAACTGATGAGTACATACCGCCAGACCTAGGACATCGTTGAAAACCGGAATCGCCTCTGCAAGGATCCATGACAAAATCCACATAACAACACAAATGCCTACCCATGACGCTCGAGCCCGGCATGTTTGGGCATGTATCGCTTTTGACCCCCGGAATATGTGAACATACATGTACTTCGCTCCCACGTGGGCGTTGACAACACCTCCGATAACGATCTACCCCGGGGTCAACACTCGAAGATAAATCACTTCCGCATTGACTCAATACATACCGTTGGAATGGCTATACCCCAGGAAATCTTCCGATAGAGGTAATCAGCAGAGTTCAGGGCAGGTGATGTGACGGCCGGGCCAACATATGCATAAATGACAATTGCAGTGATGGTATACAGAATCATCTCGCACAAATGCAGCAGAGTCAATGCTCGAGGATAATCTTTGATCTCCTGCAATTCAGAAAACATGGTGAAAAAGGCTACATGGCCGGCATATGCAAAGACAATGTTTGCAATTGCCAGGCATGCCTCATGCATCGCGGGAGCAGGAGAGACGAGAGGTATAGTGGCCGGACTTCCTTTGGAGACGACTATACTGATCATGGTGACCAGAATTGCCATCACGATGCTCACAAAGCTGACTGATGACAAGTGTGAGAGCTTTTCAAGTTGCCGCGGAAGGGTCAAGATAAATGAGACCAGCAAGCCCAGGGCAGAGTACAAGAGTGTACAACTGGCATGGTCGGTGAGAACATTCATCATGATAGAAAACGTCAGCACGTGGCTGCCCATGACGAAGATGTAAAAGATAATTTGGGCAATTCCCAGAGCCAGCTGGCCTGCCCGTCCCATCAAGAGACCCCCAGCATCTGCCATGCTGTGGATCTGCATGAAATGGCTCTTGAGGTTACCAATAGTAAAGCCGGTGTAGATGGAGATGATGCCAACAGCAACGATCGTCAATATGCCCCTGGATGATGAAGTCAGTGGTGACTTTCTGGAGACTTTCAATGGTTCCAGAGAGGAGATCAAGATACGGAATCAGTCCCAGAGTTGACAGAACCTTGGGAAGAGCCAAAATCCCCAGCGATATAGTCTCTGCAATCATGACTGATTCTGTCAGCTTTGGCATCGTCAGGGAAAACGACCGTTGCCTACCCATTCCAGCTTGCCTAGGGGGAAAGAGTCAGTTTCCGGATGCTTCTCTGTCCCTGGACTGAGTCAAAACTTACCACCAGGTCATTGTTTTATACTTCAAACCAGCATCGCTTTCGTCTCCGAACGGGTCCAGCTTTGCAATGCATGGCGCCGGGGTCGCAACAGCCTTGCCAATGGGCATACCCAATTCATAGTCAACAATGCCAGTCTTGCAGGGATTTTGGGTATCCATTTTGAAGAATAATGTGAAGATGTGTAGTTTGGAAGAGGGAAACGGGATCACCGTCAATGGACAGCGGACAAGACAGCGCCTAAGCGCGTGCCTGCCATTCTAGCAGAATATCCTAAAAGGAAGGCAAGACGGGGACAACAAGGTACCATTGAAGATTAAGGAAAATTTTCTATTTGTACAAGATCGCTCTATAATATTTACCACATACATGTCTATTTGTTGGCCGGAGAATCCGCGGAAATCACGGGATCAGCATTGGGGTTGGCATCTCCCTTGAGAATGTCCGCCGGGGGGTCTAGAAGAAAGAAATCAGGTAAGCCATTGAATGATTCAACAATCACATGTAATAATTGGGATGGACGGAAATCACTTACCAGTTCGAGAGAAGTGCTTGCGCTCTTCGTTATCGAGCTCCTTGACCCGGCCGTTTGAGACCTCCTGGCGAGACAGGCCCAAGAGGCTCTTGGGAAGACCCATGGAGGACAGGTATGAGACCGAATCCTTCCACTCGAGATCCTTGCGCTTGTTGGACCACTTCAACTCCTCGCCCATGAGATCAATCACACCGGGGAGGGCCTCCAGAGCGGCCTCGGCGTTGAGGAAGGCCAGACGAGTACGGCGGGCGATAACATCAACCGCGGTCTGAGCATACTCGTGACGGACCGCATACCGAACCTCACCATCGATGAAGGGGTACAGAGCGGAGATACGGCAGCCGCGCACGGGGTAACGAGCATTGGTCGGGGATGAGAGAGCGGCGACCTGCCAGGCACGGTCACCGTAGGACTGGGTCAGGTGCTGGGCCACGTCGGTCTCGAGACCAAAGTGCTGGATCAGGTTGATGAAGAGGGTCTTGGAGTAGCCGTGGGCACCGATCAGGCGCACCTGGTGGGTCTGGCAGGAACCGTCGAGAACGGCGCCGTCAGCCACCAAGCCACTGCCGCCGGCACCACTGATATCCGGCATATCGTTCAGCTCGCGAGTCTTCAACTTGAAAGAATCGATCGCCTCGTCGACCGCCTCCTCGGCCATCTGGCGGTAGGTGGTCCACTTGCCACCAGCACAGGTCAACAGACCCGATGGGGACACGGTGATCAAATGGTTGCGGACGAGAGCCTGGGAGCTGGTCTTGTTGGGGTCGCGAACCAAGGGGCGAATACCGGACCAGGCGGCCAGAACGTCCTTGCGGTCGACCGTAATGTCGGGGGCCAAGTAGCCACGGATCTCCTTGAGGATCCAGTTGATATCGGCTTCGGAGGGCTCGGGCTGGGTGGTGATCTCAGTAGGGGCATCGGTGGTACCGGCGATGGTGTTGCCCTGCCAGGGCAGGAAGAAGATGACACGGCCGTCGGAAGTCGAGGGGTCAATCAGACCCATGTTGGAAGGGCTGTAGTAACCGGGGAGGATAACGTGGACTCCGGAGCTAGGAGCGACAATCTCCTGGGTGCTGGGCTCGTCCATCTTGCGAATGGAGTCGGTGAAGGGACCGGTAGCGTTGATGATACCCTTGGCGCGGATTGTGAACTCCTCGGTCTGCTCGCCGTCCTTGCCGGGGATGACATCCTTCAGGCGCGCACCGTTCAGCTTACCGTTCGCATCCTTAGTGAGACCGGTCACCTCCATATGGTTGACCACGGTACTGCCGTAGAGGGCAGCGGTCATGGCGAGAGAAACGTTCATACGGGAGTCGTTGTGGGCGCCATCTAGAAAAGTCAGATCAACCCAATTCGATGAATATCGGGTTTTCAATCATTCTCCAAAAAACTTACCATAGTAAACCATGGCACCGATAACGTTGTCGCGCTTCAACATAGGGAACGCATCAATGGCCTTGCTCTTGGTCAGGAAGTAGGAGCTCTCAATGCCCTCGGAACCAGCCAGAAGGTCATAAGCCTTGCAACCCGCCCAGAAATAGGGAGCCTGCCACAATTTCTGAACGGGCACCATAATGGGAAGCCATTGGGACAAATGGGGGGCGGTATTTAAAAAGTACTTGCGCTCGCGAAGAGCTTCCTTGACCAGCGCATACCTGCGATGACATCACCGGTGAGTAGGGGTCTCCAACGAAGAGAGAAAAAGTCGAAAGATCAAGGTAAAGATGGAAAATAACTGACTGGTTGTAATCCAATTCCCAGAAGGCCTTTTCCAAATAGCGCACACCACCGTGTACCAACTTGGTACTCTTACTGCTGGTGCCAGCACTGAAATCATCGCGCTCGACTACCGCCACCCGCAAGCCTCGGGTCGCCGCATCCAATGCAATACCGGATCCCGTCGCGCCGCCACCAATGACCAGCAGGTCGTAAGGCTCTTCAGTCTGGCTGCGCTTCAGGTCCTTGATCTGATCAATGCGACCCTTGATGGCCGGGAAGCTGGGGGGAACCAGCTTACCCTCATGGTAACCGGGAGGAGGGACCGCGGGGGCTTCCAATCCCGGAATATTGCGAGGACGATAGGAAATGTAGAGAACTCCTGCACCGGCGGCCGCGGCCGCCGAAGTGTAAAGAAGAGGTCGCAGAAGCTTGCGCGAATGACGAGCGGCCATTATCCGATCGGGGGGGGATTGTCTTTTTGGGGGAGATGGAGAGGGAGGGTGAAGTCTCTAGCTAGAAATCACGGTTAAGCTCGTCTATCTGCTCCAAAGCAGGTGAAATATGACGAGTTCCGGGATCAATTGGGAGGTGTGGTTGATGAAGGAGAGAGTGTGTGTCGAGGTTGGAGAATCAATTGCGGCCTCGGAGAAAAAGAGGGCGGAGACTCTGAGGGGAAGAAAAGCGGAGTGGGGGGAGAAGTGGAAGACAGGAATTGGCAATTATTAGGATGGAGGAAAGGAGAAGTAGGATAATGATGAAGATGGGAGAGAAGAGGAAGAAGTGAACAAGTTATGCCGGATAGTTTGAACTTCCAATTCTCTTATTTCTTTTTTTCCCTTGCCTTTTTACACGTCGACCAGAATCAACGTGAGTCAAAAAAAGAGCTGACGGAGGCAGGATAAGCGGCATGGGATCCAACGTGATCGCTATACCTTCCCAGGTCCAATCTTTTCCACCAAACCGGTTCCCCGACGTCATTCGAGGCCTGGGCTGGACAACGCCCATTGCTCTCCCTGATGGACTCCTAATGGACTCCCACTGGACGCCAGTGGTCCCCATTGGCGGCGGATTCACGGTGGGTTCCAGCCATGACGGGGTGCCACCAACTGGCATTCTCCCACCAATCAGTCTCTCGGCAGCCAACTCATGCCCACAAATTTATTCAATTCAGTCCGGATTTCCACCCCGATCTTCCACACTGTTAACAGTGCTTGCACTGCTTAGAGCCTTCGAGCCCTCGACTGCTTCGAAACCTTGGCGGATCTTCCTCAATCCATGTGACACGCAGAAATTTCGACATCTCCAGCAGTCCAGCTTATACTGGCCTATCCCTTCCGGAGCTTCTGACTCCCCCCTTTCCTTCTTTATGGACGTGCTTCGGCATACCTGACTACTGATTTATTTTCGGACCATCTGACACAACCCCGACCCGTCTCGATACTGGGCCCGGGGTACACCACTCCGTATGCGAAAGCTACACCTCTATACAACAGCTGGCCCCTTAGGTTCGCGACAGTCTCTGCATGAGCAGCTGACTTGCGGCTCGATCCACCCAGATCGCGGCCCCAGTTTTCAGGGGCCTGCCTTGTTCGTAGATCCACTTGAAATAACCATCCTGGATGATCATCATGTTGTGACCTCAAAAACCTGTCTGTTCCCCTCATGAGTTGCGCTGGTTTTCCGTCTGCTCTTTTCTCTTTCTCTATAATATGTACATACTGTACTCTTCTCCCTGGGAATACAGGGCAGGATTCATATTCGGAAACCTGAAAAATTCGGGTCACTGATCCACTTACCACTCCACTAGGATTCCTGGTTCCCTTTGCGTGCCTTGCAGGTCGAAGGAAACATGTTATCATCGGATTCATCCTAAGCATTCTTGTTTGCCTAGTGGAGTCGTAGAGACTATTTATTTTCTACTGCTTTGCTGCATGACTACATAGTCCTTCTACTGTCTGAGGAACTATGCCTGATTATCTGTTATGGTGGCAGGACTATCAACCGCGGGTGGGGGTTCTACTTACATATATTGAATTAGGGCCGTCATAGTCTCAAGCTTTTATCTCCTTCAATTTTCCCGTGTCTTCTGTAAGACGGAAGATATTTACGGAACAAATAAACACCATTGGACTGGTGGAAAGGTACCCCCAAGTCCACCATAAGATATATCTTTTCAGGTGGGCCAGCTAGTTCAATGGTGCCCCCACGCTCCAACGGAAAAATCGAACCTACTGTACTTATGAACTGAAGAATGGCATTTGAGAGTCCAGGCTAAGCCTCGCGTGATAATGGATTCCCACCAGCTACGAGGTCGAGGTCCATGTCAGTCCTTGTAGTCCGTTTGGAAACCAGGCTGAAACGCGTCACCATAGAGTACATAGACAGGCTACTGATCAGGTGATCTACCTTTCCGTACAGAATCGCACCCGCGAGAGTAGAGTCCACTGATCTTCAATATGGGAAGGTATTATAGACCGGTGCATAATAAAACTGGTCTCTGGCGTCATCTGGCTCCAAGTCACACCCGCTGACTCACGTTAGATGATTCCCGTCAATAATAAAGCCACGGTATAGGAAATCCCACCGGCCTAATATAGTCCCCGCGCAACCGCGCCATGCCAAAACAATTTATCTAGTTTCTTACTGTACCCTGCTCGTCTATCTATAGCCAGCGCTAGACAGGCTACAAGGTAATCAAAGATAAATATTCACCTCCGGCTATCGCGGCCGGAGAGGCCCGGGTGTTCCAGGATAAGACTGGCTATCTACCAGGTACATACTCCGTACATACACAGTGACTACACTCCATGTACTTATCTCTATTGGATCAGATAACTATCTGCAGCGACGGAGTATATCTCTCCGTGCGTCTTTTACCCCGAACACCCTCGAGATAAGAAGAAACCCTTTATCACGCTTGGTAAATCCCCGTCCCGTTAACTTCCCCCCACACCAACTCTGTCTGGGCATACATGGCACCGTCACAGGTTCCAGCGCTAGGCTTCAGAATACCCACGGAGTACATACTGTAGCTAATGCAGATGCAGGGAATGTGGATGGAGAGATAAGGATCTGTACAAGGTTACAAACCTCCACTCTTCTTCTTACTCCCGCGAATCCCCGAAAAGGACTCTTCGATACAGTACACACTCATGGGTGAGACGATAGTACTGTACGGAGGAGTACATACCTGTGAAAACTCTTCATCTGCAGAATCAGAATTTTCCACAAAATTGGCCACTCGGCGAACGGACACACACATCAGCCGTGCAGTATCGAATCCCACGATGACACACGGACACGGACGATAGGCGATCATGGTGGGGTGGCAATGCCGATCGAGCCGCCGACTCCTGCAGGTCAATCTGGTGTCAAACGTTTAGTGGTGGTGGCCGACAGTACCTACAGCACGGAGACTTAAAGAGATGACTGCATGGTGGAAAGGTCCAAGCACTAATCGCAGTAAGCCCAAGACAGAGAGCCTGAAGGGGAGCCCGGGTTTGGCGTTAGCATAGCCCGGGTGACAAGGACGGAGTACATGAGGACTGTATACCGAGTACGGAAGATATAGTCGTGCTACTGGTTTAGTAAAGTTCCGTGTGGTCAGGTCACTAGGTTTAGGGTGGCTGGAAGAAGGATCCCCCTTTGATCGACCCGTTGACAGGTGGAGTGATGCCAGGTTTAAGTAGATCAAACCACCTGGGTGGAGACCAGTGGTTCCATGACTTCAAGGGCCCGAGAATTAACCCCCACTACGGGTGCTATACCCTGTATGTATGAGGTAGATGAGAATTTTTGTCGAACGTGGTGCTGACGTGGGAATATAACATTCTGGACCGTTGGGAGAAACCCGGGTTTTGATAAGTGTTACTGTACGAAGGGATGGAAACTTTGTCATTCAGTCAATCAATGCTCCATCGAGCAGTTCATTCCAGTTATCATAATCGACTGTCATAGTTGGTGCTTCACTTTGAGCATCGAGTCTTCAAGTATAGAGTATTCTACATTCTGCACTGCCGTGCACAGTCCAAGTCAAAACAAAAGGAAAAAGCAAGGCCAGCCAAATCTCAGCCTTCAAAAAAGGCATTTCATTCCTCCCAAATGAGACATCGTAACATTCTGGTGTGGGCATCGTAGGCCCCATGAGAAATTCCCCAAATAAAAAAAAAACTCCGAATATATATCACAAGGTAACGGCGAGGGTATAGATGTCGTGATGAGCGGGAGAGAGAAGATTCCAAAAAAAGCAAGTCCATAAATCCATAAAATCCATATTCCAAAAAAAGAAACAGTGCAAAGATTCTTTCTGCACGGAGACGCCTGGTTCATTTTTCCCGGGTGTATGCAAGTTGTGTCGCTGAGATGGGGGAGAAGATAGCAAGAAAGGTGCGGGGCGGAGAGGAGTCAGAACCCCTCCCGTAAGAGGAGGTGATCATTATGGTAGCGGAGAGGTCGGTCGGAGAGGAGAGGATAAGGAGAGAGCGAGAGATGATTAGGAGGAAGTCATTCGTCGCTTGAGATCTCGAACATGATCGAAGCAGCTGGCGTAGTCTCGCAGTTCCTCTTGAAGATGACCGGAGAGAGCGGCATTGGAGGCATGACTCCGCAGAGAGGATAGTGAGGTTTGCGATGACGAGGCTGATAGGCTGCGAGCCGATCGGGAATCGATGGAGTCGAGGGTAGAGGATCGAGAGTGAGTTGCGCCCTCTCGAGGCTTGGGAGAGGATTGCTCGTCCTCGCCCGATGTACGATCCAACTCAGCGAGTCGGCAGGTCTGTGAGCAGTAGGGACCGCCGGAGGTCTGGCGATCACAGACGAGACAGAAGTCGAGAGACCAGTCGGTAGACATGATGGATGAGATGATGAGATATGAGATGATGAGGTGATGGTATGATGGTTTGGATGGATAGACCAAGAGAGAGGAGGGTGGATGGATATAGGATAGTAAGATGGAGGAAGTAGAAGAAGGCAGAAGCAAAGAGGATTAATAGAGGATGATATACTCGAAAAGAATCCACCAGGTCGTTGACAGGCGTCAATGTTATCAAGTCGGCAGAAATGACGAAGAAAAGCGGACGAGAGAAAGAATAAGAAAGAATAAGAATGCGAGGAGAGTCAGAGTTCCACGCCAGAGAAAAGGTGCAGCGTGCAGGTTGCAGACCCGAGAGCGATCACCTCATTAGGGGGAAAGATGGGGGGATCCACACTGTCACAATCATGCCACACCCGCTGAGGCAATACTGTTCAAAGTATCCTTCGTCCAGGAGTGTGAGTGACCTTGGGAGTTAGTGTATCATCCTCATAATCTCAGGTACCACCCAAAAGCTGAAAAAAAAGAGGGGGACAGTAAAAAAAGAGACACCAAAACCCAAAGAGGAGATCGTCGCACGGATGACCCCTGGCGAGGAGCCAACCACACGAGGAAGTGCGGGGTGGTACCTCCACTTCCTATGGATTAATACCTGGTACCGTATGTACCCCGTACAGAGTGAATGTGCACCGGGCACAGCTGAGGAGATTATGGGAGATTATGGCGTGGCTCGGGCGCTTAAGGCGAAAACGAGAGAGAAAAAAAAATAAAATCAAAAAGTTAAACCATGGACCTGACCCTGACTATTTCGAGCATGCAATCCACAGACAAGATAACATGCTTTGGGAGTCTGATAGAGTGATAGGATGACGAGAAGATGGAAAAGTTAGAAATTTGAGATGATTATAGAGTACCATCTACGACTTGGTCACGACATCTCGAGTTCTTTACAAGAACAAGGAGGATCCTCCCCCAAAAGCAAACATCTTTAATGTGGATAACTTGGAACCACCAAGTGAACACTCTATAAACTGGATCCGGGGTAGTAGCCCCCCCCTCATTTACCACTCCACCAATTTCCCAACACTGAACATTGCCATTCAACGTTTAATTATACGAGAATAAGAAAAAAAAAAGAGCCCATCCCAATGCGTAGAATAGCTATAGAACATTTTCTCCTACAACTACTGTGACTAGTACTAGCGATATCAATTCGGTCCATTTCCAAACCAATTACACAAATTAAACGCAAGAAGCGAAGTATATTAGCACATAAAATCACTCTCGTTCGCTATCGTCAATGAGCGAATTTTTAAAAGGGCCACGAATATGCATACCTCGTGGACTGTCCCACTGGTATGTACAGACTCAGAGAGTGTGCAGGATGACGAGGCTCACTCGAGACTAGTTGCCTGCGCGTCGCCTGCAGGAACCTCGAACGGGTAGTCATCGGCCTTCTCCACTTTGTTTGGTGCCTCTCGGGTGGCCTCTCCAGTGTCCTTTGCGGTGGCTTACCAGCCCGTCATCTGCGCACGGGCCTGGGCGTGCACTAGTGTACTTGTACTACTGTGGGTTTACTATTGTTATGTGCAAACTTAGTAGCCGTACAGGTAGTTAGCACGGTGCCTGATTCATGTAAACCTGGGGGCCAGCTTAGCTTGGCTGATTATTTTCCCAGGAGCTGATTCCATAAGACCATAAGATATCGTTCATATGACATCTTGATTACAATGTTAATCAAGGGAATTGTAGCCTACCTCCCGGATTGCCCATACATAGGATACCTAGAGAAGAAGAGTCATCGGTCTATTGAGTACCCATTCTGATCATTCAACGTGTACTGTAATTGAATACATATGTACATAGCATAATTCTGTAGCACTTTCTGTCCGGTGTTTCATTTTGCTTCTACCTAGTATCTACTGTCCCACCTTTAGCCCCCAAGGTCCCCCTGCTAACACTTGCCCACCATATGCACGTCCCCCCCTCCGATAAACTTAGTTGCAGTTTGCATTTTTGGCGCTAAAGAGTCACGCGAGGAACGCGTGAGGAATGCTCATCCCGTCTCGCAAAATGCGGGGAAAGGATCGTGCTCGGTCCTGAACTCCTGAACCTTGGACTCTTGCCCTGATTGGGGGTGATCCCCAGTGGTAGATCCCGTGGAACGTTCTCCCCATTCTCGCTTCGGCAAGCTTTCTCCGAGCAGGGTTATCCAGCATGAGAAGCACACTGATTGGATAGATAATCAGCTCTTCCCGGGCATGTGCAGCGGGTGATCAGGGACCCCCAATGTGGTGGATAAGGGAATTGTGAGGGGGGAGGGATTTGGGACAGGAGAATCAGACTTCGCTTGGCACTTGATAAGAACCGAGACGGGTGAGGGTGGGGTATCCCATTTTTCTTTTCGAGTCACAAGAAAAAAAAAAGTTAATATATCAACGGGATATGACGATGATTGCTGCTGCTTGCGGTCGTTGCTTGTTTCACTCGCCAGTCTTTTCCCGTGGCTCGGCCGGGATGCGAACCAATGTGGCTGGCAAGCGAGTTTCGCGCGCGGGGTCCTCCGTCTCGTCGGGTCCAGTATCGTGAAGTCCACTGGCTTTGGCTGTGTGAATCCCGTAGCGTTAGTCGAAACTGCACTGGTGCGATAAGGAATTGGGGGGGGGGGTTTCTCTTAAGCTTACTGGAGGCCAGACTGATGGCACGAAGCACATTGTCCCAATTGGCAAGCACGCATGCAACCGCTGGTTCGAATCAGTTTGAGTGCCCTCAATTTGGGACTGGGAGGGGCAGGAGATAGTAAACTGACCTTCCGTACCATCCTTCAACGTGGCAATCTTGCTCTCTAGCGCCTGCATTTGCATGGCCAATGTTCCACTCAAATCCCGTAGCTGTCGGAGGTTTTCGAGTTCGGCCTTCTTTGCGGCGATGCGCGTCGACAGTGCGGACGAGGGTTGGGAGGCCGGCTGACGAAGCCCACCACCGGGCAGCATTGAGGTTGGGCGTGACGAGTACGCCATGGCAAAGGTAAATGGAAAGAGGAGGACACGAAGAGAACGAGGCGCGGTCAGATCGATGAAGGGTCAAAAGACAGAAAGGCTGATACCCAAACACTGACAAACAATCCAAACACTCCATCTCCCGCCGAGGGGTTGCTGAGTCAGCCAGAAATTGGACTAGTCCCAATAGGGACAAACATCAACAGTCCTGTTTACACTTTACACTTCACCCAACTTGCGACCGTCACTCTACTTTCTTTGTGGCCCTTCAACACCATGGCCAGGCTAAACGACTTTGCTGCTCCGGCAGAGTCTGTCGAGGCTTGTAAGTTGATCCCTCTCCTCTTCACTCGATGAGAATACCCGTTCTTTCCCACGAGTCAGAAATTGACGCGATCGTGACTAGTGAAACGGCGATTCGTACGACAAAACCGTGACATCGTGCGGGTGAATTCCATGCAATCCCTTCGCATCCGCAGCTTGGAATCGGAAGTCTCGCACCTTTTGGCCGAAAATGTATCTCTGCGTGAACAGATCATCAACCTCACTCAGGAGAACGAACGATTCGAGTCCGCCAAAATGCTCCACGAGGGGGTCTACGACATCAAGTCCCGTCTGGATACGAAATTGGCTGAGTTGAGTAGCTTGGCTTCGGAGCTTGGAATGTTGCCTCGCAAAGTAGGCAAATCAGCTGGGGATAAGACGGGAACAGACTCCGACCGGGCCAGAGCGACCGCAGAGTCAAAGCATCGAGCCACGGATTCGGAGTTCAATGCAGGCCCCGAGGATGGAAGGCTTCCAGCAATCGTGGAAGACAAATACTACCCCCGAAGAACCCTCGAGTGAGTTTGGCGATCTCTTTCCTTACTCAGTGGAAAGAAGGCCTTTCTGACTGATCCTCACAGACAACAAGAAATTCAGAACCTCGTCCACGCCGAGTCTAGCTTGGAATCCCCACAGAATGATCGTTCAACGCGCGAAGATCAAGATCCGATCATGGAAAGCCCAATGCCCGAGCTGAATGATATGCCATCGGAAAGTCGCATAGACAACAGTCCCTCCCAGGACGAAGCCGCCCTACCACCAACGCTCGAGACTCGGAAGAAGAAAAAGAAGACCGACTCGGCAACTCATACATATAAACCATCATCCCAAAATGATCAACCACCCACAACGAATCAACCCCGAGAGCCGACGAAATCGGGATCAAAGCGCAAATTCAGTCCAGACGAGGACGGGTTTTTGTCGGATCCGACACCAGAAGATGACGAGTTCCAGTTTAGCCGCCCTGGTGGAAGCCCCCAGAAAAAGACGGATCCGTTTGATTTTATGCGCCAGGACTTTTCACCCAGCAAAACCTCCGTGGGCATGAAACGATCTGCCCAATCTGGACTTACCAAGCGCAAGGTCCTTGAGCCGAGTATGTAACACCTCTCAGATGTATTCCCTTCCGGGGTTGAGTCTATCAACTAACAATATCGAACAGAGAGTTCAAACTCTAATCTAGGCTCCCCCAAGAAGATGCGGGCTTCTTTGAATCCAGACAACAAAGTCCTTCCAAGACCCGGTGCAGATGAAAACACACGCTCGCCCCAGAAATCCAAGGCGATCGATATTCAGAATACGGCAATCTTGAATCAGAAACCCCGCGTTGCTCGGCTGGGTGGTGTCTCGCAGAAACCAAGGCGCGCTGGCCGGCCTATTGAAACGGATGACTCTCTCGAGGCCGAACCCAAGTCCACATTACCAAAGGACTCACCAGTGGCAAAGGCAGGGGACCAAGCCTTTGGGATGTCGGATACGAACGCCGGCTCTCGCACTTCCCGGCGTCGTGGAGCTGTGGTCAGTTATGCAGAGCCTAACTTGCGAGACAAGATGCGTCGCCCGTCCAAGACCATGATTGATGCCGTGGCTGGAGCTGGTCCTCGCCGGTCATCGAGTTTCCAACTTGCCCGAGACAGCCTTGGCAACGAATTAGACACTTCGCAATCAGGCGCCAGCCCTCATCCATCCTTGAACGCGACTCGTTCTGCTGATTCGGTACTTTCGAATCACGCCGCCGACCCGTTCGCTCAGGATGACGACTCGGACCACTTACTGACGAGGGTGTCTCGGCGGAGACGAAAGGTATCGTCATCAACTTCGGATGCTTCAGACTTGGCCGATCTATCGGCGGCACTAAAGCAGAGGGTGTGCTCAAAGGGGCCATCTCGACGGCATTCTTCGAACCCCAAGAGCACCTCCCTCGACACGTTACGCCGTGAGGCAGAGGCGGCCAGCGATATAGACAGCAGCTTCGAATCAGATGATATGGCCTACCGGCGGGAGACTCGAGTTGCAGCGAGGAGAAAGAGTATGATGGTTTAATTGGCAGGAGTTCCCGGTGGTATGGGCTCTGGATTGGGCGCGGTTTTTTAAGTTAATACTGTATTTACATTAGCCTGCATTGGGCGCAGTCCTCGTACAGATACCCTTTTCCTTTTCTTCTTCTTTTTTCTTATCTCTGTTCGCAAAATTTTGCCTGTCAATTGAACTATTTGGATTTGTCTTGGGATCTCGATGTGCATTCATTGTAGACGATGGGTGGGAAAGGTCAGTAGGGCTAGACACTCGAAGCCGGATACTGTGGTAACCTCATCGGTCACCAATCCTCGTTCACATAGATATTCAATCTTCCCTCAGCTTGAAACACCCGATTGTCATCTAGGTGTATCTCTCCCGTGGCGAGAGTAGTTCGACATACGAACAAGTAGCCCGGTTCTTTGCTTTCGCTGCTTGTCTGTACACTAGGGTATTGGCAAACTCTATTACCATCTATCACCGTCCGAGAGTCTCGAAATATGAAAATATCAGCCGTGGCGACGAGTCTTGCACGTAACAAACGACCTTCGCACGCCACACGGCCATGATCTAAAAGGTGGGGTATCTCCTCAACTGCCCCGCGGCTGACTATTCTTCGACGGCTTGGGCATCTTCTCGTACGCATTCGGACTGGGCTTCCTCCTTCTGCGTTTCACTTTCTGGTGGTGGTCTGAGCAGCATGTCGCCGAGTCTCCATCGGCAGACTGGTCAGCCTGATTATCGCCCGACGGTCTGCGTCCTCGTGCGTGGGGGTGATGGGCGTGACGGGCCATGTGGCTTCGACTATCGGTCTCGCTGTCACTTTCTGACTCGGATGAGCTGGAGGAGGACTCGGATTCGGAACTGCTTTCGCCCACGGGTCGGGCTTTGTGGTAGATACAGCAGACTGTGTCAGAAGGGTGGGTTGGTTAGTATGGACTTCTGGGTGAGATAGGAGACTGGGAGGTAGGGGATTTTACCTTTTGAGCTTTTCTTGCCCATGCCTTCATTGTCCACGACGTCTTCGCTCCATCGAATGCGGCGCGCTGGGGATGGTTCGGTGGTTGTGTCGGGGGTATCTTCGGCTCTCAATCGGAGGGTGCCTGTGAGTCGGAGTGTGGATGATTCACGGGATGTCTCCGTTGTAGACTGTGGCTGGAGATTTACCGGTTGGCGTGTTCGAGACATCGTGTGGTAGGGAGGGTGATTGTGGTGAAGGGAATGAGTACAAAGCTGAGTTGGCGATGGAGCCACAGGAAAATAATGATGCAACTGATAAGACGATAGAATCTCTCACCGCCTAGCAAGGCTTACCAAAGCAGCCCTACAGTGGTATTGCAGTGGCTAATATTATTATACAAAGTGTTTTATTGTAGATGTTTGGAATTGTGAGTAAAGTCTTAGATTACCTAATGTCATAGACTATTGGATAATTATTCTGGTCAAGTCCAGCTCCTTGCCTCAACTCGCTCAAAACAATGATCCTGCACTTGAATATCCCACCATCAAGATAAGATTGATATCGAGCTGCAAGGATCTCCTCCTTCCACCACATCCGAATCACTACTTACAACATGAACCAGTCAAACCGGTTTACCTTCCTGACACTAGAGATCAAGTCATACTTCTGTACAATTCCCTGTTTCTCGTAATCATTCCCCATAAGCGAAGGGCGCGGCCAGAAAATTTCAGTTACTATAGATTAGCCAGGGACCAATACTGGCCATTCGATCGATAATTGACTAGAGCCTCTCCAGGTGTGGGGGCCAAAGTAGAGCCGTAACTCCGAATCATTGGTTGTTCAAATCTGTCAGTCTCTATGATAAGAGTCCCTTAATATATTCCCATACGTGTAAGACGAATATAAATGAATGTGCATCACATTCGTAGTCATAAAAGCAAAGAGACCTGTCTCAGAGAGCAGCCTCATGTCTCCTTGAACAAGACAACATACCACAAGATGTGAACCAGACTAGTGGGATACTAATAGGAAGCGTCGGCCTTGCTAGCCCAACGGGGATTATTTAGTTCGGTTACTATTTACTCCCGAAGTGTGGCGTGGAGCAGAGCCGAGAAGCTCAGCGAAGAAGTAATTTCGAGCCTCGTGCCAAGCGATGATCAAGGCTTGTTCTCACTAACTCTGAATCATTGAATGTTCATAGAACTGCGGCTCTTCCCTACTAAACCTCGTAAAAGGTGCTCTCTGTTTCCACAATTTTCGACACCCATTGACCATCCATTCATTTCAAAAAGCTCACTATGCTCCTCCAAACCCTAATTACAACTCTCCTTCCAGCCGTGGCCCTAGCCATTCCCGCCTCGCAAACCACCTCCAACGACGGAGAAGATGCCTACGGAATCCCCTCGTCTGTCATCGCGACCATATTCAACGACCCATCCTCCATTGATGCCGCTTACTTCGAAGCTAGCCTAACAACTTGGCTCTCCTATGTTGCTAACCACCCTGCATTTGCATCCTCCGTCCTCGCCGAGGAAGAAGCAGGCATCAAACCATCCTGGTACAGCAATGAGCCCGAGAGTGTGAAGGAATACTTCTCCACCCGCGACGAAGCCATTGAGTCCTACTACGCTAAGGCGTCTTCCTCTTATTGCGCCACCGCTTCGGTTTTGACTACCGATATCTCCGGCACTGTTGTTCCACTCTGTACCGCTGGTAGTGAAGCTGATAGTACCTCGGGATCAAGCATTACCTCTAACTCTGCTTCTGCCTCGGGCTCCCAACTCGGTTCGACTTCCACTGGAGGCGTTCCTGCTGCTGCTACGGGTCTTGCCATGGGCCTTGCTGGTACCATGGCAATTCTGGGTCTTGCTGTCGCCCTGTAAAAAAGATATACCTGTTGGATTAGTTTAGGGCGAGATATGTGTACATGAAACCGACCACTTCTTAATTGGCGGGATTCAGTTGTCGTACGGATCTATCTTATGGCGAACAAATGTATTGGCGCGAATTTCCTTTTTTCCCTTCCAAATAGCTATGATGAGAAAAGAAGAAAGATATCAAACATGACCACCCTCAGCATTCCAAGGGGTTTGCAAAATACAGGAAGCGGAGGAAAGGAGACCGGGTAGCATCGTGGCATCATCTTTGCGCCAAAAAAAAAACATAAACAGCGTCTGAAAGGAGAGGGTCGGTTCTATGCTGCGTAGTATGCGCGTTCCGGCTCTCATATGCATGCCCCCTCCAATCATCTAGAGCTCGTAGAGAGACCAGCCGTCAAGGCTATCGTTCCTCATCGAGTTTGGATCCCCCGACCTTCCAGAAGAGCCAGCCGACGCCGGTGGGGGAAATTCAGTGCGCAATTCCTGGTCCAGTCATAGCTCGTCCTCCTGATCCATCTCCGATGGCTTCAGCAAACCTCCCACCTTCATAGCCCGAGTCCGCTCGGCGGCTTGCGCATCGCGCACGGCCTGCTCCCGTTCTTCCGCATAGAGGTCGGCGTTGTCGTCAGAGAACTCCTTGAGGGAGATCAAGAAATCACGCAGATGGGTCTTGAACTTGTTCAGGTCATTAGTGTAAGCGAACAAGCCGAGGACAAACTGCTTGATTTGAGCCCTGAATAAAAACAAAATTAGCGACTTTTCCCACACTATTTCTCATAACGGAGGAGGGCTGAAACGTACTCTTGCAGATTCTTGAATGCATTATGTAGCAGGTTCGCGACGTATTCCTGCAAGAACTGCTTGTTGGAAGTGCCCGCCGGCGCTTGATCGGCAGCATAGATAGGCTCCTGAATCTTGCCAGTTTCGACGAATTCGAACATGCGGGACAACAGCATAGCCTGGGACTTGAAGCCAGCCTTGTGATCACTATCCGTGAGGACGAAGAAAACGTCCTGGAGGATCGGGATGTAGAATTGACGGAAGAAGATGCTCGAAGTTTGCACATCCGCCTCGGCCATATTGTTCATCAGTTCAAAGCACATGGTGAGACCCGTGTTCTCCACCTCGCGGTTGTCGTGTTTGGAGGCCCACATGCAGGAATCAATGACAAACTTGAACTGAGTGCCATCAAGCTTGAGGAGGGCCTGGAAACAATACAGGTTGATGGCCTGCAGGAGCTTGAAGAACTGAACCCGATGCTCGGGGTATTCATGGAAATCCTTGTTGATCATCTCCAAAGTGCAGCTGAAGACGCTGTCCATAATCGCAGGAATCTTATCCTCCATCAGGGTCTATAAAAGCAAAATGTTAGTCACGTCGTTCAGAGCAGTGAGGGGGAAACATTTCAGGGGATAATGCATGATCAGAACGTACATGAAGCTTGTGGATGATGGTAGTCATGACATTCAGAACCTCGGCCTCTCGTGCATCGGGAACGTTTCGGTGGTAGTCGACCAAAACAGCCTCAAGCAGCGGCGGGACCATATTAGCGTTCACCATGTCCGTATCGTCCGACTTCTCCACGTAGGTATCGATCAACTTAAGGATCTCCTTCTTGATGGTGCGAAGCCCACGAACTTTGGGGGTCTTTGGGGCGATCGTTCCTAGAGTAAAAGGTTAGTATCTTAGATGGCAATGAATGATGGAATGGGCAGAAAGGGAGAATTACCATCGTTGGCCACCGCATCGTTGATGAGCTGACTGGAGGCACGGTACATGTTCAGCATGTCGTGGTAGATGCGGCCAATCTGAGAATAGAAGTAGGTTCCAATAGACGAGCATGCCGCAACGTTCGTCTTCATAATGTTGCCAATGATTTTAATCGTGTTACCATCCTGAAGAATGGCAGCGTTCTGGTTGGCCTCCGCAATAATTTGATCCCAGGCGGAATTCGGCAGTTGCATCAGGTTCTCGATCAACCGATCTTGGAGTGTCTTTTGACCCTGGGCAGAGATCATGTAGCCACATGCTTCGTAGAATGTGTGGATCTGCTGTGGAGAAAGATCCATGGTGATCTTTCTCATGTTGCGAACAATCTCCTCAATGAATGGCTCATTCTCGCCCGGTTGGAGTGCCACGAAATGCCGGCGGCACTTGTTGGCGATCTTGATGAAGGTATCGCAGGCCATATCCTGGACACCCTCGTGCGTCTCGTGCATGAATTCGAAAAGCTTGTTCACCACCGTCTTCAGGAACTTCCAGTGTGCCTTCAAGAATCGAGGGTACTGGCCCACGATGTACATGATATTACTGGCCACCACAGCCTTGTTGTCCTTACCACGCTTCTGCTCCGTCAGGCCGAGAAGATCCTTGATGACGGTGACCAAGAACCGCTTTTCGGTTTCCTCGTTCATGGCACCGGAGATTGAGCCAATAGCCCAGCACAGGGTGTTGCAATTAGCCCAGGACCACTCAGACCCGTCCACTTGCTTCGCGAGCTTGTCGATCATGATCGTCTCGGTGTCAACCACATCCAAGTGGGTGAGGTAGACCAAGCACTCTCGAATGGTCTTGTAAAGCTGAATGGTATCGCTCTCCTTGACGAATTCACGCACGATCTCGCCCTCATCGTTCTCGACGATCAAAACCTCCTCGGGGCGGACCATCTTCTCAATCATGACAGTGCGCAGGTTTGACAGCACAGTCTCGTACTTGTGCTTGCGAAGCGGGTAATTGGCGAGGGTGCTCGGGTGTGGCGCGCCACCGTTGGACAGACCACTGACTCCCATGGTCACGAGGGGGTTGATGTCGGTTATGGGGAGTTGCTGCATTTCTTCGTAAAGCTCCTGAACAAGACGAGTCCAGTAGTCCAGGCAGATCTTGAACACCTCACGGTCTTCGATTTGGCTGATGCGAATCAGGTAGAAATGGGCGTGGGTGAGGAAGTCTTGGTTGGGCAACTTTTCGATAAGCTAGATAGAATGGAACAGTCAGTGTCAGCACAAAATGGGCGAAGGCCCAAAAATAAAGAAAAAAGGAACCGCTTGGCCACACTTACATCCAAGTGGGCGCTAAAGAAACTGGAGAGGAAAAGAGCCAAATTGGCAACAAATTCCTGGTCTCGTCCATTGCTTCGTGCGTAGGTCTCCTTCAAGTCCAGAGACAAGGGAATGACGTTCGAGACCGTTGTCAGGGTCTCCGTGAACATGTGCACCAGCCTCTCGTCATAGTTGTACGGGGTGCCAATCTGCAATCCCCCAATCTCCGTGAGACACTTGAGGGTGACGTTCCGGAAGTCGGGAACATCCAGGAATCGGGTCAGGAGGGTATTAATGATTGGCGTCTCGAAGATGTACCCCAAAGGAATCCAATTCAAGAAGCGGAGCAAAGTCTCGAGGGTCGCCTTGACGAGACTCGGCTGGTTGGCGGTGTTGAGGACTTCGGAGCACAGTTGGAAAATGGAGGCGAATTCCTGGGTCATGGAGGTCTTCAAATTGCGGGCCTTGACGGAGGTCATCTGGTCCTGGGAAAAGTCAAAGACCTCCTCCGACAACAGGCGAAGGATAGCCATGTTGTTTTCACAAATGGAAAGACTGGCATGGCAAGAGGAGACGATCTCGTTGATGAATGTGGGCCAGTTGTGTGGCCATTCCTGCTTGAGAATCGAGACCAGGACCAGATTCAGTTTGTTCAAGAAGGCGCGCTCGGTCCGGAGCTTCTCTTCGGACCCGGAGTTTTCGATGATGAAGTTGACGATGAAGTTCCGAATACCTAGAGAGGAGAAGCGAATGATGTTGTTAGCGAATGTTCTTCATCTTCCTGTTTTCCTGTTATTCCCGCAAAAACGAAGAAAACCCGTTGGCACGAAAATCTAGGAAACCCAAGGAAATATTGCTGAAGCAGCACGTCGTTACCTTGACACTGGTCTCTTGGTAGGACCTTCCATCGGGTCATAATCACATCGTCGAGAACTTGCAGGGCGATATCTAGTTTTTCTCCGTCAGCGCATCCCTCAAAATCGGTTCCTTCGACGCAGGTAGCCCAAGGATGATAGGGTATCTCGTGTTAACCCACATTTGGTCTGGGGGTATGTAGCCTCCTGGAGAATGTTGCCCACGGTGACCCAGGCATCGGGGTTTTGCTTGAACTATACGAGGACAGATTTGTGAGCCGGCAATCCATAATCCATTTATCGCGTCGTCGTAGATGAGGGGGGTTAACTGGGAAGGCGGGAGATGGCGGCGAGCTTACTTCGGTCAAGGTCTGCTGGGCTTGCTTTTGCTGTGTTATTGTTAGCTTCGGGTCCCAAAAAGGAATCCAACGCGAGATGGCAAAAACTTGAGGATAGTGACGATACATACCACATCGCCCTTGCCTTCAAAGAAGGCGCGGACCGTGTTGTCCAGCTCTTGTACGGAAACAGACATGCCGGCGCAGAGATTGGCGCTTTCGCCCTCACGAAGTGGCCGTCACCGAGGCTTGCCGGAATGAAAGGAGGGGAGCCGAGAAGGAGGCGGGGGAGCGGAAAGGAATTGAGCGAGGCAGAAGCCAAATCAGCAATGGGAGTGGCCGATGGTCAGAGATAGAGTAGTGAAGGAAGAAGCCAGGGAGTAGGCCGAGAGTGGATTTGATGGTAGTTCGTTGACTGGTGGGGCAAGCAGAGGGAACGAGTTGGAGGGGCTTGGGTCAGCAAAACACCTGAGCTTTGACCGCAGACAAGGCCCCAAACAAAAACCGGGAGGGGGAGGGGAAGAAGGGGAGCTCTCTCGAAGGAGTGGAATGAAAAACAAATCGAGATCGAGATCGAGGATAAGATTCAGCAACAGCCAGTGGGGGGGAAGGAGGAAGAGGGGGGGGGGAGAAAAAGTTCTGGAAGTGGTTAAACACTGGCGGTGAAGGCGCGTCGGGAGGGTTGGAAACAACGTCTTTTTTCGGAGGAGTTAGAGTGAACTGACGAGAAAATGGGGAGCTGACCTCAGAGAGGAGAGCTTAGTCAGCCGGAGCTGGAACCTAGGTAACGTTACCGAGAGAACATGGATCAAGTTTGCTATAGTATAGAGAAAGTACATAATAATAACAATAGTAATGAATAAATATATCTAATTAGACCACGAAAAAGAGTGACCAAGATAATGGTTTTATATACGACTTGACTATCTAAATCATGTAAACATGATGATATACCCATTCAGTGTCGGTAAAGTATAGCTCTCTTGTTCCTCATGTGTATACTCCATCTTGGCTACCTGAGGAGGAAGATCTGGAGAGCCAACGATCTACATAAAATTTGATTCTATACTTCATATTCTTTTTTTTTCGACGTTCGTCACTTCTCTCCAACATAGTGACGCGCATCAGGCCAAGTTGGGGCGAGGTTCTGCTCTAGAACTGAGCCCGAGCAATGCCCATACAAAGTACCCAATATAATCCACACTTGAATCGATCGAGATGGAATTCGACCAAATGAGGCAATATACTATATATTTATTAATGTATACCAGCATGGATATTAGCAGTACTATTCCACATCCTACCAATCGAGTAACCTCCCCCAGAGTTATGTTGGCTCTGCCCTGCGACCGGGATGATTCAAATATTCGAATGAATATACATTTCAGGCATTAAGATTTATAAACCATACCTAGAGATTAAAGGACGCCAAGGAGATATATATACCAATGTGTATGTGTAATAAATAGTCATGTGCACCAATCCCCGCTTGAGCCGATGTTAGAACGAAGACGGATAATCTAGATCGGGCCATGAGAATAGGAATGTGGACTGATAGTTGAGGATGACGTATTTATTCTCATCTAGACAATGGCATTTTATAGCGCGATGGCTTTTTTTGGAAATCATTTCATCATCATCATCATCATCATCATCATCATCATCATCATCATCATCATCATCATTCATTAATTATTCTTACCGCCGTGGATTGACCATGAAGTATGTCCGCGGGGGCCGAAAGAGAGTAGAGAGGAGACGGAAAGGATGATGCGCAGGAAGGGGGGCCGCTTTGGCGACGTGCGCGCGGGAAAGCAAAAAGGCCCGAGAAAAGGGAAAACAAAAAGGTGACCAGCTGATAAGCGATGCATAACCGCCCAACCCGCGCGGCGCCACCGTAGGCGTCACGCCCCACTCCAAGACGGCGCATGCGAGAGAGCGCGCGCAAGGATGTAAGGTGGGTGGGGGAGAACTTTGAAAGGAGAGGGCGAGACCATCGAAGCTGGGGGCCTGGACCTCAAGGGGGGGGGGGGGGCCACTACAATAATGGTAGCACCTTTGCCTCTTCAAGTGGGAAGAAGGTCTATTTGGGGTAGGAGATATACATAAGAAAGTAGGCCAAAAGTAGAGGCCAAAGGACCGAGGGAGGGGGGCGCAGGAACGCCATTGACGCTAGCAGTCGGTTGTCGCCAGTCGGGAAACGAGAGAAAATGAGTCGAGGATGTCTCAGACCCGCGTAGCTTTCACCAGACGGGCGCGCTTTGCTCTTCCGATTGGCGGCCGCAGTGACGCCGGCCGTGCCGATCGCGCGCTAACTCCTCTTTTTTCGCGCCCTTGTTTTTTGGTTTCCTTGTTCCGTCCTTTAGAGGAGAAGGGAGGGATATGGGATGGTGTTAGAGAAAGCAAGGAAAGGACTACAGTATATTCTATACTACTATACTACTCTATAGTAGAAGAAACGTGACTTTACTCTACGGTACAGTAGTATAGTACTAAGAAGGATGGCCTTAGGGCCTAATGGCTCATAGCTAGTGAATTCTTTCTCTTTTTCTACAGTTCTTTCCCTCTTGACATCTCCCCCCCCCCCCTCCCCCTCCCCCCAATCACTCCAATCACTTGCATCACGCCCGTCACGCCTATCACATCCTCCTCTCTTCTTTCCCGCTTTCTTTCTTTTCCTCCTCCATCCCACTCTCCCTCACCCTCCACCCTCTCCACCTAAATTAGGATCCTCTCCTCCTCTCTCTCTCTCTCTCTCTGTATCCTCTTCAATTAAGACTGATCTTCCGGTCTATCGATACCATTTCCGGGCGCTGCTGCATTGAAGCGCGACTCCGTCTCGGCCGTCTCTTATCCCTCTCCTCCCAAACGCCCCACCCCCAGGCGAGGTTACCGCGATCCTCTTTCCCTCCTCTCTCCAACGAGAAATTAAGGAATCCATCCAGAAACAAATTAAAGAAAGCTATCTTTCTCATCACGCCATACACAGTTCCTCGCTCTCTGGTCCTTTTGCCCAGGCCTTCTCCCTCCCTGCTCCGTTGTTTTATCCGCCTCGGCAACTTTCCGCGCGTCTCTGCGTCGTTCGCTCAGGCACCGTCCCGAGTTTCCCCCCCAAATCTGCGGCTGAGACTTTGGACTGGGGGCCGCTCCCGGTATTATTTCCCACCCCCCTCCTTTTATCAAGACCTCGTCTTGTTGTAAGCCTGTTTCTTTTTTCCATTTTTTTCCTTTTCTTTTTTTTTCCTTTTCCTTGCTGGTGTCTTTTCCCAACCCGCTCAAATCGTGGTGGGGAGGGAATCCCCCAGCACTCTATTTACCTTCCCGCTCTTCTTTGTCCTTAATCCCCTCCCTGAGGATCCATTTACTCGTGGGGATTACCCGCCCACGTTTCCCCAAAGAACCATGACGGCTGTCGCAACCGCTCCCGTGATGAGTAACCATGACTCTGGGTCGGAGCCCCGAACAGACCATAGCCCCTCTCGCTTTACCGCGGTCAACGGTAGAGACTCGGTCGCATCAAACCCCCACGGTCCGACTGTGGTTCCTGGCACCCCAATGAACCAAGGGGACAGAGTCGTCGCGGCAGCGCCAGCGCCAGCGGCACCTTCAAGCGACAATGCGGAACCACCGCGCGACAGCTTGGGCGCCCGGGGCGATCATCACGACGACTCACAACGATCCTCACCGTCTGGATCTAACAAACACAAGCGGAAGCGATCGGGGTCGGGTGACCAGGAAGCTCGACAGCAATCAGAACCTGGCTATCATCATCATCATCACCATCACCATCACCACCCTCACCATGTCAGTCGCAGCTCGATTGGCCATTCGGAAGAACTGTCCCCTCTCCATGCCAATGGGGCCGGGCCAGGATCGGTCTCCTCGGAGATGGACTCGATCAATCCGGTCGCCGCCTCGGGCCACCGATCGGATACGAATGAGACGTCACAGCCCCCATCCACGGGCCCTTGGCCCGATTATGACACTCAGTTGATCAGTCAGGCCCAACGGGCGCAACAGATCGATCCCTCCGATGCACACTTGGCCGATGCCCTCCAGCGAGAGGCTCAAGGCCAGGAAAACTCCCGCAATGGGGGAACTGATCGCTCCGTGCCGCCAGCCCCCAACGTGCAGCCTGCATCGTCCCCGACCTATGTCTCTGAGCGCGCTGCTGGGGCTGTTCAAGTCGCACCTAAGCGAAAGCGTGTCTTCAGCAACCGCACCAAGACAGGTTGTATGACCTGTCGCCGCCGAAAGAAGAAATGCGATGAGCAACACCCTGCGTGTGAGTCGACATAATGCCTACCTCTCCCTCCCCTCCCTCTATTTCTCTCTCTCTTTCTCTGCCGTCCCCTTTCCTTCACCGCGTCGTTATGTTGTGACCTCGAACAGGATACATCATCCATGCCCAGGTTCACAGTCTTCAGTATCCGCACCGATAGTTGTTCCCGGATTAGGAAAACATGTCCGACTAACTTTCTCATTAATTCCAGGCAATAATTGTATACGTGGCGGGTTCTTGTGCGAAGGATACACCTCACGAAGTACCTGGCAGAAGCCTTCGACAACGAAACCACCCGTCCCGCTACAGTCCAAGGAAGGTTATCCAGATATGAGCGGCCAGTATCTTCCAGAACCCATTGCTCATCATGACCGGCCACCCGCAGGAATGCCCGATCATATGGAATCGCGGAAAATGCGACCATTAGGGGAGGACAATGAACGTGTCCCTCAACCATATACTACGAGCCCATCCAACAATACAGCACCCAACCATGCGGCATCGTCCTCATCATCGTCCTCATCATGGTCAAAACGCACCTGGTCGGGCCCGGGCCATTCGGCGTACGCACCGCCCGACCACCTGACTAAACCCGATTATCGAGAAGTGGCCCCAATTCACGAGCTTCCTCCTCGAGAATCACATCCGAAGCCAGACTACCCCATGGTTCCTCCTATCCGGGAGTTCTCGCATGCGCCACCACCACCGCCGCCACAGAAGCCCAATAGTTTACCACTGTTTCATGGGACAACCGCTGAGCAGCAACGGCCCATGCCCCCGGCGCCAGCACCTGCGCCAGCCCCAGCTCCGACCCCCATGCCAACATCCGCGATGGACACCAGCAGTCCGCAGACGCAGGCACGGATGGCGCTCAAAATCGAGCATCAACTATCATCCCGTGCAATCAACGTGGAAGAAACGGAAAAGGACAAAATGATTCGCGGCGAACTGTACCGGCCTTTCGATCTCCAGTTAGTGGAAGAGAGGGATCGGTGCAAGCGCGCACTGTGGCGATTCAACAATGCTTGCAATCCACACTACGGGTTAAGCTCGAAGGAGCAGAACCGTCTCCTCAAGGAAATTCTCGTTCCCCCTTCGGGTTCGGTCGCCAATTCTCCCTCTGGAGTCGCGGTGCCTCATTCCTCGGGGTCCATTGGACAGGGTGCGGTGGTGGAATCCCCCTTCAATTGCCATTACGGATATAACATCCAAATCGGAGAAGATGTGATGATACATCAGAGTTGTCTGTTTGTCGACGACTGCGGCATCAGCATCGGTGCGCATAGTTGGATTGGCCCAAATGTCACCTTGCTGAGCTCGATGGCCCACTCCAGTATGCAGGAGCGCAAAGGGTCCCAGAGTCGCTATCAAGGCCGACCCGTCATCATCGAGGAGGACTGTTATCTAGGCGCGGGCTGCACCATTTATCCCGGAGTGCACCTACATCGAGGTGCCTATGTCGCGCCTGGCGAGGTTGTGAAGACTGACATCGTTGCTTATGGGTTCCAAGGATACAAGCCCAGTTATATGTGAATACCCCCTCCTGTCTAGATTTTTGTTCCCCCTTGCTTCTTCTTTCCTTGGGCTATCTTGTGGACGCCACCCCCAGCCCTCTTCTTTGTTTTTTTGCCCTCAAAGGCCCTGGTGGCGAAATGGATGATCAGAGCATCTGACTCGAGTCAATGGCTTCGTTGAACATGTTTTGAACTGTCGCATGGTACAATCATGTGGATCTACCCGGGGTTTTTTTTCGCTGTGATATCTTTTAACCCTTCTTGTCTATTGTCTTTGATGCCATCATGTCTTGATTGTTCTAGCGCTCTGGGTATGTGATTAATGCAATGTATAGATAATCCTTAACTATGAACGATCTCCAACCATGACTTCTCAGGGACATGCAGTATATATCCAATCATGGGCATTAAATAGGTCCGGCTGGCCGAGAGAGGAGGTGAGGTAAGGCCAATGCAGAGGAAGTAAATGAAACAAAATTCGAATGATGACGATAAAATGCAATATTTGATTCGGTCAAATTATGGGTATCTATTTCTTTCTGGAGTGGAGTGATTGATGGCCGAAAGTCTCAGCTCGGGGCTGCCTTCTCCATCCTGTTTTCGGTCACGGAGTGTTATACTACAGAATCCTGCTGGGCATCTATGGCCCTCTTCTTCTCCCCTCTACCTCCTGAAAGTTCGGCTCACAGCCAGTCCAGGAATTCCGGAGCAAAGTAGGTCACCACAATGCCCGCACCTGCTCGCAATATTCCCTGCGTGCTCTCAAAGGCCATCGCTTTCAAGTCGAAAACTCCGGCCTTCGCTCCGGCGTGGATCATTGCAAATTCACCACTAACCTGGTAAGCTGCGACTGGCATATCCTGCGCCAAGTCCTTGGCATCACGAATGATATCTAGGTAGCTACTCGCAGGCTTCACCATAATGATGTCGGCACCCTCGGCGATATCTCTTTGGATCGCACGTCGGGCAAGACCACGGCCACCAGGAGGAAGCTGGTAGCAACGGCGGTCTCCAAATGATGGAACTGAGCCAGCTGCATCGCGGAATGGACCGTACAGGCAACCGCTGAATTTAGCGCTATAGGACATCAGCAGCACGCGATGGGCTATCCCAGCCTCGATCAGTTTAAGCTTGATAGCGCGTACTCGTCCATCGTTCATGTCTGACGGCGCAACACAGTGAGCCCCGGCAACGGCATAGGCTAGCGCGACATCTGAAATTCGATCCACCGATTGTGTATTATCAAGGGACCCATCTTCCCGGAGAATACCACAGTGGCCATGTGACGTGTACTCACAAAGGCAGACGTCGGTTGTGATATAGAGCTGAGGGAAACGAGATCGGAGAAGGCGAATGGCTTGGATAACTGGGCCCGCCGGGTCATCGGCTGCGGTTCCTAGCGCATCCTTGGCCGATGGGTGGAGGGGAACTCCAAAGAGAATCACCGAACGTAACCCCTTCCGAACCAGTGGGGCCAGGAACGGCACCAGACGATTGACACCACGGCGATACTGATTTGGTAGAGATGGAATAGGGGTCTCCTCGTCAGGGTTATCCGTGATAAAGAGTGGGTAAATGAGCATGTCCTAGACGTGACTGTAAACGACAATTCCGATGGTGAAGAGGAAGAGGTGGGGTGGTGATACCTTGGTCAGTTGCCTCTCTGCCTGCCATGACCTGCTCAAAGGGTGACTGTATCCGGCATGTAGCTGGCTAGAGATATCCCCAGAGATGCTCACACTGGTCGCAGTGGTACTGGTGTAGGATCGAGCAGTGCGGGATTGAGCATGCGAGATCTGTGAGGCACGATCGTCCGGGTTGGAGTCTCGGAAGGCGATGTCAGACACTAGGTTCGAGAACGACATGGTGGAGGCTCGTTCGACCTAAAAAGGGACCGAGGGTTGCAGTAAGACCGAGAGGGCTGGCAGTGGTTTTATGGTTTCTGGGTTTTGTGGGGGAGGAGAAGAAGAGGAGCGTGGGCGGAACAAGACAGGGAAAAAATGATCGGCCGAGGGTCCGGCGGGTAAGGCGAATGCCAATCGTTATGATTGGACAATTGGATACCGTATATAGTAGCAAAAACTTTTAAAGGTTAGAATCTAGCGACAGGAGCAATCATCTAGCGAGGTATGCTTCTATTTTCACTCTTTACAAAGAGCCCAAATAGATATCTCTATGGTCTGGTTGATGAGATAATTTGGTGAAGTTCAATCGAAACCGATAGAGCCCCACTACTGTGCTACTGTGGCGTTCCTAACCCGGTGCTCATCCTCTCATGTATTGATGGGCGACTTGAAAAAGGTAATTACTGGGGGATTCAAAGAGACTAATCAGAATTTCATTTCAAAATATTTGTTATACATTTTTATACCACTGAATTAATTTTCATCTTGGCCATGTCTCTTACTACTTATCCAATCGTATCTGAAGGTGACAATCTATATACGCAATTCATGAGAAGATAGCAAGATTAGCATGCGATGCCATATACACGGTAGCTAACTTAGTGATTTGCTCTATTAGATACTCTTACAGATATCTCTAATGTGCCTAGGGCCTAAGGGCCATAAATCGCACACACCCTTCCTCGTGGTTCAACATTTATTACAACCTTCATAATTAATACATATGTTGATCTGCTAAACTATTCTTCGGTGCTCTATAACAGTTGCTCCATCCCGCGCTGGCTTTATGTCGAATCTGTTCCATCAGTCTATTCTACTATCGATTTATCGCAGTCGTTGATTCCATAAAACTCTATATCTCATTAAAAGCCATCGAGTCCTCATTCTACGGACTAGAATGAAGCAATTTTCTTAAGTAAATCTATGAAGACCTATCCTTTTGCATGAATCTAAATATAATTTACCTGGCAGTCTTGAGAAAGGAGATAAGACCATACACCAAATAACTATCTCTTGGAGAAATCAATTTCTTGATCCATCTCGAGACCTAGGGCTTATTACTTAGGGGTCTTTCAAATTATCTGTAACTTCACGCCTTATTATCGTATACCGGTTTTGACTAGGTATGGCCGTGATGTGTTAGTAGCAAATCCGAATGATATTCTTTCTACTACCCTGGTTTACATGATATGAAGGTTCAAATTGTAGGATTTTTAATCAATGAAATAAATCTATTTTTAGTCTATTATAATTGAAAGTGTACAAATACGCTGAAGCTCGAGTATTAGTCTCTTAATAAAATCCTGGTAGTGAATAAGACTGTCACTAGGAACGAACGATTAGGAAATAGTAGTCCGCCTAAATCAACACCGGTAAGCCACTACTTATATTCAAGAGGAATACTACGTTAGCACGTATGTCGTGGTTGCTATCCTTCACAGGTAGAGTAGCGGCAATGTAAGGATTTTCTGGTTCCCCTTTATAACCATTATAGCCATAATTATTATTAGATGAGGTCTGAATTAGGTAGAATTGATCAGGTTAGTAAGATAAGATGAATTAAATGAGGGACGCTGCGATAGGCGGAACTTGCAGAGTTAGCCTAGGAGTTTCGAAGAGAACATATAGTATATAGTCGAATATTCTATGTAGGAATGTTTTAAGCATGCTTCCGTATAAAGGAAAGCTAATCGAAGGTAGTAGTTCCCGGAGTATACGCAATCTAATAATATTCAATATCAACCTTAAGTTGGGGGTAGGTGGTAGGCTACTATAGCTCTATACTATAGATATATCTAGAGAGTTTAGAGCTATACCTACGTCTATAGTAGGATATAATGAGTTCATAACCTATAGCCCTCGAACTCTAGGTCTTATCGCTAGAGTTAGACCACTACAATAGAGGATAATGTACGAGAGCGGCTCCCCTTTAGTAAGTAGCATTTTTATTAATTTAATGGCAGGAATCCTAATTAGGCTAGATTACTACCCAGAAACCTAAAAGATTGGGCTACTTAAGACTAATAGGTAGTTAATAAGAGGCCACAGTTTTTTGATAGCCTATGACGTAGGTAATTTGAAGCAATTTAAATCGGTTCCTAGGGCTCGCATCGTCTAGTCTATATAAATAAGCGACTAGATAATATATAATTTGGGAAAATCTATTACTGTTATAGAAAGATATCCGGAAGGATACTTATAGCTATAGTCTATTTTTGAATTATAATGATCGACGTATTAAGATAAGTTACATACAAAAATCTCAGATCATGTCGGCTATTTCGGACTACGATCTAACCACTACCTGCTTCATCATTCCACCGTTACCTCCCTCGTACGCCATATACCCTGCCGGCTGCTATTACTTTCTTCATCCCCATAGATTTCATTTTTTGTGCTCGTCAGAGGTATATCCGTTCTAAAGGGATTAGATGGATATGAAGGGTTAGATGAAAGCTTGAAGGCGGAACCTGAACGGTTTCGCGAAGTAGTCACGCCGGAGGAACTCTTGGAGGATTTAAATGTCCTGCGAAAGAACGGACGGAGTGTTGGGACGCACGCGGCGATAATGACAACGTTTTGCTCAATACTAAATATCGATGTTAAAAGACGGCAAACCGAAAAGGGAAGGGGGATTTGGGGGGTGGGGGGAGGGAAGACTCACAGGCCCCAGAGAACCAATGGTACCACATTAAAAACTACAGAAGGTTAGTCAATATTCCGAAGAACTATAACAAAAGAGACACACTGACGAGGGTCGATGTGGTCCGTGAATAGGTGCAAATATGTTGCTTTGATGATAGTGACAATCGCTGAAAGCATTGTCAACCCCATCATAACGCAGACCCCGACTTTGGTTGAAGTCGGCATTTGTAGCTTCCAAAATGCGTTGATTGGTACAATGGCCAAAACAAAATCAGTCATTGTCGTATATGCGCTAACCCAATAGGAGAAGTCATCGAAAATATCGGAGCTCCAACATGTGCCCTCGAGGGAATGGTTCCACAACTTCGCCGTCGGCTTGCACTGAAAAAAGACGATAAACACGGATATCATAGCGAATATAACTTGGAAGACGGTCATGGCGTAAAGGAGTCGTGTGCGAAGCGGGTTGGGATCGAGGAGGTGAACGATTAGGATGGCGATGGAGATATTTGGAAAACTGAAAGCACCTACATATTTCACGTTAGTGCCAAATACTCTCTGGTGAGAGATTCATACAATATACCAATATTGAAAGGGAATCCTAAGATCTGCCAGTAAGCTGTTTGTACGTATCGTTCCATGCCATGCTCAGCAACGACTGCTGCAGTGTGTCGACCTAGACCGAGGGTGACCGAATACGAGACAAAAGATGTGGCAATGATACTCAGTGTCTAATCAAAGGTCAGTTCAATCCAGGAAATTGTCTTGGGGATGTCCGTTCACTACCAAAGAGAAGAAAATGAAAAAGTCATCCCACCCAGCCCGTTTGCTCTCCATACGGGCGAATAGCTTCAAGAATACCGCTGCAATTGCAATGCCCGTAAAAACCCACCCGACAGCATTGATCTCTGCCGCCCGTGTTTCGCTATAATCCACATTTGTATCGAAGGCGGCGGCCATGATCAAGAATCACGTCGGACCGCGGAGCTTGGGATCTTACTTGAGGCATATATCGAGGATGGAATCTTAGCAGTGGGCCCCTGGACAATAAATATGAAGAGGCAATAAAGTTCTGCTCAAGATCGCCGTTGCTAGGCCTAACATTTGATCTTGACGGATGATGTTAGTGCTATAGACTAAAGTGTAGTCGGGGCAATGGCGTCCCAGCAGTACGGTCCTGTCCGATCAGACGCCGCCTACATCCTCTCTTCTCCGTATAGAGTCGTGAAATGTGACATGTAATAATCTACCACTGGCATATTGCTTTTGCTCTGCGGGGCTCACTGGCGAGGTTAGTAAATTCTCAGCGCACAACGGAACTCCGCGATTCGAAAATGCGGCGGCGACGCAAGCGAACAATAGGTTCTGCAGAACAGCACGGCCCTTAAACATCACCATCTGTGACCTGTTTGTTTCCCATAGTGGGGTTGGCGGCACGGGGAACGGCACGAACAATTGCCGGTACTCCGCACTCTGTATCCGAGGCACATACGAGTTGTATAGAGCAGGGCGGAGCAGAAGCACCCACTGGCTATCGCTCAGCGACGTAGAGACACGCTATATCCCGTGAAGTATCGTTCAAGTTCACATGAGTATCCTTATTAGCTCTCAACTAGAGACGCCAGGTTGGGCCGAAGGATTCACACTACAATAGTAGTGCAGGCCATAGCGCTACCCGAAAAGGCAACGATTGGCCTTTGGGCCAATACTAGCGCACTCAAACACACGGCAACGATTCTCTGCGCGAGACGATAAGGATTCTGTCAGGGGCTCTTGAATCAGCAAATCTGCCCAAGCTCACTCTGGCAGGAGTCATTCTAGCTTGAGGCCCCACCACCCGTAAACAAGAACATGGTTCGCCCGGTGCAATGGCACCACAGGAGCCAAGTTTGAACTTGCTTGGTAGCGCCACGTGGGTGCTTGAGTCGGCTACTAAGCTGGCAAATAGTTACGCCAATTTTCTGACTACCCCCAAACTAAGTCGTAGAAAAACTGGTGCGGTGGTGGAGAAGGCTTCTCAGAACCATTCAAAGGGAAATTACAACGTATGGGCTTTGGATAGCGAGGTGTTCTTTTAAATAGCCGCTGGACCCCCGAGCAGTGCCTGGTCACTTGATATTCTTCTATCCTCCCAGACTTCAAACCCACGTCCCATCATGGCTAATCCATCCGCGTCTGCAATTCTGGACGGGATTGCGTCTGCACGCACGGCATTTGAAAATAACGAGGCTGGCTCAAGGGAAGCTCTGATTGACCACAGCCGTGCATTGATTGCAGCACTGGAGATCCCCAGTGAATTTGTACAGCGCACCTTTTGGGCAGAAGTGAGTAGCCATTGAATTTTCGGAGCGGCCATTCTTGGCTGGCCGCGACAAGTTTCACGAGTACGCTTTCTTGCAATATTGACATGCATTGAACGATAGCCGGCTCAATCAGCCATTATCCGCCTCGCCGTCGATGTCAAACTATTCCAACATTTGCAGGAAGCGGCAGATGCGGGCCTCACGCCTATAGCTCTATCCCAGAAGACCGGGGTCGATGCCGTCCTTTTGTCACGTCTAGCGAGACATCTAGTGGCAATGAATCTTCTCGCATTCCACGACGGGGCATTCCATGCCACGAAGTTGAGCAACGATCTCGCAGCGGAGAACTTCCAACACAGCATCTCCTTCTGTTACGATGCGGCTCGCCCTTCGTTCAATGGATTCCCAGAATATTTTAAGAAAACTGAATATAAATCCCCGACGCTGGGCGGAACCGATGGTCCCTTCCAGGAAGCTCACAAGACCCGGCTCCTATTCTTCGACTGGCTCGTGGCAACCCCGCCGCACCTCCAGCATTTTGATTCCTTTATGAGTGCGTATCGCGCTGGGAAGGCAGATTGGTATGACTTCTACCCAGTGACCGAGCGCATGATCACGGGCTTTGATTCCTCCGTGAGCGATGTTCTCCTCGTCGACGTCGGTGGCGGAAGGGGTCACGATGTCGCTACCTTTGCCGCGCAGTACAATCCTTGCCCGGGCAGAATAATCCTTCAGGATCGCGAGCCCGTTATTGCTAGCGTGTTAGCTAATAATGTAGAGCAACCCTTCGAGGCACAAGCTCACAACTTCTTCACGCCGCAGCCCGTCAAGGGTGCACGCGCCTACTCTCTCCACTCCATTCTTCACGACTGGGGCGATGATGATGGTGTCAAGATCTTGGAGAATCTGGTTCCGGCACTAGAGAAGGGCTATTCGCGTGTTTTGTTGAACGAGATTGTTGTCAGCGAAGAGAAGCCCACACTAGCAGCGACAAGTATGGACATGATGATGTTGGCGCATTTTGCAGTCAGAGAAAGAACGGAGGCCGAGTGGAGAAGTATTCTGGAGAAGGCTGGATTGAAGGTAGTCAATATTTACAACTACCCGGGGGTTGCAGAGAGTTTGATCGAGGCGGAGTTGGCATGAGGGTAGATTAGATTTCGGCGGCAGAATATATTGAGTGCTCTCCTAAGTAATTTTTGATTCACGCAAAATGTTTTCCTTTTTCAAGGGGGCAAGTGACACTTTTGAAGTTTCGAGTGTTTTGGTAGGGGTTATTATCTCACTCTATCGCGTTCTCCTCGAGGTCATGGCCGACTTCGGGTCGGCGGCCAGTATCTAGGTGTCCACTATTTACATGGAGGATATCGATAAGTAGTTACATGATCGTTTGATGGCTTAGGTAGACTTCTTGGCCCTCTCTCAATCTATCTTCTTTACCTATTGAACTCAGCCTCATGAAAGACTATTAGCTCTAGTCTGTCATATAACTAGATCCTGTTATTTTAGGAAATATCCATGTATCTTTCATTGTTTACACAATTACATTCTAATTGAGTAGCAATTGTTATTATTATTATTATCAGTAGTACAGGTTTAATTGTTCTGAAACATAATATTGTTTAAGTCTAAAGATATATATTCTACTTCGAGGACTCTACCAGGATTTCTCTAAGTAACTACTTCTGGTATAGGTATAAACATAGACCTAACTACCTAGTAAGCTTAATTAAAATCTATACGTATCCCAATCTTGATTGTAATACTATTAAGAATATACTATTTCGTAATTAAACTAGGAGAAATTTTAGTAATCTTAAATTAATAAGTATAAATGGTTATTAAGATTAATGCCGTAAGCTAGTATAAAGGGACCCGAAGGGTAAAATCTTTTTAATTAAGCAACTTCCTAAAGCCCTAGGGAATTAGTCTTGAGGAAATTCCGTGTGTATAGTATAGCTAGTCGGATATTTAGATTTTCTTAGCCTATAATAGCTAATTATATTGCTATTAATACGTAGATAGGTCCCTAGTTACGATTTCGTAGTCTCAATTTATCTATTTACTTATAAGTTTTAAGTTATCTCTATAAAGACTACCTTATACGTTTTAGCTCTTTACTTCTCTACCTAGGAAAATGTCCTAACGTACTTAGGATTATTCCTCGCCTTTCTATTCTAGTAGTTAATTAATTAAGCCTTACGGGAATATATTATCTAAGCTATTCGTTTTTAAACTTAAATTCGTTAGCCACGACGTCCTTAACGCTCTTAATTAAGCTATAACGCGTATTAGATAAAGCTATATCCTTTATCTATACTATATTATTCTTATCTCCGCTAGTAGATTATAATAGATAAAAAAATTCTAGATTTAGACGAGAAAGATAGAAAGGAATCTAATAATTATAATAATTATATCTTAATAGAGTTACGTTTAGTGTAGCCTACTTATATTATTAATTCGGAATAACTATTAGTAAGCCTCTAGTATCACGGTCTCGGAAGCTTTTTTAAGGATATTAGTGTTAGAAAGCGAGCTAATTACTTAGCCCGATATCACTAATACTAATTATTCTAAAAAGGGCCTTAGAACCTACCCCGACTTAATTAAGATAGACTTTAGCTATATAAAGTTATTAATACTATATAACTAGCCTTCCCTTATATTCCTACCTATCTTATAACTACTAAATATAGTATCCTTCGTAATAGTCGGGCTAGTATAATTTATACCTACTAAGCCCGCCTATAGTGCCTTAGATATACGTACCGTACGATCTAAATCCTTAGTGAAGACTAATATATATAGTCTAAAGTTAGTGTCGTTAGCTTTTTATACTATCTCCTCTTCTATCTTAAATATATTAATCGCCACGACTAGACTAAATACCTCCTCTCGTATTAACCGCGAGTCCTCCGGAACCTCCTCGAAGATAGTTAGCTTTATAAAGCTATTATTCGCGTTATCGCCTTCTATTAACTTAGTATTTTTCTACTTAATCCCTAGATACTCTTATATACGCTTATACTATAGAGTATCGATCTAGGGGCCGTATAAAGTGGATAGATCTAGGGGGCTACCTAACTTAACGATAGTAAATCTCTCTTTAAAAGCTATAACGAACTTATCGTATATACTTTCTGTCAACATATGGATGTTGTGGGGTCATATGACGAAGGACCCACTTATATAACCCCTCTCTATATCTAGATCTTCTTCTCTATAAGATCTATCGAATTGATCCTTAACGATCTTGTATTGAATTGCATACTCGTACTGAATTGCCTATCTAGGCAGGAGACTATCTAACACTCTAATTCTCTATCCTTTCTTATGTGATCTTTTACTATGTTTCTAAGATATAAATACTGCTATATTTCCTAACTAAATTAAATTAAGTTTATTATCCTTTATAATCTCTCTTCTAGATCGGTGGTACTCTTCCACAATCGTGGTACTTCTGCTAGTGCGCACGACCGATAGACTTATAACCGTGTATTTAGACACTATATTGAGTATTTACCAATCCTTATACACACTATCGTCTTATGTGTATAACCACGACTTTATGGTTACCGCCTAGAGTCCGATAGTTATAAGCCCGACGCCTCTACTCTAACTATTGAACTAATTTAATCTTCTCTTACTCTACTCTCACTTTCGCTTTACTTCCTATATAGAAGTGATAGATTTAACTACTCTATAAGCTACCTAGCTTTACTACCTACTAAAATATTATATACACTAGGTCCTATAGATTACTACGGTTAAAGACCACGCACTAGCTAATAATATATAGAAATATGCTGATCCGGACTAATCTATACCGATTACCCTGCCTTAGGAACTAGTTAAACTATAGATATCTGATATAATTAGAAACCCTACTAATATATATATATCTAATCTTCCTAAATAGCCACTAAGGCTTATCGATCTCACGTCTAACTAATTAGCTATCTATAAGATACTACTAAGTAAATACGAATCGTTAAGATTAGACTACCTACGATATCCTCGATCTATCGAATCTCTTAAGTAAGGTATCCGATCCTCGCTTATACTAGAAGGACGTTAAATCGTTAATAGCCTATTAGCACACGAAGCTATAGTAAAACTACGTACTACCTTCGCCCTATCCGACTAATTAAAGAATCGTTAAATCCTACGCGACTAGGATAAGCTAAAACGATAAGCTCTACTAACTAAATTATCTTAACTATCTATATAGGGTCAGAAGTAGCTAATTAGCTAATTAGAAGGTAAGAAAGTAGTAATCGCCTACTTCTAAGACTATCTATCTCTAGTATACGATTTCCTAGAGATAATTTAACCTAGCGACTAAGGATTCTATACCTTCTAGTATAATACGATCCTATAGGGTCTAAATAGACCTACCCTAACCGAACTAGTTAATTAATTCGTCGATTAATACCGACCGTCTACTACTACTAGTAGTAGTAGAAGACGACCTATCGCCTATACGACCTACTAAGGACGTTGTCGGACTCTAGGCGGTGACCATAAAGTCGTGATTATACACACAAGACGATAGTGTGTATAAGGATTGGTAAATACTCAATGTGGTATCTGAATACACGGTTATGAGTCTATCGGTCGTGCGTACTAGCAGAAGTACCACGATTGTGGAAGAGTACCACCGATCTAGAAGAGAGATCAAAAGGGATGATAAACTTGATTCAATTTAACTAGGTAACATAGCAGTATTTATATCACAAGAAACATAGCAAAAGATCACATGATAAATCAACAGAATCAGAGTGTTGAGAGTCTCTTGCTTAGGTAGGCAATTATATGCGAGATCGTTGAGGATCAATCTGTTAGATCTTTATAGAAGAAGATCTATATGTAGAGAGGGGTTATATGAGTGGGTCCTTCGTCATATGACCCCACAACATCCACATGTTGACAGACGTTAACCTAATAAATTAGACGAAGAAGGACCTATATAATTAACTAGAAGAAGGAAGTACCCTTATAGGGATATACCTAACTCTAGTAACCACGATTTTAAGACGTATTACTATATAAATCCTAAGGTAAGACCTAGGAGGTAGTAACCTAACCTAGAGGTCTAAGAGCGATTTAAAAAGCGATACGATAAATCTAGAGGATTTAAGATAGCCTATTAACGTATAATTCGACGTTACTAACCGGCTAATTTAACTAATTTAACTAATTCGACTACTAGAGATACTTTCTCTACCTATATACTAAAATAATAGGTCGAGACTCTCTTTCGAGAGGAAGATAGTATTATAATAAGTACTATCCGGATTCCTACTAAGAAGAACGATACCTAGTACTATAATACTAGAGTATTAATTTATATTACGAATAATAGGGACCTACTATTAAACTATAGGCCTATTATATCCTCTATTATAGTTAGAAATACCGAAACCACTATCCTTAGTTATAGTAAACTATCCGTTAAACTATCAGAATCTCTTAATAGAACCACTTTCCCTTTAAAATAAGTTATCTATTATCCTAGATTCTATATTAACCTAATCTCTATAGAAAGAGCTACTAGCGTAGATATCGATCTAAATAGTAAAGATTATCTACTAGAAGAGAAGGATAGAATATCTATCTATAAGCTTAACACGAAATTAGGTATCTACCTAATTCGATAGGACGATTTAGTTACTAATCGACTAATTACTACTAACCACGCTTACGTTTTATCTATCTCTTACTTATCTCTTACTTCTATCTTACACGATTAAGTTATACCTATCACTAAGTAATTTAGTAAGGTTACCCTATCTTCGTATACTAAGAAGTACCTAGATAGGATAATCGACCTATAGTATAGACGACTAGGATATATTAGTAAGGAGGTCTTATTATATCTACTAGGATACTTATTAGGTATTACTATTAAAGATATATCTTCGCCTATTAACTACTACGAGATATATAAACTAGCTAATTTATATCGTTAAATCTCTTAACTACCTATATAGTATAATCGCCCTTTCGAATCTCTATATTAGGATCTTATATACTTTAAACTATTACTTAGTAAAACGACCTATCTATCTTACTCTATTAACCCTATTACTAAATACTAACTAGCGGAAGATCTATCTACTAAGGTAGATTTAATATAATCT